CAGTATCATGCCGCTTTCAGTTGTATTCCAGAGAGCAGATCCATACCGAGCACCGGGAACGACGCTGGGACTGAAAGTCCTAAACATTCCATAATCAGCGGGGGCATTAATGACTGCGCTACCATTGATCCAAGCCCACTGGCGCTGCTCCACGTTAAACAACCAAAGATCGTTCAGATCGCCGCTTTCGCTACTACTGTTCCCGTACCCTTCACCACCAAAAAGCTGTAGATTTCCTGAAGCGTCAATGAAGCCAACTCCAGACTCGCGGGATCCAGGATAGCTTGCAGCATCGGTATTGCCAAATATGATATACGATCCAGGGATCGAGATCGTGGTATTGCCTGCGACAAACGTCCATATGGACGTACTAATGTTATAAAACCAAAGATCATTCAAAAATCCTGGATAAGATTCCGAACCGTTTCCATAACCAAACCCACCAAACATCCACAGATTGGCTTTTGAATCCGTCCATGTAATTGCACCCTGGCGAGCTCCGGGAGCATTCGATCTATTGGCAATATCAGGTTCACTGTAATTGCCAGGCTGGTTTACCGATTGTGACCCACCCATATATGCCCACAGTGATAAGGATCTGTTGAAGCACCAAAGGTCTGAAAACAGGTACGAATAGCAATTCTCACCTCCAAACAACCAGAAGTTTCCATCTGCACCCAGCCAGAACGCTGCCTTTAAGCGAGCCCCAGGGTTGTAAGAGGGATCGTAGGAACCCATTGGCCCGTACGTGGGTAAGGCATTGATTGTATCGTTGCCGTCTACCCAGGTCCAGTTTCCACTAACTGTGTCGTACTGCCACATGTCGTTAAGGCAACCGATATTACCATTTCCATCCAATCCGTAGCCTCCAAACAACCAGAAATGCTCCTCGTCTGCACGCCAGAATGCACTGGCCTCCCTTGCGCCCGGAATATTGAGGGCGCTTCCGACTCCAAGTGTACCATAGTTTCCAGGCACATAAATGTCCAGAGATCCTCCGATCCATGCCCACTCGAGCGAGGTAACGTTCAGCCTCCACAGATCGTTAAGATAACCTCCAGAGGAGTTCGCGTATCCAAAGCCACCAAAAAGGTACAGAACGCCGGGGCTTCCAACCCAGGTCGAGGAGTAGTGGCGACCGCCTGGGACGTTATTCGAGGACGCCACGTTCAGCGTACCATACTTCCCATAATTGTTGACACTAGTTTCTCCACCTATCCAGCTCCATCGCACGGGATAAGCCGGTGCCCCTGCGCCAACCAAAACCCGAATACGGGCCGAGAACCACAAACAAACGACCAAAACACGCAGCCAGAGTACCCGCCTGAGACTACTCCGCCTCAAGCCTCCTTTCATCGGTGAATCTTGTCTTCGTACAGCTCGGGAAGCTCGCCCAAAAGCGTGTCCAAAGAAGGAAATCGCCGGCTTCAGATCACGCAACGAACGATCGCAAAACTAGCCGTTTTCAATGACTGCAGCCACGTGCGTTGCGCGCGCAACGTTGGAAACGCACGTTGCGCAACGCGTGCAGCCGGTTCTGCTCTCGAGATGCATGCGAGCACTTGAACCTGTTCTATACGGATCAATATAGAATGTAATGGACATTTATGCACATGGACCAATCATCCAAAAGTTTGTTTCGATCTGCTACTGGTGAGATCCTGTCCTAAATAGTACACATGGGACACCAACCAAGATGCACTAATGGCCCTGGACTTGAAATGGAACAATCATGTCCTATTATTGTGTAAAAACGAATACGATGCATCATAATGCCAAAGTTCGGTTCCAAAGAGTCGCAGCAGCACGCCCCTTGGGGCAGCCTGCAGCTGCCCCGATGCGCGAGCGCAAATGCGCGCATCCCGTGCAGCGGCGGTGTTGGCGATACGATACAGTTGCGACATTTGTGTAAAGAGCGTCGAGGCGCCATCGTGGCGTCGGACACGTGTCCTTCATCGATCTGTGTAGCGTCTCGCGCGGTGCACGCATCGCGCTCGGTGAGCGCCTCTGGGAGGTCGGGTAGTCAACGGACGCGACGCACTTGTCGCCGTTGAAGGGGAATGTGATCCTCAGGATTCCTTGGCGTGTTGTTCTAACATATAACTTGTATTTGCATTGCAATCGTAACAAAATATATGGTTTCATCTCAGTCATGTTGCAGCCCTCAAATAAAAATACAGGAGTGTTTTTTCGCAGTATACAACAGAAAGCTTCAAAGAGGGTTCTTTCTCAAAAAAAAAAACTAAAAAGGAAAGGTATGAAAAAGCAAGTCCACGATCCTGGAGGTCCAGGGTCGGCGGTTGCTAAAAAAAAAACAAAAGACGGTGCCGAGTTCATAAGAAAAGGAAGAGAAAAAGAAGCAAAAATGGGAGGCCCTACGTAGAAGGCGGCAAGAAAGACGACCGCACTACGAGGTTGTGGTGAAAACCTGTCTTCTTGGATATATCAAGGATCCCTACAGGGGAAAGTTGCGAGACATTATCGAAAAACGTGTCGGCTCGTACTCCAAGAGTATTGTCAAGGCGTCGTCAGGACTAATGCATTTGGCGAGGGAGATGTACCACGAAGTTACGCACATGGAAACGGTCGAGGTACCCTGACGGGTTTTTCGATAAGTCTTTACTCATCACCTGATGCTTGGTACAGATGAAACGCAAAAGGAAAATGAGCTAGTACATGCCTTCCACGAGAAACAACCCTTTTACAGTTTCGAGGGCACTCGAAACAAGGGTGACCGGGATATCTACACATGCGGAGCGATGAAGCATCTCACGAATCTGCAGAACCATTTGACAGTGGACCTCGAACGTTTCATGAGACGTGCCGTGTTTGCGCTGTATCCGGGCATCTTTTGCAAGGGGATATGGGCGATTATCAATGGCATCACGAAAGATCGCAAGCGTGAAGATGAGGTCGAATTTGTCAACAAGAAGGCCTCACGCAGGAGCACAAATGAGGATTCCGTCATCCGTGCGGTTATAGAAGCGCACCGTGCAATCTTGGGGCTGGCGAATCCAGCAGACAAGATATCAGAGTTGAAAAAAAGATAAGGAAAGATGCTATCGCCTTATTCTGCTGTATTTCGTGTTTCTGGACCGAGAACTCGAACGCAAAGCGGAGATGAGGCTGAAGAGGGAAAATTTAGAGTGGGAGAAAAGGAAGGCTGTCCTAAAGGGGAAGCGCTTCAACGTCGTTCCGTTGTGCAACATCAAGTCACATTTTGTTAGTATCGACCCCAGCGTCCTTTATGGCATCATGGAGGAGATCAGTCCGGAGTTCAAAGTTAGCACGGAGGATTTCACCGGCGAGAACCGGGTGACGTACTGGAGGAGTATCTTCGATTTCAAACCTGTCAAAGTCAGCGAACAAAAGGTATTCACTGGGTTGATCAAAACCGATGGAGTAGCCTTATGCGTACACTACCGGCGGTTGAAGAAAGATCGGCCAGTCCCTCACTCGGCTGCGCCCGTGACGAAGGATGCAGAAAACAAAGAGGCGGATGCTGCGACGCAGAAACTGCAGGATAACGACTTTATGGTTGACGCGGCGAAGGATGACGATGAAAAGGAGGCGGTTCCTGAGACGGAGGAGATGGAGGATGAAGACTTTGTCGTTAGGGCGGTGAAGGATGAAGAAAAGAAGAAGGCGGGTCCTGCGATGCAGGAGGTGCAGGATAACGACCTCGTCATTGGCGCGGTGAAGGATGAAGAAAAGAAGGAGGCGGGTCCTGCGATGCAGGAGGTGCAGGATAACGACCTCGTCATTGGCGCGGTGAAGGATGAAGAAAAGAAGGAGGCGGGTCCTGCGATGCAGGAGGTGCAGGATCACGACCTCGTCATTGGCGCGGTGAAGGATGAAGAAAAGAAGGAGGCGGGTCTTGAGATGCAGAAAGTGCAGGATAACGACCTTGTCGTTGGCGTGGACCCTGGGAATACGAATATCATCACCATCGCAGCACCGAAGCGTGCTGAAGATGGCACTGACGGTAACTTACGTCAGAAAGACATGCGTCTTTTGAGATTCTCGAGAGCGAAGTACTACCTGGAATCAGGAACCATGAATGCGAGGAAGAAAATCGAAACATGGAATGCAGGAAGAAAGGATCACCTGGAAGCTTTGAGCGAGGTGACTAGCCGAGGAGCGGACTTTCAGGCTTTTCGGAAATTCATGGATGATCGCGTTGCTCATTGGGATGCGCTGCGGGAGGAGTATACCAAGCCCCGATGGGCTCGTTTGCGTATGAATCGATACGGTGGGAAGCAGCGGGCGTTTTCCAACCTTTTCAATCATTTGAGTGCGCTCAAAGAGGACAAGACTCGAAGGCTCGTGGTAGCGTACGGAGCAGGGCGCTGGAAGATACAAAAAGGGACTACGCCAGCTCCAACGACAAGAACGTACAAGGAGTGTGTGCACAGCGTTTTGTTACAATACCTGTAGATGAGTTTCGAACATCGTATACACACCATGAGCTGGGTTGTACACTTCAGAGAGTGGAGATGCAAAAGTGCTAGAGGAGCCCTGAAGATATAATAAAGTATGGACCACTGACGGAAGAGCAAATGAAAAGGAGAGCGAAAGTTCGAGGACTAGTTGCATCAGCATGTACAACCAGTGATGGCAAGAAACGTATCGATTTTGTGAACCGAGACTTTAATGCCGCTATCAATATCAGGAGATGTGCGGTGCTGGAGACGAGGACTCCAGAGCTGACACGAGAGGACTTTGTTGGACAACCTCTCAAAGTCGAACTATATGAGAAAATAATAGAGGCAGTAGTGGGTGGCCGGTCCAAAAAGACTGGGAGGCGTCTGCACGTCAGTTGAGGATGTCTAGCCTAGAGCGCGTTCACCGCTACTACTGTACACGCCCGACGTCGTTCGACTTCAGAGCGGCGTTGTTGGTGTGTGTGCATTTTTCCCGCACGCAAATTACAGAGACAGAGATTTATTATACTCGGAGACTTTATGAAGTATTCCAGGATGCTTCCAGTGCACAAAAAATCAGAAGCAACGTGCAACAGCGGACCCGTGCTGGACAAGCCGTATCTTTTGTTCGTTCTGCAGCAGATGAAGAGCCTCCTCGAACTCATCTTCACGCACGGTCTCGTCCGCAGAGGTAGTACCCACCTGAGCGGCTTGTTGCCGAAGGAGATGGAGAATCGCCTGCTTGCGAAGCACGATAGAGGACTCACGTTCCTGAAGAATATTCCAGATTGCCCGCGCAAGTTCGTTGACGCGTTGACGCCATGCCGCGCTATGCCCCGTCTGCAGCAGATCCAAATCGATGCGACCAGTCAGCGGATCTGTGGCAGCCTGCTGGGTGGCGATCCGTACTAGACGGAGAGCCTCTTCGACATCGGCTCTCTCGACAACGGGCGATAAGCGAACTTTCGCGTGCGCCTCGGAGAGACGGATCAGCGACTCAAGCTGCCGCGGCGTCGCTGTAATGGTCTTGGGAATCCCGTGGGCGGCATACGCAGCGCCCATCCGCCGCATCTCCATGTAGCCCGATATCAGCGTATCACTTGCATCATCCGACAAGACGGGATGGACATTCTCGCGTGCATATGAGATGTAGGCCGCCAGCAACGGCAATTCCACCAGGGGCAAATCTTCCGAAGCATGAAACGCGTTCCCTGCTGCGCTCTCCTCATGCTCGCTAAAGAGGGAGACAATGTGGCGCGCGAGGCGCCGATCATCGTCTGCGGATGGCTTATCGAGCACTAGATAGACGAGATCAAAGCGAGAGAGGAGCGTTGGCGGCATCTGAATGTTTTCGATCACTGACAAGCGTGGATTGTAGCACGAGTCAATTGGATTCGCTGCTGCAAGTACCGAAGTTCGGGCATTCAAGGTGGCGATGATGCCGGCTTTGGCGATCGATATTGTCTGCTGCTCCATTGCCTCATGTAAAATTGTGCGGGACTGCTCGCTCATCTTGTCAAACTCGTCAATGCAGCAAATTCCGCGGTCAGAAAGGACTAGAGCACCAGATTCTAAAACGGTATCGTGCGTTTCGGGATCTTTGGTCACATAGGCAGTGAGACCAACCGCCGAGCTCCCCCGTCCAGACGTATAGATTCCTCGAGGTGAGATGCGGTGTACGAAGGAGAGTAGCTGCGATTTGGAGACTCCAGGATCGCCTACGATCAGCACGTTAATTTCAGAGCGGAAACGGGTTCCTCCAGCAGCGACAAAGTCTTTCCGTGTCCCGCCAAGCAATTGGCACAGGACCCCTTTCTTCACGTCGTCCATACCCCAAATGGATGGCGCTATAGACGCGGCTAGACGCTCATACACACGGGGATCACGGGCAAGTTCACGAATTCGAGGCTCCCAGTCGCGCATCCCGCGCAACGGTGCATCCGACAGCGGCGCCGGCTCCAGTGCATCTGCTGCAACTTCACGCGGTTCGGCGGGCATTTGAGCAGAACCTGCACCGCCCAGGTCGATTAGCGGGACCATTGCGGTCGATGTCGTACCGGCGACTTCTTCTGCGAGCGGCAGAGCATCGACGTCACCGGGTTCTGGTACGTCCATGACGCGCCGAGCATCCGTGTGCTTCACATGCACCACATCCAGGTATGTGCGGAAGACAGACCGTACGTTCCGCATCCGTGGATGAACCCGCACAGGCATAGCTCGATATATTCCCGTGACTTCCACGCGATCGCCGGGTTTCATGGTGTCCACCATATCCTCGTACAGCACAAGTGAAATTGATGCAGGTGTCTCCCCTTGCGGTACGCTCTCTGGTGACTCCTGGAGACGAATGACCTGCTTGTCCGTAAAGCAGCATCGGTTATGAATCAACTGATAGGAAGATTTCAGGCCACAACGAGAACATGCACTCGGTTCTTGGACGCGCCCGTGTCGAATAGGGACCACCGTTGTGTGTAGACAGTTCATGCAGCGGTAGAATGCATCCGCCAGATCGGGAATGAGGCTGCTCGTCCGTACTACCATTCCCCGAATCGCGACAAGAGAGTCCAGATGGCACGGCTCAAGCTGGCGCACGGATTGTGCAGAGCCAATGTCGTAAACTCTGACCTGAATGTGTCCGATCACTCCACTGCTATCGCTCATGAACATTTGCTGGTATATTTGGTTTGCTGCCATATCAAAGAGGCTGATCATGTCAGACGGGTACCGTACAAGTTTTTCGTGCAAGACTGCATCATATTCTTGGACGTGTTTCATGCTGACGTTAAGCGTGTGGGAATCAGTTTCGTGGAGCTCCTCCAGGAGCTTCAAGTAGAGCGGCGCTGGGGTCGCTGTTGTCGAGGAGTCGTCGCCTCTCGAAAGGCTATTTTCATCCGATAATCGCAGCGGATGGAATCCCTTTAAGAAGCTCAACAACTTCGCGTAAACCTCTTCCACAGATAAGTCTGTTCCCCAGAGAACCCGCACAGGAATGGAGTCAGTGCTTGTAGTGCGCGTTGGATCGGCGCCGCCGCCGACTGTTTGAGAGCCCAGGCCACGATCAATGTTCGGAGAGCCGGTCGCGCTGCTCCGCGGCGTGAGTGGAAGCCCCAAAAAGGAACGGCTCAGTTCCCGGCGTCCAACAGTGCTGAACCGTTGGAAGTGCGGTGAGGTTGGCGGGCAGCTCGAGCCCGACCGCGCTCCGATTCCTGGCTCACCCTCCGCTGCGAACGAGGCGCTCCCGCCTACAGCCCTTCCGTATCGCGCCTGGCCAAACTGAGAGACGCCTGTCTGCTCTGACGGGTCTGGACTCAAGGCACCACGGGATGAGGGCGGCGAAAACATACCACGTTCAGCAAACGGAGGGCGCGGTGTTGCTCCCGCAGGGGTCGCTGGCACACTCGAGAGCGGCACGTTGTCACCTGCTGGATCCTCACCCCTGTCGTCTCGCGGGCTGCTTGAGGCAAAACTGTCCGTGGAATGTGCCATGTCGTTTCGAGAAATCGTTCGAGAGCCTAGCAGTCGTATACACACATGAGGGTGTACAGCGCCTTGGCGGCAGCAGCTGCGCAAGGATCTCGGCTACGACCTACTGATTTCCCGCCAAAACCGATTCTTCCAGCGTCTTGTACCGCCGTGCTATTGCCGGTTGCTCTTTTCATTTTTGGACAATATGGAATATACCAGACACGTTGATGCTCGCTGACGCTACGGAACATTTCTACCAAATACTGTACCGTTCCCGTTTTGCTCCTGGAAGTACACACATTCGGTCATTTTGGCACAGGACCCGGTTTGCCTATCCCACCCGCCAGGGTTCTCACGGATCCGCGCTTGCGCAGCGTGGCGACCGCGAGCATCGAGCGCTTGCGGGCCCAAGTCGACTTCGCGCCATCGCAAGTATACACGGTAGGGTGTTTGCATGTTGCGAGGAACCCATTGCCATGTCCTCTCTGAGCACTTTGTGAGATTCTTTTGGTACTGGCGTTGCTTTGACAGGGCGGTTCCTGATGTCCGCAGGTTCTCTTTACGATGAACCCTAGAAGCCGTGACCTGCTTACCGACCAGATGCAGATACAGGAGACCGAGTAGCCTGTCTATATGTAAAAATGAGCGTCTTCCATGAGAGTATACCGTGAATACTTTCTTAACATGGCCATACTGCATGAGCCAAGATTGCTGTCAAAATAGTTCGAAATCCGCAAGCGTGCACAATATGATCTACGAATCATAGGCACGACCTTGCGGATCCGCGTATTCTGAAGCGTTCTTTCTGGTGCCTATGTGTATCCTTCGTATGGATGAAGAAGTCAGCGTATGTGGCTACTTGAAACGAAGCATCATTGAGGAAAAGTGCATTTTATGGTGGGTACGTTTACAGCTGTTGCTTCCGAACTGACGAAAGTTCTATAAATTCTCAGTTTCGACTGCAAAATTTTTCCTTCTCATATATATCCTCAGCCCAGGCAGCAGCGCTTATTCTTGCCAAACAAGTTCATAGTGCGCCCGGATTGCTTCCAGTTCTGTACATTGACAGCTTGACGGTTCCTGACCTCCACCACACGTGGTTTCAGGTCACCCTGTACAGGATCTGTTCCTGCAGGAGGCCTGAAGAGAGGCTGCACTTTTACCAAAAATTCCGTACAAAATCAACACGGGATCAAGGCGAGTGTTCTATTTTTCTAGTCCATATGATCTCCTAAACAAATCCTCTAAGAACATAGAGTATTTACATACATCCACTCATGGACGCCTCTCTGCCTTTCCTGACCATCTGTCTGGTCTCGGTTCTGATTATCCCACCAGAAATCGGGCTTGAGAGGCTGCGCCACAATGTTAGATCACCTCAGCTCGTCGGGTATCCTCTTCTGCACCATGCGTCGTCTGATATCCACGAGGTCGTTGAAGTTCGGACCGCAAACTCCATGCGACTCTCGCCGCTTCTCGAACATAGAAATGCTAGGCGTCCTCAAACTCTTGCCCTCTGTGACACTAAAGTTTCGTCATCGTCCAGCCGGGCAGACACCTTGTCCTGGCTGTCTCTCTCTTCTTCATCTTCTTCGTTTTGTGCTCTTCTTCCCTCGATGGTCGGCGGGAAGAGTATTTTTCGTTTTATTTATTGAACCCGGCTATGAACGGCCCTGCAGGATACCCGACTTGTTTTCCCAAAACTTTCCCTAGGGCATCGTATTTTCGAAAATGACCACATCTCAAGATTCCATTACGTAAGGACCTCCCCGAAGAAAGCAGGACTTGCGGAAGAAAAAACAATATTCGTTCCGTTGTCTCCATGGTGAAAGCTTCAACAATTCATCCAGTGGACCAATGATTACTTGTAGCGATAAAAAATTTCCTCGATGCGGTTCAACGACACAGACTACGAAGGAATAAGAAACAGTTCTACAGCTCGACAGAATCAACAGAACCTCGAAGGCAAGGTGAACGGTGAAATTCCATGTTGTCATGAAGAAAGTCACCGCCAGATGCCAGGGGAAATATCTTCAATGATTCGACAAAGTGGGTGCTTTTTTGCAAGTCTTCTCTACGAGCGAAACTGAGGCAGCCAAAGGCTTCGACGGCAGCTGAAACAGATTATGACATTCCCGCTCGCCTCAGGTTCAATCGTACATACAGCGAGGCCCTTACTGCGAACATCCCTACACGCGCCGAATATTTCGTCTTCAGGAAGATACACCGATTGGTATACAAAACCTCGTGCCTGTGGTTCATATCGATCGCGGCGTTCCAGTTGGTCTGTTGTTGCTATGTCAGTGTTAGATGGCTGTGGGTTACCTGTAGGCTTTAATGTCAATTGTGTTCCATTTCTGGATGCGTGTCATCAAATGCTTTTTCGCGGCCTATAGCAGATGCATTCAAAGTATGTTCGTACAAAAATATACATTCCAGGGCAGAGTGATCGATATGCAAATCGAGGATCCTGGAGGCCCGGTGTCGCTGGCTGGCAGGAAAAAAGAAAATCTCCTCTTCTCGCCAACCAAGGAGCGAAGGGCAGCAGGTTACGAAAAATAACAGGAGGGGAGACAGACGAGAAAAATTGTTTACCCCACCGGAAGATGACGGGACCGTACATGCCTAGAGGCCGTGAGTTTACAGACTCCTTGCATTGGTGATGACAAGCAGCAGCAAGAAACGCATGGAGTTTGTGAATCCAGACTTGAGGGCTGCCACCAACATCAAGAGATGTGCAGTGCTGAACACGAGACCCAAAGAGTTGACGCGATTCAACGTTGTTGGGCAGCCTCTGACGCTCGACGTCCACAAGGAGAAGCTGGGACCGATAGCAGTCGGCCGGTGAAAAAAGGTGTGGAGGCGTCAGCGAGTGCGGGCACGTCTATAGCCCCTTGGGCGTAGGACTTTTTTGTGCCACTGACATAATGCACATGGGATCCATCGCGCCGTATCGCTGCGCACGCTTCCGCGGTGCTCGCACGCGAAGCGTGCAGCACTGCATGCGGCGTCGGATACCATGTACGTTATGTCTAGGTTCTTACAGCTGCTTTTGCGCGCACGTGCGCAATCTCGCCGGTGCGTGCGCGGCGAACATTTGCAGCCGTTCGATGCAACGATTTTCTGTTGCGCGGATGCGTTGTGCACAGGGCTTTGCGGCAGCGTTCGCTTCCACTGCGTTCTTTGTTCAGTTTCACGCTTTCGACGCTGTGTGTCGTAAAAAAATCTAAAAATTTCTGGACTCCGGTATGGGCCAGAAGCACTCCAAGGAAGGACAACGAGGTTTCAACCTCTGGTCAAAGAAACGCAACGAACCCCCAAAGGGTGCTGCAGTTCCTCTGCGGCCGCCGCAGCTGGTTCGACAACAGGACTTCCCTCCAAAACGTTGTCTATTACTGGGGCTCCGTGAGCGACGCAACCATTTATTGCCGCTTCTGACGCACCAGGGCGCAGGTTACGGCGACGACTATTGAGAGCGTATACGCAGTCCTCGTATTGCCTCGTCCGATGTCGCGACTGCTCTGCGACAGGATACTTTCCCGCGTCGCAGCTGCCCGGCCATGGTTCCTTTCATCTCGATCTGCTTGTAGGCCGACAATGGCGCTCGATTCTCGACTGCGCCCGTGGGAAATGAAATGGTGTCTATGAATAGCGAGTTTCAGAAACAACGTCGAGTACTCGTCAGATTGCGAGAGTCGTGCACATCGTGCGACATGGTCAAGACCTGGATCAAGCGCGAAAACGAGCTCCACGTCGTGTTGGTCATTCGTTTTGTCCTCGGATGATGTCTTTAGTTACGAAAGTGGTGGCTGTTTCTTGGATGGCATCTATGCATGGCCCAGTCTTTGCACCCTACTAATCGAGTCAGCTCGGATACGACTGCTATGTGCTGAGACGAGGCCTGATCCATGTGAAATGCTTCTGAAAATACACATGCCGTACAAAGCGAACGCGCACTTGGACAAGGAGCCGAAGACACGAAACTGTCCATAAAAATCGAATACAATATCCATGCTCCCAGGAGCAACGATACAGCATGCAGGGATGGCAGCTACTGTCGTCAGTATCGGAAGACGGAAACGTGTTTCCCTTCCAGAGCAATCCCTGCTGAGACTGCAGCGAGCTCCCTCAAGGACTGAATGCCACCTAGCATCGCCTAAGCTGCCTGTCCGCAGGCTGCTTAGACCAGGAACTCGCAATCCAAATATGCCAATCCGTGCACAAGCGGCACCGGCTTGATAGCGTATGTTCATTTTCGTGCGACGTTCACTCTGAAGGAAGGAATTCGTGGTCCCAGGCATCCTGCGAAACCGATCCAGTCGTATGCGTTACTATATGCCAAACCATGCAGCGCCCCCGCCAACATAACAGCTGCGGGCAGTGTCCACCGACTCTGTACTCGACAGCACCACCCAGGAATGCGTTACTCCGAGGACAACTTGTCGTGAGTTGCTGCACGTTTCGGAGAGCGATGGACGCTGCCGTCTGGAAAATCGTGAAATGATCTGCGATTCCCAACGTTCTCTCCGTTCAGCCATCCAAGAAAACTTTGCTCGGCATCGCGAATAATCCGGTGCGCACCGTTCCTCCCGGGTTGCTCGTACGCTCCAAAGTCACAGGAGCATCACCATCTCTCAAGACAATGCTGAAAAGTCACATCAATTGTGCAGATTTCTCGCAGTGTTCACTGCAAAATCGAAGGTGACACAACCAAGCTCTGTTCGAGAAGTATCACAGACGTTCCTGCAATGCCCTCGCTATACGATGATAAAATTGCAGGCGAGCCGTAAGGTCCCGGCAACGCCGGAGCGCACCCTCCTCGTTCCGCGCACTACTGGCAAAAGCTTCATCCAGCTCCTGACAGAGTCGAGTTTGCGAACCCTCAATACGTGCACGAAGCGCTTCGAAATCGTAGTGCCCCTGCTCGGCCCTGTCAAGCTCTTCACGAAGGGCAAGCATCTCCTCCAGGAATTCCGGATCCATGTCCCGTTGATCGGAAGCGTCCTCGCTATCAGACTCAAAGTTTATTCCGTGCTCTGCGAGCAAGTACAGCGCGCGCGCCGGTGGCGACTTGAGCGTGTCGTGTGCGGCGTTCACGAGCGCCGACGCCTGTTCAGCATAGTGTGCCTGAGGGTCGGCGGCGCTCGAATGAAATCCCTGTTGCCTGCGAAGCTCCGCGTTGAATCTGTCGGGATGCAAGCGCCGCTGCCATTCACGGAAACGGGACTCTAGAAGCTGTTCGTCGAGAAAAAAGCGTCTCGGAAGACCGAATAGAGTAAAGAAATCCACATCAACTGGTGGTTTCGGTTGGATCCGACCGCAATGCTCACAAAAAAACGCTTTCATGGGAACAGATGCTGGATCGGATTCACCAGGTAACGTGCGAGGTGCGTTGCAGCTCCAGCAGGTGTTCGCCTCAACAGCACCTGTTCGAATTTCCGGTTGCGATGACCCGCCATGTGAAGTCATCGCTCGGGCTAGTCTCGACAACGGGCGCGGTCCATATTGTCGCTGCTTGCAAGGCAGAGTCCATGCTTTCCAGTCATGTAGACGAACTGTCTCAGATCGCAACAAATCCAGGATGCCACCGCGCGGCGTTCGACCAACACGCTCGAGTCTAGCACGCCCATTCGCATTTCTACCACTGATCTGGGAGGAGCAGGTGTGCCCGTCAAGAGAAACGTCGTGCGCCGCATTCGACCCTTCCTGGGGCAAGCCTTCGAAGGCTGCAGACTCCAAACCTCTGGCGGGCGTACAGCCATTCCCGCCCGCGATACGTCCTGCATTCCTTGAAACCGCCCCGGCAAACATTCTCATAGGGCAAAGCAGTGCGGCAATAGCCACAGCACTTCGAGGCCGTAGCGTGTCGATCTTGTCCAGCACGAAACAGCTGGCGCGAACGCGGCGCATTCCTGGCGCCGAAGCGTAGCAGTTACTAGCGCTGGTGGCGCTGTCGCCACCAGCGTCGCCCATTGCAGCGTCAGGAGCGTGCGCACTATCAAAAACGCTCTCCAGGCTTCTCCTAGTGCAGGCATACTTGCTAGTTCGCGCACCAAGGGCCTTACCTGCACTGCGCCTTGCCCTGTGAGGCAGGAGCAGCCAGCGCGGGAGCCCCGCTGCCGCTTCCGTGAAATCGTATCGCGGCATCATGCGCTGTATACAGGAATGCATACACCTTGATACAGAGCGCACCTGATTGACGCCCCTGAACTTTTACAAGGTTCCTGACTAGATCCTTCGTACCAAGTTGCGTTGGTCCTCTCGCGAAGTGAAACGCACGCCACCTTCTCCTGGACAGGCAAACACGGGCTACTAAACGCGGTTGCGCTTGGTCACCGCAGCGCGCCTCGTTCTACTATCTGCAAACTGGCCCGTAACCGCGAGCCGTTCGCAACGCCGCTCGGGAACCTTGCCCAAATATAGGAGGCTGTTCCTGTACTTGCAACCCTCCCAGAGGTAAACGTCGTGCAGCTACCGCAAAAGCTCGCAGTAAAAAGCGCTCCGCAACTTCCTCTTGCCGAGTTCTGCAAGGGAGCGAAAACGCTCGCAACGGGAAGCGTGCAGACTGCCAAACTCAGTATCTACCTATCTGACGAACGCTGGAAACTGGACGGTTACTCTGTTAATCCTCTGGTGTCGGAGCGACGGTTAACCCCTCTTCAAAGCACTGTGGCCAAGCTAGGGAGGCGGCTTGCTCATCCACAAGTCAGTGATAGAGAATCGTCGGTAGCGCTAGCGCCGATTCACGGATGCCGCTAGAGCGGCGTCACCGTCTGGGTGCAAAAGCTTCCGGGTGTTCTGTTCGACTCCTCGTACGACCAGTGAATGCTACGACAATCACGACTAGAAGCAGGCTTTGCTTCTAGCACTACAGTTTCTGGAAGAGCTACTTTCCCTGGAAAATCATACTGCTGGCGTGGACAAAAGCTGGTGCCTTTGGCAAAGTGCACTGCGCTGTTTCGTTCGCAAACGCAACATTTGCAGAGTAGTGCTAGGCTTCTCCAGGGTTCTGGCCTGCATTGTCGTCGATCGGGTTTCTTTGGGGATGCGAGGTTACGTTTCTGGGATAAGAGTGGCGGGCATCCAGGAGGAACGCACTTGATTGACAGGAGACAGCGATCACCTTCGTACGCACCTAGTTCACGCTACTGGCGAGCATCTGGTTTCCGTAGGTTCCGCAGTCGTGTTTCTATGCATCGCGAGGCAGAGTCTGATCAGGACATTTCTGTGGAGATAGACAGTGCCTCTGGCGACAACGCTGGGAACAACCATGTGGGACAACACGCCCCGGAGCAGGAAGCGTCCGCAAACTCGATGGCCTCTTGGCTCCAGTTTGTACAGAAAAGGCGCTTTCCTGAGCGCCTGCGCATTGTTGTGCTCTGCTTTCTTGCGTTTCTGATCAACAACATCGATCGAATCAACCTATCTGTCGCGATCCTGCCTATGCGACACGAGTTCGGTTGGTCATCAACCACTGTTGGCATTATCCAGTCGGCCTTTTTCTGGGGCTATCTACTGACTCAGTTGCCAGGAGGATACCTCGCCGATCGCTACGGCGGGCGCAGTGTGCTTGCATTTGGGGTCGTCTCTTGGAGTCTCATGACCTTTGTGACGCCCATGGCGGCAAGGTCCAGCTTACCGATCCTGCTGGGCGCCAGAGCGCTGCTCGGCGTCGGTGAGGGTGTCGCCATGCCGGCGATGAATAACCTCGTATCGCGCTGGGTTCCGAATCAGGAGCGCTCTCGAGCGCTCAGTCTCATTTACAGCGGCATGTACATGGGAAGTGTGATCGGGCTGCTGCTCTGCCCGCTGTTGATGCGAAACCTTGGTTGGCAGAGTGTCTTCTACGTGTTCGGGGCACTCGGATTTGTCTGGTATTTTTTGTGGGAACGCTTTACCAGTGGATCATCACCGAAGGAAAGTAAGATCATCGATCCACAGGAGTTAGAGTATCTTCGGAAACAGCTCGGACGTCGCCGAAACAAAGAGACGGTTCCAACAACTGTACCCGCTCGGGCTCGCGTTCCTTGGAAGTTATTGTTGAGTCATCCGGCTACCTGGGCAATTATGATCGGCCACTTTTGCTGTACCTGGGGATATTTTTTGCTTTTGGCGTGGCTTCCTACCTACTTTAATCAGGCACTTGGTTTTGACCTGAATGCATCAGCGTTCTTCAGTATTCTGCCATGGCTGACGATGTTTGTCGGAGCCAACGTAAGCGGGTGGATTGCTGACTATCTGCTGAGCACGAGGAAATTCACAACAACCGCCGTGCGCAAAATGATGCAGACGATCGGTTTCTTGGGACCAGCCTCGTTCCTAGCGCTCGTGTCATCGACTCAGGATCCGTACAGCGCTGTCATCTACATGGCTGCTGCGCTTGGACTGGCATCGTTCTCGCAGTCGGGAATCTACAGTAACCATGGCGATATTGGGCCGCAGTATGCGGGGATCCTGCTCGGCATGAGCAATACGCTGGCCACTGTACCTGGGATCGTAGGTGTGGCGCTCACCGGATGGATCCTCGACGTGACGGCTGGAACCTGGTCCATTGTATTTTACACGGCAATTTTCTTCTATCTGCTTGGCACAGTGGTGTACAACGCGTTTGGGACTGGCGAGCGTGTATTTTAGTGAATCCCAAGAGGAGCATCTTCCGAGATTCGACCAAGATCGCTGGTCGGAAGGAAGCGCGAGCACGCGAGCGGCGTCGTGTGCTCCACCTGGAGCACGAGATGGCGTGGATACCGGCAGGCTCTGTCAGCAGCGCTCAGGATGATTCCCTTGTTGGACAAGTGATCTACAATGTGTCCGATGTGCCTGCACAATCGAGCCCGCTCGGCTCTGGGTTACCTCTCGGGTTTTACGTCTCCTGAGGTCCCATGTGCGATGCTCTGGCGTGTACGGCAAACGCGCTACGAACGTTGGACGATCTTTCATTCGCCCATACTCATGCGCTATTGGCGATGCCGCTGACCAACATGATCATTAGCAGCATGATTGACCTGACGCGATAAATAGCTGTAGTAGCGACGATAACGCCGCTGCGATGTCCCGAGCTGTGCACTCGCGAGTATGGCCGCCTCTGCCATAGCACCGGACAGGTACTTGGCTTGGAATCCTTTTGTTGCTAAAAATGAGAGCACAGATTTCGCCACAAACCAAAGAGAAGCAGCGCTGCACCCGAGCGATTCATGTAATCAAAGTGGGACTGCGTAGATGCCCGGCACGTGCCGTACACATCTGACAACGTGAATGCTGGCAGGCAACTGCGTTTTGCGAAGCTTGAGGGTCGACGGACCTCCGCAGAACCTTTCGGATGCTCGGAAGTTGACGCACGATGGTCCCGGAAAATCACCTAATCAGCGAGCGCATGGCGTGATCATGCGAGGAAGACGTATCACCAAGTAGAGAATTACAATGCAGATGAAGTTATTCTCAGCGCAGGTAGGGTGCTGGCCACAGCGGAGAACGTTCTTGTCCGAAACTCCATCTTTGCATCGTTGTCTCCTCTGAGGAGGAGTGAGGGCATTTGAGAAAGTCGTCGCTGGAACTCAAACAACAGATGTGCACAGGAAGAGCAATGAAGAGGCTCTTTTCCATGCTACTACAGTAAGCGGAATTGACGAAGACTTTTACATGCGAGAGACTAGCTTACTTTCTAAGCGCAAAGGTGTGCGAATCGAACGTGCTCCACGGGCCAGTGCTCCACATGCCCATGTCGATGGAGGTCGAGGCGATGCCCGCACAGCTCGCGTGACGCACAGCTCTTCAAAGACGGTTCAGAAGCGCGGATAGCGCTCAGAATTCGCCCTGCAGGTTGTAGGTTCCCAAGAGGTTATTTCAAGCATGCAGGTCTACCTAAAGTTTTACCTGTACGAGGCGCCGGGGCCCAGGCGCAGTAAGCGTCCTATCTTCGAGTTCGACAATCAACGCCTCGAGCCGTGGCCCATCAAGTCACTGCAGATACCTTCTGACTCGATATCATGACCGCGGCAACGGTAGCGCCGGCGCGTCCAGCGACGCTGCATGCGTCTGAGATAAGCTCGACACATTTAAACGACGCTGGGCTGATTGAACAACTAGGCCTGACAGCGAGACTGGTTTAATGCAGGTGAAACGTAGAAGCGCCCGTTGAGGAACAGTGAATTCTCTGCTGGTTGCCGCCAGGAATCGCACGTCCGGCAGGATTCAGCTTAGATTCCTTGACCTGATACCACAAAAGATGAATCGAAACAGTGATTGTCTGCACTCGCGCTGCATGGTTGCACTCCCACGGAGACACGGTCCCACTGCCAACTGCGTATATCGTCGCTGACGCTTCGCAGAGTTTGCTGCTCGTATGCTTCGTGCGCTATTCCTGAGATAGACTTACGAGTGCGCCGATCAGAGCCAAAGAAGACGCACGGATCAGCCCAGCTCCAACAGAGGTTTGCGGCATGGCTACAACATCCTGACTCTGGAGGGTTCATTCCAGACAAAGGGACGGAGCTAACCGCCTTTACCAATAACTCGTAGCTCATCACTTCCGGTGCGCCGTTCTGAGTCTACCCGTGACCTCACTCGACCGAAGCAGCACAGGGCACCGTGTGCAGAGCCCAGTGAAACTAGTTCCCCTATTCTGAAACCGATTCCGTGGCAATTGGAGACGCAACGATGCGGTACAGTTATCCTAGCCAGATCAAGTCTTCGCTGCACGGATCCGGTGCCTGATCCCGTGCACATAACGGTGCTTGCTCTGAGGCTACAAGGCGCTCCATGGTAGACGGGAAACCTCGTCGGCGTTTTGGTATAAGAACCGTGGGACCAAACAGTTTTCCCTAGGTGCTCAAGGGCTTCTCATTACAGAAGAGAGACCTCGTTACTCAAGCAGACACTTCCACGCTTCGCCAGCACTGTACCGCTCTTCGCCACGAGGAACAAAGGGCAACGTCCCGAAAGACGCTTGCACGTCTATCCCATCTTCTGCTGCAGCGGTCGCGGCGGCGGCGGCGGCGGCGGCGGCGGCGACTTTTTTCGATAGCGGCGCACTGCGCTTTTGTCCCAGTGCTTCTGTGCTCGCTTTGCAAACTCGGTTTGATGCATCGATGTTGGTTGATGCGTTCGTTCGAAACGTGAATCTGGTATGGAGCAAGGATTCAGTACTGCAGACAAATGGTTTGGACGAGAGTCCAGCTATGTGCGTCGATTTTCTACAACAAGCAAGCTTCCGCTGCTTGGAGACAGTTCGAAGCATCGATTTGAAACCGTAAAAACACCATCGAATGCCGAGTGTCGCTTCATGGTTCACAATGCCGATAGCGCGCGAAATCGCTCCGTAGGCCCTGTTTTGGACATGACTTAACGATTCTCATGTCTCACATACATGGTACTTTTGCGATGGGTTTTAAGAAAATCCAAAGAGTCCGCGCGGCCGTCGCTGTCCGGAATTGAGGCAGCAGCATATTGCATGAGATGCCACAATTTAGTGCGCCAACGAGTCCGCATATTGTTGCAACTCCGCCCTGCACTATTGGCACAATAGACTTCTTGCACCAAACCCTTCGCCATTGATGTAACCCAGTAGAGCATTTTAGGCCGTACGAAAGGCCTCATTCACGAAACAGGGGGTACTGGGTGTTGAAGCATCATCAGCTCCATGTATAGAACGGGCAACGCTTTGCAAGAGGCGGCGTATGCCTGATACTTGAGTACCGTCGTCTGGTTTGCCTCTATAACCTTCGACCGCCTTGATCAAGCAGCTGAACGAGATGTGGCACCAGCGAACGCAGTCGCTCGTTTATATGGACGAAACAGCTTCCTTGAGGTACACGCTGATTCCGCCAGCCCAGGACTCAGCATCCATCGACGGGATCCGCAACAAAAGCGTTCGTCAGGCCGTAAACGCAGTGCCGTTCATCAAGCGTCTGCCAGGTGTCCGCCTGCGCACGCATCACCTGGCAAGACGCTGTGTGGATCCGATCGATTCCGGCACCAGTGAAACGGCGAGATTAGATCAAATGGCGATGGCGAGCGCGATGGCGAGCGCGATGGCGCATCGTGCAACAGGTGCATATGCAGGTGTGCGCTATTAGCCAACTCAGACTCAGACACCTTGAATATGAAGCTTATTTTTCGAGTTCAGTTCGCTTCTGTGCCGGGCCAAGATGTCTTTATTAGTGGATCTGGAGATCAGCTTGGAAATCATAGGGCAGATGGTTCGAAAAAGTTGCGGTACACCCCGACAGCGTGGGAGATCGAGCTTGACGACTTCGCTATGGGAACAACGCTGCAATACCGCTACTTCGTGAAAGACGGTACAACAGGGAAGATCTCATGGGAACGTGGAAAGCCAAGAACGTTGATCTTGCCTAAAGATGTGCAGGTACTCGTATGTGATGATGGCCCGTTTCGACAGGAGCCGAACGTTGAGGAGGAGGTGTTCCATACCACTGCGTTTCGTGACGTGATCTACGGTCGCCATGTTGCCGCAGCGTCGCAGAACGACGCGACGGATGGAAAATCGAAGAGAGGCCCCGCACCAGGGAGCGGGCGCGACTTGCTCCTTTTTCAGACACTGCAGGTTCGGGTTTGCCCTTCGGAAGAGGTCTACATTCGTTTCTTTGTTGACAGGTCTGACGCCGCCACCGCCGCCGCATCAAACATTCGCAAGATTGTTGAAGACGGGACCGAAAAAAGCATCGAACAGCGCCTATCGGCGGATCGCTTTCCATTGTGGAGCTTGGTCATGCCGTTAGATGAGCTTCTTCCGGATCGCAACCAGGAACAGATGCTTAAGTACGAGCTCTTCGTTCGCAACAGCGCGAATGGCTCCACCACTGCGAGCTCTAAAGATGATCAGCGGCATCTAAGGATACCACCGAAAGATGTATCCGTGCATTACACGGACTATAGAGCGATAGATGACCCCGAGAAGAGCGCTCGATTCGCAGGTTTCGCAATCCCAGTGTTTTCGATCCTAAGCGAAAACTCATGCGGAGTAGGCGAGCTGCTGGACCTTGAACAAATGATCGATCTCGCTGTGCAAATGAAGATGTCACTGATTCAGCTGCTCCCGCTCAACGATACATCAGTGACAGGCACTTGGAGAGATAGCTATCCCTACTCTTGCCTCTCGGTGCACGCTTTGCACCCGTTATACCTGAATTTAGACGAGCTCAACCCACCCAGTGAAATCAGTAGGGAAATTAAGGAGGCGCGCACTCGATTGAACCAGCTTGAGGCCATCGACTACGAGGCCGTCATGAATACAAAGATGGCGATTTTGCGACGTATGTATGCCAATGATAAGCAGCGCATTCTTCGAGACCCTGCTTTCCTGAAATTCTTCAACGAAAATCAAGAATGGTTAGTGCCATACGCAGCGAGCCGATTTCTGGCCAAAGTGAACGGAACCGCAAATTTTGATCAGTGGGGCGCTCGTCGCCGAGTTACGGTGGCAGATCTTGAGGGACTCGCGTCACCAGATACGTTCTTCTTCGACGAGCTTGCGCTGCATTACTACATCCAGTTCCATCTGTATCGACAACTAGCCCGTGTGGGCGCCTACGCCGCCAAGCATCGGGTAATCCTGAAAGGCGACCTCCCAATCGGCGTGCATCGCTTCAGCGTTGATGCTTGGATGAATCAAGATCAGTTCTACTTGGATCGCCAGACTGGGGCACCTCCGGATCAGTTTGCCGAGTTTGGCCAGAACTGGGGATTTCCCACCTACAACTGGGAGCGTATGGCCCTTGATGGATACCGTTGGTGGCGAGGCCGCTTGAGATCCATGGAAAAAGTCTTCCACGCCTATCGCATCGACCACATTCTCGGTTTCTTTCGCATCTGGGAAATTCCTGGCGAGGCAATGTCGGGTCTTAGTGGCCGTTTTCGACCGGTAAATCCTATCCGGCGTAGTGAACTAGAGAGTCGCGGTATCTGGGATATCGAACGCCTCTGCGAACCGTATATTAGCGAGACGCAACTTCGTCGTGTATTCGGAGATCAGAAGTGGAGCTTTGTTCGTGACTTCTTCTTTGAACCGTGGTACAATCGCTATCGTTTCCGACCGAAATACAGCACCGAGGCCAGATTGGAAGCATTTTTCGCGAAAGAGGAGGAAGTGAGCAAGTTCTGCGCTCAGTCAGGAATCGACGCGGAATACTTGAAACTGGAGCTTTTCCGGTTTGTGAACAATGTAATTCTGCTCCGAGACTTAGACGAGCCCGACGATGCCTTCCATCCGCGTATAGAGTTTTGGCGTGCGCCCACGTACTGGGAATTGAACGGCGATTGGCAACACAAACTGCGACAACTCTATGATGACTACTTTTTCCGGCGACAGGAGGTGCTGTGGCGTGACAAGGCCATGGAGAAACTTCCGATGTTGAAAGCGGCCAGCGATATGCTGGTATGCGGCGAAGACCTTGGAATGCTCCCATCCTGCGTTTTCGAAGTGCTCGGAAGCCTCTGTATCATCGGATTACGGGTGCAGCGAATGCCAGAAAACGCTGAGTTTGGAGACTGCTCAAAGTACCCGTATTTGACCGTGGCGACCCCAGGCTCACATGATACAAGCACGCTGCGCGGTTGGTGGGAGGAGATCCCCTCGGAGAAGCGTCAACGCTTTTGGAAGAATGTTATGAAGCGAGAAGACGAAGCGCCCTCAGAGTGTACCCCAGAAACCGTGGAATGGATGATCCGCGATCATTTGCACGCACCGAGCATTCTGGCGATTTTTCCGCTTCAAGACTTGCTGGGTATGGACGCTAAGTTGCGTCGACCAGTCGCTTCAGAGGAACAGATTAACGTGCCCGCGAATCCGAATCATTACTGGCGCTTCCGCCTCCATTTATCTACCGGGAAGTTGGCACAAAGTCAAAAATGGTTGCAAAAAATAGCCTCCATGGTGACGGAAAGCAATCGACAGCGCCCACAGTAAGCTTGGCAGCTCCACCCATGGTTGGTCCGGAAAAGCAACGCGGAATGGCCCTATCATAAAATCAGCTATGCGTAAATGAGCAGTAAACTCGTTCGATATGCTTTGCTATTGGAATATCTGACATGAATCCGGTTTCCGGACGAAGATGAATCGAGGACAGTGGAGCGCAGCAAACTTGTCGGGTATGACTCTCAAGTGGAATATCTGGCCTGCACCTTGTTCTCAGAGGAGCATCCATCTCATCGAGATCAGGACAGCTCTCTCGGTACACTGTATGTGTCTTGTTACCCAACCCGACCGCTAATGCAGCATCCAGCGACAGGTGCCGCGAGCAAGACATTCCGCAAACTGCCAGTACCGCGCACTACGCCAGACAGTTGCCAATTTGCATCCCAGCACGGATGTTTTAGACTGTGGGATCGTACTATGAAACAAGTGCCCCCGGGCGCGCTATCCTCTGCCCCACAGCGTGCATGCATCAGATCCGAGAAGCGCACTCGCACCCATCTGTCGATACACGCACGCATGCACGGACGCACGCACATGCATCCAAATGCGTCTCGAGCTGTGACGTGTCCATGCGCACGTGCCATGATTTAGAGTTCCTCCGTTCGAGATTCAAGAAAGTCTCTTCGGAGACGCTGGTGCGGGATATGCACATGCCAGGTTCACTCACTGGCTGAGTGCATCGACGGATAGCATGATGTTATGGCCAGCGACGATCAGGGTATCCCAGTACGGCTACAGAGGCACGAACGACGCCGAATTTCATATGCTCGGTGATATCCAGCAAGCCGGCTGCGTCGTCTGTAAATTACTCGGGGCCGGTGTCACTGAACAGAGCCCCAGTGCGGCGCGAGCAGCTGCAGAGGCGGCGGCGGCGGCGGCGGCGACCGCTATACCGACCTTTTATCTGGTCAAAACCATGACATGAGCAACAAGCATGAAGAACCACAACGCAGCGAAAAGCGTTCACGACAGTTTTCAGCACCAGACAGTGAACGAAGCATCGGTTCTCTCGGCGCTCGCGTACGCTAGATACTGACACTGGAAACAACCTCCATGATTCGCTCAAATGCGCTCACAGCCTAGCCGATGAGGACAGATGTACGAACGCTTCCGCCGTCCATCTGGCCCAACGCTGATGCCTGGCCACGCGCGCCACCTTTACCGATCGAGGTATCGCGGTTTTGCATCTGGGAATGCTCGGCTCAGCGCTGGAGAAACGCCAGCGTTCTACAGGATCTTGAGATTACCAATCCGTTGCGAAAGCGTCAGCATCCTGCATTTGTTTCAATGTATCAGCGACTCCATCTATCTGCTTCGCTTTGGAATGTGATGGTCGTGTGCCCGGAATCGACAAGTCAGGTGCCTCGTGAGCAGGCTCGACCACTAGTTCGCGCCGTGTTCGCCTGAACACGAGCAAATCAACTTCAAGCGGTGATTTCTCCTGGTCATCGACAATGAACGGAGTCATCGGTTTCAACGACGACGGCACCACAGCCATTTTCAACGGATGAATGAGGCCATCGAAAGCGCCAAGCCCGAGCTCAGCAACTCCCTTGCCTCCGAACGTATTGACATCGATCACAGCGTCTAGCAGGTGGAGCAACGATGGATTCAAGGCCCACTGACGGGACAGCGTCATAACCGCAACCGTCATAGACTTGCGGCATCGCTGTCGGAGGATATATAGGAACCGCCAAAGGCGACTCAACGCCGTCTCTTCACTGAGACCCCCTATCATTTGCGAGCAAACCCAGTGGTGCGGTGACTGTAGCGCCAGTCGTCGGCACTGCTGTGATGCAGGGGCTGCAGCGAACTCCAGGGCCCCTTCCAGCGATTGGTACAATCGAAGCGCAGCCGAACTTCGCAAAAGCTCTCGCGGGTTAACTTGGAGCGACAGATCGAGGCGGGCACGCTCTGCTCTTCTCTTGCTAGCGGACCCGACTTTATTCGCGTACCGCCAGGCTATTCGCAAGTCCGCTTCAGGTGCCGCAGAGGAAGCGCTCGCTGCTGCGCTGGATGAAGGGCCCGCCACCGGGCTCGCTGGCACCCCTTCAACGAGTGCACCCGGCACCAAACCCAGGCTGTGTTCGTGCGCTAGTCCCTCTGCGATAAAAACACTTAGGAACGTCCGAGCGTGTAGGCCAGGTTCATCTTCGACGAGCGCGGTAACCGTTCCCAGCGGCAGCGCCACATCGTAGACAGCGTGGTTGTCTCTTTGGCACCGGTGCAGGCCAAGACGAGTGACGGGCCAGTGAACCGTAGCAGCCATGGTGACCCCAGCACCGAGGCGTTCAGCAGGCTGTGCGCCTGACCCTCGTGTGGTCAGTCGAATGAAACTCATTTAAATCAGCATTCGTGGGCGCAAGTGAGGGCAACTTTCTTGAAAACTGAGGTTCTCGACTTGTTCCGGTCGACTGGTGAAGAGCCCGTAATCGAGACGGATAAAGAAAAGACTTTATTGAATCGAATTCGATTTTGCAAACGCTGCGAATCCTTGTGCTGATCATACATCGAAGACGGCATCAAATGGTACGGGCCATCCAGCAAGGGCGTACATTCTAAAGTTTCGCTCTCTGTAACCCATTATCCACAATAGCATTTGCAGGGTTTTTTCTAACTCGTTTCCCACGTAGAATCCACTGGTCTCGCCTGCTCCTCCAGCTTCGTCACCATCACTCGACAGATGTTGATGGCACCAAGATCGTGCCTGCTACGCTGGCTCAGGTTTCGTCAACGCTTTCCATGCAAAAGGCGCAGGGTATCATCTAAGCTCCGCTTACCATTCGGATCTCCTTCGCGCGCAACCTCGGTACACCCTCTACGGCGGTGGCACATCACTTCGGTCATGTTTTCAAGCACGTGCATCAACTCGCCGCCGCGGAAGGCTGCTCTATGGCGCGTTGACGCCTGCTTCATCGCTTGGTTCATGCTCTGGACGAGTGCAGAAGGCATCGCTTGATGCGCGCCCCCGTCTTGGTGCTCGGTGCAGTACCATACGAGCATCCGCCTCTTCTGGGCGATACGCTCGGCGAGTACATTGTCCGTTGCACGCCCAAACGCAGGCGGCTCTATTGGATCGAGGATCTGTGAAACGTCAGCTTTTCCTTGATGAACCTATTACCTTGCAGAGAATCGAGGCTCAAACACACGCCGAGAAATTTCGTTGCGTCTACACTCTCATCGGGCAAAACGGTGATACACGCCCCCGCAGGAAACGATCGCTGCGATGGCTCAAGTCCGAGTCCAAGAACCTGCTCGATCCCCAGAGAAGAGACGTGAGCCTCTGGGAGCAAATCCCATGTGAGAAATCATGCTGCTGCCGAATGCCATTCCATTTATATCCATACAGATATCATGACAGATAATCCAACGACTAGGTGTGAATCCGTAAGCCGTTGTTGCTGCTGCACTTCGAATGTCAAGGCTCTAGACCTGAAATAAGGTTTGGAAAATCTCCATGCAGGAACAGAACCAGCATCCCAGTGTTCCCTGTTTCGAGCACATTCTATCGTCGCCTTTGGAGTATTCCGCTCGACAAGTGCTGGTGCCTTGCGAGCAGGCGCTGCTCGCCGCATTGGACACAGACACGCCTAGCGTTGCTTGCTGACGTCACTGCTTCTGCTGCTGCAACTTGCGAACCGGGCAGCTGGAAGTACGCAAACTCGCCAACGACGAGAGGCGCTCTAGTGTTGGAAGCTCCGTGCACTGCAGAGCGCGATTGTCGCTTGCCACCCAGAACGCTTTTTCGGTAGCTGCGACGGCAGTAGCAGCAGCTGCTACTTCTGCCAAAAACCGCCGCCGGTTCGCAGCCACGCCATCGTTGCTGTGAACGGGTGTCGCTTTCGAGGTTGCTCGTGAAACTTGGGTACCGTTGGAAGGCGCGGGGTCTTTGGCATTGGACCTCACTGGAAGTGAAACGCGTTCTGGGTGTCGATTACCTAAAAACAAGAGGCCCGGAACCAGAGGCGTCCCTGCGTATCGGCTGTACGCGACGGACGTCCGATACCAGTTTTCAGCGCTTATACGTAGCGGACGGAGGGGACGCGTCTCAAAAGTCTTCTACTCGAAAGGAGCATAGATTTAACGTTCCGTTCCCTGCTAGACAGAACTGAGCGACTACCTTGTTTTTCTCGTTTTACGGGAGTACGCATCCCAGGCCGCTTTGCCCCCTTGATTGAATCGAAACTTTCCTTGAAGACTGATACTGTGGCACGTGAGAAACTAGAGAACGGTTCTTCGGACCAGAGGAAACTCGTTCGAAGCCACCTGGGTCGATTCATTCCCAGGTATCACTCGTGCGCCAAAATGTCAACACAGGAGCTTTTTGTTTATCATCCAAACATGGAACCTTCTCCGAGGCTGGGCTCCACATTCCGCTGTTCGGTTGTTCTTCAGTTCATGGAGCCCGTATGCACATGTCTACAAAGCAGATACTGCAGCACCGCTGGGCGCATGCAACGGAGCAGACTACAAGGAGCCTGTGGCGTGCGCTTCAGCCGCGCGAGGCCGCTGTTGCGGATGCAGGCCGCAAAAGGTTTCGGTCGAGATGCATCCAAAGAACCTGGGTACCTGTCACCAGAGGAAGTTCGCGAAGCAATTCGGTTTCTAGTGAATTCGGCCGCGGATCCAGCGGCAGCGACTCTTCGACAAAGATTGCGTCGCCAGCTTCGGAAACAGTACGGGCCAGTGATCCAGTGTGGTGCCTGCCACGGTAAGCGCCGGAGCGTTTGTCTCATGTGCAACGGCTCCTGCAAAATGAAAGGTTTCCTGGGCGACGAGGTACCGTGCTATCCGTGCCAAGGCACTGGGCTTGGGCGGCCTTGCCGCGAATGTAACGGCATGGGTTTCTTCAGTTTATAAAACAGTTGCTTAGACAGCGTGCCGGAGCTAGTTATGCCCTAAATCGTATCGCCATGCGTGCAGTATGCGAATCTGTGTAAGAAAAGAATGCAGTGTGCTCATTCATAGAGATTTCTGGATATTTCTGGACGTTATTCGTTCGCTTTTTAGGCACGCATTCCATGGCGAGCGGCCAGGGAAAATGCCGTGATCGTACGCAGCCTGCAGCGTTCACGATGGGCGCCACAGGTCTTAATGCGGAGCCCGCGCTTTCCAACACGTGACGCGCAGGAAGCAAAGCACAAGGCGCAGAACGCCTCGCCATAGCACCTCGGAAACATGCGCTGCTCCAAATGTTACAGGGACGCTCATAAGAAATATTGCGACCCATCACGTTTGCTGATTTACCTGGAACGAAAAAAGCATGCCACGAATGGAGACAATATGGCGTGGCAACTGTCCTGCATCGGGTGCTTGGTAGATATCGCCTAAGAGGCATATATGATCGATGAATAAAGTCAATCTTTTTCGAGCAGGTGGCGATACGCCAATACGATCCTCACCAGTCGGCAACTCGTGCAGCACCGAAACCTCCAGGCTGTTTTTATTAACTCGATACAGTGCTCTGGACGCAAAACGAGCATTTACTGAAACGATATACCGAGTTCGCCAAGGAAGCCATGCTTCTTTTTTGTATTCAGAGGCATACCACGCGGCGACGACGTGAATACCTTCCGAATGCGATAAGTAGCGGGCCTTGGTGCACGGTGTAGCTCGAAAGGCTTAACTCTGACGTAAGCTTTCGCTGCGCTCGAGTAAACCAGAATGATTTCCGGAATGAAGCGCTGGAGCTCCATTTCCAGATACGACGCCATGGAAGTCGCGCAGTTCGGAAAAAGCCCAAACCAACTGCATCCAGAGAGGAACACAGAGACGTTTTAGAACTCATACTCTAAAGCATCACGCACGAAATGTTCCTAAAGGAAATCCTAACACCTAAGTTTGCGGTGAAAGCAAAGCCCTAAACATCTCAACCCCCAAAGCGCCGCTCGCTGAATAACGCGCCAGCAGCGATTTCAATGAGACGGGCGTCGCCAAAGCATGGCTGCATAGCCTCCATCCCGTCCAGCGGCATCCGTGTAGGTCAGGTGATCCCAAACAAGTTCAAAGTCACGGTGATTTTCGAGAACTGACCGCACAAGATCGCGTCCTTCCGCATGCAAAACTGAGCAAGTCATGTAGAACACCGCAGAGCGAGATAGAAGGCACGCCCGATTCAAAAGACTCGCCTGGAGCGAAACCAAGCGTGGTACCGAAGACGCAAAATGCTGCTCGTCGAGTCTCCAACGGGCTTCAGGTCGCCGATTCAAGACCCCCGAATTCGTACACGGTACGTCCGCGATCACAAGGTCGAAACACGGACTGACAGCGCGCTCGTCTTCACTGCGCAAGATGTTGCCCGCTCTGCAATCAACAAAGGACTCGCCACGGGCAACGCCGACAAAAACGCGACTTTCGCGCATACCCGGCGTCTTGTCGACATTCTCGTGGACCATATGAATGCGTTGATCGCTCAGATCAATGCCTATGTATTCAGTCTGCGCGTCGCCGAGGTCGCTATACTGCAGGTACTCAAAAACTGCTGTAAGCTTGCCTCCAGGTGCGGTGCAGAGGTCCAGGACCCGCGCGATCCGTCTTTCCTTGTCCCAGCGTTGGCGTAACTGTTCGCAGAGAAGAAACGTATGCTCTGCTTGTGTTACGTTTTGAGCTATAAAGTGCTGCAGCAGTCTTTGAAAAAGGCTTCTCGTGAGGACATTGGCCGGATCATCTGCCCAGCCCGTACCATTTGCGCTCGGCAATGTGAGCGGTAAGGCCGCACCTGGATCTTCTCCAGCGCACTGCAAGTCGACGCGGTAAATGATCCACGGTCTACTCACTGTTTCCGTTGAATCTTGGTCCGACCAAGGGACCAATAAGCGCCTTTCAATGGCCATTTTCAAATCTTCATGCTGGGCATGCTGGCGGGGAACGCGCAGAAAAGTTTGCGGGGTCATGTTTCCGGCCTCCAGGAAGGCCACCAGGCGTTTCCGATTCAAAAGCTGGCCAAAAACTCGGCTCGCAAACACTGCGGGATAGGAGTAGCGCACATCGAGGGCGTCGGCGGGAAACGGAAGCGGCCGCACGATGTAGGATGCTGGACGGCGGCTTTCCAAGTCGGCAGCGTACTTCTCTCCGTACCGAACTAGATTGCGCAAAATTGCATTGGCGAATGCAGCGAAGCGTTGCCCAAAATAAGTCTTCGCTATCTCCACTGTACTAAAAACAATCGTGTAGACGGGAACACGTTCCATGAAAGCGTACTGTGCCAGGGCCGTGTGCAGTAGTGCACGTTGCGCTATTGATAGGTGCATGCCCTCCGACTTGATGCGGTGCGGCTCTTGGTCGATGGCGCTCCGATCGCGAACGATGTTGGTCTGCAGCACATAGTCAAAGAGCGCCCGTTGTCGAACTGCATTAAAAGCGATAATCTTCGCCAGTGCGTATTCTACGCGACTGGGCTTGTGCTTTTCGCTCCAAAGCGCTAGCTGCGTCAGAAGGTACCTGTTACTGAGAGCGCCTCCAACGCCGCCGCTCCCTTGGCTTGGCCTCCCGTCGAGCGCATCACTGCCGTCCACGTCTTCGGCGACATCATGACCCTGAGTCAGAGAACACTCGACCGCCAAGAACGCAGCCTCCCGTGCCGATAGTGCTTCCCATACTTGCCTCGGCCGTGGACCCGATGCTGGCGGAATACCCGTCCCCGCGCTGGTCTTGCGCGAGTTCGTTGCCACAAGAGGCGCGAGTCTTTTCTTCCGTGTCCTAAACGACGGCGTCCAAACGCTTCGCGGTCTCGCCGTCGTCGAGCTCGGCTTTTTTACAGAAAGCACTCGTGCAACTGGCGTTGCAGCAAACCCCATCGGATTCCAGCAGTGCTCAGCGACTGCTGTGCCTTTCAAACAACCGATTACACACACACCAACAACAAACGCCGTTCTAAGTCGAACGACGGCAGCGGTGTACAGTAGTGGCGACCGAGCCGCCCTAGACAAGACGTCTCCAACCGAGGTGCAGACGCCTCCCAGTCTTTTTGGACCGGCCACCTACTACTGCTTCCATCTTTTTCTCATATGGTTCCACCTTGAGTGATTGTCCAACAAGATACCCTCTTGTCTACTCTGGAGGTCTGTTCTCCAGCACCGCACATCTCCTTATATTCATAGCGGCGTTAAAGTCTCGGTTCACAAACTCTTTCCGGTTCTTACCATCACTGGTTGTACTTACTGATGCAAGCAGGCCCTCGAACATTCGCTCTCCTTTCCATTTGCTCTTCTGTGAGCGGTCCGTACTTTTTTATAGCCTCGGGGCTCCGCTGGCACTTTTCCATCTCCACCCTCTGAAGTGTACAACCCAGTTCATGGTGTGTATACGATGTCCGGAACTCATCTACAGGTATCGTAACGAGACGCCTTGCGCACTCCTTGTACGCTCTCGTCGTTGGAGCTGGTGTACACCCTTTTTGGGTCTTCCAGTGCCCTGCTCCGTACGCTACTACGAGCCTCTGATTTTCATCCTCCTTCAGGGCACTCAACTCATTGAAAAATTCGCGAACGCCCGCTGCTTCCCACAATACGAATTCATTCGCAAACGAGGCGACCGGGGCTTTGTATACTCCTCCTACAGCGCATCCCAATGAGCAACGCGAACATCCATGAACTCCCGAAAAGCTTCAAAGTCTGCTCCTCGGCTCGTCACCTCGCTCAAAGCTTCCAGGTGATCCTTCATTCCTGAATTCCACTTCTCAGTTTTCTTCCTCGCATTCATGATTCCAGATTCTCAATAGTATCTCGCTCTCGAGAACCTTAAAGGACGCATGTCTTTCTGACGTAAGTTGCCGTCAGCACCATCTTCCGCAAGCTTCGGTGCTGCGATGGTTATGATATTTGTGTTTCCGGAGTCCGCGCCAGCGACGAAGTCGTTATCCTGCACTTCCTGCGTCGCAGGATCCGCCCCCTTCTCATCTTCATGCTTCGCTGAGGGCAGGACTGGACGATCTCTCTTCAACCGCCGATAGTGTATACACATGTCTACTCCATTGGTTTCGATCATCTCAGTGAATACCTTTTGCTTGCTGGCTTTGAGACGCTTGAAGTCGAAGATATTCTTCCAGTACGTCTCCCGGTTTTCACCGTTGAAGTCCTCCCTGCTAACATTGAACTCCGGACTGATCTCCCTCATGATGCCATGAAGGACGCTGGAGTCGATAGTCACAAAATGTGACTTGATGTTGCACACTGGAACCATGTTGAAGCGCTTCCCCATTAGGAAAGCCTTCCGTCTCTCCCACTCTTCATTTTTTCCTCGCTCAGCTTCATCTCCGCCTTGCGTTCGAATTCTCGATCCAAAAACACGAAATCGCGCAGGATGAGGCGATAGTATGTCTCCGTATCTTTTTTCAACTCTGATAGCTTGTCTGCTGGATTCGCCAGCCCAAAACTGCGCGGTGCTCTTGTATAACCGCACGGATTACAGAAGCTTCATTTGTGCTCTCATTAGATGCCTTCTTATCGACAAATTCGACCTCATCTTCACGCTTGCGATCTCTCGTGATGCCACTGATAATCGTCCATTTTCCATTGCGAGATTGGCCCGGGTAGAGTGCAAACACTGCGCGTGTCATGAAACGTTCGAGGTTCGTTGTCAAACGGTTCTTCAGATTCGTGAGGTACTTCATCGCCCCATAGTCGTAAATATCCGAGTCACCCCCGTCTCTGGTACCCTCGAAGCAGAATTCCGCGAAGTTTTCGTTGAGGGCATGCACAAGCTCATTTTCCTTCTGCGCTTTTTCTGTACCAAGCATCAGGTATCGAATAAGGGTCATGTCGAACGACTCGTCCGGCATCTCGACTGTTTCCATGTGCGTCACGTCGCGATACGTCTCCCTGGCCAAATGCATCGGTCCTGACGACGCCTTGACAATACTCTTGGAGTACGAGTCGACAAGTTTTCCGATAGCGTCTCGCAACTTTTCCCTGCAGGGATCCTTGATATGTCCAAGAAGAAAGGCTTTCACCGCCTTCTCGTCGTGCAGTTGCCTTTCTTGCGGCCTTCGACGTAGGGTATCCCCCTTTCGGTTCTTCTTCTCTTCCTTTTCTTCTGGACTTGGCACTGTTTTTCTGTTTTTTTTCTGGCAGCCGGCGAAACTGGGCTTCCAGGATCGTCGACTTGCTTTTCATAGCTTTCCTTTTTATTTTTTCGAAAAAGAACGCTCTTCGAACGCTTTTGTTATATACTGCGAAAAAACTCTGGACTAGACTTGTTTGAGGTTTGAAGCACAAATGAAATGAAAAACTGCTTTTTTGTAAAACTCCAACGGAAATCCAACTTGTTCCGGTAGAACACGCACCTGATCAGGATCGCTTTTCTCTTCAACGGCGACATGCGCGTCTTGTCAGTTGACTGCCCGATCTCCCTGATGCGCTCACCGAGCGGGATTCTTTTTTCATTGACAAGACGTTTACTTAGGCCAGCGTTCTCCGACTGTGCGCTTTTTCTTTTCTTTCTTTTTTATTTGTTTTTCAGTGCGCTTTGAAGTATCCATCAAACACCCTACTCCCAAGTCACATTACCGAAACTTCTTCTCGGATTTTCTGGTCGTTTCATGCGTTCTATCGCACACCTAATGCCTGCCCTAGTCATCCGCAATAGCGTCTTTACCTTCGGTACAGTTGCGTCACGGAGACAGAACGGCGTTGCCGTACCACATAGGGCATCCGTTCGAACTGGGGTACGGATCATACGTGGATCGCGGCGAACGGGGTTGTGTCCGGGGTTCTTGTGCGTCGCTCGAATGTGCGTTTCCTCCAATGCCCTGTAGCTGCTGGTTCAGAAGCATTCGGTTCTGGTCTTTGAATTCAGCTCCGAATTTGGATTACATGAGAGAGCGTCAATTTTCGTTTAGGTCATCCCTATTTTCAGTTTCGGTGCGGACGCGTGCACGAACGTCACGCTTTCCAACGACTGCATCGAGCCCCGAGCCGTTGGGAACGATCCCAACACGACGAGCTCCGCCGCTCGAGAATACATTGGAAACGTTTTCAAATGCACTGCATCCACATGGAACACGAGCCGCAGTCGAAGCGTGTCCCTGCTCTGTGCCCAAGAGTGCACTGATCTAGGGCAACTCCAGTGTTCAATGTACCGTTTTCAAATGCGCTGCATCCACATGGAACACGAGCCGCAGTCGAAGCGTGTCCCTGCTCTGTGCCCAAGAGTGCACTGATCTAGGGCAACTCCAATGCTCAATGTACCGTTTTCAAATGCACTGCAAGCGCCAGAGTACTGCAGCGCAGGTGCGACGATGGCGAACCGGACACCAAATGAAACCTTGGACGCACTTGCGCTCCAACGACACATACCCGTTCTTATGCGAGCTATCTACTGCGCTGTTGGGAGATACAGTGCTGTTCGGGGCTCAGCAAAGTCAAGCAATCTTTTACCACCAGGAGCCGAACTGTTAGTGGCGTCTGGGCTCTAGGGGGCGAACAGTTGAACCGGCTCGAGCCGCTCGTACCAGCGAGGTCAAAGACTTGGGGGTGTCGTGGTGGGCACCTCGCCCGACGAGCCGCTACCGCTTAGGTCTGGTTGCGTCGAAGCGGCACGTTTGCAGATAGAAGCACCATCGAACGTGGTTCGAGTCGACCCCGACCGTCAGTCTGCCCAGGTAGCGCTGAGCGGAACGTTGAACGCAGAGCCTCGAGAGGCGTGCCTCGGCTTTCTCGCCCAAACCTGGCGATATCGCACAGCGACAGCTTCGAAATCCACATGGTTCGTGTCTTCCCGCTTTCGTAATGCCCTGCCACAGCCAAGCCGGACTGCACCAAATCGGGGCTTGAAGCGGCGTACTGTGCCAGTAGCGCGTGCCACGCCATGCGAGCGCTCTCCTGCACACGCGGACAGTGGTGGTACCGCGTACCCTCGGGTGGGAGCGCCACAACCAGCGAATCGCCCAGAATGGTTTCGAGTGCCTGCTGTTGCAGCACTCCGTCCGGACTCACGCTTTCTTCGTCTGCGGGAGAGTCTCCGAGCGAGAAAACTGTCCACAGTTTGCGAGGAGGCCCAATGCCCCAATATTGGGGAATGTTGGAACGGGGAGCACGCCGCCGCTACCATCGTGCTGCTCGGAGATACTTGCACTCGAGGATGCCGATTCTGTGCTGTGAAAACTGCAGCTCGACCAGGACCACCAGATCCTGAGGAGCCCATGAATGTGGCTGCAGAGGTTGCGAGTTGGGATATTGACGACGTTGTTCTCACAAGCGTCGATCGTGATGATTTACCGGATGGGGGCGCAGCGGACTTTGCGCGCACGGTCCAGTATTTGAAGCAGTTGCGTCCACAGTCTACTAGGGTTTCTTCTGATCAGGATGCACAACAGATGCCTCCGACGAACCGGCCACTCTTCGTGGAGTGTCTCGTTTCCGACTTTGCCGGGCAACGGCTGCTGCCGCTGCTGCAGCATTCAGGCGCGCACAGTGCGACTGAGGCCCTGGCATACGTGAGATGAGCATCCGCGCTTTGGTTGGAGATTTTGGTTTGATTTACATAGTTTTGTTTGTGAATCTGGATAGCATTACGGCGGCAGCCGGCGAGCGTTGCACGGACACCCAAAAGCATGGACATGCAGATCAAGAGAAGGAACAGGTTGTAATATGGCGCACACACAAGCCCTGATGTTTCGAATCGATGTGGAGGGTTTCTCGAATGGAGGCCCATTGTACCCGTCCAGGATGTGATGCGGGTCGCAAGTCATGAACTCTTCGCAGGGCTGAAGGCGCGATGCTCTGGAATCCTCGAACGGTGGTGCAGACCAGTTTGGAACGGACGGGAAGTTTGCGTTCGCGACGCCTGATAGTACCGGTTTTTCTGGTGACGATGAAGCGTGCGCTCTTCGACGCTTCAGTGTGTGTTTCTACAAAAGAGACAAGCATTGTGCTCGATGCAAGCCTCGAGTTTTGATGACAAGTTCACTTGAGGAGCATGCAACGTCTGGAATCATTCGCTTTAGAGCGCGATTCGTCCTGAAACTGATGGGATATATAAACCCCAACACAGAGAGCTTTCCAACAGCGATGAATTATTTATGCTAACGTTTCACTCCAGTTGAAACCGCGAACCTGTCAAACGCGCTCTTCTGTTGTGTATGCGCTACCCCTGGTGCTCATGATCCGACGGCGGATACTTCTGGCGCAGGCGCAGGCGCAGGCGCAGACGGTTTCGACACCACCGGTTGCGCTGCCATCTCAGACGAGCCCTTGGCGGCGGACTCCTCTAAGTGCATCGCAACCCGACCACGTCTCCAGTCGAAATCGCTGCTGAATGCCTGTCCTGGAGCAGCGTCCGGGCCGCGAGGGTTCACTTCTGCAACCGTTATCACAGAGTTCAAGTAGAGCGGCAAGTTCCTCGCGCTTCGGATCACCTTATCCCGGTTTCCAATCCGCGCTGCCTGGTAGATCTCGTCTGCAGTGGCGAAAAGCCGATCAACAACACGATCCATCTCAGGCTCTCGTACTCGGTCGCCCCGAACTGCACCTTTCAGAAGCAAGAACGCGTTCCGCTCCGCGTAGAGCGCCCCAAAACCGTCCAGAGACTCCAGTTCTTTCCGTTCCTTTTTTGATATTTTCTTCGGGTTTGCAGTCAGAGCCGCGACGAGTTCCAGGTTCCCAGCGTTCGCCGCCTGCTCTATCCTGTCTATAATAGCCTGCGTCGCAAGCACCCGTGGACCGTACTGGCCACGGGCGCGTTCTCGAGTTGCCCGCGAGACAGCACCGTCAGCCCAGCTCGGTGAAGCCCGTGCCAAGACAATCCCAGTAACGCCAGCAGCAAAAGCAGCTAAAAACGCCCGCCTCGAAACAGGCGGCATTACCATAAGCGTTCCGAGCGGTGAGCGCGATCGCGCTTCGCAAAAGCGGCGACGATGCAGGGCGCGACCCAGAAAGCGACCTGTTTGCAGTGACGCGGCGTTGACGTTCACAAAAACCATTGCCAGTGCCTTAACTACTCAACACCAGTACTACTCCTGAAGCTAAAGTTTCTAGCTGTGTACTATAGTGCACAACGATAAGACTTGCGGTTCGTCGTGCTGCTAAGCGACAAACCTCGAGCTGCAATCCCAAAACGGCAGGCAATCTGCGTGCCTGCCTCAGGTGCAGCACACATGCCGCTTGCGGATCCGAGCGATCCGAGGAGCGCGCGCCGTCGGGAGCTCACGCATGGACGGCGTCCGTGCGCATGTCCCGCTCTGCCAGCCACCTGCTGCTGCTGCTGCTGCAGTCAAGGGTTCGCGAGGCACGGAGCGCTGCGATCCCGTCGGGATCGCGCGTGCCGCACCTGGGACAGGATTGTCTCGTTTTTCTGTAGAAGCATAGGCAGGCGACGCTGCAGGCGTCTCCATCGCCCACGAGGGATGCAGCCACTCTGGATTTGTGTAGGCTCTATATTCACGACAGGCACGATGCGCAGGAGTTGGTGAATCTTCTATGTGTGTGTGTGTCCGCGTACGTAATCGTGTTTGGAGAGACTGTGCGCTATATTATGTTCTGTAATCATATTCGCGCGTCTGGGGGCATTGGATAAACTCATCGACACAGCATGACAAAAGCACTGGGACCCGTTATAGACTCAGGGCGCGACGTACCGCTAGATATGGTGTCTGCTGCGTGCAAGTTTGAGGTGATAGGTACCATGAGACCCGGAAGCGTCTATGGAGGAGCTGTCGTCCCTTTGCTGAAGATCGGCAGCATTGGCGTGTCGTCGATACGGACGAGGTCGGATACCTCGTGCCAGTGCGATCAACGGATACACATACAGCTTTGCACAGGTAGCTGGCAAGTTGCAATACGGTAGTTTTCAATGCATGTCATGTACATGGCGTACCAAATGTCAGAGCACCTCTACGTGGTGAGATCTGGAATACACCCTGGTCACGATAGCGGTTAGACGGGCGTTCTGTTTCTATATACATTCTAGAAGCCTGGCGGAGAGTTCGCCTTTCATGGAGCTGCACGCACTCGCGATGCGTGATGACCCGCACGAATCGCGAGCAGCATCGCGCGACACAATCGACCAGTGAGTCTGTCTGACTAACCGATCCACAGAGCGCTCGCTGGGGTCCGCTGATCGATCAGTATTGCCTGATTTCTGGTAGAGGACGCGACCGCGTCGCGATCCATTCATCTGAAGAGCTGCTGATCCAGGCCCATGCATGAGAATGCGGGACCGAGAGCTGCGACGAGCCCCGAAAACTCAATTCTTCGTATTCGCTGATCATAGGCAATGTAAGCAGGCAACAGATCGTAGGGTAACCTTTGGGCTGGCAGCTGCTCGATGATCTTAGCGAGTCATTCTTCTTCTGTAGCCAACCTAGAGAAAAGGCGAGGCACTATGGTGTTCAGGTCACTTGCGAGACATCGCAGCAACCTCTGTTGTGACCGATCCTAAATACCGGTGCTCGTACAATGCCGAGCGTTGCGCCCTGCTGGGAAGCGTGCCAGTGCAAGTGCCCAGTGAGGCCCTTTTTCCGCATCGCCTGCGGGCACCGAGCACAATATCTCGTTTCGAACGAGGCTCTGGGAGAAATCGAGTCCGACAGTAAAGCTGCAACACGCAAGCCTTCTATCGTTACACCCTGCGAGTAGCGATAGCGAGAATGTTTAAAAATGCCTTCCACCAAGGACAAAAGTCAGCCCCGGATGCCATGCACGACGCAGGGTTGCCCTCTTTTCTCGTGAAAAATCTCCACGGCGCGCTTAAGAGCCGGTCCACAGAAAAGCAGCAGGTGAAGACCGAAAAATCAGTGCGTCATTACCATTTTGTGCGATCCTTGTATGCAGCGATGACCTCGGGATTCTGGTGCGAGAACCGAATGCGTTCCCGCGGGTGCCGCTCCCGCGGATTTCCTGGGACGCATTCAGGAGATTACCTACGGATGATGGACGGCGCCAAATTCCTCATAATCGGGAACCGGTGCAACCAGCCTTGCCGACGACACAAGTGTGCTCTACCCTGCTGCCACGACGGCCGCCTTTTCTAGAGAGCGCCAATCGGCAGCAGCTGCCGGTGACAGTGTGAAAGGATACGAACAAGATGGAGCCCAGACCGCCGCTTTCACAATGGAAACACGTAGCATTTTATATGGTGTCAATACGATGACCCTTTTCGGATTTGTCGAAAAGAAATTCCAAAACTTTTGATAATTCGAATCGAGTTACGTGCATGACGAGGGTTCCGCTCATACCTCGGGAACAAGTCGTCAAACTGGGACCGCATACGTAGCAGTTTCAGATTAGCGGAAAGAACCGCACTGTTCCACTAATGCAGCGACTGAAGCGCATACGGTACTCAAGACTTGAAGAACAAGTCCAGCACTAACGATGCCGTCACGTCGAGCGGGAAGCACGCGAGGCGTGATGGAGCGCGCGCCCCAGCTTACACCTATGTCAGCATCAAATGGAACGGGCCATCCAGCAAGGGCGTACATTCTAAAGTTTCGCTCTCTGTAACCCATTATCCACAATAGCATTTGCAGGGTTTTTTCTAACTCGTTTCCCACGTAGAATCCACTGGTCTCGCCTGCTCCTCCAGCTTCGTCACCATCACTCGACAGATGTTGATGGCACCAAGATCGTGCCTGCTACGCTGGTTCAGGCTTCGTCAACGCTTTCCATGCAAAAGGCGCAGGGTATCATCTAAGCTCCGCTTACCATTCGGATCTCCTTCGCGCGCAACCTCGGTACACCCTTTACGGCGGTGGCACATCACTTCGGTCATGTTTTCAAGCACGTGCATCAACTCGCCGCCGCGGAAGGCTGCTCTATGGCGCGTTGACGCCTGCTTCATCGCTTGGTTCATGCTCTGGACGAGTGCAGAAGGCATCGCTTGATGCGCGCCCCCGTCTTGGTGCTCGGTGCAGTACCATACGAGCATCCGCCTCTTCTGGGCGATGCGCTCGGCGAGTACATTGTCCGTTGCACGCCCAAACGCAGGCGGCTCTATTGGATCGAGGATATGTGAAACGTCAGCTTTTCCTTGATGAACCTATTACCTTGCAGAGAATCGAGGCTCAAACACACGCCGAGAAATTTCGTTGCGTCTACACTCTCATCGGGCAAAACGGTGATACACGCCCCGCAGGAAGCGATCGCTGCGATGGCTCAAGTCCGAGTCCAAGAACCTGCTCGATCCCCAGAGAAGAGACGTGAGCCTCTGGGAGCAAATCCCATGTGAGAAATCATACTTTTGTGGAATGCGATTACGTCGATACCCACGTCGGAAGAAGGATGTTTCTTTCGAACGGAATTGATTGTTTGAGAAAATAATTTGAATTAACTTTTTGGATGTGCTTGTGAACAGAGCGTCAAGGGACAATGTCGATTCATTTCGCTTATACATCAAGCGACACGAGTTGGTGTCTTCACCGTTCAACTTGAGAAAGAAAGATCGAAAACTCGGAGAACGCGTGCTTTGAGCATGCTGCACGTTAGAAAAGGAGAGAATTGGAAGCATGCATGTATATATTGGGTTATGGGTCCTGTAATTCTAAGAAACCTTGACCGTGGGCATGGCGGATCAACTTGATTCCGGTGTTGTCTTGAATACTAGCGGCGAAGCTTCGAGGCAACCACTCGGAAAAGACGACCGAAAACCCGAAACGACGCTTGAGTGGGCAAGTCTTGGATGCTGCACTTGGAATGTTGATAGTCTTCAACTCCGAAAAAGCTGGAAAATATGAAAGTTAGGAACATAGTGAATAGTCGGTGTACGATTTTTCTGACATTAGCGTGGCTCAGGCCAAGCAGCGGCTCCGATGAAAACAGTACAACTAGGAATATTACGGACAGCTGGACACCGCCTCGACACCGCGCCAGCGCGGAAAGTAGCCTCATAGAACGTTTTTGGCATAGCTTCCTGCTGCATGTATAGTGCCAGGCAGCTGCCCAGTAGGAAAGCCTGATCTGGACTGCGCTGTACGCATTGCGAGTGGAAACTCAATTTCTCAAGCCTGTTTCGTCTAAAGCGTACTCCGGGGTTTCAATAGCGGAAAACTGCGCATGACGCTCGACGCGACCGGAGAGAGCGCCGCTGCCACTGGCCAAGATGTCACGCTAGAGCAGTATAGAGCGATGACTGCTGAGGAACGGGCACTACTCCCCAAGGCGAAACAGAAGAAGCTGGCGAAACTGTTAGAAAAAGCCGAGCAGAAAGCGTTGAAAGCACAAGCACGCTCAGTGATTGCTGAAGCGAACCTGGGCGCTGCGAGTGCGACTCAGGCGGCAACTGGGGCGCGAGCAAACAAGAGTTCAGCGAGTACCACCAACGACAATGATGATACTGGCTCTTCATCGAAGCAGTTGCCACCCGAATACATCGACCATACACCAAAGGGCGCCTACAAAACGCTTCTCAAGAAACCCATGTCCCCGGCATATTACCCGCGATCCGTAGAGGCCGCCTGGTACGACTGGTGGGAAGCACAAGGATTCTTTACCGCGCAGACGGAGCAAGCGCTTTCCGAGCCAGACCCTAGCAGACGCTTCGTCATGGTCATGCCTCCGCCAAATGTCACTGGAACACTGCACCTGGGGCACACCCTGATGTGTGCGATCCAGGATTGCTTGACCCGCTGGCATCGAATGAGAGGCCACGTTGCGCTTTGGGTTCCGGGAACAGACCATGCTGGTATTGCCACTCAAACAGTTGTCGAAAGAAAACTCATGCGAGAGCGCAACCTGACCCGACACGATCTGGGGCGCGACGACTTTGTGCGCTACGTCTGGGCCTACAAAGAGGAATACGGAGGCCGGATCTGCGATCAGCTCCGTCGCTTAGGCGTCTCAGTCGACTGGAGCCGTGAACAGTTCACCATGAACGAACAATTGTCAAAGGCTGTAGTGGAGGCGTTTGTTCGTCTGTACGAGCGTGGTCTCATCTACCGAGGAACCCGACTTGTGAACTGGTGCTGCCGACTGCGAACAGCGCTCAGTGATATCGAAGTAGAATACGTGGATATTCCGGGCCGAGAGCTGCTGCGAGTGCCCGGCCATGATGGCGAGGTAGAGGTAGGGGTCTTGACCCGGTTTGCGTACCCGTTGAAGGAACCTGTACCGGGCGGTATCCATGAGCTGGTGGTAGCCACCACTCGACTGGAGACCATGTTGGGCGACGTTGCCGTTGCCGTTCATCCGGAGGATCCACGATACCGAGACCTCGTTGGCGCCCAGCTGGTGCATCCGTTTCTTCCCGATCGCGAGCTGCGGGTCATTGCGGACGCACAGCTCGTGGATATGAGCTTCGGAACTGGATGTGTGAAGGTCACTCCAGCGCATGATCCGAACGATTACGAGTGCGGTCTGCGCCACGGATTACCGTTCATCGTTATTTTTGATGACGAAGGTCACCTCAACGAGCACGCTGGAGCGTTTTCTGGCCTGATGCGCTATGAGGCCCGCGTTCAGGTCGAGCGGGCGCTCGCTGAACGAGGGTATCTGCGCGGAAAAGAGAGCCACGCTATGCGACTCGCGCTCTGTTCACGTACACACGACATTATCGAGCCGATGCTCAAACCGCAGTGGTGGGTGAAATGCGACCACATGGCACGCGAAGCGGTTCGAGCTGCCGACGAGGGACAGCTCACAATCCTGCCGGAATTCCACCGCGCTACTTGGAATCGCTGGTTGGAAAACATCCATGACTGGTGTGTTTCGCGCCAACTATGGTGGGGCCATCGTATTCCCGCTTGGCGGTATACAAACGTTGACACTGGTGCCGAGGAGTGGATTGTTGCGCGTAACGTCGAAGAGGCTCGTCAGAGAGCTCCACCTGCCTATCGGGAGTCGCTAGAGCAGGACGAGGACGTCCTCGATACCTGGTTCTCATCGGGATTGTTTCCGTTCTCGGTATTCGGTTGGCCGGATACCTCACCTGTCAACAGGGAAATGCACGCGTTTTACCCGACGACGCTTCTGGAGACCGGTCACGATATCCTGTTTTTCTGGGTGGCGCGAATGGTGATGCTGGGCTTAGAGCTCACTGGTAAGCTACCCTTTTCTACAGTTTACCTGCACGCCCTTGTACGGGACAAGTACGGCCGCAAAATGTCGAAATCGTTGGGAAATGTTATCGACCCGCTTGAGGTCATCGAGGGCGCTACGCTGGAGCAGCTGCACGCAAAGTTACTCAGTGGAAATCTGGATCCACGCGAGGTCGAGAAGGCGCGCAAGATGCAGCGGCTTGAGTACGGTGAACAGGGAATACCCGAGTGTGGAACGGACGCGCTTCGATTTGGACTGCTTGCGTATACGTTGCAAGGCCGCGATATCAACCTTGATGTTGCACGAGTTGTTGCGTATCGTCATTTCTGCAACAAGCTATGGAATGCCGTGCGATTTGCCCTCGGCCTGTTACATGTCGCGGACAAGGACATGGCCGGCCAGCCTGCGCATCGACAACTGCCGAATGCCTCCGATGACAGCGGAGCGGAAGCACTTGTCTACAAGGATGCCGCGCTAGCACTCGAGGATCGATGGATTCTCTCGCGTCTTGCGCACTGTGCAATGCAATGCCATCAAGCGCTCTCCAGCTACGAGTTTGCTGAAGCAGTTCAGGCACTGCATCATTTCTGGCTCTACGAACTGTGTGACGTGTATCTAGAAGCAATCAAGCCGCGAGTGTACGGCGCCGAGGATGCGCCCGCGGATGCGACGGCAACCAGTGACGCCTCGGTGGCGCGCCGAGTACTGCTGGAGTGTCTCGACCAGGGCCTTCGCCTCCTGCACCCCATGATGCCATTCGTTACCGAGGAACTGTACCAGCGTCTGCCTTTACCGAAAAGAGCGCCCTCGATCATGACTGCGTCGTATCCGGAAGGCGGCTCCCGCGACGAGGCCGCTGAGGAGCTCGTCCAGCAGGCGATGCTCATTGTTCGCGGCATCCGTTCGCTTCGGACTCTGTACCAAGTGAAGAAGACTGCTCGCCCGCAGGTATGGATTGTCGGCGGTGATGCGGTCTGCGCTCCACTTGTACGGACGCTGGCGCTCTGTGGCACTGTTAACGTGCAAGCAGACCCGCCGTCCGAAGTGAAACAATGCGGTGTGCAGTTGGTCACTCCCCAGATCTGTATTTACCTGCATCTTGCCGGTCTTGTTGATGTGCAAGTCGAAAAGGCGAAAGCGCAGGCGAAGCTCGCTGAAGCTGAGCGAAGCGCACAGCGTTTTAGGGAACAACTTCAAAACTATGATGAACGCGTACCGGAATCCGTTCGAGAGCGCACCGTGCAAAACCTGAATCGCTATGAGCAGGAAATCGCGCAGTTAACCGAAGCGCTGGAACGTTTCTCACAGTGGAGCTAAAAAATTCTGGTCTTTCCACGGGAGTCGAATGCCTCCGATGGCGGCCAACACGCATCCTTATCTGAAGATCGTAATCATCAGAGGCAATCATGGACATTGGAGTTCACAGCGCCCGGCTACGCACGGAAACGACGTGCCATGCGCGTTCGGTGCAACACGCAGCACGCGCGGCAGTGGCGATGCGGGCAGCCCTCGATGCGTGCCATGCGTGATCGCGGGGAGTGCGTGATCCGCACAGCGCTGCTCGTGAGGGATGGATGCCCTCGGTAGGACTTGTTCAGCGGCCTCGATACGTAAAGATTCCCAGTTGCAAGTTGCTTATGAGTTCTCCTCGCTTTGTGGGCTGTCTTGTGATAGTTCTGCGGCAACATGGCGCCAGCGATCAACGGTGCTTTTCTCGGGTCGCGCAACTTGCTGTTCTCGCGGACGGTTACGGTTCAGGTCGTTGAGGGCTCCTGCCCAGGTTTTTCTTTGCTGTTCTCGCCACTGAATCCAGATCTCTGTTTCAGAAAGAGGTTCTGGGTGCGTCTCAGCCACAGGAGCGGGTAAAGCGGACACGTTCTTAGAAGAAGCTCGGGCGGCACGCCAGGCAGCCCAGGCTTCAGCTGGGCCTACGGGCTCTTCGGCTGTAACGTCGGGATCACCAGTTCCGGCATGCGCATCGGGAACGGCGGGAGTGCTGGCGCTTGACTGTGCATCCACACCGAGTTCGATTTGTGTCGGAAGGCTCTCGATGATGTCTTGAGCCGCACCCCGCCAGAATGCTGTCTCCTTCTTCGGATCGCGCGGCTCCCAGGTTTCCTCTTCGGAGTCCTGCGTGGCACTCCCGTCTGCGCTGTGCGACGTGGTCGAGCGAGTCGCGAACGCATCCGACGTAGCTCCCGTGGATGCCCCAAGCAGCTCCTGGGCCGCACCCCGCCAGAATGCTGTCTCCTTCTTCGGATCGCGCGGCTCCCAGGTTTCCTCTTCGGAGTCCTGCGTGGCACTCCCGTCTGCGCTGTGCGACGTGGTCGAGCGAGTCGCGAACGCATCCGACGTAGCTCCCGTGGATGCCCCAAGCAGCTCCTGGGCCGCACCCCGCCAGAATGCTGTCTCCTTCTTCGGATCGCGCGGCTCCCAGGTTTCCTCTTCGGAGTCCTGCGTGGCACTCCCGTCTGCGCTGTGCGACGTGGTCGAGCGAGTCGCGAACGCATCCGACGTAGCTCCCGTGGATGCCCCAAGCAGCTCCTGGGCCGCACCCCGCCAGAATGCTGTCTCCTTCTTCGGATCGCGCGGCTCCAAGGTTTCCTCCTCGTCTGCAGCTTCTGCCCCGGAATCAGGAATGCGCTCCTTCGTGTCCCATTCTGCGGATAACGACTGCAAGGATGTGGATGAACGTTCGCGTGCTGCTTGCTCGGATCCCAGAGCGGCGCCCCAAAGTGTCCCTTGAAGATTATCATCAGCAGATTCGGTTCCCGAAACGAATTCAACAGCGTCTGACGCATACATTTGCATCCAGGAGGTGTCGGGGTCCCACTCCTCATCCGATTCAGGAATGTTCGAATCGATGCTCCCAATCTCTTCGCTGCGATTATGCTCCGAAGGACGCTCCGCCAACCCGCCTGCTGCAGTGCGTAGCTCGGCTGCCGTTCTGCCGGGGTCCAACGGTGCGCCTAGTTCAGCCGCTGCGCTCCGCCAGAAGTTTCGTTCAGCGGTCATATCACGCACAGGTTCGCCACGCTCAAGCCGCTCTTGCACCGCCTCTTGCTCGGCTTGCGCTGCCTCTGCCGCCGCGCGCCATGAAGCCCAAGTCGAACTGCTTTCGCCGCTCGTATCGAGTTCAAAGCCGGGCGGCGGCGCCACCCATTGCGGAGGAGGTCGCTCTCGACGCACAGGAGCTCGCGAAGTCGCCAGCTCGCCCTGCTCGGACACTGAGCGCGCCACGTCTCGCCAGAAGTTCGGGTCACTAGCGCTAGCCCGGCAGGGACGCCTCGATGCCAGCTTTGTGCGTCTTGTGCACCTCTGCTGCTGGCCGCCGCAGACAGCCGTCCTCCATCGAGACCGAGCTGTCACCGAAGTGCTGTTTGTGTTAACCCCCCAAAGTGGAGCACACCGTCCAGTCACGAAACACCACATAATACCACCACTACCAAACTCGCCTCAGAAGTCGAACGTCGCCGTTGGCCGTGCACAGTATTGGCGAGAAACCGCGCCCTAGACACAGCGTCTCCAGCTGATGTGCAGACGCCTCCCAGCCATTTTCGACCGGCCACGAGCTACTGGTTCCAATTATTTCTCATATAGTTCAATTTTTGGAGGCTGTCCAACAAAGTTCACTCTTGTCTATTCTGGAGGTCTCGTCTCCAGCACCGCACATCTCCTGATATCGATAGCGGCGTTAAAGTCTCGGTTCACAAACTCCATGCGTTTCTTGCCGTTGTTGAACCCACCAATGCAAGTAGTCCTCGAACTTGTGCCGTCTGTGCCATTTGCTGCTCGATCAGCTCCCCGTGCTCTTCTATCGCCGGAGCGCTTCGCTGGCTTTTCTCCATCTCGATCTTCTGATGAGTAAACCCCAGCTCATCCCTGGGATTTTTAGTTTCTTCAAAAAATGAACGCGCTGCTTGATACCCTTAAGCGAGGACCTTCCCGGAGGATGAAGGACTGGCGGAAGAACAACGTCATGTGCCCGGGTGTTTCACTGTGTGCTGAACGCATCATCGATTGGCCCACTAGAGCGATCATTTCGTTTCACGATAGAAGACATTCCTGCGATGCAGTTGAAACGCGGAGAGAACGGAGGAGTCAAAAGCAGCTCTACCTAATTAGAATCGTCAAAAGCTCGACGCAAGGGGAAATGTGAACTACCACGTTGTCTAGTAGAAGGTCGTGGCCAGACGTCAGAGACAACACCTTTATTGATTCGACGAAGTCAACGCTGTTGTATGAGCCTTCTGTATACGCGAATTGGAGGCCGCTAAATGATTCCACTACAGCTAGACCGATGATGATATACTCGTTCTCTAAGAGTTCGATAGCGCATACAACGGACGCCACGCTCCGCGACTACCCATCCGCACTCCGGCCGTTTCGTCTGAAGAAGCTCTCATTAACTGAAAAAACAAATCGTCGTCTCTGTGCTTCATATCGATATTGACTTTCCAAGGACGCTGTCGTTGAGATTTCGGCGGAAGATTGCCGTTTGTGAACCAGGACTTTTTATGCGATTGTATACCAGTGTTTTCAGGACAACGCGAACAAGCTATTGAGAAATAGAGACACTGGTAGTTGCTAGGATCGTTGCTTTTGCTTTCCGTAATATGATGAACGGATCATTTTTATACCATTAACCGCAGGCGCGCTTCGAGCAAATCGGTTTTCGGCACGGAGCGTATCTACGTGATTCTTTCTGTGTTACTCAACCATCTGAGTACTATTGTATGCCTGACCCGAAGCAGAATGTAGACCTCCTTTCACTATTTACCAGAGAATACATCCTAGCGGCAATTCGTCGATGATCGATACAGTGCATACCATCATGATCTCAACGTCCAGCTGTACATTGTGAATAAGCATTCGAATACACGCAGCAAAGGTGATTCAAATCTTCGTTGACTTAAGCTACCCAGCGCTGGGTGTGAACGGACTCCATGCAACGCGCACAACGGGTACGACGTCGAAATGGTGGTGTCTGGGCGTTTCAATGGGCTGACTATGTCATCGTAGGCGGTGGCCTGGCGGGACTTGCAACGGGTGCGCTACTCGCGGACCAGGGTCACTCAGTGTGTCTCTTAGAGGCCCATGAGCGCGTTGGCGGCGCTGCACACGGTTTCTCGAAAGGTCCCTATTACTTCGATACGGGGCCATCGCTCTTTGCTGGAGGATCTTTAAGCGGGCGAGACTCCTCCGATCCACTAGCTCAGTTGCTGCGCCTCTTGGGGATCAAGCTCCCGGTGGCGCGCTACAACACCTGGGGCGTCCTAGTCCCCGAGGGTCGCTTCAACTCAGCAGTCGGTGCGAAAGACTTCAGCCATACGCTACGAGAGCTTCGCGGTCGAGACGCCGCCGCACAGTTTGCTGAACTACAGCGTTTTATGAAACCGCTCGCGGAGGCGGCTGTAAGTATCCCACCTGTTGCACTTCGACGAGACCTGGGTATCTGGCGAACGGTGACACCTCATCTGCCGCGCGCCTTGCGTCATGCAGCACATTTCCGGCTCATGTCTGCACCATTTTCACGAGTGCTGGATCAAGTTGGTGTTCGGGACGCATTTCTGCGCGGCTGGATGGACCTGCTGTGTTTTTTGTTGAGTGGATTACCCTCTGATGGAACGCCGACTGCCGAAATGGCCTTCATGTTCCGTTCCTTCTACGGAGAGGATGCTTACCTAGAGTATCCCCTTGGAGGTGTTGCGGCGCTAGCGCAGGCCTTGAAGGATGCTCTGGAGAAACGCGGCGGCAAAGTGTACACGAGCTCGCCAGTGCAGTCATTTTGGACAGAGAACGCCTCACAGCGAGTCGTCGGAGTGACGCTAGTCGACGGTCGCCGAATCAAGGCATCGCGTCGAGTGGTCAGCTGCATAAGTCTCTGGGACACAGCGCGCTTGCTGCAGGATGGATCTTTCCAGGCCAATGCCGAGCCTCTTCCAAGCTTCCTACACGCGCACTTGGTCTTCAAGGCGCTGGACCCGGAAAGCGCATCCACACATTTCACCGACTACATTCGGGGCAGCCAGCCGCCAGAGCACGACGGCTACAATTGTCACTATATTGTTGTGGATAACTGGGAGAGGCTGACGGAGCCTCAGAATGTCGTCGCCATTTCGATTCCATCAGTGCTGGATCCGTCGCTTTCGCGATCTGGTGAGCATACACTCCACGCGTATACGCCAGCAACGGAGCCGTACGAGCTCTGGGAGAACCTTGATCGCGAGCGCTATCGAGCACAGAAACTTGCCAGAGGTCAGGTGTTGCTGGATGCAATTGCTCGGGCAGTGCCGGGCTGTGCAGACCCTGACTCGATCCGAATGAAACTCATCGGGACACCGTTGACCCATGAGCAGTATTTACGGCGCTACCGCGGCACCTATGGTGCCAAGCCGCTACTTCCCTGGATTCGCCATGATTTACCTGCTGGACTTGCACTGGCAGGTGAGAATTCGTTTCCGGGCATCGGTGTACCGGCCGTGATAACCAGCGCATTATTGACAGCGCTCGGCGAAATGCCGGCAACACTCCATGCTCGATATCTCCAAAGACTATTCGAATAAATCTATCTTCCAGCATGCAGTGCCAGGGCGCACCATCATGCCCAAGTTTATTCTGGCGGTTGGATGAGCAGTTTTGGCATGTTAGACATAGCCTCGAGATGGAGCCATTGGGGTACACATCCATGCACTTCTTCCAATGAGTATGCGCGGAGATGAATAGGTGCTGCTCCCATCAATCACCTGCGTTGCCTTGTAAACGCGTTCTGCACACACTGATCGCGGCTGACGCTTCGAAGAAACCTTGAACGGCCATTCCATGGGATACCTACACGTAAGTGCCCCAGGGCGTGATCGACGAGCTTCCGATTCAAACTTTATGCTCTGAAACCTTCCAGAACCTGTTGATTTTGCAACGTCACGGGAGCTGAAGAAGAGGTGCGCTCTGTCTTGCAGAGGCAGAATATGATGCACCGAACCCGCTCATCTGGTGCTGTAGAACGCCAACCAGAAAATGACTGGATCGCATTCATACGCTCGAGAGCGGTTTCCCGCAATTTCGGTACCGTTTGCGCACGCGCCACACCTGTGCATGACTGAAACCGGACACCTGAAATACTGGACACGTTCCTACCTTTCGAACATTGCCTAACTTGTTTGTAGATGCGCAGTGTCGGCATTTCTGGTGCAGCAACGACAGCTTAGGGATTCAAGCGTAGATTAAAGATTCTGGGCAGTCCTTTCGGGATGGCTTTTTCGACTTTTTACCGCTGGAGATCGTTTCGTCACGAGATTCACAGTGATTCACGAAGCCATCGAACCAGGGTCCGTGTTCTAACCGACATAAATATTCAATTTATGCGCAAGAGCGTCCCTTCTTCTCGTTTCCTTGTGGGCAGCATCCTGAAAAGATGCTTTCTTTAGATTTTTGATCTCTCTGTTTCAAGGCAAATCATAGGCGCAACAAGTCCAGCCGATGGATTGATGAGAATAAATACTCGACATCTTTTCTTGCCAACCTGCGCTTACACTTGTCACGCATGTTCGTCCAACCTCTCACGCTCAGCAATGACGGATTCCGTTCGGAACCAGAATTTTCCTCGATTCGTTGCTAACGACGATACGACAATCGAATGCAGCATGAAACCGGTAATGGGATGCGCACCAAGAAGCTCCCGCCTTTTCTGTTGGCACGGAAAAGGCGTTTCGGACTCGAGCTTCAGTCATCGACTCAACCGTTCTGTTTGAGAATTCACTACCGCTTTCCATGATGGGGGCCTCAGGCAGTCGAAACGTCTTGACTTGTTCTGCAAGGTGAATTGTACTTCTGTAATTGTTCCATGACGCGCAAGGTCACGTTCCACGAATCCTTTATCGAATGGAGCAGCGTTCGCTTACGTACGCATTGAATAACGTATTAGCAGATGGGATCACCCACGCGAAGCTTGTGATCGTACGCTACAGCATCGGGTGCGGAAACAGAGTAGGTATGGAGCGGCGCCTTCTGCATCCATCAAGGGAATGTACCAAACGAAGAAGCGAGCCTTTTTCGCTCCACAGTGCGGCTCTCGAAGACGGATGAGTTGTGGTAGGCATGGGGGAACGCCAGTGCGCAAGCAAGTGTCGCCCCTGCGACTCACGCACCGAGGCTCTACACGAACCAGATGAAAATAGCAAGCGAGGCGCAGGTAGCAACATCTGCTTGTGCATCCAATGCGTTGTCAACGAACTTACGCAAAACTCTTGACTAGGACGCTGGCATCAGCACCTTTCTAATGCTAATTACGGAACTAGAGGCAGAGATCAGACGAGCGTTTTTTAAGTCAAACATAGATGAGAGGCGAGGGAATCCGTCCTTGAAAATGCCCGAAAAATGGTAATGTTGATCGTACTTGGAGGCATCCCAAACTTTCGCGTGTACATCCGAGCTACGAAAGCAAACCAAAGCTATTTTGCTCGAATATGCGTAAATCAGAGCATCCGTCCACAGTATCCACAGCATCCACATGCGCGACATCGTTCATTAACATCATCATTGCCATCATCACTGCCATCATCATCAACATCATTGCCATCTTCATCATCGCCGCGAAATCGACAGCGGCGACAGCGCGATGAGCGTCCGTTCCGCTGAACCGGCCGAAACACTGCTACACATTCTCTGTTTATAGAACGTGCTTTGGTTTCTCAGTACACAAGGTCCGATGAACGGAACTACGGATGAAACGCTAGACCTGTCTCCCGAAGACGCAGAACTAAAAGACCGATTGGATCTTCTGGTGGATCGGGTGCTTGATACAACGACGCGTCCGGCTGCGCTCAGTGCTCTCGGTGACATCATTCGCACTGCCACGTCGTCGCTGACTTCTGTACCAAAGCCGCTGAAGTTTCTGCGGCCTCACTATGGTCGCTTGAAAAAACAGGCTCAAGATGAACCAAATGGTTCGTTTTTCTATAACTTGCTCTCAGTGTTGGCAATGACCATGGCGGAGGCCGGCACCTTCGAGTGCTTGCTATTCCGACTACGTGGCGACTCGAGTCTGCCTGTGGGCTACTGGGGGCAAGAATACGTGCGCTCTCTCGTTGGGGAAATTGGGGAGGCACTCGAAGCCGGGAAAGTGGAGCGAAAGGAACTGAATCCTTTGATCAGTGAAATTCTAACCTACCTCGTGGAGAAACGCGCAGAAGTCGACGCATGCGACTTTTGCCTCGAGATCGGTGAACTCGATCGACTTGGGCAACTCACGCTGAACGATCGACTCAGCGAAGACCGGGTGTGCCAGTACCTGACCTCGTGTGCAGTCTACCTACCAGAACCCGAGAATGAGAACGCTCTGCGATGGGCACTGAACCTCTATCTTCGAGCCAATCGCTTCTCGAACGCGTACCGGGTAGCGAAGATGCTTGGCGATCCCTCGCTGGTACCTGTGGACCGAGTCCCACCCGGCCCAATGCGAACTCAGATAGAGCTCATGCAAACACCAAGAGACTGGTCGAAACACTATCGGGCAGTGGCGCAAGATCTCGAAATCCTCGAGGCGAAAACCCCGGAGGATATTTACAAGTCGCATCTGGTGGAATCAGGGAGGCGGCTGAGCACTTTGATCGGCACTGTTCATGTCGATTCTGCACGAGAAAATCTCGCTGCTGCTTTTGTGAACGGTTTCGTGAACGCGGGCTTTGGATCGGACAAGTTTCTCACCAATCCCTCCGATGACGAGCGTCGTAATTGGATTTTTCGGAACCGAGCCCAGGGTATGCTCTCAGCAACTGCCTCCCTGGGAATGATATTCCTCTACGACGTCGACGGAGGCCTCGCTGAAATTGACAAATACCTGTATTCACCAGAAGAATTCGTTCGGGCCGGAGCACTCCTCGCGATTGGACTCCTCAGCGGTGGTCGCGTCCCAGACGAGTGCGACGCTGCTCTAGCGCTGCTCGCAGAGCATATCGAGTCCGAGAACAACAACGAACGGTTGGCGGCGATCCTGGGACTCGGCTTCGCGTACGCAGGTACACAGCGCGTGGATTTGATGGAGCTGCTGGCCCCCATATTGGTGGATGTTAGCAGCCCTGTTGATGTCGCGGCGGTTACAGCGCTCGCCGTCGGGCTAATATTTGTGTCGTCAGCGAACGCGGACTTGGCGTCTACGCTTATTCAGGCAATACAGGATCGTTGCGTAGATGTGCCCAGGGAATCAAACACTACTGACGCCGCTGGCCCCGAGCCGAGAACGACCGAGCTCGATGCCCCTGAACGAATGGAGTTGGTAGGTCCGGTGTCTGATCCGAACAACGATACCGTTCCGGGCGCAGCCGCAGAGCACTCCGCATCCAACCCAGAGGCAAGTCAAGAAACTGCAACAAGCACGAGCACCAACCAAGAGGCAGAGGCGCCATCGAACGCGACAAATGGCGGGCCCGCAGCGAGCGCACCGTCATCGGGTGGAACCGGTAACGACGCCCAGAATGAAGCTATCTTTCGCCATTCCCTGAACCGCTTATTCCCTCTTGCACTGGGGCTGCTCTACCTGCACCGTCGCGGCCTCGCTATGCAACCTGTACTGGATGCGCTGCATGCCATGGGTGTGCAGGCCCCATTTGTTAGTCAATTGCTAGAATGTTGCGCTTTCTACGGCACCGGCGACGTGCTAGCCTTACAGCGTTTCCTCAGTTGGGAAAATGAGTTGATGCCGCTAGCCGCAGCAGCAAACGCTTCTGGTGAACGTCTCATGCAGCAAATGCTGCTCCGTCTTTTTGATCGAATGTTGCAGCTCGGCTCCGATACTCAACGACGGGTGGTGCCGCTCGCACTGGGGCTTGCGTTCGTTTCTGATCCGCGCCTTGAAGTGGTCGACATACTCAGCAAATTGAGTCACGACGGGGACTCGGAAATAGCCGCTGGTGCTATTTTAGCCATGGGCTTCACAGCGGCCGGCACCAACCAAGCTCGAGTAGCTGGTCTGCTGCGGGAGCTGTCTGCTTTTTACGCCGAGGATCCGAGTATGCTGTTCATGGTGCGCCTCGCTCAGGGGTTAACGCACGCGGGACGCGGACTCTTGACCTTTGCGCCGTTCTCCGCGGATGCCACTGTCGTGGATGCGGTTGCAGCTGCAGGTCTGTTGACCGTACTGGTGCTCTGCCTTGGTGCCGGGTCCCTGCGGGAAACGCTTCTTGGCCGCCATCACTGGTTCCTCTACGCATTAGCACTAGCTGCTCGTCCACGATTTCTCGTTACTCTGGACGCTGACACGCAACAACCAGTGCCTGTTCTCGTTCGTGTTGGCCAGGCGGTAGATACTGTCGGTCAGGCGGGTCGTCCGCGAGGCATCACGGGCTTCCAGACGCACACCACACCGGTCCTCATCGGAGTCGGTGAGCGCGCTGAACTCGCCAGCGACGAGTGGGCCTGTTATGCGCCAGTGCTCGAGGGTCTCGTTCTTGTGCACCGCCGCGATCGCGTAACGGGCTCAGCGCAAAAAGCCTTGTAGAGCGGCGAATGGTCGCATTGCCGGCATCGGCAGCACGTACCTGGGGTACACCCTCTCGACGTCATCGTGATCGATGTTGTTGTTGTTGTTGTTTTTCCGCTCGCGACCGCGAACCCCGAGCTGCCATGTAGACAGCGGCAAGGTGTCTTCGCGCGCTGTACGACTCGTATGCTCGGCTTCATTGACGACTTGAGTGCAACACCTGGACTGTGCACAAGTATGCGTTTGGAATCAGCGCGGAAACAACCAGTGTAACAGAAAAAGAACCCCAACAATACCCAGAACCCCGTAACAGAGTGCGTAAGAACTACCAGACCGTACCAGTTGTTCTAGTTTTCGCATTGAGTTGCGCAGTTGCTCCACAGTACGTCCCATCGAGTCGCTGAGATCCTGGTCCAGAAAACGGTTTTGGGTGATAACCTCCTCGTTGATTTGGATAGCCAACTCTTTCATAGCTCCCACTTTGCCGGAAAGCGCCTGAATTCGATCCTGATTCTGTTGCTCCAGCAAGTCCGCATACGCTACACCCGACAGGTCCGCTCGGTTCGCGACCTGGCTGCTGTGCCCGCTCCACGACATCGACGTCGAGGTGGACGCGGGTGTCGACGTTACCGTGCTGGGGAAGGCTGCACTTCCCGCTGTGTGTGCGGAACGGTCCGAAGTACTTCGTGCCATTGCCGGTGAAGGACAGCGCGATTCAGACAACGGCCTCGATGCTCGGTGCATTCACGGCAGCAGTGCTCTGCGTTCCGCTCGAAAAAGCGCCTGCACAGCGCTCGAAGCCGGTCGCTCGCCACGCAACTCGGGTACTGAAAAGCGCTTCGAGTCTGGAGTGTGCTTGTGGTTATTAACTGAGGCTCTGGTTGCCTCGGGAAAGCAATCGTACTCGCTTCAGTGCGCTCGAGGAACGCGTTTGGTGCTCGCTTGCCACAAGAACCGAATATAGAATGACAAGAGACAGGCGTCGACGGGTGTTGGTGCAGGCGCCTTGCGGTAACCGTTAAGGAAAGTCAGTTTAGTCGCGTGCGTAAACGTTGTTTGTCGAGTATTTGAGCCGTTTTCTCGATAAGAGGTTGAACAAACGTTGTAGAAAGGATATTATTTGTTTCGGGTTGGATCTTAGAGTGGCAGTGAAGGGTGTCGAGGGCAAATGCAAGCGCACTGGGACAGGCGTGGTATCTGGGGACACACCAGCAGCTGCAGACGCCAGCTCTATTGACAGGGCGAGAACGTACAGCTTATGCTTGTTGTTTTACTGGATGATGAGTAGTCGCGAAATTCACATAGCGTGGTGTACGTATTCGAAGAGCATTGGAATTTTTGGTCTGTTTTATGTATGTCTGCTGGAATATTGGAAATAGGGTCGTGCTGTGGTTTTGGCGTTCAAGCCAGCCTGCACAGCACGTAGAAGTGCTGCGGCGCGACGATGCTTCTCTGCGCTCGTGCCAGTTAGATGAGGCTGTTTCCAAGGGTCTCAAGAACGCTGAACAGTGTCTTCGAGGGTTTTCGCATGGGCAGCACCGGCTCAGAGGGTGGCACTCAGCACGAACGCTTTGCCGCCAGCCGTGGCGACCTGATACAACCGGAGCAGCAGTTTTCTTGGACAAGCTGCAGCACCAGTTGTCCGGCGGAAAGCCCTAAATAGAGCCCGCTATTCGTTCTTGCACGCGCTGCAGTGGAGGTTTACTGGGACAAGATGTTTCGGTTTCATGCAACTCCGTTTCAGAACCGTATTCGATACATTGCCGGAAGGTTTCCCTGCCGTAGCTCGCGTCTCAGCGAGAGCGGCGCTCGACGCCGGCTACAGACTCAGTACATGCTTCATGACCCGGGTTTTGCAGCACCGCTGATGAATACGGTGGCTCCTGCGACGGCTGCGATGTCGCTAACGACAGCGTTTGCCAGTGCATATGTTTGCATTGCATCGCGCTGCGTGCCCGCGACTCTACCCGGAAACTCCGCTTAGCTCCGCTGTGCTCTTGCACAACGCCCTAACGGACAATGATATGGTAGGCTGCAGCGCATCGTCTTTGTACTGGGAGAGATGCTACACTGAGAAACGACGGATGCGACAATAGAGCTCTCTAAAACCGCGAAGCTGGTATCGCGGATGCGCGTACGCAAACGTATGCCGGTATCCCGCGGCAGACAAGTGTAAGCGTTCTTGATGGATGACGCGAGGTTGATGCATCGAAGAGGCCACTCCGGGATGCGGGTTTGCTTTCGACAAGCAGGCATGCGTATGTATACTTTTATTACCGTAAGCAACGAGTTCGATGTCGCGCGCGCAGCAAAACTTGCACTTAGGAGAGTTTGGAGCTCGAATTGAGACGCACTGCAAAGCAGGGCACGCTTATGGGGCAATTTGTGAAAATATTCGCTTTCCAAATGGAGAAGAAGGAGGGCGCTTCTCCCCGCCGCCTCCGGCGGAATTCACGAAGACACGCATTTTTCGATTCGAAATTCGTACGTAAAGACGAACTGGAACTCCATATTCCATCCAGAGCAGAGAACAAGAATAATAGGGATATGAGAGGTTCGCGATCCGAAACGTCTCTAGGTGACCAGTACGTCTGATTTTTCGGAGAGCTAGCGGCTAACGCGGCATGAGCCCCGAACAGCGCACTATAGCCCTTTGAGCACTCACACACAGATCTGCCAGTTCTCCCGAACGTACGCTCATCGAGTGAGACGAGCGTCCGTCGCTCCTGTCATTATCGGTCGCGTTTTCGCACAAAACAACAGTGCATGGGTCCCTGCGCGACGGTCTCGCCTAGAAGCTTGTGTTTCTCCTTGTCCATCAGTGTCTGCTGATCGCTGTTCGTATCGATGGTATGGAAACCGCACATACTATACGGTTTCTTTGGTCGGATTCCTTAAGGGCCAAATAGAATGCGTTGGACTGATGAAAAGGCATTCTCGCAGAAACAAAGCGCCGTTCTGGGTGCAAGGCACTTTTGATGGCGCCAAGAAGCAGTGTGGATGATCCGCCGGCTGGCACGTAAGTGGCCGGCTCGTACAGATACCGTCGTTCTTCGCTAAACTAACAGAGTCGGCATCAAGTCATTCTGCAACCTTTCTCCATCATGAAAGCATACGTCGGTTTTCTTGAATACCTACCGAGCAAAACAAATAAAAACACAATGGGTGTGATCATGTATAACTTCCAGAGTCCACTGCACTGAATACAGCGGTACAAAAGTCAAACGCGCACGACTGCGAGCACCTCAGCGTCGGACCTGCGCTTGCGGGACGAGCTCTGAACGCCCTGAAAACGAGTCGCCTGCGAGCTCTGTCTCTAAAAACCCGGTATCACAGTGCACCGTGCTGCGCCCTGATGCACGCTCCACAACATCATGCGCATCCGCGATGTCCACGAGAAAGCTGGCATTCTCGTGGGCAATAACCAGCACCGTCTCACGTTGCAGCTGCGGCAGTAGTGACGCTAAGCGACGGGCACCCTCTTGATCAAGCTGTTGAAGAGCCTCGTCCAAGACCAGCAGATTACTACGATATCCCAGCTGATGACAGATGTACTCGGCAAAGGCCAAGGAAAGTGCAATACTGACTCGTCGCAACTGACCGCCGCTGAGCAGGCCTAGTTCTCGTTCCCGGAACGTGCCTGTGCGCGCGTCTCGACAGTAGACTTGCCAGACAAGTACTTCGAGTGCGTTCTCTGCGCGCGTGGTAGCCTTGGTAAGCTCCCGCTCCCGAGGACGCTGCGCTTGTCGGCGACGACGTATTCGCAGTAAAAGCGTATCATCGCTCAGATGTCGTAGGTAATGACCACAAAGCGTCTCGATGACTTGCAGGCTCTGATCCAGTAACTGGCTCGGTATGCCACCGCGATGAAATGCGCGCGCAAGGAATTCCAGACGATCCGCAGTATCCACAAGCGTGCGTTCATGCGCTACCGCTTCGTTTAACGTGGACTGTAGCGACGCGACGTGCGCAGTTGCCTCTAGGATCGCAGCAGCTATCGGTTGGAGTAGACGCTGTCGCTGCTGTTGAGTCCAGTCCAACGCTCGAAGGGCTCGGTCGTAACGCGCGCGCTGTTGTTCCTGGTGCAAACGCAGCTCTTGCTGCTGCAGCAGATGCTGTTCATATTCGGCTAGAAGCTGGCGATTCGTATCGAGCGTGCGCATAACAAGTGCGGCCTCCATGCTGCAACGATCGCTCGCTTGCGAAAGCTCATGCAAATGCTCGGGTGTGGGGCGCAACGCCACCACTGCATCGAGGCGTTGCTCCAATGCATGCCGCTCCATGAATGCCGCTTCTGTGTCTCTGAGTTCGCGCTCCATGATCTGGATTTCCGCGTCCTTGTCGTGCCGCTGTGCGCGGAGGTCATCCAGCGCACTTGCCAGACGCTGGCGGTCCGTCTGTAGGGCCTGTAAACGATCAGCATACGACGCAGCATCTACTGGTTGGAGACACAGGGCGCAGAAAGTCTTCGAATGTGTTTGCTGCGGCTTTGCTGCTCCATCGCAATCTGCTGCGCTGGATGCCACCGGAGGTTGCTCCGAATGCAGCATCCGGTCCAAGTGGCGTATGCTGGCAACTGTGCTCTGCTCCTGGAGCTGAAGCTCTTGCAACACTCGTTTGAGGTCTTTCACTTGTTCGTGCAGAGCCGTGCGGCGTTGCTCGAGGCTGCCCTGGCACACGGTTATTCCCGCATCGCCTTGGAGCTGCGCATGGAGCGCAGCCCACTGATCCCAGAGTCTCTGCGCCTGGGCAAGCTCCGCATGAAGTTTCGCCTCCTTGCGTTGCAGCTCCGCCAGAGTGGTCACGTCGGCATCGATGCTCGCTTTCAGGTGACGAATGCGTTCGCGGAGCGCCTCGAGAGACGTGTTGTCGCTGCCGCTGTCGATAGTATCCGAGGCCGATGCTTCCGCTGCGCCTTGCTGCCACTGCTCGAGACTCTGCTTCAGTTCCTGCTCTTGAAGATCGAGTTGCAGTCTTGTTTCTCGCTCTGTTCGAGCGAGCTCTTCGATTCGTTCCCGCTCGCGCTCTAACGCCTGTGAACAGCTCTGGATTTTTTGAGCAAGTTGCTGGCGTTCTTCACGCAGTGCTCGCTGTCGTGCAGTGACATGCGCATAGGCCTCGTTCCAGACTTGCAGCGGCAAGGCGCTCTCCAGAATCTCCTTAAACTCCTTGTCGGTTGTGGAGAGCAAGCCATGCAGATAATTCTGGCCAAAAAAGACTACATGTGGCAACAGTGAGAGATCAATGATCTCATTCAGTCGCTGTTGTGTTTCCTCGATGCTGAGGCGTGTGAGATCCCGGGAGTCGTACTCCACGAAAAGCTCCTGGTTATATCTTTCCCGCTGTTTCCCACTGCGGCGAACTTTCCTCCGCACCAAAAGCGGTTTTCCATTCACGCTAGCTCGCAATTCAACAAAACCTTCCGTAGCGTCCTCGTGCAGAATCCGCAACTGCGACACGTTACGTCGCAGATGAGGCCGCGGTTCCAGGCTCCCTGTTAGAGCCCATAGCGCTGCCATCGCCAAAGTCGTTTTTCCCGTACCATTCGAATTGCAACCGTCTTCATCGAGATTGCGTCCAGATACTTGGACGATCCCTCGATTGCGCAGCGGATACCAGATACCAGGTTTCGCGGGGATCGTACGCCATGCTCCATCCGCCGTAGCAGTAGCCGCCGCCACTCGCCCGCGCTTCACGACACCACCGTTGGATTCGAGGTCCTGGTGCGATTCTTCCGAAGCACTCGTGACGCTCATCTGATGCCTTGTGCTCCCTGCTACGTCCATTGACAGCTGATCTACTTGGTTGCTATCCGGTTCAGTATGGAAACAGCCGAAATTATGGAGTCGCACAGAATCGAAGAGGACATGCACAGCACGCAAGCGCGAAAAAGATTCCCCGCGAGCAATTTTTGCGTTCGATTTTTGAATTTGTTCTAAAATCGAAAGTCCGAGCGCCAGCGTCGTTCCGTCCAACTGCTGCGGGTGCTGGCGCGCAAACAGGCGCAGCACATCGGCAGCGTCGAGGCGCTCCGCATTCGGCATTCGCAACTGAGGTTCAACAAAGGTGCGTTGCGCGCTGCTCGATGAAACTTTCTCATTTTCTGCTGGTGCATCCCATAGGCGCATACTTGCGTGAATGCCTCTGCGACGTAGTTCGTTATAGACATACTCCAAATCGTGGTCCATGTCTTTGGCACCGGCGGTGCGCTGTTGCTGCAGCTCGGATGCGGTGCAGAGCAGCGTAACACGATCACCGGGTCGAAAGCCCGTTGTCGCTGATGTTGTTGCTTCTGCCGCCGATGCAGGGATGCTAGCGCTTAGTTGTTGCCGAGCCTGTTTCAATGAAACGCGAAAGAAACGAGGTCCAATGGCTAGCGGCACGATTTCCTCTGTGAGCCAGTCCGTTGATCGCACGACAAGGAGATGTTTCTCTTGTCCTTCCTCAGCTCGCGTGACCTGATAGGGCGAGCCTACATACTGGATATGCGGATAGCCCGTCACCGTATGGGGCCGATGAAAGTGACCCGCATAGGTTGGTACTGGCGAAGGCGGGAAGAGCTCCGGTGCGATACCACCGGGCCCTCCATAGCGCATCTGGTTATTGAGCCACGCGCCCTGAATCTCCGCATGACAGAAGACAGCTTTCACATGGGGTCCGTGTTCTCGCAGCGCTTCCACTAGTTGCAGCGGACGCTTGCGATACGGCAGCCAGAGCGCATCAAACATCACTACAGGTTCGTCAAACACGAGCGCGAGACCAGGCTGCATCGCTGCCGCCACTGGGACCAGCGCGTGTTCCCGTCCGCAGATGCTTACCTGGTCGTGATTACCTGGAAGCATCAGGCATGGTACAGTGAATTGCTGAACCGTCTCCAGGACCCGATTGAGGCATATGACTGGGATGCTTCCTCGTAGATGCCAGAAATCGCCAAGAAATATGATGCCCGCATCTCTGGCAGTGGCCAATTCATGAACTCGCTCAAGAACTTGCAAGCACGTCTCCAGCCGATTCGCATCGACATGAAGATCAGAGAAGACTACGTAGCGCGAGCAGACAAGTTCCGCACGACGAGTCGACAGCACTGGTGAAGAACCTGTCGTCATTCGAGGAGAAACTCGCCCGGATCTCCTTGCTGCCCATAGATTTGCGTTGTAAGCCGCGTGTGATGCCGTTCGTACCAGGCTGGTCTTTGGTTGCGTGATTGCTAGAAAACCGAGGCCCTCAGAGCGAGCGTATTTTCGACAGCGTATACTCCAGCGAGTGATTTTCGTGGCGTTTGCTCGCTGATTTCGAGCCCCAGCCTGGTAAAAAGGAGAGGCAAAGAGCACTGGAGAAGGTCCCCAGTGAAGCAACGCAGTCATTCTACGACTCATAGAAGCTGGGCTAGACACATGAGCTTCGAAGTGTAGCGGGCTAAGATCAACAGCTTCAATCGTTGCTGTGACTCGATGCAGCGCCGCGTACATATCCGCGAGCGGAATGCCAGCGATCGTCTGTTGCTGGAACAGCCAGACAAGACCTACCTACAGAACCTAACACCTGATAGAATATGTGCGCGCTGTTCTTCCAATTCTGTTTGAAACGAAACTATGCTCCTTTCGAGTTGAAGACTTTTGAGACGCGTCCCCTCCGTCCGCTACGTATAAGCGCTGAAACCTGGTATCGGACGTCCGTCGCGTACAGCCGATACGCAGGGACGCCTCTGGTTCCGGGCCTCTTGTTTTTAGGTAATCGACACCCAGAACGCGTTTCACTTCCAGTGAGGTCCAATGCCAAAGACCCCGCGCCTTCCAACGGTACCCAAGTTTCACGAGCAACCTCGAAAGCGACACCCGTTCACAGCAACGATGGCGTGGCTGCGAACCGGCGGCGGTTTTTGGCAGAAGTAGCAGCTGCTGCTACTGCCGTCGCAGCTACCGAAAAAGCGTTCTGGGTAGCAAGCGACAATCGCGCTCTGCAGTGCACGGAGCTTCCAACACTAGAGCGCCTCTCGTCGTTGGCGAGTTTGCGTACTTCCAGCTGCCCGGTTCGCAAGTTGCAGCAGCAGAAGCAGTGACGTCAGCAAGCAACGCTAGGCGTGTCTGTGTCCAATGCGGCGAGCAGCGCCCGCTCACAAGGCACCAGCACTTGTCGAGCGGAATACTCCAAAGGCGACGATAGAATGTGCTCGAAACAGGGAACACTGGGATGCTGGCTCTGTTCCTGCATGGAGATTTTCCAAACCTTATTTCAGGTCTAGAGCCTTGACATTCGAAGTGCAGCGGCAACAACGGCTTACGGATTCACACCTAGTCGTTGGATTATCTGTCATGATATCTGTATGGATATAAATGGAATGGCATTCGGCAGCAGCATGATTTCTCACATGGGATTTGCTCCCAGAGGCTCACGTCTCTTCTCTGGGGATCGAGCAGGTTCTTGGACTCGGACTTGAGCCATCGCAGCGATCGCTTCCTGCGGGGCGTGTATCACCGTTTTGCCCGATGAGAGTGTAGACGCAACGAAATTTCTCGGCGTGTGTTTGAGCCTCGATTCTCTGCAAGGTAATAGGTTCATCAAGGAAAAGCTGACGTTTCACAGATCCTCGATCCAATAGAGCCGCCTGCGTTTGGGCGTGCAACGGACAATGTACTCGCCGAGCGCATCGCCCAGAAGAGGCGGATGCTCGTATGGTACTGCACCGAGCACCAAGACGGGGGCGCGCATCAAGCGATGCCTTCTGCACTCGTCCAGAGCATGAACCAAGCGATGAAGCAGGCGTCAACGCGCCATAGAGCAGCCTTCCGCGGCGGCGAGTTGATGCACGTGCTTGAAAACATGACCGAAGTGATGTGCCACCGCCGTAAAGAGTGTACCGAGGTTGCGCGCGAAGGAGATCCGAATGGTAAGCGGAGCTTAGATGATACCCTGCGCCTTTTGCATGGAAAGCGTTGACGAAACCTGAGCCAGCGTAGCAGGCACGATCTTGGTGCCATCAACATCCGTCGAGTGATGGTAACGAAGCTGGAGGAGCAGGCGAGACCAGTGGATTCTACGTGGGAAACGAGTTAGAAAAAACCCTGCAAATGCTATTGTGGATGATGGTTTACAGAGAGCGAAACTTTAGAATGTACGCCCACATCAGAGGACCGGTTGTATCCTACACTGACTTGGGTGTATCGCCTGTATCGGACGGACGTGCTGCCTTCACGGGGAAGCGCGGTTGCCACAACTGCCTTAAGCAACCCTGGCGAGTATATATCTGCAGAGTCTAGGGAGGACCGTCAGCCTGAGGCTGCTCTTGCAGCCTGCAAAGCAGCTATCCCTGACTGTGTGAATGATATAGAGGACAAAACCTTGTTTGCAAAAGATTATTTTTGCTTTCGCAGTTGCCGATACCTCTACCCATGAATAGTAAGGGTGAAACAGTGGATCAAGTTTAATATCTAAATGATTATCTGCACCTGCACAGCTATTGGTTCGTGTATTCCTGTGCAAACCCTTGTCAAAGTAGATAAATACCGCGATGGGCGTTCAGCGCATGCCACGTGAATGCGTTTACCGTCAGATCAGGAGCCGTCCTACGGCATGAAGCTCAGCGCAGTGCATGGGCACGGAAATTCACCCGATCCATCTTTTTTGAAACGATATCTCGGTACTTGTCAAATTCCTTAGGCATTGCTGCACCACACCAACCAGCAGGTAAGCCGACACCCGGCGAACGCGTTGCGTCCAAACGTGTACCTTGGAGGTCCATGGACAGCGTTCGCTTGCTGCTCCAGTGCGCAGCGTACGCAGTGCGAAGCTCTTGTCATATAATCTACAACAAAAGTCACTGATTTACCAAACTGTCCCTATCTCATTGGGGATCGTGTGCAAACCGGGGCCTCTAGCCGACCCTACACCCGTCGGCGCATCAATCCTGCGGCAAACGTTTCAGGAGACGCTCTCCTTGTTCTTCGGAGAGTGCTTCAAGGCGCTTTTGTTCTGCTTCGCGGGCGATCGAGTTTTTCTTGGGACTGAGAGGCGCTCTTCGAACCAAGAAAGGGTCACGGGTGTGAGAGCCAACTGGGATCATACGCGACCGAGGGCTTGCTCCCTCTTAGAGTGTTTGCGACGGGTGCGAGTCCCGTATCCGATAAGGCCGCAGCCAAGTTTCTTTCGGCACAAGTACTCGTGAACGAGGACGCTTGTTGGACAAGCAACGGTGCGATTGCGCTGGTTTTCGAACAATCTTTAGTTTTGAACATCGCACTGGCTTCCACTGCTAGTGAAGTTTGTGTGGCAACACATGGAACCTTTGAGCTCCACTGAAGCGCCAAGCAGGCCCATGGACGTCGTCACCGCGCCGAATCAGGCGGATCCGAGAGCGTACCCGTTCGCTCCTGCTGACTTAGTCGTTGAAATACTCGATCTTGTCCAGCAAGCGAGCCATTATAAGCAGATCAAAAAGGGTCTGAACGAGGTGCTCAAGTCGATGAATCGCGGTCTGGCAGAGTTTGTTGTTCTCGCGGCTGATACGCAACCTTTGGAGATACTGCTCTCAGCGCCGCTCGTTGCAGAGGATAAAGCGGTACCGTATGTATTCGTTCCCTCGAAAGCCGCGCTGGGACGTGCATGCGGCGTTTCCCGTCCAGTGATCGCCTGTGCGGTTCTACGGGCGGATATGAGTCAACTGCGGAACCAGATCACCGCGCTTCGAACAAAGATCGAACAGCTTCTGCTCTGAAAGCAGGCGAAAACGTGCGCAAGCTTACCGGAGAAGGAGACGGCGCGGTTCAGACGGCAGCGGCCTGCTCATGTAAGTCGCATCGTCGCCGACGCTGTTTCCTCAAGTTTTCACAGGCAAGGCATCTGCCGTCACGGAAATGGCTTGGACTTTGAACGCCATCACTCAAGCCTGTTTTAACGGAGCATCGACCCAGGGTGCCGTGCCTTGCTCGAACGCTTGAAGCGCGCCGCATCGCGCCCTAGACGCCTCTACCAACGCCCATTCGGCTACACGTTTTGACATCCATCGAGGAACGGTACATTACAGCGCAGCGAGAGCGCTGCGGATGCAGACAAAGCTAGCACTCGTGGCTGATTCAGGGGCCTGAGATCCGCACCTCTCCGGGAATGTCAACGCCGGACCCTGGTATCATTCATTCATCGCACATAAACCCCATGTCAGAAATTTACATCCAGTACCGTTGGGTAAACTGCAGGTTCCTTTCTCATGAAATTCTAGTCCATCTCCAGCATTGCAATTCATTGGCTGGACCTCTGCTCAGTGTCGTTCGCGGCAGTGCACATCTCGGCCCGGGATGATGCATGGCTACTGTCACTGCGCAAGCACTGCATAACACGAGATCATCGTTCCGCATCCAGAAAAAAAAGGCAAAACTCTCTCGGAGCGTACTTTAAAGACTTCGAACAGCAGTTACCGCGCAGCAACCGAGGTGGCTGGCTCCACGCCCCAGAGGTGCCTGGAGGTCGCTCGCGACCTCCAGAAGCACGCCAGAGTGCTCGGTGTCCCAGACGAGCGCTATCGACCCGGCACAGCGCCAACGAGCAAAACTTGTTCAATGCTTGCCAACTCGAGCAGACTACAAGTTCGTATCTTGTACTGTTGCAGCGAACAGAACCGCCAAACTCTACACACCGGCTGTGGGTCGGCGCCCCGTCCCTAGCAGCACCTCTTTCGCCTCGTTGACTTTTGCTGCGAGGTATGCGCTTCCGCCCGTGTCGGGATGATTTATTCGCATCAGTCGACGGTGCGCCTCGCGTACTTTTTCTCGGGGAACACCCTCCCTGAGCCCCAGAATGTGAAGCGCCTCCGTGCGACTCATAGTGGGCTCGAAGCCGCCCTGCAAAAAGGAACGCGGAAACTTTGGCCGAGCCGGCGCCGTCTTCAGTACTTGCCACGCCCGTATAGCCGCTCTTCCAGCTAGAGCTGCGCCAGCAACCGCAATACCAGCTAAAAGCGGTGTCGCCATTGCCGGCTCCGAAGCACCCTCTTGACGTTAGGCGGAGAAACGAGACGGACGCGCTGCGGGAGTCGGTGCGAAACGAGCCGCGGCCCGCTAGGGCTCAGACTGTTCAGCGCTGACGCTTCGGACACGTCGACGAAAGAACGTGAACTCGAGTGTGGTCTCTGGACCTCAGCCCTGGGAGCGGTAACAGTTTAGCGCTAACGATTGCATATAAAGCTTGTGATCCACTTTGTCGTGGGTGCGGGCAAGGTGTGAGACCTTCCTACATGGTGACGGAATGGAGCGAAAAGGTGTAAACTGGACACAGTTTTCACACGTGTACCTAGGCCAGCTAACTGCGCGTGAATGGTCGAGTCTCATCATACGTTCGGAAGCCGTTTTATCACAGTCAACGAGTGAGCAGGAGCCAGAGCTGAATCAAGCCCCGGGCACCGTAAAGGTGCGCTCGGGGAGCGCTTCTTCTACGCCGACGCTTGCCGTTTCGCCGAGCCAAGTAGCTGTCGCTTTGCCGCAAACGGAAACACCTTCGTTGTCGCCTTTGAAGAAGGATGCACCTGCGGAAGTGGTCCACAGCTCGAACTCCAATAGCCCCGTGGTACCGCTGCGTTCAAGTGAGAGCCCGAAAAGCACCCCACGAGCGGCACCGGAGCCGGTGTCAGCAGGCACACCGCGACTACGTTGGGCTTCCGTCGTGAGCGGCGAAGCTCGTGCCGATGCACCTGGCGCTTCCCATGAAAGTAACCAGTCAAGTGTGACGACTGAGAGCAAGTTGCTAAAGCGAATAGACGAGGCCGATCAGGCCACCGGGTCGGATCGTCGAGGAAGGCTGTTCACGGGGCTTCCAGCTCAGATGAGCGAACGACTCTTGCAGCTGCTGGAATACGGGTGCCCTGTGTCCAACGACAGAACGCCGTCACCGAGTGTAGCCGCATCATCGATTGCCATAGATCCTCACTGGAGACGACCCGGTTTTGTGAACACCGGGAATTCGTGTTACCTGAATGCGGTGCTGCAAGCGCTTCTGGCCATCGATGAATTCCGCTTAACATGGACTGCGCTTGGAGCGCTTCTCCCGACTCAGCGGGATCTCTTGGAGAAGTGCAACTGCCATTTGGTTGCTGGATGGCTTCGGCTCATCGACGAGTGGCAAGCGTTATGTCAGCAGACGCGCCTCCAGCGAGGACGTTTCGGAGCCGCAGCACCTATGCTACGGCCAACGTATTTCTGGGAGAACGAGCGATTAGCTTCTACCGTGGGTTCGGGTCACCAGGAAGACGCTCAGGAGCTACTGATGATCATGTTGGACGGATTGCACAGTGAGTTGCTGGAACTGCGATCCCTGCTCGGCGAAAAGAGCAAGCTGGCCTCGCTGGAGCGCGCCGCTTCGCCTTCGCTCACCGACTCGGATGCCACCAGCGATACCGAGTGGGAAACCGTGGATCGACGAGGACGTAGCGCTATTGTTCGAACGCACCAAGTGCGAAAGACGTTTATCACTTCCATTTTCGGTGGTGCGCTTCGGAGCGAGGTGCGCAAAGCAGGTGCTAAGCGCTCTGCGGTTCGTGAACCTTTCCTCATGCTATCTTTGGATATCGAAGACCAACGGATTCGGACATTGGACGACGCCTTCCGCTACTTTATGGAACCGGAGTTCCTTGAAGCACCCGATGAGCGCGACAGCAGTGCACGGACCAGAACGCGCGTAGCCGCCAACCTTGACCCGCTGCGGAAGCACGTCACGCTGGATACGCCCCTGCCGCAAGCGCTTATCATTCACTTGAAACGGTTTTCCGTGGCGTCAGACGGAACAGGTCAGGGAAAGAAGCTGCACAAGGAGCTATCATTCCCGCCACAGTTCGTTCTGAATGCATCCTGGTTCAGTGCGGCCGTACCAAAAGCGCAACTCGGCGAGGCGTGTTCCCGTCGGTATCGTTTGGTGGCGGTCATCACACACCTGGGCACGGACTTGGCGAACGGGCACTACATTGCAGACGTGCTGGCGAGCGGTACAAACTCGACATGGTCGTTGTCCAAGTCACGAAACGCCCCTCGGGGATTGACTCGTTCGGTTGATGCCGACGCGATCTGGTGGCAGTGTGATGACCAGGATGTGCAAATGGTGTCCGCAAGCACCGTTCTATCGCGTGCCGCGTATGTCTTGGTTTACAGAAATGCGTAGGATCCTGGGACGGGTACCTAGATGGCGTGTTCGCGTCTGGAATAGAACGATCCCCTATGAATTGAGCGGTTTCGCAAGCGCGCTCTCCATACAGCTCAAAACTGACACAGGCATGACCTTGATGACAACGACATGTGCGGGCTTGCCATATGATCCAAGCAGGGGCTTTTCTAGAGCTTGAATGCACCGAGGAGCGCGCGCAGCTCGAGAACGCTGGCTCCGACCCAAGGCGCTTTGTGGGCAAGTGCCTTCATGTCGCAGCGCTGTACACCGTGCACAGGGCCTGGCTTGCTTTGACTCGGTTTCAGTTTCGTGCAGAACGGCATAGGCGCGGCGCAACGGGCAGAGAGCAGCCAGGTGTTGACATTGCCACTCGTCAGCGACAACTGTGGCCTGAAACGGGATTCGCTTTCGTATCTGTGCTGTTTCTGGAGTGTACTTCTTCCGGCGCTATTGTTACGATCATGAAAGCGTCAATGCATTCTGCAGTCGCAGTTAGTGAAAGCTTTTTTCTGCGGACGCGTGATAAAGCCTTGTGTGAGGTCCCGCGTATGGGGAATAGAATACGCTGACGCGTCCGGGACGCTTCGAGAATCAGGGATAAATAGACTCCACGCACACGGGTGACGGAATGTGCAGCACAAGGGCAACCTGCACCTACTGTTTACGTGGTAGCCCTGAATCGTCTGTTGTCTGTGCGCACCGTATCCTCTCTGGTGGGTCCACTGGGGCAGGCCATCAGGTACGACTACGACTAGACGATTCTCTGGCATGTTCCTATCTCGTTGTGCGTTCGCTATGAAAACACACTGCACGACAGCATTATCCGGAAAGGCAGCCAGACATGAACAGGAGCCTTGTTCGGTACACGCGGGAGGGCGTTTGGCGAGACGCTAACCCTGGGCGTTTGCAGCACGCGAACCGGCCACTGCGGCACTGAGACGACTACTGTGCACTTCGACTGTACCAGAAGCATCCCATCCTTCCTGAACATTATGAGAGGCTAGTGGTTTGGCGCCCCCAGTTACGTATCGAAACCCACGAAGCACCTGCTCCAGACGCGAGCGCTGCGCGACGAGCGCTGCGCTGCCGGTTGCCTCTGGTTGCTGTTCCGCGAGCCACAAGTACTGCATGTGCTGGTAAAGTGTTCCTGATTCGGAGATCTGCTCGAACAACATGCTTCGAAGCCTTCGCAAAATTTCTTTGCACGTGTTGTATTGTTCGTGTAAGAGCTCATACGGAACCTCTTCTGCGAACGGGTCGCTATTACGACTGAGAAGCGCCGAGAGTGCTAGAAACTCCCTCTCTAGCGCTGCACAGGCTGTGCTGACGGCCTCTGCTAGCTCTGCAGGCGTGTTTCTCATACGGAAAGGAGTAGGGCGTCGAGCGGCGGACGAGTGTCCGTCCGAGTGAACGCCACGAACCACGCAAAAAAGGACCCTTAGCGAACAAGTGCGTAGGAAACGACGGTAAAAAGGGCGCATTCAGAGCGTGCAGTAGCATGGAAACCCATATGTTAATGAATGTCGCAGATGAGAATCGCTATCCGGGTGGTATACTTGTGTCCATTAAAATCCCAAACTGTACACCATTCTCTGTGTCCACGCCTGAGGCCCGATGCACCAGCGGCCTGCGTCAACTGCAGCATCTCGAGCGCGGGTTCACGAAGGCTCGTTGCACCCCATCAACCTGCGGTTCGTTCACTTTTCGTGATATACAAACAGCTGCAGAATGTTTGCGTTTGCTAGCCATGCTTTCGCTGGAAACGCACACCTTCCGAAGACTTCACTATGCGCGCTCACGCGTCAGCGAGAGGCTCTCAGTGTTCGGGCGCGTGGAGCTCGTTTACGGCTGTGGACGCAGCCGGGCTGCTCGCTCATCATGGGAGTTTTCCTGAACACACCCACCCTGGAGCAGGCGAAAGCGGATCTAATTGAACGCGTGAAGGATCTTGATATGGGACGTATAGGGTATTCGGATGCGTTCGCGAAAGAGCTGGATGAAAAGTACATCAAACCGTTAGAGGCGATGAACCCGACGCGAACGCCTGTGGAGTCACCGCTTCTGGACGGTCGCTGGCGCCTCATCTACACCAACTCGAAGAACGTGTTGGGGCTGGATCGACCGAATATCGCACGCCCTCTACGAAACAGCATCTATCAAACCATATACGTGGAACGCGGCCAAGTTGTGAACGAAGAGCGCGTGCTGTTCGGTCTTCTCACGAACCGGGTCCAGGCAGTATTCACGCCGGAGCCGCCCCGTCGGGTTCGTGTTCAGTTCAAACAGTTCCAGTTTGGCCTGCTTCGGGTTCCAGCGCCGGCGAGGGCGCGGGGATGGCTCGACATCACCTATTTGGATGAGGATATGCGCATCTCTCGAGGCAATCTAGCGAATGTTTTCGTGCTCTTACGCGACTAGCTTGTCGCACGTCAAATGATGTTCGTGCTCGACCGTCACTTGATTCTCAGACTTGCCGTGAAATCTGGGCGAATCGAGATAGCGTGGCCTCCGTACCTACGCTGGCTCCCAAACCGCGAGACGAATCACAAGGATGGATGTCTCTGCTGGAGCTCGGAGCAACGTTTCGTGTCAGCGCTTGCAAGGGTAACGCTCGCACTGCCGTCCTGGTAGGCACGGATGCGATCATCAGCATCATAAGATCAACGGGGTTTAGCTATTTGTTGCGTTTGTAAAGCAAAGAACTGGTACAGTAGAATCCCACGCACTCCGCTGAGCACAATGAACCGGCGTATAAACCAACGCGGTAGCAGGATTCGCGTCGGACCCAGGCTGCGAGCTTGCGTCGCCAAGAAAATGTTCCCCGAACTCAGAGTCATCCGCATAATCAACGTAGGCATGTGGCGGCGGCATCGTGCATTTGGGAATCGCAACACCCCGGTGTTCGTTGGGGTACGGGTTTTGCCTTTGAGACCGGCGTCAAGTTTGTCGCGTCTCCGAGGGCGAGACCCGAGCGCCTGCTCGAAAGCCGATGGGGCTTCTCGCAACGGGATGCGTATAGTGCAAGCGCTGTCCGTTTCGAATTCCATGTCGAATGAATGCCCCCAGATGACTTGTGTTCCCAGCGAGTTAGCGCTCACGAGACTAAGTGAATGTAATCGGGTCCGGAAAATTTTCTTGCATGCGTATTGGCGGATGTTGCGGACCTCTATATCGTTTTCGGATGGTCCAGCCCCGGAACCGATCACTGGGAGCCTTTCTGCTCCTCTGGTGCACGTAACGTGGAAGCACAACCACGATGGAGCTGACAAAAGCGCATAAGGCCAAAGAGGTTTCCCATGCTCGCTTTTTCAACACCCATCGTCTCTGGGCTCGTTCGTTCACGCAGTCTAGCCCCAGATCCAGAGCACGGGACCTGGTCTTTCAAATCATGCAGTATGTGCTGCATACATCTCGCACGCTTTTCAACCTCGAATAATAATTCCTGGACATGCCTCGTAAATACTGTCAGTAAGCCAGAGTTTTGCGCTGCGCGAGAACTTGTCAGAATCGAACCAGAGGTATCCCCCGAAACGATAAGGATGAGCAACACGCGCGTTCGCTCTGCGTCGAGCACGCGAAGAAAAAGCACAATCTCACTGGATATCGTTTCTGGTATGAGCACGTTCCCCGAGAGCCGCTCCTTGACACCGCTCGGTAAGGGTTCAGGTTTGGGTAACGATTCCTCTGAGATTCTCAAGCTCTCCAGGGCTCTCCAGGAATGTTCACAACAGCGTAGACTGCGGCAAAAGCGGTGGGCATGTCGTTGGCATCGCCCGGTACCATCGGGGTCGCCTTTTTTGCGCGGCGAGTCGCCACGCGCGAGGCGTTTCTTGCAGCAGTGCTTCCTGGTAGCCGAAGAGGAATGTTGGAAACGAACAGAAAGCGATACTGGCGTCAGTGCTGAAGGACAAACTATGGACCAGGTGACTCCGAACGCGACACCCGAGCTGTCGCAACTTATCGACTGCTTCTTCGCGGAGCCCGTTCTCCTTGAGCTTATATTCACTCGACAAACTGGAGCAGAAAAGGAACTCGAAGAGGCATTACCCAGGGCCTGGGCCCTAGCGACCCTCAAGGCTTGTAGCTTTTGCAACCGGCACCCTAGTCGGGACCGTGCGCGGGAGGCGGTAGCCGAGTCCTGGAGAGCGCTCAGCAACGCGGCCGTCTATGAGCAAGGTGTACTTCAGACAGAAGCATACTTCCTGTGGCGGTTATTCAACGGCGGATGGTGCCAAAACGGAGGCCTACAGCTGGTGCTTCGCTTCTATCTTCAATGTCGATCGCTTTTGCGCGAGCTTCGTGCATTGGAGGATCCCGCCGAAGAACTTGCCATACGGGACGCAAATCCGCCCACACTGGAACATCTATTGGATCGAGCAAGGGCTCTTGTTCGGAGCGCTTTCGATACACGTTTGCTACTGCAAGAGAGGTATCACTCCTTTGCCTGGGATGCGGAGTTGGACGGGGCGGCATCTCACGAAGCCATCAAACAACTGGGCCAGCACGCCATCGCCCGCTTAGAATGCAACCAAGTTTTTTTGCGGAATCTGCCGCTGGTCCTGTTGAACTGGCTCTGTAAGGTCGACGCATCCGGAAATACGAGCAGCGCTTCCGGGCGACTGGTAGCGCCATGGTGGCGATCCATGGTGGATCTCAGCTACGTAACGCATTGTGCCATGGATGCATTGATTGAGAGAGAGCTCGCGGATATCGCACGGGAAATCGTGGAGGAGCAACAATACGCTTCACAGGACTGGCGTGGACCTGTTGAAAATCTCCCAGCAGACCCTGTGGATCTTCTTCTAAGTGACCCCCAGGTATACCTGGAAGCACACCGAGAACGGCTTGAAGGTTCTCGAAACGCGTCATCGGCTTTGGACCTCGAATCAACGAATAGTACCGCCTTTGCGCGGCATAGGAGCGGTGAACGTGATGATTTCGAGTACCTTATGGATGAAAGCGTGCGAAGGACGTCGTCGTCCACACCGTTTACCTCCGATGATTCGCAGTCAAAGACGTCTGCGAGAGGAATTCCATTGCCTCAGAACAGACGCCTCTTCACGCACCTGCCCACAGATACAGAGACGACTGCCACGTCACCCAGGACAGAGGGATATCCATCGACACCCGCGGTTGAACGGGAACCGCCATCTGCCTTGAATCCGTCCCCAGTGGAAGCGTCTTGGCAGGGATCTGAAGTTGGCGCCCAGCTTTCGGACAGCCTTTGTCGAATTCTCTATGTGGACGGACAATATTACGTTTGTGGCGGCGGCATTCCGTGTACCATGCTTTCACATCGTGCTCAACAAGCGCCCCATATGGCCGCGGGACGGCGAATCGAGCATGGCTAATCAAAATGCTGCATAATGACCAGTGGATTTCCGGGCATTACAATGACGTGATCGAGGCCGTAGCATTTCTCCGCTTGGATGCCGTTTTATGGCGCACGTGCAAACAAACAGCATCATGCGCAGTGTCCCTGAAGACCGCTCGCGTTGACGCTCGCCTGTCTATGGCGAAAGCGTTCTGTTTCCGTGCATAGCGCCCGCAATAACGCTTTCAATGCCGCAGGACGCGACCCCGATAAGTTCGGAATCCAAAAGGCCGTTTGAACGGACCTCTGCGAATGTAGTATGTTGCTCGGGGCACTGCAAGCGCCTAGGGTATATTAATGGTTGCTTCCCTGAACACGGTACGAAATTCGCATTCGGCGGATTCCTGGTCAGTACATGCATCCATCTCTTGCACTCAGGAATGGAATCGCAATCGCGCCAGTGTTGTCGCATCGTAACTGCTAGGCAGGATCCGTCAAAGCAGTTACAGCGTGAGCGAATTTCATGTGATATCTTCCCAGAACATCGTAATCGTGGCGATCAAGATGTTGTTCTCATACTTGGAGAGCAGAGCTCAGGACACCATGTTCCTCGGATGTTTCGCGTGGTATTGCAGCTGCACCAAGCTCCAACTGGCCCCGCCATATCCTTGTTTTTCGGAACGCACGTCCCAGAGGCGCGAGCGTAGACCCCAGTGAACTCCAGCATGCAAAAGCACGAGCGCCACATCGATTGGCTTCAATCAGCCGCGGCCTGTGTCGCGTGCTGTACACCAGGAGCGCATCACCTGCCAGCACTATTGACGTGCACCCATGACACACACGGTGCATGGCATGTGTGCACGGTGCCCGCAGCGGCGTTATCACCTGCGAACCACGGCGTTGTGGTGGAGACTGACGTCTCCTGGGATACAAGTTCATACCTGGCGACGTTCTGAGCGCTGAATCTGCGTGCATGCGCTTGTTCTTGGACAATGGACCGAGGGACATCTGGTGGAGATATCGGCGGGCGCCGCCCCCCGGACACTCTATAGCATATGCGGGTGCGACCGCCGCGTTATTTCAGGAATGTCGCTCATCGCCTGCGTACACCGGCACTCGTCTCTAGTCCTTTAAATGATAATCCTTCCCTGAACCGAAAAAGTTCCCTTCGTTCCTTTGCTGCCCCAAGCACTGGAACGGGTCAGCCGCTTCCCCGGCGAGCGCGCCTTTATAGAAGCCGCTTCATGGTCACGTTGCAGTGCTCGCGGCTATTCAACGATCACGGAGGCATTCGTGGGAATCCATGTTTCTCCAGAACGAGCGCAATCTGCTCAGCGTTCAGGAGGTCGATGTCCACCTGTCGAAGCAGCACACCGCCTTCTGCGTAAAACTCCAGCTTCGGTTTGCCGGGCGTAAAATCTCGACGAACTGGGCGTTGGAACCTCCATGCGTTCGACACAAAAACCCGTGTGGTGAAATCGCGAACTCCCGGATACCTCCCCAAGGCCTGTTTAAGTTAGCGAGACGCTCACTCGCCGTTGTGAGCGAGTTCCACGTCACTCGGGTCCGGTTAGTCTCTGGTACTCAGCGTCAGCCAAGGAGTCTTGGTATGCTCCTCATCGAAGATTTCGGTAAGAAATCAACCTCCGTCAATGTAGATAAGGTATATAGTTCCGCATCATTCGCTTGGCGTACTTACTCATGCGCTAGGTGTGAAGAGCACCGCCTGGCGAGCGTTCTCAACAACGGTCGCGTTTACGTCTAGGGCAGAGCGCAGCTGCGCCTCTGCTGCCGTGTCCAGCTTGCCGTGCGCAGCGTTCATCTGTGGCTCTAACCAGAGCCGCTGCGCACCGTACAGGATGCCTGTGGTGAAAAGCACCAGCACTGCACCCACGGTCACCACCTGAACAGCGACCCATACGGAACCCAAAGCTCCGGGGCGAAGAGACGCACCTGCGTTTCCCCTCTGGGAGCGCACCGCGGTCGACTGGCCGGTGCCAGCCTCCTCATCTTCCACTAGACGGTAGAAACCGTCTCGTCGGCGGCGCCCTGGATCCATATCATGGAGAGCTTCCGATCGACCGGCAGTAAAGTGTGTGGTTCTCGATGAAAAACGGGTAGAGGCACGCCTCTACACACACCCTCTGCGAGAAACCGAATGTCGAATTGCTTCAGAGTGATGCGCCGCTGAAGCATCGACGGAGAACATGCGGCAGCGCAACCGCAGAGGCTGAAACCGTTTTGCAATACGGAGACGTGGATGCATCGTAGCTGGATTGCGTGGATGCCTAATGATACCCGAAAATGTGAGAAGAGGATTGCTGCTCCTTGCAATACGGAGACGTGGATGAATCGTGCCTGGATTCCGTGGATGCCTAATGATACCCGAAAATGTGAGAAGAGGATTGCTGCTCCTTGCAATACGGAGACGTGGATGAATCGTGCCTGGATTGCGTGGATGCCTAATGATACCCGAAAATGTGAGAAGAGGATTGCTGCTCCTTGCAATACGGAGACGTGGATGAATCGTAGCTGAATTGCGTGGATGCATACTCATACCCGACAATACGAGAAGAAGGCCACTGCTCTTTTTCATACTGAAAAATCGATACATCTTACCTCGATCCGCTGGATCCGTGATTGCTCTCGGGTACAGGCAGCGCCCGTACGAGGCCCTGACGGACGCCAGCTCGACATATGGTGCCTCCTTGTCATGAACAAGCGACCGCTGACGCCTGCTTCGACGATCATATGCCGCGAACGCAAATCGCTGCCGGGAATCCCGAAGCAGCAACGGCGTGCGGCGCCTCGGTACGACGTACGCAGCGGCTGCTGCGCTAAGGAGCACGTGCTTGGAACGCATCCAGCGTTTCCGCTTTGGGAGCACCTACACCAGATGAATACACAAAATCCTAGTCCGCTTAATGCTGATCGGGACTCAGCCGCTACAAATGGCCGTGAGTTGGTCGAATGTATCCAAGGAGGTTGGTTCATGGAACGAAGCCCCCTGTGGCCGGGGCAGGCGCTGGCACTGGAGGTTCAGCGCGTTCTGTACCAGGGGCGCTCTCGCTTCCAAGACATTTTGGTTTTTGACTCCAGAGCACACGGCCGTGTATTGGTTCTCGATGGAGCTATTCAGGTCACAGAACGAGACGAGTTTGCGTACCAGGAGATGATCACACACTTGCCGATGTTTGCACACCCGCGACCCGAGCGGGTGCTGGTGGTTGGCGGCGGCGACGGCGGCGTGCTGCGGGAGGTTCTGCGACACGACGCTGTGGATAAGATGCTTGAAAAAGTTGTGCTTTGCGAGTTGGACGAAGATGTGATACGAGTGAGTCGGGACTATCTACCAGGGGTTTCCGGGGGCGCACTCGATGGAACCAACGCCAAAGTGTCGATCGCGATCATGGATGGAGCGGCTTTCATGCAACAGCATCAGTCGCAGTTTGATGTGATCATCACGGACTCTTCAGATCCGCTGGGTCCAGCGGAAAGTCTTTATCAGGAACCCTTCTTCAGATCGATGTATGCCGCTCTTCGGGAGGGTGGCATTGCATGTGTTCAGGGGGAGAGTTTTTGGTTGCACCTTGATCTCATCGTCAGTGTTGTGCGCATCCTTCGCAATATCTTCGATGTGGTTGAGTACGCTTCAGCGAGCGTTCCGACCTATCCGAGTGGCCAGATAGGATTCCTGCTCTGTGGAAAGGGAACGGTATGGCGCAACGGCGGTCGACCACGACACGCGGCTCGGCGACCCAGTGAAAAACTGCAACGTCACCTGCGCTACTACAGTCCCGAGATGCACGAGTCTGCCTTCGTTCTGCCACCTTTCGTTGAAAAAGCAATTGCTGGAGCGCTCCAGCATCCGCTGGAGGCGAGCTGAGCGTTATGTTCAGAGGCTTCTCACCTGGGATGGTGTTGTAGGCGTCCGCGGCAGCTGCATCGGTGTCGCGCTCCATGGCAGGCCACAAGCGCAAGGTTCCACGCTGCCGTATGCACACCGGTCATCCTTCCAGAACGTATGGCAGTCTTGAGCGTGTTCGAGGGATCCATCGCATTCGCCTGCAAGTGAACTACAGGGTGCTCGTGTAGCTGCCGCACAGAGCCGCTTATGCCGTATGTCGACAGAGCCGTATTCGGAATAGATGCTGCGTCAGCCGGTCGATCGATCGCTGGAACCGGTGCTTTTGTGAGCCGTACACCCATGGACTTGGATCTGTTTCTGAACGGGATTCAAGTCAGCGATAACCACAACCGAGAACATGGCGAATGCGGAAACGGTCGCTCGCCGGCTCCGTACGCGCTAAGGATCAAACGCCATGACGAAATGGAAAAGCGCGTAATTGTCCGAGCGAGTCTAGCGTCACGATAAGCGCCGAGCACCTGAGCCATTGGGCCCGTGCTCCTCTGGTCCAAATTAACAACCGCATAGCACCACGAGAGACGCGAGTATGTATCCTATATCGCAACCGGCTTCTCTTCAGTGAGAGGCGCTTTTGTCGCCTTTGTAACTAGCAAGATAGCCTGCACAACTTGTACGAATTCAGGTCGCGGAGCTGTGAGGATAAGAGATTTTGCAAGCCTCTCTCGAAAAACCATACCGAACGTGGAATCTCGAATTGCTGTTGCAAAGCTCCACGTAATTGCGCCTTTGGGATCCTGTCCTTGAGAGTGCACATGTTTCCGTTGAGGATCAGGACTATTGACAGATTGAGCGAGTGCTCCTACCATCATTCGATGCTCGTCACGCACAAGTCCGAGCACCAAAGGCGAACTGGCTGATTTTTCTTACGCTGTGGCGGTACCTAGTACCGTCCTATGGATGGTAAAAATGTGCTTCGGGTGCAGGCTGAGCATTGCGCCGAGGTCACCAACCACTGCAATCGTACGGAGGCAAGCAGCGTGCTCTCGCGAGCTTGCTCTGTGAGAAACAAAAGAAAATGACTCGTCACTCGCGTCGTTTGATGTCAACCTACAACAGCGGATGTGCTGTAGCGTGCACGAACTGCACTCCTGCTCCCTGGACGGCAGCATGTAGCGAGTCGAGGAGTCGACTGTGTTCGATTCCCATCAATGAGATCGGTAAGACTTGCTCGCATGAAGAGCTCAGGTGCATGCTGAAACTTGCAGAAAAGAAAGTGAGACAGAGGCGGATGCACGAGGTGATGTAGTAAAAGGTGAGCGAACGCCAGATTTCCAGGCAATCCAAGCTGACAAGCTTGCTGTGGTGTGATAACACCAATAGTTATACACTCGCGAGCACTTTCTACACCGAGACTTGAGCGCTATGATTCAAGTCTGGGAAGGCTGTCGAGGTTCCGGAATGTCTCGCAGGTTCATGTCGAGCAAATTTTGATGACATCGTATACTACATATTGTGGGGATTATCCTCAACCGCTGAAGACTCCCGATGATTAACCAATAAATGATCAGGAGAGAGGCTATGGAAATCTCCTCGTGAACAGGAAACGATTTTTTACGCCACATGTGATCAATAAAATCAGCATTGTTTCGCGACTATGGAGGGTACATATATATGCACTTGCAGACGCCTCCCTGCCTTTTCGACCGGCCCACTGCTATCGGTTCCAGGTTATCCGGGCACACTTCGAGCCTGAGAGCCTCCCCCGTGACGTTGGATGGCTTCAGCTCCTCGGGTGTCGGCTTCAGTACCACATGCCGTCTGATACTGATGGCCGCGCTGAAGTCTCGGTTCACGAACTCCATGCGTTTCTTGCTTCTGATGGAATTCACCTTTGCAAGGATTGTCAGAACTCGTGCCCTCGGTGTCACTACAGTACCGTCATCGTCTCATCAGGAAAACACTTTTTCTCCTCTATTTTCCCTGTTCTTTCTCTTCGTGACTTGCTCTTCTTCGCCCCACCGTGGGCGAGAGGAGGATTGTGGAGTTTTTTCGGCAGCCGGCGATAACGGCCTTCCGGGATCCCTGACTTCCATGCCCGAAACTTTCCTTTAGATTTCTTAGTTTTGAAAATGCGTGCACTCCCTGATGCCTCTGGGTGAGAACCTTCCCGTAGGGAGATTGACTTGCGGAAGAACGACGAAAAGTGCCGTTTTGTAAACGTGTGCCGAACGCTTTAGCGATGTGCCCAGCAGAGCGAGCATTACGTTTCACAATAGAAAACGCTGCCTGAATCTGGGCGAATCATGGAGATTACGAAGGAATGAAAAGCAGCTCTACCCGGATAGAATCCGCCTACGCTCGAAAGCAACGGGAATAGTGGAATATCCCGTCGTCCAGCAGGCGGGCTTCGCTAGGCGTCAGATGGGGAAAGGTCTTCAATGATTCGACAGAGTGGATGCTGCTGGATGAGCCTTCTCTGCGAGCGAGACTGAGGCAGCCATAGGTATCCACTGGAGCTGGAACGGATGATGATATATTCGTTCTCTCCGAGTTGGATCATACATGCAACAGGCACTATGCCCCGCCAATACCCATATACACTCCGACCGTTTCGTCCGAAGCAAGTCTCATCGATTGAGAACAAAAATCGACGTCCTTGCGCTTCATACCGATCGTCGAGTTCCAAGAAAGCTGTGGTTGCGGTTTCGGTGGAAGACGGCCCTGAAAGAACTAGGGCATCTTTGCGACTGTTTCCCAACGTATTCTGGGCCAGACGAACAAGCTATTGAGAGGCAGAGATGCCCGCGGTGGCTACTATCGTCGATTCCGGTTTCCGTAAAGTGACTAACACGTCGTTTTTGCCATGGACTGCAAGCAGCCGTTGAGAATATCGGTTTCTAGCGCAAAGTGCATCTACGTAACTCTTTCAGTGTTCCTCAACCATTCGAGTCCAGTTGTACGACTGGCCTGAATGAGGCATGCATTCCGTCATGCGCTGTTCATTGCAGAATATATACTATACGCTATGCGTCTGGGATCAATTCAGTACATTACACAGAAAATTCCATCTCCTGCTCTGTTCTGCGAAAAAGCGTTCGATGGCATGCAGGGGCGGTGGACCAGAATCGAATCGCATGCCATGATTATGGACAAAGCTTGCCAATAGTATCCAATGTTGGTGGCGTCTGTGGCGGCGCTCGCATTCGCTGCCCCCACTACCTCGTCGCCCTGTTTTCGAGCACTCTCCAGGCGGTGGAAAGAAAGCGTAGCTGTCTGGATAGTCTCGTTGTCATGGCAGATAGAGTTGTACAGATGAGCTCTTCAGATGTGACAACTCGGAACGGAGCGGCACCGGCCGCGGCCTCGGCCACAGCTGTGAAGCGCACGGAGTCTCCACCAGGGAGCAGCGCGGAGGCAGCAGTACCAGCAGCAGCTGCGGAAACGTCGTCTCCTTCCTCTCAAGCAGAGTCCAACGAGGAAGCATCTAAGCAGGAAGACCAAGTTATTTCGCAGCTGGAGCGGCTCCCGAGGCTTGGTCGAGGTCACGAGAGCACGGGCGCTTCCGCGGCACGCAAAACCAGTGCGCCGACAACTGCGGCTTCCGAAGACGCATGCAAGACCAGCAGCGCTCACGGTGCAGGCAACAATAATGAAGATGACAAAGGCAACGAGGACGACGACGTAGATGAGCCTCTGCCTCTACGCGGACTCAACGAGGTCGAGGGCGCCGATCAGGTCGAGGTCACGCTCTCCGACGACCGTGCGTTGTACACGTCGGCGGCCACGTTCGAAGAGCTTGGTCTCCCTGTTGAACTCCTTCAGGGGGTCTATTCCATGAAGTTTAGCAAACCGAGCAAAGTTCAAGCAGTTTCATTGCCGATGATCCTAGCAGCGCCTCCACGCAACCTCATCGCACAAGCACACAATGGCTCGGGTAAGACGGCTTGCTTTGTCCTCGGAATGCTTTCTCGAGTAGACACGACGAAAGACGTCCCCCAGGCGCTTTGTTTGGTGCCGACGCGTGAACTCGCCCGGCAGATTCGAGACGTTATCATGAACCTGGGCAAGTACACAGGCTGCCGTGTCTACCTGGCTGTCAAGCAGGGAGAGGAAGAGCGCAGCCAGCCCCGCGTCACGAGCATTCGTGATCACATCATCGTCGGCACTCCGGGCCGGGTCATGGATCTCTTGCGGCACCGCGTGTTCTCCGGCAAGACGATTCGTATTCTCGTGCTGGACGAAGCAGATGAAATGATTGACACGCAGGGTATGGGTGACCAAACGCTGCGCATCAAGAAACTGCTTTCACCGGACGTGCAAACGCTTTTGTTTTCCGCAACCTATCCGGATCATGTGCGCGACTTTGCCCTCAAAGTGGTGCCAAATGCGAATCAAATCACTGTCAAGAGAGAGCAACTCAGTCTGGATAACGTGAAACAGTTCTATATCGATTGTGGTTCATCCGAAGGCCGTTTCCAGGTACTCAGCGATATTTACGGATCCCTAAGAATTGGTCAATCCATTATTTTCGTGGAGCGAAGGCGTGATGCATCCGAGTTGGCACGCCGCATGCGCGCCGACGGCCACTCGGTAGCGCTGCTGCACGGCGGCGACATGACCCCCGAGGAGCGCGACCGCGTCATCGACTCCTTCCGTGCCGGCACCGACCGTATCCTGATCAGCACTTCCGTGTTGTCGCGTGGCGTCGACGTGCTCGCAACGACGGTGGTGATGAATTACGACCTGCCGCGGGATCGAACAGGGCACGCTGATCCCGAAACCTACCTGCATCGCGTAGGGCGGACCGGGCGTTTTGGACGCAAAGGGATCGCCATCAACTTTATCTACGATCACTGGAGCCGTCAGTTATTACAGGAGATTGAGCAATATTACGGGGATCGTTGTCATATTCAAGCCGTTGCGAATGTGGAAGAGCTCGTGTCGATCCTGGAAGATGAGGCAAATTTTTAGAGGCGACATCGAACACAGCGCCTGGCAGAGCGCTTCGCTCGGCGAACGCGGTATCATCTGGTGCTCCAAGGCCGTGTTTTTCATCGAGGTTGCCGAGCCTCTTACGTGCAGGGCACATTTGTGCATCGATTTGGCGAGCTCAGCTATCGCTTCGGTTTCTGGTGCTGAAACATATACAGTGATTCGTCATTGTGTCCGATGGAGCGTGCAGCATCTGACTGCGGGCGAGGCTGTCGCGGTACTGGGGGCGTAGCGAGGTGCTGGGCTCGCCTCTCTCCGGCTCTGTACATTGTTCGTGTAAACAGGTAGATATTCCTTGAGGTTTCGCTGGTGGATCCGGGGGCATCATTACAGTGCACGAAAAACGATGTCGTACCAGAGTACTGGTTGCGAGGCCGAACAAGGAACGCGTCCGAGTTATGCTATGCGTTTCCGCGAGCTGGCGGCTCATGTGTCTCACGGCCGACGCAGGTGGCAACACTGCGCGCTGAGCACTGGATGTCTTTCGCGAGGATGCTGCTTGAGAAGGAAGCGCGTGGTCCTGCTTTGACGCTTTGCAAGCGTGCATACACCATTCAACAACAAGCGCTGTTAAGACAGCATTGTTTTAGGGGCCATCGTCGCTATGCCGAAAACGCAGTTACAGGCAAACGATGGAGTGCTTGCTGCAACCATCCTCACGAAGCGTAGTACCGTCTCTTCAACAGCACCAACAAGAGCGGTTGTCTTGACCAGGAAATGATGAAAAGGACGAACAGCAAGAAGCGAGAATCTCCCACCGAATACTACAGCCGTTCAAGGGTCTGGATGCGGACCCAGGACTCCAAAGCGGTCCACAGACGTGGATGTAGAAGCCGGCTTCGTTAACATGTGTCATATTGCCCTGAGCGTTGACTGTGGACCAGCGAGCAATATGCACTTGCACGATGCACTCGATTCTCACAGCACCCCGCTTCGTCGTCAGCTGGGAGTGCCTCGGAGCGAGCGTTCCGTTATGCTGGGCAAGTTCGCTGGCAGGATGTCGTTCGTGACCGAAACGCGCACTCCAAACAGTTCACAAGGCTTTCTCTTTGGAGAATCCTCGAAGTAGATCTCCCAGCCAAATCCTTGCAATACGTGCATGCTTGCGTCCGTATCTGTGGAATATCGCAGCTGTGGTCCACACATGAACGCTGCTACAGTCCTCGAGGTTACCTGCTCGACTCGAGCACCAACCGTATACGTGTAGCGAGCAGCACAAGCAACTGAGTCAGGCCGCAAACCTCCCAGAGTATTGAGAGGTTACCCGAGCAACCTTGGTGGTCTGTTTTGTTCTACTTCAATCCACAGCAACGTACGAATCCCCCTGGCATCCTTTCCTGTGACTTGCGTGAGCCCGGTGGCACCGCCTATCGTTCTACGAGCAACACGAAGACAAAAACCTCAAATGCTCCTAGCAAACGACCTGATCGACCAGTGTTGTACCTTTTGTCGTCTTGTGCGCAGCAGCAAACGAAGTGCTGCATTCGACGCGTCACCGCGCACTACAAAAACACAAAAATAAGGAAAAAAAGAACAGAAAAAAGCGCAATATCGAAGAACGCTGGCAAACGTAAACGTTTTGTCAATGAGAAACAAATCGACGCGAAGCTATTTCGTACGTTTTCGCGCTGGGTTCGCGGGTGAAAACGTTTGTGCCCCAGCATGCAGTGCCTGCACACGTGACTGTTCCAGATGACTTGTTCGAGGTAACGAAATGAAAAGAAGCAAAACCGGAAACCAGGTGGCTTGGAATGCTTCACGAGTTCCTCATAGAGGAACACGCTGGTGCACGTTCGCTTTCGGGACGCGTTTGCCTTGGCTTACCCCGTGGCAGGCGTTCACGCAGAGAGGTAGCCACTTGGGCACGGCGCGGAGGTGCCGACGCCCCACTGCGAGTCGCTCGCAACCAGCATACAGTCGCACTCGAACACTTGTGCTGCAAGCGCGAGGTTCAGAGCCCGAGTCAACAGCAGCGTCGGGTCTGTCAGAACGAACCGAAAACACTGACGCACTGCCGGAAAAACGGGTGCTTGTGCAACAGTGGAGCGGTACTAGTCGTCGACGCATTGAAACTTATTGTGATTACGAAGGAAAGCTGAGCGTTCAACGCCAGATTTCTGGCCCGCAAGTGAGGCACGGCCTCCAGTTCAGCACGGAGCCGCTTCAACGACTGCTTGCATCGGTGTTTTTGCCTACGAACTATCCGCACTCCGTTACCGCTAGCTATGCACCGTATGCGTTTTGGCACTTTCTGCATAATACGCTCACGGCCTGTAATAGCGTGCTGGGCACCACCGCGTTGCTGGTATCGGCAGGGGTGGTCGCTGACCCGTCTCGTGCAGCGAGCACAGCGCTGACCCGAGACCCAGCACTGGAACACCTACCGACTGCTGCGAGTGCCTCCGCGGTAACCTCGTGGATCCTCAAAGACGGTGTTGGGCATCTTGTTCGACTTGCATTTGGCTCTCGATATGCCCATCGCTTTGATGGAGACCTCAAACGGTTGCGCGTCCTGGCGGATGTGCTCTGGCATCTCGGAACCGGCCTCGAACTGGTATCACGGAGCTTCCCGGATTCGTTTATCGGTCTGGCTTCGGGTGCCTATGCGCTCAAGGGTATGGCACATGTCGTTTTCAATTCCACACGGAGCACCATCTACCGGACCGTTGCGACGCGGTCGAATATCGGTGATGTCACCGCGAAGGGCGATGCCCAGTCGATTGCCGCGGAACTCCTGGGTATGTCCATCGGACTCTCTCTTTATCGCGGTTTCGCAGAGAATAATCTCTTCTGGACATGGGCAATCTTCGGAATTGTCGTTGCCGGACAGATGTACAGTCGGATCCAGTCGATGCGGGTACTCGTCTTACCCCTGCTGAACTTGCAGCGTGCAGTGCTGCTCGTCGACGCGTACGTCGCAAGTCGTCTAGCCGCCGCAGCGACAGCGAGCGAAGCCATCAGGCCCATACGCAAGCAAGAATACGTGTCGAATGTCCGTGAAAACGGCACCATGAAGACGTTACTTGTCCTTAGTCCGGAGGAGGTTGCCCAGCGAGAGCGCTTCCTGCACTGGCAAAGTCACTGGTCGACGGTACCTCAGGTCGTTCCAGATGTGCGCATGCACTGGTTCAGCGAGTCTGCATCAGATGTAGGAACGCTCCTGCGTGTTTTTGAGACGGAAGCATTTGTCGTTGGGCGTTGTCGACGCCAGCATCCCGCGCAGTCCAAGGAACAAGTCGGTTTTGTGATGAAAACCGGAGCCGGTGCGCGTGAAGCCCTACGCGCGCTCATTGCCGCGATCTTCCTGGTGAGGCAGCCGCAGGCCACCGAGCGAGATGCGCTTCTCTTCAGCAGACTGGAGCTGACCGAGGACTTCTTTCGTGAAGCAGCTTCGCGAGGTTGGCAGCTGGACTGCGTCCACGGGGTGGGTCAGCGGAACCGCCTGCTGTGCAACGCTGTGGAGCCGAGCGACACGGTTCGCCACTTTATTCCATTTGACGAGATGCCTGGGCACTAATGGATCGTCGATTACCAGTACGGGTGTTGCGCTGGTGCCCAAAGGCCGTCGTTGAGTGGCAGCACAACTCATGCGTTGCACGGGATCCGACGTGTAGCGAGCGGTGTCTACCGTGATCGCTGTTTGCTATGTAGAGCGCGTAGCGGTACTAGAGGTGCACACTAAACCGCTAACTTGATCAGTTCAATGCCCAAGAGCGGTATTCTGAGCCTAGTTCTAGCGTGAACAGCGTCCAGCATATGCGTATGATCCGGATTCGTTTCCAAAGTCTAGACGAACGTGCGACGCTAAGCTTGTTGACGCGCAGATCGTCGTGATCGAGCTCTGACGCTTTGCTGGTGCTGCCGCCCCAGCGAAGCAAGGTATCTTCGCAGCTGCACTGTGGCGTAGCGCTGCCCGGTGCGCGTCACGAGACGGCTTCATGTGGACGAAGCTGTCGCCGACTGGCTGCCCTTACGACGGTGATGCGCCGAGCTGGGTGTCCAGCGGAAACCGGCTGCACAGGGGTCTTTTCGAGCTCCGTCACAACGCGCTGCGCAAGGGGATACGGCACTGCAACCGCGTCAGTGCGCTGGTATTCAAGTTGCAACACATCAAGCGTCACAGACTCGTTGATAATTCCAAAATACCGAAACAGGGGATTCGATTCGGGATCGAGCTCCTCATCAGAGCGTATCGTCGCGTTCCCGTCCTGCAGTGCAGGCGGCAGGAATGTCTTTTTCTCTACTTCGAGATGCCCCGCAGGGGCATCGAACGCTGGTATACGCTGGGCAAGATGCTCCAGCGCGTGCTCAGTTTCCGCAATCTTTGTGCTGAGTAGCGCTTCGGCCTGGGCGAGTCCTCGCTCCAGCGCGGGCAATTCCAGCTGACTGTATCGCATGAGGCCGTGGAAGCCGTCTTGGATACCACTCTGGCTAATGATCGACACGAAATAGTGGAGTGGGTCAGCAACCGCTGCTCCCGGCAACGCACAACGACTTTGGTGGAGGTAGTCCCGCGGTGCTTGCCACCACGCGCGTGACACCTTGTCGACTCGCTCGCGTACTCTGGCCGCTTTTGCGCCACTTTCCGCCGATGCCGCTGACGACGACTGCTGATCAGCTGGCGGACGCTTCATCTGGTAGCGAATCCAGCTAAACTGTCGACCAAGACCTTCAATCAATTCCGCAACAACATCTGTAAGCGACTCGAGCGCGGAGCGATGTGCACCTGTGAATCCGCTCAGCACCAGGACCGCCGCAACTGCGCGCTGCAAGCCCTGCAGCGGAAGCGGCAGACTGACTTGTACCAAACCGCGGGGACGCTGATCTAGTCGCGGAGCCGCTTCAGTCGGCACTGACTCGGTCACTGATGCAGCGGGAACGCCGAGGAGACCAGCAGTGGAGCGCATCGGCTCGTCGGGCTCACGATCTGTCTCAATGAAAAGCGGCATGGACCATGCAGCAGCGAGTCGTGGCAGCCTTACAGAGGCGTTCGGTGAAGTGCTCATGGCCTTGGTTTGGGGGCGCGCCTCTGAGTCAGCAGCTCGCAGCGCATGTAATTGCAGAGCGGGTTTCTCCTGGGATGCGTTTCCGGGGTTCGCTGCTCCCTGGGACGCCTCAAGCTGCTGCGAGCGCACGGCATTCTTTTCGCTTACGTGTGATGATTCCAGTGTAGAACGCACAAACTCTGCGCATCGAGCATTTGGTTGTTCACCAATAGCTTTGTCGCGTTCGGCTACGTGGAGCATAGCTTCAAGTTGGTAGAAACGATTCATGCGTTGCTGCAGGTCTTCTTTCTGTTCCCGCAGGCGGTAGATTCGATGCAACCACTGTTCGTACACTTTGGGTATAGTGATCACATCCTTCGTTGCAGTCTGCACTGCCAGTGAGCCGGTATAGCCTTCCACAGAAGCCAGCGGTGGACGCACAGCGCCGCGCAGGTCCGGCACCTGTGCGCTCGCGGTGCACTCGGGATGGATGACATGTTCTGGATCCGCCGCCACTGCATCAAGCGCCAGACTCCACGGCCCGAGTGCATCTCGGGATGCAAAGTCAAGCGAGAGTTGCTCACGTAACCAGTACCAGTACGGAAGCAGAGGTCCTTGGCTGATCTTATCGGGTTGTGCTGGCAGGATGGCCGGCTCCTCCGAAGAAGCAGGTCGATCGCTGGAGCTGGTCGCCATGATGCGGCTCATTTCTGCTGGTTGAAGCAAGCTGTCCACCCTTTGACGGATGAGGTCTGTTCTGCGACGTGTCGCTACTCGTGATGTGGTATGCTCTGGTTTGCTGCTGCGTGCAATATCACTGAGCAGCAGCGAAAAATCGGCGATAAACGCCTCGATTGTTTCGTATTTTTGAGCGAGAACTCGTTGTCTCAATTCTGCGTAAATGCGAAGCAGCGCTTGCTCAATGGATTCGGGTCGAGTTCGTGTACTTGACAAGGTTTTGTGCTCGCGCGTTCCGGCAACTGCTCCCCGTCCAACTTTTCTAGGTGACTCCAGATGGGATGCATCTGCTACGACATCGCTGGAGGCGTTGCCTCCCGTGGCATCGGCATCCGCTGTGACGCCATCCTCCGCTTCCCGTTCTAGTTCATCTAGGGCAGCTTCTAGGTATTGAGAGATCTCGTGGCGACTCTGGAAGACCACTGCGGTGCGACGACGCTTGTGAACAGGGTGCGACGGCTCGGGCATCGCAGGTCGCAACTGCCCCTCGGCGACGTTCCGTGACTGCACGTGCTGGTCACCAGCACGACGCGACGTGGATCCATGCATCAATGTACCATCGGGTTCATGGTTAATACCTGCGGATACGAACGCATCCAAGAGTGGATACGGTCGCACGGAGCGCAGTTGCGTTTGCCGGGAAGGCGTACTGTTCCCCGACAGTGCAGCTGCACTCGGTTGTGTCTGCGGTGCGTTTCTCCCCTCAGCGAGAGACTCGAAAAGCTCTCGATCGAGCCACAGCTCTACGTCAGCGTAAACGCCGGTACTGTTGCACGGAGCTGGAGTAGGCTCCGAGCCACTTACGTAACGTACTGCGTTTTCGAGCTCGAGAAAAGTCGTTTGCCAACGCGCATCTTCTGTCTTCATAGTCTCGCCTCGTTCTGGGGCGTCTCTCAGCTTCATACTGAGCTCCTGAGCTATGCTGCCGCCTCTCGTCGAGCAACGGACGCTAGCGCACCGGGCAGTGAGCAGGAACTTCGCCGTACCTCTCCGTTAAACGCTGACGAGCAGCATGGACACACACGCCTAGCTCGACGTGAGTCGCGGTGCCTTTGTGTAACCCCAATACGAAATTCTTTGTGCGCGGGGTGTATAGGTCCACCGGCCCTCGACTTGCAGGTCTGAAGCGCGAAGCAACTCTGGCCCCTAAACCTACGTTTCCGAATGGCGCTCTACCGATGTGCTGCGCACCGCTTCCTCGGTGTTGTTTCGTTCGCGTCAAGCGATGCTCCTGGTGACTAGGGTGTTGCAGCGGGGACGTAACGAGAACGACTCGGCAAGCGTGTGTAGGAAGGGGTCCTTGTTCGTGTCCAGGAGTTCTAGTAGGCTTTGAGGGTTGCAGTGAGGCCGACTCGCGGAACGACGAGGCCACCTGACGTGAGAAGGGTGCTGGTTCTTGTCTGGCCTCCTGGTGCCATGAATCGGCTAACTTTCGAGATCCAGCAAAATAAAGAAGCAATCTCACGCAAATTCGAAGGCATTTAGGAAGCCTACATCGCTTGTCGAGTCGATTTTTAGTACGCAAGCCTCGAAACGGTCTCAGGTCTGGGGCATTCTGCGGTTAGGATAAGGTCCACACCCGAACCTGGTGCTGACGCGCAGTGCACGCCAATTAAGCCGCGACTTCGGCGAACGTCTCAGACAAGGAGCACGCATCGGACGCCTGTGTGTGTTCTGAAAGCGTAAGACGCACTTCGTGAACCTCCATGAAGTTTGTTTCCAGGATCGCGGTCAGAATATTTGCACAGAGCGGATACCCCGAGGCATATCGGTCAACAACGCTATGAGGCCAGCGTTTCCAAGCAACTGAGCGTTTGGCTCTGTCGTTTTCGGTACAGTATTCTTTTCGATGAAACGAGTCGGAGGCAGCGAACAACCGGTGAGCAGGCAGTCCTGCTCGCGAACATATCGCCGTGGAGCAGTCGTGCCCTGTCAGACCGGAGACAGTTGATGCTGCGCTGGAGAGACCTGGTGGCCAGGTCTCGACGCGTGTGGAACGTGCGGAAGTCGCACAGGTGTGCATATTTCATGAGCGTTTGCGGTCATGAAAATGGAATCTCCGCTGAGCACCAAGCGTCTTTATGGCTCGAGAAACGCAAAGGCCAATATGTTCCGTACCATCGGATTGAATCCTGCGATTACTGCGTGGATCTTGTTTCGTTTTTTCATAACGTGACTAGTATAAAGCAAGGCCCTTTTCCATGAGGCTGCAACGGTATAACTGCTCTAGCAGAGGAACGCAAGCGATGATCGGTAGTTTGCAAGCGACGCCTTCTCCCTGGAGTGAGAAAAGACCCATCAAGAACACTGCTTTGTCCTAAATGTCCGCGTTTCTATAGGTGCGTACTGGTTTGCGCTTGTGCTGGCTCCTCGACGCGGCTCAGCGGGGAAGCGGCTTCGATCTGTGTCGCGCTCCAATCGCTGAACGCGTATCCTCTTGGACATCAATGCTCAAAGCGCTGCACTTCATATGAGATGAAGCACTTTGCCATGAAACGGTGCCCGGGGATGCGCGCCCTCGGCGTTAGACATCGTCTCTAGAGGCGCTCGCTCCAAAAACTCAAGACCGGTTACGAGGACTCTGTGCAAAAGGCTCTCCGCCGCACCGTGAAGACAAGTCAGGATATGTTTCCCGAATAAGCGCGGCATTCCCAGTCTATGCGCCCAGCAAACTGATTTCGTGGAGCACCAAGTAGCACAGTGCCTCAGCGAAACCTTCTGTTGCAGTCACTCGGTGGAATCAACGATGCGGACGCTCATACGAGGCCGTAACCGACGCCCAGCGCTACACATAGGCACTACCGAGATTGTACATCAGGCGCAGCTGCGCAAAGATACGTTCTCTCCAGCCAACTTGGGTCCGTTCGAGATATTCCTCGGGTATCTGATCTTGTTGCAAGACAAGGAGCGTCTCATCGTCGGAGACGGCTTTGAGACGCATTTGCACCCGAGAGTAGTGATCGCGAGGCACCCAGTCGGCCATACGCCATCGTTGCTCGATAAGCTCTGGCTCCTGCAATTTCGTATAGCTACCATGAACCTGACCGGCGTAAAGAGAGAATGTTCCGTTTGAGCTTGTCGTATCGCTGGTTGCAGGCGCTTGCGTGATTCGCTGCAGCTCCTCCACAGCGGTGAGTGCTCGAAAGACCACGCTGGGCGGTGCCCTAAAGCGTTCCTCCATGTGAAGGCTTGTCCACGTGGATTGCGTGCTTTGCTCCGGCTGCTGCACACCCGACGTCGCAGCGGTATTCCCTGCGTGGTCTTTGTTTGCATTTTTCACCGCCTCAGCTGCCTGCGACTGGCCAGCAACTGTCGACCCGGTGTCTCCGGTCCCTAGTTGCAGCGCCTCAGCCTGGAAGCGCTCGAGAACCCGGTGCAACCAAGACTTCCCGTCGAGCGTTAAAAATGAAACCAGTTGAGCGCTGTGTTCCCACGTACCTGTTGGGGTTATCGTGACGTCAGGGTCGGTGTCGAAGAGCTCCGCCTCGATCGTGCCTTTCCCGCAAACTGCGTTCGTCGCCAGAGATCGTGCCTCCCAGTCCGCCTGAACTTTCAAGTCATACACGCTTCGCAGTTTGCCCTTGCGGTTGTAAAGGGCACAGTCCCCGTGCACGCTTGGAGAGCCCGTGACTTGCACCTGAACAGTGTCGTCTGCGAGTCGCAGTTCACCGATCGGATCCTCCTGAAGCAGAGAACGCAGTCGCTCCATCGCCCAAACACTGATATCTCGCTCAGTCCAGTGCCAGTTGCCGACATTTTTACCCTGCTTCCCAAGATCTTGCACAATCCAGCGAGGGTCTCCCTGTCCAGCGAGCGCCATGCAAAGCGTTTCTCGAAAAGTGGCAATACGCTACCGAGGAAGCGAATCGAAATTTCTTTTCGATGGCATCGACCGGAGGCCCCACAGGCTCGGCAACGATCGGCGAGTCTGCGAATCCGAAGCAGAAGCCAGAGCATCTAGTACGAAGCCAGGTATTTGGGAGCTCTTCGGACACCAGTAGGACACGTACTCGTTGGGGAATGCTATAGGCTAGGTAGAAATGCTTTATCTTAGCTATTGGAGAGGTGTATTTCGGAGCGATAACTTTGCTGAGCTCCAGTCCATATAGAGGATATGGTTAGTTGGTGCCATCCGTTGTCGCCACTAGTGTCGAGTTGTTTTATTTGGAGGCTTATATCAGGTCAGAGATGTTGTGAAAATTCATCGAATGGACATACAGTGGCGAAAATCGTCTAAACTGGTAAAGGCTTGTTCGGCGCCCGTGCGATGTTCGGCACTACAAACCCTGAGCGCGGCATCGCTGGGGCGCCTCTCGGGTCAGTCCTGGGAGCGTCTGAGCGTGTTGAGGACGGCTGCGGTACTCGTTATCAGCAGACTCCGTTTCAATACCGTTGGCCCGTTTACAGTTGACGGCGTATCGCGACTACGTAGTTGTCGGCAAGGCGGTTGGGTTTCCACACTTACGTACGATCAAAAAGCGAACAAACGCGAAATGCCCCACTGTTCCTCCATGGATTTCTTTTGCGAGATTTTCGTGCCACTTGTACCTTTTCGTCGTCCAGGTTTCAGACTTTAAATACGCGGGGCTCCCCATGCCCTTCAACTTCGTTGCCTACAGCCGAATGATGCTGATATCAGCGTTCCACTCCAGGTATTGCTGCTTTCGACAACTGTTCAAGCATTTCATGCACAGACTGTGGTTGCAATCTGCACTCCGCTCGCCAGTTTCATATTCTTTGAATACAGCCGTCATGCGCCGCTCGCATCGGTGCCACTTGGCTGCGATCAGATGTTCTCAGACGTCGGCTACAATCCTTTCTTCTCGTCATCCGAGCACCGCTCTGATGCACGTGAAGACTTGCTTCCTCGACCGATGCGTGCTGTTGACGGGTACACAAGGCTGGCCGCGGTGCTGTTCCTCCGTTTCCACGATCGGTGCCGTACCCTTTGGTCGCGGGCTTGTTCTCGGCGATCCCATTGACGAGTACGCTTTGCGTTGCGCGTCCAAACGAACGCTGTCCCATTCCATGGAGGATTTCTGAAAAGCGATATTGCCTATGATGGAGCAAGTACTTGAAGCGAAATCTAAAATGGAGCAGCGTCCGAGCAATTTCGATCCGTCTCGTGCCCCGTCCTGCAAAGCGATGACGCATTCCCCACGAGAAGCGATCGCTGCGATGACTCAGTTCCCAATGCAAGAGCCTCTTTCGTCCGAATGGAAGGGATACGAGTCTCTCAGAGCATAACTCAAAGGGCATCAAGGTGCTCACGAATAACGTTTGGCCGATGGCGGTAGAGAGCGGAGACTTTGTTTCTTTGAAAAACGTTTATTTTATGTGACGACTTTAGTGGACCTCCGACTTGAGCTTGTGAACAAGTCATCAAGAAACGACGTCGCGTTTATATCCCATCAAATTAGCGATGCGAGTTACTGCACCTACGAGTCGCCATGAAACAGAATGATGGAAAACATGCAGCATACATGATGTGCGCATGCTACACATAAGCAAATCAGAAGCGTCCAAGCTTACCCATAGGAACTGGATGATGATGGTGATGATATGTGTTAGGCGCGGAACCGCCGCTTGAGGGCGTCGCGAATGCGCTGGATTCCAGTGACGCAACGCAGGCCATCGACGTGAGATTCGAATGAGCTACGCAAAAACGAAAACCGAGCACCCAAAAATTACCCGTGAATCCGTAAGCCTTTATTGCTGCGCATTGAAAATAAAGACTAAATATACAAAAAAAAGAGATTCAGGAACAGAACGAGCAGTTCAACGTTCCACTGGAATCTGATGCGAGTGCCGTGCACGCACCAGCGTCAACACGTTGCCGCGATTCTCTGCACGCTTCAAACCATGTCTATATATATCAATTTTGAACAATGTACATTGCTGCGAATTCCCCACCGTTGGCGATCGCACCGCGAATTGAGCATTCGACGCGCCGTGCGCAGCCAACGTAGCTCAGCGGTAGAGCATTGGACTTTTAATCCAATGGCCGTGGGTTCGATTCCAAATCAAATCTTTTTCCAGTTCCGTCCATTTTTTGAATATCTTCACGCCATGCCCGCTTCCAGCACCATAGACTTGTCTATTCGCGCACCCGTTGACCACGAGACATCCGTAAAATTCCCGTGACGTCAAATCCCATCCGATACAAAACCCACACGAGCGCTCCTATGCCATATAGTCCGAATCTCAGAATCCAACGTCGTGGTAATATCTGGTTCTAGCACACAAGCCCAAAACACGCACTGATCACCCCAGTGTGTCCAAGCAATCGCAGAAGCACGCACGCTGCCGCAGTGAAGCCCTGCAGCGCCCTGCGCATCAGAGCTCAACGCCGACCCCAAGCTGCTACCAGCGCGCGCGCTCGCATTGCTGGGTATCGCCGCTCGACCTCCTGGCTCATCCATCAACACAGAGCAGCTCAGCATGGAGCACAAGCACCCGCGAAAGCACGACGCCAGAGGTTGCCGCGAGCATCGTGGCGCCCGACGAAGCAACCCCATCGCGCCGTGCGTTGCGGACGTCGGTGCGCGATCGCGCCCCGACGATCTGGCGGCAACGACGCTGTGTGCGAGTCGATCCCGCTCACACACACCCCGCGGCAGAGACGCTCATCGGAGCCAATACCAGCACGACCAGGGCACACTTCGGTAGCGAAACTTCCCTCCATAGCTACTTAGAAACGTTTATGGAACGCCTGAGGCCCTCTCGCGAGTTCTTTGAGGGAACCCGTGCTGAGGAACCTCCGCCACGTGGCCGGCGAAGACTGCTATTCCCGGCACCAGAGACGACGCCAGCGAGCGGAGGCATCGATCGGCTTGCTGGCAGCCGCTCGAGGCCTGTTCACGGAACGCTGCCTGCATCGCTGGTGTCTACACCTGATTCGAGTCCCAGCGGATGCTCCATGCCGCCGCACACAGAACGACGGCGCGAAACATCGATAGCCTCGCCACCGACCCGCCCCGGTCGACTCGGCCTTCCGCGCGTACTCCAGCAGCGATACCCGGACCTGCTGTGGGATCGCCGCATCCCCCAACTACTGCGGCGCCTTACAAACGAAAGCGATAAGAGCGAGACGCAGCTTGAGGCGCTGCGAGAGCTTGGCGACGAGGCGGTTTGGTCTGTTTCATCTGCGAAACAAGGGAACGGCATCGAGCTGATGCGTGACGGCAATGTGCAGACCTTTTTCCAGACCGATGGTGCGCAGCCGCATAAGATCTCAATTCAATTTCGTCAGAAAACCAAAGTCTCGCAAATACGGATGTTTCTGAACTATCAATTGGACGAGAGCTATACACCGAATCGAATCGGCGTCTGGACAGGCACCGATTTCCACGACCTTCGCGAAACCGTTTTTTGCCAGCTTCATGAGCCACGCGGATGGATCACGATTCCACTGCCACCGCCGGCCGCTGTCCTGGAATTCGATGAATCCGGACTGGTTGTGTCGACATCGCCAGCAGCGAGCCCAGCGATGCAGCTGGTGACCGCGGTGGACGCGCGCGTCGAACCTAGACTCCGTACGGAGGACAGTTTCGAAATGCCTCCACCTGACGAGCCCATGCATACATCTGTTGACCTAGACCGCAGGGACAGCACCCTTCCTCATTCGCGAACAGAGAACTCGATGAACACCAGTGAACTGAGTCGCACGATGATGCGAAAGCCTCCACTAGAGTCCGCGTTGGAGGTTTTTCATCTTCAGATCGTCATATATGGAAACCATCAGAACGGGCGAGACTCGCATATTCGACAGATTATGATTGTCGGACCACGCGAGCAAGGCAGCGACTTGCGTCCGAGTTCGGAGCAAGGTCTGTTCTTTACATCGAAAGTTTTCGGATGTTACGCAGTTCTCCGATAGCATGGCAATTCTTGGCTGGCGCTCGTGCGCGAGAAGAAACCGGCTAGCAGCGCGTTTACCATGGTGTACGCCGGCTCTCCGGGTGCCATCCATAGCCGAAAGTCGGAACGAGATGCACATGTGCCTGAGATTCATCGACCCCGGGGCGGCTGCGCTGAGCATGCAATGACGGCGCTGAGAAGAAGCGTCCAGAGAGAGCGCGTCGCGTTCTGCAACGGTAACGTGCAGGCACCTACCGGGTCAAGGTCGTACGACGTGGCGCCGATGCGGCACAGATAGCGAGCTCGTCGCTCCCAGCTGGAGTATCTCCAAGTTCCAGGTCATCGATCTGAGCCTGTAGTTCGCCAATCCGGTTCTGCAGAGCCTCTATTTCAGAATCGAGTTGTCCGATGACAGCCTCTTTGCTCTCTATAGTGGTTGCGGCGAATGTTATCTGGTCCTGCAATTGCCGCTCGAGCGCGTCCCGGGAGCGAGTCAACGCTTCACTTTTCTGTCGATAGTGGCGAAGAAGCTCCGACATTTCGCAATGCTCCCGTTCCATCTCGATACATCGACGCTGCCACCGACCGAGCGCCTCGGTTGCTTCCTGTCGATATGCATCGAACTGCTCTTCGAGCTCCTTGAGCGCTTGTAGAAGCTTCTGCTCGTAGTCGCGGCGCATGCGCTGGGTCTCCTCGCGCACGGCCTCCGCGTTCTCTTCCCGCACGCTCGCAAGCTCGGCTCGCAAACTCGCGACGGTGTCCCAGCTTTGTTGCAACTCATCCTGCAGTTGGTGCTTCTCCGCTTCGAGTCGCTGTATGCGCAATCGCGCTTCCTTTGACTGATATTCGTGGGTTGCCTCGAGGGCCCGCGTTTCGGCTCGGAGCTTTTCTGGCCATGCTGCGAGCCGCTCTTTATAGGATGCAAGTTTTTCCTGGAGTGCTTGCTGATTTTGACGTTCTATTCTGAGGGCCTCCTCTAGAGTGCGATTCTCTTCAGCAGCTGTATCCAGCTTTTCGCGATAACCATCGAGCAGTTGCTCCATTTGCCGATCGTCGGCGAGGTCCATTTCAAGTTGCGCACACCTTCGTTGCAACGACGCGATCAAAGCATCTCGCTTGGCAAGCTCGAGTACCAGCTGGGCGTTCTGGTTTTGTGCAGCACCAGCGACAGGAGCAGAGGACTCGTTCTCTGGTTGAACACGCAACTCGTTTCGGCAGCGCGCTGGCTTCCGTGCAACAGCTGTGTCAGCCGAAGTGCGCGCTGGCACTCCACGAGCACTGTTTCCCTGAGAACCTACACGTTGCCGTTCTGCTGTAAGGGTATCGCGCGTGGGGCTCGGCGCTCTTGCAGCTGGCGAGTGCTTTTGGACCCAAGGCGCTGGCGCAACCGGGTTTTTGGTTTCCTCGACCCCCGGTCCCGTTTCGGGCGCTGCCGACGTCGCCGCAACCCCCGCTTCACCAGAAACCGTCTTCACTGTGTTTGTTGTATCACGCAGTGCCGGCCGGGCAGCTGCTCGCTGGCGCACTCCGAGGCGTTTCGTCTGCGCCTTTCGCAGCTCAGCTGTGTGCTCTCGAAGAATGCACGATAGTGTCGGCGATTCGCCGCCCTGTTGCGCCTCCGATGTTTCCGAAGAACTCGCATCACTATATCGAAGTTTCCGTTGCACGGAACCGAAGAAGCGCTCCCCTGACGAAAACATAGCTTCAGGTGACGCTTTAAACGCCTTGTCGTGCACGCCGACGTCGACGACCAGCCGGAGGAGGCGGTGTTCGGTTCTAGCCCCCCGGGATCGGCAGTGGCGATTCGAGTCTGCGCGCGGGAGGTTGCAACGGTCGATTCGTATTGAATAGCAATGTACATATATATCCCAAATCGTTCGAAGACGATGTGATCGCGATGGTGCGCGGGTTGTGCACCCCCCCCCCCCCCCCGGTCCATCGAATGGCATCACAGCGTATTGTCAGCATGCGCGATGGCTATCCTAACGCGCAGATGAGACATAACAGACACGCTCCTCGGTTGCTCGCACGTTGCAAAGAGACCCCAGATCGCTCATCCAAAGCGAAACACTGATTCGATCACTTGAACAATGGACTCATTGATGCGCCTCTGGTGTCTGGTTGCTTGCTTGCTTGCTTGCTTGCTTGCTTGCGGTTACGCTGGAATCTTGCTGAACCGAAAAACTGCGTCTATCCGGGTCTGGCGGAGCTGCGCAAGTGTTTGCAGACACTGGTGAAGAAATATCTGGCGCTTCGCTGACGCTTTTACGTGTCTCAGATACCAGCGCACGTTTTCATCGAGAAATACGAGCAAGATCGATAGAGCGAGCGGTCGGGTGCCACGCGTGCTGGCCAGCGCTTGAGGTGAGGCTGTAGAAGCGGTCACCGACACGATCGTTGTCGGTGTTCAGAAACAGAACCGATTGGCGGTGTCTATCGAGGCATCGACTCGGGGTGGTTTTTTGCGCTGGCTGGCGGCTGATTTCCAAACTCCGGGATAATCTCTGCAGATGCGCGCACGTCGCCGATAGGGAACTGGATGACGCGGGATGTGTCTTGTTCAGGTATTCGGGCCCATAATATAACGGACGTTTTTTTAAATGACGATGATGATGGTTGCAGTTTCTACATTTGCCATGTAGGGGTTTCTTGGTACCGAGCTCGTTCGCTCTGCATACTGGGTTGCTCTGTCACGGAATCAAATCTGCCACAACGCCGTTTACAGTAGACAATGAACTGCACTGGAGCGGGCTCTCGACCCGTGGACCACTGAGTTCATGCGAACGCACGGCGTTTTGCTTCTAATGACGCATCCCAGAGCTCCTCAACGCGCACGATCCTCTGGGGTGAACCGCACTCGGGCCTGACCACTTCGGCACGTTGTCGGCGTGTCGTGCTGCGCAACGAGGCGATGTGCCATGCGCGACCGCCGGGATAGCGCTTCTGCAGTATCGCTGCGTCGGTCAGCCGTACGCGAAATGCGCAGCAGGAGCGCTTGCCTCACCTCGAAAGGTGTCGTCTTTTATCGTACAGTGTTTCTGCGGCCACTTGTCGTCAAGCATCCCTAATGTAATCATCTCACCGTAAAGCCATGTCTGTCCAGTCGTCAACGGGCGGCTTGGCTGGCGCGTCGGCGGCGCACTCGCACTCTTCAGTTGACGGGGGTACCGTCGCGGGTTCCTTGCCAGCGTCGCCCGCGTCCTGCTCGAGACGCTCTTTCTGTGCAGCGGCCAGGTCCGCCTCCCATCGTCGCAGCAATGACCATCGAGGATCCAGAATAAACTCTTTCAAGAGCTGGCGGTACGAGCGATAGGCGAACAAGGTATCGTAAAACTCAGGAGCCATTTTCTTCAACTTTGGCAGCTTGTTCCAGGGCACACTCGGCAGATCGTGATGCTCGTTGTGGAAACCAATGTTGAACGCGACCCTGTTCGCCCAACCGTAGTACGAGTAGGTGCTCTGGAACGGTAGCGTCGGATAGTGCTCTTGAATCCAACGAGCGCCTAACGGATGTAACCCAACACTGAAGATGCTGGACAGGGTCAAGTAAAAAATACTGATCCAACCGCCTAGAAGCCAAACGCCAACCATGGCTACCAAGTTCACCACTGTGTTGATGCCAAACCAGACGTACTCGCGCATGTTCGGTATGCGGTGGCTGTAAGAAACCAGACGCAAACTCTGGAAAACGAAAAACAGCGCCAGCCACAGAGCCTTGCGCCAGCTCGAGTTGCCTACGAGGCGCGCCTCCCACGCGGCGGGCACATCGGGGTCCCGCTGCACACGGTTGAGCTCGATATGGTGCAGAATATGATAGTATCGGAACATCATCCCCGAGGGAAGCACGTGAATCGTATTCGCTATACAAAGTACTAGACGATTGAGCACAACTGACTCTAAAATGAGGTTATGTGTCGCGTCGTGAATGAGCACCCACTGAGCGTGGTCCACCACAGCGCCAAAAACATACGCGAGCACCGCTGCGCTGACCCAGGAGGTGCGGCCACTTGTGCCAAGCAACACAGCCACGCCAAGCTGCAGCGCAACAAGCAGAACGACGTATAACGCAGACTTTTTGTTGGTACCATAGAGCTTGGAGACCTCGGGGTGCTCACGAAGGAGCCGGGCCCGTCGACTGCCGTGCGGGTGTTTCCGCCGAATTTGCTTTGAGGCCGCAAGCTCAGCGTTCTCCGTGGACAGCCCTAGACGCGACCAGATGCCAACCTGTTTCTCGAGAGTCACGTTCTCCTCGAATACTCGAGACGAGTTCATAGGGAAAATAACGGCAACAGGGCGTGCACAGCGTTCGGTTGACCGTTCACCAGCGCTCGCGTGCCGTGCACCGACAAAAGAACCTCATTTCTCAAACGCGTTGCGCGTCAACGTCAGCGCCGCCCTCACTAGGCGGCGATCACAGTGGGCGGTGTCCGCCCTGGAAGCGCACCCGCCGCGCAACGAAGCATCGCGGCGCGTTTGCATGATCAAACACGATGGACACGTGGCAGGCTCTCCGTGCGCCTCTGCGGTGGCAGCGCGATCCAGGCTTCGGCCACTGTCGTTTCGTGATCGCGTCGCTTTCGGCGATCTGCACTGGAATGCGTGCGTGCAGGTTTCCTGATGGTGTGGTGCGTCGATGTTTTCTTCGATGACAAAACGTTTACATTGACATTGGATCCCAGATTTCGGGGTGGGTATGAAGATTCACGTAATTGTGTACCATGATGCACCATACCTCCAAGTTCCATTACCCGTACTTCCTCAAGGAAATACTGGTCGTTTCGCACGTGCTATTGATCGCTGATTACCTGCCGTGAGCACCCGCCGTAGCGCTCACACCGCTGAACCAGATGCTGCACAGAGACAGAACAGCTTTGCCATACCACTGAGGGCGTCGGCTCGAGGAATGCTTCAGGTGAGACGTAGTTGAGGCTCTTAATTATTCTGAGCGCCTGCAAGCTGCGCAGACAGACCCACGAAAAGCGGCAGCGCGAAGCGATGTACTAGGGGTCCACTAGGGCCAGGCGACGCCCAGACGCAGCATGCCCGCTCCAAGTCCCAGAAGAAACTGCGTTGAGCACAAGTTGCTCGGATCTCAATCAAGCACCTGCCACTTGGCGGCATGAAGCACAAGTCTGGGAGACTCTTCCGGCTCGCGGGAAATTTCACCCATAAGGTAAAGCTTCGAAAATACGGAAACCTGTCCTCCATTTTTACGTATACCGTAGAGGGGAAAAGAAATCGTAATTTCGTTGCTAGTAAGTGATTAGTCTCTGTTCTTTGTTCTACGTAGTGTACTCGATACTCGCACCTGGGAGATGTGGCAGGCACGAGATACGACGCGCACCTCGCCGTTGAAGGGAAACGCGAGCCTGATCTATATGATCTAGCTGTAGAGTACAAGTTGTATTTGCGTTGAAGGCATCGCAAAGAATAGTTTTTCAGTTCAATTGTGTTTCAGCCCTCAAGTAAGTATATTCAAGTGCTTTTCGCTGTTTGTCGGAGAAGCGTTCAAAGTGTGTTCTTTTTCGAATGAAAAATGAAAAAGGAAAGTTATGGAAAAGGAAGTGGAAGATCCTGGAGGCGCAGTGGCGCCGGCTGCCGGAAGTAAACGAAAAACGGTGCCGAGTCCAGGGGAACAGGACGAAGAATCAGAGGCAGGAGGCCGGGAGCCAAAAGCTACACGAAAGGCTACACTACGGCGAGACGGTGGTGAAAGCCTGTCCTCTTCGATTTATCAAGGATCCGTACGAGCAAAAGTTGCAAAAGGCCATCAGAAACCGTGTCGAGTCGTACGCCATGAGTATTATGAAGGCTTTTTCAGGAGTAATGAAATTGGTGACGTAGATGTTTCACGACGTGACGCAAATTGAACCATTCGAGTGTCGGGAAGAATTTTTCAACAAGACCTTCATCCGCCACCTGGCGGTTTGCACAGGGGAAACGCCGACGAGGAATGAGCGGGAGCACGCCCTCCACGAAAGCTTCGCCAACTACCGCTTCAACGTTACTCGATACAGGGGACACTGGCGCATGTACGAAGACAGGGCAATAAAGTATCTCACAAACCTGAAGAATCGTATGAACATAAACCTCAAGCGCTTCATGATACGCTCCGTCTTTGCAATGCGCCCGGGCCTGTCTCGCACAGGGATGTGGGCCATCATCGATGCCATTACGAACGATTCCCGGGATGAGCAGGAGATCGAATTTGTCGACAAGAAAGCGTCACGCAGGAGAACGAAAGAAGCTTCTGTAACCCGTGCGGCTATACAAGAGCACTGTGCAGTCCTGGGGCTGGCGAGTCCAGCAGAAAGTATATCAGAGTTGAAAAAGATGAGGAAGGATACCATCGCCTCATCCTGCGATCTTTCGTGTTTTTGGACCGAGAACTCGAACGCAAGGCGGAGATGAAACTGAGTGAGGAAAACAATGAAGAGTGGGAGAGACGGAAGGCTTTCCTAATGGGCAAGCGCTTCAACGTGGTTCCTATATGCAACATCAAGTCACATTTTGTGAGTATCGGCTCCAGAATCCTTCACGGTATCATGAAGGAGATCTGTCCGGAGTTCGATGTTAGCAGGGAGGAATTCTCCGGTGAAAACCGGGAGACGTACTGGAAGAGTATCTTCGATTTCAAACGTCTCAAAGCGAGCAAACAACAGCTATTCACTGGATTGATCGAAACCGATGGGGTATCCATATGTGTCCAGTATCGGCGGTTGCAGGTGGATCGTCCCATTGTGTCGTCGGCTGCGCCCTCGGCGATGCACAAAGAAACCAATAGGGCGCACCCTGAGACGCAGGAATTGCAGGAGAATGAAAATGTCTCCGGCCTTGAGCCCGGCAACACGAATATCATGACCATCGTTGCTCCGAAGTGTGCGAAGGATGGTATCGACGGCAACTTATGTCAGAAAGACATGTGTCTTTCAAAGTTCTCAGGAGCGAGATACTACCGAGAATCGGGAATAATGAATGCGAGGAAAAAAGTCAGAAGTGGGGCTCATGAGTGAACGTGCCCCCAGGAAGCGATCAGCAGCGTGACGAGCCGAGGAGCGCACTTTCAAGCTTTCCTTTCATTCACGAGAATTCGCGCTGCTCATGACGAGGAGCTGTGGAACGAGCACACCAAGCCGCCCCGTTGTGTTCGTCAGCGTACGAAAATGCACCAGGGGAAGCCGTGTGCATTCAACAACTTCAATGAGTTCAGCGCTCTCAAGGAAGACAAGAGTCAGAAGCTTGTAGTAGCGTACGGAGCAGGGCGTCCACAAAAGCGAGCGCACCAGCGCCGTCGACACGAGCATACACGGAACGCACGCACCGTTTTTCCACAATGCCGATAGATGAGTTCCGAACGTCCTGGATGCACCGTGAGCTCGGGTGTAGACTTCAGAGGGTCGAGATGGGAAAGCGCCAGCGGACCCCTGAGGATATAGAAAAGCACAGAGCGGTGACACAAGAGCAAATGGAACGGGGGGCGAAACCTCGAGGGCCACTTGCATTAGTAAGTACAACCAGTGATAGCAAGAAACGCATCGAGTTCGTGAACCGAGACTTTCACGCCACAATCAGTATCAGGGGATGTGCGGTCCTCGAAAAGAGGCCCGCACTGCTGACGCTAACCAATTTTATCAGGCAGCCTCTGAGGGTTGCATTATGTAACGAGAAGGTAAACCCAGTCGTAGTCGTAGTCGTAGTAGGTGGCCACTCGATAACAACGGCAAGGCGTCTGCGGGCGGGTATGCATTGATGTCTGGGGCGGGGGAGGCGGGGGGGCGCCGCTCGCCCCCCCTGTACACTGCCTATGCGACGTTTGACGCTTGGTCAGGTTGCGGTGCTGCCGGAGGCGGCGCTCCATGTCCGCAGCACAACTTATTCTTGGGAGTGGGTGTCTGTCTGTTCGACAGGACGAACAGTGCTCCCAGCTACGTAGCGTACTCAGCGGAATTCAACTCGAAGCCGCAGAGGAGGAAACGCAGCGGTTCTCGGACCCGCTGACCCCCGAGGAGCGACGCACCGTGAACCCCTGTGCACAGGGGAGAGCGGTATCGCCGCCAGAGGTACCGCGTTTGCCGCACGTACACACAGCCAGTGAGGTTCTTGAGCAGCTCGCACAGAAACCAACGGCATGCTCTCTTGAGTGGCGCGTTCTGCACCGTCCTTTGCTACCGGCAAGCTATCGCAACATTTACTTGCGCTGGTCTCGCCCGGTGCGACACATTCTGATTCTCTTCACCGTCTACTCTGATTCTGCTCGAAGTTCCGCGGTTAAAATATGTCAATGGCTTGAAGCTGAGTATCCAGAACTCATCCTCTACTCGGAAACAGAGCACACGCTACCGGGCACGTTGCACTTTCCACGAGAACAGACGCAGACACCCATCGACCTGGTCATCTGCTTGGGTGGTGATGGACTCGTTTTGCACGCCTGTGCATCGCTCTTTCCGAAAGCGGCACCACCACTGATGCCTTTTCATCTAGGATCTTTGGGCTTTCTCACACCCTTTCCGTTCAACAATTTCCCGTCATGCGTTCGGGAGGTAATGCGCGGCAGCGACGTCACCGTTACGCTGCGAATGAGGCTGGACTGTGCTATCTACAAGGATGGCGATGGTCAGCGACCCCTGATCCAAAAGACTGTATTGAACGAAGTCGTCGTCGACCGTGGTCCAGCACCGTTTCTCAGTAATCTGGAATGTTACTGCGATGACTTTCCAGTGACGCGCATTCAAGCTGACGGAGTCATCCTGGCGACGCCGACGGGTTCCACAGCGTACTCGTTGTCGAGCAACGGCTCGATGGTGCATCCTTCGGTACCAGCTATTCTACTGACGCCGATTTGTCCGCACTCGCTGTCATTTCGACCGGTGATCTTTCCAGACTATGTAACGCTGAAAATTCGCGTATCGCGTCATGCGCGGGGCTCAGCCTGGGTCAGTTTCGACGGACGAGCGCGCACGGAACTCCAGCGCGGGGACTACTTACGAGTTCAGATATCACCTTGGCCTCTAGCTACGTTGAATTATAACGACCAGACACAGGATTGGTTTCGTTCGGTATCACGATGTCTCCGCTGGAATGAGCGACCTATGCAGCGGCTGCTCTCGCTCGAGGGAAACGCCTGGGAAGAGTCGCCCCCGGCTGGCGCTTCACCGAGAGCGCCCAGTGATCTGACCCCGCCAGCTGGCACTGGAAGTCTAGAGCCGGCTCCAGCAACGCCACTGGACTCCTTCAAAGAGGAATGCGGGTCGCCGGACCTGGTAGAGCCCGAGCGGGAGGCATCTACTTTCAGTCGGATCGCCAATGCGTTTCGCTCGCCACCCGAGTGGTTTTTCGCGCGCAGCATGGAGAACGTTCACTGCCCCAAGGGCGACAGTAGCGCTTCTCGCTAGCGTTATACAGTAGCTTTCCGTGCCGACCTCTATTCGGATCTGCTTCCCAGCTCGTCGAGCGAATCAGGTCAGATTGTTGGCACCGTTGCCACGGAGCGCAACGATGCCTCCAGCCTGGGGCCCGACTTGGACCGAACGGCGGCAGAGAGGCCTGTCGTCTGCATGAAACAGACGCCCTCAGACGTTTTGTTGCAGTCAGGGCCGGCGACACTACCCCTGCGGAATACGCTTCCACGTCCTGCTGCTGCAACTGCAGCGGTAACGTGTGTAACCGGTTAGGCGGCGACAGCCGCACGCTGGGCATGGCGGCCATTTCGCAGTGGTCGTGGTGCCCGGCTTCCGACCATGCCGCAATCGCTATCGGTTGTGCGCTGGGATTCTCGTACGCCCCAAGTCGGCTGTGAAGCAGTCATGTTGCGTGCGAACGGGAGCTTCCCAAGGATTCTTGCTTGAAACACAGACGGGGCCCTGCGCGCTGCTCCCATCGCTGCCGGCTACGGTATGCTTGCCGTACACCCAAAGGCGGCTCGGAAGCAGTCATGAATCCAACTTGCGGAAGCTTCCCATGGATTCTTTTGTAAAGTACGGACGGCCTCGGGCGCGGCTCCGCGAACCCGAACCATACGCCACCGTCTCAAAAGGTATGACCAAGCATGTGTTCTATGTAGAGCATGGCCGATCGCTGCGTCTCTGCACCGCATGGTACAATACGATGCACGATGCCCGTATCAGCTTACGGTGAGACGGGTTGTCAAACTCGGGTGTACATGTTCAACATTGCGTGTCTTCCAAATTTTGTCAGCAGTAGCCTTTGTGGGCATTTTTGCAACTACTTCGTTTTCTCCCTGTGATCTCCTGCTTTCGATATACCGGTGTCTCTCGTAGCGACAACTCTGCTGTGCGCAGTCGACGGATGTTGATGGCAGCGCCCAAGACCCGATTACACAGCTCCCAGCAGCTCTTCACGTATTTCATGCGTAGGCGCAAGTTGCGATCTACGCTCCACTCGCAATACGTACCCTCCTTGTGTGCATCGTCGGTGCGCTCTTCACAACAGAAACACTTGTCTGAGACCAGGTGTTCGCACACGTCCACCACCACAATTCCTCTCCCAAGGGCGGACCTGTTGCGCGTTATAGATTGCGTCAACGCTTGGTATACGCCCCCGTTGACGAGAATCAAGGTCTCCGCTGGGTGCCTTGGTCCGTATCCGCACCCGGTGCCATACCGTCCGATCACGGGCTTCTTCTGGGCAATCTCATCGGCAAGTACTCGCTGCGCTGCACGTGCATGCGCACACTGTTCCATTCGACAGAGGATTCATGGAACACGATGTTGTCCATGACTAAAGCAACACCAGTAGGAGGATCCAGGCTGGAGAGCAAGTCGTAACAATCCTTTCCGTCAACGCTCTCTTCGTGCAAGGCAGTGACGCACTCGCCACTGCAAGAGAGCGCGGCGATGACTCGATTCCGAGTGCATGACTCTTTTCCGACCGGGAAAACCGGCGGGAGCCTCTGGGCGCATATCCCCGCAGAGGTACCGTGCTGCAGGTATCGAATGCGCTTTTGTCAGTGGGTGAAAAGAGAATGTCATTTGTTTTTCGAATGGAAGAGATCGTCTGACGTGACAAGTTCAGTAAAGTTCCGACATGAGCTCGTCAACAGGTCCTCAGGCAACGACGTCGAGTGTTTGTCCTTATCAAGCTGTCGGTGCAATTCGCTTCGCCCATAAAATGCCTTGAAACAGAAGATCGAGAACCTGAAGCATGCGCGATTTGGGCATGTCCGACGTAACGAAAGGAGAAGCGTGAAGCCTCGTACGAATGCATTGGATAGACATGTCGGTTACGTTACGAATCCTCCTTCGAGGATATCACGAACCATGCTCATGGCGGTGACGTGGCGAAGTCGATCGACATGGAGTCGTATGGGGCACTCCAAAACGACGACCGAGATTCCTAAAACTACTTATGCGTACGTGAGCCCTTTTTGCTGCACTTGGAATGCCGACGTTCTTCACGTCGTAAACGTAGAAAACATCGAAATTCAGGAGCAGAGCGACCATTCCAGCATTCCGTCTCCATCCGACACCAGTGTCGATACATAGTTTTCAATGCCAACGCCTGGCAAAGACAAGGCACCACCGGACACCATCTCGCTTCACACGTTGGCCGTTGCGCGACATGCCATGGGTTTGTCAACGTGCGGGTCTGGCACGCCTTGGCTAAGCGCTATCTGAGCGGTCGCATGCAAGTTCACTCGAGCACAATGGAGCCGTACACGTGGCAAAGTAATATTTCCAATAACTCAACGTGGCGTGACTCAAAATGCCATCTCTGGTGATCTCGCCCCGCGCACTAGCGCTGCGAAAGCGCTGTCGATCCTCCTCAGCAAACTGCTGGTATACGTGGTACCAGGACGGTAGGTACACCCGCTCGGGGTCAGCCGGCACCTGAACCAGATCAATATCGAAGAGCTCGATAAACTGCTCGTCGACGTAACGGGTTTTGGTGCCGGCGTAGCTGCGGTACTCATTGACGATCGAGCTCAGACTCCAGCCCTGTAGTTTCCGCAGACATCCAACAACGACGCCTACGGCGTGCACGCCGCTTGCACCGCAGATCAACAACGGGTGCGCTGCACGACAGAGTACAGTTTCGAGAGCCTCTTTCACGAGCTCCTCAGAACAGGGTTTCCAGGAAGCCTCAGTCGGCTTGAAGACCCGCATGCCGAGCTGCACGAGCTCCACCTGGTTATCCTCGAAAAACTGGGTGACAACGCGCGTCGGCGACTCTTGAGAAAGCATCAGCACAGTCTTCAGGTTTAGATGTTTTAGAAAAGGGAAACTGAGAGGATGTGGCAAGTTCGCGCGGTAAACGCCTTGCTCGACGATCCCGAACGACTCTGGCGGTGAGAGCGTCGCCAGCGTCTCTGCCTTGGTCGCACTCGAGCGGCTCATAGTTGTTGTTGTTGTTGTTGTTGTTGTGAAGGAAGCAGTGCCTGCAAACACAGGTGCAGCTCCGTCCAATCAACAGTGACAGCGTCGTTGAGCGCCCATGCCACTAGAAGTGCTCGCGTTTCAAACGGCGCTCGTGTGACTGCAGAGTTCGTACGCTCAAGCCCGCTGACGTATAGGTTCCCCTGCGACTCTACGACGGTTTCAGTCGCCGGATGCTGGCGTTCTCCCTCACTTGTGCGTGAACCTGGAGGCTGCGCTTCACAACAGGGACAACTGCGAGCCGAGCAGCATAGCGTTCAAGCGCCGGTGCACGACCGACTCGTCGCGAAAGCGCTGCGCTTTAGAGCAGTGGAGACGGGTAGCCTCTGTTTTGCGGAGGTGTTCGCTGTTTGCGTGCGAATCGTTTTTAGAAGAACGATATAATTCGATGTAGATAAGCCGAAGACCATGTCGTACGTTTCAAAGCGCACGCTTTCGGGTCGCAACCGCGTGATCACTTCTATCCAGTGACAAACCTGGGAAGCCGCCGCTCTAAACGACGCCGGGGAGAACGACAGGGAGCAGGTCTCTGACGAGCCTCTGCGTTTTTTGAACCGGGCTCAGGAAATGTGCAGTACTTGAATCTACAGGCCCCGTCCAGTTTCATAGGTACAGGTTGCAATGGTCCGGCTGCCAGGGCCACGAGCTGCGCCCCACCCTTTGAAATGTATAGCGGGAACACGAGGCACTCGGCACTGCAAGCGCTACCATCATGCATGCATCAAGGTCAACCGCTTCTACGTGATCATCTAGGCTGGAAGTTAGCCGCACGTGACGTGTAGACTGCGTCAGCGACGACGACTCCGACTTGCGACAGCACGCGGCGTCGCTGACCCCGGGTGAAGTCTACGCAGGCCAGAGGTATTCGTGGGTGGCGGTAGACGACGCTGTGGCTCGACATGGACGCTTGCGAAAGCGCTTAGAGGGGCACATACTATCCGGACGCTTCGTGGTGTGCATGCTTTGAGTGCATGCTCAACTCGATCCTGCCTCTATCTACATGCGACTGCAGTAGCATCTGCAGCTTTTAGGGACGCTGCACACGCCCAAAGGAAACCGAGAATGTCCCTGCATACCGTGGAGCACGACGCATACGCGTTGTGCGTCGATCGGGACAGGGATGACAGAGGCGATGCGCTCAACACCAGCCATAAGCGCACAGGGAGCAAGTCGGGTACGATAGGGATGGGTAATAGGCGTCTCGTGCGGCGAAGCCAAGAACGATGTCGATCAAGCGGTCACGAAATGGAAGCGTTCGCACGCCCCAGACTGGGGCCTGATCAGTGTGTGGCATCGCTTTCGATAGAACATTGCGTACAAGGCGGAATAACGTGATACCGCTCTAGTGCATCAGGTTGGATGCATCATGTGAACAAGCGAGAGAGAGAGACAGAAGCGACGCATTCCTGAGCAGACGCGAGCGCCAGTCCCGAGATTCCCTGATGAATCTTCATCGAGAGTCGGTAATGCTCCACTGTGCATCTTGAAAAAGAATAGGTTGACGCATGCACGAATATCATCCACGCTACGCAAGTGGCATCGTTGAACCATTCGCGTTGTTGCTGGGCGACAGCTCATGTCGCGAAGCGGTTACGCTGAAGCAGCGAGTGGGAGGCAGCTCCGCAGCTTTGGGTGCCTCAACCTTCGCAGATGCAAGTTCACACACGCAAGCTCAGCGCCACTGAAAGCAAACCGCGAACATCGAGCCTAGGACGGGTGTTTGGGGTCGAAAGCCCCTCGCAGCGAACCTCGCTGTTGGCTCCGAACACCAAAACGACGGTACGTGAAACCAAGGAACGACGCGTCGCCCTCTCCTAGAGCGTGCAGGTCTCGATACGAGTACCGAAGAAAAGGCTGCATTCGAAGCTGCTCCCGAAAGATTTTACGCGAACCCCGGAGCTCGCCTTGTTTGCGACTTGCTGGGTCCGCGTTCAGCGGGAACGCTCTTGTCGTGGGTGTCCTCGAGGCTGTCGATGACCTGGCGTTCGTCGAAGTCAACGAGGCGTCCGCTTGGGCGCCCTCAATGTCAACTACACGGGGCACCTGTTGGGGCTTTCGCTGATCAGCAGGCGGCAGCGTGACAGCTGGTCGCGGGCGTGCTGGGCTCGCCAGAGTGTTCGCGGGTGCAGTGCTCCGCGGTTCAGTGCCGGTGCGTCCCGCAGGCGGTACAGTGGCCTTGGCTTCCTGGCTTTTTGGGTGCGTATCGTCCTCGAAGTGGTCAAAGTAGCGAGTATCGGCATCATGACTGAGTTCGGGCACGAACGGTGCCCGCATCTCTCGCATGCGATTCCAGTCAAAGCCGTGGAAAAAGGGATGACGTTTGAAGTCCTCGAGACCTTCGCGGGCGCCCAACCTGTTTTCGGGATCTGTCAAGAGAGAACGGATGAGGTCTTTGGCTGCTGGAGACACGTTCGGTCTCGCGGGGAACTGCAACGTCGTGCGCCAATTGAGTATTTTGCGACAAGTCTCCACGGAGTTTTCCGAATAAAAGGCCGGATATCCGTAGAGCATTTCGAAGATGATGACACCCAGACTCCACCAGTCACACTCCTTGCCGTAACCCCTCTTCATGAGCACTTCGGGTGCGATGTAGTCCGGAGTGCCGACCGTGGAAAACATGCGGCGTCGTAGACCGCGTCGCCAGGAGCCTTTGCGTTCTGCCTCGCTCATAGCTGCGATACGATCCCCGCCGGTATACGTCAGATCTGCGCCCGGTTCCAACAACGGCGCCATGCCGTAGACTTGCAGCTCATAGGCCGCAGCGAGTCCAAAGTCGGATAATCGAATGTGACCATCCTTCGCGATAAGAATATTGTCAGGTTTGATGTCGCGGTGAGTAAATCCTAGACGATGCACCTGCTCGATTGCGGTTCCGATTTCGGCAGCGTAGAAACGTGTGCTGTCCTCGTCAAGGGTATCCCTCTGAATGAGCAACTGCATAAGATCACCGCCCGGTAGGTACTCCATGACAAGGTACAGGTGTTCAGCGTCCTGGAACGTGCAGTATAGCTTACAGACGTATGAAGCGGACTCTGCAAGCACCAGGAGGTCGCGCTCGGCTCGTACGTGCGCCACCTGGTCCTTGCGAAGCATTTCGCTCTTGCGGAGACGTTTCATGGCGTAGAGCTCGCCGGACTCGCAACTGCGGACTAGGGAAACTTCGCCAAACGCTCCCCGGCCGATAATTGCGATGTGTTCAAAGTCATCGAGGGTTATTCGACTGCGCATTTCGCGCGCGAACTCCTTTTCCCGTCGGAAGTGCTCGCGGCGTAGCATCTGTTTGTCCGCATCCGAGAGACGAAGGCGCTCGAGCCGTTCCTCAAGAAGTTGACGTCGTGCTTCGGACTCGTTGAATGCGTGGGCAAAGTTGCGGTAATACTGCTCTATCAATCGTTTTGCGTACAGGACTCGCCGTTGGCTCTCATTGACCTGCCGCGAGGAGGCAACTGAAGAGCTCGCAACTGCTGTCTGCTCAACGGATGCAGCTGGTGCGCCAGCGGGTGGAACTCGAGCCGGAGACTTCGATATCTCCAGAGAGCCTACCGTCGTCACTGATTGAAAAGGAGTTGTCGGACAGCTTGAAGAGCTCTTCGCCGAATCCGAATCCGCGTGCAGCTCGCCGGGCTGGTCCCTAGACATGCGCACCAAATGAGGTGATGCGCCTGCACCCGCAGGCTGGAGCATCATGAACGGCCCCTGCTGAAGTCGTTCCCCAGCAGACGCAAAGATGCACCAGAGACGCACAAGAAAGTCGCTCGCACGCCGTGTGTCGTCGTTGCGTCTTTACGTACTCACCGCGACGCGCCGTATAGCTTCAGAGGCAAAAAATGGAATCACTGGTATGGATCGGCTGCTCGGGACGCCACGAACAGCTGCGTGGACACGTCTTCGAGAAGTACCCAGAATCACACACAGTACCGCAGCGGATCTGTTACACTCGTATCCCAGTAGTGCTGCGCACTGACAAGCGCTCGCTCAGCGATACTTGTACCAGCGACCGTCGATCGCACCAAAACGTGCTGCGACGCGTCTGCACTGTGCTTGTCTCGTTCCAGCAGGTTGCTTTCAGGAAAACGACGACGACAACAAGAACAGTCCAGTAGTGATCTGGTCCCAAGTGCCTGTGTTCACTGCTTCGGTGCTCGTTCTTGTCAATAGCAGTCAGTCGGTCACTCAGTCGTTCAGTCACTCGTGGTGCCGTGTGCCTCAGCCGGTCGCTGCCGCAGTCGACGGCAGTGGTGTGGGCGTGTCTGCTCGCGCTCACGCCGGACACGCATCAAGCGCCGGGCGTGTCGAGGCCGCAGCTGCAGCAACGCTGCGATCATAGGCGCCCGGGCGGTGGCGGCGGGAAATTCGGCACTGGATCGGTGCACACCGGAGAACGTCGACATTAGAACTTGGATAAATTGTACTTTAGCTGGTGCGTGTCCAGGCAGCACGCATGCCTCGAGAACCTCATGATTGCTCGAATTAGCATCTTTTCATGAATGGAAGAATAGTCAGGTGAGTATGCAACGTTGACGTGGATGATCTCTGATGGGCAGCGCTTGCCGAGCTCATCGGTTTACCGCTAGTTGGGGCAGGGCGCTAGCTAGCGTGTGCGCACACGCATACGTTGCTGTGAAAGGGACGCTGTTTTCGGGCAGTACGCTCCACTTCACTTGTGCGTTGATCGTCGTTCGTGGCTAGTGGGGTAGGGCGAATATCTGGGCGCATCGTATTGTTTGGAAATAGAATGGATGTAGTGGTCCAGAGGCGAGATGTAAAGTCGATGATGTGGTGCGGTGTCACCTTGTGTGCATCCTATTCATGCATCCAAATCTATGCAAACTGGCAACATGCTATCGACATTCTAACAGGATCGGAATCATCGCTCTACAAAGAACTGAATGGTCCGTTGACTTTGGCGGAACAGGTGGAACCTTCTCTGCAGCGGGAGATCGAAGCGACCCACAACATCAACGCGTCTGTGGAAGCGCGCCTTTCCTCGACACCCCAGCAAGATACCCTTCAAAGTGCAGCTGGACGTTTTACGATCGGTGAACTGGGCCCGCATCGGATGCACTTTTGCGCGCAGACAATGCGCATGTTCCTTCGGTCCATTCTCTTCGGCCGTGGACGCAACGCTCGAAAAGACAATGTGCCAGTGTGCCTGCGCCCAAGCGATGCCCCAGCGCAGATGCTCGCACACAACAGGAAAAAGTCGCTGCCGCCTCTGCCACCAGGTGCACGCCATCAAGGCGATCGCGTCCCCAGCCCTGAGCAGTCTCGCTCGAATGTCGATAGGCACGGGCGACAGCGCACGCACGCCGTCTAAACAGCTGCCTTTGATCGAGCATTCGAAACGACGCTCCGGCTCGCCGTCAACCAGTCGTCGGAGTCGGATTCGATGCCAATCTCGTCGGCGAGCTCCCGCGGCTTGCGCTCCATACCCTCGGCCATTTGAAGAATGATCTGCCGTGCCCGGGAACGCCTGAGACGCAGCGCTTTAAGCGCTCGTTCGTGCTGTTGCTGAATGTACTGCCGTCGGCTGCTATCGTAGCCGGCACAGTGTACTTGGAGCTTTTCAATGCGCTCGTCGATCGTCGCAGTTTCGGTTTCTAGAAGAGCAACCCGCTCTTTTGCTTCCTCTGTTCGAGGCTGCGCAGAGAGCTCACTGATCTTAGCCTCCAGCACCTGGCACTCCGCTGATAGTTCCTCGAGCTCGTTCGCAAGTGTCTCCAGACGCGAGTCCAGTGCAGCTGTCTCTTCGGCAGACGGCAGGGCGATATTCTTCTGCCGAATCAGGTACAGTTTAGCCTTTCCATACTCTTTGCAGGTTACGTACTCTGAAGTTACCAGTTCAGTAAGTGCTTTATCCAAAGCAGCTTTCTTCATGTCTCCCTTATTTGCTAAACTGTCTAGAATATTTTGCAACGAGAACGGCCGGTTCTGACTCGCGAGAAAATCGTGGACGAGCTGCAAGTTCTTATCTCGAAATGTTGGTGCTGTCGTCTGATTACCGGTGTCCACGTTCTCCTCATCTTCATCTTTCGTCCGAGCTCTTTTCTTTCTCGTTGAAGGCGACTTTGCCGGCATGGACTCGCCCAGTTCGCGCAACGTCAGCACACGCGCTGTAGCGGGTAATCCCAGTGCGACACCGTCCAGCAGTAGACGGCACGGTGTTGGCGCCAGCGTTCCCGCCACCAGCATCGACAGTGCGCGCACGCCGCTGCCCGCGCACGCATCCAGCAGCAGCGCGCCTATCATGGCGAGCTTCGCAACATTCCTTCCCATCGACAGAACGTTGATTCGGACAAGGAATCCTCGATTGCGCACTTGATATCAGCGATTGGTAGTGTGTTCATCGCTCCACACGTCGGCTCCAAGTTCAACGACGAGTCACGGATGGTGACGCGCGCTGTCGCTCAGTGAGTAAATAGCGCATGAGGTGCGCGTGCATGCATTTGCATTGTTGGTTATTTGTCGATGCGTGTCCCAGGATGCGTGACTCTATGCCACTCATCACGAGCACGCATCGACATGTTTCTCTTGGAATATGGGATCGAAGCATTGCTCCAAATGTTCTGTGAATGCACGGGCAATCTGGATATCTAGGGATACTGCCCAAGGTGCTTTCAATTTGCTTGTGATACTGGATGGAAGCATTGCTCCAAATGTTCTGTGAATGCACGGGCAACCTGGATATCTAGGGATACTGCCCAAGGTTTATTCAAGTTACCTGTGATACTGGATGGAAGCATTGCTCCAAATGTTCTGTGAATGCACGGGCAATCTGAATATCTAGGGACACTGCCCAAGGTTCTGTATCAACGCCTGAGCATTCCATTCATCCATGAATCGCCTCCAATTTACGAATAGAGACTTACTAGGTCCAGCGACCTCTCGTGCGCCACACCTACGGTTAACGCCGAGCTCAGCGGAGCAGAGACAGCGATGCCGCACGCTCGCGAACGTCGAGGTCGCCGAAAGCTCTGCTCCGCCAAGTTCATTGGAATGCTCTCCGCAAAATCGGCGGTGACACTGAAGGGTCCACGTGTGGTAGCACGCGCTTCTCGGAACCAGCCACAATCACAACGAACGGACTTGACGCAGAGCGCGCGCGAGGCAGCAATGTCAGCCCGTCTACCTTTAGTAGCGCTGAGTTTGTGGAAACGCCAAAGCCCCGCATCCGTCCATCGCACAGAATACCTGCGATGCCGCTTCTGGTGCACGATGCACTTCCCGCGGGGCGGAAACGAGATCCAGCTTCTTTCGGAACAAGCAATAAGCCTCTCGACACGTTGACATGGCTCGCAGCGTCGCCAGCGAGCTTTCGATGCACCTGCTAGGCGAGTGGGGAGCTTTCACCCGCCTTGTCCTCAGCGGCATCTGCGGTAGTAGAAACGACTTGTTCGAGTAGCGCAGGTGCGGGTAGCCGCTCTTGGCTCTGGGAAACCCCAATCAACAACTCACGATATGTATTCAGAATGGTTTCCAGAGCGGGATTCGATGCCAGCAGTGGTAACACAATCTGTCGAATGAGCGCCATATTGGAAGCTTTCCAGCCATCGCGCTGCTGGCTGTCGATGCATTCCCCTGAACTCACAGTAGTGCTGAAACCCCCGAGTTGATCACAAAGCGCAACAAGACGGGCCTCGTCACCGATCTGGACGAGCCACTCGACCAGCCTCTGTAACCAGAAACGAGCCTCAGCTTCCTTCTGCAACCTGAAGGCCGTCACAAACAAAAGCTCGAGATGTGCTGTCGTGTCACTCGCTTCCCGTTCTGGGTCCGCAACCTCGCGCAGACCTACGCGCTCTGGATCAATAAACGAAAAATTCCTGTCTTCGGTACACGGATCCGTGCAGTCCAGGGTCGGCAAAGCCTGCTGCTTTCGGGCGTCGTAGCCGGTTGCGGATACCGTCGCCTCAGAAAAGGGACTCGCAAGGAAAGTGTCTTCCATCAGCCGGATCCATGTGGCGTGCGCACCCTGATGCATATAGACATCGCCGTTGCGGAGAAACAGGAGTAGCACTTGACGCGAAGCATCCCATTCGAAGCGTTCGGGCAACAACCGCACTGGCTCGAGATTTTCGCTCGCCAGCAGAAAACTGGCACTGCCCCAAGCGAGTGGGCGCGAGGTTTGCTCGGGCCTCCAGTCCGTCAAATCGGTGACGTGATGGACTTGGAACGAAGCCTTTTCGGTTAAGATGAGGATCACTCGTTCATGGCGTGCCATCCAGATCGCTGGTGCATCCAACATGAACGGTGGCGCCAGGCGGAGTCCACTGCGGCCAGAGAGTACGTGCAGTGCAGCATCACTAGTACCCAGGATGATTGCATTGGATCCAGGTGTGCTGGTGAGCGCAGTGACGGCTCCCCGAACGACTTGTTTCCATAGAGGCGAACCAGAGCGCACCCCAAAAACGAGCGAAGTATTCAGTGGTTGACCAACAGATTCGATGCAAAAATTCGGCGAAGCGTCCTCGAGAATCCAGAGACGTCTTCTTGTATCCGTGCCGGTCGACAGAGGAATCGTTGACCTGGGGGTTCCCGATGAAGCCACCGGTGCTACTGTAGAGGTCGCTTTCGGTGTCGCGGCAGCGGTGGCGAGACCATGCATCTCTGTATGGTTGTTCGCCAACGACTGCTCTCTTCGGACGCCGCTGTCGCTACGGAGTGCATTTCTAGGAGGTTTTGGCAGCACTTCTGGTGTGGAGGCGCCATTCATCGCAAGTGACCGTTGGCGTTTCTTCGCCTGCACGGCATCAGCAGAGTCAAGTGGTTCGCGCTCAACGCCCGCTGACGCCAAGTGAGCAGCATGCTGCTTAGCTGCAACGCCGAGCGACGGTGTGGCAGTGGCGTGTTGCCCGCCTATCGGTACTGGAATGATCCTTCGCTTCCCGTCCTTAAGACGTTCCTCCCGCTGATTTTCCAAACGCAGCTGGACGCCAGCAGCAGGGCTGGGCTCCTTCGCGCCCGCTTTGCCTGAGGATGGCGGGCGCGAATCCCCCGGCATCGAATGCTCGACGACAGGTGTACTGGTCTCTGCTCCGCTCTTCGCGAATGCGGGTGCTTGCTGCGCGAGCTTGCTCCGCTGCAGTGCAAGTGCGACGGGATCCAGCATACCACAGCTCGCATCTCCCAGCTGGTTCGATGGATGTGCCCGCAGGGGGTTCACGCCACCAGTGAACAGAGTCATCTCTTTGGTGATCGCCTCCTTGGCTACCGCCTCTGGTACAACGTAGCCAAGCTCTTCCGGATCAAACTGCGCAAAGAAAACACTCCCGTCCGTTGAACAAGCTACCAGAATATCGCCGGCAGTGTTCCAACTCAAGTCCAGAACATCCCCGTCAAATAAATCTACGAGAGAAACGAACGGTTTGCCGTGGTCTGCTCGCCAGATCGTCAAGCCGTGATCTTTGCTACCTAGGGCGACGCAAAAATAGAGTCTGTTCTTCTCCTCGAATGGAGGATGCGGTGAGCGTGCGTATACGCACGGTGACCATCGAATTGACACCACTGGCGCCCGATGCCCAACAAACTCGATCGGATCTGCAAAGTCCTGTATACGACGGTACAGAGGCGCAACATGGCACTTGTTCCGATAGCCGTTGGTGGCGACAAGCTCGGCACCCGATGGCGACCATGCCAATCGCATAAACCAGGATCGCAAGTTTGCCTCAGTCGTCGCCGCCTCAAACTCTTCAGAAAGGCGTCTTTCTATTTCGCCCCAGTGGTCGGTACGCCACAAGAGCACCGAGCGATCGTCAGACTGGGTGGCAATGAACTGGTTAGCCGGATCCCAGGAGACGCCTTTCACCATCCCATGATGGCCTCGCAGGCGAGCAAGGAGGCTCCCGTTTGCAGTGATCCATTGATCATCATCCCCATGCTTTGTGCTCAGCTCTATACGCCAGACGCATACGGTATTGTCCACTGAGCAGGAGGCAAGCGCCTCCCCGTGCGGGGCAAAACTCACGTCGAGAACGTCCGAGTCATGTGCGCGTAAGATCGTACAAACAGACCAGTGTTCCTTGCAGGCCGCACCGAGCGGCGCTTGAAGCAACGTCCCGCGGGCAAATGGCTCAACCGCCGTCACCGCTCCAGCAGCAGCAGGCACTCGACTAGATAGCAAGACAGTGCCGTCGTCGCCACCAGAGGCTAGAACGTTGCCGCCCGGATGCCAGCGAACGACGTTCGCAGCACCCTGGTGTGCCGGTGTTACAACGCCGATCAGTGCCGACTCCAGAGTGTTCTCACATGCACCGTTCTGTTGTGGTGTCGTGCTTTCGTGCGGTGCACCGGGCTTACCAAGAAGGCGAGCGCACTGTTGTTTGGCGTCCTCCCAGAGCGCACCTAGCCGCCATAAATGGATCTTTCCATCCTGTCCACATGTCGCTAGTCGCACCTCATCCAGAGGAGCATCACGAGCGCACGGCTGAATGTCTAGAGAGAAAATGGGCACACAGGCGTTATCAGCTCCTGCTCGCCGTCTGTCACTGCTTGTTGACAAACTGTTTGTTTGCTCCCCGGTTCCAAAGCCACGTTGGACGCCCAGAGGTCCGTTCCCAGTCCCGGCCGCGTGACGAAGCCAAACGGGTTTCGTGAAAATCACCATCCAACACGACCGGTAGGATCGCTCCTAGCGTCCGCAAAAAGCGTCCGTTTACCTAGCGTCAAGGAGTCGCGTTACCCAGACGCTGCACAAGCGCGGGAATGACGCAACCCTGCATCTGGCTGGAGCGGCGATCGATCTGCTTCCGAGGCATGGTACTGGTCTTTTTTTTCGATGATCGATGGTGTGTCGCTCAGTCGATACGCGGGATACCAGCGCACCTGCGGTATATAGCATGCTCGGGTGTTATGATGGAGGTCCATAATGCAGCGGTTCGAACATTGATATAGTGAAGCCTGCATACGGCAACACCAAGAGAAGCGCTCTCCGTTTCTAATAGGCATTTTTCGCGCATCTGACAGTAGTAGTAGCAGTAGCAGCAGCGACAGTGTGCTGGGGATTCATGTCGTAGCCGGTTCTCGCCCGAGGCTAGACATCGACCAGTAGCGGAGCACGCTTTCCAATCCATAAAGGATGAGCCCTGATCCAGAGTGCGGTTGGTGCTCACAACATAGAGTATTTTCGAGGAATTGGGTTGCATGGGCATTGCGAATATCTCGCAGGATCCATAGCAGAGCCCTGTACTCGCAAGTGTCGCATCGGTGCATCAGGTGAGCAGCTTGCGGGTGTGCGGACGCTACCCACGATCGAGGTCTGCACCGAACACACCTCCATAACGGAGGTAGACGGGTTGCACTTTCGCCAGGGCGTGCTTTCATGACACATTATGGACTCTGCAGTCGAACCTGAGCTCCATTCAAGGCCTCTCGTATGAAGCAGAGAAACTGGGGCGCTCGCGCTCAAGCCGGCGCCCGCAAAAGCATAGTGCTCGAGACAAACCCTCGGCATCCAGAGAGTCTCTCGATGAAGCCCCGGTTCTATGGATGGAGCGCTTGCATCCATCGAACGGAACCTCCAGACTTCTCAACGCGAACGTGGTACGGATCCGCAGTAACGACCCGGAGTTTCGGCGTGATATCGATGTGGCGTTTCGCCGGATATCAGGGAGCAACGCTATGGGATATGGAAGGGAAAATCGTTCGCCACAATACCCCATCGCTCTTCTTTTCCAGCAGAATGTTTACACGAGCCAGGGATTCCCGATGATACGCTGGATAGCACCGATCAGAGAAGCATCCATCGTTCCATGGATAACCGCCAAGCTTTACAGTGCATACTTCTCCTCGGAGATATTGGCTATTTCTTGCGCTCAACCGAGTGTCGAGCGTTCCGTGAGCATCCGAGGTAGAGCGAGCACCTTCTTGGCGCCACGCCACCAATCGATACAGGTGTACGCGTGCAGGTTCGCCAAAGGGCAACGAGCATCGCGCATTCCATTCGCCGGGCGGCGTGCACCGACTTGGAAAGCTCAAGCATTTGGATACTTCCAAGATATGCATAGAGCATCGGTGAGCGAGCTTGGATTAAAGTCGGGATGCTCACGACCTCTCTGCGGAACGGAATCACTCAGTTCCGCTGCACGGCACTGGCTGCTGATCCCAGAAACCGTGACTTTACCATCGAAGCTGGCTGGAGCAAAAGCCCCGGCGCAAGCTGTGTCCACGGCATTATCGCTACTGTCAAAGCGATGGAGTGTGATGCTCCGGGATCACCGCATCGACGACTCGTTCGAAGACTATTCCACCGAAAGCTGGTGTCAGACACAGACGCAATCGAAGGGGCCCATCCAGCATCGCGAGCATGACAAAAGCCGCATGCCATAGCCCGCGTTCGTGCGACTCGTCCAGCAGTACCGTATGGTTGAACGGGGGTGTTGAAGCACAGCGTGAATCCAAGCGTGCTATCATGCAATATGCCCTGGGCGAGGAAGCCTCCCAGCGTGCTGCTTTCGCTTCGACAGCGCTCTGTCACAGACGGAATACATGCCACAGTGCACCGCGAATGCATAGACATAGATGAGCGCTTTCAGAGAGGCGAAGTTGGCGTCCAAGCGAATGTATCGCACGATGGAATACAGAGGTAGAGCTGTGGATGCAGCATTTCGAGATGCCGCAGTGCCGCATACACGACGCTCTGCAAGTCTGGCTGCAGGCTTACGCCCTACACCATGGAATACAGGACATTCAGAGAAGCTCATGTTTGCGTCGCCCAGTTGTGTGGCAATATTGACGCACCCGTGCGACTCTGTTTGGAATGCGTCGACTCTCCACTGCAGCGACAAAGACATTTATGGATCCGGAGAAAGAGCTCTATGCCTGCCTGCTACTGTTTGACGCATTCGATAGCGCTCTAAGATGGAAACAGCGTTGAAACTGGGAACCATTCGCCAAGAGGTTCATTCTCGTACTCGCCCTTTTCGAAAGGGCGAGGCGACAGGGGCGGCAGCCACCTGCAAGGCCGCAACCGCCCCTGCGACGCGTTTTCCATGGGAGATATACGGTTGCCTTGACTGCCGCCAGCACTTGCGACGCAAGACCCCTGCCCCTGAAGGGCGTGTCCAGGTACCTACTGTAATGCTCTTTGGGACGCTCTGCACCGCGTGATCCACAGCGCTCGAGTGACCGCTGTGTCTGGATCGCGCACCTCTACTGGTGCCAAGCGGTTACTGTCCTAGCTGGCAGACAACAAGTTCCTGTGCGGTTTGCGCCTCGAGCGCCCTCTTCTTGTTTACTACGATGGATACCGACGACAACGTACCGCTGGCTGGGTCGACGGCCTCGCAACTGGCTGGTGTAAGGCCCGCACCCGTGCAGCGAGCGCTCGGCACGCAACCCCGTGCAGCTACTACGGAACCGAGACCGCCCGCACCTGCGACCTTGGAGGGTTCGGATCTGTTGCGAGACGCTGAAACTCTTTTTGAACGAAGCTTGAAAGAAATGATCAGCGTGTTCGGAACAGCTGATGCTGTTGAAGCATCCACCGGCAACTCCGATAGTCCTGTACTAGAGTTGAAGCAGCGGCTTGCAAACATCGCCAGTGAAGCTTCCTCCTTTCCTTTTCTACGCGAACTGACAACCACCTCGGATGATCATGTAACTCGGTTTGCAGTGGACCAGAGCTCAGCCATCGATAATACAGCGCTCGTAGCCGACACAGTCGCTCGATCCATGCGGGAAGGAAGTACCCTCATCGACTGGCAACATGTTCAGGAAATGCTCGCTTCCATCGATGAATGCATTCATCGAACACTCTGCCAACATCGTCCAGAGCTTTTAAAACCGCTGGCCGGCATGCAGCAAAAGATCGGTGAGATCGAAGCACGACTTGACGACTTGCTCAATGACTTTGCAGAGGCCGATTGTTTGTATCGGCAGGAAACCGCCGAATGGCATCAGCTGGAGGCACTTCAAGGAGAGATCAGGGATCTGACTGAGGCGGAACGAGTCTTGAGGTGTACGATTTTCATCCTGGGCAAACTCGAACATTTCGAGCAGACGTACCTTGCAGTGCTGGACCGCCTCGCGGACTCGCAGCAGTCAGCGACTGCGAGTACCTCGCACCCTGTACTTGCAGATCATGCCGCTTCGTTAAGCCAGGCGGCAGCGCTGCTCAGTGATTTGTTCGAGCTCATGCGGCCGGAGCTATTCGAAACAGTGCCATGGATGTCTGCGGTCATCGAGCGAGGCAAAAGCTACAGCAGACGCGTTTACATGCTCGGGTTTGAGCTTCTCGAGCGTGCTGCTTCAGTGCGCGACTTTGCTGCGGCCCAACGGCTCGGATCAGCGCTAGCACTAGCGGAGGGTTTCGTGAGCTTCCTCGATGCGCTGGAGGCGGAAGCACAAACGCGAGCCGCCGACTTGGTATCGCTTCTCGATCCAGGGCATGCACTAGCAATGACATCTGGTGCATCGCGGAACACGCGGAATTCCGATGCAGCGCACGGCTTGGAATCGATGCAAAAAGCGGTCGACTCGAGAGAAACGAACTTGCTGGTGGATCAGGAGCTGCTGGAGAACGCCGCACTCTTGAACATGCTGTGGATGGCGGCACCGGCCGATGATATCCCCGCTGTGCCCGACGCCGTCACCCCGATGACAGCTCATGTGGGTGAGCACCTAATCGACCAGTATCGACAAAACGCCAAAACATTCTACATAGAATTAACCGAGTATCTGGATCGCCTCAGTTTCCTGGAAGAGGTCCTGAGCACGAGCACCCACTCAACTAGGTTCGATTGTGTGCAGCAGGCCTCGAATGCGTCCGGTTTCGAAAAGCAGAGCGTTCCAGCGACAAGGCGAGCAATGCCGCGAGAGGTCTTCTTCCGAGACCTCACCACTAGACTCGTAACGCTATACGAGCGACTGAACTGCGTACAGGATCAGCATGAGCGCGTCCCAGGGACAAGCGCACGCTCCCTCGTCGCTATCTGCTACCCGCTGCTCGGTGAGGCGCTTCGCACCGCCGCGCGGCATTGTCTCTTGAAGAATCACTATGCACCGGACACTCCAGTGGTCGAGGGCGAGGTCACAGCTCATGAATCGTTCCATCAGCTTGACGATTTTCTAGAGCGTCTCGGGAACGCGTTCAGTGATCTTGTCGAGAAGGCATGGGCGCGCAGGTTTGCACGCGTCAGTAACCTCCAAGGAATCGAAGATGAATCCCGAGAATCGTCTCCAGTGCGACTCGGAATCATCCACACAAAGTACGGGGTGGCGAAGCAGTTGCGGCAGTGCCTGCGCCTCGCTTGGGCTTATCGGAATGCGCTGCCCGCGCTCGAGCGTCTGATGCGCAGGGTCGCATCGACGTTGCTGGTACGAAGCAAGTTGCTCTGCGAGCGGCTTCATCATTACAAGCAGACCCAGAAACTGGAAGTTGTCTCGATGCTCTTGAGCGTACTCGTGTGCTTGTGGTCGTTGCGGGAGAGCGTGTGCGAAAACCTCCACGGATACGATCTTGCCCTGGACCTTGTGTCCTCGGAGAGCGAGACCTCTGCTGATGTCGCTGCTGACGAGCCGGTCCACGCCTGGTTGCGATATCGCGACCAGATCGACCAGTGTGGGCGGGATGCAACTCGGACCCTGCTCGAGCTCGTCGCGAATCAGGTGGAAGCTCAACTCCATCTGGCGCTCGCTAGAAAGCAGCATCAGCCCGAGGACGTCAGGAAATCGGGCTCCCAGCTCTGGGCGGGAGTCACGGAAGCGTCGATGCTGCTTCGTCGATTTGGGGTACTGCTGCACAGCTGCCTACCGACGTCTTCAATCTGGATGGACTGCCTACGAGAGGCGCTCCTGGAGCCACTTGAGGAGGCACTCGTCTACTGTGTGGTGCTGCGACCTATCAATACCGTTAAGGACTTGAACGAACTGCGACGAAACTTGCTTCCGCTGTGGCGCTTGACGCTCCTCGGACTGGCGTCGGGCGGGCTGCCCGACCAACAGCGGACATGCCCCGAACAATTGCAAACGCTGACTCGTTTCGAGCACTTGATCGAGCTCGAATGTGAAGAAGCGGACGCTGGCATTTCAGATATGCAAATCGGACTCCCCGTCCATGTACTTGCTCTATTTGCCATCTCTCGATCGGACGAGCGGATCTTGCAACCGCATATTCGCTTACAGTGGTCCATGGAGAGGTACCGGACCTGGCTGAAATGCCACATCGCAGACGAGCGTACGATTTGGGGGAGTATCGAACCGAGTATTCGACTCTACGGACAACAAGTGCAACAAAGCTCGGACAACGCGTTTATTCCCCAGTTTCGAATTTTACAGCATCTACGGCATCGTCTGGACTCGGAGACAATGCCCGAGAAAAACTCTCCCGATGTTTGCGTTGAGAAATCAGCACCATGCAGCGGGCAGCCTCGGGATACGAACGACTCTTGAACGGAACGATGGAGCGCGAGTTGTACGCGTTGACGGGTGCGTATCGAACGTCGCAATCGAGTCCAGAGATGTGGCTTGACGGCAGTGGCTCTCTCTGCGAAAGAGAGGCACTCAGCGGACGTAGTTCGTCGGGAAACCGCGACACGAGCCCTGCATGTGCCTTGATACGTATGGGAGTGCAATCTGGAACACCGGCATCATCGTAGTCTTTTTGATTTTGGTTGGGGTTCTCGCACGTATTCAACGAAAAGATTATATTCTTTGGGGTGGATGCAAGTCGCGGGAAGACTTGATACTGTTCCTGGTAGGTTGCGAGAAACGACCTCGTTCGTACAGGTCGACTATTCTACGGTAGCCTGGTGGTTGAACCATGCCTCGCGTTGTCCTTATCTTGAGGATCGCGCACTCAAAACATGACTCGCCATATGCTACCTACACGATTGTCTCATCGTCATTCCATTCCGTTCCATTCCATAGGTTCTCCTAAGATATCCGATCAAAAAGCCGGAGGATGGATATAGGTTCCGCTCTGGAAATACCAGCTCTAATGAGGCAACGCGGATGGACAAAGGAAACATGTGGCTCCATGGGGACTGGTCGCGCGTTAAACGCTACGCTATTCATTTCTCACTGAAAATCGAACGTGTAAACTGGGAAGGACAGGTGTTCACTCCATTCAGTGAGACTTGAATCGGCAGTTGTCGCAGACCTGTACATGGGTACGCCAAGAGCGGCAGATCGCCGTTGGTAACGAAAAGGCAAACTGGCTTTCCGGAAACATCAGCACTAGCTGCGACGCAATCGGGTCGTCGCCGAAAAAAAACCGCCAAAAGGAATGGCATCGTTCAGTATGTAATCCTTTGTTGTAACATGCGGAGGGTGCTGCTTCCCCGACTCCTCTGTCCATCTCTTCACCAGAGTCGGTGTCCATGAATGATACGCGGTCGAGGAGAACACAGCCTGGATTGCCGTTTCCTCGCTTTTCGTATCGGTCGATTGCACCATGTTTCACAAAGTCCACGACGTCATGTCTGGTATCAAACGCGACTTGCATACCCGTGGAAAAATAGACGAGTCACTCGCATCCGTGACGCTACAAGATATATGAAGCCACTGAGGATTGCATGGCTTTTCACATGAGCTAGAGTCACCTAACTTGTTTCGCATGGGCACCTGCGCTCGAGCCGGTGTTCGTGGGCGTTTCGGACGCAGAGCTGCCAGCTGTCGACGCTCCTCGAGAGTTTTTTCTCAGCGAAATCTGCATGCGACAACGAGTCGGACGCTCGGGACACACAACGCGTTACGTTCTAGTCTCAGGATCGATGATTTGCTCAGCCGCTTCCCGGGATACCTTGAGCTGCTGCGTGGCAACGTTGGCGATCGGGACAAGAGCAGTGCCGGTGCCGGAAACGATCCAGCAGGGTAAAATGGTTCATGTGCAATCCATTCGGGTGGATGAAGAGAAAAACTTTTTTGTGAGCGTGAATCCCGGGTTGCGCAAGATCGCTGCTGTATTGGTACCTCAAAATGAAGAGGAAGGAGATGCGGGTCTTAGCGGAACGCAGATGAAGCTGCTCAAAATTTCCGCAGCTCGGTACTATCCAGAGTCGGACACCATGGGCGCAACGAGGCATGCCAGCGAAAGGAATGACCGCGTCAGGGCTCTTCTCGACGCTCTCTGCACCCTAGCGAGCAGATGGAACTCTTTTGTATGGCTCGTCGAGAGAGCGCATGAGCGTTCGAATGTCTCATGCGGACGACTCGTGGCAGGACTTTATGAGCGTGCGATCGGATCGACAACGGGCTCGATTGTGCGGAGGTAAGAAGCGTATATTCGTCACTTTCTTGAATAATTTGCGATGGAAATGACCGTCAGGTCGTGCGCTTTGGAGGTCGCCTGTGGCATCCGACGTGCCATCCTGCGCAGAGCCTGCGTTTCCGCCCTGTCGAGGAGAGCGTCCACCGAGCACATGAATCGATGCCGTAAGCTTGCCGTCCGTGCGCTCAGGCAGACGTCCACACATCACGAGAACGAATGCGTTCCGAAACAAATAGGGAAAAAGGCAGTCGAACGGAGAACGCTGCACCAGACGGTGCACGCTAAGCTGACTGAACCTCGGATGGAGAGGCAATCCAAGCTCTGCAGCTTGCTCTGGTATTGTGTCTCCACCTGTAACAGTGCGCATATGCATTGTACGCATCGCAACTAGAACGTCATGATCAACACGCGCGAGAGACTTGTTCTTCAGGAGCGTGCAGCGGCTTTGTGTCGAGCGAGCGTTCGAGGGCATCGTTCAGTGCACAGTACGGGCCTTGTACTGAAACGCTGCAGCATGTCGATGCAAGAAAACTCAGAGACCAGGAGAGAGTTTGGATTGGATTCGCACCTTGAGCACGACACTGGTATGGCAGCGGTCTGCAATCCAGAAAGGCTGCAGCGCCCAGCACAAGCAGAGGGAACGCGACTTTCCCAAGCAATTGGTGAACATTCATGGTGTTCCACGATTCGATACGACTGAGTATCCTCAAGACACTGAATCGCTCTTTACGTACTTGCCTGTACCAAGTCACGTCGCACCTTTCAAGCCTCCTTTGATGGACTTTTGCGGTCAAGGATGATGTCGAGGAAAGCGATGGGTGTGTGAAGATGAAGGTGTCGGTTTCCAGTTCCATACGGCTGCACTGTGCATGCATCGAGAACAGGTCTCACCTACTTGCCATTATCGCGCACGTTTGCTGACCGGTGTGACAACTCGTATTGACGGATTCGGAGTGTGTTTTGGTCCTGTGGTCGGTCGGGCATCTGCCGGATTTGACTGAACCCGATACAATGATCACTGGTCGTCCATTCGTAGCTTCGGATGCTAGGCGCACCGCGACTGCGTCCAGATCACACCCGAGCGCTACTTTCTAGACTATCCGGTGGTGCATGTTGTCGCTGGAATGAGCACACGGCTATTGTTGTCCATCCGCGCCAGTCTCCGCAAAACGGAGGCACGACTTTTCAGTTTCAGGGTGTGGGCGTTGTTTGCGGGGAATCGCGTTCAGCTCATGCAACGCTAAAGCCCGCCTCTTGGTCGGTAAAGCACACTCCATTACGCGGGAGCAGGTTACGCATGGGCTAAAATTTACATTCAGCTGGGGCGTATGCGTATGTATGGGCTGATGCGCCGTTGTCGAGGCGTTTCCGCCTGGGGTACGCGAGAAACGCGACGGCCTCAGCCATTACTGCAAGGCAGGCCCCCTGAGAACACGCAATGCCTACTTTCCTATCTTTAAACAGAACGTCCGGACTCCCGGCCGTGCTCTGTTCCCGCTGAGAGGGGCAAGTATTCTCGGTAGCGCGGGAGCGCTCAGGTCGGCGGACCTCACTGTGTTGCGGTACCTGTCGACGGACTCCCCAGGACAGTTGTTTGACTCGTAGCGAACCGCGAATTAGCAGCCAGATCGCGTTCATCGGCCACAGGTACCACATTCACAACTGTGCGGCCGTCACGGCTACGACGACTGAACCTCACTTGACCCGTCGCTAGGGCGTAGATGGTGTCGTCACGACCAACCCCGACGCGCTCGCCGGGGAGCCAGCGGGTACCTCGTTGGCGCACCAGCACCTGACCGATGCGAACATGAACGCCTTCTCCTGTCTTGACACCCAGACGTTTGGCTATGGAGTCACGCCCGTTACGTGAACTGCCACCAGCTTTCTTCTTGGCACCACGCCAGGTGCACGGCTCGGAGTCGGCAAGCGACGGTGGTTCACGAACGAGCGCCGGTAGACCGCCGTTTTTAGAAAGAAACGAGCAAAGTTCCCCAGGCGATCTAAGGTGCTGAACGAGCTTGCTCCAATAAAGACGCATGAAGAATAACGTGATACTGAGGTATCCGAGTGCAGTACGTTTGTTACAAGTGCATGGCGTTAGCGTTGAGGTACTGTTGCACCATACAACAACAGGCCTGACGAAGGCCTCTGCCCCTGCGCGGGTGCGTGCTCCATTGGGGGGTTAACTCGACAATCTGAACTTATCTAAATATATCTACATTTTTATGAATATAAGTAGATATATCGATCCTGCATGGCATGCGTGCACGCAACGTCCCAGAAGGCGTGCATGTGCGTTTGGGGTACACGAGTCAGGCGGAGGTCATCCTAACACCTGAGCTTGCTCTCAGGGTCTGTTGATAACCGCGCCTGCATAGAATGGAATGGATCCACGATCACCGACGTACAGATCAAAGTTTGCATGACATTCCACAGTGATGAACACCAGGCGTTGGGGGCAATTTCTGCGACTGCTTCATTTTCTTCCATCTCGTCTCAGGCTCTCAAAACGCAGGTATTTCCTTTCCCTCAAGCTCGGTTACCAACAGTCGAAGGATATTGATGACAGGATTAGACTTGCGATTTTGTAGATTCCGGCTGTTGTCGACTTATGTCATGCACAGATGGGCCTTGCGGTATTCGCTTCGCTTGCCGGGCCCATCTGCTATGTATACAGCCTCGGTTTACCTTCCGCAACGATGAAACGTGCCCGCGTTCGAGGCTTCCCCTGTGTGGATCGCATATACGCCCCCGATTGTCGCCCTGTAGCGCTTCATTGATTGAGTCATTGCTCTGTACAAGCGCTTGACGGATACAGAGTGCTAACCAGGATGCCTTGCTTCCTTTCCGTGCCCGGTGCACTACCTTGCTATCCCGGGCTTTTTCAGAGCATTCCCCGAGGCAAGAGCTCGGTCCGCTGAATACATGCGCGCATGCTGTTCGATTCCATGGAGGATTTACGGAACGCGATGTATTATGTGGTCAAGCAAGAATCGGAAGAAAATTCCAGGCTGCAGATGAAATCGAGAACGTTCAATCTGCCTACGCTCGCTTCGTATAGAGCGCTGACGCAATCCCCATGTCAAGTGATCGCTGCGGTGAATAAACTCTAAAACGATGTTCCACGCAAACACGATACACGGGAGCCGCTGCGAGTATAGCACTCGAGCTGGCATCATGCTGCAGTGGCATGCAGGCTCACCGATGCTCGCAAAGAGAAAAGGATTTGCGTTTCGATCCGAGTCGATTGCTTGAGGTGCGATGTTCAGTGAACGTTCGGCATGAGCGGGTGACCAAGTCGTCAACGGATGACGATGAACAAGACTTTCTTCGAGCTGCTCATGCAGCGGCGCAACTTGCTTCACCCATGAAGTATCGCTCCACAGAGACGTATCGAAAACGTGAAGCATGCGTGACCTGGGTATACTGCTCTTTGGGAAAGCAGAAGAGTGGAGGCTTGTACCTGTGCGTTGGACGGCCCTATCGGTTACTCCAGGAATCGTAGGCGGTGGGCGTCACGAATCATCTTCATTCTCATGACGAACGAATGCCGCCCGCAAAATATTCTAAAAAAGCACTCCACAACACCGATGCACAATCCTAAATCGATGTACGACTGGAAACGTACTCATTGCTTCATACAAATTGTCGAAACTGTTCATCATCGACAAACGCTCGTAACAGAATATCAAGCCAGGAACACAGCGCTCAATGTACTTTTCAATTTCTATCTGAAGCAGGTGTAGGACGCTGTGAGCGTTCAAGTCGAATTTGCGCACTGCGCTCCGCTGCCGCATTTTGTTCGACGCATCCATCCTGGCCTACTAACTAAATACAGGTCGACGCCCAGCAAAGAACTCTTCCCGATGCTGAACATCGACCAGCCGGCACGTCATTTTCACTCAGTTTCGTGAAGCACAAAACGAACTGACCTGGAAAATGGACGATTTTTCAGGAACCTTCACACGGTATCTGTGGAGCATGCTATCTGAACATGCATGAGATGCTCAACAGAAGCTGGCGCGCGTTGACTCACGTCTCAGGTTACGTTTGAGGGCGGGTTTCGTCGCGCCTCCACTGCCATTGAATAGGTAACGTGCAAGACCAAACGCGTGTCGTCTCACCAGGGAGTATCAGGATGGCCAGCGACTTTTCAAACGTCAGCCAGTGCTCTAGATCAACGCATCCCATTGTCAGTGTATCCGAAGACTCGCTCGAGCGGCGTTACCTGTTCGCCAGCTAGCGATACCGCCTGCAATGATGGGCGTCATTCAATGCTCCAGGCGTAGCGCTGCAAAATGTTCCCATTTCAAGTCGATGTAGGATCTGAAAGCGGGCCTGCATATACGAGTGTGTTCGTCTCTACATGAATGGATCGTTCGCATGGACGCACAAGCATCGACGCTGGCGCATACTTATGTACCCAGATATGAATGTACGCTTTCGAGCATGGATTTACGCATTGGGGTCGGTTCGGACCTTGCTGCTGCAGCCCATGTGTGTCCGGTTACCATCGAGGAGCCCAGCGCTTCGGCAAGATCACAAGTCACGAGCGATGCAGCGCATTCTGTTCGTAAACCGGCAGGTACGAAACGAAGCCCCATCACACCACAGGGAAACGAGGCCTGTGCACCATCATTCAGCGCTTCCCTCAAGCTGAAACGGCGTCGGTGGAGCAAAGCACAGCACGTGCTCCATTTTCACGACGGTCTATGGTGATTCGCCCGAGCGACCTCATCATCATGACACCGGAAAGCAGCAGGGATGCGCCGATGTCCACCAATTCAAATTACCCATACGGCATTCATCGTGTTAACCACACTGCAGACCGGCATTCGATCCCGCTGAACAGGTACTGGTGCAGCTTCGAAAGGCGCAGCTACAGATGTCTGCTCCGAGAAAATCGATGATGCGTACTCTCCACGACCAAGTGTCTGCTGGACCGCAACAACGCATTGACCGCGTTGCCAGAGGTGCGCATCGAAACCGCTCAGCCGGGTCATGGTCATTGGATTGCCTGCCGAGGTGACCCACAGGGAGGCATGTTCACCCATCGAGATAGCATGTTGATCGTCAGTGCTTCCGTAATCGGCGAGGTCGGCGGAGCTCAGTCCACGAACGACCAGCGGCGACTGCTTTCCAGCAACCACGCTTGCAAGACCCTGCATCACGATATCTTCGCAGTTGCGCACGCGATCGACCATGTTGAGTAGGTCCATGGCATCGGGCTCCACTAAAGGTATGTACGGTAGAATGCAGGTATAGAGGAAATGATAGATGTGCGGAACAAAAGCAAGCTTGGTGAGAACAATGTTATACGATTGCACAGCATCGCGACGATCCCAGATATGCTGCGCTTTCGAGCGCGACACGGGCGGCTTCCGTAGCGCATACAGGTGAGCTTGTGGATCAGCATAACGCGGAACGAACCCGACGAGGTTAGGTTGCCCGCGCTGCTGCGCGTGTCGCTTTCGCCACTGTCGGAAACCGAACTCGATGAGCGCATCATGAACCGGCAGCATGTCATCATCGGTGTGCAGCACAGCCGCAGTTTCGATCCAGGATGGTAACGGTAAGAAACGGTGGTTCAGCGAGTCCGCTCCGGGGCCGTCGAGCCGGAGCACCCGAATGGGTACGCATCCGCCGAGGCGCTTGCCCAGATCCTCAGCGATTTGCAGGGTATCCAGCTCGTACACGAGGACGACGATGCTCGCCACCGAGGAAATCCTGCAATACCGTTCGAGAATCGCTTCCAGGAGGCCAGCCTGGATTCGTTGTCGAGAGAATGCATTCACCAGCACGGTAAAAGTCTCAATCGTTCTGGATCGCGCATCACGGTTCCGTTGACGATAATGACCCAGAGCGTGGTGACAGAAGCGATTCCGAAAATGCATCTCTGGTGAAGGAGACCAGAGCGGTCGCTTGTGGACCCGACGCATCCATCGTTCTGCGTTTCGCAACCAATCATATACCAGAGGGAGATCAAAGTCCTCCAACAGCTGTACATCCGCTGAGGCTGGTGGATAGAGAACACCGGTACCGGTTTCGACCTGCGGGTTCAAGAGTGCCCGCCAAAGGTTTCCCGGTTCCAGGCCGGGTTCGAAGTGGACCATGCGCCAATCCGCTCGGTACCAGCTGAGAAGTTGGCTCTGATCCAGTGCGGCTCGTCGGGCCAGCCGCTGTTCAGCGAGCCGCACCCGATACCGCAAAGGTGCTTGCACGCTCTGGTGTGTACAGTTTAAGCGCTGCTCCCAGGAGAGAACCTGCAACCAGTCTGGACGCAGAAAGACCTCCGTTATCGGCTCGAGCAGCATTGCGCGTGCATCGAGCCGCAGCAGACGCCGTGGTATACCTGCACATTTCGGGGTGTGCAAAAGCTTGCGCACCACAAGCTCCTGTTCCGCTGGCGCTGCAGCACGTGAAATCAGCTTCAAATAAACGCCACGTTCGGGCGTGTGGTGGTCAGGGTTCCAGTCCCATGCGATTCGCGTGAACGCCTGATCTGAGCGATTAAAGCCCACGAGTACCACAACAGGTACGCCTTGTCGATGGCGCAGCAACGATCCCAGCAGACCGAGTGCAGCACGAAGATACGTCTCGGCGTCCGGAATATACGTCCAGAAAGCACAGCAACACCTGGCGGAGAGCAGGGCACCATACTCATGCCATAAAGAACTCAAGGCGTTCGATGGCGCTGGCTGGCTCCGCCAGTGCTGGCGAACAAGGCGCAGCGTCGACGGTGTCTGCAGTGTCGATGATTTCGTGTACCCATCTGCAGCTCGGGTCCAGTACCAAGCGAAGCAACCATTCACGATAGCCAGTGTGGCAACAACTATCCAATACAACATGGATGTGAACCGCAACGCATTTCCGCAAGAGACTGGCTGTGGAGGCCAAAATCGCCATAAAGCCTGCTGCCTTACCATGCGTCTGGGGCGCATGCTCGAAGCAGGTGCCCAGCTTCTCGATGTGCACCGCCGACGTCGCCGTCCACGACGCATCCTGCCTAGGTCGTGGGATCAACGGTGATACGACAGTGTTGATGCGCGATGTCAACGCCCAAAAACAGTGACTTGGGTGAAAAGAATAGCACCTTGCCGAACCGACGCAACATCCGATCGTAGTCGGTAGCGCGGCAGCACTATCACGAGACACAGACGCTCTTGGAAGCTGTTTGCGTGCCACGCTTTTCGATTTGGAATGAAATAGCGAACAAGACGTCGTATGTGATGGGTATACGTGAGCTGTACGTCACGAATCGCCCGCTAACTCGTCTTCGATCGGTGCTGCGAGTTCAGAAGCGAACCAGAATCCTATCCAAGGCTTTGTATCGATTGGTGCCCGCAATACAGCAATGTCGGCACACTGTTCGTCACAGTGTAAGAGGTCTAAACTGGAATGAAGCCGCTCCTATTCGCAAGCAAACAACAACGGTTTCCTCTTGGATTCAATGCAGTTCAGAGATGCGAGTTTGGTTGTAGCTGCCTGTTCGTCACAGTGTAAGAAGTCTATACTGGAATGAAGCCGCTCCTATTCGCAAGCAAACAACAACGGTTTCCTCTTGGATGCAATGCAGTTCAGCGATGCGAGTTTGGTTGTAGCTGCCTTATCTCGCGGCTACAGCACTGCTTCAACCACGTAGGCTGAGCCAAGTGCGCTCTTTACCGAAGGTCTCTATGGTAAGAGGAACCAGCTTTGTCGAGTAGACTGGCAAGTAGTCACACAGCGGGTTAGAGGCGAAAGCTGTAGCGTAGGCGATGAAACATGCCCCCTGTTCGTTTCTGCCCGATTTCATGTAGTCTTCGCTCGCAGAACCCAGGTGCACCCAAATGCCTCAGTGAGCGTAGTCAAGCGGCCCAGAAGAGCGGCTCCAGCGGTCCAAGATTCGAGGAAACTGCACCTCCAGCGCTGTTCGAGGAGTCCAGAGGCGATCACGCCGGATACTGATCAGGGCGTTGCACAGCACAGCACAGCACGTTACAAAGTACAATGTATGCTGGGTGCTGCGAGTTTCGTGCAGATAACGTTTGATATCCTGGTAGCGCGTTCAAGGCGTATCGCTTCAGAACAGATGCTGGGGTGCCGTCGCGCGCTTCTCGCCTTGGGGATCAGCGCTCCTGCGATGCCACACCTGGTCAATTTACACTTCCGATGCCTTTTCTATTCGAGTCGTGTCAGCTTACAATGTGGTAGGTCTGCTTGGCTAGCTCGGACGTACGCGCTTAGGTTTGGGGAGCGTTCCACTGTCGACAGCACCCGCCTTTAAGGGCTTCTTTGTACCTGATTCATTTTGCTCGCGCTTCTCTTCGGCGATGCATACGGTGATCTCTCGTTGCATTCATGTGCCGTTAACAGCACACGAAGGATTCGGACGGCAGCGTGAACGTCCCGATTTCGACGCTTTCTGCTGTTGTAGACGTCGTTCATGCACAGGCAGTCGGTACATACTTGGCTTCGTTTGCCATTCGCGTGTTCCTTGTCTATGGACTCGATATGCAATTCCCAGCGGTGGCGCTTGTCTCTGAGCAGGGATTCCCGTATGTCCACCACACTTCATTGCTCTGCGCGTGCCGGCCTGTGAAACGGGAATGCTCGCTTCGTCGCTCGGAACATACCGTTGACGGGTACAGAAGGCACCAGTCGATGCCTGCACCATCCGGTTGCGCGCCTAGTATCGTACCCTATCCTATCATTACGGGTTTCTTCTCGACGATACGCTCGGAGAGGCTCCAGTCTGTTCAACGAACAAGGGCATGGTGTTCCGTTCGATAACTCACGACCCGCTTCCTTGTACGTTCTTCGTTTTTCCGCGTTTTTTCTCACAACACGTTGCGATGCGCGTAACGGCTATCGGGGCGCCTAAACGACTCGTGGGCATGATACCGGCGAGTTCCTCTCGTTTGTGAAAATGAAACAAAGGCATGAAAGTCTCAGATATGATGCGATCGCCCATCATACTAGTTTTCCATTTGTTCGCGTCCGCTGACACGAAGATGACAAGCGCACTCGCACAGCTTGCGAATTCAGATACAAGTCGGAGAGTTCGAAACTCGTGCCTCCAAAGCGTCGTCGTCGATTATCATTGAGGGGAGCGTCGTTCTCCGCTTCGAGTCTAATGAGAGCGCATGTGTAGAGGGTCGCTCTCCCGCGTCCATGACGATACTGATGAAATTGGAGGGCAAGCTCATGAGGTCGCAAATCTGTATTACTCGTTGCGCTTCCTTGTATTTCCTTTTTTGAGCCGCTGTATGTTTGAGCCCTGAAGAGCTCGTTTTGCGTTTACGTCAATCACTGTTGATGACGATGGATACGCCAACGCCATCGATCTTGAAGGAAGTCACTTGGTCTACTCGCCTTCATACGAAACTCCTATGGCTTAATTTTCACTTCTAATACGCAGTTTGCATTGCATTCCGTGGGGCTTTGTTCCCCCAGTGATCCATAAGTGGCATCGAATGTCAGAGCGAAAAGTGCTTCGTTCGCTTCATACACTCGATGTCTTCGATTAGTTCCTCGTCTGCTTCTTCGACGCATTTGCTCTCCATCGGTCGTATCGGACTCGCGCTGTCGTGCGGGCGCCCGTCCCCAACGAAACGAAATAGGCGCGAATCGAGACGCTGATAAGTTCGAGGGAAAGATGCGTTCGGAAAAGTCGAATGTCTCGACGCGCCAGGGGCTCCGGAGCACCGCTCCAGACAACTCGGCACCATCGCTTTCGCAGACGTGTTGCTCGTAAGCAGCTGGTCGATTTTCTACGCAGCGTGTACGCTTTCGAAGAATCTACGATGGAGGCTCATCAAGCGCTCGCTATCATTCGAGCCGCTGGGCCTTGCCGAAGCTCCATTCATGAAAAACTCCTTCATCCCGTGCAGACTGGCAACCGAGTCGTCGCTTAATCGTCTCCACGTCATCGAATCCGTCACGCGTCGCTGGATCCGGATACTCAGACGATGCCGGGGTCCCAGTGATTCCTTTTTCGCCAGCAATACCGTCATGCAAGGCGATGACGCATGCTCAAATGGGAGCGATCGCTGTGATGCCTGACACCCGAGTTCAAGGTCCTATTGCGATGTAAATAGAAGAGACGGGAGCCTCTGGCAGCATATCCCATGACAGATATCATGCTGCTGCAGCTGTCATCGACGCCCGTTCTGTCTGTCGCCATAACGCGCAGAGCGCTCATTGTTCGAACGGAATCGACTATCACTCAACGGGAGTGATTCACTGAATTTTCGACATGAGCGTATGCACAAGACGATACGGACGATATCGAGACCTCTAGTCGTCTACGCTTCGGTGCGAGTCGCTCCGTCCACAAGTTGACTTCATGCGAGCGATCGAAGTCTTGGAGCAATGCACGGTTGCAATACGGTACACGTTGTCAAACGAGAAGCATGGAGGCATGAATATATACATTGGATAGTGATATCGGTTACATTAGAAACACTTGTTTGCGTGCGTCGCGAATTATCTGGTTTCCGGTGATGAAACAAGTTCCAAACGCCAACCTTCGATAGGGCAACTCCGAGACGACAATCGAGAAACCTACAACAGTAGATATACAAGTAACCTTTATGTATATACTTTGTATGCAGAGGCTGTATATCCACTAAGCTCTCGGAAAAGGATTACAAAGCACGAACTCATCGACCAGTTCAGCATATTGTCGCTTTCTTGCAAGCCTGTAGCAAGAGAGGACAAGTGCCTGCGTTGAAACGTCTGCCGCCGCCGCCGCCGCGGCCGCCGCCGCCGCTCACGGTCTCTCCACAGTACCCGGAATCCTCGTACAGCAGCTTCCTCTGGTCAACAGTTTCCTTGGGTTTGCAGTTGATCACTTTGGATTCCGGGCATGTCAGGTTTAGCTGTCCAAGATCTTTCTAAGCTAAAGGTCGAGGAGCTTACACCGCTGACCCCGGAGGTGATTTCCCGGCAAGCCACGGTAAACATCGGAACGATCGGGCACGTCGCACACGGCAAGTCGACACTCGTGCGCTCCATTTCCGGTGTGCAGACAGTTCGTTTCCGCAATGAACTTGAGCGCAACATCACTATAAAGCTTGGGTATGCTAATGCGAAGCTTTACCGCTGCGAGCGGCCCGAGTGTCCGCGACCTTACTGCTATCGAGCGTTCCCATCGGACGCACCGGACTCGTTACCGTGCGAGGTACCGGGCTGCGGACAGCGACTACGGTTGGAGCGTCACGTGAGTTTTGTCGACTGTCCAGGCCATGATATTCTCATGGCCACGATGCTGAACGGAGCTGCAGTTATGGATGCGGCGCTGCTGATCATCGCTGGGAACGAGAGCTGTCCGCAGCCGCAGACCTCCGAGCATCTCGCCGCCGTGGAGGTCATGCAGCTCCGAAGTATCATCGTCTGCCAAAATAAAATCGACTTAGTGGACGAATCTGCAGCACGCACACAATATGAGCAGATCAAGAACTTCATCCGGGGAACTGTTGCTGAGCAGGCTCCAATCGTGCCGATCTCCGCCCAGTTGCGATACAACGTCGATGTCGTCGTCGAATACCTCATTAAACATGTGCCCGTTCCACGGCGGGATTTTGTATCGCCTCCGCGGATGATTATTATTCGGAGTTTTGACGTGAACAAACCGGGCGAAGACGTAGAGAATCTACGCGGTGGTGTTGCCGGCGGCTCGATCATGCAAGGCGTGCTGCGAGTCGGAGATCTTATCGAGATTCGACCGGGGATCACCATCAAGGACGCAGAAGGAAACTTCAAGTGCCAGCCGATTATCTCGAAAATTGTTTCGATGCACGCCGAGCGCAACGAGTTGCAATACGCGGTTCCGGGCGGACTCATAGGAGTGGGTACCAAGATTGACCCGACGCTTACCCGAGGTGATCGCCTTGTTGGCCAAGTGCTTGGTGCAGTCGGCACGTTACCCCCGGTTTTCACGGAAATTGAGATTAACTTTTTCCTGCTCAGACGGTTGTTGGGCGTTAAAACCGAGGGCGCTGATGGAGCACGCGTAAGCAAGCTAACCAAAGACGAGATCCTCATGGTGAACATTGGCTCAACATCTACTGGTGGTCGGGTGCTGGCTACAAAGCGCGATCTCGCAAAACTGCGTTTGACGTCTCCGGTTTGTACGGAGGAAGGCGAGAAAATCGCTCTGAGTCGGCGTATTGAGCGGCACTGGCGGCTGATCGGCTGGGGTGTCATCCGACGGGGCACCAAATTGGATCTCTAGAGCACTGGACGCATCCGAGGCCAGTAGCCGACATACAGTGGAGTCAAGAGACTCCCGATGAAGTAGGAACGATTTAGTTCAGCACTCGCGACGAGGTCGAGGCGGACACCCGCGTTTCACATGTCGCAGGAGGCAGTATTGGCATGATGTCAACTGGCGAGAGACTGCCTCGCAATGCCCGAAAGCGCAGCTCTGCATATTCAGACGTGTCGACTGCGATTGTCAAGAGACAGATCGTGATCCGTACGTATCCAGAGGTACTGATGGCATGCTCTTTTGCAGGAGCTTGCCTGAGATGCGACATCTGCTCGGATTCCAGGTTTCTGCACGGGTACTGGTCGAATACGCTGACCCAGGAACCATGAACGACGTGCATGCACTAGGTGCGTCCATGTATGGCATCCCGCCTTGTGACAGAGCAGGCAACCGCAACGCATTGGCGAACTTGTAGCGCGCCAGGTGATTTGCGCAGGTGCTCGTGCAAAGCGCATATCGATCCCAGCGACGAGACACGTGTGTGTGTGTGTGTGTGTGCTGCAGGTCCAGGAAGCCTATGAACGAATACTGCGGATCGCTGGCGCTCTGGCGGACAGCTCGTTGGGACACCCACAACCGCCTCCTTTCTACGGGAATCGTAAACTAGAACGCGCTGTGCCGGCGCTCAGAACAGACTCATCTGCAAGTGCGAATTCTCCAGATCTGTATCCGCGGACTGTGTCTGCCGAGGCAGCCCAGCATGGTGCCAGCAGACAGAGTAAAAAACGCGGGACAGCATGCCCTATGGCTCACGCGGAGCTTCTGCAGGCGTACTTGCCATGCGCGGCCTCGTGTACAATGACGACACTTCGTGCCCAAGACGGGTGCACCTCCACTAGCTGCCGAAACGCGAACAAGACCGCCTGATGGTATATGCGAACGATCACAGTTCTTGGTCCATGGGTTGGGTTCATACGTTCCAGAGGAAACCTCTACCAGCAGTGTGGTGCATCGGCGCCTGAGCTGCGCTTTCTCTACAACGACGCTGGTAACGGTCGTTGTGCATCAGGATCCCTGAGACGACCTCCGTGGTACACGGTGTGGCGACGCGTTGGCTCCTGCAACGATCTATGCTTGGAGCAGGGTACGCGAACATGGATAGCGGCAAGCGCGTTGCTGGGGCATCCTTCGAACAAGTGCATATGTGTCTACACGAGGTCTATGTTCTCGCAAGCGTTCGTATCTCATAGGCGATCGCTTCACTATCGTAGCGTCAGAGAAAAGCGATGGGCTTCTCGCAGCCAGGCGTTCCGTCTGACAATGGCGACGTTCTCAGCGAAAGCTGCGCACCTCTTTTCGAAACGCTTTAGGGCATCTGCGTTGCGGGTAAACTGTAGGATCCGTAGCATGCCAGGTGTGCATGGGCTATGTGCCGCCATAGATGAGCAAGCTATCCATACTCATTCTTTGTGGCTCGTTCATCTCTTTGTTTCATGACTCGATGGAAATATGAGATCCGCAAACCTCAACGAATTTCGTAGAACAAGCTCCGAAGAGCCCCGGTGGACGCAGTCGCGGTGCCCAAAGCGTCGAGCACCACTAAGCATCGAGCAGGTTCCGGTGCATCGAAACGTGCATTTGCTTCGCTAAATTTGTTGTCCACGGTACCGCAAACGTTCTCCATGGTATTGAATCACGGAAGATAAGCTGGAGAACAGAGGATGAACCACCCTGTGTTCGATGATATTATCCGGAAGAGAAGGGGATCAGCGGAACGCAATCTTTTCCAAGGTAGAGCAAGAATCGGAAGAAAATTCCAGGCTGCAGATGAAATCGAGAACGTTCAATCTGCCTACGCTCGCTTCGTATAGAGCGCTGACGCAATCCCCATGTCAAGTGATCGCTGCGGTGAATAAACTCTAAAACGATGTTCCACGCAAACACGATACACGGGAGCCGCTGCGAGTATAGCACTCGAGCTGGCATCATGCTGCAGTGGCATGCAGGCTCACCGATGCTCGCAAAGAGAAAAGGATTTGCGTTTCGATCCGAGTCGATTGCTTGAGGTGCGATGTTCAGTGAACGTTCGGCATGAGCGGGTGACCAAGTCGTCAACGGATGACGATGAACAAGACTTTCTTCGAGCTGCTCATGCAGCGGCGCAACTTGCTTCACCCATGAAGTATCGCTCCACAGAGACGTATCGAAAACGTGAAGCATGCGTGACCTGGGTATACTGCTCTTTGGGAAAGCAGAAGAGTGGAGGCTTGTACCTGTGCGTTGGACGGCCCTATCGGTTACTCCAGGAATCGTAGGCGGTGGGCGTCACGAATCATCTTCATTCTCATGACGAACGAATGCCGCCCGCAAAATATTCTGAAAAAGCACTCCACAACACCGATGCACAATCCTAAATCGATGTACGACTGGAAACGTACTCATTGCTTCATACAAATTATCAAGCTTGCACACCTGGGAAACTTTCGGAAAAATTTGCTTAACATGAACATAGCGCGCGGGGCAGTGTGCCGTCTTCATCGGATGCAGTTAGCGAGATAAGCGACACTCGCTCATCGCCGTGCGGAGAGCCCGCGTGTGAGGAGGTCCTTCAGGTCCGGCACCGAGCCTGACCCGAGCGAAGCCTGGACAGGTTCGCAACCATGAAACGCAGGCGCCAGTAAAGTAGCTGCTGTCGCTGAAGTCTGTGCGTAGGCACGCAGATCGCATTCAGCACAAGTGGCGCTCACCGCGTCCTCGCTTGCAGAGCGCTGAGGTGTTACCAGTGTGACCGTTGCGTGCTCACTCTGTGGACTGTCTACAATCAGCCAGAGCGGTTTCGGATGGCGTTTTGTGCCATAAAACCAGTCTCCTAAAGCGAGCGCTAGGCGTCTTTGAAGATGGAGCTTGCGTTCTATCTTCGCGGCGAGCAGGGGCGGTCCGTCCAGCATTGCGCACCAGGCATGACGTCCGCGAGTGTAGGCACGGCGTTCCAGCACGCTTACAGCCGCTTCGAGCAAGAGGCGCTGGCTTCGCTTCGCAAGCTCAAATGCTGGTACCATGTCGTCGATATGTCGACATTGCAAAAGAGCGTATGCTCGCCAGAAATGGCCCCGATCGAGAAGAGCACCTGCCGCCAGCACAACATCAGCGGCCGACACCGTTTGCCCGCGATGTGCACCAAAACGTCGCACGAAGGATTCATAACACAAAGTATTCGCAATAGCCGAACGTCGACATCGGCTGTTTGTGCGTACTCGCCCCGCATCAGACTCGCGACGAGTAAAATAGGTGCATAACACTGGAATAAGACGCTCTCGTACCCTATCCTTGAGTTCAGCAGCGAGATGCGTCCATCGCTGTTTGCTCTCGCGCAGCGGAATGCCTAGCAGGGCGAGAATCTCGCTGATACTTCGTTCGGCTTCCTGACGCCAGCGTTGAACCCGACTTGCCAGCCACGTCGAATGAATAAGACTATCGTAAAGAGTCCAGTGGCGAAGCAGTTCCAGAGAGAACTCAGTCGACGGCTCGAGAGGTGCCAGCGCGTCTTTCTGTCCATCACCGTTATCATCATCGGTTGATAATCGAGAAATGATGCGTTTCCATTCCTCCCGGATACAGCGTACAATTTGCTCGTAACATGCCGTATCGCTCGCTTGGCGATCAAAAAACTGCTCCGTAACAGCAAGGATCCAGTACCATAAGGTGTCCAGATCTGCACGGTTCAGGTTCGCAGCAAGCGCGTACGCTACACCTGCAGCGCTCGCGGCTCGCTCCGTTCGTCGGTAATAACGCTGGACAGCGCGCTGGATGCCCGATCCGAAGCCCCTGCGCCGACGTCGCCGGTTCCTTGCGTCCTGTGGGGACGTATCTGCGTCAGTGTCCAAGTCGCTGGATGTGGCGTCATCAACGTGCGCCTCCGGGTCCATGGGCAGGATCTGCCCCAGGGCATCTTCTGCGCCGCTCGGCGGCAACTGCACCTCAAAAACGTCCGAATCATGCAGGAGGATCACATGGGCGCTCTGCAGATTGCGCAAATGATACGGACGATGCGAGTCGATGACAAGAACGGGCAGATCGCTGTCCTCAGGAAGACGAAGCAGAGCGGCAATATCGACACCCGCACCGCAGTTCACACAAACAATTGCCCGCAACGGCGAGGTGTCCTGCACGTCCATCGATCCCAAAACCGAGCGCCCACCGCACTGCAAGTTTTCCAGTTCGCGGTAATCGTGGATGGGATATATGTGATAGGGTATAGACTCGGCTTGGAGCAGCAGCGTTAGCGTACGAGTTGCAGCCAGCGCGTCTACGCTTGGCGCCACCAGGAAACACATTGCAGCCTGCGACGAAACCTGCCGCCGTCCAGCTTGCAGCCCGTCGCTCGGGTGCGCCGGCGCTACAGTTCGCTTTCCACGACGTTGCAGAGTGCTCTCTGAAAGTTGCTGTGGCCACAGCAACGCATCGACTATCGCATCCTGCTGAGCTACCGTGTCCAAGAGCGCCCGCGCACGCCCTGATCGCACCACCGGCCAGACAGCGTCAACTTGCGATAGACGTAAAAGCATAGCATAGACCTGACTGGACCACGCACCTCTTCAGACAGTGCTCAAAAACTTACTCCACAACAAGCTAGTACCTCCGTCCAGGTATGATCGAACGATCAGTCGATTGAACACGAACACACACACACAACCGAACAAACGAATACCCAAGTACAACCCGCGTACACTGGCTGCGTCCGTGGCCTCCCTACTGGCACCGCCCAAGGAGAAGCGCATCCCGCCTTATCCGATGATGAACGGAGCGCTGCAGCGACTCACTGCGGGGCGGGGATTTGGCTGCGCGCGCGCCATCGCGCCTCAGTGCCGAATACAATCGATCGTGTTGCGTTCGATTTTTCCATGATAGACCTCAGTGCCGAATGCAATCGATCGTGTTGCGTTCGATTTTTCTATGATAGACCTCACCGCCGAATGCAATCGATCGTGTTGCGTTCGATTTTTCCATGATAGACCTGAGTGCCGAATACAATCGATCGTGTTGCGTTCGATTTTTTCATGATAGACCTCACCGCCGAATGCAATCGATCTTGTTGCGTTCGATTTTTTCATGATAGACCTCAGTGCCGAATACAATCGATCGTGTTGCGTTCGATTTTTCCATGATAGACCTCAGTGCCGAATGCAATCGATCGTGTTGCGTTCGATTTTTTCATGATAGACCTCAGTGCCGAATGCAATCGATCGTGTTGCGTTCGATTTTTCCATGATAGACCTCAGTGCCGAATACAATCGATCGTGTTGCGTTCGATTTTTCCATGATAGACCTCAGTGCCGAATACAATCGATCGTGTTGCGTTCGATTTTTTCATGATAGACCTCAGTGCCGAATACAATCGATCGTGTTGCGTTCGATTTTCATGATAGACCTCAGTGCCGAATACAATCGATCGTGTTGCGTTCGATTTTTCCATGATAGACCTCAGTGCCGAATGCAATCGATCGTGTTGCGTTCGATTTTTTCATGATAGACCTCAGTGCCGAATGCAATCGATCGTGTTGCGTTCGATTTTTCCATGATAGACCTCAGTGCCGAATGCAATCGATCGTGTTGCGTTCGATTTTTCCATGATAGACCTCAGTGCCGAATGCAATCGATCGTGTTGCGTTCGATTTTTCCATGATAGACCTCAGTGCCGAATGCAATCGATCGTGTTGCGTTCGATTTTTCCATGATAGACCTCAGTGCCGAATGCAATCGATCGTGTTGCGTTCGATTTTTCCATGATAGACCTCAGTGCCGAATACAATCGATCGTGTTGCGTTCGATTTTTCCATGATAGACCTCAGTGCCGAATGCAATCGATCGTGTTGCGTTCGATTTTTCCATGATAGACCTCAGTGCCGAATGCAATCGATCGTGTTGCGTTCGATTTTTCCATGATAGACCTCAGTGCCGAATGCAATCGATCGTGTTGCGTTCGATTTTTCCATGATAGACCTCAGTGCCGAATACAATCGATCGTGTTGCGTTCGATTTTTTCATGATAGACCTCAGTGCCGAATGCAATCGATCGTGTTGCGTTCGATTTTTCCATGATAGACCTCACCGCCGAATGCAATCGATCGTGTTGCGTTCGATTTTCATGATAGACCTCAGTGCCGAATACAATCGATCGTGTTGCGTTCGATTTTTCCATGATAGACCTCAGTGCCGAATACAATCGATCGTGTTGCGTTCGATTTTTTCATGATAGACCTCAGTGCCGAATACAATCGATCGTGTTGCGTTCGATTTTTTCATGATAGACCTCAGTGCCGAATACAATCGATCGTGTTGCGTTCGATTTTTTCATGATAGACCTCAGTGCCGAATACAATCGATCGTGTTGCGTTCGATTTTTTCAAGATAGACCTCACCGCCGAATGCAATCGATCGTGTTGCGTTCGATTTTTCCATGATAGACCTGAGTGCCGAATACAATCGATCGTGTTGCGTTCGATTTTTTCATGATCGACCTCAGTGCCGAATACAATCGATCGTGTTGCGTTCGATTTTTTCATGATAGACCTCAGTGCTGAATGCAATTGATCGTGTTGCGTTCGATTTTTTCATGATAGACCTCAGTGCTGAATGCAATTGATCGTGTTGCGTTCGATTTTTTCATGATAAATCAGTACCGGTGCCGTGCGCAACTCGAGGGGTGCTCGCAGAGGCGTCAAGAACGCTGCAAAAGAGACGAACGGGGAACCTGCGGCACGCCATAGGGCAGCGGGTGTCGTCGAGCTGGTACGTTCACTGGTTCTGTGAAGACGTTCTGTCTGCGTGCTGCGTCTGCACCGGTGTGCTCAGTGCTGTGGTAAGCGGTTGAGGCAGGCACGGCACGCAGGGGCTCATTTTTGAGCGAAGAGAGACCTTTGCAGGGAACGCTGGGGTAATGCTCGGTGGAGCTTTGAGCTGATGAAACGTACTAGGGTTCGCATATCTGGATGATGATGCACGTCGAGTGTTCTAAGATCCCTGCATGGATTCGTGCAACCTCCATCAGGCAAAGAGTGACGACTTCTGGGCAGCGGCATGCTTTATCGTGTAGGGTCGGTGCGTTGGACGTGATGCCCACACATTCGGAGGTATTCGAAGACGCATGGGATAAACGGATCTGTTGCCTGTGAATAAACCGCAGGCAGCATGCGCAGCAGCAACATTGGCGGGTGGCTTTTTTTTGTAGCCTCCCGGTAGACGCGATAGATGCGTGGAAACTGCCCGCTGCCGGCACATCGATCCTATGACGTCGGCGGCACGTTGGTCGATGAAGCGGCAAACGCGACGCGCTCATGCGGCGACGTTGAACGCCTGCGTATCGTAGGTGCGCGACTCTTGGATGCCGGAGCCTAGGTTTCAAGGTGAACGATGCGCAGGGTAGACTCGTTGCAGGCCCCTCGTTTGCCCTCAGATGCCCATAGCTTCCAGAGCCGAAGGAACGCACCGTGCTCAATGGTTTGTGCTTGTTCGTCGTCGATCAATGAAGGGCCAGCATCATGGTGCGTCGGCTGGTACTGTTCCCAAGGCCTGTGTCCGTCTCGTGTCTACACAATGCACATACCTCCGCACTGACCCGGCATACCAAACTGGGTCATGATCGCATCGGTTCGTAACAGGTATTGAACGTATGGCTACGTTCATGTCGCCAAAGACGCGTGCACCTGTGTGCGGATATGAGCGATGAAATGCCTGACACAGTATGGCAGCGTGTCGGGGGCTATTTCGTCGTCTGCCCCGATAAACGATCTCTCAAACACATTCACGCACGTCATCGATGAACTCCGGTCTGTGCGGTGCTCAGTGCTAGACGCATACGTCGTCCAGCTGCTATAACAATGACGTATTACCGACATGGTATGCTGACCACGACGCCTGTGAACCAGCACCAGGAACGAGATAGCTTGAACCATGCTCTTGAGCAGAGCCGCCTGCCCCAGTGACAACACGCCAGACAACACCAAGTCCAGAAGAGACAGCAGCACCACCACTCGAGTCGGACATGGGTTGCTGGACAGTTTCTCCGCGAGTTTCGTACAGCGTGACAGCCAGTGCCGCTGCTCCTCAGGGTTTCCTCCGCTCGCGCTGCAGCGTTCTAGACTCGGGTTTGTTGCTCAGCCCAAACACCAAAAGTACGAACGTCAAACCATATGTAGCATATGTAACCGTCTCCCAACCTTGTCTCTGCTTCACACCATTCTCATCATAGCACTCAGGAAAGAGCCTGCCAGTTGGTTCGTTGTAGTCCGCGTCCGAACCGTGGCTAGCAAACGAACGTCGCGGACAGCGCTGCGGCGCTGTCGTGGCGCCAGTGCTCCAGCGTCCAAAGCCGCGGCAAGCCCTCAACGCTTGCATCGTTCTGATCACTAGTAACTGAAGTCCAAGCGAAAACTATCAAGCTTTTGAAGGGAATCGCCCACGGCGAACAACAACGCCCAGTTCCTGCGTGTCTGTGTACCAAGCGCTCGCATCGACGCTGTACCGAACACGCGAACGCGGTGCGGTTTCGGTGCGCGCGAGCAGCATTTCCGACTTGTTGTCCCGAATCGATCATTTTATATAGATAGATTCATATTTGTATATAATGTTCCTTTGCATTGTGCTTCGCATCCCAGTGTTCCCTGTTGATCTATTTATATACATTTATGAACCATCTTGAACAAGAATGATTCGTGATACCTTCATCAGCGCATCTTTCCGTCCGCGGACGCGCCCTGTGATCGCGCGCAAGCACTGACGCTCCAAGGCGTGCGAAACGCTGTGCTACGCGAGACGCGTCCAGCAAGGAGCAGTACCCGCTCTGGCGACAAAACACGTTCTACAGCTTTTCGTCTGTTGACCTTCTCTGTCCGACAGACACTGAGTGACCGTTTCGGACCCAGAACGGGCAACGAAGCTTGCAGCGGGGCGCATGTGGAGCTCTGTTGTTTCACGTGTACCCGCAGTCTGGCGACGCTTCGCCACCTCCACGGGAATCGCCAGTGGGACCACCAGCACATTCCGAGAAACCAACCATACGCAACTTGCAACGGTTTGGCAGTTTGTGCGCTACTTCAAGGTACGATCATCCGTGCGTCGCGTCTGTGAATCATGTCGTATCGTTCGACGCGGTAAGCGGATCTACGTCCTGTGCGATAAGGAACCTCGTCACAAACAACGACAAGGCCTTGGCCGGACGATGCCGCCGCGGGGGTCAATGCACTGCCAGAACCCGCCGTTTGCGAAGACTTGAATGAGCACTTACCTACAGCCTCCAGCAAAACGAGGCGGTCTTGATGACCGGAAGACCACAAGCGCAAGCAACTCGGCGTGGTTTCATGCGGGCGCTGGGAAGCACGCAACCAAACCAGCATTTTGTACTCGCTCGCACGGACTGGAACCGTTCACGTCCGCTCTGCTTTTCGTGACTTGCGTCGGATCAAAGCGGGCAACGCGCTCGCGCTTCTGCTGTCGGTTCGGCGAATAGTGGGGTCGCCGGCACCCGCCACGCAACCCTGACTCGAGGTGCAACCGCGTCACGTTGTCGAAACGAGTGAGAATTCGGAATGCACTCTGGAAACAGTGCCATACGGGCGCTCTGGGAAGCTCAAAGCACCCGTCGACTGGCGCCGAGGTTGTGTGCTTTAGACCGACTCGATTCAGTCTCCAGTCCTGCCGAGCACGTGGTGGACAGGTGTCTACTGGAAGAGTCGGAAGCGCCAGGGAATTGGCGACGAGTGGCATCGGCATGTCCGTATTATCCCAGGGATACTTGTTGCTGCTCGAGAAGCCATCCAAACGCACGGGCAGAGGCGCGAGCCCTTGAGGACCCTAGAAGTTCGGATACAGCGACATCCACTGAGTACCTGGCGTTTGCATGATTTCCATATGCGGATTCCGCGACATCCAAATAGCAAAGAGACCAGACTGAAAGTTGTTTGCGCCAGCATACCAACCTTATTCGGCAGCGAGAAAACGTCAAGAACCGTTCGTGCTGCATTCGATGGGCGTGCCTGTTGATCAGCAGCCGCTGCTCATGCAGCCTTCCAGCGCTCCAGTGTATGACGTCATTCGCCCAAGACGCGTCGTTCGGAGCGCGTTCCACCCGGAAATCATGGGCCTCACCATGGTCTCTGGCAAGTAGCTGGCGAGCGTGGTGGAGTCGTTGGCGATTCAGTGTGTACGCGTACGTCATCCCAGTATCATTCTGCTGGGTTCGACGCGTTCTCGGAGACACGCGCTCCGACACGACGCCCTTCCTAGTGAATCTTTAGGGTGACCTGGAACATGCACCACTATCACGATCATCATGATGATCATCTGTCGCATCGCGCAAGATGTCCGGTCCATAACCCAGAGAATCGCTCCAGACGCGCCATGAAACTCCGTCACCGCACCAGCATGCGCAATACTCCCCGCACACACAGCGTCGACCGTGGAGACGCGTCTCGACAAGTGCGCGTCGCACCTGCGCAAAACGCAAGCTCCGCAAACGCCGACAACTCGTTCTCATCTCACTCCGCCACTGGCGCCGGTGAAGATGTCTTCGAGCCCCCTGGGGTGGCATACGACGAATACAGACCAGGAAGATCTGTTGTACTCGAATACGGCTCACTGATGGCGTTCAATCGAGTCTCGATAAGCGCTCGCTCCCGCTCCGATTCGGTGCAGAGTCGCAGCACCATTGCACTGCGTCCGGGGACAGACGCCCAACCGATGTGGTACTCCCCGAGCGACGCACCAGCATCCCGAGGTGCCTCCAGATCGTTCACAATAACCGTCATGAGCTCATCCTTTGCCTCGGGTGGCAGGGGAAACACCTGCGCAACCGGTGTCGGATTGAAGAGCAGCGCAACACACCGCCAGGGGTCGTCTTCGATAGCGTTCGTCTCGGATTGGCCAGCATCCGCTATTATCCGATAAGCGAGGCAACGCTCGGGAACGGGCAAACCGAGTGCTTCGTAGAATGCGATACATCGGCGAACTTGCTGAGCGTCGCTCATGGAAAAAATATCGGGGCGAGCTCGTCGTAACTGCACGAGTCCACGCACGTAAACGACGAGTCCGTAAAAGTCGATTTTGCGCTCCCATCGCAGGCGGTTAATATCGTCACCGCTCTGATACGAGTTTTCTACACCAAACTTGCTTCGCGCCATCTCCTGACCACTATGCAGAAACGGTATACCCTGGCTTGTAAGCAGGATGACGGCAGCGAGTTTGCAGACGCGCAAGACATCGGCGGCAGTGTAGGTAATGTTCGCGTCTGCGCGCTCCCGAATCACGTACCAGAGGTGATCCCACAAGGTCCTATTGTCATGACATTCCACGTAATTGATGACTTCCAGCGGCGACGCAGCGAAATCATCGATACTGCCGAGAATGCCCTGCTTCACAGCTTCGATACATCCACCGTCGAGCAGGAAATTCTCTTCGATGCCCTGGTTGCTTCCGCGTAACGCATTCCGAAACGTGTCGTTGAAGACACCAAACCCCAAGTGTCGCTGCGCACCTTTTCCAGTGATGATTATGGGGGTCTCCCCGGCGCTCCAGGGCTCCCCGTATACCAGAATGTTCGGGTCCAGCGCGTGCAGTTTGGCTGCAGCAATGCGCAGCGTTTCTCGATCCATGAGACCCATGAGGTCGAACCGGAACCCGTCGACTTTGTATTCGGTGGCCCAGTACCACAGCATGTCGAGGATAAACTTGCGACCCATCGGTGACTCGGAACGAAACTCATTACCGCAACCGCTGCCGTTGGCGTAGCAGGCCTCGGAGACGCCCCAGGAGCCGTCCGGCCAGAAGCGGTAGTAGTAGCGCGGTGCGAGGCCGTTGAACGAGAAGCGCGCCTCGAGGTTGAACTCGTTCGGGTCCTCCGCGGTGTGATTCAGAACCATATCCAGAATCACTTTCAGACCAGCACGATGCAGGGTATCGATCAACTGCTTGAGTTCGCGCACCCGGCTCGCGTCGCTGGTACACGAGGCGTACCAGCCGTCGGGCGAGAAGAAGTGCACCGGCATGTATCCCCAGCGATACTCCAGCGGATTCGATTCATCATTATCAAAGTCTTGGACTGGCATGATCTGGAGTGCATTCACGCCAAGGAAACGCACGTGGTCCAGGCACGTGCTGCGATCTGTCCAGTCAACCTGGGCGGCAACCTCCGTGAGCACCGGTGCGGTATAGACGTCCTCTTCAACAGTTGACGGGCATACGTCTTCTTCGAAAGCGTCTGGTGTCGCGCGATCTCGCAAGAAGAGCGCCGCTCGACCTGCTGAGGATACAATGCGACTGCGGACCCAGTGCTCCGGGAGTTGCGTCCCCTGCTGAGCAAGACCCAGATACTTGCCGCGCAACTTCTCCGGAACACCCGAGCACTCGTCTATGGTAAAGTCCCGCAGGTGAACCTCGTAGATGATGGTATGCTCGGGCGGGATACAGGGTCGATCCGCGACCTCCGTGTGATCCTCACCGAAGATGAGTCCTCGTCCGTTGTGGGCAGTATTACAACGCGAATACGGATCAATGACCTCTACTCCGGGGAAGAGCCGCTTGTTGACGCCCTCGGCGAGGTAGGTGTAGTAGAGGCCCTGCAAGTCGCCATGAACAACGATCTTCCAAACACCCTGAGGAATGCGTCGCATGGGGAACGCTTGTCGACCGACCGTTCCAACCGGTTCTCGATAGAGGCAGAGCACCACAAGGTCGGCAGTCGGAGCAAACACTCGAAACGTTGTAGCGCTCTTGGTGTAGTGCCAGCCGAGAGCTCCGCTGTAGTAGTAGTCGTCGACGTTTTCGTAGCGCCGCCAAGCACCGCGCGAAGGCGAGAACCCCTTCAGGTGCACCATCACCTCTTCGACTGGAAAGTCCTCATCCAAGGTGCGATCCAGCTGAAACTGCAGCTTCAAAGGGTCCGAGCACGAGCGCATGCGAACAATATGAGGTAGCGCGTATTGTGTTGTTCCTGACTCGATGCTCGCTGAGGCGGACGCAGAGACGCTGCGTCCTGTTGTGGTATCCGAACGCCAGGGATCAGCAGGATTCTTCTGCATGGCAGAAGCAGTGCACTCGCTGGCGCTAAGCACCGCTGACGTTACACCAGCAGCATCGTCAGCTGTTATGGCTAGCAGCGACGCTTGGTGCGTACTCCGAACGCACAGCTCATGCGAAACAGCGCTCGCTCCATGTCCACCATCGGGTCTGTTAGGCAGTGCCTGCCAATAGAGGGTCAGTTCGAGTGCCTCAATGATGTCGTCGTCGTCGTCGTTGACGTCGACGTCGTCGCCAAGTATTCGGTTCGGAGCGCCCGGAGCTGTACGACGATAGACCCGCGGTTCGCGCGTCGGCGCCCTGCCATGCCACAAAAAGTGCTCCTCGGGTGGTGCATCGCCTCTGGGTGCGTCTCTCGCAACAGCATCCAGCCTGGGTGTTGTCACGAGGGCGCTTCCGTCTCGCTCGGCTGCGGCTGTCACAGAGGCCGAATGCTTCCACCACGGCGGAAACGGGAAACACAGCTCCAGAAGATCATCTTCAAAGAACGGCGTCACTTCGAGCACAAAGTCCTCAATGGACAACGCGAGCTCTTCACGACCCTGCAGGAAGCATACGCGCGTGGTCTGCGGACTCAGCGTCCAGAAGCGATCGGGACCATCTCGATCAGCCCAAACCCCATGCTCACCTCGTTTCTTGGCAAGAAAACCGAGTCGCTTGGCGGGTCCAAACCAGCCACGATCGATCCGAAAGATGAGCGCTTCAACATGCGGATGCTGCTCGTCGATGGGTGCTCTCGCCGCAGAGGCTACTTCTCTGCCAGTAGAGGCGGCAAAGTCAGCATCCCAGAGCCAGAGATGCCACGCCTCGTAGTCACCGCGCGGCCGGAGATATGCAACCTCTAGATACTGCTCCTGCAACCAGCGCGGTTCAACATCGACAAGGTCTGCCTGGTGAAACACCTGCTCTCTGCCCTGGAAGAGGAAAACCTCTCGCTCCGCAGCGTTCGGGTACCAGATCCGTTGCAGGTCCCAGTTGAGGGCGCTTGGATCGAAGACCTCTTCCACAGACGCTTCGAGGTGCTCGGCAATCGACGGCGGCAGCTGGTCGTCTCGGGAGAGCAACAACGCAACCGCTGTGCCTTGGATAGCAGGCGGTACCAGGGCCACGAAAAGCGCTCGATCCGTAGCGTGCTCCCAGCTAATCACAGGGCTCGAATACCGGGGCACGTTATTGGTCAGGATCCAAAGGCGCCACTGCAGCCAGTGATCCCGACTATAGCGCCGATACCACACGTAGAAGACGCTCTGCTCCGCGGGGAAGAAGTACGGTGCTCCCCAACGCGGTGCAAACAGATGGAGGCCTCTATTCGAGGCACCCTGCTCCGAGTGCAGTACAGCAAGCATGCTGGACGCTTGTCCAACGGATAGTTGCTCCATTGGCGGTGACGTCGGCAACCGGCACAACGCCCAGTGAGTCTGCTCGATGCCGCGGAAACAATGGACCTCTGAGGAGCAGAGCCCAAGCGTGTCCGTGAGCGAGCGGAGAACGTTTTCTCTACAAGCGAGGGTGGCGCCTCGCGCATAGCCAGGGCGAGTGCTTTGGTGCTCGTCGACAGACCGTCGCTGGCTGAATAGCGTCCAGAAAGAGGCCGGAGACAGTCGAAGCGAACCCTCTGCGTACTCGAATGCTACAGCGCATTCCATGGCAGGCTCCGGTTCCAGCCAGAACTGGGGCGTTGGCAGCGGTTCATCGAGTAGCGGATCAACGACGGCGAGACCGAGTCTTCTACTTCGACCATAGGCCTGGCGATCCAGGATGTAGAGCGACCAGCCGTCCCGAAAGGCATCAGCTGGAATCTCTGCAAAACTGGTGAGCGCATCATCGAATATAGCTACGGGGAACGGGGCATCCAGACCGTGGATACCGATCCGCAGGAAGCGGGGCGTACCCGCCTCACCCAGCATTGTTACGGACTCCACGCTTGTGAACAAGCCTGGGCTATCCTCCACGGCAAAATACGCACGGGGGCATTCACTCGCCGTCGTCAGAGGCGAAGGCCATGTAAGGCCGGCTCCAGCGCTGCCCTCCGTTTCTCCGACAGTGAGCATCACGGTGCTGTTTCCGGTAACCAGTTCCAGGCTCAAGGCAGCGGTCATCCAATACTGAAAGAGGAATCGCGGCAACGTAAAACGCTGTCCGAATGCAGCCGACCAGGGAGCAAGGCATCCATAAGGCGAACAGCCGCAGTCCGGAGACACCACGCGCTCCGTAACATTCCCCTGTACCGATGTCCATCGCAACCGCAAACCGAGGCTACAAGTTCGCCGCTGACTTGGTACACGCCGCACGTAGATGTGCGCGACATCTTCGCTGAGGCCAAACACAGCAGGATTATCGGCGACATCAGCCAGATCCTGGTGTAGATAGAAAATCCGCGGTAGGGACGGGTCGCCGACCTGTGCACTCGATAGGTGCAACAAGCGATCGCCGCCTGCGTCTTTCGCCTCGAACTCCTGGTACGGCTCGCGTGCCTTTACCGGGAGAACACCTAGTACGCGCTGCTGTCGTGACGTGTGGGGTACATCCACCCGGAACAAGCGTCCATACCAGTGATCGACTGGGCTTCCTCTCGGAGCCCAGTTCGATGCGGCTCCTTTCGATCCGGGTACGGCCAGTGCCGTTGGAACTGGTTGCCGCGAGAAATGCATTCCACGTTCCTCTAGGCTAGAGGCAGCCTGCTGTGTCCAGTTAAGGAAAGCGGGTTGCACCAACTGGGGCAAGAGCGCATCAGAAGCCTCTGGGCCGGCGTTTTCCCAGACCCAGAGTTTCCAGTCATCGTAGCAGCTGTCCGGTCGGTGATAGTAGATCAGGAGCGTGCACGCCTCCATCCAACAAAATGAGGCTTGGAAATGCCTATGTTGGTGATATGAATACCCCAGTGAAGGAAGATCAAGTCGTCTGGTGGCAGCCACGAAGCGTTGACGAACACCAGGCCCGCCGGCTCGGCTCGCAACGGCCGAGCGCGTGCCCCAGACGGAGGCGGTCTTTGCGGAGCTTTCAAAAGCCGTCCACTAGCGTTGAGCCTTGGTACATCGACTCAGACCGCTCAGAAGGTGGACTTTGAAGTGGTGATCTGGATGGAAACCTCGCTTGATTCGCGGACGCTTCTTGGCTTTATAGTGGGGGCGATGTTTTCGTACGGAGCAGCGGCTCGAGCCGCCAGCGCGCACTGGGGATGACGTTCCAGTACCCGTGCACTTGCTGCGTGCAGCGGAGCGAGGCTCACCGCATTGAGGAACGCAGGTTCGTTGGCGGGTTCATCAGTCTCAGTTAGGGTATGGGTGTGTGCTTGTAGGTGTTTGGGGACTCGTGGCTGCGAGCGATCGGTCTTGAACGCAGGCACCAGTCCGCGGTTGGGGTTTGTTCTGTGGGTGCATATTGCAGGGACTTGTGTGTGATTGAACCTGCGCCTGAGCCACGAACAGCACGTGGCGGACAGGGTCCGTCACGTACCAGTATTCGATTTTGCGGATCTATGGCGCTGGGTTTTCGCTGCCCGCTGGTAGAAAGTATGCATAGGGCACTGAGCAGGCCCTGTGAGGACGTCGTAGGGTTGCAGGGCAACCAAACGCTGCCGGATATCCGGTTAGCGCACGGTCATTGATGCCACGCTTCACACCCAAGAACATGAGTAGTCGGCTATGATAAGCATGAGCCGCCAAGTATGACGCGTGCACTTCTGGCATCTGCACTCAAACCGAACGCTTCGTGCCAGACTCGGTGCGACAAGGACGTCGTTCGGGGGATCTTCAGCGCGTACGCGGACGTGGCTTTCGAGGCACCTGAACTCAAGGTTACCCGTCGAGGCCTTTGGTATTGCTGCCTCGCTCGCTTCCACGTCGTTGATCACGTACCCGAATAGAAAAAGGACGAGAGGGCTCTACAGAGGTGTGCTCAGGACGCACAAATGCCTTGAATGGACTTGGAGCAGCAGCAAACGTCGGAAACGTCGCTGACTCCATGACGTTCCCATTGGACTCGGTGCTCCACGATGACTTTCGAAACAAGCAATTGGAATGCTGTTGAGAAATAGGCACTGAACTATCAGCCAGTCTGCCATGTATATGCCAGAACAAAATGGGATAGTTTCTCCAACTTGAGCGCACATGCTTTAGTGAGCGTATCTTCCGAGAGTCATCAACACCAGCCTTTCGGGCCTTTTCTCGACACTGCTTGCTTTTCGACGTCAAAGACACTCACACACACACACACACTGATCCCCGGCTTTCAAGACGCTGGTCTCACATGTGACTCCAGCTGTTTGTCAGCTGTCGCAGGATGTTGATGGCAGCGTCCAAGTCGCGTTTGTGTCGCTTCCGGCAGTTGTCGATGCACGTCATGCCCTCAAACAAGGCGCGATCTACGATTCGCTTCTCATTCTCATATTTTTTGAATACAGCCTCGGTGCGCGCTGCACAGCTGTGACACTTGACGGTGGTCAAGTCTTGCCATATGTTCATCACACCGCAGCCTACGAGGACCACCCTGTGGCGCGAAAAAGCCTGCACCAGTGCTCGATACATTCACTGTACGGCTGCAGAAGGATGCACTCAATGCTCTGGTCTGTATCCAGGTCCTGTAGCGTACCTTAATGTCATGAGCTTCTTCTTTGCGATCCCGTTGGCGGGTATGCTCTCCGATACAATCAACGATCTCTAGAAAAGAATCTCGTCCATGATGAGAAAAAGAATCGGAAGAAAACTCTTCGCTGGAGAACCAGTCAGGGTAATGTCGATCCGTCTGCGATCCCATTCTGCAAAGCGGTGACGCATGCTCCACTGGGAGCGATCGCCGCGATGACGAAACCCCTAGTCGAAGACGCTCTTCCACACATGTAGAAGAGACAGGAACCTTTGAGACCATTTGCTGTTAGCGGTTTCATGAAGTTATCGAGTAACAGTTCGTGGATGGGCGCAAAGTTTGAATAATTTGTCTTCCAAACACGCTATCGACGACCTGACGTGACAAGTTCAGAGAAGTTTTGCGCATGAGCTTGTAAACAAGTCGCCAAGGGACAACATCGAGAGCTTTTATCGTCGACCATTCGCTTGCGCGCTTAGCCACACCCACGAGTTTTCTTGAAACCGAAAGATCCACAACTCAAACAACGCATGCTTTGAGCGTGCTCCACATATGGAAAGGAGGACATGATACCCGGCTTGTACGAATAAACTAGATCATGGTATCAGTTTTTTATTACGAATTCTTGTTCGAGGGCGTCGCCGATCAATTTGCTGTGAATGACTCAATAAATTCCAGCGGGAAAGAATCCAATGAGCCATTCCGGAACGACGACCTAGAATCCTATAGCTAATCATGAATTCCTGAACTCGTTGTGCTGCGTTACGCATGTCGAGGCTCTGCGCCTGAACAGACTTTGGTTAAAAAGCCTCAACACAGGAACATGGCGAGCAGTTTTGTGTTCCATTTGAATCTGACAGAGGTGCAGGGCGCTATTGCGAAGCCATTCGGAGCACTTCCGCAGCAGCGCACTTGGCTCGAACTACTACTACTACTGCTGCTGCTGCTGCTGCTGCTGCTGCTGTACCTGCTGGTGCGCATCCTCCTACAAATGAGGTTCAGGTTTGTGCAGTCTCGGCTGCTGGTTGCAGCAGACGCTCATACGCTTCGCCTTGTTTCTCCGTCAAAAGCCGCAATGCATCCTGAAGTACCTTGTCGTACCGAAGGGCTGCAGAGAGTCGGCGGCTCTCTGGCTCAAAGCGCTGTCGAATGGCATCCTCCAATCGCTGCCGAATGGCATCGGCGTGCCGTTCAAAGTCCTGCTTGAGTTCAGTGACAATGGTCTCTCGCAGATGTTCTAGTTCCTTTTCAGCATTCTTGTAGCCTGCCTCTGCAAAAGTGCTCGTGAACAGCTTCAAACCTGGCTCAAATCGGGTGTGCTCTCGCCATTTGCTAGCATCTTCGAGAACGTATCGCTGGAACTCCTTGTACAGCTTGTCGTCGACCTCGAAGTCCTCGGGGAGGCTTGATATGCCTGCAGCGTACCGATTTGCAAAAAAGAAAAACTTGCCCCCCTCTAATAACTGCAGCTCCAGCTCACTCGGTTTCGTTACAGTGGATTCCATGTCGGGCTCAATGCCACCACCGTCACGAACGATGCGTCCATGCAGTGTGCGAAAGGTTTTGCGCTCCGACTCGGGAACTTTCGTTGACAGGTAGCGCGCTGCTCCGTTTGCTGGCGGTAACGCCGGTACCAACGTCCCCGAAGGATCCAGAAAAGGTCGACCGCTCTCGGCTTCCGGCAGCGCGGCTGTCAGCGCGCTTCCCTCTTTGTAGTTCACGGACTGGATACAGCGTCCCGATGGTGTATAATATTTGCCAACCGTATACTTGAGCGCGGTGTTATAGGGTAAAGGCTCCACATTCTGAACGAGACCCTTGCCGAAAGTGCGCGTTCCGACAATAACGCCGCGATCGAGGTCTTGAACAGCACCAGCGACGATCTCCGCTGCAGAGGCAGTCTGCTCGTTCGTGAGCACCACGAGTCGAACATCCGCCGGCAAGGACGGCTCCCGATCACTCATGAAGACGGTCTCTCCGAGCGCGCGGCCTTTGGTGCTCACAATAGCTGAATCTTTGGGAACAAGCGCCTCTGCGGTTTCCACGGCAGCGTCCAACAAGCCGCCGGGGTTATTGCGTAGATCCAGTACGAGGGCCTTCAATCGACCCGTTCGAACCATGTTATCAATAGCAGCTCGCAGTTCCCGACCTGCATTCGTTGCAAACGACTGCAGCCGAATGTAACCGACTCCATCGTAGCTTCTAATCATACCGTAGAGCGGCACATCATGGATGGTAACGAGGCGACGCGGGAGCACCACGTCAAAGAGACGTCGACTGCCGTCGGGTGCTCGCGTTTCCCGGGCGAGGCGCACGCGCACCAGCGTACCGGGCTCGCCACGCAAAAGCTCCGTTACTTTGTCCAGTGGCATACCGCGTACCGGTGTGCCGTCAACTTCCACAATGACGTCGCCGGCTCGGACACCGCGGTCGAAAGCATAGCCTTCGAAAGCGTTCAGCACCACTGTCTCTTCGGGTTGCAAAATGCTTTGTGCGATACCAAGCCCCACACCGCCGTATCGTCCGGAGGTTTTGAGTTGCATTTCCCTAGCAGCAATATTTCCCTCAAACTGGGTATAAGGATCAAGAGAGCCAAGCATCCCATCGACTCCGGCCTCGAAAAGTTGGTCAGTATCAACGGGGTCCACGTAGCCGTGCACAATATCCGTGAGGATAAAGTCGAATAAAGCTACCTTTTCACGGATTTTCGACTCGGTTTTCCAGTCCGGAGCATAGGATACGAAAGCGATCACGAAGATGCTACCCACAACGCCGACTATGATCAAAAGCGGTTTGGGAACGGAGATTCGCACGGGTTCAGCCAAGAAGCGTCGGAACTCCTGGAACCGGCTCTTCAAGAAGGTCCCAAACGACAACGGAGAGCCTGATTTGAGAGGATTCGGTCCGTGTGCATCAGATTTTTCTTCAGTGGGTCTTTTTTCCTCCAAGCGGCTCACGAGTCGCCGCTGCAGTGGCTGCACGTTGCAGCAGCGACGGCAACTGCGACAGCAGCCCCCTCTCCTAAAGAGGAAACGCGGTGTTCGCTGCTGAACGCATCTTTGGTTGCTCAGACCACTTACATACGTTTTCTGTGGTTCGCAGGGTGTAAAGAATTCCCCTTTGGCTGAAAAAGCAAAACCCATGGGAGGTTTTCACGCTGCAGACAACGACGCACGGTGCCGCTGTGGAACAACGGCCTGTTCATGTGAGGGCGGGCGCTCAGACGCCTCCCTGGCCAGCTGGCATGCGACGACACGGTATGCAGCGTCGGAAAAAGCAGCAGTTTATGACGTACGCTAGGACGTAACGCATTTTGGTGCTCACGTGACGACTGTGTTCACGGGACGTGTCAGGGTATCGTGGTATCACATACGGGGCTGCGGCCTACAGTTGGAGGCTCAAGCGCGGTCCGAGACAAGCCCTTGTGTACCCTCGCACTGTCAGGAGGGCAAGCTAGACGCTGATGGTGCACGTCCCCAACGGCCCTTGGCTATTGCAGGCACTCAAGCTGGATACACGAGCACTGAAGAACAGTATTCGGGAGCATGCAAAGGACCGGGGAGTCATAGCAACTGCACTATTTTCGAACAGGAACACTTTAGGTGTGCAAGCTAGCAAGGCGTCGCGAGCAGTGTAGCAAAGTTGCGGGGACTTTAGACGCAGAGCGGCCTTGCGGAAGCTGAAGGAACATGAATTGATCCTTGCGTAGGGAAACAATAACAGTGGTTTGCGTTGTAAGTTCATTCAGCGGCGCACAGCCTAGAGGCCCCAAGGCCTCCAGACGGGAGCTGCGGGCGCTCCGTATTGCCATTTGACAGCAAGGAACCAGCTCTCCCAGAAGGGCAGAGTCCGTTCCGAGTGCTGCGCTCAGACCGACTCTCGGGAAGCTTGACCGGATGCCTGAAGTTCCCCGGCGACAAACTTGGTACGAAAGTATTCGTCGGCGCACACGAAAGCAAAGCGGCGAACAGAGGCACCCGACTGTTGGATAGAGACGTCGTTTGTGCACCTGCGAGCCGGCAGGCAGGCAGGCAGGAAGGAAGGAAGGAAGATAGGTAGGCAGGTAAGTTTCACTTGTCCGTGGCAAGGCCGGGAAGCGACGTGTTTCGATACGCTTATGCTGTATATTTTAGCGGAAGGTCGCCAGAACCGGTCGATTTTCCAGCAAAAGTGAGTCATATTGCGCTTCAGAGAACGTGTCGCCAACTCGGAATATTTATACAGTGTCCGCTTGCCCAGATTCTGGTGTGCATAGTCGACTGGGATGTAACTCTCGGCGTTGAAAGCATGCTCGCGACTTTCAGGCAGCAGCAGCAGCAGCAGCAGCAGATGGAGCACATGTCGTACTCGAGGCAATGACGCATACTCGGATTCCCGTTCGAGTTCGCGTCTAGTCAACGATCATGTATCCGTTTTAGACGAATCAGATCAAGCGTACTGCAACCGGCTTATTCATGGTCGTCAAAGGGCCTTGCATCGATTCGAAGAATGCCTCGCACTCGTTCGGAAATAATGCGCGAAATCTGGTACAGAACATCATCAGAGCTGCTGTATCGAAGGTAAAGAACGCCGCGTTCAACGCGCTCTAGCTCAAAAACAGCCTCTTGTGCGAAAAGCGATGGCCGCAACTCATCGAGAACGACCTCGCACGACTCGAGTAGTTTTTTGTTGTTCTGCTCCCAGAGCGTGGATTCGGTAACCGGGACGAGCTCGATGTTTCGAACGCGTTCCTCGCCAAAGTACTTGCGTAAAGCAATCTCCACGCCAAAACGAACTGTATCCTCCAGTGCTGGACATGAGGCGCAGGCACCGAGGAACTGGAGCCTCACAGTGGCGTTCTCGGGATCCACACTTACCACCTGCACGTCACCACCATCTTTTTGGAGGAGCGGGCGAACTTCCGAAAGCGCCGCCTCAACCGTGGTCACACTAAGCGGCAACCTCGTATCTGGGCCGTTGCAGACGCCAGCCTGTACGGACTCGTTACGGAACGGCGATACGACACGTTGCTCGTCCTCGGTGCCGCTACAAGCTGCGGCTTCCGCTGCGCTCGATGGAAGCGAGTTCGTGTTCGCAGAGGCCTCCGCGGGTGGCATCGGGTACGTCCCTGTGCCGACGTTATTCGATCGGGACGGTATCGTTGGCGCTTGCGCCTCATCGTTCGTCTCATCGGCTTGTTGTGCAGCGGGCTCGCTGCGAGGCGGCGTCGGCTCGCTGCTACACTGATGCACACCGTTGAGCCATTCGTGAGCAGCTTGCCACTGTTGAACATACGTGGCTAGCGCCGGATCTTGGGTGCGATTTCCTCGAGGAGTATAGCCGATCTCTGCTATCCACGCCTGCTTCAGGGCCTCCATATTGGCTACGTCCATTGAAGGGAACACACACACTCGCACGAACTGGCAAGTATCGGGGCCGAACCGTTGCAAGTGGTGGCGAACGCTAAGCGCCACATTAGGACTGGTGCCAATATACTGGACGGAGACACGGTTTCGACGCAGGCGCTTTTGATCGATTCGCCCCATTGGAGCGCTGCGGACCGGAACGCGCTTTTCGCCGTACTGCAGGACATAGTCTGCAAAAGGATAGAGGCGACGTTCATTGGGCTCCAACGGAACGCGCTTGATCTTCGACGGGTCTATTGGAATATCTTGCAGACTCTCTTCTTCGTAGGAAGGTTCACCATACCGCCACGACGGGCCGTCCAGGACAGCATAGACTGCTGGAACTTGCACAAAGTCTGACGGTGCGGCCTGCTCGGCAACAGCAGTGGGTACCAAAACTCGCGGCTCCGAAAAGTTAAGAATCGCTTTGTGATGCAGGCGTCGAATGAGAACAATGGAAGGCGTTAGCATAAGATTTCGCTCAAGGGTTGCTGCGATGCTTCCCTCGAAGACCTCGCAAATCTCTCTCAGGTTTTGCATGAAGGGTTCTAGTTCGAACAAGTCGCGGGCAGTGTCTCGCGCCCCTACATTATAAATATGACTCGAGTCAATTTTGGATGAATCACGCAAACTACCCCCTGTCTTTCGGGGACCGAACTCTTCGCAGGCGCGTGGCGGCCGACGAACCGAGGTTCTTCGTGAGTGCCAGCGTGCTGAGTTGCTCGTTCCCTGCCTTCGGTAAACACCTGCTGTACAAAAATGGTGGCTAGGTTGGTCACCTGCGCTATTCCCGATGCAAACAGGCAACTTAGAGCCTACAAAAAGAGCCAAAGAGTCGGCAAGTGTGGGTGAAAGCATCCCTCGACGGCAGTACGAACGCGTACAAGAATAGCATCCGGAATCCTTGCGCGTCGAACGTTGAAGTTCGCTAGATGCGTCCAGCGAGAGGTTGTTCCAACGCCACTGCCTCTTATGGAATGCTAGTTCGCAGTGTGTGGCAGGAGGTCGACGTTACGGTGCAATGCGTTGTATAGATCGGAGACGAATTGGCTCTAGGATATATATTCTTTACTGAGTGGTGCGGGGGACTCTGCATTCCTCATTCAGGTCAGTCATACCACAGTACTCTGATAGCTGAGGAGCACTGACAGAAACAAGTAGATGCGCACTGCGCGAAAACTAGTGTGCTCTAAGCGTGCCTTTGGTCAACGGTAGGAATCGACCCGTTGGTCACTTTACGAAAAGCAAAAACGACGATTCTAGTTGGCATACGCGTCTCTCTCGCGCTCTCTTCGGTTCTCAATAACTAATTCATTGGGTTCTGGAAGCATTGGGATACCGTCGCAAGAGAAGAGAGTCCTAGTTCACCCACGGCTATCTTTCACCGAAATTGCACCTACACCGTTCCGGGAACGTCGCGATAGTTATGTTGTACGGAGACGTCGGTTTGTGTTTTTCAGTCGCTGAGACTTGCTGCGGACGGGACGTTCGGACCCTACATGGGTACTCGCGGAGAGTAGAAGGATCGTTGTGTGTACGATTGAACTCGAGGAGAACGACGATACCTTCATCTGTTCGAGATAGAGTGGATCCATTTGGCCGCCTCAGTTTCGCTCGTAGAAGAGGCTCGTACAACAGCACCGACTTCGACGGATTATTGGGGATTTTTCCGCTGACGTCTGGCGACGTCCTCCTATTCGACAACGCGGCATTTCACCATTCCCGTTGCGTTCGAGCTTTCGCGAATGCAACCGTGTAGAGCTGCTTTTCATGAATCCATTCGCTCCGAGGTTGAATTCAATCGAAGGCGTAGTTTCTATCGTGAAACGTATCATGATTGCTCCACTGGACGAATCGCTGGAGCTTTCAGCACACCGTAGCAAGCCGGGCATATAATTTCTTTTTTCCACAAGTTCTAGTCGCTCCGCGTAGGTCCACACCTATGTGCATAAAGAAGTGGGTTCATCTGAATAAATAAAAAAATCTAAGGAAAAGGTATGTGCGTAAAAGTCGAGGATCCTGGAGGGCCGTCATCCTCGGATGCCTAATCAAGGAAAAAAACCTCTTCTCGCGGAGTATCGAGCGAAGAAGAGCAAGTGACGACGACTACGATCATGAGGGGAGATAGGCGGCAAAAAGTGTTCGCCTCGACGGACCGATGACGGGACTGTAGTAGCGTAACGGGCACGAGTCGGTGGAATCCTTGCATCGGCAAGTTTAACCAGCGCGGGAGCACGCATGGAGCACGTGAGCCGAGGCTTCAAAGCCGCCATCAGTATCAGAAGATGTGTGGCACTGAAGACGAGACCCGAAAAACTGACACGAGCTGACTTTGTGAGGCAGCCTCTCATGCTCGAGATGTGCAAGGAGAAACTGAAATCGGTAGCAGGGGACGGGTCCAAAATGGCTGGAAGGCGTCTGTAAATGGGTAAATGTATACCTGCCAGGGTCATGAAACATTTTTGTTTCACGAACAATAGACGCATCGATCTTCGGCTGACTGACACACCGTGCAGCAGCAGCAGCAGCAACATGAGAGACATGTGCTTTGGAGGTCGATCCAGATCTCCATACCAAACGTCTTGTTCGATTTGCAATGATAAGGTTTATGGAACAGCACTGTCGTGAAGATTGACTCTGTCGAGGAGGCGCTTATCAGAATATAGGTCCGCCCATATTGTCAGTCTGCAAAAGGTGTTTAGACCGGGCGAGGAAGAGCGCCTCCGCTGCAGGAGAATAGAATGTTGGATATGCCTTCGATCCGTCAATGCTCCGTTCGTGTAAAGCGACGACGCACTCTCCGCTTACTCGATCGCTGGGATGACTCAAGTCCGAGTTCAAGATCCTGTGAAACGCAGCCAGCACGTACGAGAGCCGCTCAGCGCATATCTCATCAGAGGCATCATACTGTCGTGGAATATCGTTTCATCAATGGCCAGGAGGAGAGGAGCATTCGGCTATCGAACGGAGTCGATTCATTGATATGACTTGTTCAAGGTGCTTGCCGCATGAACCAATGAACGAGTCGTCAAGAGACGAAATCGATTTTCTTTCGTCGTCAATGGATGGCTCCAATGGCTGCGCCCTCGTGTTGCCTAAAAGAATCGAAACCTGAAAAATGCGTGCTTTGAGCATGCTGCACGAAAAGGAAACAACAGCAGAAGCTTTGATGCTTGCGAGAATGCACTTGGTAATGATATCGGTTGATTTACGAAGCGTTATTCGACAAATCGCGATTCATCTCGCTTCCGGTGTCGTAACCAGGTTCCATTTGCAAAGCGTCATATGATCCATTCCGAGAAGGCTTGCGAGGATCCGGAGACCACGTTTGCGTCCATCATCTCTAATTGCTGCGATGCGATTCTCGAAACTGTGCATCTGAAAAGCTTTCGCAAAAAAAACTCCATTCAGGAACCCGGCAAGTCGTTCCGTGTTCCATATGCATCGGACGCGGGTGAAGGACGCCTGCGCCTCGTGCAGCTGTGGTCATTGAGATTTTCGACGAGAAAGGTGCACGCTGCATCATTCCGCGCTGCATTCACTGCTGCATCTGGTATGCAAAGTATGGAAACAAAGGGTATCGCGAATCCGGCGTCTCGAATGCCACAATATGAGTCGATAAAGTGATGCGGGATCACATGGCACCGGCACAACGTGTGTTCGTCAGCGTGGATGCGTTCCCGCACTCGCCAGGTATTGGCGGGAGGCGTCTGCAGCAACGCACATATGCAATTTCGTTTCTCGGAGTAGACGGGGCAAGTTCTTGACTCCCTGCTCGGTGCGCAATGTCGTCCCATGGGGTAGCTACGCTCAGAGGCTTTCGCCGTGTGGCTTTACGTCGTGTATCAGCGGTTTTTCGGGGATGGTCAGCACATCGCACTGCTTGTGAACGAGGTCGCGCACGTGCTGTTCGCACGTAGTTCCGCAATTCGAAGTGCATCGAGAATGGTATTGCGGAGGGCCGGGCATCAGGCTGTCGCCATATCTGAAACTGCTGCTGCTGCTGCTGCTGCGCTTTCGGAACTTTCTAGATGTGCACTCTTGAAATGAGAAGAGCAGTGAATGTCGATTTGTGACTCATTTTCGTCGTCAAATTGCAACCAAAAGCTCGCACAGACATGCGCCAAAATCAAGGGTTGTATTTGCTGTTCTTTGATACCTTGTTGAGAAGGCAGTTCGACGAGGCTCTCGCCATGCTTCAGCGGGGAACGTCGCAATCACCATGGTACACCTGTCTCGCTCGAAACTGAATCGCTTTTCACTGTATTCACGGACAAGTTCGAGCATGATGTAACCAATGAGGTACATGAAAGTGGTCAGGAGCTTGGGAGCCTGGTTTCAATATCCATATGGTATTCGGCGCTTTGAGTAAACGTAATGGTAAGGTACCCATGAGCACCGCTCACCGGACAGCTGCTTGCAGCACAACCCGACCATGCCTCAATTGTCGGGTGCAGGAATGATCCGGTTCACAATACGGAGCGATCCAAGTGCAACTTGTCTGGAAAATCTAGTCACACTTTTGAACAGGCTGCAATCCCGGTGCTACGCTCGCGGTGTGATTCTGTGGCACCGCGTAGCCAAAACACAACCGCGTTCCCGCGTCGTTCTTCAAACGCATCTTGTTCTTCGCTTGTACACCCGCAATCCTATCGATGAAATTCTCGTGAATCACAACCTTTCGGGTCGTATCACGCATAGTAGTTCAAACTCATTTTCTTCTTCGCTTGCACAGCCGCAATCCCATCGATGAAATCCTCGTGAATCACAACCTTTCGATCCGCACGCAACGCCGCCATCCCAGCTTCCACGCAAACCGCCTTCAACATTGCTGCGTTAAAATCGTCTGTTGAGCGAGCAAGTTCCTCGTAGGATACGTCAGGGTGAACGTTCATCTTCCGTGAATGGATGCGCAGAATCCGCGCCCGAGCAGCTTCATCGGGATGGGGAAACTCGATCTTCCGATCGAGTCGACCGCTACGCATCAGTGCTGCATCCAGGATATCTGGTCTGTTCGTCGCAGCAAGGACGCGAACGTCATCGTTCTGATCGAATCCATCAAGTTGGTTCAACAACTCGAGCATGGTGCGTTGTGTTTCGCGATCACCACTGCGATCTGAATCGAAACGTTTCGTACCAATTGCATCCAGTTCATCGATGAAAATGATAGACGGCGCCTTTTTCTTTGCCAGTGCGAATGCATCTCGCACAAGACGGGCACCATCTCCGATAAACATCTGAACGAGTGAGGTTCCCGCTAGTTTCAGAAATGTGGCTTTGGTTTGTGCTGCACACGCGCGAGCAAGGAGCGTCTTTCCAGTTCCAGGCGGGCCATACATGAGCACCCCTTTTGGGGGCTTGATTCCCACCCGTTCAAACAAGTGTTTGTGCGTCATCGGCAGCACAACAGCTTCGATTACTTCCTCGATCTGCTTGTCCAAGCCGCCAATGTCGGCGAAATCTTCCGTGGGCCTTTCATCGACCTCAAAGGCCTTTACTCGTGCGTCGTACTCTTCGGGAAGCTTTTCAAGAATCAAATAGCTGTCCTTGTTGACCCCGACGAGGTCACCAGGGCGGAGCTCGGAGACATCAACCAGTCCAGGGATGGGCAAAAACACTGTTTGTCGGGTGGAAGTCTTCACAACGACCGCAGGTGACTGCTGATTGGCATCCGACTCTTGAGCAGCGCCTTCATCCTCCTCAGCGTCGTCAAGGTCGTCTTCGTGATCGGCAGCGCCCGGGGTCTGGGTCTCGCTGGTGATACCGGAGCTCCGGTTGATGAGGTCGCTCCCTCCGCGTGCACCCGAGCCCAAACGCTGGTTCCTTGCTTCGCCTTGAGTTTCCGAAACACTACCATTCGGCTGCGTTGCTAAGGCCGTCTCAGCGTGTGGCGCACTCTGCGTTCCTGGCCCGGTGAGCGACGGGGGCGCTCGCTTCAAAGCGGCCGGCGTGAGCACTTCCACAACATGCGCGACTAAGAACGGTAACTGAGCGTTGAGCTTGATCTTCTCCTCATTCTCTTTCACTCTCTCGTTTAGGGATTGGATTTCGCGACGAAGCCGTTCTTCCTCACGCCGGAGTTCACGCACCTCGTTTTCAATGAGACGTGCACGCTGTGCGATGGCGTCTGTCGACTCTCGCAGTATCTCCTCCGGGATTCCTCGCTCCATTGAGGGGGCGGCGAAATATCCTCACAGAAAACGTCGTGAATTGTTGGCAAGATTTGGAGGTAGCGTTCAACGCTCCCGAGGTCTCGTAAGCGTCGTCTTGCGCGGTTGAAACGAGGTAGCGATACCGCCCCAGAAGCCAAGTCGGTGGCCAGTCGGGCGCGAGTGCCTCAAACGCCAGTGCACCCGACGAGACGATTGCATGAACATTCGTCATTTCAGCAGCAGCCTCTACATTAAGATAGAGCTTCTTGTTGAGGCAAGCTTTTTTTTGATTTTTGAGAAACAACTGTCTCTGATACACGCTAAAAAGCGTTCGCAGGGTGTGATAGCGAAAGCGCCCTGCTGGCTTTAGCAGCCGAAGCTGTTGCTTGCGACTACCTCTCCTAGTGCTTCTTCGCTCGCTGCTCACTGCTGCTACTCCAGCTGCTCGTGCATGGTCAGGAGCGCACCTTGGCGGAGCTGTGGCTGGATCGTTCCTTGGACGACGCATTGGCTATCCCCGCCGAAAAAGTGCATCTGCTCCCGTCGAAGAAACGTTTTTGCGGGCAACCTGACGATGATGAGCCAATCTACGGATCCACTGGTGCAGTACGTTGTCGTCCGACGTGATCTATTACAGGCACCGTTCAACTGGCCGACTGGAGCTGTTATAGCGCAAGGCGTTCACGCTGCGGTTGCTGCAGTGTGGCGTTTTCGGGAACAGAGCCCTCATGTTCAGCTTTACTGTGAGGAAGCTCAAGGTACACAGATGCGGACATTGGTATTAGAAGCACCTGACGAGAAGGCGATACAGGATATTGCGCAGGCGCTTGAGGTCGATGGAATCGAGCACGTTGTCTGGACCGAGCAACCCGAAGCCGTTTCCACTGCGTTGGCAACCGCACCGGGGCCGCGGTCTCGGCTTCGAGGGTACTTTCCTAAACTGCGACTTTTCCGATGAGTCCTGTGGGCAATGGCGATAGAGCCGCAGCATTGGATTGCGTGCTAGTTTCCGGGGATGTGTGTGTGTGCCAACAACAACACTTGCAGAGCCCGGAAGTGCATAGACTGCACTAGGTGTTTCAGCGGCGAAAAGGCACTTATCCGCTTGGTCGAAGACATCTCGAACATCGTGCGCTAGCAAGCGCCCATTGATACGTCTGGGTGCACTCGGGATACGACCGGAACGGTTGCCGCTGAGCATTGGCTTGAGGTTAGGCGGAGGCCAACGAACGCCTCTCAGATGGTTGTCTTGCGACCAGATCGTTTCGATTTGAGACAGGCTCGTGTTGTGTTCATCTAAGCTGGGTGCTGCTGCGGGACTGCTTGTTCACCGTAATCGAGCTCGCTGGTGCGAGCGTCACTGGGTTCTGTGGTGCATGCAACTCGCACTGCCAGTGGCCGCAATGGAAATCCCTCTCAAAATCTGCATCGACCTCTTTGCGGAATACGGGGCATTTTTCTGCGGACGACGGGCGCTCTTTCGCCATTTAGGGAAATGGATATGGAGCAGCAGTGTCCGCTTTACCTTTGCACCTGGTCAGTCACCAGGAGAACGTGTCGTCGCTTCTGCCTGCAGTCGCCGGTGCGGCAGTGTTCCGTAATCATGGACTCGGGGCGGCAGACTCCACGGCTTTCCGCCAAACGCAGGCCAGACGGTGAATCTGAGGCCAGTCGCCAGCCAGTAGACGTGAGGTCGGAAGGATCTGCTGTGACACACCAACTGCGTACACATTGTCTGCAGATAGGTAGTCTTCAACGACGTCAAAGGTTACGCCCGAGGTTGGGATCAGGGGAATATGACTCAAGGGGCCTGCCAGTGCCCGAATAAATCGCAGGCCACCGACGACATCAGCGGGGAACACCTTCACAGGCTGATATTCCCCAAGAGCTAGCGAGGCCTGAACGCACTCCGAAGGAGTTGCAGCACCCGGTATGAACAGGACATTGTGCTCGCGAGCATAAGCAATGAGTTGCTCAGATCGTCCGGGTAGGAACACAGGCGACATGGTAAAGCGGCAGCCGCAGGCGATCGCCCTTTCCAGCTGACTCGCGTGGAGCACAGTGCCTGCACCCAGGAGGATGCTTGTGCCTCTCGTTTCGTGAAGGTAGCGGAGTGCCCATTCCACTCCTGGCATGTCCATGGTGATTTCGAAGTTGTGTAGACCCGCATTCTGAAGAGTTTCAACGATCTGAATGATCATTGCGGCAGTTTGGCTCTCCTGGTCGGTTAGTTCAACACCATGGCCCGCGGCAAGCGTCAGCAACCTCTTGCGTTGCGCCTCAAGTGCATCTCGAGCGCCTGCATACTGGTCCAGGATGAAGCTCTTGAGCCGAATGCAGACAATGAGCGGCTGCCTCCGGAGGTACGTACGCGTCTTCTCAGGTACAGGAAAGCTTCTCGTCGGAACATCGAACGTTGCCATGAGTGTTGCAGTGCGCGTTCGTTGCGTAGCGTACCGTGGTGGCCAGGTCAGACGGGTGCACGTGCGGCAAGCTGCGGCAGCGAGTCGCCATTGTCTTTCACGTTGTCTTGTGAACCGGAGCTGTTGTTGAGGAAGGTCATGGATCGACAGAAAGCCATGCATGTTCGTGAGAAAGCAAGGGATTTTGGAAGCGAGCTGCGAGTACTCATGGCCATCCATGAACACCTTACACACACCGCGCGTTGTGCTGATGGATGCGCACTCTTGCAACGCTTCCAAGGCCGGTGGAACTCGTGCAAAGAGCGCCACCTTTTCCAGCCGTATCGTTACTCTGTTTTCCTAGAAATCCTGCCTCTCCGCTGGATACAGTTTATGAACTACTACCACCGGTACCAGGCGTTCTTCTTTGCGGAAAGTAAACCTCTAAATCGTTTTGTTTGCCAGTTTCGTCTCTGCAAAGCGGATGCAAAATCTATGGCACCCGCTTGGCGTCTTTTACCAAACAACGCACCGCTTAGAACCTTTTCGTGCGCCAGTTTCGCGTCAGCAACTCGTGTCCACTCGCTCTATTGCCTTCAAGCGTCTCGTCCTGCCGAAATCGGCAGGATGAACGCGTATCAACACGATCCTCCGTTACGGTGCGTAGCAACGTCCGAGAACACGTCCGCAAGCGACGCTGCAAAGCGAGCAATGTTGATGAGTGATTGCTAACGACCTTTCACAGCGTACGGCGACGTACATAGCTATGTGTTTGGTGTAAACCTGGTGAGTTTTTGTCGATCAATATCTCGAATCTTTGTATCACAGTGTACTTACGATTCATTGAACGCGGTATAACGAATCGTGCAAAGTTTCGTTGACGCTCCTGGGATTGACGTGGTGCTACAGCGTTTCAAGAGCTGCACGTCGTCGAACGCAAGCACGGGAGCGTCGCGTCGTCATGAGTGCGGAAACAAAGCTTCCACCAGTAAGCAGCGAAGAGCGTGATGCTGCCGCTCGGGAAGCTACGCAAAAGTCGACAGCACGCAGTGAACGAAGTCAAACGGAGCGGGACATCGCACAACTCACGGAGACTGGGCCTGAGGGAGACGAGTCCGCTGATGAGGCTCAAGTAGCACGCCTGCTTCGAGCGGCCTCCGACGACTTGCCAAAACTCCGCCTGAGCGACAAGACACTGAGACAACTGGAGTCACAAGCGCTTCGGCGCAAGCAACTCGCTGCCGTGCGCGTCTCGGATGCGGATATTGCAGAGCTAGCCAATGCCGTATACGTATCCAAAGCTGAGGCTGAGCAGCTGTTACGCGAAGCAAACGGAGACCTGAACCAGGCGTTACGTACAATCATTCGCTGGGAGTTGCCGTCTGGAGCAGGCCCGAAAACGGCGCCCTAAACAAATGACGATGCTTGGGCGGACGTCTGTGCATTTGACGGTGTCCTGGAGAACATCAGCGCGTTGGACAGCTTCTACGGGGCACCGATCGTTGCCTACGAAGGTGCATTGACGCTGCAATGCGGCCTTTGGAAACGCGGTGCTCCGGCGCTGTGATCGCGAACACGACAGCGTCCGTCACACGAACACAGCGTCTCGCGAGACTGCGTTAGATCGAGCGGTAGCGCACAGTCTGCTCGCAAAGATGGTGAACGGGATAACATCTGTCGCACGAACGGAGCATCTTGCGGGATGTTATACGATCTGTCGAAAGCGTGGTCTCGGCACCGCGAGGACCGACCGGTATGACGTGTCTCGTGAGCGAGCGCCTTCGAGGTGATCGAAATCGCAATGAGAGGAAGCTCGACTGCCGCCGTATTCCGAAAAGAGCGACCACGTGGATTCGCAGCATTGGGAGCTCCGGTTGTTGATCTACAGTATCATGTACATTACGGGCCGCTTTGGCACCGAGATGCATCGCTGGGCAAGACAAGTCGAGAACAAGTCGATCATTAACTGGCGCTTTGACCTTGTATCGCTAGAGCGAGCGCATTTCGTGATCGAAGGTACACCACATTCCCGGAACTGTCGAAGCTCGTGCATACTGTAACGTGGTCGGGTGTCGAACAGTTTGCATGTTGCTGCAATGCCACTCGTTGCCGGTATCCTACACTGGGAGAGTGCAGTACGAAAGCATCGACCGCGAACTAGGATCAATGCAGAGTAAAATGCGACACTGTCCTATGCATGCTATTCCTGCATGTCGACATTTTCGAAACTTTTTGAGATATGCAGGCTCGGAATTCGAAATGCAGCAATAAAGGTTTACAAACTCACCCATAGGTGTAGACTTTTCGGTTCATTTTTTCGAGTGGCTTCCTCGGCGCTTTTGGCCCTGGAATTCATATCCTCAACGACGTAAAGATGGTTTGCGATGCCGTCGAACACGAGCTCGTACCATAACCTATGTAATCATCCAAGCCTTAAGGACTAACCTCCACTATTCTTATTGCCTGATGAGGAGCATGATAAAATCACGCATTGTACAAAAATTTCGACCTTTCTTTGTATGGGCAACTCGTGGACGGAGCAGCGCACGTCTCCGAATTGACGAGGAGAAAAATCTCGACATGTTTCGTTTACGCGTTTTTGCCCAATTGCTCATGTTGACACTCAAATACGGACGACCAGGCGATAAGCATTTCGCAGCAAACGCGTTTTCTCCGGGAGTGGCGATGTTCTTTGAAGATGCTATGCAGCTGTTTCCGAAACACCCCCGGAAATCTTTCTTGCTCGCACTGAATTGTTCTACTGAGGTGCCTGGTACGCATGGGTGTTGCACCGCCACTGCCAACCGTGCAATACATACTTTTTGTGCCCCGTTCAACACTGATCTTCATGCTTCTACGGAACTCTTCGATCCGAAAATACGATCGAATGGCGGAAAGCACACTCCGATGAGCCCAGTGCGCATAGCCGTGGCGGTACGAGCACGAGGCACCAGCTCGGATCGAAGAGGAGGCCCAGAGTTGCTGAGATACGCATATGTTGACTCCAGGTTCGTTCCTGACGGCCCTGAGCATGTTCCGATTCGAGTCGGGCCATTGAGAATAACTCGTAGTCACCAAGATAACCCATAATCCACTCTATGCCGTTTTCCCTAAAACAATCGGATTTGCGGAACACGATATTGTCCATAACGAGGCAGGTACCGGAAGGAAAATCTGAGCTTGGTACCCATTCGAACAATGTCGATCCTTTTACATACCCTAGCTACACAACGCTGAAGCACGCTCCACTGGAAGCGATCGCAGCGGTGACTTGGACCCGCATCCAAGCCCTTTCCAAGAAAACAGAAGAGACGGCAGCCTCAGAGAGCATACCCCGTTTTTTAGATGGCCATTAGGTCACGGGGGATCTGTCTTTCAAAAGGAATCTATAAATAGACGTGACAGGCTCAGTGAACTTTCTGCACGAGCGTGTGAACAAGTCGTCGAGAAACGTCGTCGAATCGTTTTCTTCGTCAGTCCTGAGGCATGAATAGCTGTGCCCACGAGTTGCTTTGAACCAGTACGATCGAATATTTGAAGAATGCGTGATTCCAGTATGCCTGACCAACGGGATCGAGACGCATGGGGACCCCTGCGCATGAGCAGGATAACGATATCGATTATTTGACAAACCCACGGTCGTTGGCGCCGTGAACCATCTCGGTTCCTGTATCCTAACGAATGCCAGCGGTAAGGAGTCGAAGGATTCTCAATGAAAACGCATTCTACATGCCTGAAAGTCCGTATGAACGCGCACGCCCTTTGTGCTGCTCCTCGGATGTCGAAACTAAGTATCACCTAAAAAGCTTTCGGAATAAAGTCGAAAGGCAGGAACACAGCGATTCGTTCAGCGTCCCGCTTGGAATCCTACCATGATAGATGACACGGTACCCGCTGGGGTATTCGCGGATTGTACCCCCTATCAACAGGTCGTAGTGATCGGGTGCGCCTCGCGCTCCGGAATGAGCGCAACAACCAGCTAGCGCCCGCTTCTCGTATGATTCAAACATGATAGCGCTCGGAGGAGTAGTCCCAGAGATTTTTTACAAGGAACCTAGAAAGCGCGGGTGCAGTTCGCTGGAAGCAAGGTTCCTTCGTAATCCAAATCAATCATCGCGCTATGGCTGATAAGACAGATTCGGTGGCCATTTCTGATCACGAAAATGTCGATTGGCCGGGTCGGTGCTTTGTGCATAGGGTGCTTGCGCGTCAAACGGAACAGGACCATTCGGGAACGTATCCAGTGGACCGAATGGACCGTTCTGAGCGGGCCCTGATATCCACGAACTCGTTTGGATGAAGACTGGTTGCGGAATATGACCTGTTCGCGATGGATCTAGTTCCGAGTTTGGGACTAAAGCACCCAACGTGGATCCCGACGGGGGCCCGCCTCGCACTGGGAACGCTTCTTGATACGGAACATTGAGCGTGGGGAGTTGCGACTGTGGCGGCTGTTGCGGCTGCGGCTGCGGCTGCGGGATATGCAGTCCTCGTGCAACGTGCTGCGGTCGTTGCCGTTGCTGTTCAAAATTTGACTGCATGTCCATAACACCGCTTTGTTCCAGGTGCGGTGGAAACCCGAATCCCGGCGGTGGACCCAGCTGACTCAGTGGCGGCACAGGATATCTACCGAATAATGCGTAGAGACTGGGGTCTGCATCTGCGGGGAAACGCGTTCCAGACTCCGGTCTCGGATGCGTTGTCACTGCTGCGTACTGCTGATCAGACGTCGTCTCCATCACACGAGACGGTGGATTCGAAACTGCAGCCTGTGCCCGTACCTGGTTAAAGAACGCCAGGACACTTGGCGAGAGCGTCTCTGCACGGGGGTCTTGCTCCCGTCTTGTGGCGCCGCCTGCAACTGGTGCGCCCCGGTCAGGGATGTACTCCTGAGCGCTCCGGTCGCCGGGACCAGTTGGTGCAACATCGGCCTGTCGATGCGTCCACCGACCAAGTCGACTCTCAAGCATACCAATATCCCCAAAAGATGCCGGATGGGGGTTGGCAGGAGTCGTCTCCGCTGGAGGTTTTCCAGCGAACGTCTCCCGCTGGTTCGAGACATTGGTCGCAGTGCCGATGCTTGGTGCGGCATGCCAGCTCTGTGCAACAGGTCGCTGTGAGCCCGCCCACGGACCTGTCTTTCCACCAGGTGTCTCCGAATCAGCAAACTGGGCATGATGCTTGGGCGGCTCAGCTGTATCCACGGAGAATCCGCTCACTGTTCCGCTCAGTCGCATATCATGAAGCGGTGCGATCAGCTCGGCATCATCGGGTGCCGAACGAGCGCCGATGGTGCTGCGTGGCTTGCCCGGTTGAACACTCGGCAAAAGACTAGACCCTTGCGACTGATCTTGTGCTTCAAAGTCCAGCACGAGGAGGTCTTCCCCCTTGCGGGCGTGCTCGAGGAAGCCGTCCACGAACTCGTCGCCATCTTTGGTTTCCTTGCCGGTCTCCTCTAAGGGAATGTCTTGAGTAAGGTCTAACAAAGGATGCGGCTTCAGCCAGTCTTCACTCACAGGGACAAGCTCAGGCAGCTGAACCGGTACCACAGCGTGCTCGGAGGTCGCTGCTCCAGGAGCACCTGGTGCACTGCGTCGTTGGCGCCGTCCACTAGCCTCCGGGCGCGCTGCACGTCCTGTACGTTCAAGGTGTGACCCTGAGGAGGGCAAAGCAGCTGCAGCACCCCAGTCGTTGTGCACGAGGCGCAGCGTCCAGCGCTCCTTCGCCCGAGGACTTGCCACCGGCAACGACGGCGCCAGACTCACCGCCGTGTCAGCCGCCGCGGTACGCACCAGCAAAAAGTCTTCTCGCGAGTATATGTGCTGTGGTACGTAGGGTGGAGGCGAGTCTGGTCTCCCTCCCGTCCCTAAACTATTATGGTTTGTTTCGGTCATAACCCGAGTTTAACGCTCGAATAGAGGCACTGGGGGCGAGCGCTCGTGTTCGAAAACTGCGCAATCGACGCAGCAGTCGCAGACGCAGATTCGACGCGCAATAGGCGTCTGCATTTGCATGAGACAGGGGCATTGTTTCCTGACAAGTGTACCATGATGGTAATGCCTCAACTAAAGGGTGTTCCATAACCAGGTAAGTGTCATCAAATGCTTTTTTACTTTTCATAGGAAGTATGTATGACGTGCGCTGATTCGAAGAAATAAAAATCCGAGGGAAATGTATGGACGGAAAAGGCGAGGATCCTGCGGGGACGTGATCACCAGCTGCCGGAAAAACGAAAAAAAACCCTCATCTCGCCGACTTTCGAACGAAGAATCAGAATAAAAAAATATGGAGAGATAGACGATAGAAGGTATTTGCCCCACGGGGCGATGACAAGATTCTTGTGACACAGAGGGTACGTGTTCGAGCAATTCTTGCAAACATGAGTTCAACATGCGGGAATATACGCATGGAGTTCCCGAACCAAGACTTCACACAGCATCAGACGATGTGTGGTGCTAATGATCAGACCTGGGGAGCTGAGGCGAGCGAACTTTATAGGGCGGTCTTTCAGGCTCGAACTCTGCAGGGATAAAATCTGAAAACGATACCAGTCGATCGGGCGAAAAAGGCTGGGAGCCGTTTGCGCGTTTGGGGATATATTCGTTAGCAACGGTCGTGAAACGCTTTCGTTTGACTGACATATATCATCATTATCATGATTCGTTATGGAGCGGAGATCTCGAGCAGACGCTCGTAGTGTTACGGTAAACGCGTCTCGTATCCTTGCTGCATGCACACCGGCGCGATAGGTGTCATTGATGGGGATCACGACAGACTCGCCACAGAGTGGAACGGAGGAAATGATGTGTATCTTCGCGGGCAAATATGGGAAGCGGTGCTTGGATACGTGGCGGACGCTTTTCTGGGTGCGGGTATGAGATAGCGTCATCGCAGGCATATCTGCTCTAAGTTAGCTTTCTGTGAAACAAAAAAGAAAAATGCTGGCGCCACAGCCAGTTTCGGATACAGACTCAGCATACGAGGGAAAGCGCTAGATCAGTCTAGGCGCAGATCCCGATGGATGCACTGGTATGCGACCTGCGGAACGTTGAGATGCCTCAAAGGCAACCCGGTCTCTTCACAGGTTTCCAACACAAATGGCATACCCGGGGAATCCCAGTTCGTTCAAGTGATTCAACTCCAAGAAAAACCGGTTATGCAGAAGCTGAGCGCGTCGACTCGTGCGAAAGCCCGATAGCGCTGCGCTGGTGGAACGCACCGCGGATGCCGCCCAGTCTCGAATGACTGAGGGAATTCCTCCCCACATGATCGATGGATCTAACAGGGATTTCGTGCGATTGCGAGCACTCTCAGTCACTTAGGTTTCAAACGTACCCATTTCTCGGATGATTTCCACGGTCCACCGTGTCCAGAGCTGCGCTCTCACAGCAAACCGGCCCGATGGGTGCAGTGTCGTACCCGGGAGACCGGAAGCACGACTTCAGGAAGTCGCCCGCACTAGACCGCTGCGCAGCGCGATCACGAACGCCTGCGTCACAACGCGGTCGGTGCCAGCTGCCTCGGCTGCCGCGATGTCGCCAACGCGCATCACCCGCCAATGCATTTATATATCAATTGTGATCGGTCATTCACATCATCATATTCCTCCATCCGCGGTAGTTTAACGAACGGTTTTCGTGTAACTGCCAGAATACGACGTTGTCGACGCAGTTGCAGTTCACAACGCCGTCGAGACCGGGGTTCGACTCCCCGCCGCGGAGCTTTCCTTTTTTCGTTCGAAGACACTCGCGCAGCTTACCATGTTTCAGAGCGCGCTTCCAACCAGGCGACAGTCGCGTCACTGCAAGAACCTCAGTCGCCAGCGTTGCCTTCGAACTTGCATTGCAAGCGCGGACCCTGAATCGAGAACAAGACCGCTGCGGGTCGCGATCGTCGGCGGGGGCTGGGCTGGACTCGGCGCTGCCCATGCGCTTACGAGCTCTCCACGGAACCGCGAGGCTTTCCACGTGACGCTCATCGAGAGCCGTGAATCCATCGGGGGCCTTGCCGCTGGCTGGGTTCAGCGTGAAAACAGGCCGGTAGAGGTTGGCGTCCACGGTTTCTGGAAGCCTTATGTAAATATCTTCGACCTGGTCTATCGTCAGTTGAGGCTAGCAGGAGACGCAGACCCTTTCACGCGATTCACCCGTAGCGCCCAGTACTCGCCAGCCGGTTTGGAAGCAGAGTCGCCGCTCTTTAGCGAGCTGCCACGACTACCGAGCCCACTCGGCACCATGATATATCCGCGCTTCTATCGCTTGCCGTGGATGGATCGACTTTCAGCGTTCGCGCTCTTCGACGCCGTGGCAGACTTTGACAACTCGCCAGAAGCATGGAGAAAATATGACCAGATGACGGCACGAGAGCTTTTCACCCGCTACGGCTGTAGTGAACGTCTCATCACAAACGCGTTCGAACCGATGCTACTGGTAGGCTTGTTTGCGCCGAGTGAGCTGTGCTCTGCGAGCGGTGCGCTGGGTATGCTCTATTATTTCATTCTCGCGCACCAAAGTGACTTTGACGTGAAATGGGTCCGTGGCACCACAGCAGAGCGCGTATTCGAACCCTGGCTACAAGTCATGACGCAACAGCGCGGCCTCGACCTGCGCCTAGGCACCCGCGTAGTCGACGTTGATCTGCATCCAACCAGAGGCCATGTTGACGCTCTCATGCTGCAGGACGGGGGCAATAGTCCAGAACGCCTGCCCGTTGATGCCGTCATCTTCGCAGTGGGTATCTCCGGGGCCCAGGCGCTCGTACGGCAGTCGGCAGCGCTCGCGAAACACTCGAGTCAGTTTCGCCGCTTCATGCATTTGGGAAGTGTAGATGTTCTTGCAGTACGCTTGTACTATGATCGCCGAATGCGTCTCCACCGTCCGAGTAATGCATTTTTCGGCTTTGATGCTGATATCGGTGGCACCTTTTTCGATCTGAATGCGCTTCACGATGAGTCATTTGGTGATGCACCTGGTGAGGTCATTGAAATGGATTTGTACGGCGCATCGTCGCTCTTGGTCTGGGATAATGACTCGATTGTGGAGCACTGTGACCGGATTCTGCGCAAGTGCATTGCTTCTGCCATGAACGAAGCTCGCGTCATAGACTCGACTGTGGTTCGTGCACCCAGAGCTGTGACGCACTTTCGGCCGGGCTCTTACAGACACTTTCCACAAGTTCGCGCCACGGATGCAGGCCTTCAAAATAATGTCTACTTTGCGGGCGACTGGATCGATACCAGGCACGGTTCATTTTCGCAGGAGAAGGCCTATGTGACGGGTCTTGAGGCGGCAAACGCACTGATTGTGGATCGTGCTCGAGGCCAGCCATTTCCGGTGCTTCCGGTGGAACCAGATGAACCGCACGTGGTGCTGGCGCGTCGTATGCGGCGGCTCAGAGAAATGCTTTGAACCGTGCACTGGAGGCACTAGACGACGATTGACTGCGATTGCAAAGTATTGGATAGGTGCCTTGATCAGCAGAGAGCGACAACTGCTGTCACCGCTGATAGGAGGACACACGAGACACGGGTACCCGCTGGTGCCTCGAGATTATCGCGCTGGGACGTAACGGTGTTGAGAGAGATCGCATGGCGAGGATGTCGAGCTTCCTGGTACTGAACTGGGAGTTTGCACGCGAGTCGAGCATGTCGTACGACTTGTAGTTCGCACGGCACACGGAACACAGTGCCCGGTTACCGTAACACGAGGATATTGCTTTGCGCATAGATCGCTGCTGTTGTTGTTGTTGATGCACCCTAGTGCGAGCATCTATCGATGACTACAGTGCCCGGCTACCGTAACACGAGGATATTGCTTTGCGCATAGATCGCTGCTGTTGTTGTTGTTGTTGCACCCGAGTGCCAGCATCTATCGATGCTCTTCGGATGCTTCGGAATGAATACGTGAAGCAAATGCAGCACCAGATCCATACAAGAACACGCGGGCAACTGCTGGCTGTTGGACGCAAAGCCGGATACACCGTACGCGACACGCGTACCTGGAGAAGCGCATGCTGCCATCTGGAACGTCTTGGCCGCGTTTTCGTTGCTCAAGCGTGAGCACGCACCCGCTCGCTCGAGCCTGCATCATGACGCCAGCGTCGAGCTGAGCAAAAGAAGGAGTTGTCTCTTGCAGCGGCGTCTACGTCGCAGGGCGCGCACCTGACGCTGCTCGATACACAAGCGTGGACGGTGCGGGAGCCGCGTCGAGCCAGTAACGCCCACCGCGAGCATGCTGGACACTGCGGATGCGGTACCAAAGCTGCAACGCGGCCAGTAAAGAGCTGCCTAGCCAATGCGGGCTATCGTTTATATTCCAGGCACGCAAACGTACCCTGAGGTATCTGATGCGTTCGTCGATGCACTGGCTGTGCGGGAATGATCCGTTACCTCAGTTTGGGAATCACAGCTACGGACTCCAGTACGAACCGCATGTTTGTGTGATGATCAATACGTTTCCTTCCAAGACGCGCAAGCCTAGCATCGGAAGCAGCGACCTCGTCTAGCCCGAATTTAGCGTGACATTGCCCGCCCGGGAGCTGCTTCCGTAACGTCGGCCGTTTCCATGCCTCTTGTCTGGAATCGGGACTGTCTACAGCTGTCCGATCCAGGTGGCGACCCGGTCCACGATACCATCGAGTCGAAACGCTCGGGCGCCGCCATGATCGTGTCGATAGACGAACAACGAGCACTCGTCATCAGCGAACGGCACTATATGCTTCCACACATGCCATTCGAGGTAGGCGCATGCGGGTCCCCGGCGTCCGCCGGAGAAGGCACCGCCCAAACCTGAATGGTACCGTCATCAGCAGCGCTATAGAGCCATGGCCGTGTTGGATGAACGATAAGGTCCCGCACACAGCTTTGATTGTCGTGCGAGCCCACGAGGGTCAGCAGATGTTGGCCACGGTTTGTGAGATCCCAAACACAAACCGTGCCGTGCTCTGTTCCCGCTGCAACCCATTGCCCCGCAGCTGCACTGATTCGAGAGGGCCAGACATTGGAAACGTATTTCGTTGAATGACTGAGCTCTTGCTCCGTGATCAGACGCCACTGATCACCGTCTTTCATTGGAACGTACAGACGACAGAGCAAACATCGATCGGGGCGAATCTGTTCGGCATTGCGCCCGTCGCCGGAGAGCGCTTCTACGCCATGGACCGCTAGCGAAAAGTAACGCGTACCAGCCTCGTCGACGTCATCCAGCACGAGAAAGGAATCGCAAATCGCCGTGAATAGGGCTGGGAACTTGGCAATCACCCGACCGGCTTTCAGGTCGAGTACACACAGTCCAGTGTCGACGGATACCAACGCATAGCGCGCAGCGGTAGCCGGCAGCAACGCACACCAGGTGGCGATGTAGGACTCGCCATTCAACTCGTTGGGCGCGACACCTACTTGGCGTGCCAGCGCTTGAATCGCATCTCGTGCAGTCGGCTCGCTCAAAGAGATACCAGAGACATAGTTTGGATCAAGCTGCTCGACGTCCAGTGCTTCCAGCGAAATGACACGCTCTTTGGTGGCAGTGTTGAAAGCGGTACCGTTGGCGGCAAACCGCCAGAGTATGACTGTGCCGTCCTGGGAGCAACTCATCATCATCCAGGGTCCATGATCGCCCAACTCGCGATATATTTGGACACAGAAGACTTCTTCTAGGTGACCCTCTAGGTCGGCTAGGACCTCGCCACTCACAACATCGAATATTTTGATTGCAGGCGGCACCACCTTGCAATCAGACTCGTCAAAGTCCCAAAGGTGGCGATCTCGTCGGGTTCCGGCGGCGACCACATACCGTTCATCGGGGGTAAAGCGAGCTGTCAGATATTCTTCGATATATCGATTAAAGACATGTTCTCGGGTATCGCGCAGTTCCCGAAGCTGAATGTGGTCGCCAACTTGCGCATCCCAGAGGCAGAGTGAGCCACGAGTCGACGCCGAGAGCAGCACGCTCCCCGACGGGCTCATGACAAGGCAGTGGACTGCGCCCTGGTGCACGTACGTTCGAAGCGGTTGTATGTTCTTCCAGGACGCAACATTACATAAACCGTTTGGCTGCAAACCCGGTGCGCCATCGCTCGAATTCCGCGGTACACTTTCCAAACAGTAGGGAGCCGCGGAATCAGATGACGAAACCGTATCCAGAGGGGTGTGCTCCTGCTTGATAGAGCGTTTGTCAGCACGAGGCTTTCTACGGTGTTTCTCTTGCAAAGCTGACGAGTCAGTTTGCGGTGATTCCTTCTTTGCAGAACGTGCTGCCGTCAATACAGTATCGAATGCATTCGAAGCGGAGACCTGCTTCGTCATTTATTCAAATAGCTCGAGCTACGCCCTGTACGCGCGAGTGATTTTTGAGAAGCTCGCCAATCTTTCAGAGTGGTTCCCTCTAAGGAATCCACGCTGCCGCGCGTGACTCTGCAGAGCGAAACTCACGAATACGTCCGAGCGGGGAATTCGGGTGTCACCGATGAGACCGCCGGCGCAAGCACAGCACTGGGTATGATAACTTCGTACTGACAAAAGGTGCGTAGTTTCCGGTGTGCGCTTTGCTGCTGAACAACACTGTACTTGCCTGAAGATTGCGAACAGACAGGAAGCGAGACCTATTCCGGAACGGCCTCGGTTCAAACTCGGCTGCTGCACAAGGCAATGAGCGCGTCTGTTTGTGCCCTCTTGCGAAACGTTTCGCACGGTACCACCCAACCGTTCACACTGGTGTTATCGTTCACCACAAGTGAACACTACGTAGAACGCACCGAAAAATCCGGATCGTCCCGCTCAGAGCTTCTTCGAGTCAAGTGCACCAGCACACTCGCTTGAGGCGATGCGCAAGCGAAGGCTGCTTCGGGCCAGCTCGCACCACGCGGACACACTCTACGCAGTTTCAGAACGAGAGGCGCAAATAATGCACCTTCCTGCCACAGTACGGGTACGTACAGCGGTCTCGTGAACACCAACGTGGACCCGAGTGCCAACACGCGAGACTCGTGCTGCTTCAAGTTGAAGTGACAACCTGGCAACACCCGCTCGTACACAAACCCCCACCGAGCGCAGTCAAACGTATGCTCAATAGTACAAAGTTGAATCTACGCGTCTGGGCCTGTTCGCGAAGAAAGCTCGCTGAATCCTAATGTTTATATGCGTCACGAAGATGCCGGCGAGGCTCTCAAGCGCACAACAAAAGTTCAACGCCCGAGTTTGGCGCGCAAAACGCCAGCAACAGTCGACGCATGCTGGCGCCAAAATTCCGGTCAACGCTTTGGAGACGCTGGGCTTGTGCTCCTGCAGGGAGACATGAAGCCAGGGCCCGCTGCACCTCACGCTTTGTCTCTTTGGAACTTTAGTTTGTCGCCTGGATGGACTGGAGACGAGGTTCACCGCTTGCGTCTGTGTTTGATGGTGCACGGTGTTGGGCGCTGGTCCCAGATAGTACAGAGCGGGTACCTTGTCGGCAAGACGATCTCCCAACTGAACCTGCAAACGCAAAAACTCCTGGGACAGCAATCGCTCGCAGAGTTTACTGGGCTTCAGATTGATCCGGCTGAGGTTTTCTTAGTGAACAGGGAAAAAATCAAGGCCGGGGCGAAGACGAAGATGGGTTTAGTAATCAACGAGGGTCCGAATCCCTCTCGAGAAGTGGTCGTTGCACGCCTGCGCGAAAATCGCGAACGATTCGCCCTCCCTGAAACGCGTGTTCGTGAAGCAGAGTTCGAACTACGTCTTTTGTCTCGTGAGCAGCAGTGGCAAGACGTTCATACTCTGCTGCAATCTCTTCCTGAGGTCCAGCAGCAACGACTGCACCAGCTCCTTGCCGGAGAGTGGCTCCAGTTGCAAGCCGCAACTTCGCCATCAACAACGCGTCACTGGGTTCAACTTGAAAGTTTAGGTCATATCGTGCTGCCAGGATTTGCAGAAAGGCGACAAATGTCAGCTGAGGATTGGCGTGCGTATCAGCAGCAGCTAGAGTGCATGTGTGACGCCGTCCAGCGCGTCCAACATCGAATCACGCAAGACAAGGAGAACTGGTTATGTGCTGATGCCTCGACTACAGAGCAAGGACTCGAAGGCTCCGAAGCTCCTGAACCGAAGAGGAAACGAACAGTTGGTGCGAAGAGAGCTCGAGGGGCACCAGTTTCGCAGGGTGAAGACGTATAGATGGTATCTGGGTTGAAAACAACCGCCGACGACACGCTGGAAACCTGAACCGCTGAGTGCTCGTAAGAGTGCTCGGCTCGAGATTCCCTCGCCTGGCCTTAGTATTGTTACGCTGCGAGCACTGAATCCTGGAGTACCTGGACCAGCACGCTCTTGATGATTTGATTCGTGTTTCTCACAAGTATTCAATGGTGGGAATGTGTGCTGTAGACTGGAGGGAGGTGACGAATCGGCTTGAGGCTATCACGGCGAGCGTGCGGGAAAACGGCGCCGCTTGTAAAACTCAGTCGTTTTATGGTGAGCAGGTGGATGAACCACTCATAACATAGTCCTCGCCCTGAACGTTGTGCATTGGAAACAGATCTGGCCGTGTTGAAAAACATTACCCGAATACGGTTTTTGGTATAGAGGAGACAAGCGAGCATTCCGACGAAATCCGCCCTAGCGACGATTCAGTTGTGTGTGGTCGCCTGCAAATCACTGAATGGCCAAGCTCCTTCAACATGCCATCATTCCGTCGAAGCAGGTCGTGGGTACTGCTTCGTAAATTATTCTGTCCTGATCGTAGACAGTATCGTTTTTCATCGCTCAAAAGCGTTCGAAGACTACGCAGCTGAGATCGATGCTGTGCCTCTCTTCGTCGCTGCCGGGAACAAGCCACTCGTCTGGATCAATCAGCGATACAGCGAGCCTGGGAAGCCGCATGCATACACCAGAAACGACTTTCCCGGGCAACTGGTTGACGACTACAGTGCGCTGCTTTTTGATATCGCAGCGTTCATCATATTATCGCGAAAACACAGAGACCCTCATCGTCCTACCGATTTCCCAAAGATCCGCTGCAAGCGAGGAGCTTTGGTCTTCGGCCCCCGTACCATCGGTGGAATTGACCAGCGCCACAAGCACAGCGTATGTCTCTGTGATGTTTACGGTGCAATGTCAGTGACGATGACGGCTCGTAGAAGTGCCCAGGAGCGTGACAGGACCCAAAGTCGCAAAAATGTGTCCTCTCGTCGAATTTTGAAAGACATGGCAAGTTCTCGTCATGAGATCATTCAGTTCATCCATCCAGCTGCGGGGACTCGACACGGCGTCCATATCAATGCTGCACATTTGACCGGCGCTGAGTCAGATCTGACATCCAAAGAGAAACACCACCTTGCAGATGCCGCTGAAGGTTCAGGGATGCACTGGGGCGGTTATCGCATGCTCAGCACTAGTCATATTCTGGAAACTCAATTTTACTCAACCACGCCTGCGTGTTACCGAATGCTCTTTTTGCAGGTTATCGCAGGTGATCGAAGTCATGATGTTATGTTTTGAACAGATCGTGGGTGACTTGCCTGTAGGATGCATTCGTTACTGAGCAGTGCGAAGAGGTCTGCATTCCTCCATAAGCACAGTTATACCACAGTACTCAGATGGTTGAGGAACACAGAACGAAACAAGTATACGCGCCTTGGGCAGAGAATTGTATTCTTAAAGCGTGCTTGTGGTCAATGGTAGAAAAGGACCGGTTGAGCATCTTACGCAAATAGCAAAAGCGGCGATCGTAACCGCCACAGGCTTCTCTGTTTCGCAACAGCTCGTTCGTGCGGTCCCGTAAACACTAGGATTCAGTCGCAAAAAAGAGTCGTAGATCACGCACGGCCACCTTCCACAGAAATTGCACCTACAGCGTTTCTGGAACGTCGGAATCGATACGAAGCCAAGGGACGTTGGTTTTTTTCTCTAGTTGATGAGAATTGCTTCGAATGAAACTGTCGGAACGTTTGTGGGTATTCGCGGATCAGGGAGCCGGCTGACTATATCAACGATCCCGAAGAGAACGACGACATCAGCTGTATTAGCTATAGAGAATTCATTTGGCTGTCTTAGTTTCGCACGTAGAAAACGCTCATATATCAGCAGCAACCACTTTGTCGATAAATAAAAGACTTTTCGTGTAACGTTTCGCGACTTGCTTCTATTGTACCACGAGGCATTTGAGCACATCCCTCGCGTCCGAGCATTTGCTGATTCTATCGGGGAAGAGCTGGTTTTCATGCATCAGTACAACCTGCAGCTGAACCCCATCGAAGGAGTGTTATTACCATGAAACGTAATGATCGCTCCACTAGTTGAATCGCTAAAGCGCTAAGCACATGGCGGCACCAGGGTACATCTGGTCTTGCTTCCGCAAATCCGTCTCCCTTCGGGAACGTCCTCACCTAAGGACAGAAACAAGAGCATTTATATGCAAGAAATACATAATCTATTGGATGACCTGGGGTGGTCACTTCAGAACGTCGAGATGGAGAGAAGGCCGCGCAGCGCTTCGGCGACAGAATGGTACGGAGCGCTGGCCGAGCACCAAATGGCACCGAGGACACGAGTTCGAGGAATCCTTGCATTGATGACTTCAGCCAGCGCCAATGCACGCGGGGAGTTCGCGAACCGAGACTTGAATGCTGCTATCAATATCGGACAATGCCAGGTGCTGACGACGAGACCCGAGGAGCTCACGCGAGCGACCCTCGTCCGGCGGCTTCCGATGCTATCATAACGAGAAGCTGATGTCGTTAGCAGGCGGCTGGTCAAGAAACGGCTGGGAGGCATCTGCACTCGGGTATTCATTTTACCCTTCATAGTCGTGGGACATTTTTTGTTTCACGAACAATAATCGTCGACCAGCATCGTGCGATTCCGCATTCCAGACGGGCTCCCGAATACCTTTAGGCATCGCGCTGTCCAGACTGGCCCGGTTCGTGCGAAAAAGATCCTCCACTTTCTATAAAAGGGTCAACGATGATGCCACGCTCAGACGGATCCGCGTTCTGTCGGGCGTAACCGGTGTCCAGCGATGCTCGTCTACTCGACATCTGCTACCAACGCCACTGGAAACTGCATCGTAGAAGGTGCAGCGCAGCTCAAGGCAGTATCGAACACCGATGAGAACCTGGAAACGAATTCATATCTCCGAGGGAAAGTGCGCGCGGTGGTACTCGGCAATAGGGCGCGGTACGCGGAATACGCCGCTGCGTGCTCGTGGCAAGGGCGCGATCGAGGATCCCTGGCCGGCGAGGAGGAACCCGCCTGCCCAATAAATATCATCAAAAGGCAATCTGAAAACGTATAGATAATAATGGACATAAATACCAAAAAGCAAGCATCCCGCCAAATGCGACATTTCCTGACAACATCCATGGCGTCATCTGCAGGCACTGGATCTGAGGCGTACCTGCGCCTAGTCGCGGGACACAGGCCTCGCTTCTCAGCGCAGGGTAGCGGCTTATGTCGGCGCCAAGTGAGCGAACGGCGCTTCTGAAACAGTTTGCCTCAGCGATCGGCAGTGGCACACCTGAGACGCGGTTACCGCCGAGCCAAACCTCGTTCCAGGCTGGTGCTTCTGGTGCACCAGCCGCAGGGACGCTGCCAACACCCAATGAGATCAAGTTAGACCTCTCTCAACCGGCTGCACTGGGCGCTGGAACCACAGGTCCAGCGCATGTTTCCGGGCTAGTAGCACCGAGCGCTGCTGGCGGTGGTGTCGGGAACCCGTCTGGGGCGGCGCCGACGCCGACGATGCCGCTGCCTCGCAAAACCGGCCTCCGACATCGTGCACGTCTCGAGCGGGAGGAACCTCTGCGCGAGAAAGCAGCACTTGGCTTTGTTGGTCGGTTATCCACATACTGCACGTGCACAACGTATGACTTGCGGGCGCTGTACGCAGCGCTGCAGCAGATAACTTCGAAAGCCAACTTGACGGTACGGCGTCTATCGCGAGACCTGCTTCTGCTCCAGAGGCGCCCAAGTCGACGCCGTATTGGCGCTATTCGAGAACTTCTCCGATCCGGGGAAGACGCTCGAGGGAGCAGGCTCCCTTGTGGTAACGATAGATCCGGTGACGAACACACCGAGATGTTGCCAACAACAGCATCCCCGCCAAACGATCAGCAGAACCGAGCAGGTCTCGCGAGGCAGCGCATGAATCGCACCATGGACCCGTCGTGGAGAACGATGGACGCAGAGGAGGCGCTGGACCCGAGCTTTGCGCTTGACGATAACCAAGAAGTGGAAGATGTTGTCGCTGGCGCTGCTATCTTTTTCTTCTCGTATGGTACCCTCGTGTGTTGGGGATTATCCGAAGCTGGCGAATGGGGCATTTTAGACTGGCTCCAAGCGTTTGAAAACGGTCAGTTATCACCTGCGGAAATGGAGAAAGAATTCTTCACCTACACTTATAGTTACGAGGCAGATAAGGCCCGAATCAAGAACGACAACATCATGCTCCCGGGGGCGTTGGTCGAGCGCTCTCAGCTCGTTGGCATGCGAATCGCAGCACCTCCAGCGGCGATTTTAGATCCAAACGCTGAAGCGGAAAACGAATGGACGCAACTAGAGGAGGCCGACCTCAGCGACGAAGAGTTGGTTCAGGTCCAAGCGGGTATCTCGCACGCACTGGCCCAGTCTTGCAAGCTGGGCTCCTTCGAGAACAGTGTCGATCTTCTGATTGAGCGCTGTGGCAATGTGCCACTGGACCTGGTGCGTTTCGGCGAACTTCGGCTAGGTGCTCGCGATGTCATGCGCATGAGCGGCGAGGTACACTTGTACAGAAGCTACTTTAATCTCCAGACAGATTTGCTAGGAACACCGGATTGGTTTTGGGAGAATGAAGAGGTCGAACCGCTCTATGAGCGAACAGCTCGCTGGTTGGATACCGAAAAAAGGGGTCAACTCCTGAACCAACGGCTCGAAATCCTCAAGGATCTGTTTATGCTTTTCCGTGATGAAGTTCACGTTCGAACCGAGCATCGATTAGAGTGGATCATCATTATTCTCATCGTTGCAGAGGTGCTTTTGCAGCTCTTAGCCATGGCGCTTGGCGCCGCCCAGAGCACAGCGTAATCACGCGCTCTGCATCATGGACATTGCAACCCGGAGATACGAAGCGTGGTGCTACTCAGTACCAGCCGAGACTCTTGCGTATCGCTCTTGTGTGGTAGCTGTAAAGAGTCGCTCCATCAAGTACCGAGGCTTCGGTACGGTACCAGTCGGGGCGCACCGGGCGGCTATGCCCGGACGGCCACACAGAGACACCTCGAACTCGCATCCGTACTGTGCACAGCAGATGTCGACGCTTCATCATTCGAGTCGTGCTTCGAGAGACGCGTTGTTCGCTCTGAGATACGCCGTCTGGTGCCATTTCAAAGGCTGACGAGACCTGGCTCTGCGCTCGATTGATAACAGATCGCAGCGTTGACATCGATCGCGAGCGGGACACCTACGCTGCAAACATCACCGGTGCTGAAACAACGGATACAGTGAGGTGCACAGGCAGCTTTCGCGTTTGCCAACGCTTTTCATCCACCTTTCGAACCCTTGACGCACGGGTACATAACGCTCCTCGGTTTACAGATTTCATTGCGGCCTCATTTTCATTCAAGAGCGATGCTTCGTTTTGGGCTCTTGTCTACTGCACGGCACTGTGCACACGGTTTCAACTGTTTGGCAAATCAGGTGCCGTCTACGACATGGTTCCGGAACAGCGGTGCAGAGGCTAGGTGGAAATCGCTTTTCACGGGTTCTCAGGCCGGAATACGCGCGAGCACACGACGAGCCGCTTCGATAGTACGCTCGATATCGTCCTCGGTGTGCGCAAGCGACGTAAAACCGGCTTCGAACTGAGACGGAGCCAAGTAAACGCCCTCCTCCAACATTCCACGATGGAATTTCTTGAACTTTTCAGTGTCCGATTTCTTTGCGTCCTCGAAATTGTGAACAGGTCCCTTGGTAAAGAACATCCCGAACATCGAGTAAAGCGACCCACCACATGCCTCATGGCCATTGGAGCGCGCTGCGTCGAGGAGCCCCTCGACAAGTCGTTGGGTGATGCGCTGAAGGTACTCGTAGGTGCCGGGGCGGCGGAGGATTTCCAGCGTTTTCAGGCCAGCGGCCATGCCGACTGGAGAGCCACTCAGTGTACCCGCTTGGTACATCGGGCCAGCCGGCGCTACCGTTTCCATGATATGGCGCGGGCCGGCGTACGCACCCACCGGGTAGCCCCCGCCAATAACCTTTCCGAGCGTCGTCAGATCAGGTGTGACATCAAAATGACTCTGAGCACCGCCGTAGCTAATCCGGAAGCCAGTCATGACTTCGTCGAAAAGCAAAAGCGCACCATTCTGTTTGGTAATCTCCCGGAGCTCCGCCAAATACCCCGGCAGTGGTTCGATGAAGCCACTGTTTCCGACTACTGGTTCGAGGAAGACACCAGCGATCTCTCCCTGGTGCTTTCGGAAAACTTCCCGAATGGCTTCAATGTTATTGTACGGGACAACGATGGTTGCCGAAGCAACGCTCTTCAGCACACCAGGTGAATCCGACAGTCCGAGTGTCGCCACACCTGAACCAGCTGATACCAGGAAACTATCACCATGTCCGTGGTAACATCCCGTCATCTTGATGATTTTTTCGCGACCAGTATAGGCTCGCATCAAGCGAGCCGCCGAAATGCATGCCTCGGTGCCGCTGCTCACGAAACGCACCATCTCGGCGCTGGGAACAGCATCGATAATCGCGTGCGCTAGTTGATTCTCAAGGTAAGAGGGCGCTCCGAACGATAGCCCTTTACGAGCCTGCGTAGATACCGCCTCGATAACTTCGTCATTCGCGCTGCCGACAACAGAAGGTCCAAAAGAAAGGACGTAGTCGATATACTCGTTGCCGTCCACGTCAACTATCTTGCTCCCCTTCGTCGACTCAAAAACGATTGGGTTCCCGCCAACAGATCGGAAAGCTCGCACCGGGGAAGATACGCCTCCGGGCATAACGTTGACGGCGTCACGCATGATCTCTTCGGAGCGCTGCGTGCACAAACGGCGCTCCGAGGCAACCGCTTTGAGCGTGGTAGCGCCTGCTTGCATCCTCGATTTCCTTCGAGTATTCTTTGCACTGCAGCTGCCGGCGTTTTTTGCTAGAGGTTGCAAATGCCGAACATGGGTCTTTCCTGTCACAAATAACGACGTTCCAATGCTATTCGATGCAACAAACATGACGCCACACGGGAACGGACCAGGCGTGAACTTGCTTCGCGTCATGTGGGCGCAGCGTACAGCGTCGATCCCGTGCGGCGGCCGTCGATCTCCGGGCGCGCCTGCGCGCCGCTCGCTCGAGCGCGCCCTGGTACGAGGGAGCGCTGAAGAAACGGGAGGTTATAGCATATAAATGGATTTAAATGTACAAAAAGGATAGGATACAGTTTTCTCCCGATGGCGTGTCCGTTCTAGTCAATTTAGATCAAATGGACAGGTCGTTTACCACGGATGCCGAGGCTCAAGTGCGGCATGTTTCGTAGTGATACCAGCACACCGTATGCCATCTGGGGCTAGTTCAGTGACTGATTCCTTTTGCTCCGTACCATCTCTGGATTTGAATCCGGCGATTAAATTTTTCCGTCTAGCTCCAGTGTTCTCAAATGAAGGATGTTGATGGGAGCGTCCAAGTCCGGATTTCGCGGCTTCCCGATGATGTTCACGGATTTCGTGCAGAAGCTGAAGTTGCGATCTACGTTTCGCTCGCCATTGTACAGCATCTTCGTATAGGGCGTCGGCGCGCCGTTTGCAGCAGTGAGACTGGGATGTGGTCAGGTGCTGCTGTACGCCAATGACGGCTTTCAAGTCTGCTCCGAGGGCAGCCGCGTGGCGCTAGAACGCTTGCTTCATCGCTCGGTGCAAGACCTTGGCGGGTACAGAAGGCTCCACTCGATGCTCGCCTCTGTTCATGGGCCCGATGACGTGCCATAGGATCACGGGCTCCTACCAGGCGATACCCCTGAGGAGCAGTCTGTCCGCTATACGTTCAAGCGCACGCGCTCTGACTCGATAGAGAATTTGTGGAACGCGATGCTATCCATTATGGAACAAGCACCGGAGGCAGAATACATGAGGAAGTGCAAGTTGCGAGTTTTCGTTCAGTCTACGTGCATCTGCGCAGAGCTGTGACACCCTCCTCACTCGAGGCGATCGTTGCAATCGTTGGACTCCAAGTCCCTTTTCCAAGGAAACAGAAGAGACGGGAGCATCTGGGAGCATATCCCGTGAAAGGCATCGTATTGCTGGGGAATGCCGTTTTGTCGCTGACCGCAAAGAGAACAGGATTCGTGTTTCGAACGGAATCGATGATTTGACGTCACAGGCGCAGTGGGATCTAGGTCTGAGCTTGTCATCAAGCCGTCAAAGGATGACGTTGATTTTTCCCATTGTCGATGCAGGTGTACGAGTTGCCACGCACACGAGTTGCCAAGAAAGAGCTGGTCGAAAACATGAGAAAGAGGCGATTTGAGCATCATACACACAAGCAGAGAAGAGCACAGGCTTGTTCGCATACATTTGATAACGAGATCGGTTAATTTACGAACCCCTGCTCGAGGATGTCACGAATCATCTTCATGGACGTAACTCACGAAATACCAGCGACAAAAAATCGATAAAGCAACTCCGAAAACGCGACGACCAAGCATCCTAAAAATTCTATGAGCCTTTAAGCTCTAATTGCAGCATTTCAATGGTCCAGTCTCGAAAACTAGAAAACCTGCGGAAAAGATCGCAAGGCATGAGCAGAGCGACGAGTTCAGCGGTCCATTAGCAATCGAATCTGGTTTTCTAGTGCATGGCGTAAGATCTATCGTTTGATCTGAACACGGTACTCCCGAGTCCACAATTATTTTCGGTAATCCAGTGAGGAACCCACCGCTTCTCCAGATTCTCGCAGTATGGGAGTCGATTGTTCAACCAGAATCCATCGATTTCACAAGTGCCTCGCTGCTGGGCACCGACGCAATCGAACGCAGTCCATTCGCAGATGCCTGCGCCTGCCAGAGAAGTCCGGCAGCGAGGAGCGTGCGGCGTCCGCAAGCGAAGCTTATATAGACCTCTGGCACTAGGATTATCCCCGGGCGTTGGTGGTGTACCGATAACAAGCGATAGCCCCGGTACCAGAGTCTACGGACTGACACGGACCGGGCAGAGCGTCGGCACCGATACCGCTTGCGCTCTATGGCTCGGCTGCATGTGTCGGGAGCGCACTGCGTCTAATCGATACGACTAGCCACCGATCAGGTCATGGACTCGGAGACGCCTACCAAGAATGAAGCGGAACAGCGTGCTTCACCAGATCGAACTGGGCAAGTTACCCAGCGGCCTGTTTCGCTGTTCAGGAAAAACGGAACCTTTGCCTATCCTCTAGAAGACTCTGACGTTTACGAAGAGCAAGTGCTTGCACTTGAGGACGTACCCGAGCCGACTGCTCAAGCGATTCTGCGTCTCGCACTGGCAGCGGAACGACAAGGAGTGCCACGGCTGCGATTTCTGGTCGTGGGAGCACCTGGTGTTGGCAAGTCGTCCCTGATCAACACGCTCCTGAACGAGAACCTGTGCTCTGTGTCTGCGTGGGAGCGGGGAACGAAAAACGCGCAAGTATGTGCTCGACAAGTCGACTCCGTGGTGATCGAGTTCATTGATACCCCAGGGATAGCACCTTGTAGACGCAGCGGCCTAGAAGCTAGTCGACGGCAGGTCCAACGGCTTCGAAAGCTCCTCGACGCTCGGGGTGCGGATGAGCATCCTTATCTGCGTTCCTTCCACGCTATTCTCTACGTCATGCGTCTCGATGACACCCGCCCTGATCTAGTTGATTACCACAATTGGAAAGTTCTGATGGAATTTTTCGGGGCAGAAGTGCTTCGCCACATGATGGTAGTCTTTACCCATGGTCAATCATTGCCGCCTGACTCGCTGAGCTACCCCGAATACGTCCGCGGTCGTCGTGACTACGTGTACTTACTTATTGAACGTCTCACTGGGCCGCTAAAAGCCGTCCGGTTTCCCGTCTTTGTCGCAGAGAATTCCAGCAAATGCCCGGTGATAGAGGAAACCGGCGAGCGAAAGCTACCAGACGATACGCCATGGATTACGCAGCTTTACGATGGGATTCGTCGATTCGTTTTCCCGTTGGAAGCAGATTTATTCGGCATGGAAACGGGACCTGAGGATACCCAGGTGCTGGTCTACATCTATGACAAGCGCCGCTCTCGAGCAGATGAGCGGTATCCTCGTTCACCGCTTCAAGCGCTGATAAGGAACCCGTGGTTTCTACGAGCTGTGCAGTTTTGTGGCGCAATGCTGTTGCGCAGTTACATGATTCGGCAAGAGCACGAGCGCTTCAACCCGAAACCGCACCATCCAGAACCGATCATCCGAGATGCGAACAATGCTTTCGCGGTAGCATCGCGCAGGGCCAATGATCACCGCCTCTTCACACCAAGCATCGATGAAGACGAGGAATCCTTCTTTCGGATGAACGGAAACGATGATTTTGTCAGTCGACTTCGAAATCGCCCTGGCGAGGTCGATCTTGACGAGCTCGATGTCGAGCGAATCGAGAGCCCCGACGGACGTTTTGTGGAATACTGGTACACCGAAAAGGATAATCCGGAAATGGTGCGGATGTATCGGCTCGAAATACGTGACGATCCCAACGAGGAGCGCGAAAGCCGCCAGGATCGGATACCGATCTCAAAGGACCAGCACTGAGTCTTGCTCAGAGCGTTTCACACGCGACCCGGTAGCGAATGGTGCGATCAACGGACGCTCTTGATCGGGGGATTTCTTTATTGTGTTGGATCAGTGAATCTAGTTTGGATCCTGGGAAGCACGATGGGTATCTGCGTTCAGGCAAGTATTGGATCCGGTGATGTGCGTTGCTTCGCGGACGCTCGTGTTGCACGGACGACGTCGAAGGGGCACACACAGAATGGTCGACCTTTCGAGCGTCATTGTCGAAACGTGACGCGCAATAGGTATCCAGAATGTGCTGCCCTGTCGATCGCAGATGAGGCGTAAACGCACGAATTGCCTCGATCTCGGGGAAAGCGTCTCTTAATGGTTGCCAATCGGAGCATTCGAAGTCGAATCTTCAGTTCTCCGTGCCGATACTGCTAGTTGAATGCAAACAGCCGCCCGTTAAAATCGCTCCGAACATGAGGATGCTGTTGCTGCCGCGGCAGCGGCATCCCTAGCACAGCATCCCACGCATCAGTATCGGCGCTTGCACAAAACCGCAAGTCTCATTCGATACCTTCTCGTGTTCCACTTGGCATCAGCATCAACTTTGCACCTGTAAAACCCAAAAACCATGGATGCCACATGCCACGAGCGCATCGACCCAGCGTCCAGCCAGACGAATGCATGGCAGGGGACGGCCGCCCCGTGGCACATCGGACGTGATCACACTGCAATTGTTCACCAGAAATCGTCATCTTGCCAGCGATGAAATTGACGCAAGTGTTTCCTTAACGATTCACTGAAACGGAATTCACGAATGCACTCCGGACATGGCTGTCGTTCTACACCATCATGCATCCTTCGAATGTGCGACAAGAGGCCGACGCGCGTCGTTGTTCGATAGGCGCAGTGTGGACAGCCGTGCTCGCGCAGGTTCATGTGCACGGCGCGTACGTGCGTTTCACGGTGGACGGCGCTCACAAAGCGTTTCTCGCAAAACAAACACTGGAAAGGACGAAGGCCCAAATGTTTGGAACGATAGTGAACGTGTAATCCTTTCGCCGAGCGATATTGGGCATTGCACACCTTGCATATGTACTCGAAGCGCTTCTCGTGGACGGCACGGACATGGCGACGTAGGGCATTGCGCTCTGAAAACTGGGCGCAGCAGACTTGGCAGATATGATCCCTACGGTTTAAGTGGACAACGCGGATATGCCTGTGCACGCTTCCGCGCCCAGATAACGCCTTGCCACACCTGGGGCAGACCTGTGACTTTTTCAAACAAGGTCCAGTGTCGTTCGGTGCGAGGTCCCTCGACGACACCACTGGACGCGCCCAGGTGCGATGGTGCTCGGTGGTTGCGACGCGAACCGGGGCGATTGGTCCTAGTTCGTCGCTATCCACGCCTATGCCTGTGCTCGTTTCGCTCACAGTCTCCCGTGGAAAGACTAGGGGCTTGGTTGGCGGTAAACCCACGACCGTTGCGGCTAGACGTGCCGTCAACGACTGTACTGAGGTAAAGCGGAGCATAGCGCCGAGCCATATCGCAAACAGGTGCGATTGTTTACGCCCTTTTCATGAACGTTGCGCGACGACTCTAGCCATAAGCTTCAGTTTACCCTACACCGGAAGTGTTCAAGGGAAAACACTTCAGATTTGAACGATTTGCATCGTTGCGCAAATGCTTTCGATCGAGACGGCGTGCGTCAGCATCGCTACCGCGATGCGATTGATGGACGGTTACAGTGAATTCCAGATCGTGACGTGTCCGCAGCACCAAAAACAGCGCATCGTGCGTGCGCCACCTGGCTGATTGCCGACACGTGGCGCTCACGCATCCGGCGGCATCGCGGCGCGTGCACGGATCCAATCGGACACGTCAGCAAGATTGCCTCGACGGCGGCGCCCTCGAAAGCGCAGCTCGAGCTGTGCGCCCGTGCTCGGCGATCAGACGCCCTGTGGAGCCAAGTCTCCGGACCAGCACACCAAGATCGTTATTGCAGAAGGAACCGTCCAGGTATGCACTGGGGGCTTGAGCGGATACGATGTTGTACAAAACACGCTGTTGACAGTGCCAAACGACGATGACGCTCATAGCGTCAAGGCAGGAGTCATTGCTAGGAAAAATGGCGTTGGCGGCGTGATCGGCAAGGCAGACTCCAACTTGGACGAGCGTACGCGATAGGCGTTTCGATAAGCACAAAACATTCGAGCTTCCATCGTGTTCAGCAACCGCAACGGAGAGCTTAAGACAGGTTCTCGTTCGCGACAGCTGCCGCCTCTACCCCCAGTGAGCGCTGACTCGGGCGAAACCGACCTCGTCGCTGTCCATTACCTGGAGACCTGCTTTCATCGAGCGCTGCTGGTATCCATGCCATTCGATAAGGCGATATTCCGTACAAGGGCACAGTCGGTAGATCCGTTTCCACATCATGCATCTCTTCACGTGTCCTGGCTTCAATCAGTACCCATGCGAACCTCGTTCGATCGCCAGAACGTATCGATTCGTCGCATTGAACCGATGATGATGCAGCGAAGAACCCGTATAGAGGCCTCACGGAGAGCGTCTCTTCCAAGATAATTCCATCCCGCTTGCAACACGCTCCGTAAACCGCGGCTACCATCGTCGGTGATCGATGGATTCGCTGCTGTCCGGAGAAGGCATCAGCGGTGTCTGCGTTGTGTTGTCGTGCCAGGCGCACCATTTCGGCGTAGCAGTGGAGTAATCAACACTCGGTGAAGCGCTGTGGATTTCCGAAGCGCGCATTGACGCCCGTTAAGGCATGGCGAAGCCTGCCCCGTCATCATAGGACGACGACAGATCCAGCCGTTCCAGTGTCGCTCGAAGCATCCGCTGTCAGTTCGGCATTCAGAGGCCTTCGGGATCCATTTCCGCCTTCTTGCCAACGAGAACATGGATCGCAACCTCGTGATTCCCGAGAGCTTCCGCAACAGAACGGTACGCTTTTCTTCGCCGGTCGCCGCCAGCAATCCCGTATCTGGGGAGATCCTGCGCAGACACGTTGAACTCGCACGATAAGAATGGTTTGCAGACGCATCCAGGACGTGTCTGTATCGTTTGTGATGATCCTTGAAGTCACGACGCTTCAAGTATTGTCAGCGTAGGATCAAGTGCCTCATGTCGGTGCTGCACGACGCGTGATCGTGCCGCAGTGCGTGGCCCGCCTGCGACGTGAAAACCAACAAATCAAACTGCATAACGGTTCTTCCTCCACAGGTTCATTTTTGTGTACTGTGAAACCAGGCAACCAACAGCCAGACGGCAATAGAAATGAGTAACCTCGACGTTGGAAACGCCGTCTTGCGACAACCGAAAGCGTCGCAATGGTGAATACACCACCAGCGAAACGCTCGATTGCGAGGTTCGCGTCTCGATCATGATCCCGAACGACCTCCTTGCTTCATGTGCCATGAGCCTGGCATCACTGCACGACACAGGGTGTTCGAATGCTGTGCAGTATGTGACTAGATGTGCAATATCTGGCGCTGACTCCCGCCGCACCGACACCGTTTGCTGCATATCCGCAGGCGTCGCCCCAGAGGCATGGACGGGAGACCAGCACCAGAGCGTGCTGCTCGGAACGCTGGCGCCTCCAGGTCGCGCTACTGCCGTTATCGGTGGTATTGTTGTTCCAGACTTTGATTAGGTCCCTGGTGCAGTTTGCGTGCCCGAGCGTTAGCCGTCGAACGCTTCAAAAGACGCTACCTGCAACATGCTCCAGGTCTGGCGTGCGTTCCTGGAGTCGGTGGCGGGGGCGTTGGTGTCGGCGTCGGCTACCGCAGCTGCAGCACTGCTATGTCTACCGCTCGGGAAGCGAGTCGTGCGGCGCGCTTCCCCGTGGTCGATGCCACTAAGCGACATCGGAAGTGGATTCGCTGCCGGAGCACTCCTGGCTGACGTCGTGTTCCACCTGCTGCCGAGGTGCTTTGCGGGGGCCGAGGTCGCGGCGCACCACGAAAGTGTGCACCACCACGCTCACGATCACGTGACTGCGGGCGGCATGCTGACTGGACTCGTCACGTTTTTTCTTCTGGAGAAGTTCGTACAGTGGCTGCACCTAAGTGCGACTCCAAACGCTACCGTTGAAGCGACTGCTGACGGCAAGCGACCTGCTTCGAGCGCGTCCAAGGCACCTGTTGCACCAGTGGGTTGGTTGAATCTTATCGCCGACGGTGTCCACAACTTTGTCGACGGGCTGGCGATTGCAGCTGCCTTTCTGACACAACGAAGAAACGGGATCATCACGACGGTTGCGGTATGGCTGCACGAGCTCCCGCAGGAGATCAGTGACTACCTGGTGCTCGTACAGGCAGGTTTTACCCCGTTCCGGGCGCTCTACCTGAACCTGGTATGTTCGCTGAGTGCTGTTGCTGGTGCACTGGTCGTCTTTTGTGGATACTGGATGCTTGGATATCGACTAGGCGAATCCTTGGATGCTTCTGTTCCGATGATGCTCGCTTCTGTCCAACGGCGAGTAGCCCCGTTCGCCGCAGGTGGACTCCTCTACCTCGCCACAACGAATCTGCTATCTCAGATGCAACAAACTGTACCGTTCTTCGCTCCGGTTCATCAGGGAGCAACGAAAACTTTCGCGAGTCCACGTCGAAAGCATATGCAGCGCACGCTCTGGCAAATGACTGGCTTGGTCAGTGGCATCCTTTGTGTGCTCGCCACGGAGCACATATGCTGAAGCGCATGTGCGCTCGGGTATCAAGTGAAGAAGCACGCAATTTCATTTTATGGTGGTGGCTCCGAGAGTTATCGTTGTGGAGGCAGCGCCAAAGTTCCAGGCCAACCAGGTACGACCTTTTGATGCAAGCACAATGCCGTTCATGATCCGTTATTGCGTCACTGCAATGTTAGGCCTCGATCGGTGGTGTTTTGTTCATCGCTTTCGAGGCTAGCTGTCATGCAAGCACCGTGTCGTTCTTGATTCCTTGCGCGATCGAAACTCGCGATGAACAGCTTGATGCATCCTGCAAGTCCAGTCGGCGTCGCGTTTTCCACAAGTGCCCGCACACGATTGAAGACGCGCTGGTGCTCGTACGCGTTCACTTGCCCTGTGGAGTCCTTTCAAGTGCCAACCCGCCGGGGTTCAGCAAAGAGAAGACGTTTCGTAAAACCATCCCCAGATGGAATGCTCGCGGCTTGTCGCTGATTCCCCAGAGCACGGCAACCGCAGTCACAACAACAATACCACAGAGTGTACGAGCCGAGCGACCTAGTCGAGCGTTGAACTCTGTGCGCTGCTGGACGCCTCGCACTTGCCCTGATCACAAATAGACGACACGGGACAAGGCGAGCGCGACTGCTCTGCACCATGAAACGCTCTCACCAAGGCGCATGACTTTGGGTGCCTACGATCTGAACCAAACCGCATCGTTTGCAGAAGGGTGCACTCCGATCAGGTGTAGCCATGCAGATACGGTCGATCTACCTTGTCTCGTTTCTTGGTCCTTTTTCGCAGCGAACTGTGCGCTATTGGCCTCTCTCTATGCACCCGGTTCGCGACGTTTGCACTCGTCTCCCCGCGAAGAGGTCGATGTAACAAAGAGGAATGCACGAATGCATACGCAGACGCACACACAGACGCGTATACGCCTTTACGCACCTACACGCCTATTTGTGAACGTTGCTTTCCATCATACACAATCGCGAGCGGTTTCAGAATGCACACACACACACACACACCATCGAGCATGCACTGCAATGCGCGCCTCATCGTCTTGCTTTTTTACTTGTCCAGTTCGGTACAGGAGTGCTCGTCGGTGCAGAGCACCGCACTCGGCGCTGCCGATTCATAGGTGGACGTGCTGGCGTCCGTTGTCTGAGCGCTCGTCTCGGTCAGTGTATGCGTCGTGACATCATCCGGTCGCTGTGGAACATCCACGGGTGTCGGACTGATTTTTTGTTCGGCAAGCGTATGGGCGGCGTCCGTGTCTCGCTGAACAGCGCGAGAGCGATGCATCGGTGCTTGCGCCAAAAGTCCCAACAGGTCCTCCTCGAGCGCGGGAAACAGCGGAGCCAGAAGCGTGAACGTCTCCGACCAACGTCGAGCAGCTGTACTGCACGCATTCTCAGTGACAGCGGTCGTTTCTGCACCAGCAAGCTCCAGAGTTGGATCCAGAAAACCACCCGTTACCATAACCAGGAGCGTATTCTTGAGCGTCTCATGGATGTGCTCCGCGAGCGTCTCCGAGGCCGCTACAGGCACCGGTGCCGATGCCCAGCGGCCGTCGGAGACGCCAGCGAGGCGCTGTGCTCGCGAACGCCGTACCGCAACAGCGTACAGGTCACCTAGGATGCGCACTAGGCGCATCCACCAGTCGTTGATGGTCGTTTCTGGTACTTGCTGCAACAGCATGTGCTGCAAAAGCCAGAACCGGTTCAGCACCATGACCAAGCGGATGAGAAGGCGCTCTCGGAGCACCGGATCTGTGTGCAACGTGCTCTCGTTGGAGAGCACCTCCCATTGCAGCGCTTCAGCGAGCGGCAGCAACACACCGGTAAACAATTCTACGCGCGACGATTCCGAGATATTCTGCCAGAGCGGCTCCATCAGGATGCGTTCCAGTGTTACCAGGGCTTCGTAGCGTACCGATATGGACCGGTGGGTAGCGACGACACGTGCGAGACGTCCGAGGAGCGGTAAGCAACGCTCGGCTCCAGTCAACAGAGCCGCACGCTGTGCAAACAAGCGCTGAAAGCATCCATATGGAGAGACGGCATTTGTGCCAGTGGATGCAGCAGTAGTAGCTGCTGGACGATACGGCTGCTCGATCGCCGTGAGAAGCAATTCGAGACATTGGAGCGAAAACTCCTCGGTCTCGTGGAGCGTTCCATGCTCCATTTGCTGATCTAGCCGCGCAAGCAGAAGCATGAGCACCTGCCAAGCTACCTGCACCGTCGACTCTGACTGTCGGAGAGCACGCTCCAATACAAGACACAGCGTTTCCCAGCCGTCCTCAGGGGGTATCCAGCGTGGATACCGCTCCAGTATCGTTCCCAGTGCAACCAACACCGGTAAACAAAGCGCGTCGAAGGCGGAGGTCGCCAACGGCATCAGCAGACGCAGATTCTTGTAGACAGCCGCCAGAATTGTCCAACAGACTCTATCGGACAAGTTGCGCTCCGCTACGGCAAGCACACGCAGCACCAAACGCACCAAAGCAAACACCGCACATTCTAGGGAAAGCGTCGGGTCATCGACGGCAGTGGCCATTTCCATGTGCACGAGCTCCTGGAGCACGCCCCAGTGCGCAAGCATTCGTCCCACATCACTCAGCACAACCAGTGATACATGTTCCAGGAGCCAGGCTTTGCGCCAGGTTGCGGTATCTGCGGCGCTGAGGTGTGCGTACCGCCACAGCGCTCTACGCGGAAACCAGCGACATGCTGACACAGTCCAGGTCGATGTGAGAGCGCTCTCAGGCTGCTGCTGTTTCTGCTGGTGTTGCTGGTGCTGCTCGTGCTGCTGATTCCCCGAGTCTGGGTGCAGGGTTTCCAGTGCAACAGGCCGTGTTGCCGCGGGCATCGGCAGCTGGTACGCCCAACGCGCTGCATGGCCGAGAGCCTCCAGCAGTCCGGCGGAAGCCGTCATCCAACGAGCCGGGTCAAAGAGGTTCGCTTGCTGCAGGGCATAGACTAGGCAGCGGCGGGTAAGCGCCCTTCGTTCCGCGTCCATATCAGGTTTCCGTAGATACCGCGGGAAAACCGCTCGCACGAGGTCCCACGAGTCCTCGACGACCAGACGCCGCCACGGCTCCGTTTCAGGGGCTGTTGTCTTCCCAGCGCCTGTATCGGCAGCGGTGGTTGTCGTCGTCGTTGCAGGCTGCGAAAGCGAGGCATCTGCGTTTCGAGTAGAAGGTGCACATTCCGTTGGACTGCGATACGCATCCAGGTCCGACAACTCGTCTGGCTCGGGATCCGCGATGAGTCGCTCGACAGCTCGCCAAGAACGCGCTCGCTCAAGGTCATTGTCGCCGCCGGTCTGCGTCTTGTCGTGTCGAGGACGCCCTTTGGCCGCAGCGGAGTCTGCACTGGTGCTGGTACTCGTCTCGGTGCCGCTGAATCCGAACCCGATGCCGCTGAGGAGCGTAGCCAAGAGCCCGCTTCCGCTCGCACCGTAACTGTTGGCCTCGGAGGAATCGTCGGCCATATCCACGAGCTCCTGGGGTAGCACCTGCATCCTGTCACCCAGTCTAGGGGCATCCACGGTATGCTGTGCAGCAGACGCAGTTGCATGATCCTCATCATCATCACCGTCATCGCCTCCGATGCCTCTGGAGGCGATGAGGCTCTGGGTGTCGGCATCGGCAGCAGTGTGTTTGGTGCGCCTCTCGAGGCGTTCCTCAGCGGAACGAGTCTTTCGCATGTGTCGCTGCTGTGGTGACTGGGGTGTACCGGCCGCCACGCACCCCGACAGACTGGTTGGCTCCGGCTGAGGCGACGCTACGTCCGCCGCTGACGGCCGCAGCAACTGCAGCTCAGGGCACTCTCGAAGAGCCAGATCCCGCAGCATAGACGCCCAGGGCGGTGCAAAGCGTCCCGGCAGCAACAGGGTCCCGTCGGGCGCCCAGAGTGCCGGCAGCCAGTTCACGAATTCGGGTTCGATGAGCAGCGGACTCGTGAGGCGCATCTCCACCAGCCGTAACTGGAGCGCAGTTAACGCACACCAGGCGGCGGCGTCCAAACCGGGTAGACACCGAGCTGCTAGCCCGAGGACTGCAACCAGAACCTGCTGTGCTGGTCGATGTCGTCCGAGCCAGGTAGCAGAGCGCGTCTTCCGGCGGGAGCGTTTCCAGTGACTTAGAAACACCCAGACCGCTTCATCTTGTTCAGGTGCTTGGATACACGGACATGGAGCTTCTGGTAGCGAGCAGCGGTGGCTTGCGGTTTCCGGAGTCGGCTCTGGCCAACGATCATCGACGACACCCGTGAGCAGCGTCAGAAGCTCGAGCACCTGTCCAAGAATCGTAGGCATCGCCAGCAGATGCGCAGTCCAGCCCAGTCGACAAAAGAGACGGAGAACGGCCTCGCGGAGCGCAGCTCGGGTTCGATAGCGAACGAGCCACGGGCCTTGATCCTCAACAATGGTACGTCTCCAGTGATCCCAACGTGTGAGCCAGCGTTCCTGCAACTGGACACGTGACTCATCGCCCGACGGCAAAGCGTCCTCTTCGACCTGATCCCATGACGGGTCAGCGGCACCAAGCACCGGTAATAGAAGCGGCTCGGCAGGATGCTCAGAGCCGCTACCGCTACCACTGCTGGTGCCCTGGCTAAGCAAACGCCCAGCACGCCGCATGCTCCGGTGCTCCGCGGACTGGGGTCGCTCTGTCAGGGCGCTGGACAGCGTCGACGTCGTCGTCGACGACGAATGTGCAGTCGTGGCACCGGCCTCTGCACTGGCGACTCCCGGTGGAAACAGTAACAGCACGAGTCGTGATCCAAACGCCTCGAGCAGCGTAGGCCAGATGAAACCGAGCAAACACGCTGCAGCACGTCTTGGGGACGTCCAGAGCTGCTCGGCATGCCCGCTGCCTACCTGCAGGGCATGCTGCTGGTTCCGCAGCAGTGCCTCCCAGTGGACACGGTCGAGCGCAGCAACACCGTGATCATCGCTGAGTCGTATCTCCTGTTGACGAATGCGCTCATAGATGCCCTGCAAATAGGCCGCAGGGAGATCGTCACCGTCATTGATACCTCGATTGTTGTGCGTAAAATCTGCGAGAGTCATGCGCTGCTTCACCTGTCCATGATGTTGATCCGTATTCAACATAATCATCGCGAAACTGAGTACATGAGCAGCGTCTGCTGAAGCCAGCGGCAACGATGGTCCCTGATTCTGGTTAAAGTAATGGGTGGCAAATGCCTGCATGATGCGATCGATTTTCTGACTCTCTCCTGGCAAGCGGAACGACTCGAGAAAGAGACGCAGCGCTGCATCAATGGGAAGCTGGTGCAGGTCAAAGGTCTGCGCGTAAGCAGCCAACACTTGTTGACTGAACGGGTCTGGACTGCCGATCACTTGGCCAATGAGGACTTTGTCAAGTTCGGGTGTAGCGCGGAGAAACTGCGCCAGCAAAGACGCTGCAGATGGTGTTGCTGCTGGCTCTGGTGGAGTGCCCTCGCCGAGCAGCTGACTTTTCTGGAGACTCTTCCACAAGTCAGTGGCATTCCAGTCTCGCTGGGAGGCCCCGTTTCCCGCCAATGTATCCAGCACTTGTTGACGTCGCTGCTTCTGTGCTCGCTGCTGGTACAAAGTGTCCCAGTCCGCGGCAGTGCAGGGCTTTAGCCGCAGCGGCCGTGGACCCCAGTCGCGTTGCTGGAGGCTCTCCAGCAGCGTAGCCATGAGCGGTACCGCAAACGGGTGCGATGCGTTCGCGATGACCTGGAACAGCGGCCCGAGAGCGTCGGCAAACTGCAGGCTGCAGTCATAGGCAAGGTAGGCGCTCCAGAGTAGATCCAGACGCGACAGCAGCTGACGCAGCAGCGGGAAACACAGCTCTTGAGCAACGGAGCCGTTCGAGCGCATCGCGGGTTCGCGGACACCCTCCAGGGCGCTCGGCAGGATCACAGTCAACAGGGTATGAAAAAAGGTGAGCGCCTCCGGTCCCAGGCATTCCACGAGCTTGAGCGCGAGTGGAAACGCTAACGCATGTACCTCTGCGCACAAGGCGTCATCGCTCTGGGCTAAACAGCGCAACAAGGCCAGGCTGAGTGGACCCAGCACCAGCGCTCGAAGCGTTGCATCCACGCCCAGCACCTGCTCGGAGATGGGCGTCTGAGCCTGGATCAGGGCATCCAGAACTGGATGCAGCATGCGTAATCCCAGTACTTGTGTCTCTTTTCGTCGACGGTTGGCATCCACGGAACTGTTCAGCAGGCCGAGGCCGAGCCATTCCGTGGCAGCGCGTCCAGTGGACTTGTCCTCCCAGAGGATGCGACGGAGTTCAGAAACGGGGTTTGCAACGTGATCATCGTTCACCGTTTCCCCCGGAGATGACGATTCCGCGGTGATCGACGCTGCGTCTTCACCACAAATGACAAGCGCAGCATCCGCAACCGTGGGGTCTATCATCGCTGCAATCAGCCGAAGCATCCACTTGCGAATTGCTGCTCCAGACGCACGACGGAAGAGCAGTTCACTGATCTTCACCAGCACCTCTTCCCCGCGACGTCGTAACAGCGGTGAACGAAGTCGATGACGTCCCGCGGCACAGTGCAGACACATCAGGCAGAGCGACTCGAGCGCGCTGACTGGCAATGCTCCGCAACTCGAGGCGGCACCGGTGTCTCTATTCAGAGCGGTAGAAGACGCGACAGCGTCTCCATCGAGACTGGGAACGCCAGCGTCCACAATGGTCTGCACCAAATGAAGAAAGCAAAGTAGAGCGGACTCGGCGCCGGCTACGCGAACTTGCTGCTGATACCAGCGCGTGAGGGCAACCACCACGAGTCTCGCGAGCACCCGTTCCCGGGCGTAGAGGTCAAGCCAGCGGCGGCCAAGTACGCGAAAGCTTTCTATAGAGGCAGTCGCTGATCCCTGGGTGCAACCTGCGTCGGTTGCTACGCTACTTGTCGCCACTGTGACAACAACATCCCGCTGTTCATCGAGCACAAGGCCACGAGCAGCTCCTCGCCGCAGGAGGCGCTCTAGTGTTTCCAGCGTCGCGGTAACAACGGCGATCGAGGCGGTAGGGCTCTCCAGTATCTCCAGGAGCGGTTCGAGGATTGCGGTTCCAGGCAGCCACCAGATGCCCCAGTGTGGACATGACGCAGGTACCGACACGAGGTATTCCTGCTTTGCTTTCGGGATCCGGAGCACGTGCTTTCTTCGTGAGCGTCGCATCGTCTCGTCTGCAGAGGCATCCCATACTTGCGAGTCGTCGTCGTCGTCGTCGTCGTCGCTGGGCCATGAAACGAGCTTTGCACACACTGCTGTGGCATGCTCACCGTCAGCGTACGATGCCGCCCGCCCCTGATCATCGGCAATAGCCACTAGTTCCATATCAGCGGATACGAATGCTGCTTTCGGGCGTATCTGAGGTGAAAGCGGCACCGATGGTAGCTCCGCACTGCCTTGACTCGTCTTGGACGACACCCACGATGGTGAATCGTCATGATGCGTCTCCTGAGCGGGCGCTTGGTAACATGAAGGAGATTCGGACGAATGATTCAGGAGGTTTTGTCCGTCATCCGTCATGAGACGCGTCGTCGATGAACCGCCCAAGTCCGAAACGGTATCGTGACGAGGCCCGGAAGCATTCAGGCAGCCGCTCTCGCATGCACCTGCAAGTTTGGCCCAGTTGATTCGTCCAGTATGCACGATGCTTTGTAGTTGAAGCGACAGAGACCACAACCGATCGGCTAATGCAACGCGCTGTGGTTGCTCCGTGTTCGATGAATCCAGCGCACTTCGTTGACAAATACTCCAGAGCGAGTCCAACTCATCAAGGTAGACAGATGCTGGGCATGAACCGTAGGCGGTCTCCCAGTCGGGACCTTGCCTTACATGGCACGTAACCGCTGGATTCCAGTGTTCTACCGAGGACGCCTCTCGTCGTCGCCAGCGTTTCAGCTGCAGACGTACCGTAACGGGCGCTGCTGGTTCCTTTTCGGACTTGAGTGCACCCTCGCCTTTCGATAAGAGTCGCACAAGTTCTGGGCGTATCGACTGATCAAGAAGCTCATCCTCAGTAACGTTTGACACGAGCGAGCTAGCGCGTTCTATTCCGACAGCGGTTACCGAGTGACTTCGAGTCGTCGTCCGTACCCCGTCGACAGGCGTCTTCCGGGAGCTTGCAGCTTCAGGATCAACTGATCGCCGCAAACACTGAAAGGCGCCCAAGAAAGGCGTCACCGGTGACCACGGCCTCTCGGAAAGACGCATGGATCAGATAAATACACCAACACACAGACAAGCTGGTGGCGGTAGTGCCGAAAACGTGCCAGCGTAGTGCGTTGAAGCTATTTGGCTGGAAACCCTGCGGAGCGACAACGCCTCTGAAGCCGCCGCGGGCAATAACGATAAAACGAAAAACATTCCCCAATCATGGGGATGCATGGTATATCCACTTGGAGACGTCTCGTGGCATTTATGGAGCGGTCGAATGCTATCGGCTTCCGTTTCTCCCGGAATACCTGGAGTATCAGAGGTTGCCGGACAGCGTTGGCTCGCGTCAGCTCCTGGGGGCTCGTCTTTAGCACTGCAACTCGTCTGATATTGATGCTGGCGTCGACGCCTCGGTTCACTGAATTCATGCGTTTATTGCCTCTGGTTGAACGCAGATATGCAAGGATTGCTAGAACTCGCGACCTCAGTGCCACGACAGGCTCATCATTGTGTCGTCGGGCAAATAGCTCTTCTCGCCGAACATGGAGCGAAGAAGAGCAAATAACGAAGAAATGGGAAAAGGAGAAGATGAGCGACAGACGAAACTGTAGAGTGGTTGACGGCACCAGTGCTAGCAATGCTTGCAATCATGAGTTCAACCAGTGGCAATAAACGCCTAGAGTTTGTGAAACGAGACTGTAACGCGAGCATAGATATCAGACGATTTGCGGCACTGAAGAACAGACTTGAAGACCTGAGGCGATCTAAAATCATGATGCAGCCTCTGATGCTTTTATAAGGAGAAGCTGATGCCGAAAGCAGGCGGCCAGTCCATAAATGCTCGGATGTTTCTATTGGTGGGTATGAATCTACCCCCAGTATCCGTGGAACATTTTCTGGTTTACTCACAATATGTAAAGTGCCACAAACAACAGCTCGCTATGTTGCACTCTTTCGTTCTTGTATATATACAGCCTCGATTTTCGAGATACACAGCTACCCGTTCAAACTTCGATTTGAATCAGGTACCGGGTTTCGTATCCAAGTCCAGCGTTGTGCCGCGTATGCAGCTCGAAGTCGTCATCGGCCGCCGTGCAGTGGCGGAAACACTGGAACGATAATCTCCTTGGGTTTCGAGACGCGCTTTTCGCTCTCGTCGACGGTCCGTTCGTCATGACTTTCAACTTTGTTTACTCGTCTTTTTCTCGAACGGTTTTATTACCTAGCACACATGGGAGCAAGACGTGCTGTCGGCAAGCGTCTCGTCAATTTGAGATGCGCGCCTTGCTCAGAGCACGGAACAGCAGGTGCGTTCAGCAGCGACGACAAGGTCGCCGGCGTTGTAATGGTGGTATGGAGCGCTGCTGGCGCCTGTCGCTCTCACCAAACTCGTTCAAGTCCAGCCAAAACGAAGATAAAGTTCTCGGTGGTCCGTACGCCGGCGCCTTTGGTGAGTGGTTCCTAACCGAGGCCGACGTTCGCGAGGTGCGCGCTTACCGTGCGGGCATGGCGTTGGTTACCTTAGCTGCTGTGACAGCTGTTGGAGCGGCCTGGTTAACGAGTGGGAACGGAGAGCTCCCACTGGACTTGGCTCAATTCAGGTCGACTGCGTTCGTGGAGGCGCTCTACTGGAGTGGCGTCGCCGGGCTGGGTATCGCACTACACTACATCCACATCTACTTGAAGCCGCTTCATCGAGCGCTGCAGTATTTGCTGGGCTTTGGAATACTCACCTCGGCACTGAGTGAGTGGATGGTATGGACAAACACGCACGACTTGTATGTGCACTGGTTGATACAGCATCCAGTTGGCGTTCTAACGGGAGCCGGCTGGGTGGCGGCGGCGCTGACAGGCGTGTTCTTCAAGGAAGCGTTCTGTTTCCGACGCGCAGAAGCGTCGGTGCTTGCCATGCTGGTCCCGGTACTCGTTGGTGGACACTTCTTGGGTTGGTGGAGCACCGCGTCCGGAAACTCGGGACTCGCGTTGAGCACAGTAGTCGCCATTTTCATGACGGTATTTTCCTTACGGAAATTTGTGCAGAATATCCGGGACGATCTCGGGGACAAGTCGGTGTTTATCTTTCAAAGACACCGCCGTCTTTAAGCTCGTGTTTTAGCAATTGGAAACCCCGCGGAGCCTTTTATTGCGAAAGCGGATGTCGAGGCCGTTCAGAGGAGGCGGTTTTGCGGAAGCACATGGCAGCGACAGCGAACGCCTTTCAAAAGTCGAAAGCAGTCGCCAGCGGTGTACAGTAGTGGCGGCGAATGCGCCCTAGACACGAAGTCGCCAACTGACGTGCAGACGCCTCCCCTTTTTTGGACCGGCCACCTACTACTTCTCTCAACTTTTTCTCATATAGTTCCACTTTGAGAGGTTGTCCCACGAAATTCTCTCAACTCTGGAGGGTCTTTTCTACAGCGCCACACATCTCCTTATATTGATAGCGGCGTTAAAGTTTCGGTTCACGAACTCCATACGTTTCTTGCTATCATTGGTTGTACTTACTAATGCAAGTAGTCGTCGACCTTTCGCCATCCTTTCCATTTGCTTCTCCGTCAGCGGTGCGTACTTTGCGATTTCCTCAGGGCTCCTCTGGCACTTTTCCATCTCCACTCTCTGAAGTGTACAACCCAGCTCGTGGTGTGTATACGATGTTCGAAACTCATCTACAGGTATCGTAACGAAACGCCGTGCACACTCCTTGTACGTTCTTGTAGTTGGAGCTGGCGTACACCCTTTTTGGGTCTTCCAGCGCCCTGCTCCGTATGCTACGACGAGCCTCTGACTTTCATCCTCCTTCAGGGCGCTCAACTGATTGAAAAAGTTCGCGAACGCCCGCTGCTTCCCACAGTATAGATTCATACGCAGACGAGCCCACCGAGGCTTTGTATATTCTTCCCACAGCGCATCCCAGTGAGCAACGCGAACTTTCATAAATTTCCGGAAAGCTTGAAAGCCCGCTCCTCGGCTCGTCACCTCGCTCATAGCTTCCAAGTGGTCCTTTATTCCAGCATTCCAAGTCTCGATTTTCTTCCTCGCATTCATGATTCCCGATTCTCGATAGTGTCTCGCTCTCGAGAATCTCAACAAACGCATGTCTTTCTGACGTAAGTTGCCGTCAGCGCCATCTTCCACACGCTTGGGTACTGCCATGGTGATGATATTTGTGTTTCCGGGGTCCGCGCCAACGGCAAAGTCGTTATCTTGCACTTTGTGCGTCGCAGGACCCGCCTCCTCCTCATCTTCATCCTTCGCCGCGCCAACGACAAGGTCGTTATCCTGCACATCCTGTGTCGCAGGACCGGCCTCCTCCTTTTCTTCATCCTTCGTCACTGGCGAAGCCGAGGGCGGAACTGGACGATCTTTCTTCAACAGCCGATAGTTTACAGACATGGCTACTCCATCGGTTTCGATTATCCCAGTGAACAACTTTTGCCTGCTCACTTTGAGACGTTTGAAATCGAAGATACTCTTCCAGTACGTCGGACGGGTTTCGCCGGTGAATTCCTCCCTGCTGACATCGAACTCCGGACAGATCTCCTTCATGATGCCTTAGAGGACTCCGGAGTCGATACTCACGAAATGTGACTTTATGTTGCACAACAGAACGCCATTGAAGCGCTTACCCACTAGGAAAGCCTTCTGTCTCTCCCACTCTTCATTGCTTTCCTCACTCAGTTTCATCTCCGCCTTGCGTTCGAGTTCTCGGTCCAAAAACAGGAAATAGCGCAGGACGAGGCGATCGTATCTTTCCTTATCTTTTTTCAACTCTGATATCTTTTCTGGCGGATTCGCCAGCCCCACGACTGCACGGTGCTCTTGTACAACCGCACGGATCACAGAAGCTTCATTCGTGCTCTCGTTTGACTCCTTCTTGTCGACGAATTCGACCCCATCTTCATGCTTGCGATCGTTCGTGATGTCATTGATAATCGCCCATATCCCTTTGCGAGAGATGCCCGGGCAGAGCGCAAATACGGCTCTTATTATGAAACGTTCGAGGTTGGTTGTCAAATGGTTCTTCAGGTTCGTGAGATACTTCATAGCCCCATAGTCGTAAATATCCCTATCGCCCCTGTATCGAGTACCCTTGAAGCGGAATTCGGCGCGACCCTCGTGGAACGCACGCACGAGTTCATCTCTCTTTGACGTTTCCCATGTGCCAGGCATCAGGTGACGAATAAAGTTCCTGTTCCAAAATTCTTCCGGAACCTCCACTGTTATGATGTCAGTCATGTCGCGATAAATCTCCTTCACCATATGCATTAGTTCTGAAGAAGCCTTTTTAATACTCATGGAGTGGGACGCGAAACGGTTTCTGATGGCCTCTCGAAATTCCTGCTCGTACGGATCCTTGATATGTCCAAGAATGTCCCCTAGGCTCGTGCTTCATTCACCCCTCAGTAGCTAAAGCTGTAGGGAGATCCAAGCAACTCGCCCGCAATGCAGTTCATTCTGGAACTGGGACTGGAACGCTACATCTGGGCGTCGCCCTGGTCGCAATGGACTCCCAGCTTATCGCTTCACGCTGTCGCAGACTGTCGGCCTGTTTGCGCAGCTTGCAGGCTCCCAGGATAATCATATAGCCCGACTCCATGTCGAATGAATCATGCCTCGAACCGAAGCCGCTAGTGATATGGCAATGCTATTCAGCTCCGTGAAGCATCTGCCTCAACGGCATAAGCGCCACGGCGGGTGCAGTAAGACAGGAACTCGGCGCATAATAGAACGAACAAAACGACCAGAATATCTGAGAACAGGCCATAGAACTTGAAGGTAGGTTGCGTTATAATGAACGCTTTCCCGAAAACCAGTAACCACTCCGCAATCTGGGATACATGGTCAACGTAAACGTTTTGTGATCGGAAATACTCCGTCTCCCGCATCAGCGAAAGCAGATTGCATCGACTCGGGTGATGTCGCGGGCGCTATTCACTTCAAAACTCCACATCATGAGCTCCTTGAATCTAAACGACCTACCTTCGACCAAAACTCGTATCCCGCTAAAGCTGCTGCTCTCTGATGCAGCCGGATCGACTCGTGTGGTACAGTATCGACGAATGTACGAGGCACTGCCCAGGGCCCGAATGCGCGAGAAGCAGCAGCGGAAGCAGGCACCGCACGATCGCATTTGGCGAATGCAGAGCGCCTGCGCATTCCAGCTTTTTTTTTCATTGACAAAACGTTTACTTGGGCCAGCGTTCTCCGATTAGGTGCGCATTCCAGCTTTTTTTTCATTGACAAAACGTTTACTTGGGCCAGCGTTCTCCGATTAGGTGCGCATTCCAGCCGCTGCCGCACGCACGCACGCACGCACGCACGCACGCACGTCGTGCTGTCACGAATTGATCGCCGAGCGTCACAAACGAAAGCGCCGCGGATCGCGACTGCCGCGCCAGATACCCCCGTCGAGAGCACCTGCACTGCCAGATGCCCGACTCGGAGCTGTGCGTATTGTGCTCGCGTTTCGTGACGAGTATGAGCAACCTTAAACAGGTATTCGACAAAGCTGCGGAACACGTGAAAACACTGTCATCTGTTTCACAGGATGATCAAAAGTATCTCTATGGTCGCTTCAAGCAGGCAAAGGTCGGAGACTGCAACACTGGAAAGCCGGGAATACTTAACCCCAAGGAACGCGCCAAATGGGAAGCCTGGAACTCCCTGAAAGGCATGAGTGCTGACGATGCCATGCGTCAGTACATTGCCAAAGTGGACTCGTTAGCAGGGTCATCCTTTGGCTCGGAGGTTCAGTAGATGTGGAGGTAGGTGCGCGAGCCTACGACTGACGTGGCTTCCGCCCGCGGGAGCAACCTTGTGCGCCCGACAAAACCGTTCTCAGTCGTGCTTCGTATCTAGTCGAGGCAAACAGACCATTTTTTAATGCATTTAGGATAGGAAAATCAGAAGCATAGAGGCACTGGAGAAGTGTTCGAGCCTCAGCGTACCGGGGAGCCGACGGCGACCATCTGCCGGCATCAAAGGCGGGTGTCAGGCGAGCGTGCGCCCTTGAGGCTGAACACCCGGCTTGGATGCCAGCCAACGCATCGCGGTAATCCAGTGGAGTACGTTTAAACGAGTTTGTTCTCCTAAGCGTTGTGTTTCACTTTGCTCAGTGTAATGTCTAGCCGGAAAAAGCGTCGAGATGTTTACCGAGCATAACGTGCTTGCCAGACGTAGCCTCATATACGTGCCGTCAAGCTGGTGTCACCGCTTCAGTACGGTACAAATGGTTGAGCGTTCGATCCACGCCAAGCAGCATCCAAGAATGTCGAACGGTCCCGCGCGTACCAGACCATCGTATCGGAAGCCGTTGCGGGTGCACCTCTGCGGCGAGGGTCCGGGAGTCGCCATCCACTCCAGTACGCGCGATACGTCGCCGCTTTCCCGCTCGTGCACAGTCACTCTTTGAAACGCCTTCGTACGATGAAATTCGCACCGCGTGGCTTTCGCACGGTCCGATACCCTTTGGTTGGTTTTCCCCACGGGGTCACTGACGGTCGCCCGCCACTGGTCTTGCCCTCGCCGCCGCCGTGCGGGTGATCCACCGGATTCATGGCGACACCGCGCGTCACTGGTCGACGGCCTAGCCAGCGACTTCGACCTGCTTTGCCAATCGATTGGTTGCGATGCTCTGGATTACTCACCGCGCCTACTGTGGCCATACAGTCCAAGTGGATGTAGCGCACCTCACGACTCTGCAATCTTAATAAAGCTCGTTTGCGCTTTTCGTCCTTTTCGAGCAACTGAGCACTGGTGCCGGCGGCGCGGCAGAGTTGCCCTCCAGAGCGGGGTCGCATTTCGATATTGTGTACCGTGGTACCGATGGGCAAGTAACGCAGGGGGCACGCATTCCCCGGTTTCGGTTCTACGGGGCCATCTGTGCGAGAAAGCAGCAAGTCCCCGATTCGAATACCCTGCGGGCATAGAATGTACGATAGATGGGTTTTGGGGCTGGATCCGGAGCGCCTTTTCAGAACTCGCACATTCGATCGAATGGTTTCCATGTGAACTGTTGGTTCAGGGCGTCGCGATGGCTCCACAGGGGCGTCACTGCTGGGCAAAGCCGTCGAGGCATTCGTTGACGAATTTGCCGTGATCGTCGCCGGGGCACTGGTACCAGTCTCCGATACTGACGTGCCTGCCCCGGATTTCGCTACCTCGTAAGGAAGATACACAAGTCTCGGCTCCGGAGAAGGCGACGTTGGCAGCGGTGTCGTCGCTCCTTGTAGTGCGTTGGCAAGGTTTCGATACAGATCGCTAAACACCGTCGTTGATGACGACGACGTCGTCGTCGTCGTATCCGATGACGCGTCCTTCTCGGGCAGCGTATATCTCAGTAGAGCAATGAGGCCACTGCGGTTTGGATCATACTCTACACGTTCAACACAGCCCGGCAATCCTGCGTACTGACGTCGATGCAAGTCGAGAATCCGGTAGAGGCGTCGGTGTCCACCGCCCCGGTGCCAGACAGTCGTGCGGCCTTGGTTATTCCGCCCCCCGGTGGAACGCCGCAGTCCCCCGGTAAGTCGCTTGACTGGAGGACCTCGGTAAAGCACTGAAAAGTCGATCAAAGCGGTAGCACGGTTTGACGGCGTTGTTGGTTTGCGTTTCCGAACGCGCGGACGAGTCGGATCGACAGCAAGCTTGCGTTGTATACTCTCGTTGTTGCCGATGATGGCCCCGACGTCTGTGCTCGCAGAGCGCGAACTCAGGTCCAATTTTTTATCGAAGCGCTGACGCCAATGCCACGCAAGTGGCGTCCACAGCGAACAGCTTCGCTGCTGTGCTGCTCGCGAAAGTGCGCTCCACCACATGATGGCGAGGCCCGGTGCAGGTTTACACTCCCGGCCAGCGAACAGGAACGTTCTAGGAAGACTCGCCGCTCGCTGTCACGTTCACGGTATACAGCCCGTTTGCTTCTCCACACCGGCAGCCTCCACTGCAACTACTAGGTTACAGGGCAGTGTGGTGGAGACGCAGCAGCGAGCACTGGAAACCACGCGAAGAGTTTGCGGTTATGAAAGTTAGGCGACAGCCCCAGAGTTCATGTAGGTCACTTAGAAAATGTGTCCACATTGACCCTTATGTTATAGTTCTGTATCGAATACGGTGTTATCGTCTTTCATCTCAGTTACGTTCCATCTCTGGTGTCTGTGTCATCGAATGCTCCTTCTCAGTGTGTAGCAGTAGATCGACATCATGATGCTACATGCCGTATGCATCGTCGACGACTTGTTTGCAGGATATATTCTTTACTGAATCGTGCAAGAAGGACAACATTCTTCCTTCAGGTGAGTCTTGACACAGTACTCAAATGCTTGAGGAATACTGAGTGAAACAAGTATCTGCGCTCCGCGCCAAAAAATGGTAATATCAGATACTGCTTTCGGTCAATGGTTTCAACATGAACTACTTACGAGCAACAAAAGCGACCATAGTAGCCGCAACCGGCATCTCTGATTCTCAACAGCTTGATGGTGCGGATCCTGAGATCACTGGAATCTAATCGCAAAAAAGAGTCCTAGTTCAATCACCGCCATCTTCCACAGAATTTGCACCTACAGCGTTCCTGGAACGCCACGATCGATGTGAAGCACAGGGACTTTGGTTTGTTTTTTGAGTCAATGAGACTTGATTCGGATGAAACTGTCGGATGGTACATGGGTATTCGCGGAGGGGCGGATCGTCGTATGTCCGATCGATCCCCAACAGAACGAGGACATCATCTGTTCTTGCTGATGTGGACTCATTTGGAGGTCTCCGTTTCGCTCCTGGGGAAGGCATATACAACAGAACACAGTTCGTCGAATCATTGAAGACTTCTCGCTGAAGTCTGGTGACGTCCGTCCATTCGACGACGTTGCATTTCACCATTACCCATGTGTTCGAGCTATTGCCGATTCTATCGGAGTAGAGCCGCCTTTCACTCCTCAGTACGCGACTTGACTCAACCACATCGAAGGAGCGTTTTGTATCGTGAAACGTGACGATCACTCCACTGGGCGAATCACGAAAGCGTTCGGCACACAATGACACACCGGGACACGTTTCGGCTCTCTTCCGCAAGTCCCACTCCCTCCGGGAAGTTCCTTATCTACGGGCACAAAGAACTGCATTTATTTGAAGAAATAAAAGAATCAAGGAAAAGTTATGTACATGGAAATCGAGGATACTGGAGGCCCGGTGTCGCCGGCTCCCGGAAAAATAACGAAAAAGATCCTTTTCTCGCCGACCGTCGTGCGAAGAAGAGTAGGTGAGGAAGAAGAGGAGAGATCCACGAGACTAGTGGCACGGAGGGTATGATTTCGAGGCATCCTTGCATACGTCCGTTTCACCAGAGGCGATAAACGCATGGAATTCGTGAACTGGGACTTTTACACCGCCATCAATGTCAGACGGAAAGCGGTGCTGAAGACGAGACTCGCGGAGCAGACACGAGTGAATTTTGCGACGCAGCCTTTGATGCACGAAGTGTGCAGGTATAAACTTAAGCTGATTGCAGCCCATGGGTCCATTGATGCTACGGGGCGTCTGTCAGTAGGTTTCTATACACACTCTATGGTCCTAGAAAGATATCCGTTTTGCTGAGTATAAATACATAGATGGATGGATCAACTTGGGACGTTGCTTGTACGCCAGACGTTGATAGAGCGATCGGCGGAGCAGGATTTGAGCGAGCGGCGCACACCAATAGGCGCTCTGTGCGGCGTGGCCCACAGCGCTGCAGGGCTTCGCGTTGGTAGCGCTACGTACGAAAATGACCAAGAGAACAAAGGACAGTACACCTGGAGCACGCGAGAGCATTAGGAAAGGGACAGGTGCTCGCCAAAGCGCGAGAAACCGCCGGTTCACGTTGCTAAAGGTGCCCATTCGAAAGGACGGCGGCCTTTGGCAGCTGGCTACGGCGAAGAGCGCGGACGCTGCGGCGAACTTTTGGGAGTTCTTGTTCCGTTTCCTGCCAGTTGTAGGTCGCAGAGGGCACACGAAAACGACTGGAAAATCTACTGAGGAGGAGCTTAGAGAGTACCTGACCTTGTTTGCGCGCGGCTCTGGCTCCGCAGAGGATATCGCGCTGCGCAAACGCCGCTATAAAGAGTTAAGCAACGGCATGTACGATATTGCAACAGACTTTTACGAGTGGGGTTGGGGTCCAAGCTTCCACTTTGCAGTCTACGGGCCAGATGAGACGTTTCGGGAAGCCACGCGCCGATACGAGTACACGATTGCTCTACGGCTCAAGCTGGACCCTGGGGCTGCGGTGATTGACCTTGGCTGTGGAGTCGGAGGCCCGCTTCGGAATATTGCTCGCTTCGCACGCTGCCAGATTGTCGGCGTGAATATCTGTGACTACCAGATTCTTCGTGGCCTTCGGTATATCGAGGACGATGGTCTCATGGATCAGTGCACGATAATCAAAGCCGACTTTAATAACCTTCCCTTTGAAGAAAATTCAAAAGACGGTGCGTATCAGATCGAAGCCACCTGTCACAGTCCCGACAAGCTGAAAACCTACGGTGAAGTCTTCCGGGTCCTGAAGCCAGGCGCTCGTTTTGTCGGTTACGAATGGGCGCTTACGGATCGCTTCGATGCCGCTGCTTCGGAACACCAGCGGCTCAAGTTTGGTATCGAGATCGGGAACGGCATTCCGGATTTGATGAAAACAGAAGAAATCGTCAACGCTATGCGACAAGTTGGGTTTCAAATCGAGGACGCCTACGATGCCACGACGCTCAGCATCAAGCCCTGGTACACGCCACTGAGTGGTGAAAACGCTTTCCATTGGAGCGGCTTTCGCCACACGCGTTTGGGGCACTATATGACGCACGCGCTGGTCTCCGCACTGGAGACGGTGCGCATCGCGCCTAGAGGCAGCGCGAAAATGAGTCGAACGCTCATGGATGGAGCTAGAGACCTTATCGCGGCCGGAAAGCTGGGAATTTTTACACCCTCGTTTTTTATTGTCGCCCGGAAACCGCTAGACAAGCAGGCAAACGCGCAGGCCTAGCGAGTCGTCTAGATTTGTCGCGTAAATATTTAAATCATGCCCAAGAACGCCCAAGAACCGTGAAGTGCTAGGCCGACCTCATTGCAGGGCTGAACTAGAAGCGCTATCGCGCCCCGCCGCATGACGCGGTACAGCGTCGACGAACCGAAACTGGTCTTCATGTGCTTGTGAGCTGCTCAGCACGGACCGATAGATACCAGAGGCCTCGGAACCAAGAAGCGTACGCGGCTCAGTTTGCGTTTCACATGTCATGGAACTTGATCAAAATTATGCTGTATAAACGAGTACATTTGATTTGACGTGGTCCAGTGGTAGGGATGGGAAACATCTGACTACTTGTTCCGGAACATCAGCGGGGAAACTCGATCATAACATGAGCCGTCCGAAGATTGCGCGAACGCCGCGCGCATCCCGAACGCCAGGATGCGTGCGCGGCGAACAACGGACGATTTCACCGACTCCTCGAAATGATGCATATATGAAATTTGCTTGAATAAACGGACATTCTGACGACAAGCGGCAAGTAGAAACTTGCCATACCTGTATTTTATGGAAAGAGACGGACATTCTGACGACAAGCGGCAAGTAGAAACTTGCCATACCTGTATTTTATGGAAAGAGACGGACATTCTGACGACAAGCGGCAAGTAGAAACTTGCCATACCTGTATTTTATGGAAAGAGACGGACATTCTGACGACAAGCGGCAAGTAGAAACTTGCCATACCTGTATTTTATGGAAAGAGACGGACATCCTGACGACAAGCGACTCGCAGAGACGTTCATACCAGTAGTTTATAGAACGAGACGGACATTCTGATTGTCTGCGCAAGCAACGTCGTTCGCGCGTGTACCCCGCACCCGAATACACTCCAGTCCATTTGCCGTCCATACAATACAAGCGCACGCTAGCGCTCCACCAAGCGTTGCCAATGCTAACGGCACGTCTCTAGAATAACACTAGTTTGACGTATGGTTCTATGAAAAAGTCTTGGATCTGTACGCGAGCGCTGGCTGTCGGAAGTACACGCGGGTCTGGGCAGCGCTTCTTCGTCCCGTGGCCTTGTGCTTATGTAGCTTCTGCCTGGCGTTCGAGGTTCGAGCAGGTCACTGCTCCGTGAACCTTAGAGTGGGATTTTCCATTGATCCCTCAGATTGTTTACGTTTTACCCGTTGGCTAACACAGAGCGGTCGAAACCTTTGAATCGCCACGACACCGGATAGCATGCGACGGCTATGGACGCGTCTCGTCGACGCGCTGAGCGAGCGCCAGACGAACTGGCGCGAGCTACAACACCAACGCGATAACATGCAGCTCTTTCTTCTCGCAGTATCTTATGAAAAAGGCTTCGAACAGGCGCGGGCGCTCGCTCAGGAAATAGTTTCGTCGGCGGAGCAGGCAACGCGCGCAAGCAGTCCACTCCTCATGTTTCGCCGTGCCTTATCGGTTTGGAAGCATTCCGCTTCTCTCGAAATGAAGACAGACTCTCCACAGCACATACTTGATGATCAGGGCGCCCAGTCACGCTTGATAGAACGGGTCAATGCACGTCAAGTACACAATCTACTTGCAGCAGCAGCGAGTATGCCAACTAGCGCCTCTGCGGCTACGAGCGGGCCAGCCTTCACCTTGAGTTTGCGCCCGAGCCAATCCAATGTCAATGCAGGATATGGTGTCATCTTGAACGGGCACGCCCGCATGGGTTCCGTTGTTGCATTCTATCCGGGCATTGCGTACAGGGTCCGGCACTGGACCTCGATACCCGGGTACCCGTACATCACAGCCCAGAATCCGTACCTATTCGCCCGCTACGATCGTGTAATTGTCGACGCAAATCCGAACCTCGAAGTGTCACGTGGGCTCATGAATATACCGATCCTTGATCATGCACTTGAGAGCGTTGTCCGACATACGCGGCAAACTGAATCGCTCCATGAGTGTTGGGTGGGCCTCAACCCGTACGCGCTGGGTCACCGCGTTAACCACCCGCCTCGAGGACGGGAAGCGAACGTCATGCCTTGTGCATGGAATTTCGATTTGCAGCGTCTGGAACCGAGCCTGCTTTCCTTTATCCCCAATCGACTATTTACGAAGTATCGGCAGCTGTCATCCGGGATACTTGGACCTACGTCGATGCTCTGGTCTCGGTTTCGCCACTGGTTCGATTCGCTTGGGCACCAGGATAACATGTCTCTAACCGAAATTCCGGGCGTCGTTCTCATCGCTTTGCGCGATTTGCAGGATGAAGAACTGTTTCTGAACTATCGTTACAACCCGGCCGCATTAGAGCGTTTGCAGGCACCCAGCTGGTATTGGCAGCCTGACCAAGAGGCTGCGAAACGAAGATGGTCCTCATAAGGCGATGAACGGCACTGCCAACGCCTCAAGCTTCTCACGTTTGGAGCTTTTGTCCTCAGAGGCACCCACAGCACAAACCTAGGAGATGTATGCTCGGTTGAGCGTGCGAAAAAAGGTCGCTACGAACCGCGGATGGACCTTTTGTGGGTGACACGCTGCCCCTGCTGTAGGAAATGACCACGTTCCAGTACCGTGTCTCGTTCAGTAGCGGTACCTTGGTTGCGTCCAAGCATACTGTCACAAGCGTGGAACGATGTGATGCACCTGGATTTCGGTGCCGAAGGCGCATGAACCGCCCTTGGCACGGACATGGACGGACGCACCACGCCCTCGGTTAAGAAGCAGAACAAGGAGGAGAACGAAACATGACTTTAAGCAAGTCGTTCAACGTAGAACGTATCGTGCGCCCGCGAACATAACCGATGCTGCCCTGGACGTATCCGAAGCAGCAGCAGTCTGGGATACAGACGCGCTCACTGTTTCCTCGTACTAGACGGGGTGCGCTGTACCCGCTGAGCAGGAGCAAGAAACGTTGCATCCGCTCAAGCTCGACGTTGGGTGAAAGCTGGTGACTGCAGCGGACGGCGATTCGTTCCAGCTGCAGCCGATACGCCACCGAACCAACTGGTGTTGTCACGGGGCGGCTGGCTCCCAGTGGATACCGCGTCGTTCGGGGCGCCAACAGTGGCGAACCCAAACCCCACTGGACGAGGGTTCGTTGGCCCCTGGGCTCCGAACGCACCTGGTGTAGCAGGCTGTGCTCCAAACGGGTTACTCGGAGGTTGCGGTGCCTGTGCGAGTGCCCCAAACGACAGCGGCGTTCCGGTACCCGTGCCCAGCGACTGACCAAACGTCACAGGTGAGGTCGTAGCAGGCGCGGCGAATACCGAACTCGCTGTACTTGGGATGCTGCTGCTGCTGCTGCTGCTGCTGCTTGCAGCTGGAAACCCCGGTGTCAGTGCATTGAACCCAAACCCACTCCCCAGGGTAGAAGGTGCACCGAATACTGGTTTCGGAGCTTGATTCGTGAACACCGATGGGCCCGCGAAGAACCCAGTCGTCGAGGTGGTATGCTGTGCTGCGGGGCGCTCTGGAGGCTCACGATGCACCAGCCCGAACTGGATGGCGGCACGAGCACCCTCAGGCACCTGTGGTACGTTCTCTGACGCATGTATGCCCTCGAAAGGCGTAGAGGCGGGTAACGCTGGTAGATTGGCGGCACCGGTTTCACTGGACTGCTTCCCGGGTACGACGGGTGTTGGCGCTTGCGTTGCGCTCGGTGCTGACGATGGCGACAATGCCAGCGCTACCGAGTCCGATGCACGATCTATCCGACTGTTGGTGTCGTCTTCAGTGGAGGCGCTTGCGGTGATGTCTTTCGTCCTCGGCTCTGGCTTTGTCGATGCAACGCCTGGCTGCATCATGAGCGATGTGGTCGTTTCTATACGCTGCGCTGCGGTTTGGGTATCGGAAGCAAGCGTTTGTTCCGCGTGTTTCGATGCCCAAGTCTCGCTTTTGGCTTGTTCAGGTTCCGTTTCCTCTGGTAAACGAGATACAGGCAAATTCGTATCGCTGCGTTCATTGGCGTCAAACTTGCCGGCAGCAGCAGCAGCAGCAGCAGCAGTGCTTCGAAACGACGTACTCGGGTAAGCCTCGAGCGGCTGCGAGCTCTGCGGTGTTCTGGTCCAGGAAACTTGCACTGGTGAACCTGCAGATTTCCGTTGTGCTGTTTCCTGGAGTCCGGTGCCTGTTGCTGGTTTCGCTTCAATATCGGCAGATGGCTGGCAGGTATCGCGCGGCGTCTTGCTTTCTGTTTTGCTGGACATCTCGAGACTAGATACCGCTTGCAGCGCATCTTCGAAACCAGCGTTCGCTGCTTTCCCTCGGTGTTGCTCTTTCGCCAGAGGGTTCAGATCATGACCGAGCTGCTCCGGCGCTTGCTCTCTCGACGATGCGATCCCATTCTGAGGCCGTACACGTTGGGCGTCATTAGAGGTAGCAGGAGCATCATTGGAGGCAGGCGCTTGACTGGCGGACGCTTGCGACGGCGTTTTCAAACGCCATGGCACCGTGATCGACGATGAAGCACTGGGATGCTCCGATCCTATTTCACCAGCACCTGGTCGCTCGATCGAAAGTGTCCTTCGCACAGATATCTCGTCTGCTTTCCGATCAGGATGCATACCCGGATCGCGTGCTTGGGTTCCAGTGACGGTAACTGCTGCTGCAGATGCATGAGCGACGGACGCTCCCTCGGGGAAAGTTTTCGCATCTGCTGTCTGTCGCAACTCGAGACGCTGCGACGGTGATCTGGTCTGGCTGCTAGGAGGCTCGCTGCGACGACACGAACGTGACAAGGAAGCCCCTGGTGACGGATCCGGGGTTGATGAGACACTCCAGCTCCTCGCGTAGTGCTGAATTGTTTGCAGCCCCGCGAGACCAATAGCATCACGACCTTGTTTCAATGCTTGATGACGCAGTGCTTGCCGCACTCTGTTTTGCAAGGCACTACGACTGCATCGCAGCGACGACGGAAGCGTCGTCTCAGCTCTGGGGAACGTCGGGCTCGCTCTGCTGTCGGAACTGGTGTCGGGTGCGTTCCTCAACAGGGGTGCACCTGGTGGCACCAGAAACTTGTCTGCGAACAACTCCGAGTAAAACTGCTGTTCCTGGTCGTCGTTCTGTGAGAGTAGTCGCTGGAGCGCCGCCCGTGCTGCCGGCAACCTCTCATCCTGTAACAGTTCGGAGATGCGTTGTGCTCGCGCTGCAAGGGCTTCCCATGCTTGCTCCGCTTGCGCAGTGGCTACGCTGCATCGGAAGAGCGTCTCGTACAGCTGCCGCAGCCGTTCCCCGTATTGGTATCGTAATTGTCCCATCGCTTCCGTGACGCCGGTTGATGACAGAGTCCGTTGGTGTGATGACAAACTCGCGCCCCCGTGCCTACTCCTCAGGAGGCGTTCAAGGTGGTCCACCATCTCCTGCACTCGTTCCGCCTGACGTTCAATCTGGTGCACGTGTTGAAGGAACCGCCTGGTCGAGGAATCGAGTGCAAGGTCCGAGTCCGTGGACGCAACCGATAAGGTAGCTTCCCGCTGCATCAGCTGAACTTGACGCTCGAGCGGTGCCACCTGTTTCCAGACAAGCCCTATGGATGCCGCACACTGATCAAGACATTCGTTGCTCTGTTTCAGAATGTCATGAATTTGTTCACTGAGGCTCTGTAGCGAGCGTGTCGACGCCGTCTGGGCGGCGTGCTGTGGCGAAGCGTCCATTCGAGACGATTGTTCCTCGACTTGATCGGAAAACAAGTCAACCAGCCGTGCGAACTGATCCACGGTCGCCCACATCTGTCGCAGCATGAATCGCTGTTGTTCACGAATTTGTTTCAATATGTTTTGTTCATCGTCATGACGGATATCTGCGTCGGGAACTGGTACCGCCTCTGTGTCCGTGACACCAAGCTGCAGGATGGATTTCACGAGCTGGTGCTGTTCCGCTCGGCTGGCTTCGCTCGAAAAATGCGTGCGGTGTTCCGCTGAATGCTTCAGGTACTCCGTCTCTTGTCTAGAGCCTAAAACGGAACGTTCCGGATCTATCTGATGTCTGCCTTGCTCAGGGAGCGCTCCTGACGTGGATTCGGATAGCGACATTTCCATCCGCGGGGGTGCTTGGTTCCATGCGGCAGTCGCATGCGTACCAGTCCGGGTAGTAGCGCCTTCAGTTCCGGTGGCAGTGGCAACATCTCTAGGAGCCCTAGTGGCCGTACCGGTACTCGTGGCAACGTCCGCAGCAGCAGGGACTCGCCGCGATGCCGCAACATCGTCCAATGCAGATTCACGCAGTTCCAAAGTCGTCGTCGTGGCCGGCGGCAACGTAAGCAAGCGTTTCGAGAAGGGTGCACGAGCCCATGTTTTTTCTCGAGGGGGACGCTCAGCACAACGCTCCCGTCCCTGGAGACAAAACCAATGTACAAGTCCGTTGTTCGTAAAGACGACAAGGAGTGGCTCGAAAACCTCAGCGCTGGGTGTGTCCCCGCTCGCACTGCTCTTTCGGTAGAACACATCCATGCCGAGAATCCGCACATACTCACTGTTCTCGAAAGCGGGTAACTGTGCTCGGTACGCGTCAGGCGGACGCAAAATACGCCAAGCTGGCACGGATTCTTGAAAGCGGCTATCTCCCAAAAGCTCCAGTTCATCGCTAGGTGCCAACGCGCACACACAAAGACCCCATCCGGGGAGCGCCACCAGGAAAGTGAACCAGCGGCTCCTATCCTCCTCATCATCCAACAAAATGGGACAGACTTCTCCGAAAGTGATCCAGTGCGGGGCGCGAAACGATGTCACCTGGGATGCTTCGGGCGTGCCGCGCAGGGACGTTTCGACTCCAGCGAGACGCACCAGAGCGAACTGGATCGTATCCGGAGACACAAGTAGACTGTCCTGCTCCGTGTACGCGATGATGAACTCGGAGGCATTCAAAGGCGTCATTCGGCAGATGGCCTGCAACTTTCCTGCAGTCTGCAAGACGGTCGTGTCCAGCGAATCCACTGTGACGTTTGTAGCGTCTGATACGCTCTGGCTACGCACCCTGAGACGAACGCAGCTCCACTGATGATTCTTGAACACGAGGCACAGCACAACATTGCTCCCCGGAACCATGACGAGTGTCTGTACCGCGGGTACATCGAGTACTTGGGCTTTGGTCGATGCTTCGACGATGTCTGCTACCACAGCTGCGCAACGGTCCGCTCGTCTCGTGAGCACGGCACCCGCCGGCGTCTCCGGTATCCAGCACCATAAGCGATCAAACGCATCTGGCAGCACTCGTGCCAAGCGCAAGTCGGAGAGCGTGTACAGGAGAACCCGCCCCCGAGTCGTATTCACAGCGACAACAGCCAGGTCCACGTTTACCTGCAAGTCGCAGACTGCACCGAACGTGTTCGTATCAAACGGAGCAGAACGAACGGTGCTCGCTGGGCCACTCTTGCCCGGTAGGGTCTCGTCCCATTCGGGAAACGGGTTCTCCCGCAGTAGCTCTGGTTTCTGGTACTGCTGGGCGGCAGCAAGCGTCTCTGCCAGTGGCAGGCGAACCAGACGGTCCTCAGTGGCCAAAAGGAGTACATTCAACGGTGCTGCAACTACACAATGGTTCTGCCAGAGGTAGTGTCGTTCCGAGAGCTCATCTGTTGGTGCTGTTGGCGCAGCTGCTTCCAGAGACTTTCCGAGATCGAGCACACCTCGGGGTTTTTGCACCGCCTCTGCTCGGATGGAAGGTTCAGCGAGGCGGCCGAGTTGTACAAACTTCAGCTTCTCCTCTTCGAAAACGATGTCCGACACATCCTCCACGGACATGAGCGGAAGACAGAGCACGTTTTCCGTAAGAGGCTGCGTCAGCAGACACAGTCGTAGGAGCCGTAGCCGACGCGCGAGGGAACCAGAACGTTTGAAGGCCTTGAGGTTGTGAGTCGCGGAAGCAACCACGGCGGCAGCGGTATTTTGGGGTAGGCACTTTCCGCTGCCGCTGCACGTACGCCAGACGAGAGGAATGCGCTCTCTCTCCCAAGCAGGATATGGGCCAGTGATACGAAAGAGGGTTTTTGGCGGTGTCTCTAGGCTCAATGCAGCGGGCTCTTGCGCACACCACTGGAACACGGGCAGTCGAGTGCACCTGCTAGACGTTCGCGCTGAGGCAAGAGCGCCGCTGGGTGCGACCTGTCCCCAACTGCACGTCATTGTTCCGTGGCGCTAGTCACTTGCACGGTTAAAGGTAGGCTGTGATTTGCCGACATCAGGCCTGTTGAGTGCCTGTGGAGCGGTCTCCGCTTACGAGCGTCAGCGGACCGACTGCCAGAGGGATTCACAGCTGATGTGTGTGGGCTCAGTTCGAGCCCACGCATAGGCTTCCAGCTGCTGCATAAAATAGGTATGGACGTTCGTTGCGGTTCCCTGGCGGAGCGGGTGCGCTCACTGTGTCCAAGTATACATAGTGCAAGAACTGATGAGCGCAAGGAGTACGCGCTGTTGACTTGTGCCGCTTCACCGGGTCTACTGCGGTCCAGGACAAGGCCGTAAGCGACCGTACTCCGAAACTTTCTCTCGGACAGGTTGGTTCCATGAAAAGGAGGTGTCACCCGAAGAGCGTTTTTTGACGCGTCGGTCACTCGTCGGATGCCGACAGTGCATAGCGAGCTTCGCGGTAGCGTTTCGCAGGCGAAGCGACGCGTTTCAGTTTGCCGGCAATAAACGGATCGGATGACGGGTGCATTGTTGACCTGGATACCGCCTTGGCGTTGAGAGATTGAATCCCGAGCTATTTCATATGCAAGAGTTTTCAGAGCTCCAATATACTTTGAGATGGTATCGGGGCATATCGCTGCCTCGTCGGCACTGGGGGACAGCCGCCAGTTGCGCGAGGCCCTTGGACGCAGCGCACCCTTGCGCTTCCCGCCTTGCCCTAGACGGTTCTTGAAAAAGGACGGTTCCTGACACTCAGTTCTCCAGTGAATTATGCACGATCCAAGTTTCCCCTGTGTCGAACTATCGACTCGTTGTTTCATGTAGCATGAAACGAGTCTCATGTTTACGACTTGCTGGTTCACGAAGACTCCCACTGACCCCATATTTGTATATAGACTGCGTTCCTGTTCCTCTGCGAGACGTATCGCTTGCTAAACAAACACCTTGGAAGACGAACAACCAAGGCTCTGTTACTCGTTAGAGGAGAAGAATCCACGCAACATGTACACAGGCAAAAACAACGACGCCGTCGCTCATATAAAGCCGTCACCCGGCGTCTTGGACAAGTTCCTGAATTTGCATCCTCCCTCCTCAGGGAAATGGAAGCAGATATCGAAGCTGTGCATACACGAGCATGGACGTCCTCCCTCCGAAAGAGCTGTTCTCCCATCATTTGGCGCAGATTCGAATGCCCAGATCCTCTGTGCCTTGCTGAGCAGGATGCATGGACGCGCTCACTGTGAATCGAGATCACCATATCTCTTCAAATCCCTTAGGGAATTAAGGAGCATTCCAGGATGCGTACTTTACGCAGCGGTCGCCACGTTGGATCCTGGCGAGCACGCACGTCGCCCAGGGCCTGCCCCACTCGCCGCAGCATGTCACGCGGGGTAGGTCGACTCACTGGAATCTCGTTGAGCTGGCGCACGGTATCCATACCCTGGATCACGCAGCCAATGACAACATTTTCCGCATCGAGCTCCTGAACAAATGCATGCTCATCGGATACATCAACAGGTAGAATGCAAAACTCGAAACCGCGTCCCGGCTCATGCGGAATCGATACAGTCCCAGCACATCGATGCCGGAGTGCGTTACGATCCCGGGTCCCCGGGGAGAGCAGCATCCTCGGGCGAAGTGGGACACCATCAGCTGTTGCCAAGTCCTCCAGTTGCGATATACGACCCAGTTCAATCCTTTGGTTAGGTATGATGCGCGACGCCGTTGTATACGAATAGCCGAGTTGTCGGCCGTGATGCACCAGTCGCTGTTCCACGAGTTGCTTGAAACGCTCGACCGCTTCAGGCGCCTCGGTGCCGAAGAGCCCTATAACAAGAGGTAGCCGCTCGCTTCCACTAGTTGTACCTATTTGCACTACGAAACGAGCTTTATCGGTCACTTTCGCGAACGGAGTCCCCGCTCGGCAGCTGGTGTGCTGTGTCGGCGGATTGTCTGCAACTTGTGCTGCCTTGGCTGATGCAACAGAGCTTATCGCCAGCAACTCAAGCAGAACTCCAGCTTGCTTCATAAGTTGTCTGCGATCCCAGACTGGTTCCTCTGCCAGACGCAAGTTCTGCGCAAATGGACGTGTGCTTACCCGCCGTTGCCGTTCGTTATTTGGGGCGCGTGGACCCGTTGATGACACGAAGCTCGTGTCATAATCGCTCACTCGCCACAAGCTGCTGACACTATACGAGATGAACATGGTTGCACCGAATCAAGGACCTGAAAAGTGTCGGTAAACCTTGCAAGCTTTAGGCATGTAGCGTGCTCACGACAGGTAGCTCCCAAAGCCCTAAGCCGAACGCCACGACGGGCGTGGTTGTTGTCGTCGTCGTCGTCGTCGTCGAGGTCGTGCGCGCCCTTGCAGCAGCAGTCCAAGCTCATCATCGATGCAATTGCCGCATCTACTGGAGCGGCAGTGTGCACTGGGTGTGCATGCCAGAGCGGTTATGCTTCATGGGCCCGGGATAGAAGCAACCTAGTGCTTTCGAGTCGCATATGTATGGGTGTGATGGTCAGCAGCTGTGCGCACCGAAGCTGACACGCGGCTGACACGGCGGTGAGACAGAGCGGAAAACGTCGCCCAGGGGACTGGGTTGCGACACTGGTGCACGACGGCTGCTACCCGTGTAGAGGAGCTGCAGCGGCGCATAGCGCAACCTGAGACCTGTGCACGACGTTCGGGTCACGTGGCAAGAAGGTATTGCCTCGGGGATGAGCGCAAAGAAGGGTTGTTTTGCTGGTGGCTTCCCAACGAGTCGCCGTTTTTCGAGAGGGTAGCGCCTCAACGCTGGATTACTGCACTTGGTCGTTGGCGCGTTCGACATCGTTTGCGCTCCTTGTTTTTTAATATCTTGGGCGCAACGTCTCTGGCAGCACAGTGTCGCTTGAAGTTGCGGAAAGCCACCGGCGCACTCGGAGGCGTGTTCGTCTTGGAAAGCGGGCAGCGCACTCCATACCGCTCAAGACACGAACGCTGCAATGCGCATGGAGTCTCTGGCTGAATCGCCTTTGGCAGTACTTTCTTTGCAGTGATGTTTTGTCAAACACTCTTTAAATGCATGTTTGCCTTCCAGCGCATTACCATGCCCAAACACGTGCACGTATGGCAATGACGGCAACCGCGGCAATGGAATCCCAGCCTGTTCGTATAAATAGGGGCTCGCGTTCACGACTGGGCTCCGCCGTGACCCTCCTGGAGGCGCTTCTGCATACGAGCGAGTTCCTCGGCCAGGCGGCGGTTCAGCGCCGCGAGCTCGGCATTATCTCGCTGTAAACGATGGAGTTCCACATGTCTTTCTATGGCCACGTTGGCCTGGATCTCATTCACATATCGACATAGTTCCATGTAGTCTTGCTCAAGCTTGCGTAGCCGCTCCTCGAACTGTTGGCGAAACTCAGCGCTTGAGCCGACTCCAGCGGCGGCGGCGGCAGCAGCTGCAGCCATACTTGCCGTGAGGCTGCGACTCCGATGCAAGAATGGGCTGCCCAGCGCACTAGGTCGCTTGCCGAGCGAGCTCACCTCAAACGAGCTGACCTCGGCCGTCTCAAGGCCAACAGCTCTGGTGCTGGCGCTTGCTGCGGAGCCACTGCTGTAACGCCTGGCGCCGGTTGAGGCAGCAGCGTTACCGACGCCACCAGAAACGCTCCTTTCCACATAAGCGGGCGCGACTGTACCGCGCTGTATGCCGGGAACTTCTCTCGCCTCAGGCGCGCCTCGGGTGCTTTCACCAAACGAGCTTTCCGCGAAAAAGCCTCCCCCTTGAGATAGAAGCTGTGGCGCCTGGCTCTCCAGTTCGGCAACCAACTGGTCCACGTCGATCTCACCGATGAACTCCGTAGACAACAAGGGATCTTCTGCATATCCCTCTGCGTGCCTCAATGACGCCAGATCGGCACGCGGGCTCGTTTCAGGTTGTGGCGTTCCTCGCTCCCAGGCGCTGGCGTCGCTTGGTCTTTGGCTCTGCTGCTCCATACAAAACGCCCATGTAGCGCCGCAACCTCTCCACAAGCACGATGTTATATGCAAGACAGTTCCTAGGAATAAATTGTCTTCTGAAAGTATTCCAAGTCTAGGCGTTATGTGGTTCGAGGAACGAGCGCACCCCACAGAAGCGGTTACTTGCAACGGCCTTCTCACGTTCGAGAAAAAACGATTGCACCTCAGCGCCCGGGCGTCGTCGCGTCGGTTTCGAATCGCTGCCGAATTGGCGCGCGCGCTTGACTGGAGGCGGGCCAAAGCCGCGATGCCCTGGGGTGCCTTCGGTGATGCTGCGCGTGCCGTGGCAACGAGGGTGGCATGAGGGGTAGTACAAAGCTATACTTTTATGGATAGGACGTGTCTTCATCGTGTAACGATCCATCGTATGCGTGTATGCAGTACTTGTGGTGCGCTGCGTGCTATGGGAACGTCAGCGTCATCTGAGGCAATACAATTATCTATTTTTATGGACAGAACGTGACTTTATCGTGTAACGATCCATCGTATGCGTGTTGTCGATCGTGCCGCCCAGGCAATTGATCGCGTCTAGCAGCCGGTGGTGCATGGGATCGACCTGACGCTTTCCGGCGTTAACAACGAGGCAATCTGTGTCGAGATGGTGCACGCCGGATAGAGCTTCAAGCATAAACTGGGTCCATTAGCGGCAAACTGTCCATCACAGCGAGAGCCTCGGTCAGGGGGCAGCGGCACCGACCACCGGGTCCAAGTCGCTGATCCAGATACATGTCAGCATTGTCGATGTCGGTGTCTTCATTAGGCCAGATCTACACGGTACGCTCAGGGCGGCGTGTTTCTCGGCGGGTTTTCGAAGGAACGACCTCTCTTCTGGAAGAGACGCTTACCACGATGCTCGCAGCGTCAGAGCTCTGATTGTCTTCATTCACGGGAGGTGGCGCTTGCTCGACTCGCCGATGTCAAGTGCACCTGTACCGTTTGAATTGCAGGTGACTGAGCGCTGCTTCTGCATCCTCACGTGTGTGCGCTTGCCGACGTCCTGTGCACGCAACACAGCTGCAGTGCATGCGGAGGTACCGCCCCGTTCCAACCATGCATACATGTATCTGGATCAGTGAATGGTGCGTCTTATGCTTGGACCATGTCCATGGAAACATCCAAGTTTACGACCAGGATCCATGTTTCAACATGATAGAGTGAACGATATTCGGTTTCAACATGAGAAGCCATGAGCAGCGGCACGGCGTTGACGCCAGCGCGTTGTATTGCCGAATGCTTGTTCAACGGACACAGACAGGCAGAAAGGCAGACAGACAAGCAGCGTGTTATCTTTGCTCAAGATCGTCAGGAAGACGAAGCGGCGGCCTCCTCAGGGTCTGCTGTGAAACTTGCATAAGAACTGTTCTGCCCCGAGTGCGTTGGCGCTGGCCATGTGGGTCCGCCACGTTGACTGGCTGTGGGGCAGGCCCGCAAAAACACGAGGTCTAGCGCGCCCCTACCTATCGGTGAGCAACTCAAGCTCCGATGCAGAGCAGGTATACCACGTGCGCATGAACAGGACTTTCAGCGGGAAATAGGGATGATAACGCGAACCGTTCGCACATGCAGCAGGGCAAGTGAAGCTTGTGGCTGCGCACGAACACCTCGGCTGCTTTAGCCCAGTTTGCCCGTATTGGTGTATCGGGTTTCACGGTGGCGTATGCGCCATGAACCCGACAAGGTGCCTGGCTGCAGGCCGGCTCGCTCGGATGCACTGCGCCGGGCCAAACCGCCATACTAAGGCAGCAGTGGGCGCCGCCACGGCTGCAGCGTCGCTGGCACGCAGCCGGTACGAATCAAGTGGTGCGTTAACGCAGACAGGAGCATTGAGCCCCTGTCGCAGCAACGGGTCTCTCCATCGCTCCAGTGTACCTGCTTTGCGAACTTGAGCATGCTGATATCACATGGGTGCGCGAGCTTCACTTGGAATCGTCGGTCGTTTCCCATGGCTTCAGTGCCTGCCGCATCTCTTCGAGTGCTCTGAGGACATGCGCTTGTCCGCAGTCTGCAACACGCCCCATGGCTGCACGGATCCTGGGCAGCATCTCTGCGATTCGTTGCGGTGGCAAAAAAGGCAAAGCCAGCGCAAACTGGGTCCATAACGTAGCCCAGAGTGTGGGCAAGCGATGAAACATGGGCAGCTGGATCAGGCGCTCCACAATAAGCTCCAGATACGGACTCGAAGCGCAACGCTCGCCATATCCTAGCTCTGAGAGATGCCGCCATACATAAAGCGCTCCATCAGTATACTCCCAGGGTTCTGGTTCACGCAGGTACGCGCAATCCATACAGCCCACTCGCTGATGGCGAGCGCGCATTTTCGGGGCCAAGGAGCCGCAGCTATACATGGTTTGATTGCTATGCAGACGCACATCATTGTCGCGAACTTGTTTCATCGATTGAAATGTGGTTTCCGTCACTTCCGTGGAGGCACTCTCGCCAGCGACAAGGTCTGGAGGCTGCTCCGTTGCTCGAGCGAGCGCCGAACCCAGGTACTCGAAGACGCGTTCCAGGTAGGCGCCCTGCAGTCGAGCGCTCACTTTCGCCAGCGCCTCCGCAGCGTGCTGGCGTACCGAAGGGATGTTATCCGCGCAATGTCTGAACCATAGGGTAAAGAGTTCATCAACACGTTCTGGAGGCTGCTCGTGGAGATCAAACACCATGGCGAGCGCTGCACAAGCACTGCTCGCACAATCCCGAACGGGCCAGCTCTCGTCGTGAAAGCAGTCGATAAGCGCCGTAAGCAGCGCATCGACGTACGGCTTCACTAGACAAGGATCCAGGCGATCCGCGATCTCCGCCATCAAATGGCAAGCGGCCTCTCGCACGGCATGGTTCTCAGCCTGCGACTCTTTCAATACATACGGAATGACATCCGCCAAGTTGGTGGCCACCAGCTCTCGTCCATGCGCACCAAACAACGCAAGCCAGGTCTTACGGGCATACTCTCGAACGCCTTCAGCCAAGTAGTGTCGATTCAGACACAAGCGAGGTAACAGGAGGCGATCAACGCTGAAACGAAGCTGTAGTGGAAGCTGTTCGAACACCAGGTAGAGACGGTGCGCAGCGAGCATGCCCGCGAAGCGAACCTGGCTCCAGTTGTCGTCGAGGCCCCGGGCGATCAGCGGCGCACATGCCAGCGCAGTCGCTCGGACGAGCTGTCGATTATCCTGAACTTGGCCTTCGCAACGATCCAGCAAATCCTGACAACGTCTTATCAACTCGCATACAAGATGCAGAAGCGATTCACGAACAAAACGGTTGCGATGTTGTAAACAGCGGGATAGAACGTTGCTTTCCAAGAAGGCATGATGCGCAAGTACGAGACTGGGAACCAGATCGAGCGGTGCGAGGGCACTCAAACCCGCTGCAATCGCATCTAGTGTGCTTTCTAGTGCGAAAGTCTCCTGCGCTGTGGTTACTGGTTTGTCGGAAACTGCAAAAGTCTCGGAAATCGTGGCCTTCGCTTTGTCCTGTGTTAGTGTGATAGACTCAGAGGAGCGCGAGCGCACCAGTTGTTCTTCCAGTAGACATAAAAGTGTAGGGACAAGGTAAGTCCAGGCCGCAAGACTCCGGTGCGAGACAACTTGGCGCAAGGCTTCGACGGCAGCTACCCGAAGCGCTGCCTCCGACCGCCCCAGAAACACGGGTAAGGTTGCGGTTAAGAGCTCAAGGAGTGCTTCGAGTGTTTCGTGGTCAACGGATTGAACCAGTGCCATCCTTTGCGGGGTTTCCTGGAAACAATGTCTCTCAGCAACCCCCGGTGCAACGTTTCTTCTACTGACCCGGGCTGTGGTCGTGAGCTGCTCCAGCGCCTCTCCACGTTCGGCTGACAAGAGTGCAGCAGCGACCGTTAAAGCCCCCGTTGTGTACTTCCAGTGAGGTGGCCGCTCTGCTCGTAAAGCTGCGTCGATTCTTTTGACAATCAGCAAAACTTCCAGTGGTTGTAACGGGAGCAGCGACTGCAAAGTCCGAACTGCGTGCGCTCGCTCGCGTTCTCGCTCGTCTTCGACGCCGTTGAGCACAAGTTCAAGGCGCTTTACACGGCTCTCTTCGGTTGACATGGACGTTCAGTGACCCAATGGCACGCATATGTCGGCCGATTCGAACTTTGATGAATAGGAATGCGAGCGAGTAACAGCGGGTATTGAGTTCAGTGCACCTCGGGCCCCAGAACGACTCGACTGCGCTGGATCTCTGGACGCCCCCGAATCATCGCTCAGCACGGCTCGCTTCGTGCGGCTGAGGCCAGTTGTCAGCAACGAGTTCCTGTCTGGTGCAGAAGCAGTGCGTATATGGAATCGACTGCGGACGAGCTCTGTTCATCGTCCTGACGTACCTGCCGTACCCCCGCTTCCGGGGAACCTGGTTCGGGGACGCAACGAGTGCGAGCCATAAGAAAAAGCTGGGGCGGCGGCACACACACACACACGCCCTTTGAGAACTACTCCGACGCCAACATGACGCCAGCCGCTGAGGCCCGTCTGATCCCACACTTGATTGTCTTGTCGCCGAACTTGCGACGTTCTGGAGATGAGCGTTTGATAGATGGAGGTACGCTTCATCAGCGGGACGGGAGCCCAGAACAACCCTTTCTTTTCAAGGGGCCTGGTTGCTTCCTATGGCAACGCTGTACGTACGCAAGCTGAATAGCGTCTGGAATGGATATTGTTCGCAGTTCCGTTAAAGCTCGCTCCAGTGCCTGGACTGTACTTATCCAACGCGCTTTGCAGCCACCGCTAAGAGGATATCGTGAAAGAACGAGCTGCGAAACCGAGCGCTGGTTTGCTGGGCCTGTAGCCGGCGATCGACTCGTCCATTACCCGCTTCCGTCGCTCGCTCATGCTCATGGCATGCCAGCTGCTAGCGTCCTCCTGGAATGCCGATTGGACTCGGGCCCAGAACCACGTGCGGTCTAGAAGACGACAACCTGCACAACCACAAGTCCAGGTCCGTTCGCTCCGATTAGTATCCCGAAGCAACTGAACTGGACATCATTTCATTGTCTTTGCGCTATATGCAGGATGCATATTGCTGGGATGCATGCGCTTCGCTCCTGGGATCACACGAGAGGTAAAGAGGCGTTGTGGAGAATTCACCCTGCATCGTCCTAATTGTACATTCATGTCTAGGTACTCAGACACGCACGCATCTGAGCGCTACGTGTCCGGGGGGCGCTCAGGGCAGGCGAGCCCGATATGCGTGTCGCGGACACGTGTCCGAGCCTATCATAAAAAGACGAATAGGATAAAGATGCCCGCCCCATAAGAGGTAGTACACCCGTGCTCGATCTGAGGCCCAGCCGCCGAACCGGGATGGCGCTCTGTTCTTCGCACAGAGCATCGATTGAAAACGGGTTTGAGTCTTGCGAGCAAGCAGCGACGCATCGCGTGGAACGTTTCTCCAGATCCTTGGGGCGGGTCCGCACATTTACGGCCCAAACGTTTCGCGTGAACTTCAACAAGCAGCGAGCGGGGTCGTTTGGAGCATATACCCATGGTGCCTCGGCTGTATGGAAACCTGAGCAAGTCGCCAGCGACCTGTTAGCGAGAATACGAGAGTCGCGCAGCTCGTCGCTTTGCTGGTGACTTGCTGCGGATGCATGAAATCGAGCGAGCCGCACACGCTGCTGTTCTGAAAGTGCAGCGTGCTTCGCGCGTTGCCAGTGCATCGACGTTCAGCACGTGTTCCGTATCCGTGTGCGCAGACTCGGCCGTCGAGCTTGTTCTTCATTAAATACAAGAGAACGTTTTGGGGTCGCAGACGCCAAAAAAACGCCGAGCATTTAAAAACACATACTTGCTGCAGACTAGATCGATAATCATAGGCCACCAAGTGCTCCGCGCAACTACTATTCTGCTAGACGCTTTCGGGGCCTCCAGATCGCCACAGGATCGAGTCTGTGAACCGTCAGGCTCGGTACCGGGAATACCGTCGAAAATACGATTAGGAGAAGGAGCGAAACCCGACACCTTCAAATTTGTCTGTGTAGCGGAAATCAATTCGGATTCGAGCAGTCACGTACCGAAGAGCATCGATGCTTCGGTAAATGGTCAAGCGCATCTTCAGCGGAAGCTTGAATACTGAGCAAACGCCACTACAGGTGCGGGAGCCTCCATACAATCTCAACGCATCTACAGGATTTCATCGCTTCCATAGACTGCGAACGCTTTTCCAGAATCCGAAGCTCGTTCCGGGAGCAACTCGCTTCCGTAAGTTCAGGGTTCGCATACGCCCGCTCTGAGAGCAACTCGCCTCCGTAGGTTCAGGGTTCGCATACGCCCGCTCTGAGAGCAACTCGCTTCCGTAGGTTCAGGGTTCGCATACGCCCGCTCTGAGAGCAACTCGCCTCCGTAGGTTCAGGGTTCGCACACGCCCGCTCTGAGAGCAACTCGCCTCCGTAGGTTCAGGGTTCGCACACGCCCGCTCTGAGAGCAACTCGCCTCCGTAGGTTCAGGGTTCGCATACGCCCGCTCTGAGAGCAACTCGCTTCCGTAGGTTCAGGGTTCGCATACGCCCGCTCTGAGAGCAACTCGCCTCCGTAGGTTCAGGGTTCGCACACGCCCGCTCTGAGAGCAACTCGCCTCCGTAGGTTCAGGGTTCGCACACGCCCGCTCTGAGAGCAACTCGCTTCCGTAGGTTCAGGGTTCGCATACGCCCGCTCCAGGAATGCCACGTGCGGCGCACGCGTCGTCAACGTTGGCGGATCCAGTCACACTGGACACAGCGCCCAGCGTCAAGCCAAAACGCTTTCGCGATTTTCGCTGCTCGTGCTGGACGCCGGACAGTCACAGCTTAGACCCCTGGACTCGTACGGGTAGTGCAGTGGGCATCAGCGACTTCGCTTCCAAGTCCGCGTTGTTCTGCGCGTCATGCTAAAAAACATGGAGAGTGAAAACGACGACAGTGGGGCAGCTCCCGACAAATGGGCTCGTATTACGTCCGAGTCGTCGCTTTCCGCGCTCGCCCGCTGGTGGTATCGTTCGGCATCACAGAAAAACACAAATCATGCAGAGCGTCACGTGAACGAGTTACCTGGTGAGCAAGTAGGCACTTCAACTGCAACGGGATGGAGCTCGGCGCTGGTGGCTCCTGAACCAGCAGCGCGAGCAGCGGAACGAGCGCGCTCCTCAAACGCTCAAGGTGCCACAGGGGAACCTGCGGTGCAGCAGCGCTCGCCAGCTGATAGCCCTCCTCGGAAACTGGTTCACGCTGGTGTACCTGCAACGCAGACCGCTGCCTCCTCTAGCCCGAACCTCAAGCGACGGAGTGTTGGACAGATCACCATCGACGCGTCCGCTGTGCTGCTGTCCCCGGAGATGCTGCACAAACTCGTAAAGCCGGACATGGCCGGCTATCTCTATTATCGCTGGCGCATGCGTTGGCAGCGATGTTGGTTGTCCCTGGACGGTTCGCTGCTGCGATTCTTCGAACACGACCCACGAACGGGACGGCGTGGCCGGCTCATTCACACCATCTCTCTCTTCTACTGGGACTATATTCGAACGCCAAGTTATAGCGATCCACGACGTCCCTATATTTTGGAAGTGAAAGATGCCAAGGGCGTTGTGCACTATTTCGCGGCAGACTCCGAGGAGGATCTGATCTGCTGGAAGGAGGCATTCTTCCGCGCACGCTCGGTTGCACCACCCGCACATGCGATTCCCTCCATGGCCGAGGCGGCCTCGGTTGTCGCCAAAACAAATATCCAGAAGGGCCAACAAACGAACGATGCGGTGACCCATCGCCGTAGTATTCGCGGCATGTTGGCGGAAGTGACCCCACCGCAACATTTGATCTGTATCGTTCACGGCATTGGATCTGATGAACAGCGGCTGCGCGAGAACCTGAAAAACTTTCATGATGCGCTCGATGAGGTTATGCAGAACACGCTTCCCGATGCGCTAACGCACTTTGGGATTAAGACAATATACTGCCATTGGCGTGCAGCGCTGCGAAAGCTCGATGTATACCAACGGATGCTGCAGCTCAATCCACTGGGCGACCAAACACCGTCGCGCTGGCGCACACTCGTCAACAACAAGTTGATGGATATACTGTTTTACTTGACGCCTCGAATCAAACGCTTTATTCAGTGCGAAGTGGTCGCGCAACTCAACGAAGAGTACGAGCGGTTCCGCCAGAAGTATCCGGAATTTCGCGGCGATATTTCTATTCTAGGTCACTCGCTTGGAAGCGTCATTTCGTACGAGCTGCTGGTTCAGCAAGTGCTCAGTGACCCTATTATGTTGGAACGTGAAGGCCTGCGCCTACGTTTTCCCGTGCACAACCTGTTTCTAACCGGATCGCCGCTCGGGCACGTGCTCAATGTCGATGATCATCTTCGATCCACTATAGGATACTGGCCGTTCCGACTGGTGAACATTATCAATCCCAGCGACCCGGCCGCCTGTCGAATTGAACCGATTCTGGACCCGTTCTTTGCCGATATTCCACCGGTGGAGATCCCTGCGATGGCTGGTGGTGCGAGCTCGTGGTTGTCGTTCCAGTCCACTGGTCGCTCTGGCAGGGCGCGCACCGCTAACGCCAAGGATGGTAGTGCAGACGGTAGCGGCAGCGGCGACTTTGTCAGCGACCACGATTCAGGGACCTTGTCCTGCGCACCGGTTGCGGCGTCAACAGCAGGCAAGCAACTGGGCAGCGCAGCGTTCAAACCAAGAAATGGCACTTCGCCGGTGCAACGCGAGCTCCCCGAAGAGTCGTCGACGGGAGACCCCGCGACTACGCAGCCCCTGCACTGGACACGATCGCCGCAGCCTCATGGATGGTTCCCCCAGCTCGAAACTGTTCGCAAGTTGGTCTGCCAGTTTCGGATCGATTATGTGATGCGACCAAATTTTATGGAAGATCTGTGGGGCTTGTCGGCGCATTTGAATTACTGGCGGTCGCGAGATGTGGCCTATTTTATTATCCAGTATATTCTGCGACAGCAACTGGAGCGACAGCACCAACAATCCGTCGCAACGAGTCCGCGCATTGGGAAAGCGCATGAGCACCAGTCACAAAGCAGGGCACAAGGAGCAACGCCTTGCCCGACGGTCTGCCCGGGGCCGGCAAGCCCGTCACCCGCATCGGGTCTGGTGCAGCCCGAGTCAGAAGCCAGCAACGGGCATACGACAAGAGCCGCTCGAGCAGAGTCCAATGCAAACATCGCTGCATCGATTCGTGATGATCGCGCTGCGTCCATATCGGGTACAGCGGAAGCGTTGGATCCAGCGCTGCCATACGCGTCGTACGCACCCGGCACAGCACTACTGGATGCGTCGGAAAAGCGCCTTCCCGCCGACAACAAGGTCGAGCGCTCGGTAGTCGCAACGCCTCCACATGGTAACGACGACGGGCAGGCACGCGACGGCATGCCAACGATGTTATGTGGCGTCTCGACGGCCGTTCCGCAGCAAGTAGGCGGCGACCTCACAAAGGACGACGCCGAGCGGGCACAGGCAGCACCCGAGCGCCCTGCAGTGGTGCACCAGTCTGTGCCGCCTTCCAATCGTCTGTCTGCTGCGTATCCGACGGTGCGGTCGGCGTTTATGACACGGCTCGACGGCCTGCGCGCAGAGACCCCTATCGGAACAGCGGCTGCAGCGGACTCGGATCCAGTTGGTGCGATGAGTGACACGATGCGCACACCGGAATCGTTTTACTCGAGCGAAGACGATGACCAGCGCCCTGCATCCGTGTGAAAAGAGCTGCACCGGTCCCTCCGATTCACCTGCAGCGTTGTTGAGGCCAGTGCGAGGTCATCGGGACTACCAGTACGGTTACCAGCGGTTCCTGCACGGACGCATCCAGGCAGTATGCACAGAGAAGGCGCAGTGGGTATACTACGGATCAAACTTCCCATGTCATGCCTGTGGCTAGCAAGTCGTCCAAACCTGTGGGATAGCCGGGCACTGCACGCGCTTGCCAGTGCATCAGGGCTGCCGTGCGGCGGTGGTGCCGTCGATGCCGCCGCAGCGGCGCTTGACTCGGGGACACGTGTGCTACACGTGTCCTGCCTGTGCACGCTTGATAGATGCACGCATGCGTGGATGATTGCATCGTGGTATTCATTGTCGCCTGTAAAGCCATTGCCATACCTGGTGAGTCTCGCGCATCCATGCTCTGATCTGTGCAACAACAAAGCGATTCGAACAGATGCCTCTTGCCGAGCGATGCCACCTCCATAGTTCTCGGCAAAGGCAAGTGCTGCAGCTGCGTTGCGCGCGCGTCGCTTCCCTGGGTCCCTATCGTTCGTTCGCTCGTTGGGTCTGCGAGGTCAGGTTCCCTATTTCTCCAGAGTGAGCAGGCGTTCGCCCAGAACGAGATTCGCACTCGTGAGTCTACTGAGGTACAGGGTCATGAGCTGGTCTTTCAGATTCGTATCCAGCGCGTGCATGAGCGCCTCGTCGCCGCAGGCATTCAGCTCAGCCTCTACCAAGTTCAACAGCTCCAACACAGCGGGATCGCCAGCTTTTTCACCAGATACCACATCTCGTAGGTACTCGAGGACAGTGTCCAAGGCGTCAACCAGTTTGCGCAGGCTACGCGTCAGGTTGACGAGCTCGTGCGTCGCCCCGCCGAGCGCCGTCGCCCGTGTTATCCGCCCGAAGCGCGAATGCACATTGCTCTGTGCTGCGAGCGCCTGAACGACACCATTCAGCATCAACTGCTCTGCGTCTGATGCGGTTACTTCCAGAGGCACGGGTTCCAAGTCCGTGCTCATGTTCTGACGGCCAAGAACGGAAGCAAATCCTGAGTATGCTTGGATCAGCGGTGGATGGACCACGCGTTTGGAAGCATTGCTCTCGCGTATATCCGGACGCACCAGCAAGCAGACGACCTGGTCAACGGGAAGGTTACACTGACGTGCAAAGAACTCGTGAATGATGATCGACGTGGGCTTGTCGATCCCGCCGGTCGTGTACCAGCCGATGATGTCGACGGTCGGGCCCGTGCTCCCATCCTGTAAACTCAGTGCACGCATTTGTCCAAAGTAATCGATATCTAAAGCGATTTCCGTGTCCGTCTCGCTATGTGGGACGTAAAAACTCCCCCAGACCTCGATTTGCCGACGCACCGCTGCGTCGGTGCCTGCACTTGTGGAGTGCTCATCGTCGAGCACGTTCACTTCGCCGAGCAGTGCGCCGATCACCCGTTCCTGGTCTGGTTTCTTCAGAAAGAATTGTTCAAGAATCTCAAGAATAACCGTGGGCGAAGCGTGCACCTGCAGCGTCTGGCCTGTAACGCCAGCGACTGGCACCAGGTCCATGGGTAACTGTGTCGTGGGCGGTGTGGTGTTGGTTAAGTTCTAGTGTTCTCCACACACTGTTTGAGGCTGCAAACCTTTTCCCAATCAGAAGCGAGCAAGAGTTTAGGGAGGAGTCACAGAGCCCACGTTGTTCAGCACCAACTCGATCTACAAGTGTTTTCGGTTGACAACGGAACGACACCTGGGCTTGCGATGCAGCCGAGGCTTCGCAGCGAGCCTTCAGCGGGCGCCAGGATGACGGCTGGGGCCTAGCGCCGTCGCTGCTGCTGATGAGAATTTTTTATACAAAACGTTTACGTGGACCATGGATCCTAGATTGCAGAATGGATGGATGGATGGATGGATGTTGGGTTTCGGGAAAGCATCCATCATGATGCACTTACCCTCAAGCTACATGACCCATAAACCTTTTCGGATGTAATGGTCGATTCTTATGCTCTATCGAGCGCCGATTACCTGCTTTGAGCACCCGCAATTGCGGTTCTATCGCTGATGCCGATGCATCACGGAGACTGAACGGCTTTGCCATACCTCTGAGGGCGTCGGACCGAGGAACGCTTCACCTGAAACGGAGTCGTGGCTCATAGTCGTTCTAGGAGTCTGCAAGCTGCGCAGATTGATCTAGTGCCTGCGGCAGCGCAACGCGATATACCAGGAGTCCACTGCATCATGGGCAACGCCCAGACGGCGGCTACCCGTTCCAAGTCCCAGAGTGGAGTGCGTTACGGACGAGTTGCTCAGATGTCACGAAAGCACCTGCCAGTGGCGGAGCGTGAAGCACGAGCCTGGGAGACTCGTGCAATCCGCGGGACCTTGCGTCTAGAAGGTAAACTTTCGAAAGTACCGACAGTTTTCCCCGTCTCAACGTTTATCGTAGAGGGGAAAGAAATCGTTATCTCGTGGCGATTTAATGGTCAGTATCTGTTCTTTGTTCTATAGAGTGCGCCCGATACGCGCACATCCTTATCTGGCAGGCATTAGACACGACGCGCCCGTCGCCGTTGAAGGGAGACGCAATCGCGATCAGAAGCGTCTTGTTCAGCTGTAAAAGTTGTGTTTGCGTTGAGGTCGTAGCAAAGTACAGTTTTCAGTTCATTTGTGTTTCAAACCTCAAGGAAAAATGCTCGATTGATTTTTTGCTGTGTATAACAGAAGGGATCAAAGAGCGTTGTTTTTCAAAAACAAACAAGAAAAGGAAAGTGATGAAAAAGCAAGTCCACGATCCTGGAGGCCCAGTGTCGCCGGCTGCCAGAAAAAACAAAAAACAGTGACGAGTCCAGAAGAAAAGGAAAAGAAGAAGGACCAAAGGGGGGGGGGAGGCTCTACGTCGAACGATGCAAGAAAGACGAATGTACGACGAGATGGTGGTGAAAGCCGGTGTCCTTAAGCATATCAAGGATCCCTACAGGGAAAAGTTGCGAGACGCTATCAGAAACCGTGTCGACTCGTACTCCAAGAGTATTGTAAAGGCGTCGTCAGGACTGATGCATTTGGTACGGGAGATGTATCGCGACGTGACGCACATGGAAACGGTCGAGATTCCGGACGAGTTTTTCGATAAGAAGTTTATTCGTCAGCTGATGCTTGGTACAAAGGATGCGCGGATGGAAAATGAGCGGGTGCATGCCCTCCACGAAAACTTCGCGGAATTCCGCTTCGAGGGTACCCAGTACAGGGATGACCGGGATATTTACGACTATGGGGCGATGAAGTGACTCACGAATCTGGAGAATCGTTTGACAACGAACCTCGAACGTTTCATGATACGCGCCGCATTTGCACTCTATCCCGGGCATCTCTCCCAAAGGGATATGGGCGATTATCAATGGCATCACGAACAATCGCCGGCGTGTAGATGGGATCGGATTCGTCGACAAGAAGGCGTCAAAAGAGATCACGAATGCAGCTTCTGTAATCCGTGCGGTTATGCAAGAGCACCGTGCAGTTTCGGGGCTGGCGAATCCGACAGACAAGATATCAGAGTTGAAAAAAGATAAGGAAAGATACGATCGTCTCGTCCTACGGTATTTTGTGTTTTTGGACCGAGAGCTCGATCGCAAAGCGGAGATGAAGCTGAGTGAGGAAAAAAATGAAGAATGGGAGAGACGGAAGGCGTTCCTAATGGGCGAGCGCTTCAACGTGGTTCCGTTGGGCAACATCAAGTCACATTTTGTGACTATCGACTCCGGCGTCCTTTACGGCATCATGACTGAGACCAGTCCCGAGTTCGATGTAAGGAGCACAGAGATCACCGCCGAAACCCGCGAGACGTACTGGAAGAATATCTTCAATTTCAAAGGGCTCAAAGTCAGCAAGAAAAAGGAATTCACTGGGTTGATTGAAAGCGATGGAATACCCATGTGTGTACACTATCTGCGGTTGAGGAAAGATCGTCCAGTTCCGCCCTCGGCTTCGCGCTCGGCGAAACATGAAGAAAACAAACAAGCGGATGCTGCGACGCAGAAAGTGCAGGAAAACGACTTTGTCGTTGGCGCGGACCCCGGAAACACAAATATCATATCCATCGCTGTATCCAAGCTTGCGGACGACGGTACTGACGGTAACTTGCGTCAGAAACACATGCGTCTTCTGAGGTTCTCGACAGCAAGAGACTATCGAGAATCGGGAATCATGAATGCGAGGAAGAAAATTAAGACATGGAATGCAGGAATAAAGGACCACTTGGAAGCTATGAGCGAGGTGACGAGCCGAGGAGCGGACTTTCAAGCTTTTCTGAAATTCATGAAAGTTCGCGTTGCTCATTGGGAGGCGCTGTGGGAGGAGTATACAAAGCCTCGGTGGGCTCGTCTGCGTATGAATCTATACTGTGGGAAACAGCGGGCGTTCGCGAACTTTTTCAATCAGTTGAACGCCCTGAAGGAGGATGAAAGTCAGAGGCTCGTCGTAGCATACGGAGCAGGGCGCTGGAAGACCCAAAAAGGGTGTACACCAGCTCCAACGACGAGAGCGCACAAGGAGTGTGCACGGCGTTTCGTTACGATACCTGTAGATGAGTTTCGAACATCGTATACACACCACGAGCTGGGTTGTACACTTCAGAGAGTGGAGATGGAAAAGTGCCAGAGGAGCCCTGAAGATATAATAAAGTATGGACCGCTTACGGAGGAGCAAATGGAAAGGATGGCGAAAGTTCGTGGACTACTCGCATTGGTCAGTACAACCAACGATGGCAAGAAACGTATGGAATTCGTGAATCGTGACTTCGATGCCGCCATCAATATCAGGAGATGTGCGGTGCTGGAGACGAGAGCTCCAGAGTTGACAAGAGAGAACTTTGTTTGACAACCTCTTAAAGTCGAACTATATAAGAAAAAGTTAGAAGCAGTAGTGGGTGGCCGGTCGAAAAAGACGGGGACGCGTCTGCACGTCAGTTGGAGACCTCTCGTCTAGGGCGGGCCACATGCCACTAATGTACACCGTTAGCGACAGCGGTGACTGTGAAACAGCAATCGCTGCACGACTTGAACAGCGCTACGACGAGTTCCTACAGTCAGCAGGTCAAGTGCTGGTACTCACGCAAGCAGGACGCGGAGTGGAAACCTCCCCGGACGCTTTGGCTCGATCGCTGGCTGCGCTCGAGCAGTCGGCCGAGCATTTCGCCAGAGCCGCGCAGGCGCTCGCCACTGACGAGGACAACCTTCGTTGCCTAGCACTGCCTACACTGGAGGCGCAAGTGAAGCAACTTCGGGAACAATACGCGGAGGAAAAGAAGGCGCTCAGCGTTGCTGAGTCGCAGTTAGCTAGCGAGCGAGAGCTGCGGGCTTTGTGTGTCGAGATCGAGCGACTACCAAATTGTTCCGAGTTGGAGTTGGAGATCTGCGAGCGACGTGCCGAACTGGAGTCCATCAGCAGCCAACGGCTCGAGCAGCAAGAGCAACTCGCCGAACTTCGAGCGACTTTGAACGCGCTGCAGCAGAGCGTTGCGACCATGGGCACGGTGCTCGGTATCATGAACGAACAGAAACATGAGGCCAGCGCCGAGACGCCGAATGCCGCCTTCGAGGCACCAAACGTGGGTGCAGGGAGCGTCAGCTCAAGAGAAGCGTACCACTGAGCCGGCATGCACCGGTTGCGAACCGCCGCTGCAGCGTTGCCTGCGACCTCCGACCTGACCCCACCACGCAATGTATCCCGTGCGGCACCTGTGGAATGCTTGTCGGGCCTGGTGTGTAACTGGCGGCTGCCGGCGCTTCCGAGCGCGACAACAGAGAAGGAGAAGCAGCCTCATGTTCCGAATCTTGATCGCGCGATGCATCCCAGTCGGATGAACGGCTCACAGACCTGGCTGCGTGTCATGGTTATCAGAAGCGATCTCGAACTGAGGCAGCTATTCGGGATACCGTCGCCTGCACCAGAAGCTTGCTAGGTATCCCCCAGCATGTCTCGTATCAGTCGATGAGACGGCGAACTCGGTTCTTGGAGGTCCATTCCGTTCTGCATCGCCACAGCGTACCCTGCAATGCCACCAGCGAGGTCAACACCAGAGTACAGCATCGCCCACGTTTCCAGGCGCTCGTGAGCTGGAAGACGCGCACGCTGAGGCGCCACGCATTCGCGTCGGGTCTCGCATCCGCCGTGCGAGGGCCCTGAATAACCACGAGCCGTGAACCGTGCACCAAGGACCAGCGAGCGCCCACTGGTGTCGAGGAATAATGGGCTTATTGGTGCCTGCGCCATGCAGGTGTCCCGTGTCCGAGCGGTTTTGCGCACGCGCGCGCGGATGCCGACACCTAGTTTCTGGCGCTGCACCACCACCAGGGGTAGACCCCGGGGATCGTGAGCGTCCCCATTCGTTCGCGATGCTCTTGGATTCTGTTCATAACTGGACATAAATCATACAAAATATATAATATCGGATAAAGTATGATACTGGCGTTGCCCAGCCGTCCTGCCGCTCCTGCATCATCGTAGCAGCGCCACCGACGGTTGGCCGTACGTTTGTGTGTACCAAGCAACGGATCATGTCTATAGCTTTTGCGGTTTCGCCGGGTTCAGTCAACAGAACGCAGCTGCGGATGCGTGTGGACCCTCAGCGACAGGTTCAACTGAGGCCGCAACTCGTTTCATGGCGCACAGGCGCTCGGCCAGCTCGCTGGAGCATGACCAACAAGTCGAGCCCGCTGGGAAACGCTCCTGTGCCGGAACCGGAGAATCGACTCCCATCGGTTTCGGCTACAAAACGTCCAGAGCAACCACGCCCCAAGGAAGAACAAACCTGGTACGGACTGCTCGCGTTTGTACTGATTATGGTGCTTTTCCTTGGAGGTCTGGGAATCACCATAGCGCGGAGCTTTTTTTAGAGTAGCGGGTGAACTAGGAATCAGCGCCACGGAACTCAAATGTGCTTGCACTGGGGTAAAGTAGCTCGTAAGAGCGGGCGGTTGCCGGACAAGCAGCTCGCTGCCACTTGAAGCGCTGGCCTCTGACTCCTCGAACGTCGGACTCAACATGGACCAGGTTCTCTGACTCACGCCCACACGTTGTAGTCTGGGGCGCTTTTCACGGTGATGAACACTGGTCGTTTGTGGGTTTTTTGCGACTGTTCCCCTTTCTTCTCAGTGGTCCCCAGCTTTACGTCCGTGGGTCTGCCGGCTCCCTCAAGAGCTGTTGTGAGCAGTCGAAGTTTGTTGATGGCAGCGTTCAATTCTGGCTTTCGCGGCTTCCAGCTGTTGCCGTATTATTTCGTACACGTACAAAACTTGCAGTATACGCTTTGCTTGCCATTTGTGTCTTTTTTGCATACATCTTGTGTGCGCCCACTTCGCAGCAATGACACTCGACCGTGGTCAGGCGTTCGACCATATCCTCTGCTCATTCGCCTGCGAGATCCGTCCTTTGGAGCGTGACAGCCTGCTCCATCGCTCGGTACATGCACTTGACGGGTACCAAAAGCGCCACTCCATGTTCATTTTCGTTTTCGTGCCTGGTACCGCACCGAATGATCACGGGCCTCTTCTGCGCGATCCGCTCGCTCGCGTTCTCTATCTGCTGCACAAACGAGCGAACGCTTTCCCATTGGACACAGGGTTTGAGGAGCGCGATCTCGCCCTTGATGACATAAATACCCAACAGAAAATACATTCCGGAGAACAAGTCGAGAGATTTCGATCGGTCGATACTACCTGCATACAACGCGGTAACGCCTGTTCCACTGGAAGCGGTCGCTGCGATCACTCAGCTTCGAGTCCATGATTCTTTCCCGTGCAAACAGAAGAGACGCAGATGCGCTGAGAACGCTTTCCATGAGAGATATCATATTGGAGCTGATTACCGTTTCGTCGATGACACAGAGGGGGATTTGTTTCGAATGAAATCGATTATTTGACGCGGAAAGGTAGGTATCGGCATGAGTGTGCGAACTGGTTGTCAAAGTATGATGTCGAATTTTTCGTCGTCAATCCAGTGGCGCGAGTAGCTGGGCTTACGAATAGCCGGGTGACAAAAAAATCGAAGTTTTGAAGAACGCATGATTTGAGCATCCCACAGTTATGAAATGAGAAAATTGGCGGCTTGTGCGTATGCATTGGATCACGAAATCGGTCATTTTACGGAACCAGGTTCGAGGGCGTCGCGAATCGTCCTGATTCCGGTGTAGTCACGAAATCTAGCGCCAAAGCGTCGCAGGAGATACTCCAGAACGACAATCGAGCGCCTTGAAACTTCGCATGCGTCCGTAAGCCCTCATCGCTGCGCTTAGAATGTCGAGGTTGAACATCTAAAACAACACTCAAAAGTAAATCGAAAGCAAGGAACAGCATGCACAGATCAGTGTTGCGTTTTAAAATGACAGGGGTGTCGGCAGCGCCGCGGAGCGCGCAACGCCAGCACTCGGGCTTTTGCCCCGCCAACGTAAAAGCAAACAGCCTCGGGGGTCGTTACGAGCCCTTTGAAGGCTTGTCGCTCACATCCTCCGATCGGCGACCTGCCCGGGCTGTTTCCTCCTCGTTGGTATTCCCGTAGGCAGCGCTCGTCGAGGTATCGCCGCGAATGATCATGCCTTGTTGCGTCGTCGTCACACTCCTGGGGCGCGCTTCGCCCCCGGGGGGCGTCGACGCCTCGCTGCGCTTTGCGGTCACACCACCGGCACCATTCCCTGACCCATTCGAGCCGCCGGTGGCGGTGTTGCCCCCACCACCAGTGCTGGGTGCAGCGACGCCACCAAGAGCGCCCGCAGGGCTCTTGGGCTCTCGGACGTAGCCATGACTGCCGTTGCCACCCTGGCCGATATCGCGCAATTTCTTGCTCGATGCTCTGTCCACGGACGATTCCGAGCCGCTTTCGGAGGTACCAGATCCGCTAGTGTAACCAGCAGTCGTTGTAGAACCAGGCGAGACGTTCTTCGTGGCAGCCTCGCCCCACGTCGACGGACCTGTTGCCTCCATCGGAGGCGCTGGGCGATCGCGCCCAAGCTCGGGAACCGGAGCCCCAGTGCGATTCAAGTGATACTCCACAGGTGCCGCGCCAGCTCTGTACTCCTGCTCCATATCCATGGGTCGCAAACGAGCACCGGCTCCGTAGATATCGGGATTGGTTCCGTCGCGAAGATCACGAACCAGCGTTGTAGCGAGGCGGGCCCCATGTTTTCGCAGAATTTCATGGATTTTCAGCATGATATCCTGCTGCGTTTTCATGTACGACTCAAGGAAAACCTGTTTTGTGTAGCAGCTCAACCAGATATTACAGCTGAATTCCGTAAAGCCTTCCACATAAACCATTCGGTGCTGCTTGGGGTCCAGATCCGGATGCGACATGAGCATCGTACGGATCTCATCCACCACGGTCTTGACGACATGCATATCCTCAATGCGCAAGTGGAGCGTTTTCTTGATTCGACGATTCGTCATCCGTGAGGGATTCTCAATAATCAAGGTGGAAAATTTTGAATTCGGAATGTACAGAGGACGCTTCTCCCAGGTTCGCACTCTTGTCAGATACCAGCCAATGTCTTCGACAAAGCCATCGATGGGGTCGTCTTCGTTGATGCTGCGAATCCATTCACCCACCGTAAAAGGACGGGTTAAATAGATCATGAATCCCGAGAAAAAGTTCGAAATGACTTCGCGACCTGCGAAACCGATTGCGACACCACCGATACCACCGAAGGCTAAGACGGCTTGTATGTTCACGCCAAATGTATCCAAACTGATCAGCAGTGCGACAACGACAGTGGCTACACTCACGATGCGGCTCACAGCGTCCACTTGGGCCTGGTCGATACCCCGCCGTTGCGACTCTGGCGCTCGCAGGAAGCGGAGGCGGATCTTGTTCACCCATCGCAGGACGAACATGGTTGTGGCGATGATAATGCCGAGCTCACGCAGCGGGTGCAGGTACTTGATAATGCCAGTCGCTGCCAAAGGACGCGAGACCGCTTCCGCCATGTAGGTTCCCAGTAGAGTCACTGCAAAGATCTCAAGCGGTCGCTGCATGCTTTCGAAGACTGAATCCTCGAAAGGGAGCGTCGTGCCTTTGGGGTCGACCGACTGGAAGCGCTTGTAGAGCCAGCGAAGTGAGCGGTTCACACCATACCGCAGAAGAATCAAAAGTGCGACAACGAGGCTCAGTCGTGACAAAAAAGCACTCCAGTTGCGCGAAAATAGCATATACCAGAGCCAACCCATAACCGGCGCAGTCAGGGCACGGATTCGCTCATGCAGACGCATAGGGTGCTCGAACGTGCTCTCTGGACTGAGAGAGTCAGGGAGTTCATGGACGCCCGAACCAGAGCCATCGCTGTTCGCACCTTCTGGGTCAGCGTCTGGTAAAAGATCAGGTGGAACCATTTGCTTATCCGCAAGGATCGAGCCCCTGTCCTGCCAGCTGCTGCGCTGGTCTCTGATTGGGTCCGTACCTTCCCGCAGTTGCTGCGTTGCTTTCAGTTGCCCAGGTGTGCTTTGCTCCGGCTCGACTGGTAGCGACGACCTTCTTGGCATACCCCAGCGCGGTATTCGCAGGCGAATAGGGCGCCGAGGCGCACTTCGCGCCTCCTCCAAGTTCAAATTCGGCAGTGTAGCGCTGCCGCTCGCTGACTGTTCAGCAGGATTACCCGATAGAGCCTTGTCAGCTTTCTCAAGAGACCGAATCCGTTCGCGAGCGACGTACTCCTCTTCGTAACTTCGAACAGAGCCGGCGTTTGCGTGGAGAAATACAGCCTCCACGAAGGCAGCGTCCCACGCTGGCAGCGCTACAAAGCTCAGTGAGAGCACGCTCCTTCGAGCGTTCACTGCGCTAACCCGCAGCCTCTTTCTCCCGCTGACGCACCGCCAACGAGCGTCGAAGGACCCAAACCGCACTGGCAACGCCCAGGCACTGGACGGCTTTTCCTCGATGAACGTCGTCTTTCGAGTTGGCGCACCCAGCGCTACGAGCGTAAAACCGCAGCGACTCGTCTGCTGACGAACACGGCCTTGCCGCACTGTAGGTTCCTCCATGACCAGCGTGATACACCTGCTTCTATGCGGAAACGCACAGAAAGCGTCCCCCTGGTGCTAGGTACAAGTTTAAACGACAACCAAGCCCGCAACAAGCACCAGTTCGAACGCTAGCACGCCCTGTACGATACGTTGTCGGGCTGTTTCCACGTACACGTGTCGCCTGCGCGTGGCCGCTCCAAGAATGGCATCCAAATCGGCATTCGCAGTGCGCGATCTGCTGCACTGCAGCGACAGCTGGCTGCTACCTTCGCGCGTGTTTGACAACTCGAGCGTCGATACTTGTTGGTGTAGTCACTGGTACGCTGGCTGGCTGGCTGGCTGCAATTTATAGTCTTTCAACGCTGTTTTATTTGAGCCGTGCTGCGGCGTATATAGCAGGAGATGGACATCACAGTGCAATAAACAGTAAAAATCGTAGACGACTTGCTTGTAGGATACGTATTGTATACGGAACAGGGCGAGGAGGACTGCATGCCACTCCCATGTCAGTCATAACACACTGCGCAGACGCTTGCGCACCACTGAAAGAATGAAGCATATGCGCTCCGTGCCAGACTGCGAACCCCGGGAGCGCGCCCGTCTATCCGCAGTGATCTGCAATCCACGGCACTGTGGAGACACAGGTAGCCTGACGTCTCTCCATCCATGCTCTCTTTCAAGTCCGTAAGCAGCTTGATTCATCGATGTAGTCTCAGTAAGCAGGGCATAAACGACTGTTCCAGCACCAGACGCTACTGTAGCGCGCATACCAGGGGCGGCGGCTATTGCGACTACGGCGGCGGCGCCAAACGCTCCCGTCAACGTCGCCAATCCGATGCGATCGACAGACGCCTTCGCTAGGCAGGTTTGCCGACACCGTCGCGGGGGCTACTTTCAACCTTCAGTTGAGCACTTTACGACCAGTTGGCGTGGGCGATCACCAGTGTGGCCGTTGTTTCAAGAACTGAAGACGATCTGTGCCAACATCATCACCGCCGTCACCATCAGTACACCTACGATTGCTGCAATCACCAGTTGAGGGTCGTTGTGCTTCGAACAGCGCGCTCCGGGAGCGCGCTGTTGCTGCCCCATGACAACCATCGAAAACAATGTGCGGCTTACGTTTCGTGGTGCAATCTCCAAAGCTCCCACACGGCACGGGATCGTGCGGACAAAAGTAGTGTGCACGCTTGGTCCCGCGACACGTTCGAAGCAAACGATCGCTGCGCTGCTCAGCGCTGGCATGAACGTCGTGCGGCTGAACTTTTCCCACGGCACGCATGACTACCACGCCGGGACGATATCCATGCTTCGTGAGGTTCTCGCTGAGACCAAACGTACCTGTGCAGTCATGTTGGATACGCGCGGTCCCGAGATTCGGACGGGTCTTCTCTCTGAAGAACTCCACGGTGAAGTTGCCTTGAAAGCAGGGCAAACCTTTACGCTGTATAGTAATCTGTCTGATCCTCAACGGCAACGCGGCAACGCAAAAGGAGTCTTCCAGAGTTGCCGAGATCTGAGCAGCATTCTCTCTCCTGGCGCGCAAGTTCTCATTGATGACGGTCTGATCGCTCTGACCGTGGAAGAGGTGTGTGCGGATCAGGTTCACTGCCGAGTCATGAATGACGGCGTTCTCGGTGAGCGCAAGGGAATCAACCTGCCTGGAGCAACCTATAACCTACCTGCACTGACGGAGCAGGATATGCAGGACATTCTCTTTGGCATCGCGCAGGGTGTGGACTTTGTGGCCGCCTCGTTCATTCGCAAGCGCATTGACGTTGAGCAGATTCGCTCGTTCCTCAAAGAACATGGCGGTTCCGCAATTCAGATCATCAGCAAAATCGAAAACCAGGAAGGGTTAGAAAACTTTGACGATATCCTGGAAGCCAGCGATGGAATCATGGTCGCTAGGGGTGATCTCGGTGTAGAGGTACGCCTTGAGCTCGTTGCAAGCGCGCAGAAGCATATGATCAGTAAATGCAACGTGGCGGGCAAACCAGTCATCACCGCGACTCAAATGCTGGATTCCATGATCAAGAACCCGCGGCCAACCAGAGCAGAAGTTAGCGATGTTGCGAATGCAGTTTTCGACGGCACCGATTGCGTCATGCTGAGCGGCGAGACAGCCAAAGGTCTCTATCCGGTGCAGGCAGTCCAAACGATGGTGAATATCTGTATGGAGGCGGAGCGTGCCCTCGACCACGCTGCCGTCTTCCAGGCGATCCGCAACTTTGCCCGCAGTCATGAGCTGTCGGTCACCGAAGCGATCGCATCTTCCGCAGTGAAAGCAGCGTATGACCTCAAGGCAACCATGATTCTCTGCCTCAGTGAGACTGGTAGAACTGCGCGGCTCGTGTGCAAGTATCGTCCCAGTTGCCCGTGTCTGGTGCTCACCTCAAACGAGCTCACCGCGCGGCAATGTCTGCTCTCTCGAGATTGTTTTCCCGTCGTCGTTGGGAGTATGATCGGTACAGAGAGTCTCATCGCTCGGGGTCTGCAGACTGCACGCGCCAGTGGCATCGTTGCCACCGGTGACTTGGTGATACTTATTTCGGGAATGCGAGAGGGCGTCTCTGGATCAACGAACCTCCTGCGAATCATCACTGTCGAGGCATAGAACAAGGCGAAGCGTAGGCGAGTGTTCACCGTTGCGTTCCTGAGCCTCAACCCGAGCATCCCTGAGGTGTAAAGCGAAGTGAGGCCCTAGTGCAAATAGGTCGCTTCAAGCGAACAGCGGCAGTTCGATGCGTGTCCGGTGCAGGCGACATTTTCCCGAACCGTTCTACGCTACTCAGAGAGGTTTGAGTGAGCGCTCGACGTCTCTGGAAAGCGCGTCCATAGAGGGAGCGCGGTGCTCTCAGGAGCGGAAGCGAGCAAGACCCCAGACGGTAAGCTGCCGACACCACGCAGGTCGATTCGGCTTTTTGCAGAACGCACTGGAGAGCTTTCGAAGTCAGCCAGCACAAGGCATCTGCGAGTGAAACCGAACCCAGGGTACACTGCGTACCAACTTCATCGTTGGAACTACGCTGCCGAGCCGTGGCACCAGCACCAGCACCAACAGCACTGGCAGCGCCCGCGTAAGTCGCTCTACAACAAGCAGTACCGGCAGTCGTTGTTGCGGCAGCTCAGCGACGTCAACGACGGTGCGCTGCGTCCCCGGACAAGGGCGGTACGGTAGACCTTCGGGTTCCGGTATCGGTGCCGGATATGCATAGTACCGCTGTTGCGTGCGGTTCCCTGAAACGTAAGCGGGTCTTCGACACCGACCAATAACAGAGGGCTGGAACCCCGCGACCGAAGCGCACATGGCTCGCACCAGTGCTCCGATACACAGCTGCAGCTGACCGAAGTTGGCGGTCTCGAGCCTAATTCAGAGACACCCTCCACGTAAACGAGTGCATCACCGCTACCCAGACGGTGTCGTGCGACAGGGCCATGAATGAGGTTCAGCGGGCAACCGCGGCACTCACACGGACCCAAAACGACGTTTCAGGTGCGTTGTACTACACGCTGAGCGGTCATGCGCCCCGCAACTGCTGGTACGCACCGAGCAGAATATCGTTGCATGCTACGTGTTTATTCACAAAGCCACCGCTGGCTACGGCGTGGCGATTCTATGTCCCGAGCAGCGCCAAAGCAACCCGTGCTCGAGAAACAACATGCACCGACACAGGCCAGGTGCTCGGATTCGCATCACATGCGGTATTCGTGCACGAGTATCCGCAAGTGGAACGCGACACCGTCAGGGTAGGCGAACGCGTGTAGGTTCACCGGATTCGGTGCGAAACGTCGCCTGGCAAGCTGCACTAGGTGGCAACAGTGTCAACAAGACGCTGTTGCGAGATTCGGAGGCGTATTGGATGAATGCCGTCGTGGCTCGCGAAAACGAGCTAGGATTCCGCCGAATGATCCGTTGCAAGTTGATGCCATTTGCAGACTTGCCTCGAAACGATGCTAGAGAATACCATCCACTCGTATCGTCCGTGCATGCACGTGCAAGCTGCCTCGTGCACCTACTAGACGAAAATCATTGCTTGATTTTGAAGCTGCTGTTGTTGCCGTTCCTGAAATTCGATGAACTGTTTGATGGCCGCAGCCATGGGCAGCAAAAGGAATCTCAGCAACGGAATCAGTGGCAGTAGCGGAATCGCAATAATGGTACCGATCAGAGATATCCAGTAGAGCGCGATGAAGACGCCAAGCCACCTGGCAGACTGGACGCTGACGGCACGAAGGCCTATAATGTCAATGACGATGTTGGTGCCACACACGACTCCGTCAATTATAGTGCTCTGCAGATTGCTGACGTCGTGCGCAATCAGCGCATCAAGCCAAGTAATGCTAAGCAAGACAAAAAAGATCGCATCAAAGAGCAGCAGAATTCGAAACGCGCGAACGCGTCTCTCATGCATTTCAAGCTCAGCAACACTCAAGTCGAAAGCGTCGGGATCACCGGTTGCCATGGCCTCGTCATGCGAAGCGTCCCTGATGAAGAGCGAACGGAACTGCATCGCTGCCATGCGCAGCCGAGATTGCTCTGCAGCTTGACGCTGCTCTTCGGTACGGAGCTGCTCCTTGCGCTCCAGCGCTTCTCGATTCACTGCAATGGCATAGGATTGATCCGGCTGCGACACCAGTCGATGCGCGTGGATTTCCCAGCTGTACTGTGCCGACAAAAAGTCACCAATGGCTGCGCTGAGCATTTCTGGACCTTCTTCATCCTCTGGGTCCAACTCGACATCCGCAGGGTTGTTTGAGGGCCCCGGCTCCCTGCGCAGCGCGTCATAGGGCTGGGGCGTGAGCGCGCTCCCGCTCGTTGTGGGGTCCAGCGGTCGCCGCCATCGAAAAAGCCGCCTCCAGAGACGCTTCCAAGTCCATCGCTTTGGACGTACTGCTGCGTTAAAAAGCACTGGTTCATGGGTGACACCTTGCTCTAAATCCAGCGTTTCGGCGTGATCGAATGGAGCCAGCTCGTTTGGATCCTGGCCTCGGATAGGGACACCTTCGGAAGGAGCATCCTCGGGTGCGGGCTCAATCTCCAGCGTGTTGTCTCCTGCGGCAGTTTCCTGGTGTGCGAACAAACCAAAGTTTCCCTGTGTGGCGTTCTCAACTTTCGCAGGCTCCTTTCTTCGGCGTACCACAACACCATCCGGTTGCTGGGGAAGCGGGTCGTAGCGTCTGCTACGCCGACTAATCCTGGAACGCTGGTTCGCCGGGCGCTGGCGACCTTTCGACCGCGTCTGCGTTGACGTCCCGTCCACATCGACACCCTCAGAAGCGAACTCGCTCGCGCCTTGGTGCACAAACTCCAGGTCCTCGACGTTGTCGTCGTTGTCGTCGTCGTCAGCGTTATCAAAATCATCGTCAACGCCAGCGACGTTGCTCCAATCTTCCGCCGCGGCAAGTGAAGTCGAGCCTGCGGCACTAGGCTCGTTTGCGCCTAAATCAGGAGTGGATCCGTACTCAACGCATCCTGGTTCGGAGCATGACCCCGTGGGTCTCGGGAGAGACCAGCCTTGCCCTGCTTGATCCCATTTGGGCTCTTTGTCTGGGCCCTTGTCCGAGCTATCGTCCCCCATGCAGCAGGGTTATTCGCTCAAAACTGCTGCAGCGTCTGGGGCCAGTCTGGGCTAGGCGCACGTCGATTGCAGGGTGTCACGGGCAGCGCACCGATGCCGCCCCGAATCCATCCATCCAGGCAGGCAGGCAGCTATCCAGGCAGGCAGGCAGGCAGCCATCCAGGCAGCCATCCAGGCAGCCAGCCAGCCAACGCTTCCATACACCGCGTATCGAGTGATGCGGGCAGGCATCGCGGCTACCGCAGTGCATGCTTTGCAGGGGGGCTAGACAATCCTCCACCGACTCCGTGGAGCGGTAACTGAACTATCAGCATGGACTGGGCGGCACAGACACTACATCCTGGACGAGCATAGTTGGTAGCGTTGGGTGCACGTTTGCCGGCGAGATCGCTGCTTCATCAGTTGTTGTGTTTGCGGGTATATCGCTAATAATCAGCGTTGTGGACAAGGAAGCGGGTGCGCACTGACCCGAAGCCCTGGTAGGTTGGCGTTCACGTCGCGTTTGCAGGTATATCGCTATCAATCAGCGTTGTGGACAAGGAAGCGCGTGCACACTGACTCGAAGCCCTGGTTGGTTGATAGTGCCGGCAGCGCTCTTTGCAGCGACTCCTGGCGTGGAGCTTGCCCTCGGCGTTTAGACGGCACACAGGAGCAGTATGGATGCCCAGGCAGTATGCGTGCACCCGTTAGCGCTTCTGAGAGTATCGGAAACCTACACACGGTCCCTTGAGCGGCTCTGTGCCGGGGCCCGGGGAGCCTCTAGTGGCACCCAGGCTACTGGGCGTGTGGTGACACAGGGGCTTGTCTTTGGAACGAGGCCGGACTGGCCTGCGGAGACGGCCGTGCTGCATCTTCAGTGTGCCGCTGCAGTTTCAAGGTCTTGTTGTTGGCGCATTATGGCTGTAGCGGAGTGTGTACCTTTCACGCCACACCATATTGAACGCGTCTATCAGGCGGCGCGTCTGATGTATCGGGAAATGACGCTTCTCGGATGGTACGCAGCTGGAAGCGCGAGTGCAAAAGACGAATCGACAGCATTAGACGCTAGTCAACTAAGCGTCGACGCCGCGATCATGCATGAGTTTGTAGAAGAGGCAATCTGGTTGGATGTCAAGTTTGCGACGTTGACTCGGGAAGAAGACGGAGTTGTTGCTACTGCTGGTGCTGCGGCATCAGCGGATCCTAATGTGCGAGTCTGGCTGATAGCTCCACGTTCAGAAAACGACGGCAAGGAGGTAGCGGCGGGGGCAGCGGAGGTTGCTTGGGTGCCGCGGACACACACCATTAAGCAGTGGGAGGAGTTTCTCGGCAGCTTACACATCAGACAGCTTTCTCTGCTCGTCGAGGAATCCGAAGCCGAGCGATACGTCATTCAAACGCTTTTTTGGGGCTCGTCGTCATCACATTCGAATGCTGGTCGTATTCACGCGGGGACTGAAAGCGACGATAAAGAATCATTGGGCGCAGATGTTTCCGCACCTGGGCACGACCAACCGTCGAGGACTCGGGACGCTACCGACACATGCGCGACAGCCGCACGCGTTTTTTCTGAACGCATCATTCCGACTGCGCTGCGCACCGAAAGCTGCCCGAACGTCCAGGGTGTCAAACATGCACAGGCAGTCAGTACAGCTGATTCGACGGAGGATTGCGTTAGCGAGCCAGCCTCGGATTCTTGGAGCCAAAGCGAGGTCCTCAGCATGGCGCTGTCGCTAGCGTTGCGCAGCGTACAGGACTCGGTGAGCTGCAGCCGCCTCTACGCAGAGCTCTGCGCTCTCGAGCAGTCTGTCTGTGCGCTCGAAGAGTGTGTGCGCGGCGCTCGATCCTTTGTGCAGGAGCTGCAGAGCCATCAAACCTCGGCGCAAACGAATGTTAGTCTATCCGAACAAGATGCTCAGCGATGGTCACGCCTGCGACGCATCCTGGTCGCCTTGCCGCCCTATGAGGCATCAGCTGTAGCAGCCGATCGTCGAACAGCATCCCAGCCGATACTCGACGGCTTGCACCGAAGCCTAGCCATAGAGGCACTCTGCAGCGAGGTCGCTGGTTTAGGAGCCCTGTATGACCGCTGGCAGCAGCTGCAGCAGGAGCAGCGACCGCCGACCACGGCAAAAACCGGGAATCGTACACCAACCTGAGCGCATTCGGTCGTATTCCAAAATCATGAGACGGCCCACTCGGGGCATTTTACCTTCTAAGCGGTAGGCCCCGTGAACCGGACGAGCATGCAGGTCATGCGCTTCGTGATCCTCTGCACTAGTGCATGCCGAGCCAAGGCCTGCATCGCCAAACAGCGACGCATGCCGCATACAATTACGAAGCGGAAACTCGGTCCGCAGGATTCGTTCTAGCACCTGATTTTCTTCAGTATGACGAAGGCAGGCTTGCATACGCCTACTGTTGCAGCACGAACGGACGACGAGACCGTATCCTCGTCGGATGAGCGGCGCCTCTGGCGGACGTCCTCAGCGACATAACGAAGCCGTTCCCTCTGGACATTCTATCGGTACCGACGCTGGCAGCGTCCCAGGGGGCGCTCACGATAGACTCCGCACCGGATGGAACCAGCGAAATGACCAATATCTCCGAGGGCAGACATGGGTCCCGGAACTCGGTGGCAAGGCGTGGAGCCTCGGATGCCTTCCCGAACGCAGATACCCATCGCGGAATCGAGGCATCACGGTTGGTGTACACACGATCCTACATCGAATCTTTAGCCCTTCAAAAAACCAAAAAGGCTTCCACGGCACGGTGCCCAAATTTGGATGTGTTGCACTATATCAAGCACCAATGCGCGCTTCAAATTCGCACGATAGCACACAAGTGAAAGCTTGCACGCATCGGAGACAGCAGATCGGACACGTGGCAGGATGCATGCAATGCCGCAGCCTGCGATGCGTGTCGCCATCGACGTGCATGCCAGTGCGGAATCGCAGGAGAACACGTGTCCTTGGAATGCACGCTGGGGTTGAAGAAAGAAGCAGCGGTGCAAAGCGTTCAGACTCGGAAAGTAGGGATGTTTGGGGTCTGCGACAACGGCGACGTCACGGTGCACGCTTCATAGGTCGTGTGCGAGCCGCGCGTGCTCTCGGGCAGTCCGCAAGAACATAGACGCGGTAACCGGGTGGTTTCCGGATTTGCTCGGCTTGAACTGAAGCAGACGCTTGTAGTGCAGGTTGACATGCATAATGCGAGGTCGCGTGTTGGCGCTCGAGGCAAAGCTAGAGCAGACGATTGAGCTTCAGAACCCGAGCGCGTGATTTTAGCGACTCCGCGGTTCTTTTTGGGTGAAAACGACCGTGTTTGAGAATACGCGACCACGAGCCGTAGCCGAAGAGATCGATCCCCTTTCGCAGTTCGGCATCTTCTTCGGCTGTGAAGTGGACTTTGGCAAAGCTGTTCAAAGGCGGTGGTGGCTCCGGGAGGGTCCCAATCTGGGATATCAGCTGCTCCGCTCGTTTCCGAACGGACTGGTAGCTCCGATGCGGTTCCTGTAGCCGGTCCTGAATACGATTCAGGATGAGTCGCCAGTGGCCCACGCCACAGGCCCGAATGCCGTCAAGTAGCGCCTCGTCCTCTTCGGGGGTGTATCGAACGAGGGGGCCGAGCTTGATGCCGCCCTCATTTGATAAAGGAAGTTCATGACCGCCTCTGGTCGCCGGCTTCGTTGGCTGCGGGGAACCAGGTCGCGTCATAGGTGCCTGTGGCTGCGACGTAGGACGAGCTGGCTGTCTCCCGCCCGCATCTGACTCGAATGCCGGCGCAACAGGCTCATGCACACGTTTCCGCCGTTTGTGCTCCGATACCTTCTCCTGTGTAGCGACATATTCATTCGTGGTCAGTGATGAAGGGTGTCGGAATAAGCGCGCCCCTTTTGCAGCAGGCAGACGGGGTGCGGCTTTTCCTCTCTGCCTTTTTTCATCTGGTGCGTTGTATCGCAAGGCCTCCGCAATGGCATCATCTGTCGGATCCACCTGTTTCGCAGCAGGTTCCCGGTCTTGGTCCGCGGCTGGTGTCGGAACTCGCGTTCTCGACTTCACATGCTCGGTTTGCTGTTGATCCACCGTCGACGACGCTTCCTGAACCCGCGTTGACGATCCTGTGCGCCCATGCTGCGCAAACGCTTCATCCAGCGCAGATTCAGCGTGTTTTGTTCCACGAGGTGCTGGTGGTACCGCAGCGCTGGCTGGCGGCGTCGACGTTTGCGACCTCGAAGCGCTCTTCTTGGTCGCGAGCGCGGTGGTCTGTGCCGCTTGCTCACCAACTGCAACAGCTACTGGGGCAGGTCGTATTTCCGCTCTTTTTCCCGGTGATCGCGAAAGGTTCTCATTCCCGGTTTGCGTCCTCTGCGGCCGTGCAGTCGTCTCAGAGAGTGCTTCGGAATCGAGTCTCGACGGAGATGCGGCTTCATGCCCATGCGGATTCGCAGCGTTGTGCCTTTCGAGCATCGCAAGCGCTTCCAGCGCTGCAGTCAACGGTGGCTTTCCAAGCCATTCAAGAAGCGCTTCCACATACTCCGTGGCCATTGGGAGCAGGCGGTCCTCTGGAAAAAGCGATGTCGCCAGCTGTCGCTGATCCAGACCAAGATACTTGTTGGCAGAAGCCGACGATTTCTTCGCCTTCGAGGAAGACTTTTGCGAAAGCGGACTATGCTTTTTCGCGAATATCGCTTCCAACTCGTGCAATCTCACACGCGCCAGACCGGATGCGTACGATGGATCCTCCTGCACGAGTTCTTCTAAAGGTTCCAGGTCTACCTGCCAGGTTCCACGGTTTTGCAACCGCTCCATTGCGTCCATGAGCACATATTGGGTGAGTAGTTCCAACATAAACCGCTGGAACAGATCCTGACACTTCTCGAATGAGCGCGGATGCGATGAATGGATGACATTCGCCACTTCGAGAACCTGGTCTGAACTTTCGAAAAGTGGATTTAATCGGAAACGATCCCTCAAGTACACCACCATTGTTCGCGCATGAAGTCGCTCGAGATATACAGAGCCTCCAGCGTACTCATGTAGGTGCGAAACCGCCTCATCTGCCGCTAGTGCCCGCCGAAGGAGCAGGGTTCCTATCGGTTCGTGCGCAGCGAGCTCCTCGAGCGACGCTGCAACCTTGTCTGCCTCGTTCATGACTGTGCAGTCGTCCTTAGCTTCCATGGAGCGTGCTTGTTAGAAAACGCACCAAAAGCAGAGGCCCAACGCCAGCAACACAGTCGACGCGCAAGTTGCGTGCAGCCGCTGTCACCGCAGCACCTGACACGAACTACTAGCAAGACTTGATGAAATCTGCGCGGTGCAGACTGCGCAGCAAACACTAGAAACCCACGATGCAGCTTCCCTTGTCTGTCTGTGTGTGTGTGTGTCCAGCAACTACGCGGATGACGCTGGCCTCCCCTGGGAAAGAAAAAGAACACTCCACCACCGAACTCGAACCCGCTACGGAATCAGTGACAGGTCCCAAGCCTATATCCACGATGAAAGATGTCAAGAAACTACGTTCCAGTGACTGGCACCAAGTCGCTCGAGTCTCTCTACAGAGCGCCCACAAGTACCGCTCGATCTATGAGCTGTTTATCGATCCCGGAGGTCGCCGCTCGCGCGCAATTCTGCGATTCGAAACCGCCTCGCGCCAGTGGGGCGAAACGGACGCTGCCACGTACCAGCGCTCAGGTCTGCTGCGAGATATTCACGAGAAGTGAGCCATGGGTTCAAAGATATGAGCCGGAGATATTTCAGGTGGAGCGGTCACACTTGGACTTCAGACATGCGCTTCAGAACTGCTGATTTAAACGGCAGTGAACTTGTTCCACGATTGGCGTTCGTACTATCGACGGTTTGGCGACCGGGTTGCAACTCGTGTTACGCGAGTGAGCGCACGGCCTTGTACAGCCATGTGAGACGAAGGCTTCGACTCCAGAGGGTTTCCAGCAGCACACTTGTTATACCGCCGCGGACCAACTTTCTTCGGGCGTACATTGTTTCTAAGGCTGAATTTGAAAGGGACGAGGACGGCTCACGGCTTGCTTTCCGACTCCCGTTTGCTCGAGACCTTGACGAGGCCCTCAACTCGCCGGCCTACGAGCTGGTGCTCACCGGCATGGTCGTTACGGTCTCGGCGCTGTACGCTTTGGAAACGCTCCCACAGCTATCCTTAGAGTTGCGGGAGCTCTTCGTGCGAATTGAGGCAGTTATCTCCGGGGTTTTCGTCATAGAGTATCTGTTGCGTTTTTATTCCCAGGGACTGGACCCCCGATACCTCCTGAGGAAAGCCATGTTACTAGATTTTATCAGCATATTCCCCTTTTTGATTGCTCAGGGTTTGATGAATGATGCTTTTGAGCTACAGTTCGTGCGGCTGCTGCGCGTGCTGCGCATCTTGCGCCTCGAGCGACTCGTCGAGGAGGATACGTTTCGGCGCTTTTTCCTCGGGCGCGCCGATGCTGCCTACGCGGAATACAAACTTCGAATCGCCCAGATTGTTTTCACGCTCGCCAGCATCATTTGGGTAACGAGTGGTTTGATATACGATGCTGAACATGGCGCAAACCCACAGTTCCAAACATATTTTGATGCACTCTACTTCTCCATCGTCAGTTTGACGACGGTTGGACTCGGTGATTTAGCACCACGTACGCCGCTTGGAAAACTGACGATATCCCTGGCGATTCTCGTGGGTGTTGCCATTATTCCTTTCCAGCTTGGTCAACTGGGAAGGGCGCTTTTCGCAACAGAAGGAGGCTCGGAACATGGACCCGATGACCCTGCCGCCTTTTTCGGACGAAACGCACGCCCGGTTGAGTGCCAGCGCTGCGGCCAGAAGCGGCACAGCTGGGATGCGCGCTACTGTCGAATCTGCGGAGAGCGCTTGCCGAAAACTGTGAGTAACGGTGCGAATGGCTCGGTCGCAACATCATCTAATGACAAGCCTGACAAGTCGCCAGATACTATCAGGGAATCCTGATCGATGTATCATCCGCTGTGGGAGAATGACAAGCATGGTTAGCTACCTTACTGAATCAATGGAAGATGCGTTGATCGAGGACGCCACAGCGTTCCTGAGCGGTTTCCAGAGCAATGGCCCTCGCGACATCCTCACGTGCTTTGATTTGCTCTAGATACCGCGGTTTGTCTCGTAGTGTGCGACGTGCTTCATGGATTTGCGCATATCGCCACGGTGCGATGGTTAATACACGAACTGGAGATGCCTGACGAGCTGGGCGCGGAACAGACTCGATCGCCTGCTGTGATTTTGAAAGAACATGGTGCGGATACTTCCCCGGAGACGTCGGCGTCTCCTGCCTTGCGTGTCAACCGGGTCCGCTGCGCCTACCGCTGGGGTCATGAAAGGCTTCTGAATTGCCGCCGAGTAGATGCTGCGTCGCCATAGGCAGGCAGCGCAATTCTGTGGGGCTCTGATCGATCAAGTTCCGCCCAGACGCGGCAACAAATGCGGCGCGCTAACCCGCCGCGCTTTTGGGTACCGCCAGCTGCGGCAAACAAACTGAGTGGTTTGCAATCTGGCACCTAGTTGATGATGGCGTGACCGTGCGTCGATTTGACTACACGAAGAGTTTCGAGATCTGGTATCTCCTATGGCGCACGCCGAGGCGCAAGGATCGGAAAATGCTTTACGCTGCAAAAAAATCGGTGAAGACACGTTGACAGTCCTATGCCTTGAGTTGGAAAGCTCTCTTAGACCCTGGTCTTGAACATATTAGTTTCCCTTTTGTTATCTCTCTTGGTATGGATGCTTCAGTCGCGCCGCACGCAGCGCACGAGCGCCTGATTAGCAGGCATCCCCCGGGCAAGTGCTTTCGTGTTCGACGCACCGCTCTCGATCGTCGCCGTGTGAACCCTGCCGGGCGTGCCGTAATAGCGCCATTTCACGACGACGCCGCTGGAGCGCTTCTCTAAACTCTGGGTCGAATAACCGCATCCGCTGCTTTTCGCCAGCTGCTAAGCGCTGATTCATCCAGTGAATGCGGTCGGCTCGCATCTGACGATGCTTCTCCGAGCGCTTTGCGTTCGACTGCGCGTAAGCAATGAGCTGTCTTGCGCGGTTCTCATCGACCAGCGTGATGCTTTCGACGGGTCCCGCCCGACGACACTTGGATGTTGCTTGCTTGACGAGTTTGCCATGAGCGGAGCCAGTCTGATTTGTACCCAACTGTGCCGATGCCTCTGTAGGAGACGAATCGTGGTTGGCTTCTGCCCTGGCGAGCGCCGCAGCGACACGCCGCTTGCGACTGAGAGTCCGCCGCCGGGCCTCAAGAACACGATGGCGATAGAAGGGGTCCGCCCATCGGCGACGGGCTGCCATAGAACGGACATTCCGAAAATGGTAAGCAGAACTGATAGGTGTGCTGACGCCGCCTCCGCTGTGCAAAGCGTCCGCGGAAGACGTGCCGCTAGTCCGCACCGAGGCGACCAGTGGCGACGCCGTTTCACCCGTGGCGCTCGGAGTCGTCTTGCGGCGGTTGATCACGACCAACGACCGCGCGCTCGTTCGAAATGGGTTGGATGCGAAGTTACCAGGCTGCACTATGGTCAGAGATGCGGATGTGACGCCGTTGTTCCCAATAGGGAGCAGAGCGTGCGATGTTTTGTGATGCTTCAATTTCAGCACCGTCGACACAAATCTGGACATAATTTCGCGTGGAGCCTCATCGCCTCGGTGACTTGCCGTTGAGCTGTGCTCGGCAGCGCCGTTGAGCCCCGATGAATATTGCAACCCCGATGCGCAGGTGGATGACACAAAACCCTGCGCGGCTTCGGTGCACCGAGCGCGGCGTTGCAGCACGGAAACGCCTGAGAGATCAGCAAGCATCGTTAGAGCTGAGTACGCTACAGCGCTCTGCATACGCTTCAGAGGACGATACAAGTGCCAAACGCGTCGTCCCTGTGGTCGGTAGCACTCTGGGAACAGCGTTTCCAACGAATGCGCACCTCGCGCACGGCCGCAGCCCCGTCGCCAACCCTGGAGTGCTGTTGTGAACGCGAGCGAGTGTCCCGCTGGTATGCCGCCTTCGCCACCGTCATCGAACTGAGTGGTTATCAGGTTATTTGAAGGCGCAGCCAAAGTCAGCGTGATATGTTGCAGGCTCCATGTAGCGTTTTGGTACGCTGAGACTCCGTTGCCCGAGAGCGCGCAGGTACTCTCCCATGGCCTCGGCAGTGACATAACAGAGTCGACGCAGCCTCACAATCCGTAACCGGGAAAGTCGGCGTCCAGTTCCAGGTGCTGTTGCTTTCTGTGCAAATTCAACTGTTCCTGGTCCGTACGAATATTGGCCAAGAGCGCCCTGTTGCTAACCTGTTTCCGCTACAGAGCGTCCGTCGCGCGATAAACAAATGCAATGGAGGCGGTTGCGAATTCGATACCGCCGCCGCCGCCGCCGCCGCCGTCGTCGTCGTCCCTTTTTCGTATCTGCGCTGCATGCACGCACGGGTGATTATCGTATTTCAACTCAATTGCGTTCCACGCCAGATGCATGTCACCATATGCTTTTCCACGGCTCATAGCCGATGTATTCAAAGTGCATTCATTTGAAGAAATAAAAAATCAAAGGGAAAGGTATAGACATGCAAGTCAGACATCTTGGATGACTACCATTGCCGGGTGCTTGAAAAAGAAACGATAAAAATCCTCGTCTCGTCGAGAACAGAGGGATATAGCGCTATTGACGAAGCAGAAGAAGAAGTGGGAAACGGGAGACCGACGAGCGACGAGAACAGATGTTTGCCAAACGTGGCAATGACGAGACTCTAGTGTCATAGAGTGCAAAAGATAGGGGAATCCCTGCAAACGTGAGTTCATTTAGATGCAATAGACTCATAGAGTTCGTGAACCCCAGACTTTCACGGTGCAGTCAATATCACACGATCTGTGGTGCTAAAGACGAGGACTGAGGACCTGACACCCTCTAAATTCGCTGGGTGGCTTCCCAAGCTCGAAGTCTGCAGGGAAAACCCCAAACGGATATCAGAGGGTTCGGTCAAAAAAAGGCCGGGAAACATCTGGAGGTCTGTGTGTATACAAACGCTTTATCGTCATAGAATGTTTTTTGCTCTAGTGATGGTACGCATATCAGGCATCCGGGATTTCCCTGGTTCAATTCATTGTCTCCACAGCACAGAAAACACCTGGATACGATGACTGACTGCCCTGGGTCTAGGGCCACGCAGACTCACCGTCACACGCTTTCCATACATATTCGTATGATTCGTTCAGCAGGTTCAGTGAGCGTTGGGTTTCTCGAAAAGCATTTCGCGGAGAGTGCACGTTTTCCTCGACGCTCTACGCGAGGACGCTCGACGGAACTGCGAACAGGACCGGTGGAAACTTGACAAAGAGAAGCACGAGGGATATGCCTTGAAAAGGATATGGCTCCACGGAGCTGACTCGGGTATCCCTCCACCGACTGCGAAAGCGCGTCCCATCGACAGCTTTCTACGGACACAGGCGACTGGCGTGAGTGCAGCACGCGAATCGCGCTGGGCGTCTTCATTGCCCAGGTATTGCAGCCTGCGCGACATTCCAGAAAATGCCGTGCGCAAAGCCTTTATTGTCATGCAATTCACAAGAACTAGTGCGAAAGCGTGGCCATCTCGCTGGGACTGGCGTAGCGGCAACCGTTGCATGGACATCGCGCATCGGCAGTTTCCTATTGTTCTTTAAGGAGTAAGGTTCGGCATGATGTGTACGTGGTGCATGAACCTTTCGTCGACAACACTGACATACGATGCAAAGCTTGACACTCGGTAAGGAGGAAGCGGCAACGCCAACTGGTTTCGAAGCGACCAAGTTTCCCGAAGTACAATCAAGCAAAAGTCGCTGCACCAGGGGGCACGCGTTCCTAACGAACGTTCGTCACGCTTCAACGCCGCAACGTCGTGTAGAAAGCCGAGTCCTTGCGCGTGCGGGAGTCATGCAGGTCCTACGCTCTCAGAAAGCACCGATTCTGGAACTGTCCGAAAGACTCCACGGAACATCCTCTGCAGTGTGCTCTAATTTTGCAATACTACGATACGCTGGTTTCAAGGTTTCCCGCATCGCAGAAAGAATGCGCTTCTGCTCCTGTTCTCTATTTTCCGACGCGCGAAGATGCACCAAAATCAACGTATGTGGGGTAAACGCCTCAAGGAGCGCATCACCGTGCTGCTTCCGCACGCGAAGCATCTGAAACATGGTCCCTGTGCGCATACATGCGAGTTTTAGGCGCTTGAGGATGAGGCTCATTTTTTCGAACGCCTCGGCATCCTTGAGTCGAAACGGCTCAGAGATCGCCACGAGTTCCGAGCGGTCCAGTAGCGGTGCGCTAGACCAGCGTTCCAGTTTCCGCCAGGGCCAACGACTGCGCTGCTTCGTGCTCTGGGTAGGGTCAGCGAGTTCCTCGGCAGGACGCTCTGACCCAGCCTGAGGCTGCCCACGAGGAAGGGTCTCACTTGAACCGAACCAGGCAAGCCATCGACTCACAGGTGATGAAGCCGCTTTCGGTTCCGTCTCTAGCGATGGTCGTCCGTACAGAGGCGCCCCTGCGTACCCGAGCACGAGCAGAGAGGTGCTCTCCAAGAGCACGATACGGCGCACAGACGGGTCCCGGCTGAGCGCTTGCAGCGCCTCCTGGACTTGTGCAATGTCCGGTACCAGCGAACGAGCAATGGTCGACCATGCGTGGTAAAGAGACGAGTCCCAGATGGACGTCCTGAAGCAGCGACTCGAGTCGAGATAGCCGGCCTCACAGCAGACTCGCGCTTGCCGACGCAGCTGCGCAGCGGCCGACCCGTCTGGCAGCATGTCGGTTTTGTGTAGAATGATGTATCGCTGCAGTGCGGGCAAGTTCTTTGCAACCGTAAGCTCCGTCACCGCCCGTATCCAGTTCCTGTCGGCGCTGGCTCCCTCGCTCGAACTGACATCGACAATGAAGACCAGCGAGAGTACCCTGCCGGTTCGAAGGAATCCCCGCAGCTGTGACGCAGTCTCGACGCTTATTGGAAGCTCCAAGTCCAGGAGGCAAAGCACAACCGACCCGAAGAGTCTGAGCGAGCTCAGCTGACCTGACTGGACGGGGCTATCTACTGCTGAAGCGCTTGGAGCTCCGAGCAGAATCGAGCGAATGGTTCGTTTCCCTGCACCACGCGCACCTACTAAAAGAATAGCGCTTCCTTCAATCTGAGACACTTTCTCTCTGCTGTCCGGGCGACCAGCCGACCCCAGTGACATGCCCTGGTTGGCGCCAACTTGAGGCACCAGCGCCCTAACGAAATCTTACCAGCAACGGCAACAACAACGACAACAGCGGTAAACTAGAACAATAGCAGCGCTCGTTTGGCAACGAGTTTTTGGCGAAACTTGGAGGCGCTCTGCAACGGCGGCAGCGCTGATTTTTTTACAGTGACAAAACGTTTTCGTGGACCATGGATCCCAGATTGCAGAATGGATGGATGGATGGATGTTGGGTTTCGGGAAAGCATCCATCATGATGCACTTACCCTCAAGTTAGATGACCCATAAATCATTTCGGATGTAATGGTCGATTCTTATGCTCTATCGAGCGCCGATTACCTGCTTTGAGCACCCGCAATTGCGGTTATATCGCTGATGCCGATGCATCACGGAGACTGAACGGCTTTGCCATACCTCCGAGGGCGTCGGACCGAGGAACGCTTCACCTGAAACGGAGTCGTGGCTCATAGTCGTTCTAGGAGTCTGCAAGCTGCGCAGACTGAGCTAGTGCCTGCGGCAGCGCAACGCGATATACCAGGAGCCCACTGCATCATGGGCAACGCCCAGACGCCGGCTACCCGTTCCAAGTCCCAGAGTGGAGTGCGTTACGGACGAGTTGCTCAGATGTCACGAAAGCACCTGCCAGTGGCGGAGCGTGAAGCACGAGCCTGGGAGACTCGTGCAATCCGCGGGACCTTGCGTCTAGAAGGTAAACTTTCGAAAGTACCGACAGTTTTCCCCGTCTCAACGTTTATCGCAGAGGGGAAAGAAATCGTTATCTCGTGGCGATTTAATGGTCAGTATCTGTTCTTTGTTCTATAGAGTGCGCCCGATACGCGCACATCCTTGTCTGGCAGGCATTAGACACGAAGCGCCCGTCGCCGTTGAAGGGAGACGCAATCGCGATCAGAAGCGTCTTGTTCAGCTGTAAAAGTTGTGTTTGCGTTGAGGTCGTAGCAAAGTACAGTTTTCAGTTCATTTGTGTTTCAAACCTCAAGCAAAAATGCTCGATTGATTTTTTGCTGTGTATAACAGAAGGGATCAAAGAGCGTTGTTTTTCAAAAACAAACAAAAAAAGGAAAGTGATGAAAAAGCAAGTCCACGATCCTGGAGGCCCAGTGTCGCCGGCTGCCAGAAAAAACAAAAAACAGTGCCAAGTCCAGAAGAAAAGGAAAAGAAGAAGGACCAAAGGGGAAGGGGGGGAGACTCTACGTCGAAGGATGCAAGAAAGACGAATGTACGACGAGATGGTGGTGAAAACCTTTCTTCATGGCCATATCAAGGATCCCTACAGGGAAAAGTTGCGAGACGCTATCAGAAACCGCGTCGACTCGTACTCCAAGAGTATTGTCAAGGCGTCGTCAGGACTGATGCATTTGGTACGGGAGATGTATCGCGACGTGACGCACATGCAAACGGTGGAGATTCCGGACGAGTTTTTCGATAAGAAGTTTATTCGTCAGCTGATGCTTGGTACAGAGGAAGCGCGGATGGAAAATGAGCGGGTGCATGCCCTCCACGAAAACTTCGCGGAATTCCGCTTCGAGGGTACCCAGTACAGGGATGACCGGGATATTTACGACTATGGGGCGATGAAGTGACTCACGAATCTGGAGAATCGTTTGACAACGAACCTCGAACGTTTCATGATACGCGCCGCATTTGCACTCTATCCCGGGCATCTCTCCCAAAGGGATATGGGCGATTACCAACGGCATCACGAACAATCGCCGGCGTGTAGATGGGATCGAATTTGTCGACAAGAAGGCGTCAAAAGAGATCACGAATGCAGCTTCTGTAATCCGTGCGGCTATGCAAGAGCACCGTGCAGTTTCGGGGCTGGCGAATCCGACAGAAAAGATATCAGAGTTGAAAAAAGATAAGGAAAGATACGATCGTCTCGTCCTACGGTATTTTGTGTTTTTGGACCGAGAGCTCGATCGCAAAGCGGAGATGAAGCTGAGTGAGGAAAAAAATGAAGAATGGGAGAGACGGAAGGCGTTCCTAATGGGCGAGCGCTTCAACGTGGTTCCGTTGGGCAACATCAAGTCACATTTTGTGACTATCGACTCCGGCGTCCTTTACGGCATCATGACTGAGACCAGTCCCGAGTTCGATGTAAGGAGCACAGAGATCACCGCCGAAACCCGCGAGACGTACTGGAAGAATATCTTCAATTTCAAAGGGCTCAAAGTCAGCAAGAAAAACGAATTCACTGGGTTGATCGAAAGCGATGGAGTAGCCATGTGTGTACACTATCTGCGGTTGTTGAAAGATCGTCCAGTTCCGCCCTCGGCTTCGCGCTCGGCGAAACATGAAGGAAACAAACAAGCGGATCCTGCGACGCAGAAAATGCAGGAAAACGACTTTGTCGTTCGCGCGGACCCCGGAAACACAAATATCATATCCATCGCTGTATCCAAGCTTGCGGACGATGGTACTGACGGTAACTTGCGTCAGAAACACATGCGTCTTCTGAGGTTCTCGAGCGCAAGAGACTAAAGAGAATCCGGAATAATGAATGTGCGGAAGAAAATTGAGACATGGAATGCAGGAATAAAGGACCACTTGGAAGCTATGAGCGAGGTGACGAGCCGAGGAGCGGGCTTTCAAGCTTTTCTGAAATTCATGAAAGTTCGCGTTGCTCATTGGGAGGCGCTGTGGGAGGAGTATACAAAGCCTCGGTGGGCTCGTCTGCGTATGAATCTATACTGTGGGAAACAGCGGGCGTTCGCGAACTTTTTCAATCAGTTGAACGCCCTGAAGGAGGATGAAAGTCAGAGGCTCGTCGTAGCATACGGAGCAGGGCGCTGGAAGACCCAAAAAGGGTGTACACCAGCTCCAACGACGAGAGCGCACAAGGAGTGTGCACGGCGTTTCGTTACGATACCTGTAGATGAGTTTCGAACATCGTATACACACCACGAGCTGGGTTGTACACTTCAGAGAGTGGAGATGGAAAAGTGCCAGAGGAGCCCTGAAGATATAATAAAGTATGGACCGCTTACGGAGGAGCAAATGGAAAGGAGGGCAAAAGTTCGTGGACTACTTGCATTAGTAAGTACACCCAGTGATGGCAAGAAACGTATGGAATTCGTGAATCGTGACTTTGATGCCGCCATCAATATCAGGAGATGTGCAGTGCTGGAGACGAGACCTCCAGAGTGGACAAGAGAGAACTTTGTTGGACAACCTCTCAAAGTCGAACTATATAAGAAAAAGTTAGAAGCAGTAGTGGGTGGCCGGTCGAAAAAGACGGGGACGCGTCTGCACGTCAGTTGGAGACGATTTGTCTAAGGCGCGTTTGCCGCCACTACGGGATACCGTCGGCGTCGTCCGACTTAGAACGGCTGTGGCGGTGCTACCGTGGCGAACGAGGTTTCCAGAGTGTCATGAGCGTTCCGTCAGAGAGATCACCGCTCTTTGGTCGCGGTACTCTAGATCAAGAAGCAGGATCTCGAGATGTTGGTTCTGATGGAGCTAATATGTCCGCTGTCGCGAGACAAGCTGTGACAGAGCGCGGGCGTCGCGTTCGTCGCACTTTGGTGCTGGTGGCGATAGGGACGGCGCTTCTCTTGCTTCTATTTATTTCATACTCTCGAGAAAGTGGAAATAAGAGCTACGCTGGTCCTGGTGGTGCAGGCGGCACCCAGGGGACGAACGAGACCCAGGACCGCGTACTGAGAGAGATAAGGGCGTTTATAAACCCGCAGGAAGACCCCTGTGAGGACTTTTACGCCTATGCGTGCGGAGGTTTCCTGCGCAGCCAACCCATCCCGCCAAATGAAGCACGGTGGGGCACCTCGGATCTCATGGAGGAGCGCTGCAGCGACGCGTTGCTGCCCATGGTGCAGGCGTTGCGCAGTGGGCGGGCAGTTTCTCGCACGGCGAGCGAGCAGCGTGTGGTCGACTTTTTTGACGCGTGCTTTGCGGCCGGACAACCGAGCGCAGCGGATATCGAGCGCAGCGGAGAAGACGGACTGGCAAATGATGCAAGCTCGGAACTTTTGAACGCATCTGGGTTTGGACGCATATTGTCGCAGTTAGAGACAATCGCTGATCCCACAGAGCTATTTGCGATTCTAGGCGAAATGCATCGCAGCGTCGTCGATCCAGGAGGGAATCTCCCACGACCGTTCTTTTCGTACGAGGTGCTGCCGGATGGCATGCACCCAGAGGTAATGGTGCTGACCATTGAACAAGGAGGGCTAGGGTTGCCAACGCGTGACTACTATCTCGATGAATACTATAAGGATATTCTTGATGAGTATTCGAATCACATAGGTCGCATGCTCACGCTGAGCGGCACTGATCAAGCAGAAGCGATGCAGGCAGCAGCGAACATTGTCGAATGGGAAACTGAGTTGGCCAAGGCTTCAGAAGCAGAAGCAGACCTTGGCGACGATGCCTGGGCCGTCTACAATCCCACAAACTTGACCGCACTGCAGCACGAGATGGCCCCGGCGATCCCATGGACGAACTATCTTGAGAGCCTCCTTGCAGGAACGGGAAAAAACGCTTCTGCGATTCCATTGGTGGTGCAATGGCCCCCGTTCTTGAAACGCTTGAGTGATATGGTCGCACTGAGCTCTATCTCGAACGAGACCAGAAAACTCTCTCTGTACTTGCGCTGGCACGTGCTGAACGCCATGGCGGGAGCAGCCGGCAACTCGTCGCTTGCGGCGGAGCACTTTCGCTTTTTCGGTCAGATTGTTGAAGGTAGACGGGGACTTGCGAATCTATCGAGTCAGTGTCTCGCCCTTGCGGATGCGCATATCGGGGACGATCTTGGTCGCCTCTACGTGCAGCGCTTCTTCTCTCCAGAGCTTCGTGGAAAAGCAGTAGAGCTAATCCGAAGCATCGAGGAAGAGTTTGCGGTGATCCTCAAGCGCGACGATGGAGCCTGGCTGGGCAGGAGCTCACTTCGGGCCGCTCTAGAGAAACTGCGTCTGGTTCAGAACAACATCGGCTACCCGGATCGCTGGCCGGACTACGATACGCTGCACCTCAACGGCTCTGATTTGCTGGGCGACGTGTTTCTCTGTCGGCAGTTCCGCAACGATGCGATCTTGAAACAGATTGGCGGCCCGCGGAACCCAAGTCTCTGGGACATGACCCCAATCACCGTGAACGCATACTACGACCCGCTCTCGAATTCCATGAACATCCCAGCGGCGAATTTCGCTCCAAATTTTTATTCGGCGCTGTACCCAGAGGCCGTGAATTATGGTGCACTTGGGAACGTCATTGGTCATGAACTTGGTCATGCCTTCGACTCAGGCGGACGTCATTACGACGCGCACGGTCGTCTTTCGAACTGGATGAGCCCTCAAGCCGTCCAAGAATACGACCGTAGGGCCAAATGTATGACAAATCTTTACGACCACTTTCGAGTGAATGGACGACCAGTCAACGGACGTTTAACGCTGCAAGAGAATCTCGCGGATCTCACAGGCATGAAGACTGCGTACGCGGCCTATAATCGACTCGTCAAAGAACACCTAACAGAGGCAGCCCGACACCGGGAATGGAACCTCACCCGCAGAATCCGGCCAGACTGGACACCCGAGCAGCTCTATTTCGTCGCCTTCGCCCAGACCTGGTGTGAGAACGAAACTCCCAAATATGCCATGGAAGGACTCGTGGTGGACGTGCACGCGCCCAATCGCTACCGAGTGAATGGGATTCTGAGTCAGTTTCCCGAGTTTGCTGAAGCGTTTCGTTGCCGCAGCGGCTCCGCCATGCACCCGCGGAAAGTATGCGCACTGTGGTAGCGTGCTTGGAGCGCGCGACAAGCCTCGATACGCAGCACCCATACAATCGGACACTGTTCCAGCGACCGTGCAGCATACATAACAAGCAGAGGAAATAAACCTGTATCCGTGTTCAGGAATCCTACCGTACCTTGTTTGTTTATGATCAATAAAACTAACGAAAATCCTATTGAGAAGAGTGATGCATACCTTAACCACACAACGGTAAGCCGCAGAGAACGCTACGCTTTTGATAGAAGCGTCGAGGGGTATCGTGCCAGGCCCCTGCATCCCCTTGTATGTCAGGGCGGTACTGCGATGGGCAGTAGCGTCGGCGCCAGCGACAGAACCTATAGCAAGAGTTCATTCTACGTGCGTTTCCGATCTACGATACGTTATTTTGGCTGCAGTGCGATGCGAACACGCATGTGCCAAGACGGGGTGTCGGACACGTGTCCTTCATGGATCGGTGAGGCGTCTCGCGCAGCGCATGCATCGCGCTCGATGAGCGCATCTGGGGGATCGGGCAGTCATGAGACACGACGCGTATGCCACCGTTGAAGGGAAACGTAATCGTGATCCTTAGCGTCTAGCTCTCGTGTAAAAGTTGTATTTTCGTGAACTTCATAGGCAAGTATAGTCTTTCAGTTCGTTTTTGTTTCAACCCTCAAACAAGTCTAGTCGAGTTTTTTTTCGCAGTATCGAACAGACGCGTCCAAAGAGTGTTCTTTTCCAAAAAAAAAGGAAAGCTATAAAAAAAGTCGACGATCCCGGAGGCCCAGTGTCGCCGGCTGCCAGAAAAAAAACAAAAAACTGTGCCGAGTCCAGAAGAAAAGGAAGAGAAGAAGGACTGAAAGGTGGAGGCTCTACGTCGAAGGCGGCAAGAAAGACGAATGTACGACGAGATGGTTGTGAAAACCTTTCTTCTTGGCCATATCAAGGATCCCTACAGGGAAAAGTTGCGAGACGCTATCAGAAACCGCGTCGACTCGTACTCCAAGAGTATTGTCAAGGCGTCGTCAGGACTGATGCATTTGGTACGGGAGATGTATCGCGACGTGACGCACATGCAAACGGTGGAGATTCCGGACGAGTTTTTCGGCAAGACCTTTATTCGACACCTGATGCTTGGCACAGCGGAAGCGCGGAGGGAAAATGTGCTAGTGGATGCCCTCCACGAAAAACATCCCTTTTACAGCTTCAGCGGTACTCGATACAAGGGTGACCGGGATATTTACAGCTACGGGGCGATGAAGTACCTCACGAATCTGAAGAATCCTTTGACAGTGAACCTCGAAGGTTTCATAATAAGAGCCGTATTTGCGCTCTATCCCGGGCATCTCTCCCAAAGGGATATGGGCGATTATCAATGGCATCACGAACAATCGCCGGCGTGTAGATGGGATCGAATTCGTCGACAAGAAGGCGTCAAAAGAGATCACGAATGAAGCTTCTGTAATCCGTGCGGCTATACAAGTGCACCGTGCAGTTTTGGGGCTGGCGAATCCGACAGACAAGATATCAGATTTGAAAAAAATAAGGGAAGATACGATCGTCTCGTCCTACGGTATTTTGTGTTTTTGGACCGAGAGCTCGAACGCAAAGCGGAGATGAAGCTGAGTGAGGAAAAAATGAGGAATGGGAGAGACGGAAGGCGTTCCTAATGGGCAAGCGCTTCAACGTGGTTCCGTTGGGCAACATCAAGTCACATTTTGTGACTATCGACTCCGGCGTCCTTTACGGCATCATGACTGAGATCAGTCCGGCGTTCGATCTTCGCAGGGAAGAGTTCTCCGGCGAAACCCGCCAGACGTAATGGAAGAATATCTTCGATTACAAACGTCTGAAAGTGAGCAAGCAAAAGTTGCTCACTTTCAGACGAAACCGATGGAATACCCATGTGTGTACACTAAAGGCGCTTGAAGACAGATCGTCCAGTTCCGTCCTCGACGAAGCATGAAGATGGGAAGAAGGCGGATCCTGCCACACAGGAAGTGCAGGATAACGACTTTGTCGTTCGTGCGGACCCCGGAAACACAAATATCATATCCATCGCTGTATCCAAGCTTGCGGAAGATGGCATTGATGGTAACTTGCGTCAGAAAGACATGCGTCCTTTGAGGTTCTCCAGAGCGAGATACTATCGAGAATCGGGAATGAGGAATGCGAGGAAGAAAATCGAGACTTGGAATTCAGGAATGAAGGAGCACCTAGAAGCTTTGAGCGAGGTGACTAGCCGAGGAGCGGACTTTGGAGCTTTTCGGACATTCATGGAAGTTCGCATCGCCCATTGGGATGCGCTGTGGGAAGAGTACAGCAAGCCCCGGTGGGCTCGTTTGCGAATGAATTTGTATTGCGGGAAGCAGCGGGCGTTCGCGAACTTTTTCAATCAGTTGAGCGCCCTGAAGGAGGATGAAAGTCAGAGGCTCGTAGTAGCGTATGGGGCAGGGCGTTGGGCGCCCAAGAAAGGCACTACTCCAGCTCCAACGACGAGGGTATACAAGGAGTGCGCAAGACGTTTCGTTACGATACCTGTAGACGAGTTCCGATCGTCCTATGCACACCATGAACTGGGGTGTACACTTCAGAGAGTGGAGATGGACAAGTGCCAGAGGAGCCCTGAAGATATAATAAAGTATGGACCGCTGACGGAAGAGCAAATGGAAAGGATGGCGAAAGTTCGTGGACTACTCGCATTAGTAAGTACGAACAATGATGGAAAGAAACGTATGGAATTTGTGAACCGAGACTTTAATGCCGCCATCAATATCAGGAGATGTGCGGTGCTGGAGACGAGACCTCCAGACTAGACAAGAGAAAACTTTGTTGGACAACCTCTCAAAGTCGAACTATATGAGAAGAAGGTGGAAGCAGTAGTAGGTGGCCGGTCGAAAACGGCAGGGCGGCGTCTGCACGTCAGTTAGAGACGTTTCGTCTAGGGCGCGGTTGCCGCCACTACTGTACACGGTCGGCATCGTCCGACTGCGAACGGTGTTCGGTGCCAGCATCAAAAGTCGTCGCCGCGAGTTAGCACTTCCTTACCAGTCGGCCGCAGCAGAATCGTGTGCTCGAACTGTGCTGTCAAAGAACCCGGCACATCGCACAATGGCGGATACGGCTGCACGATACCCACATCACACAAGTGCTTCAGTGCCATGAGGTATCGCTCCTCACCGAGTCGATCCAGATAGCGACGACAGAAAGCCAGCGTTCCAAAATGGCGGTTGATCGTACTCAATAACTGGCGTGCACGCGGCATCCTCAGCGGCACGTGCGACGCATCGAATACTTTCATGTAATGGGAGCATTCTCCGCTCTCGGTGACGTATGCGCGCCCAGTAGAACCAAACGTCTCAATGGCATACAATTCGCCTTCCTCCATTTTCCCCGGCACACTGCTCTTCACAATGGGCACCGTCTTACCCGCGTGGATGCGGTACCGGTCAATACTGTGTCCGTTTAGGTTACGGATCGAGCGGATGGGCATCACTTTGCCGTCCAGCTCGATCTCGTGGCTCTCCATGACCTCTTGAATGATGGAACCCATCTCGCTGAGTCGCACATCGATCCCTGCTGCTCGAATACCCGCATTGGTCGCTTCACGCACAGCTTCTAGTAGCTTTTCGTAGCGCTCGTCAAACGCAATGGTAAAGGCACAGTCCATAATGATTCCGTCCACATGCACGCCAAAGTCCAGTTTCATCACGTCTGTGTGCTGGAGTCGGGTGTCGTCGCCCCGGTTCGGGGTGTAATGCGCTGCCACGTGGTTCAACGAGCAACCTGTTGGAAACGCTATACCCGCTTCCAAGCCATCTTCCTCAACGAGTGTCCGGGTAGCGTTTTCCAGCTCTTCACAAAGATCAACCAGTCGTATCCCGGGCTGAATTCGAGGCCGGATGTACGTGCGCACGCGCCGGTGGACCTCAGCTGCTTTTCGCGCTTTTCCAATCATATCGAACGAGAGTCGTTCCCGTTCACGTACTTCGGCTTGAGTTGTACGATAAGCTTGGTCTCCGACATAGTCCTGAACCTCGCCAGCCGGGTAGACGCCCTCAGGAAAGAGCCGCGAGATGCCACAGAGTTCTGTGCTACAAGTCGCCTTCGGAAGCGGCTGTGGTACTGGCGACGAAGCAACAGTGCTGTCGCCTCCGCCGTTCTCACTGGCACCTTTTCGCCGTCCACCTCGTTTTCCTCGTCTTTTATGAGGCTTCTTTGGTCCCTTTTCAGACGTGGACGTAGCAGTGACGTCGTCGGCGTCCTCGTCGTCGTCGTCGACGACAGTCTGTGCGGAGACCGCAGCCGTATGGACGTGTTTTGACGACGGTACAGCTGTCGCCTTTCCGAGAGAGAAGTTCATTACCTTGTCGGAAACGGCGAGTCCGGCCTCGAGCCGGGCTTCCGCTTCGACCACCGACTCCTGTGTCATTGCGGGACAGGAACGCTCAGCGGAAACCGATGAATCTGAAGCGGACGTGCGCGGAGACCCGGTGTGGCAGAAGATTGCCCCTGGACCAAACTATACCATGGTGTATATTTATGGATCTAATGGGTAGAAGCGGACATGCGCCCTGCCCTAGCCTCTCGTGCGACGCGATCCGATGCGGCCTCCATGACTCATGAGAGCCCCGTACGATGCGTTCAGTTTTTCCCTCAGGTGTGTTCCACGCCCGGGAGTGTCTCATCAAATGCTTTCTCGCGGTTTATAGCAGATGTGCTCCAAGTGCGTTGATTCAAAGAAATAAAAAACCCAAGGAAAAGGTATGGAAATGGCAGCTGGGGATGCTGGATCGCCCGGTTTCGCCGGGCTCGACAAAAATCAGAAAAACCCTCTGCTCGTCGACCATCGAACGAAGAAGAAGAGATGAGAGAAGCGAGAGCAAGTGTTTGCCCGACGAGGCGATGACGAGACTGTAGTGACAAAGAGTGCACGCGTTCGGGGAATCCCTGCGTTGATGAGTTCAACCAGAGGCAGGAAACGCATGGGGCTCGCGTACCGAGACTTCAACGCCACCATCAATATCAAAGGATGTGTGGTGCAGAAGACGAGACCCCAGGAGCTGAGCCGAGTGATCTAGCTTAGTTGGACAACCTCTCAGACTCGAAATGTGCAGGGAGAAAATGAAACCGATAGCAGGAGGCCGGTCGAAAAAGACTGAGGGGCGCCCGTGTGTGGCTGAATATCTATACAGCCTATGGTCCCGAAACATTATCTTGGCAATATTGACGCACTGTGTGCTCAGAGGACATTTTTGATCAACATTTTTCTTGACGTTTTCATCTTCTTCGTACACAGACTCGGTGCGTCCTTCGCGGCGGTACCGCTTGGCTGTTGTCAGGAGTTGCCATGTTGTCCACTGCATCTCGGGCACCGCCCTGTAGCACGAGAGGACGCGCTCCATCGCTCTGTGCATGCGCTCGATGCGCACAGAAAACTCCCGTCAATGCCCTGCTTTTCTCCGCACATTGCCGTACCCTGGGATATCGTGCTTCTTCTGCACGATCCTGTGGGCGAGTACGCTGTCTGCTGCAAGCGCACAGTTCCAATCGATAAGGGATCGTGGAACGTGATGTTTTCCGTGATGAAACAGGTACTGGCAGGAGAACCATGGCTGGAGCCCGAGCCGATGGAATCCGATACCACTACGCAACCTTCGAGCAAAGCAGTGGTACACTCTCCGCAAGAAGCGCTTCTTTGACGTGACAATTTCAATGGGACCTTGGGATGAGCTGATGAAGCAGTCGTCACAGGACGATGCCGACTTGATTCCTCGTCAATCCAGGCGCGGAGGTTGCTGCGCCCACGAGTTGCCATGAAATAGAACGATCGAGAACCAGACGAATGCATGATTTTAGCGTGCCGCACCTACGGAACTGACAAGAGTGCAAGCTCGTACATATGAATCGCATGATGGTATCGGTTCCGCGACGAACACTCTGTCGGAAGCGTCGCGCACGATATTGATGCTAATGGCGAGACGAATTCCAGCCCCAAGGCATCGAAAGAGCCACTCTGAAAACAAGACCGAGAATCCTAGTTCTAAATTCGAAAACATAGGTCTCTATTGCTGTACTTGGATTACCGGGGTTGTACACCTGAAATCGAGTTCGAGAAAATCAAAGAAAAGGAGCCGAGCGAGCTGCTAGCATTCCATTTTGGTCCGAAACCGGTGTCGATACAGAGAATAAGCATTGTGTTGTGCTGCATCCCGCCTTTACGTCCACGTTCCATAGCGGCGATAGTCACAACCTCGCATGAAGGCTGCCGACCTACGCAAACATTCAGAGAAACTTCCTGATTATTCGGCAAAAACTGTGGAATGGCTTGGCGCTGTACATCTACCGAGCGTGCTTCCCCGAGACACACTTGTTCGCGCGGTTCTGGACCCTGTGCACTCAGTATGAATTGCGAGTCTATACCTGCCCATTTTTTGGGTCGCCCCGCGGTTTCCCCCAGGTATCACCCCACGGCACAATGTCCTCGTGCATTACGTAGGAACCGAGAAGTATATGCCACTCACCGTCTTGATGACGCGCTGTCCAGAAACCGGCGCACCGATGCCTATCCCCAGCGGGGAAACAACCCCGCTAAAGAAACGGGAAAGTTCGCCTATCGGGACCCGTGTGCTGCCCACGACAATGTACGCTATTGGCCAAACCTGTGACGTGCTGCCGGATTCAATCGACACTGGCCCCATGGTAGACGAGACTTTCGGAGGCACTGTCGCAGACATTTTCATAGAATTGTGCGAGCAGCCAATACTACTCACGTCGACCGTCGAGTTGGAGCCCAAGCACGATACCTCTGCACCAAACGTCAGCACAACAGGGACAGAGGTGCGTCCCGCGTTCCTTACGAGCGCTGACGTCGCGTACGTTGGAGCCGGCAGTGCCCAGGCGCACTGCACTACCATCAACAGACCAAAAACAACGAGCGCTAAAACTTTCGAAAGCTTCATATCACTTATAATGAAAAGATATTCGATGATGCAAAACTTCACTTTTTCTTTGGAACAATTGCAATGAAAAACAACAATGAAGATCTGAAAAAGTGTCGCCGCTGCACGACAGCCTGATGCCATGCCTGAAGCCACGTAAGCAACAGGCGCCGGCGGCATGGATCGAGCGCATCCGCCAGCTGTCCGTCGGGAATGCATCTGGGGGCGACACGTCATCAGCTTCTGTCAAGCACGATGACCTACAGCCCTAGTAGGCAGCTCTGCTTCCAGGTTTGGTACAGGCACTGAAATGTGTTCTGTGGTGTCCCACAGGGACTTTGGAGGGTCAGTTTAGAAGCTTGCAGATGGAACGTTGGGGTCCGACGAGTTCCTGTCCCGGACTGGCAGTTGGTGAACCCCTGGCGGAGCGGTGCTGGGTCGTTGCGCAGCGCGGTGCCTGAGAAGGCTGCCTCAGCGCGTCTGCTTTGAGCTGATTGTCGCGAGAACCGAACTCGGAAGATGACTGTCGAAGAGGCGCGCTTAACGCTAGGAGAAGAGGAAAGCAACGCCACGGTCTCTGGTTGTCACGGCTGGGGGGCAGCGTTCACAGAAACACAGACTGACAAGCACTTCTTCGGCCGCGGTGTAGGTTTTCTATTGTAACATATCACAGATAGGGAACTTGGACACCATTGCTCCGTAAAGGTCTCTCGCTCTGTGATGTTCGGGCTGCGCTCACACGAGCACTTTCGAGAGTATTGCGCCACTTGGTGCATCGGGGACGCGTACGGAAACAGAGCTCGGGTATGCGCTGCAGTCGGGCACGTTGTAAGGCCCACGGATCTCTTTCGAAGACTCTGTAACAGAGAAACATTCAGGGTCACGCGCCCCGTTGGAGTCAGATGCATCCTGCGAATAAGAATCGAGATACGAGCATAGAGACTGCAGGATATCGCCCCGATGATGATGGTGATTGAAGGAAGACCACTCCGTGTCCGACTCGTCAAACAGGCCGGTAGCCGTTTTACTCGAGCCCCCATGAACCTAGGCTTCTCGCCGCCGAATCCACAGGCCGTGGCACCCTCACCCAAATTCCCCTGATCCGAGTGTACGATCTGTGGCTTTCCGGTTGCCAGGTCTCTACTCCACGAGGAGCATCCCGGGCGAATCCGGATACATCGGGCGCGCGCCCTCTACGCCGCCAGTCGCATTGAATGACTGATCTAGTCCTCCCTATAAACCGATATTTTCCTGCAGCACCCGGAGTGCCAAAGTAAGCCCCGCTGCGGCTCTCAGACTGCGTCTGCGACACGAGAGCCAGCAAAAAAAACACGGAACGGGCCCGACAACACCGGTGTTCGCGCTAGCGCTTCGGCAGCATCCCAACGCCATCCACATCAGCCTCTGCGGGTTTTTCCTACGATTGATAATTTTCGCTCACGCGTATCTAACGCCTTCAATACGTCAGTCGTTGCTTTCCCTCCAGCTCAGATGTCGGCAATTGAACGATGATGATGGCAGCACTCAAGCCATCATTTCGAATGCTTCCATTCATTGCTGATTCATTTGAAGCACCGAGGGAGGTTGCGATCTACGCCTCGCTCGACAGTTGCATCTTTTCCTCTGCATACAGCAGCTGTGCGCCCTTCACATCAACGCCACTTGGCTGTGGTCAGGTGTTCCGATACGCTCACCGCACCCTCTTCTACCGAGCGTGTCCCTGTGGCGCTTCAACGCTTGCTTCATCACGTGGTCGATGCCCGTGACGGGTACAGGAGGCTCGTGTCGATACCCCGCCCCGCCCCGCCCCGCCCCGCTCCCCGGTGTGTCGTATCCTATGATCAGGTGCTTTGGCAGGGCGATCCGCTTGGAGCGTACGCTGCCCGCTGGAGGTGCAAATGCGCGCGCTTTTCTATTCGACAAAGTGGTCCACGGAATGCGATGTTGTTGTCCACGATCGAGCAAGTCCCGAAAGCGAACTCCAGGATCGAGAACAAGCCCAACCATTTCGACTTGTGTACACTCCTTTCCTGTGATGTAGTGTCGCACGCCTCACTGGAGACCCGATCGCTACGAGGATTCAAGTCCAAGACCGATTTGCGTGCAAACTGAAGAGACGCTAGACACTAGGTGCATATCCGATGAAAGGCACCACGGTGGGCTCGAATGCCGTTTTGTCGTTGGCTAGAAATGAATGAATACTTGTTTTCGGAATGCACCAGATTATTTGGCGTGACGAGTCCAGTGAACTTTTCCCATGAACTTGCTCAAAAATCGTCAACCGACGAACGTCGATTTTTCCCGTGTTCAGTCCAGCGTCGCGAATTCTTGTGCTCACGAATATTTCTTGAAAGCATATAGATCGTAACTCGACGCATGCGTTATTTGAGCACGCTACACACCAAGGGAGATGCTTGCGAGCTCGTGCCTATGCATTGGATATTGATATCGGTTATGTTGCGCAGCCTGGTTCGGAGTCGTCGCGCATCATCCTGATGTCGGTGAGGTAAAGATTTCAAACGGCAACGCCTCGAGGCAGCAGCTCCCAAAAGACGACCAACATACGAAAAGTACACATGAACCCGTTTGGCCTTATCGCTCCATGTTACATATGCTGGTTGTACATCAACTCCAATTTCGGAACGAATCGTAAAGCAGGAACAGAGCGGCCAGTTCAGTGTTCCATTTGTATTCGACGCGGCTGCAGAGATGGATCGTACCTATCCGACACCCGAATGTCCTGTAAGCGCCACTGGAGCCATCGGGTCACATAAAACCCGAGACCAAATTTCCCGGGTGCTGCCTCGTGTCCCTGGGTGCTCGCACCTGTATGCATCGCGTCCAGTGCGGAAAGCATCCTCCGCGCAGCGTCAGCGCACCCGTGCCGAGACCGACTTTCACTCCCTGACAACCGGTAGCGTTTGTGGAGGCGTCAGCAAGGCCGCAGGCGCATCCTCTTCATGGCGTCCGCAAGACGCCAAGGCAAAGCGTAGACACCGCTACAGCCGCTTCAACGTGACGTTGCACCCGGTCAGTGCCCGCGATCCCCGATAGAACGCAAGCGGGCAATTTTACGTCATCATTATTACGAACACTGCTACTCCTGCTACTACTCCTGCTGCTGCTGCTGCTGATATCGGCACATGCACCTGCTGTCGACGTTGTGCAGCAAGCGCATCAGATAGCAGGTCCGATGCCTTGGCCAGGCGTCCGGAGCACTGCACGCTTCCATCATACAATTTCAGGTTATGGATGCATCGTACAGTCCAGGCCGCAGCATGCCCCAATGTTGCGAATACCAGCGATACCGGTCGCTTCATGCACGCTGCCTCGTCGAGTTGCTGAGCGCAGCGCGTAGCACAAGTTAGCGTTCGCCAGTACCGATACGATTCGAGTATGACGAGCGGAATCGCTTCCGGACAGTGCGACGTTGCGTTCGGGCACGTGCAAAGACGCCTATTCGACACTTGTGGTGCCGCCTGAAAGCACCAGATGCGGTGCAGCGTTCTCTGCGGAGCCCAGCGGCCCCGTCCATTCCCAGACGAGGGCGCGGCGGCCGTCAGTAAACGTCTCCGAGCGAAGCTGCAAGCGAGAGTCGGTCCGCGCGCGAGCACTCACCCCCTCCCACAAGCGTTGACGGTCGTAAATGTTCGCAATGTCGCCGAGAAGTTCATCCCGCAGGTGCACATCGATGAGAAACGGGGTCACGACATCGGCGCGCCCCCGCTGCAGCGCCACAAGGTATGATCGTTTCTGCTCCTGGAGACGACCATGAACGGCTTGTTGGAGGCTCCGAATCTGTCGCTGGCGTAGTCGCTTTCGTCTCAAAGTCGTAGCGAACATCAGTGTCACGGCTGTGATGCTCCCTAACCAGATCAGACTCCCAAGATGCGCTTCTGTGAGTTGCCAGAGGCGACACCACATCGGCCGCTGTGCATCGGTGCTCCAGTAGAGTAGTAGCTCATCGTCAGCAAGTTGCCCTGTTTGCGTGGCATCAGAATCGGGTTGCATAGACTCATTGCTGGCCATATTCGGGCTGATGTTGCTGTTGCTGTTGCTGTTTGTGCCAGAGTCATCCGCGAGGAGCGGGCGTTCCGCTGCGCCGCCTCTTTGAAACGCTTCCGCAGGAACGGTGTCGTTCGCGTCATCCACGGAGCGCGGACTCCTATGCACTGTGTCATGCGCGCTGCGCGGCTGCTTCACCACGGGATCATCTAACGTATCCAGCGCACGGCGAAAAGCAGCCTTCCACTTGCTGCTTCGAACGAGGCGCTCCATATACGGATGCTGCTCCAGTGCTTCGCGCAGTTCTCGTTCGGTCCATTTCCAACGTATGGCCCGTTCACCACAGCGGTAGCGACCCGCGGATTCGCCGAGCAGGCGGTGGACTTGCCCCTGAATGATGTGCGCATAACGGTTGAGGTCGCGGTCAGGCGCGCATGTACTGCCGAGCACGACGTAGCCGTCTCGGCAGGTAAGCACACCGCCGACACAGATGCCGTGCTCGGGGCACGGACGACATCCAAGCACAGGGCCAGAACCTGACTCTGATGAATCACAAAAGGGAATCGATGGCAAGACGAGATATATGCGAACGGCAAACCAGAGAAGGAGACAGAGCGCTACGAGCACTCTCCAGTGGCTACGGAGCCAGTGACGGTGTTCGAGTGCGCGGTTGCCCAGCAAGGCTGGATCCCGTCTCGAGACGCGTGAAGCATTCCCAGGAGTGCCCGCGCTCGTTTCCTGCACCGCTGCATGCGTCTCAGGTCGCGCAAGATACCTCTGTGACTCCGAGATAGACGGCTGGTCTCCTGAATGAGCGTCTGTCGACGGCAGCGACCAGGAGGCATGGAACGCTCCCGGTGATCGAGTAGGATCCGTCGTCGTGGCTGAGGTCGACCGTTCAGCGCTGTCGCCTGAACGCTGTTCCAGAGGATGTACAGGTCGTCCGCGCAAGGAGCCCGTCAATGTTGCTGCACTGCTGACGGGCATTCGCTCGCGATTTTGCCGCAAGGTACGAAACGCTTGCAGCGGGCTCTGCGCAAACGGCGGCTCTGGGGCGACAGTGAGGGTGCCTCGAGTCAGCGCCGCTGCGCTCCCTCCAGGCGACCTGTTCTCCAAGGAAGCTACCGCTGGAGCTGCTGCTCCGCTGTCGCCGAGACGCTGATGCAGAGCGTCCGTCGCCAAGCTATCCGCGTTTCGACTCAGCGCTGTACTGGTGGCGGCCTCTGGTCCAGATACGAGGTTTGCTTGCTCGGCGCGTATACGCTCGAGCACTGCGCTAACTTGCTCATGGAGCGATGCCAGTCTCGTACCTTCCATTGAACCTGTCATGAATCCCGAGGCTGCTTCATCCTGTTGAACAGTGTATGCTCGCGTCGGAGTCGATCGGGTGCCAGCCAGTGTACCGCCCGACGTGAGCTCGCCTGGGCTACCAGTCGAGAGGGCGACAACGTCCTCTCTCGGGGGCATGTGCTGCGACTGCGCCAATGGGTCACAGGTATCACGCAATAAAGTTATCCGAGACGCCTCCTTTGTCTGAGCAGCCGCGTTGCGCGGTTGACGCAACCACGGCACATCACGACCTGCAACGGGCGACGAATGCAGTGAGGATCGCGATGCTCCATCGCCAGCTTCCGGTGTTACTGCTGAAACCTGATGTGTCAAGGCGTGCCAACGCGCGTGAGACTCCGCTTCAGCAGGCAGCACCTGCTCAGGGTACTCGACATATTCCATCGGTTCTAATTGATCATGCGACTTCACCATGCTAAGCACGTCGCGTAACGCTTCCCGGAGTCCGAGCCCGCTCGACGTACTCGGCCCTGCACCATTCGATGCAGAGACGGTAGGACTCGGCGATCGACCTTGCTTCGTTGGGCGAAATTCGCGCGTAGTGTCCTGCCAGGTTGATGAAGCTCGTGGACTCGCGCTACGATGTCGGTCGGGACTGGATGTACGCGTCGATGTGGCGTTTGCAGAGAAAGGCCTTCTGCGCAGGTCCTGGATCAGCGACGCAGGTGAAAGCTGCGCCTCTGACCTTGGACGCACACTCCAGAGAAGTGGATGTTGGGATTCTGCCCAAGCCCCGCCGTCTGGAGAGCGATCCTCGGGAATATCGTCCCCGACGAGTCGGCGCCGAGCCTCCTCGCCGCGCAGCGGTGAGCGCCGCACTCGTTTCCTCCCAGAACTCGAGCCGTCCACACCAGAAGATCCTTGGACAGCTTCCGTCTTTCGAGCGCTTCGCTTCTGGCGTGTTTTTCTTGACGTTGCGGTGACACTCTCCGAGCTAGAGGGTCGCTCGGGGGCCTCCGACTTGCCCACACCCCTGTTTGAGTCCTGTTGCTGTCGTTCGGCTTTTTTGGGCGTTCTCGGCGCACGAGTAGTAGGTAGCTTTCTTTCGTCTCCAAGAGCTGACTGTCGTGGTCGTGGTCCTGGTCGTCGTGGTTCCCGTGCCTCTTCTTTCGGCAGCGCTCGTGGCGGATTCTGCTTCGTTTTCTGGCGCCGTTGCAGCCGCTGGTGCACCTGCTCTACTGCTTCCACGAGCTCGGCTTTGGTTGGACGCTGCTGAGCAGGCATGGCAGAGGGGTCGTGCTCCAACAGGTACTGCTTCAGTTCTCGCACCTTCCATTGCTTCCAGTCCGTCATTGGAGTACTCAAGCGAGACGCTGGTAAGTTGCGAAACGCGTTGCGCGACAACGCTCGAATCCTCCATCCGCGGTGTTTTCGAATAGGGCGCTGATTCGGAACGCGCCTTTTCTCATCAGCGGTGGAAAAGGTTTTGTATGAACCAGGGAGTGGCGAGTGCACCATACAGATCACCTTTTTATGCGAATTGCTGACGAGCCATTTACTCCGAAGAACAAGTACAGTGGCGCCGTTGCCTGATCTGGCTTTTGGACAGCTGCTTCCAAAGTTACCCGTTCGTGCGGCTTCGAGGTAACGAGGCCAGAGCCCTGGCCGTTTACGCCGTTCCCTACCGCGACGTTTTCCCGGCAACCAAGTTCCACCAAGGCAGCCAGCTGAAAGCAGACCTCTTTGGCTGCACGCTGCAGCCCGAAGACTGGGCTCTATCCAGCTAGACTCGAACGATGCTCAAGCAAAAACGCTTGTGTTGCAGGGCAGGTTTGTGTGGTAAACCCCTGGGAGAGAATCTGACTATCCTGAAACGGAGGGCACGCTTGCACGTACAGCACGAGCGAGGATGTCTAGTGCGCTGCAGAAGTTCTCGCTTCGAGCGCTTCTAGTTTCTCCAGAAGGGTGTTACAGAGCTGGTGCAGCTCCTCGTTCTCGTCGCGCAAACGCTCAACCTCCGCAGCGTCTATGCCAAGGGCTGGGGTTGGAACTGGCTTTGGCCGCTGCAGTTCAGCACGGAGCGACTCGATGGTCTGCAGATGATCATAGGTGCGCGCTTTGAGGCTCTGGTTTTCATTATTGAGCCTTTTGAGTTCGCGCTGGAGCGTTTCTTCCCTGGAACGTGCAGCTGCCAGCGCGGAGCGGAGTTCCTCCAGCTGGGGTCCCAGCGGGGCACTCGCATCACCTAGCAGGTTACTGGGCCCACTGACTGCGAGTTCCGAACGCAACACCTCCAGTTCGGATTCGGCAGTTTGAGCCCTGGAGCGCAGCGCTTGCATCTCGTTTTCAAGAGCTACGATACGCGCCTGCAGTTGCTCTTGCGAGCTCTCCGCTCGACGGTACATGTGCATGGCTTCGCTGATAGCGGCGTCTTTCTCTGCGCATTCCGTACGCTTGGCTTCAAGGGCCTTTTCCAAAGACGTAATGGTGGCGTCCCTGGTCATCACGTCGTTTTTGCTCTGGCTAACCAGCTGAAAAGCCTGCGTCAGTTTCTGTTCGGCATGGTGCTTGAATTCCCGAAGGTATCGCTCCATTTCGTCCATTCTTTCGGAGGCTGTCTGGGCGATGGCAGTCGCTCGTCGCTCATTTTCCTGAGCGACTTGAAGCTTTTCTTTCAAATCTCGATACCTTGAACGAAGCTGTTCGAAAGCTTCCGTACATGTGAGCAGATCAGCCTTCAACTGATTGTTCTCCGTGTCCAGGTTAAGGAGTTTGGTGCGAACACTGCAAGCCTGCGACTCGGTTTCGCTCTGAATCAACGTTTCTAAAGTCGCCTCATACTGTTGTAGAATCGCAGTCAGTTCTCGGTTCTTTTCAACGAGCGCAGCGTCGGCCTCGGTCTTATTCAGTGGCGCATTTGATGCCGTTTCAGGCCTGTGCACGGCTGGTGGTGCACTGCGCAGGGCGAGCGCCGTTCGGCTGCCGTTGTCTCGCGTGCCGCCTGCCTCGGTATTCTCTTTGTCTGCAGAAGCCGCACTTGTGGTAGACAGAGCATTCTCGTGCGAGCCTACGGGTGAACCCGTCCTGGGACAATCCAGGGAAGCGTTCCTCTCGTTCCTTGAAACGAGTGAGATATGCTTGCGTACGGACAAGGAATAGTCGAGGACGCTGCTAGCATTGGCTGCCAGCGGCGCTGCCCAATGCTCTAGATCAGCTTCAAGCTCGAGTTGTGGGCTGAGTTTTGCGGATGCATCCGTTTCCTCACTCGTGGCTTTTTTCCTGTCACCCGAGAGCATGGTCGCACGAGCGTGACTGCAGCTAGCGCCTGTCATGTCCGTCTGAAGCTCCTCTACTTGTGGTGACGTTTCACCAGCGTCCGCTCGTTGGACCTGTTGCTGTTCGTGTTCATCGCGCTCGACGGAGCAACGCTCTTCATCCACTTTCACTGCCAGCTCATTCAGCGCCTCCAACGCGGCGTGTGCGACTGCAGTCGCGCTCGTGACGTGCGCTGTCACCGCGCTGTAGACGCCCTGGTGCACACGAGCGTGGAACGTGCGAGCCCATGCCTCAACATGACAACGACGGCCGCTGTCAACGGTCTCTATGCACTGTTGTAAGGATGCCGCTATCTGGTGAACAAGGCGACACGCACTCGCCACAATAGACGGACGCAGTTCCTCTGCGTGCTGGCACAGGGCCACACCGAGACGCCCAGCGCCCTCCACCGCGAACAGCTCGGGAAACCTAGACAGCCACGCCAGTGCTGTCGTCGTTTTCAGACTTTCGCAGAGGCGATCAAGCGCTGTTCGACGGTCAGACCACGTATAGCCGGCAGCTCGCCCCTGTAAAACTACTTGAAGCGCGTTCGAGTCCGCGTCCTCACCGGCCGTTGTCAACGTGTCACAAGCTTCGACATCTCTTCTCTTCGAGACAGGCGTGTCTGACTGCATCAGCATACCAGATGACCCGCTTTAGGTGTCTGCCCGTGGGAAATGAGCAGCTCGCCGCCAAACGTTTTTCAAATGAAAAACGTTGCTGCCAGCAGTGTACCGTAGTGGCGGCAAACGCGCCTTAGACAAATCGTCTCCAACTGACGTGCAGACGCCTCCTAGTTTGTTTGGAACGTCCACCTACTACTAGTTTCAATTTTTTCTTATATAGTTCGACTTTGAGAGGTTGTCCATTAAAGTTCTCTCTTGTCCACTCTGGAGCTCTCGTCTCCAGTACCGCACATTTCCTGATATTGATGGCGGCATCAAAGTCACGATTCACGAATTCCATACGTTTCTTGCCATGATTGGTTGTACTTACTAATGCAAGTAGTCGCCGAACTTTTGCCCTCCTTTCCATTTGCTCCTCCGTCAGCGGTCCATACTTTATTATATCTTCAGGGCTCCTCTGGCACTTTTCCATCTCGACCCTCTGAAGTGTACAATCCAGCTCGTGGTGTGTATACGATGTTCGAAACTCATCTACAGGTATCGTTACGAAACGCCGTGCACACTCCTTGTGCGCTCTCGTCGTTGGAGCTGGTGTACACCCTTTTTGGGTCTTCCAGCGCCCTGCTCCGTATGCTACGACGAGCCTCTGACTCACATCCACCTTCAGGGCGCTCAACTGATTGAAAAAGTTCGCGAACGCCCGCTGCTTCCCACAGTATAGATTCATACGCAGACGAGCCCACCGAGGCTTTGTATACTCCTCCCACAGCGCCTCCCAATGAGCAACGCGAACTTTCATGAATTTCAGAAAAGCTTGAAAGCCCGCTCCTCGGCTCGTCACCTCGCTCATAGCTTCCAAGTGGTCCTTTATTCCTGCATTCCATGTCTCAATTTTCTTCCGCACATTCATTATTCCGGATTCTCTTTAGTCTCTTGCGCTCGAGAACCTCAGAAGACGCATGTGTTTCTGACGCAAGTTACCGTCAGAACCATCGTCCGCAAGCTTGGATACAGCGATGGATATGATATTTGTGTTTCCGGGGTCCGCGCCAACGACAAAGTCGTTTTCCTGCACTTTCTGCGTCGCAGGATCCGCTTGTTTGTTTTCTTCATGTTTCGCCGAGCGCGAAGCCGAGGGCAGAACTGGACGATCTTTCAACAACCGCAGATAGTGTACACACATGGCTACTCCATCGCTTTCGATCAACCCAGTGAATTCCTTTTTCTTGCTGACTTTGAGCCCTTTGAAATTGAAGATATTCTTCCAGTACGTCTCGCGGGTTTCGGCGGTGATCTCTGTGCTCCTTACATCGAACTCGGGACTGGTCTCAGTCATGATGCCGTAAAGGACGCCGGAGTCGATAGTCACAAAATGTGACTTGATGTTGCCCAACGGAACCACGTTGAAGCGCTCGCCCATTAGGAACGCCTTCCGTCTCTCCCATTCTTCATTTTTTTCCTCGCTCAGCTTCATCTCCGCTTTGCGATCGAGCTCTCGGTCCAAAAACACAAAATACCGTAGGACGAGACGATCGTATCTTTCCTTATCTTTTTTCAACTCTGATATCTTGTCTGTCGGATTCGCCAGCCCCAAAACTGCACGGTGCACTTGTATAGCCGCACGGATAACAGAAGCTTCATTCGTGATCTCTTTTGACGCCTTCTTGTCGACAAATTCGATCCCATCTACACGCCGGCGATTGTTCGTGATGCCATTGGTAATCGCCCATATCCCTTTGGGAGAGATGCCCGGGATCGAGTGCAAACACGGCGCGTATCATGAAACGTTCGAGGTTCACTGTCAAAGGATTCTTCAGATTCGTGAGGTACTTCATCGCCCCATAGCTGTAAATATCCCGGTCACCCTTGTATCGAGTACCGTTGAAGCTGTAAAAGGGATGTTTTTCGTGGAGGGCATGCACTCATACATTTTCCCTCCGCGCTTCCTCTGTACCAAGCATCAGCTGACGAATAAACTTCTTATCGAAAAACTCGTCCGGAATCTCCACCGTTTCCATGTGCGTCACGTCGCGATACATCTCCCGTACCAAATGCATCAGTCCTGACGACGCCTTGACAATACTCTTGGAGTACGAGTCGACACGGTTTCTGATAGCGTCTTGCAACTTTTCCCTGTAGGGATCCTTGATATGGCCATGAAGAAAGGTTTTCACCACCATCTCGTCGTACATTCGTCTTTCTTGCATCCTTCGACGTAGAGTCTCCCCCCTTCCCCCTTTGGTCCTTCTTCTTTTCCTTTTCTTCTGGACTTGGCACTGTTTTTTGTTTTTTTTCTGGCAGCCGGCGACCCTCGGCCTCCAGGATCGTCGACTTGCTTTTTCATAACTTTCCTTTTTTAGTTTTTTTTTTGAAAAAGAAAGCTCCTGGAACGCTTCTGTTATATACTGCGACAAAACAATTGAATACACATGTTTGAGGTTTGAAACTCAAATGAACTGAAAACTATACTTGGCTATGAAGTTAACGAAAATACAACTTTTACATTAGAGCTACATGCTAGATATCAAGATCACGTTTTCCTTCAACGGCGGCATTTTTTTCATTAACAAAACGTTTCCTTTGGCCAGCGTTCTCCGACTATGCGCATTTTTCTTTTCTTACTTTTTTGTGTTTTCCAATGTGCGGTGAATTATCCATCAAACAGCCTACTTCCAAGTTCCATTACCTATACTTCTTCTCGGATATTCTGGTCGTTTCATAAGTCCTATCGGGTGTGCCTCGTACCTGCCGTTCCGTATCCGCCTTTGCACCTTAAATGCTGGAGCAGATAGTTCATCGAGCTAGAACTGCTTTTCTATACCCCAGAGGGCATCGGCTCGAGGTGTGGTTCACCCGACGTAGAATCGGGTCTCGTCGTCAGTTTGTGCTCGTACAGTCTGGGGATGCAGGCTTGTCTTCGCTGCACGACACGCTGGAGAAACTTGACTGTTAGGATATATCCTGGGAGCCGCCTCTCTCCTTCGTGATCATGCATGGAATGCGTTGTTGTCGGTTGGCAATGTGGGTTTGTGCTTGACGCTCACCACAGTGGGTAGGCGCAGAAAGCGCACTGGGCCCGTGTGCGCATCCGATTCGCTGGACCTTCCGCCTAGAAGGTAGCATGTGAGTTTGTTCGCCACTAATGAGCGCTGAGGCTCCGTTAGCGGACCATCAGTTGCCAGTGCTGCACTCAAAGTGAGTGTCCGGCCTTTTGCTATCACGGTGATGTCCAGCTGCTGCTGTCCGCCAAGGAGCTCGCTGCGCTCCTGCTTCCAGCGCGGGCACTGTAAGCCTAAATATGTCAGCGTCTCGAGGGGTCTCGTCTCGATAGCAGGGACAGTGCGATTCCAGTGTTCCTATACGGCTTAGAGCCGGTGATGGTCGCCAGAAGCCACCAACGTGGATTTTCGCGAGCCACTGGGTACCTCGAGCAAGTCCCGGGAACTCCAGCGCCTCCCACCAGTACTTGCATGTGTATGCTAGGTTGTAGTTCCGGTAGAGAGTCAAGCCGGCGTTACTGGCACGACTTGTTCCGTGTCTACGTTCCCATATTGTTGTTTGGACGGTTCGCTTGAGGCGACGGGAGCCTGCTACATTTCTGGGGAACGATTAGGGAGCGTGCTTTCGTCTAAGAGGCGCTTCAGCCCAATCTGCGTCGATTTCATCCAAGTGTTCTTGCGGTGCGTTGGGGTCTGCATGAAAATCCGACTGAACCGGGTGCGCTTGGTGGACCCTTTTGGCCCGTATGCGTGCCCGGCAGCCTGCTGCTATCGCTTCTATTGAGGGTATTTGGAGTTCAAGTCCGAGTGTCAGCGGGTTGGTCGCTCTGCTCTGCACTGAGCATCCAACAACAACAACGAGTCGCATTGCCCTGTTGGCGGCTGTCTGCAGACGTGAGGCATTTGGGTGCTTTATGCCGCACCATTCAGCACCCCAGGTCGCAGGCTGGATGATACACATCCTTCGTGCCCTCGTACGGATTGCTATGCAGATAGAGGGGTCGGATAAGAATGGGCGTGCGATCGCTGTACGTCTATGCATCTTGGCGATCATCTCGTCGACGTGTGCCTTTTCGTCGATCGTCGGCGTTAGACCGACCCCCAGGTAGCGATAGTTTTCCACGATCGGAATTTCCTGATTCTGCAACCGCCACGAGCGATTGCGAATGCGCTGCGAGTCTCCATGGATGAGCATGACGCCGCACTTCGATGCTCCTATGCTCATCTCCCAGCGATCGGCCCAGTCGCTGACTTGTTCCATGCTACCCGCAAGTGTTTCCGGGGCGGGTGCCAACAGCACGACATCGTCCGCAAATAGAAGGCCTGCGAGGCGGTTCCCATGTGAGGGCTCCTCATCGGGCATCTCCACAGTCTATCCACGGCACCTCAAGCCCGTATTGTCTGCAGTTTTTCAGCGGATCGTTGATGAAGATGTTGAAAAGGAGCGGGGATGCGCGCTCGCCCTGTCGCAGTCCACGGTGGATTCTTCTGGAAGGGGTTCTTGAGCTGTCGCCCAGTCGGATGCGCATCCGCGAGTCTGCATAGAGCGCACTGAAGAACGCCAAGCACTTTCCGGAGACTCCGGCTCGTTCCATCTTCAGAAATGGAGCCTCGTGCGGGACCGTGTCAAAGGCCTTTTGGAAGTCAATGAAGCATACGTAAGTTGGTTGTCGGTCACGAATAAAGCGACGTTGCGCCACTTCAGTGAGGGTCAGGAAATGGCTCATGCACTCCTCGCGGCTCCGGAATCCAGCCCTCCCTGGGGCGAAGAACTTGCGTTCCTCGAGGCGCCTCTGGATCCGGTTCGTGAGGTTGGCGCAAAAGTAGCTTCATGATTGACGGGATGAGGCCGATAGGCCGGTAGTTGTTCATGTCTGTGTATGTGGGAGTCCTTTTTGAGGATCGGTACGACCTCGGCAGTCCTCCATACATCCGGGATGTACGCTTCTTCGAACATGCCTTGGATGAGCTCCACAAGGCGTTTGCCTAAGCTTGTGTCAGGTTCATCTGGTATCGACGGTGTCCCTGTTGTCCCGTCTTTTGGGGTCACCAGTTTCATCCACTCCGCCGCGATACCGTTAAAGCCAGGTGTTTTGCGGTTGCATGACCTTAAGAGGGTCCGGACAGATTCAGGCCAGAAGATTGGGTCGTTCCATACCGGTACCGGGTCGAGGCGCGGTAGTTCTGCGGCATATTGGTGCCAATAGATTGGGTCTTGGCAGTGCCCAGTTGCGTCTTCATGCAGCTCTGTCCCGTGGTCTATCCAGGCCTCATTCACTAAGGCACTCTCCGTCCTCAGCTCTTCCTTATACAGAATTGGTGTGAGCCCCAAGCACTTTTTTGGTGGGTCGAGTCGCGATCGAATGGAGCGCCAGGTCTCATCTTCGTTGGTGCTCTCTAGCATAGATTTCGCTAGGGAGGCGATTTTGCGGTTTCGATCCTCTCGTTTGTCTTCTCTGGAACGTTTTTTCGTTCTTTCGATAGCGTCCTCATGTTGCGCCTGTAGCGCCGGTAGCGCTGCCTTCGCTTCCTTGTCTCCGGCGTTGGCGCGTACGGCGGTGCGGTTGACGATCTCATAGAGTCGGTGGCATTCATCAATCCGAGTTTTGGTAAGTCGTTTGAGGTACTGCGGCTTGCTACTGTTGCGTTCTGGTGCAAGCAGTCCCAGTTCTCTGGCAATCTTCTGATTCCCATCTACATACTCGCGTGCCAATTGGTCAAAAGATTTGCATGCACGGCTTTTCGGATCGTCAGCGCTGTGAGTAGGTGACTCGGTTTGGCGACGGCTCTCTTGAGTTCCCGCTGGGGTGCCCTTTCGGGGGATCACTCATGATGGGCTCGTTCAGGAGTTCTTCTCTCTATTCTTCTGTCTTTTCTTGTTGGTCTTCTTCTTCTTCGGGCTCTTTCCTGAGCTGCTTTCTCTGGTTATTTTGCATCTAGGTGGATCATGAGGACTTTTTGCCTCCTTCTCCGCATCTGGTTGGGTCTCTTTTCCTAACGCAGAGTCCTCCACTTGTATAAGTTCCTCTTTACTCTACTGGTAATTCGATATTTCGTAGCTCAATTCCGAGGCTATCCCGCAAATATTCCATGATGCGAAACCTATAGAGTCGTAGCGCACAAGGGAATAGGAGTAACGCTGCGGTGCTCCAGAGATACGTTGTCGATTTAGATGTACCCTCGACGGGGTGTGTGAACGCACATGCCACCAGCGCCTCCCGCATTCCAGTCGTTCATTGAGTGCTTGGCGCAGCGCTAGCATAGAATCAGAGGTACATTAGTCAAGGTCGATTCGAATGCGACCTTTATCTTGCCGGACGCGTGAAGCTCCCCTCAATCACTGGGAACAGTCTGCAAACCACCTTTTCAGCGGCTTCGCATCCGCTCCCCAAACACATAGGCGGGCAAGTCGTTTGTTCCAGCATCGATCGCGAACATACTGCCAGCCGTCTTCCAAAGCATCCGCCGAGATTGTTTCCAAAGTTGAGGTAGGTACCCAAGGTAGAGGGTTAAACTGAGCCCGAATTCAAGGATTGATCCAGTATTTGTGCCCGAACCTACAGCGTTGTTTCGGGAGGGGCGGATGACTGCTCAGAACTCTCGTCCATATTTTCTGGTGCTACTGCCTCCGCGCCTCCGTGCATTGCGGTCAAGGACCTTGTCGTGGGCTTCCTTCCTATCGCCCGAACACCCCGCGTTAACCCATTTTTAGAGCTTCTCCGGAAAAACTAGACCTCTTAGGCGGGCGTGGTGTGTGCGGCTTCAAGATAGTTGTTCTGTGATAAATGGTTTGTGACTGGTTTGTTTTCTTTCAATGTTTTTTCCAGCGACCCTCCGTGTCTTTCGGCTGTTGTCAATTCCGTTCGAAATCAGTGCCGTGGAACAAAGAGCAGAGACAAACGAGTCATTGCCAACGAGATGACAGTTTCTCTCCCCAACTACGATAAACGGTAAAAGAGGGAAAAGGTTTTCATACTGTGGAACGTTTACCTTATTGGCGGAAGGTCCTGCGCGCCGGACAAGTCTGGTAGGCTAATTCGTCGTACTCTCCCCCGTTGGCGAGTGCTTTAGCGAGACCTGAGCAACTCGTCCGAAACGCAGGTTATTTTGGGGCTCGGAGCGGGTATGCTGCGTGTCTGGGCATCGCCCTGGTCGCAGTGGACTCCTAGTACGTCGCTTCCCGCTGCCGCAGGTACAAGGTCTGTCTGCGCAGCATGCAGGCTCTCAGAATGATCACGTACTCCGACCCCTTGTTGAATGAATCACGCCTCGTTAAGACACCCTCAGTGATGCGACAAAGGCGTTCTGCCTCCGTGATGGATCTGCACAAGCGGCATAGCTGCGATTGCGGGTGCAGCAAGGCAGGCACCTGACGAACGATTGAACGTACGAAACGACCATTACATCCTAGAGGAAGTATACGTAACGGAGCTTGGAGATAGGGTGCATCATGATGGACGCCTTTTCGATTACGAACACCCACCCGGAAATCAGGTATCCATGGTCAATGTAAACGTTTTGTCATCGAAATAAAGTAGCGGTGGCTGGCTGGCTGGCTGGCTGGCTGGCTGGCTGGCTGGGCAGGTAAACCGCACACGCGCGATCACGTTCAATTGGCGCATCATCGCCGGCTGCAGGCCAGCCGGTCAGTGGGGATGCTTGCACCGCGGCAACGTTACTGATGTCCGGTATGTTCGATTCTGGGCGGTTATACGACCGCCCGTCTGCATGGTGTGCGCGCTAGAACATGCGCAAGCGCTGCACTTGTGGGACGTTATCGCGTCCTCCAAGCGTACCGCGTCTACCTGGCAAGAGGTCTAGCACCAAACCGGGTGAGAAAGTGTCTTTTCGGAAGCGAGCCGATCTAGCGATCTATCCATAGACCAAAGCTTCTGCCCCAAGTTCTGGCACTGAACGATTTTGTTTGAAAGCAAGTACCACGCTTTTTTGATGGATCAAGCAGCACGTGAGAAGGCAATTTACCTCGCCAAGCTCGCGGAACAAGCCGAGCGTTACGATGAGATGGTTGAGCAGATGAGGCAGGTTGCTCTGCAGACGAACGCGAACACTCCGGAGCTTACGGTAGAGGAACGAAACCTTCTCTCAGTCGCTTACAAGAACGTTATTGGGGCCCGGCGAGCGTCGTGGCGCATCATCTCCTCGATCGAACAGAAAGAAGAAGCAAAGGGGAACACCGAGCACGTTGCAATCAATAGGGAATACCGTATGAAGATCGAGGCGGAACTTGCGGAAATATGCAAAGAAATATTGGAAATCTTGAAGAATAATTTGATTCCGAGCGCCAAGACGGGTGAATCGAAAGTGTTCTACCTGAAAATGGAGGGAGATTACCATCGTTACCTCGCAGAGTTCAGCTCAGAGCAGGATCGCAAGATTTCTGCGGAGAAGAGCCTGGAGGCGTACCGGGCCGCCACGGATATCGCGATGACGGAGCTGGCCCCGACGCACCCGATTCGCCTGGGCCTTGCACTCAATTTCTCGGTGTTTTATTACGAAATCTTGAACTCTCCGGATCGCGCCTGCAAACTAGCAAAGGACGCTTTCGACGAGGCCATTTCGGAGCTGGATACACTGAGCGAAGAGTCTTACAAGGATAGCACTCTGATCATGCAGCTCTTGCGCGACAATTTGACCCTTTGGACTTCGGATATCGGCGGCGATGAGGAAGAGGCTCGTGGAAATGAGGGTGACGGTGAAGGGGAAGCAAAGGCGTAACCGCATGTCTTGTGTGCAAGCGCCTTGCTCGAACCCGCCTGCCCACGGAGGGCGACGAACGCATGCTGGAAAGCTTGGTTCCTCCGCGGCGGAGTGCCCGGCGCCGGCCAGATTCTCGATGCTACGCATCAGCAGAGCCTTCAAATGACACCATTTTTTCTAAAGCCATTCCCATGACGTCCGCAGTGGATTGTGGTCTCTCTTCGTGTTGTGCGCGCAAGTCATGCGCTCTGGACGCGCATCGATCAGGTGTGCTGCACGCAAAGGGCAGCACGAGCCCTTGGTGCTTCCTGAGTTCTGTTTGCGTGCAGGTACCAGCGTCTGCCTGGCGCACGAACTTGTGTCGCAGCCGCCGCACCCGCCGCACCCGCACACCGTTTTGAACACAGCGGCATGCGTCGGAAGCGATCCCCGCGCGTCCGCTGCTGCTGAGTGTGTGCGCGTCTGTGGAGAAATGCCATGCCTACCCGGCGTTATGTTGTCTCTGGGATTGTGTCGCTACCGCCGTAAAATCCCTTAATGTAGCGCGCGACGTGAATGCACACAGCGTTTACCCTGTGCGCATGTACTTGCTCGCATGTGCGACCACTGGGGCTGGAAACACAGCTCAGACGGATTTCGGAACGCTGCGCAGTAGAGCATCGACCAGTTTGGAAACTCAAGGACGCCACCGTATTGCACTGCTGGACTTGTGAAACGCAATGAAATCCGGATGCTCGTAAATCAAAACACTGAAATCTATGACTTGGACCCGCTGTAGCACGTACGTGCTTCCTCGGGAAGCAGGTGTCGCAGCGAGCGTGGGTGTTTTTCATCGATAGCCAGATGAGCTGTTCGCAATGATCACACATTCCAGCATAGCGTCACGGTGCACGAACTGCGCGCACTAGCATCCAAGCGTGCACCAGTGGCACCCACGTCCCGAGGCTGCGTCCAGAACACCAACCGCGAATTCCGGAAAGCAAAGCGTCAACACGTTCGGAGCACCATGGAGCTCTCATCTGGCGAGTTTTCGGGTGCCATGCTCGTAGACAGCAGTGGGCAGCATTCCATTTGACCTCGAAAGCGTCTACTGCCTGCCAGTATCGCTGGTGTTGCGAAAGATATTTTGCGCGTCATCGCAACTGACGGAGCTAGCGCCGTCCGAAGACAAACCGCTGTATTGTTTGCAGCAAAATACCAAGTGGTGCATAGGTTTCGTGGGCAACGCGTTCCTAGTCGAAACTGTAGGGTCTTGTTCTCCGCAGCACGGTTCCGCGCTCACGATGAACTGTGACGCGCTGCACGCGGCTTGGTGGACGCTGACCTCATGCTCGTTGAACGCGTACTCCTATGAGATAGGCGTGCGATATGCGAGAGATGCAGGCCAGCTTATCAGCTTCGTCCAAATGCTGGGCGTTGCACTACTCACGACGCCGCAGGCGGCTCGTGAGCTCCGCACCCACTGGCGTCAGCAGCAGAGGTACCGCCTGCACAGCCCTCGCACGTGGGCGCTCTTCATGGGTTATTTTCTCACTTTCTATGGAACGGCGTTCCTTATAAACCTCTCTGTTGAGCTGGGCGTATCTATCCAGCTCGTGCACGTCTCCCGTGCCGGCACGCTAGTTGCGACGTTGATTCTATCCGTGATTTTCCAGCGAAAACGCTACACCGCAGTGCAGTATATTTGCGTGCTTCTCGTGTCCGCTGGGCTGGTGTGGGCGGCTCTTGCCCTGCAGGCAACCGGGACACTGAGTCAGTCGAGGCGGGATGCACTCAGGGCATCGGCTTCCCTCTGGGTAGGTATCTTTCTGCTTGTGGTGAACTGCTTCCTTTCACCCGTCATGGGGATACTACAACAGCTTTTGATTGCCCCGAGACCTGGTGCTACTGGCGATACTCTTACCAGGTCAGAGCTGCTATGCATGCAGCACTGGGTGGCTGTGCTGCTTTTTCTAATACAGGCGCAGGAGATGGAGCAGGCATCCCTCGTGAAAAACATGAAACTTCTCTGGCGTGCACCAGTGCCGCTATCCGGTGCTGGCGGCGGAACTCCTGGTGAGCTGCTTCTCATGGTGAACACCATGACACAGTATTTATGTATGCGAAGTGTGATCCAGATGCAGGTCACCAGCCGTAGCATCCTCTATGTTCAGCTTGTAACCGCGCTCCGGAAACTAGCGAACTTTTTGCTAAGCGCGCAGCTTTTCGGTACGAAGATGCACGGCTTCCAATGGATGTCCTTGCTGCTCGTCTTTGGAGGAACGCTGGGCTATGCGCTCTCGCAAGACGATTCCCCGGATGTGCAAAGAAGCCATAAGATACCGAGAAAGAATCTCGCTTTATGAAGATCGACATCCAAGTGCAAAGCGAAACACCGTGTTCGACTAACGAGCAATGATGCGAACCGGTCATGCGATCGCGAGGAGGAAGCTCGTTTGACGCACATCGACATCCGAGTGGACCTCTAAGCACCGTATTTGGTCAACGGGCATCAGCATCTTTCGGTGCGTGAGTGTACCTGGTCCATGCGATCAGGCACTGCTCCAAAAGCGCTCGAGGCGTATCACTCGGAGCGCGCACCCAGTGATGAGCACCGTTGCGAAACTTTTCCATCCACGAAGCGAGCGTCGCGATGATGCTTTGGCGATAGAGCGCAGGGCGCTCGCTGATCGCGGCGCAGAGGCAATGCACCATGGCGAGAACGGCCTCAAAGATCGTTCTCGCATGCGGTGGCTCAGCTGTAGCCATCCAGAGCTGAACAACGAGAAAGACCGCTTCGCCCTTTTGCAGGCGCGCCGGATTCATTTCATGGAGTGTGAAAGGAATGGCTTGCTCTGGCCGAAGACCTCGATCTCTGATCTGGTGCAGTACCATATCAGCATCCCGGAGCTCACGCTCTGCACCTGCATGGCATACGTAATAGAGGAGTTCGATGACAGCTCGACATCGTGGCTGATGGCGATGCGGATCGAAGACGATTCGTGCAGTTGGCCGCGGTGCGGCGATCCCGATGCAGTGACGATGTTCCGCGGCGTTGTCTGAGGAGAATGTACCGAGACAACGAGGTTTGCCATACGCGCTACGAATGAAGCCGAGAATGGACTCAGGGCTGATCTGGTATTTGAGAGCGGCCAGGCCGAGCATGGTCAGGGCATAAGTTCTCGCCGGAGCGCTCATTTGGATGCAACCCGCGTTCTCCAACAGCCGGACAAGGGCCCGCGCATGGGCATCGGGACCGCGTCTAGAGGCCTGCTCCGTACGTTGCCCTCTATGCATCAGGGCGGCGTGAAGCGTGTATCGCATCCACTCTGCTGCTGCTGCTTCGTCGACCAGTGGTGTTCCACAGCAGTTCATTTCGCGGAGCAAGCGAAAGCTCAAGCCTTGGCTAGCCGTCCTGGCGACGTGCTGTATCCACCAGGCTGAGGTGTCTACCTCATGTTCAGCGGCGCGTTCACCTACCGGGAGGTTATCCCCGGTGAAGAGCCTTCCGGTCGCATGCAAGTAGACCCAGGGGGCGCTTCTTTGGCTCGTGAAAACCATCAAGCGATGCAGAGCTTGACACGTAACGTGCATGATTGCAGCCTGCGAGTGCCGCGTTCTGTCGAGGACGCCAGTCGGCTCGACAGCGACACGAAAGATGCAGCGGGAGAGCGCCCGCAGCACTGACGCTTGGAAAGATTTTGGCTCGCCATGGTACCCCGACCAGTGCGTGGTCTTGAGCACCACAACAACCGCATGCTTAGACCGGTGCATTTCATCCAAAATTCGTGTTATGTATTCGATTGTAGCGAATGGTTGGACCGCATGCGCCGTATCCGCACACTGCATCGATGTTGACGGCGATTTCCGCGCACCTCGGCCGGCGCTCGCTGCAACATCGGGGCCTTCAGGTTTGTCGTTGCGGCCGCGTACGCTCCGAATGGCCATTGCGGCGATGCGGAGTGCGCCACTGCGGAACAGCTCTTGCAGAAGCACGCGATCGCTGTGAGCTGCGGGTTTCGACGCGCTGGACCACGCGCTGCTTTCCTCGTCGCCAGCATCTGGCTCCAGCGTACCAATACCGAGGAGAGCTCGTCGCTGTGCTTCGGTGTTGCGCAGGAGCGACCCCAGCGTCTCCAGTTTAATGCGAGAGTCTTCAGGGACGTTACTGAGAATCAGAGACGGCACTGGAGCAGTGCATGCTGCGCCCTGAGGTGCGAGCCTACTCGCCAGGGCGGCAAGGGTGCGCTCTGTGGATCGTTTGGTTGGGCACAAGACGAGCGCCTGCTCCTTCCCATCAAACACGCCTGTGTGCGCCTCCAGCACCTCGTAAAGGTATTCTCGTCGCTGGTCGATCACATGATCGAGCTGGTGCTCCACCGGGACCGCAAATGGTATGATCGTGTAGGGCCAGTGATGGGCACCACGCTCCAAAGCGGCGCTCGGTTCCGGGGTCGTTGTCTGTGGAATAATGTGACGCACCGATGAACATCGCAACCACTGAGCGAGCAATGGGACTAGTTCTGTTTGAGCTCGCGCTGAACTAGGACCGGCCATCTGTGCGAAAACACGTAGCTTCCCTGGATGATAGAACAACAATCTGGTGATCGCATCTGCGAACTCCACTGTTTCGGAGAGGTTTCGGGCAGAGGCACCAGCCGCGCAATGCTCAGAGCTGTCTCCGTGCAAGCCAAGCACAAGGTGGACACCATCAACGAGCAGCAAGCTCGTATGAGCGATGAGCGGCGTGCTCAGTCCCTCAGGCGTAACAATGGTCAGTTCTGGATGCTGCGCTTCGCGTGCGTCGATCTCTGCAATGAGGGATTGCCAATACGCCGCTCGGTTGACATTCGGTACCAGCAGTAACTTGCGTCCTGGTTCATCTTTGCTCTTCGTTGCCGCTGCATAGAAGTAAAACCCCGCGATATCTTCGAGGGATGTCGCATAGGTAACGAGGAACATATTGGACTCTTGCTGCACATCACTGGCCCAGATGTTGCGCAGGCCTCGCGGTCGCGCAACAGAAACTTCCTCGCGTCTGTTGCCGTCATCATGAGGAGCAGCTTCAACCAATGGACGCAGAAGCAGCGCCCTGTAGTCGTTCATCTCCCGACTCGCAGGTCGTCGAGCAGCTGCAGTGCCACTCGCTGGATCCAAACGGATCCTATCGCCCTGAATCAGCGGCTATTGTGGACGGAAGTGAGCGAGTCGATGCCTTCGATTTTAGAAGGATGCTTATGAATCCAGTAACAGTGCTCCTTACAACAAGAGCGTCGTAAAGACTGAGAAAATCCCGCCAAATAATGCTCCAGAATTTTTTCTCGCATGCATGAACCGCTTTCGATGCATGCTGCTGCACGCATTCGTGATGCATGCTGCATACGTCAAGGTACACGTGTCCGGGGCATGTTCAGCGGGCGCTGATGCCAGACGCGGACACGCATGGTTCATCGCGAAGCGCTGCATCTGAGCGGCGAATGCATCCTCGCAGTTCATATCAAAGGTGTCGTTGTTCATATTTCGTGGCGCTTTCGAGTAAAGCGTGCACAGCTGGGCAGCGGGGCGGAAGCCGCATTCACGGCGGCAGGGCAAAGGTTCCTTTCGGCACGGTCCGCGGTGACCTCTTTTTTTGGACGGGTCGTCTGCCCAAGCCTTGCCCTGGCGCCGACAAGATGCTCTGTATCCTGCTCGGTTCCGCTCGCGCATGTATCATCTGCGGAACCGTACTGCCCCGGTGTCTTCTAAAAGCGATTATACCTTTGGTTACCAGCAACCGTTTCCAGCAGATCCGGATTGCAAACGGGTTTCAGCAATTCAGGCTGGACATGGCCGTGCAGCGGCAATCCCTCGCCTGAATGCGAAACGCGAATGCGTCCAGCGGCGGCCTGCCCGACTAGCCACGTGTCTTGCGTTGGCGCAGCGCGCGATGTGCCGGTGCGTCGCAGGCTGCGCCCCAGCGCACCAGCACTGATCAGGGGCACGTGCAGCGCGCCCCATTCCATGTACCGAACGGCTGTACCGCATCGGATGTATACGCAGGAACATCCAATCATGGAACATCACAGTCGTTCCGGACATTTATTGAGGGCGGTCTCCAACTATTCACTAGATACGAAACCCGTCGGTCCGTTGCCCAGAGCTGTGCGATGAGCTGGGACGGGTTTAAGCGACGCTCGCGCCGGTTGCGACACAACTTCGGAACTCGCTCTCGCCGCGGTATCTCCCAGGTCATTGTCTGGCGATTTATTTATCTTTCCCTTCACCTGGCAGTTTGACAAGAATATGGTCGCCATTTTCGATATCCGTTCTGGTTCCTCGGCATTCAGGTGCGCTCACGACACCGGGGGACTTGAGTTGCCGCTCCCTACGCACGTACCTGCGAATCCTTGACAAAGCCTTCGTCATCCCCTCGGTTGCGAGCACGCCCACAGAACAGTGCGCACCTTTTCACTCTCTCCAGCACACGAGCAAACGAGCAACACGGCATTTCAGGGCAGCTGAGGGTGGCGAACGATTTGTCCAAGAACTTCAGCGTCATGGGTTGCGAAGGACTCGTCCATGGATCTTTGGGCATCGACACGGCGTATTGCAATAAAAAAGACGCTTGCGACTAGGTCGACCAAGTTTCATAAGCTGGTACGAATAGCAGCTCGAGCTCGATCTCAGCTGCATTCCTCGTGACCTCTTTCGGGAAATGGAAAGCAGCATGGTCAAGGTGCAGGACGGGAGCATTCGGGAAGGAATAACTACGAAGCGCGATTGGACATTTGGTGAGATATTGAACGATTCTATCCTACTGACGATTTATCATGGACCATTCCATGGATTTGCGGCTAGGGCTGATGCTGGCGCAATGCTCCATTGTCTTGTGTCTCGACGAACAGCAGTGGATCAGCGCTCTTGACGCACCCACATACAGGCCCATCATCTCTCCCGAAAGAAGTCTCATCAAGTGAGACGCACACCTGTCGCTTGTGTAATAATCGTTCACGTATCAGTATGAAACGAATAGAGCGCTACGCAACGTGTGACGGTCTCCGATACGAGCGCACTCTTCTCTGTGGTCATGCTCGTCTCTTCATCATCGTTCGTATCAGCGGTACGGAAACGTCACAATCGGCACGATCATCGGCAGTATTTCATAGAGGACGTATCCAGCCGAATGGATGGACCAGGGGGCAGTCGTACCTTCTGCCAAGTTATGCGCTGGGTGTTCGACGTTCAGGGTACGGGCTACCAGAAAGGTGCTCCATCCAGCTGCTGACAGAGGAATGTCTGGCTTGTACAAGTAAGACCGTTTTTCGCTTCGCAACAACAAGTCTGTCCCCGATCGCTCTCCACTCTATAGAACACGTTCATTTTATGCGATATCTGAGAGAAAAACAAACAAAAACCAAAAATACGTGCTGGTTCACGTATTTCAGAGTTCGTTGCACTGTGCGTCATGTATTGGAGCTTGGCGGCCTGGCACCAGCCCAGTGGCGAACGTGCGATACGCCGCAACGTCGCAGCACCAGCCATCGAGGCAGTCCCGCGTGCGCACTGCATCCGCCATTCGATGCTCTTTGCAACGCCAGCGGAGACTCCGCGTTATGACTTTCGGCGAAGGGCTTTCAAACCTTCTCAGCTCTGAGACTCTGCAATGGATAGCTTTTACAGCAAAAGGAGGCCAAGGGAAAACAACTTGTGCCTGTGCGACAGGTATTCAGGCCGCGTTACGGAGGCCGAACCAACGCGTTCTCGTGATATCCACAGACCCGGCCCATAACGTGAGTGATGCGTTCGGACAAAGGTTCGCTCGAGATCCGCTTCCAGTACGAGGTTATCCCAACCTCTACGCTATGGAAATCGACCCAGAGCGCGACTTCGCGGAGACGGATCTCGGACGCGCCCTGCTGGGAAACGGCTTTGGCGGCGTTGCGGCCGATGGCGAGGAAGGCGCGCGTGCGGCGCTCCCCGGCGTCGAGGATGACCCGTTCGGTCTGAGCAGCCTGGTCTCGGAACTGATCTCCTCGGTGCCTGGCATAGATGAAGCGTTATCATTTGGGCAGATGATGAAGTCTGTGCAGGAAATGACGTTCGATTTGATCATATTCGACATGGCACCGACGGGGCATGCCCTAAAGCTCCTCTCTTTTCCCGCCGTATTAGAAAAGGGCTTGAGTCGCCTGTTGGATCTGCGCTCTCGCCTTGCGCCAATGCTCAACATGGCGTCGTCGATGTTACGCATGAGCGGCACGCCGGACATGGGCGCCACAGCTAATGCATTCGACGAGGAGATCGTGGGCAAAATCGAGGAGTTGCTCAGCATTGTCCGCAGAGTGGATGCGCAGTTTCGGGATCCCTCAAAGACGGCCTTCGTTTGTGTGTGTATGCCCGAGTTCCTGTCACTGTATGAGACAGATCGGCTTTTGCGGGAGTTGCGGCGAATGCGAATGACATGCTCAAACCTAGTGATCAACCAGGTGTTGTGGGTCGCGGATCTGCCGAGCCATGTGCCGCAAATGCCGCCAAAGTACTTGCCTGTGTGTCTGCCGCAAGAGCCCTGTGGTTGGAGCGCTCTGACCCTCTTCCAATCCCGAGTTGAGATCCAGTCCAAGTATTTGCAGCAGATCGAAGATTTGTACGCGGAGGATTTTCACATAACTAGGGTGCCGATGCTGCGGAATGAGGTGCGCGGTGTCGACGATCTTCGCGCTTTTGGCAAACGACTGCTCGTAGATAGTGGCATTCGGCCGCTGGAACCGGCACAAAACTCGCCGTTTGAACCCACGCTGCGCAACGTCCTTGAGGCACGCAGCCTCGAGCTCATTATTGCCAGCGGCAAGGGCAATGTCGGGAAAACCACAACGACTTCAGCGCTTGCAATTCAGTTGGCAGAGGATACTCGACGTCAGCGGAGGGTGCTTTTGGTATCTACCGATCCCGCACATAGTCTGAGTGACGCGTTTGGCCAAAACTTTACCGTGTCGCTTTCGAACACCCAGTCTCTGAGCGTCAACGATATCGACGAGGTGATGCGCCCAGTGCGCGTTCATGGCATTGGAGGCCCTGGCATCCTAGATGTCTTGGAAGTCGATACTGCGCATTTCCTGCAGGATATTGGGAACGCTGTGCAAGATACGAATCTTAGTGATTTGGCTGCCGGTGCCACGAACGCAAACGATCCCCGAACTGCGCTGGCCGCCATGATGCTTGGGGCGTCACCGTCCGACATTATTCGTGACCTGCTCCAGGCTGTTCCAGGCCTGGATGATGCGATTGCATTCACCCGCCTTATGCAGCGCATTCAGGGACTCGACTACGATGTCATCGTACTGGACACGGCACCGACAGGGCACACGCTGCGTTTGCTCTCCTTCCCTGCCCTGCTGCAGAAAGGCCTCCAAAAACTAGAAGAAATGCGCCAGAGATTCGCGGGTGCGCTCTCGATGGCCTCGAGTCTCGCGGAGAGCTCCGGCCTCGGCGTGGGCGGTGGTCGAAGACCCGACGAGGAGATCGCCGAGCGACTGTCAAACATGCAAGAAACCATTCTGCGCGTTGTGAAGCAGTTCCAGGACCCCGAGCGAACCACTTTTATATGTGTCTGCATCGCTGAGTTTCTCTCTGTCTACGAGACCGAGCGCTTGATTCAGGACCTGGCAGAGCACGACATCGACGCGCACAACATCGTCGTGAACCAGCTCTTTCCTCCGAGCGCCACTGAAGCCGAACGCATCGATATGGTATGCGCGCGAATTGGCATGCAGCAAAAGTATCTGCGAGAGATCGACGAACTCTACGCGCGAGATATGCGGCTCGTCGTGCTGCCGCTGGAGCCTCAAGAGGTGCGCGGCGCAGAGGCGTTGCGTCGCTTTGGCCAACGTCTCGCCAGTTAACCAAGGAGGACAACGCCGTTTCCGCTTTTGTGGTAGCGCGACAACGTCCCAGGCCGCTATGATAGCCACATAAAGCGTTGTGCACTGTTCACGAAAGAGCGCATCCCATCGAGATGCGGCCCTGTCTGCCTGCAACATGATCACCAGGTATCCGCACTGATGCAGCCCCATGCTCGGAATCCGTTGCACTGCGTACCGAAACGTAGCGATGACGCGTCTAGAACACCAACCGTTGTCCGACATTGTCTACGAGCACAAATACACACCAAAGTACCGCTGCCGTTCAAGACCCGAAAACATAGATGCAGAGACGAAGCGCGGCGCACGCATTGCAGCATTGCTCGCGACGGGACACGTGTCCACATGCGCACCGCCTTGCTCCGTTTCTGCGGCGATGCCAAGTTGGCCTGCTCCTCGGATTGCGTACCAACACCCGTACCCTGGCACCATTCTCGCTCGCGCACTGCTGCTCGTTTGGTTTAGGCGAGCGTCTCGCACGCGACTGTTCGGCAGGTGGTTTCGGAGACGCCTCGCCAGCCAGCAGGTGCAAGCGCGCGCGTGCGTAGATCTCCGAAAGCCTATTCAGTTTCCAGAGCGATATCCATAGATCAACGCTAATGCATATCCAAGGCAGTGCGCGTGTCGTGCTGGTGCACAAGGCACCCCAGCACCCGTGTCTTCGTCGTTTCGCGTGGCTCGTCTCGCAACCTCCATCACGTGCCGCGGGCATTGCGGAGCGCTTGCTGATCGGTTAACGCTCCCTTGCTGCTTGGGATTTCTCCCTGTCGGCGGGAGTCGATCTCACATGCCATCCTGAGAGCTCTTGCAAATGCTTTGAAACTTGCCTCAATGATGTGGTGGGAGTTCAGACCCGCGAGCTGGCGAATGTGCAACGTCATTTGGGCGTTGCTCGCAAGGGCCATGAAAAATTCTCGAACCAGTTGCGTGTCGTACGTACCGACGCGCTCCGTCGGCATTACTAGCCCATAGTCCAAATAACCTCGACCCGAGAAATCCATGGCCACTTGAACGAGCGCCTCATCCAGGGGTGCCAGAAAGTGACCAAACCGTTGGATACCTCGTTTGTCGCCGAGCGCCTGCGCCAGCGCCAGCCCCAGTGCGATACCCACGTCCTCGTTCGTGTGGTGGTCATCGATTTCATAGTCGCCGCTGGCTTGAATATCTAAATCAATGAGACCGTGTGCGCTAATCTGGTGCAGCATATGGTCCAGAAACGGGATCCCAGTCCGCACGCGACACTCGCCGGTGCCGTCAATGTTTAGCCAGACGCGAACGTCGGTTTCTCTGGTCACTCGGTGCACTTGCGCTGTCCGAGAGCTTGCTGGTGGTGTACGAGTGGCCCTTGGCGCAGCACTGGCTGCGCCCTCACCGTTCATGCATAGAAGGAGCGATGCGCGCGAGTGCCCGCCTCTACCTGGAGACAACCATAGTTGCCTGTTTCTTCCACTGTTGACACTGCGCAAGCTTATTTTTGAGCATCTCCAACAGCGGCGTGCGACGAATGGACCACAAAATGCACTTAGGGTTCGCATCCGACCGTGGGCTTTCGTGGCTTTGGAAACGCGTCGCGAACCGGCTGTACTCGATACAAGCGACAGGCTGAGGAGGCAGGTGGCGCGGACCCCGGAGGCGCGCAACGCCCACACCCGTACGAAACTTTCATCGGGGCGTGGCGGTACCTGGAATGCCTTGCAGAGAACGTCAGGTTGATGACCCGGTCAATAGCGGCGTCTGTGGTTGTAGGAGCGCCATACTAGACACAATAATCCTGCCTTGTTAAAAACGACACCGGTTGGTAGAACGCGGTACCTCGTTTCAGTGCACGCAAAAAGGGCTGGCGTGGCGACGTCGCGCTCTGGGCTGTTTTTATGACCAGATTCAGTGGTTGATAGTAACGTATGCACTTCCAGACAATAGTGAGCTTTGAACGACAATTAAATGATTCCAAAAATCACTCCGATCTGTTTTCGAGACTGACACGATTCGCGGTGGTTGATGCGTAAGCCTCAGAAGTTGTTTCAGATTTTCGACAGGGTCGGACCGGCGGGCCGCTCCTTCCGCAAAGGACTTTCATCGTCCTCGTTTTCACACGACTCGGCAGTGCTCCTAGACGCGCTATTACATTGTTACCGGTCTGTTCAGTACAGTTTCGTGACAGGCAGGGATTGTGTCTTCGCTGAACCCGCAACAGGCCTTGTGTGTCCTTCGCCACGACTCGCCGCGCGGGAAACTGTTCGCCTCGTTTGCAGCACTGCTCCGCTCAACGTTTAGTGACGGTGAGCGGCTAGCGGCATTGTCCATTGGTGTCTTGGGAGCGATATCCACGAATCAACGGCATCCAGAGTGTGCATCTTACGCAGTCGTATTGCCGCACAAGCCATCCCGCTGATCCTGTATATACCAAGGCTGTGAATCAGTCTGTAATAGGGGCGCGTTTCGCATCGCAAGAGCAGTGCAGAACGCGTGGGGAAATGTTTGCGACTCGACCGGGAACTGCCTTCATTTCTGAACAAGAACCGGACATTGCTTCCTGAAAGCATGCAGGAACAAAAGCAAGAAATACTACGCTCTGGAGGCCAGTGACTGGACACCTAGGCAGCGGTTATAGGATATGCTGCATCCGCAGAATATTCGCAGAGAAAAGTCTCCTACCTAAATCATAGCGTCTTTGCAGGTCGATCTGATTTCTTCCGCTGCTTCCTCGAAAGCACTCAGAATCGCCTGATCTATCCCATTCTCTTCTAAATAGAACTTGTTCCCATATTTACTGGATATTCGACTCCAGAAACGCGGGGAAATGCTTTTGTCCACATTCGCCCCGATGTTGAACTTGAGCACGTTTCCGACGCCGCCGAAATAGTCCACCACCATGACCACAGTGTTCGCGTCAACACCCCAGTAGTCTTTGATGGCTAAACCAGGTGTCTCAGGGTAGCGCTGCGTGAGTATTCGAAACTTGACTCCGCACGCTTCCTCTAGAGCGTCGATTTCGCGTTGCAACCTACGGCGCTGGCCGCTGACCAGGAAACGCTCCCGGTCAATTAGCTTCTGAACCGGACCAGAAGGCAGGAGGTCTGGGCGATTGACTCCCTGCAAAGCCTCTACCGCGGCTGGCGCACGAAGCGAGAGCAAGCTGCTGAGCAGCAGTCCACCGCTCAGTGTCCCAAGGGTACGGAGAAACGCTCGCCTCGTCTGCGCCCAGGCTGGTTCTCGCACTGTACAAAAGAGCCTGTTATGTCGAGGTTTCAATATGAATATCCGACGAAGCGCTCTGGTCTGTGCTTGTGATTTGTTCCGAGGCCATGGAAGCGACACAAACAACATCATTTGCGTAAAGCAAGCACCCAGGTATCGGGACCTGTGCGAAACGCCTAGGCTGGCGGAGTGTGCGTCGGCGCGCCAGGTCAACGCAGCACAGTGACGTCTGTGACGCACAACATGCTTGACGAAGACGTTCCGCGGGGAAAGCATGCTCCGACGGGCGCATGCCACGAGGATTTGTGGCACCGTGAGAGCAGTTCTTGGTTATGCGGTACCTTCGAGGGCACGATCACACGTCACAGCCGCCAGTGACTCGACAGCTCCAACGGAAGCAGCGATAGACGACATCGTTGCCTGGCTGCAGAAAGACCTCCTTCCGGCAGTTACCGAGACAGAGGAACCAAGCTCTTATATCGAAAAGGAAACTGAACCAATACAGCATCTTACCAACTCGCAAGCTACCGATAGCAGCGCGCATGAGAAAGCGGGTACGGAGCACCCGGTACCAGCGGCGTCCTCGGAGAGCGTTTCGACCGCGGGAGCCGCGGGTGCTCCTGCGACGGCACCGCTAGGTGCGCTCGCCGCTCTGGTAAACACAACTTGCCCGGGATTTGTGCGGGGCGATCCTAAGGCTTCGCTGGTTCCAAGAACTGCGGACGCTCTCCGACCTATCGCGCACGCGGAGGAAGTCATTCGAGTCAACGTACGATTAACAAACCGCAAAACTTTTCGCAGTATTCTAGACTGGACACTCGATGACTACGTTCAAGCGGCGAAGAGCATTCAAACTTGGGATCGAAGGTTTCTTATCTCTGTGTACTCGGGGTTAATACCGCACACGCGTATCCACGGGATCCTCATGCGCCAACGGAAATACCCGGAGGTGCTCAAGGTCCTCGATAAGGTTGTGACGAAAACTCCGGCTTCAGTACAGTACAGCTGGATCGCTGCTTTAGAACAAATCTTTAGTTTGCAGCGGATTGTAGAGTTACCGCAGAGCCCACCAGCGGAGTACCTGGAACAGCGGAGAAAGTGCGCTGAGCGAAAACGTGCCGCGATGGGCACGGTCCCGGCGCGGCCGCGGCGCCTCTGGACCGTAGAAGAGAACCGCCTTCTGCTCCGAATCTTTCGAAGCATTGGTCCAGACTGGAACAAAATCGCAGCTGCACTGCCGGGGCGGTCGCCTTATGCCTGTCGTGATCGCCTGCATCGATTACTGGGTTCCAAATAGGGAGCACTGGTCACCGGGCAGCAGTCGTAACTCGGTCGCGAATGCGGACTCAATTCAAATCATCTTGCAGTGCGAATAATCACGAATTACGGGCTTCTGTGCGCTAAGGAGGTACAGGGATTTGTTGGCAGGCTGCTGCGGAAACTAGATGAGTTTGCGGCACTCTTCGCGTAAGCGTTGTTCTTTTTCGTGCTTGCATTTGCTGACGGGCCGCTGTGGAAACGAGCGTGCATTTTGTGCGCTCTTCGCGAACGAGTCGCGCTCGCTCGAGAAGACTTTGCCCGCAAACCGAAAAGACACGATACCTGCAAGCGTGCATCGCTCAGCTACATTGTACACCAAGCCCGTGATTGAATCGCACAGGCCTGCACTGCATGGCTCAGCGGAGCGAAAGCATTTCGCGATAGTAAGGTAACTTGTTACCTACCTAGCTGCAGACGCCTGCCAGACTTTTTTGACCGGCCAGCTACTACTGGCTTCAACTTCTCCTCATACAATTCAACTTTGAGAGGTTCCCCCACGAAGTTGGCTCTCGTCAGCTTCTCGGGCCTCTTCTCCTGCACCGCTCATATCCGTATATGAGTAACGGCGTCAAAGTCTCGGTTCACGAACTCCATGCGTGTCTTGCCGCGGGTGGAACTGACCAGTACAAGGATTGCTAGAACTCGCGCGCTCTATGTCACTGCAGTCTCGTCATCGACCCATTGGGCAAAAACCTTTTCTCGTCTATCTCTCATCGTCATCTTCTTCTTCGTCACTTGCTCTTCTTCGCTCCATTCTCGACGAGGAAAAGATTTTTCGTTTTTATCGAACTCGTCGATGACGGGCCCCCAGCATCCTTCGACTACCTTATCCATAACTTTTCCTCAGATTTTTTTAAAAATCAGTATACTTCGAACGCGTCTGCTATGAGCCGCGAAAAAGCGTACAGCGACACGCCCCAGGAGATGGACCACAATTGAGGGGAACGACTATAAGCGATCCCGCCGAAAGCACGGTACTCGTTCTGTGACTGCAGCATGGGGCTGGATCAAATCTGAGCCGCTTCTGCTCGATTCTCGCCTGCTGTCCAAGTCAAAGGGGACACCAGCGAGGCGAACCGTCCAAAAAAGATAGCATCAACCACGACTTTCGAGTGCAAAGCGATCGGAGCTGGCTTCGCAGGAGGCGTCATTTGTCTTGTCGTTTCACGCATGCTCCCAAAAATTGGTACGTTTGCAAAGTCCTTTATTTGCATCAAGCCACGGAATGGAAGCATGTCCCTGCAGTGAGCGTTACAGCACGAATCGTCTAATCGGGAGACAAGCGATGACGTCGGCTTTCGGCGAGGATTCGATACATCCGCTGCGCACCTGAGCGCTGACGCGTATACGCTTCGGGTACGCGAGCACCCCGGAGATGAGCTGTGGAAGCATACAGCTAACCTGCAAGTGCGGAAAACCGCAGTGGTAGCGCTTCTTCGAATGCTGTACCTCTTGAACCGCAGGCTAACGTACACATGATGCTGCGCTTCGCTCATGAGTAGGTAACTGGACCTCGCTGAGTAGGCATGGGATGTTAGGGAATTACCAGGTGGCGGCTGCTCTGCAGCGCGCCCCAGTCCCTCTGAGCCTGGTGAATCGCCAATTGGTAATACGCTTCGCTTGCTGGAACGGCACGGAAGACGATCCAGTGATGTACGTCCAGCGCCCGGTTACGATCGTGATGTTTCAAACTGCGATGAGGCGACGCGTGCGGGCTGCGGTAAACTCTACTGCGAAAACGGTTCGTGTCTGTATCATGCATCGAGGCGCCATGGTTCATCCAAGAACGGGGCATTATCTATCTGATGTTCGGTTCGCATCGAGTGCTGGTGAAGCGGCATCACATCTCTTCAGTTGCATGATACAGCGCACATGTTTCCTGAATGGCACAATCGAGATCACGACGCTTACGAGTACAATGGAGATTCGGACGAGAATAGACTCGAAGACATCTTGGATGCTCGGGTGATCCATGTTATTCGTAAACGAATGCATTGCATTCACAGACCCGAGCGTGTCATGTTCTGAACGCCATCACTGCAGCGAAACGCTCAGGGGGCTTTGTGTTCACTGAAAGCATGCAATTTGCGTGTGAACCCGCCAGAGACGTTGCCAAGCGCGAGCACGTTGCTGCTCACGACCAGCAAGCGTGTAATGCCCCATTCGTCAATGCATCCAGCGCTACTGAGGATGCTCAGCCATGATAGGCCCGCGGCTTGGCATCCTTTTCATACCGCATCAGTGGCGCTGATGAGCCATGTGGGCGGATGCGTCGGCCAATGACGAGCTCGAATGCCAAAGTGGTAGGCTTGCGGTAAATACGCCGCGAAGCGAGCTTGGCTCCGCTCTCTAAGAGAATACAAGCAGCGCCTCGGACATCGCCATGACGCTGGTACACCCTAGTTCCAGTGCAACACTAGAGGTGCTGCCAGACTCCTCCAAGCGTCCGCGACATCGTCAACTCAAAACTGGCACTGGATCATGCGTGAGCGGGATATAACGCTGCGATAAACTTGCGCCTGTACAAGATCGTCAGCACTAGACACGTAACGCACACAAGCGACGACAGTACAAAGGGACCGCCTGCGCCAGCCTTGTCATCTAAGAAACCTGCGAGCGTCGCAAATGTCAGACGCGCGACGCTTCCTGCCGCCGAGAAGATGCCGAGGAATCCACCAGTTGGTACGTTCGTCAAGACCTTGCTGAAGAGGCTCAGCGTGGCTGTTTGACCTATCGGGTAGCCGATGCTCCAGATAGTGGACAGCGCGATAAAGTAGATCCACAGCGGCAGCGTGTAGCGCGACTGGGCCACCAGAACCAGCGTGCCTAATGTCATCATAGCGAGACCGCCAACCACGAGTGGGTAATCGCCATACCATGCAGACAGGGGCCGCAAAGCCAAGTATGCCAACAGACCGATGATGCCGAGGACTCCGATGCTCAATGATGTTTTCGTGATGGACAGGCCCTCCCCGCTGACAAGATTCGGGGCAATGATCGTCTCGACGACAGCGCATACGCCCCGAAAACAAATATTGATGAGCAAACAGGTGATGAGTACGGCTCGATCGCTGCGATCGCTTACAGCAGCCGTGTCATATCCTGAACCGCTTCGTCTAGATGCCACCGCCGGTTCATGGCACTCGTCTACATTCTTGATTCGATCAGCGTGAAGCATGGCGTGCTCTGCGCCAGCTCTGTTCAATGATCGCACCTCGGGGCCTGCTGCACAGTATGCCGACTGCGCTGCATCTGAAACGTTGTGCATGGCATTGTCTGCAGTTGGCCCTGTTTCAGCGTCCGACCTCGTGGCCGGGCTCGCTTCAGCTGCGGCCTCGGAAGACTCGAGGCGTTCGATATCCGGGCGCTCAGCTGTGCATGGAACCATAATCGTTCCGCGGGTATGTTTCGGCGGGTCTCGATAGTAGGCGAAGAGCGCGCCAATGGCGCTTAGGTTCAACAAAGCGAGTACCCAACCGGGATAACGGAATTCATCGAGAATGACCTTCCCAAAACGCGTTTGAGGCAGGGCACTGAGGGCGACTCCTAGAATAGGTAACACCGCGAAGCCGATAAACTGAACCGCTGAAAGATATGAGAAATATGCCGTGCGCTCCTGCACGCTCGTTGCTCGAGCAATATGGGCGCGACAAACGCTTACCGTCGCGCTGCCAACACCCGTGAGGATTCGCGTCAACAGCAGCCAGGTAAAGGAGCGCGCCGTTGCATACCCGACACTACCAATGGTTGCCAACATGCAGCATATGAGGAGGATAGATCCAGACGACCACGTGTCCGACAGATAGCCCAGTGGTATGGTGGCCAAAAGCCGACCCAAGGAAAAGCTCGAAACCAGTGCTCCAAGTTGCGTCTCGGTTCCGTTCAGAGTTTCAGCGAGGTAAGACCACTGCGAAGGCAAAACTAGACCTCTGGCTGCCTCAGAGACAAACATTACATAGAAAATGACGAGTGTGGAGGCCCAGTTTTCCGAGTGGCCCGGTGGCATCGCTCTCGGCGACAACAAGGGCGTGTGACTCGTGACTTTCTCTGGGACAGCACCCAAGGTCCCGACTCTTTTCTCGTCTTGCGCTTTTGGCAGTACTTCCAGTGTCATTTACTGGATGAGCATGATGTTACCCAAAAATATCTTTGAGTAAATGGGTCGTTCCGCGCAATACGGAGTTACCAGAAACAAGTATGCAGCCGGGACGCTGGAGCGGCTCCAGAAGCTGCCATTCGTACCGTACGAGCGGTGCAACCCATGTGTGTTTCGCCCTCGCCGCGGTGTCCAGCAGGCGATGGAAATAACGATGCAAGGTACCGTATATAGATGGTAGACGAATTGCTTGTAGGATACGTATTCTTTACGCAACAAGGCATCGAGGGCTTCATTCCCCCTTCAGGTTAGACGTACCACAGTACTCAGATGGTTTAGGAGCACTGAAACAAAGAGAATACGATGCGCTCCGCGCCAGAAACCGATCATCGTAAAGACAGCTTGCGGTCCATCGTAGAGAACGAACCGTTGATCACTTTATGGAAAGCGAAAGCCACGATACTAGCCGCTACAGACGTCTCTGTTTCTCAACAACCTGTTCGTGTTATTCTGGAAACACTGGAATACAGTTGCGGACAAATAATTGCGGTTTCATGCACGGTCATCTTCCACTAAAGTCGTAACGACAGTGTTCCCGGAGCGTCGCTCCCCAGACAAAGCCCAGGAACGTCGGTTCATTTTTTCAGTCGATAAGACTTGCTTCGTACGATATAGGCAGAGCGTAAGTGAGTATTAGAGGAGCAGGGCGCCCGTTGTATTTACGATCGAACTCGAAGAGAACGATGACATCAACAGCTGTTGTAGCTGCAGTGGATTCATTCGGCGGGCTCAGTTTCCTTCGTAGATATGCCTCATCCAACAGCACCAACAACTTTGTCGAATGATTGAAGACTTTCCCCTGACTTCTGGCGACGTCCTTCTATTGGACAACGAGGTATTTCTCTATTCCCGTTGCGTTCGAGCTTTTGCCGATGCTATCGGGGTCGAGCTGCTATGCATTGCTCCGCACACCCCGTTTTGCAGGCCCATCGAAGGAGTATTTTCTATCGTGAAACGCAATGATCATTCTACTGGGACAGTTTTTTTTCGGTTTGACAAAACGTTTACACTGACTATCAATCCCAGATTCCTAGATAAACATTGGTATTCTGGAAAGCATTCATCAGGCTGCCGCCCCGTACCTGCAAGTTCCATTCCCTCTCCTCGTATATACTGGTCGTTTTGTGCGTTCTTTCGTGCGCCAAGTGCCGGCCCTGAGCACCCGCCGTAGCGCCGGTAGCGCGGATGCAGCCTTAGCACGGGGGCAGAAGGGCTTTGCCGTACCACAGATGGCGTCGGCTCGAGGCGTGGTGCACACGACACAGGGTCGGGATTCATCATCATTCTGGGAGATTGCAAGCTGGACAGACAGATGTTTTTCCATCGACAGTGCAAAGCGATAGTCTACGAGTCAATCGCGACCAGGGCGACGCCCAGATACAGCGTAACCTCTCCTAGTCTCAGAAGAGACTGCGTCGCGGACGAGCTGCGCGGGTCGCGCCTCTGCACCCGCCAGTGGGCGGAGCATGAAGCACGAGCCCGTCAGACTCGTCCGGTTCGCGGTTCCCTCCGTCCAGAAGATAAACCTTCGAAAATACGGAAAACTTTTCCCCGTGATCAACGCTGGGCTTAGAGAGGGAAATCAATTGTTATCGAATTGCCAACTAGTGATTCGTTTCAGATTACGGTGCTGCGAACCCGAATCTCCTGCGCACGGATTGCCAGCGCTTGATACATGAGAGCTTTCTGCTAGAGCGCTCGAAGGCAGCGCAAAGCTTGACGCTGTGCTGGAGCAGGCACCTGCTTTGTGGAGCGGTAGCAATGTACCCTCTGACTCCGGTGCTAGAGAGCAGCGAGAGCGGTTCGCGTACAGAGTCTGCCTCACAGGGGCGGGAGGCCTCACCGTCGACTGAGGGCGACCTGCTCCCCGCCTGGGACGAAGGAGAGGATCGCAAGGCTGACTACTCTGAAAGCTTCGACACGCAGCCGCTGCCTTCAACGATACAAGAGACGTCTCCTGGGACAATGGGGCCTCAGACGCGGCCTCGTACTGCTCGCAGCGCTGGCCTGAACCCGAGCGGGCCGCTGAACCTCTGGGATCGCGTTCGCCACAAGTCAGCGAGGCCAGCAACCGGTGTAACCTGCCCGCTAGGGAGCGAGTATTCACCGCTCACGTGGGATCAATTTTTCGATGAGAAACGTTTCGTTGGGCCGGGTTTTTGTGTCTACATCAGCGGGTCTACGGTTGATCCTTCGATTCCAACACTGTTGCTGCTTCACGGCGGTGGGCATAGTGCACTCGCATGGGCCGCTTTTGTTCATTTTCTACGAAAGCAAATTCCCGCCACCGAGCTATGCGTCATTGCATACGATGCCCGTGGACATGGAGAAACCTTCAATGTACAGCCTGAGTCGGACCTGTCGACAGCTACCCAGGTCCAAGATGCCATGGACGTCCTGGAGGCTTTGTTCGGAAGCCGCGAGCGGATCCCGGCGCTCGCGCTCGTCGGACATTCGATGGGTGGTGCCATTGCCGTCCAGCTAGCCGCCAGCGGGAGAATTCCCCAGCTCAGCGGCCTCATTGTAATTGACGTCGTCGAGGGTAGCGCCCTCCAGGCTTTGCCCTACATGAAAAGCTTCCTGGCATCGAGGCGCAAAGAATTCACTTCACTGGAGGATGCCATTTCGTATATCTTTTGCGGGGGCCACGTGCGAAATCTCATGTCTGCGCGGTGTTCGGTGCCGGCTCAGCTTGTACCGGTAGAGGCTGGAGACGGGCCAACGCCGACGAGCACATCAACACCAAATAAGCATTATCGATGGCGTACGCAGCTGGAATGTACGGAAATCCACTGGCGTGACTGGTTTACCGGCATGTCGAAGCGCTTTGTCAGCGTTGCCGCCCCCAAAGTTCTTGTGCTTGCCGGCCACGATCACCTGGATCGAGAGCTTATGATCGCTCAGATGCAGGGGCGATTTCAAGTCGTCATCTTGCCGCAAGCTGGACATAGCGTTCACGAGGATCTACCAGAACAGGTCGCGGAAACCGTGGCGGAGTTCCTGCGCAGATACCGGCTAGTGCAAAGCGCGAGCGATCATGCCCTAGGGCACATGAAAATTGGACCTATCACGCAGGAAAAGCTCCGGTACAGCTCGTGATCGGATTCGCACAACATTGCCCGATGGAGCACCTTGCGTGATGTGTGTTAGCGATTGTAAGCTGGCGATATGGATTGGTGTGCGGGTTTTCCTCGTTTGCGTCCATAGGGCAGCTGTTTCTGGGGCGATTTTTTTTTGATCGAAAGAACGTTCATGCTGACCAGGCATCTCTGATTACGTCATGGAACACCAGTGATCGGGGATGCGTCCATTTTGCCGCCTAACATCAACGTCCACAATCCATGCTGCCCCTCGGAGATACTGGTAAATGCGAACGTTCCGTTGTGCACACCGAGTCTGCCGTGAGCGTCTGACAGAGCGCCCGCCTTGCCGGTGCGGACGTCGCACGGAGTCTGCGCTGCTGTGTCATGCCACGGAGGATGTCGGCTGGAGGTGTGGTTCACCTGCAGCGCGGTCGCGTCTCGTGGTGATCCTGGGATCCGAGAGTCTTCGTATGTAGGCCTGCCTTTGTGCTGCGACCCGTTGTAGAAACTTTGCGGATAGGATGAATATTGGGGAGCGAATTTCCCCTCCGCCAACGTTTGTGAATTGCACCGCAGTTGCGCGACGCAGGCCTTTGCTTGGCACCCGCTGGTGAGAAGGAACACCTATCCCTCTACCCGCGTGCTTACCCGTTTCAGGAGACGTTCCGCCGTGGAAGTAACCCTGCGAGCGGTACGCATCTGTACCGTTTCCAGTCGATTCCTAGAGATGATATTACCGCCGGCGCACCCGCTCTATGAGGCGTTGATCGGGTGGCGCGTGCCTGCACCCACTGACATGCTGGTGCGAGTGCAGATGCTTGGACCCTGGAAAACACGCCTGCAGGTGACCTACCGCCTAACGGGTCCAGTTGTTGACGCACGGCGTCTGGCGGGATTCTTTAGCGCCATAATCATCAGCTTTGACGCATCGCCAGCGCCAAGTCATGGCAACACAAATGTCCTTCTCTGAGCAACATACTAAAGTGAATGACTACCCATGCGCAGACGCCTGCAGCCTTTCATGACCGGTCAACTGCTATCGTTTTCAGTTTATCGAGGCACACTTCGAGCCTGAGAAGCTGCCCCACAAAGTTGGATTGCGTTAGCTCGGCGGAATTCGTCTTCACTACACAAGACATCGTCTCGTATTGGTAGCGGCGTTGGAGTATCACTTCACGAACTTCATGCGTGCATTGACGTTGTTTGGAGTCATCCTTGCAAGGATTGCTAGAACTCGTTCCCTCCGTGCCACTACAGTCTCGTTCCAGTCCCGTCGGGTAGACACCTTGTCTCACGGATTTCCGCTCTTCATCATCATCATCATCACCATCATCTTTGCCACTTGCTCTGCTTCGCTCGATGGTTGACAAAGAGAGGATTGTTTCGTTTTCTGGTCGAACCCCCGCGATGATCGCCCTTCAGGACCCCTGACGTGCAAGTCCATACCTATGTCATGGGTTTTATATTTCTTCAAGTAAACGCACTTCGAACACACCTGCTCTAAACCGCAAAAAAAGCATACGATGAAACGAACCCAGGTATGGAACACAATTCAGGTGAAAGTCTAGACGAAACAGCCGCGTGCGCCTTTGCTGTCATTGCTGCCCGGCACTAGTCGCTGCGTACCTCTGTGACACCGGTTGCTTTTGGGCAGCGTTCCAGTGCGAGCAGTGCACGCTCATGGGTCTGTTCGGATCCGGTGACAAAAAGCCTGTTAGCTCGCGCGAGCGTGACCCACGCATCGACGAGGCATACGTGCTGCTCAACGCGGGTGAGTCGACGTTTGCCGCAGCGGAGGCGGCGGCCCGCTCTGTCGCACGTCTATTCGGCCTCTCATCCGCGTCTGCCAAGTACGAAGAGGCAGCCAGCTACTTCCAAAGGGCAGGAAACTACTTTAAACTTGCTAAAAAGTGGACTCAGGCGGGAGAGGCGTACCGGCGCTGCGCGGACTGCTATGCTCACATCAAAGACCACGAACACGAGGCGGCCTCCGCGTACGTGGACGCAGCCAACTGTCTGAAAAAACCGGAAGCCGACCCAGCGGCCGCGGTGACTGCGCTCGAGTCAGCGATGAGCATCCATACCGAGCGGGGACGGTTCGGCATGGCCGCGCGTTTAGCCAAGGAACGCGCCGAGATCCTCGAGTCTATCGCGAACGAGACAACCGGTGGTGCCGCCGCCGACGAGCGCGTCGCCGAAGCATACCAACAGGCTGCCGATCTATACCTTGGCGAGGACGCACGTTCGCACGCGAACTCATGTCTTGTGAAAGTTGCGGAGTACAAAGCGCTAGCAGGAGACTACGCACAAGCGATTCAAGCGTTCGAGCAGGTCGCCAAACTCTCCCTCGAGAACGCTCTCCTCAAATATCATGCGAAGGATACACTCATGCGAGCCGCCATGTGCCATTTGTGCGCCTCGGATGAGGTTGGAGCGCGGCGGGCGCTTCAGAACTACCTGCAATGGGATCCGTCGCTGGCGGGGTCCCGTGAGGAGCGCTTCCTCCAGGACCTCATGGACGCAGTGACGTCGGGTGATATTGAGGCGTTTACGCAAGTTGTCTCCGAATATGACTCGATTAGTCGTCTGGATCCATGGAAGACCAGCATGCTGCTTCGAGTCAAGAACCAATTACGGCAAGCCGAGGAGGATCTTACCTGAGTGCCGCTTGCGGACGCGCAGCCGGCAGCGAGAAACGTGGATCCGCTGTGATGGTGTGCAGAACTTTCTCGAGCTCCGTGATGCGATGCTCTAAATCGTTTTTCTGTGTGCTCAGGAGCTCTAAAGTGTCCAAATGGACATTCAGAATCGTTAGTAGAGGCACCTGCTCATCGTCCGTGTACGCTGCGGGGTAACCAAAGACTCCAGCTGCCGCGTTCGATACCGAACTGGTGCTCGCCCCGAGCTCTCCAGACGAAGCTCCTTGGACGTGATTCAGTTCCCGAATGCACTGACCAATGACCTGGTACACTTGGTCCAGTTCCTGTTTGGCTTGCTCGGCAATTCGATGATATTTTTCGCGCTCCTGCTCGACCGCACCTGCTAGTGACGCGGCAAACTCTGCTTGCCAGGCTTGTTCACCTGCAGACGCCAGGCTCAGGGTACCACGGACCTGTTCTTCGATTGTCGTCAAAGCTTTGTGGAGCTCACTCTGTTGCTGCAGGATAAAATCGAGTTCCTTCTCCATGTGTTGCATCAGAGACTCGGTGTGCTCGGTTTCCTGCAAAAGCTGCACCAGGCGCTCTTGCTGCTCAATGACCTGTCGGTCCAACCGAGCCACCTGTTGTGCCTGACGATGGAACTGCTCTACCAGTCGACTGATCGTGTCTCGAAAGAAGACTGTGATCTCGCCAACGTTCTTGTCCTCTATGGCGGATGGCATGCGAACTGGGCCCCAATTCGGAGCGGCCTGGGCGGCACGTGTTGGCTGAGTGGTAGCAGCCGCACTGGCCGCAGTCTGTGTTGGCTGCTTTGTTTCAGGTCGGCCTGCAGATGCATTTGCTTGGCTGGCACTCCTGAAAGCACCATTTCCTGCGCCTGCTACTGAAGCACTGGGCGTCGTACCGGTTGCTGCACCCGGCGATGTGAATAAAGAGACCTGCGGCTCACGATTCACGGGGCCCGCCTGCTTCAGATCACGAGATTCGGATTTCACTTGCGTATCTGTGCTCTCGCGCTGTTGCTGTTGCTGTTGCTGTTGCTCATTTGCTGTTCGCAGAGACGCGGGCGTGGTGTTCCCGGCTCCCGTCTCGGCGGCATTTGGCTGTGTTGAACCGAAGCCGCCATATCTAGTCGAATCGAATGGAAGCGATCGGTTCGCAGCTGCATGCCCAGCCACTGCGGCATTAGCCGAGCCCACTGGCAGTGCCTGTTCCGCTCGAGACGCTTGCTCTGAGGCCTTGGGGAGCGCCTGAGACGCAGCTGCACTTGTGTGCTTTTGGGAAACATCCTGAGCAGGACTCGGTGCCGCGGCATCTGACCCATTTGATATCACGATCCCTGTCGCAGACGCTCGCGGTGCCGACGTTGCCCAAGGAGACTCGGTCTGCTGCTTAGTCTGCGCCGTGTTCGTTGAATCCTGGTTGGTTGTGCCGCTCCCTGCTAGGCTGAAAGGTGAGGCAGCGAGAGGTCGCGCCTGGGCCGCTGGTTGCGACGTTGCCGCGGTGGCTTTCTCTTGGGCGGAGGAATCAGACCGAGATTGCATTCCGAATTGAAGAGACGAAGAGGCTGTTCCAGATGCCTCCTGAGACAGACTCGACGTCGAGCTGGGTGCAGTCGAACCTCCGGCGTTTCCGCTAGCACCGCCAGCAGCGTTCGGAGAGGCACCGAGAGCGGTTCCCGGCGCCGCCTGACTACTTCCAGGTATCGTTGGCGCTGCAGCAGGTGCTCCTTTTGTATCTAGTGGAGGCGCAAAACGCAGCTGTGCGCCTCCAGTTGTGACACCAGATGCAGCACCAAAAGAGAATGGCTGCTGTTTCTGCTCCGGCTGGGCTTGTCCCTGGTTCTGCTGATTCTGCGCCCCAGACTGTACTGAGCTGCCAAACGAAAATGCCGGTCTGTTGGCACCAGCAGTCTCCGACTGCCGACCCTCATGCCCCGTGGCAGCAGACTGGGAATTATCAGGAGCGCTCTTCAATGTACTGCTGCTCCCGAAAAGGGCTGTGCCCGTGGAGGATTCCCTCGCGTTGTCCTGTGTACTCCTCGCCAGGAAGCTGAAAGGAGGGCTTGGATTGGGCCCAGTCCCTGCACGATCCGCATTGCCGGGTGCTGTGGAGGTGCTCGTGCTCGTCCCTGTTGCACTGCTCGGCGCTGCAGACGAAGGGATATTGAAAGGCGCTGTCGGTGCTGCAACGCCTGAAGCTGTACCTGGGTGCTGCGCATCACTTGCACCCTTGCCTACAGGGACGGAACCGCTACTGGTGCCAGCTGCGAACCAGTTCCCCGCCCCGGAACTACCCGCGGGCGGTGTCGCAGAGGGCTGTGGCGGCTGCCGAGCAGCCGCAGCCGCAGCACTTGTACCGGGTGCAGCAGCGGAACCGGCCGCTCCGAAACTCGACAACGGACGTTCCTGGCCTGCAGCTGGGGCGGAACTCATGAAACCTGCTCCAATTTCGAAGCGAGGTACGTTGGAGGAAGCCGTGGCGGCTGGTGCCGGAGGCGCTTCCGCACGAGCCCCGAAACCGAAACCTCCAGGCAAGCCCGTTCCTGGCGTCGACGACGCTACTCCAGAGGCAGTGTTTTGTGCTGTCGCTTGCTGCTGCAGAGATCCGCTGGCGGGATTCAGGAAAGAGAAGCTCTGTGGTGTTTGTGCAGCCTGGCCGAAAGTACCCGGGAACGGTGCTGCCGCGGCGCCTTTCGACTCCGTCCCAGCACCGAAACCAAACTTCGCGCCCAGAGGTTGGGAGCTCGTCCCAGAGCCCGACCCAAATGAAACGGAAGCACCAGAGCCAGCTGTTGACAACGCGCCTAGAGCGTTTGCCGACATCAAGCCGCCTTCTGGCTTCGCTGCGCCAAAAGAAAACGCTGGAAAAGGTTTCCTCTCACCAGGATCGCCTCCAGAACCACCAGAACCTGCCTGGCTTGGCAAAGAAGACATGGCTCCGTGAACTTAGAGACAGTTTGCCCAGACTCGGTTACACAAAACGCTGTCGTAGTCGGAACACTTGTCAGCAGCGGCTGCACAGCCGCGCGGCACGTGGCCGAGACACTTGCCTGCGATGCCAATCATTCATCACGCCCCGATGGCAATGATCCTACAGTCGCTCACTTGCATTGTATTCCATCTCCAGGTGCGTATCGCCATATACTTTTTCGCGGTTTATAGCAGGTGTATTCGAAATGCGTTCATTTGAAGAAATAGAAAATGTTAGGGAAAGGTATGGATATGGAAGTCGAGGATCCTGAGGGCCTCTAACCGCGGGGTGCGCGGCAAACCGAACGATAAAAATCCTATTGTCGCAGACTTTCGAGCGAAGAAGAGCAAGTGATGATGATGAAGAAGAAGAGAAAGGAGGGGAGATATCCGAGAAAAGGTGTTCGCATGACGAGACGATGACGGGACTCTAATCGCACTGAGGGCACGAGGCCGAGGAATCCTTGCAATAGTGAGTTCCACCGAAGGCAATGAACGCATGGCGTTCATGGGCCGGGGCTTCAATGCCGTCATCAATACCAGGGGATGTGTGGTGCTGAAGACGAGACCAGATGAGCTGAGACGATACGACTTTGTGGAGCAGTCCCTCAGAGTCGATGCGTGCTGGGATAAACTGAACCGGATGGTAGAGGGACGGTAAAAGAAAGGTTGGGAGGCGCCTGCGCGAGGCTGTTGATACTTACCTTCCATTGTCGTGAGATGTTTATCGTTTTATGGACTCGCTATTCAAATAAAACAGAAACCGAAACAGCTCGCTCAGTATCTTCTTTGCAATTTCAATCTGAATTTTTTTGTAATTAAAACAGCCTCAAAATTGATGTCAATCAAAAACGGCTGACAGATTCATAGGTAGGTTTCGGATTCGCGGTCGTCTTTTCGGAATCACTCGTGCAACGGTCTGCTGTTGGAGTTCGTTATCAATGGAATCAATGGGACTCGCGACGCACTCGACAAACGGTTCATAAACTAACCCACTATCATCACCCAATGCCCATGTGCAAGTATCCACGCTTCTCCGTGTCTTTCGTGTGTAGCGTGCCACAATTGCGGTTTGTTCAAGTCGCCAGGCTTTCTCGTTCGAGGCAACTCGTGGGCGTAGCAGTATGCGCCACTGGATCGAAGAGGCGAGCAACGCGACGTCGTCCCTTGAAGGCGTGATCACATGTTCATGCCCAATGTTCTCTGAACTCGTCGCGTCAAACGATCGATTTCATTCCAAAAGCCAATTCCCCCTGGTGTATTTGTGGATGTAGACGAAATATCATTCCACAACAGCATCAGCTGCAGCTGCAGCGGCATGATGGCTCTCACGGGATATGCTCACAGGGGCGGCCGTCCCTTCTCTTTGCACCAAATCGAGCCTCGGGCTCGGACTTGAGCCATCGAGGCATTCGCTTTCAGTGGAGCGTGCGTCGTCGTTTTTGCACAATAGGAGCGTACACGGATCGAAGTTTCCCGAGTTTTGCTCGAGCCTTGCTTTTCCTTCGAGTCCTCGTTTCATCATGGACAATATCGCGTTCTACACACCCTCTATCGTATCGAAGAGCGTGCACTTGCGCGTGCCGCAGAAAGCGTACGAACCAAAGTGATCGTCCCCGAGGAAGCCCGTGGTCTTGGGATACGGCACCTGGTGCTGAAAAATCGAGAAAGGCGTTGAGGAGGTGCTCTGGTGGCCACACGCGAAGATCCGACCACAGCAAGCTGTCGCTGCCGCGAAATGTGCACCGAGGCCGCATGCAAAGCGGGTGCAAAACGACAAGCGAAGCGTAGGGAGCAGCTTTTGTGTGTGCATGATATGCATCTGCAAGCGCCGGAAGCTGCGTAACCGGAACTTGAACGCTGTCATGAGCATTCTTCAGTTGCCGACAACGAAGCTCGAGCGGCACGCGAGATCGACATCTTCCCAGGCAGAGGTACCAGAGAGAAAAACGATGCCGGCAGAGGAGAAGCGCGCACACGCCTTTGTCCATGTCAGCGGAAGCCGAGCCGAACTATATCGTGCACTCCCAAGCTCGCTGATAAAGTCAGTTCCATTCTAGTCTGACATGGGTATCTTGGATGATCGCCGGGACCACGCAGCGTTCCCCAGATACATAATTCCTGTTCGCAACTGGCCATGAGGGCAACGCACCTCTCCGGATGTCGCGACGTTTCGCCATCAGCACCAGATCCGTGTTCCAGTCCGGAACAGAGGCTAGTCTCTCCCGAGATCCCACGGATACTGCGTCCATCGAGGACACTATCTGCGACGACGGATGTTTTTTCATGATGGTGAGTCTAACCAGGTTGTTGCCTGCCCAATGCGCCAAAGCACCCGGTGACAAGGAAAGAGACCTCGTTCCTTGTGTAGGCGTTTCGACGTGCTTCAGGCCTCCAAGGCAGAGCTCATCTGAAGGGACCGAAGCGAGATCCATAGCCCCTGCGAATGCCGAGTACGCTTCACACGCTCGGAGCGCCGCTGCCGCCACCGCTTCTCCCCAGAACCTGCACGGTCTTGCGGTACTTTGCTGGGTGTCGCTTGCAGCTCTCGATCTGCGTTCGTTGTTGAGCAGCAGGCAACTTTAGCGTTTGATGAATCAGTGCAGGCTATCGGAGAACTATTTGGCGACCAGCGCTGCTATCGCATAGAAACATTCTCAAACAGTGAACGAGGGCAACGGGATACTACGGGAGCAATAGAACGAAAACCTCGAAAATGCGTCCGGCCATACCCAAAGATGTTCGGTTTTGCAAACGTCGCCATGACCACGGCGAACTGCCGCTGAAAAGTCTGCGTCGAGGGAATGTCCATTCCTGGCCTTCTCCGTTAATGACTCCTTCATTTTTTAAGCATTTTTCTCGCTATTCTAATCGAATTCGCACGCATGTTATGCCGAACAACGCTTCATGTTACTGCGCCCGGCTGCTGCTCCGAGTTTCAGTCGCCAATGCTGATATGTTTCGACCGAAGAAAAGCGCGACCGGGAGCAGCACGAGCAGCACCGTCACACCCGGTAACAACATGTCCTCAGATTGCATGCGGATCACGTGTTGCGAATTCAGCAAGTTACTGAAGAACGCAAGCTCTCGCCATGCGGATGCTTAATTCGTTGAAACCGTACCCCTCAGTACCGATCATACAGACACCTCACTTGTCAGCGAGCACTCGATCAAAGTGATACACGCCATGACCAGTTCCAACACGTTTCAACTGAGCAACATAATCTGAAATCTCTTTGATCGATTCGACTTGCATGTCGAGGAAATCCTCGATAAAATCCGTCATATTCGCATCGCGCTCGCGATCAGCCACTTTCCAAACTTCCATGAGCTTCATTTGCACGTATTTCTCAAGTTGCAACGCAAGTTCCATTGCATAAATCGCATCCGAGTTCTCCTCGTTATGGAAGTGCAATGCTGGAACCGCGATCGGCTTCAGGTGAACGCGCCCACCGCGTTTGTTTTGATAGTGCATGAGTTTCACAGCGTGGTCGCGTTCCTCCTCCGCTTGCTTTCGGAAATAGTCCGCAAAACCTGGGAGCGCGACCGTATCCCGATCAAAGTATGCGTGCAAAGCATAGTATACGTAAAAGGCGGTGAACTCCACGTTAATCTGGCTGTTAATCGCCTCCTCGCATGCATTCGAGTATGCGAGTCGCGCACGGGACTCATCGGGCCCAGCCTTTGCTAATTCCGCATCCGGTTTGAACACCATACCACTCAACTCATTACCTTCCGAAAATTGAAGTTTCGCAAAGTCTATTTCGCTCTGCGTTTGAGATCGTTCCGGGCGCTCCTCGGCTGCACTCGCGACCAGTTGGCAACGCCGGCGCGCGTTCGACACGAAAGTTAACCGCTGGTGTCCCCGGGTTCTCGCCGGTTGCGATAAAGACTTTGTTTCGCCGAAACTGCCACGAGCGCTACGTAACGTATACGTCGGAACGAACCCTGATCCAATCCCTGCCATGTTCGCGAACAGTGCTGCTCTGCACGGAGATGGAAACGAAACGGTGACGGATCGCAAAGAGGCGGTCGCAGTAAACGGCGACGCCGCCCTTGAGATCCATGATGTCCATTTTATACAGGTATGGTCCGACTTCAAAGTCGACAAAACGTGTCCATATGCCAGCATGCCCGGACTGGGCGCTTGGTATCAACGCGCGCGGAAGCATCCATCATTTCACGCGTTTCCTCCAAGTTCCATAACCCATACTGCTTCTCGGATATACTGGGCGCCTTATACGGTCGATCTTGTGCTGAACATCTGCCGCAAGCGTCTGCAATAGCGCCTAAACCGCTGGAGCGGATGCAACACGGAGACAGAACGGCTTTGCCACAGCCCTGAAGGCATCGGCTCGACGCACGCTTCACCTCATACGGAGTCCGAGTATGTAACCATTTTCGGGTCCTGTAATCTGTGTAAGCAGACGTGCTGCCTACGGCAGTGCGAACCCATGGGATGGGATACAACCGCAACCAGGGCGACGCCCAGGCGCATTCTACCCACTTCTAGCCTCAGAATGAGCTGCGTTCGGACGAGCGACTCAGATCTCACTATCGTACCCGCCACTGGGAGGCGAATCAAGCCCAAATCTTGCAGAATCGTCCGGCTCGCGGGACTTTACGCCCAGGTAGCAGACTTTCGAAAATGCGGAACGCTTTTCCTCTTTCAACGCTTACCGTGAAGGCGGATAGAGATCGTGATCCCGTAGCTCGTTAATGGTTCGTTCCTGTTCCTCTTTTTCTACAGCGCGGCAGATACGCGCACCTCCATATCTGCCACCATTGAGATATGACGCGCAACTCGCCGTCGAAGCGAAACACGATCCTAATCATCAGCTGGTTGATCTAACTTATAGGTTGTGTTTGCGTTGACGTCATCGTAGAGTCTTTCAATCGAATTCTGTTCCAACCCTCAAATTAGTGCATTCAAGTGCTGTATCTTAGTTTACAGCCGACGTATTCGAAATGCGTTCGTTTTCAAAAATAAATAAGTAAAGCTACAGGAATGCAAGTTGAGGATCCTGGAGGGCAGGAGTCGCGGGCTACCGAGAAAAAGAAAACGAAAAACAAAACCGAGTTTAGAGGAACAGGAGCTGACCAAGAAGTAGAAGCAGGAGGCCCGACGTCAAAAGCTCCACGAAAGACGACAGTACGACGAGATAAATGTGAAAGCCTGTCTTCTACGCGAAATTTAGCATCCCTACAGGTGAAATTTGCGAGAGGCTATCAGAAACCGTGTCGAGTCGTACTCCTTGAGTATTCTTATAACGCACTCGTCAGGGCTGATGCTTTCGAAAAGGAGATGCGTCGCGACGTGACGCACATGGGAAGAGTCGAGGTTCGGGAAGAATTTTCGAACAAGACCTTTACTCGTCACCCGATGCATGGCACAGGGGAGGCGTCGAGAAGAAATGAGCGAGTGCACGCCGTCCAAGAAAACTACGTCGAATACCGCTTCAACTGCACTAGATACGGCGGTGGCGCGGATATTTACGGCCACGGGGCGATGACGTACATCAAGAACCCGAAGAACCATTCGACCTTGAACCTGAAACGCCTCATGATGCGCTCCATGTTTGCACTCTGCCCGGATCCTTCTCGCGAATCGATACGGGCCATCCTCAATGGCATCACGAAAGATTGCCATCATGAACAGGAGATCGATTCCACCGAGAAGAGGGCGTCGAAAGAGAGCACGAATGAAGCTTATCGGATCCGTGCGGCTACTCAAGAGCATCGTGCGGTTTTTGGGCTGGTCAATCCAGCAGATAAGCTATCAGATATGAGACAAGATGAAAAAAGATGTCATCCCCTCATCCTGCATTATTTCGTATTCCTGAATCGAGAATTCGAACGCAAGGCGGAGATGGAGTTGGGTGTGGGAAAAAATGACGAGTCGTTGAAACCGAAGGCTGCGCTTCTGGAGGAGTGCTTCGATGTCGTTCCGGCACGCGACGCCTAGTCGCATTTTGTGACGATCGACTACAGAGTCTTTTACGGCATCATAAAGGAGATCAGTCCAGAGGTCGATGTAAACAGGAAGGAGTTCATGGGTGAAAACCGGGAGACATACTGGAAGAATATCTTCGACTTCAATCGTCTCAAAATGCGCAAGAAAAAAGTATTCACAGGGATCATCGAAAGCGATGAAGTATCAACGTGTGTGTACTATCGGCGCTTGAAGGCGGATCGTCTTGTTCCGTCCTCCGCTTCGCCCGTGACGAAGGATGCAGAAAACAAAGAGGCGGATCCTGCCACGCAGGAGGTGCAGGAGAACGACACTGTCGTCAGCGCGGACCCTGGAAAGACGAAAATCGTATCCATCGCAGTACCCAAGCGTACGGAAGATGGCATTGACGGTAACTTACGTCAGAAAGATATGCGTCTTTTGCGGTTCGCGAGAGCGAGATACTACCGAGAGTCGGGAATAATGAATGCAAGGAAGAACATTGAGGCATGGAATGCAGGAATGAATGAGCACCTGGAAGCGATCAGCCAGGTTACGAGCCGTGGAGCGAACCTTGAAGCTTTTCGGGAATTCATGAAAACTCAAGCTGCTCATTGGGATGCGCTGTGGAAAGAATATATTAAGCCCAGGTGGGCTCGTCGGCGTATGAATCTATACTGTGGGAAGCAGCGGGCATTCACCGATATTTTCCATGAGTTGAGCGCCTTGAAGGAGGTCGAGAGTCACAGGCTCGTAGTTGGCAACGGAGCAGGGCGCTGGGCGTCCATAAAAGGGTGCATACCCGCTCCAACGACATGAGCGTACAAGGAGTGTGCACAGCGTTATATCACAAAACCGATAGGTGAGTTCCGAACATCGCGTGTGTGCACCACGAACTGGGGTGTACACTTCAGAAGGTCGAGATGGAGAACATACAGCGGCGTGTTGAGGAAATCGAAAACCGCGGAGAGCTGACAGAACAGGAAATGGAACGCAGGGCACGAGTCCGAGGACTCCTTGCATTGATGAGTTCATGAAGCAGCAAGAAACGCATGGAGTTCGTGAACCGAGACTTCAACGCCGCAATCCATATCAGGAGATTTGCGATCCTGGAGAACAGACCCGAGGAGCTGACGCGATCTAAATTCGTAGGGCAGCCTCTAGATGTTGAAGTGTACACGTAGAAACTGAAATCGATAACTGGGGGCCTATCCAAAAACGCCGGGAGGCGTCTGCACGTCGGTATCCATGTACCCTACATGGTCGCGAAAAGTTTTCGCTCCACGTCTACTGATGGAAATGAAATAGCCACGACGCCCGAGAGATCAATGATGTCCATTCGGTGCACGAGCTCTGATCACGTGCAGGCAACGCTCCGAAAAGCCAACCCCTTTGTGAGCGAATTTTGGCGAGTATGGGCCAATTCTTTGATCCACAAAGCATGAAGAACGTTTAGCTCGCAACGTAGAAGCGCTTACGTGAGGCACATCCGAAAGCTACACGGCACATGAGAGAAACGGAAATAATTGCCACGCAGCGAGCGCAGCAGCGCCATCGTTGCACCGCTCTATGATAATCGAAAGCAAATAGTGCGCGTCGGTAGCCAGGCGCTTTGAACAGCAGGTACGTCCTGACCCCCGCGAGCAGCTACTGCCTCCGGTGCAATCATTGCTCTGAGCTTCGCTGTGTGGCGGTATTCGCTGCCGGCGCGTTGTTGTTCGCAGACTCACCCGATGCAGCGATATGGTGCGCACCTGCGCCGTTCCCGCGTCCACCAACTTGCTCGCCTTTTGCTTCTGTGGCCGCGCGTGGCGCAATCGTAGGCGTCTCTGTCGTTTGGCGCGATGTGTCCTCGGTTGATGCTGCGGTTCCCGGTTCCGAAGACGAGTCATCTGCAAACAACTGCGAAGCCATCGCCCGAAGAGCTGGGGCGCCCCGCACTTCGCGTTCAAAATACTTGACCGGAACAACCTTAAAGTCTCGGAATACGCGTTCGATGTACTTGTAATTGGTCTCATGTTCGCGTCGACGGGCTTTGCAGAAACTGCATGAATCATTTGGCGGCTGTACCATATTCACAAAAATATGGCGACAGGGAATCTTTTCCCGGGAGAGATCCTTCACCAGGCGTTCGCTTTCGGCCACGCTCATCATGGTCGGGATGGTTGCCACGATAAACTCTGTCTGGTTTGGATCGCGCAGCAGAGCGCGAACCATGTTCATGCTCCGTTTGAGCTCATCTATATCGGCGGAATCCAAGGTTTGCTGATCATTGCCTCCACTGAACATGCCCTTAAACTGGTTCATAACGTTGCCGAGCTTGTTCTTCATGGTCAAGATCTTGCCGAGAAACGAGTCCAAAAAGTCCGGCAGCGATAAGAGGCGGAGCGTATGTCCAGTTGGCGCGGTATCGATGACGATCCGATCAAACTTGGCAAAAGCCGGATCGCCCTGGATCAGTTTCATGATTTCAACGAGGGCGATCGCTTCATCGAAACCTGGCGGTAGCGTCTCGAACAATGAATCAAAGTCTTCCAGGCCCATATCCATACCGCTCATCATCTGAAGCTTCTCGGAATCCGGAAGCATTCTCAAAGACGTTTTCATCTGCTCAGGGTTGATCTCCATGGCATAGAGGTTGTCCACAGCAAGCACTGGAACCGGGGCACCGCCACTTACATCCTGATCGAAGGAATCCGACAACGAATGTGCAGGGTCAGTACTGATAATCAGCGTTGTCTCACCTTGGTCCGCAAACCGTACCGCGGTGGCGGCAGCCATGGTCGACTTGCCGACGCCGCCTTTGCCGCCGATAATCGTGATCTTTCGACTCGTGCGCTGTTCAACAAGATCAACGGCTGACGACCACTGCGCAGTCGCGGGTGGTGTCCAGGATGACTGCCTCTGAACGCTGCTCGAACTAGAAGCGCCGGTGCGTGCCATTGCGTCCAGACCAGAGGCTCCCGGAGCTGCAGCCGGAGCTGGAGCAGTAGCCCCGACGTTCGTCGCAGTAACGCCGGCTCTAGAACCGACCTTGTTCTTGGGACGCATCACCAGCCACTGCATCAGTGGAACCGCCTTCTCAAGCACATAACTCACAGCTAGGAACACAACAAGACCCTGACCGATGCGATTCGCCTGCGAGCGCCAACGCGGTATCGTAGACTGCGGCGCCAGCGCTTGCTCGCTGCGTACCACTCGCTCCTCGCGCTGCCGAGTGCTGCTGCCTCCGGCACGTGGACGGCACCGTTACCTTGGTCGACGACGGTTTCTTCATGACCAGCCACTGGCCACGATCATCTGCTTAACGGAGTGCGCGGCGTGACGCTTGCGCCCCTGGAAGGCGCATCGAGTGGCGTGGACACCCAGCACCGCTCCCACAGTGCCACACTTTGGAGACAGGCTCACGGCTACCGTAGAACGTGCCTTCCCAACGTCCATTACCCGCACAAGTGAAGCAAAATCCAGTAGTGCTAGATTTCATCTCACACGGCATCCGCTTGCAGGAGTACACAGCGTGAGCGCCCTGAGCAGAACGCAGCTTCGAGTCGCGCAACGTGTTGACGCGCCGCGGCCTGCCATGCCGCTGCAGCGCCGAAACGCGCGCGCGCGCGCGCAGCACCCAGCGCGGAAGCAGGCACGAGGCCGCACCTCGCGTTAGACGTTGAACGCAACCTGTAAAGCATATCACGCAATGGGTAAAGCGTCATGGGCAATGGGTAACGCGATTGGAAAGGGCGCTCTAGTGCACGCTGCCGCAGGTCTCCGTGCAAGTACCTGCATCACAGAGCAGGTGCTGCACCTATCGCTACACGCAGCGTAGCTGCTGCGAGAATAGTGTGTGCGTGCGAAACTGATTTGGTGCAACTCGTTCTCGCTATTGATTATGGGCTTGGGTGGACAGCGTCGAGTTTCGCGGTTCGTGCAGCGCGGTTGCGATGAACTGGGACTACACGGGTCGAAGTTTCCCGAGTTTTGCTCGAGCCTTGCTTTTCCTTCGAGTCCTCGTTTCATCATGGACAATATCGCGTTCTACACACCCTCTATCGTATCGAAGAGCGTGCACTTGCGCGTGCCGCAGAAAGCGTACGAACCAAAGTGATCGTCCCCGAGGAAGCCCGTGGTCTTAGGATACGGCACCTGGTGCTGAAAAATCGAGAAAGGCGTTGAGGAGGTGCTCTGGTGGCCACACGCGAAGATCCGACCACAGCAAGCTGTCGCTGCCGCGAAATGTGCACCGAGGCCGCATGCAAAGCGGGTGCAAAACGACAAGCGGAGCGTAGGGAGCAGCTTTTGTGTGTGCATGATATGCATCTGCAAGCGCCGGAAGCTGCGTAACCGGAACTTGAACGCTGTCATGAGCATTCTTCAGTTGCCGACAACGAAGCTCGAGCGGCACGCGAGATCGACATCTTCCCAGGCAGAGGTACCAGAGAGAAAAACGATGCCGGCAGAGGAGAAGCGCGCACACGCCTTTGTCCATGTCAGCGGAAGCCGAGCCAAAAGTCAGCCTGAACGCCAGTTTTCAGAGGCCTGCTCCCATTGAATCCGGCAAAGGTTTCGTGAGCATACCCGATTGATGTAAATGGAGCGCTTCCCTTTCATTCTAACGTGGGATTTATGGTTGTAGAAACGGCATGGAAGGCGCAAACGTTCACATGAACGAGAGACATGAGCGTTATAGTCGTTCCGGTTTCATGGCATTGTGGCTGGATGCTCGATACGCCCTCGCTCGGGTCGGGTACGCCATACACGACGCGTCTTGAAACCAGCTAACGGGCGGCGCGGCATCAGCGCTATCCTTTCGAGAAATATGCATACAAAGGGGCACGCTCGTCAAGCAACTTCGCCTGTTGGTACAAAGCCGCTTTCAGCATATGTAATTGCTGGTATAATATCAAAATTCCGTGGGGCGGCCCACAAGATCGAACCCGATCCGTCGTATTGGACTGATTAAGGCTGCATTCCGCGCATGCTTGATCGCACGTGCTAGCCACCGTTGATGCTTTGCACAGCAGTGCGTCCTCCTTCTCGGCTGAATGCGACCCGCCTCGTTCACGAATCGAACAAGCAAGTCCACGTCCCGAAAGTCTACCACTTCTCGTTGACTGGCAGCTTCAAGTTCGCGTTGTACCGTTTCTTCAAGAAGCGGCATGAGCGCAGCATCGACGACTTGGTCCGGTGTGGCGGCCGCAAGCTGCGTGCCTTGGGGGCTTCCTTCGCGTAGAGCTTGTTGCCGTTCCAAGACATCGCTCGTAAAGGAGTCTATGAATGTTTTGATCTGCCGCTTGCGCTCTCGCCGAGCCCTCTTGATTGCCAGTTCGCGTGCCTTGCCCCCGGCCAGGTCACACAACGGGCATCGATGTTGTTTCCGCGGCAAAACCGAAGGCGTCGTGGACTGGGCAAGCGCTGCGAGCGGTCCACGACTGACGCCTGTCCTACTCGAACGAGCCGTTTGTCGGAGCTCGTCTGCTCCGGTGGTACGCTCATCGACCCGTTGCCAGAGTGTCTCCAGGTCTTCACGATAGACAGAAGGCGGGAGTTCACTCTTTGGGCGAGGGATACCTCCCGCCTCGGTATCCCAGACAAAACCGGGATCGAGGAGCTCCAAGGCTCCAGCGACTGCCGGCGGATACTCTCGGCGAAAAGCAGCAATCACTGACTCGGGAACATGAACACCAACAGGACTGTCTTTTGGTCGACCAAACTTAGGAAGCACTGGATCTGCGAGCAATGTCCGTGGTTGTTCCTGCACCAGCTGAAAAGTTGTCAGCATTCGAGAGAGTTCCTGTACCGGAATCTCTGCTGCGTATGGAGCAAGCCAGGCCGGGTTTCCGAACAGCTCGAGCACAGCGCGTCTTTGCGCCTCTTCCCAGTTGAGCTGCCTACCGTGAACAGGCGCACCGGAACGCCTATGCAGTTGCTCTCGTCCCACACGGTTCTCGGCGAGCTCTGGTCCACGCTGTGACCCTGCTTTCAGTTCATCCGTGTCGCGTTCACCGGCCGGTGGCACCCGGTTGCCGCTATGCTTTCTCCCGTCGCCGCTGGAACCTGTCTTGCCCGCTGCCGCCGCCGAGAATGCGCGTGAGCGCTCGCAACTACCGTAGTGCCCTGCTGCAGACTCGATCCTGTACACCAGTCTCTGCACGAAGCTTAGGCGCAGAGAGCGTACCACAAGCTCGTGCGGTCCGTTCCGAATAAACTTGTGTGCAAGGTTCATCTGTCCCTGTGTCGCTGCAGCTGCCGGCCCCGCGGAGCGCTTCTGGACACGACAGCGACAGTCAGCGCTTGTGAGGAAGCGTCTCCAACGTGACGCGGATGCTGGTGCCGGCAACACACTTCTTGAACCGCCTGGTACAGCACAATCAGTTGCCTAGTTCCCTCCAAAACGTCCACTGCGTGCCGCCAGCACCGATTGTCTTAATCAAAACAAAGACGACAGAGGCTTCGCCAAAAGTGCAGAGCTCTGCAGACACCGTCTGTCTAGACGAAAGGGCGAGCGCTCTATGTCGCCGGCCTCGTGCCAGCCGCAGTGCACGGCAGCGCAATGACAGCTTTCTGCGGCACACCAGAGAATGGCTCTCGAGTACCGGTTCAGAAATAGCTTTGTTTAACGACCTTGAACCCGTGCTCGTGTGTCAAGCGACGTCACTGATCACTTTAGAAGCGTTTGGGATTAGATTTTTCGAAAATCCTGTGACTGTGCGCAGTTTTGAAAAGGAGGGCTTGCGCTGTGCCCTGTCTATCGAATAGTGAGACTCGCACTTGCGGAGGAGTACGGTGACCGGCCGACGTCGCATTGTCCTTGAGGGCGAGCAGCGTACGCTTGCGACGCTGTCAGCGGGATACCCTGCGCAGCGCTGAACCAAGGCTGGCGTAAGACCTTCCCCATGAGTCAAGGCGCCTGCCAAGGCTCTTCCCATACCTCAGAAACAACCGCTGAGCCGCTTGAACACTCAGAGCACTTCCAGCAGGTGCAACGCTTTCGACATCAACACGGTATCCAGGTCGATCGCTTCTTAACAAGGCGCGATGGCTACAAGAGCGTGTTCGAGAGCGTTCCGTGGGACCTCATACCGGACCCTATTCAAGCGTTCGTGCCGGATCTTTTCGAGCGATATCCGCAGTACAGCGACGTTCTCGAGCAGGTCCTAGGCGTGCTTTCGGAGCACTTTGGCGCTACGTCACCTACCGCAGTCCAGTGCCAGGCGGTACCGTTGCTTCTTGAAGAGGCTTTCGACGTACTCACCTGTGCACCCACAGGAAGTGGCAAGACACTTGCATATCTTCTTCCGCTGTTCCTCAAGAAGCAGTCGGGGTTGGTACTCGTTCCCACTCGGGAGCTTGCCGAGCAGGTAACGCGAGTTGCAGCACATTTCTGCGGACCTAGAGGCGTCCTTACGCATGAAATCCGCCGACTTTGTCAACCGAGTGACGTAGCCACCTGGTGGCAAGGCAGCGGTGAATCACCGGCATCCACAAATCGTAAGGCAAGCAGCGAAACAGCGACTTCTGTCCAACGTCCAGCGTCGGGACCTGTTCTTGTCGTGGCGACGCCGTTGACGGCGATCCATGCGCATGAGTATGGTGCTGGTCAAGCATCGGGGAGCGCCAGGTCTCCGTTTCCAGCGCCTTGCGAGACGATCATTCTAGACGAAGCTGATCGTCTGTTGGAACCCTCGCTGGTGCCGACAGTTGATCGGATTCTGCGCATTGTCCTTGAAGGATGCCAAAATGAGGGCGCATCCAGCAAACGACCACGCATACACTTCTTTTCTGCCACGATGCCACCCAATGCGGATGAACTTGCTCGCACGGTGTGTGTCTCGCCGCTGCGAATCAACATCGAAGCCAAAGGTGGTATGACCCGAACCGTTGCCTCCGTGGAGCAGCGGCTGCGGTTCTGTGGCTCAGGAAGCGATCAGGGCAAGCTTCTTGCGCTGCGTCAGATGGTCCTCGACGGGTACGAGCTTCAGCCACCAGCGCTCATCTTTGTGGCAACTCAACGAGCCTGCGAAGCTGTAGCGAAGGAGCTCCGCTTTGCACTTCTGCAGCATCTCATGAAAACTACTGCTGGCATTCCGCAAATTGTGCGTGAACGACAGGCCATGCTCCTGGGTACTCGAGTAGCTGCACTGCATGCAGCCCGAGATCGGGAAACACGGCGCCAGATCTTGCACCAGTTCCTAGTTGGCCAAATATTTTATCTAGTCTGCACGGATCTCGTAGCGCGCGGTATTGATTTCAAGTGCGTGAATACAGTGGTGAACTATGATATACCCGCAGACGGCGTCACTTATGTGCATCGCATTGGACGCGCTGGCCGGAACGGTCGCACCGGGAAAGCAATCACGCTTTTCTGTGCCGATGAGGCAGCGCAGGCGCGCACGTGTGCGCATGTGATGCGCCTCAGTGGCCAGAATGAGTCTGTGCCTGAGTGGCTGCTCGGATTGCCGAAGAAACCACGGAACAAGTCCAAGTCCAGGGGAAGCAAGCGAAAACATCTCGATCGATCAGAGGGAATGCGTGGATGATTAGCGACTTGAAGAGTCGCGTCGCACAGCGGCTGCTGCATACCCTTCCTGACACGAGCGTTGCCCGCGGCGTTTGATCACTGGATCGAGGAGCGCCAGCCGCGCCTCCTGGCGACGTCGCTGGGCATACGCACACGACAGTAGAGCGTATCGCGCGGTTCGAATGGTGGCCGTTCCGATGTCGTCGAGTGCCAGCCGAGCAGGGTCCGTGAAACCGGGAAGGCTTTCCCCAATGCGTTCCGTATACGAAAACAAGCATCCAGCTGGTCTGGAGTCCATCAGAAGATTCGTTGATGCAATGTTTGCGCATGTGATGCCCCTGGACATGCTGCATCTGGAGTCGACGCTGCGACGCAGCACCTGCGACAATGCATGTTCACAGGGACAGCTGCCGCCGTTCACATGCCCACAGGCAGGTTCGGATCCATAATTGGTATCTAGCTGTACTTATCAGGTCAAATATGTCCATGGATGATGCCCTGTGCACGCGCGCGCCCTGCATCCGCACACCATCGGTCGTTATATGGAATCTTCTTCTGCCCCGGGTTCTATCATCCCGCACGATTCCCGGGCAGCGCATCCTGCTGCGCTGCTGGTGTAGTGGTAACATGGAAGATTCCCAACTTCGCTTAATCGGAGCGTGCTGGCCTAAGTAAACGTTTTGTCAATTCAAAAAAAATCCGCACCATCGGCAGTGCGTGCTGGTGCGGATGGTGTGTACGCGCGCCGGCCGCGCGGCGGGATCCCCCGGGTCACAGTTCGATTCGGGTGTGTCGCCCATTCGCCAAGAGCAGGTACGTATCCATGGTGGTGCTTGAGCTCGTGCACTGGTGCTCTCGGAGTGCTTCTCTAGTGAGCAGTGATAGTGTTCACGCTTCACGGGATCAGTGGCGAAGACTGTGATCGAGTGCAGGCCCCTTTTTCATCAGAAGCTCACGAGGCAGATCATGCTTCCTGGTAGATGCGAACGCCTGACATCGATCCGCAATGCGCTGATGATGACGGGCTCCGCACTGCGCACTGCTCGAAACGGGGCCAAAGGTGTCTCTGGGCATCTTGCAGCACCGCGTCGATCGGATGACTGCCGATGTCGCTTTGCAAGGTGCCGCTGCCGCCGCCGCCGCAAACGCTGTGCCTAAGACGATCGGTCTGGTCACCATCAAGTGCTTCAAGGTACGTGCAGCTTCTCTGCTTCAGTACAAGATACGTCCTGGAATCATGTCTTGTAGGTATCTGTCTGGGCAAGGCGCGATTCCAAATACCCGCTGATCCGCATGTTTTGCGAATACACACGCGTCATAAACAAACGAATCCGACAAATTGAAGATCGCCTTTAGAGCAAGTTGGCAATGACGGCATGGCTTGCGTTGCAGACCTCAGATCGCTCGCCAGCGTCATGACTCGGGATGCGCGGTCTGAAAATTGTCCGCAGTTAGTCCGCTGCATCTGACTCACTCGATTCTGCAACTGCAGTTTGGCTCGCGTCCTCTAACACCTGCGAAATGTGTTGTTCAATGCATTCTAGATAAAACGGGAGTAGGTTTGCACGTTTCCAGCAGCTCTGCACTGCGTCGGTATCGTCGCGCTGTACCCGCTGCGTCCCGTCAGTGACCTGTTTCCCTGCATACAACAGTAAATGGTACTTTTCTGTCAATTTTTCCGGTGTGTGCACGTATACAGCGTAGAGAAGCTGTGAACCAGGTTTTGCTGATGGAAGCAGGACAGGCGAGTTTTCCGCAGTGGGGCCGCCCCAGTCCCAAGAGACACCAGCACCGCCCGTTCCGCGAGCTCCTACCGTCGTGCTCCCAACATCCTTTGCCTCCCTGAAGCGCAAGTTCGCCTCCAGGAAAGGTACCAGCGTCAAGAATAACTCCGAAACAGCGTCAGCTTCCTCGCTAGCGCCAAGGGCAGGGCCCGTTGCCACTCCGTCCGCAGTGCTCGCGCCGGAGGCGGTGACAGGTTCCTCAGTCGACCAGAGCGCGTGGTAGCCCCGTACCAGGTACACCGCCAGGAAGAGCTGCGGACGCGCTTCGATGTGGAACAGGATCCGACCACTCATGCATCCAAGCTACATAGTCGCCGCTGATGGTTTGCGGTGGTCAAATACATCGCCACGAATGCCCCGAACTCTTCGTGAAAGTGCGCTGCACCGGCGCGGACGCAACGCTCTCGGCATGCAGCGAGAAACTGAACATTTCTGGACCAGTGGCGTTCAAAACTAAAACGTTTCTGGTTTCTCCTTCAAAAAAACTGTTTCTTTCGGACTCGCTGAACTCTCGACAAGAGCCCATCATGTCCTGGCAGCAATACGTTGACACTTATTTAATAGGTTCTGGGAAGTGTGCGGAAGGAGCGATCATATCGGCTGGTGGAGACGGTGGAATCTGGGCACGGTCCCCGGGACTGCGGGTCACACCGGACGAAGTCAGCAAACTGTTACGAGCGTTTGTGGACCCAGGCGATGCAGCAACTTCGGGGATCCGTGTGGGCGGACGCAAGTACATGTTCTTGAGGAGTGATGGAGACGCGGTCTACGCAAAAGAGCGTGATGATGGACTGGTTGCGATGCGAACGCGCACGGCGCTCGTGCTGGCGCTTTACAGCAAAGGAACCGTTCCCGGTGAGTGTGCAACAGCTGTAGGTCGTGTTGCGGACTATTTGCGTCAGCACGGTTATTAACTTTGGATTCGATGGAGCTTTCCGTGTTTACATGACGTAGAGCGTGCTCTGTGCGACGGGAGGCCCCTGAGGTTGCGTTATGTTCGCGTCTATGTTGACGCGCGAAGAAGCAAGTTGACACGCAGACTAGAATGACAACACTTCGCCGCGATGGCACGCGTTCCTGTAGCACATACAAAAGATATGCTACCAAGCAAGACCTAGTTATCAACTGATAGATGCATACCATCGGTTTCTGAATAAACGCTTGGAAACATCGTTATCCACGACCCGAGTAGGATAGATCTGGCGGCTGCTCCTGCACTTGGTTCTGGTGCTGCTGATGATGGTTATGATGATTTCGGGTTCGTTGATTTCCAATGATCCGCGCAGCGGTTTATGTATCAGCACGCTCGAGACAGCCAAGCGCGCTGAAAGCACCCCTGTACTTCACCTGACGCATCTGCAGACGCCTGAGCAGTACACCAACATAGCCACGCACTGGTAAGCACCCAGTCCACGATACTCATCGTTCGAAGCGGTTCGCTGCGCTGCGTGACGCAGAAGCAGCCGCTCACGGGTCTGCGTACGCTCAACGAATACCCATCGATTTTGGGTGCTGCGGTACACACGAAAAGCGGCCGGTATGCAAGGCACCCAGAGACTTGGTGCGATCAGGTACCCAAACGACAGCATTCCACAATAGTCGCTATTAGAGGTATCAGGGTCCGTACCGAGCGCGAAAAAACGTTCTCGTCCGTTCCACTGTAACAAAGCGCAGCCGAGCCTCTACATCAGCATTCCAAGCCGTGGCGTTCCGCGAGTTGCTGTACACTGATGCTTCGATCGTGGCTGCAATCCTTCCAATAAATGATGTGCATCGCTGCAGCAGTTGCTGGGGTCGTTACACAGATGCTGGGTACGGAAAATGGTCGCCTTGCCTCGCAAGGTAAGCTCGAGCATCAAGAAAAAAGTCCTTGCGAGCCTAAGCGTTATCGGGTTCAACAGGTTACCTCATCAACACGAAATCCGTCGTAACACGGGACCGAGTATCTCGGGAGCCGGCCTATGGAGGTTCCTTGCCAGGGAGGCCTGCGAACAAGGCACATTGCGGCGACAAGGCCGCTCTTGGTCGTCGACCTCAACCATAGCGTACCCCAGACAGACAGACAGACAGACTAGCACGTGAACTGATCCTGGATCTCGTCTTTTATCGGATTTTGGCGAGCCATCGCAGCACCGGACCATCCGACGCTAGTACCGAGAGCGCTTCATGAATCTCAGGTGATGAACTATGCAGAGAGTCTCAGGTATTCGCATAAGACACGCAGTATGTACAACGCCATGTCATTGTCCGAGGCTTCCTTGATCCCGCTTGAAACACGCAACATCCACAAGGCCAAGCAGACGTCAGCGAATAACGTTCAGGAGACCGGCCTCGTCTTGAGGTGCGAGCATCGACCACACCCCAAAAAGTCATGTCGTTACCGGTTCATGCTCATGCGCTCGAAGGCATGCGATTCCATTCCCGAACTCGATGACGTTGGCATGCGCACGGCGGCAGCGAAGATGCGAACGTGAACATCGTGTCGTGCTTTGATTTCAAATTCTCGATGAAAAAGCACATCTTCGGCGCACAAGCCCATCACCCGGGTATCGAGCACCGCGCGCTGCTATACAACAAAAGCGCTGCGGTTGCTTCGCGCTCCGTCCAAGCGTAATACGCGAGCTCATTTCCCCGAGTCAGCGCTCGGTGCTACTGTAACCATTGAATCCATCGCGGACGCATCGAGTAGACTTTCCAGACACTCTAATACATCATCAACCCGCTCGACAAAGGCATCTGCGAGACTATTCTTGCGTCCAATAGTGCAAGTGAAGAGGGTGACGTGCCTCTGCGCCCTCGGCTCGTCGACCAGCTTGGGACTCGTTTTCGGATTCGTTTCTCGGACACCGACATACTCCATGCATGCTTCGAACATGCGCTCGTCACTCTTATCATCGCCCATGCAAAGGATCCAGTCTGGCTCCTCTATTTTGAGTTGCTGTAGAATATATCGCACGGCGTTGCCCTTGTGAATACCCCGCGGATGCACGTAAACAATATTCTTGCCGCTGAGTACCTCTAGTGGTGTATGCATCAACGATTCTTCCAAGTGTGCGCGTAGCTCTTGCGCTTGGAAATATGCAAAGTCCGGATCCGCTTCCGAGTAATGCCAGGTTGCAGAGCTTTCTTTGATCTGAGTAAAAGATCCCGGTGTATGGTCTTCGAAACGCAGCATGATGTCGATCGCGGTGTGCAAAGCGCGACTAAGCACCTCGGGATCGTGGTCGAAGAGCGGTTGCGTCCACATACGGGATAGAGGCGTTGCTCTCGCAGGTCCGTAAGCACCGACTGCTCCAGTTCCAGAACGAGGCTCCAATAGAGCCGTCTTATCGACTGGGCTCCGCAAGGCTGGGGCGGTGTCGTGCGCCACGGCCTTGACGGCCGCTGGTCTCATCCGTGGATCAAGTCGCTCGGGGGCGCTGCCGCTGCCGCTGCCGCTGCCGCTGCCACTGTCTAGCGCCGCAAAGGCATCATCTGGCCAGCAAAAAGCATAGCCCTGTTCTGCAACGAGGCCGCAACCGGTTGCGGCCAGCCAGCGATCCAGGGTGGCCCTCTCTCGCCCGCTGATAACAAAGACAAGCGTCTTCGGGTGCTGGATAACGAGCTGTCGCAGCAGCCGCTGTACGCGTGCCTCCGGTTTAGCGAGCTCCGGATGCGAGTGATACGCCGACAGCGTGCCATCATAGTCGAGCAGCAGCAGTCGCCGGCGAGCAGCACGGAAACTGGCTGAAAGCTGCTCGTAATCAAGCCGTCGATATTGCCGCCGAGTTTCCGTCGTTTTCACCAAGTCCGTAATGATGTTTTCAGCCCATCGATCCGCAGTGTGCATCTGCACGTATTTCGAGAGTTTCTGATACCGCAGTTCTCGTTCCATTTTTGAGAGCGCCATGGCCCGATGAAGCGTTTCTGCAACCTCATCAATGCTCCACGGATTGCAGAGTACAGCGCCGGGTAGCGAATGCGCTGCGCCGCAGAACTCGCTCATCACAAGCACGCCGCGTTTCTCACCTTGACAAACGGCGAATTCATACGACATGAGACCCATACCTTCGCGAAGACTCGTAATCACAGCAACATCCGCGATCGAATACAGGACAACGAGATCCTCCAGATCCGGCTCCATGATGCGAACCATGATGGGTAAGTCTTCGACCGTTCCAAAGCGTCCATTAATGCGGCCCGCGAGTTCTTCTACCTCCGCTCGAAGCGCCAGATAATCACTACTCGCGCGTTCATCGACAGCGTCCAAGCTCAGGTCCGGAGCCGACGGGACCACCACCTGCAGCAGCACGGCCCTCCCGATCCATTCTGGATGCGATTCGAGTAGTTGCTCAAAAGCTAACATTTTGTGTGGTATCCCCTTGATGTAATCGAGGCGATCAACACCCAGAAGGACCGTTTTTCCAGCGAAAGGGCCCTCAAGCAACCGACGCTTGCGCTCCTGTACCGCTCTGCTTCGTGAAGCGGCGATGAAGCTCGTACTGTCAATGCTGAACGGGTAGATTCCGACGTGAACCTCTGCCCCGCGATTGTCGATGCCGTTAGGTCTGGTTTCCAATCCCAAAAGTCGCGAGCAGACACTGAAAAAATGACGAGCATAGTCATAGGTATGGAAGCCGATCAGATCCGAAGCAAGCATCCCCTCGAGAAGCGGCCTGCGTACCGGCAACATCCGGTAGATCTCACTGGACGGAAACGGTGTATGCAGGAAGAATCCAATGCGAGCATCAGCCTGACGCGAGCGCAACAGCTGTGGTACCAGCATGAGCTGAAAGTCATGGACCCAGATGAGATCACCAGGCTGGCTCTCCCGAGAGATTGCCTCGGCGTACAGTGCGTTCACTCGACAGTATGCGCTCCAGAGCTCTGAACAGAACGCCCGCTCCCCTTCCACGCCAACTGGAATGTAATGAAATATGCGCCATAAAACGCTATTGCAAAAGATTTGATGCATTCGGCACAATTTTGCGTCAATGAAGAGAGGTATGAACCCATGCTCAGCTAGAAGGATACGCCGCGTAATGTCCTGCTGCTCAGCGCTGAGCTGTTGTATCTGCATGAGTTGCCCGATCCATCGAATCGTATATTCCTTTCGCAGATGACGCAGCGATGCAAAAAGCCCGCTGGAGTTCAGCAAGATTTTGGGTTTGTTTTTGTTTTGTACCGGTGAAAAATGGACCTGTACGGGCAAACGGTGCGACACAATGAAGAGCCGTCGAGGTTTCACAGCGCCGTCCACGCCCCCAGTCAACTGGGCGGAGGTCTCTTCCGTGCGCAAAAGCGAGGTTCTTGCTTCTCGGATTTCGTTCAACTCAGCTTGAACTTGCTGGATGCAGTTCAATAGATACTCTTCTACGAAAGGCGCATTGAGATCGATGGACTCGATCTCCTCAGGGGAGCGAATGAGACTTTGCAAACTGTAGTTTCTGGCCAGGCCCGAGTCCGTGATGTCCGCCTGAGAGTACGCCTCACGCTCCAGACGCTTTCTATCTCGAACCGTGTTGAGGTCAACATCTACGTCCACACCGACGCGCTCTGTTCGCAGCAGAGGGTTAGCGTCGCCAGAGCTGCAGAGCTGCCCACCGCGCTGCAACCTGCTGCCACCTGGTGAGCTCAGCAGACTTGCCAGGTTTCCAGGGCTGCTCTTTTCCCGTTGTACTGCGGGGCGGTCCACCATGGACACTGCAGCGAGAAATACCTCCGACCTTGACTGGAAACAGTGCACTAGCCGTGCATTTGGTACTCAGCTGGACGTTGATTGGACGCCTCAGCGCTCGTGCGATGCCGCAGGTGCCGTTACGCACGCGACGGCACTGCACCTGGGTACAGCCGTATCGGTGCCGAATGGAAGCGATCTACTGACATTACTTGGGCGAAGACGATCAAGTTCTAGTTGTGGTCACTGTTCGTGACACCAGCCTTGGTTGGCTACTTCTCCGACTGCTTCCTTTCTCTCGATGTCTCGCTCTTTCGGGTCTGGCGTAAAATGCGCTGGTCTCGACTTTCTATCAATGGCCGCTGTCGGTAGTCCAGGGATGTTGATGACAGCACTCAGGAGTCAGTGTCGTCGCTTTCGACACTTGACGATGCATTTTATCCACAGGCGGTTGATGCGATCTACGAATCGCTTGCCACATCTATCGTATTTGTGTACAGCCACGGTGTTGCATTCGAAACGGCGGCGGTCTGCTATGGTCAGGCTTTCGGATACATCGACGACACCGGTATCGCCCAGTGCCGCCCTGTGGCGCGTGAACGCATCCTCCATCGCTCGATGGTTGCTATGGACAGGAGGAGCAGGCCTGCGTCGCTGCGCTTTTCCGTTTCTGCTTCCGATGTCGTGTTCTACGATCACGGCAATGTTCTGGATGGCCCCGGGGGCGAGTACGCTGTCGGCTGCAGTTGCAAGCGGACGCGATTTCATTCAATAGAGAATTTACGGAATGCGATAGTGTCCTTGATAGAACAAGTAGTAAATGGAAAATCCAGTGCGAAAATCAAGTCGAGAACTCCTGATCCGTTTACGATCTCTTCGTGCAACCTGGTTACACACGTCCTAATAGACGCGATCGCTGCAATGACGAGAATCCGAGTCCAAGACCCCTTTCCATACAGACAGAAGAGTCGGGAGCGTCTCGGGACATATACAGCGAGAAGTATCAGTCCGGCTTCGCGTGTTATGCGGTCAATGGACACAAAGAGATGCGTAGTTGTCTTTCGAACGGAATCGATTACGTGACGTGACAAGTCCAGTGAAGTTTCTTCATGAGCTTGAGATGAAGTTGTCAAGCAATGACGTCGAGTATTTCTCGTCATCAACCCAGAGGCACGAATCGCTGCATTCACGACTTGCCTTGAGACACACGGGTTGAAAACGTGAAGAATGCGTGATTTGCGCATGATCAACGTATGCAAGAGGAGAAGAATGGAGGCTTGTACCTATGGATTCGATGATGGCGTCGGTCATGTCATGAACCTTTTGGTCGACTGCATCCCGAAACACCTTGGAATCGATGACAGAACGAAATTGAGCGGCGTAGAGCCGAAGAAGCCACTCCAAAAAGACGACCGAGAATGCTAAGGCTACGTACGGATCCTCAGCCCCATATTGCCGCACTTCGAACATCGAGGTTGTGCATCAATAAAAAAAAGTTCGGGAAAGATCGTGGAGCGCGAAGTGACCGAGCAGTTCAGTGTGCCTTTTCAAGTGACGCGGGTGGAGCAACGTATCGTCCAGTTCGGCGCACTCAAGTTCTTAAGCAACGGCTGCATCCGTCGAGTGCCGTTCGGGCCGAATGCTTTGGAGCAGTGGAACACTCCTGATCGATAGGTGAACTGAATCGGGCAATGAATTAGAGACTGTCCGGCGCTTCTGAGCTTTCGAAGGTCGGAGGTCGCACCATCATTTGAGGAGACGGGACAACTGCACCAATGATTACATCATCAAAAAGTGTTTCCTGGTTTCGCACCGCGTGTCACGTCTCTTTCCCGACCAGTTCTAGCGAAGAGAAAGCTTTGCTTGCGCGGGGTTTCTTTTTTTCTTCAAATAATTCGGCTGGCATTACTCCAGCAATGGCGTTCTAGATTTCAATGAAACCGCTTTGAAAGCGAGTAAGACCCATGCAGGTTCATGCGCCTGAAACGCTGACAAGTGTCGATTTCGCTATTTGTTCTGGTCTGGGCATGGAAAAAGGATTTCTAATGCTGCGTCGCCCTCGGGCGGAGGAAATTATGGTCGTCCAGTCGATAACAGCAGCACCAGGGACAAAGTTCAGCACTGAGAAATACTCCGCACTGTGCGAAGTCGAATTTGTCGATGCTGAGGGACCTGTTCGCTACGTCCTCTTCGCTGGACCATTCAGCGACAATAGATGCGAGTCGGCATGCAAGATACGGATCTTTGAAGCATTAAAGCATCGTCACGCAACTGCCGAGTCACCAGTAGCATATGGAAGCTCTGCGGCGCGCGCATCTATTCGCTGAACGGTACGTTGAGCCCCGGGATGCTCCATGCTGGAAGCAGACACCCAGCAAAAGGCGATGTCGTCTAGTCGCTCCAGCCGCCCGAACATCGCGCAGAATAACTCGGTAGCCACGAACGGAATCCGATGATTCGGAACACATGTGCTGGTTGTTTTGCCGGAGTAGAATCGACGGGTTCAACGCTTGTCCTCTGGTCTCGCAAACGCTCCCAGTGCACACAGAAGTGCACCAAGCAAGCACAGTTGCACAGCCGTGATCATCGTCCTTCGCCCGTATTGCGTTCCTCTGCCAGGTGCGTGTCATCAAGTGCTTCTTCGCGGTGTATAGCTGACAGGTTCGAAGTGTGCTTACTTTTAAAAAATCTACGGAAAAGTTATGGATATGGTAGCCGGGGTATCCTGGAGGCCCGCCATCGCCGGGTTCGACAAAAGCGAAACGAAAAATGCCCTGCTTGACGACTATCGAGCGAAGAAGAGCAAATGACGAACAGGAAGAAGAAAACGAGGGTAGGTACGCGAGAAAAAGTGCTTCCCCGACTAGGCGAAGAAGAGACTGTAGTCGCACTGAGGGCACGTGTTCGATGAATCCTCGCACTCGTGAGTTAAACCCGGGGCAATAAACGCATGGAGTTCGTGAACCGGGACTTCAACGCCGCCATCAGTATCAGACGATGTGTGGTGCCGAAGGCGAGACCCGAGGAGCTGACGAGATCCAAAATCGTGGGGAAGCGTCTCAGAGTCGAAATGTACAAGGGGAAAATGAACCCGGTAGGAGTCGGCCGGTCAAAAAAGGCCGGGTGGCATCTGCGGCCGGATATCAATGTACCCTAAATGATCGTAGAACATTTTTCGTTTCACAGATCACCTTACTGAATATCATGTGATGCATTCCGTGCTGGCAGCGTGTCCAGCGCGCGTCTTCTGGCTCTTGGATGGTTCACGGTACTCACGTGAGCATGCACAAGCGACGTGGTGCCTCATTTCCTTCTCGACAGTGGAGGCAGCATAGCGTTCGAGTTGCGCATTCCGCCGCTGGCGCCCAATACATCCACTGGCTTGCAGCCCGCAGACGCCCTTGGACTGGAACGGCGCCAGAGCGAAGGTTGTCGTCTATCACCTAGCAGATGCGGTGAAGTAGATGCACCGGATGGTCTCGTAGTCGGGGTCATCCGAGCACCGTGGTCGTTCCCGAGGCCTAGTCAGGGCGCTGACGGCAAGTCGTACAAGAAGAAGCGCCCATACGGCCGCAGATGCCCGCACACGTCAATGTTGCGTGTCGCGTCATGCACGCATCGAGCCGACGCCCGTCAAAGCAGCAAAACAGCGTCGTGTCTCCGTTCGACACCTGCGACTGACACCATACCCCCGCAGGGCAGCAAGATCAATCGGGCCTGTGGTCTCGTGGGTAAGCCCGGTATAAAGCAAGCGAAAAGTCGGTGCTTCTGCGCAACAAGTGAGGTTTCGTTCCAGATCACCAGCAGCAGCAATCATGTATCCGCAACACCTTGCCAGATGCAGTTAGTATACCCCTTGAAGAGAACAATATCTGCGCTGGCGATTGCGTGCAAGCATGTCACGGACAGTTCAAGTGAGGGCGCATCGTGCGCATCAGCGTCCCAGGTCGTACACGTGTCCCAGGTGGCATCCGTGTCGCCATACATGCGTGCTGCGGCACGCTGTCCGTCGGTGCAAGTATCACGGAACAGAGACTTTCTTTCGTGGTTTCAATCCCCTGGAAATTTCTACGCGCCAGAGTCTCGGAAAAGCCGTGAAGCGAGACCTCAGCTTTCTTTCAGGCAGTTACGAAGCAAGAAGACAATCCCAGATGAACCACGAGCCTTCCCCAAGCAGACCCTCGCCTGCTTCAGGGCTACTACATTCGGCTGTAAAACGCGGTCATTCGCAAAGCGCTTGCCCTAGGGCAGCGCAAACGACGGACTTGGTGGCTGAAAGCTCCGCGAGGCCAATGAATCTGGACCATCAAGAATCGGAAGATCTCGATGATCCAATGAATGCGAATCGAAACTACTTGATGGCGATGGATATTGCGACCGGACTCGCGGATATTCTCTGGAGTGAGCGCACTGTGACACCAGGCCTGCGCCAAGTCGTTCGTTCGCTTACCGGCGCTGACCAGCGTGAACAATTTGTTCAGTTCGTCGTGAGACGTGTCGTGCAGAACGGGAACCGGGGATTTCCTCGCGTTGCAGACGCATCCACGAAGCAGTCTTGTAAGCTGGAAAGGACCACATCGACGCGTGATGGCTCAGAAGACCGCGCAGGAGAAGCCACATCTGGGCCTGCCCGTAAAGAGCGGCGCACGTGCGAAGCACCCTGATGCGCCCGCAGATATCCTGCAAAAGATGGACGAAGCCAGCGCCGACGCCCCGCAGCAATCCGAGGGGGCGCAGATGCACCCATTCTGCCAGCTGCGACAGTGGGAGCATAGACCGAACACAGGTTACCGTCCAGCGACCTGACCGGTCGTAGTGAAGCGGGCAAATTCTCCCGCCGAACGGATACACCGGTCAGTCTGGTTGCAGGTGCTCTTGGGCGACGCTGAACGCTGCCGGCATCTACACGGATATCGATTCGCACCGTCGACCAGCGGTCTTTGGCTCTTGTCGCCTCGATGGCACCGCTTCAAATCAGTGACCGTCTCGATTGCAGTTGTTGGCATAGATTGAAACCATTCGGAAAACGCCGCTGCTCAATGATGTTCTTCAAGTCGACGAACGTTTTCATCTCAATGAGGGCACCTGTGGATCCTCCTGAAGGTCACCAGCAGTTGAGTGCACCGGCGATGCCTCATCATACTCCGGAATGTGTCCGTGCGCCTTCGCCATGGGCCTCGAGTCCAATTGGAACCAGGTGCCATATGCTGCATATACAGACCGTCAACGAGAATGCCATGCCCAAAGTAACCCGGTAGAAAATCCCGAAGTGCACCAAGACCGTAATATGAAACCAAAGCGCGATGCTGCGATGTACAGGTGAATAGATTCGACGAATGCTTCGACCAACACACGGCATACCTAGCGCGTTCCCAATAAAGACGCTTTTCGCCCCAGGAAACATCCCGGCGGCTTTGCATACTTCCACGCAAAGCAACGCAACAGCGCGATCCGAGCTCAAGGCGTCGATCGTCTTGTAGCGGCGGTCCAAAATTTATCGGTACGAGTACGAATCAGGAAGTGCTTCGAGTACGTTCGAAACTGCTTGATTTCCGCAGCAGCATCCAAATGGAATGATCAAATGGTCAATGCTCATTCCCAAAACCTCACGTGGTAGTGGCTACTGGTTTCGGTACCGATTGAACCATAGGTGCCTCGGTTTGTGCTGCCAGTCCCCGAGAGCGAAACCATCGAAGCGTTCGCTCTAGGCCATCCTCGATCGAAAATCGCGGATTGTAACCCAAGTCTCGCCTCGCGGCTGCACAACTTACCCGACGCTCGCAGGTTGCGAGCAGAACACGTCCTGGGGTGAAATCCGTTGAAAGTGAACGCCCTAGTAAACGCGCGACCGCATCAATGAGCACCACGAGCCATGCAATGGAGTAGACCAGAGCGAACGGCAAACGATGCCGTGGAGGCGGGTATCCCAGACCTTGCAGGATGGACCCCAGAAACCCCCAGAAAGAGCGTGGGTCCCCATTGGTTATGAAGTAGGCCTTACCAGTCAATTGTTTGGCACGCTTGTCACTTTCCTGCAACGCCTCTGCAGCAAGATAGTGCGCTTCGGCAACGTTCTTCACGTAGGTCCAGTCCATAGCATTTCGCCCAGAGCCAATGATATATTTCATGCGACCCTGTCGTGCCCTACTCACTAGCGTCGGTATAAAGAGGGGGTCATATTCGCCGAAAATGCCCGATGGTCGGAGCGCAACTGCATACAGTACTCGTCGGGCAGGATCCGTAGACGATGAGCTCGCTGTCTGCAAAACCAGCTGCTCTGCTACCCTCTTCGTGTACGTATAAAAGTCGATATCCTTCTTAGCAAGCGGGGCAGACTCCTCGTCAACGTCGATGAGGTCGAGTCCGGCGAAAACAACCGAAGCAGAGGACGTGTACACCAGATACCGAATACCTCGTTCGAGACAGAATCGGATGACTTGTTTCGTACCTTCTATATTAACGTATTCCATCAGCTTGCGGTTCGCAGCGTTCGCGGCCGTCGGCGACGCCGTTGCACAGTGAAACACAGCATCGATTCGGGGAACGCTTCGCAACGCTTCCCAGAGCGCGTCATAGTTGCCTATATCTACGCTTATGTCACGAACTTGAGAGCGCAAACTTTTAACTAGCTCGCTTTCCGAATACTCCGTGAAAGGAAAGAGCTTCAGGTCGACAACGATGACGTTGTAGCCCCTCTCTACCAGCAGCTCCACGAGATGCCGTCCGAGAAACCCGGAGCCGCCTGTGATCAGCGCCGTTCGTGGCTCGGGTGTTTTCGTGGCAACCACACCGGTTGCGTTTTGTCTGGCGTGACCGCTTCCCGCCGCTGCCTTGCGGTTGGTAGGCATCTGCTTCGACGTCTAGGCTATCTAGCAAGGCGCGTATCCCGTATGGCAGCGAGAAAGAGAGCAAATCGCTGCGCGCGCTGCACTGTGGCATACGAAGCATCTGCAACAGCAAGTGCAGATTTGATCTGCTCTTACACCCATGTTCGTATAGCATGGAACGAGTCGACTTTGCTATATCGTGCTGACAAACTCAAGTTTGGGCCTGTTCCCGCTGTTATCAATTCTAGCTTTCATGGGGGTTTTCTGCGAATTCCTCCTTTCCTCCTGTCTTATCTGTAGCTCTGCATGCGCCGGTGTCTCCATTCCCTCAGGTGCGATTATCATCCGTGGAAGGAGGTTGATAGCAGCTTGCGTCCCGATGACGCTGCCTCCAGCTGTTGTCGGTGCGTTTCATGCACAAGCTGAACATGCGATCTAGCCTTGCGTCGCACTTTTCATCTTGTTTGGACGCAGCCTCGGTACGCCCGTGGCAGCGGTGACGCGTCACTGTGGTCAGGTGTTCCCATATGTTCAATATAGAGTCTTCTACGAGCGCCGCCCCGTGTCGCATGAAGACTTCCCCTATCGCTCGGCACGTGATCCTGACGGGAGCAGAAGGCGCCCCGATGATATACGCCTTCCTTATCTCCTCTCAGTACCGTACGCTATCTTGAAAGGTTTTTTATGTGCGATGTCCTCGAGGACAACGCTGTCCATTGCAGAAGCGAGAACACGCAGTTCTGTACCGCAGAAAATCAGCGGAATGCGATGCTGCTCATGGTGAAACAGAGACCGAAAGGATAATCCAGACTGACGAGCAGGTCGAGAAATTTCGATCCATCTATGCGGATATTTTTGCAAAGTGTTGTCGTTGTCTGTACTAGGAGCGATCGCAACGTTGACTCTAGTCCGAGTTCGAGACTGTTTCTCATGCAGTCAGAAGAGACTGCAGCCCCTGGGGCCGGATCCCGGGAGCAGTTTCGAGCTGCTCCTTTCGAATGCCGCTTCGTAGATCGCTGCAAAGAGAGAGGGATCCGTCTTCCGTACCGAATCTATGATTGGACGTGACAAGTACAGAGAAACCGTCTGCAAGAGCTTGTTATACTGTTTCACCTCAATTTTGTTTCACCCCCGCTGTAGTGTATGTTAGGCGGTGGAAATCACGATGCAAGGTACTGCATAAATCGAAGACAAATTGCCTGCAGGATTTATCTTCTTCATTGAACCGCGCAAGGAGGACGGCATTCATCATTCATGTCATTCATACCACAGTATTCAGATGGTTGAGGAACACTGTAAGAAACAAGAATATTCGCTCCGCACCAACAACCCGATGCTCTCAAAGCTTGCTCGTGGTCAATGGTAGAAAACGACCCGATAATCACCATACGAGAAGCATAAGCGACGATAGAGGCTACCAAAGGCGTCTCTGTTTCTCAACAGGTTCTTCGTGTGGCGCACATTACACTGGGACATAGTCCCGCAAAAAAGACCTGGCTCACGAACGCGCATCCTCCATCGAAATCACGACGACAGCGTTCCTGGAACGTCGAGATCGGTAATGTACCGCAAGGACATCGGCTTGTTTTCTTCTATCGATAAGGCTTGCTTCGGATAAAACGGTTGGAACGTATATGGGTATTCGCAGAGAAGGAGCCTGCTATATGTTCGATCGAACTCGAAGCGAACTAAGACATCATCTATTCTAGCTACAATGGATTCATTTTGCGGCCGTAGTTTCTCGAGTGGGTAACCCTCATACAACAGCACCCACTTTATCGAATCATTGAAGACTTTACCCTGACACTTGCCGACATTCCTCTATTGGAGAACGTGGCATTTCATCATTCCCCTTGCGTTCGAGCTCTTGCCGATTCTATCGGGGCAGAGCATCTTTTCATTCCTCCATACAATCCATAGCTCAAGTGCATCGTATGCGTGTTTTCTATCGTAAAACGTAACGGTCGTTCCACTGGGCGAATCGCTGAAGCGCTCAGCGCACGGTGACACCGGAGCACATGTCGTCTTTCTTCCGCAAGTCCTTCGCACTCCGTGAAGGTCCTCACCTAAGGGCATAGAGAAGTGCGTTCATTTTCAGAAATGCACAACCCCAGGGAAAGTTGTGGGCATGGAAGTCGGGGAACCTGGAGCACCGTCATCGCTAGCTTCCGGGCAAATAAACGAAGAGAATCATCTTCTCTTCGACCATCGAGCGAAGAAGAGCTAGTAATGACGAAGAAGAGGAGGTCGATGAGAGATCGACTTGAAAAGATTTTTGCCCGACGGGAAGATCACAAGACTGTAGTGGCAAGAAAGGCACGCGTTCTGGCAGTATTTGCACTGGTGAGTCCAGCCAGAGGCAATAAACGCAAGGAGTTCATGAACAGAGTCTTCATCGACGCCATCAGTATCAGACGATTTGTGGTGCTGAAAACGAGATCCGCGGAGCTGCGCCTATCTAACTTCGAGGGGCAGCCTCCCAGGCTCGAAATGTGCCTCGATAACCTCAAACCGATAGCAGGCGGCCCGTCAAAGAACGTAGGGAGGCGTCTGCGCGTGGGTATTCATGTAACCCCACATGGTCATTTGGAGATTCTTTTGGTTCACTGATCAAACATATGAACGCGCCAGGTGACGACGACATCATGTTTTGTTCCGCCGTCGATTCAACGAAGCGAACTGTTGCACTGAAGAATTGCCCTGAAATAGAAAGATGGGAAACTTGAAGCATGCGTGTTTTGTGCATGCCGCACAGAACAAAAGGAGAAGCAAGAATGGTTGCACATACGAAATCTATTCGGATATGAGTTCTTTCGCGTACCCTTGTGACAAGGTGTCGCGAATCATCCTGATTCCGGTGACATAACGAATTCTGGCGGCAAAGCGTCGAGAAAGAACCACTTCGAAAAAACAACCAACTATTCAAAAATCACGCAGGAATCCGTAGAGCCATATTGCTGCAATTCAAATGTCCAAGCTGTCCATCTCAAATACATTTCAAGACAAAGCAAAAGTCAGGAACAGAGCGGGCTGTTCAGTGTTCCGTTTGAATGCGGCACGAGTACAGGAATCGTCATTGCATGCATGCATGCCGCCCAGGAGGTATGTTGCAGCAGAGTCCTGCGGCAGGCGATCGTGCCGGCATGCTGCACCCGAATACCCTGCTACCCGGATACCTGACCCCGTGCTGGAATATGGACGTCTCAAGCGAGCATGCAACAGTGAACGACAATGTCGTTCTGTCTCTGCGAGGTGTACCCAGCAGCGCAGTAGCCAATATTCTCGGCACGTTCGGTCGGTACGGCATCCAGCGGATCATACGTACTGGCTAATGTCCCCAGGGAAAAGTCTGTGAGGTGCTGGCTCGCAGAACTTGAGGGCATGCTGTGGAATCGCGGATGCTTTTCGCCGGAGACCGAGACCCATCGTGCAATCGGAGATCCGCTGGTAACAGTAAACAGCCTTCAAGCACACCAAAAAAAGACGCAAGGATTCCCGTATCGTTGTGTAGCCGCTTTAGCTCTTGTGGCAGCGTTACGAAACGTCAGTCGTGCAATGCGCATGCCGTCTCCGGAGGTCGGGTGCGTGTAGCGTCATCCATCGCTCGCTACTTGCGAGAAGCGGCTTTTCATGATTCTGCAGTGTGATGACAAGCGCATTGGCGACGAGCACCGTTCCATAGTTCGAAAGGCGCAGACAAGAGCCGGGCCCCACAGATGCACCATTTTTCATGCGAATATCTTTGGCTAGCTTGTTGCTCATATAAAATCCTTGATTCACCTGAGGCAAACTAGCGATCATCACCGAAAAGAACGCCGTGAGCTCCACATCATCCCATGGGACTTGCGCTGCACCAGTTGTGATTATCTTACAGAGTTAGCAAGCGTGGTCCTCTCCAGCGTCCCGTGCACTAGCGTGCCCTTCGTCCGACCAGAGAGCGTCATGATGATCTGGGGCCCTGCGCATCCGCGACAACCCAGGTACAGCAGGACTGCTAGCTCTTTGGATGCCAATCAAAGACAGAAACTAGAGTCCAAACCACGAGACTCCTCGGAATGCGGCTGCCAGGGATCCTGACTCTGTACACGTAGCATCATCTCCTCGATCGCGAGTTCGTCAAGCGGAAGACCCGCAGCAGCCGCAACAAATCCCACAAACGGCGGTGATGGTGCTCCCGGTCGGGATTTAAGCTCCGGATGGAACTGCGATCCCAAAAAGAAGGGATGCTCCGCGCGATTCAGCTCTGCGATCTCCATTCGCTGTCCTGTTTCATCGCGAGCAACGAATCGAAGTCCACATTCTTTCTCCAGGCGATCCACGTATTTGGGGTTCACCTCGTATCGATGGCGGTGCCGTTCCATGATGAACGGTTTTCGGCCGTAGAGTAACGATGCAATGGAGTTGGTTCCATCGGGTTGAAAGATTGTCTTACGGGCACCGAGTCGCATTGTACCGCCCATTCTAGTCTTGTCTACTTCGGGCATGAATACGACGATGGCAGGATCGGCATGCTCATCAAATTCGGTGCTGTTAGCCTTCGCGCCATCAGCGAGGCGCGATCGCGCCAACTCCACCGCAGCCAGCTGCATGCCAAGGCAAATGCCAAGGTACGGGACTCGATGCTCCCGCGCATACCGAATCGCTGCCAGCATGCCTTCAATGCCACGACAACCGAAACCGCCCGGAACCAAGATTCCATCAGCGGCGCTCAGTTCGCGCCATGCATTCTGATACGCCATATGGCGCTGCGTCGGCGAGCCGTTTGGCAGCAGTCTCGAATCACCCGATGCATCCACAAAGTTCTCCAGGCTCTCAGCTGCGATCCAGTGAATGTGAACCTTGCGATGGAGAGCCATGCCTGCATGTTCAAGCGCTTTGATAACGCTCAGATAAGTGTCCGCGAGACCCGTGTATTTGCCCACAATGGCGATCCTGCACTCGCCCTGATAGCTATCGAAAGCAGCCGCCATACGTCCCCAGCGCTCTAAGAGGACCGGCAGCCGCCAGCTGAGACGCAGCGCCGAGATCAGCGCATTCGTGACACCCTGCTCCTGCATCATCAGCGGTATTCGAAAGGTATTGCTAACGTCATGCAGGGAGACAACGGCTTCTACAGGAACCTGTGCAAAAAGTGCAATCTTCGCACGCGTCTCCGGGAGCAATGGTCGATCGCTGCGACAAAAGATGAGCTGCGGAGGTAACCCCAGGGACGCAATCGTCGAGCACCCTGCCTGCGTGGGTTTCGTCTTTTGCTCGCCAACAACGCCAAGACACGGCACTAGTGAGACAAAAGCAATACATACATTCTCTTGGCCGTGTCTATAGCGAAGCTGTCGCAACGCTTCCACGAAGGGGGCGCTTTCGATATCGCCGACTGTTCCCCCGAGTTCAATAATCACGACTTCGGGTGGAAGCCCCGAATCGTCAACTCTCTCCATCGCTGCCGCCATTATCTGATCCTGTATCAAGTCTGTTAAATGGGGAACCACTTGAACAGTGCGTCCGAGGTAATCGCCTCGTCGTTCGCGCTGAATAACTTCGGAGTACACTTTTCCTGTGGTAATGTTATGCCGCCGAGTGAGGTTCACAGACAAGAAACGCTCGTAGTTTCCAAGATCCAAGTCAGTCTCACTGCCGTCATCAAGCACAAAGGTCTCTCCGTGTTCGAACGGCGACATGGTGCCCGCGTCCACGTTAATATACGGATCGATTTTGATCGCAGATACACGCCAACCGCACGCTTTCAGCAGGACACCTATCGAAGACGAGGTGAGCCCTTTTCCGATGCCGCTGATTACCCCGCCGGCAACAATGACAAACTTGAGTTTCGGGTCGATGGAACCATAGCGCTCGGTTCCGTTGCAGCTGCAACTTGAGCAACCGCCGCCACTCATCCTCGTGTCACAAGCAATCACGTTACTAACCACAAACTGCGTAAAGCTATATCAGATCCGTGCACACAAACCCTGCAAAGATGAAGAGCGCAAACCACGCTCCAGAGAGTTGCAGCGTGGCCTGCTGACTCCGCTGGCAGTGCACGCACCTGCAGCCGCAGCACTGCAGTGTCCTCGTCACGCAGCGGTCACCAAGGTGCCCAAGAATACAGTCTAAGGCGCAATCAGAAGCCAAAGCCCGCCAACCCCGAGTTTCAGCAGCAATATGCGCTGGATGTTGAGGTTTGCAAGCCCCCGGCCCCACGCTTCTCAACCTGATTCGCTGCACGCACTTGAGGCGAAGCAGTGAACCTGGAGCGCGCGACGCATTCGCGGTGGCAACACCCGCGGGCGCTCCGTCGACGGCGTTTCCCGCGTGCACGCATGCACGCATGCACGCACACCAACGTCATTGAGACTTGGCGGGAAGGGGTCGTTTGTGCTACTTCCCTGCGGATCATCTACGCGGGAATCGCTTCCACAAACTTGCTCTATAAGCGATTCACGCATTCCATACCATGTATCTTGAGCGGCAATGAGTAAGATTGCAAGAATACCCGGGGCATTTCGCGAACATGATCACGAACTACTTGCCATAATCGCATCTGCGCTGATCGAGTGGATGCACAATCTATATGTCGATCGTGTATGTTCCACGAAAGAGCGTGTTTCAGAAGCGTACGACCACGCATTCATCAAACAGTCCCGCTCTGTCTAAGAGGAAGCGATCACATGCGTAGGCAGCGGCGTTCTGCTGAGCGTGTTAGCATTTCGCGAGTCGGTGCGTCGACGACCTCGCCCAGTTACGAATAAATCCAGCTGAATGCAGGCGTCACAGCAGCCTTCTCTCAACGATATCGAAAGAGACCGTCCACACTGGCAAAGCACCCTCGCCGGCGAATCGAAAACGGCGTGGATTGCTGAGCGCTTGCAGCGCTGCGCTGTCCTCGCCGAGAGCGCGGGTACCGGTGCGGCAACACAGAGCACCGCGAAAAGCGTTCCTACACATCCGCCCACGGATTGCCCCTTTGGAATGCCATGAAAGATACCATTCGGACACGGACAGGACAGGCATCCAAATGCGCCTCCTTTCTCGACGCCTCGCCAGCGAATGCAACGCGAGAACGCTTGCGATCACTCGCCGCAAAATCCGTTCGCGCAAGCATCTAGATGCTTACGATATCGACACTTTGTCTGGATGACTGGCGTTAGGGGCGCCCAGCGAGTCATGCGCGCGCACACACACACACACACAGAGGGAAAGAGAGAGACACGTCTGCCCGGATGCGCGGATGAGGCTCCCTTCTGTGGACACGCACGTGGATCGCGCGCGCCTCAGCGGCATCCGAAGACACGTGTCTGGAGCGCGCCTCAACGCCGTCGCGGAACGGAAGCGGCAGGCGGCGATTTTTTTCATGTACAAAACGTTTGCTTAGGCCAGCGTTCTCCGATTATGCGCATTTTTCTTTTCTTACTTTTTTGGGCAGGCGGCGATGGGCGGCGCGCGTCTGGCCTCCCCTGCTGCATACCCGAGGGCGCGCATCGCGCGATCGATCGCGACTGCCTGCGCGTCACACTCGTGTCACACGATACGCCATAGGCACCGGAGGTCCAGCTTGTACGGACGTTGTCGAAGCGGCAGTTTGCATGGCCCTGGTGTCGTTACCTCGCGACTACGTTTGTACACGTGGCATATGAACGATAAAGAACAAGCAGACGGGAAGGATTGTGTGATGTTTGAGGTCGTTGTGGCCAAGTGGCCGGGTTCGAAGGATGTTGCAGCAGTTGTGGAGCGGTTGAAAAGTCTTCCCGAAGTTGAAGCTGTCTTTCCGGAGTGCACTGGAGCAGAGGTAAAGTTGCGCGTGCGTACGTCGCCAACAGCGCTGTACTCCAAAATTATAGAGTTTTTACAGGGAGAGCTGCCCGCGGTACAGATGACGCTGCGCACGCGCATCTTCCAGATAGTGCACCTTCAAGTCGAAGGCCTTCGTTGCGATGGATGTGCTCGCAAGGTCACTGCAGCGTTGGAAAACGTGCCGGGAGTTGTTCGGGCACATGTCCTGTTGGGTCTCAAGCGGGCACGCGTTGCTTTGGATCGCCAGGTGCCTGTGTCGGCGCTGATCCAGGCGACGAACGCCGTTGGTAAGCAGGTCACACTCATATCAAAAGACGTGGAAATGAGTTGTATCAGTGACGCGGATGATACCTCCGAAGCGCTCCGTTATAACTGTGGTTGCGGAGAACCGAGCTGCGTCGGCGCACTCGAGCCGCGGCTTCGAGGTGATGCGGGCGTTCGCGTGAACCGCGAAGAGCTGGACACCATGGGATGCCTGGTGAATCCAGTGGGCATCCTGGATCTTTCGCAAGCTGCTTGCGGTTGTGGAAAGCGAGCCTCGACTCGTGCGTGTTGCTCATCGAAATCTCTGAAAACAATGGCCGTAGACGAGAGCGCTACGACTGAGAAGACCTTGAAAAAGGAAGCGCTCCAAGACAAAACAAATCTTGTCCGTACAACTTTCAGTGTTCGTGGTATGTCGTGCGCTACCTGCGTTGGTGCCATAGAGACCGCACTTCGTCGTCTAGCTGGTGTCCAGAGCGCTTCTGTGACGTTGCTCAGTCAGAAGGCAACAGTAACGTATGATGGCAATATCGTAGACGCCGGCCGGATCCAGGCATATATTGCGTCCATCGGCTACGGCGCCGAACTGCAATCCAATGAGACACTCACGGATGGGTCGGCATCGCATCCGAATCGAAGCGGTACCGTGGCGGGCTCCGACCGAATGCCATTAGTGCTATGTTTTACAGACCGACTCAAAGCGGACGAGGCAGTAGCTGCGCTCCAAAGGACTGCTGTGGCGAAGACATTCAACCTAGTCGAGCAAAAATCCACAGGAGAAATGGACGCTAACGCGGCGCTTCCTTGGTGGCAAGCGCTTTATCGTCAGTGGCTGTGCATGCGCAAGCGGCCTGCACCGCGCTACGCGCTCCATATATGGCCGAGAGATGAGCAATCTATCACGAATATCAGCAAAAACATGGAGGTTTCGCCAGAGGCATCTCAACTGAATCCATACGCTAGAATCGTCGCTGTTTTGCAGAGTGCTGGCCTCGGTGGCAGCTTCGACATCAAAGATGCACCCAATGCCGCTAAGTCGCAGGACCCCGCTGAGACATTGGCAGCGCGTCTACACCGAGAGGCGTTGGAATGGTTGGGACGTTTTGCCTTCGCGCTGGTGTTTACGATTCCTGTACTGGTTATCAGTACTGTTCTAATGAATTTACCAATGCCACCGCCTTCCTTGAGGGCTCAGGTTGGCGGCTCTGCGCTCCAGGTCGGCAATTTGGTTGCCCTGGTGCTCACAACTCCTGTTCAGTTCATTGCGGGCTATCCTTTCTACAGGGGCAGCTACTACGCGCTGTTGAAGAGGCGTCGAGCGAACATGGACGTGCTCGTTGCGTTAAGCACATCCATTGCCTATTTCTACTCGCTGATTCTCGTGATTCTGAATGGCGCCAATGTGCGGTTTGGAAGCGGTCCCGCATTTGACACGAGTGCCCTCCTCATTACCATTATCATTCTTGGTAAGTGGATGGAGACTGTGGCAAAACGCCGTGCCGCATCGGGTATTGAGTCCTTGTACGCGTTGCAGCCGCAGCGAGCCTTTTTAATGGCCCGTATAACACAACGGTCAGATGATGCTTCCTGCACCAACGAGGGTTTGAATGAGGTACCCCAGGAACCTTGCGAGCGGAAGCCCGCGGCGGAGCGCGACACCATTCCTGGACATCCGCCCGAGCCGCTTACTGCCGGCATACATACTGCCCAAGCAATGGAGAGCACCAGCGAGCCTGCCGTGCGAACCTCGGATGCTTTGCCTGTATCAACTGGGAAAAGTGGTAGCCTCCCGGTTGCCAGCGATGAGCAGTATCGCGGCATCGGAGATATCGACGCAAAACTGCTCGACGTTGGCGATATTATCGGAATCAAACCTGGTGAACGATTTCCCGCAGACGCGATTGTACTCGAAGGAAGCAGCACCGCCGACGAGTCCATGTTGACTGGCGAGTCGATGCGCGTCCCCAAAGGCCCCGGGGCTATCGTCTACAGCGGCACCGTCAACGGGAGCCATCCGCTCATTGTGCAGGCGACAGCCGTGGGCGCTGACGCGACGCTTTCGCAGATCATTCGTCTGGTTGAGGAGGCACAGGCCCAGCGAGCACCCGTAGAGGCCATTGCAGACGGCATCGCCGCTGTTTTTGTTCCTGGGGTTCTCGTGATCGCCCTGGTCGACTTTTTGGTGTGGATGGCGCTCGCCCAAAGTAGGGTGATTCCATCGAGTTGGTACAGCGGCAAGGGCGGACCAGTGCCATTTGCGCTTCTGTTCGCGATATCCACCCTGATCATTGCCTGTCCCTGTGCGCTGGGACTCGCCACGCCCACCGTCATTATGGTGGCGACGTCGCTGGGAGCACATTTGGGAGTCCTTTTCAAGAGCGGCATCGCGTTGGAGGCGCTGCGCAGTGTCCGCTGCATTCTGTTCGACAAGACGGGGACGCTAACCATGGGCAGACCTGCTGTGACACGGCATCTTCTTCTGCAAGAGCTGGAGCCGTCCATCGAGCATGGCCCGTCTTCGAGTGAGCGGGAGGAGGCATTGCTTCTGAGTATCGCAGCAATTGAGGAGCACTCCGAACATCTGCTTGCTCGCACATTGCTCGACTATATTCGCCAACGGATTCCAGATGCGGTACTGCCGCTTGCTCGCGCGCTGCATGTGGAACCGGGCCTCGGCATTCAGGGCATCGTCGCAGATCACACGGTTCATATTGGCTCTCCGACGTGGATCTTGCAAGTTTGTCGAGAGACACCCACGGATTTCGCGGATACGCAGGCGGTACCCCTGGAACATATCGAGCAGAAACTCCGTGCAATCGAAGCTGGTGGAGCAACGGTGGTGGTTGCGGCACGGAACTGGGTGCCGCAGGTTGCCTTCGCCATTGAGGACCCCATCCGACCAGAATCGGCTGCAGTGATAACGACTCTGAGCAAACGCCTGCACATATCGTGCTGGATGGTAACTGGGGATCAGGCAGCCGCTGCTCAGCGTGTAGCGGAACGAGTCGGTATCCCTACGACACGCGTGATTGCTGGGGCCTTACCATGGCAAAAAGCGCAGGCGGTTCGCGCATGTGTGGAAGCAGCCGAGCGCGGAAAGTTGCCGAAAGCGGCTGTGGGATCGGAGCCAGCACCGCCCGTGCCATGGATGATCGAGGCGCTCCAGGCGGAGTCGCCAACGCAGGATAATTCATCGAAGAAGAAAGCATGGCGTCATCGGTATCGCGTGGCTTTCGTCGGAGACGGTCTCAATGATGCGCCTGCACTTGCAACGGCAGACGTTGGCGTCGCGATGGCCGCTGGGACCCAGGTTGCAGCCGAAGCCGGACAAGTTGTCTTGATGCGGGACCAGTTGTATGATCTATTGGTCGCAATCGACCTCTCTCGTGCTGCATTCCGCCGCATCTCGCTGAACTATGTCTGGGCACTTGGCTATAACCTTGCAGCGTTGCCACTTGCTGCGGGGCTATTCTACCCGGCATGGCAGCAACAGGTTCCACCATATATTGCTGCGATCGCCATGGCAGCGAGTTCAGTCTGTGTGACCGTATCGAGTATTCTTCTGGAACTCTATCGCCCGGCTCGGTGGTGCAGGTTGTCTTCGACGGTCCACAGCCCAGCGTTGCGCAGTTCGAAACACGAAAGAACATGAGAATCCTCAGGCTGGCGGAGATCGCGAGTACGGAACGCGCACGCGCGTCTACTGGTCGTGCATGCGGGTGCGATTTTGTTGGATGAAATGGATCATAAATGGATTTAATGGACAGTGTAAACGCTGGGGTGTATCTGTCTCCAGGTCGTATCGCCGCAGCTGCCGGTCTCGGTAGCAGCACTGCCTATGCGTTGTATGCTTCAACGGCGGATACGATTTCAAACGTTCCCAGGCGCTTGTCATGCGGCAGTCCAGAGCGGGCTCATCACTCTTATAAAGTCCATATCAGAAAACGTTGGTATATGTGCAAAGAAACTTGGGCTAGTAACCGCTGTCATTCGCACCAGCGTTTGCGCGCTTTTTCTGTGACTGCTTCTTCTTCCTGCTGCTCACTCCCTCTGATCCAGCTTGGAAGATGCAGGTTTGTCCTATATCTAAACCTTCGCTGTCAGCAGTTGAAGGATGTTGACAGCAGTTGTAACGTCCCGATATCGACGAGTCCAGGTGTTGTCAGCGCTTTCCATGCAGAAGCAGCAGTTGCTGTCAATGCTTGGCGTGCCATACTCGTGTCGTTTTGCATCGAGTCTCGGGGTGCGCTTCCCAGCGGGGACACTGCGCTGGGTTCCCGTCTGTGTCCAGCACATCGGCTCCTTCGAGAGTAGCCCTGTGCCGCGTGAGCGCTTGCCTCGCCGTTTGCTGCATGCGCATGACGGGTACAGTGGGCTCTCCCAGCTATTCTCATTTGTTTCCGCGCCTGTTGTCGTGGACGACGATCACAGGCTGCTTCTGGGTGATACACTGGGCGCGTACTGTGTCCGCTGTGCGTGCAAGCTTACGCTGTTCCACTCGATAGAATGCATGGGTGGAACGCGATGCTGTGTATGATGAAACATGTACCGGTGGGACAATCTAGGCTGGAGACCAAGTCGAGAAATCTCGATCCGTCGACGACCGCTTCGTACACAGCGATGACGCAGGCTTCAGTACATGCGATCCATTTGATAATGCAAGTCCGAGACCGAGACTCGATTCCATGGGAAGAAGAGGGACGGAAGTCTCATGGAGCTGTTCCCGTACGTGAATGATTCCGCTGCCGTCGAATCGCGATTCGCGGATGTCAACAAACAGGAGAGGATTTGTATTTCGAGGCGAATCGACGATTTGGCATGAGGAGTTTCAGGAAATCTCTGCATGAACTTGCGAACAAATCGTCGACGGACAAGGTTCTATCTGATTAGTCGTGAATCGGGCGCCACAGATTGCTCCGCGAACCAGTTGCCTTCAAATGAAAAAATCGAAAGCTTGAAGCGTGCATGATGCGAGCATGCTACACGCTGGCATATGTGAAGCACGGCGAATGCTACACATGCATTGAATCATGATGTCCGTCACTTTACGAGGCATCGTTCGAGTGCGTCGCAAATCATCTCGATTCCGATGACGGACCCGATTTCAACAGCCGCGTCTCGAAGGAGCCTCTCCGAATACACGACCGTGAATCCGCAAAATACACATGAATTCGCAAGCCCTTGTCGCTGCACCTCCAATGTCAAGGAAGTACAGCGAAAAAAATTAGTTCCGAAAAGAATCGCACAGCAGGTACAACCTGTCCAGTTCAGTGTTCCATTGTAATCTGGCAACACGTTCGGAACGACCTCGCGGTAAGCGCTCGCCCGTTTCCATGGGAACGCAGTCGTGCCTGCTGGGGCACTGCTGCGGCACCACGCCTGCGTTCACGGCAACAGGTTTAAGTTTCATCCAACGAAGAGCAGTAGGCAGCGGCAGCTGGTTCGCAAGGCACCGAGCTGCTTCGCTCGACCTGCACGGTGAACAGCGGCGATGTCGAAGACGCGGGGAACGTTACGCTGTACCACTTCATGCAGCAGGTGACCGCCTGACACCGTTCAGAAGCACGCGCACCGATCTCTCTTTGTATCTCATTGCAGACGTAGCCTATGTTTCACAACTAGGGTCGAGGCAGTCACTAGAAGAGCTTACGGAGCGTGCGTTGGCCTCTGGGTGCGTGCGAGCGGTCCAGCTGCGAGATAAGAGGAGCTCACTGCGCAAGACGCTGGAACTCGCCAAACGACTGCGTGCGGTTTGTGCTGCAGCGGGTGTTCCTTTTCTCATGAACGATCGGCTAGACCTGGCGCTTGCGGTGGACGCGGATGGCTTGCACGTTGGCCAAGAAGATATGCCCTTGGAATATGTACAGAAGCTCGTGCCTGCTGACTGGATCATAGGCGCATCTGCTGGCTCGTTGTCTGAAGTCACAGCTTTGAAACAAGCGAGTACCGCGGAACGCCCCATACGGTTGGACTATATCGGCTGTGGCCCGGTATTTGGCACACAGACAAAACTCGATGCGGGTGCACCGATTGGTATCCGTGGACTGGCACACATCGTGGAAGCGGTTGCACCACTCCCGGTGCTTGCTGTCGGAGGTATTGGAATCTCTAACGCTAGACAATGTATTTCCCAGGGTAAGGCCGCAGGTATAGCGTGCATATCAGCTATCCTGGGTGCTGAAGATCCGCGACGTGCGGCCGAGGACCTCGATGCTGAAATACGCCGCGGACGTGACTTGCGAGTGCATCCCGGGTTTTAAAGGAGCGAAGCGAATGAGGAAGATTCGATTTTGCGGATTCCTCTGGTATGCCCAGTTATACTGAATAATAGGACACCATTATCGTCGACGAAATGCCCAGGAAAAACGTGTCCGATCTATGGATATGGCGCTGCAGCCTACATGGATTGCTGATTGCTCCATGCCAGTGTCGTGCTTCAGGCGGTGGGAATCCGAAGCTCTCTCTCTCTCTCCCTCTCTCTGGTAGCCACTGAGTGCTATTTTGATGGCAAGTCTGCAGCGTTGGACCTCAGTGCCCAAAGTGAGTTATAAACGATTTCCTTTGGAATTCGCTTCACACGAACACACTGGACGCGCCGGAAGCACAACGCATTTCCTGATGGTGATCACGGCGTTCAAGTCTCGGTGCAGAGGGTGCATGCAGGCATTCGTGCTGGTGCCATCCTACCATAGCAAGCTTCTCGCCTTTCGATTGCAGCGCCATCTGGCGTTCGGGCATCTCTCTATACCCCATGTCGTGCATCGGGCTCCATGTTCCATTCCTTTATACTTGACTTGGCGTGCAGTCGTGCTCATGCTATGTGCACGTCGTCCTGAACACATCGATGGGAATCGTACAGAATCGATTCTCGCGCTGTGTACGCTTTCGTCGAAGGTCGATGCGTGCAGCGTCCGCGTGCGCTACGGTACGTCCAGCGCCAGAGTCTGTAATGAAACGACGCGGCGTACCCGTTAGTCCCTTTTCCAGTTCGTTGAACAAGCTGGCGAACATGCGCTTCCTGCCTCCGTGCCATTGAATCCAGTGGCGACCCCAGCACGGTTTTATGCACTCCGTCCGAAGGGCGCTGGCATGAGTCATTCTGGATGCTCATCTAATCTCTGAAGTATAGAATCCTTTCTATCAGTCCGTACATTCCGCGGTCAGTGAGACGCGGGAACCGCGCTCACAGGGTGCCGTTCCTGCGGCGCTCCACATTGACCCGTGTATCGTTTAGGGTTTTGAGATAGTCTTGATGCCTTTTTGGCACCTGGGCTTTGGTTCATTTCGATCTCGAGCGTTGCGCTGCGACGTCTCCATGTATTCTGGGAAGCGTGTGCACAATGCTCTGACCCCATAGCCAGGTCGTCTTGCATCTTCCGTCCCGGGCATTCGTTGTGCTTTCGCAAGAAGGTTTGATCGAAAAATTTCAGAGAAATTCGGGAAGCTGGCAGCCCTGCATCCCGGATGCTCACAAACAGTCGATTTGCGAGGTTCGTCAAGGCGGGAGAAGCCGGAAGAGCCCCCCTCGAGTAGGAAGCTACGCGATCCTCCATGACGCCCTGCATCTCGCTTTTTGATAGATTCTCCCTGTTGGTGTGTCCGGGATGACAGGGCTCGGTAATAGTTTAGGACCAATTTTTCTACTGTGACTGTTCCTGCTTTCTGTTCCTTCTGCTCTCTGCCCGGTGGTTTCTTCATTTTCTTCTGTTGAACATGCGGCATAACATACATGTGGGCGATGTATGACGAATCCGCTTTACCTGGAGAATGAGACTCACTAGGTCGACGATGTGTGGGAAACTCGCCTTTTGCATACATCTATGGAATATTCCTCAAGTACGTTTTCGTCACCTTCTCCGTCGCGAGCATGCTTACTGATAAAGGCGCACCTTTCCGCTCCCTACCTCGATTGAGCAGAGCCGCAACAGAGCAGTTCATGGCTGGTGAATACTGAGGGCGACTTGTCGAAAAGCGGTGCACCGGATGCGAAAGACTCATCAATGTATCCATGAGCGTAGAGATGGCGTCTACCGGCAACGCCCACGCCTTCGACACCACCGACCTACGGAGCATAGACGCGCACCTAGAGCAGCTCGACGCCAGAATCAGCCGCGTGCCCCTTGACCGCCTTGAGGGATGGAAAGCGGCGATTCCCGAAAGCGGCACAAATGCATCTGGAACGAAAAAGCCACACAGCGTCTGACGACGAAGCATGAGGTGTTGAACGATCCCGCCCGTTCGGTGATGTGCAGTAGACAACCGGCTCGAGGCGCCGCCGGGGCTGGACGTATCCGACTGCTCACTCGTCGCTCTTTGACGACCTGCGGTTTGCGCCTCTCCGCCCAAATACGTACAGATGCAGCAGCGCACCCAAACGAAGTCTCATCGACAGAGACGATCGTCCATATATCTCGTGGAATACGCGTTCCCGTTTCCGTACGAAATCGACAGTGTATCCTTCGACGCTGTATGCTGCCCCAGGGAAGCGTGTTTTTCGCCTCGAGTATCCGTGTCTCTCCATCACCGTTCGTGTCGACGGTGCCGAGACTGCACATCCTGTGGCTCGTTTTGTACGATGTTTTCGAGAACACACGGAGCGGAGTTGCTCGACGAGGAGCGCTTCGTGCAGCTAGAACCGAAAAAGTACCGTTCTGGGTGCGTACCGTTCACGACATGCACTGGGAGAAGGGCGCCTCATCCGCCCGCTGACCGCAGCATGACTGACTTGGAGAAATGCGGCGGTTTTCCTCAGGCTAGCAATGAAAGCATCATGTCATTCCGCGATCATTTCTCCACTCGACAGCATGCTTTCCTTCTCTAGGATACCTGCGATAACGCAGACAGCAACAATTGCGCGTGCTGGTGCATGCATCCCAGAATTCACTACTCTGAGCGTAACGCCCCGGTGTGCTGATTACACCATGCAACACAGCCGCTCGGCTGTAACCGAGCCGGCTGCTTTTTTTGTTGCCATTCACGGCAGTGATGCGCCACAACCGATTGCAAGTCTATTTCAATAGGTTCCGCGAATGAAGCAAATGTAATGACAACGGTTATACTTGATAGAGTGTTTCTGTCGATATCGCATCCATCGGATTGTATTCATGGAGCGCTCTATTCCAAACGGCGAACTGCTGATCCTTGCGCAACCTCGACTCGGTCAAAAATGACGGCAGCGGCGACTCGTAGTCATCCAAAAGCATCATCGCGCATGGGACCGATATGCATGGCGTTGCACCGGGCACCCGTCACGGTGCATTATCCTAAAGCTGAATCCCACCGGGTATTGCACAATTCTTCACCGTACAAGATCAATGAGTCTACCCGCGATTTCTCCAGATACGCAAACGCTACCGGAGAGCAACAAAAGAGTCTCTGTCCTTCCGCATCCGCCTCTATGCACCATAATCTCCAACGCAGGATTTCTCCGAAGAATCTAAGCCAGTTCAATCGAGCGATCGTCCTGGTGCCAAGCGCATTCGGCACGCTTGCTACAGCGGGGAAGCGCTGCTGCGGTCGCCATCTAGAGACGGAACAGCCTTACAGTGTATACCTGCGGACGTCGGTGCGAGGCACCGTTCGCCCGGCGTGAGGCCGGAACTCGTCGTCAGGCTTCGCGCTGGAATTCTGCGCACGCGAGACTGCCAACGCGGACCGATACATTCGAGGAGTGCGGCGACCAGATCGAGGCCTGGGTATAGACCCCTATCTTTGAAGTCACGTGGAGCATGCATTGCCCTCGAGCTGTGCAGACGTCAGCTCGGTACACGTCACTGCAGGGGTGCAAGGCGCACGTAGCTAGCGCACGTGTCCGGATCGTAGGACGTTCCATCTAAAAAGATCTCTACAGATAAATCAACGAATTACCTATTACTGAAAGAAGTACAGAGTGCTCTGCAAAAAACCATTCATTCATTCATCTACGACCCGTTCAAATACAAAGTGCTCCACCATGCATTCATCAATCAGCCTTTGATCTGCTACCCCATCAATCGGAAGGCGCGCAGCAGCGCAGCGCAGGAGGCGCGCCCGTACCCCGCGCTCCTCAATTCAAACCGCCAGATCCGCTGGGGCAGCGCTCCCTACTCAAGAGAGACGAGTGGTTGCTTCTTGGGTGCTTGTGGATCGGCAAGGCCACGAGCACGCTCTAGTAACGTCTCTGGTGTCGTTTACGCCAAGCCGGCTTAATCAGCGGCACTATCACCGCTTCCCTGTGTCCGGAAAAGAAGGAAGCATGGGCTCCCGCGGCGCAGAGACGCTCGTCGGCAGGTATAATTCGGAGACTCTCCCAGTGTCGCTTTCCATGAACCAGCGGGGGACGAACCCCGCTCTGCAATCCTGGAGCCACGCGCACAGCACAGCGTCTTTCGGTCAACACCAGCGAAGATCAAACTCGTATGCAGGTCCCGTGCTTCTCGATAGAGACTACTATTCACTAGATGAAATTCTCGCAGCGGAGACCCGTTTCCGCTGCGTTTTCCTCGAACGAGTTCGAGGCATGGCCTGTTTGGACACCAGCGGCGGTGCATCATTCGCAGCGCAAGCCGAAGTCAATGCTGCGAGCCTCGTACACGCGCACACCGAGACATCAGGAGAGGGCATCTCCCAGGAGAATGAGCGCAGCAGTGTATCAGACAGAGCTGAACCTGTCCAGGATTTCGAGAGACGCTTATCGCGCGACGCACTATCGAAAGATCGATCTGACATCATGACCGCAGCAGCAGCAGCTGCTGCTGCCTTGACCCATCAGGCAGCGCTCCAAGCAAGTGGATATGGTGTCACGAGGGCGTCGGCATCGGGGGCGAACCCTTCATCGGAGCAACTTTTGCAACGGCAGGAGGTCGCGGGTGGACTTGACATGCTCCCCGATATGGCGTGTGATCTTCCACTCTGGTTGGCGGAAATGTTGGCTGCACGAATGTTCGTGCGCATCGAATTGCCGCCGAGTCTGAGATCCAGAACACTTCGAGAACTGCGCGCTGACCCGTGTATCGCAAACTTGAACGAAAAATGCCCATATTTTTATGCAGTTGTGCAACGATTTCGGCAGTATTTTCGCATTCGGAACGTTGCTAGTAGGAATGGCTTGCGCGGCGGTAACGCAGTGCTTGCGGAGCTCGGGTCAGTACTGCTGGATGCTCACCAGGCCCGCTGCCTTGAAATCGCTGATCGCGCCCAGAGCCCGTTTGACGGCGACCCGCTCGAGCAGCTTCACCGCTTTGAGTCATCCGAGCGGGCGATGTTTTTCGCAGTACAAGGCGCTGCTCAACAGTACATGCGGTGGAAAAGAGGTGAGCTTCGACGTTTGCGTCCAAGCAAGCCACTCGTGCCGTATTGCCCGCGTCGCGACGCACGGCTCCAAGTGCATCCTTCTCATGCAGCACCGCAGCAAGCAAATAGGCTCGTGAGCGACCACGCGCAGCATCTTCGGCGAATAGCGCTCTCGGCTCGCAATTTAGACCAAGAAGCCGAGTTTAACCTGTATGGACAACGCTCCAATCATGAACTGGCCGTCGATCATCCGCAGCGAGCTATGCCAATGAACGCGGAGTCGAATTCGTCGGCACTGAACGAAAACGTGACGGATGCAGACAAGGAAAATACGCATGGCGTCGCACCCGAAACGATTCACTCTGGCAAATCTTTAACATGTGACACAGAGCCCCAGGTCCCTGAAAACGAAGAGGCGGCACGCTCCGAAGCGAACTCGGATTGCCAGGCACTCCTGGAGCCGTCGCAAGCGTCCGAAATGCCGTCGAAGCGGATGCGAAGAATGCTGCGGGCTGGTGAGTCCACAGCAGCTCAAAACCTCGAGCGGCAAACGCATTTCCCAAGTGGTCTGTAGACTTTTGTCTACGATATCCAAACGGTCGACAACACGGCCTCCGAGCTGGTGTCCAGGCACGTTGAAGCTCGACGACCTGCGCGAGCGTCGTCCCTTGGGGAGCTCCGCGTTTCCTCTGTGGCCTTCGCGTCTCGTGCTTGTCGCCCAGCAATCAGCAAGCTCTGCTGCCGCTCTGCAGTCTTCATCAGTGCTCAAGCTAATAATCATCGATACTGGGGGAATCGAGCCTGTTCCTATGCGCTAGCAGCGCGTTTCTCTCGATGTCCGCAGTGCCCCAGAGCGCTTGCTAAACACGCGCCCTTTCCACAGAGCTTGAAGCGCGGACTCGACACTGTTCGCCAAAACCCCGTGACTCTTTACATACCTGCACAACTTGACGCCAGAGTGCCATGTCGTCACGATAGGACCATGGATGAGGTCTCCCAGAAACGCCCCCGGCACAACGCGGCACCAGCATCCGCGACAATGCTCTGCAGCAGCAGCGGCACCTGCTTTCTCCTCGCCGCTGTCCAGTGACGTGGCGGTTTCTGGGCTCGCTCGTTCGTTCGAACGGGAACACCTGCTGCAGACGCAACCGCTGACGAGCGCAGTCCTGATCAAACGTGACCATCTTTCGGTTACCAGGGACTATGCTTGGACCGATTCGACAGGGCCTTGGCTCTGTTGGTCGACGCTGGTTACGGTATGTCGCTCGGCCGCTGCAGGTCGACAGCCCCGGATGCCGTCCGGGCTTCGTCGAGCAACGAAGCACCTGCCACGAGGCTGGAATGTCTCTAATGAGCAGCTCGCTTCTTGCAGAGAAGCTGCGCGTGCAACTCCAGACCCCAGTGTGGCGAATGGCGCGCTTTTACCGCTGGAGCGGTGCCCGTGCTAGCGCTGCCCCAGCAGTCTGGAGCGGTCTCGGCGGACTTGCGGTGCTGGGGCACTGCGTCTCGCACAACGAATCAGACACTTTCAACTTGTCCGGTGTTTCGCAAACGAGAGACAAGCTCCCGTCGGGTAGCAAGGAACAACACGGAGGTCCGCAAGCGCTCTGCTTTCGTCCAGGTGACCTTGAGCAAAACCTAGACGCACTATTGGACTGGGTACGCAGCATGGGCGACCGGGTCCGACGCTCATGGGCGTCACGAGAAGGTCGTACGATTCTTTCCCTGATTTTGCTGAATGGTTTGGTGTACTTGGCATGGAAGAGCAGACCAGGCGGACCGCCGTTCATGTGGCGTCATTTTGCCTGCTCGCTCGAGTCGCTCTACGCAGGGCGGACGCACACGCTCCTCACCAGCTCCATATCACATATGGGTTTCTTGCATCTTCTGGGGAACATGTTTCTTCTCGCCAATTTCGGTCTAGATGTGTGCAAAGTGCTCGGTCCATCGCGCTTTCTCACCTTATACGCCGGAGGTGCCTTTCTCTCCTCGGCGATGAGTCTACTTTACAAAAGGTTGCGGTTGTCGGGTGCGGTCTCCATCGGTGCGAGCGGTAGCGTCATGGCGGTTTTGGTCATGTTTGCGATGCTTTTTCCGCGTTCATCCCTTTACGTCATGGGCATCAAGATGACTGCACAGGAAGCCTGTCTGCTGTGGGTGCTCTTCGACGTCATCGGTGTCGTCGGGCGCTTCGGCTACATCGACTTTGCTGCGCATTTGGGCGGAGCGATCTTTGGTTATCTCTATTTCGTGTACATAGAAGAACATCTGCGAGAGGAGTTGGCGTTGCGCCGCAGAGCTCGACGCTGGGGACTCGGTAGCCGCACGACCGAGGGTCCTGCCTCCGGTGGTGGTAGTCTCCTCAGTCGCCTCGACGCTGTTCTGGAGTGGTTGCAGCGTCGTCGGGATCCGACACAGCGGCGAACCGCTGAGCGTGCCGATGAACAGAGTCGACGAGCGGACAGCGGCTGGGATAGCTGGTTCGGGCGTCAGTTTTGGGGTACCCCGACAACGGCAGCTCAAGGCGAGCGGCCTCAACCGCAAAAGACATCGACCCCGGAGAAGGAACCGGGGACTGTCTGGGAGCGCTTGAGGCGCTTTTTCTTCGCTGACTCGAACGATGATAAGCACAAGTGATCGTTGGTTTGCAGCTTCGGCGGTATGCGTCATGAGCACATGCGATCTAATCGTCATCGAGCTGGGGTTGCCTCGAGTGCGGTGCTGAGGCGTTTGGGCGTTTGGTGCAGCCTCACCGGATGCGCAGCTGAGGATCGCGGAGGCTTCCGCGTTTTTTGCGAGACTGGCGAGGATCGTTCGCCACAGCTGATATCTTGTACTCGATTAGAGCGATGGAGGATAGGACGATGAGCTCTAGCGCGTACGCGAATATTCGCGAGCCCCGGGAACGATCAGCGCTGTTCGGGGTAGCGGTTTTCGCGTATTTGATCACCGTTGCGATACGAGACGGCCACGGGTTACCGGGTTGGAGACGGTTCGCTGTACAATCCATCCGAATGAAAAATATTCCGCAGAGTGCGCTGCACTGCTCGAGTCGGGCCAAGACCGGTGCAGTTTACAGAGGCCGCCGCCGGAGCCGGGAGCTGTCGCGACCTGGCGATGAGGAAATGGAATCAGTTGTATCGCATCGTGGAACACTATGATCGCTTTCTAATTGGCCAGGAAAACTGCTTCCGGTGGATACACACGGCGCTGTAGCATTGAGGAACTGCTGAAGCGTACCACACAACTGGCTTGCACCAGGATAGAAGCCAGTCGTTCGATGCAGTGCCACTGATTTTTGCCATCGAAAGTCTGCGACTTGTCAGCGCTATGCTCATACTGAGCACTAAACGATATCCTAGAAAGTTCGTTCAACGCAAAGCTGCCGGAAGCCTGGCAAGCACAACACATTTCGCTGCATATCGATCGCGTCATGCAAGTAGCAGTGCAGAGAGTGTTTGCGGGCATGGTTGCATGACGAATCAGAACATAGCAAGTCGCTCACCGTCGATTACCTCGCCATTTGACTTTCGTTCACCTTGCAGTACACCATCTCATGCATCCGGCTCTATTCACGCTCTTATCCTCTACCTGTTTCCTCATGCAATCTTGCTCGAGATGCGTTTCTGTCGTCATGAATGCATCGATGGGAGTTGTTCAGAATTGCTACCCGTACTCGATGTGGGCTGTCGGAGGGGCACCAGCGGGGCGTACTCTGCGCGCTACGGCAAGTCCAGCTCCATACACTAAAACCGGTCGATGCTAATCATTGTTCATTTCATTTCCCAACTCATTGGACAAGTTGGTGAATGCATGTTTCTTGCGTCCATGCAACTGATACAATCGGCGATCCGATCGCTTTCTCATATACTTTTACCATAGATTGTACGCATGTGCCAGTTGCACGCAAATGTGCTGACTATACAGAGCGTTCAAAGCATCCCCGTTTGCTCAGTACGATGCTCAGAGCTTTGAAACAGGTCCTGATGCCGTCATTCCATGTGTGTCGGTATGCCCCCTGCCGTCCATCATGTCCAACGCCCGACTGCAGCGAGCCTGGGAGAAAATGCGTTCGCAGTGCAGCCTCTCACCCGAACATAACTTGCATTGTCGCTGGGAAGTTTGATCGAAAAATTCGAGAGGTCTCTGGACAGCTGGTAGCCTAGCGTCCGAAAGTTCTGCGAATACTTGCTTGGCGAGGTGCATCAAGGCGCGGCGAGCTAGGCGAGTCTTCCCAGCGTAAGCAGCTGGGCGCATTCCGAGTGACATCCCGAATCGTTCGGTGTACCGGATGCGAAAGACTCATCTATGTATCCATGAGCGTAGAGATGGCGTCTACCGGCAACGCCCACGCCTTCGACACCACCGACCTACGGAGCATAGACGCGCACCAAGAGCAGCTCGACGCCAGAATCAGCCGCGTGCCCCATGACCGCCTTGAGGGATGGAAAGCGGCGATTCCCGAAAGCGGCACAAATGCATCTGGAACGAAAAAGCCACACAGCGTCTGACGACGAAGCATGAGGTGTTGAACGATCCCGCCCGTTCGGTGATGTGCAGTAGACAACCGGCTCGAGGCGCCGCTGGGGCTGGACGTATCCGACTGCTCACTCGTCGCTCTTTGACGACCTGCGGTTTGCGCCTCTCCGCCCAAATACGTACAGATGCAGCAGCGCACCCAAATGAAGTCTCATCGACAGAGACGATCGTCCGTATATCTCGTGGAATACGCGTTCCCGTTTCCGTACGAAATCGACAGTGTATCCTTCGACGCAGTATGCTGCCCCAGGGAAGCGTGTTTTTCGCCTCGAGTATCCGTGTCTCTCCATCACCGTTCGTGTCGACGGTGCCGAGACTGCACATCCTGTGGCTCATTTTGTACGATGTTTTCGAGAACACACGGAGCGGAGTTGCTCGACGAGGAGCGCTTCGTGCAGCTAGAACCGAAAAAGTACCGTTCTGGGTGCGTACCGTTCACGACATGCACTGGGAGAAGGGCGCCTCATCCGCCCGCTGACCGCAGCATGACTGACTTGGAGAAATGCGGCGGTTTTCCTCAGGCTAGCAATGAAAGCATCATGTCATTCCGTGATCATTTCTCCACTCGACAGCATGCTTTCCTTCTCTAGGCTACCTGCGATAACGCAGACAGCAACAATTGCGCGTGCTGGTGCATGCAGCCCAGAATTCACTACTCTGAGCGTAACGAGATATGCTTCCAAAGCCGCATACACACCAGCTCTGGAGAACCGCTGCTTCCATGGATAGGCACCACGAAGCCAAAGTCAACGCGAAGGGAGCGCTGCGCTGCAGACAACGAGAACGACAACGACGGACGTTCACCAAGCCAACCCAAAAGTCGTGGTCCATCGAGAGACACACACGACGACGTGCTTCTGGTACGTGCTGGGCATACGTTGTCACCGTCGACGCTTGGAAAGGCAACGAACGCACCCCGACAAGAACACCCGTCGCTGCAAACGAGCTAGGCCTCAAGCCCGACTCTAAAGCAAGCACCAACCACTTCGGAATGTCGTGCGTTGTAGATCTTGGTAAGCACATGACAGAAGCAGTGAGACCTCCATACCACTGTTACCGACTCGTATTGCTCGCGACACACCTCAACACGATACCTTGGTAGCAGCAGCGGTTGTTCGCGTCGCCCCCAGGCACCGAGAAAGCGGTGCATTCATTGATCCGGTACTCGTGCACGAGCCGCTGCTCATTCGGTTGACGCGCTCAAGCTAGCGGCATACGCACCTGAACACATAAACCTCGGCAACGACGCTGTTGCGTATGCAGGTACTCATTCTCGGAGGTGGCATTGCTGGTGTGACCTGTCTTGAGACGCTGGTTGCGTACGCGAACGACTTCACCACAGATACACACATTACTCTAGTGTCCGCGACGTCGGCGTTGCGGCGGGCGGTGCCCTATGGTCAACGCGGTCGACACATTGCCGCCTACAGACTCGAAGAGACCTGCAGCGACCCCTGGGAGGCGCTTCCATGGGTAGACGTTCTCATCGGTGTTGTCGAGCAGGTTCGAGTCGCTGAACGCTGCGTCTACGTGCGGGTCGGCGACGGAGCACCGCAAGGCAGGCACTCGGCGGGCGATGTTCTCCAGCTGCGCTTTGATTATCTCTGTATCTGTATGGGCGCAGTGCCGCGCATTCCAAAAGTCGTGCATCAAGCTTGTGCTTCCTCTCGTGTGCTGAACGAGCGCATCCTTACGCTCCGCGACACCGACTCTGCCGATCGGTTCCGCAAACTCCTGCAAGACCTGGTAGCGCGTCGACAGCGGCGGCGGGGGCGCCCCTCAGAGCCTCGCGTTATGATCCTCGGCAACGGCGGTATCGCCATGGAGCTTGCCTACGTGCTTCCAGAGGTCGCACACGTGGACTGGGTCATTCGAGACGCGCACATTGGTCATACATTCTTTGACGCTGCGCTGTCCAACGTGCTGTGGAGTTTGCCGACTGCGCGACGTCCGCGTCGCAGGCAAGCAACTGCATGGCTCCTGGCACCGACACGCTCGTTAGCAGTGGAGTCATCACCGCGCCGCGTTTTGGGTGCTGGACTCGGTCCCGACTGGATGCAAGGCGGTAGACGAGACCAGAAGCAAACCGTGCTGGAGCCTGCGCAGATACGAGTCGTACACGGGCATCAGCACTGGGACCAAACCTCATCTGTACCTGACGCTGACCTGCCGAATACAAACTCAGATGCGGAACAGGGTTCCACAAAGCGACTCTGCCTGCATCAGTGTTGTACGGTGACCTCCATTGCGTGGGACGCTCCGGGGAGTACCACAAGCGATGACGCCGCCGTTGATGCAAGCAGTCAAGCGTCGCTTACAGACGCTTGTCTGCGAGTCACGCTCTCGGATGGTGGAGTTGTCTTCACCGATGTTCTGCTTTGCGCCACTGGTGTTCGTGGAGCAGCGGTGCCCTCGTATTTTGATGCAGAGGGCCAGAGACTGCTTCGTTGGGTGCATCTAGATCCGCCATTGCCTTTTGGTACGCATTGTCGTCGTCGTTGTGATGGAGTCGACGACGCCAACAGCGCATCGGACCCTGGAGAGCATGGTGGATCTCCAGGCGCTTCTGGTACCGTCGTCGCTGCGGACACCGAGGACGCCGAGGATACCGGCATCGCTGTCGATGAGCACCTGCGGACGCATGCCAGGTACATTTTCGCTGCTGGAGACTGCTGTGTTGTGCAGGGCGCTTCGTCGTTGGCTGGTGACGAGACGCCACGCCTCTGGTTCCAAATGCGTCTATGGAGCCAAGCGAGGATGATGGGCGCTCGCGCAGCTCGATCCATTGTTCGTGACCTACTGGTGAGCCGGCCACGAACCTGGGCGCGCGCTCTCAAAGAGCAAGGTCCAAGCGAGGCCGGGCACCCCGAAGCGGCCGTCCTCGCACCGCCACAACCTGCACCACCAGCATCACTATCGCGGGATGAGGTCGCGCAGATGGAGGCGGCCGAGCCCCTCGACATGGAACTCTTCTGCCATGTTACTGAGTTCTGTGGAATCAAGGTGGTTTTAATGGGTCGGTATCGGCTCGAATGTGCGCAGAGCAATAACCCGGAGGTGCAGGTTCTCGAGTCATTGCGTCCCGGTGAGGATGGAAATCCCACCTCGTTGCAATACATTCGGGTTATACTCTGCAAGAATCGTCTCATGGGTGCCGTACTGCTCGGTGAGACGGATCTCGAGGAAGTTTACGAACATCTGCTACTGAATCAGCTGGACGTGGGCTTCCTGGGATCGGCGCTGGTGGACGGATCGCTCGACCTTGCTGACTATTTCGACTAGAATGTACATAGCTGTGCGCGGATGGCTCTCGAGGCGATGCCGTCCACCAAGCGACAGCCGCAGCGTCCATGATTGGTATGTTTCAAGCGTGGATCGGCGTCGGGGCCGAGCGGAGCCTCATGCTGCGGGCGTCTGCGTCGCCACTGCGGTGGACGAGCCAGCCTGCGAACGGAGCCACCGCTGCTGAAACATGCCAGAGAGCCTGCTAGGCTGCAGCTGGGCACCAGGAACTAGAGCGATGCTGCAGCTGGAGCATTCTTGGTAACAGCGATGCATTCCGAATATTGCCGCTCATGGAGCTCAACCAGCACGGACTGAGCGTCCTCAAAACCGCCTCCAGAACACTGAAGAGTGCGCGACCCGCGTGCAACTCGAAAAAAACTCGGCCTCGTCTCGTTGCTCGCACCGCTTCGGCTGCAGGTGATGATCTCCTGCGTCTCTAAGCAACAATAATCAGATACGGAGACGACTCGAACAGCTCGTGCGAACTCGTGACCATTCCAGATAAAACAATCGAGCAGCAAGGCTCGAACAGTTCACCGGAGACAGCACATTGAGCACCTGCATGATGCTCGACATCGCCCCGTGCAGGTAGCGCGTAGAAGAGCATAGTGCTTCGCAAAGGACTTGAAACGATCCAGGCTCTGACTTGTTAAGCGGGATCCCTGGAACAAGTACCGTGCTTGCTTGCTAGCTTCTGGAGTTCTCCTCGCAGCTAGGGTGACTCCGGATCTGACGCTCGCTGGAAATCCTTCGCGTTCACTACGGCGATCGGCAACGCACAAGTTCTGTATACGCCCGCTCTGCCACTAGCGTGCTGCATAAGTCGACCCCGCTGTCCATTCTATGACGAATAAGCGCTGCAAAAGCCGCAGCTGCCTACGGAAGCCGCTGTTGCGTTCATCCCCGCGACACCAAGTTGTCCCGCAGACGCAGTAGACGATTAGACGCGTACCACTGCGTCCATGACACGCTAAAAACACGCGTTTTCGTGATCAATCCCCATCGACATCCCACGTGTCCATGTACGCACAGCGCACGGGCGCGGACACCGCAGCCACTCGTTGGCCTCACGACGAGCCTGGAGCCTCGCCAGGACCCTCTGGCGTCTCTCCTTCCTGATCTTGGCCACCCTCATTCTCGGTTCGCTTGGTTTCCTCAATCACCTGCAGACAGCGCTCCAGACGTGACTTGGAGTTCCGTTCAACTCGTTCAAGAGTCTCAAGCAGTGTCGTCACATCCGCTTCGAACTGGGTGCGCCACTGCGCTAGCTCAGTGCGCTGCTGCTCCACTTGCGACCGTAAACGCGCATACTTCTGCTTCAATGCAGTTTCGTTGGCTTTTAGTTGCTCATGAACGTTCCTAAACAGTTCATCAGACGAGTCGGTAGTGCTCATGAGGGCGTCGCTTACGCGTCCGCAGTGCTTTGCAGGCAGGCAGGTCTTTGGAATGCAGAACGACGACGCCCTTGGGGCGGTATCGGCGGCTCGCGTAGGCCCACGAGGCGGTGTACCGTTCCTTGCACACCTTGACGTTTGGGCATAGATGGACCCGAAACATCCCAGAGATCGGTCCGGACAAAACAGAAGACGTCAAGCAGGGACCAAAGCTACCAGTGCAAGGCCTGCGACAGGAGGTTCTGGGACGCGGAACCGCGGCTGGCAGTCTGAACGCGGACGCTCAAGCGGAGCCCGGCCTCAAGCTCGCGAAAAGCGTCCAGTGAGAGCGTCGCCTGCTGGACCGGTCTCGGCCCTGGAAGTAAGCCCGTGGTCGGGACAAACCGTCCAGGTGCTGCTCGTTGGTGGGCGTTGCGTCATCGGAAAGCTGGTAGGGTGGGACACGCTGGCGAACCTCGTGCTCGAGGACGCCGTCGAGTATTTCCAGGACGCCCGCGAAGCCTCCTCCGAGCTTGTCGCCGCGCCAATCGGGTCAAGTAGTGCGCTGGGAATCGGGGTTCAGCCTCGAGAGGTATCCGCGATCTACACGTGTGCCGCGGAAGCGTGGCAGGCATCAAAGTCTAGTACGGAGCAGACGCTGCATGTACGTGCACTACTGCCGACCAAGTCGCCGATGAGTACGCACTGGCAGCGAAAACTCGGCAGAGTTGTACTTCGAGGGCCATCGGTTGCGACACTGGGCCTGCCTGACGCTGACGCGTAAGCTCCAGGGAATACGGTACGTTACCGGATGGTGGTTCATGGATTCTTGCTTTCGTGCGCACTATCTACTGGGCGGCTCTGTGTTTGTGCTTGAGGATCCCGTTCACCACCAGGCAAGGTATAGGGCGCTCTCCGGTTGACACAAACGCCACTTCGATGAAGCTCACAATGCGTTACGGGCGCCAAGCCGAGCGTCCGCTAGACAAAAGTACGTCGACTAATGCCGCACACCGACACGAGTCATCTGTTCGGCTGGCAAACAGTGCGGCGCTGCTCTCTCGTAGAGTTTACGAGCTCGCGCAACGGTGCCTGTCAAGTTCGGTTTTTTGAACAGCATCAAACCAACAGATTCCGACGATTGCACGCCTACTGCCGGTCATCAGGGAAACAGCCTCAGTACCGCACAGATGCAGCCAGTGAGCCGTGGTCGAGTTCGACGTGCGAGTTTGGTATCCGCATCCAGCCGGTTGCCTAGCTTGCTTCCGAGCGAGAAGCAACGACGAATCTTGGTATGGAGTTCATGGATGCGTACAACGATCCATGCCCAGCGAATCGACCACACACGCTGGTATCGAGATTCAACGCGAACACCACTGCTTCGTCCATTCATCATCTCGACGAGCACCTGCGCTCTACGAGGAATACATGAACACCGTGCTTCACCATTTGAGTCGAGATACGTCGCTCGCTGCTTGCTTACGGTTAAAGAACGTAGCGTTCCTCCATTGTCCAGAGATGAATGCAATGACTCTGGGTTCGAGTGCTTCCGCCGCTCCTGTTGTTGTTGTTGTTGCTGCTGCTGCTGCTGCTGCTGCCACGCCTCGGAATGGAGCACCAACTCACGAGCATTTGGGCATATCTCGAGGTTACAGGGCGCTTTCTCGCTCTCCTCTGCCTCTGCACAGAGCAATGCGAGAACAAGGCAACTCGAGGAAAGGCGACAGGGATTTCAGTCTCGTTTATCTCACGACAAAGTTTGCGATTTTGCCGGGAACGAAGATTTCACGAACAACCTGTTTTCCATCAAGATGACTCGCGACACTACTTACTTGTCGAGCGGCTGCCAGGACGGCATCTCGATCGGCGTCACTGGGAATCTCGAGTGTGCCGCGCAACTTGCCGTTCACTTGTACAGCATAGACGACCGTCTCCTGCACCAAGTATTGGGGATCGTAGTCAGGCCAAGGCTCGTAGGCCAATGAACGCGGCACCTGGGCATCAGCAGCATCTGAGTCTCGTTCGGTTCCATGGCGAAGCTGTTGCCGCCGACGAATTTCCTGCCACATCTCCTCGGCTACGTGAGGCGCATACGGCGACAAGAGCAAAACAAAAGGACCCAATAAGATATCTTTTGGCCAGGGCACCTCCCATTTGTAGGCATCGTTCACAAATTCAATCATCGCTGCGATGGCGGTGTTAAAACGAAGTGCCTCTGTATCCTCGGTGACTCGTTTGATGAGGCTGTGCAGCTGACGCAGCTGTGCACGTGTCGGCTGCACCTGATGCTCCGTTCGAGAGTCTCCGTTGCAGACCTCGTTTTTGTCGAAGAGCAGACGCCAAGCGCGATCGAGGAAGCGCCGCATCCCGTTGACGCCCTGAGTCGACCAGGGTTTAACCTGATCCAGCGGTCCCATGAACATGAGGTAGCATCGCAACGCATCTGCGCCGTACTGTTCCACAATATCATCGGGATTGACCACGTTGCCCCGTGACTTGGACATCTTATGGGCGCGTGCAGTTACCACTACACGAGGATCCGCCTTCAAAACGTAGCGATCATTGCCTATTTTCTCGACTTGATCGGCGGGTACGCGCACTTCCTCGAGGAGCGGTGCCTCGGCAGCGTGGCCGTTTGCAACAAGCTGCCGGCCCTCTGCCGCGGTTCGTTCACGACGACACGTGTACTCAACCTCACCGAGAATCATGCCCTGGTTCACCAGGCGTAGGAAGGGCTCGGGAGTGCTCACGACCCCCAAATCGTAGAGAACCTTGTGCCAAAAGCGCGCATAGAGAAGATGGAGCACTGCGTGTTCCACGCCGCCGACGTACAGGTCAACCGGCATCCAGTAGCGTTCTTTGACTGGATCAACCAACCGCTCCGCGTTGCTGTTGTCGATGAAGCGTAAGTAGTACCAACAGCTGCCAGCCCACTGGGGCATCGTATTCGTCTCGCGTAGGTAACGCAGTTGACCGGTCTGAGGATCACGAACTTCCACCCAGTCCACAATTTTGGCCAGCGGAGAGCGTCCATCGCCACTCGGACGAATCGACTCCGTGGTAGGTAACTCGACCGGGAGTGCTTGCTCATCTACGGGCAGCGGCTCGCCGGTCTCTGCGTCGAACACAATCGGGAAGGGCTCGCCCCAGTACCGCTGGCGACTAAACAGCCAATCCCTGAGTTTGTAGTTCACTTTTCGCTCCCCGATATGAAGTCGCTCCAGTGCTTCCGTGATCCGCACCCGGGCAGCCTCCACGTTCGTGCCTGCAACTTCCAGGCCGCCAAGCCAGTCTGGGTTCCAGTCGGTCATTTGATTCGTCGTTTCGTCGATGACAATCCGGATGGGCAAGGCAAATGTTTCCGCAAACGCTCGATCCCGTGCATCGTGTCCGGGCACCGCCATGATCGCTCCAGTGCCGTAGCTGCCGAGAACGTAATCCGCTACCCAGATAGGTATGTGTTCCCCGGTAACAGGGTTCTGGGCGTACCGCCCCGTGAAGACGCCGCTCTTCAGCTTGACCTCAGTGCCGGTGCGCTCGCGGTCGCTGCGTCGCAGCGCCTGCTCCACGTAGCGCTGGACTTGCTCTCGTTGCGCATCCGTTACCAACTCCTCTAGAATCGGGTATTCGGGAGCAACGACCAGGTACGTGGCCCCGGATATGGTTTCCGGCCGCGTTGTGAAAACGGTGATGCCTGGGGGCTCTGCGAGCGCGCCCTTGGCGGATGCCGACGAAGCATCGGACACCGTGGGGAACGTAACTTCGACTCCTTCACTTCGGCCGATCCAGTTTCGCTGCATCTCCTTCACGTTTTCGGGCCAGTCAAGTAGATCGAGATCTTTGAGCAGTCTCTCAGCATAGGCAGTGATACGCAGTACCCATTGACGCATGGGTTTGCGGATGACGGGATGGCCCCCGCGTTCGCTTCGCCCATCGATGACCTCCTCGTTGGCGAGTACAGTGCCGAGTGCCGGGCACCAGTTTACCGGTATCTCAGCCTGATAGGCGAGGCCCCTCTTATACAGCTGAAGGAATATCCACTGTGTCCACCGATAATATTCGGGACTGGTCGTATTAATCTCGCGTTTCCAGTCGTAGGAGAATCCTAGTGACTTGAGCTGCTTACGGAAACGCGTGATGTTGCGCTCGGTCGCCACTGCTGGATGAATTCCCGTATCGAGAGCAAATTGTTCGGCGGGCAGACCAAAAGCGTCCCAACCCATGGGATGAAGCACATTATACCCTCGCATCCGCTTGTACCGTGCGAGAATGTCGGTCGCGGTGTAGCCCTCGGGGTGCCCGACGTGAAGCCCGGCACCGCTAGGATACGGAAACATGTCTAGAATGTAGTACTTAGGCCGGTTCCAATCGACTTCATCTGGTGTGCGGAATATTTGCTCGCGTTCCCAGAACTCTTGCCAGCGACGTTCCACAGCGAGAAAGTCGTAAGCACCATCAGCTCGTGGTGAAGGTACGATGGATTCTGGCTCTCTATGGGCGGTTTCCGTGGTCCCCGGAGCCAAAATACTATCCTTGTTCCGTACCTGGGTGACTGTAGGGTCCGCGAAAGTACCTGATCCGTCTGTACCGCTTCCAGACGCTGCCGAAGCCTGCCATCGCCAGAACCCTGCGTGCTGTTTCCCCGGGAGTGCTTCGTTCGTCGGCCAAAGCCAGGGCCCGAGCCTCTCTCGCGACTTTGCGCAGCCTCTATATAAATTCGATCCAGGGGTAAACGGGCACAAGAAACTTCTGCGATAGGGAAACGATCCGCCTTCGGCTGGTACTTCACCAAGCCGCCGCAACCAGAAACGCGCGACGGAGGCGGCGCGTAACGAGCTCCAGGGAAAGAAGTTTTGACCAGCTGTAAAGCTGAGACAGCGGCGGTCCATCCAGACACTCTGGTTTCCTAGCTCTAGAAAGAGCCGCCCGACACTGCTTAGTACCAACGAGACTGCCTGGTGCAGAATGGAAGCGGCGTTGCCCCCAGCTCACCTGCAGTCTTGAAGCTTGTGGCTCGTCGTCCGAATATCAAAAAGGAGGATACCCCTGAGACACTGACCGTTCGCTACCACTTTCCCTGGTGACCGAAACCAGTTGTGATCCCAGACTTACCACAGTTTCCAGTAGAAACCGCAGTGCAGGTAGAAAATGAGATCGCTCGGAAAAGCGTGGGATTCGGCGTACGTCGGGCGGCGCTCGAGCGACGGCGGCGTCATCGGCGGGGCGGCACGGCAGGCGCAGGCGCAGGCGCAGGCGCAGGTCGACGTACGCCGAATACCACACCTCGCAAACAGGTACCAGGGCGAGCCTGTATCAATGCAGTGACAAGATAGACGCTCATGAGCGCATGATACAGCGAACTTGTATCCGTATGGTGATAAGGACAACACCTACGAGCGTGATCCAAAGCGAACCTTTATCCGTATGGCTGCAGACAGGATGCAATTTTTTCATCTCAGAAGGATGCATGCTACGAGTGTCCCTCGAATGTGACAATGCGCTCTGCAGACGCAGAAGATACAGTCGTCCTTCTCCATACGCGAAGGCGTCCGACGAACACCAGACCAGTTTATGAACAATGAGGGTAAGTTCTATCCAATGAATCTCGGGATGCTGGACACACTGAAGGCGCTCGCTACAACAACGCAAGCCTTCGCGCCACGATCGCTGCGCCGCGTCCCAATGCCACTGGGGTGTCTGGACGCGCCTCAGCGCAGAGCGAGTACGCATGACGCGCACCAGCCGTGGCTCTCGGGCGGGTTCTCCATCCCGATCGATGGTAGATCAACCAGGCACTGATTTGTTCGGGAACACTTGTCCGTGATCATTCAGACAGACAAGGAAGCATACGACGAATTGCAGATGCGCATGCTCCACATACTGGGAGCGTTTGTGCTCGTTACGGAGCCTGGCGGCATGCACGCATCCCACAAGCGACAAGGCTGCGAGCCGATCGCGGCTGCCGATGGACACGTGTCTGGCAGCCAGGTATCAAGGCCGCTGGATATCGTTCGAAAATGATGAAGTAGTTCCTCGATGGACATAAATGGACACTTCGATCACCGATGCCGGATCAGCCGATAACCGCACGCGCTGTGGATGCGCTGCTACGCCACCATGCATGCCAGAGACGGCAGCGTCTGTGCGCAGCACGGGACGTGTGCGGTGCGACGCGGATGTCTCTGCGGGTGTGCGCATGTACGGATGGACACCCTGCGGGGGCAGCGCGCGTGTATGTCGACGCGAGAGTGCGCGTGTGGGACGCGCCGTCTCAGTTCAGGGTGAAGGAAAGGTGAGGGTGCTTTCGTGGAAGGCGTGCGGGGTGGCGCGTTCGGGTGCGCGTTTGCGGGACCTGCGGGGTGGCATATTTGCGCGATGGGTTTCCTGGGGCAGCAGGCGCAGGCGGCGCACCCGCTTAATTGATTATGGGTGCGGCGCGCTTGCCCGCTGGCACTTGCAACGTTGATGGATGCTAGACGGGGGCGGTGGATGGGTTTCCTGGTTTGCGGCGCGCAGTGATATGCTAGGGTGGCAGTCACATAAGGGTGCGTTCGTATCTGAAGCGCGCCGGCTCTATCCAGAGACTCCGAGGCCAACTGGAACCTTTGCAAGTTGGGTGTGGCGGATGGTTTTCTGGTGCGCAACGCGCTCCGTCGATGCTCGCTCGGGTAAATGAATCCCAACGCGCAGACGCCTCCCAGCCCCTTTTGACCGGACACCTGCTGTCGGTATCTGTTTATTCCTACATATTTCGAGCCTGTGAGGCTGTGCGACAAACTTGTATCCCTTCATCTCCTCAGGTTTCTTCTGGAGCACCGCATGTCGTCTGGTATTGATGGCACTGTTAAGGGCTCGGTTCACGAACTCCGTCCGTGTATTGACGCTGATGGAACTCAGCAATCGAGCATGTCCTCGAAGTTGCGCCTCAGTTCCAATACAGTATCGTCGTCGTCCCGTCGGGGAAACACCTTTTCTCGCGTATCATTGACACCTTCGTCGCTTGCTCTTCCTCGCTCGATGATCGACGAGAGGAGAATTTTTTCGTTTCGCTGTCGAACTCCGCGATGACGGCCTTGTGGTATCCCCGATTTTCGTTCCCAAAACTTTCCTTTCGATAGTTTTTTCTTGAAAATGAATACTCTTGTTTATGCGGCTAGGTGAGCACCCATCTCCCTGGGGAAGAAGAAGGTCTTGCGGAAGAACGATGTCATGTGGCCCGGTGTGTAACGGTATGCTTAACACCTCAGCGCCTCGCCCAGTATAGCGATCACCACGTTTCACAATAGAAAAGTATCCATCGATGGGGAGGAACCATGGAAAGTATGGAGGAATCAAAAGCAGCTCTACTCCCCGATAGAGTCGGGAAAAACAGACCGACGTTCCTTTGCTTCATACCGATCACGACGTTCTAGGGACGCTGTAGTAGCTGGGATTTCGGTGCAGGATACCGTGTGTGAACTAGGACTTTATTGCGACAGTATCCGACTGTTTTCAAGACCAAACGAACATGCTGTTGCGAAACAGAGATGCCTGTGACGCCTATTATCATCGCTTTTGCTTTCTGTAAAGTGATCAACGTGTCGTTTTCTACCACAGATCGCAAACAGTCTGTAAAAATATCGGATTTTGGCGCGAAGCGCGTCTACTTAGATCTTTCAGCGTTCCTCAACCATCACGGTACCATCGTATGACTGACATGAAGTACGAACGCATTCTTCTCTGCGCTGTTCAGTCATACATGTATCCTGCATGCAATTCGTCTACGATCTATACGGTACGTTGCATCGTGATTTGGATCTCCTGCCATACACTGCAGAAAAGCATTCGAGTGGAATCAGCTGGTCTGGAATAAATTTCAGTTCAAATACCCGAATAAAACAAATCTCGAACCCGCGCAGTGCGAAAGGTCGAGCATCCTCGGCTCCATGCCGAACCCGGCAGTGGGCGGAGGCGATAGGCGAGTCAGCCGGCCGCACCAAGTTCAGTCGTGGCACGCTGGCCCCCGCTGGCGATCCCCAAGTTGCCTCAAGCGCTCCGATAACTGCCTAACTGTCTCGAGGCGCAAGTGCCAAGCGCTGTGCAGTGCATTCGCTGACCTTGGGAAAAGGGGTTCCGCTCGACGAGCCATGCACCCGTGAACACCGGAACGCGTCGCTTAATCAGCGGTAGCATCCGGATGGGTGCCCCTGGGAGCAGTCTCATACCTGTCCTTAACTTGACATCTAGTGAATCAAGTAGATCTTATGGACATATTGGACTGGGGCGCTAGTGCCGCGCGCAGGCTCGGCACCGACACGCCAGTATTCCCCGTGAGCACGTTGTTGCCTGCGCGGACGCGTGGCGGCTTGCCTTGTGCGCCGGACCACAAACTGCGTCCATGACCATCCTGTACAAAGACCCCGTTGCCACTTTCGGGAAAGACTATGTTCTGCCCCTGTCATGGTTGCGGCTCTTTTTTTACTGGCACGGTTCTCTGATGCAGCGGCTGCTGTTCGAAATAATCTTATGGCTAGCGCTGGCGGCGCTCGTGATCGCGCTCAAGCTGTACGTTGCGACGTGGACTCATGCGTTTCTCCTTGTTTTGGCGATTTTGGCGAACGTGCTATCTCCAATTCTCACGTTTATGCTGGGTTTTTACACGAGCACGATATACTCGCGCTGGTGGGACGCGCGCGTCTCCATGTGTGGCACCGCGCAGATGGCCGCCTACAACATCGCCATGGAGATGACTCAGTTTATTTACAGCGACAAGGACCCGATAACAGCTGCACGTCTCAAACAGCGAATTGTGCGTTGGTGCAACCTCGCGTTTGCGCTCGTGTTGCGTGAGATTATAACCGATGGAACGCACCTGTACAACTCCTTTGATTCCCTGGAGCAGCTCGGCATGATGACGGCAGAGGAGCGCCAACGCATTGAGCACGACGTGGACCGAGTTCGTTTCACGCTGCCTCTGATGTGGGCGGGACACACGTTTACGCGCCTGCGAGACCACGAGCCGAACTACGGAGTGACGCATTGGGTCCACTTGCAGCTCTCACAGCAGTTGGCAAGCCTTCGTCAAGGCCTCGGAAGCATGTACGTTTTTGTGACAGTGCCAGTGCCTCTTATGTACCGGCAGCTTGTGAGTGCCGCTGTACGAATCTATATTCTCGTTGTCGTCCTGCTTGCTGGGAACCTGCAGCTTTTGGGTGCCACCAGCTCGGGGACGGATTCCGCCAACTACAGTTGGACCGATATGGTCTACATTGTGAGCGTCTTCTTCATTTATATTGGTTGGTTGCACGTTGCAGACGAGCTCGCAAATCCGTACCGAATAGCCCCAGATGGCCTCGATTTTGACGATTATCTCTCGAGTCAGCGAGCGGACCACGCCACTATGGTCGACGACAACAGTATCCGCTTGCCCACAGTGGATTCCATCAACGACGAGCCCCTACCGGGCGATCCGAACTGGAATTGTCCGTTCGTGTGGCGTGATCACGCTTACGAGGCGGTCCCAGGCTGGAACAAGTACAAGGAGTATATTCGGACCGTCAAAGCAAGTCGACAAGACGGCCATGCAAAGACATACGACTTTTTCCAGCGGGTGCGCCAACGCCTGCTCTCGGATGAGGAGACGTTCGCAACCGACGATACCACAGCTCCGACGCAGACGGACTGGGCCCAAAGCATCGGACTGCAGGGCAACACGTCACTACGTGGCACCACCCGATGTTGGACCGGACCTCCCGAAAGGATCCGGTACTACGGATTCTGAACTCGTCAAGCGCATCGCCTGGCCAAGCACAATATCCGCGCAAACAAGCGCAACCAGCACGGTCTGGCTTCGATAACGTTCCTCGCCTGCGTGCGGTGGGTGCTCCGCAGGTATCCCGCACCGAAGAAGCGCCCCCGTGCCTCCGCACATGTCGATACGGAGCACAGATACGCCCTGCGTGCTAACGCAGGACGCATTACCGACAAGTCAGAACGGAGCGTGTGTGGCGCTGATCCCGAATCCGAACAGGCGTTTTCGTTTCACGATGACGGAGCGGTGACACTAGCTCGACGAGCGTGTACGTCGGCTTCAAGCAGTGCGCACTGAACCACGTCTTGCTCCAGTCACGTTCCCGTCCCGCTCGAGCTGCACGATCCACAGAAGCGTAGAATCGAGGAGCTCGCTTGGACGCCACTGCTTCAAGTCCATCTCAGCGGTGTCGCTGCGATCGGTGCTATGATACCATCGAGACATCCAGCGCAGCGTTGTCTTCGCGTCGCAGGCGTTGGACCTGCTGCAGCTGCTGTTACCTCGCGCACTGGTCTGGAACGACCTGATGGCGCTCCTGCCGAATCATCTAGCAGAACGCAGCAGGAATGTACCAGGAATGTCGCTCGAAAGCGTTCACCATAACGACGGAAATCTCGTCAACGCGAGAGCATCGCAGCTGCTGCCTGCACGCCAGTGACGCTGCGTTTCCGCAAGTGTGACGCCACACAAGACACCAGGACGCACTCTATGAATATTCACCAAATATGACTTTTGCATTCGCAGCATGCGCTGTAAATTGAGCTTCTACCTTTGATCCAGAGTCTCCGACGATGTCGTCGTCCCTGGGTGCCTCAAACGCGATCGGCTTGTTCCGCACCAAATGTTGGGAGCGGCGTAACTCCAACTCGATAAGGTCCCGAAGTGAGGCATCACACCAGGCGTCCAGCGGACCCGCCCGACTGATCGCCTTTTCCGGGTCCTCGAACAAAGCGGCGAGTTGTCGAACACTGGAAACAAAGTGCTCAGAGAGCATACCCACTTCCCAGAGGAAACTCGCAGAGGCGTTGGAGCGACGCGGATCTGGCTCATCGGCCAAAAACGGGTCGTTCGTCAGCCCGGGCGTCGAACTAGCGCACTCATCTCCGGCTCGTTGACCGCTGGATCGCTCCCAAAACACGAATCCATATGCAAGGCGTTTCGTGGGAGTCGAACGCACCACACCGGTCCCTGATGCCTCAAACGAGGCCTCGCTCTGATCCCGACGACGTGGTGTCGAGTCCGAGCAGCTGCTTTCGATGACAGGCTCCCTGTCGGGTTGCTGTCGCTTGAACCACGACTCGAGCAGCAGACGCGCACTCGTATGGCGATGCACGAGTTCGAGCGTCAAGCGAAGCGCCCACAGCGTCAGTGTTGCATCCCAGCTCTGCAGCGCTATCCGGGCAAGGCGCTTCGTATAGGCGCTGATGAGTGCATGCGGAAGGTGGCTAGACGTCAATAGCTGCGTGACAGCGCGCAGCACTCGCCCCCTTGTGGCCGACTCACATGCGTTCAGTCGCAGGAGCGTGTGTACGTCCAGCTTGGAATACACTTGCTCATATATGTGTTCGTACTCGAGGCCATCGTGGCGCATGAGAAACAGCAGCGGCTCCAGTGCTGCGATCCCATACACAGAACGACCGGCAATCGCCTCGCGAAAAGTCTCCGCGAGAAAGTCACCCAGTCGGAGCGGCTCTGCGATACAATGGTTCGGCAGGAGGTTGTCTACAAGCTCTCCGAAAACATCGAGGAGGACGGGTGCAGACAAATCGATTCCGTGTTCACCGGTCGACAGCAGCGCCAGCATCGCATCCGTGAATGCCTTTCGGGATGCTTTCAGTAGTCGCTGCTGCCGGTCTCCGCGTTGCGATGGCGTCGTGACTCGCCGCAAGACCTCACTGAGCAGCTGCTGGTGCTGCTTTGCCACATCCTTGGTGAGTAGTCGCCCAATGGGCTTCAAAACGAACCGCCATGCATTCTCCGCACGCGCCGCCAAGTCAAGCGCAGCCCCGGGTGCAGGCGTCGAGTATACCGAACTCGATTCACGTAGCAGGTGCGCTACTGCGTGGAGCGTATGCAAACGCAGGTCGCAAAACGCTGCGGCACACCCCTGCACCAGGACGGTTTGCCAACGTGCTGCGTCATCGATGCTGCTGTCCAAAAGTTGACGCACGAGGACGTGCCAGCACTGGGACCAGCTCAGCAGTTCTAAAGCACAGAGACCGCCTGCGATGCTGAAAACGAGCGCCATATCCTGCTCCGTGCCCAATCGAACAACCACTGGCGCTATCCGTTGCAGTGACGCTTCGAGCGCTCCGACTACCGCACAGCTGGGCTTTGACGTTGGCTTTTCCGCTTGTACTGAGCGCTGCACCAGGGTCTGCAAACAGCAGAACCACTGTGATTGCAGATGCAGCACCTCTTTCCAGTTCTCCTCCATAAAGTCCTTCTTTTCAAGCAGGCTTCTTACAAGAGTACTGGTGCGCTCGAGAGCAGTGCTCTGAGACACCAGCTGGGCACCGGCGACGCGGTGTAGCTCCGCTCCGCACCAGCGCAACTCGCGCAGAGCTTCATAGTCTTGCATCCGGCGCACGAACTCACCGTATAAGCCGCGTAGCGGAAGCCGAAACGTTATGATCTGGTCACAGTGACTTGGCGTACGCTGCGATGAACCCCCCAGTGCAACACGAACGCTTCTGAGCGAGCATGTGCAAGCCGCAGAGGCATTCGGTGCCGAGCGCAGCGCTCAGCAACGAGGCTCGCTGCTGGACGCGCGAGTTCGAACAGAACTAGGGGCGGCCTGCACGAAACTGCACGTCTACGAGAGTGATTTCAGCAGGACGTCGCAGCATCTGGATAGGCATCTGCACGTAAATGGCGAATTGTTTCGAAGTTTACCTACGAGGCTGCTCGTAATCGAGCGTAAACTCTCCAGGACAAGGCGGAGTCTACGAAGAAAACCTGCACGTAAACCGTGACTTGCACGGAAGTTTACTGAATACGCTGGGCTCGATGACGAGACGAATACAAAGCAGGAGAAACAGGTCTTCCAGGTCCACTAATGCAGTTTGTAGCTGCTCAGTTTCAGGGGTTGTGTGCGTGGTCGCCTCCGCGGAAGCACTCGTTCGCCGCGTCGTAAACGAGGAACGAAGCGTATGCTGTGAAGGCCACCTGCATATTGTACAGGGCCCAAAATTGGCTTTACTTGCGCTTGTGCCTTGAACTCAACTTTGATGGACCAGATCTTTGTGGGCAAACGCTCGTTTGGACAGAATAAGTCGTGGAAAGCACGTCCATAGGAGATACTACAGGGGTATGGAGCGAACACAGGTCTTGCAGGCCGTGCGGTCCAGCACTGGCCTCAAAGTGTCCTCTCTGTGGGAACTTGGAGGTTCGTGTCCCCTGCGGGCGACTTGTCAACGAAAAAATCACACAAGCGGCATCATCCGGAATCCGTCTGCGGAAACGCAAGGTCTATGCCCCCGCTCACCTGCTTTGATCCATCAATTTGACTCTGTTCTATATTCGTCGTCTCAAATAATGGTGTATCAGTTGCCGAGGAAAATCATTGACGATGTATGTGTACGGTGCACCAATGTCGTTCGGTAGCTGAATCGTACCATACCAGAGCCTTGCTCCGGGCGAGAAACGAAGGCCGCCCCCTCGCTCCTGGCCCTGATTTTTTATAAATACTCTTCTGTGTTTCAGCACAATGCATGGATAGGATACGAAATAATTCCCGAAAGCTCGCGCCACACAAAGCCACCGAACTCTTCGGAGGCACGAGACATTTCCGTACGCTTTTCAAGGCTTTGAGATATCGGTGCAGAAGTTGCTTTCTCTCATGGATGGCGGTGGACTCAGATTGTAGCACGCGTCGCACTTGCGACTCGCTCGCCATCTGACACACAGTCAGCTTACCGTACACCAGCTCGAGCATCCAACTTTATTTCCGTCTCTTCTTTGCTACCAGTTTCAGCATGCACCTGTGCTCGGGATGCGTGCACGCCGTCCCGAACTCAGGGCTGGGGTATCGTTGAGGATCGGTTCCTGCACTCGTTGCACGCTCTGGTCGAAGAGTAGGAGCGCATTCATGCGCGTTAAACCACGTCCAGCGCCTTAGGCTTCCGCGAAACAGCGCGACGTGTCGATCATTTCTCGTTCGAACACATCTGACAAGTTGGCGCATACACGATGGCTGCCTCCGTTCAACCGAATCGGTTTCCGACCCCGCGCGCCCGTGTGTACTGCTGCCAAAGACCGCCCGCAGGAGACGTTTTGAGGCTCATATGATCTATGAATCAAGCGTGCAAAGCATGCCCCCGTCTGCTCGATACGGTGTCCAGAGCGTCGAGAGTCGGGCCCGGACGCCGTCGTTCCACTTGCTGGTATCCCTGCTGGCGAACGTTATGCCCGAATCTCGATAATCCCCTGCCCTGGAAAGCTTGAACAGGGTCAGCTTCCTTCCGAGTAGGTCTTTGGCGCCGGCCTCCTCATTCAGAGGTTAAAAATCGGGCGTGACATCCTGCAGCTCCCGGGTCCACGCCGACCCCGAAGTCTGTCTCTTGATCTACCCTGAACGGTAGACAATGAGCTTCGTTACTCGACTGTGGCCTAGGTTTCAGGAGCTTTACAAAGTGCACACAGGTGGATATTCTGTCCGTGATTATCGTCACTGTTATCGTCAATGAAAGAAACAAAGTCCCACGAGCAAGCAGGGTGCGTGAATACCCACCCGTAGACGCGTCCCTGCCCTGTTCGACCGCGACCCTGCTATCGATTTAGGTTTATTCATGCACAGAACGAGCCTGAGAGGCTGCCTCACAAACTTGGATCGCCTCAGCTCCTCGGGTCTCGTCTCCAGCACCGTGCATCTCATGATATTGATGGCGGCGTTGAAGTCTCGGTTCACGAACTCTATGCGTTTATTGCCTCTGGTTGAGCTCACCTTTAAAATAGTTGTCAGAACGCGAGCCCTCTTTGCCACCAAAGGGACGTCATCGTTCCGTTGACCAAATACATTTTCTCGCCGATCTCTCATCGTCATCTTCTTCGCCTTTTTCTTCCTGGTCACTTGCTCTTCTTCGCTCGATGATCGGCGAGAAGAGGATTTGTTTCGTTTTTTACTCAGGCAGCCAGTGATGAGGGTCCTCCTGGATCCCCGCCTTGCATGTCGATACCTGATCCTTAGATTTTTATTTTTGGAAATGAACCTACTTCGAACGAATCCGCTATAAACCGCGAACACGCATTTGATGACACGCACCGGAGGAGTGGAACACAATTTAGGTGAAAAACTATGACAAGAAAACTTGAACGAACACCTCCAATGCACTTCACAATGCTGCTCAATTCCATCATAGTTGCGTATTACTTCAGACGCTTCAACGTTCCACTAGCTCAAGAACAGTCCCTCCGTTCGACATAGAGATTAGTTGTTTGTCTGCGGGCAAAGAGTTCTCGGCATACTGCGCCTATCGCGGGCGCTTGCCGCGATGCTGATTGCGCCGCCACTCAGGCAACCCGAAACGCCATGCATTGCTGCGTGCCGAGGCGTCATCTCGGAACCGCGTGCATGCACATGCACTGTAGACGATCCTGGACAACTGTGTACAGTGAATATTGTTGCGTAACTTTTCTTCGTTGCATCTCCGATTCTTAAATCACTGTTAATTTCTGGTTTCTCGGAGACGATTCGCTAGACGGTTGCAGTGATACCTGTTTTGATGTTCGTTAGTATTTTCACTTCACCACTTGTTCAGCAAGCACGTTTACAGTACCAGTGCAAGCAGTGTTGCCGTGTTCTGTACTCTGGCAACACCGTGCAGCAGCAGCAGCAGCAGCAGCGTACCGTCCTCGGTGTTGCTTTCTGGAGAGCGTCTCTGCAGCGTGGACAGCTGACCCAGCTTGTGAAAGGTAGCTCGCGTCTGAAAATGAGTCAGAGCAACCCAGCGGACGTAAAAGACTGGCGAGCTCTCACTGAAGAAGACTGGAAAGCACGTCTCACGCCGATGCAGTTCGAGGTAGCGCGACGAGCTGGCACCGAGCGGCCTTTTACCGGCGAGTACTGGAACGAAAAACGCACGGGGATATATCGGTGTGTCTGCTGTGGAACGCCGTTATTTTCCAGCGAAACAAAGTTCGACAGTGGCACGGGCTGGCCCTCGTTTTATGCTCCCCTGAGCAAAGAGGCTGTCAAAGAGAGACGGGATCTATCGCATGGTATGATACGTACGGAGGTGCTTTGTGCGGTCTGCGACGCGCACCTGGGGCACGTTTTTCCTGATGGTCCCAAGCCGACCGGGCTTCGCTACTGCATGAACTCTTACTCCTTGAAGTTTGAACCCAAGGAGTCTTCATAACATGCACCAAATGATAGGGCTTGCTAGCGTAGCCTCGGCGAACCAGCGCAGACGACAGAGATTCGCCTCTAATGGCAATGATGCCCGCATCTCACCGAGGCTTGTGGTGTACCTGTCCAGAGTGCTGGAATCGCGCCGAGCGTAGGTCACAAAGTCAAAGACAACTGAGCAGAATCGCCACGAGATGCACCCACCGATTCGTTCCACGTAACGTCAAAAGCGTATACAACTTTTACGCGTTTTGCGGAAAGAAAACGATCGTATGTCATACAGATTGACTGGCAAAATGAATCAATAAAATCGTACCAGCATCTTCACTGGCAGGGTCAGATCGGTGGCTTTGGAGCGTCAGCGGCATGGCGGATGCATGCGGCGAAGCCTCGGCGCCTCGCTACTGTGTGCCAGCTGTCTGCTCTGAGAAGCCAGGCATTCGCTAGGTAGATGACGTCACTCGGCACGTACTTGGCGTTCTGAAAGCGTTGGTCATTGTCATCGTCGGTGCGCATGGCGCACATGTTTGCCGCTCAGCATCCACAAACTCGTTTCATCAGAATATTATTCGCGCAGCACTAAAATTCTCCTTTTGGGAATCCTCCACGCGAAGCGCTCAACACGAGGAAGATGCATCCCGCCTGCGCGGTCCAGCTGCTTTCCATCTTTAGAAGCATGCCAAAGCTCCGGACAATGTTCATAATACACTGCCGCCGCCGTCAGCACTGCTGCTATCCACACCAAGTCCGCCGAAACCCGAACTGACCAGCCCGCTTGGGCAATGTGAGGCCATGGGCGCTGGCCCGTCGTTGCGGTGACTCACGTTCCAATGTTGTGAAGCTCCCGGGTGTACATGCACTACGTTGGACCACGCCGATGGATTTGATGCTGCATGTTTCTTTTCTGGCTCGGTAAGCAGCGGCTGTTTCTCGGGATAGAATCCCCAAATAATGGAATGAGGTGAAGGCGCGGTGCTGCACTTTCGGCGACGGATGAGATTGTACCAAAAACTGTACCAGTAGGGAACAGGCTCGTAGCTGTGATCTCGGGTTATAATCGGCAAATACCAGCCCTGCTCTCCTGGAAGCGGCGCTTCCTGAATCACCTCGGGTTTCGGTAAACGTTGACGCGTCGAGTCGGACATGGTCATCACATCGCATCGTTGTCCGGAGAGAAGGTCATCCAAATCGAGTCCATCCGGGGCTATTCGGAAGGGGTTTGCAAGTTCCTCCGCTACATGAAGCCAGCCGACGTAGATGAAAAACAGCGCTGCGATGTAGACGAGATCGACCCATCTATCGTTGCCGCGTTCTTGAAAGGTTCCAGACAGCAAGTTCAAATCACCTACAAGCAGAATCATGCTAATAACGTACATTCGGACAGCAACCTCCACGAACTGCACATAGAGAAGCGGCACCGGTGTGTTCTTCATGAGATAGCATCCACCGAGACCCTGCCGCAAGTAAGCCAACTCGATCGACAGCTGCATGTGTACCCGATCCGTAATGTGAAACTGGTGATTATTATCCCGGAGGCGCGTAAGCATATGACCCGCCCACATAATGGGCAGCGTGAAGCGCACACGCTCCACGTCATGCTCCAGGCGATAGCGCTCCTCGGGGGTCACCAAACCGATGCGTTCCATGCTATCAAAGGACTCGAAGAGATGCGATCCACCAGAGGTGACGTCCATGAGCATGATTCCGAAAGCGAGGTTCATCCAACGGAGAAACCGCTGCTTAAAGCGGGCGCAAAGTTCCGGATTCTCATCGTCGTAGACGAGCGCGTTCAACATGAAACCGCAGTTGTACACTCCACCTTGCGCGGTCCCGAACATGTTCGTGCGCGTGTACCACCAGCGGCTGTAGATGGTGCTGGCATAGAACCCCAGCAGGAGCGTCAACACGCCTGAAAGAATGTTGACAATATTTGCAAAGACTTCTAGAAGGAAGCGTGGCCACTCTGCAACGTAAAGCTTCATGGCAATAATAAAAGCAGCGAGACCGAACAGGATGCACACTTCGAACAGCAAGCGCTGCAAGAGGCTTCCGTGCCAGTAGAGAAATATGCGCACCCAGGAAAGGGGAAGAACGTAGTCCTTCCCCAGGTTCGCCACGGGATCCATGTACATAATCGGCATGGTGCCTATTGCAAGGTGTGTCGGGCGGACAGCCTGACGCGAGGACCGCCCCAGCAACCCTAGACTAGGTCGTTTACAACAAGCACTGGCTGCGCGCTCGAAACGACTGCAAGGTGCAGGTGCTGCGCTGCTGTCGAGGCCACGCGCACGGACGTACAAGACATACATTATTGTCCCTAAAAGTACATCTTCTCTCGCACGAGCGATTTCCCACAGGGGTGTGTAGATTCGTTTACACACTCGAAGGAATCCTTGACTGCGCGAGGGTTGACGGCATCAGAGAGAGCGTCCATTCCGCGGCAACAGATCTTCAAGCCCCAACAACAACCACGCGCGCTTTTCTTTGGAGATAACCGTCGCTTCGTGCAATCCTCCGGGGCCAAGTGCTTGATAGGGGGGCCCACAGTGAGCCTAGAGCGCCGGCGCTGCAGCATGAGCGACGCCGACGTTTGTGCTGTGACCAATCCCTGGTAAGGTCCGAGGCAGCGCAACGTCGATGTCAACTCTATGGTATGTCTCCGGGATTGCTTGAATGAGCGCGAATCCGTAACTTCGTGAGGATTCGCTTCGGTACTCTTTGCGTCCATCGAGTGCAAAGCACCGCACACAAGACTAGTGTCCGAGAGCGCTCCGAAAATTCCATTTTCGGAGGCATCAGAAAGAGCTGGGCGCACGGTGGAAGCGTCCAACACTTCCCGTGTTCCATCATTCGCAGAACATTTTCCAAAGATTTCCATCATGCACACCAAGATCCCCGGAATCAGTGCAGGTGCAATCCGACTCTGAGATCCTCGTCGCCGACGGGGCTATCAGATTAGAATGGAATACTGAACTGCATGCTCGATTCCTGCCTTGCGGATTCATTCCCGAACTTTTGTCATGTATACAGCTTCGATATCTGTAGTCCATGAAAGAGCTCTTTCGGATGCGAATGCGTCTTCGGACTCGCAATCGTCCATTTCGGAGTGACTCCATCGGCGCTGTGCTGCTCGAACTCAAAAAGTCACCGAAATCAAGACGATTCTCGACGCAGCAGAACGACGGTTCGTAAAATAACTGGTATCGTTATCCGACGCGCACGAACAAGCCTCCACTCTTGTCTGTTCCCTAGGTGTAGCATGCTCAGATCACGCAAGCTCCTAGTTTGCCGATCTTTCTGTTTTCAGGCAAATCGTAGAGACGGCAGTTGGCGCCGCAGGGATGGCGATCAGGAAACTCAACGTTGTCACTTGACGGCTTGTTCACAAGATGGTGCCGAAAGCTCACTACACTTTTCATGTCTAATAATTGATTCCGTTCGAGCGACACATCCCGCTCTCTTCATGCCTATCGACGAGACTGAACTCGACAGCAGCCGCAGCAGCCGCAGCAGCAGCATGCTTCTGACGAGGTATGATCCCAGAGGCGTTCGTGTCTTCTGCTTCCATGGAAAAGCTTCTTGGACTCGGACGTCGATCATCGCAGCGACCGCTTCCATTTGCGAGCGGATCACCGGTTTGCACGAAGGGAGCGTAGACGGATCGAAATAGCTCGACTTGTCCCCGAGCCCGTATTTTCCTTCCGGTACTTGTTTCACCTTGGACAACACCGCGTTCCCCAAATCGTCTAAAGAATGGAGCAGCATGCGCTTGTGCGTGCAAGGGACGGAGCACTCGCCGGCGTATTGTCCAGAACGGGCCCGTGATCGTTGGGTACGGCACCGGGTACGGAAACGGAGTAGCGCATGCTGGGCGATGCTTCTCCACTCGGAAAGGGCTTGTGCCAAGCGAGGCATTGTTCATTTATGCGCCAGGGGGCAGCGATCAGAGGAGGCATTGCGGGCGTATTGGAACACCTGGCCACAGCCAAGCGTCACCGCTGCGAATGGCGCACCCATTCTGTCTACGAAGACGGTGGAACTGGCAAGCGAAGCGCAGGTCGCAGCTTGAACCTGTTCGTCAAGTGCGCCAACAAGTACCGGAAGCGGGTGCATTGGGACGTCAAATCTGCCATCAACATCCTTCGGCAGCTGATAACGGAGCTGGAGCGACACGAGAGACCGGCATATTTCAAGCCGGATGCGCCATAGAGGAACAAAGAGCAGTCGTAGATACCGCGGGCAAAGGCTGGTGTCGTAGGTGAGAACTGGATGAGACCCAGTATAATGATTACATATGCCCGAGTTTGTTAAGTGGAACGTTTCAATTTATTCTGAAATGGACGTAGGGCATCGATGTCCTTCATCAAGCACCTTGTGCAGCACAGAAAATGAACCAGAATTGTTCGCTTGTGTGTCGAGGCGGCAAACTCCTCCGCACAATATCCCCGGCCGAAATGCTCTCACACGGGCTCAGAGACATCTCTCTGGCATTGACATCCGATGCTCCAGGCTAGCTCGTACTAGGTGGCGCACTCTTCTAATACGAGACAGCAGACATGCACGTGTGTTGCACCGAGCGACAACGCGCCGGCGACGTCCTTCAGTAGCCCAGGTACCTCACTGGGGGTTTCTTCTTCCGACGTGTGCCGTCTGCGAAGCCGTCCCGACGATCATCGGTTTCATCGCTATCACCGCGTAGGTCGTGCACAAACCCCCGGAGGCTGGCCATCACTTTGTGGGCTTGGCGTCGCAGTTCAGCAGCGCGAAGCTGCTCGAATGCATCGTAGGTTCGCGAGCCGCTCGTTCCGACATCCCGCGGTCTACGCCGCAAGTGCTGAAACTTTTGCCATCCAGGAACCGCCTCATACCGGTGATCGCGCATAATTGGAAAGCAGTTGAAACCCTCCTCGCCGGGAAGTGGCTCCTCCGCAATAGACTCAATGGTGGGCAGTTTGATGCAGTGGTCATCCACCATCGTGGCAAAATCTACGCGTTGACTCGACAAATAATCGTCAAAGTCCAGGCTGTCAGGCGCAATGCGAAATACATTGGCAAGCTCGTCTGCGACATGCAGCCAGCCAATGTAGATGAGAAAAACAGAAAGCACGTAAATAATGTCCAGCCAGCGATAGTTTCCAATATCGATGCTGCTGGACGTTGCGCTCAATAAATTCAGATTTCCCGCGAGCAGTATGACACAAATCACGTAGATGCGCACTGTTGCGTTCACGAGCTGGCGGTACATCAGCGGAACTGGAACCCACATGGGCACATATAAATAACCGAAATATCCGCGCACGAGCGCAAGCTGCTGCACAAGCTGAAGATGAACGAATTCCGTGATGCCGTAGCGGTGGTTCTGATCACGCAGGCGAGAAAGCAAGTGCCCAGCCCACATGACTGGCATCGTCCACTGGGCTCTGTCTACATCATTCTCCAGCCGGTATCGCTCCTCAGGTGTGATCAAGCCAATACGTTCCATGGCCTCAGTGGTGCGGTACGCATGATCACCGCCAAGAAAAACATCGCGAAGCACCATAGCGAACGGAATGCAGATCCACCGGACAATGAGTTGCTTCAACCGTGCAGCGCCGATAGGGTCGTTATCATCATACACGAAGGACGTCATCTCGAGAGCAATATTGTAGGCAGCGATTTGGCCAGTGCCACACATGACAACACGAACACTCCACCAACGGGAATAGATTGTGCTAGTATAAAACCCCAGCATAAAGGTAAGAATTGGCGAAAGGACACTGACAAGTGCTGCGAGAGTATTCAGGAAGGGTATCGGCCATTCTGCAACGTAGAGCTTGAGCGCTATCACGAGCACTGCGGCACCGATCCAGGAAAGAAGTTCAAAGAGCAACCGCTGGACCAATGAGCCGTACCAATGAAAGAAGACTCTAGTCCATGAAAGGGGAAATACATAGTCTTTCCCGAACGTGGCTATGGGATCCTTGTAGTAGATTGTCATCTCTGGGAAACAAACGTGCCGCGTACCAGGTAAAGGCGTCGCTGGCCTGTGGAAACCTCTTCGGGCTCTTCAAATACGCACAAACACCGCTTGGGTGCTTGCGCAACTCTGATTTGTGCTTTGGTCGTCGAACGGGGACTCGCTCGCTCTTGAACAGCAGCCGCACTCGAGCCGTGTGCACGTTTCCAACCTACGAAAACGCGAACTCCCGCTTCCAGCAGGTATCCTGATCTTGTTGCCTCTACGGTCAGGACGCGCAGTAAGCCTGGTTCACGTACGTACCGACTATTTACCGGTGATAGTCGTCCGATCGCAGTGAGACCTACGGCGTCCCGTGTGTTTCGCAATCTGTCTGCAATAGCCGTTAGACAACCTGTTTATGGTTGCTTTGTGGCTCTGTGGCAAACACACACGCCGACACCGAACACTTTCCAAAAGTCGAACGACGCCAGCGCTGTACAGTACTGGCGAGAAGCCCGCCCTAGACAAGAAGTCTCCAGCTGACGTACGGACGCCTCCCAGTCTTCATGGACCGGGCACCTACTACTGCTTCCAATTGTTTCTCATATAGTTCCACTTTGGGAGGTTGCCCCCACAAAATTCTCTCTTGTCAGCGCTGGAGGTCTGCTTTCCAGCACCGCACATCTCCTGATATTGATGGCGGCATTAAAGTCTCGGTTCACAAACTCCATACGTTTCTTGCCATCACTGGTTGTACTCACTAGTGCGAGTAGCCCTCGAACTTTCGCCCTTGTTTCCATTTGCTCCTCCGTCAGCGGTCCGTACTTTTCTATGTCTTCAGGGCTCCGCTGGCACTTTTCCATCCCGACCCTCTTAAGTACGCACCCCAGTTCATGGTGTGTATAGGACGTTCGGAACCCATCTATCGGTATCGTAACAAAACGCTGTGCGCACTCCCTGTATGTTCTTGTCGACGGAGCTGGTACACATTCTTTTTGGGTCTTCCATCGCCCTGCTCCGTATGCCACTACGAGCCTCTGACGCTCGTCCTCCTTCACGGCGCTCAGCTGGTTGAAAAAGTTCGCGAATGCGCGCTGCTTGCCACAGTATAGATTCATTCGCAGACGAGCCCACCGGGGCTTTGTATGCCCCTCCCACAGCGCATCCCAGTGAGCAACACGAACTTCCATGAATTTCCGAAAAGCTTTAAAGTCCGCTTCTCGGCTCGTCACCTGGCTGATCGCTTCCAGGTGCTTTTTCACTCCAGCACTCCACGTTCCACTTTTCTTCTTTGCATTCATCACACCGAACTCTCGGTAATATCTCGTTCTTTAGCGCTTTAAAACACGCGTGTGTTTTTTGACGTAAGTTGCCGTCGACGCCATCATCCCCACAACGGCGTGTTGTGATGGTCATGATATTCGTGTTCCCAGGGCCCGCGCCAACGACAAAGTGGTTCTCATGCACTTTCTGCGTCGCAGGACCCGCCTCCTTCTCATCTTCATGCTTCGTCACGTACAATATCGAAGACGGAAATGGATTATGAAGGAGGACGAGCGTCAGAGGCTCGTAGTGGCATACGGAGCAGGGCGATGGAAGACCCAAAAAGAATGTGTACCAGCTCCGTCGACAAGAACATACAGGGAGTGCGCACAGCGTTTTGTTACGATACCGATAGATGGGTTCCGAACGTCCTATACACACCATGAACTGGGGTGCGTACTTAAGAGGGTCGGGATGGAAAAGTGCCAGCGGAGCCCTGAAGACATAGAAAAGTACGGACCGCTGACGGAGGAGCAAATGGAAACAAGGGCGAAAGTTCGAGGGCTACTCGCACTAGTGAGTACAACCAGTGATGGCAAGAAACGTATGGAGTTTGTGAACCGAGACTTTAATGCCGCCATCAATATCAGGAGATGTGCGGTGCTGGAAAGCAGACCTCCAGCGCTGACAAGAGAGAATTTTGTGGGGGCAACCTCCCAAAGTGGAACTATATGAGAAACAATTGGAAGCAGTAGTAGGTGCCCGGTCCATGAAGACTGGGAGGCGTCCGTACGTCAGCTGGAGACTTCTTGTCTAGGGCGGGCTTCTCGCCAGTACTGTACAGCGCTGGCGTCGTTCGACTTTTGGAAAGTGTTCGGTGTCGGCGTGTGTGTTTGCCACAGAGCCACAAAGCAACCATAAACAGGTTGTCTAACGGCTATTGCAGACAGATTGCGAAACACACGGGACGCCGTAGGTCTCACTGCGATCGGACGACTATCACCGGTAAATAGTCGGTACGTACGTGAACCAGGCTTACTGCGCGTCCTGACCGTAGAGGCAACAAGATCAGGATACCTGCTGGAAGCGGGAGTTCGCGTTTTCGTAGGTTGGAAACGTGCACACGGCTCGAGTGCGGCTGCTGTTCAAGAGCGAGCGAGTCCCCGTTCGACGACCAAAGCACAAATCAGAGTTGCGCAAGCACCCAAGCGGTGTTTGTGCGTATTTGAAGAGCCCGAAGAGGTTTCCACAGGCCAGCGACGCCTTTACCTGGTACGCGGCACGTTTGTTTCCCAGAGATGACAATCTACTACAAGGATCCCATAGCCACGTTCGGGAAAGACTATGTATTTCCCCTTTCATGGACTAGAGTCTTCTTTCATTGGTACGGCTCATTGGTCCAGCGGTTGCTCTTTGAACTTCTTTCCTGGATCGGTGCCGCAGTGCTCGTGATAGCGCTCAAGCTCTACGTTGCAGAATGGCCGATACCCTTCCTGAATACTCTCGCAGCACTTGTCAGTGTCCTTTCGCCAATTCTTACCTTTATGCTGGGGTTTTATACTAGCACAATCTATTCCCGTTGGTGGAGTGTTCGTGTTGTCATGTGTGGCACTGGCCAAATCGCTGCCTACAATATTGCTCTCGAGATGACGTCCTTCGTGTATGATGATAACGACCCTATCGGCGCTGCACGGTTGAAGCAACTCATTGTCCGGTGGATCTGCATTCCGTTCGCTATGGTGCTTCGCGATGTTTTTCTTGGCGGTGATCATGCGTACCGCACCACTGAGGCCATGGAACGTATTGGCTTGATCACACCTGAGGAGCGATACCGGCTGGAGAATGATGTAGACAGAGCCCAGTGGACGATGCCAGTCATGTGGGCTGGGCACTTGCTTTCTCGCCTGCGTGATCAGAACCACCGCTACGGCATCACGGAATTCGTTCATCTTCAGCTTGTGCAGCAGCTTGCGCTCGTGCGCGGATATTTCGGTTATTTATATGTGCCCATGTGGGTTCCAGTTCCGCTGATGTACCGCCAGCTCGTGAACGCAACAGTGCGCATCTACGTGATTTGTGTCATACTGCTCGCGGGAAATCTGAATTTATTGAGCGCAACGTCCAGCAGCATCGATATTGGAAACTATCGCTGGCTGGACATTATTTACGTGCTTTCTGTTTTTCTCATCTACATTGGCTGGCTGCATGTCGCAGACGAGCTTGCCAATGTATTTCGCATTGCGCCTGACAGCCTGGACTTTGACGATTATTTGTCGAGTCAACGCGTAGATTTTGCCACGATGGTGGATGACCACTGCATCAAACTGCCCACCATTGAGTCTATTGCGGAGGAGCCACTTCCCGGCGAGGAGGGTTTCAACTGCTTTCCAATTATGCGCGATCACCGGTATGAGGCGGTTCCTGGATGGCAAAAGTTTCAGCACTTGCGGCGTAGACCGCGGGATGTCGGAACGAGCGGCTCGCGAACCTACGATGCATTCGAGCAGCTTCGCGCTGCTGAACTGCGACGCCAAGCCCACAAAGTGATGGCCAGCCTCCGGGGGTTTGTGCACGACCTACGCGGTGATAGCGATGAAACCGATGATCGTCGGGACGGCTTCGCAGACGGCACACGTCGGAAGAAGAAACCCCCAGTGAGGTACCTGGGCTACTGAAGGACGTCGCCGGCGCGTTGTCGCTCGGTGCAACACACGTGCATGTCTGCTGTCTCGTATTAGAAGAGTGCGCCACCTAGTACGAGCTAGCCTGGAGCATCGGATGTCAATGCCAGAGAGATGTCTCTGAGCCCGTGTGAGAGCATTTCGGCCGGGGATATTGTGCGGAGGAGTTTGCCGCCTCGACACACAAGCGAACAATTCTGGTTCATTTTCTGTGCTGCACAAGGTGCTTGATGAAGGACATCGATGCCCTACGTCCATTTCAGAATAAATTGAAACGTTCCACTTAACAAACTCGGGCATATGTAATCATTATACTGGGTCTCATCCAGTTCTCACCTACGACACCAGCCTTTGCCCGCGGTATCTACGACTGCTCTTTGTTCCTCTATGGCGCATCCGGCTTGAAATATGCCGGTCTCTCGTGTCGCTCCAGCTCCGTTATCAGCTGCCGAAGGATGTTGATGGCAGATTTGACGTCCCAATGCACCCGCTTCCGGTACTTGTTGGCGCACTTGACGAACAGGTTCAAGCTGCGACCTGCGCTTCGCTTGCCAGTTCCACCGTCTTCGTAGACAGAATGGGTGCGCCATTCGCAGCGGTGACGCTTGGCTGTGGCCAGGTGTTCCAATACGCCCGCAATGCCTCCTCTGATCGCTGCCCCCTGGCGCATAAATGAACAATGCCTCGCTTGGCACAAGCCCTTTCCGAGTGGAGAAGCATCGCCCAGCATGCGCTACTCCGTTTCCGTACCCGGTGCCGTACCCAACGATCACGGGCCCGTTCTGGACAATACGCCGGCGAGTGCTCCGTCCCTTGCACGCACAAGCGCATGCTGCTCCATTCTTTAGACGATTTGGGGAACGCGGTGTTGTCCAAGGTGAAACAAGTACCGGAAGGAAAATACGGGCTCGGGGACAAGTCGAGCTATTTCGATCCGTCTACGCTCCCTTCGTGCAAACCGGTGATCCGCTCGCAAATGGAAGCGGTCGCTGCGATGATCGACGTCCGAGTCCAAGAAGCTTTTCCATGGAAGCAGAAGACACGAACGCCTCTGGGATCATACCTCGTCAGAAGCATGCTGCGGCTGCTGCGGCTGCTGTCGAGTTCAGTCTCGTCGATAGGCATGAAGAGAGCGGGATGTGTCGCTCGAACGGAATCAATTATTAGACATGAAAAGTGTAGTGAGCTTTCGGCACCATCTTGTGAACAAGCCGTCAAGTGACAACGTTGAGTTTCCTGATCGCCATCCCTGCGGCGCCAACTGCCGTCTCTACGATTTGCCTGAAAACAGAAAGATCGGCAAACTAGGAGCTTGCGTGATCTGAGCATGCTACACCTAGGGAACAGACAAGAGTGGAGGCTTGTTCGTGCGCGTCGGATAACGATACCAGTTATTTTACGAACCGTCGTTCTGCTGCGTCGAGAATCGTCTTGATTTCGGTGACTTTTTGAGTTCGAGCAGCACAGCGCCGATGGAGTCACTCCGAAATGGACGATTGCGAGTCCGAAGACGCATTCGCATCCGAAAGAGCTCTTTCATGGACTACAGATATCGAAGCTGTATACATGACAAAAGTTCGGGAATGAATCCGCAAGGCAGGAATCGAGCATGCAGTTCAGTATTCCATTCTAATTTCTCTCGCGCGTAGACCAGGTTCGGTGCTTCTGTCCAAAAGCCACCAGAGACGCGCACACTGCCAGTCTTTAGAGCATGGACTTCATTGCTTCTGGGGACGCTTCCGAGCTCCAAGGCCACCATGCGAGTACTCCGCCAAGGAAGGGACGCTTGGTTCATGCACGCGGCAAGTCACTAGCACAACGGCGCTATTGCTACAACGCACACGATCGCACGCCAACACCCCGCAGCACTGCTTCGCTAACGAATACTGACTCGATCCAGCGAACCTCCGGGTGCCGTCAACTCGAAATACGACGTTCACGCCCACTCACAATGCCAAACAGCAGGAGCACAGGCACGCAGGTCCACGTACCTCCTCATCAGCCATCACCCCGCCCTAGCAACACGCGCACCGACGTTACCGCACTCGCTTCCCAGTTGTGAAATCGCTGTGCCAAGAGCGCACCACTCCCGCAAGCGCCTTGCCTCAGACTCTCTTCAGCGAGCTCGTACCCAGGTGACTGCTGTCAGCCTCGAGCAGCCTTCCACAGCACTATGCTAGCCAACCCCGTGCACGTGCTCTGACTCGGAGGCGTGTGCTCCCTCCCAGTCACTGCGATCCCGCAGCAGCGTTCACAAAGCGTCAGCGTTTCCGTTTCCCCGGACGCACACGCTACACCACCGCTACCTCTGTGTCCAAGCTTCGAGAGGCACGCCTGTGAGGCGGTAACGCCGTACGGCAGTTGACGAATAGCCGCCGCCGCCACTGCCGCCGCCACCACGAATATAGCGCCAGCGCTCGACGACGTCGATGAAGGAATCATCGATACCACGAGTCGCATCGCGTCGCTTGAAACGGTTGACTTGCTGCTGCACGGTGCCTTGAACTCCCTTGTTGACTCGCTGATGAACGTAGCACGACGCTTTGGAGCGAGGCTGGTCCAACGCCTGGGTTGCAGATGGCTGGCAACGGAGGCAACCGCGTCACCTAAGAGTGCTGCTGGTGCTGCTTCTGGTAGTGGTGCTGTTGGAAAGTTGTCGGATCTGCTGCCGCCTTTGCGGGTGGCCGTCACCGGTGCTGCCGGACAAATCGGCTACCAACTTGTAACCCGCATCGCTTCGGGAGAAATGTTGGGAAAGAATCAGCCGATACATCTCAGCTGCATTGAGACGCCACAAGGCATGAAGGCGCTTCGTGGCGTCGTTATGGAACTGGAGGATTGTGCGTTTCCGCTGCTAAAGAGCGTCAGTGCGACAGACCAGGTGGATAAGGGCTTTGCGGATGCAGACTTTGCGATTCTGGTCGGTGCAAAGCCTCGAGGGCCTGGCATGGAGCGCCGCGATCTGCTGGCCTCTAACGCGCAGATATTTGCTGAACAAGGTCGGGCACTGAACAAGGTAGCGTCGCGTGAGGTCCGAGTCCTCGTCGTCGGGAACCCCGCGAACACCAACGCGCTGGTGGCGGCAGCAAACGCTCCGGATATTTGGGCAGAGCAGATTACCGCGATGAGCCGCCTCGATCAGAATCGCGCTATCACGCAGCTTGCGCTGAAGATGCACTGTGATGTCGCCGAGGTGGAGCGTGTCATCATCTGGGGTAATCACTCGACGACGCAGTACCCAGATCTGTCACATGCCCTGGTACGCGGCGAATGGATCCGTCCACGCATCGATGAAGACTGGTACAGAAACGAGTTCATCCCTCGGATTCAGAAACGCGGTGCGGAGGTGATTGAGGCTCGTGGTGCCAGTTCAGCCGCATCTGCGGCTAATGGAGCAATCGATCATATGCGGGATCTGTGGCTCGGCGCTGGTAATAAGTGGCTGTCTATGTCGGTGCCAAGTGATGGCTCGTATGGAATCGATGCATGTCTCTGGTATTCCGTGCCCTGCCTCTGCCCTGGTGCACATTTTCGTCGTATCTTGGAGCTCCCGGTCGACGAGTTCAGTGCCAGCATGATGGAGCGCACACGAAAAGAACTTATTGAAGAGCGGGACGCGGTCAGACATTTATTGCCAAGAGACTACGAGCGGATCATAAGCATGTCGAATCCCCTTGCTCGCAGCCAACAGCCCAAGCAGTCTGCATCGATTCCGGTTGCTGATTCCGCCAGCAATGACACACAAGCGAGCATGAAAGCTGTAGGATCCGGCAAGAGAAAATAAATCACCAGATCGCATGGTTTCCTCGTTTGATGGAGAGTTTGCGAGTGACTGCTCTCAGAGCGTTATCAGCAAAGAACTGTGTCCAAGCTGCTGGGGAGCGTTGCGGGCGCTGCGTACCTGATTCGCGCCCACGACTGGCCCGCAGGTAGGCAAAACACAGTCCCGCCACAAACGCGTCTCCTGCACCGTTTGCGTTGATTCGCTGCTGGTCTGGGATGCTCGGTGGCGGTATATACTGCTCTTGTGTGCACGTAAAAGTCTGCAGGTCGTCTCGCGAGCCCGCCACGAGCCATGCGCCTTCCCGTCCTATCGTGACCCCAACAACGAGCAGGCGATCGCCGCTCTTCTCCGGAGACGCAGGGTTGAAGAAGCGGTCCTTTAAGCGCTGAAGCAGCCTTCGTCCGTGCTCGCGAACACAGTGCACCAACGCTGCAGAGGATGTGGCTGCCTCCAGATCCGCTCCAGAGGTCTCACGTGTCACGATCATTTGCTCGTCCAGAAGTGCACAGGCTTCCTCGTAGTTCGCATGAAAAATATCCACGTGATGGAGAATAGACTCGAGCGCACCCTTTTTAATGTCCGTCGATGATCCAGAATCCCTGGTGGCGCCATTCACGTCTACGCTAAAAACTGCAGCGGCATTTACCAATCCAGCCTGTATGGTAAGCTCGCGGAAAAGCTCCTCGAGTCGTTCGCCTCGTAGCATTGGCAGCAAATGCGGATACGCGAGATGTACGAGCACAGTAGGCTTGGTGTCCGCGCTATGCGCCAACTTCGCCCCAGCGAGAAGCTCCGCGACACTCTGCACAATGCGCTCACCGGAAAGCACTCGATTCGCACCAAGGTCTACGAAACAGCCTCGACTTCCGTCGCGATAGATGGGTACCACAGCGAGTGCAGTGTTTGCCTCGTTCGTGAAAGCCACGGTCCGCGAAGCCTCTGGTGAAACATCTTCGGAAACGCGGCGTGCATAAAACCTCCCAAAGATATCGTCTCCGACGAGCGTGACCGCTTGCAACCGAGGAACGGTAGAATTGCCCTCGTCTGCAGCACACCGCAGCAAACTGGCGAGCGACTCGAGCGTGTGGTAGACGCCGCCTCCAGGTACAAAATCAACGCCACAAAACTGCACGAGATCATCAGCGTGCAGCGGCAGCCTGTCTACCTGGTGTAGCGCGAGATCAACGCAACTCAAACCAATAGCGAAAACCTGGTCACAGACAAGCATACTTTTCCCGAGGTACCGCGGGTCAGGCTCCGGTACCAAAGCTGCAGTGCTTCGAGCTGAGCGACCGACGCGCAGCTTTACCCACAGGGAGCAACTCCAGCCCCTGTCGCTCTCTTCCACAGCGTATTGTGCTTTTACGCCTGCTCTAGACTTGTAAAGCAAAAATGCACTCTCAGGCTGGTCCCGGAAAGAGCCTCGTCCACGCCTGGCATTCTCGCAGTAGTCAAACGCGACCTCGCCATCGTGCAGGGCAAGTGCGCCGCTTGTGAACACGATTCCCGTATGCATTGCAGCGGAAATACTAGAGAGGTACACGATCTTTAGTACCCCGCTGCTGCTGCTGCTGCTTTTCTGGTCAACGTTAGCTTTCCGCTTGGCTCAGAGCTTGTCACCCAAGCGCTTTCTTTAATAGTAACTGTGTCTGTGCGCTGAGCGGCGAGTCGAAAAAGCGAGGGTAGCACCACGTGGAACAATGGCTTTTGAGGCGAACTCGTGCGGGTTCTGTTCACACTGGCTTGCTGGAAGGCACAGGCGAAGTCCCAGCGCCACTGTTTGCCTGAAAGGGGCAAATAAGAGAAACTATGGTTCAAGAGTTCGACACGAGTTCAGCGAGACTGGCCGAGAACGAGTAGGATCCTGGAGAAGCTGCTCCAGTCAGTCGTTGCGTACAAGGCTCTCCGCTCTGGCAGAAGGCGACGCTGCGAGTCGACCCGGCCAGGCAGACCGAGGCCCCGTCTCGCAGACTACAGACTCGTCATCTGGGCGCAGTGAAGCAGCGGGAGCTGTTCCCACCGGCGGAAGTTCCCAAAGCAGTGCGACAGAGCGCGTTCCGGGGCGATACAAACTGAGCGCCATAGAGCTTGCCGAGCAGCGTCGGGCGCTGCGTGCCGTCGCAGAGCGTTATAAAGCCGCCCGTCTTGCAAAGGAGGCGGAGTCTCGGCGAGTTTTCGGTTTCTGTAGAAACGCAGAGGTTATCAACGGACGGACGGCGATGTTCTTTTTCGTGACTGGCATGCTGACAGAGTACTGGACTGGACAAACGATGCCACAGCAGATTGAACTCTTGCTTCGTATTCTTGGCATCATCGAGTAAGTGCGCATACAGCAGGAGGTGCAGGCCCATGAATAATCGAGGATGCATCGGAATGTAACTGAATTCGAAGGTTCCCAAGAGTTGAGTGGCGATGCAGATTTGCGCCAATTCAAGGCGTCGACCAGAGTAGCGTACTTTTGTGTGTGTGTGTGTGGAAGCGTGGACTAGTCTCCAGTTTTGGGGTCGAGCAGCCAATCGCAGAATTCCGGGGGAATAACCTTGACGCGGCGTTGATCATAATAGAGTACACCAATTCGGGAGCGTGGATCAAGCTGCAAGCCTGGTGTCCGGCAAGCGATCGCGTAAGCCTTGCTTTTATAGCTGCGGTGTCCGCTGCAACCTGCGCTATCGGCCATTGAGGGCGCTCTTGGATGATCTTCGCCACTAGCAAGTAAACGGGTTCGTGCTCTGTACTAGAAGCACACTAAACGATCCACGAAGATCCAGCGCCGCAGTGGTTTATTTGAACGGGGCAAACAGCAAATTCTTCGAAACTGAACGACAGCCCAAGCATTTTTATGCGCGATGACCAGGAGCGGTTCTATATGTTCTTGTATCACTCGTATGCGATGTATCACATCTCAGAGGCGACGCTTCGCCTCGGCAGCCTGTCGCTGTGCATCGCATCCAACACGCAGCTCGCCAGGCATTCAGCGGTCTTTCAAGCGAGCATATACTGCAGCTCGTGATGCGGTCCGAGGCCAACCAGGGCGCGCAGCAAGTCCTCTAAACATTGACGTTGCCGCCAGAGCGCATTCACGGCCGGCAGTCCGTGTGGCATCACCGGGTTTTTCATGAAGAAGCTTAGAGCAACGGCCACCGAATCCATCGGCTGATACGCCTCACTCGGGGAATCTCTCCACGAGACACGTGTCAAGAGTTCGCACAGCACTGCAGTGTCAAGAATCAAGGGAGCACAGAGCACAGAGTCCAACGCCTCGTTGTGGATGATGTTCGTGTAGAGACCGCCCATGAATGCCTCGCTGGTGTATTCGCTGACATCTCGTTTGGAGTCCCCAAGAAACGGAACATATTTGACAACAACGACGTGGTCGGGCTCCTCGCCGTTCGGGTACAGTGCTCCATTACTCTGCACAATATCCGTGAGAACGCCAGATTTTGCGACGGCTTTCGGCTTCCACATGGTGCCGTCAGTGAGTTGGTACATGTCATTATTTCCGAGATGATTGTAGGTCACGATAGCTCGCGGTTTCAGGCCACAACCGACAAAAAAGTCGACGAGTACTGACTTGAGCCTCGTCTGGCCGGATTTGAAGTCGTCTCCACTGACAGGGATCGCGTGTCGTCGAGCTAATTCCACTACACTAGGGATGAGTGTATTTTGGGGAGACCCATTCACATATGGACAGCGCTCGAGAATTGCAGCGACAGCATATAGAATCGACGGTGATACTTCGGCTTCATTCCTCCGGATGGCCTCAAGCAGAAGTTCCGGATCGTGGGCGGCCCCTGGCGAAAGCTCGGAGTACCGCTCACTATTCGCACTCCATACCACAACCGCTGTCTCAAGACCGTGTTTTGCCTTGAAGCTTCGGATGTCCTCTCGTAGCTTTTCCAGTTGTTCGAACTTGCTACCTGATATGACGTTGTCCGCGCGACCGAGCTGGTTTTGGGCGATAAACGTAGGGTCCATCGCCCCCGCCCAGGGCTTCTGATGCTCCAGAAACGGTCGAAGGCGCTGGCGAAGATCTGCTTCGAGCACCTGCGCTCGCTCAAGAGCGTCGGCCAAGTTTACGGAGGAAATGTCCCAGCCCCCAACGACGATATCTTTCGGATGCACGAGCGGTACAACGGCATGGAGCGGCACGAAAACATCAGCGCCACCATCATAACCGATGTGCATACTTGCGCACTGCGTCAGTGAACCATAAAAGTTCGGTTTGCAAACTCCACACCGGCTTTGCCAGCAAATGTTTTCACGGTTAGCGATCAGAGCTGCCGTCAGTGTGGAACCGTTATTTCCAGCCCAGCCCACGAGAAGCAGCCCCAGGCGCGGAGGGCGAATCGCCGTCCTGAACTGAAGCTTTCTTCTCAGCGTCCTCACAATTGTTTCCTTCTTCTCGTCGTTAGGACATGCTTTCACCTCATCACACTCGAAGTCTGCGTAGATGAACTCATCAGTATAGCGCACTCGCGGGCTCTCTACCTTGACTTGCCAGTTGCTGTAACGCACACCGGCAGGGGCAACACTTCGGGGGGCTCGCAGGCTCTTCGCTCGCAGCGCATCGTTGTCTGTCATTCGCTGAGCTTCTCGTACCTATAGAAAACTCACAACCAGGCAACGAAGCGCACGAACGGAACGCAAAGCTTCTAGGGTACCCGAGCCCGAAAGCGACCGTACAGATCATCCCAATACGGGTTTTACCTTTCGTGGCGTAAGCCATGGCGTCACTTGTTGACCAGTGCACCCGGACCGCCGCCAGAGCATTTCGAGTTCCTGTTAGCGGTGGTTCGACTCACATGCTCATCTATTTATACCCATGCAAGAATAAAATGGAACGGATCGTCTAACTCGACCGTGCACACTAATATTTAGATAGCACTCAGTGCCGTCAAAAGCGGCCTTTGGAGGCCTCATCCATGAGTGCTCCCTGGACCTCTATTGTGTCTCCGGCCCTAAATACACCGATCTCTCTTGTCTCCCAGCTCTGTTATTATCAGTCGAAGGATGCTGATGGCAGTGTGCATGTCCCGGTTTTACCGCTTCGGGAACTTGTCTATGCATTTCATGTGCAGGTGGAAATTGCGAGCTACGCTTGACTTGCCATTTTCATCATCTGTGCATAAAGCCTGAAAGCCGGCTTCGTAGCGGTGGCAGTTGACTGCTGTTAGGTGTTCCAATGGGACCAGTACACCTCTTGCTAATCCTACTCGTCCTTCGGGCGCTGCCCTTGAGCGCGAGAGCGCTCTCTTCATTGCCCGTTATATACCCTTGACGGGTTCAATGCGCGCCCTTTGATGCCTTCCTTCGTTTCCGTGCCCAATACCGTACAGGACGATTACGAGCCTCTTCAGGGTAAGTCCCTCGGTGAGTAGGTTGTCCACTGCACACTCCTCGGTACGCCGTTCTATCCGAAAAAGGATCTGTGGAACGCGACGTTGCTCATGATGAAACAAGTATTGAATACAAAACCCAAAGTCGGAGGACAATTCGAGAAGCTTCGATCCGTCTACGCCTCGTTCATGTAAAGCTGTGACGCGCGCTCCACTGAAAGCGTTCTTTGTCAGGGCTCATATCCGAGCACATAACCCTTTGCCACACGAACAAAAGAGGAAGGGGAGCGTTCAGCGAGCATATCCCGAGGGCGACACCTAACTGCTGTTGCGTCCCGTTCCGCCGATTGCCTTCAAGAAAGGAGGATTTGCATTTCCAGCAAAATCCGTTACTTGACGTACCAAGTTCAGTGAACTTTCGGTATGAGCTCGCGAACCAGTCCTCAAGCGAAGACGTCAAGATTTTGCCTTGAGCACCTACCAGTGCGAAGTGCGGCGCCTACGCGAAACCGTCAAACGGATGGATCAAAAAAAGAAGAATATGTATTTTGCGCATGCTGTGCCTGAGGACAAGAGAAGCGTGCATTCTTGCACGCCTGAATGGGATGATAAAACCGGCCATTCTTCGAACCGTTGTTCGAGGACGTCGCGAATCCACCTGAGGACCGTATCTTAACGAAATTCAGCAGCACAGCGTCAAAGGAACCATTCCAAAAAATGACCGAAAACCTGAAAACTATGCATGAATCCAAAAGTCCTTATTGCTGCACTCCGAATGCGGTGGCAGTGCCACGAAACAAAGTTCGGAAAAATCCGAAATTTAGGAACATGGCGACCAGTTCCATGTTCCATTCCAATCACTCATGCATTTAGGCGGTAATTAGGCCGACACCGCACTCTGAATTCCGATTTACATAGAGTTCGGAAGCACCACTGGCAAGCGAATCCAGTCTACGCTCCTTGAGGGTAAGGCGCAAACAGAGTCTGAGCAAGCCTACGCTGCCTCTTATCGAAGAGGTGCATCGCTCGGAACCGCCAGCTCGAGCACCATGTGCATACGTGAGATGCGTCCCAATGAGGAGTGCTATGGAAGCATAAGAAAACTTCCTGTCTTACTGGTACACTGCAAACATGAGATGCTTCGCAATCAGAAGTGCTATGAACGCACAAGAAAACTTCCTGTCTTGCTGGTACCGTGCATATATGAGATGCTTCCCAATTGGAAGTGCTATGAACGCACAAGAAAACTTCCGGTCGTACTGGTACCCTGCATATATGAGATGCTTTCCAATCAGGAGCGATCACGTGCTTTCGAGCTCCCACATCCCGCCCGGATGACTCTGTAGCGTGGGGCATCACGCGGAACCACGATGCATCCTCACGTGCAATCGCATGAGCAGAGCAACCTGTGGATGATCAGTGGAGCGAAAACGTTTCGCCACCAAAGAGTGCATATATATACCCCCTCACAGGCCCTCCCAGGTTTTTTGACCGGTCGCCTGCTATCGGTTTCAGTTTATCCCAATATACTTCGAGCCTGAGAGGCTGTCTCACAAAGCTGTATTGCGTCATCACCTCGGGTGACAGAACAGAAACTAACCGCTAACTAGCAAATCGATAACAGTTTCTATCGACCTTGATAGTTAGCGTTGAAATGGCGAAAAGTTTCCGTATCTTCGAAAATTTACCCTCTAGGCGGAAGGTCCCGCGAGCCGGACGAGTCTGCGGGGCTAGCTAGCGCTTCATGCTGCCTCCAGTGGTGGGTTCTTTAAAGAAACCTGAGCTGCTCGTCTGGAACGCAATTCATTCTGGGAGTAGACGCAGCAAAGCTGCATCTGGGCGTCGCCCTGGTCGCAGTGGACTCCTAGTATATTGCATCGCGCTGCCGCAGGCAGTAGGTCTGTCAGCACAGTTTGCAGGCTCCCAGAATGATTTTGTAGTCCGGCTCCGTGTCGGATATAGCACGCCTCGAGCCGACGCCCTCAGTGGTACGGCAAACCCGTTCTGTCTCCGTGCAGCATCTACTTCAGCGGTATATAGGCGCTACGGTGAGCGTTCACGCCAGGCACTCGGCGCATGATAGAACATACGAAACGACCTGTATATCCGAGAGGACGTATGAGTGATGGAACTTGAAGGTGGGTCCTTCATGATGGACGCTTCCCTGAAAGCCATTATCTCTTCCGAATTCTGGGATCCATGATCAATCTAAACGTTTTGTCATATGAAAAAAATCACCTCGGGTCTCTTCACCAGCATCGCACATCTGCCATTAATGGCGGCGTTAAATTCTCCGTTCACGAACTCCATGCTTTTATTGCCTCTGGTGGAACTTACCAGTGCAAGGTGTCCTCGAACTCGTGCCCTCTGTCCATTTGCTGCTTAATCAGCTCTCTGTGCTTTTCTATCGCCGAAGCGCTCCGCCGCCTGCTCTCTATCTCGACCTTCTAAAGTGCACTCCCCATCGCATTCCTTGGATTTTTATTTTTGACAATGAACGCAATTTTTTATGACTTTAGGTGAGGACCTTCCCTGAAGCCGAAGGACTTGCAGAAGAAGATGACATGTGCCCCCGTATCAGGCGAGCTGATGATTCATCAAGTCGCCCAGCGGAGCTATCATAACTTCTCACGATATCAAACAATCGATCGATGGGGATGACCCACGGAGAGTACGGCGCAATGAAAAGCACCTCTAGCCCAATAGAATCGGTAAAAGCTCGAACGCAAATGGAGTAGGGAATTACTATTTCGTCCAGTAGAATGACGTCGTCCGACGACAGGGAAATGTCTTCTATGATTCGGAAAAGTGGTTGTTGCTGTTATACGAACCTTCATTACAAGCGAAATTGAGGCCGCCAAATGTATCCATCAAAGTTAGAACAGGTTATGATACCATCGTTCTCTTCGAGTTCGACCGTGCATACAACGGACGCCCTGCTCCGCGAATACCCATATACGCTCCAACGGTTTCATCCGAAGCAAGTCTCATCGAATGAAGAAACAAATCGACGTCCCTGTGCTTCTTAGCTATCGCAAGATGCGAGGAATTCTGTCGCTGCGATTTCGGTGCAAGATATTAGTTCATGCACTAGGACTTTTTTACGACTGTATCACAGTTTTTTTCCGATCACACGAACGTGCCGTTGAGAAATAGAGACGTCCATGGCGACTACCATCGTCGGAAACGCTTTGCTTAGGGCGTTCAACGGACCGGTTCTCTACCATTGACCACAATCCGTGTTTAAGGATAACGTGTTTTTGGCGCGGAGCACGTATACTTGTTTCCTTCAGTGTTCCTCAACAGTCTGCGTACTATTTTATAACTGAACCCAGACTGAAATGCAATCCTCCCCGTACTCTTGAGTAAAGCATATATCCTACATGAAATTCATCAACGATCCATACAGTACATTGGATAGTGATTTCGATCTCCAGCTCAACACCGCAGCGGTGGTCAAACAAAACTCCGTTGAAAGACTAGAATAGGATTCATCCGATGCATTTTGCACTGCTTGTCCTAAAAATCCCATCGCCTTTTGACCACAACCGCGCTCCACAGGTTATCAGCGGTTTCCTTGAATCGTCTGCTGCCAGTGCAGTCTGCTATCCGTCTCGACCCAGAGAGGGCAGCTCCCCCTGGAAACACCTCTCCATACAGCCGTTGCCGGGACACCTGTTTTGCTGACACTCAGCAAACACCTGTTCGTGAAAGCCCAGGATTCAATCCAGACCGAACACAGCTACGCTGGAGAGGTACGTAGCGCGGATCGTGCAAAATAGGCGCCTCGTGCTGTTTTTGTTGTCAGCGCGCGTCTCGGCTCTGTACCCAATACAGTACGCTTTTTGAGTTCGCTAGTTTCCAGCCCTCTGTGCAAGTACTTGTTCACTGCATACAGACTTTGCAATCTTCTTTAGACAGATCACACGCTGCGAAATGAATATCCAGTTTTGCACCTGCCCTGCTGTAGGTAAGAGAGTCCTGCTTGAGTACTTGTCGCAGCAGCACCAAAATACGTACTGATTACCGCATCGCCGAACGTGTCGCTAAACGCACTGTGCATATGGATTCCCAGTTCCACGCTGACTTCATATGCGCTGTGCAAATGTCGCTGGACTCCCTGTTAGAAAAGGTGCCGCGTCCGAGTGAGTTCGATCCCTGTGACTATGAAGCACTCAGGGAGTACTTTCCGCCGCCGTTGAAGGACCAGGAGAGGCTGCCGCTCAGTCTTGAGGAGCACAGCGAAAAGGCTTTTCGCAAGCTCCACGAAACGGGTCTGCCAACGCTTCAGCGCGCTGATGAGCACGTCCGACGCCGAGCAGAGGATTGGTTCGAGCGAGTGACTCAATATGCTGCAAAGCAGAAGGCCGCTGATCAGGTACTGGACCTGCAGACGCTGCGCTTCCGCCTTACGCGGTATTCTACACTTAAGGGCTGTGGTTGCAAGGTTCCTCAAAGTGAGTTGCTCGAGTGGATGACCGCAACCAAGAACCTCTTGCGTTCACCAATGAAGAGCTTTTCCAGACCTGGCGGCTTGATGAGTACAAGCAACACAGAGTCGAGCACGCCAGGAGACGTCTCCGTGGAACTCGGGGTTGGCATGGACGCCTCCGTGGTACGCTTGACCCAGCTCTCCAGCAGACAACAGAGCACGGAGAAAGACGCCGAGAATGCGCCCTCCTTCGGCACCCAGCCGCTATATCTGATCAGCACTACGGACTTCTTTTTCCCACTGGTTGAAGATCCGTATCTCATGGGACGCATTGCAGCCGCGAATGTGCTGTCCGATGCGTACGCTCTGGGTATCCGAACACCACCGAGTACCATGCTGATGCTCGTGTGTGCGGCAACAGAGATTGAGCCTCCAGCGCTTCGAGCTGGCGTAACACAGACCATGATGGCGGGATTCATTGATGCCTGCCACGAGGCTGGTACTCAAGTCACAGGAGGTCAGACGACGCTGAATCCGTGGCCGCTCATCGGAGGTGTTGCCGAAGTCGTCCTCCCTCGAGGCGAGTTTCTAATGCCGGATGCAGCGCAGCCGGGCGACACCATTGTGCTTACGAAACCCCTCGGAACGCAGGTAGCCATCAATCTCTACCAGTGGCTCGGACAAATGGAGGATGCTCACTACTTGCATCTTCTGGAGAGTCTAGAGACCACACAGCAGCAGGAGTATGGCCCCGAAGACACCCGTCGAAGCGTTCATGGGCAGTTCGTGCCGCCTTCAGAGGAAACGCATGCTCGCGACATCCCGGGACCGGGTCCTGCACATACAACTCATGATGCTCGTTTGTCTCGAGCGTTGTCGAGCAGCATTCTCGAACAACTACCACCCGCTGCCCGCAAGACGCTCGCTCAAGGTCGCCAAGCGCGCGTCCACTACTCGAAAATCGAACAAGTGCTGACCCCAGCGGATATCTGTCGTGCCTACGATGTGGCTTGTCTTAGTATGGCCCATCTCAACGCAAGAGCTGCCCAGCTGCTTTTAGAAAGTGGTGCTGCGCACGCCGTCACTGACATAACCGGTTTCGGGATTCTGGGGCACGCCCAAAATCTAGCGCGAAACCAGAAAGCTCCCGTGGACATGGAGATTGATGTACTTCCGATCATTCGGGGTATGACGAGCGCAGATCGTGCATTGCAAGGTGGAAAAATGTTCCGACTTCTGGAGGGCTTCTCTGCGGAGACCAGCGGCGGTCTACTCATTTGCTTCGGTGCATCCAGCACAGAGCGGAGCAGCCAAGTCGTCGCCCGGCAGTTTTGCGAAAAACTGGCCACGGTAGACGATCACTGGCCGGCATGGATTGTAGGCAGAGTGGTCCCGGGAAGCCGCGAGGCTAGAATCCTCGATCACGTGAAAATTTTAGAAGTTTAATGCACACAGGATGTATAGCGAAATCATATCTGGATAGAGATCGGATTTCGCACTTGTCGCTGGCCCGAGACGCTCTCGCACTACGCTGACTTGTGCTTGACGCCGTCGCAACCTCACCGCAAGCAGTCCACGGAGAAACGAAGAAGGATCACAGGTGCAACAGACAACCTTCCGCGGACTGGGCATCTTTTTTATGGAATAGGTGAGGATGCGCGCACCCCGTTTCCCGAGTCTCAACTCGCGAACCGGGCGAGTACCTCGTGCGATGTGCGTCGACTCAGGAACACCCTGTAACGGGAGCGATGCCGCAAGGTAAAAAGCACGATCAGCAGCGTTTAAAAGATCCTATACTGAGAAGAATCGCTTTCTACTGCCAGTTTGTCTTTCGAAGTTGTCCGAGGTTGTGGATTCTCATCCACGATAGCATCTATGTTAAAGCCGAAATTCTGACTCGCAAACTCCGAGTCCCCAACACCAACAGGTGAAGACGATAGCAGGGCGTCGTCGACTCCATTCAGCACGCCATGTCCATGGAAGACATCAGTCATCCCAAAAAGGTGGCCGCGCTCGTCGCGCAGAGGGTGCCCATGAGCCACGGGGTCCAGGGACGGCTCCGCAGCTTGGCCACTTCCGTGAATACTATTCGGAAACGGTACCTGAGTTGTCGCTCCGGCCACCAGGCCCGGTTGCAACCAGACACCAGCGTTTGCATCGCAAACGTCGCCCCCGAGACTTGGTGGATACCGCCCCATAGGAGTGGCAGCTGCCGCTCGGGCTTCTCGATACAAGGTTACGCAGGGCGAGCGCGCTGCACCGTTCGCTGCGACACTCAAGCGCGTATCTGGCATGCCTAGGATCATGTCTGCGTAGAGCGGCGTGTTGGCACGTCCATCGACCACATTTCGACCTGGCGAGGGAAACGCATTCACAAATGGCGATACGGGACGAGCAGGCGTACCTGGACGCGAACTCATCTCCAGGGACTCTGCGGGCGCTGCATACCCGAGACGCGCCTGCCGCATCTGGAAGCTCGATGGTGAACGCTCCATGACGCTAGGTCTCGCAACAAAACTCATTTCCCCGATCGGAAACGCTGCTGGAGTCGTCCAGAACATACTGCTCGTTGGCCGTGGATAGCGGTCTTGATGCGGATCGCTCGCTCGCGAGTCATCACCTGTGCTTGTCGCTGGGCCAGTGTACGGCACACTATCGTACGAGTCGTCATTTTGGAGAGCAGCAGTCTGCTCGTCGCCAGGTGCTCGATTCGTATCACTCCGGGAGGTAGACCGGCGCCGGCGTGCGAGCAATGCGCTTTCCACAGCCTCCAGAAACTCTGCCGGCACCTGATCCTTCTTCTTCTGCGTCCGTTTCTTCACGCGCTCGAGCCAGTTCTGATTATGTGAGATCCTCACGTCGCCACATTTGCCGCAGACAACAATGTTCGACTTGGTCCAGATGTAATAGTGAGGGCATCCAGCCTCCGGTGCGACCAGTTCGCCTGACTCGCGGATGCCGGATCCCTCGGATGGCCTCGTCTCCTGCTTGCCGGTACCCGCTGACTCACCCGTTTCCGCACGTTTCGCTGTTTGTCGTTTCCGATGCGTCGTCTCCAGACTCGGCGTTGCGCGTCGACTTACTTCTTCTGCCACAGGATCGGCGCTTCCCGCTTTCCGCTGCACACTCTCTGTTTCGTCCGCTCCAGCGTCCGTCAATACGATTCCACTGTCCGCAGATCTACCTGCCTTGCCGCCCTTCTTCTTCTCGGAGAGACTCTTCCCCTTGGTACTGCGTCGTGCCTGATTGTCTTCCGCATGGCTGTCGACAGTCGTCGACGCGGTCATGCGCTCCGCGCCGCTCTCTATGTAAGACGCAGCTTCGCGGGACTCGGAGGCTGCAGGTACTGCAGAAGCGCTGCCTCGTCGGTTTCGAGCTCTTCGACCGGAGCGACGTTGCGATGATACGCTTCGCTCGCCCGACGAAGGCATCTCTGAAGGTACCGATGAACCCAGTTCCAACGGGGATGCTAGCTTGCTTGTAACATCCACTACCTCTGGTGTTTGGCTCCGCGCCTTCTCCGAAGCACCATCCGCGTTCGATTCTACCATAAGCGACTCGGTGGCGCGAGACTCTTGCAGCTGGCGGGCAGCCTCGTGAAGCTCAGTACAGCGACACGTCGCTTTCTCCAGCCAGGACCTCAAATCTACCAGCGCTGACGGTATCACAGAGTAAGGCCCCCGAGAGCTGTTTTCGGCATTCTCCGGGTCAACGTTCAGCGCGTTCGCGTAGACGTTCATGAGCACTTGCACTCGATCAGAAATCTCTCGCAGCACTTGCGCGGCTACAAGGCAACGGGCTTCATCACGAGTAACGCCAGTATCGGACTCGGATTTTTCACTGTTATCATGACACAGTGCTGTTTTGAGCTGAACCAAGCTAGGAACATCCTCCAAAGGTACAGCCCGCAAACAGTTACAGATACGCTGCAGTCGCTCCCGTTGGATCTCAAGGAAAGCTTCGTACACGTGCTGTGCCTCATGGACGATCTCCGCTAAGCTGTCAAACTTTCTTGCCCGTTCGATGGCGACGCGCAGCCGACGAAGTTTCTCCAGACTTGCGCGATCCAGCGAGTCTCCAGCTCGGCTCAAAAGCTGCTGAAGGCACGAGTCTGCGTCAACCTCTGCGTAAGAGGACAGCGCTTCGCGAGCTTCATCCGTCGCTGTCTTCAGCGTTTGTGCCGCACGCTGCTCTCGAGCAAGGTGGTCCGCCAGCTGACGTGCCTTCTCAGCAGCCTCGATGAGGCCCAACTGCTCTAGGCGCGATTGCAGTGCCAACACTTCGTCAAGCTCCAGCGCCGACGAGCGCCGAGCTTCAACCTCCTCCCAGTCAGCGAGCGCTTCCCTCTGCAGGATTCTGCGCTCTCGAACTTCCATGGCGCTCGAGAGGTCCGCACTTAGTGCCTTGAGTCCAAGTTGCCGCACTGAATCGATCAGCTCATCGATTGCCGTAATATCCTCCAGCGTAGCAACTGAGCGCAACCTCTTGCGCTCGTTTCGAACGATTTTCTGCAGCGCCCGACGAGCCTGCTCCAAATGCTCCTCAGCCCGCAGTTGCAGCGTCGAATCCTGCAGCGACTTGGTAACCTGCACAGCAAACAACTCGATAGCGTTTTCCGCCTCTGTGAGCGACGAGGGCGCATCAACGAGCGAGCGTCCCTGCCGCAATACTGCGCATATTTGATCAAGGCGTTCGCATATTTCTCGGCATTTGGCTTCCTCAACCGCGAATAAGCGAGCTTTCTCTTCGACTAGTTTCTGAACTTCATTCGCTCGCTCCTTCGCTCGCCTGATACTATCCCGGACCCGCTCCGCAGCGCTGCATTTCGCCGCCTCGGGGCTGAACGCGGAAAAACGCTCTAATGCATGCTCTGCTTTCGAAATGATGCCCTCCAATCCACGTACCACGGTCGCTGCGTCCTCTCCGAGCCGATGTTCATCGTTGAGATAATCATCCAATCCTCGAGCAGCATCTTGCATTTCAGTCCAGCGAGAGCGCAGCTCCGTGACACTTTGCATCACGCTATCAGAGGGGTCAAGCCCCGCTTTGGATGCCCGCCGAATCGCTTTGTCAAATACGCGAACATCGCTGGAAGAAAAGAAGGACGCGATGGACTCTAACAGTTTGCGGTGTGCGGCATCCTGACGGGCCTCCAACGCGAGGCGCTCTCGGTCCGCGGCAACGCGCTGCTGCTGCTCTTGAAGAGCAGCGAGCACACGACGCGCTCGCTCCACCTCAGCTCCGAGCCCAATCTCCGGACCAACCAGTTTGGCGGAGCCGGATTTGACGTAACTAGCGGCCAGCTGCAGTATCACCCGGTTTGCAATCCCGATAGCATCCTGCAGTTTCGTTAAAGAGCGCGTCTGGATGGCATCTCGCAAGCGCTCTCGCGCATCGTTCGCCTCCAGTTCCCGTCGTCGCAGCTCCCGATTTCGCTGCGAGTCCTTATCTGATTCTTGGCGCTTCTTGGAACCGGTGGACTCGCTTACATCCACTGAAGCGCTTCCTCGATCGTTTGGAGCATCAAGAGCGCCGACAGACTCGCCGGCACCATGTTGGCCGGTATCGGGTCCCTCGACACTGCATGTCGTGGAGACGTCAGCACCACCAGCTGGAGACGCAGAGACGAGACATGCGCTCGAGACTCCAGCATTCGCCGACTCACTGTTAAGGCTCTGAACGCGGAGGCGCTCGACTAACATCCGCACCAAATCCTTGCGGTGGTTCATTGCAGCAATCTGGACCAGCGTCTTGGCACTGGGCATTTGCCCGACGATTCCGCTTGGAATAATCTTCAGATGGGGATCCACGATGGCGCCCTTTGAGAGCAGCAAGCTCGCAACCGCATCGAAACCGTTCAGCACCGCTAGATCAAGCGCAGACCAACCGGTGACACCGCGAACATTGACATCAGCGCCGGATTCCAGGAGCATCTGCACTAGCTGCAAGCTACCTTTGTTCGCTGCAACATGCAGCGGCGTGAAAAAATCCTCAATTTCGGCGTGCAAACTATCTTCTGGGGACGAAAGCGAGAGCGTGTCGCTTGTGTCACCAATCCGAATCCTCAGCGGTACGACGGATCGCACCGGGGCCCCAGCCTCCAGCAGAAACTGCACGATTTCCAGAGAATCCGCATCCGCTGCAAGTACCAGCAGCGGATTCGGCCCTGAATTCGGTAATCGATCCTTGATGCAAGCACCGTTCGTCACCAGGAGCTCTACACACGCCAGCACCCGACTTTGTATACTGTAGTGTAGTGCGGTTATGCCGGTCGTCGTGCGGGCGTTCAGCCACTTCGTGAAAGCGTCTCGATCCTGATCCGCAAGAACTTTTCTGGCGTGTTCCACGAGTAATGCCACGGTGTCCGTGCGACCGTGAACACAAGCCAGATGCAGTGCTGTTCGCTGGTAAGTGTCCATTGACCAGATATCTGCTCCCTTTTCCAGCAGAAGACGGCAAACATCTGTGTATCCGAAAAGTGCAGCAAAGCTCAAAGCGGTGTGTCCCATTGAACTCGTCAAGTTCAGCGCTTCCGGAAACCCCTTCAAAAGCAGGCTACATGTCTTATATTGTCCAGCTGCTGCAGCGAGATGCAGGGCATTGAAATCGATCGTTTCCAGCGGTAGCGTACCGTGACCTTCATTCGCTGAGCCTCTCATGGAACGCGTCCTCCCATTCTCCTGAACGGAATTGCACCAATACGCGAGCAACGTCTGCACAACGTTCAAGTGACCCTTGTAGGCGGCACCAGCTAGCAGCGAGGAATACAGAAAATCCCTCCACTCGGGAACTAGCAGCGGCTGCATGCGACTTAGGATCGTCTGCAGACATTCCGCTCTTCCCAGTTGCGACGCAAGCGTAATGATAGAGCAACGATTCCTATCTTGGGTCGATTGTTCACAGTCGACGGACCTCGAAGCAGTTAGGCTGCTCGCTCTTTCGCTCGGCCAAGGCGGCTGCGTCCCGGGCGTGCCAGTACCGACCTCAGGTGGAACCATCTGAACAGCGCACGAGAGCGTGCTGGTTTCCATCATCACGCTTCGCAGGAAATTGCAAATACGACTGACAAATTCTTGATACTCAACATAAATTTTTCCTGCATCTGGAATAAGCCTCTCCACGACCAGATCAACATCGTCCATGGTCAACCAAGCATCGATGATGCTCTCCAAGCACGAATTATGATCCACTCGCACAGCACGCGCCATAAGCGCAGTGCACTTGTCACGCCGGGTGCACCCAATAAAGTCGCTTGCGTCTACGTCATACCGAGGCTCAAGACCAGAGCAGAACGAACATGCCCGCAGGTTTCGCATCTGCTTGACATCGCTGATATCGCCATAGGGGAGCTGCTTCAAAGTCACCTCAGACGCAGAGCATTCGCAGAGTCGCTCGGCGTCCGCGGAACCTGTCTGCACGAGGCCGCCAGTCGTCGCGGTCGAGCACGCTTGCGCATAGTCCACTTCATCTATATATGTAGATGTTTGTACAGATTCGTCCGTACAAATCTGGGGCGCATGTTTGCCGGCAGTGCCACTTGCAACGAGATGCACCTGGGCGTCGTTTGCGGAAGCCTCCATCTTGGAGGCAGACGGCCTCTGGGATCCGAGAGATGCTAACATGGGCGTCTCATTTGCACTTCTTCTTCGAGCAGCGGCGGTTTCCGAGACGCTCTTGCCCTGGAAATGACGACTCAGCAATTCGCGTGCTTGACGTCTGTTCTCGTCATCTTCGATGTGGCGGCCACCTCCATGTGCAAGAAGATCCAGACATTCCACACCGTACTCCGCAGCAATGCGATACGGCATCTCGTTTGGTAAAACGGTGAGCATATTCGACAGTGCGTGCAACGCAACAGCTGCAACCGTTGCACAGCCCTTCCAGGCAACCTCTAGCTCAGCAGGCGAGAGAATCAGAGCGCACAGAGCAGAGATGCCACCGATATTCGCCAAATATCGTATGTGCTCCGGATCGCCACTAGCTGTGACGTTGTAGAGAACCCATGCAGCATCCTCATCGCAGGATTCGTGTCCTCCGGAGAAGATGCCCACAAGCGGTTCTAGAATGCCAGCCCTGACAATATCCTGCACTTGATGCGCGGATTCTGTAATGTTCGAAATGATCCAGCAGCATTCCTTCTGAATGCATGGCTCCACAGAGGCTAGCAGCGTTCGCAAAATCGTCAAAGCGTTCGGGCAATCAATAATGACCTGCGTTTGACGGTCGTCTCCGCAAGCAATGTTCCCGATCACCTGCAAAGCAGCGGACTGCAAGCCCAAGGATACCTCTCTCCTGCGACTGCGCTTCCGTACGGTGCTTGCCGCATGCCCAGAGCTAGCTCTGGCATGATCGCGACTCGTGACTCTACTGTGTCTCATCTCCGGTCCCGGAGAATCTCCAGATCTGTCAGGAGTCTCTAACAACTCCGCAGTCCGTTCCTCGTTCAGTCGAGATGTCGCGGCTCCGTCCCGCTGTCGTTGCATTGGCGAATGAAACGCGTCCGAGGTATGCCCATCCGCATCTTGCGTCGTGCCCGAGCCACTTCCATCATCATCTATTAGTGGTTCGAGGATCCTCACGACTCGCGGAACGACCCCAGCATCAAGCACAGCCTGGATCAAATCGTGATGAATACCGTCTCCAAATAAATCGCAGAGCGATAAACAGGTCTGGCGCAGTCGCTCTTCATCGGCAGTTTCGTCCAGACGAGTGGCGAGGCGTTTCGCAGCACTTCGCACCTTGGCCAAGACGTCAGCAGTGTTCAGTGGCACGAGGCTATCGAGATGTGAGCCCATGTTACCAAAGGCTTCACATACACATGAGCAGGTGGCTCCATGGATTTCCAAGCGCCGACAGAGTCCCAGACTCGCGTCTGGTGGAAAGGGCAGCGCTGGCGGTGCCCCGAAATCCAGAGCTTCACCGCCTAGCGTAGGTCGGCCTTCAGAACTTTGACGAGCACTCTCCTCATCACTGCAGCTAAGCTTCGAACAAAATTTGTCCATGATGCAAGCAGCCCCTCCAAGACGCTTAGCAGAAGGCGCCGTGCCGTTCTCTAGCGCGAGTCGTATTCGCCGCAGATTGAGCCTGTTTGCGATGCACCTCCTTAGACGCCACCGCTAAGCTTCCACCGTAGCACTGGCAATATAAGGCGACCAGAAGCAGCTTCCAGTATGGCCCCAAAACTAGCCCAGAGAGGAAGCAGCGCTTCGCTCGGATGCAGCGCGTCGTTTGCGACAAGTGTACCGCAAAACCAAGCAAGTTCAAGGCGCGTCGTCGTGCGCTCGAAGACTTCACCCAGGCCAGCTAGGCAGCACCCCACAGTATGTGCCCAAACGAAAACCACGCGAAGAGCTGTCGTAGTTCCAGCTAAACAGGGCTGCAGAAACGTGCTATAGGCTGCAGAACACTCGTAGCTGCGCTGGAGCATATGAGCGGCCGGTGATCGACGTCCGTCCCGAAAAGCGCATGCAATCTGATGGGCTATTCTGTACAATCATTTCTAATTTACTGAAGGGGAGCCTCAGTGGAAGCATGCTCGGCTTGATGCTGTTCACCTGATGGGAGATTCTGTACAATTATTTCATATTCACACAAGGAGAGCCTCGTACGAAGCGTACTCTGCTTGAAGCTGGTACGAATGCAATGCGACGCACATCGCTATCAACACAGAAACTATTTTCTGTGAGCACCTTTGTTCTTTCGAGCTGGAGCACCGTGGAGAAGGGCACTGTAAGCAAGTTTTGGCTGAGATGGAGACGGGAGGTGGAGCACCGTTGACTAAGAGTAGCGAGGCTGTGGAAGGCGACTTCGTGGAAGATCGTCTTCGGGGAAACGAAGCATTTCGCCGTGGAAATTATGAGGCTGCTGCTAGCTACTATTCAGAGGCTTTGGAGAAGATACGATTAGCGAAAACGGAGCTGCCAACCCAAGACCGTTATCCCTGGAGTCTTGAGGAGGTGTTGATCCGCTGCAATCGAGCACTCGTCTTTCTCAGACTTGCATCCGCTGCCGCGCTGCCAAACGTTGGCTCGAACCGTTTTGAAGAGGACGCGTGCACCGCGGAGCACGAGTCTGAAGAAGCAACTCCGTGTAGCCTCTGGCAAAGAGCGGCGGAAGACGCTTCGGTGGCTCTGGACCTGATTACTGACTTTGAGGATGAAGGTGAGTCAGAAAGGGTCACGGAACTACGCGTCAAAGCACTCTATAGGCGTATGGTTGCGAACAAAGGGCAGAATAACTTCGCGGATGCCGCCAAAGATGCCGAAGCGCTAGCTAAGATTCGGCCTGAGTACCGCTCGGAGGCGGAACTTCTCGCGCAGCGTGCAGCTGCTGAGAGCGAGAGGGCAAAGCAGGAGGCATTACAGAAACTCAAAGAGGTCGGCAACTCGTTTCTCTCTCTCTTCGGCGTTTCGATCGATAATTTTCAGACAAAGCGCAACCCTGATGGGACCTATTCAGTCAGTTACTGCCCGAAAAGCTGATTTCACGCTTTGTCACCCCCAAATGGCGGCTACTTTGGGACAACTCTCTGCCCTGTGCATCAAGTTTGACGTTCATAGAGTACCTGTTTTCGTCTGTGGGAGGCAGACGGTACCTGTGCGTTCGCCACCGTACACAGGAAACTTGCGCGAGAATTGCGGCTAGGGCTCGATGGCCACTTGAATCGCTTACCAGAGTAACCCTACGGATCGCGTTGCTGGATTGGCGTGCGGTTGCTTCCTTTATAGCATTAAACATGCTTGGTCTGCTGCGTTCATGAGACGAGAGCGCTGACCTGGCCCTTGGTCCAGATGACCATCGGGAATCTCTGGCTGATGCTAAAGAGGGAAACTGTGCAAAGTCTTCTTGAGTAGCCGATGGTAACCTTCGAGGTATCCTTCATGGAACGTTGTAAATATGTTTCTCTATCTAGGATGCCAGGAGATGTTCAAGAGTCCACAAACGCGCGTTGAGCGTTCATCGACAACATCACTATGGCGCTCACAGCCATGCGAGACATGCAACTAACATCACGAGCGGCTGCGTCCTGCATATTCGAATGCCTCGTCATCAAAAGCATCCAACAGGGGCCACGATGTATATGTAGATGTCTTCCGTCATTGAAACCGGACTGCAGCTGTTACCGCCCCTCAGAGTGGTGGGTGCATTTCGAGTAGAGGTAAATTCATGCGACCCCAGGTTCTGGTGTCTCTCATAAATAGAAAGAAGGAGCTCATCCTGGGGATGAATAACAGCCGCTATGACCTCGAACGCTCTTTGGCTTGCCTGTGATTAGAACAAGTCTGCAACATTGCAGGGAAAATGAGCACGTTGTTGTGGTGGTGCAGCAAGCCTAGTCTGATACTAAAATAGGTTTCGGACTCGAGCCAATAACAAGCGATAACTGGTACGTTTGCAGCAGACAAACACTGCGGAAGTGTTCATCGCTGCTCTGCAGAGAGGTTCACATCGCAAAGTACTCTGTGATCCTACACCTCTCGACTCTGAGAAGATCAATATTAGACTCTCTTGGCTTCTCCTAATGCAACGGCTTCGAAAAGTGTTCGTAACGAGAGCTTTTCCAAAGCAGAGGACGTGCCGGAGGCTGCACTCACCAATTTTCACGCAAAAGATTCCAATAACTTTTCTAGTTGGACGGGCGACTCATACGATGTTCTCTAAGGTGCTGCTACACTTGGACAACATACGGTGCAAGCAGGGAAAGTCTTTTTCCCAGCATATCTGAAATGCTGCATTGAGGCTCTGCAGAAATCTCAGATCCGAGAGCGTTGAGACTACGCAAGCATCTCAACTCTACAATCCATTTGAGCTCCGAGAGCAGTTCTGAGTGGAAATTCCCTTTCGAATCTGAACACACTCGCTCCAGGCGGAAGACGTCCATCACTGTTCCATCTCGGAAACAAAAGCGATTTCCGCGGCGGACACGTTCAAAAGCGAAGGTAGCCTCAGGCAAAAACCCCTCAACGAAACAGAGGGCATCGACAGGTGGCAAAGTAGTTCGGCAAAAGCGCCGAGCTCTCACAGTCCCCTCGTTCCTCTGCACGGTCCGCACGTACAGGTCTACCTGAGCGGCAGGTTCCGGTGCCTCATTTTCCGGAAGCAGATTGAAACGTACAACAACTTCGGGTTGCGAAAATCTCAGATGCCTGTTCGTGTTGAGGGCGCTCGGTATCCGGTAGAGTCTCTCGAGCTCCGCGAACTCGACGCCGGGGTTTGTAGATGGCGCCAAACGCTCTAAAATGCTCAAAACTGGACCGTAATCTTCTGTTCGCGAAATAAAGCCACGGGCGATCAGCTCGTGAAAGTACATGAACGTCCGCTCGCGCCCGGCGGCTGCACACTGACAGCCAACTGGCAAGGGCTCGAACAGTCGTACGGGCGCTTTCAGAAGCTCCAAAACGTCTCGCGGCGAAGCGGACGCGCGTCTCTTTTGCTTCCCAGCGGGCTGCTCAGGCGACGCTCGGTGCAGCACGCGGTTCCGCTTTGAGGTGTGAGTTCTCGAACACCCGCACGGTGACGCCCTTCTTGTTATCGCTTGTTTTTCTTGTGGGTATTGATCAGAACGATTATACTCCACAGACTCGCGAAAGTTTGCCGGATGATTTAGAATTGGCGTTTCAGGCTTGCGAAAAACGGCATTGGGTGTCCAATGCAGTAATTCTGCGGTCACCAGGTGGATGAATCACCGTTCTCGTAGACCGTATCCTAAACATGCTGCACCATCAATAGAAGTTGACAGAATCTATCTACAAGTCAGTGTTCCCGTCAATCGAATCCGATCAACAAGATCTCTGAGAAAAATACCGTAGATGCCACTGCACATGAAGTTTACATGTCTCTTCTATGAATAGTGATGAAGGAACAAGACTGAACAAAGAGAAACGCACGCTTCTCTGGGAGATCTTTGCGCATTTAACGGCACGCTATCGATTCTATACCGAAACGCAAACGCTGAGTATGAAGGGACGGGTGCACGATTCATTCTGTGGAACGTCATTCTGGAGAAATGGTAGACTTGAATGTGAGCACGAAAAAGGGTAAACTGCTGTCCATGAAGAGGAGACGAGCGAGCATTCCCATAAAATCAGCCCTAGCTGTGCTTGGATCTTGTGGCCACCAACAAATTCTGAAACATACAGAATCGTATGTCACCCCACCCTCCGTCGGGACACTCTTCGTGTCTTCTTCTTTCCACATTTTCCAGTAAAGCTCACGGACAACGTCGCTTTCCATCACTCAACAAGCGCTCAAGGAGTATGTAGCTGAATTAGGCGCTGAGCTGCGCATTGCTTAAGCCTATTCTCCATGGTTCAGTACTGTCGGCGGCGTCTTTTCTGTAGTCGATCGCCACTTTTCCGCTCACGGACCAATAGTCGAATCGCTCGCATCCATGAGCCCGTTCATCACCGAATTGTTCTCTACCCTTACCAGCCCTGTATCGATCTGTTGCTTTTATGCTTTTGCGAGGGAGAGTGCGTATAGACGCGCTTCAGTCCTTGGGCGTGCTCATGACGGAGATGGCCACGAAAAAGCACTCGAACAACATTATATTCATTCAAAAAATATGAGCTTCGGCCCCAGTATCCACCTAGTGCATTCAGGTCCCGAGGAAAAACGAGCGAATATGGCTTTCAGCTCCCATATCTATGCCACCGCATACCGCAACAAGAGGGTGAAGACGAAGAAGGAGGAAAAAACCATGGACAATGAAGAGAGGTGTCCTCCCGAAAAGGGGACGAGGAAGGGCAGGAAAGAGATCAATCAGCGGGGGATTTGTCTGTCTGAACGCCTTGTCAAGGCTAGATACCTAAACACATGCGCGGAGGCAATCTTCCAAAAGGTAAGGTGCAGCAAGCTATCCGTGAGCGTGTAGCTACTTACTCGAGCAATGCTCGGTTAGCGTGTTTCGTCTTGACGCACTCCATCACGCAGCTGAACATCCGAGTTCCGCAAACAAGTCTGCAGGCTGTCCACATGGCTACCTATTTTTTTGATCAAAACTCCCAATAGAAATGAACTGATGCTCGGGACAGACGATGCAAGACGGTTGGAACGTAGCATAAGGGATTTGCAAACAGGGTCTCCAGAACACCTTGACGCCCAGCAATGCTCAGTCGGGTTTTGGAATATCTACGGCGTAGTTGCCAAAAAGTATCAATAAACCTCAAAAGCTATTTGCGGGTTAATCTCGAGCGCTTCGTAAGGCGTACCTCTCGGCGTTGTAGCCTCAGAGTACCGGCCCAGAAAGGAGGGCACGAATGGATGGGATACAGGGAAGTCGTTAGAGGACAATCACGAGCTAGTAGTACCGGAAGGTATACCTCAGCGGGGGCGCGTATCACTTCGGATCGAGCAAGCTCATGCTGTTATTTCAGCCCTCATACCCACAGAGGGCTTGTCTTAAGAATTCATCAAACATAACACCTGCCTTGCGTGCATCTTTCGTTCCCACGTTTTCCTCCAGGAAACCAAGGACAACAAAGCAGAATCCACCCTCGAATCCTCACGCGTCTATTCGACATGGTCTCATACGTCGCTTGACAGCCCAATCATATCTTTGTAGGAATTAGCACAGTGTACTATGGGCGGTTCTCTATATGCCATGGTTCGCCTAAGCATAAAACTTCAAAGCACTCGAACAACCTAGCAATAAGAATAGGTAAAGCTCGTTCAAGGACCCTGCTTTATATAGGAACAAAGTGGAAAGAGTTTTTCGAGGACCACGGAGACCAACAGAATATTCATCTGCATACACTTCTTGATAACTAGGCCTGAGTGATGCAACGGCTCTCATTTTCACTCCTTCAAGTTCCATGAAGAAAGAAAGATTTCGTGAGGGGCGTGGATCCTGGCTCCAAGGATATGATGCCCGCCGCTATACCACTAGAACAAGGCGGTAGTGACGAATATTTGACCGGAAACCGGATGGAGCTTCACAGCTTTTCCATGGCTCGATCTCATGGTAAGTCCGGCACAATGGATGCCAGGATGCAGGTCAAGAAGCGTTATGACAACACAAGGACCGATCCCTAGACTCTGAGCACTGAATCGAGCAAAGTGCGATGCGTTGTTCGCCTCAGTCAGAGAGTGCACCAGCATCCCAATGACTCATGCAGACGACCTTTGGTAGAAGCACACGAGACACGCTCGGGTTGTCAACGGTTTCTGATTTATAAAGGCAAGAGGCATGCAATAACGAACTTGTTCAATGAGTTGGGAACGGAAATGACCGATAAGTCACGTCTTTCTATGATAGCCAATGGCGCTGGACGTAATATAGCACGCATGTGCTGCACCTCTGCTCCATCCACAAGGGCGTACATTTAGTGTAGTAACGATTATGCGCGATATGAATGGAAGGTTTGGGAAAACATCCGTGCATCTCGAGCACGGGTTCTCGCCAAACCCGTTAGAGAATTCCAGCGTGAAACTGACCCGGATGCAAGGGATTGTGTGCGGTAAGATGATCGAACTTCAAATGGGGATGCAATCGGAGGTGAGCGGCTTGTTACAGTGTGATTTCACCAGTGTGCATGTGCGGGAGCAAGTTCTGCACTGAGCCTTCAACGCCCTTTGATAAGCATCCTGGAATATCTCGTGCTTCCGGAGTGTCGAGCGAACTTCTCAGAGCATCAATTAGTACTCAACGTGGGCAATGTACCGAACCACGGAGACTTCCGATGAGAACGTAAGCAGCCAGAACAGAGGGTATTTTCTTGTCGACCCTAGCAAGGCACCGGTAATGTAATGTTCAGCTGTCCAGCGAGTCTTGAGCGCCGGATGAACGCACCGAGAGAGATTTTTCTGAGCAATTGGCGAACGAAGATGATCTTTGCTTTAGGTGATACTGCCGAGAAAATTACCATTGATTCGCAGTGGAAAGCAGCGTTTGGCAACCAGGCCGCCAAAAGCCTGGTACATCTTGGTTGTCACAAATCCAAACGTACCATTTAGAAAATTTGCCTTATCTCAGTTGTTCAGTGTCTGGTCTAGAAATGAACACAACGTGGGAAAAAACGCCGAAATTTGCCCCTTTGAGTTGGAAGCTGGAGCCCGCAGTGCAGGAGAGAATGCCGGAAAACCTTTCCTGAACGAGGTACATCACTGCTGCGGATGCGCCCGCTGCTCATTTCCCACACCACAGACAAATGCTTTTTCTTACCGTTTTCAACCCGATGGGTTTGGATTCAGACGATGTGGTCAAAAACTTAAATTCTTCCAATTCAGTTTCGCTCCCATGTCGCTAAGTGCAATCGAATGCTTTTTCGAGCGCAGAGCAGGAGATCAAAATCATTACGAAATGTGCCGTACAGATAGTAGACGAATTGAATGTAGGATGCATTCTTTACTGAAGAGTGCAACGAGGACGGCATTCCTCTTTCGGGTCAGTCATACCACAATACTCTGATCGTTCAAGAACACTAAAAGAAACAAGTATGTGTGCTCCGCACCAAAGCCTGGAATTGTCAAAGCGTGTTTGCGGTCAGTCGTATAAAAATGACCCGTTGCTCGCCTCAAGGAAAGCAAAACGCGACGACACTAGTCGCCACGGGCGTCTCTGTTTATCAGCAGCTTGTTGATATTGTCTTGGAAACACTAAGATACAGTCGCAAAAAAGTTCAGCTTCAGGCATCGCCATCTTCCACAGGAATCGCGACTACAGCTTTCCTGAAACCGTGCGATAGGTAAGAAGCACAGGTGTGTCGATTTATTTTTTAGTCGATGAGACTCCCCTCGGGCAGAACCGTCGGAGCGTACATGGGTATTCGCGGAGAGGGAGCCTGTTGTATGCAGGGTCGAACTCAAAGAGAACTCCGACATCATCTGTTCTAGCTGCGATGGACTCGTTTGGCGGTCTCAGTATCGCTCATAGTGAAGGCTCAAACAACAGCGCCCACTTTTTCGAATCATTGAAACTTTTTTCCTGACGTGTGGTGACCTCCTTCCCTTGGACGAAATGGTAAATACCATTCCATTTGTGTTCGAGCTTTTGCCAATTCTATCGGGCTAACGTTGCTTTTTTATTCCTTCGAAGTGTCCGTGTTTGAACCCCATCGATGGAGTTTCTTCTATCCGGAAAAGTAACGATCGATCCAGTGGAAGGATCGCCGAAACGTTCAGAACACGTTGACATAGGGGCGCATGTCGTCGTTCTCCCGCTAATATTTCCCCCGCCGTACAGGTCCTCACCTAACGGCATAAACAAGCGCGTTAATTGTCAAAAATAAAAAAAACGCAAGAACAAGTTATGGACGCGGAGGCTGAGGATCCTGGAGGGACGGTGTCGCCGGCTGCCGGAAAAAACGAAAAACAGTGCCAAGCCCGGAGGAATAGGGGAAGATGAAGGAGCAGAAAAGGGAGGTCAGACATCAAAAGCTGCACGGAAGACGACAGTATGACGAGATGGTAGGGAAAGCGTCTCTTCTCGGACACATCAAGAGTTCGTACGAGCAAAAAGTCCAAGAGGCAATCAGAAACCGAGTCGCCTCGTACTCCAGCAGTGTCCGAAACACTTCTTTAGAACTGAGGCATATGGTGAGGGAGATGCATCACGACGTGGCGGACATCAAAACAGTAGAGGTACCGGAAGAATTTTTCAACATGACCTTCATTCTCCGCCTGATGCTTGGCACACGGGAAGCGTCGAGCAGAATTGATTGAGTACACGTCCTACAAGAAAATCACCCCGAGTGCCTTTTCAACGGTACTCGATACGGGGGTGACGGGGATATTTGCACCTACGGGCGACGAAGTATCTCACGAAGCTGAAGAACAATCTGACCATGAAACTCAAAATCTTCATGATACGCGCCACGCTTGCACTGTACCCGGGCCTCTCTCGGAAAGAGAGATGGATCATTGTCGAAAGCATCACGGACGATATCCAATATTAACAGGAGATAGATTTCGTCCACAAGAAGACATCACGCAGGAGAAAGAATGGAGCTTCTGTGATCTCTGCGGCTGTTCAAGAGCACCGTGCAGTCTTGCGGCTAGCGAATGCAGCAGAAAAGGTATCAGCTACGAAAAAAGATAAGAAAAAGTGTTATCCCCTCATCCTGCGCTATTTTGTATTTTTGGACCGTGAACTCGAACGCAAGGTGGAGATGAAGCTGAGTGAGGGCGGAAGCGAAGAGCAGGAGCGACGGAGGGCTGTCGTAATGGGGACGCGCTTCAACGTCGTTCTGTTCCGTAAGATCAAGTGGCGTTTTGTGACAATCGACTCCACATCCCTTTTCGGCATCACGAAGGAGATCTGTCCGGAGTTCGATGTAAGGGTGACAGAGTTCACCGGCGAAAACCGGGAGACGTACTGGAAGAATATCTTCGATTTTAAATGTCTCAAAACGAGTAGGCAGAAGGCACTCGCAGGCATCATCGAGACCGATGGAGTAGCCCTATGTGTACACTGTCGAAGGTTGAAGGCAGATCATCGTGGCCCATCTGCGAGATCGCCCGTGACGAAGCAGGAAGATGAGAAGGAGGCGGATCCTGCGACACAGAAAGTGCAGGATAACGACTTTGTCGTTGGCCTTGACACTGGGAAGACGAATATCATGGCCATCACAGCACCCAAGTGTGCGGAAGATGGCACTGACTCAAACTTACGTCAAAAAGACATGCGTCTTTTAAAGTTCTCGAGAGCGATATATTGCCGAGAATCGGGAATAATGAATGAGAGGAAGAAAACTGAGACATGGAACGCAGGAGTGAAGGAGCATCTGGAAGCGATCAGCCAGCTGCCGAGCCGCGTAGAGAACTTTGAAGCTTTTCAGGAATTCATGAAAGTTGGCGCTGCTCATAACGAGGAGCTGTGAAAAGAGTACACAGGGCTCTGGTGCGCTCGTACGCGTATGAGCCTGTACTATGGGAAACAGCGTGCATTCGCCAACTTCATCAATCAGCTGAGCGCCCTCAAGGCGGACACGAGAAAAATTCTCGTAGTAGCACACGGAGCGGCGCGATGGGCGTCCAAAAAAGGCACACCTGCTCCATCGACGAGAGCGTACAAGAAATGTACACACCGTTTTGTCACAATACTGGTAGATGATTTCCAAACGTCCTGTATGCACTATGAGCTGGGGTGCACGCTTCAGAGGGTCGAGATGGAAAAGTGCCAGCGAAGCCCTGAGGATGTAGAAAAGTACGGAGCGCTGACAGAACAGCAAACGGAAAGAGGGGCACATTTTCGAAGACTGCTCGCACTGGTGAGTACAACGAACTGAAAGAATGGAATAAAGTTCATGAACCATGACATTTACGCTGCTATTAATATCAGAAGATGTGCTGTGCTCGAGACGAGATCCTCAGAGTTGACGAGAGCCAACTTTACGGGGCAACCTCTCAAGGCGGAATTGCTCGGAAAGAAGTTGAATCCAGTTGTGGGTGGCCGGTCGAGAAAGACTGGGATGAGTCTTTAGGTGGCTATTCATTTATCCAATGATTGCGAAACGTTTTTCGTACCATTGACTCTGGCCGCAAATACAAATGGCGCTGTTGCAAAACGCGTTCGCCGCTCACGATTTTTGCGGCGACGATTTCGTTATTTCGTGTTCTGCGCACATCGTATGTTCGGGAAGAGCTATTCGTCTGCTTTCCTTTCGCCCTTCGTGTCTTTTCGCGGGCCTTTGACCTGTGAAGTTTGCAAGTCTTCAGTTCGCCTAAGTCGAAACTGGTCTATACACTTTTCGGCAGGGTCGAGGAAACGTTTGTTCGTGGATAGTTCGCTCCCCAAACTTTTTTGCACCGTGGCGCAGAATGGAGTCGCTACTTATGGTGGTATCCAGCACGCGGGGATCATCGTGAGTGATCTGAACCGTTCGCTCGATTTCTACGTCGGTGTGCTTGGTATGGAAGACGACTCTCACCTCAGAAATCCAAAGTTACCTTTTGGAGGAGCTTTCGTGAAAGTGGGTGCAACTCAAATTCACTTGATGGTGGCAGACAATCTCGAAATACCGGAACCCAGCTTTCGGGAAAACCGACCCGCGCATGGAGGCAGGGACTACCACCTCGCCATGACGGTCGACGCCCTTGAGCCTTTGGAACGAAGGCTACGTGAAAAAGGCATACCCTTCACGATGAGTCGAAGCGGCAGAAGAGCGCTTTTCTGCAGAGATCCTGATGGGAACGCGCTCGAGTTTATTGAGACGCCTGCGCTTCGGACAAGTTCTTCTTGATATGTACCAGCTTTTGGGCTGCGACCTTAATTTCATCCTTTGTCAAGTCGTTCACAAAAGTGCACCGACCAATTTCGTGGTAAATGAGAGGAATCCTCTGCAGCCCATCGCGATGTTCGATCCCATCCATAACAGCCTGCCACATAGTGTCCACGTCCTCGCAGAGTGGATGATAGAATGGAAGTCGGCAGCAATCACGCATAACACGCAGGATGCGGTTCCTTGTCCTGCTATCCAGCCATCCACGGCCTTCGCTGAGTAGGACACAGAAAAATCCATCGATGTTAACCGCCTCTCCATGGCAGAGTTCACCTAAACATTTCATTTCGAGCACTTTGCTAAATGTGTGGCCATAGTCGACACATCGTTCGAGCTTCTGTTCCCAAAGGTTCGGCCCTAACTCTTCAAGCATGATTTCGACACTGAGCTCGATTACACGGTCCGGCACAAACGATTGCTGGAACTTCATACGAACCAAATCTGCTGCGTGCTCTTCCAGAAGAGCGAAGAGCTCTGCAGAGCGAACAAGGGCCAGTTTCAAGATTTCTCCGAGCCCATTAATGATTTGTCTTTCGTCCTGGGTAGCGACGAACGTTTTGTCCAAAAATGATGCGACTGGGGCGTAGAACGCACCCATCCTGTTCTTGAAATGTTCGTCAGTCACAGTATGCGTATAGTCTATTCCAGTTTTGACGCCGACGCTGGCATCAACGATTGCAAGCAATGTCGTGGGCACCCGAATATAGGGAACACCACGCCTATAGAGGGATGCTGCGAATCCCGCAATATCGAGGACCACGCCGCCGCCAATAGCTAGAATCGGTTCCCTACGGTGAAGACCAAAGTCACAAAGGGCATCCAACACTTGGAACACAGCGCCAATGTTTTTATGTTCTTCCCCTCCTGGTAAGACCACATATTTAGATGCTATATTTCGTTCATCAAAGTATGCCTTCAATTTTTCTCCATATATTGCCCAAACGGAATCGTCAACGACGCAAAACCTCCTCGACAAGTTCGCCGGTAGCAAGCACTCACCCAGGAGGGCGTTCTCGGCCCTCAAAAGAGGATCGCATAAATACACCGAGTACTCGATAGGAAGTGGGAAGCAGTTCCTCCAGTGCACGATTTTGGCAATGTTTCCGGCCCTGGGACCTTGGGTTTCCGGAAACTGCTCATCTTTGTAACTGAATACTTCCCGCTTGAAAACGTTCCGCGGTGCACGCTCTAGCGGAACAAACCTCGTTTCCGTGCTCTCGTCCTTGACCAGTGACATAGACCAACACCTCGGCCCTATGCGTACGACGTCAGGGTTTTTTTGCAGATTCGTCTGTTCGTCGAGCACGTTGAAACGCTGTGCTGACCACTACCTAGTTTGGAATCTGCAGCAAGATCTTACCGAGCGTACCATCCCGGATCTAGCCGCCGCGGCAGGTAAAGATGAACTAATCGCTAAGTTCTGCCTTTCGATTTTTTCTGAACTTTTTTAGCTGTGCAGCCAAGGCATTTAAGTGCCGTATTTACCGCTAAAGGTTTTGCACGTAGATTTTGGCTAATCGATCGTCGCTTCGAACTGGCTCCTTTGAGGCGTTGACGCTGGAATTCCTCAAGCCACTGGAATCAAGATGAATCGCCACAGACTGGAAAGAGGGTTTGTATACTAATCCATATCAGCACCCAGTTCATACGGTCCAGCTACCACGCTGCTTCTCTCCTTACGAGTTGCTTGCTCAAATCAAGCGTTCTTCAAGCTGTTGGTTTTTTCTTTGATGGCAACTCGAGAGCGCAGCGATTCGCGCCGCTGGAATGGCGACGAGAAAAACGCGACGCCGTCGCTTGAAGACTCCTTCACAAGCTCATGCCGAAAGCACACTGAACTTGTCACGCCAAATAATGGGTTTCGCTCTGATAAAAATGATCCCTTCTTCGCTTCCATCGATGCAACACCACTCCTCTGCATGATGATGCCGCTCAAAATATTTACTCCGGGAGGCTCCCATCTCTTCTGTTTGCATGGACAGTTGACTTGGGATCGGACTTAAGCTATAGTGGCGATCATTTTCGGTAGAGATTGCGCCACCGCTGGACATGAAGAGTGCGTTGACGAATCCAGATTGGTCGACTTATTCTCCTGGTTGTATTTTCCTCCCGGTACTTGTTTCATCACGGACAACATCACGTTCCACCAACCCTCTTCTCTTTGGTAGACGCCAGTGAACAAAGCATTTATCATCGTATACATTACAACTTATTCCCCATGGTTAAACACGAATATGTCGTTTGGGGACCTTGAAAAGCTGTTTCATGGAATCAAATGCAAGTTTCCATCATAAAGATCGTCCCCGAAACGAACAAGTGCTCGACGCTCATGGCATAGCGACTGCGGCTGCCGCACTCGCCTGCGCAGGTTTTGCAAGAAGTCGCCGACGTTCTCTAATCGTGGATTCTAGAAGAGGCATACCAAAAACGGAAAATAATGCATTAAGGATACGGATTAATGACCTGTTTATTAATGGAGGCACGCAGCCCGTACAAACCAGGTATGCCAGGGAAACAACTGTGAAAGACTCGCCAAAAGATCCCAGCTGGTTTCGAAGAGAGCTGTTTGTCGCTCGCAGAGAATGTGGCAGCACCATACGAAACGCGTTCCTACAGGAAGATTACTGCTTCGGCGTTCTCTGGGACGAGGAGCTGTTCTCATCGCTGCTCTGCGACACTATGATCATAAAGGGATACCTCGGAACGTAGTTGCTGTCGCCGGAACAGACAGCTGGCGTCCAGGAATATGTTTTTTTTCGCACCATGCTCCAGCGATGCGCTTACCTCACCATCGTAACCGCAAACATCATGTGCGGCGGGATTCTTGTAAAAGTCGGGTACTTCTTAGAGGCGTTGCTGACACTTACGGCCTTGCATGTCCTCACTCTGCCGGAGCGCATACCGGAAACACCTCATGCGCTCAATGCTTCCATCGACGCCACACGCACATCGGCTTCCAAGTTGAACGGGTTTGCGGATGTCGAGATCCTCACTCGCATGGTGACTCATAATGGCCTGGATAAAACAAAGAAGTATGTAGACAGAAAAGTACGTACGTCGAACTTGAAAAAATTAAGAATTCAACCCGATGGGCACATGAAGGTCCCGATTACGGGGAGGAGAGAGAGCGGCGACACGGTCATTGGCCTGGGCGGCATGGACGCATTCTTCACAACGGGAGCTGTGCTGAAGCCCATTGGCTCGGAAGATATGGAAAGCGTGATGCAACTCTACGGAATATCCGAGAAAGACGAAGACACCAAGAAGAAGATAGACCTGCAACCTGCAAGTAACCGTCCAAGAAAGCAATGATGCTTCTGTAGATGGAGTGGTTTTCCAGAACTCCTGATGGCAGAGGCCTCCATCTTTTCCGAACACATCTCTGGTTCGCTGGTAGTATCGCCTCGCTTTGCGCCTTTCTTGCTTTATTGTGAAGAGGCTTGCCAACGCAGACAGGGTGCGGATGCGTCCGATGGAGAACGGAAGGTGCGGCGTAGAAGAGGTGCTGATCGACGACCTGGAGTTTATGAAGCAATATTTGGAGCCTTTTTCTGGAGCTTCTCAGGCAATCTTGAACCGTTTGAGAAAGGAAAAGCTCTGTCAGATAAAGCAAGGTGCGAAAGAGAACGAAAAAATGAGGAACAGGAGTCTGGCGGTATATCGAGGAGACACGGTGCTCTATCGAGACCGATCGCGTGATTGTATCCATTGCCATCGATAGCGAACGTCCCACGCGCTCCATGACCCGTCAGAACTCAAATGCACCACTAGTTAGAAGAGGACATAGCCGAGGGGAAACAAGCCGTACAGAAGTATAGCGCTGCGAATTTACTCCCCAATGCGATCTGCACAGGCTTGACCTCATGGAGTGCACATCTCCACACCAGCGTTTCTGTCAGCACCGAATTCGAGTAAATCCTACTTTGACAACCGACAACGCTTTGAAGACAAGAATTTCGAATCGCCTAATTTGCACTTACAGCTGGGCGTCCAATTCGCGCACCAATTGTCTTCGTCTCAACGAAACCGGGCAGGTAAGAGAACGGTACGTCGAGCGACGGAAGCAGTAGGGAGGCTCAGAAGCCTTACCCGCATCAGCTTGTGTGAGTGGAACGTGTGGACACGATGCCTGCAAGTGGCCAAGGCACATCGATGCCCGCAACGCTCAACGTTACGTTGGGTTGTAGAGTTTGCAGAAAACGAAGTGGGTGCAAGGAAAGGTATGGCGAGTTCTCCAACGGGAAGCGTCTATATGCGCGTGCAGCGGACAGGCTACTCGCTGAGCGCATCGCGCGCGAGAAGTTCGTGATCATAGCATACGGCACCGGGTGCGGAAACGGCGGATGGCATCGAGAAGAACCTTCTGAACCCGTGAAAAGTGTGTACCAAGAAATGAAGCAAGCTTTTACGCTGTACAGTGCGGCCCTCGGAAAAAGAGATGTTTTTAATATGAGGACAATTGACCGCGGTGCAGTTTCTGTGCTACCAAAGGTACATCGTGGCTGTATACACAGAAGACGAAAATGGCGAGCGAAACGAAGATCGCATCTGCCGCCTGTGCTCGAAATGAGTTGACGAAAGCTACAAGCAGCGAACTCAGGATCCTAACGCTGCCATCGACGACTGCCAACTGCTGACAAATAGCTGGACGGAAAGGAGTGATCAGCGGATTTATAACCTGGTACAAAAAAGAGGAAAGAGTAGCAAACGCAGAAAAAAACCCGAAAAAGCTGGTGTTGGTGGCATCAGGAGGTTAGAAACTTTAGTGTGTTCGTCCGAAGTAGAGGATCCGTTCCATTTTATTCTCACATTGATGCGCATGCGTGCCGTAGCGATTCCGTATTTTGAGTGTTTCGGAATTTCTTCAAGATCCAGCTATCCTCATTTGCACGATAGCTATCGGTATGCTTAGCGGCTTGTTACACCACTGCGGCGTCGGGTCGCGTGGCGCCGATGATCCAGCACTCCGCAATTCAATTTGCCGCAAGTCGTAGCGTCCGCAGATGCGCGAGCGCTGTCCTAGCAGACGCCCACCCCGATGGATCTCTGCGAACGACAGGCTTTTGAGCCGAGCACGTCGCTCGCTGGACGATGAAGTGCCCTTACTTGCTATGTAGCTCACGACTCGAAGGAACCGAACTGCTCGCTGAGCTACTCGATGGAGAAGAAACCTACCGTTTTCGAGCGCTCGTGCGGGACCCCTCTAGTATCGTTTTGGAGAACTGTGACTTTTGGATCGCAGCCTCCCAGACTGAGGTTCTGTTCGTAGACGCGGCTGAGGTCAGCGCTGCTCTTGCCGATATCAGCTACCAACCGGGTGGCAGTTGCTGGAATGAGATAATAGGTGCAGGTGAGTCGTCGACGGACCTGTCTTCGGTGTCAGCGGCTTCCGTTTCGAGGCTTCTCAGCAGGGTGCGCCACTTTTTACGACCGAGCACTCATGAGGCGGGTTGCTCTGGAACTTCAGTGGAGCAGGCAGCCAAGCAACCCCAAGAGGGGGTATGTACCGCAAAGCGCAAAGTTGTTCTCTGCCAAATCCCTCTGAGCTTTGTCTCGCAGAATGCAACTTCCAGTATTAGTAATGAGTTCGAGTTTCGCACCAGACTTGGCAGAAAACTGCCACTTCTGTCAGATTCTACCCTGCTTCATGTGTTAGCGGAATTGGAATGGTTCATATACCGCGAGTTCTACCCGCAGTGCCCGGTTTTCACAGATGAAGTTCCAGGACATTTCGATAAGCATGGGCACTTCTTCCCCATGGATACCTTCGCCGTGATTTGGGTTCCTGATACCAACTCTGCTATTCGCATGCTAGAGCAGTTTTCAAGTGCGAAACTATCTTGCAGGGTGCGAGAGAGTGAAACTCGGGATCATCAGCAGTTCCTCGACTGGCGTTTCAGGGCGCTGATAGTTCGGTCGAGAACAGCACGACCCGAAACAGCAGCAAATCGGGCCGACGATAATAATCGGACGCTTAAGATTGATAGCCGCACTCTAGCGAAGACACCAGGAATAGGGCTAAGGCGGCTCAGGACCCTCGAAGAGCAACCTGTGCTTATACCGTTCCGACTCCTTGAACGAGATACGGATGAAATAGATCAACTCACAGAGGAGGAAATGATAATCATCGTAGGTCTGCGCCGTTTCCTTACTCAGAACCTTTTTCCTGAAGCCGAATCAGCCACATCGCTTCTGCATCTCGATTTCATCTCCCACAGAAGACTGTGGTTTGAGTAGCGCCCAGCAGAACGCCGCAGATCGTGTTAGTCAATGGCAGACGAATTCCGTTTATATATTTATCCCTGCGACTCAGCGCAATCGTTGGTCCTCGAGCAAGATAAAATAGAAGCGACGCACCGATTACCACAGCTCCAGCTTCTGTGCGAACATCGGCTCGGGCTGGAGCTCGCCACGTGCGCCTCGAATGCCCCGCGATCGGGGGCTATGTCGTATGAAAGAGAATTCGATTGCCATCTGCCAACACGATACAGGAAACGGCATACCGTTCTAAATCTGAGTGCGTGCACGTCAGCGAACGTGCTCCGAGTGGGATTTTCCAATCGGCTAGAGAGCTGCTTAGTGGAGAGCGCAGTATGTGCGCTCTTGAATGCAGTCGACTAACTTTGGTTTCGGTAACGATGCACCCGGTTCGCAACCATGGGATTTGATTTATACAAGGGTGCGGGAACCCTGCGAGCATGCTGCTCCGACTTCCCCTCGTTCCTTTGGCTGTAATCTGCAGAAACGATCTTCTCACCAGTTGCTTCCTCATACTTGGCAATGCAAACTTCGCGAAACTCGCGCGGGTCTGTCTCCCAGAGGCCCGCGGCTTGCACGTTCAGCGGGCTTTCAACGTTGGGCTCATCGAGAAGAGACTGTATGCTTAAGAGAATAGTTTTCACGGTAAATGTTGAGCTCCAGTGCTCCTTGAGGATATCGAGGCATATGGTCCCGCTCGCATAGTCTATGTTCGGGTGGAAGCAACGAGTAACAAAAGTGACCGTTGGTGGCGAAAATGGATAGTTCTGCGGGAACTTGAGTGCCAGATGGAAACGCATACCTGAATATGGTGAGTGCTCGGTGCCACGAATCGTGCCTCTCCAGGTCAATATGTCGTCAGACTCAGGAAAAGCGGATACGCCCGGTACGCTTTCCAACATAAGAGACGACAGCTCTGACTGCAAGCGCTTCGCTGCTCTTCCAAACTCGATTCGAGTGTTTTGCGAACTGCATGGTATTTCCTGACTGCTCATTAGGAAAAATCCTGGTGCGCTAGTGAGAAAAAGTAAGACGCCTAAAGTTGTGCTCACATAACCCACTGCAACGTATGTACGTAAACGTAGCTGTTTGAGCTCAGGGCCAGGCACAGAAGCGTAACGGCTCTCGATCTTGGTAAATTCGGACACAGCAGCTGCGGCCACGGAACGGCCGTCGCTTGTAATCTTTCAACTCAATTTTGGTTCACCATCGTTGCGGGGTGGAGAAGGAGACAGAAATCTCTAATGAATGTAACATTTAGATCGTAGGCGAATTACCTATAGGATATATGCTCTGTTGAAGAGTGCAAGGAGGACTGCCTTGCCCCTTCAAGTAAGCCATACCACAGTGCGCAAATGTTTGAGGAAAACTGAAAGAAAAACGTGTATGCGCTCCGAGCCAGTAACCGATATTCTCGAAGCGTGCTTGCGGTCAATGGTAGAAAACGATATGTTGATCACTTTAGAGAAATCAAACCGTACGATGGTAGCGACCACGGGCGTGTCTGGTACTCAGCAGCTTGTTCGTGTGGTCCTGAATACACAGGGATACAGTCGCAAAAAAGTTGAGTTTCATGCACCACCATCTTCCACCGATATCGCAACGACAGAGTTACTGGGACGTCTCGATCGCTGGGAAGCACAGGCACGTCGGTCCGTTTACTTAGTCGGTAAGACTCCGTTCGGACGAAACGGTCGGATTGTATATGGGTATTCGCATAGAAGGCGCCAGTTGTATATAAGATCGAACTCCAAGAGAAAGATTTCATCATCTGTTCTAGCTGCAGTGGATATATTTGGCGGCCTCGGATTCTCTCGCAGAGAAGGCTCATGAAATAGCACCCACATGATCCAATCATTGGAGACTTTTCCCTCACATCTGCTGATGTGCTTCTACTGGACAACCTGGCATTTCACGATTTCCGTTGCGTTCGAGCTTTTGCGGATTCTATCGGGGGTAGAGCTACTTTTCATTCCTCCGTAATGCCCATAGCTGAACCCCAAAGAACGAGTGTTTTTCATAGTGTAACGTAATGATCGCTCCATTATGCGAACCTTTTTGTTTGAGAAATCGTTTTAGATGGCCATGGTCACTAAATTGCGGGATGAGTTGTGGCATTGTGGAAAGCGTCCATCATGCTGCGCTCCACCTTCAAGTTTCATCACCCATATTTCCTCTCGGGTGTACTGGTCGTTACGTGCGTTCTACCGCGCGCCGAGCCTGCCGTGAGCACCCACAATAACGCCTACATGGATGGTACGGATACAGCACGGAGACAAAACGGCTTTGTCATGGCACAGAGGGCGTCGGCCCAAGGCGTGGTGCACCCGATACGGAATCGGATCATAGAATCATTTTGGAGCATGCAATCTGCGCAGACAGACCTACTGCATGCGGCAGCGCGAAAGAGCTGTGCTAGGAGACCACTTCCACCAGGGCGATACCTGGATACACCCTTGCCACCCTTATTCCCAGAATAAAACGCATTCCAGATGAGCCGTTCAGGTCTCGGCACTGCGACCGCCACTGTAGAGGCGCACGGAGTGCAAGCCCGGAACACTCGTCCGTCTCGCGGGACCTTCCGGCTTGAAGACAAACTTTCTAAAATAAGGGAAACACTTTTCCCTTTCAACGCGTGCCGTGAAGATGAAACGAAATTGTTATAGAGTTGCTGGTTATTGGATAGTTTCTGTTCTTTTAGCGCAATTGTAGCTCGTAGGTTGTTGTTTCGCGTGGTGTATGTGGTCGTAGGTCACTGCCTGCGTGCTAGAGGCGCGATCGCTGTCTCTTTTATTCGTATTGATCAGATTTAGCTAGCCTTGTCCATTCGTATCCGGCGTCGCGGATGCGCCGTCATTGCTGTCGAGACACGCTCTAGTCTTTTCTGTAGTTTCTGTGGAATAGAAACTAGACGGTATACCATGACGAGCAAACTACCTGTGTCCGTAACTCGCGCTGCGGTGCAGGAAATGTTGCGCGAGTCAAGGGAGGAGCGCAAGAGAAACTTTGTCGAAACGGTTGAGCTTCAGGTTGGTCTGAAAAACTATGATCCACAGAAAGACAAGCGTTTCTCTGGCTCCGTCAAGCTGCCGTACATTCCCCGACCGAAAATGAAAGTGGCAGTTTTGGGAGATGCTGCGCATAATGCACAGGCAGCAGCCCTTGGCATAGACTTTTACGACCTCGAGAAGCTCAAGCAGTTCAACAAACAGAAGAAACCGATCAAAAAGTTTGCCAAGTCCTATGACGCCTTTCTGGCGAGTGAGTCTGTAATACGTCAGATTCCAAGGGTTCTGGGGCCTGGATTGAACAAGGCAGGCAAGTTTCCGACTCTCATCGCCTCAAATGAAACTGTAGAGGCGAAGGTTAATGAGGTGAAAGCCACGATCAAGTTCCAGCTGAAGAAAGTTCTCTGCCTCGCGGTGGCTGTGGGTAACGTCCAAATGACAGAGGATGAACTTGTCGCCAACATTACACTGGCAATCAACTTTTTAATCTCTCTTCTTAAGAAGCAGTGGCAGAACATCAAGTCTATTCACGTGAAGACCTCCATGGGCAAACCACATCGGTTGTACTAGGGGCATCTTTTGCGGTATGCCCGATACTCGCGAGCATTTCCTTGTCATCGTGGCTTGAAATAGAGCTCCGAATGGAGCCTGCCCGCTGGTTTCCGAGAAACATTGCATTCTCGGTCCTTCTTTACAGTGAGCAGCGAGTCCGGCTCTGCTCGGCTTTTCAGACGAAGACAGAGAGAAAATCGAGTAAAGCGTAGTAGTGCCGAAGTGAGAAGTAGAGAGTGCAAGGTTTTCTTCTAACCGTCAGGCAGCAGGAAACTTATGCGATCCCACAATGTTCCAGATTGACTATTTTCTCGTAATTCCGCGGCGATAGGTTCTGGTGAGCGTCGACCGCGCCAACGGAAAACGAGCAACTTCTGCATGCGTGCCAAGCAACAGCCTCCCATGGAAGGAAGCTGTCTGACGCTTTCGCTGCCCCTTCGAACAACTCTTGGGCGCAATTGCAAGCGTCTCTGTGAACGAATTTTCCCAGTCCAACGGACGCCTGCGACGTTTGAACATCCAACTCGGGTGAACGCCATCTGTCGACGACCACGTTTTCGAACACGTTCGCGTCGATGAAAAGGGTGAACGCTTGTGTTGGTACCGCGAAAGGTACACGTTAATCATTAGCAGGCTCATCCCCTAGCTAACCTGCGGACGCTGAGAAAGATATCAGATCCTTAGCACCATTTCACGCGAAAAATCATGGTGCACGCCTCTGTTGGGGAACTTTCGGTAAACCGCTGTGAGAGCAAACCCATGTAACGCACTAACCAAACCGCTCTATGTCGCGCGGTGGCGGGAACTCTGACCCCTCTGGAGGTTGGTTCAGTCTACGGTTGGTTGCGCTAGTCATTTCACGTCGCAGCTCAACGAGCAGTGTCTCCAGCGTGCAGTCCGGCGTCCAGTTGTGCAGAATGCCACAACGCGTCGGATCGACCTGGCCTGTTGCGCCGTTCACACAGCTTATATTAATACGAGTGCGAAAGAAAACAACAGGCGGTTTTGTCGGATAGTCTGGCCCGCAGTAAATCCGAAGGTTGTAGATTCGATTCTCAAACACCGTGTTGAGTGGGCCCAAGATCGTGCCAGTCCAGTTCGAGAGCGTCATGTCGTCATCCACAAGGCCATAGCTGACGCACACGTCTCCAAGCCCGTGTTCCCCTTTCTCGAGCTCTTCGAGTAAACGAAAGTTCCTAGGAACTTTAACATCTGCGTCACGCCCGTACATGGCACGAGTGCAACCCGAGACTATTTCGTGCAATGCGGCCAAGCGGTTGCAGAGCTGCACAGAACTGCACGACGGGCGAGTCGTCGCGGGTGTTTAGTAGGTTTGGAATCGATGGGAAACATCGAGGGCGGCAGCATCCAACAGAGGCAGCGATCGCGTCGATCTTTTTTCTTTGACAGAATATTTACATAGACTATGGATTCCAGATTGCCGGATGGGTCTTGGCTTTCGGGAAAGCGTCCATCACGCGGCACCTTAACTCCAAGTTCCATAACCGATACTTCTTCTTGGACACACTGGTCGCTTCATACATTCTGTCGCGTGCCGAGTACCTGCTCTGGGCTCCAGCGAAAGCGCCCATACCGCTGATGCCGATGCAGAACGGAGATAGAGCGGCTTTGCCATACTGCTGAGGCGTCGGACCGAGGCGTGGTTCATCCGACACAGGTTGGGATTCATTATCATTCTGGGAGCCTGGAAACTGTACAGACAGACATACTGCCTGCGGCAACGCGAAGCGATATACTAGGAGTCCACTGCGACCAGGGCGACATCCAGAGGCAGCATATCAGCTCCGAGTCCCAGGATAACTTGCATTTCGGACGAGCTGCTCAAACTTCATCACAGCTTTCGTCACTGCAGATTCAAACGGAGCGTAAGCCCGGCAGACTCGTCCGGGTCGGGGGATCTTCCGCCTAGAAGGTAAACTTTCGAATATACGGAACCCTTCCCTCCCTTTCAACGCTTACTGTAGAGGCGGGAAGAAATCGTTATCGGGCAGCTAGTAAGTGTTTAGTTTCTGTTCTTGCTATCCTTGGCAAATTGACACCCACCCGAAGACGCCTCGCAGCCTTTTTGGCCGCCCTCCTGCCATTGGCTTCAGTTTTTCTCTTTGCACCAAGTCCCTGAGAGGCTGCCTTACAAACTCATATCGCCTAAGCTCCTGTAGTCTCGTATACAGCACCACATAGCGTATGATGTTGGTAGCAGCGTAAAGTCTCGCTTCACGTACTCCATGCGTTTATTGCCTCTGATAGAATTCACCTTTGGAAGGACTCCCAGAACTCATGCTGTATATGCTACAACAGCCTATTCATTGTTCTGTTGGAGGAAACACCATTTCTAGCTAAACTTCTGTTTTCTTCTTTGTCACTTGTCCTTCTTCGCTCGATGGTGGGCGGGCGGAGGAGTTTTTCGTTGTTTTCCGGCAGCTGGCGATGACGGCTCGCCAGGATCCCCGACTTTCATGTCCTTAATTTTCCCTCGGATTTTTTTATTCCTTCAAATAAACGCACCTTTTTATGCCCTTAGGGGAAAACCCTCCCGGAGAGACAGGGACTTGCGGAGGAAAGACGAAATGTGCCCTGGTGTCACCGTGTGCTGAACGCTTCATCAGTACGCCCAGTGGAGCGCTCATTACGTTTCATGATAGAAAACACTCCTGGACTGGGATTAACCAAGGAGCGTACGAAGGAGTGAAAAGCAGTTCTACCCCAACCGCATCTGCAAAAGCTCGAACGCAAGGGGAATGGTGAAACGCCACGTTGTCCAACAAAATGACGCCGCCAGACGTGAGGAGGAAAATCTTGAATAATTCGACGAAAAGGGTCCTGATGTATGAGCCTTCTTTATAAGCGAAACTGAGGCCGCCATATGCATACACTGTACCTAGAACAGATGATAATGTCGTCATTCTCTTCGTGTTGGATCGTACATACGCCGGGCTCCCGCCCAGCAAATACTTATGTACGCTCCGACCGTTTCATCCGAAGCAAGCCACATCGACTGAAATACACGGGCGTTGCTCAGCTTCATACCGATCGCAACGTTCTAGGAACGCTTTCGTTGCGATTTCCGTGCAAGATGGTGCTGAATTAGATTGCCTTTTCTTGCGACTGTGTCCCAGTGTTTTCAGGATCAAGCGAACAAGCTACTGAGTAACAGAGACAGTCCTAGCAGCTCCTATCACAGCTTTTGCTTTCCCTCAAGAGATCAACGGGTTGTTTTTGTACCATTGACCGCAAACATACTTTGGCAATACCAGTTTTCGGCGCGGAGCAGATCTAGTTATTTCTTTCAGCGTTCCTCTGCCATCAAAGTAATGCGGTATGACTGACCTGAAGGAGGCATGCAGTTCCCGGTACACTCCTCAGTACAGAGTGTACCATACAGGCAACCCGTCTGCGGTATGTAGGGTGCATTGCATAACGATCTCGATCTCTTGCTATAAACATCGAATAAGCATTCAATGATACGCAGCGGGTACGGAACAGCATTGCGTTGAACGACAGGAAGTGCAGCTATGCCAAGCGTCGTCGGACTTCGCCACAGGTCCGGCTGCTCCAGGCTCGCGTCGGACGCACTGCGCGCGGATGAAGATCTCGAGGTGGCGGTCGCTGGACGGTCGCCGCATGAAGGCTGTGCAACTGCAACGAACGCTTTCCTCGCACGCTGCGGAGCAGCCTCAGCCGTCTTGGCTCTGAGACGCCTTGAGCAGGCCCAATATGGCCATGGAAGGGGACTGGGAAACGTGGGAGCTTCGAGCACCGAGCTGCTGGCCTCCAGTACTGGAGGGTCCGACTCGAGGCCCCAGCGAGTGCGCGGACGCCGCGCTCACGTGCTCGACGAGCTCCAGCGTTTCTACTGCGGCGGAGGCTACCGCGTGGAGAGGCTCCACGACACCGCTGAGTTCCTCAACGACTCCCTTAGAGGACAGCACCGCGGCTAATGCGAGTGTCGAGGCTCAGAACGACTCGAGTTGGGCTTCCGAGAAGGCTGGAAGGAAAGAGACGCGCTCCCTGAATACGGAGGTTGTAGCTTTTCCCTTCTATGTTATTATGCACTGGTACGCCGAAGATGGTGGGGATGTGGCAGCTGGGAGTTCTGTAGCAGAACTGGTGCGCTTCAGCGTAGAGCAACCTTCGCGCACTGATGAAAGCGTTAAAGTCGTACTTTTTGAGACAGAGCACAGCGGGCAAGGTCCTGTTTCGACCACGAACGGCCAATCAGGTCTAGTCACCAGAAAAGGCAGTGGACAGGAGCCAATGTTTCGCGTAGGCCGAGCTCACCTGCCTTCCAGAGTGAACGGTACTCTGAAACATTTGGCGGCACAGTTACCAACTGATCTTGCACAGAAATTAGCCTCGATTATGGAGTCCGAAAGCGACAAGGAACAGCTGTCTGAGGTCATACGTGCGTGCGCGTTCTCACCTGCACGTGTCGAACCTGGCCAGGTTATCGGCACTGTGCAGTATTGCACACATTCGACTGTTTACCGCGGTATTTGCGTCAACTGCCAAAGGGACGTGTCAAGCGAGGCTCGCGCGGTACCCACGGTAGCGCGGCCTCAATCACAAGAAAGTACCACTTTTTCGTATGGTCCCAGCATGGGGCATGGTTCTTCGTTTAGACGTGTCGCCTGGATGGAGGATTCAGGTAGCGATATCCTTCGATCCAGTCGAAAATTCCACATACCGGTTGCCTACCAAAACCATCAGCTCAGCGTTTCGCTTCGTAAGGCCGAAGAACTATCAGAGGAGAATGCAAGACGCTTGTTGCGTCAGCGCAAATTGCCGCTTGTGCTTGATCTAGATCACACACTAGTCCACGCAACGAATGACCCGAGGGCTCGAGAAATTCTGTGCGTTCTGTCGAGCACGCTTCACGCCTCGTTACAGCTCACGGGGGCGCTAAGCGAATGGGAGCGAATACTTCAAGACCCGAGCGCTCCCATTGCGGAACGTCTCCTCCGGGAGCTGACTAGGATGGACAGCCCCAACCGGGTCGTATCCAAGGTCTCCGCGGATCGGGCAGACTTGAACGCTACGGAGCAATCTGCTGCAACCGTAGATAGGCTTCTGCAAAACCTGTTCCAGCGACTTGGGATCTTCGCCTTTGCAATCGGCAAAGACACCTCAGCGTCAAGGGGTTGTGCACCATTGGACAACACCACTGACGCGAAACTGGTTCCATTCTGGAGATGGTGGCGGACTGACCCGGCCTCCCTGCAGCAAACGAACAGCTCAAAAGGAATTGGTCAGACAGCAGATGCGAATACGTCTCTTTATTACATCAAACTACGTCCCGGTCTGCATGAATTTCTCAGAACGATCGCGGATCGTTTTGAGCTTCACATTTACACGATGGGCTCGCGACCATATGCGGACACTGTTGCTTCTATAATCGATTCGGATGAGCGGTTGTTCCAGGGCCGGATAACCTCAAGAGATGACTTTGAAGATGGTCGGCTGAACCAGAAGAATCTGAAACACGTGTTTCCCTGTGACGATTCAATGGTTCTAGTTGTTGATGACCGCGAGGATGTTTGGGTCGCTCAGGATCAGTCTTTGCACGGACGCCATTTTCCGAATCTCATTAGAGCAAGGCCATACTATTTCTTCCGCGGACTCGAAGAGACCTTTCAACGAGAACAGCACACAGCAACCACTGACATTCTTACGAATACTCATGATCATTCGGACTTGAGCCTGATCGTTGATGGGGATCCTGCCCCATCTCGTGAGGGTGTACTCTTGTCTGAAAATTCGCAAAACAGCCCGAGCTCTGCAGTGAAGAGCGCCCTATGGTTTCTGCAGCAGTGGATTGCTGCTGATCATCAGGATCACAGCCATCTCCGACGGCTTGCGGAAATTCTAGCCGAATGCCACCAGCGATTTTTCACCCTCTACGACCAATATGTAGCATCTGGGATCGAGCAGCATCCGATTGCAGCGAGTGAGTTGGACCCGAGCACTTCAGTGTCCAAGTCTGATCAACTGCAATCGCTTTCGATCGAGTATCCTCGGCAGAGGCTAGCCGAGGTAGCACATGAGCGAGACGTCTTCGAGAAGGGATCACGGATACAGCGACTCAGGCGACATTCAGACTCCGTAACTGCACGTTATCCGGATCAATGTCCACTTGAGCGACGCACCCTCGACGGAAATGTAAGCGAGGCTGTCTTGCAGGCAAACGCACCGCAGCATGAGCCAACACAAGAACGCTCGTCCTCCGATCCGGCGGTTAATGCCTTATCAGGATCACCCCTCATTGCTTCCTCCAAAGCAGAGGGATCATTTCTCCCGGGCTCCTATTCGACCGTGGCTGATATCCATGGCTACAAAGCACGAGGAGGCGAACTACTGCAGCGCACAGGCGCCGCCGTCAATGCGAAAGCCTCGAATGCTTACGATGGCGACTCGGAACCAAACATGCATACGTTTCCATCTTATTGCGATAACCAGAGTCCAAAGGGCACTTCGACAGAGTTGTTCCTGACGAAGGGCCCTTCCAAAATGCCGGACGAAGGGGGCTGCGCAGTCTATCGTGGGACATCCGCCGGGGCGATGCAGATGATGGTTTGGGACCGCCACGAGAAACGGACCAAGTCGGGTACCGACTCGCCGCTCTCCGCTGAAACCGGAATGCGCATGTTGCCGGCTACGTTTGAGGTTCAAGAAGCGACGGGCGCAGCACGGATTCTACACGCAGAAGATGCCAACCTTGCATTTACGTACGATTTAGGAACTGGCGGTGCGAAGGATTATCCCAGCAGCATTCTGGGAACTGACGGCGGTGGCGAGTTTGCAGATGGCAACCAAGCTAGTTCCGTGGTTGTCGAAGCTCGAAGCCTTCATGTCGCAGACTCTGATGGTGCGGAAGACGAAAATGTTGACGACGACGACGATGACGACGAGAGTGCGGCGATAGCGTCACCGTCTCCAGCGCCGACTGTGCATGATTTCACTGCGGCTGCGGACGTCGCCGAGGAAGAGCGCGACCCAGGCCTCAGTTTCTCCACAAAGGGCGATCTCTCTGAACAGAGCCGAACTGACGGGCTTGGCGATACGCCGACGCCCATAACACAGCGGTCCTGGGACAGCATGGTCGATAGGAATACGCCTGCACAGGTGGAGTCTGGTTCCACTTTTTTGCTGATATCACAAGCCCTCGGAGGGGAGTCTTGTGCGGATGGCAAAATCATTCGCCGCTCTCGACGACTCTTGGAGCAAAGCCTGAAACGTAGCAACGGGGAGAGCGGCAAGCAGAGTGCTGACTCGGGTTCGACTGCGTGGGCAACGCTGGGTAGTGCAGTGGGTTACACGCGAACCGGAAGAAAACGGAATCTTTCGGCTTCCAGAGAGATGAACACGGGCGGAATTGCATTGAAAGATAGCGTCTCAGAACGAACGTCTTTCACGATTGATCCGAACTGTGAAGGAGAAATTGGGCGATACGACAAGCCCACAATAGCTGACTCGAGTGAGCGCCAAAGTGTCGCGCCGACGAAGAAAACGCGGAACCGCTTTCCCGAGCGAGCGAGGGAGCAGAGGCGCTCTCCGTCGCCTGCAACGCAACTCCGTCAGAACCTGCTGCGTCGCACGGCAGCGCTGGCGCTCGCTGAAGGCGATGAACAAAACCGTATCACCAGTGGTACCCTGGCGGAGAGCAGCACCACGCAAAAACCTTCCCCTGGGTCTAACCCGGAACATGATGGAGCAACACGTCGCCCGCGCAGAGTACTTCGTCCTCGCTGCCATCCAGAGGCGACGCCGGAGTCGCGCTCGACACCACCAGTGCCTCCTCCGTCAGGAGGTTTGGATCCTGTGAAGCGCGGGAAGGCGTATACCGTGAGCGCTTCGCTTCCACTCTGGCGACCGCCGGCGAGCATCAAAGATATCCTCGCTGAGCTGCGGCGCTCTGTTTTGACTGGCTGCGAGCTGTGCTTTACGGGTGTGTTTGCCAAGCATGCTGGGATGGCTCCTGAGGATCACGAGCTGTGGCGCTTAGCGGTTCGTTTCGGCGCCGTATGCCATCGGGAGGTACTTCCGCAGGTTTCCCATCTTATTGCTGATCCGCAACGAGGCCGCGATACACTGAAAACCCAGACTGCTAGAGCAATGAATAGCGTGTTCATTGTGAAACCCACTTGGTTAGTCTGTTCTGCGGAGGATATGCGCCGCGCCAATGAACTGGAGCATCTACTTGATGACGGTGAAAGCGCTTCTGCAACATTCGCTGGGGATTCTGTTGCACAACGCGCATCGGGACAGGATGGATCCAGCATCTCTAAGCTTGTGAACTTGGAGGCATACCGCGCGCAGATGGCTAGTCTTCGTGCCGAGCGCTTGCAGCACGGCTTGCACGCTGTTTCCCCTGCCTCCGAGGCAGAGGAGGGGCGAGAGTTTGCACAGGAGCACGTCCCTTGGAGGACGGGGCACATCCCGGACTCCTGTGATGACGGAGAAGCTCCCTGCAACAATGTTGGGGAGCGAGACCTCTCGGGGGCGTCACTTGGCTTTCCCAATCACCGGCAAGCAGAAGCCCTATCGCCAGATGCAGAGGATGCCTGTGATTCCCTTCTTGAGCGTGAGCTTGAGCACTGCATGTGCGGCGACACGCGCACAGATCAGGGCCCGCAGGCGTGATCGGGGCACTTGAAAGAGCGCGATAAAGAGCGGTCCGAATAACTGTGCTTACTTTCCGCTTTGTGACCTTCTGCTGGGCTGTTCGTGGTGAGGTATTCTTATCTGGATTGGACAGATGACCCAGAAACCCTCCAGTATGCAACCTTCGACAACTTGAGAGATTTAGTTATGATGGGTGCTTTTGGCAGCTTCCAAGAAAGCTGCACTGGATCGTAGAATACGGGACCTCCGTGCGTCACCAGGATCGTTGGCGAGACTAAGGCTCCACAAGATCGCCACACATTTGACACTATAGAGTGGAGCGCATGAGGCATACTGGTTTGTTAATGCAGTGTCTTTAGACGGGTGACGACACGCCTCATACATTAGGCTGGATGGCGGTAGCGGATGCGCCATCGCGCAAGTTATCGGGCATTGCAGCGCTGCAAACAAGGATCGTGCCACGAATACCGCTGTTTCCACTGCAGCGCAAAAAGTCCATGGTTTGACAGGCCAATGCGCTACAGGACTGTATCACGCAGCGGTGTGACAGGCCGGGCGAAAGTCAACGTTCAGCCACCGCTTCTCGGGGATACCACAACGCGCACTTGAAGGGAATTTGATCAAACGAAATAAAATCTAACTGCATAGAACACCAAGTCGTTGTTCGGTTTCCAGCCCAAGCTCGCTACATACAGCTCTCGAGGATCAACGAGTTTCTAGTTTACTGTATGCGCTGTTCATGCAAGTCCGCTCCATGGATGACTGTCAAGGCGACACTTAGATCGCCTGTGCATGATTACATCTGTGTTCGTCATCAATTCTGGGGCAAATTTTCGCTCGAGGCTTGAACCAGTGATGTATGGGAATCCATTCGCTCGTCGTGCAAGATTTCAGAGCCGCATAACGTGCTTGCCGAGAATTTCCAAGGCTATGAAGACATCCAATTATCAAGAGCTCGATGCGCAACGAAGCTCCAAGGGCTATACATATATGCTGGTATGTGCCTCGAGGCGGTACAGGCAAAGCGGAACGGAAACGAACGGCATACCACTTGGCGTCAACTTTCATAGCAGCATGCGTCCCACGTCATGACAAGTAGCGTTTCCACGCAGCGTGTTTCATGTGCAATCAGAGACTGGAGCATTTAGCCGGCAGCTACAAGTCGACTTGTTCCAGGTACAGCAGACGATACTTTTTCAAGCCACTTTCAGAGAGAAGTTTGCCCATGCTGCTTACCAAGTTTTTGGGGTTCTCATGGACACACGCCACTCTGAGCAATATATTATGCCGCACCGGAAACACACATTGCCCTGGCACGTAGACGGAACGCGGTTTGCATAGGATTACTTCCGCACCCACAACAGTCCGCACACGTCGACACGCTACCGGGAAGCACGCTCTGGAACCAAGAAGGCGTATGCACGCTATGGATTCCATATCCTCAGCTTTATTTGGACGCCATGCCCGTGGACAGCGCTGGCCAGAACATTCGATGTGTATTCCCTGCTTTATCACGAAATGACACGTACAAAGAGTCGTCCATCCGCTGAGCGCCTTGCCCTGCGCCTCGAACGCGATAGACACGGTAAGCTCGAAGCTCTGTAAAAAGCACCGAGATAGGGAAATTTCCTCAGAAATCAAGGAGGCTTACATCTTTGTCGATGTGAAATAGCAGGGCATTAGGCTGAAAGCGGAAACAACTGCAGCTCCCATGTGCAGAATGCTACTATTCCACAAGGCCCACAGTACTTCTCGATACACATGGTATCCCGCGGCTGCCTCAGCTCTCAATCACAAATACTTTGAGCCGAGCGTTGTCGTAAGAAAATGCCGTAGAAAAGCCGAACTGAGACTGCCCGCACTGACTCGCGTAGGCCGCGACCATGCAGCGCGTCCCTCTGAAGTGCGCCTCGCAATATGTGCGCGCATCCTTGTTGAATCCCATGGGCACTCTTCCGACTCTTCCATAAGACAGACTGCGAACGAGGCTTAGCCCTGTTGAGAGTGGAAAGAACAGCTTGGCTTCAATAGGTTACTCATCTACGTTCACGGTCTGCAAGCCTCGAAAGCTGGTTACCGGCACGAGTGTCACGTACGTGTAAAGCTTCGGTTTGGACGCATCCGTATCCGCTCTTCTCCTCGAGAGCCGGACACGCACACGGTTTGGAACGCCCCGAATGCCATTTTTCCACACTTCCTTATTGACTTTGGCGTCGATTCGCACGTCTTCGGTACCCATGGTCCGTCGTGCGAACGCCTTTATTGCTGCGATCGCTCGCGGTGCTCTCTTTTTGAATACGACGCTGTGGATGTATTTATGAAGGTGGATCGTGTACTCTCTTGTAACGTCTTCCTTTAGTAAAGCCTGCTTGGTCGCACGCACCATGACTCACGAGCCTAACGAACGATAACGCCCCACTCCAGCGTCGAGCGCTGCACACAGTAGCTTATTTCGCGGAATGGCGACGCAGCGACACGCGGCGACCTTGCCGTGTACCTTATTAGACATTTATACACCAATGTGCTGCCACGGGCGCCCTGTCCGTGTCGCTCGCATGATGCGTATCGCTAGTTGTGTACATTTACAGACATACCTGCACCAATGGAGTGCCACGGACGCCTTGTCCATGTCGATCGCATGAAGTGTATGACAATGTATGGCGCGTATTTGCGGCGTCGACAGAACGTGCGGGTGTCACGCCTGTACAAAGAGCCCGAGAGAGAACGTTCGCGACGCAGAGTACAGCCACAAATGACTTTTCTTGCGGGAGATGAGCTTGCCTTTGTGCCAGCGGCACTGTGTCGTGAAACGCTCTCGCCACTGTGGGGGCGATCAACGAGCCGCCGGCACTCCGGGAGGACTGGTTTGGCTTGTACTCCAAGTTCGCGTGCACAGCGAGCAACGCTGCTGATGCGGAAGGTCGACGAAGCGCCTAAAGCGAGTAAAAGCGCACCTGAAATTGTAGATGCGACTCCAGCAAACGAGTCTGTAACTGTTGAACTGGGAGAGAAACTGCAAAAGGTATTGGAAAGCATCGAGAAAATACCCGAAGCAATTTCGAAGAAAATAGCTAATTTCGACGTGGAAAAGTTTTCTCGTGATTCAGCTGCATACTGGAAAAGAGTCTTAGACAACACGGTGGCCGGCGAATGGTTCAATCGCGGTGAGACTTACGTTGTTATACAACTTGCTCTCATACTACTGATTTTGCGCGATCCAGGAGCACTTGATCCCGTCTTCGGTTTCCTTATGGGGCCTGTGCCTCTTTTCCTGGGCATATACGTTGTCGTGCAGGCTATCCGAGAGCTCGGTCCTGAGAATTTTGTGCCTTGGGTGAAGCCGCCGGCGAGCGCCGCTCTGAAAACTGACGGCTTGTACGGCCTCATGCGGCATCCGATCTATACTGGGATAGTTCTGACCAGTTTTGGATTTTCAACGGTTTCGCATTCTCCGGAACGTTTAGTTTTAACGTTAGCGCTGTTTTACTTCTTCACTCGCAAAGCAACTGAAGAGGAGAAATATCTTATTGAGCGCTTCGGCAAAGAGTATGAAGAGTATGCCGCGCGAGTGAAGGCTTTCATTCCAAACGTGTTTTAACACGGACGGGAGAACCTTCACGTTGAGAATTCCAGGCGAGGCTTTCGTTCAGGGGCACGGACGAATGCCTCTGTTGGACAAGTGCGGATCGATTTTACACGATGTAGAACATGATCCAGCTCGCAATGCTTAGTTGCAAATTTTTGGCAGCGGTGGGGAAACGATGATCCGTAAAACTCTCTTGATGGGCAGTGCAAGTATCGTTGACCAATCGCACTTTACAACCTTCAGACTGAAACGAAACACTGAACTCTTCGCTCTCTTCCTGCCTTGCAATTCTCCCGAAATTCTTTTAGCTGCACGTCCTCGGCATGCAAAGTGCAGCAATCGGTTTGGGATTTTCATATAACTCCAGGATCATCGGTGGTCTTTCCGGAATGACCCCTTCGACTCGTTCCCGCTGGACTGCGTTTCATCCCCGGAGTCACGGTCATTCGCGACGTCCCCGTAAAAGGGTTCGTAAAATAACCGATACCATCATCCAATTCATACGCAGAAGACGCCACTCATACTCCTTCCTTACGAGTAATATGCTCAAATGACGCATTCTTCAATTTTTAGAGTTCTCTGGTTTCGAGGCTACCCGAGCGCGCAGGAATCTGCTCTGATGGACTGGCGACCAAAAAACTCGACGCCTTCCCTTGAGGACTCCTTCGCGAGCTTGTGCCGATTCCGGACTGGACTGCGAACGCCGAACGATCTATTCCGTCCGAAGGAGTTATTCTCTACTCTGTGTGGCCATCCACGAAATAGGGTTCGACAACAGCACGATATCTCTCTTGGGGGTATGCTCTCGGAGGCTCTCGGAGGCTCCAGCGCTTCTGCTTGCACGGAGAAGTGTTTTGGACTCGCACTGACGTCAGCGCTCGCCCCCAGCGCAGAGTGCGTCACCGCGTTGCACCAGTGTAGCGTGGATTGTTCGAAGCTCCTCAGTCTTCTGGCTGCTGCGGGTTTCCCGTCCGGAACTTGTTTCATCGTGAACAACATCGCGATCCACAAATCCTTTGTCGAATAGAGTGGCGTGCGCTTTCGTGTTCAGCGGGCAGAGCACCTGCCGCAGACTTACCCGGAATAAGCTGTCGATCACAGGGTACGGTACCGGGCGCGTGGATGGAGGACGGCACTTGCGGGATGGTTCTGTACCCAGCACGTGCATGTGCTGTGAGCGTTGGGGCAAGCGTTCACGCGCCACAGGGCGGCGCTCAGAGGAGGAAGCGTATTGGACAAACAGGAAAAGCGTGACCATTACCAAGAGTCGCTGCTGCGAAGGGCGTATCGATGCTGCTCTGGAGAGAAAATGGAGATGGCAGACAAAGCGAAGATCGCAACTTTTGCCTGGGCATGGCATGCGTTGGCACCAGCCTGAGACGGCGAAATCGGGACTTTAATGCTGGCATCAATATCCGTCGAGCTCTGACGACAGATCTTGAGGGAGGTGATCGACCGGCGTATTTAAAGTCGTAGCTACGAGAAATCTAATGGAAGCAGTCACAGAGAATCCGCCAAGGCTGGTGTTGATGACTGCGGAAAGGGACAGAAACTTGAATATGCAAACCAGAATTGTCCAGATAGGACTCGTTTCATACTTATGGAGCATAGGTTTAGTGGTATATTCAGAGACGGATTTCTCTCTGTACAAAATTCTCAAACTCCTCTCTGTCGATTCTGTTGTCTCCGTTGGTGTCGGCTAGTCTAATCATCGCTGTGATGTCGCTGTCAGTCATTTGTTCAGCCTCTTGTTGCCCCATTTGACACATGATTGCCCTCATGAGCTGGCGAGGTGTAATAAAACGTTGATCATTGCGAAGTTCATCGAAAACGAAGGTGACCTCCGATGCTTTCAACTTTTTCGCACTGTCAGCGGGCTTTTTTTTCAGAGAAGCTGCCTCTGTTTTCACGGTTGCGGCAGCTGCAGTGGGCTGTTCAAGCTCTCTTACGCCATTTCCGCGAACAGCTCTCTTGCCGTTCACTGCGCTTCCGCTAACTTGGGTTTGCTTACGCTTCCGCGTGGCTGACCGGTCGTGCTCCCCACTGGTCTCGTCCGCGCTCTCTGCGTCGCTTCGCTTCCAGCTCGTGTCCGAATCAGAGAGAGCCTCTGTTGATTCGCTGCTGCAACGCCGCAAGTTGTGGTCTTGCGCGCCCCCAGTGCGGGCCAGGCTTCGAGGTGCATCAGTGCCGGCGCGTGCGGAGGCTCTGCTCGAGCGCACTGTGGAAGAGCCTCCTTTGCCATGCGTTGTCACCGTCTTGCTCCTTCCGTCGCTCGTTGAAGCGTGCTTTATGCGAGGCATCAAAGCGTGAAAAGTCCTTCACTTGAAATACGCAAGCTCGTCCGAGTCAGCAAGAGAAGACACTTTAACGTTTTCAACTGTTATGCGCCGGCGTCTGTGTGGCAAACCTTTCGGGCATGGCCACGTTTTCTTTGCAGAGAGGGTACATATACCGCTGTACGTCCGCTAGCATGAATGAAATTTGCTTTTCCCGTCTGCTGTAATAACGACTTGATGCATGTCGCGGCCGCGTCTCCTTTTCGCTGCTCCTTGCCACCGGATATGAAAGAGCCAGTCTTAGGGGAAAAGGGCCAAGTCTGCGTTTGCATCACACGAGCTTCGCACAACTTATGCGATGCTCTGATGCAATGCTGCAACATCGATACGAGTGAGGTCACAAGTGCGACTCTCCGGGTGAATATGAGCGTAATAAAGAACTTCGTCGACCATCCAATTGTCGAGCCCAGCGATGAAGCGCTGGCCCAAAAGCAACGATTTGATATTCGCTTTCGGGTACACTAACATTTTCCTTTCGAAGCGCTCAATAGGAGGGAGCGCATGCAGCGCATCGAAGCCTCCTATGAGGCTTCGAATCTCGACAGAAGGACACGACGAGTCGCTGAGGCGCATCCTCGTAACCTTTCGCGGGTCGACCAGCGCGAACTCTCGGACAGAGATACCGTTTATACTGGCAGAATCTACTCCTGGGGAGCAGGGAGCAAAACTAAAAACAATGTGTGTATGCTTCGGTGGCCAGACTGAGACGAGGGGCGTTCCTGAGTCGTGGAACCGACAGGCGGCAGTACGTCGGCGAAAAGTCTCATAAACGTAGCCGTCTTCGTGACCACGAACCACGAAAGAGCCAGCCATTCGAAAGCGGACGAAAACGTGGGGAGGTTCGTCGAACTCAAACCACAGGTTCTTGCCGTGACGGCCAAGTTGCCGCAGCACATGACCTACGCAGACACGTCGCTCGAGCAGGTCCAGCCCCAGCCTGCCTTCGAAAAGCTTGTCCACAAACTCAGAGGCATGTTTCGGATCGGGTGCGGATTGAACGTTTATCCGTCTATAGCTCTTACATAAGGCATCGATCATACGACGAGCCCGCTCAACTGCTGGCAGCTCTGGCATGGCAAAGTCGCTCCGGGATTCATTGTCCCTCCACAACTGCGTCAGATTAAAAATGGAACGCTGGACTACTCGCAATGTTCCTGCACTTCGACTTTTATTCGCACTTGTTTTTAGACGTTAAGCATCGACATTTTAAAGTACAGCTGTGAGGACTTACTGGTTCATATGTAGATTTTAGAATTCTCGGTTGTGTCTTCGGAATGGCGTCTTCGACTATTTGCTGCTGGAATTCGTAACTTCACACGAATTAAGATGATTCGCAACGCCTTCGAACGGCGGGTCGTAAAATAGACGATATCATTATCCAGTTCACACGCGCAAGCCTCCAATCTTCCCAAGTCACTAGGTGTTCCATGCTCAAATCATGCGTTCCTCAAGTTTTCCATATTGCTGTTTGAAGGCAACTTTGTTGTCGCAACCCTTCGCATAGCTAGATTGGCGAGAGAAAAACTCGACAACGTCCATCAGGGCCTTGTTAAGAAGTTCATGCTGAAATTTCGCTTAACTTGTCACATTTAATGATCGACTCTGTTCGAAAGGTAAATCCTTCTCTCTTTCAGGCTATCCGAAATACAGGATTCGGCAGCAGCATGAACCTCTCACCGATTGCGGATCCAGCGATTCCCGTCTTTTCTGTTTCCATGGAAAAGTTCCTGGACTGGGAATCGAGGCATTCCAGCGATCGCTTCCAGTGGAGCGTGAGTCACCGTTTCCCATGCCGAGGGCGTAGACGGATCTAAGTATCCCGACTTGATCTCCGGCCTGAAATATTTTTCCTTCACTCGGTTCATTATGGACAACGTCTCTTTCTAAACATCAACTATCGAATGGAACAGGATGCGCTCGCATGTGCAGGGAACAGAGCACTCGCCGTTTGTACCGCCCAGAAGGAGTCCGTAATCGTTAGGTACGGGACCAGGTGCGGAAACGGAGAAGGACATTATGGGGAGTCCTCCGTACCAGCCCACGGCATGTTCTGAGTGATGAAGCAACCGTCACGCACCACAAGGCGGTGCTCGAGGTAAAAGTGAGATGGACGTACGAGAACACGTGACGGCAGTCAAGTACCACTGCTGCGAAGGGCGAACCGAGGCTGTAAACAAAAAAATTGAAAATAGCAACAGAAGCGCAGGTTGTAACTGCCGCCTCTGCACTGCATTCGTCGACAACAGCGAGAAGGAGCGAAATCGGGTCTTTGTCACTGCCATCCACATCTTCCAACAGCTGATAACGGAACTGTAGCGACTAGTGTACCGAATGGCGTGGACAGGAGAGAGGAAGCGGAAACAATCGCTGAGAAGCCCCCAAAGGCTCATGTTGATTACAATGGGGAGAGACCCAATCTTTAGAGCGTACGCCAGCGGTACGAGACCCTTTCCCATGTATGTTCGCATGTGTGTAGAAGACAAAAATGTCGCGTCCTAGCTTGGAGGCTCGTTCACGTTGCCCACGCTGGCGTTAGACGGCACACAATCAAAAATGTCTCAAGAAGCGCATCTTAAATTAGCCAGGGCTTGTGGAGACGCACGAATCCCACGGTTTCATGTGCAAATTCGAGGACGGGAGATTGATTCGGCATCTGGTGCTTTCACATGTTTCGTACTCCTCCCACTGCGATCGTGGGCGCTTCGAAATCCCGACGGAATAAACGAGCATTGATGGCAACACAGATGCAAGTCTATGCGCCCGCGCGTTATGCGTTATGCGCCAAAGGAGCAGCGCCATGATCGTTTGACTGCTGCTACGATGGAGGTGCTGCAACCACTGCATTCGATGCAGTTACATATTACTTGCCTACCGTAGCTTTTCGGTTTCCATGGACATTATGGCCATAACAAGTTGCGACAGCTGTAAATGGATCTAGCAGCGAGAGGCAGGCACTGCTCCTCGAGTAGTTTCCAGTGACTCTCTTCGATGCCGGTTGCGTGCTGCATGCGACGAACAGCGACCCACTTCAACGGACCCTGGGTGCTAGGCCCTGGAAACGACGAAATGCAGTCTGGCAGAGTGCCATCGTTGACGCGATGCATCACTTGTACGAAATACGTACAACAGACTGCGTGGCAAGCGCTGGAACGTTTCTTTTGGAGACAACGATGTATGCAGTATTAGTTCCGGTGGGGTAGGCGATAGAGCGAGAGCACTTTCCGACTCGAAAAAAAAAACGATGGGCACCACTGCGGTGCACATACGAACAGTTTTCATCCGTAAGAGCCTTTTTAAAAATACCTCTGAGAAAGGACTTTGTCTTTCACCAATGCGCTATGGATGAGATGAGCGCATCAGATGCAGGCTCCAAGTGAAAACGTACAGGAGCACTCAGTGGCGAGCGATAACAGAGGCTTGGCAGAGCGCACGAATTGCAGGTACAGAGTGAAAACATACAGAAGCACTCAGTGGCAAGCGGTCGCAGGGCACTGGATGAGCGCATAACGTGCAGGATCGCAGGGAACAATACGGTAGCACAGCTGCTAGCGATCCCATAAAAAGGGATATGTAGAGCGCATTCGAAGGATTGTGAGCAGTTTTTGTTCAGCGTCGAGAGCGAATGATCTCAGGTCCAAAAGATCTTCACGTAGGCGAGTCTCCAGCTGAGAGCCGCGGCTGATCCCAAACTCTCCAGCGCGGCTCGTTACCATGGCCTCCAGTTCGTCCAGGGTGAGAAGAATACGTCCTTTGTCTTCGTACTCAGCAATGCAAGCCGTCGAGAGAAAAATCACACTATTTTCACTGCTTTTGAGGTTCTCGCCAGTTTCACCCTGAGCGAGACCGCCAGGGAAGAACGTCGCGAGCGTTCGATCTGATACTCGTTGCACACGTTCCGGAGAAGCGGACGCCAACGAAGCCGGCGCTCTCCCGTTGAGCACTTGTGCTTTCTGGAGCAGAGGCGTCTCTTGAAGCCTCGCAGAAGCTGCTTCAGGGCCGCGTAGCGAAAGCGTCAACACCAGATAGCGTTCGATATCTCGTAGCAAGAGGCGGGCCCGCTCACGGGTGGGAAGCTTCTCGGCGAAGGCGTTGGCCCAGAGATATCCGCCACCTCCGAAACGATCTACTTCAGTGAGGCGAATACTCGACCACCAACGCCTGAACCAGCGGTACAGGAGCGCGACCGCTAGGCAACATCCAAGAACGCCTGGAACGGCAGCAGCGATCTGGAGATTGAGCTCGTTCGAACGAACCAAGGAGTCTACAGCGACCATCTCCTGCTCGACATCAACTTTGAGTTTCTGGACTTGTATGAGTAATGCTCTGATCACGTCACCAGCAAGCATATTCACCACAGGGCTGCGAATCTGGCGTTCGTAGACTTTCATGACCGGTGTGAGATCACCATTTGCAGCCAGAAGTTCAGCTTCCTGTCGCTGGTCGTCCGGGAGGCGCGCATAGGCCTCCCGGGTAAAATCCACAACCATGCGCTTCAAGGTCTCTTTCTCAGCCTGAACCGCCTTCGGATCCATGAATGTTCGATACGACGATTGAAAGATTTCCCTGTAGATCATGGTGAGCGGGGTAATAATGCGCTCGTCCCAGAAGCCTCTCACAACCTGACGTACGCTCAGTGCGATATGCATCACATGCTCGCGATGTGCGCTGATTTTCGTCCAGGACCAGAAGATGGTCAGGGTACCGCACAGGTAGCGTATCCAGTTTCTCGCAAAGTGCGATGGGTAAATGAGCGAAACCCTTTGCAATCGCTCGATGAAGCCCAGACCGCGGCGCTTTCCGGACTGACGTCCTGCCGCAGGCATGATGCGACTGAGCTCTTCCAGAGTCAAATAGACGTTCCATCTACGCGGAACATCGCGCAGGAGCGTAATGAATCGTTCTGCATCCTCTTTCATTATAGAAGCCCAGCGATCCAGATCAGCCAGAACGTCAGAATCGACCAACAAGTGGGCGTAAACAGCCTCCTCGATAGCATCCACATCGGTTGCTTCCAGCGCTGTTAGTGTACGGTGATGCAATTCGTCGCAAGAGAGAAAGAGTGCCCGCAACTCAGAACTATTTTGAGGATCTTTCTCGACTAAACTTCGTAGACGAGAAAGCTCCTCCTGGGCCCTTCCAAGATACACTGCTAAGGCTCGCTCGAGACGGCCGAGAGCATGCACAGCAGCCTGGCATCGGGCCCTTTCTAGTTCACACAAAGAGCGAAGCCCCGGTGGCTGTGCGGCCTGACATAGCTCCAGCAGCCTCCGAGCCTTTTTCTTTTCTGTTTTATCGCTCGCCCTGGTCGGTGAGGCCCTCGCTGGCGCGCCGCCCGCCGCAGAACTGGAAGTGCCTGTTGCCGGTCTCGTTCCCGACGCGATGAGATCCCGGCAAGTGTCGTAAAAGTTTGATACCCATAGGCTGCCTGCACCGCTCAGAGTCTGGAAAATCCATAGCGGTCCGTTGTTGAGGAAACTCCGCAGGGGCGCTCTAGTTACCTGATACTCGTAGTAGGACTTGCTCAGAATCACGCGGCGGAGTGCAGCCGAAACTTCTGTCAGACTCTGCACAGAAAGTTCACAACGGAGAGCAACCAAGTCTTTGAAGTCCATTGCCACGAGTCCCTTAAGATGAGTGCAGTGCGAGCGTTCTCCGAGGCATTTCGGTGCCTCCTCTGGACGAGTGCACAACAGCCGAGCCAGATTCAAATGAAACACTGAACTCTTCGCTCTCTTCCTGCCTTGCAATTCTCCCGAAATTCTTTTAGCTGCACGTCCTCGGCATGCAAAGTGCAGCAATCGGTTTGGGATTTTCATATAACTCCAGGATCATCGGTGGTCTTTCCGGAATGACCCCTTCGACTCGTTCCCGCTGGACTGCGTTTCATCCCCAGAGTCACGGTCATTCGCGACGTCCCCGTAAAAGGGTTCGTAAAATAACCGATACCATCATCCAATTCATACGCAGAAGACGCCACTCATACTCCTTCCTTACGAGTAATATGCTCAAATGACGCATTCTTCAATTTTTAGAGTTCTCTGGTTTCGAGGCTACCCGAGCGCGTAGGAATCTGCTCTGATGGACTGGCGACCAAAAAACTCGACGCCTTCCCTTGAGGACTCCTTCGCGAGCTTGTGCCGATTCCGGACTGGACTGCGAACGCCGAACGATCTATTCCGTCCGAAGGAGTTATTCTCTACTCTGTGTGGCCATCCACGAAATAGGGTTCGACAACAGCACGATATCTCTCTTGGGGGTATGCTCTCGGAGGCTTTCGGAGGCTCTCGGAGGCTTTCGGAGGCTCTCGGAGGCTCTCGGAGGCTCCAGCGCTTCTGCTTGCACGGAGAAGTGTCTTGGACTCGCACTGACGTCAGCGCTCGCCCCCAGCGCAGAGTGCGTCACCGCGTTGCACCAGTGTAGCGTGGATTGTTCGAAGCTCCTCAGTCTTCTGGCTGCTGCGGGTTTCCCGTCCGGAACTTGTTTCATCGTGAACAACATCGCGATCCACAAATCCTTTGTCGAATAGAGTGGCGTGCGCTTTCGTGTTCAGCGGGCAGAGCACCTGCCGCAGACTTACCCGGAATAAGCTGTCGATCACAGGGTACGGTACCGGGCGCGTGGATGGAGGACGGCACTTGCGGGATGGTTCTGTACCCAGCACGTGCATGTGCTGTGAGCGTTGGGGCAAGCGTTCACGCGCCACAGGGCGGCGCTCAGAGGAGGAAGCGTATTGGACAAACAGGAAAAGCGTGACCATTACCAAGAGTCGCTGCTGCGAAGGGCGTATCGATGCTGCTCTGGAGAGAAAATGGAGATGGCAGACAAAGCGAAGATCGCAACTTTTGCCTGGGCATGGCATGCGTTGGCACCAGCCTGAGACGGCGAAATCGGGACTTTAATGCTGGCATCAATATCCGTCGAGCTCTGACGACAGATCTTGAGGGAGGTGATCGACCGGCGTATTTAAAGTCGTAGCTACGAGAAATCTAATGGAAGCAGTCACAGAGAATCCGCCAAGGCTGGTGTTGATGACTGCGGAAAGATCCAAAAATTTCGCATGTACGTCCGAGTTAGTTTATTGGACGATTTCCATTTTCGTCAGACATCAAATTAGCAGAGCCCTGGGCCACAGAAAGCGAGCCGACAACACGAAGAGGCCCCATGCAGGGAAAGCAATCATTACTGTCATGTTTCCGTACATCATAGTACCCAGGAACGACTCGTTCGCACACACATGTCGCGCAGCTACAGTGCCATCAGGAAGCCGCACCCAAGGGGCCAGTTTGCGCTCCGTGGCGGGAAACGCCCACCAAGAGTCGCTCCGTGGAGAACTACTTTGCAAACGTTTCCGCCCAGACAAAGATATGTTGCGATGGGAATCTCTATATTCTACGAAGATTTGCAGTCACACTCCGGGACAGTTGAACTGGTCGCAAACGCCGGTGTATCTTGGCATTTGCCGAGGTTTCGCCTCGGATAACGTATCCGGTAGCAGTTTCGCTACAAGAGGCCATCACATGGGATCCATTTACGAGATGTGTGCCGCACTTGGGCAGGGGCGCTCTTGGGTACGGTCGAATCCCGTCTTCGGGCGCATGATAGCTGCGTTGCGTGGCGTTCACCAGAGTAATGACTCCGCGAAGAGCTCTGTCCGTCTGGGATATTGGCCGGAAACGGCGCGTCAGTTTCGAACGCGCCGTGTATTCTTCGTCAACGCATGCGAGCACAGACTTCAATGCCGAGGCACTGGAGCAGAAGTCAGCTTCGCATCGGTGCTCTGGAAATGCCCGTAACGCACTAGCAAGCATCCGAAGGATATCGAAATGATTCGAGCCCCGGCTTGGTGAAGGCGGCAGAACAGGCACGGAGCCAAAACGCTCAGGGTAGCGCGGTGGCATACTTTGATTCTCCTGAAGAACGCTTCAGCACAGGGAACATTGGCTTGTGATAGAACGAGTCTGTGCCTGCATGCCACTACGAATTGACTTGTCTCATGCTTCTCTTCTTCAGTGCATGAATCTCATGCAAGTCGTAGCATGGTATCGCACCATCCGTGAGCTGGCGTGGAGACAGAGGCGAGCGCTGACAGTTTCGTGCCTGGACAGGAGCGCACGCATCTACCATCCTACGTGGCCGCCACAGCGCTGTCTGATTAATTACAAGTCGATGATGTACATTGAGGTACCTGGACCCGAATTCGCTACCGGAAAAGCGTTGCATGTGGAATGCAACGGCTTTCACTCATAAAGGACCGCTGTTTTCCACGAGTTCCACATTCCTCGCAGGTAACTCGGAGGCTGATTTTATATCACAGAGACCGATCTTTACTTTTGTCCTAAGATTCGCCTATTTTTGTTTCACGGAAACAAGAACGTTTTCCCTGGTGCAAGGTGGTTCTTTTGCAGCGGCACAAAATGACTCCCAGAGGCTGCCTACCTGGTTGCTGAAGAACATGACAAACCGAGTCACCGGCACATGCCGTGTTGAGGCACTTCACAGTTCCAACCCCCCTCCCATTAACTATTCTCGCGAGAGTTCCTGCCTGCAGTGCTGCATAATTAACGACAAAGTGTACAAGTCCGACACTATTGTGCCTTGCATATTGCAACTGGCCTCATGCGAGCAGAACTGAAACTCTGCAAATAAACGAACATCGCGATGAACGTCAAGGACACAGCAGTTCAAGCCTTTCTCTCTGATAACGCAGAGGTTGTTTCCAAAGTGGAGGAGTAAGGGAACGCAGCTCCGCCTGTACGACGAAAGCCTGCAGCCGTGTACCGGCATTGAATGAAACGCACCCTGCGGAAGCGCGTAGGATGTGGCGCCAAAACCTGGAAACTTGCCCGAAGAGTACTGTTAGACTTGTGGCACGCCTGGTTTGGAAAGCGGTTGGGTTCCGTCAATATTTGTTTGGCAGACAGGCAGGTAGATAGGCGGAGGTCTTCTTCGATACGCTCACCTCTTGTAAGAAGAACCAGACATGGAGCGTAGCGGCGAGGCTTCAATACTAGAACTTGCCAAATCCATTGCGGAAGGCACAACGGTTGAAAGTCCTGACTTTGAGGCCTCACTGGCCGATATTGAGCGTTTCACCACTGCGTGGAAGACGCGAAGCGTGCTCCTCTCGGAGCATTTGGTGAGCGCATCTCGGTGCCTTCTCGGAGGAGCGCCTGCGAACCCGGAGGCAGTCTGTCAGGGCCCCAGTGCGGCCTCGCAAGCTGGTACGCTGGAGAGTCTCTCGTTGGCTGCTTCGCAGTGCGTTACCGGAGAGAGAGAGGCTGCAAATATCCTCCGAACTGCACGGAAAGTTCGCGAGGCGCTTCTCTCCTGCCAGGAACCAACACCAACAGGGACTGAAGGGCAGACGACAGAGTCTTTCACGGACACGTGGCGGCGTTTTGAAGAGACGGGAAGGTCGGCAAGAAGCGCTAGCTCGGGAGAGACAATAACGGAGCGGAACCGTGACAAGGTCCGTCGCCTGGTTGAAGGCGGCACGATGCAGTCAGCTTCGGCGGATAGCCTGAGTGATCCGTCACTCGCCGCTACGCAGCAAGCGAGCCCAGACCCTATTGTCGGTGATTCAACCGCCCCGACGTATGTAGCCGCTGACTGGGAACCAGATGCTTCTCGAATACGCTGCCCCGTTTCTGGCGTAGTCATGCAGCAACCCTTCCGGAACCGCGATTGCCAGCACTCATACGAAAAGCAGAGCATAGAGCAGCTCATCAGAGCCCACAACCGTTTGCGAGCCCGTGAACGTCTCACGGACAGGCATGCAGCACCTTGTCCAGTTGCCGGCTGCGTCGCCACGGTATCCATAGGCTCGCTCGAGCCCGATACGGAACTTATGCTCGTGATTGAGCGCTTGCAAAGGAGACAGGAGCGTTTGCAAAATCGACCTATGCCCTGGGGCCCAACCGAATGCACCGATTCGCGTGATCCAATCGAAGACTCTCCTCGATGATGTGCACTGGCTAGAAGCAGTACTGCGAACGTTATTGAAGCGTTGGCGTTGCCAGCGACTTGAGTGTGCTTCCGCTGCATCCATCGCTCGAGATCTCTGCTTGAGGGAACAGCTGCGCGTTTGCCAGCAAAGGCCGACGTCGCTTCGCAGACTGGCCGGCAGCACACTACATCGTCGAGACAAGCGTTCACACTGGCGCTCGCCTTGGCCGGCGTCAGTTAATCCACTGTCATAGATATGTGATGAAGCGCGCCTCCTGGATGACGCGGAATGCGCGTCCATCCATTCCAGTCGAACGGGGTTCCACCAGCGATCAACAGCTGCCACTGGAAACAATTTGCCCACAACCGGACGCGCATTCGGGATCTCTATGGTAAAGCGCATGCACAGAGGAAAAAGAAGAGCGACGCACTGGGAAACCCTACGTCGCGTGCCTAACCGCGTGTGGTTCGTAAACTGCGTATCACAGGCTGGGTGGAGCGCGCCCTCTCTAGCTCGGTGGTTTCTTTTTTCCGGGAGCCTCAGCGTGGATGCTGGGGCGAAGCGTCTTCCGTCGTGCGACGTTAACCTGACGAGCAAAGCCGGTGAAGAGGAAACACGCCTCGCTGGTTTCATGCACGATCACTGACGATCGAGTTCATGGCGGGCTCGCTGGGAGGTGTCTCGCGCCGTTTCTTCGCTGATGCGCTGGCGCATGCGCGAATGCCGCACTCGCTGACAGCGGTCTACAGCGTTCGCTGGAGACACGAGCACTGTGATGTTCTAATTACCGTCTATTTACGAATCCTGACTTTGTCGATCCTTTGAAGTCAAACGTTTTCATGCGATAACACGAAACGAATGGCATGGCAACTATTGATATATCGTTCCCAAAAGTCCTCTTAATACTATTTCCATGCTGGAAGGATGAGATCCAGCTGCTTTTCACATTTCCCTGCCATTCAGTGAGCGTACCAAGAAACAGCATGAGTTAAACGTCCCCCGCGGGTTCTGGTCCCGTGAACGCAGCGCAAGCATCCTCCTGTGAGCGTCCCTCGTGAAACGCTCCGTTATTACGCTCGCTCCACTGTGCGGATGTAGCCTCCCGAGCGGTGAATGCGAGTGATGGTGTTGTTCAGCTCGCTCAGTGGCACTAGATACGTGCGCTGTGAGCGCGCCACGGTGCTGTACTTGTTCTGGCGCGTGTAGGACCTGCCCACGGAGTAGCCCAGCCCGCCGCTGTTCACTGCCGGCTCGCGATACCCGGCCGTGACCACACGGAACACCGGCTCGTCGGTCTTGTTCTTGAGGTTCACGGGCGGCGGACAGCCTCCAGCCACAACGCCCATATTCTGGGAGCCGAGGCGGACGCGGTACTGGTAGAGCATCGCACCACGGGCACCGCTCATCGCGCGCTCGAGACCGCCACGTAGTGCCTGGGGTTCGGGGCGGCGTCCCATGAACCAAGCTGGTTCACGCCAGTGCGGCACGTTGTCGCTGCCGTCGTTGCGGAACGGAAACGCCCGATCATACTCGTTGTCGATAATATAATCGATCATTGCGTCGTAGCCGTGTGCGTGGTACACCGCTTGCGCAGCTGCGTTCTCCTTCGCGTCGAAGGTGCGGCGGCCAAGCAGATGCTTGTAGGCGAGCTCCACCGCGCCGTAGCGTCCGAACGGCGGCCGGTTGTTCCAAAACTTTTCCTTGTATGTTTCCGACTTGGCGACGGCTCTCACGAAATCCTTCGTGCTCAGCTCACCATTGATATAGCAACTCTGGAGCTTATCCATTTCCTCACCGTCTCGCTCGAAGAGGTGACCGTATCCAAAGATCTGGCGCAGGATCATGTACATACGCTCCGTGCGGCGAGACACTTCGTCATCTTTCCCGGGTATCGGATACGCTGGAACACGGAAGCTATCGATCTGGCGATAACTTGGGGTGACGGAGTCTCCGACCTTGCGCAAGCGAGCCTGTGTAACCTCACCCAACTTCCTATTTGCTGCCGTCTTCAGTGCAGTCATCGTGGGCATCTTCGCTGCCCCGCTTTGCGTGGACGTCGCCGCCGCAGGGGGTGACGACACTGCTGATGGCGCCGCACGCTCCGATGATCCCGCGCCACTACTCGAAGCAGAAGACGATCCCGCTGCACTCGAACTGCTGGTTTGTGGCTTCTCCTCAGCCGCGCGGAGGTCGAACGCCCGTCGGGGAGCAGCTACGACCGAGCAGCTGTTGCTTGCACTACAGCTTGCTGTGAAGGATGAAACACGAGCGCCGAGAGAGCTAACAGAACCAACGAAGCCGATCATATCAGAAGTGCTTTACGAGGAACGTTCAGAGTCCGCAGACACAAACTCGAATGACCTTTTTGCGTCGTGCGGCCTCCGAAATCGAATCTCGACCCACGTCCGTCGTCGGAGATCTCGCTAATGCGCTCGCGCTGCCGAGGCCGGCGTGCTCGCGAGGTGCCGCGGCCGGCTGCGCCCAGCAACGAGGTGTTGCGGAAGTGCGCGATGCGTCATGTCCGAATAGGGATATCATGGTCAGAAAAGTCCTGTTTGTGTACGCATGCAACCAGATCATTCATCGTGCGCGGGCCTATGCACGCGCCCCAAATCGCTCGACGTGCCTCGCTTGCACGGAATGGGTCCGACACATGGGCGGGCATGCCGGCAGCGCATCTTGCCGAATTGGACGCGCATCCTGCACGCCTACCGCGCCTAGAAGCTTGGACTGCGCTCGCTGCAGTGACGGTGCGAACCTTCCGGGTGGAGGATTTGGCTGACCGGCCGAGTTCACCGGACTAGTGGTGCCCGCACCCACTCACTGGTATATGCCCAAGTGAGGCTCGCGCACCTGGAACGCTTTCTGTCAGCTCTTCGGCGACGACGCAGAGAGGCCCTCGAGGCGCGCGTGTCGAACTGATCGCGAACTCGCACCAGCACGTCGCTGGGCTCCAGTAGTAGGCCTTGCTCTGCTCCCCGGAGGAGTCTTGGCAATGAGCGAGTCCTCGTCCTGCGCCGTGTCCTCCATGTGGCGGTCCGAGGCGGGCAAGGGTAGCGCGCGGAGCGGCCCTGTCCAATCGTGGCGTCCCCGATAGGCTCCGCACTCTGAATATCTTTAGATGGGACAGGCCGTTATTGCCTAAAAACTGTTCTTGGTCGTACGGGGCACGCAAGCGCCTGCCGAGGAACTGAACTCTCTTCCCTGATCATCAGCTGCGTTTGCGCGTCCTCGAGAGCCTTGGCGGATGCATCAATCTGGACTAGAAAAAAAAGGACGAAGCTTGTACGGACGCATGACGGTTCGCCTTGATGGAATTCGGGCTGCGGCTTGAGATGCAGGGATACTGTCCACTCAACCGTCCGACATTTCAGGCTTTAGCATCTATGCATCGAACAGAATAGCAATGGGTGCATACCTGCCCCTGATAACGATCAAGCAGTCTACCAGTCCCTAGCCTGACATCGCCAGTCGCCATGCCTCTGTCGATTTCGATCGGATTCGACTGACGTCCGGGGCGCGCGCGCTGCAACGGCCTGCTGCGCCCTTCCACCGCCACCATCGCCTGCGCCCGCATCGTTGCGGGCCCGCCACCAGATGCATCCCAAGCAGCGCTGGAACAAAGTGTCTGAAACGACTGCAGGCTTGAAACAAGCTCGCTCTCCCGAAGCTGGTGGACTGTATGCTTTCTCTACAGGAAGCTTCAACCGCTGCGCCAAGGCAAAGTTGGACGCTGCCAAAAGTTTGGGTCCTGTGCGTCGCTGCTTCACAGAAAGCGCAGCCTGCAGCATTCACACAACTGAGCGGCGTTGCGTGCCTACAGCATTGCACAGTGCATAACCTGAGTTGGCTGCGCCCTTGCAGTGCATTCGTGCTTTCTGGATCCGGAGGCAAGTCTGTATTGAACACGCGCCAACGAAGCGTCAGCTGTACTTCTACGGTTTGTGCGAGTGTTCCCTCCGCGCGCACACGACCCGTGCGAGGCACGCTGTGTGCTGGGACACGAGCACTGGAGCGAACCTGGTTGGGGCCCCCAGAACAGAGGCTACTCCGGCCCAGCTGCTCTGCGAGCATGACGCGCGTCCGTTCGGCTTGGCGAAGTGGTTGCGCCGCAACGAGACTGCAGGCGAAAACTGAGCCGGATCTGGAGAGTCGGGAGAGGAAACCCGAGCGCCGCTCGCTGAAACGAACGCTCTATCTCTTTGGTCTTGCAGGAGGCGCTATTGGTGCGGTAAGCGTGCTAGGGCACTCGCTGGGCACGCTTTCCATCGAGAACCTCCACGATCTTGTGAAGTGGTTTGAATCTATGGGACCTGCCGCAGTGCTCTACTACTTTGGTTTGTACTTTGTGTTAGAGCTGGTTTCGTTTCCAGCCCTGCTGCTGACCATCGGGGCGGGGTATCTCTTTGGCGTCTGGCGAGGCCTCCTGGTGTCTTCGGCGGCCGCAACTGCAGCCGCGGGAACCTCGTTTCTGCTTTCAAGGTATTTTCTTCGCAACCTGATCCAGGAGAAGCTGGCATCGAGGTTTCCCCGATTCCGCGCTATCGACCGTGCAATTGCGAAAGAGGGCTTCAAAATTGTTCTTCTGCTTCGTCTGAGCCCGCTGCTGCCGTTCTCCGCTAGCAACTATCTCTACGGCCTGACGAGCGTGCGCTTCGTTCCGTACATTGTTGCGAGCTGGTTGGGCATGCTGCCAGGCACGCTTGCGTACGTTTACGCAGGGCGCACTGGAAATGCCGTGCTTGAGAGGGTTGCCAGTCGCGCTGCGTCAGATGCTGGCGAAGAGCTCGCCGCGAGCGGCACTGGAGTCAATACTGCGCTGCTGATTGTTGGCCTTGCCGCTACTGCCGGTGTACTGGTGCTCATTGGGAGAACTACCCGACAAGCCCTGAAAGAAATGGATGAAGAAATGGCAGCGGATGCGGCTCTGCAAAGCAACGGGAAGGACGCGGGAAAGTTTCCGACGACGCAACGGGGCGAGGTCGTCGCTGTCGATACACCAAGGGGCCCAAGTCCCGAAAGAATGAAACGCCCTTGAGCATACAATCTGTACATAAAGTCATGGGGCTGTTGTTGTCCGCAGCGCAGTTCACAAGTCTAGCCGCAGACAGAGACGCACGCTCTCAATGGCACGAAAACGCTCACGCAGCGACGTCGGCGGTCAAGGTCACGTATGAGCGTGTCGCGGGACGCTCTGAGGGGAACTGCAGCGGCCCTGGTAAGATTTGCCGGCACAAAAAAAAACCTGAGTATACGGCATTGCGCATGAAGTGTACATCTATTGTGTAGCGTCGAACGTTCGCGAACAGTTGAATGCGTGTTGCGTACAGACTATGTAAGATGCACGAGCATTCCACCGAGACCAGAAAACCCAGCGACCTCTGGAAAAAACGTTTGCCCTGAGGCGCATAGGCACTTCTACAGCTGAGCTCTTGCAGTGAACAGGAACGTGGTGCGCACCTCTTTGTGGCAGTCCAGGTAGACTACTGCACAGCATCCTCTGGGGCACGAACACAGTACACGGGATGCGTGGTACCACGTCCACGACGCATGCGGTTTTGGATGCATTTGCATCCATGGTGCTTACGAACGCAAAAGCAGCTGTCGTTCTGTGTGCGTCTCTGTTGGTCGCTCCGACAGCGTGCTTGGCGACTGTCCCGCCACCGCCGCTTCCTCTGGATATGCGTCTGACGGAACCTTAATGACCCCGCTTTGCACCAAGGAACAGGGATGATCGGTTCACCGCTGCAGTACACTTGCCATGTGCATCTCCAGGAAGCTGATGAATAACCCTGTCCACTGTGGAAGAGTAGTGAGACGTTGGCCGCGTCGATGGTCTCGGAGTATAGACTTCTGGGAAGCTGAACGATCACCGAGAGCATCAAAACAGAAGAATGCTACTTTTGCCGCTTCGATGGCATAGACATACAGATCTTCATCATCCTGAACGATCACCATGTGCACCAAAGCAGAGAAATGATACTTTTGTTGCATCGATGACCTCGGATTCGACGAATGCGTGCACTGCGAGCGCAGATGCAGAACGGTGTCCTGCATCTGTGTCAGACTAATATGGAACACCGAACTGCTCGCTCTGTGCCTGGCTTGAGAAAATGTGCTAAATTTTCTTGATACACATCATCGAAATTTAAATTGCACGAATACGGTTTCACGGACTCATGAGTAGAGTTTCAGGATTTTCAGGAGACTTTCTGGAGTGGCGCTTTCGATTCTTTTTCGCGCTGGTATTCGATACATCGCAGGAATGCATTTGATTCACGACATTCTTCAAGAAGGTTTGATAAAAATAAAAGATACCTTTATCCAGTTTATACGTTCAAGCATCTACTCTTCTCGATTCCTTACGTGCAGCATGCTTCAACTACGCTTCTTTCTAGTCCTAGATCTTTCCGTTTCAAAGTGAACACCGGGCGCATCGATGGTTAGCATTTTATTGACGAGAAAGAAACTCCACTGCGTCCCTTGACGAGTGCTTCACACGCCAATGTTGAAATTCGATTGAAATTGTCTCATGAAGTAATCGATTCAATTCGAAATACAAATCTTCCTCACTTTGTGGACATCAACGAAAGCGGTATCCAGCTACAGCCTGATACCTCGCACTGGATATGCTCGCAGAGACTCGAGTCACTTGTGTTCTGACTGTATGGGAAAGGGTGTTCGAATCGCATTTTACTTACCGCAGGGATCGCTACCAATGGAAAGCGCTTCACCGCTTTGCACGAAGCGAGCGTAGTGGGATCGAAAAATCTAGATTTGTCCCTGAGTCTCGATATTCCTTCAGGAACATGTTTTATCATAGTCACCATATCTTTCGGGAAATCTTCCATCATGTGGAACAGCGCACGCTGGCGCGTATAGCGGGCACCGTCCACGTATAGCAGTTTGCCCAGAAGAACTCCATGATCGTAGTGTGTGGTAGCAGTCGCATGAACGGAGGAGCGCGTCGATGCCAGCCATCTATACCCATCATGGTTGTGTACTGAGCGATGACGCAGGCGTTCATGCATCACAGGGTGGTGCTTGGCGGTGAAGATGCTGTGGGCGTATCAGAATACTGAACAGCGGCCACGTATCACAACTGCCAGCGGCGCATTGAGGCTACATACAAAGAAGAAGAAAATGGTTCGCAAAGCGAGGATCGCAACTTCGGTCTGTGCATCCGATGGGTCGACACCAGCCGTGAACGGTGCCTATTGTACATTCATGCGTCCATCAGCATCCCCCAGCTGCTGAAAACGGAACTTGATGGGAAGGAAAGCGCTGCTTATTTAAAGCCGGAGAAAAGAGGGAGGAAATCAATGCAGTCGCAGAAACAGCGCACAAAGGCTGATCTTGATGAAAATCTGAAGAGATACAAATGGTATTCTGTACGCCTGCGTTGGAGGATGTGTCCTCTTCTATTGTGAAGGGGGTGTCATAGCTTTTCAGAGTCTCGGAGAAAGCCAGAATACATGGATGCGAGCTACCGACTCGTGAGCTCGTCCAAAGCTTCATCTAAAGATGGGGTCTGTCGAAAGAGACAGGTGTAGACGCGCGTTTCTCCTCATCCAGAGTTCTAAGAAGTAAATCCGGCCCTTTTTCGTAACCAAACAGCACCTGTGCAATTCCTAAGAACGCTAGCAACAGTTCGCGTTGCGCAGCTGCTGAGAGGCGCTGCCTCGTCCGCCAGGCCCCGGCGCGCTGCAGACGTCTCAGCAGCTCCGCAGCCTGCCCCGTTACCGCTGTTGACGCAATCGCTCGCACGTAGTCATCGTGAAGGGCTCCCGTCGACCATGCACCCGGACCATAGATCCGAAGACTGGAGCTTGCTGCGAAAAGCTTCAAACCGCAGTGTCCCAAATACTTGAGTTCCACCAGCTCCGCAGCAGCGAGCGCCGTTCGGGCAGCCTCGGGTTCGGGGCCCTCGTTCGGAAGCACCAGCGCCAACAGAGACGGCAGCACTTGCCGGGCGTTTGCCCAATCATCGAATCCCAGAGCTTGATGCCAAAAAACAGCATCACCAGGAGAGCGTTCCTCTCGTTCTTCGGCCTTGGCGCGTGTTTTCTGTTCTTGTCGCGAGACGCTCCCGAAGCGTTCTCGATTCCAGAGCAAGATTGTCGCCCAGTCGGCATCCTCGTCGAAAGGAGACGCGGGCTTATAGTTGTCCGGGATGCAAAGCGGCACGTTGAGGTCGCGGAACTGTTTCCAAATCTCTCGGCTGGATAACGCTTCCCCAGAGGCATATGGCGTTCGAAACGATGCACAGTCCAGACCGAGTGCCTTCAGGAAAGCGGCCGCTGCTGCGTTCTCTGCACTGCGAATCGAGCGACCTCGTCCGCGAGCGACCACCACTCCTGACAGCTCTAGACGCACCATATATAGGGAATGATGGCTCAGTCGCCTTTCCTCATGTTCTAGACAGTAGGAGAGACATACTCCCGACCTCTTTTGCTGCTGCGCTCTAGTTCGAAGGTCTTCACCTCCGGCAGAGCGATTACCTCCGATACACAGACCCCAGAGCAACAGCTCTTTTTCCAAAGCCTCCTTGGGATGAGAAGAAAGCGGTATATTATGCGGGGGTCGCAGAACTGGCTGCCGCATCCTGTCCAGAGCAGCAGCCTCCTGTCGTACCCGAGCTGTGTCCGTCGCAGCAAATCGTGTGTCTGCATGCCACGAGTCTCCCATGGGCTGTTTCAGCGAGGAACCCGGCCCCTCAAATAATGTTTGGCGTACAAATTTCTGTGCTTGGAGAAAACCGTGTTCCAGAAATATCGCGCAAACAAGGGCTTCGAAAGCGTTGGCGAGCACCAGCTCGGTGCCGCGTCCGGGGTGCTCCTTTTCAGCAGGGAGTCTTCGACGGACGATACGATCAAGTCCTATTCGATATGCAACATCCGTCAGATGCGCATTATACACATATTGCTGTACATAGAACGTCAACCGTTCTTTGATATTCGAGCCTCGATACAGCGCAGTGTCTGCACCTTGAGTTTTCCACGGCTGTGTCCTTACGAGCCAGTCCACGACACAAAGGTTGAGGACGCGGTCCCCGACAAACTCTAAGGCAGCATTATGGAGCTGGTAGCGCTCCCAGCGCTGTGCATCAGTGAGCACACCGGACTCGCGGGGACACAGACGTGGCGGCAGAGCAGACGCATGTGTGAGGGCTCTCAGGAGCAACGGCCATCCATGGAAGGCCCCGAGCTGCGTCCCGGACACTACCGGGAACTCGGGAATGCTCCAGGCCTGCAGAAAACTGAGGCACTTCCTATGACACGCAGAATCGGTAACGTTGCCGTCTTGCTGCTGCTGGTGCTGCTGCTGTACAGGCGGTTCTGCTGCCGTCGCTGGCAAACACTGTTTCGTGCAAATAAATCGCGCTGTCCGATACACCAAGTTTGCCGAAAGCAAGCCCCTTGGATGAGAGCTGCTCAGTTGAACAGGTAGAAGAGGAGCTGCAACGTTGTCGTTTTGGCATCGGGGATCTGCTAGCAGCGCCCGTTCGCCTCGAAGTGAAAACGGACGAAACAGAGCTGTCCGCGAGACAAGCCAGCTTCTCCAGCGGCCCAGGTTGTGCACGCTACCGCTGAAACGTGCTATTACGCCTTTCGCGACTACCATGCACATAGATAAAACCTTGCCGTCGCCAGTTTTGGTGCAGTTGCTTCGCGGACTCTCAGCGACGAGCACCAAGCACCTCTACCGCATCAAAGGCTCTCTCTGCAAGCAGCGCTGCGCTCTTTCCATGAAAAGCGTGCACGTTTCCAAGCCTTGTTTGCTCCTGGAGCGTTGCAACGATCAAACCATCGCAAAACGCCGTTCGAAAGTCGAACGACGCCAGCGGTGTACAGTAGTGGCGAGAAACCCGCCCTAGTCAAGAAGTCTCCAACTGACGTTCAAACACCATCGAGTCTTTCTCGACCGGCCACCTACTACTGGTTTCAACTTTTTCTCATATAGTTTCATTTTGAAAGGTTGTCCAACAAAGTTCTCTCGTGTTCGCTCTGGTGGTCTATTCTCCATCACCGCACATGTTGTTATATTGATTGTGGCGTTAAAGTCCCGGATCAAAAATTCCATACGTTTCTTGCCATTGATTGTACTTACGAATGCAAGTAGTCCCGAACTTCCGCTCTCCTTTCCATTTGCTCATCTGTCAGCGCTCCGTACTTTTTTATATTCTCAGGGCTCCGCTGGCACTTTTCCATCTCGACCCTTTGAAATGTACACCCCAGTTCATGGTGTGTATACGATGTTCGGAACTCATCTTATTGGTATCGTAAAGAAACGCTTTGCGCTCTCCTTGTACGTTCTTGTCGTTGGAGCTGGTGTATATACTTTTTTGGGCGCGCAGCGCCCTGCTCCGTACGCCACTACGAGCCTCTGACTTTCATCTTCTTTGAAGGTGCTCAGCTCATTGAAAAAGTTCGCGAATGCACGCTGCTTCCCAAAATACAAATTCATACGCAGACGAGCCCACCGGGGCTTTGCATACTCATTCCACAGCGCATCCCAATGAGCAACGCGAACTTCCATGAATTTCAGAAAAGTTTGAAAGTCCGCCTCTCGGCTAGTCACCTCGCTCAAAGTTTCCAGGTGATCCTTCATTCCTGCATTCCATGTCTCAATTTTCTTCCTTGCATTCATTGTGCCGGATTCTCGATAATATATCATTTTCGAGAACCTCAAAAGACGCATGTCTCTGACGAAAATTACCGTCGGTACCGTCTTCCGCACGCTTGGATACTGCGATGATTACGATATTTGTGTTTCCGGGGTCAGCACGAACGACAAAGTCGTTCCCATCTACCTCCTGCATCACAGGATCCGCCTCCTTCTCATCTTCATGCTTCACCGCGTCAACGACAAGGTCGTTATCCTCCACCTCCTGTGTCGCAGGATCCGCCTCCTCCCTTTCTTCATCCTTCGTCACGTCAACGACAAGGTCTTTATCCTATACCTCCTGCGTCGCAGGATCCGCCTCCTTCTTTTCTTCATCCTTCGTCACGGGCGAAGCCGAGGGTGGAACTGGACGATCTCTTTTCAACCGCCGATAGTGTACACACAAGGCTACCCCATCGGTTTCGATCATCCCATTGAATACCTTTTGCTTGCTCACTTTGAGATGTTTGAAATCGAAGATATTCTTCCAGTACGTCTCCCGGTTTTCACCGGAGAATTCCTCCCTGCTAACATCGAACTCCGGACTAATCTCCTCCATGATGCCGTGAAGGATTCTGGAGTGGATAGTCACAAAATGTGACTTGATGTTGCACATTGGAACCACGTTGAGGCGCTTCCCCAGTAGGAAAGCCTTCCGTCTCTCCCACTCTTCATTGCTTTCCTCACGCTGCTTCACCTCTGCCTTGCGTTCGAGTTCTTGGTCCAGAAACACGAAATAGCGCAGGACGAGGCGATAGTATCTTTCCTTAGCTTCTTTCAACTCTGATATCTTGTCTGTTGGATTCGCCAGCTCCAGGACTGCACGATGCTCTTCTATAGCCGCACGGATTACAGAAGCTTCATTCGTGCTCTCGTTTGATGCCTTCTTGTCGACGAATTCGACTTCATCTTCACGCTTGCGATCTTTCGTGATGCCATTGATAATCGCCCATTTTCCATTGCGAGATAGGCCCGAGTAGAGTGCAAACACGGTGCGTTTCATGAAACGTTCGAGGTTCACTGTCAAATGGTTCTTCAGGTTCGTGATCTACTTCATCGCCCCATTGTCGTGAATATCCCGGTCACCCTTGTTTCGAGCACCCTCGAAGCTGTAAAAAGGATGGTTTTCGTGAGGACGTGTATCCGCTCTTTTTCCCTCTGCGCTTCCGCTCTACCAAGCATCAGGTGACGAATATAGGTCTTGTCGAAGAATTCTTCCGGAACCTCGACTGTTTCCATGTCCATCACGTCTTCGTACATCCCCTTCACCAGATGCATTAGTCCTGAGGACGACTTTATACTCCTCCTGGAGTACGAATCGACACGGTTCCTAATGACCTCTCGCGATTTTTCTCTATGCGGATCCTTGATATGTTTAAGAAAACAGGCTTTCCCCACCGTCTCGTCGTACTGTCGTCTTTCTTGCAGCCACTGACGTCGGTCTTCCTGCCCTTGCTTCTTTGCCTTTTCCTGTTCCTCTGGACTAGGCACAGTTTTTCGTTTTTTTGTCTGGCACCCAGCGACACTGGGCCTCCAGGATCGTCGACTTGCTTTCTCATAACTTTTCATTTTTATTTTTTTTGAAAAAGAACGCTCTTTGAACGCTTCTGTTATATACTGCGAAAAGTCAATCGAATATTTTTACTTGAGGGTTGAAAAGCAATCGAATTGAAAACTATACTTGGCTATGAAGTTAACGAGAATACAACTCGCCCTTTAGAGAAATAGGGCAAGGAGCGGTCAGGATCGCGTTTCCCTCCATCTGCGAGATACGCGACATGTTCAGTTCCTGCCAGGTATGGAGGTTCGCGCATCGAGCGCTCTATTCAGAACGAAGAACAGAAAGAAGCCACTAAGTAGCGACAATAAAATGATTACTTTCCCCATCTACGATAAACGTTAAAAGGCGGACACGCTTTCCACACTGTCGAAAGTTTACCCTATAGGAGGAGGGTCTCGCGAGCCGGACGTGTCTGCTAGACCAGTCATTCATGCTCTTTCCAGCGCCCAGTGCTGTGAATGGACCTGAGCAGCTCGTCCAAAACGCAGTTTATTCCAAGACTAGGAGCGGGTACGCTGCGTCTGGGGATCGCCCCGGTCGCAGTGGACTCCTTGTACATCGCTTCGCGCTGCCGCAGACAGTACGTCTGTCTGCACAGCTTACCGGCACCCAGGATTATAATGGATCCCGACTCCATGTTAGGTGAAGCATTCCTCCAGCCGAAGCGCTCAGTGGTATGGCAAAGCCGCTCTGTTTACGTGCAGCATCCGTAACAGCAGTTTAGGTACCAAGGCGGGTGCTCAAAGCAGGTACCTGGCGCACGATAGAACATACGAAACGACCAATACATCCGAGAATAAGTCATGGAACTTGGAGGTAAGGTGCATCATGTTGGACACTTCTTTGATTACCATTATCTATCCTGCAATCCGGGATGCAAGGTCAATGTAAACGTTTTGTCATCGAAAAAATCAGTGTACCATTTTCATCTAGCCCGCGTATAGGGCGAAGCACTGGTTGGTGCGTCAAAGAAATCGTTGTGTACCTAGATTGACGCTAGTTTTGAATAAAAACGGACGTTTACATCTTCTATATAGACGCTTGCTCGCAACTGAACACGCTCTAGCACGTTGCTTGCAAACACATAACTGCCCGTACGTAGTCGAGACGTCTGCAAGGTCGCTTCAGCGTCACCGGGAAAGCCACCAAGCCTAGTTGCAGCGCAAAGGGAGGCAGTTGCCACTTGCCTGCGTCTGTTCAGGACAACTACACGAGACGGTTTCCAAGTTGTCCACAGTTCAAGCTCAGTTAGCGAGAGGAGTACCGTTGAACAGCGCCAGGTACCTGTCCAGAGTCGTACCTCCCGTACCTGCAGTACACCCGCTGGAAACGCTTGAGACAGTGCCCTGCCAGCGCTCGTGTGAGCCGGCCGCTACGGCCCTGTAGTGCCGCAGGACTCTTTAAACGCGGCACAAGCAGCGCACGCTGGACGCTGCTGCGACACCGCTGCTCGTCAGCGACGGGCCAAGGCGAAACGAGCGCTAAGCGCACAACGAGCGTGTATGCACCAAGCACAGCCCTGGCACGTCCTCATAGCGGATCATGTTATGATATAGAACGTAAGCGATACGATGGGAGAGTCGTCAAGTGTTCAACAGAGCGACCGAGCATGCACGGAATGGAGTCGAGGCCGCCCAGCAGGTGGGTTTGGTACGATGGACCGGGTATATATCCGCAGACAAGTGTTGCAGACGGTATGGCGTCTGCGCGTTGGGGACGCTGAACAGCGAGCACTCGCCATGCGGAGTCTAAGACCCGTTGAAGATGCTGCGTGGTGCGAAGAATGGGCGCTGCAAGGAGGCTGGGTCTTGACTGCTTGGATCGCCCGTATCTGGCGGCTCGCGTGCAACCAAGCGACCAGCAAGAAACTTTTTCGAACAGGTTTCTCGAGCGAGCAGGGGCACGCCTCCGGAGACGCTATGCAACACGCCTCAAGGCCGATCAGTCGCGCTGTCATGGAGTCCCTGCGCGATGCCTGCGTCTCCGCAAGCGCTGAGGCTTCTCGCTTGCTACTGCGATGTGCTCCATACAGTGTGAGAGGAAGCACACCTCATTTGCTGGAGTTTGCCAGGCAGGCAGCTGTTGCCCCAGTGCTGTTAGAATCGTGGTCCCAACTGGTGGCTGCTTCTCCAGCGGTTGCTGGCGAGCGCAGAACAGTGGGACGGCATAGCGTCGAGTCCGCGCTGCCGGACCCAGCAGCCACAACACTGGCACACGAGCGTACTGCGAACCACAGCCTCGACGATACCCAGATGTTTGCTGTATTGCGAGGAACGCTTGAACGGATTCTAGAAGCGGACCCGTCTCCGCTGCGACGTCTTCCACTTTTCCCGGATGACACCGATGGCCTGTTGGCACTTCCAACTGAGACTCCTGAACAGGAGTACGCTCGCCTGCTTGCCTCTGCCTGCGTTCGTCATGCGGATACCAGAGCAGTCACACTTTTGTTTGAGCAGATTGACGGAAACCCCAAAGCAGATGAATGCATGCGCACGCTGATGCTCCTTGCCGATTCGAGACAGCAGCAGGGCGCAGGACTCGTGAACATGAATGCTGCAGAGACACCAAGGCCGTCGTCTCCCAACAGCCGGGATAGAAGCGGCACTGCGGGCGTGCAGGCAGCGGATCTTCTACGCATGGAAATAGCAAAGCGGATCACGGATCGGTTTAGTGTTACGCTTGCCCAGCAATATCCTGAATGGATTCGCATCTTTTGCGAGTGGAAGTGTAGAACAGATCATACGCTTCTGCAGGCGTGCGCGGATCGAGCCCTCGAGAATGCGTGTGAGGAACTCCTGGGATATTCATCGAACCGCCTCGATTTGGAGGTGTACCTGCTATCTCCTGAGCCGACCCTAGCGCGAGCCTGCGCACCCCTGGTGGATGTGGTATTTGTCCACGGACTTCGAGGCGATCCGCTTCTGACGTGGCGATGTGGCGCCTACGACGTCCGCAAACCGACGGATGAGGACCTCGTTGAGGCGCCTGTGCAGGCAACCGCAGCGCGCAAGAGCATGAAAGCCTGGCAAGAGCGACTGTGGCCTCGGGAGTGGCTCGCGCCAGACCTTGGTGCATCGGCACGAATTCTCTCCGTTGGTTACTCCAGTGCCCTGACCGCCTGGGGAAGTTCTGAGGAATCCGGTGCAACGCTCTCCTTGAGCGAGCAAGCCGCTGATCTGCGTCGGAAACTCCTCCGAGCAGGTGTGGGCAAGCGGCCCCTGGTGCTTGTTGCGCACTCATATGGAGGCCTCATTGCGAAACAGCTCCTCGTGGATGACGCAGCTGCCTCGGCTGCTGATACGCCGGGCGCGGGAACCTTGTCTAGGGCATTGCGTGGTATTGCGTTCTATTCGACACCGCATCATGGATCTGCAGTTGCTGGCCGGTTTCTGGGTGGCATCCTCGACAAGGCCGTCAGGCCTGCAGCGCCCGTGCGTGAGCTGCTCCCCTACAATGAAAGCATCGAAAAGTTACACCGTGCCTTTCTGACACTCATTCGACACCCCTGTCGAGAACTGCGCGACGACCAGGGGCGCACTCGGCTTCCCGGGGTGCTCTGGGGTCTCTGGTTGGCAGCAAGTGCAGGTCAGCAGCAGCGGGATGGGTCGCGCTCAGCGCTGGATGCAGGGACAACAAAATATGCTCGAAGACCTGCCGAAGGAGGAGCGGGCATCCGGAGCGAGCTCCAGAGCACCGTTGCAGACCAGCACGCGCATCGTGGACAACAGTCTAGCAGAGAGCCGTCTCGTCGACAGGTCTTTCGCGAGCGAGGCGACCAAGTTCTGGACGTGCTTGGACCGGTATCGGTCGGCACTGAGTATGTGCAGGGCCTTTTACGTGAGGAAATCAAACGTCGCAGCGCTGCCGACGACGATGAGCAGGAAGCCGCAGCATCAGACTGCGATGTTCCTTCGTCACCAGCGAAGAAGTTGTCCCTAGAGCCAAGCTGCATACTACCGCCGGTGCAAGTGCTCAGCATCTATGAAGGCACCACAACTCGAACGTGGGGCGGGAGTCGCTTCCTATTCGTTTCAGAGGAATCTGCTTACGCAGGGGTCGGCGAGCTGGTCCGCGTGGATCGTGCCGATCACTTGCAGGTTTGTAAGCCACCAAGCCGGGAGGATGTGCGCTATAGGAGCGTGCTGGACATGATCCAGCGCATTGTCCAGGAGACAAGCGTCTGGTGCGATGAATGCTAGCTGGCAATGTACGGCGTTAGTTGATGCGCGTCCAAGAGTTCGCGTTCAGAACAAGGTGCAGGTCGTGTAGCCCGCAGTGGCTACGCTTTTGTTTACCAAACCGCGTCGGTGATACCCCAGATGGCGTCGTGTCTCCATAGACGCGTACTCGGATAAATGTTTCGCTCTAGGGGGCGTTTTGCTGAACCCATTTCGAGATCATGCCGAAGCAGTAAGCGCGGTGCTTTTCTGTAAAACAGGAGAAGGATGAGGACGCTTGCGCTCCGGGCCTCAATATGAAGAAAAGTGTCCTGAAGAGTAGAGTACTTTGTCGACAGGCACAAGGGTGCTCGCAATGCTACGCACACGGCAGTTGAACTAGTATCGGATTTTCTAGCGAGCGGATCGATGGATGGAACTACACACTTCCGAAGTAGTCATCGCTGCGCATCATCGGGATATGAACCCCATCGCTGCCGCGCATACTTTCGAGTCCAGTCATTCGTGGAGTCGTGTTGCACTGCTGACGCCCGCACTCTACGAATATCAACGTGAACGGGTACAGAGCAGATCAGGCTAGAGCGGTTTCTTGCATGCCTCACTGCTGCTCTCTTCGAGAAAGCGTGAACCACCGATAGGCGTCAGGCGGTACGCGCCCAATATTCAGGTTGTGCGCTAGAGTGTCAGAGAAAACAGGGCGTGTCCCCTGAAACGTATGTACACTGCAAAGCTTGCGTCCCTTACCATGAGCACCAAAATCAGCCTCTGGCGGCAATTCCTGCATCTGCTTCCTTATCCTCTCCCTTACGTGCTGGCTTTGAATATGCTGGTCACTTTTTTCCCTCCGGTTCTCTTGCCAGCAGTCGGAGGATGTCGATGGTAGCTTTAGGGATCTGACTCCGCTGCTTTCGGATGCTGTCGATGTACTTCTTTGACAGACGATCATTGCGATCTACGCTTCGCTTGTGATTTTCATTCTCTTTGTATACAGTTTCTGTGCGCCCCGCGCAGCGGTTACACTAGATACTGGTCAGGTATAACTCTGCACCCTTTAGATCTTCTCCCCCAAGCGCCGCCCAGTCGCGCATGAATGCTTGCTTTATCGCTCGGTTCATGCCCTTGGCGGGTACAGACGGCACTGAACGGTGCTCGTTCCCGTTTATGCGTCCAGCGGATATCCTATGACCACGCGTTTTCCTCAAAGAGGTCCCCTCGGTGCGGACTCTCTCCGCAGCATATATAAGCGTACGCTGCTCCATTTGATAGAGGGATACTAGAACGCGCTGTCGTCGACGACGAAAACGGTACCAAAAACTAAAACTCAGGTCAAAGAGGTAATCGTGAAATCTTGATCCGGCTTCGCGCCCTTCGTGCAAAGCGCTGACGAACTATCCACTGAATGTAATCGCTTTGACGACTCAAGTCCCGGTTCCTGGTCCTTTCCCATACATAAAAAGCGGCGGATGCTCTCGGGGCAGATTTTTTCTGAACGCGTTCATGCTGCTGTCGAATCCCGTCTCGTCGATGGACATTAAGGGAAAACGATATTTCTTTTGAACGCAATCGTATCTATGACGTGAAAATGTCCGTATGCATTTGATATGAGTTTGTGAACAAGCCCATAGTCGACGACAACGTTGCACTCTTTTCCTCGTTTATCCAGTGGGGCGAACTGCTGCACTCACGAGTTCCATTGGCACTGAAAGATCCAAAAATGCTAAAGTCTTTTGATTTGAGCATGCTGTACGCAACTGGGAGAGAAGAGTCAAGGCTTCTGCTTATCCATTGGATTATAATACAGGTTATTTTACAAATCCCTGTTCGAGGGCGTAGCGAATGATCTTGAATCCTGTGGCGTAACGAATTCCAGCGCCACGACATCGATGGAGCCACTGCGGATGGTCGACCGAAAATCCCAAAAACTGCGTATGAATCCGTAAGCGCTTATTGCCAGACTACGAACGCAGAGCCTGGACATCTAAAATAGTTCGGTTGAAATCGCAAGACAGAAACAGAGCGAATAGTTCCATGTCACATTTTATCCTGGAACTGGTGTAGTTAGCGTTGGACAGGACGCCGATCGGCATCTGAACTAGTCGCTGTATACATGTGATCCGTGAAACAGAAAATATCCCAGGACCATAGAGTAAATGAATATCCACCCTGAGAAGCCTCGCAGCCTTTTTTGACCAGCCACGTGCTATCGGTTTCAGTTTATCTAGACACACTTTGAGCCTGAGAGAGTGCCCTGCGAAGTTAGATCGCGTCAGTTCCTCGGGTATCGTCTTTCGCACTGCACATTTGTCTGATAATGATCGCGGCGTTGAGGTCTCGGTAAACGAAATCCTTTCATTTACTGCAAATAGTGGAACTTAGCTTTGCGAAGATGCCTCGAACTCGTGCTCTCGGTGCCACTACAGTTTCGCAAACGTACCGTCGAGCAAACAACTTTTCTCGCCTATATCGCATCGTCGTCATCATCGTCGTCGTCGTCATGAATTGCTCTTCTTCGCTCCATGGTCGGGGAGGCGAATATTTTCTTTCGGATCCGGAGACATCGGGCCTCCAGGATTCTCGACATCCATGTCCGTAACTTTCCCTTGAATTTCATGTTTCTTCAAAAGAACATACTTGTTTATGCCGTTAGGCGAGTACCTTCCTAGAGAGAGAAGGACTTGCATAAGGACGACGACATGTGGCCTGGTGTGTCACCGTGTGCTGCACGCTTCAGCGATTCACCCAGTGGAGCTGTCATTACGTATCACAATACGAAACACTCCCTCGATGGGGTTAAATCACGGAGCGTACGGAGAAATGAAAAGCAGCTCTACTCCTCGATCGATTCGACAAAAGCTCGAACGCAACGGGACTTGCGAAGTACCATGTCTTCCAATTGAAGGGCGTCGCCGGGCGTCAGGGAAAAGTCTTCAATGATTCGACAACGTAAGCGCTCTAATATGAGCCCTCTCTATGAGCGAAATTGGAGCCACCACTTGAATACACTAAAGCTAGAACAGATTATGATTTCCTCGTTCTATTCGAGTTCGATTGTACATAAAATGGGCGCCCTGCCCCACGAATACTCATACACGATCCGACCTTCTCGTCCGAAGCAAGTGTCACCGACTGAACAAACAAACCGACCGCCGGGTACTTCATACTGATCGCGACGTTCCAGGAACTTTTTTTCGTTGCGATTTGTGTGGAAGAACGCCGTGCGTGAACTAGGTCTCTTTTACTGGATTGCATCCCAATGCATTCAGGACCACACGAGCAAGCTGTTGAGCCACACAGACGCCCGTGGTGACTACCATCGTCGCTTTTGCTTTCCGAAATGTGACCAACGGGTCGCGTTTCTTCGACGGACTGCAAACACACATTGATAATATCGATGTAAGGCGCGGAGCGCATGTAGTTCTTTGTTTCAGTGTTCCTCTGTTATCGGAGTACTGTGGTACGACTGACCTGAAAGAAGAATGCAGTCCTCCTTGCACTCTTCAGTGAAAGAATATATACTACATTCAATTCGTCCGAGATCTATGCGGCATATTGCTTAGCGATTTCGATCTCCTGCAATACACTGCGAACAAGCATTCGATGACACGCGGCAGGGACGGAACGAAATCGAGTTCAAGGGCTATAGCAACGATGGACGACTGAGCTGCACGATCTCCGTTCGGGCCATGGGGGCTGCACCACGAGTCTTGAACATTGCAGTCATAAAAATTTGAGATCTCGCAGACGAGCAACCTCTCACAGAGCGCTCTAGGCGTGTGGACGGCGCAGTTGGCGTCGGTTGAGCGGCAAGCAGACCAAGGAGAGCGGTTTCTAAAGTGTGGCGGTGCGGGCGCTCCACATGACTGCCGGATCGACGCGTCAAGCAGCTGGTGGATACCTCCGGGAGCCGCACGCCCCTATTTTGGTCGTGCCACCAGCTCTTTACATCGGTTCGCTAGAGACGGCGCTGGAGGTAGCGCGCCGCGGTGTACTCTATCCGGTCCAAGTTATCGTGTCGCTTGGATGTGGCGATGCCGTCCGCGCTCTGGAGGACTGGACTCGACAAGCGCCAGGCCGCTTCTGGTATGAGGCCCCTGACTTGAAGGACACACCAGACCAGGATTTATGGCCTATTTTGGGAGAAACAGTTCCCCTGATACAGAGCGCGCAGCGCGAGCGACACGGCGTGCTCTGCCACTGCGTCTCTGGCCGGAGTCGATGTCTAGCGGTTGTATGCGCCTATCTCATGCACAGTTACGGGCACGACTTTGCTGAAGCCGAGGCCATCCTCAAACGCAGTGGCGTCGAGCCCGACATGAACCCCGGCTTTGTGCTGCAGCTGCAGAGATGGAAAGGAGGTCGCACCGCCATCGCGAAAGCGTCGCACGGGCTAACCTATATGGGCTTATGCAGGGCCTGGTCTTCAGAGTATGCCTTGGATTGGAAAACGGTGGAACAGGAGGCACGTTGTGGATTTGTCTGCGCTTGCTGTCGTTGGTGTCGTGTGCCGCTGTTTCGTCTCGCGGAGGATGTTGTTCGGGAAGATGCGCGAACGTTTCAGCTATACGCCATTTCATGGATGCAGCAGAGCACCGAGGTACCCGGGGCAGCGTGCGGAGTCGTCCAGTCAGGAGGAGGTCGTCTCCGATGCCCTGGTTGTTCACGAAAGCTGGGAGCGTTTCGTTTCGAGCCGTTTAGGGATGCGCTCTTTCTTGTAGAAAAGCAGGTGGTGATTGTGCGTAGGCAATGGAAGCCCGGCGCTTAAAATTCCGCTGTCAAGCAGCAGATTTCATAACGCTCTGAAAATGCAGCACGAATCGATCCAGCAGTGCGGATCCCTGCTGCGATGCCTGTAAAGGTTCCGTACAGGAAACTCCATGTGTGCATCGAATTTTCCGTTAGGCTTCTTGAAGGCAACGTGAAGCGATGCAGCTGCACAGATGGTTGTGGTGATGTCTGCACCGCAGCTTGGGAGGTATCTCCATAAATCGGTATTTATGTCGCATTTGAAAGGAGCTGACGTCGTGAGTCCACAGGGAGCGCGAGACATTCCATAGATTGACTTTGAGGTGACGACAATGAACTTTGTCAGATGAGTTTTTCTGGTGTTCTATCAATGCACACGCTATGCTGGCGATGGTGAATATGGTATTCGGGCACCGCAACGAAGCGCAAGCACAGTACATGGGTAGCTTTTCTGAACCGATGATCAAGATGGAGCACTTTCGAGCTGCAATGGCGCCATGGACGGCAGCCAAGCGACTCTAGCAATGACCGAGTGATCCCGTGGGACGCATCTTGAAGTTTTGCATTGCAGTGATGCGTTCAGGCGATCTTTGGCAATAACCGAGTGGTTCTACGAGGCATATCATCAGGTTCCGCATTGCAATGATGCGTTCAGGCCGATCGGAACGTTTCCCTGTGTAGGAGTGCATGAAAGAAACCCTGCTAATACGCATATTATTGCTCTTGCGTCTTTCGAAAAACCGTCTCGCGATATATCCGCTCCTTCCCAGGAGCGCATTGACGGTCGTTTCTTCGGATGCCAGCAGCGACTACGCATATGCCGAATTCTGGTTCGATACACGCGTCTTACAGCCCGACAAAACAACCTCGTTCTCTTGTCTACGCTCCGTGATGCTCGGTGCGCCCTGCAGACGTATTCACGGTCGTGACGTCGAAGCCGCGGGTGCTTTACGTCTTTGAAATGGCCTCCAGTATCGATGCGCATACCAGAGGCAGTCGAGCAACAAAAAATGCCCCTCAAGACGCCGCTCCAGAGAGGCCCGCAATGATCGCCGACCGCTGACCAGCCTCTCACGAATGAATCCAGAATCCAATGCCTTCCAGCCAGAGCGCCATCGGTTCTGGCACCGACGCATGCCCCAAGAGCTGCAGGCACTGGCCCAGATACCTCTGGACCTCGCTCGGAACAGTGATCATTGGGGATCGCAACACAAGCTCAGCAAGCTGTTCCTGTTCTGTGTCATCTCGATCGCGACTCGTCAGACGCCGAAGCGTCTGTACAGCAGAGCCCGAATACTGCCCGTAACGCGCATCGACTGACGCAGGGTCCCAGGCGGCTAGGCCTGCCTCTCGACGAGCCAAGCGAATGGCGTCCTGCAGGCCACCCTGCTGGTCCACCACACCGTTGCGAAGCGCATCAGCGCCGCTCCAGACGCGACCCCTGGCAACGCGTTGCGCCGCCTCCTCGCTGAGCCGACGTGCTCGAGAGACTCGTTCGCAGAAGAGTTTGTACTGCCAATGCACTAGACTCTGTAACCGTTGTTGCTGCTCTTCATCTAACGGTTGAAAGAGACTGGAAACTGCGGCAAAGGAGGGTGCATTCTTGCCAATCGAGACGTGATCAAACTGGATGCCATTGCGTTTCGCCACATCGAGCAGATTCAATCTGAGCAGTATGACGCCAATACTGCCAGTGATACAACACGTTGGTGCGATGATGTGCTTGGCTCCCAGCGCTGCCAAATAAGCCCCTGAGGCAGCGACTTCGCCGAAGGAGGCGATCACCGGTTTCGCCTGTGCACACTGCTCCACAGCTTGGCGAAGATTTTCCGAAGCGGTTACCGTACCACCAGGCGATACCACTCGTAGCACTACTGCGCATACTTTTGGATCCTTGGAGGCTTTGCGCAGTGCCCTCAAAGGCGAGCGCACGCTGCCATCGGTCAGCACACCTGTTACGGGAACGATCGCAATGACTGGAATGCTGGCTCGTCGGTCAGCGTTGCCAAGTGGCTCCGTCCGCGAGAATCGACGTTTGAGCCATTCGAGACCAGACTGTTGAGCCCTTTCCAGCCGACTGCGGAACAAGGATCGCTCCGCGATGTAGTCTGTGACCGGGCAGAAGCGCAAACTCTCGGTGCTTTCTCTGCGAGCGTGTCCCTCTGAACGAGACGCAGGCCGTTTCGCGTCTATTGATGCATCCGGAACCGCATCGCCAAGTCGCGTCTCCTGGGCTGTGCTTAGTTTCAGGAGTGCCTGGATGCGTTCAACTAGGACGGTGGCGTTCTCAGCGGGTATTTCGCTGTCCGAGTTTGCAACAGTACTTCGAGCGCGTTGCACCGCTTCATAGGCCGCGAACCATTCGGCTGCAGGTTCCCTCTCGACGCTCGGTGGGTTCGCTTCCCAGGGTCGGGTGCGCAGCCACCTTTCAACACTATCGCTGAGGTCCTCGAGTGCCTGTGGGTTCAGGAGCGCCTGCTCGAGAAGCTCCCTGGCCTCCTGGCGTTCAGCTGCGCGTTCCTGCATTCGAGCAAGCACTAGCGCTTGCATCTGTGATCGAACTGCATCCGGATAGGCGAGTGCATCCACCAGGTTCGCTTCGAAAGCTTCGGACGCGCTCAGAGGGGCTGTATTGATGAGCGCCTCCACTCGAGCTGGCTCTTTTCGGCGGTTCGCCGCAATCGCCTGCACAATCGTGACGTACATCGTGTCCAAAAGCGCCTGCACTGCTTCTCGATGTTCTGGGGTATAGGCGGTCTGGGTGAAGATGTTCGCTGCCGTTTTGTATTCCCCGCAACGAATGACATCGATCCGGACACCCTTCGCATCGAGGAGATCGCGAAGAAAGAGGCCACCTGCCGATAATCCAACGACATTCCAAATGCCAGTTGGATGCATGAAGATTTTCTCGTGAGCAGCAGCCAAGTAGTACATAGCCGTATTTTCGAACGACGGGGCGTAGAAAGCGGTCGGCTGCCCGGCTAGCGCGAATGACCGCAGGGCCGCTGTGACCTCCTCCAGAACGCCAAGCGGGTTGGTGTAAGCGCGGAAAGCACGCCCCTGGTTACTCCCAGAAGTGGTTAGGATACCAGCGATGCGGGGATCCCGGGCAGCATCCTCGAGTGCGCGGGTTACCTGAAACAGAGAGACTGGCTCTGGTGGCGACATGGAGCCCGATGAGAGGCGACGCCATAACCTTCGCCACACCGCCAGATCCTCGATGGGTTCCTCCTCTGTGATGACGATTCGATCAAGGGGGATCTCGAGAATGACGGACGCTGGTCTGTCGCCAACTGCTGCTCGATATGCCTGGTCTGCACGAGCTGCTGTCAAAGCACTGAGCGCGATAGTTGAGAGTCCGATAAGGGCCAGAGTGTTTCGGAGTGTTCGCGAGAGCCGAGAAACCCAACCACCGCCCCAGAAACGACCTGCTTTCGCTGTAGCACCGTCTTCCTGGGGACTGGACTGTGCGCGCCCCGTCGAGAGCGAACTGCAGGTTGCTCTGTTGGAGCGGAGCGGTTGAAGCAACCAACGACCCCGCACCCACATACTTGCATCAAGTCAGACAATTGAGGGCGTCTCGAGTGGAACCCTGGCCTGATCGTTTTCGAGAAACGCTGCAGGACTCCTCGAAACGGCTCGTAGTTGCCAACGTTGCGCTCGGCGGACAACTCTTTGGAGCTCGCTTGCGGTTCCAGGAACCTAGCCACCCTTGCTCGTGCGCTGCAGCACCATTGAAAGAACCTCACGCTAATCCAGCCAGGAGGGTTCCTCGCCCGCGTCCAAGCAGCTTAGCCAAAGCAGTCGGTAAAAAGCGCGACAACTAGCGCGGCGACGTTGTTGTCTGAGCGCGCCTTCCTTGGCAAGTGCAGCACTCGGGACGTCGGGGCAACAGGCCAACCGCGGACGCTGTTCGAGTGCTGTTGCACCAATCAGGACTTGAACTTGTGTTGTCCGGGTATTATTTCGAGTTTAAGAAAGAGCCTGGGTGTACGAATCGTCCGGGAAACTCGAGAACTCCCCAGGATAGTGCTACAACCCGAGGCCTCGGGAAGAGTCTCTGTCTGAGACTGGGGAAAGCTTCCACACACTTGGAGCGCTGACCAATAGGCCATTATATCCGTTCGTTCACATACGGAGCTTTTCGCTTGAGCCGTCTCTTTACTCAAGCTGGAAGGCTTTGGGAATTCACGCTTGAACTGAGCTCGCCACCGGACAAGATCGATTGGTTTGTCAACTGTTGCAGTTCTCGGCTGCAGCGCAAGACCCTCCAGCCGCAACGTTTGTGCAGCCGAGGCCCGCTGGAGTCCTGGCAAGTTACTGGTTCAGAGGTTGCTCATCGCTTTTGTGTCTCACGAAGCTCCTGGACCGAACGGCGAGTTGTCGCTCAGAATGGCGGCACACGCGAACCAGCCGTCTCTTTATCCGCTGGAACTTGTGGACGCAGCTGTGGGAACCCGCGTCTGGATCATCCTACGGGGTGCACGCGAGTTCTGTGGTATTCTCCGGGGATTTGATGAATATGTGAACTTATTTTTGGAAGATGTCGATGAGTATACGTACAGTGAGGAGGGTATCGAGAAGCAGCATATCGCTCAAATGTTCTTGAACGGTAGCCAGATCTGTGTTCTGGCAGCAGCCCCGACACTGGATGGATCCCAGCAGCTCGGATGTGCCTATGTACCTTCATCGACGACGTAGAAGTGCTTCTTTTGGGCACGCTACAGGTATTCGGGACCGTCCAGGCGTTCAAAAGAGCTGCACCAATTTCAGATTAAAATAGAACACAGTTTTTTCGTTCTATTCCTGTCTTTCGATTTTTCCGAACTGTTTTTTATATCTGCAGGTTCGAGACTCGAAGTGCAGCACTTGGGGCTTGCCGATTCATCCGTAGGTTTAGGATGCGTGGTCGCGTTTTCTGAGAAACTACCTCGGCCCGTTGGCGCTAGAATTCGTCACGGCATCTTCATCAGGATAATTCGCGATGCCGTCGAACACCGGGTTCGTAAAATAACCAATATAATTATCCAGGACATGCGTACAAGGAGCTCCGCATTGTTTTTCCTTCCCTGATGCATGGCCGGATCGTGCATTCTTCAAAATCTCAATGTTTTTGCCTCAGAGGGACTCGCAGGCGCCGTGATTCACGCCGGTGGATTGACGAGGGAAAAAGCTCGACATCAGCCCATGAAGGCTTCTCCACAAGTTCATGCAGAAAGTTCCCTGATTTTCTCATGTGCAATCATCGACTCCGTTCGAAAGAGAAACTTCCTCTCATCGTCGCCGTCCAAGAAATATGATTCCACTGCAGCGTGATACATATCACGGGATACATTCCCAGAGGCTGCCTTCGTTTCTGTGTTCATGGAAAAGGGTATCGGACTCGGACCTCCATCATCGCGGTGATGGTTTCCAGCGGAGAGCGTGTCACTGCTTTGCTCCAAAGCAGCATGGGCGTATCTAAGTGTCTAGACTTGTTCGCCTGTCTGAATATCCCTTCTGGTTTTCTTTTCATCATGAACAAAATCGCGTTCCACAAATTCTGTATCGAATGGAACAGCGTACCCTTGCGCATGCAGCAGATATGGACCTCACCAAAAGGCTTGCCCAGAAGAAGCTCGTGATAAGTGGATATGGGTACTGGTGCGCAAAAGGACCAGGGCCTTGTGTTGAGGCTGCTGTACCCGTCAAGTGCATGAACCGAGCGATGAAGCAAACGTTCATGTGCAAGTAAGCAGCTCCCGGAGGAGGAAAAATCGTGGATATATGCGAACACCTGACCACAGCCAAGTATCACGGCTGCAAAAGACGCACCGAAGCTGGTTGCGATGAAGATGGAAATAGCAAGCGAAGCGTAGACCGCAACCTTTTTCCAGTCCATGACATGAATAGCATACAACCAGAAGCGGCGGAATCGGGAGTTTCACGTTGCAATGGGCATCCATCGACCGCTGACAATGGAGCTAGATGGGCACGAGAGCGTAGCTACTGAAAGCTGAAGATAACATGCAAGGAAAAAGCAATTGCAGGAAAAATTCGCAAAGGCTGATGCTGGCGGTAACGGGAAGAGGTTTAAGCTTTATAGAGTACGCCCGAGTTCGTAATCCAGTTCGTATTCATTCTGACATAGGTGCTAGCGTATTGAGTGCAAGACGAAACATCTATCCCGATCTAGGTGTATGGATGCAAAGTGGTTCTATTTGGGAGAACCGAGCTTTGGTGGAGTATGCAGGTCTCGGGTTGTTCGGAACACAGAAAGAGGTTATGATGCAGAGTCCGGGGCGCTGCCTCTGAGTGAGACAGCCGCCCGTCCGCCCCCTTCGCCGAGTCAACATACACAGCGTTGCGGCAACCTGCTCGACTGCGCGTATCGGCAGCGTGATAAATGTCCAGTATCTCGGAGGTGAAGTGCAAGTCATGGAGCCTGAAGGTCGGCGGGACGACAAACGCTTCTCCGATCGCTGATATCGAGCTTGCAGTCGGGTATCACTGGTTAGTGTAAACGTTCTTTGAAACGAAAAACATTGGCAGCGTGCATTCGCGGACGGACGGGCGGGAAAGGGCAGCATGCAACTTATTGGGTGCCGTAGCTTCGGTGCAGGTGCTCCGCCGTGAGTGCTTGGGCAGACGACGTCCGTTTCTAAACGTCAACAGACGGATCGAAGGCTGCAGTGAACGCACAGTCCACCCGTCGACCTCCTCTGGCATCAATGCTCGTACGATCTGGGTCATCCAGATAACGGTGATCCCGAACGCTGTGCTGCCATCTCGGGAAAGCACAGAATTGGCGTGCTCCGAGTCCTTTGCAGCTGGAGAGAATGATCACTGCGGACAGGTGCCTCATGGCGATTCCACTGAGCGAGCGTATGACCTGTTGTGTTGGAAACAGAAGCAACTGGGATGACGGAGCAGCTTCTTCAAGCTACTTCTGAATCTTCTAGCGCGGTCAATGGCGGGCTCTGTCTGTTTCTCTGCTTACCTAACTGAAGGTGCATCTGCTGCCAAATGTCTCGCTCAGTTCCACCATGCTGGATGGAGTTCGGTGCGCACCGTCGCAACCCCGTCGTACGCCATGCATGAGCAGCGACAAGAGATGGGAGCGGGGCTGTACGCAAAGACTGTTGAGCGCGCTTCTCTATGTTGGATTCTGGCACGTTTGCCTTCTGGCGTTTGACTGCTGCCATGCTCACAGCCATATTCCACTTCATCGAGCGTCTTTCATGAATTTTCCGTAACTGTTCTCGAATATGCTCGTGGAGAGACTCCCAGCAGCTGGCTGCATCGGAACTGCTCTGCGCAGCAGGAAGCGTAATACCGCTTGTGTGTCGGGCGGGATGATGGCATTGAGCCAGGTTTCCGCATATGGGCAAACGCTCCCGGTCATCGGGGCTGCCTCTACATCGCTTTTCCGTAGCTGCGCATCACGTCAGCGGGAGCAGCAGCGCACTGGAGCCGACACCCGCAAAGGTATAGCCGAGCTGTTCTGTCTCGAGGAAACAATTGCGCTGGCGAAGCATCTAGCTTCACAGCCGGTGCTCATGGTAGGTTCGATACACGAGGGGCTCATCGGATCAAGACTCTGTCCCAGACGGCTAGTTGAACATGGAGTTAACGAAATGTTTTAGCATTTCAAAGGGAACTGAGGTCCTGCAGCTGGCTATCGATCTCCATCATGCATCCTGGGGATGTTGTTTCAAAGCATACACATAAGTCGGTAAACGAATATCCACCTGCGGACGCCACCCGGCCTTTTTAGACGGGCCTCATGCTATCGACGTTAGCGTCTGCTTGTAAAGTTAGGCCCTGCGAGGCTGTCCCGCAAAGTTGGATCGCGTCAGATCCGCGGGTCTCGTCTTTAGCAACGCGTATCGTCTGATATTGATGGCAGCTTTGAAGTCGCGGTTCACGAGCTCCATACTTCTATTGCCGCCGATGGTGGAACTCATCAACGCAAGGATAGCTGGAACTCGTGCCCCCTGTACCACTAGAGTTTTGTAAACGTACCGTCCGGCAAACACCTTTTCTCGCCTATTCCCCCTGTTCTTCTCCGTCATGCGCTCTTCTTCGATCCATGGCCAGCGAGAAGAGGACTTTTTTTGTTTCCTTTGTCGAGCACGGCGATGGGGGTCCACCAGGATCCTCGACCTCCATGTCCATATATTTCCTATGGATTTTTTACACTTCGAATGAACGCACTTCGAATGCATTCACTATAAACCGTAAAAAAGCTTTTGATGATACGAACCTGCAGAATCCAGCATAATTTACCTGGAAGACTAGAAGCAGAGCTCCTCGAATGCATCATGGTTATCGGCATCTAGTGAAGCCGGCACCATCCCGTACTGGACCCTGTCCATTCAGAGAGCCAGAACGTCGGCTTGTGCTCGCGGAGAGCCCGCACCCGGAATTGTCTCCAGGCTTCTTGACCGCATTTCGCCTTGTACTACAAAGCAGCGCAGCTTTTTGTTCTTGGTACAATGGACCGGAATATTTGTATAGCTGTACTGGGATTGGGTGAGATGGGCACCATACACGCTGAGTCTCTGCGGAGACTTGGCGGAGTAGAGCTCGCTCTTGCCTCGAAACGCTCCGAGGTTCTCCACGAGCTTGCGGAGCGCCTGTACGTACCGTGTGCGTTGCGCTTCGAGTCGTACGAGGATGCTCTAGCCAGTCCGAGAGTGGATGCCGTCGTAGTGGCTACCGCTCCTGCGGATCATACTGAACGAATCGTTCGAGCAGCCCAAGCTGGAAAGCACATATTTTGTGAGAAGCCGCTTGGCCTCTCAGCTGCGAGCGTTGAAAAGGCGCTTGCACAAGTGGAGCACGCTCGACTTGAGCGCGGCGACTTTGGAAAGAAAGTTTTCATGGTCGGGTTTATGCGCCGCTTTGATCCGGCGTACGCGCGAGGAAAACTACTGGTACAGTCGGGGGCGCTTGGGAAACCGACGGTGCTCAAGTGCACCTCCGGTGACGCCGAGTATCCCGCGAAATATCAACGAGATCTTGGCTACAATTCCATGCTGCTTGACCTTGCTGTGCATGATATCGATTTGGCCCGCTGGCTTCTCGGTGCTGAGGTCCACCGGGTTCACGTCGTTTGTCGTTCGCTCGTGTATCCGCAGCTGGCGGGGCTGGGCGACGCAGACAACGCCTTGGCCCTGCTCGAGATGGATAGCGGCGCTCTGGTGTCGGCACACTTTTGTCGCGCATTTAACTACGGATATAATGTTACGAGCGAACTGGTGTGTGAGCGCGGTTCCGTGTATTTAGGAGAACTCAAGCGACCGGGAGACGCCATTCGCGTTGCAGATCCAGCCGGAGCCCTGTCCGAGCGCATTGCACCCGTTTTCAGGGAGCGTTTCGAACAGGCCTTCCAACGAGAGATGGAGGTCTTCGCTGAAGCAGTTCGAAAGGGAACCCTACCCGCAGGCGCACCCGGGCCTCTGGATGGCCTCGCAGCTACGCGCGTCGCCGAGGCGCTCGTTCGCTCATGGCAGACAGGCTCACCCCAGGTTGTTCAGCACTGAGTGGATTTCCTATGCTCTGAAGAATCGCTGCGTCTAACCACGGGTTGTGGGTACGCAACTGAATGGGTGTGTTTCGTGTGTCGCAATGCAGGATTGTTGTATCTGACCGGGGATCCTGAGTGCGTGATGCACTGAGCGGTTGACATCGCGGTGACGGCGGCTGAGATTAACCGCTGATGCCGAGAGTTGTGTGCTCGGGTCCGGAAATCGTGCTGGTGGAGCGTATTCTAGCCCATGTGCACTGAAGGCTGCAGTGACGGCAGGATAGCAGCCTATACCACAACCAGCGTTGATCGGGAACGAGACTCCTGTTCATGTCGTGTTTGTTTTTACAAAATGGCTGATTCGGAGATCCTCACGATGGTTCGAGCTAAAGCGACGAAATAGGCATCTTCTAGGTGGTGCAAAAGCGCTTCATTGTTAAAAATGCTCTCGAACGCGCGTTGCTCCAGCTTGATCAAATCCTCGATGGTGCTCCATCGCTCCTTGAGCGGATCCCTGCCCGGACTCTGACCCTCTATCCAGAGTTTGCCGTCAGCGTTCACAAGGACCGTTGATCCGACGTGATGATAGTCGAAACTTAATGTACGCGGCATTCGAGCGACAACATCCGCGTCATTCACGATACGATAAGCGTCAGGTACCAGCGTATTGAAGGTCCGCGCAAACACTCCGTTGCCAACCCGCGGCGAGCCAAAGTTGTACATACGAATGCGGACACCGTTGCGTGCACGCTGGCTCAACGGAATGCCACGATCCTCGAGAACGCGCGTCACATCGAGCGCCGCAAGTGTGGCCAACGCGGCACCCAGCGAATGTCCGGTGAAGAAGAACTCAAGCCCTTCGCTGGAGAGGGTGCCTTCTCGCCGGCTCTTTTCCACGAAATAGAGCGCCACGCGCCGAACTGTCTCCCGGATCGAGCGGTACGCCTCGGCGAACCCAGCATGTACGCAAGCCCCTTCCACGCGAGTTTCTTCAGAAAAATCCACCTGATTGAGCTTGGCATCGGTCAGGAAATCGCGCCAGGACATTTGGACTGTTCCACGGAACGCGAAGACCACGCGTCGGTTCGGCTCGCCCGGAGGCGAACGCCAGATATAAAACTCAGTATCAGTACCAACATGTTTGACGAACATCAGCCTCTCTGTGTCCTTGTAGCAGCTGATCTCATCCAAGACCCGTCGCTGCAACTCATCCCATTCTCGCAGTTCGCCTGGCGGAACGTTTGACTCGCGAATCAGTTGCTCCACGGATCTTGCGATCTCGGTGCTATTCGCTTGTCGCTGAGCGAGTTGCACTGTTCGATGAAACGCATACTGTGCGGCGTCCGTCCAGCGGCGTGTTGCTTGGTTCGCGAACCCTATCAGAGAAGACTCTGATGAAGTCACCATTTGCTCAGAATTAAGCCCGTGTTCCTCATTTCCATTACCATTCAATTTGAAACGCACAAACCGCGATTCCGGAATTTGTTTGACCTTAACTTTTCGGCGTTCTGTACGGAAAAAGGGCTTGTTTTCAATGACGGTGGCATCATCGTTCTCGAAATCTCTGATGTAGAAGCTGTAGCTGCTATCCTCGCGAGCCGAGTCCTCCGGTGGATACTCCAACGCCCAATTGCGTCCAGTTTGTCCCGTGAGCACGCCCTCGAAGCATTCCCGAACAAAATCTAGGGAGAGATAAACCGTCTGAAGGTCCCCGAGAGCGCATCGTTTGCCCTCGTGTGGCTCTGGATCTCGATAAGCGTCGAAAGTGAACCCCGCCATGAGTAAAGCCAGCTGCGCATCAAAAGGGACCCTGCGCCCGCGAAGAGGTTCTGCAATGTATGATGACTCCGCTATACCAATCGATGCCGTCATTTCGGCGAGCTTGGTCTCCACAAAGCGATTGTACTGCGAACGAATAGATTCCAGGAACCGTTGTGCTTCCGAAACCACTGGCGACAACGTATTCGACAAGTACGGTTTGAGATTCTCAAAGTCTCCGCGTAGGTTCTGCAACGTCTGCTCTGCGGACCGCAGGCGTGCTGGCATGTCGATATCGCCCGGCCCCGTCATCGCCACCGAGCGTACGGCGTCGTTCAGGTCGCGCATTCGCTGCGCCGTATCATCCGGCAGCTGGTCTTGGATGTATCTGCTCGTATCGCGACTCCAGCGCTCGATTTCCTTGCGTGTCTGCCCGAGACGCGACTGCGCATCCTCAACCAAATCGGACAGGACAGCTCCTAGATCTGGCATCGAACCCGTACCAGAGGATACTATGTTGTCCACAAACTCGCTTGCGCTCTTCAAAATGCTGCTGATAGACCCGTCTTCCGTACTGGAACTGCTGGGTTGCGCTGAATCGTCGCCGAAGCGCTTCCGCAACGCCGCCAGGGCCTCTGACAACGGCGCCGGGAGCGGCCCAGCAGAGCGCTCTGCTTCGCGCGACTGTCCACGACGCGTCAACCGTGCAAAGCTCGTACGAACTTGCTTGAGAAAATTATCTATCTTCTTTTGAAGTTCCTTCTCCGGTCTCGACGGCCCAGGCCCCGGCGACGTGGGCGACAAGGGCAGGTACGAGCAAGCCACCGGGTGCTGCCGCCGACCAACTTTTCCTGAGCGACTCGGGTTGAATGGGCGGCTCTTTTCCCGCGCGTGCTGAGCTATAAACGTTCTCTGCACGAACATGGCTGCCCGCCCAGTTCAAGAATAGGTACGTTTCGCGATATCAGGAGCCTCTCTATACACACGCGTACACAGCAGCAGCACGCAGACCCAGCATGGGCAAATCTCTGCTGGCGCTGATGCCGGGAGGATCGCGTGACTCGCACGCATCGGTGCATGCAGCGGGCGATTGATCCCAGTCCAGCGGTGCTGGAGGCGCATTCTGGTGTGCGGACGCCTCTCGCGTTGCCACGCAATAACCCTTCAGGCACGGCCATGCGTGAAGGCGCACGCGTGCGCTTCCGTGCCCGCGGCACGCAGCGATCGCCACCGGAGCGACAGCCGTTGCGCGGACAGCACTGATCACTTTATATACGGTTTTCTGCATCACAAGATCCATGGAGATGCTGGGGCACAGCTTGATCCGCTCAGGTGAGCGCGTTCGCGTCAATGTCTAACGCGATGGACGTGCCGATGCAATCGCAGCGACTATCGCGGACGCTGTGCACCCAGTACGCTTCAGAGAGAGGCACGACGGCGTGGCCGAGTGGTCCAAGGCGTTGGAGTAAGGTTCCAATGAGCGACAGCTCACGCGCGTTCGAATCGCGTCGCCGTCACGAAACTCCTTTTTCGCAAGTCTTTCGGAATACACTGCAAACTGGAGGCTGTTGAAGACCGCTCGGGTAGGTCGGGCATGATCCCCGAGCAGGGAGCTTGTGGACAGCGCCACTGTCGGTTGTCCCTGTTGACAGGTAGCGCGACGCGTACCCCGAGCGAATGCTTCCTGATTTCGCCCTTCAGGGCAGCAAGCGGCCGGTCGTTCTCGCTCCGTACTACAGCAGAGTCGGAACGCGTGCATCTGCGGCCGGTACAGCGTTCGGCGCGCGTGCTAAAACGCACACGCTCTGCTTGCGGAACTTGCGTCAACAGGAGCGTTGCGCACGAACCTCGGCGCTGGACACGCAGGCGCACAAGGCGTCCGTCGAGGCTCGCCCTCGACAGCACACTCCAGCCGGCGGCTGATTCACTCGTAGTCTTCATCACTGGGGGCTCCCGTGGTCTCGGCTGGGCGCTGACGAGGGCATTTGCACAGGGCGGACACCGCGTTGCCGTTTGCGGACGCGATACGACGCGCCTCGCGGACATTCGCAGCGAACTCCCGCCAACGCTTCTATTCGCTCAACGTTGCAACGTAGCGAGTGAAGACGAGTTGGAGTCGTTTGTGGAGTCGGCTTTTTCGTACTTTGGTGAATCGACCATGGATGTGTGGATTAACAACGCAGGTACTGTTGGCAGACGCGGGAGCGCTGTCGATGTGCCAGCAGCTGCGCTCCGCGAAGTCATCGAGACGAACCTTCTCGGAACGATGCTCGGCTGCCGCACCGCAGCGCTCCACATGACGCGTGCGCAAAACAAGCATGGGCATATTTTCAATGTCGACGGTGCGGGTGTCTTTGGCAACGGAACCCCGTACTTTGCTGCGTATGGTACAACCAAACGTGCCATGCCGCAGCTGATGCGCTCCCTTAACAGAGAGCTCGCTGGCACCAATGTGTCCGTCCACACCATTTCACCGGGTATGATGATAACGGATCTTCTGCTCCGTGACTCCACCGCGCAGATGCGCCTATTCTTTAACCTTTTGGCGGAGCGACCGGAAACAGTTGCAGCGTTCCTGGTGCCTCGAATCATCCAGGTGGCGCGATCACAGCCACCACTTCGTGGGGCGTACATCAGGTTCAAGACACTGCCGGGCGCGTTTGCAAGCATCGCTTGGAACGCGATCGTGCCCGGGCGTCGGTATCGTTTCTTTGACCGTCATGGCAATCTAGTCGAAGAGGAATAATGACGGAAAATCATAGGGGCGCGCTTCCTTGGGATGCGCTCCACCGATATGCATCGCTGCGGGGGTATCCATCTTTGGGATCACCCGAGTGGCGAACGCTCCGCCCCGGAGGCGCGTTTCAAAGAGGGCGACATGAGGTTGGCCTCACCCCCGCGTTGGCAACCACCGAGTGAGCGGATTTTGAAATGTAGGGGGTTTGCGGAAGCCGTACGCACACGATGAAACGGGTTCGCGCGAAGTTCATGCGTTGCGAGAGATGCCACGGTAGAATCTGGATCAGCATTCGTTTGAGAATATTATGCAGACCCAGACGTCCAACATCGGTATCCGAGCAAGTCTTCCGTGCGACGGCTTGCCAAAAGAAATACATCTTCTGTTGGAGCGTTTGTGCCGGGGACATCGCTGGTGCATCCGGCGGAAGATGATCTATACATTCAGCAAAATGAAGAACGTTTCGCGGCCATGGGCGGTATTTGTGTGTATCTACTATCGCGCAGACATCTCCCAGTCTTTTTCGACCTGCCCTCGGCTATCGGTTTCAGCTTCTCTCTGTACACTTGGAGCCTGAGAGGCTGTGTCACAAAATTAGATCGCGTCAGCTCTTCGGGTCTCGTCTCCGGCACTGCACATCTTCTGATATTAATAGCTGCGTTAAAGTCTCGGTTCACGAACTCCTTGCATGCTCCGCCGCTGGTGGAACTTATGAATGCAAGGAGTCCACGGCCTCGTGCCCTCACTGCAATTTCCTGCTCTGGCAGCTCTCCGTACTCTTTCATCTCCGGAGCGCCCCGCTGGCTTTTTCCATCTCTACCTTCTGAAGTGTACGTCCCAACTCATGGTGGACGAAAGTCGTTCGTTACTCATCTATCGGTAACGTGACGAGCCGTTGAGCGGACTTTCAGGCTTTTCTGGAGTTCATGAATACTCGCGCTGCTCATAACGAGGAGCTGTAGAAAGGGTATACAAAGCCCCGGTGGGCTCGTCAGCGTATGCATCTATACGGTGGGAGGCAGCGGGCGTTCGCAAACTTCTTCAATCAGCTGAGTGCCCTGAAGGAGGATGAAAGTCAGAGGCTCGTAGTAGCGTACGGAGCAGGCCGATGGAAGACCCAAAAAGGGACTACACCAGCTCCATCGACAAGAACGTAAAAGGAGTGCGCAAGGCGTTTCGTCACGATACCTGTAGATGAGTTCCGAACATCGTGTACACACCATGAACTCGGATGCACACCTCAGAGAGTGGAAATGTAAAAGTGTCAGTGGAGCCCTGAGGATATAAAAAAGTACGGACCGCTGACAGACGAGCAAATGGAAAGGAGGGCAAAAGTTCGACGGCTACTTGCATTAGTAAGTACAACCAATGATGGCAAGAAACGTATCGAGTTTGTGAACCGAGACCTTAACGCAGCTATCGATATAAGGAGATGTGCGGTGCTGGAGAATAGACCTCCAAAGTAGACAAGAGAGAATTTTGTGGGAGAACCTCCCAACGTGGAATTATATGAGAAAAAGTTGGAAGCAGTTGTACGTGGCCGGTCGAGAAAGATTGGATGGCGTCCGCACATCAACTGGCGACGTCTCCTCTAGGGCGGGTCACTCGCCACTATTGTACACCGTTGGCGTCGTTCGACTTTCGAACGGCGTTGGTGATGGCGATGGGTCGCACGACTCAGTTTACTTTGGACGAGGTCGCTAAACACGCAGATAAGGACTCATGCTGGCTAGTCATCGATGGTAAAGTATACGCCGTTGAGAAGTTTCTGAACGAGCACCCCGGAGGCGAAGACGTGCTCCTCGAGACCGCAGGTCGGGACGCGACGCGCGAGTTCGAGGATGTCGGTCACTCCAAGTCTGCGCGGGAGCAGCTCAAAGAGTTTTACATTGGTGACGTACGAGAGCCCACTGCAGAGGAACTCGCTGCAAAGCGAGCCGTCCAAGCGAGTGCAGCAGCCGAGAGGCGTGACGGCGATGGTGTTCGAGCCAACGGTCTGGGAAAAGAGCGACTCTTTGCCGGGGGCGCGTTCGGAGCTGAGCCGCTCTCTGGTGGATCCAGCACGTGGACGCTTTTGAAACGACTGTTTGTTCCTGTATGCATAGCGGTCCTGGTCTATTTAGTGAGAGAGTACTCGAAGCAGGTGCAGACTGGCGGATAGCTGCGCAACGGGGCGTTATGCTCGACATCCAGCACTCTGTTCACGTGTTTTGGCCAAGGGCGCGGAGAGGAGGTTGTAGAGAGAGAAAGCGAGAGAGAGCGCACGGCAGAGCTTTGCAGAGAAACAGCGGCGGCACCTGATGCAGCGCCAGTGTTAGAATCAATGCAATACAGAGCTGCTCGCGCAGTTCCTGGCTTGAGATTTTTCCGCAATTGTTTTAGATCTCCAGCCTGTAGATGCAAAGTGCAACAGTGCGGGCTCATGGACTGGGAAGTAGCTGTAGGAATCAGGGTCGCACATCCGGAGTTGCTTTGTAGACCCTCTGCCGCTCGCATTCGTCACGTCACCGTCATTTGAATGATGCGCGGCACCCACGAGCAAGGATTCATCACATAAAAGGCATCTTCTTCCACGACATGTGTACAAGCCTCTGCGCTTCTCATATTCCTAAGTGTAGCGTGCACGAATCACTCGCATGCGCCAAGGTTCGATGCCTCTGCTTCAAGACGACACTCGGGTGCAGCACTTCACGTCGCTGGATGAACGACGAAAAATACCTGGGTTGAGGCCGTGACGACTCGTTCACAGACTCTCGCTGAAACGTCACGCAGCTTATCACTGCGAACAGGCAGTTTCGCTTGAGAGGCAATGGCACCTCTATGTGGGGCTATCGACGGAGCGGCACTCATTGGCAGTATGGTGCAGTTCCCGGAACATGCGCTCAGAGGCGCCCGTCTCTTCTCTGCGCATGGAAAGGGGTCTTGGACCCGGGCTTTACTCATCGCTGCGATGACTTTGAGTAGAGTGTGCGTCACTGCTTTGCGCGAAGCGAGCGAAGACAGATCGAGAGTTCACGACGTGCACGCCGGCCTGGGAGGTTCGTTGCGGTACCTGTTCCTGTCTGGAGAGCATCGCCTTCGACGAGTCGTCTAGAGAAGGGAGCAGCATGCGCAGGCGTGTGCTGCGGGGAGCGCTCTCGCCGAGGCGATCGCCCAGCAGAAGCCCGTGAGCGTAGGTTACGGCAGCTGGTGCGAGAACGGAGCAGGGCACTGAGGTGAGGCTTCTGGACCCGCCACACACAGTTACGGAGCGTCGACGCGAGCGTTCACGTGTCAGCGACTAGCCGTCAGATGACGAAGTATGCTGGTGGCATGTGACCGCCAGACCACAGCCAAGCGGCAACGCTGCGACGGGCGCACCGCAACAGAGTGGAGAGAAGGTGCACATGGCAAGCGAAGCGAAGATGGCAACTTTTGGCAGTGCATGGAATGCCTAGACAAGAGTCGGCAGCTATGGAATCGGGGCCTGAACACCACCACCGCCAATATCGTGCGACTGCTATGAACAGCGCCGGAGAGAAAGGAGAGACCAGCGTCGTTTAAAGAAGCCGAAATATTAGTGCATACGTCTTTGTCCGTGGATCTGTTCAGTTCTATGTAACTCGAACGCACCTGTCAGTGGAACAAAAACGTCCCACGACCATGTCGTATACATGGATATCTACCCGCAGACGCCTCCCTGCCGTGCTGGACCGGGCCCTGCTGTCGGCTTCAGCTTCTGGTTGTGTACGGAGACCCTGAGAGACTGCCCCGCAAGTCAGATCGCGTCAGTTCCTCGGGTAAAGTCTTTCGCTCTGCATATTATCTGATCATGATGGCGACGTTGGGGTCTCGGTCGACGAACTCCTTGCATTTATGGCCGATGGTGGAACCTCGCTTTGCGAAGACGCCTCGAACTCGTGCTCTCTGTGCCACCACAGTTTCGTAAACGTACCGGTTGCGCAAACACCTTTTCTCGCCTATATCGCATCGTCGTCATCGTCATCGTCTTCGTTGTCGTCACCCGTTGTTCTTCTTGGATAGGTGGTCGGCGGGAAGAGGATTTCCTCATTTTGCTTGTCGAACTCGGCAATGACGGTCCTCCGGTATCCTCGACTTTCACGTCCATACCATTGCATTCTATTTTTTTTGAGAACGAACGCACTTGGAACGCATCTGCTGTTAACCGCGAAAAACCACTTGAATACTCTACGAGGCTAGTGGAACACGAATGCATTGAAAGACTAGACCTTGCTGCCACTTCAACCCTAACACGTCTTGTCCGTTAGAGCGACACGTTCATGATCAGGATCGCGTTTCCCTTCAACGGCGAGATGTGCGTCGTGTCTTGTTCTTTTTCTGGTCTGAGAAAACCTATCCATCGACCGTGGATCACGGATTGCGGGATGGATATCGGCTTTCGGGAAAGCGCCCGTCATGGTGCACCCTGCTTCCAGGTTCCATTACTTAGACTCCCTTTCCGCTAGACTGGTCGATTTGTGCGTTCTTTCGTGCGCCGAGCCTGCGGTGAGCACCCGCCGCAGCGCTTGTACCGCTGGAGCGGATGCTGCACAGGGACAGGACAGCGTAGGCGTACCACCGAATGCGCTGCGACCAGGGCGACGCCCAGACGCTGCCTGAGCACCCTTAATGCCGGAATAAACCGCTTCGGGGATGAGTTGGTCAGATATCACTAGAGCACCTGGCACTGGGGTGGCGAAGGGGAAGCCATGAAGCACGAACCCCCGGAGACTCGTCCGGCTCGCTGGACCTTTCGCCTGGAAGGTAAGCTTTCGACGATCTGGCAACATTTGCCCTTTTAACGTTTACTGTAGAGTGGGAAAGAAATGGTCATCTCATTGCTAGTCAGTAGCTAGTCCTGTTCTTTGCTGCATATAGTGCGGTCGAGATGCACACCTCCATTACCGGCAGGCATGAGGTACGACGCGCATCTCGCCGTTGAAGGGAAACGCAATCCTGACCATTCGTTGACTTGTTGTTTTAACGTAAAACGTGTATTTGCATTGGAATCGTAGCGAAATATATTATTTCATCTCAGTCGTGTTTCAACGCTCAAATGAGTGTATTCGGTTGATTTTTCGCAGTTTATAACAGAAGCGTTCAAAGCGTGTTCTTTTTCGAAAAAAGGAAATTTCTGGAAAAGCAAGCGGAGGATCCTGGAAGGCAGGTGTCGCCGGCTGCCAGAAAAAAAAACAAAAAACAGTGCCCGGCGGAGAGTAACAGGAAAAGACAAAGACGCAGAAGAGGGAGAGCCCACGTCAGAAGCTGCACGAAAAACAAGAGTCCTACGTGACGGTGGTGAAAGCCTGTCTTCTTAAACATATCAAGAATGCGTGGGTGGAGAAGTTACGGGAGGCAACTAGAAACCGTGTTGAGTCGTACTCCATGAGTATTATAAAGGCATCGTCAGGACTGATGCATCTGGCGAGGGAGATGTATCTCGACGTGACGCACATGGAATCGGTCGAGATTCCGGACGAGGTTTTCGACAAGACGATTTTTCTCTACCTGATGCTTTGTACAGCAGGAACGTGGAGGGAAAATGTGCTAGTGCATGCCCTCCACGAAAACTTCGCGGCATTCCGCTTCGAGGGTACCCGATACAGGGGTGGCGCGGATATTTACGACTATGGGGCGATGAAGTACCTCACGAACCTGACGAGCCGTTTGACAACGAACCTCGAACGTTTCGTGATCCGCGCCGCGGTTGCACTCCGCCCGGGCATCTCTCGCAAAGGAAAATGGGCGACTATCAATGGCATCACGAAAGATCGACAGCATGAAGATGAGGCCGAATTTGTCGAGAAGAAGGCGTCAAACGAGAGCGCGAATGAAGCTTCTGTGATCCGTGCGGCTGTACAAGAGTACCGTGCGGTACTGGGGTTGGCGAATCAAACAGAAAAGATATCAGAGTTGAAAAAAAGATAAGGAACGATACTATCGCCTCGTCCTACGGTACTTTGTGTTTCTGGACCGAGAGCTCGAACGCAAGGCGGAGATGAAGCTGAGTGAAGAGACAAATGAAGAGTGGGAGAGACGGAAGGCTGTCCTAGTGGGGAAGCGCTCCGGCGTGGTTCCATTGTCCAATATCAAGTCATACTTCGTGAGTATCGACTCCGGCGTCCTTTACGGCATCATGAGGGAGATCGGACCGAAGTTCAGTGTTAGCAGGAAGGATTTCACCGGCGAAAACCGGGAGACCCACTGGAAGCGTATCTCCGATTCCAAGCGTCCCAAAGTGAGCAAGCAAAATGTATTCACTGGGAAGATCGAAACCGATGGGGTAGCCTTTTGTGTACACGATCGGCGGTTGAAGACAGATCGGCCAGTTCCGCCTTTGACTTCGCCCGTGACGAGGGATGAAGAAAACAAAGAGGAGGAACGTGCGATTCAGGAGGTGGAGGATAACGACCTTGTCGTTGACGTGACGAAGGATGAAGATAAGAAGACGGCGGATCCTGCGATGCAGGAGGTGGAGCATAACGACCTTGTCGTTGGCGTAACGAAGGATGAAGATAAGAAGGCGGCGGATCCTGCGATGCAGGAGGTGGAGCATAACGACCTTGTCGTTGGCGTAACGAAGGATGAAAATGAGAAGAAGGCGGATCCTGCGATGCAGGAGGTGGAGCATAACGACCTTGTCGTTGACGTGACGAAGGATGAAGATAAGAAGGCGGCGGATCCTGCGATGCAGGAGGTGGAGCATAACGACCTTGTCGTTGGCGCGGTAAAGAATGAAGAGAACAAGAAGGCGGGTTCTGAGAAGCAGAAAGTGCAGGATATCGACTTTGTCGTTGGCACGGACCCCGGAAGCACAAATACCATAACCATCGCAGCACCGAAGCGGGCGGAAGATGGTACTTACGGCAACTTACGTCAGAAAGACATCCGTCTGTTGACGTTCTCGAGAGCGAGATTCTATCGAGAATCCGGTGTCATAAATGCGACGAAGAAAATCGAAACGTGGAATTCAGGAATGAAAGAGCACCTGGAAGCTATGAGCGAGGTGACGAGCCGAGGAGCGGACTTTCGAGCTTTTCGGAAATTCATGGAAGTTCGTGTTGCCCATTGGGATGCGCTGTGGAAGGAATATACAAAGCCTCGGTGGGCCCGTCTGCGTATGAATCTACACTGTGGGAGGCAGCGGGCGTTTGCCAACTTTTTCAATCAGTTGCGTGCGCTCAACGGGGACCAGACTCAAAGGCTCGTCGTAGCGTATGGAGCAGGGCGATGGAAGACCCAAAAGGGGTGCATACCAGCTCCAACAACACGAACGTACAAGGAGTGTGGAAGGCGTCTCGTCACGATATCTGTAGATGAGTTCCGAACGTCCTATACACACCACGAGCTGGGTTGTACACTTCAGACGGTCGAGATGGAAAAGTGCCAGCGGTGCCCTGAGGAAATCGCAAAGTACGGACCGCTAACAGAGGAGCAAATGGAAAGGAGGGCGAACGTTCGAGGATTGCCTGCGTTAGTAAGTACAACCAATGATGGCAAGAACCGTATGGAGTTTGTGAATCGTGACTTTCATGCCCCTAGCAATATACGGAGATGTGCGGTGCTGGAGAACAGATCTCCAGAATAGACAAGAGAGAACTTTGTTGGACAACCTCTCAAAGTCGAACTATATGAGAAGAAGTTGGAAGCAGTAGTAGGTGGCCGGTCGAGAAAGGCTGGGAGGCGTCTGCACGTCAATTGGCGACTTTAAGTCTAGGGCGCGTTCACCGCCACTACTGTACACAGTCGGCATCGTTCGACTCTGTGAAGGCGTTTGGTTTCTCTACCGTCGTCGGTCTCCGGATCCGTTATCGGCAGTAGAGACGAGGCACTGCACTTGCTCTGAACGGGTGCAGCATATCTGGTTCGTGCTGCAGCTGCTGCAGTGCACGACTCTTTGCCCACGTGGCTTTATTAGAGCTTTGCAGACCCGGGGAGCCTCGCTTCGACCGGGAACAGAGCTCAAGGCGCGACGAAGAGAAGCTTCCGTAAAGCACCATCAGTGCGAGTTTCTGCGGTGAAAGGCCGCTAACACTGTACCGGTGTGCTGTTGCGCTTCGACAGGGCGTGCATTTCGTGCCTTGTTGCGGACGAGTTTTCTGGCAGCGCCCGATCTTTCAGGTTACTGGACAACGCTTCAATTATATCGAGAAGAATCGCGTCAAAGGAATGCAGGTCCTAACGCGACTGCTGAACGGCGCGGCTTTCGCGGCGGGCGTCTCGGGTGCCGGGTATCTTCTGATGAGCGCACAGCCCGCGCTCGCCGAAGAGGACCACTTGCCACCACCAAAATACCCCTGGTCTCACCGCGGTCCCTTGTCAGCGTTTGACGCAGCTTCCATACGTCGTGGCTACCAAGTTTACAAGAATGTTTGCTCTTCGTGCCACTCGATGAACCGAGTCGCTTTTCGCAACCTGGTGGGTGTTGCCTTCACTGAGGAGGAGGCGAAACAGCTAGCGGAGGAGGTTGAGGTTGAGGATGGGCCTAACGACGAAGGCGAGATGTTTACTCGTCCTGGCCGACTCTCGGACTATTTCCCAGCGCCATATCCAAATGCAGAGGCCGCGCGCTACGCCAACAACGGAGCGCTTCCGCCGGACCTATCTTTGATCACCAAGGCACGTCATGGTGGTGCCGACTACATCTTCGCACTCCTGACTGGTTACCGTGATCCACCGGCCGGTGTGCACGTTCGCGAAGGCCTCTACTACAATCCATACTTCCCTGGCCAGCAGATTGCAATGGCCCGAGCGCTCTACGATGACGGTGTCGAGTACGACGACGGAACTCCGGCCACAACAAGTCAGATGGCGAAAGATGTGGCTACGTTTCTGAGCTGGGCAGCAGAGCCGGAGCACGATCAGCGCAAGCTCATGGGTGTTGAAACCATGGTTTCTCTGGGCATTCTGGCAGGTCTGATGCTTTACATGAAACGATTCAAGTGGGCGCTTCTAAAATCGCGTCGAATAGAGTTTCGCGATATGTAAAGTTGGAAACGGCGTTCTGCACGCTAGTCCAGTGCATGTGCTACGCATGGTGTCTCGTGGTGCGCTCTGCGCTGCCCTCGGCCAACACCAGCCCGTCCGTGATTTCGAAAACGATACAATCCAGCGTCTCGCCGAGTGCGTCCCTGACTGCCGAACTAAATTTATGCACGAGGCCCAGACGCAGGGCTTCCTCGCGAACATCCTCCATGATTTCCGAGAATTCAACCGCACTGAGCACTTGTCTGAGGGCGATGAAATCGCGCGCACGCTGGAAAACGGTTGCGTGCCGGTCGACCTGAACGACATGCGTCGGACACTGGTTCAGAACCTGCCACGACGGCATTGTGCAAGTGTCCGTTGCGGACACTGCAGCAATCGACGAGCATTGGCTAGCGTGGTTCGATTCCTGTGAGGTGGCAATCGACGAGTCTCGTGTGCGAGAATCGGCGGGCGGAAGCCTCAACTGCGAATCCACGTGCGGCACCAAGGCCTCTGCAATACTGCCGGGCTCTGGAACTCGGGTTGCCGAACAAGAAATCGCCGTGACGCTCGGCACAAGCAGAGGCTGCACCGCATCCAACAGCATCTCCGCAAGGATTCGCACACAAGCTGCTCGCAACGCCCGCGACTGATAACATGCCGCCGCGTAGATGAGACCGAAGACATTGATGCGATTGATTTCCATCGCTGAGGCGGCTGACTGCTTCACATGCGGATAGCCCAGAAGGTCGGCGGCGGCAATGATCTCCACCAGAAACTCGTTCATGTCGACGTCCACTGCGTGATGATTGCACGGCTCGCGTCGGAGGCGCGCACAATCAAGTGCCTTTTCGCGCCAGTTCCGGGGAAGGCTCGAATGGTACATGTGATGCAACACGCATTCGAAAGCAAAAGGAGAGATATTCGACGGGATGCGCACGATTGCACAGGCACTGGAACGATCGCGATAAAAGTCGCGCAAGGCCCGAAAGTACTCCGCACGACGAAGAAAAAGCCAGTGCGCGGGGTACACCAACAACGAACATTCCTCGTATGTGGGGCCTGGGCACGTTACCTGTACGTACACGTCCACGAACGGCATGTTATCGGTACGCGACAGAAGGTGCTCCAAGTCCTGTTCCAGACGGTGGACTCGCGACGCGCCGAAAAGATTGATGTGTAGATCTTCGAGGCGCTGATGCGTTACAACTTCGTATTTGTGCTCGCGCTTTCGCAAGAGCCATTGCCTTTGCCTATCGACTTCCTGGGCGAGCTCATCGAGATGGAACCGCTGCGCTATGGTCATGAATTCTTCCGCATGCCGTACCCGCACGGAAACGGTTGAGGTGTACAGGTAGCGCAGAAACGCCTCGAATGCATCCGTGGAGACGTGTTTCAGCCGCAGGACTTTGCCCGGTGATGTTCGTTTCTCGAGGATTTTCTCGAAAACCGGGCTGCGGGCAGCGAGCACCACCCGATGGGCCCAGATGCAGCGATTCCCCTCAAGTCTGAAGCCGACGTCGGCATCATCATCGACGTGTCCGCCGACGTTCTCGTTACCCTCCAGGACAGCGCGCAGGTGCTCCGTCAGTGCATCCGTATAGCTAGGGAGCGTTTGCTCCCGATACTGAAGCAGCAAGCGTTTAATTTCTGGAGTTAGAGCGGCGTATAGAACACGCTCGCCAACAAACGTTTTCGGGTCGAGCACGGCTCCCGCTTCTAGCAGGAAACGGAGCACTGGAGCGTTCCCCGTCAAGGCGCAGTAGTAGACCGGTGTCGCATCGTGTTCGTCAACCGCGTTGACGTCTGCGCCTCGCTCCACCAGGGCCCGTACTTTTGCTAGGTTCCCGGGCGTGCGACACCAGATGTGCAGGGGAAGCCCATCTACCGTCATTGTTCTCTCGTCGACAAGGAAAGCCTCTTCGTCCGTCGTATTCCCATTCTGGCCGTTGTTCCCGTTTTCCCTGGACATGCATGTTCCACAGCTCCTATTCCGTGCAACAACGTTCAGTTCTATTGGCAAGGCTGCAGTTTTCCCGAACGCTGCCTACTGGAAAGGCGTCTCGACGCGAGTACAGACGTCGCAGCCGATTTGCGCACAAGGCGCCCTGCCGCAGCGTCGACAGCGCGACGCGCTGCATGCAAGGCATACAGCAGTCTGCACTCGAGGTCTGCGGTACTCGTGCTTACTCGTTGCCACTGATGCTGTAGGTGCGCGCATTTGTTCTGAAGATTCCTCGTGGAATCGGATGGCACGCAGACGGGCTACTGATAGCACGCACGCGAGCACTCGATCACGAAAATGCACGCAGGATCGGCTGGCTTGCATATGAGCAGGCTGCGCGGTGTCCTCAACTACCAGAAACCCGGCCTGGAGGCAAACGAGGCACACAGCGTCACGCGGATACGTCCAGCGAGCGGGCATTGTGGCGAGACTGGGTATGCACCCTCATCCGGAACCCAGCACGTGTACCCAGCTCCCGATGGAGACGCCTGTGCCTAGAGAAGCTACTTAGGCGGACAGAAATCCTTTGCCGGTGACGGTTTCAAATTTGCAGCACGCGGGCGATGCCGAACTGGCGCACGTCACCCCCGTTGGCAGAAAGAATGCAGTTGCACGGTATGCGGAGGAAGCAGCGACCGCAGGCGGTCGCTCTTCAGCGAGCAGATACGACGATGCCGCGAGTTCGCGCCGCAGCACGACCTCCATGCGGCCCGAAATTCGCACGGACAACGAAGGGGCGTGTGCCAGGCGGGCATGGCCCTGAGCCTCGATGAGATTCCCGCTGGGATACGACGCAGACGCTTTTTGTCTCCACAAGGCGACTAGTTGGGCGCCTGCAACGCCACAGCAAGCGCTTGCGGTAGGCTCGGCAATTGCAGGGTCGTTCGCTCAGTCAAACTCCCGGTGCAGGCTGGGAAACGGGCTGCAGCTTCCGGGGCGCATGGACGTCTCTAGGGAATGCTGGTCACTTTCCTGATTGCGTACAGCACGAACGTACGCATCCCAAGCGTTCTGGTTCGATTCATCGATGTTATTGTATCAACAATTGCCGCGCCGGCAGCGCAACCCGGGCATGCGTTCCGTTTCACTGGACATCAACTATTAGGGTAATAGAACAGAAATGAAACACGAACAAACTACTTTGCATGACTTCGTTCCCACTCCACCGTAAGAGCTGAAAAGTGGTGAAGGTTTCCTTACAGTCGCAAACCTAGCTTCTGTACGAAAGGTCCCGCAAGGCCGACAATGCTCCGGTGTTGTAGGTCCGCGCGTCTCTGCCCTGGCGAGTGCAGTGGCAACAGCACAGCCACTCGTCCCCAACGCACTTTATTCTGGGCCTAGGAGCGGGTATGCTACTCAGGTCGCGCAAGAGCACCCGCCACTGCAGAGTCGCACGGAGCACAAGCCCGGTAGACACGTCGAGCACGCGAGATCTGCCATCTATAGGGTAAAGTTTCGAAAATACGGAAAACCTCTTCCCCCTTTCAGCGCTTACCGTGGAGATGGAAACCCATCGTTCTCGAGTTGCTGGTTTTCCATCTATGGGGTAGAGTTTCGAAAATACGGAATACCTCTTCCCCCTTTCAGCGCTTACCGTAGAGAGGGAAAGCAAACGCTCTCGAGTTGCTGCTTTTCCATCTATGGGGTAGAGTTTCGAAAATACGGAATACCTCTTCCCCCTTTCAGCGCTTACCGTGGAGATGGAAACCCATCGTTCTCGAGTTGCTGCTTTTCCATCTATAGGATAAAGTTTCGAAAATACGGAAAACCTCTTCCCCCTTTCAGCACTTACCGTAGAGAGGGAAAGCAAACGCTCTCGAGTTGCTGCTTTTCCATCTATGGGGTAGAGTTTCGAAAATACGGAATACCTCTTCCCCTTTCAGCGCTTACCGTGGAGATGGAAACCCATCGTTCTCGAGTTGCTGCTTTTCCATCTATAGGATAAAGTTTCGAAAATACGGAAAACCTCTTCCCCCTTTCAGCACTTACCGTAGAGAGAGAAACCCATCGTTCTCGAGTTGCTGGTGCCGCTTGCACTTGACAATTTAGCGATTGCAGCTACACCCGCAAATGGACGAGTGTGCGATCTGCAGCTGCGCTGCCGCCGGGCGTCATCGAGCGCTCTCGCTGCTGTTCGTTCCAGTGGAGCACTCGCCCAAGTCGGGCAACCTGGAAGCGCACGACGGTCCACTGCAGATATCTTTTGCAGCTCCCCAGGCTTCTCTCGGGAGCCTATTGAATGAGTGTTGTCTTAGGTACCCAAGGGACGCCAAAGAGGCTCCGAAGTACGTCGAATGCGGCTATGACGAGCTCTGAGCGCTTCGGGGCCTCCTTTCTGAGTTTTGTGACGAGCTCAGTTCGGTGGACCGGCCAGGTCGCGGTTCACTCGGGAACTGCACACCGAAACGCATGCGCGTGGCGGACACGCGTGGCTGGTGGCCTTAGCTACGGCGCGACCGCTGCTCGTGGTGTAGCCGGCACGCGACCGGCCTCTATGGGGAGGTCGAGGGTACGTCTCCGGCGCCGCGTTCTGAGTGCAACAGCCAGCACCGGGCCACGCGCGGAGCACTCGAACGATACTCTGAGGCCGCTTCCTGATGGACTTTGGCAGGACTCGAGGTCTCCGACCGCTGAAACTGGTGATTCGCTTCTCAAAGCCCGGGTTGCAGACCGCGAGGCCTGTGTCGCTACTATCATGGGCCCCGGTTGCGTCCCGGCCGGTGGGGTCTGGACCGATACAACCTCGCGACGCGAGGCTGTAACGGTTCCCCTGGGCTACACGGTGCGTGAGTGCAAGGGCCTCCTCTGGCAGCTCCATCGTGTCCATGATACCGCCCCAGTACCCGATCCTGCGACAGTGAATGGCACCGTCCGGGACAGCAACTCGCAAGCACCAGGCTCCCTACAGCTCCCGATAACTGCCGCAATGCAGGTAAGGAATCAGAGTGCCCCTGTTTTGGATGCACTCTACGTACTGGACCCGTGCACGTCGGGGCTTGTGGGATTTCTCTCTTTGGAGGATCTCTTGCTTGCCGCGGATGATGAACAGAAAATTGATCAGTTTGTGCGACAATGCTCTGTTGTGCTTTCGGTTGACGAGGAGTTTGAGGCAGCAGTTCGGCGCCTGCGGAACGTTGGAGCACTGACTGCCCCTGTTGTGGATCGTGAGATGCGTCTCGTAGGGCTCGTTACCGCAGCGGATATCATTCGGGAGATGGAACTTGAAGCAACTGACGACATCCTTCGCTTTGGTGGTGTCGAATCACCTTTACAGAGAGATGACATAGAGTCGTACTTTCAGACGAGCACACGATCCTTCGTAATTGGTCGATCTGCATGGTTGGTTGCTCTTCTGCTTCTCCAGTCATTGAGCTCGATTGTATTGGGCCAGTATTCGGCCCTCATTGAACGTCACGTCGTGCTCGCACTCTTTCTAACGATGATGGTTGGTGCCGGTGGTAACGCCGGTAACCAATCCAGTGCCCTGGTGATACGAGGGCTCGCCACCGGAGAGATCAGCCCTGCAAATGCGGGTCGTGTCATCCGGAGGGAACTCCTCGTCGGGTGCGCTATAGCCACGATCCTTTCAGCAGTTGGCTTTACGCGTGTATATATCGGGGGCGGTGACTTTTTGGCCTGTGTAACTGTCTCAACCTCTCTTTGGATAACCGTTTTCACTGCAGTTCTAATCGGAACAATTGCTCCGCTCATCCTGGCTCAGATGGGATTGGATCCATGCCACTGCGCGAGCCCACTGCTCAGCACGCTTACAGACATTGGCGGTGTGCTTGCTCTTTGTCTTGTGGGCTCAATCATACTCGGAAGCCTGTAGTGCACTGTGTTGCAAGCTCCTACGGAATCAGTGTGAGGTCTAGCGTCGCTCTGAGCGGACTGAGCAGAACCAGCTGCAAGCACTATGCTATTGAAGAGCTCTTACGTGTCCTGGAAGGCCTTCTTTCGGGAGCAGTCTTCGAGCGCGCGTGTGTTGGCATCTGCTCGTCAGAGGGTGCGCCATAGAGGTACACATTGCGTTTCATTTACGACAGGCGTATGCCTTCTCGAATAGCATCAGCGGGCCTGGGATGCCCGAATCCGTTCGTATTTAACTTGTCGGGTGTCCCCGAGAGCAAACGTCTCGTCAGACACCGCGGCTGGGGGGCAGTTGAGCAACAGGAGAACGAATGTGGCATGCTCCGTGAGGGGCGTTGCTCGTTCCCACATAACGATTACATGTTTTCTCGAAGGATCAAAAGAGTACGCAATGCTCCTATGTCCAGCGTATGAAGTCGGCCGTCCGGAACCAAGGTTCGCTGAAGCACCATCTGAGGTATGGCCAGGTCACAGCCTGGCGAGTCGGGTTGTCGTATGCGGAAAGGGCCTGGTTCGCCGCGTGGCGCTCCCTGCAGTCCAGAGGCTGCAACAACGCTTCTGCAGCGTGTTCGCGCGGAGTCCCAGTTGTAGGCACCCATGGCATCCTATTCTTAAGTCAGATTAAAGTGGAGAACTGAGCTGCTCGCGCAGTTCCTGGCTTGAGATTTTTCCGCAATTGTTTTAGATCTCCAGCCTGTAGATGCAAAGTGCAACAGTGCGGGCTCATGGACTGGGAAGTAGCTGTAGGAATCAGGGTCGCACATCCGGAGTTGCTTTGTAGACCCTCTGCCGCTCGCATTCGTCACGTCACCGTCATTTGAATGATGCGCGGCACCCACGAGCAAGGATTCATCACATAAAAGGCATCTTCTTCCACGACATGTGTACAAGCCTCTGCGCTTCTCATATTCCTAAGTGTAGCGTGCACGAATCACTCGCATGCGCCAAGGTTCGATGCCTCTGTTTCAAGGCGACACTCGGGTGCAGCACTTCACGTCGCTGGATGAACGACGAAAAATACCTGGGTTGAGGCCGTGACGACTCGTTCACAGACTCTCGCTGAAACGTCACGCAGCTTATCACTGCAAACAGGCAGTTTCGCTTGAGAGGCAATGCCACCTCTATGTGGGGCTATCGACGGAGCGGCACTCATTGGCAGTATGGTGCAGTTCCCGGAACATGCGCTCAGAGGCGCCCGTCTCTTTTCTGCGCATGGAAAGGGGTCTTGGACCCGGGCTTTACTCATCGCTGCGATGACTTTGAGTAGAGTGTGCGTCACTGCTTTGCGCGAAGCGAGCGAAGACAGATCGAGAGTTCACGACGTGCACGCCGGCCTGGGAGGTTCGTTGCGGTACCTGTTCCTGTCTGGAGAGCATCGCCTTCGACGAGTCGTCTAGAGAAGGGAGCAGCATGCGCAGGCGTGTGCTGCGGGGAGCGCTCTCGCCGAGGCGATCGCCCAGCAGAAGCCCGTGAGCGTAGGTTACGGCAGCTGGTGCGAGAACGGAGCAGGGCACTGAGGTGAGGCTTCTGGACCCGCCACACACAGTTACGGAGCGTCGACGCGAGCGTTCACGTGTCAGCGACTAGCCGTCAGATGACGAAGTATGCTGGTGGCATGTGACCGCCAGACCACAGCCAAGCGGCAACGCTGCGACGGGCGCACCGCAACAGAGTGGAGAGAAGGTGCACATGGCAAGCGAAGCGAAGATGGCAACTTTTGGCAGTGCATGGAATGCCTAGACAAGAGTCGGCAGCTATGGAATCGGGGCCTGAACACCACCACCGCCAATATCGTGCGACTGCTATGAACAGCGCCGGAGAGAAAGGAGAGACCAGCGTCGTTTAAAGAAGCCGAAATATTAGTGCATACGTCTTTGTCCGTGGATCTGTTCAGTTCTATGTAACTCGAACGCACCTGTCAGTGGAACAAAAACGTCCCACGACCATGTCGTATACATGGATATCTACCCGCAGACGCCTCCCTGCCGTGCTGGACCGGGCCCTGCTGTCGGCTTCAGCTTCTGGTTGTGTACGGAGACCCTGAGAGACTGCCCCGCAAGTCAGATCGCGTCAGTTCCTCGGGTAAAGTCTTTCGCTCTGCATATTATCTGATCATGATGGCGACGTTGGGGTCTCGGTCGACGAACTCCTTGCATTTATGGCCGATGGTGGAACCTCGCTTTGCGAAGACGCCTCGAACTCGTGCTCTCTGTGCCACCACAGTTTCGTAAACGTACCGGTGAGCAAACACCTTTTCTCGCCTATATCGCATCGTCGTCATCGTCATCGTCTTCGTTGTCGTCACCCGTTGTTCTTCTTGGATAGGTGGTCGGCGGGAAGAGGATTTCCTCATTTTGCTTGTCGAACTCGGCAATGACGGTCCTCCGGTATCCTCGACTTTCACGTCCATACCATTGCATTCTATTTTTTTTGAGAACGAACGCACTTGGAACGCATCTGCTGTTAACCGCGAAAAACCACTTGAATACTCTACGAGGCTAGTGGAACACGAATGCATTGAAAGACTAGACCTTGCTGCCCCTTCAACCCTAACACGTCTTGTCCGTTAGAGCGACACGTTCATGATCAGGATCGCGTTTCCCTTCAACGGCGAGATGTGCGTCGTGTCTTGTTCTTTTTCTGGTCTGAGAAAACCTATTCGTTGACCGTGGATCACGGATTGCGGGATGGATATCGGCTTTCGGGAAAGCGCCCATCATGGTGCACCCTGCCTCCAGGTTCCATTACTTAGACTCCCTTTCCGCTAGATTGGTCGATTTGTGCGTTCTTTCGTGCGCCGAGCCTGCGGTGAGCACCCGCCGCAGCGCTTGTACCGCTGGAGCGGATGCTGCACAGGGACAGAACAGCGTAGGCGTACCACCGAATGCGCTGCGACCAGGGCGACGCCCAGACGCTGCCTGAGCACCCTTAATGCCGGAATAAACCGCTTCGGGGATGAGTTGGTCAGATATCACTAAAGCACCTGGCACTGGGGTGGCGAAGGGGAAGCCATGAAGCACGAACCCCCGGAGACTCGTCCGGCTCGCTGGACCTTTCGCCTGGAAGGTAAGCTTCCGACGATATGGCAACATTTGCCCTTTTAACGTTTACTGTAGAGTGGGAAAGAAATGGTCATCTCATTGCTAGTCAGTAGCTAGTCCTGTTCTTTGCTGCATATAGTGCGGTCGAGATGCGCACCTCCATAACCGGCAGGCATGAGGTACGACGCGCATCTCGCCGTTGAAGGGAAACGCGATCCTGACCATTCGTTGACTTGTTGTTTTAACGTAAAACATGTATTTGCATTGGAATCGTAGCGAAATATATTACTTCATCTCAGTCGTGTTTCAACGCTCAAATGAGTGTATTCGGTTGATTCTTCGCAGTTTATAACAGAAGCGTTCAAAGCGCGTTCTTTTTCGAAAAAAAGGAAATTTCTGGAAAAGCAAGTGGAGGATCCTGGAAGGCAGGTGTCGCCGGCTGCCAGAAAAAAAAACAAAAAACAGTGCCCGGCGGAGAGTAACAGGAAAAGACAAAGACGCAGAAGAGGGAGAGCCCACGTCAGAAGCTGCACGAAAAACAAGAGTCCTACGTGACGGTGGTGAAAGCCTGTCTTCTTAAACATATCAAGAATGCGTGGGTGGAGAAGTTACGGGAGGCAACTAGAAACCGTGTTGAGTCGTACTCCATGAGTATTATAAAGGCTTCGTCAGGACTGATGCATCTGGCGAGGGAGATGTATCTCGACGTGACGCACATGGAATCGGTCGAGATTCCGGACGAGGTTTTCGACAAGACGATTTTTCTCTACCTGATGCTTTGTACAGCAGGAACGTGGAGGGAAAATGTGCTAGTGCATGCCCTCCACGAAAACTTCGCGGCATTCCGCTTCGAGCGTACCCGATACAGGGGTGGCGCGGATATTTACGACCACGGGGCGATGAAGTACCTCACGAACCTGACGAGCCGTTTGACAACGAACCTCGAACGTTTCGTGATCCGCGCCGCGGTTGCACTCCGCCCGGGCATCTCTCGCAAAGGAAAATGGGCGACTATCAATGGCATCACGAAAGATCGACAGCATGAAGATGAGGTCGAATTTGTCGAGAAGAAGGCGTCAAACGAGAGCGCGAATGAAGCTTCTGTGATCCGGGCGACTGTACAAGAGCACCGTGCGGTACTGGGGTTGGCGAATCAAACAGAAAAGATATCAGAGTTGAAAAAAAGATAAGGAACGATACTATCGCCTCGTCCTACGGTACTTTGTGTTTCTGGACCGAGAGCTCGAACGCAAGGCGGAGATGAAGCTGAGTGAAGAGACAAATGAAGAGTGGGAGAGACGGAAGGCTGTCCTAGTGGGGAAGCGCTCCGGCGTGGTTCCATTGTCCAATATCAAGTCATACTTCGTGAGTATCGACTCCGGCGTCCTTTACGGCATCATGAGGGAGATCGGACCGAAGTTCAGTGTTAGCAGGAAGGATTTCACCGGCGAAAACCGGGAGACCCACTGGAAGCGTATCTCCGATTCCAAGCGTCCCAAAGTGAGCAAGCAAAATGTATTCACTGGGAAGATCGAAACCGATGGGGTAGCCTTTTGTGTACACGATCGGCGGTTGAAGACAGATCGGCCAGTTCCGCCTTTGACTTCGCCCGTGACGAGGGATGAAGAAAACAAAGAGGAGGAACGTGCGATTCAGGAGGTGGAGGATAACGACCTTGTCGTTGACGTGACGAAGGATGAAGATAAGAAGACGGCGGATCCTGCGATGCAGGAGGTGGAGCATAACGACCTTGTCGTTGGCGCGGTAAAGAATGAAGAGAACAAGAAGGCGGGTTCTGAGAAGCAGAAAGTGCAGGATATCGACTTTGTCGTTGGCACGGACCCCGGAAGCACAAATACCATAACCATCGCAGCACCGAAGCGGGCGGAAGATGGTACTTACGGCAACTTACGTCAGAAAGACATCCGTCTGTTGACGTTCTCGAGAGCGAGATTCTATCGAGAATCCGGTGTCATAAATGCGACGAAGAAAATCGAAACGTGGAATTCAGGAATGAAAGAGCACCTGGAAGCTATGAGCGAGGTGACGAGCCGAGGAGCGGACTTTCGAGCTTTTCGGAAATTCATGGAAGTTCGTGTTGCCCATTGGGATGCGCTGTGGAAGGAATATACAAAGCCTCGGTGGGCCCGTCTGCGTATGAATCTACACTGTGGGAGGCAGCGGGCGTTTGCCAACTTTTTCAATCAGTTGCGTGCGCTCAACGGGGACCAGAGTCAAAGGCTCGTCGTAGCGTATGGAGCAGGGCGATGGAAGACCCAAAAGGGGTGCATACCAGCTCCAACAACAAGAACGTACAAGGAGTGTGGAAGGCGTCTCGTCACGATACCTGTAGATGAGTTCCGAACGTCCTATACACACCACGAGCTGGGTTGTACACTTCAGACGGTCGAGATAGACAAGTGCCAGCGGTGCCCTGAGGAAATCGCAAAGTACGGACCGCTAACAGAGGAGCAAATGGAAAGGAGGGCGAACGTTCGAGGATTGCCTGCGTTAGTAAGTACAACCAATGATGGCAAGAACCGTATGGAGTGTGTGAATCGTGACTTTCATGCCCCTAGCAATATACGGAGATGTGCGGTGCTGGAGAACAGATCTCCAGAATAGACAAGAGAGAACTTTGTTGGACAACCCCTCAAAGTCGAACTATATGAGAAGAAGTTGGAAGCAGTAGTAGGTGGCCGGTCGAGAAAGGCTGGGAGGCGTCTGCACGTCAGCTGAGAACGATTTGTCTAAGGCGCGGTCGCTGCCACTACTGTACGCCGCTGGCGTTTTTCGCGGCAAAGCTTCCGAATCCTTCGCGAACCGTCGGCGCACGATCGCTGCGGCGCGCCGATCGACGCGTCGCTAGCGATCGTGTCGCGGCCCCATTCATACAATGGGCGTCTACTTAAGAGTCATTGGTGTTCATAGTCAAACACGCGCCGTTCGCTAGAACACGTGTGTCAGAGGAGCGAGTTCCGGTACGGGAGCATATTGTTCTTGTTGCGGAGCAAGTGAGACAGAGTGTTCAGACTGGACGTTTAACTCGTGTTCGTGGAATAGTTCCTGTTAACGAGCTTTGAACAATGTCAAAGGCAAAGGCGATCGGAATTGACCTTGGCACGACCTACTCGTGCGTTGCCGTTATGGAAGGCAACAAGGTTGAGATTATTGCGAACGAGCAGGGCAACCGGACGACCCCGTCATATGTTGCCTTCACGGAGACGGAGCGCCTCATCGGAGACGCCGCGAAGAACCAGGTAGCGCTGAACCCCGAGAATACTGTCTTTGACGCGAAACGTCTCATTGGACGTAAGTTCTCTGATCCTACCGTGCAGGAGGATATGAAGCACTGGCCATTCAAGGTCGTTCAAGGCCCGGGTGACAAGCCGCTCATCCAGGTTGTCGCACATGGCGACGTGAAACGGTTCTCCCCGGAGGAGATCAGTGCCATGGTGTTGACGAAAATGAAGGATATTGCGGAGTCATACCTGGGAACGAAGGTTACTGATGCTGTTATCACAGTGCCGGCATATTTCAATGATTCCCAGCGCCAGGCGACAAAGGATGCTGGTACGATCGCCGGTCTGAACGTCCTTCGCATCATCAACGAGCCGACGGCAGCCGCAATCGCGTATGGTATTGATAAGAAGACGAGTGATAACAAGGAGCGCAATGTGCTGATTTACGACCTTGGTGGTGGAACATTCGATGTGAGCTTGCTGAGCGTCGATTCGGGCATCTTCGAGGTGCGCGCAGTCTCTGGCAATTCTCATCTGGGTGGCGAGGACTTTGATTCGCGAATGGTGGATTATTTCGTGAAGGAGTTCAAGCGCAAGTACAAGGAAGACATTACTGGGAACAATCGAGCCATGCGGCGATTGCGGACGGCGTGCGAACGGGCGAAACGGACGCTGTCGTCGGCGACGCAAGCGACGATTGAGATAGATTCCCTTTACAACGGCATTGACTTTTACAGCTCAATCACTCGAGCCAAGTTCGAGGAGCTCTGCGGAGATTTGTTCCGCAGCACCCTCGATCCTGTTGAGAGGGTCCTGAAGGACGCGAATTTGTCGAAGAGCCAAGTTGACGACGTCGTTCTCGTCGGCGGCTCGACACGCATTCCAAAGATTCAGCAACTTCTTAGCCAGTTCTTCAATGGCAAGGAGCTCTGCAAGTCAATCAATCCGGATGAGGCGGTGGCGTACGGAGCAGCCGTCCAGGCTGCAATCTTGTCGGGCCATGAGTCTGAAACGACCAAGGACATTCTGTTGCTCGACGTGACGCCTCTCTCGCTCGGTATTGAGACCGCCGGAGGTGTCATGACTGTTTTGATTCCGCGGAACAGCACAATCCCGACAAAGAAGAGCCAGATCTTCACAACCTATGCCGACAATCAGCCTGCTGTCACGATTCAAGTTTATGAAGGCGAGCGCGCTATGACCAAGGACAACCACCTGTTGGGACAGTTCACCTTGACAGGTATTCCGCCGGCACCACGGGGTGTGCCTCAGATTGAGGTCACATTTGACCTCGATGCGAACGGCATCCTGAATGTTACAGCAGTTGACAAGACTACCGGTAAGAGTGAACGGATTGCGATTAAGAATGAAAAGGGTCGGCTGAGCGAGGCGGAGGTTGAGCGCATGGTGAAGGAGGCAGAGGCCATGAAGGCGAAGGATGAAGAAGTCCGACGCACGGTCGAGGCGCGCAACTCGCTCGAGCAGCTGGCCTATTCGGCGAAGCGCACCGTGGAAGAGGAACAGGTAGCTCAGAGCCTCAGCGCCGGCGACAAGCAGAAGATTCTTGACAAGACCAAAGAAGTGCTGGAATGGCTCGAAGAAAACGGCGCCACTGCTTCGCTCGATCAGATCAAGAACATGCAGAAAGAGCTGGAAAGCGTTACCATGCCCATCTTCACTCGCATGTACCAGCAAGCTGGCGGCGCTGCAGATGGCATGCCAGGTGCCGGTGGTATGCCTGGAGCTGGCGGCATGCCTGGAGCTGGCGGCATGCCTGGTGCTGGCGGCGCTGGCACTGGCAGCGGCCCAACTGTCGAAGAAGTCGACTAGGAGCGAGCAGTGCGGAAAAACGTCTGCTGTTCGAGCATTCTGTTGAACGCACGCACTCAAACCACGGCGCTCAGCCAATGAAGCGTCATCGTCAGGAGTAGCGTCCGCTCCTTGACTGGATGCGACTTTGAATGAGGCGTGTTTCTGCTGTGCTGTCTTCTCTCAGGAAAGCAATACATGGAAGCCTCTCGAGGGGCAGCATCATGGACGGCCAAGTAAAGTGTGTACATGATTCAAGTCCCATTGCCTGAGAACGCCAGCCTTCTTGTCTAGTGATCAATCAATGGTGTAGCGCGCTGTATGACGTCTTGAGGGCAGCAGCAGCAGCGGTAAGCGTGCTTGCTAGTCTATGCCCTGACGTAGCGTCAACGAGGCGCTGAATGCTCGGTTGCCTGCTGTTGATCATACCACCCCCAGTATTGTTTTGTTTTATACTCGCGACGCAAGGTCGCTCTGCGCTCCCTGTCTACACCCGTGCCAGGGTTCAATGGACCAGGTCCTATCAAGTGGGCGTACAATGTGAGGTTTGAGGGTTTCCCAGTATCATCAACACCGGGGTTTGCGGATGTTTCCGCGTCTGCTTCCGTTCTCTCGCTCTCTTATCATGGGCTTTCAAACATCCGGTTAAACGGTTCTTTTCAGCTCCGCTGCCAGCTGTAAAAATGTTCACGGCGACGTTCGCGTCCCGAGTTTGTGACGTGCTGCTCTCGTCGAAGCATCTCATGCATGCGCGGTAGTGACGATCTACGCGTGAAGCGCGATTGCTATCTTCTTTGCAGAATGCATTCGGTACGCGCTTCGCACCGGTGATTATGGACTGAGGCCAGGTATCCTCGCGTGTTCACGGATGCTTCCACTTCGGATCGCGGACCTGTCTGAGTCGCGAGAAACGCTTGCTTCATCGCCGCGTGCATCCCTTGAAAAGTACACAAGGCTCCGCACGATGCCCTCCTCCGTTGTTAATCCAGTTGCTGTACGCTACAACGTGCGGTTTCTGCTGGTCGAGCTACTCGACAAGTACGCTGTTCGCTGTACAAGCAGGCGTGCGCTGTCCCATTCGATAGCGGGATCGCGGAACGCGACACTGTCCATAATGGAACATGCCTGGAAAGGGAAAACCCGGCTGGAGATCAAGTCCACAAGGCACTTGGTTGCGTTACTGTCCTCGTCAACGGAGCGTTGCGAATGGCGGCGCATGCGACTTGCCAGGTGAAACCAAAGATGGCAAACCCTGGAAAGATATGATTTGAGCTTGCTCCAAGCACGGGAATCAGAAGCGTGGAAGCTTGTTCATAAGAAATGGATAATCTTATAGGTTATTTTCTAAAATCTTGACTGAGAGTGTCGGCAATCATCGTGATTTCGGAAACGTGACGAACTGTACCGACAAAGCGTCGTAGGATCTATCTGAAAATGCGACCGAGAATCCTAGAACTACGTATGTTTCCGTTATCCCCTTATTGCCGCACTTAGAAGATCAAGGCTATGGATCTAAGAAAACTTCAGACAAAAGTCGGAAAGCAGGAAAAGAGCGACTAGTACGGTGTTGCCTTATCGTCTGACACCGGTGTAGCGCCACGAAACGACAACAGACGCACGACTGAAGCGTACAAGTTGTCTAACGAGCAACAACAAAATTTAGCGACATGCTTGTACAGACATTCCCACGCCTTGCCAGGGCATAGGAGCACCTCTGCGCGGCACAAAATTTAGCGACATGCTTGTACAGACTTCCCACGCCTTGCCAGGGCATAGGAGCACCTCTGCGCGGCACAAAATTTAGCGACATGCTTGTACAGACATTCCCACGCCTTGCCAGGGCATAGGAGCACCTCTGCGCGGCACAAAATTTAGCGACATGCTTGTACAGACATTCCCACGCTTTGCCAGGGCATAGGAGCACCTCTGCGCGGCACAAAATTTAGCGACATGCTTGTACATACATTCCCACGCCTTGCCAGGGCATAGGAGCACCTCTGCGCGGCACAAAATTTAGCGACATGCTAGTACAGACATTCCCACGCCTTGCCAGGGCATAGGTGCACCTCTGCGCGGCGGCTCAGAATACTACAGATTGCAGCGCCTGCGCTCTTTGGCGTGGCAGACCCGCAGACCGCGTTCGCGTGCTTCTGCGGACTTGCACAAAGGACTGTGGAAGCGGCCAGAGGGAGGTGTTGGTTTTGGTGTTCGTGTTCGTGTTGGTGTCGTGTCTCTCGGTGCAGTAGGCCAGTGCGTTCAGAGATCTCCGCGCGTTCGAGACTGTACGCAGTGGACTCCGACGGACACACGGCCACTTCGGTAACGACCACAAGCCTCTAGGTGACGTTGCGTGAGCGATCAGTTTGACGGCGTGCTCGATATGAGTTCCGTGGCCTCGAAAGGCACGAAAGTTGAGTTGCTGCCTCCTGGTCATGCAGTATACGGACAAGTCTATAAAGTTGTTCTCGAGCCCGCGACGACGGCACCGAGCCAAACAGGCAGCGGCTGCGACGCGGCCCCCGAGGAACCTGCAGCACCTGTTGCACTGCTTCCGCCGCCAGCCATTGGCGAACGTGTCGCTATTCACTACCGCGCCTATGTTGCAGCAAGTGATACCGACCTGAAAGGAGAGCCCGACTCGCAGGGTCGTATACTTTTCGACGTTTGCGACAGCGACGTAGCTGACGCAGTTGCACCGTTCACGTTCGTGCTCGGCCGACACCAGGTGATCCCGGTGGTAGAGCTGGCGTTATTTACGATGCGGGTCGGAGAAAAAGCTCTTGTATGCTGCCGTGCGCCAAAATATGCCTACGGCGATCGCGGTCGCAAAGGCCGTGGTGGACGCTGGGTGGTGAAACCGAACTGTGCGAGCATTGAGTTAGAGATTCACTTCTTGGGCACGGTGCGAATCGTTGACGGCCGGCCGCAGCTCCTTGCGCTCAACGGGGTTACGTCTTTGCCCTGGCGACCTGAGGCGAAAGCCCTCGACGGCGCATGCCAAGGCGGCGATGCCCCCAATGCACCCCAATCATTGTCATCGGGCGCACTAGAGACCGAGGCCAATGGAAGCAGTGCAAGCTGCGGAGACGGCACGACAAGCCCTCCGACAGGCAGCACAGCAGGCACACAGAGCGTCACCGCACCTCCACTGTTACGATTCCGGAAGACGCGTGCTTTTGCAGACCTTGAGACGGATGCGGATCGGCTGGCGTACGCCCTGGAGGCAAAGGAGCTCGGGAACTACTATTTCAAAGGAGGCCAGCTGGAGGCAGCCGTACAAGAGTATGAGGTAGCGCTTCAGACTTTGCAGCTCTGGGGGAAAGCGCCATCGAATCAGAGCGGTTCCTCAAAGACGAATGAGGCTGATGATACTGGAGACCTGTCCATTCAGACGCAACGGGAACAACTGACGCGCACGCTGTTGAGTAACTTGGCTCGGACGCATTATCGGCTGGGCGCGTACCACGATGCGATACGCCTAGCAGACCTGGTGCTCGAGTCCGCGCAACACGGCAAGTCCGACAAACGAGAAGAAGACAGAGTTGCCCCAGCAGCTGAAGGGGCAGCTGCAGCCGGCGAGAGCGCGCACTGTTCGCTCGTGGGCAAAGCGCTGTTTACACGTGGCCAGGCTCAGCGCGAGCTAGGGAATTACGAGGACGCCAAACGTGACCTACTACAGGTATTGCGTCTTGAACCGAAACATACAATCGCAAAGAAAGAGCTCGAGCAATTACAGCGACTGATCGAAGTTCATCGTAAGCAGGAAAAGAGAACATTTGGTGGCATATTTTCCAGTACAGCGCGTCGAGCACCGACCGCGAGTCATGTGACCACATTCGATGGTGATTGAACGCTGCTTTTGACGCCAACCGGTCGTAGCGCCTGCTCATTCGCATTCCAGAGTCGGAAAGCAGCATCACTTCATTGCCTCGCGGGCGGAGAGCATAATCACAAACACACGCACATTTGCGTACACCTACAGGCACTTGTCCGCCCCAAGTCTGGTCGTAAACACCCCAGAAAACTTCGTTACCAACCTGGTGAACGCAAAGGCTCCTTGGAAGCGACGTCCAGCACGCTAGTGTCTCGCTGCACAGCGTACGTGTGAGGCGCGTCCAACACCAGCAGCGCAGTGCCTGCTCCCTGCCTGATCGCCCGGGCATCCGCTCCTGGTAGAGCGAACTATGGGACCCCGTTCCGGCCAGAGCGTTCGTTTCATCCGAGGGTTCAGTCGTAGCTCTGGAGCCTCTCGCGCAGATCGATACCGTGGTCTTCGAGTACACGTCGACGGAGCTCGGCTCGGAGCTCGACGAGAACGCCAGCAATGCGATCACAAATCTCCTCATACATGGAGAGTTGCTGAGGTCCATCTTCGGCAAGCGATATCGTACCTAAATCTTGCCATTTGTGGAGTATGTCCGACACCGTGAAGGGCTCCCCGACCCATACAAAGATTTCGCGTCCGATCCTCGGTACCATAGATACCAACTCATTTGTTTCTTCGTCTTGAGGCATGACCGTCTGCATGCCCTCGTGGTAAATGGGAAGAATAAGAATTTCGGGGTCGTTTGCATTGCGCTTTTCGTGGGCAAGGGCGAGAAGTTTTCCGACGCCGCGTCGAATAAGACCCAGGCAGCGCTGACTGACGCGACCCTCGGGATAGACGTGGAGCCAGGCGCCGGCAGCGAGCTTCTCCGCGGCTCGGTAGAGTTCGGGTTGATTGAGTCCGCCGCCACGGCGAATGGGGAGCACCTTGCCTGCCGTGAAGAAATGATTCAACCACTTGCTTCGGAAGCAAATGTCTACAGCGCATAAGCCGTAACGCATAGTCTCTGGATGGAGCAGCGTACGAGTCGGAAGCATCCACGCCAACAGGAACGGATCGTCCATGACAGACTTGTGGTTGCTGACCGTCAAAAGCGGTGTATTTCGCGGGCGCGACATCACCGCTTCGTGCAAGCGATCCAGGTGATACGCATGAATGCGCTCGAGACTGCCCATGAGAAGTTTGCTCGGGATACCAACGCCCGCAATGGTTAGAGCGTTGAGAAACGAACGACCGGAGCCTACGTCCAGCATCTGGTAACTGTCCGGCACTGGGGCTGCCTGGCGGCTCGCTACCGCACATTGTCTTTCAAGCGGCTCTCGGGACGCGGATTCAGCGGTAATCTCCGCGTCAGTACGGCTGCCGTCGAAACGATCACGGTTCCAGGTCAAGAGCTCAGGCTCTTTGGGCGCAACTGCTACAACCCCAACAGGAGAAGGCAGTAACGCGATAACGGCTGGTGGCTCTGCAGCTGCCAACGCGCTTGTATGCGTTCGATCACGTCCTAGAAGCACGCTCCACAGGTTCCTCGGGGTATCCCGGGCACCGCGTTGTACTCGTGCGCTCGTTTGGACTGCTCCGTGGTTGTCGCTTGTGACCTCAGATCCTGCGGCCTGTGCGTCACCCGGTGCTGAGCACAGGTGCTGGCGACCGGCTTGCAAATGGCTCCGCAAAGACCCTCGCATCCAGCTCCAGAGCGGACTCGCACAACGACGCTGCTGCGACTCGTTACCATGAATCATAGTGCAGAGACTCGACAGGATCTCCTGTCTGTTCAGGCCAACACATGCCGATGCTTGCAACAAAGGACTCAATTGCTCGTTGCCTTTCGATATCCCAGACAGATCGAAAGGTCGTCGACAATATGGTGCAAATTACACACACTTGACTAGAGTGACCCTTCTCGTCGTCTACAGAGGACCCGAGTCGCCGGAACGCAAGGTATCACCAGCGGCGAATGCTGCTGCGAGGGATGCGCACCAAAACGATACCGCTGCTTCTATAACAACTCGCACTTCTTGTGCTGTTGTTGCTGTTGTTCGGTTATACCGACGGTATCGGTGGCGCTACCGCGTCCGGGGGGAGTCGAAATCCACACACTGACAGAGGCTATGCCTTTGGTTGGCAACTGATGCTGTCATATCGAATGGAAAAGGCTTCTGCAGTCGTTCTGCAGTAGCTCAAGTTGGTACAAATCTGGAAGGGGAGTCTGAAACGTCTGGAACGCGTCTCTCTCTCTCTCTGTGTGTGTGTGTGTGTGGACCCTTCGGGCGAGCGTAGCTGTCGTTACCACGGCGACTCGCATCGATGGACCAGGCGAAGCGTCTGTCGTGGTACTGCTTTCACGAGCTTGGGTGTCGCCAGCAGCGCTTTTGCTACTGCTTCTGCTGCTTCTGCTTGGATGTGATCGCATAGTTTCGCTGCCACACCAGGTCACCGTAACGAAACGGGGCGTACACGTGTCGCACCAAGGCGTCCAAAATTAGAAAGCGTGGCTGGATGCAGTCGGAGATTGTGATGTATCCACTTGCGTTGCACATGGCAAGACGAGTGCTTCAGGTTCTGCTTGCGTTGGCCTCTACACTGGTCGTTGTCTACTTTCAATGGCTCCCTGGCCCTGCTTGCAGGAAGATTCTCTTGAGACGTGCCTCGGATGTGTAGTCAAGACACGCCAGCGAACCGAGCGCGGCTAGAGCATCACCCTACACGACCAAAGAATTGCTAACAATGATGATCACAAGGATCACGATGCTCATGATCTTGATCTTCATCGTGTCATCATGACATGCAAGCATGCACGTTACGCTTAGGATTCATGAAGCGTGCTTATTCGTCAATTTCAATGAACATCGTTTCGTAGAAGCGCAGGTAGCAGAGTCGCACGATGCAGCAGTGGACGCTGTTGTATCGGAGGCAACAAACCCGTCGATCTTGTGTCTTTCTGTCGTTCCAGATGCTTTGACTGGGTCGAGTAAACACGTCCAGGTCAAACTTGGTTCGAGTCTGAGAGACTCTCCCGAGGAATTGTTGCGTACGCGCTGCTAGCGTGTGCACTTTGTCTGGCATCGAGGCGAGCATCTGCATGACAGAGATGCACTCCTTTTGTTTACGTAGATGCTGGTGGTGTCCATGGGTGGCATGCTGTCGACGTCTCCGATACCTCCGACAGCGTATTCGTCGCAGAGATGACGCGAAAATCTGCTGAAGCGGAGCGAGTCGCGTTCATGCGTCAGGGGGATCTCGACCCTTGACGCCAGTGAAAGAAGACAGGAGTTCTTTCACGGCATTCGCTGGCAACCTCGCAGCGCGCTCGTACAACAAACTGAACGGTAGCGTCGTATGCACTGCGATAACTGCACAAGTGGCGGTGTTCTTGTCTCTGATCCATGGAGAGCGGCTATAAAGATAAGTTTGCGCTTGGCGTGTCCACTTTACAACGCACGTGCTGCGTATCGTTCATCGCAGATATAGCGGTTGGTGCTTCCGCAGATAGGATACATACTGCAGACGTTCATTTTCATCCAGACGAAGACGGTAGCGAGTTCGCCGCGGACGTCTCTGTGAGAGGGTGTCGGCCTGCATGTCGTCATGCTCGTCTTCGATGGCACTTTGGGAGAGGTTCGCGAGACCACGAGCAACTGCCTCTGCACATCGCTGGCGCAATTCAGAGGCACGATCTCGGTCCACGAATGCGTCAGTGTATCGATTCGCAAACCAATTATATAGATCGAGGACGTGGTAGAGCGACTCGAGCTCCCTGAGTTCAGAAACCGTGCGAGGCCCGGAGCTCCACTGGGGCGCCCCACTCAACCAACGCAACGCCATCCTGGAGCCGCACTGCTGGAGAGTGAGACGCACCACGCCGCTTGTGGTGAATGCTCGCATAAACTGGACCATGGCCTCGCAGGCCGCAGCATCGTCGAGCTTGAGCGGAGCCATAGACGCACTGTACAGTAGATCAAAGGTCATCCATTCGTCAACCCGGGCACGCTCCAGGAGACGGCAGATTCGCTTGACGTCGGTGAGGTCGCACACGAAGTATCGCCCGGAAGCGTCCACTTGGGCCAGGTTTTCAAATTTTTCGTAGAGCTCACTGAGTGGCGGTCGCTTCGTGGCAGCTCGCCGCATCAGGTCATCGCCAGACGCCGAGCGCGAAGCAAGCTCTGCAGTACAGCGAGCGGCAAACGCCTCCATCATCTCTCGAGTCGGACTGAGGCCCGCTTTTGTGACTTTTTCCGGTACAATCGAGGCAGGCCAGCCGTGCGTATCGATACCGGCACCATGCAGAATGCTTCGAAGACGTCTGAGGTCGTCCTGGCGAAACGCGGTGACCTCACCGCACTGGGGCCGCCGGTCAGGCCCGGCATAGCGGCCGGCTCGGCCCGCAATTTGAAGAATTTCTGCGGTCGTTAGCGGTCGACGCTGAGTCCCGTCGAACTTGTCCAAAGCGGAGAAGATCATGCGCCGAATATTGAGGTTCAGGCCCATGCCGACTGCGTCCGTCGCCACCAGAATCGAGTGGGTATCCGCCTCATTAAAGAGCTGCGCCTGTTCACGACGTGTTTCCGGTGGCAGTGAGCCGTAGATGACAGCGCACTGTAGAGGTTTGATAGCATTTCGTTCCAACTGGTGTTTGATGCGGAAGAGTTCGCGTCTGGAAAACGTAACGAAACAGTCCCCGGCACGCACGCCACGGCTCCACTGGCGCTGGGTCTCGCCCAGTGCCTTCTCTGAGACACGTAACGGACCTAGACGCTCGTAGGTGCGCACCTCTAGTTGCTCGTGGCAGTCTTCCTCGATCATAGCGCGTACGACGTCAACTGCACTGGGACATCCGCAGAGGTGGAGCTCATCCGCCGGCAAACCGAGGATCGCTCGCGTCCATGCACCACCACGCTCCCGCTCAGCAATCATCTGCACTTCATCAACTATGGCGACTTGCACGGGACGATAGAGATCAGCCATCTCTACAGTACAGGACACGAAACGTACCTGTTTTGGAAAGTCAAGTGGATCAGTCACTGACTGATCGAGCGCAACGCCTCTGGCTAGGCCGCTGTGCGCATGGCGTCCTAGATGAATGCGCTCATCATCGAAAGCGGCAGACGCGTTCGATTCCTCTTCGTCTTCATCCTCGTCTTCCTCTTCGTGATCATCGGTTTTCGGGCTCAAGGCATGATTCAGGGCGCCCGACACTGACCCAGGCATCATCGCTGCATCTTTCACATTTGCTGTTGAAGGCGAGCCTGGCGGCATGGCGAACTCCTGACCAGTTCGCAGGATGCAGGCAATGCCCTGCTTGTTCAGTCGATCGTAGACTTCCCAGGCGAGCAGCCGAAGAGGTCCGCAGTACACACCCGACTCGGCGTTCAGAAAGCGCTGCAATGCCTGATGAGTCTTCCCGCTGTTGGTTTTCCCTGCATGATAAATCACCTTTCTCTTGCGGGCGCGGGCGAGGGGAAACCAAGTCGCTGGCAAGCTTAAGTCTGCACACACTGCAAGCCGAGCGAGCGAACCCAGTTCTTCACCATAGCGCTGCCGACAATAGGCTAGCATTGCACGAAATACTAGCTCTTGGGGTGCATGGGCAGCACAGCTGAGCTCGGCACCTTCGGAGAGAGTTTCCTGTCCCTTTAGAGGCAGCTGCTTGTGCGTCAAAAGAAGGTTTTCGGCGCCACGAAGCCAACGACGCAAGCGTTTGAGCTTCCAGCCGCTGATGCGCTGTGCCACCAGGTCCCAGAGTCCGAGCGGCAGTTGGCACTCTCGACGAAGGCGCTCCCGGTAGCGCTCGCCCTGCTGCACTTGACGAATAAGTTCTAGAACCTGCCTTCGACGCCAAGGTCGCTCACTCGGCAAAAACGCCCCCTGCGAGCTGTACCGGAGTTGAAGTCGGCAGGTGAAGCCACTCTGGACGAGCGCGAACGTCTGTTGCTGACTGCGCAACGCAGCCGCAGGCATGAAGCAAGGGCGCCTCGTGATCACGGACATGAGCCGACCGGTACTAGTCGAGCATTCTAAATTTGGCACCAGAGAAGTGTCCAGTGCGTAGACGAGCCCACTGCACGAGCGCGAAAGCGCCGACTAGCACAGTTGTTTTGATCGAACGGGATGCACCGTTGCTACCGGGGAAAGCGCGCCACCAGCCTTGTTGCAACTGAAACGCGAGGCAAGTTGGAGTCATGCTCTGGTCGATAGAGAGCGTTCGTGACTGGAGATAGCAGGTTTGCCACTGAAACGCGAGGCAAGTTGGAGACATGCTGTGGTCGATAGAGAGCGTTCGTGACTGGAGATAGCAGGTTTGCCACTGGAACGCAAGGCTTATAGGACTCACTCGGTCCTTTCAGTGTAGAAAGCGTTTAAAATTGGAGAAAGCAGTTTTGCAACTGTAGCGCGAGGCAAGTTGGAGTCATGCTCTGGTCGATAGAGAGCGTTCGTGACTGGAGATAGCAGGTTTGCCACTGAAACGCGAGGCAAGTTAGAGTCATGCTCTGGTCGATAGAGAGCGTTCGTGACTGGAGATAGCAGGTTTGCCACTGGAACGCAAGGCTTATAGGACTCACTCGGTCCTTTCAGTGTAGAAAGCGTTTAAAATTGGAGAAAGCAGTTTTGCAACTGTAGCGCGAGGCAAGTTGGAGTCATGCTCTGGTCGATAGAGAGCGTTCGTGACTGGAGATAGCAGGTTTGCCACTGGAACGCAAGGCTTATAGGACTCACTCGGTTCTTTCTATACGGAAATAGGACAGGATTATAGTTACTGCAAGTTTGCCGCGTTTGCGGTGCCGCTGAAGCTCCGCGAACCGGCAGCGTTCTCGTACCCAGGGCAGTCTGCTTAGCTACGAGAGTGCTTCACCCCAGACAACTGAGATGCTCTGTTGTGCAGCGTCTTGGAGTAAAGAGCGTGTGGTGTCGGTGTGCCGAACCGAGGCACATTGGGTGCGAAGTTCAGCTCTGGATGCAAGTTGCAACGTTTTATCGCGGCGCGGTTTCTGCTTCACGGGATGAGGTCGCGTTGTAATAATAACCGCCAGAAAATCCGCGGGAAGCGGCTTCCGTATTTGACGTGCCACCAAGGCGAAGCATCCATCCAGGCGCAGCTGCTTTCTGTACAAGCAGTCGCACCTTACTCGTGTTCAGGCTGTGGGTTTCAGGGCTCTTTCTTTGCCGTGTGAGCACACCGATAGCTGGCTCTCAGGCATGATGCTTGCGTCCGGCCGTTCCAACCAGGGCGCGTAAACGCAAGCCGCAAGCGCTCGGTTAGAAAGACCGTTTCGAATAACGGCTGATATGCAACGTAAGAATGCATCCATTCCAGGAGAAAGTGACATGAGTCCTCTTATCTCACTCGGGAGTACACGCTAAAGTTCTTGTTTCCTCCTAGAGTCAACAATACCAGATTTGGCGGACTTTCGTTTTCTTTAGAACTACTGCATTTCCACTCTATTTACACCGGCTTTGAATACAAGAGTCTCTCTTTTCCGTCAAGCATCATTGGCGGCAGCGGAAGGATGCTGATGGCAGCATTCAAGCCCCGATTCCATTGCTTCCGGCTGCTGTCTGCGCATGGTACGCACATGGAAAGAGTCGCGATCTGCGCTTTGCGTGCCATTTTCATCTTCGTTGTACACAGCCTCGGATCGCCCGTTGCAAAAGTGACACTTGACGATGATCAAGTGTTCCTATACGTCCTCCATGCGTATTCCTCTGTGGGCTATCCAGTGGCACGTGAACGCTTGCTTTAACGTTCGATACATGCCCTGGCGAGTATCGAAGACTCCGCTGGGTGCCCTTCACTGTTCCCGTGTTCAGTGCTGTACTCTACGGTCGTGGGGCACTTTTGGATGATCCATTCGGTGAATACTCTGTCTGCTACAGACGCAAGTGCACGCAGTTCCATTCGATAGACAAAAATATGTGGAACTCAGATTCGGCCATGCTGGAACAAGTACAAGAAGGAATATGCAGCTTGCAGAAGAGATCCAGAAATTCCGATTCGTCAATGCTCTCTTTGTGCAAAGCTGTAACGCATTCGAAAGTGGATGCGGTTTGCTGCGATAAATCAGTGCTGAGTCCGGGGCGCTCTTTCATGGAAACCGAAGAGGCCGAAGCGCCTGGGAGCGTATCCCGCGGGTGGTACCAGCTGCTGTTGCCTGCCGTTTCGTCGATGCCCATGAACGGCTGCTGATTTGTCTATCAAACGGTATCTATTCTTTTGCGCATAGAGTTCAGCGAGCTTTCCATATACGCTTTTGAACAAGGCTTCAAGGGGCGACTTCGAGAATTTTCCCTTGCCAATCCGGTGACGCGAACCGCTGCACCCAGGAGTTGCCTCGGAAGAGAAAGATCGAGAACTTGAAAAATGTCTGAATTGAGCATGCGTCATGGAAGGGAAGGAGAGGATCGGAGGCTTCTATGCATGAAATGGCAAAATGATATCGATTCGTTTACGAAAGCATGTTCGAGGGCATCGAGATATATCGTAACCCCGTTGATTCAACGAAATCCAGCGACGAAGCAGCGACGAGGTCACACCGAATCAACGACAGAGAATCCCAAAACTACGTATTCATCCGTGAGCTCTTATTGACAAAGTTCAAATGTCGCAGCTGTAGACAAAAGAAGGTTCGAAAAAAATCGAAATACTGGAACAACGCGCACAGTTCAGCGTTCCACTCTAATCTACAAGAGGTCCAGGAGAAACGTAGCCGAGCGCGAGGATGCTATTTTTCGCGCTCATGTGTCTGGAGTGTTCAGGTGCAGTCTATTGCGCCCATTGTGCTTTTTCCATGTCGCGAGGAAACTTGGGCAAAAAGGGTCCATGCTATACCCAGACTTTGATATGCGTCGCATCATTGAAACGATTTCTTAGCTGTTGTTCGCAGAAACCGCTCGAATTCTGTAGAGCGCGTGAAATGAGGGCCCTTCAACCTTTGCCTGCGGAGGTTCAATTGCTTCTTTCGTCTCCAATGGCTCGCAGGTTATGGAAAGATCGCACAAATCATTGCCTAATTTTGTGTACCATGGTTTTCGCTCAATGTCTGTTGGAGTGTCTGTGGCATCAGCCCGATCGTGCTTCAACGCCGCAGCGCTTCTTTTGATGTAGAAGCAATGGTTCTAGCCGGGTACCCATGTATCCTGTGCAAATTTGAAAAGACAAGTCTAGGTGAACAACTCGGGAGCGGAATCACCAACAGTGACACGGGACGAGCTTGCCTGCTTGCGTTCATGCTGGCGATGCCCATCCAAGCGACAGCTCGTACCGTGCATACGTTTCCACGTTGTACGACCTCCATTCCAGTATTCCCGCTGCATAAAGCGAATTGATCGGTCCGGCAACGCCTCCGACACTGTGCCTTTTTTGATCGCTTTAGGACGGCGCGGCGGTGCGCTGCTAGCCTCAGCGTGCATCCGATCGAGTAAACATTGACAACAGATCAGAAACGGAAAACGTACTAGCAACTCGATAACGATTTCGTTCTTCCTCTACGGTAAGCGTTGGCAGGGGGAAAGTTTTCCCTATGTCCGAAAGTTTACCATCTAGGCGGAAGGTCCTGCGGCCGCTCGAGTCAACCGGGCATCCGCTGCATGTGCCTCTGCAGCGACGGGTGCAGTGCCGAGACCTGAGCAGTTTGTCCATAACGCAGTCTAGTCTGGGAATCGCAGCGGATAGGCTGCTTCTCGGCGACGCACCGGTCGCTGTTGATTCCTAGTATGTCACTTCGCGTGGTCGCTGGGGGGACGTCTGTCTGCACAGCCTTTCAGGCTCCTAGAAGTATGATGAGTCCCAGTACCGAATGCGTTGAACCACGCCTCGAGCCGACGACCTCATTGGTACGGCAATGCCGCTCTGTCTCCGTGTTGCATCCGCACCAGCAGCATAGGCGCTATTGCAGGTGCTCAGCGCAGGCATTCGATGCACGATCGAACGCACAGAACGACCTGGACATCCGAGAGGACGCATGCGTCATGGTACTTAAAATTTGGGTGCAACATGATGAACCCTTTCACGATAGCCACAATTCATCGTGCAACCTGGGATCCGAGGACAATGTAAACGTTTCATCAAACAAACAAAAATGAGGAACTTGTTATCGCACTTTGGCGGGAAGTGCGCCATGCCAAAACCCAGAGCGTGCCGATCGACCTGCGTGCGTTCGAGCGGATATGCAAGCGTTGTGTTGCTTCTGAGCACGCCTACTCAGTTAACCGCCAACTGATGGGCAACTTGCTTCCTCTGTTTCACATATGCAGACTGCAATCGAAAGCTATTTAAGCCAGGCATCCAAGGATGAGTCAAAGGGACCCAAGAAGGCGCGCCAAGAGCGCAACCGCCGAAAACGAGAAGCTCCAGACGAGCCTGCGCCCTCCTCTTCCGAGGAGCACGCCCAGGTCGACACGGTTCCTGCAGGGGTACCTGATGCGGCAACGGAATTGGACGTGCCCTCTGGTATGAGTGCCGAGACCCCGCCCTTGCGAAACGCGGCGAGAGCGGACGAGTCGAGCGAGCCCTCTGGCGACGTCCTGTGGCTCCAGCTCCGGATTGACCGCATCAAGAAAGAGAGCGAGAAAACTGCTCTTTTGGTTTTCGAAAATGACGAGTTTGATCTGGCTGGCGATACTGGCACCATTGGTTGCGTGCAATGGAGCCACAACGCGGATTCGGGGGCGGTTCGTCTCTGCCTGGACTTGAAGGGAGTCGTCTACGAGACACGTACGTTCTCGCTCTGTGGCTCGGCGCTTGCAGTTGACCCAACAAGCCAGCGTGTCGAGGCTGTGCTTCACGATATTACGTACTCCATTCCAACGAATGTGGCTGATGAGCGAGCTCAACTTATCCGTGGTAAGATCGAACCGTATACCGGTGCGGGTAGTATCGCCGCGGATAATGCCGATACCACATGGACGGTAACCGCCGCCCCTGATGACTCGAGTACCGCTTCGAACGCAGGCACGTCGGGTCACCGGAAAGAGCCACCAGCGGACTCTGAAACAGGTGAGAGCGCTGTTTCGAGTGGTGGTCACGCAGCGAGTCATTAGGGAGCGCGATGCTGGAACACATGTGAGCGCTATTTCGAATGCTTTGCATGTAGCAAATTTGTCGTGACTACGTCTATGGAACAGGCGATAGCGCCACTGCGACTGCGGTTTATTTAGCGAGTCGGTGGCGAGTGCCTTCGACACGCAAACTCGGGTCGCCGCCCGCCGACCCTAACCTGATGCACTCGTCATTTCATACAAATGCGCGGCTCGCAATATTGAATCGCGCATGAGCATCGAACCAGCTTCGGAGCAATGAGCCTCCATGCAGCTGAGAAACCGCCCTCGAAACGCTGATTCCGGGAGTTATAGTGGGACGTATCTGAATTCCCACGTATTCTGCACCGCATGTCCCGGCAAACGGGACTGTCGCAGACCCCATCACGGCAGCGTTTCATCTGCGCGGAATGCTCACGGCATCCATATCAGAATAAAATGGAACATGCACGTCTTGCTAACTTGGGCATACACGCTAATGCTTGGGCCTCTTCCGGTTTTCATGGACAAAACCTTTTGCGTGATTTTTCAAGAATGCTTCCTTTTCCTCGGCCTGAGCTCAGGCATCATGTTTGGCGGTCTCTGCTATCGTTCTGGTTTTGTTTTTATCCGTCGAAGGATGTTGATGACAGCGTTCAAGTCCCGATTTCGCAGCTTCTGGCCATTGGCAACGCAATTCATGCACAAGTGAAAGCTGCGATCCACGCTTCGCTCGCCATTTTCATGTTCTTTGCATGCAGGCTCGATGCGCCCGTCATAGCGATGAAACCAGGATGTGGACGGGTGTGTGTGTGTGTGTGTGCATGGGTCAAACACACAGGCTTCTCCGAGCTTCGCCCTATGGTACGTGAACGCTTGTTATATCGTTCGGTACATGCCCGTGACCTGTGGAGATGGTTCAACCCAATTTCCATCTCCGTTTCTGTGCTCAGTACCGTAAACCTCGATCATGCGGCTCTTCTTGGTCATCCTTTCGGCGAGCACGCTGTCCGCTGCATACACAAGCGCTCGTTGTTCCATTCGATCATTCGACATCTGTCCCCATGCAAGTTGTTCTTCGTCTGTGTGAGCGACTCGCGAAACGTGCGGATTAGCATTACGGTAATCGAGGTTCCTGGATCACTCATGGGCATCGTGTGCACATGTTCCGCCCGCCTGGGACAATGCTCCTGCGGCTTGTGCTACTCAATTCTCTTTTGGTCGCTCATTGGATTATGCACTGATTTCTCCGCTTCCACGGAGACGAACATGAATGGTGCGCGGGTAGAACTTGCGACTGTGGGTGGAAGTCAGCGGGTTCCAAAACTCTTGGTTTGGGCGCATTATCGGTTACCACATGGGAACTGTGGTGCTCTTCGGGTCTCACGGAAACGCAGGTGTAGATGCTCGCTATGTCTGCGTCCAGACCTATGTAGATCGCATTGGAGATCGAGCTGCCGAGACGGCGTCCTCGTGTTGCTGGTTGTTCATACATGTGTTGCCTCTGGTGAGTGGGAATGCGTTTAAGCTCCGAGGCGGTCATGAAGCGCGTAGGAATGTTGCGTTTGATGAGATGGAAACCGCCACCCTATCGGACTCGCTGGAGGGGAACGCATCCACGCACCGTGATGTGAACCTCCCGTTGCTTCGTTTTTCCGCACCATTCGCACCTTTCATTGCACTGCATTGCATTTCGATCCTAAAGCCGTTCATGATTTCCACTGAATCTCCGGGTGAAGAATGCATGGCTTGCTTCGTGCATTCCATGCCGTCGATCAGCGCTTCTTGTTCGACGCTCCTGTTCTCTACTGGGCGTCATCAGAGCGCCTTTGCGAGGACGACTTCCTTCACAGCCCAGCGAAAGAAAAACCTCGAATCGAGCGGCTGGTGCGGGCGGCGCAGGGATACGTTCGTTAACGAGGAATTTCTTCCTTTGAAGCACTCTGGAGCAGCTTTCCAGATTCGGAAATGCCATCACTTTCGTGGGCATGCTCCTCGCAGCCATCATGTCTAACTTATTCTCGGCATCTTCGTCGTCGAGGAATCACGAATGAGGTTTATCACGCTCTCTGTATCGGTCGAGCCAATGGGCTGCGACGAAGTGCCCGGCATGTAGAGTGCCTTCATACCGTGCAGCTGGCGACCGAGTCGTCGCCCTGTCGCTTTTAGGACATCGAATTCTGTACGCGTGTACGGGGATGAAAGCTGACGTTGTCCAAATTCGCCGTTCGTATGTTTTCCTGAGTGCTCCTTTGTGTTATCCAGTCCGCTTTGAGTCATTAAACGAGTCAAGGCTTCGGCATCCGCAAGGTCGCTCAGCCAGGGAGCCGAAACGCTTGCGCCACGAATGACTGCACGGACCGGACAACATGTATCAAGTAGCTGCCCGGTTGGCGTGAGAACAAAAAGGGTATCCGTCACATCAGCGCCTCTGTGAAGTTCCTTACTTTTAAAAGCTCAAACACGCTTGCGAAGCACACGGTCTTGAGCTTGAGGTAAGCTCGATGCTGGAGCTCCGAGGAGACAAGTGCATATCCTGCTGCGCGGACTCCGTTTTCCGGTAAGGGGAAATAAAAAGTACTGAGGCATATCTTTACGACCACAGTGTCGTAGAACAGCGGTGATCCTCACGAAGGAATGCGTTTCGTCTGAGAGTTGCGACGTTCTCTGAGACCGATACATTAGGCTGTTCAAAACGCTCCAGTATTTCTTTTTTTACCAGTACACATTTGTTTCCGCAGCATACCTGGTGTGCTCGGGTTGCGTGCCTCTTTTGATAATCAAGCACGACACGTTTCTGATAAATGCCTCGTTCATCCCTTGTCTACGTGTCTCTTCGGAGATCCACCATTCGCAACCTCCAACCAATTTCGCAAAACAGGTTCCAACTGGTCCGTTGTGCTCAGTCGCGGCGCCATAAGCCCCGAACACAAGTTCGTGTCGAGCAGGAGCCACACCTAGAACACGACCGATCAGTCAATTACTACGCGTGAATCCGTAAGCCCTTCTTGCCGTCATTCGAATGTCGAGAGTGTGCAACTGAGCAAAGTTTGGAACGAATCCAAAGCCAGGAAAACAGCGAGAAGTTTCAGAGCTCCATTCTAGTCTGACGCGGGTGTAGAGACCAGCTTTACCCGAACGCATCAATCGGGAATCGTCCCTACGTAAAGTACATTACTACCACGCAAGAGGGTGTCTCCATAGCGTCGCTTGAGCTCTCCGTTCAAAAATTCCGCAGAATTTTCCAAAACTATGTTCAGATAACCATCTAAACAAACCAGCGTTCCACGGTATTCCGTACCGTTATTGAGTTTCACCACAACTGGACGTCCAAGAACTTTTCGCAGAAAGTGCGTTGGCGTTCGCGTTGCTGGCGCCTGTCCCTCATACTCCCCTGCAGTGGACCCGGGGCCAGAGGCACTTGACTGCTCACCGCTGAGCATCTGCGGCAGTGAGCCAGCAGGGAGCTTTCCTTTAGGGATGCGCTGTTCTGGGTCCCGGTGATTTCCTCCAGAAAACAATTTCCTCGTGTCCTTGTGGCGTCCACAAGCGGTTCAACCAGTTTTCAGAGACTTTATCCCAGGCGGATTCGCCGCTGAAACTGGCCGGTCCTAGGTAACTCTCCACGCGGTGCCTACACAAGTAGAGAAACGTCTGCAGAGCGGGGGCAACAGGGCAGTCACACCGTCTCCTAAGCTATTTGTGGGATGCGTTGGTAAACCTCACGAGGCTTTCTCAAACAAGGAACGCTTCTGGCTTGCAGCAAGTGTGGTCGACGAAACAAAAGCTTTTTCACAACCATGGAGGTTACATTTATGCCCATTCGAAGACGCCTCCCTGCCTTGTTCTGCCCGCCGCCTGCTATCGGTTACTGTTTCATCGGACAAACTCCGAGCATCAGAGGCTGCCCCATGAAGTTTGCTCGCGTCAGCTCCTCGGGTCTCGTCTTCAGCACCGTACACTGTCTGGTATTGATGGCGGCGTAAAGTCCAGGTATACGAACTCTTTACGTTCATTGCCTCTGGTGGAACTCATGAATGCAAGGCTTTCTAGAACTCGTACCCTCTGTGTCACTAACATCTCGCCACCATTTCGTTGGGCAAACAAGCGCTCTCGGATATCTCCTTCTTCTTTGTCACTTGCTCTTCTTCACTCGACGGTCGGCAAGAAGAGGTCTTTTTTCGTTTCCCTTGGTGAATCCGGCAATGACGGCCCTGTGCGTCCGTCGACTTTCACATCCATTCATTTCCCTTGGATTTTTTATTCCTTCCAATGAGAACACTTCCGACAAGTCTGCTATAAACTGCGAAAAAATCATTTGGTTCCATGTACCTGGTTGTGGAACCCAATTGAGATGAAAGAGTGGAACAAGCGCCTCACGGGCCGAAGTGGATGTGCGTTGCCGGGGGCGCCCGACATCCCGCAGTGCAGCAAGCCACCAGCGGTACCGTCAGGCACTCTTCTTAACGTTTCGTACGAGGTTGTTCTCGAAAGTATTCTGTTGCACGTTACCGGACGTTGATACCTGTTTTATCTCTATACACTGTTGAGACTAACCCCTCGAAAATCGCCATGCACGGCAGCGGGCCGTGCCCTGAAGCAGAAACGCCGGACTCGGGCCTGGACTCAAAGGCTTCGCAGTATGACACCAGCAGAGGAGACGCCACGTCTGAAATGTTTTCAGCAGCGAGGACACCCGCTACTTCAGCATCAACCGTTTTCGAACTTTACACCCTCATGGGACTGCAGGGATGGCTGGAGAACCCCTTGCAGCCTACCACGAAGCGGGAGCGGGCACAGCGTTTCCGTTTCCAGCCTTTCGCAGCGGAGACCGCGGCGGCAGGGACAGATGTTGTGAGCGACGAGCAGCAACCGAGCGAAGATCCACTGAAAATTAATTGGAGCGAAGGTCTGGCACGCGAGTGGCTGCAGATTGGACTGGATGGCCGGCACTGGCGCGTCCGCCAGTTCGGTGACTGGTACCGGCGCTGGAAAGACCAGGAATTGCCCTATCTGGCGGCATACGGCCACGTGGGTCCTTTTGAAAGGAACGCTATTGGTGACGCTTCAACCGCGGCAGAGTTTGCATCTGAGCAAACTTATCCCGGGAATGATGATGAGGTCATGGCGGACTCCAGCGAGGAAGCGCCAACGAGTGCTCGACACCGTCGTCATCGTCGACAGCGTCCAAGCTGTCGCGTCATCGAGATAGGTCGTGCACGAGCAGCCAGCGTAGGCCATAAGCGCCCCGGAGTGGAGGCAACCGCGTCTGTGCCGGAGATCAGCTTTCCATCTCACTGGTCCAGTACCGACAAGGCCGTCGGCGTCGATCTGGAGAAGCATACCGATCGGCCGAGACGAGCGTACTACGTTGGACCTGGTAAGCTGGATACGGACGCTGCTGCTGTGCGCGCGAATGTGCCTGTCCCCACCGAGGCTTGCATCTACTACTATGAAATGACGGTGGTATCGGCGGGTGCTGAGGGCTTTATCGGCCTAGGACTGTGTGCGGGCGATGTTGCCCTGGAACGTCTCCCCGGATGGGAAAAGAACAGCATCGGCTATCATGGCGACGACGGGCATATTTTTCGCGACTCGGGAGTAGGGTCTCCGTATGGACCCACTTACTCGACTGGCGATACCGTAGGGTGTTGCTGGAACTGCATCACGGGTGACGTGTTTTTCACCAAGGAAGGTGTCCGACTGAAGCGTGCCTTTCGGAACGTGCGACCGACCCGTCTCCGGCGTGGTGTTGCCTCCATACCCGGTGAACGGCGAGCAGGCAACGGCGGCGCCCGTAGTGGTAGTAGCAATAGTAGCAGCAGCAGTAGCGGTGGCGATGGCGGCGCTGGCACGAGCGGTGCGTCACACCTTCCGTGGGCTGCGGGAGCAACGCGATCCCCACAGTGGCTCTCAAGCTACGAGGGCTGGTATCCGGTCGTGGGGATGCGTACCGTTGGCGAAATCGTTGAGGCAAACTTTGGACAGAAGCCGTTTCGTTTCGATATCGAACCCTATGTGCGCGAGGAGGTTGAAATGTTCCTTGACTCGATCGTGGCCGCTACAGCGGACAATGACGATGAGGACGAGCATTCGAGCGTCCTTCATGAGCAATGCGCTCTGCAGAATGTGGTGCTAGACTATCTGCTTACGGAGGGATATGTGGAAACAGCACGCGCATTTGCCAAAACTGTGTTTCCCCTTGAGCGCTTGGTGTCACAAGGGGATGTACACGCAGCGCCCGAAATGGATCCGCCGCGTTCTTCGCCGCGTCATCAGCTGCGACAGCAAAAACTTCCACAGGCGCTTTCGGATGCCAGCATTCGTGCATCCATTATGGACTATATTCTACGAGGTGAGATCGAGCAAGCACGGTCACTGGGCGCCGAGCACTATCCGCGATTCTTCCAATCGCCGGCATCGTTGGGCGACTGCAGTGGGCCCGCCTCAGAAACGGCACTAGATCAACAACTCGCCGCGATACTACTTCGGTGTCAAGAGTTTCGCGAGGTGCTCGCACACCAAAGCGAGCGCAGCAGCGAATCTTACTCTGTTTTCCAGTACGCATGTGGGCATCTCTGGCCGCTTCTTCTTGAGTGTGCAGGCACTGCTGCCGGCAAGTCTGCACTCTGCAGCGGTCCAGCCGAAGCGCAACGGGATGCCTCTCAGCCCCCGCTCGGAAAACATGGTCGAAAGTCAGCACCTGGAAATAAGGCCCCTGCGCAAACGAGCAACCGTACGGAAGAGCACCGGCAGCTGGTCCAGCTCCTCCTTCTCCACCATCTCATTCTGGTGACGCACGCAGATGCTGCAGTGCTTGCTCCTGCGTCACTCCAGCGGTGGCGTCTCCTGGTGGCCGCAGCCGTGAACCGGGCGCTGGTACTGGAGCGCCCCTGCCGCGCCCGACCGGCTGGATCTTCTCTGGAGGCGCCTTCTCTCCTGGCTCGAATGCTGCAGCATTTGTCTACCGTCATGGAGATGGCGGTGGAGCACGGAGCCGGCTATCTGTCGCTAATTCAAACGAACCATCTTCTCTGAGCGATCTCATGGTGCGCAATGCATTCATCTCGACATCTCATGCGGGGAGTTGCCGTGCACTGCTTCCAACGAGATGCAAGCTCCGCTGGGTATTTCGCTAGTGTCGGGGATACGAGTTCCTCGACGTGACTGTTTCGCGAAATCGCTCCAAAGATGCTATCGCTGGGAGCACGAGATCGACATAACAGCACTGTACTTGTTTTCAAGATTTGTCTCGGTGATAAAGCGCCGATACGCGTTTCGAGTTTCGCAGAACACGAGTACTTGCTAGGGTAGCACGCACTGGACCCGCTTCGTGTCGCGTGAAGCAGTGAAACGGGAGCACTTTGCGACTTGTGCACTCTGATGCTGTTGACGCGAAACCTACTGGCATCTGCGTTTCATAGAAGGGCGGAGCATGATCACGGAGCGATGCCGCGCCTAGCTCTGGGGTTCACTGACCATAGTCATCGCGATGATCATCGGTGAAACCCGGAGGACCAGTAGCAGCACGTCCTCATTGTTTCCGTTCTTTTTCCTCGAAAGTAGTCAACTAGAGGTACAAATCCTGTAAATGGGAGAAAGGTCGCAGAAGGACTTTATGCGGTGAATTTTCGTTCGCTAAAAACGGCATTGTTTCGACAAGTCAGTCATAGTTCGGTCAGCAGGTGGTAGACGAATCGCACTCCTCCTGGTCCTTTCGCTGAACGTCATGCGCCGAAAACAAGCACTGATCAAGCTCTTTCGGTATGACTCGGCCCTGGTCAATCGATTCCACCCGTTGCATTCACCATGCGATCCTGCCGAAAGATTGATAGGATTTGTGAAGTCTTCGTAACGTTGGTACGAATGGTGATCAGGAGGCATGAAGGGACTCTGAAAACTGCGAGTCTTTATTCGGATCCTGTTCCGCGATGAACAGCACAGTGTCGATGTCGTCGTGTACTGCGAACGCAGGGAACATTCGAGATGAGTATTCGTCTCAGTGGATCACACTTTCCGTCTACCCAGTGCATCTGAACCTCTAGGACAAAAACGAATATACAGCATAGCGACCAAATCTATGCGACTCCACCAGGTATTGGAGATGGGGAAAAGGAGCCGATGTCCTCCAACAGCAATGAAGCATTTGATCAAAGTTTGCGGAGGGCACAGGTGCAGCTCGGTCAAGGATTCGCGTTTACGGGGAGGACATGACAAGAGGTATACAGAGACCATGGAGAACGACTAAATGTCAATCTGAATGCACATTGTATAGCCAAGAAGCGAGTCGAACCACGAGATGCATTTTCAACTGTCCAAAAGCAACTGAAATGAAAGACTTGATTCCGGGCATGAATTCGTGGTACCAGGGCGTCATAGACGTCGCCGTACCTCCAAGTCAAGAGCACGCGGCCAAAGGCCTGAACGGAAAGCAGATGAATCTGATGAGCTTTTCCCTGGCTCGGTATGTTCGTGAGTCGAGCACAATGATCACGACGAGGTATATCATCAACTGGAATGACGACGTTACCAGAACCCCGATCTCGACGCTCTCAGTCATGTATGGAGCAGAGGACAATGATTCGTACGTTTCATTCGGTGCGTGTATGAGCATCCAAAGCGCTTATGCGGAAAAGCTTTGTCGGGAGCACATGAGACCACGCTGAGGCCACTAATGCTTACGGTGCTATGCAGGCTCGAGGCGTGCATTCCCGTACCTGTTCAATGAGATGGAAAATGAAACGGCCGATGCGTTTCGTCATTTGGTGTTAGCTATGGTGCTGGACAGGCTGCAGCGCGCAAAGGCTACACTCGTCATCCTTCGACGAGAGCGTATAACGAGTGCACGAGTCGACGCTGTACGATTCCCATCGACGAGTTGAGAACGACATGCACGCTTCACGAGCACGGTTGTGCGCTGAATCAGGTACAAAAGTTGAGCTTGATGCAGAGCTGGATGCACCAGGTAGAGAACCGTAGGCGGATCGAACGTCAGCTTTCAATGCAATTGAAGATCAGAGGCTTGCTGTGGTGTGCATTCACCAGATAGAATGCGCGCAAGCACATGCTGCACTGCGACTTGAACCTCCCGAGAAGCATCCATATCTAAGTCGTGCTCCTGTGGCATCGGGTGCCTTTATATCAAGCGAAGTCTCGAGCAAATCCTTCAGCACTCGTTGTGAGCATGGTGCCGGAACGCTGCCCACTTCCGAAGCAAGGAAATCAGTGGACAGCAGCGAGGCCGCGACCGCATATTCCCGCCCGTGACCGCGCACTGGCACGGTACGGTCCAGCAATGCCGGAACGGCTGGCGTGTCCTACATGTACATCGGGAACGGCTTCCCTTGGGGATTGGTGCGCAAAATTGTAATTCCATCATTCAACATGAATCAGTATACCAGCGTCACGATGATTAGCATCATCGCCGTTGACAATGCTGCCCGGTGCACTGCTCGGACACGGTATCTCGCAGATGTCCAGCAGACTGAACAAGGCGTCGCATCGAGATCCCCTGCGACGCTCGCTCAAGTACGTCGAAAGGCGCCCACAAGCCACGCTGCTCGCGGCATTCAACCTGTTTACCTAAGCAGTCGAATGTGGTGCCTAGTGCATCTTCATGGTGAAGGATGGTAAATCGAGCAAGTCGATGAACGGGTGTTTCTCAGCCCGAGCGCGTTGTGCTGGATCGTTGTAGCCCCAGGTTGCCAGATGATAGGTGACGGGTGCGCCTAACAGGGATATCGTCGCTGCCTCCAGCGTCTCGAGACGGTCCTCTACGAGGTGTACAACTACCTTTCGTTGGCTATCTTGGCTCCGTTCTTCCTCTTTTCGCAGGATCTCTTTAATTGTTGCGATTTTGGTCATCTTTCGGTCCATGCCATACACGTTTGCCGGCGGGATACGGCCTGGACGAATACCGGCATGCTCGAGAATCAGCTTGACAAAGCGCTCTTGTTTGGTGGTAACGATATAGACCGGCTGCTGGCTCATGTTCAGCGCGTCCGCCACACCTGGGTAAATAGGGTTCATCGAGAGCCACGTTGACTTGTCTCGAGCGATCCACGCATCCCGGATAGTGCCAAAAAGTTCAATTAAGAAACTGGGTTGAATGTTCCAGTCCCGTAAGAGCCGGTCGTGCAGTACAGACTTCCAGTTGGCGGCGATCTCACCGACTGTCAGCGGACGAGGGCGTCGCTCTGCTCGCTCAGATACGAGCCGCTCCTCAATCAGCATCCGTACCAGAAGAATGCTCTCGTAGCCAGTCTCTATGTATGGACGGAGTTTCCGCATTTTATCTAACAACCAAGCAGGCGGGACGGCCTGCCAGATGTTTTCTGAAATTGTTGGTATCCGCGCTGTTTCAGCTGCTGCCGCTGCCGGCGAAGGGTCCTCTGCTCCGAGCCCGGGGTTTGTAGCGATCTTTCCCGGGGATTCGCCTCGTTCCGTGAAGCTCGCGCTCCGAGAGCTATCGTGTCCGGTCCAGCGCGGCGCCTCGAGCTGAGCGGGGAACGCCACCAGCGCAGCGTAGTAAGCGCACCGACTGAGCTCTTCTACGGAGTCGCAGAGGACTCCATCAAAGTCCAAAGCGTACACCGAGGTGGCACCTGCCGGAGCTTCGCCAAAGCGTGCAGCCCGGCCGGACGAGAACATGAGCAACGGTTCCGAGAAGCGTTTCGCACTATACGTCGCAGGCTTCTGGTCGATACGAGTGTGCTGCTCTCCGAACACCGTTTCTGTAGCTTCTGCGGAAACAGGTGTCGCCACAAGCCGCGGCCGTCGTCAGCGCCAGCAGCCGAGTCCCAGTGCTTCAAAGGCAGCCGCTGAAGCAGGAGAGCGTTCCCGGTGCTACCAATGCCCGCAATAAGGCCGATACAATGACGAGCTGTGCCTGGAGAGGCACCCGCGCCGGTGCCTCTACCGGCGCACGCGGCTGCACAGGCGCCCGCAGGCAGCGAGCACAGCGGGCGCGCGGATCGATTCCCGGCCGTGGCGCTGCGCACGTCGAGGTCGTGTGTGCACATCCGCGACCCGGGGCCGCGATCCTCGCAGGCATGCACCGCAGCCGTGCTGTCGTCGACAGTCGTTCGCTGGAGGCGTGGTATCATCGAGGTCACCGGATGCATTATGCTTCGGTTTCTGAGAGGAAAACTGGTCTCGGGATTGATAGAAAGCAGCAGCGTCTGTGAAGGAGCTGGCGATGCTTCCCCGGTTACGAATCGCAACCGTGCATCCGGAGGAATCTGGTTCGATGCATCGCTCGCATGCTATGAAATAAAGTATGGTAAGCGCCAGCCGGCTGCGATGAATCCACGTGACTGAAAGATGGCGACGACAATGGTGCACTGAAAAATCGATCCCAGCGTCCTTCGGTGCCGCCAAATATCCATTGCGTGCTCCAGAGAATACCTTCAGTCATTTAGGGATGCACTCAGAACCAGCGCTTGGCGCAGGCAGTTTCTCCGACGCAAACTCTAGATCACTCTCTGTCAAATTTTCCATCGACGGGAATAGGCAGCATGACTTACCGCTGTGCGGTGATGGATGCAGCGCGCAGGCTCACACACGCGTCGAGGCTCAATAGCGGCGCTGTTGGGCACCGCTCGAATGGCGATTCGCGGGAACACGACGCATGCGTGCTGCCGCTACACATCCGATGAGCGCTGCGTGCCGGGGGCGAATCGCGTGCGAGGTGGCTCAGATCCACGATAAACGCGTTACGGACAAGCGACGCACCGCAAGAGCCCGAAGCGTTGACAAGGACCAGATACAGATTTCGGATGCTAGGGCTGAGCCCCGCATTACCCATTGTGACTGTGCTGGTGCATCCAGCCAGACCAGTGCTCGTTTGAAAGAAACATACGCCAATGCTAGCAGTGCGCATTCGCAATCCAAGTTGACCCGTGGTCAAGCAGCATGACGCACTTGCTGATCACACGACGCGCGCTAGATTTCAGTGAGCAGTCGATGGCGAGTAGCAGACATCTTGTTGGACGCTGCCACGCTGGGCTGATCCTTTCTGGCATTTCCCCTTGAAAATCCGTGGACAGTTCCTTGTAGGACAGAGACGCTGGCATGCGCTCTGTCGACGCAGCCGAGCAGCCGGGCGCATCCGCGGGAAAGACGATCGCGCCCCGCGATCCGTGACGCCCCCGAAAAAAACGCGGCGACGGCCGCTGCCATCGGTAATGTCGAGGATGGGCCCCCCGCCCCGCTCCCGGATACGTTCGATGCGAGGCCCCGGTTGCTACATTTCACCATCATTCGCACCGCGGCTAGACGGGTCTGCAGCGCGCTCAAAACTCGGAAGCAAAGGCCGTGCTGCGTGCGTGTTCTGGGATACCTTCGATAGCGCGTTCGGGGCATCGCCTTCACTCGTCGATGGCGGTGTCAGGGGCGATCCCACGAACGGCATCGCCTGCAGTTTTCGCGGGGCACTTCCCAGAGCGCCCCGAATTTGACGCTCGCGAACGCTGGTCGGTGCACGCCCACGTCGCCGCGGGATCCGCTGACTGCACTGAACCAGATGCGCTGGCCTCTGAGCCCCGGTGCGTTTCCAGTACTTGCCGCAGGCATTGCACAACCTTCGCGTACGATCGTTCTCCATTAAATACCAGTTCGGTGACTTGGAAACACCACAGTGGTAGCACTGACGGCCGTCAGAGCGCGCGTCGTGTCCACGAACGCAATGTGCATCGCTGCGGCTGTCGTCCGCGGTAGCATCCCGCCCTGGGATGCACAACGGCGACTTTGTAACCGTCGTCGTTGCCGCTGTCGAAGCGGTTGTCTGTGGCCATTCGAGGGTTTCCAGCGGAACCACAGTGTCGGTGCTGGTTGCGGACTGCACATCCGGCTCGTCCGTCGTGCATTCCTGGTGATCGAGCGCAATCGTATTATCAGGGATATACCTATCAGGGTGCGGGGGAAAGTATGCGGACAGCGGCGGCAAACGAACTCGGCTCTGGAGCTGGCTCGGTGCTCCACAAGCAACTGCGAAACTCCCCCGCCACGACAGCGGATATGCAAGGCACGGCTCCCAGAGCGGTTGCAGACTCGTCGGACCCGCGAACGACGTCGGTAGCCACCAGCCACCCCAACACGTCCAGCGCTGCACGTTCTGCACTGCAGGGCAGTTTTTTTGAATGGGGTATACCCGAACAGAGCGTGAGCTGGGTTCCCGTCGGTACGGTTCACAGGGAACGTGCCAAGACATCCCGGAGGCCGTTCGACCGTAGGTTCCACAAACTACTATCGAATAAAAACCGTTAAACTACTTCTTTCTAGCTATATCCACACGAAGTTGGAATCAACTCTACAAACAAGCTGTGTTTAGTTCTCCACAGGGACATTGAGCGCGCCGAAACGGATCAATTGCGCAGGAGACGCGTGCTCCAGTTGCTGCGCGCCCTCGAACGCATGGATCGCGTCGGATGGAAAACATGACCCCATTTGGCGCCAAGCACCGGGGCACAGTTCGCGCCGGCACATGCGTGCAGCGCACGTGAGACGTACATTGCATCCATCCCCGTGCGGCCCGTGTGTGCGCGCCCAGCGAAGGATACGACGCACATCCTGGTGTGCAGATGTAACGCGTTTCGACCTGGGGTTTACGGGGTGCGCCCGAGCTGACTATGCACTCGCTGCGACCACAAGAGACATCCAAACAGGGATTCCGACGGCAGTGGACGCGACATCAACGGGTCGCATGCAACGCCGTTGAAACGGGGTGGTGCTGTCCCCTTGGAATGTCACGCCGAGTTTGTGACATCCCGCCAAGTGGCAGAATCTCGGATCCGAGCGACCCCAGCGCTGCCGCTGACGCAAGGCGCGCGGCGTCGCTGCTGCCCCAGTTTCGCAGCGTTGGACAGCGCATTCGCAGGCGGCAGCGCAAGTTCGCGGGTGCATGCACGCTTCGTGAATGCTCTGACCGATGAGGCTGTGGCATCTCGAACGCGACGCTTTCGACATGCGAACGAGGATGCACGCTCCGATGGAGGTTGGACCCGGTTGCCTTCTCACCTAATGACCGGTTGCGTGTCTCAACTGATACGCAGTGACTGCTGGTGCTTGCGTCCTAACGAGTAGCTCGTGTCAGTGCTTTCGTGATCCGCGACAATTCGAACTTTTTTTTGCTCGGACTGCCCGGAATGCCGGACGGGTTGCTAGCGGCCAAACGCGATACTCGCACGCCAATGTTCGGCCTCGGATGCAGCGCCCATACCTGGCGTCTGAGCAGGGCCAACCCTGGAGTGCGTCTCTACGAGAACAACTGGTTCCAGTGGTTCATGCACCGCGTCGGTGCGATGCTCCATGGAGAGCGCGCTACAAACAGCTGATTCTCGGGCGTCGATACATCACGATATGAAGCGACGTGCCTGAACTCGAATCCGCTATTTGGCGGGTTCATATTGCAAGCGCAGGGGTTAAACTGAGCGTACAGCGCACAGGGTTGGAATGCGGCAGACGGGTTTCCGCTTCACAGATGTGCCCTGACGGAGCCGCGACCGGCGAGTTCGAGGCATCCGTCATCCGGCATCCGGCCGCCTGGGTGTATGCGGCTCTCGGCGGCCGAGTATTCACCAGTGCAACCGAGCCTTGACGCATCTTCAGCGATATATGCGACGCGAGCTTGGAAACCGGCAGTCTGTGGGTCTGGCCTGCTCGAGTCACTGGCGCTCTTTGCGAGTGCAAACCTTGAACGACGCTCTTGTGTAGCTCAGCGTGGTATCGAGAGAGCAAGGTGGGCGGGTAGCTATCTTGGTGCCAAGGTCCAGGCCCCTACCAGAACCGGGTTCCAAGGATGCCACACAGCATCACGAATGCGCTATACCGGTGTCGTTGGACAATATGCGCACTGGAGGCATTGTATGTGCTGCACAGCGTTATCACGAAAGCGATGCCGCTCTGACACCGACAACCGGGTGGATCAGACGACAGCGGATCGAGTGACAGCGCAGTCCACGCTGGACATTTGCGGTGCATCCAGTGTTCTTCCAGGGAAAACTCCGCGAACACACTCTTGATCGTTGAAAAGCTTGCTTCCGCGCATGCGTCTCAAGCCGAAAGCTGCTATGATGTTAGCCACAGTATCCAGGGTTCGAAGCTGGTCTTCCAGTTATTAATGATACGAAGGCGTGAAGCAGTTCCTTTAGTTTGCTTGCGTTTCTTGCCAGGCTGCGAATACATCACGCTATACCAGTGACCTCATCTCTTGCCGATTGTGATTTCCATGGACTCGACAGTCGTGCATGACAAAAATTCTCGTTTCGTTCTGGTGCTAGCACCATCGACAGTAACCAACCGCTCACGCTTGAGTGCTCTTGCCGTGGCTGTGCCCCCGTGATCCACTTCGCAGCGTACGCACGCTGCACGCGGGGCCTCGCACGGACACCCCCCGAGGGTGCGCTTGCGGTGAAACTGCCCCGTATTCACACAGCGCAAGTGATAGCGGGTTTGGTGCTCCAAAGAAGGAGAGCGGCAGCATCAGCACCGCTCAAGGCACAAGAATGATGCAACCTCGATTCGCCGGGGAGATCCCGAACTGGCACGTATCGAACGCAAGGGCGTCCGTGTGGTGCTGGATTCTCACTGATGCAGAGCGATAGCATCCCGCACATCCAGGTATATCGGTTTATATCCCTGGATCCCGCACCAGCAACAGGAAACGGCTTCCATGTGCATTCGTTTCTGTGCACCGATCCCCCGGAACATTTCGCACATCAGGTATACCCGTTTCTATGCATCGATCCTTCGCCAGGCACGGAAAGCGACTCGCCAGCATCGCCAAAGATTTCGTCGCTGCAGCGCGCGATCCATTCAACGTCCACATTTGTGCAGTTCTCTTCCAGACGCGCTGTTCCGAGCACGCGCCAAGGGCGCACGTCGTGCCGCAGTTGCTAAGCAATCCTTCCTTCCTTCCTTCGTTCGTTCGTTCGTTCGTTGTGTTGTATGGTAGCATATGCCTTCAGAACGACCGCTAAAGCGACGGCGGAGTAGAGTTGGCACAGCCGAGCCTGAAAATATTGCTAACAATGGCGATGACTGCGCAGCGCCTGAGCGGCGAGCTGTAAATCAACACCTGCGGGGTCCGAGCTCTCCGACTCAGAAACAGAAGCGGTCGGCAGAAAGCGCAAACTTGGCTGGCGATGTGGTAGCTCTGGCGTCCTCGCCACTGCAAGAGGCGGTGTCCACGCGGCATCCTTCCCTAGCGCCTCGAGTGTTTGGCGCACGTTACCGTTGTAACTACTGTTCACGTGACATCTCAAACTGCACGCGCATCACATGTGCAGTGTGTCCGGACTTTGATCTCTGTATCAGCTGCTTCTCGGTAGGAGCGAGCGTATATCCCCACGAGGCGTCTCATCCGTATCGTGTCGTTGAGTACGTGAGTAGACCGGTGTTCTCAACGGAGTGGAGCGCGGAAGAGGAGCTGCGGTTGCTGGAGGGTCTCGAGATGTATGGCCCCGGTAACTTCCAGCTCGCGGCAGAATACGTTGGAACCAAGTCGAAAATCAAGTGCGAGCAACATTATTTGGAAGTATACTTGGACGCGGTCGATACCGCCCCGCTGCCGAATCCAGAGCGGATTCTCTCGGAGACGCGAGCACCGCATCCATCACTGCCGCCTGGCACTGCACGGTCTGCTGCGGTCGCGCGGGAGCTTGCGCTCACTGCTGCTGCGGCAGCCAGCCTGAACCCAGCGCTGGCTCGCCTAATACACGCGTATCCGGTCACTGGTGATGCGAAAACAACTGCTGCGGACAACTCGAGAACCTCGAAAGCGTCGCGTTTTCCAGAAGCCAGCGTTGCCACTGGCGAATTGGACCATGCGGCGGCGTCGCTGTCGTCACCTGCTACTTCACAAAGCGATGGAATTCAGACACCGAAAGCGTCGAACGATGCCAGGTCACAAGACGGCAGTCAGGGCATGGTGAAAGGGCCAACTTCGGGTGACTCTCCGGAAACAGTGACGTGCGATGCCAGTTGGCCGCAGGGCTTGTCGGACGATACACCAGAGGTACGGATTTCTCCGCCGGGTCGCCCGAGAAAAGGTGATATAGCGGGCTATATGCCGAAACGCCAGGATTACGATGTGGAGCCGTTCCAGAACGACGCGGAGCTACTCATTGCTGACATGTATATCACTGATGAGGATACGGCGGAGGAGAGAGAACTTAAGCTGCGCATTTTAGAAATCTATTCTTTCTGGTTGGACGAGCGGTCGAAACGCAAGACCGTCGTTGAGCAGCGCGGTTTCACGGATCTTCCAGCCGCACGTGCTCGTGAGCGGGCAAAGTCCCCTCTCGAACGACGGGTGGGCAGGCTTCTTTTGCCGTTCGTACGCCTTACCATTGGCCAAGGATTACAGTTCGACGAGTTCGCACAACGCTTGGTCACGGAGGTGTGTCTTGCTCGCGAAGTTACAGAAATCTGGGAGGCGCTGCGCTCTGGCGTCCGGGACTTGAGCGAGTTTGAGCACTGGAAACGCGAACGTCTTTTGCGGGAGCGGTTGCACACAACGCCATTCCCTGTCGACGTGGCAGAGCCGCCGGTTCGTCCTGCTGAATCAACAGGTGCGCTGGTGAGCAACACATTCCAGATCGTGCCAGAGAGCGCGGCGCCCCGCAGACGTCGCGGTCGACCGGTACGGATTCGCACCGAGGAGGCCGCGCCTGGAGCTGCAGTTGTGCTGTCGAACGCCGAGCATCGATCAGGCCTCTCGACCAGTGATCGCAGAACGCCCACTGTGACAACTTTAACAACCGGTACCCAGGCTTTGGCGATGCGGGTATTGCAGAGTGAATCCGCTGCCGAGGTTACGAGCTGGTCGAGTATCGTGCATCGACAGCAAACGCCCCAGCCTCGGGGTGCAGCGCCCTTGTCGGGTAGCAGCGATTCGTCGCCCACACCCAATCTCCTGTTCGTCGATAACTGGCCGAGCGCAAAACGTTTGAGCCCCCTCGAAAAGGAGCTCTGTGCTATTCTGCGTCTGGTACCGGATCGTTTTCTCGAAATTCGCACGGTGATCGCAAAGCATTGGAAGGAGATGTCCGAACAGAGCGTCGGCAGCGCGCATGCGGGCGGAGCTCAAGATCCGCTGCCTGCTATGCGACTTGCGCTTGATTTGCGACCGCGAACGGGTGCTGCAACGCAGCACCAGCAGCACCAGCAGCACCAGCAGCACCATGCACCAGGGACGCCATCATCCGGTCGTAGTGAAACGCTGGCGGAAATGCAGCCCGTTGCCACCGAGCGGATGCGTTCAAACGAACAAGCATCGTCGGGCTCGTCGCAGCCGGCGGATATGCACATCAGCGGCCGCGAATCGCGTACTCCTCGGCCATACACGAGGCATGAGCGTGAACGTCATCACCGCCGCAAAGCGAGCGGCCAATGACGGTGCGTATTCCAAGTGCGTGGACGCCTAGGAGAATCCCTTTGACCAGGCGCGAGCCCAAGCGGACGCACCTTGACCTAAAATCCGAAGCAACGCCACAATCTCCGACTGCGATCGACTGGAAAGGTTCTGGTTTGGCCTCCACCAGACAGTCATGAAAGCTGAGTCATCAGCAAGCTGCCGTTGCGCGAAATTCCAGGTTTCCGAATCCTGAAACGAGTCTGAGGTTGCATTTTGTTCGAGCATCGTTGTGTCTGGCAGGGTAGCGATCCAGTAAAGCTCCGTTGTCTGGAGTAGCGACGCAACAGCAGCACGCCGCCAGTACCATTGCATATCCGCAGAGCGATCGCCCGCGAACCAGGCGAGCTCATCGACGGCTTTCGTGAGAACCCCGAGCCCTTGACTCCAGCTGTTCGGTTGCAGTTGCAAGGCGAGAGCCTGTGGCCAGAAACGCCTGTACGGCGCACGGAGACGAAAGATCGTCTGAAGGAAGGACAGCAGGCGGGCTCGCGTCCATGCATATTCCGGAACCTGTGTTGACGGAGCACGAGCAAGCGCCGCTACTGTGGAATCGACGAGCCGCCAGTCACCCTTTTCAAGGAGCAGGACCCGCGCGGTTCGCAGTTCGTGTTCACGCCACCATTCGACGAGCTCCACAGGGCCTCGATCGAAACGAGCAACCCATGCAGGCGACAGTCCGACATCCTCGGCCGCTGCTTGCAGTGCCTCCAGGGAGAAACCTCGAGTTGGCACGTGGTCTAGAGTGCAGCGCTCCAGGAACGCAGCCTTGGTGACGGGAGAGTCCCCGGCGGCTTCGCTGTGCGTCTGAGTCGCAAACCGAGCTTTCGCTCCAATCGGGCGAAAAAGGTCACTCCTGTGTGCAATATGCTTCCGTGACGGTACAAGCAGCGCTCCTACCTTGAAAGCCTTCGTGGTTAACCGCAGCGTCTCCATGAAGAAGGACAACGCGGTCATTCTTGTACCTGCCAAGGGACAGCTGCGCTGCGCTGGTGCCGCGGAAGCGCCTCCTCTGGACCCGTGCCGGATTCCTATTTCGATGCCAAAAAGTTTCCACGGACTATGGATCCCGGATTGCGAGATGGGAATTGGCAATCGGGGAAGCGTCCGCCATGCTGCACCCTACCTCCAAGTTCCATTACTTATACATGCTTTCGAACGTTCTGGTCGTTTCATTCGTTCTCTCATGCGCCGCTTGCCGGCCGTGAGCACCCGGAATAGCCCCTCTACCGATGGTTCAGATGTATCACGGAAACAGAACATATTTACCACACTACCGGGGGCGTCGGCTCGGGGAATACTACACGTGATACGGAATCGGGGCTAATTGTCTTTCTGGGAGCCTGCAATTTGTACAGATAGACATACGGTTTGCGGCAGCGCGAAGCGATATACTAGGAGATAACTGCAAGCCGGGCGACGCCCAGACGCTGCCTGAGCACCCTTAATGCCGGAATAAACCGCTTCGGGGATGAGTTGGTCAGATATCACTAAAGCACCTGGCACTGGGGTGGCGAAGGGGAAGCCATGAAGCACGAACCCCCGGAGACTCGTCCGGCTCGCTGGACCTTTCGCCTGGAAGGTAAGCTTTCGACGATCTGGCAACATTTGCCCTTTTAACGTTTACTGTAGAGTGGGAATGAAATTGTCATCTCATTGCTAGTCAGTAGCTAGTCTCTGTTCTTTGCTGCATATAGTGCGGTCGAGATGCGCACCTCCATTACCGGCAGGCATGAGGTACGACGCGCATCTCGCCGTTGAAGGGAAACGCAATCCTGACCATTCGTTGACTTGTTGTTTTAACGTAAAACGTGTATTTGCATTGGAATCGTAGCGAAATATATTACTTCATCTCAGTCGTGTTTCAACGCTCTAATGAGTGTATTCGGTTGATTTTTCGCAGTTAATAACAGAAGCGTTCAAAGCGCGTTCTTTTCCGAAAAAAGGAAATTTCTGGAAAAGCAAGTGGAGGATCCTGGAAGGCAGGTGTCGCCGGCTGCCAGAAAAAAAACGAAAAACAGTGCCCGGCGGAGAGTAACAGGAAAAGACAAAGACGCAGAAGAGGGAGAGCCCACGTCAGAAGCTGCACGAAAAACAAGAGTCCTACGTGACGGTGGTGAAAGCCTGTCTTCTTAAACATATCAAGAATGCGTGGGTGGAGAAGTTACGGGAGGCAACTAGAAACCGTGTTAAGTCGTACTCCATGAGTATTATAAAGGCTTCGTCAGGGCTAATGCATATGTCGAGGGAGATGTATCTCGACGTGACGGACATGGAAACAGTCGAGGTTCCGGGCGATTTTTTCGACAAGACCATTCTTCGGCACCTGATGCTTAGTAAAGGGGAAGCGCGGAGGGAAAATGAGCTAGTGCATGCCTTCCACGAAAATCACTCCGAATACCACTTCAACGGCACTCGATACATGGGATACTGGGGTATGTTTACCTACGGGGCCATGAAGTACCTCACGAACCTGAAGAAACATATGATCGTGAACCTCGAACGTTTCATGATAGGCGCCGTGTTTGCGCTCTACCCGGGTGCCTCTCGCAAAGGAATATGGGCGATAATCAATGGCATCACGAAAGATCACAAGCGTGAAGATGAGATCCAATTTGTAGACAAGAAGGCGTCAAACGAGAGCACGAATGAAGCTTCTGTAATCCGTGCGGTCATGCAAGAGCATCGTACGGTACTGGAGCTGGCGAATCCAGCAGAAAAGGTATCAGAGTTGAAAAAGATAAGGAAAGATACTACCTCCTCATATTGAGGTATTTCGTGTTTTTGGATCGAGAACTCGAAGGCAAGGCAGAGATGAAGCTTAGTGGGACAAAAAACGAAGATTCGGAGAAACGGAAGGCTTTCCTAATGGGGGACGCGCTTCAACGTCGTTCCGTTGTGCAACATCAAGTCACGTTTTGTGACTATCGACTCCAAGGTCTTCTAGTGCATCATGAAGGAGATCAGTTCGGAGTTCGATGTTAGCAGGGAGGAATCCTCCGGCGAAAACCGGGAGACGTACTGGAAGAATATTTTCGATTTCAAACGTCTCAATACGAGCAAGCAAAAGTTATTCACTGGGATGATTGAGACCGATGGAGTAACCATGTATGTACACTATCGGCGCTTGAAGACAGATCGTCCAGTTCCGCCCTCGGCTGCGCCCGTGACGAACCATGAAGATGAGAAGGAGGAGGATCCTGTGACGCAGGAGGTGGAGGATAACGGCTTTGTCGTTGGCACAGACCCTGGAAACACGAATCATATAGCCATCGCAGCACCCAAGCGAGCGGAAGATGGTACTGACGGTAATTTGCCTCATAAAGACATTCGTCTTTTCAAGCTCTCGAGGGCGAGATACTACCGAGAATCCGGCATCATGAGTGCAAGGAAGAAAATTCAGACATGGAATGCACGAGTGAAGGATCACCTGGAAGCGACCAGCGAGATGACGTGCCGCGGAGCGGGCTATCGAGCTTTTCGGGAGTTCATGAAAGTTCGCGTTGCTCATTGGGAGGCGCTCTGGAGAGAATATACCAAGCCCCGGTGGGCTTTCCAGCGTATGAACCTGTACTGTGGGAAGCAGCGCACATTCAACATTCTTTTCAGTCAGTTGAGCGCCTTGAAGGAGTGCAAGCGTCAAAGGCCCGTAGTAGCGTATGGAGCAAGTCGCTGGGCCTCCAAAACAGGTGCACACGCCGAAGCTTAGGTCTCCTTCCTCCATCATCAACCCCAGTTTTGCGTGCTTTTAGTCTGACGGCTAATTTTTTTGTTTTCTTATCTCCCGTTTTACATACGCCAGTCTCTACTTCTACTCAGGTTCTGTCGTCGTTTGTTGAGGGATGTTGATGGCAGGTTTAAACTCCCGAGCTCGCCGCCTCTGAACGTTGTCGCTACATTTCATGTAAAGGTGGCAGTTGCGAGCTACGCGTCTCTTGCCATGTTCATGTTCTTCCAGAATAGCGCTGGTACGCCTTTGGCATCGGTGACACTTGGCATTTGTCAGGTGTTCGCATAGGGCTAGCACTGCGCCCGTATAGAGGCCCCCCCTGCTGCGCGCGAACGCTTGCTTCATAGCTTGGTACTTTTCTTTGACGGGTAGAGAAGGTTCTGCTCAATACCCTGCTCCGTTTCCGTGTCTGGTGCTGTACATAACGATCACGGGTGACTTGTGGGCGATTCGCTCGGCGAGTACGGTTTCCGTAACATGAGCGAGTGCACGCTTTCCCCTTCGATAGAGGATTTGCAGAACGGGATGATGCCCGTGATGAAACGATTAGCAGATAGAGTCCAGGCTATAGAACAAGTCGAGAAATTTTGATTTCTGTGCGAAGCCTCCGCGCAAAACGGTGACGCAGGCTCCAATGGAGGCGATTTTTTGCAATGACTTAAGATCGAGTCCAATGCCCTTTGCCATGCAAACAGAAGTGACGGGATCATCTGCGGACATATCCCGTGTGGCACGCTCTCGCCGAAGAGGCAGAAGTGCAGCTTTTGCGAGCAGAAGCACGTCCAGTACACTAGGCCGCTTCCGAACCAAGTGGCCTGCGGGTCATTTGCTTTTGCGACTCAATGAACAAGTTGGAGAATGCACGCCTCATGTGTGCGTACAGACGAGACCGATGTAGGCCGCATCGCGTTTTGATGTACTCCTCCCAAGGATGGTCTGGATCATGCATTTGGACGCTCACGAACACTACGAATGAAGCGCGCAAAGCGTCTGCCTTCGCTGCTCGATCCGGAGCTTAAAGCGTCGAGTTCGGTCCTGATGCCGTCATTCTAGCTCCCGGGATGTCTCTTCGTGTCCATCATGCCCGACTCCCGATACTGCCGTGCGCTGGCAGAACTGAGCAGCTACAGCTGCATGCCTTGGAGGTCTCTGGCTCCGTCCCCTACCCCCTCATGAGCTCGGCGACGGCGCCCATATCAATGAAACCGGAATTCACGCCCGCCACCGAGACTTGCTCGTCATCCACCTCGAACGGTTGGAGAGGAGTTTCATTGCTCGACTCAGGCGTCGGTTACACAAAGTGCATGCACACAGATATTCTGACTGTCTCCATCATGGCGGTAAACGTGTCTCCGCTGTCTGTCCTGAGCCGAGAGGCCATGCATGAGCCCCGCAAATGCTCGTCGCGACGATGTTCGAATGCCTGGTCTCTGCTCGCAGAGGCCAATTGTAGCGCACGACGGACGCAGCATAGTGCTATACACATGTGTCTACAGTGATGTCATGGGACCGGACCCCATACGTGCAGACCACATGGAATACATGTTTGTGGCGGCGGGATCGCTCTTATTCGAGCACGGCGTCTGCTCTGTTCTGAACTAGTCGTCTGTTCCGGAAATGGGGAAAATGGGGGGAATGGATTGATGACGATGCAGGTGTGCGGATGGAGTTTGATGGCATTTGTTTCGGATGCACTGCGCACTGGATGCGGATGACGAGACGTGTGCGTCATCCACCTGCTGAGCGTGGCTCGGCTTACTTTGGCGAGACGGGTCTTTGTACTCCTATGCTATCGGAGTCAACACCAAGTCGTCCAGCGACGTTTCTGCAATGAACTGGATACGTTTCTTCAGGAAAAAACTTCGAGGAAAACCTGCGAAAACAAAAGGGCATGCATACAAAGGCAGTCCGGATTCACTGCTCTGCATCTATCGATTTCGCCTTCGCCGCGCTAGACTTGTATGGCATTCTCTGCGCAGTGTTTTGAACGCTGCTCTTCCAAGACGCTACGATTGATAACGGACGTTGTACCTACGTCCACCTGAGACGCTAGCGCACGGTGAGTCTTGCTCCGCGCCCGGCATCGCAGATGACTTCTATGCTCATGGCACTCAGTACCCAACGGGAGCGTCCATTCTTTTGCCGCCATTCCCAGAGATGTCAAGTTGCTTCTGCGATCGGGCAAATGGAGCTTGTGTTTTTAGGGTGAGCGATATCGGTGCGGGCGCCGTATGCTGTGCGCAAGGCTAGCAACGCGTACTTGGCCACAAAATGGTGCATCGCTGTCAGCAGGTGACCTACGCCTCGCAAGCGCTGCACAGTACGCGTGTATGCTGGGAAGATAGCCGACGCCGCCCGCAATACCTCGCTTAAACGGTCCAAGATAGGTGCGATACTGGAGTGCACAATACATGCCCAAACATGCGTGACTGCACCCGAATGGCACTCGGTAATATGCGCCTCCATAAGCTGCGTATTTGATCATCTTTTTCACACAGATATCCACCGGAAAAACGTTTCAGCCCTCGTTGCGGCGCTCTGCAGACGACCAGCCTTCATTGGAACAGCTTGCACAATCACTCTGCCAGTTCGCTGCACAGAGACCCAGCGAATACCTCTTCGACACGGGTACGGTGTGCGCTCGACGGAACCTGGTCGCAACGCTATGCACGAGGGCGGAGCGAACCATGCAACGAGCCGTTCACGTGCATGAGCGCCGATAAACTCGTCCAAGGCGCAGACACCGCCGCTGACCATGTCGCTTCGTTTCGAGCTCACTGCGCGTATCTGTATCCTGTATGAGTACAGGAAACTCAATCCATCACACTAAACTTTACCTCAGCGTATCATCCAGGATCTGATCCTCGCAGGCAACTGGCTGTCGTTGGTGCCAGCCTTGCAGACGCTATCATCGTTAGAGACGTGCTCTGTTTCTTCAATCGACTCTGGGAAAAAGTCAAAAAATCGAGTCGCATACTCTGGATACCCAGATTCAGCCGTTCCGCACGACATTACGCTATGCGCGGAAACGAAAGAAACGCACCAACGCGCCCAGACGAACGCCAACTCCGCCACACAGCACCGACTTCATCGCATCCACGAACACGAACAGATGCCAGTATCTCTCTGCAGAGAAGCGTCCAACTCGCGACTCGTTGTGCGCTCCATCGATCGAGAATCAGTCAGTCAGTCAGTCGGTCCATCGATCAGACAGTCCATCGATCAGACAGTCCGTCGATCGAGAATCAGTCAGTCAGTCAGTCAGTCAGTCAGTCAGTCAGTCAGTCAGTCCATCGATCCGTCAGTCCATCGATCGAGAATCAATCGATCGCGCGACACGTCGCAAGCAGCGCGCGCCCGTACCCGACACAGCCGCCCTCATTCAAATCGCCGATTCGCCACATCCAGCCGTTGCGATCCCGACGCCCGGTGTGCCGCCACTCCTACCGGTGTGTCTGCTGCTGTCTGGCTGTGCCACGGTGCGGTATTGCGTTGCGCTTCGCGAGCGTTGCCGCTTTTCTGCGAATAGCGGACAACAGCGTGCAAGGCGCTACAGGGAACTGGTGTTTGCTTCGAGTCGAACCTGTCCCCACACGCGGTCGTGAAAAGTGACCAAGCGCTCTGGCTGGAACCCCAGGAATGGAGGTCAGGTTGAATCAAGATGTTATATCGCGTTTACAGGAAGTTTGGGCGGAGATTGGTCTCGACGAAGCTGAACGAGTTCGTCGGGTGGAGGCTTTGCGCGAGCAGGTGATTCGTGTATACGTGGATACGCTGGAAAGTGCGGCGGATGAGCGGGATACCCTCGAAAATGAACTGGACGCCGCTGAGGCACTGCTGCTGGAGCTGCAGGCGGAGGTCGCCGCTGCTCAAAAGAGCGCTCCTGCAGCATGGTTGCCTGCTGATGTGCTGAGCAGTAGCCGGCGTACGGTCGGTGGTGACATGACGGAGCGACAATGGGGGGCCGCCTCTGCTGCCAATAATACCATAGAGCTGTCGACGACTTTTGGCGCCGGCGGTTTGGGGCATACTGCAGCACCGGACATGTCCGTGAGTTGTACGTTGCCGGATGAGCCCTCTCTGCGGCGTGAAGCGCCGACTGTGGAACGTCTACTGCCTGGTGCAAGCACGAATCCTGGGCTCGCTCCGCATGAGCGATCCGGTCGCTCTGGAGACTCGTCCGGTCGTCAGGGCACTTTGCTACAGTGTCTGGACGAGGTTTCACGCCAAGTCGCTGCTTTGGAAGCGCAGAAGCGACTCTTTGTCGAGCGTCTCGGTGAGCTGCAAAAACGTGTTTTGACGCTCTGGGTTGATGAACTCGGCGAAGTCGTTGATGACTTGCCCGAGGAGTACCGGGACGCACTCGTGATCACGGGGAGTCGGCGCACCCGCGACGTACCGTCCGCAGTCGAACTCGGGGCAAATGTAAGCCCAAGTCATGAGGCTAATTTTACGCAGATTACCACGATTGCCTCCGACCTGAACAATCCCCTTCGCAAGATTTCCATTCGCGAATATGGGCAGCGCATTCGTGCGCTTGAGTCGAAGATTTCGGAACTGTTAGAGCTGCGCCAGCAACGAGTGCAAACGATTGCATCGCTACTTGTGTCGATCAGAGGTCTTCTTCGGAGACTCTGCATAGTGTCACCCGAAGAGACTGAATCAGAACTCGATCGTCTTGCACTGACCTTTGACGGTACGCAGGAGCCGCTGGGTGCCTCTCTTGTTTCCATTGATGTTTTGACCGCGCGGGTAGCGTATCTGGAGCGGGAAATTGAATTGCGGGTCGAAGAGCTCGATCGAGTATCCAATATCGCCGCTGAGCTCTACAAGGCGCTACGTTATCCCGCGGAGCGCTTTAGTGCATTCCAAGCGGAACACAGCACTCTCAGCAAACACAGCTTGGAAGCATGGCACAGCCATGTGGAAGAATTGCGCGCGACTCGCGAGAAGCGCCTTCGAGCTCTCATTGCCAAGGAGAAAGAACGCCTGACCGCGCTGTGGAATGAGCTTGACATCGCACCAGCGCAGCGGGTCTCGTTTGCTTTCTGCAGCAACGATGAAGCGAGCGAGGAAGTTCTCGAAGCCATAGAGCAGGAAACATCGCGTCTCGAGTCCATTGCAAGGCGTATTCGTCCGATCCACGAGCTTTTGAGGCGCCGCGAAGAATTGCTCGAAAAGAAGATGGAGCTGGATCGAGAGATGCAGAATCCGGAGCGCCTCTTTGGTCGCAGCGGCGGTAAGCGCATCGTAGGGGGCCTTCTCCGCGAGGAGCAGCTCCGAAAACAGGTGCGTCAGCTACCCAAAGTGAACAATGTGTTACGCAGTTTACTGGAGAGTTATGCGCACGAATTCCAGAAACGTTTCATACATAAGGGTGTGGATATTTTGGAGCGCCTTCAACAGGAAGAGGCAGCCGAGGCTGCCATGCGCGTGAGTCGCAGCGGTCAACGCGAAACGCCCACGAACGCGAACAGCGGAGCATTTGTACCGGTTGCTACGGTCCCCGCGAACGCGGCCTCTGCTGCCGGCAGCGCAGGTCGGCTTGCTGCACCGAGCAACGCCACGAGCGCTCGTTCGACCCCGACCCCAAGGCCGAATGCACCAAATACATGGAATGGAACGAGTGCGAAGAAAGTGCTCGCAGCCCAAGTTCGCAAGCGCGTGGAATCGAAACACGATGCGAATACTCCTTTCGCGGTAATCGGACAAGCGAAGACCACCACTGCGCTGGCGGCTGCAAGTGCCGAAGTCCCGGGCGCATGGTGTGCCTGGCTTTCAGCGGCGGGGCCTGCGAACCAGCACCATGCGATAGCTCGTGAGGGTTCAGCGGCACCTTATAGTATGTCCTGTAGAGCGCCTATGATTGGAGATTTGCGAACGCCCCAGTTTGCGTCAAAGGTAGCAGATTCGCCACAGAGTCCTGGAGTCGCCGGAATCCGACCTCCGGGTGGGTGCGCCAACCAGAGCACTGGCCAAAATGACCGCTGCTTCACCGAGAATGCGTCTTCCAGCAGCGGCACTGAAATGAGTACGTCCAATAGTCACGGTTGCGTTCAGGGCGGAAGCGTCTCTGAGCGGTCAACACGGACGCTCGATCGTTCCCCTGCACAGACCACGCCCACTGAGCGAGCAGGGGCAAAGCTCGCGGAGCACTCGTACGGTTCGAGTGCGGCAGCACCGTCCTTCGTCGGTGTAGAATACAGGAGTACCCCGACTGGAAATTCAGCGCGGCTTATAGGGTCACTCCATTCGTCCCAAAGCGATGGTCATCACAGCGGAGGCAGCGCGCCGTCGTTAAGATGCGCCTCCGAGGCGAAGCTCTTGGACCCGAGTCTGTCGTCCGGCACGTCGGTGTCCGGCTCGACGTTATCGCCTTGCAGGCAGTCGCAAGGAACGGAACATCAGCAGCAGCAGCAGCAGCAGCTCATGGAAGCCGGAATGCAAACGCACGAGCACAACGCGCCCGCGCTTGATACCACGAGTAGGGCGTCGCATATCGAAACACCCTCGCGTCTGTCACAAGAGAAAAAACGAGCTGTACAAACTTCAGACCCTGAGTCCGACCAGGAAAACAGTAGTTTGCAAGCGAATGTCGCGGCCGAGCAGTCGTTCCGACCGGTCGAGACCCCGCGAGCTATCAAGGGTGTTAGCGACCGCGGTTCGCCCCGGCTCCAAGAAAGCGATCTCACGATGAACTGCATGCCGAAAAAGCGTGTGCGCTCAGCGTCATCGGCGTCATCGGCGTCAACTTGTACACCGAATACCACGAAAATGAAGTGTACCGCCGTCGACAATCAGGAGTGCACGACTGGGATGCCTTCGAACGCCCCGACGAGGGCGCATTCTTGCGCCGAAGACTCGCTCTCGGAGCAGCCGGGCTCGACACATTCGAGCACCAGGCCACCTGCGGCGTCTGGGGAGCCCTATCCTGTTCAGTTTTCAGCCGACTTTCCTTGTGCCGAGTCGCCTATCCGCTAACGCGTATCGGAAGCGTTGTGATCTAGTTGCTGAACCTGCCTCTGGCGTCGCGTCCGTTCGTCTTGGCTCCAGATGCGCGTTTTCGCTGAAGCGTTTGTCCGCGAGCGCCTAACGCCCCTAGTCGTCCGCTTCCCGGTGGACGGTATGCAAGCGGCTGCGTGAACGAATGTGATTGCGTTACCCCCGAACATTGACTAAGGACTGCTGGTTCCCATGTATCAAGTCCAGCGCTCGTGCATGCAGCATGCGAAAGAAAGCACCACCGCCACATCACCGTCCCAGGAGCAGGTCAAGGCCTCCGTAGCACTCGTTGGTCGCGGGTCAAGCAACACCACTTGCATACCGTTTGCTGTTATGCATGTTATCTGACCTCGACGCTCGACACGCACGCAAATTCCGCCTGGAATCCTTCGAATGCGCAACTTGCGCTGCTGCGAAAGCGCAACGATGTGCATCGGAAAGCGCAACGATGTGCATCGGAAAGCGCATCGGAAAGCGCATCGGAAAGCGCATCGGAAAGCGCATCGGAAAGCGCATCGGAAAGCGCATCGGAAAGCGCAACGATGTGCATCGGAAAGCGCATCGATGTGCATCGGAAAGCGCATCGATGTGCATCGTGTGATCGCGCCGCAGCCGCCGTCGATTCCGATCAGCGCTGCGCTGCGCTGCGCTGCGAACGCCTTTTGAACCATTCTTTCCCGTGAGGTGCAGCTGCTATTTGTGCTGCTACTACTTCTCCGGCGACACCAGTCATAGACGGGTTCGCGTAAACTTGTTGCGAGTACCCTAAACAACAACTATGACCACAAAGGGGGCCCCTACTTTTCTTGAGGGAACGGAGGCAATGACCCTCACCCGCTACGTGCTGGTGGAGCAGCGGCGCCACCGCGAAGCACAGGGCGACTTGACGCTGCTGCTGTCCGCGGTGCAGCTTGCCTGTAAGGTCATCGAGTCGTGTGTGCGGCGCGCCGGTATCGCGAAACTCTACGGTCTCGCAGGCGACCAGAATATTCAGGGAGAAGACCAGAAAAAGTTGGACGTGATAGCAAACGACACCTTTAAACTGAACTTGATTGCATCGGAGAAGTGCGCGTGCTTGGTCAGCGAGGAGGAGGAGCTGGCGATTCTCGTGGACCCATCCTTGCGCGGCCACTATGCCGTCGCGTTCGACCCGCTGGACGGTTCTTCGAATATCGACGCGAACGTTTCTATCGGCACGATCTTTGGCATCTATCACATCGATAACCCGCAGGAACTCAACTCGTCGGAGGACGTCAATCGCTATATGCTGCAGAGCGGTCGCTCGATGGTTGCTGCTGGCTACGCCATGTACGGATCCGCGACGAACCTCGTTTTCTCAACAGGTGAGACTGTCAACGGGTTCACGCTGGATCCGTCGCTGGGGGAATTCGTTCTAACGCACCCGAACATGCGTTGTCCACCCCGCGGGACCATCTACTCGATCAATGAGGGCAATAGCCGCGACTGGGATCCAGCTGTTCGCGAGTTCGTGCAGCGCATGAAGTATCCTGAGAAAGGGAAACCGCGCTCTCTGCGCTACATCGGATCCATGGTGGCTGATGTTCATCGGACGCTGCTGTACGGGGGAGTTTTCATGTACCCCGCGGACAGCAAGAGCAAGGATGGCAAGTTGCGGTACCTGTATGAAGCGGCGCCGATGGCGTTCTTGATGGAGGTCGCCGGTGGCAAGGCCACGACCGGCAGGGAGGATATTTTGGACGTCAGACCGCGACATATTCACCAGCGAGTACCCGTGTTCATGGGCAGCGCTGAAGATATCGAAGAGTTTTTAGAGATCGCTAGCAAGTTTCAGTAAAAGGGGAGAGGATCGTTACCCGTGGATCGCGTAGCGCAGCGTGCGCTGCCCGTTGGCGGCTAGCGTCGACTGGACGCGTCCCCACAAAGATCTTGGTCTTACGTCACATCTCCGTGGTTTATCCATGATCATTGGTATCGAGCGCGAAACTCCCCGAAAGGACAAATTCCGTGCGCACGTGAGACCGCCGGCTGCAAGATGATTGGAGACACTGTGTGATGATCTCGAGCCAATTCCCTTCGATCTTCCATGCGACGAAGTGATAGGCGTCAATGCCGCGAGACGCTATGGCGACCTCAGCCCAAGATGCTGCATAGAGCGTACGGAAAGGTGACCCGCACGATAACGCATGCCGAGCGAATCGTGCACGCCTGTGCATGACACGTTGAGATCTCCGGAACGAGAAACCGTTGAACACGACTCGTTTTTTATCAGTTGGAGCCCGAGATTCCACGACCTGTCTCTGTGGTGCGCATAATACCAATGAACTGGACTCCGTATCCCTCGGCGACGTCTTTGGTCGACCTTCGCTACTAACTCGCACCCGAGCTGCTCGTCCACAGGGTTGAATTATCCACCCGCATCACGGCAGACGCAGTCGCTGATGCGGCTCCCCGCTCGTAGGCATTGGTACCCATCGAGCGGCGCGCTCCCTGCGGTCCGTCTACTGCAAGGGATCGCGGGGAAATAGCTCCATTCTCAGGCACCGCATATTCCGATACGTGAGCGTTTTTCTCAGCGTCACTCGGTTCCGCGGTTGTCGGCAGCGTCTCGACGAGTGCCGGTGGCCGCACTGCATCAAAGAATGGATGCGCCATGCATTCCTGTGCAGTAAAGCGCTCTTGGTGATCGTATCGTAACATGTGCTCCAGCAGATCGATGCCATCTGGTGTGACGAGATGTGCGTTTTCGGGCACCACAAATTGATCCCACGGTTTTCTGCTGTGTCGCCCAATCAACGTCGCGAAGGAAGCGCGCAGTTCAATGCCGTATTTTGCTAAATAGGCATAAAGGTCATCGGTACCGAGCACGCGAGCGATCTTCACCAACTGGTCCTGGTTATCATGGCCATGAAAGAACGGCTCCTTTCGGAAGATCATGCCGGCAAGCATGCACCCAAGCGACCAAATGTCCAAGGAATAATCATAATCTTGAAGATCGACGAGTAACTCAGGTCCTTTGAAATACCGGGAGGCAACGCGTACGTTGTACAGTCGTCCGGGATGGTAGAACTCGGCTAGACCCCAGTCGATCAGTCGGAGTTCGCGTCGTTCATGGTCGATCATGACATTGTGCGGCTTGACATCACGATGCATAATGCCCATACTATGCGCGTAATCGAGCGCCTTCAATACTTCATAGACATAGTAGCGGATGTCGTTCAGCGTTAGCGCCGGATACAGCTGTTTGAAATCAGTGTTCTGAATATACTCGAAGATCAAAGACGGTGTCTTCGAAACGGGGTCGCGACAGAGATCCAGCAGTTTCACGATGTTCGGACCGCCCCAGAGATTCTCCAAGATCTTGATTTCTCGCTTAATTTTCTTCTTTTTCACCGGCTTGAGTATTTTGATTACGACCCGATCGCCGTTCACGACGTTGATACCCTCAAACACGTCGGAGTACTTCCCCCGACCTACTTTTCGAACCACTTCATAGTTATCCTGATTACCCCAGTTGACCACGAGGTTCTCATAGTCCCAGTATTCGCGGGGGCGGTTCTCGTTCACGTGCGCGTAGACGCGGGCAACAGAGCACGGCGGCTTGCGACGCACTGTGCCCATTCGATGCACTCGGACAACGGCCCGCTCAGCGGTACTGCACAGCTCTGCGACGTTACCTCGCGGCGAATCAGATAGCTTAGGTTACAAGGTTCAGGTATGGCGCCAGATACCGCCCGAAACACAACCGCAAACGCACACCGAGGCGTCGCCCGCCGAGGCAACGAACACCAAGCCAAGTTGCAGTTGTACCGAAGAACCCGGAGTAGCCGGCTCCTCCAAGCGGACACCTTACACTGTCTTCAGTGCACAAGGCACTCGTTAGGTCAACGCGTCCTCTACCAGTCACTATGCCCAGTCTTTCGACAGCAGCACAGTAGTTTCCGTTGATAGACGGTAGCGTTGTCGCTCCTCGCGATGGACAGCGCCTGCGTGCGAGGCGCGGCTTTCCGCCACCGCGGCGACGCGACCGCGCCCGCCGCTGAACCCTGGATGCTGGACGCAGGCGCGTGATCATGGAAACGCTCCAGCCTGCCAGCGCTGTCAGTTGAGCTGCCTGTTTGCTTTCGTGCAGGGTCGATGATGCCACACAGACTTTCTGGAAACATATTTGCTTTTGATAATCTGGGACGGCGCTTCTGCTTCTATGCGGACGAGTTCCACGTACCCCGGTATCAGTCCAGCGTATCCCATGGAAGAACGGTATCATCGATCCGGTGAGTAGATGCGCGAAGCGTCATCGGCGGGCGCTGGCTGTGGCGCTCGAATGCGCCTTTGCAGTCACCGGAGGCGTACAGGATGGGTTTCAGATGCCTTTGCGGCCGCTTTCGCGAAGCTCCTGTCCAATGCGAACGCATAGCTAATGGATATGGTGGGGATTCACATCAGCGCAATGATGATAATAATAATAATAATGATGATGATGCATCAGGGAAAATAGGGTACGCGGACGACTGCGCTTGTCGCGTCGTGCGCGCTTCGAGTTGCTGCTCGCAAGGCCGCCTCGAAACGAATGCGCCTCACTCGGACAAGTGCCTCGTCTGCGATGCCTCCAGCGTATCGCCAGATTGCTCGAACCCGTTTTCATACGGAGACACCCGCCTACAGCTATTCGAGAACAGTGCCGACCTTGTAGAGGAACGATAATTTTCTCTTTGGTCTATGATAGCATATGCGGATCGAAAGAAAACCCTGTTCGGCTCAGGAATCCGGTATCGGAGACAGACGAGAGACCTCGCGCTTTGTATGGATTCGCGATGCTAAGAGCGTCCGCGCAGTCGACGTGCGCTGTACGCAAGTGCGTTGATCCTGGAGCCGTACGGAAATTGGATAGTTCGTACTTGGTAGTGCTGTCGTGCCATACCTTTATTCGTGTTTTTGGCTTAAACTAGTGATTGTGACCAGCGCTTGCATTCAACGCCAAGCTGCGGGTATTCTTCCAAGTCGCTGCTGCAACGCGACCTAGGGGCAAGACGGTGAGGTATCCGAGCGCGAAGCACACCGCCGCAGGAGTTTCAGCGGTCTCTGGCGCGTCGCTTTAGAGACTCGACCAAACGTGGACGCTGTACTGTACGAAAGTGTGTGCGCGGCTTCTTTCGGACACCTGCGGAACGAAAAGTCGAGGAACCTAGTCCTGGATCGTGTGCTCCTCGGAACGTACCCGCTGTGTGCGACCCTTTTCGGAGCCTTGGTGTCCTTCGAGAACGCCGAGTGAACGCTTCCTACAGACAAGTGAAACCCGATAACGGGCATAGGTTGATGCAATGGCAGAATCAGGTGAGCACCGCGCAAGACTCCGATATTCGCGCGCGAACTTCCAACGGCGTCTCTCAACGATCCAGCCGAACCTGGAGTCCATCCAGTCCCTCGCGCAGTTCATCCTATTCATGGCGCCAACGTTCGCATCCTCACTCGTTCAAGAATGGGTGCAAGTGTTTACCGAAAGCGATCGCGAGCGACGTTTACACCTTTTGTATGTCGCGAATGAGGTGCTGCAGCACGCGCGCCACCGCCTCCCTGTATCGACACTGGAGCAACTTGCGAGTCTCTTCTTTGCGGGATTGGAAAATCACTTGGATGTATTGTTTGGTGATGAGCGCTTTGAGAAGCTGATGGATGTTTGGCAGTCGAGGCAGGTTTTCACGGAGGAGCAGCTCGATCGTTTGCGCAGACGCATGAAGGAGCGGCTTGAGTGGCGGGCGCGAGTCCAAGATGCCGGGAAGCACATTGAAGCAGCAATTGCAAGCTTGAAGGATTCCGAGTCCAGAGAAGTTTCCGATGCGCAAGCACGCAACGTCGAGGGCGTTGTCATCAAACTGGAGGAAGCGCTCCAGCTTGTGAAGCGTTACCTCGACGGCCCTGACGAGTGCGCAAGCCCGGAAGGGCGACCCAATGAAGACGGTTCCAAAAGCGAAACTGCTTTTGTATGAGAATTTACTTGCGTAGGAAATCGCCACTGTGATGCATTCTCCGCGCTTGCTCGATGACTTGATTGCTGAACGAGTTTCATCGACAGAGCCGGATCACGTTGATGAAGGATGGCGCGCGGGTCGAACGACGCAGCGGCGTCCCGGTGCAGCAACTGCACCACCCTGGCAAGCGTCTCCGAGCAGTGCATCATGTCGATGGGCGTTGCAGACGCTCGTGCTACCACCATGGAGGATTTTAGATGGTGGCGGCCTGGTCGCGCAACGCATGCATGCAGCGGATACCGGATGTGGTACAGTCGGGAATCTCGAGCAATAGAACACGATTACCGTTCGCAAACGGCCGAGAAGATCGGTGTCCGAGGTGGATTGTCCGCGCTCCAGACTTGCTGGAATTCTAGCTCCCGGGATGTCTCTTCGTGTCCATCATGCCCGACTCCCGATACTGCCGTGCGCTGGCAGAACTGAGCAGCTACAGCTGCATGCCTTGGAGGTCTCTGGCTCCGTCCCCTACCCCCTCATGAGCTCGGCGACGGCGCCCATATCAATGAAACCGGAATTCACGCCCGCCACCGAGACTTGCTCGTCATCCACCTCGAACGGTTGGAGAGGAGTTTCATTGCTCGACTCAGGCGTCGGTTACACAAAGTGCATGCACACAGATATTCTGACTGTCTCCATCATGGCGGTAAACGTGTCTCCGCTGTCTGCCCTGAGCCGAGAGGCCATGCATGAGCCTCGCAAATGCTCGTCGCGACGATGTTCGAATGCCTGGTCTCTGCTCGCAGAGGCCAGTTGTAGCGCACGACGGACGCAGCATAGTGCTATACACATGTGTCTACAGTGATGTCATGGGACCGGACCCCATACGTGCAGACCACATGGAATACATGTTCGTGGCGGCGGGATCGCTCTTATTCGAGCACGGCGTCTGCTCTGTTCTGAACTAGTCGTCTGTTCCGGAAATGGGGAAAATGGGGGGAATGGATTGACGACGATACAGGTGTGCGGATGGAGTTTGATGGCATTTGTTTCGGATGCACTGCGCACTGGATGCGGATGACGAGACGTGTGCGTCATCCACCTGCTGAGCGTGGCTCGGCTTACTTTGGCGAGACGGGTCTTTGTACTCCTATGCTATCGGAGTCAACACCAAGTCGTCCAGCGACGTGTTTGCAATGAACTGGATACATTTCTCCTGTTAATCCAGATTCACTGCTCACATGGTAACAGCTTGAGCTCGAACAAACGGAAAGCCATGAAACCGCGACGAGCCCGAGATCTTGGTCGTGTATTCCGGAGGCGAAACACCACCAACATAGCGTTCAGCGAGCGCAAATCCACCCGATGTCTCTGGGGCGCGGATCGCGAAGCAACTCGCCATACGCCGTGTGAAGTGCAGTTCGCATCGAGACGCGATCTTCAAGGACGCTTGCAGAAAATGGCGGCGACGATGGAATTCAGGCCTGTGAGAGTGCTCGACGCGGCCCCGCCCTTGACCCGTTATCTTCACCAAGTGTCATTCGAAAGCAGGTTGCCAACGCATGTATCGGGAGCGGTAGCAACGGACTCGCATCACGCAAATCGTGATGGATTTCGCACCAGCCAGCTGCCAGTGATTCCTCCAGCGTGACAAAGTCATTCAAACGAAATATATCGATATTTGGGATGCTATTCCTCGTTCAAGAGCACGCGTTCCCGCGTAGTGCAGCGCTCACGTGATCATTGCCATTCCTGAACCTGATCCCTTCACAGACAAAGCCGGAACCACCCATTTCGCCAGCGGAAAAGACTCCCAGAAAAAAAGCAACGTTCCATGGACCTCGACTGGCCACGAGTTGAGCTCACAGTGCATCCACCAGTGCTTCTTTCCAGGCAGCGGAGTGTTGAGTCTAACGAACATCCCACCCGAGTCCGTGATCCATGCACCCAGTCGTGAACTGTCGCGTGCCTGCCGCCGACGCGCTGCAATCGGAGCGCCGTCGCCCGCCGATCCGCAGGCGAAGTCGCCTCCTCTTCGCCATCTACGCGTTGGTGCACGTGAACGGTTACAGAAGCGGCCTCTTCGGCTTAGTGTTATGAACTACGGTTGCTTCTGGCGGCGGACGTTGGTTCTACTCGATGGACGGGTTCGTTTTAGCCGTCCGAAGCGGAGACTGTCCCGCAATCAAAAGGAAAACAGGCGCAAGTTCGACCGTTTTCTCCAACGAAACGCCCAAATACTGACCCAGGGTGAGCTGCAGCACGCGACCTTGGTCGAGACGACGCGGACACGACACCCGGACGATCTGGAGCCAGAAGCGAAACGCGTCGCTGACACAAGCGCAGAGCGGTAGGGCGCCGCTCTGTTCCGCCGAACGTTTTGTGCAAAAATACTTTACCTAGTCTGTGAGCAGACCGCCATTTAAATCTACAATTTCGCCTGTGATAAACCCAGCCATAGGGGAGCTCAGAAACATAACAGCGAACGCAAATTCTTCTGGTCGCATGAATCGACCAACGGGTATGCTGCTAAGCAGCTGATCGACAACCTCTTTGGGAAATCGTTCCAGAGTCGCCGTCTGCACGTACGCGTAACTGATACCGTTCACAGTGACGCCATCTCGAGCGGTTTCGCGTGCGAGACTGAATGTCAGCGTCTGGAGCGCACCCTTGGTCGTCGAATAGGCAATACCGGTGGTAATGCCTCCTGTCTTGCCGGCCAAGCTGCATGTGTTGATAATACGCCCGAAGCGCTTCGCGCGCATCGCCGGAAGAACCTCTCGCGACATGTAGAAAGCGCTATGCACGTTCTGTGCAAAGGCGTACTGCCAATCCTCTGGCGAGGTGTCGAGCGCGTGCGTCGCGCTGACAACAGCGTTATTATTCACGAGGAAATAAACCTGACCAAAGTCAGTTTGGATTCGATGCATGGCCGCAGCAACTGCTTCGGGTCGCGATATATCGAAACAGATGGGGTAGAGCGCCTCGGCTGTTGCACTTGCACCCAGCTGTGCGACAAGTGCGTTCAGGTCCTCCACTGAGTTGTCGTGAACAACCACCCGAAACCCCTCGTCCAGAAACGCGCGCACGGTCGCCTGCCCGAGCACACCGGTCGCTCCCGTAACCATAGCCACTCGGAGATCGGGCTCGATGGAACGAAAGCGGAAGGGGTCGTACTCTGTGGGCGTCCCAGGAGGCGTCGAGCCCGGTGCCGCCGCGGCCGCCATCGCGCCCTTCAATGCCGAGAAAGACCTGGACCGCGCTGCCGGGAAAGACGCGTTTCTCGACAGCCCAGGTACGAGCCTAGTCTCCTGGGTTGCCAACGACGACGTGCCGAGGCGCTGTTGAAACACTACCACCACAACCGCCGCCGCCGCCGCCACCGCCGCCGCCACCTGCCGAGGCCGGCGCGGTCTCTACCAGCGGGTAAGCAGCACAACAGAGACAACTGCCGTTTTCCGACCGCTGTTGCTCGTCTGCAGCACGTGAATCCCCAAATAAAGACGCTCCCACTATCGAACACTATAAAAGGCCTCAATCTATCCACCGTGAACGCCGCAACCCGCTCCTTACGAACAGGACAACAACACCAACAACAATTGCACCAAGCGATGCACGAAAACAATGACCCGCTGCCGTGACGCCCTGCGGCCCCGTTGCGTCCCGCGCCCAGCTGCGTGCGCGCCGGCCCGCCAGCTGATTTTTTTTCTGGACAAACATGGACATTGAAGTCTGGGTTTTGCGAGTCGGCGCTTGGTATCAGCGCGCCCTTCTTTCGAAGCTCTTCCAAGTTTCATGAACCGTACTTGTGCTCGGATATACTTTCCGATTCGTAGGTTCTGTCGTGCGCCGAATGCCTGTCCAGAGCGTCCGCAATAGCGTCTATAGCACTGGTGCGATCGTTGCACGACCGCAGAACGGCGTCGCGGTACCAGTGAGGGCGTCGGCTCGAGCGCGTACTCGAATACACAGTCAATGGCGCCTCGGGGCCTTTTTTTCGATCGGCCGCTTGTTATTGGTTTCAGTTCCTCCTGGCATGCTTCGAGCCTGAGAGGCTTCCCCACAAAATTGGATAGCCTCAGCTCTTCAGGTCTCGAATTCAGCACCGCATATCTTCTGAAATGGCTGGCGCCGTTCAAGTCTCGGTTCACGAACGTCTTGCATGCATTGGCGCTGGTTGAACTCAGCATTGCAGGGAGTCCTCGAACGCTTGCCCTCTGTGCCAGTACGGTCTCGTCGTCGTCCTGTCGGGCAAACACCTGTTGTCGCCGATCACTACTCTCTTCTTCTTCTTCGCTCGAAGGTCGACGAGAAGAGGATTTTTCTCGTTTTTTTTCATGGCAGGCTGCGACACCGGGCCTCGAGGATGCCCGGCTTCCATGCCCATACTTTTCCCTTCGAGCTGTTTTTGAAAATGGACGCTTTTCACACGCGCCTTGTATCAACTGCGAGAAAGCATTTGATGACACGCACCCGGGGAATGGAGCACAACTGAGGTGAAATACCAGAAGATTGCTTCCTTTTGTTCTCTTCATCCCCCGGCTTTAAATGGTCCAGAGTCTCTCCTGTAACTCCAGCGCCGTTACTAGAAGTCGAAGGATGTTGGTGGCAGCGTCAAGTCCAGATTCGCTGATTCCGCTTCAATCGATGCATCGGATGCGTATCACTGCGAACGAAGCTTCGCTTCCATTTGCATTGTCGATTCATGCAGCCACGGTACGCCCGTCGCTACGGTGGCACTTGGCTCCGTTTGGTTGTTCGGGGATGTCCGCCGGAGACCTTGTCCTCGAAGCGTCACCCACGGCGCGTGAAGGCTTGCTCCGTCGCTCGGTGAATGCCATCAACGTGTACAGAGGGGCCCTTCTCGACACTCTCCTCCGTCTCCGCGTCCGCTGCCGCACCTACCGATTACGGGCTTTTTCTGGCCGACTCACTGGGTGAAGACTCTGTCTACTGCACAAGTAAACGCGCGCTGTTCCATGAAATAGAGGATTTTTGGAACTGGATGTTTTTCATTCTGAAACAAGTGCCGTAAGGAAAATAGATGCTGAAGAACAGATCGAGCAGTCTCGATCCGTAGACAATGCGTTTGTGCAGAACACTGATGCGTTTTCCGCCGGAAGCGATCGCTACGAGAGCGCAGGTCCGAGTCCAGGACCTCGTCGTTTCATGGAAGAAGAAAGCCTAGCTTCTGGGGGCATAGGTTCTGACAGGTATCATGCTGCTGTGGAATACGGGTTTTTTCGATGCCCTCAGCAAGACGCGGATTCGACTTTCGAATGGAATCTACCGTTTGACATGACAAGTTCAGAGAAATTTCGGCATGAATTTATAGACAAGCCGTCAAAGGTTGCGGTCGCGTTTTTCGCCTCGTCAATCCAGCGGCATGAAGTCCTGTACCTGCGAGTTGCCTTGAAAAAGAAAGATCGGAAAGTTAAACCATGGGTGATTCGAGCACACTACACGTAAAAAAAGGAGAAGCGTGGAGGCTCATACGATAGAACTGGATGATGGAATCGGATATGGAACGAGACCCTTGTTCGTCGGCGTCGCGAATCATCTCGATTACGCTGACGCAACGCATTCCGGTGGCAGAGCGTCAACGCAGTCACCTCGAAAGCACAATAAACCGTCCTAAAACTTGGTTCGAATTCGTAAACCCTTATAACCGCACTTTCATTATCGAGCCTGTGCATCTAGAAAAAGTTCAGAAAAAATCGATAAGCAGGAGCAGGCCAGCATTCCGTGTTCATCTGAGCAGAACTCGTGTCCGAATAAGCGTCGACGGACCAGCGAGTGGCTTGCGCGCTGGACCAGGGCGATACCTTTGTCGATTGAAAAGCGCCCTGTATTCCAGTGCCTCACGTCGATACGCGCACCAAAGACGTCCTTTGAAGCATCTATGCGAAAACTGGCAAGCTTCCCAGACGCTGTCCAGAAGTGCCGTCCCTGTGACTGTCCCGCTGCCAAGCCAGAACGATGAATGCAAAGAAAGAACGTGTTGACGGGGCGGCAACCGAAACAGCCCCGCCTCCATCGGCGCCTACCCTGTTCGAAGACACGCTTAGGTGGCGGATGGCTCAGCGGTACTGCCTGGAGCGTCGTTCTGTGTATCGTTCTCCAAGTGCTTTTTCGAAGACTTTCGGTCTTCTGTTGCTGCAGCAGGCTCGTTGGCGTCGACGGCGTGCGTCTCCTCTGCAGCTTTCGAGTCCTTGTCGGTCGCTTCTGGCGCCGCTCGCCATAATGGAACCTCGTCAGAACGGTCTGCATCCATCGCTTCCTGGAGGCATGCTTCTGCATCCGGATCTGGTACGCAGAGTTCGTTGAACGCGCTCTCACCAACGAAACATATCTCGTACCCGTCTGGGTCCTGAAGGATCACCACTTCAACCGTTGCCTTGGCTGGCGTGTCCAGTGCAACCAGGGGAGTTTGTACGCGACCGAGCGTTTTGGGATTCTCGTTGATCTTTTTTTCGATATCCAGAGGCGATCCGGAGATGGAAAATGCGATTCTTCCGTATGCCTCTCCGTGGTCCAGCGCGGTACCCGCTGGAAGCGCCACGAGCTCGACCACGAAAGCGTCGCCCGGGTATCGCAAACGAACGCAATCCTCCGGGTCGCTGGACCTGCCCTCGAGCTGCATTCCCAGTTCATCCCGGTAGAACGAGATGGATCGCTCAATATCAGTCACGTGAAGTGAAATCTTCCGAAAGGGATCAGGTTCCGTGACGCGCTGTTCTGCGTTTTGTGCAGCGGAAACGCTCTTCCCGTCCTGCTTTATATCCGTTCGGAGCCGCTTGCTAGGTGGTTTTCCCGCTTCGGTGAGCGCATCGTCACCGCAACAGCGAAAAACGTAACCACCGGGTGCACGCAACTCGAGCACAGAGCCAGTCTGGATCTCTTCGAAAGGCCAACCTGAGTTCCGAACGCGTTCCTGTATGGTGGTGGAGGCAAGCTCGACGAAGCGCAGGTCGTTTCCTAACGCATACTTCTTGATAGGGTAGTTGTAGGTTAACTCACACGCAAAATACTCGCTTTCAGGTCCGAAACCGTACATGGTCTTGGACCAGCGGTTGTCGTAGGGTCCGTTACACGAAGCTTTGCACTCACTGTCGAACTCCTCGTGCCGAAGGACCTTCATCCCCAGCACTGTCCGATAGAATTCATAGGTCTTTCGCCGGTCGGGATCCTTGAACACCCAGTGCAACGCACGAAAACGCCGCGTTGTTTCCTCGGTTGCCATGAAGCACTGCAAATCGTCACTGAGAAACTGCCCGGTAACACAAGTGGCTAGTTCAGATGCGAACCCGTTGCCGTTTGACCCGTCGCTTGTACACCTCCAGCCTCGTACGGAATGCCGGTGCAGGCTAAAGCGAGCGCCAGCGATGGCACGTTTTGCCTGAAGCGTGCGTCGCTGCAGGCATCCCTGGTGCAGGTTATCATTATTGCAGTTGTGGCGCTTCAGAGAAAACTCTTTGTTTGTTTGTTTGTTTGTTCGTTTATTAGTGCGTATTCCTGACTCACCGGGAGACACAAAGCGCGGTTCGCTTACGGTGTTTCGGGGTCTGAGCAACTGCTACCCGTACATACTTCGGCAACAGGCTCCAGGCGTAAGCTTCTCGGCACCGAGCGGCGAGCTCAGGTCAAGCAACAGCGCAAATCGTTGCACCCAACCCGAATCGAATCGCGTTTCTCTTGCTCTGGACCGAGAGAGCTTCCGGTGACTGATGGAGAGTACAAAAGTAGAGTCGCATCGGTTCGAAGACGTCAAGCCGCGCTTAACGTACCGCACTGTGGCAGCAGTGAACGGGCCGCTCGTCGTGCTCGAGCGGGTGCGTCAACCGCGGTACGCAGAGATCGTGACGATCACGCTCTCCGATGGAACCAGGCGACGCGGTCAGGTGCTGGAAGTAAACGGTGATCGTGCTGTCGTTCAGGTTTTCGAGGGTACCTACGGAATCGATAGCGGCGGGACGGTCATCGAGTTTACCGGCGACGTACTGCGCATGCCACTCTCGCGGGACATGCTGGGGCGCGTTTTCGACGGCTCTGGGAGGCCCATCGACGGGGGGCCCGCCTTTCTCCCCGAAAAGCTTGCGGATATCAATGGATCGCCGATCAATCCGCAGCGACGTATGTATCCGCAGGAAATGTTCCAGACCGGCATCTCGACGATCGATGTCATGATGAGCGTCGCCCGCGGTCAGAAGATTCCCATTTTCACGTCCAGTGGCCTGCCTAGTGATGTGGTCGCCGCACAAATATGTCGCCAAGCGTGCCTGGTGCGACCACCCGGCACAAAGAAGAATGATGCCAACGACGATCAGTTTGCCATCGTTTTCGCAGCAATGGGTGCGACCCAGGAGACAGCTCGCTTCTTCCGCCGCGATTTTGAAGAAAACGGAGCCATGACCCGCACGGTGCTCTTCCTGAACATGAGCAGCGATCCAACGATTGAACGCATCATTACACCGCGCCTGGCGCTGACCACTGCCGAGTATCTGGCATACGACTGCGGATTGCACGTGCTGGTCATTCTTACGGATATGGCTTCATACTGTGACGCATTGCGCGAGGTCAGCGCGGCTCGGGAGGAGGTACCAGGGCGCCGCGGCTACCCTTCGTTCATGTACTCGGATTTGAGCTCACTCTATGAGAGAGCTGGCCGCGTCGAAGGCTGCAAAGGATCGATCACCCAGATCCCGATTGTCACCATGCCGAACGGTGATATCACGCACCCGATTCCCGACCTTACTGGCTACATCACCGAGGGCCAAATATTCTTGGACGCAGCGCTTCACAGCCGTGAGATTTATCCACCGGTGAACCCGTTGCCGTCGTTGTCGCGCCTCATGAAGAGTGCCATAGGCGAAGGCATGACTCGACGAGACCATAGTGACGTGAGCAACCAGTTATATGCTGCGTACGCGATTGGCAAGGATGTGATGGCAATGAAAGCGATCATCGGTGAGGAGGCGCTTACCGCAGAAGATCATCTGCACCTCGATTTTCTGGCAAAGTTTGAGTCCAAGTTCATTCATCAAGGTCGTAACGAGAACCGCTCTGTTTACGAATCCCTGGACCTGGCCTGGAGTTTGCTACGCACATTCCCCGCGCACCTTCTGAAACGTGTGTCCCAGAAGATTCTCGATGAATTTTACCATCGGGAAGGTGTTATGGATGGGCCTCTGAACAAAAAGCCCTAGCATGGAGACCCCTAATCGAGATGAGGCCGACATGCATTGAGCGAGCGGTTTCTTATCCAGTGGATGCAACGATTACGTTAGCTCTATATGGAGCACGGGAAAGCGCGTTGCATAGACGCATGGACTCGCTGGAGATGCGTTCGTGAAACGTCTTTCTCGGCGTCGTCGCCTGGAGGACGAGCTCCGTATTCCGCCGAGAGAAGCCACTCGGACCTCGTATTTGCTCGCACACACGAGATGCTCCGTGCTCGCCGCAAAACAAACTGCACAATCAGACGTTGCTCGATGCCTCACTTGCGTATGCACGATCCAGAACTGGATCCAAGAGAATCGTTTGCGCTAAGGCCCTGCCACATGGCTGGACTTGATGATTGCACCTCGCAACTGCGTCGCAACCAACGATACATTCCATACAGAGTCTTCGGCTGCGAACCTCAATAGCGATCGTGATCGTGTTTCGGTATCCGCGATATCGCCTTCGTCGCTCCTGCTTCGATGCTTTCTCTGGTACGGAATCTCGATGCGGTTTGCGCGTCTCGCTTTGCGTCCGGTTGAAGCGACGCTTTTCGCAGCACCTCGAGGGATGTGTCCATCGATCGATTTCGCGCCAGGGATAGTGGCGACGACTTGAACGGCGGTTAAACGTGCCTCATCATCGAAGCGTTCTCGACCAGAACACCAAGCAGGGCGTGTCCTGCGCAACACCAGTCTCCGCCAGTGCGTTCGTGTTCCCTTGTCTGCAACTTGCAGTCGCAAAAGCGTTCACGGTGTGATGTATGTGCAAAACAGTGCTGCTCCCGTCAGAGGCAAGGCATACACGAGGCGGATGTGCGGCAGTAGCCACGAACCCGCGGTTCCGCTACGAGCGTGCGATGCAGTAGAGAAGCAGCAGCGGTTGCCGTTGCCAGGACTTGAGCTGAACGGCGTCTCCTGTTTTGCTGTCTGGCGATGCGCTACGCTGCAACGCGTTTTCATCGGAGACTTTTCACGCGTACGTGCAGGTGAGCATAAAATGGAACAGGATCCGCCTCGCGAACATGGGCGTTCATTATGAAGTTTTCCGTTCTCTTCTAGCTATCATCAACACCAGCGTTTACGAGCTCTACCCGCGACTGCTTCGTATTCCGCTCTCTTATTGCAGGTTGTCAGTACGCCAGTCTCTCTCCTCTTTGGATTTCCATTGGAAGCTGTTTCGCCTACAGTGCGGTCCAAGTCTACGCGCAGGGACGCAATCCAAGCGAGCGGCAGCGTTGATGCATTGCTCGTTACTTCACCAAGCAGTGAATTCTTGAGAACCTGCATCAGCTTGCCTTTTTTGGTTTTGCTTGTTTTTCAAAAAGCTGTATTATGAGAGGAATATATTCGCTGGATTCGAAGCAGATCATGGAAAGAAGTTCTGCTGGCAATGATCGCTTGCGAAAAACTACCTTACTTGTACAAGCTATTCGTTCTGCAGTCCGCATGTCCATGAACGACGCTTATCTTGCTCCGTATCCTGAAGATCATGCCCCATCTACAGAACTTCCGAGAGCCTATTTATTCACCATTCCCATCGTCAATGCATCCGATTCCATACGTTCTCTAAGAAATTCTATCAAAAAAGCCACAGAATCTGATTTTAGCATACCGCTGCCCCGAACGGCGATGAAGAGGCACGCTTACCCAAAGAGACCGGTGTGCGTCTGCGGTAGACTGTCACGTGCTGGACAAGGCTATGGATTTCGTTCTGAAACGCAAACGTTCGTCACAAGAGATGCACGTCTTCGTGTCAATCGATGAGACGGTATCCGGAAGAAACAATATACTGGTATGTGGGTACCCCAAAGCAGGCAAACTGCTCTTGTTTCGCATGAAAGCGACCAAAGCGCCAACACCAGCTCTCGCTGTGATTGATGCATATGGGCGCTCACAAATCGCAATATCAGCAGGATTGTTCAGCGACGCATCTTTCGTCGATGCACAATTCGTAGCTTCTCCTTTCCAGATGCTTCTGTTTTTGCTTATAGACAGCGCCGAATTCCATCATTCAATACCTGACCTGGAATATGCTGCTGATCCTGGGGTTGAGCTGCGCGTTGTGCCTGCCTATGCTCGCTGGTTCAGTCCAGTCGAAGGCGACTTTTCTGTAGCCATACGCCGCATCTGGCGCTCTGTGATTTATAGACGAGTCAGTCGCATCCGTGACACCGTTAATCGAAAAACTGTTTTACGACTTGACGTTCTCCAGTGCGTTCACTAGAACTGAATCGCGCTGTTGCGCATCTGTTTGTTCATGAGAGGAAATGAAACTGTGCGTTTCGGTCTGCGGACATGCTGGAGGCAGAGAAGCTGACAACGTATTACTTGAGGAACCGTAGATGCATCCATAGAAAAGGCGATTTTCAGTGCCACCGTTCACAGCGTGCGTCCAGGTCCCGCGGGAACAAAACCTGAAATCGAATGCAGCCAGTACATCCATGTGAACCAGAAAAATAAAGAAAAAAGCGAACAAGGAGCCAGTCTCTGTGAGCAACTATGAAGCATTCGACCTACATCTTAGACAGCGTTCGCAGAGCTCGTTCAAGCTTTGTCGTTTACAGAGAATATAAAATGGAAAGACTTCTGCAGGGAGGATACAGATGCAAGGCATCTCCATTTCCACGCAATTTTTTTAGAAACCTGGTCCAGAGTCGAGCAACGAGACTCACGTTCAACCGCTGAACGTACATGAAGGGTATACGTTTACGGTAAGCGGGGTCCCGGCTTCGTGTGCATCACGGCGGTCGCCGTACCCCCATATATAGAAACGACGGAACCCAAGATCTGAACGGCAACCAGGTGAGGCCGCTCAACCTCTCTCCGGGGTTCGGCATGATCGGGTATCAGGCATCGTGGACGCCCCGAGGCGTACCATCAGCTGCAATGAGGGCGTCGATACCTCGTACGAAGCCCACAGTACCGTACCGAGCACAAGGCCGATGCTTTGTACACATCATTCAGAGCATCCATGAGTTTCCAAGTGGATCAAGAAGGAGATCCTGGGTCAGCACACATGCGACTGCGCCAGGCTGGACGTCGGTTTCGGATGTACCACGGCCATCGTCGTGCAACCGCCGACTTGTTCCACGAACCCTAAAAGGAAACGACGGGCAAGTCGCGTGGTTTTTGATGGCAGCATATGGCGCCCGACAAGCGACAGCGCGCACTCACAGAGCGTCCGAGAATCGTTACCCGACGATTCCCATCGATACGTTCAGGACGACAGACGTGCATCACGGGTACGGATGCAAGCCGAACCTGGTTCAGCAGCATACCGTGAAACATGTGCCGCATGCAGCAGATGGTGCACGGGAAGCAGACTTCAGGTTACTCGGCGGGGCAGACGAAAACGAGCGACTTGCTAGAATACGATGCCGCCTGCAACGATGTTCGCAAGTACTTTCTCTTCATCGATATTCGACCGCCTCGATCAATATTCGGAAACGTCTCGTGCTGGATGAACATCCATCGCCTTGCTGTTGAGCGAACGTTCCAGTGAATGATTTCGTATCCATGGTGGACATTGTGGTGAAACGGGGCAGGCTCTCGAGAAACAAAATATCCTTGGCCAGGAGAGAGGGCACTGCGTACTCGCCTGGGATCAGGTACTGGTATGGTAGGGTTCAGCGGTCCAGCACCACACACTGGAGCGCCGTATATTTACACCGTGAACGATTTGCCTGGCCAATCGATGACCGGCTATGGTAGCCCAGTATTCGATATTCGTACGTATACGTCAACAACCTGTTTTGGTTTGGAAAAAGCGCCAAGCGTATGCGACAACGCTTCTCAAGCGCTATGACTGTTGCAGTGACTGCTGGCAGCCACTGTGGGATACTTAATTCCCGCCACGAGCGTACTTTGCCTGTCGTTGTTGGATGATGCGCAAGTTGAGAAAACCGACGAGTGCGCGCACACCGCACACTGCTGCTCCAAGGTAACAGGCAGATGCGAAGACCCCGGCGAGTGCCATGTTCATGAAGATGCTTGCGAGCATGCCGTGACCTAAAATTTCGACCATGACGCTGAGCAGTTTGAAAGAGCGCTCGATTTCCAGCGTTCTCACGCGAATCTTGAGGTCGCCCGTCTCTATCTTCCGCAGTACCGATTCGATATAGGCGACTTTTCGGGGCTGCGTGACGACGCTGGCGAGGTCCTCTTTGCGCCAACCCAGCGCTTTGGTGGCGGTTTTCAACGCGGTCTTTGCTATGGATCCATCGCGGAGGTCGATGAGATCACGCAGGTACGGCTTGGTGAGACGTGTGATATCGAAGGCGGGGTCCAGTGCCTTGGCTGCACCGTCGATGGAGGTCAATGCACGGAAAACGAAGGTAAAGACTGCCGGAAACTGGAACGGCTGATCGTCGGCCACTGCTAGCAGCTCCTCTCCGATTGCCGAGAGCCTCTTCTCTAGCGTCATTTGGCGTGCAAGCTTCCTGTCCACCACTGGCAGACTCGGTAACGGATTTGTTGTCGTCTCTGGTGCTGGCGGCTGTTCGCCAGTGGCCTCTGCACCCGCGACGCCGCCCAGTTGCACGGCAGTGCCGTCGAGGCGTTCCCGGAACGCTTTGAGGAAGTACCGGGCGATGCGGTATACGGTAAGCCTGTCAGCGGTTTGTTTCAGGACACCCATTTCCGCCAGCGCATCCACAAAGGCTGCAACATCGTTCTCGTAGGTCGCGAAGACAAGGTTCACGACGGCCCGGCGCACTTTGGCAGTCAGGCGCTGGCACATGCCGAAATCATAGACCAGCAACCTGCCTTCTTCGTCTACTGCGATGTTTCCCGGATGCGGATCACAGTGAATAAAACCATGCCGCAGCGTTTGTTCCAGGAAGAAACGCCCGAGTCGCTCTGCAAGTAGCTTTCGATCGAGACCGAGGGCGTCGAGCGCCTCCACGGCGCTGATTTTGGTGCCTTTCACGTACTCCATGACCAGCACTCGCTTGGACGTGTAGGCATCGAGAATTCTGGGGACGCGCACCCAATCATTTGCGCCCCCGAACGCCCGAGTGGATCGCTCAAAGTTGTCTGCAAACTCTCGCGCATTCTGTGCTTCGTTTTCGTAGTCAATCTCCTCGTAGAGCAGCCGCGCCGACTCATTGTAGATTTCCACCCAGTTTCGTGAGGCGCCGTCTGTCTTCGGATCCAGCCAGTCTAGCATCTGCGCGAGCAGACGCAAGTTCTTCAGATCCACATCAAAAAGCTCCCGGAGTCCGGCGCGTTGTACCTTCACAGCCACGTCTTGTCCGTTGATGCGCGCTTTGTGCACTTGGCCGAGCGATGCGGCCGCCATGGGCTCCTCTTCGAACGTATCAAAGAGCTCCTCGATGTCGCGACCGAGGTCCTCCCTGATGATCTGGCGCACAACGCGAATGTTGAACGGTGGAACGCGATCCTGCAATGAGACAAGCTCTTCGATATACTCACGGGGGAAGAGGTCCACGCGCGTGCTCGCGAGTTGTCCAAGCTTGATGAACGTCGGTCCGAGACGGAGGAGGCCCTCCTTGAGCGCGCGGGCGTTCCGGCGGCGCAGCGCAGCGCGTTGCTTCGAATCCTGAACTCGACGCAGACGCAATTCCATCCACACCTGATGAAGCGCAAACGACCAGATTTCCACTGCCCGACTCGCTGGAGAGCCGAAACCGCGGCGCGCCCAGCCTGCCTCCAGTACGAGACCCCATTCGGCAGAAGGCGAACGAGCCCTGCGGCGCTGCCGAAGTTTCGACATCCACTCGAGATATTTGAGCATGTTTGCGGCAAGCAGCCGAAGCCGCTGCTCGCACCAGACTGCCCCTCGTTGCACCTGCTGTCGAGTCTCGCGAAGGAGTTGCGGCGAGCGCCGCAGCGTCGTCCGAGCACGTTCCACCAGAAAACGACGCGCTCCAGCCAGTCGCTCGCTCCAGGTGCGACGCCACTCGGACGACCCCAGCCTCCTGTGAACGGCAAAACGGTTGCGTGTCAAGTCTCCGGATTCCGTGCTGCCAGAGTTTGCACACGACACATTGTCCCATACGTGCCCGCTCCCGCCGTGTACACTGCGCAAACTAGCCAGCGTTCCGCGCTTCAGCCGCTGCGGTTGCGCCCCAGCTCCAACGAGTCGAGTACGCCGCACGATAGCGTTCCCTGCAGCCACCGCACTTCGTGGATGAGGCACTCTGTCAGTCGCTCCCAACCAGATTGAGTGCGCAGCCCAGCGTTGCGTTCTAGGAACTGGCACAATGAACCCGAGTGTCATGGTGTGCACCAGTTGACGCAAAACGCTCCTGGAACAAGTCACCACGAGCAGAAAACCCGCTTTTCGAAGTCTCTGCTACGCACCTTCGACGTCGTGTGGTGCAGTGTGTGCGAACGTGAACTGGGAATCGCCGCTCTGGGGCATTTGCGCTCCGGCGGCGAGCAGCACCGTGGACGCGCTCGACTCGCCCATTGTGTGGTGCAGGTTCTTTTTCCTATGGAGAAGACGTTTCCTTGGGTCAGCGTTCTCCGATCAAGCGCTTTTTCTTTTCTCACTTTTTTTCCAGTGCGCGGTGAAGTATTTATGAAACCCCCTACTTCCAAGTTACTTTACCTGTACTTCTTCTCGGATATTCTGGTCGTTTCATACGTCCTATCGTGTGTGCCTCGTACCTGCCGTTCCGTATCCGCCTTTGCGCCTTAAATGCTGGAGCAGATAGTTCATAGAGCTAGAACTGCTTTTCCATACCACAGAGGGCGTCGGCTCGAGGCATGGTTCACCCGACGTAGAATCCGGTCTCATCGTCAGTTTGTGCTCGGACAGTCTGCGGATGCAGGCTTGTATTCGCTGCACGACACGCTGGAGAAACATGGCTGTTCAGATATATCCTGGGAGCTGCCTCTCTCCTTCGTGATCATGCATGGAATGCGTTGTTGTCGGTTGGCAATGTGGGTTTGTGCTTGACGCTCACCACAGTGGGTAGGCGCAGAAAGCGCACTGAGCCCGTGTGCGCATCCGATCCGCTGGACCTTCCGCCCAGAACGTAGCATGTGAGTTTGTTCGCCACTAATGAGCGCTGAGGCTCCGTTAGCGGACCATCAGTTGCCAGTGCTACACTCAAAGTGAGTGTCCGGCCTTTTGCTATCACGGTGATGTCCAGCTGCTGCTGTCCTTCAAGGAGCACGCTGCGCTCCTGCTTCCAGCGCGGGCACTCTAAGCCTAAATATGTCAGCGTCTCGGGGTTATCGTCTCCACAGCAGGGACAGTGCGATTCCAGTGTTCCTATACGGCTTAGAGCTGGCGCTAGCCAGAAGCCACCAACGCGGATTTTCGCGAGCCACTGGCTACCGCGAGCAAGTCCCGGGAATTCCAGCACCTCCTACCAGTACTTGAATGAACAGGCTAGGCTGTAGTTCCAGTATAGAGTCAAGCCGGCGTTACTGGCGACTGGTTCCGTGTCTACCCTCCCATATTTTTGTTTGGACCGTTCGCTAGAGGCGGCGGGAGCCTTCTATATTCCTGGGGAACGATTGGAGCGTGTTGTCTCCTAAAAGGCGCTTCACCCAAATCTGCGTTGATTTCATCCAAGATTTCTTGGAGTGCGTTGGGATCTGCATGAAACTCCGACTGAACCGGGTGCGCTTGGTGGACCCCTTCGCCCATATACATGCCCGGAAGCCTGCTGCTATCGCTTCTATTGAGGGTATTTGGAGTTCAAGTCCGAGTGCCAGCGGGTTGGTTGCTCTGCTCTGCATTGAGCATCCAACAACAACGAGTCTTATTGCCCTGTTGGCGGCTGTCTGCAGACGCGAGGCATTTGTGTGCTTCATGCCGCACCATTCAGCACCCCAGGTCGCAGGCTGGATGATACACATCCTAAGTGCGCTGGTACGAATTGCTATGCAGATAGAGGGGTCGGATAGGACTGGGCGTGCGATCGCTGTACGTCTATGCATCTTGGCGATCATCTCGTCGACGTGTGCCTCTTCGTCGATCGTCGGCGTTAGACAGACCCCCGGGTAGCGATATTTTTCCACGATCGGAATTTCCTGATTCTGCAACCGCCACGAGCGATTGCGAATGCGCTGCGAGTCTCCATGGATGACCATGACGCCGCACTTCGATGCTGCAATGCTCATCTTCCAGCGATCGACCCAGGCGCTGACTTGTTCCATGCTAGCCGCAAGCGTTTCCGGGGCGGGAGCCAGCAACACGACATCGTCCGCGAATAGAAGGCCTGCGAGGCGGTTCCTATGTGAGGGCTCCTCACCGGGCATCTCCCCAGTCTATCCACGGCACCTCAAGTCCGTATTGTCCGCAGTTGTTCAGCAGATCGTTGATGAAGATGTTGAAAAGGAGCGGGGATGTGGGGTCGCCCTATCGCAGTCCACGGCGGACTCTTACCGAAGGGGTTCTTCAGCAGTCGCCCAGTCGGGTGCACATCCACGAGTCTGCCTAGAGCGCACGGAAGAACGGTAAGCACTTTCCGGAGACTTCGACTCGTTCCATCTTCAGAAATGGAGCCTCATGCGGGACCGTGTCAAAGGCCTTTTGAAAGTCGATGAAGCATACGTAAGCTGGTTGTTGGCCGCTAATGAAGCGACGCTGCGCCACTTCAATGAGGGTCAGGGCATGGCTCATGCACTCCTCGTGGCTCCGGAATCCAGCCTGTTCTGGGGCGAAGAACTTGCGTTCCTCGAAGCGCCTCTGAGTCCGGTTCGTGGGAATGGCGCAAAGTAGCTTCATGATTGACGGGATGAGGCCGATAGGCCGGTAGATATTCATGTCTGTGTATGTGAGAGTCCTTTTTGAGGATCGGTACGACCTCGGCAGTCCTCCATACATCCGGGATGTACGCCTCTTCGAACATGCGTTGGATGAGCTCCACAAGGCGTTTGCCTAAGCTTGTGTCAAGTTCATCTGGTATCGATAGTGTCCCTGTTGTCCCGTCTTCTGGGGTCACCAGTATCATCCACTCCGCAGAGATACCGTCGATGCCAGGTGTTTTGCGGTTGCTTGAGCATAGCAGGGTCCGAACAGATTCAGGCCAGAAGATTGGGTCGTTCCATACTGGTACCGGGTCGAGGCGCGGTAGTTCTGCGGCATGTTGGTGCCAATAGATTGGGTCTTGGCAGTGCCCAGTTGCGTCTTCATGCAGCTCTGTCCCGTGGTCCGTCTAGGCCTCATTCACTGAGGCACGCTCCGTCCTCAGCGCTTCCTTATAAACAATTGGTGTGAGCCCCAAGCAGTCTGTTGGCGGGTCCAGTCTCGATCGGACGTAGCGCCAAGTCTCATCTTTGTTGGTGCTCTCCAGCATAGATTCCGCCAGGGAGGTGATTTTGCGGTTTCGATCCTCTCGTTTGTCTTCTCTGGAGAGTTTCTTCTTTCTTTTGATAGCTTCTTCATGTTCCGCCTGTAGCGTCGGTAGCGCTGCTTTCGCTTCCTTGTCTCCGGCGTTGGCATGTATGGCGGTGCGGTTGACGATTTTGTTGAGTCGGTGGCATTCATCAATCCGGGTATTGGTACGTCGTTTCAGGTACTGAGGTTTGCAACTGTTGCGTTCTGGTGCAAGCAGTCCCAGCTCTCTGGCAATCTTCTGATTCCCATCTACATACTCGCGTGCCAATTGGTCTAAAGATTTGTATGCATGGCTTTTCGGATCTTCAACGCTGTGAGTAGGTGACTTGGCTTGGCGGCAGCTTTCTTGAGTTCCTGCTGGGGTGCCCTTTCGGGGAATAAGTGGTTATGGGCTCGTTCAGGAGTTCTTCTCTCTATTCTTCTGTCTTTTCTTGTTGGTCTTCTTCTTCTTCGGGCTCTTTCCTGAGCTGCTTTCTCTGGTTATTTCGCATCTACGTGGATCATGAGTTTCCTGTGCCTCCTTCTCCGTATCCCGTTGGGTATCTTTTCCTATTGTAGAGTTCTCGACTTGTATCAGTTCTTCATTACTGTACTGGTAATTCGATATCTCGTCGTCTAGTATCGAGGCCACACCGCAAATATTCCATGACGCGAAACCTATCGAGTCGTAGCGCGTGAGGGAATAGGAGTAACGCTGCGGTGCTCCCGAGATACTTCGTCGATTTAGACGCACCCCCACGTGGTGTGTGAACGTACATGCCACCATTGCCTCCTGCATTCCAGTTGTTCATTGAGTTTCTGCCGCAGCGCGAGCGTAGAATCAGAAGTACATTAGTCAAGGTCGATTCAAATGCGACCGTCACCTTGGTGGACGCGTGAAGCTACCCGCAACCATTGGGAACAGTCTACGAACCAACCTTTCAGCGGCTTAGTATCCGCTCCCCAAACATATAGGCGGGTAAGCGCTCGTTCCAGCTTCGACCACGAGCATATCGACAGCCGTCTTCCAAAGTATCCGCCGACATTGTTTCCAAAGTTGAGGTAGGTACTCAAGGTGGGAGGTAAAACGTAGCCCGAGTTCGAGGATGGATCCGGGATTTGCGCCGGAACCCGCAGCGTTGGCTCGGGAGCAGCGGATGACTGCTCAGAACTCTCGTCAATATTTCCTCGTGCTGCTGCCTCCGCCGCCCCGTTCGTTGCGGTCAAGGTCCCTGGCGTGGGCTTCCTTACCCGTCGCCCGAACACCCCGGTTTAACCCACTTTCAGAGCTCCTCCGGAAAAACTAGACCTCTCATCCGGGCGTGGTGTGTGGGGCTTTTAAAGGAGCCGTGAGGATGTAGCAAAGTACGGACCGCTGACGGAGGAGCAAATGGAAAGAAGGGCATAAGTTCGAGGGCTACTTGCTTTAGTAAGTACAACCAATGATGGCAAGAAACGTATGGAGTTTGTGAACCGAGACACTCACGCCGCAATCAATATCAGGAGATGTGCGGTGATGGAAAGAAGACCTCCAGAGCTGACAAGAAAGAAATTTATTGGACAATTGCTAAAATGTGAACTATATGAGAAAACGTTGGAAGCATTAGTGGGTGGCCGGTCGAGAAAGACGGGGTGGCGTCTGCACCTCAGTTAGCGACGTCTTCTCTAGGACGCGTTCACCGCTATTACTGTACACCGTTGGCGACAGCGTTTTTCTTTTGAAAAGAGTTCGGTGTTCGTGCGACATTGCGCAGGTGACCTAGTGTGAAGCACAACGCATTCGTCAAAAGTCGTGTTCCCCCGAGAATATCCAGAGCGTTTGGACAAGAAAGCGCAGTTTGCGATCTTTCTTTCGTGCGACCTGGGAACACACTAGCAAGTTCACGACTTGGCAAGCAACAAGTGCGACGAAACAGGTTGCTGCGGCTCATGTTTCAGTGCGTTCCCGCTAGGGTCTCGTGGTCGGTCTCTGGTGTTCACGCTCGACGACAACTAGCCTCAAATTTTCTAGGAAGGCGCAATTATTTTAAAATCATAGGCACCATGAAGAACTTAAGTCTCATGCGCGGTGCACTGGCTCAGAGCGCTGGTGACGGCACCGCTGCAGAGCGAGCACCGGGAGCGACGCCTGCACCAGCGCCCGCTGCAGTGAACTCGTCGCACGTACAGTCGCTAGCTGCGAGAGGTGTGTTCTGCGAGGCCGAGCGCTTAGGAGATTCACTCAGAGACGCGCCTGAAGCGGAAATGGAGACCGAGAACGGGAGCGTAGGCGCCTCGGGCTTTGCGACCACTGATAAAGACGTCGGCTGGTGTTTTGGTGAGCAGTCCGTTCTGAATGCAATTGCAGCTCTGCAGCGTGGAGAATTCGTTGTCGTTACTGATGATGAAGATCGGGAGAACGAAGGTGATCTTATCCTCGCTGCAGAGAAGGCGACACCTCAAGCGATCGCGTTCATGGTTCGCCACACATCCGGAGTGATCTGTGTGTCCATGGAGGAGGAGCGTCTGAACGAATTGCGCCTTTTTCAGATGGTGCCCGATAACGAAGATCCGAAACGGACGTCTTTCACGGTTAGCGTCGATTTAAAGCACGGCGTCACGACCGGCATCTCTGCCGCTGATCGGAGTGCGACGATTCGGGCGCTGGCGAACCCCAGGTCCACAGCTGATGATTTTCGCCGACCTGGTCATATCTTTCCGCTGCGCTATGCCAAGGGTGGTGTGCTCAAACGTGCAGGTCACACAGAGGCGAGTCTCGATCTATGCCGGCTTGCAGGGCTGGCACCGGTCGGCGTCCTTTGCGAGATCGTCAACGACAGCGACGGGAGTATGGCACGTATGCCTGATTTGGAAGTGTTCTCGAAGCAGCACGGACTGGTCTTGACGAGTATTGCGGATCTCGTTTGTTTTCGACGACGTCGGGAGAAGCTCGTTCGCCGGATTGAGCCCCAGGGTGCAAGAATGCCCACCAAATACGGCGATTTCACGGTCTACGCGTACGTTAGCGAGCTCGATGGTTGCGAGCACCTTGCGTTGGTCCGCGGGGACCCGCAGCAATTCAGTAACCGTCCCGTACTGGTTCGTGTGCACAGTGAATGTTGTACAGGTGATGTTTTCGGCTCGCTGCGCTGTGACTGCGGACTGCAACTGCAGTTTGCGATGGAGAAAATTGCGGCCGAGAACCAGGGCGTCTTGGTGTATTTACGCGGCCAAGAGGGTCGAGGGATTGGGCTTTCGCACAAAATCCGTGCGTACACCTTACAAGATGCAGGGCGCGATACCGTTGAGGCGAACGAGGATCTCGGTCTACCTGTCGATAGCCGGGAATATGGCATTGGTGCGCAGATTCTCGTGGACCTCGGTGTGCAGCAAATGCGACTCATGACCAACAATCCTCGCAAGTACACCGGTCTCAGTGGGTACGGATTATCCATTATGGAGCGCGTGCCTGTAAAGGTTACGCCAAACAAGTGGAATATCCGCTACTTGCGCACGAAAAAGGCCAAACTGGGCCATTTGATCGAGATTGAAGATGAGTTTGATCGGGAGAAAGAGGTGCAAGTGGAGATTCGCGACCTCAATTGAACGCAGCGGACCACGAGTCAGCGAAGAAACGTACGCGGTCCAGTGGCCCTTCGATGAGCCGCCAGCGAGTCGAGTGGATGCTCCTGTCCATGCCTATGCTGGCAACGGGTTGTCTTTCGCCCTGCAATCGATAAACCGCGTTACTCGGTGTGTGTGTGTGTGTGTGTGTGCCCGCGGAGGCCGCAAAAGTCCATCGCGATGGTCGTAGCGCATGCCTCCGCGGATGGTGGGTATCACTGGCACCGGAAACATACCCACAGCGCAAACGATGAACCTGTCGTAGAGAGGCCTCGTTCGAACCGCGCAAGACGTGCATGCGGCTAGAGATACGATCTGTGCTTTCTAGGGAGAGAGAGAGTGTGTGAGTGAGTGAGCGCACGTGACACGGCTGCATTGGATCTGGACACCGGAAAGGTCCAGGCATCGTCGATCAGAAACAAGGTCTGCATTTTGACTGCGAGTTAGCATGCTGAGGTTCCGCTGCGGATCGAGCCCCGAGCGATGACGTTTGCCCAGCTTTCGCATCGGGTCATGCGCCTGGTGTGCAACGATAACGTCGGCACCAAAGCGTTTTTATTGAAGCTCGTCAAGCACACGGGATTGCGTTGCGATCAAGCGGCCGGCGTCTGGAGCAGGAGCCGCACGTGTTACGGCACTTGACGTTGAGATCGACTTGCCGTATGTAAGGGCAGGCGTATACCGAGGATCTCTCGGAGGTATACCTGAACGCATGCGGCAGCGTCGCGTACACCCGTGTCAGACTACAATGGAACGGGTCCATCGGGCGAAGACGGGCGTACCCGCTGGAGTTTGGGTCTCTTTTTTTACCATCATGAACATCGGCTTTTGCTGGCTTCGCCTGCCGCTGCTTCCTCTTGCTCTCCAATTATCTCTGGCTTTCAATACGCCGGTCTCTTCTTTGCTTCTGTCTTTGCAGTCAGCGGTCGAAGCGTGTTGGCAGCGCGATGAAAGCCCCAGTGACACCGTTGCAGGCCGCTGTCGACGCATTCCAGGCACAGGCAAAAGTTGCGATCAACGGATAGCTTGTCATTTTCATCAGCTTTGTACCCAGTGCGGGTGCACCCATCGCAGCGGTGTCACTTGAATGTGCTGAGGCGTGCCCCCTTGACCAGAGCATATGCTCCTGCTCTGCCACCACCTCCGCCTTCTCATCCTGCTCAGAACGCTGCCCTGTGGCACATGAACGCTTGCTTGTATCGCTCGGCACACGCTCTTCACGGGTGCAGAAGGATCGCATCGATATGCTCCTCTGCCTCCGTTCGCAGTGCCGTACCTGACGATCACAGGCGTGTTCTGAGCGACACCCGCTCCACGCTGAAATGCTCGCGGTCCCATTCGATAGAGGCTTTGAGGACGACGGTGTTGTTCATGATAAAACAAGTACCGGAAAAAGCATCCAGGCTGTACGGCAAGCTGAGAGATACCAATCTGCCTGCGCCGTCTTCATCCAACACAGTGACGCATGCTCCACGGAAAGCGAGCGCTGCGATGATCCGCTGCCGACTCCAACGCCCTCTCCAGGCACCCAGCATCGAAGGTACGGGTGCCTCTGGGAGCGTACGCGGTCACAGGTACCGTGCTGGTATCGAATCCCGTCTCCTCAATCGCCACAAAGACAGGAGGATTTGCGTTCCGAATGGTTTCGATAACTGAACGTGACATGCTCAGTATCGTATCAGCAGGAGCTTGTGATCCAGTCACCGAAGAACCGTATCCGGTTCTTTTGTCCATCAATAATGCCTGCATTCACTGTGCTACGCGTCATGAATGCATGACAAAAGAGGTCTCTACGTATGAATTGAATAACAAAACTGAATACTTTACAGACTATAGTCGATTGTATCGCTCGTCATCTTGATGACAGTCACGATACGAATTTCACTGGCGAGCGCTTCGAAGGAGCCTCTCCGCGAACACCACCGAGAGTCCTAAGACTACGCACAAATCCATAAGCCGCTCTTGTTGCAGTTCGATTGTCGAAGCTGTATATTCAGAAACAATGTTCAGGAGAACCTCATCAATCACGAATAGAGCAAGCAGTTCAGTGTCCGATGTCGATCAGTGCCAGCTATCGGGGAATGCGGAACGCTTCACTGGGGACGTCGTGGTGTCCCGCGCGCAGGCGCGCTGGGCGGCGCCAACTCTCGCCCTGCACAGTGCAGTGTTGCTGGCAAGCGCTGAGCGCTGCACACGGCTGCTCCTGGGGGCACTTGGCTGCTGTTTAGAGGGAAGCGTTCCCGCTGGGGTAGACTACCCTGTGAAAACGAAAGGTGCCTGTCTTAAAACGATACAGAGACAAGCACGTACGCTCTGTCCACCGCGAGCGGCTGGTAGAACGACGGAGGCTTTTGCGAGCGAACAGTGGCGTGTTCGATGGAGACCGCGGACGGCGCTTCAGAGGCACCACTCATTCCAGGTTACCGGGGCGGGCGCGTTATTCGTCTGCGCTCTGCTGAAGGCGAAGTTTTTGACGTAGAAGAGTCCATCCTGAAAGTCTCCAACGTTATTCGAAACCTGCTTGAGGACGTTGCCGATAGCGACGAGTCAGGGATACTTCTGGAAGACATCGACGCCAAGACCCTGGCTAAGGTCATTGAGTACTGTCGATACCACGCGCAACCGAACCGCCCAAAAGGCGAACGAACGCTCTGGGACCGCGATTTCCTGCGAGTTGATCAGAGTCTTCTATTCTCTTTAACACTGGCTGCAAACTTTCTGGATATACCATCTCTGCTGGATCTGTGTTGTAGACACATCGCGGACATGATACGAGGCAAGACCCCTGAGCAAATACGAGCGACCTTCAATATCGAAAACGATTTTACGCCCGAAGAAGAGGCTCAGCTGCGGGCCGAGAACTCCTGGGCCGAAACCGATAGCCACTAGCGAGCCGAGCACGCGCAGAGACACCGCGCGTGCTCCTCGATGATGCAAACTCCCCAGCCATGACTGCCATGATTGATATGGAACGGGCGCTTTGATGTCCGTCACGTGGTGGTACCGAGGCGTCGACGTGTCGGCTCCGGTGCTGCGTCTGCAGGTCACCAGCGCAGACAACGCGAGTGACAGAATGGAACACATGAGCGTTTCCTGCGACACAACAGCAGCAGCAGCAGCAGCAGCAGCATCAGAGCCCCGACTACCTCCGCTACCGCCACCACCAACATCATCATCCTCGGCAGCAGTAGCAGCAGCAGGGGCGGGTTCAAGGCCGTGCGTGTTTACGACATCCTCTCACCGAGTGCGCGCCTTGGGGTGCAGTAGGCGACGATCGCTCACGCGACTTGCCTTGTGTGGCGATCCTCTGAGAATGCCTGTCGAGTACCAGTGTCCAGAAACTAGAAATTTGATCTGTAGTAGTCGTAGTAGTAGTACGGGGCAGCGTCGCATGAGCGCCTTGGCTGGCCGCAGGTGCTTCAGATGCACCTGAACTGCACGAGCGCCCCAAGATATAGACACGACAGCTATACCGATAAAAACGGAAAACACCTCATAACCATGGATGGTAAGGATATACACCAACCCGCAGACGCTTCCCAGCCTGTTTGATCGGCCTACTGTTATCTGCTTCAGCTTCTCCATGTACTTTTCGAGCATAAAAGGGTTGCCTCATAACGTTGGATCGCGACAGGTCTGCGGGCCTTGTCCTCAGCATCACACGTCGCCTGATATTGATGGTGGCGTGCGAGTCTCAGTTCGCATACTCCATGTGTTTGTTGACTCTGATGAAATTCATGAATGCAGGGATTGCTAGAACGCGCGCTCTCTGTTCCATCCGGTGCTAGGTCAGCTCTCCGTATTTTTCTATCGCCGATGCGCTCCGCTGGCTGCTCTCGATATCGACCTTCTGAAATGTACGTCCGAGCTCACTTTCCAATTTTTTTGAAATGAAGGAACTTGTTTATGCCTTTAGGTGAGGAGATTCCCGCAGGGCAGAGAGCTTGCAGAAGAAAGACGACATGTGCCCCGGTGTGTCACCGTGTACAGAAAGACGCAGCGATCCGCCCAGTGGAGCGATCATTGCGTTTCACGATAGAAAACAGTCCTTCGATGGGCATCAACCACGGAGTATGCAGAGGAATGACAAGCAGCTTTATTCCGATAGAATCGGCAAAAGCTGGAACGCAAGGGAAATGGTGAAATGCCACATTGTCAAGTAGAAGAACGTCGTCAGACGTCGAGCGAAAATCCATCAATGATTCGGCGGTGTGGTTGGTACTGTTGTATGAACCCTCTCGACGAACGAAACCTAGACTGCCAAATGAATCCACTGCAGCTAGAACAGGTGATGAGGTCGTCGTTCTCTTCGAGTTCCATTGTACATGGAACGGGCTCCCTGCTCCGCGTATACCCATAAGCGCTCCGACCGTTTCATCCGACGAGAGTCGTATCGACGGAAAAAAACCAAACCAATGACTCTCAGCTCCATACCGATCTCTGAGTTTTACGCACGCTTTAGTTGCCATTTCGGTGAAAGATGGCTGTACCTGAATTAGGACGTTTTTTGGGGCTGTATCCCAAAGTTTCCACGACCACACGTATTGTCTGTTGAGAAAGAGAGACGCCCGTGGCGTCTATGATCGTCGCTTTTGCTTTCTGTACGGTGATCAACGGGTTGTCATCTACCATTGACCGCATAGGCATTTTGCGAACACCTTTGAATGGTGCGGAGCGCATCTACTTGTTTTTTCAGTGTTCCTCAGCCATCAGAGCACTCCAGTGTGACTGAACTCAAGGAGGAATGCAGTCCCCCGTGCCCTCTTCATTAAGGAATATATATCCTACACTCCATGCGTCCACGATGTTAAAGTCACATTGCATCGTGACGTCGATCACCCGCTCTACACCACATCAAGGGTGAAACAAACGTGAGCTGAAGGCTCAAAAGCACTTGGAAACAAATCGATCGTTCCCGTTAACGCGACGCCTCCAAGGTGTTGTGTCCAAGTCAAGTTCGGCTCGCTTCGAGTGGTTGCTGCTTTCACCGTAGACGCTGACACCAGGGTCGTCACGACTCTCGGGTATTCGTTTCGCAGGTTTCCATTGCGTCCAGGAATTGGTGATTAGGTCGCAATCGTTCTTGGTGTGTCCCGGTCCCCGCGCGTGTTCCATGGGCAGGACACCAGCACCTACTAGCCACACGAGACCCGCTCAACGTTTAACCACATGTGCACGACGCTCAAACCTCCGTCCAGAGGTGGCATGCTCCGTCTGCACCTACACTGAACAACCACGGAAGACGCGGGTGGAAGGCGATATCGAAGACGCCGAGTCGTTGGCTGACCTGGTGTCCGTGCAGGATCCGCAACGGAACCAGCAACGGGTCCTTCCCGAGATCATCGTAGACGGTAGCATGAAAGACGTGCACGGTGCCGTCGTCGCCAGCTGAGGCGAACAACGGCAGTCTCGGATGAAAGCAGACTTTGCGAACCGCCATGGAATGGTTGCGAATAACGCGATAAGGTTTCTCGCCGTAATCCAGATCGAACCAACAGAGTCGCTTATCGTAGCTCCCGCAGAGCACGTTATCGCCTCCAGGATGAATATCCAACGTTGAGAGCCACCGAACACGAGGTGTAAGCTTCTGAACGATGCTTCTTGTTGCCAGCGAGTACACCCGAATATGCTGCATCGTTGCCACAAAGAAAAACGGTCGACTCGGATGGAAAGCGGTGCACTGAACATCCGCAATGTGCTTCCGAAACGGTGTCTGTGAATGCCGTCGCGACAACTGATGAACGTAGACTGTGCTGCCGTTGCTATCGCTGCCCACAACAGCGATATAATCGGAACGTGCATGTACTGCTACGTGTCGAATTCGCTTGCCGTGCTCGATAAGGAGCGTGCCACGTGGCAGCGCCCCGCAATCCTCGTCGTTGAGCTCCCGCCACTGTACATCAGCGGGAAGCGGCAAGGTGGATGGCGCCCGCTGCGGCACCGCCGACTCCGGCGTTTGCACAGGATCGTCTCCGCGCGCACCTGTGGCTCGTTGTCCCATGATCAACGGATAGACGCGGAGGATGTAGATACAACGTCCGACGGCAACCAGCAGGAGCATCTCCTGTACGCTCGGCTCGAGTGCGTGCAGCCAAACCAGGGATACCACGGGGTCGCGCGCTGTTTTCGCCAGGTCTGGTGCGCTTCCTGAATGCCTGGCGCACATGTCCAAACGACATACCAAAGCACCGGTAATGACATCGAAAACTCGAACCAGGCCATCATCAGAGCCGGTTGCTAACCAGTGGCCCAGTTGCGGATGCACGGCTACACACCGAAGGGCAGCGGCAGATTGCTGACTCCCATCTGAATATGTCATCGAAAGACGTGCAGGGAATGGTGCAAGCTCCGAAGGATCTGGTAGCTCTGGCAATAAAGACGTTGGGTCATGCGTCTGCATGCGACGTCGCAGGACTCGCGGGCAGAGATACAGGTCCAAGCAGCGCTTGTAGCGCTCTTCAACATACGCTTTGTACGCTGGCACAGCACGAAGCGAGGAGAATCGCTGCGGGAGGTACGGCAACAGCCGATCTTCGGGTGCTGCTCGTTCCCAGGCGTCGCGTTCCTCGGGTGTGGGTAACGCTTCGTCCGGTGGGTTATACGACTCGATGTGTCCGGGGGGCGCAAGCTTTGGTGCAGCGACATAGGAGCGAGCACGTGCCCGAGCCGCGCGACTCTGCTTACGTTCCAGGGTATCCGATGCGCTATCGTCGTCCTCGGTCCATACGTCCACCTGGGGATATCGCCAGCGTGCATGCTGCTGTGCTCGCTGCTGGTACCGCTGCGAGAGAGGTACGATGCGACCCTCTTCAAGTCCTCGAATGATCTTGCGAATGCGTGCAGCTTCATGTTTCGACGGAAGAAATCTGCGTTTGGGTTCCTCGGACTGGTGCAGAGGAAGCACCTGGCGAGGCGCCCAGGCTATGATTTCCTCGTCACCGCTCAGCGACGATAGCAGGCGCTGTTTGTACTGTACGAGCAACTTGACATCTTCATCTGTGAGTTCGATCTCCCGATCGTTTTTCTCGTCATAGAGTTTGCGCCAGTTTTCGGGATCATCTCCAGCTGCTATAAGCTGTTGCAAAGCGTTCGCTGGGTAACGGCGTCGGAGCGGTTCCCCGTCGCGGGTATAACCGATGTGCTCGTAGCCGTCGTACCAGCGAAGAGGAACGTTTCCGATGGTGTTGATCTCCGCTTCGCTCTCGGAACTCTCGCCACTGCTGATCCAGTCCGCCATGCAAGTTGTTTAAGCGCTCTGTTCCCAGCGCGAGTTGAGCGACTGCAGCGGCACGTCGCCGGTACGCGCAACCGTTCTCGGGGAGCGGCGGTGGTCCTCTGCTGCATTGCGTAGGCGCTGAGGTGCTGGGCAAGCTGGTGCGCTCACAACCAGACACGAGGCCGCGTTGCATGAAAATGGACCGGTAACACCAGTTTTTATTGCGAGAATGTTGTCTGTGTGTGAAAAGTGCGGCCAAATTTCGATGTTCTAGCGGAAGAGGCCTGTGCGAGTGTTGGCCCTCAGGCACGTCTTCTGCCTTGCCCTGTTACTGGGGTATCTGTTTCGTACGCAAGAACGTGGGGAACCTGTCGCAGGTATTCTTCCTGACGCATAGTTGCATGCTCATCGTTCTCTACGGAGATCACCTCTGGAGAGAGGGTTTGATAAGGATTGCACGCGTTCGAATTAGGAACACGACAGAGGGACGGGGTGAAAGCGCTGCGCCAGTTGGTGTGTCCCACGGACTACACGAAAGAGCGAGGCGGCCCTTGAGTTTCGTGGACGTTCATGGTGCGTGAAGCGCACAACGTGACCATACAACTTGCTGCGTGCGGATTGTTTGCCGCACTTTGCACATCGCTTCAGACGTTTGCAAGCTTCGCTCGCAGGTACTGCAGTCGCTGGGGGCCAGGAGGCGACTCGTGCACCCAGCGTGAGCAGGAGCGTGCAGCGACGCGGAGCTGCTCAGCTCTAGTGACGGTGAGCCTGTCAGCTAGTCATAGGCGCATATGCAGGAACGCTCCCGGCTCTTTTGTGGCAAGCCGAAGCCACATTCGGGACTCTATGTCGGAGTCATGGAAATCGAGATATTCTGCGTTCCGATATAACGGGAGGGCACGCCAAAAACGCGCTGGTATCGCCTCGAACATCTCTGCATGGAAGGCAGTAACGTCTGGATTGCCTGGATCTGCTCATCCTTTGTGTTCTACTAGTTTTTTCGTAATGATTTAACAAAAAACTGGACCTTATGGACTGAAGAAAGATCTCAGACAGCTTTTATGCTGCCATCGCTGGCGTCGGAAACTCGACGTCTCTTATACAATCCAGTCATCCTAAAGACAGCCGGCGGATGAACAGGGCTTCTCGTCGTCCTTAATTTGAACTTCGTGCCCACAAAACGGAGCCGAGCTAACGCTAGCTACGTGCCAGCCTCCGTGTGAGACCATTCCACCCCGTGTGTCCGGTGAGAAACTCCACCAACGAAGCCAAGTAATGAAAAGCTTCCATACCTTGGCTATGAGCGATGATGAAGAAGCACAGATAGACAAAGAGACAGGTACGCTTCCCTGGGAGACTGTCATGTGTGATTGAATACAATACAAGTATCGATTCCGCAGTGAATCGCGAAAGGTTTTTACAGGAGAAACTGGTGCAAATCTCACTGAATGACAAGTCATTCGGAGGAAATGGTCGGTCTGCGTGTGGGTACTCAAAGTCGGACAAAACGCTGTCCGTAAACCGTAGACACGCGAAAATGACGAGAACGTCCGTCGAAGCAGCGATGCTGCATTTTGGTCGCCTGCAAATCGCTAAGCACACCGGATCGTTCAACAGCGCATCCGGTGTCCAATGACTCTTCTTGACTCCGACGTTTCACATTCTTCTATCGATGTCTTGGATAAACTCGCTTTCGTTCACGAAAAATCTGTCAAACAGCACGTTGCTGGGATTGGCGTTGAGCTGCTCTTCGTGCCAGCCTATTCTCCGAGGTTGAATCCAGTCGAAAGCATCTTGTGTGTAGTCAAAAGCCAATTTACATGCTCACGGATGAATAGACGAGTCGCTCGCATACGTGAGACCGCAGTTCTTCCACAAGTCGCTCTTTAACTTCAGCAATTCCGAACTGCTCTGTCGCTGTTGTGCCCCTGCTCGTGAGGGCTGCAAAGGCGAGCCCCGGTCGGTTGACGTGCCCGCGACGGAAACGCTGACGACATGTTACCAGAGGATTAGTGTGTACATAGATAGAAGTGACACGTTTCAGTGTTATCGTCGATCAAGTGTGTCTAAATCCAAAAGATAAACGGGATATACACAACAAAGGTCACAACCATGCAGCGTCGCCAGGTAGACGAGGAGGTAAAGTAACTGATCGCTTCGATCAACAACGAAAAATTCGGTGAAATTTACGAAGAATGTTGGCGGAGCTCGTTCAAGGTTTCACGTTTGCAGGGAGCAAGTGGGAAGATGTAAGCAGGCACGACAGAAACAGATTGTCTGTCAATCTGCATGCACAGGATGAAACCTAGGCGTACGTCGAGAAACGAGAATCTTTTTCAAGCCTTCCATAGAAATGGCGGGAATGCGTTTCTACCGAGCGTCGACTGGGGGTTCAAGGAAATCACGGCCGTTGCCGTACCTCTCCATCAAGAGGACGTCACTGGAGACCTAGACGGAAATCAGATCATGCTGCTCAGCTTCTAAACGACTCGTGATTTCCACGAGTCGTGCTTGCCGGACGCCAGCTGCGATACCATGGCACGGAATGACCATGTTGGGAGCCATCGCGACGCTCAGAGCTCCGTATTGAGTGGCGAAACGATTTGGACGCTTCATAAAGAGCGTGCATCGGGGTCCGAACGGCTCCTGCAGACGATATTTGGCAGGAATATATGAAGCCGCGCCGCTTTCGCCAATACTTTCAATAGGTCAAAGACGAGAAGCGGGCATTCAACAACTTGTTCTCTGAGCTGGAAACGGGAACCGTCGACAAGTCGCGTTATCTGGTGATCGCGTATCGCACCGGACATGCTGTAGCGCGCATAGGCTTCGCTCCGGCTCCTTCGACGACGGCGTAAACCGAGTACTGGCATCGATTTTGGACGATGCCCATCGATGCGTTTGGAAAACAATATGTACATCTCGAGCACGCCTGCACCCTGAAATGCGCAGACAAGAAGCGCATGCAATAGAGCCGGAAGCGCTGGAGAGTGTGCGCAAAGCTGACCGAACATGCCTCAGCGAGGCATTTGCAGATACAGGGCTTGCCGCGGTACGATTCCACCAGCAATCATGCGCAAAAACACTTGATGCACAAAGACCTGAAAGCCTCGATCAAAATCCGGGAGCATCGATTGCTTTGCCAGAGCATCCAGCGGCTTTGTGTCGAGCGAACTACCAGTGGAATGGCTGAGAACTCATTGTGGCCATTGGAGTAAAACGCTGACGGCTTGCGATGAGACAAAAACGGTAGCCAGAAATGACGGCATCGGATTCTCGCCTGACACAAGGCTCTGGTACGCTGCAGATCAGCAACCGAGCCAGGTCTGCGCACCGTATCTACCCACCAAGAACGATTTTCCTGGGAATTTGCTGAACAAAAATGATGTTCTTTTATTCGATATGACTGCGTGTATCGAGGTCCAATGACGATAGCGAGCAATGTCTGTTGTATGGCGCACCTGCCGTCGTTGTCGAGATGCGATATCCCAGGCGTTTTATTGTAAACTACATAGGACTCGTTCTGCTGCGTTCGCAACCGTTTCCGTGCGATTACGCTCAACTGCATCTAGCGTTAGGAAACTATGATGGGTGCAAAACCCTTCACACAGTCCTCACTTAAGGACAGTATCCATCTACCGCTGCTGGAAACAACTGCTCCATATAGCATAATGCAAAAACATCCAATTCGCACGAAGACGGCCCTGTCCGATCCTCAGTGGTTCCAGGGAATCCCCACTTGCGCCAGGACCTTCAAGGGGCCGTGCTTCACAATGAGATCCCTCTGTGACTCATTTTTCGCTAGAAGAAACCCCGCAAACCCCAACGCATTCACGCTTATATCTCCTAGAAACTTTTCGTGACGTCGAGGCACCAACATCATCCAGTTGCTGGTCAAGAGAAGGTTATACGGGAACGGATGCGCCGTTTCACTGTCGTTTGCCGGATGGCCTACTGCAGACGCTGGCGGGTGATGCGACCGAGCCTCCCACGCCATCCATGATGAAGCGGGTACACCGAGTTCCTCGATTGTGAAGTGCAGCAGCTGCATGTAACGGGAATGCATGGCTGCCCCGATTTCCGCATCCGATTTAGACTCTGAGTAGAGATCGTGCATGCCAATGATCGCATGTTTGAAGGGCAGCGCGGGTACCACAAAACATCCGGTCTGCTCCTCGCGGGAACGTGCCGCTTCTTCCACTTTCTCGTGAATAGGCACAGCCTCCACACCAGCTACGGGTATGAGCTGTAAGTGCTTGTGACGCTGAGAAGCGCCGGCCACTTTACCGGAGTTGTAGAAACCTAGGCCCGGATACTGGCGCAGACAGTGCCAGATTGCCGTGCAGTCACCGCTGTCCAGCAGGTGCGTTTGTTCCCGGAAGGCACGGGTCACGACGAGTAGGTGCCCTTCTACAACGTTAAACTTGTTTAACAGGCAGACGTGCGCAGGTGGCACATCGCCCACGTACAGGTCTTCTTCATAGGGCAGGAACGGGTCCGGAAACACGCCTAGCTCCACGTGCGAAGTGGCTGCACGCTCGGCCAGCCCTAACGCTCCGTCCGCCGCATCTACAGGTCCCGGGGGTTCTTCAGAACTAGCAGCGCTTTCTCCTTGTTCGTTAACCGGTTTGTCACGTAAGCTCGACACGATGCGCACAAGAAATGGAATTCCGTGATCGAGCACTACAGTGGAAGTCGTTTCAATGCCGAAAATGGCACCCTTTGCACGAGCGTGCACGACTGCGCGAGCGACAGCGTCAGCGAGCCACAGCTGCATCGAGCCTCTACCCCCGGGACTCCTAATCTGGCATACTAACTCGAAACGTGCGCGTCCTTCCAGCAGGGGTAGTTCTCAGCGTTTCTCGCAATGCCAATGCAGCACTGTGGGCCAATGGCAATAGATCACCAAGATCGCGTCTGCGGGTGCGGGCTCAGCAACGCTGTCTCGACTCGACGAGCGTTCAGGAGTGTGACGAACGCGTCCTTTTTCCGTGCAGTGTACGCAGCAGCATTTTAGGCGTTACAGAAGATGCACAATGCACGCTTGGTATCTGTCGGATCGTATGAACGAACCATTATCCCCATACGGAAGAATGGGTCGTGGCTACGGGAATTCGCAGGTGCGGTGCTGCGTGATAGAAACCTCCTCGGACGTGGAAGACCAGCGCACGACCGGAAATCCGAGCCTGATGTCAAGGATTCTGCACTCTAAGAAAGCGTTCGTTCCGTACGCGGATCCATTGCGTAGGTCGTACCCGTATGTCTGGGACTCTACGCGTTACCGACGATCTTACGCCGGTGCCAGCTTCCAACCGAACGGAGTCAAGCCGCTGGATCGGGTGCAAGCGGTATATTTTGGGACTCTTCCTTTTGTAAACGGCCCCTGTCACTGTGGAATTTTTCTGCGACGATTTCCTTAGCCTGTCTCCCATCTCTGGCTTTAAATACGCTGGTCTCGACTGTCCTTCCATTTCCGTTGTCAGCAGTTGGTGGATGTTGCTGGCAGCGTTCAAGACCCGAATTCGACGTTGGCGGCGATCGCTGACCCACGGCCTCCACCAGACGGATTTGTCGCGTGAGGCTCGCTTGCCATTGGCATTTTCTTCGTAAGAACGAGCAGCAGGAACCCGTACGTATCCATCGTGGCTCAACATGTCTTTAATTTTAGGAATCAGTCCTCGCTGGTAGGTGTCGCGAGTCATCTGGATTCCCAGTGACGTCACACATTCGGGCGGCAGGGTGTCGCAGGAGTCACTTGGAGCAGACGAGCGCAAATTCTTGAATGACTCGCGGATCCGTAAGCTCGCATTCCTGCTTTTCGATACTGTACATTTCTAAAGTTCGGAAAGAATAGAAATCCAGAAACCTAACGAGCACTGCAGTCTTCCATGCGCCTGTCACCCAAAAGGGGATTCGCTGCAGCGCTGTTGCCGCATGCGGGGCTGTGGTCGAGTTTGTACCAATATATCTAAGACGCTGCGCAGCAGCACGCAGGATTTTCATTTGGCGCCAACCGAGTCCGCGAGCTTCGCACAAGTGCACCTGCTTCTAGCAGCGATGGTTCACGTACAGGGAGCGCACGGCTCTGATGCCCTCGTTCAGGTCTTTGGAGGTGTTTCTGGGGTGGATAAATTTGGACGAGAGTGGTTCGAGTCACAACTGGAGGCGGATGCCGCGGTTGCGTACGATCCTTCCACGGTGCTGCTTGTGCTCCAGTTCGCGTCGACATCCGCTGGTTTCTGGTTGCTGAGCGGCGATGCCGGGCTGCTTTCTACGCAGCTGCAAACTGAGAGCGTTCGAGTTTCGGTGACGTGTCAAGCGCAGCAGCGGGTGCTGGAATGGTACCTGGCTCGGGTGCGAGCTAGCACGAATGCGACACTAGCAACCTGGGTTCTGGCCGGACTGGAGGCTGGCAAGGCCGTCGCAGTTTACGCCGCAGGGAGCCGGTTGGGAAGCGCGAGTACAAGTGAAGCACGCGGTTTCGGATTTCCGCTACAAATTGCGAATAAGTGGTTTCTCGCAGCGGCTGGCAGTCCGGCTAGAGTAGGTCCGCTCACAAGCTATCTACCGGGAAACACGCGAGCCCAGGACAGCTCCGGACTCGCTGATGGCGACAGTGTCGTAGATGCCGAAGGCATCGCGCTTGTTGGTGAAACGGCCGGCGTGCTCGCTGTACGTACGAGAGCCACAGGTGAACAGAGCAACACTGGGCACCGCCACTGCCGTATGGTCGCCGCTTGCCACTGCATTCCGCATGCGGGGCTTTTTCGGGTGATCGAGTGCCAGGAGGACGCCTCTGGTGAAGCCTTTCTGCTAACTGACTGGATAGAGCGGGCTCTGGTGCGGAGCGGAGCACGAGAGCTTGTCCTCCAAGACGGCGATCTTGCCGAATATGAACTTCACCAGTTGGACGCTGCCCTCGAACGGATTGGCGGCATCGCTCGCGCCATGCTCCGCCCAGTGCGCCGTGGAGGCCTAGGCGCCGAGCACGACCTTCGGTGGCTTGTTGCTGAATCCGAAACTCCCGACTCATGCCAACGTGACGATGACGCTTGGCGACCCGAGGCACTAACGCTTGATGAGATGTTCTCGATGAAACTAGCAACAGATTGCGCGCACATGTGCGTCAGGTTTCTTGATTTGGGTCAGCGCGTTGGTGAACGGGGTCGCTACCGCATTGAGCAGCTCGCTTGGAGACAGAATCTCCAGCTCGACGCTGCTGCCTTGAAGGCACTCCATGTGCTTTGGGGCGATGAAACCGGTCCGGCATCGCCGTCGAGTCCTCCACCGGGCTCCCTCTGGTGCCTGCTTGACCGGTGTCGAACACCGATGGGCTCGCGACTGCTGCGAACTGCCCTGATTGAACCGCTGGGTAACCGCGAAGCCATCGAACGACGGCTCGATCTGGTGGAGCTCCTGGTCCATGATGTTATCGCGCGACAGCGACTCGCTGATTATCATCTGAAAGGATTCGCGGATCTCATCACCATAGCGCGGCGACTTGCGCGAGACAAAACATCGCTGCGACAACTGGTGCGCCTCTATCAGAGCCTGGTGAGACTGCCGGCCTTGCGCTCGGAACTGGAAGATCTGTTGCTGGCGCACACAGAGACCCGTCCCCGGTGTTGTCAAGTGCTTCGGAGCGATATTGCTGATCGATTGGCGGCAGTTGCACCAGCAGCTCAGGAATTTATCGAAGATGTGGAGCGTTTCATCGATTTGGAGCGCATTACAAACCACGAGTACTTGCTGCGACCGAGCATGAGCACTGAGATGACCCAGATCCGTGGGGAAATGGACACTTGTCTTGAAGAAATGAATCGGACGTATCAGCAGACGATAGCAGCGCTCCAGCAAGATGACGGCGTGCGTGGATCTGGCGGTGACTGGCTCAAACTAGAGCGCAAAGACGGACTCGGATTCTGCTTTCGGGTGACGCGCAAGGATGAAGTTTGCATTCGCGGCAAAGAATCCATTACCGTCCTTGAAACGCGCAAGGACGGTGTTCGGTTCACAACGAGCGCTCTTCGGCGCTGGAGTAGCGCGTACACCGCCGCGGAGCAACGCTATGTGGCGGTGCAGCGCTCCACATTGGCGCAAGTGTTTGGACACTTTGCCAAATATGCGTCCATGCTCGAGGTTCTCGGCCACGTCCTTGCGCTTCTGGACATGCTCGTCGCATTTGCGATGATATCAGCGGAGCGTCAGTTCTGTCGCCCGCGACTAGTTGAATCGGACGAATTCGAAGCGCACGAAAGCAGCGGCGTCATTTTGCGAGGCCTCCGCCATCCCCTGGTGGAACTCGCGCTCCAAGGCGAGCACACTTTTGTCGCCAATGATGTGGTGCTCACCCATCCGAGGCGTCTGCTCCTGATTACCGGCCCCAATATGGGCGGCAAATCGGTAACGCTGCGCTCGGTCGGACTCGCCGTGCTCATGGCTCACTGCGGTTGTTTCGTGGCCGCCGACGCTGCCTCGTTACCCGTAGTTGACCGGATCTTGGTGCGTGTCGGTGCTGGCGATATGCAAACCCGCGGCATCAGTACCTTCATGGCCGAGATGCTCGACATGTCGACCATTCTTCGGCACGCCACATCGTCCAGTCTGGTTCTGGTCGACGAGCTTGGACGCGGAACGAGCACAGCTGAGGGCTTCGGCCTCGCTGCCGCCTTGTGTGAAGCGCTGGCGTCGCGCGCTTCATGGACGCTCTTCGCGACCCACTTTCATGAGCTTACCAAGCTTGCCCAAGGAGCCTGGAGCCATCGGATGCTGAACGCCCATGTCGCCGTCGCTCAGGTGCATCGCGACAACGACGACAGCGAAATCAATGACCGCGGCAGAGGCACTCCCGCTGCCAGCCTTGTCTTTCTCTATGAACTACGCCCGGGACCGAGCGAAAGATCCTTTGGTATCCATATTGCTGAAATGGCTGGATTCCCGCACCCTGTCATCGATATGGCGCGTGCCAAAGTCAGCGCCCTAGAGAACACTGACGCTTGATGATGGCGTTATATCGGAGATGAACGCTCAGATGCTGCGCACTGTGTAGCCAGCGACGCCCGGCGCTGTACCCGTACTTGCGCCGTTCGAGAGACTCGCCACCGCCGACCGCGCATACATGGGCTCAGACCAGTTTGACCCGGAAGCGGGCTCGACGGAAGGAGGCTGTACTGCGTTTTGGTACTCGACCAAGACGAGGGAATTTTTTGGAGGACGAGCACCATATTTTCGCGTTGTCAGCGTACGGTGACCTGTTTCCCGCAAGGTCAAAGACGCATGCAAATGGTGCATATGTGTTCGACGCCAGGCTCCACGATTCCGATTCAGGAATGCGCACCTCCGGAGCGAATGCTCATGCAAGACTACGCTCCAGCTGATTCGCGTTTCTAATGCCGCTCGCACTGCCCAGTCGATTGCGTACGCAAGCCGCAGAACACGACTGCTCGAGGTTAGATCGGTTCCATGGAGACGCTCGCTCCAGTGCTCCATGCAACCAATGACGATTACCAGTTGTCGATTTTCACACGACGCAGCTCGTATGTTCCAGATTTATCGCTCCACCGACGGGTATTGCGCGTCATCGAACGAGGCCCGAGTCGTGACCTGTTTCCTTTGGTACTCGTAATGACGCCCGCCGGTGCGTCGCCGGGCGCCCTCACGAATCACAAGGCGAGAGCGTACGAAGACTGCGGCGATTATGGCGTCAACGAAACGACTTGCCTGTCTCTTCTCCCTTACGGATATGTTGCAGCAATGTTTTCCGAATCGAATAGACCAGTGTGGACGCATGTCGATAAACGACATGCATGGACATGAAGCGGCGGATGCACGCGTGACACGGATGAACGTGCATGATGCGTGCTGTATCGCTGTCCTTAACATCCCATAAGTTATAGTAATGTCGCTGATGTTGCCCCCTGCATGCACGCTGCCCAGATCGATGTCGTTTCCTCCGCCCGTGTCCGCGCGGCATGGAACAGGTACGCTTTTTGCTGGCTCGGCGGTGTACACATGAAACGTTCGGGACGCATTGCAATATCATCAATACCTGTTTTTGCGGGATGTTGATGTGTGCCTGCTCCAGTTGTCTTTCCCCTAAAGCGCTACTGTCAGCAGTTGGTGGATGTTGCTGGCAGCGTTCAAGACCCGAATCCGACGTTGGCGGCGATCGCTGACCCACGGCCTGCACCAGACGGATTTGTCGCGTGAGGCTCGCTTGCCATTGGCATTTTCTTCGTAAGAACGAGCAGCAGGAACCCGTACGTATCCATCGTGGCTCAACATGTCTTTAATTTTAGGAATCAGTCCTCGCTGGTAGGTGTCGCGAGTCATCTGGATTCCCAGTGACGTCACACATTCGGGCGGCAGGGTGTCGCAGGAGTCACTTGGAGCAGACGAGCGCAAATTCTTGAATGACTCGCGGATCCGTAAGCTCGCATTCCTGCTTTTTGATACTGTACATTTCTAAAGTTCGGAAAGAATCGAAATCCAGAAACCTAACGAGCACTGCAGGCTTCCATGCGCCTGTCACCCAAGTGGACAGATGCGAATGCCTGCCTGCGAAAATGCCACCAGATCGGCAGGCGTGCCGCCGCCACAGCCGCCTGTGCTTATCGTATACAGCACGCGTTTGGCACTCGTTGTCAGAACGCTTATTTCGATCCGATCTGTACTTCCGGGTATTGTCGAGTATCTGGTCGTACTGCTCCAGCAACCTCAAAGACGTTTCGTTTGCTGGCAGCAGCCGAAAAGGCGTGCGGCCGCTAGCCAGCCTCCATGCCACCGCCTTGTTTTGTCCAGGTACACACACTGGCTCGTCGAAAGTCGACGCCGTTCGAGAACCGGCTGGCATGCATTGCAGCACTGGCAGACCGTACACCGAATCAAGGGATCGCCTGGTTTGTGCCTGCAGCGGAACGGGAGGCACTCCAGATCACGACGCACATGTTACTGGGCACGGTGCAGGAGTTAGAGGCGGCTGGCGAGAACCCAGAGAACCCGGCAAACGCGGAGCTTACACGGCAACTGGAAGCGCTTATCAGGCAACTTGAACAGTTGCTGACGCGTCTGGCAGCGACCGAACCGCTACCGCTCTCGAGCGCGCTCGTCGATGTGGTGGTCTTTGCCCTCAGTCGCTGTGTAGTGGACTGGAGCGCGGCCGTCTGCACAGATCCCTCGTATTGGTTACGTACGCTCGACGATGAACTGGCTATGGAAGAGCAGTCATTCCGCGCGACTGCTGAACAAGAGCAGAAAGCGCTGGCATCAGCGCCACCGGCACCAGAGCACAAGCGACGCCCAGAACTCGTGCACATGCCACTACTAAGAAGCGTTCTCGCTGTGTTGGTTGCTTTGCTGGAGCGACCTGCGTTCCAACCGGCAACCGAGGCCCTGCTACGACTGGTCGGCGCAGTGGTCCGCGTTTGCATGCTTGCGGAACAGCAGCCAGTGCTCGAGCGCTGCCGCCAACTCGACCAACTGCTCATACAGGTGCGCACACGGATCCTCGAAAGACTCCAGGCACGAGCCGAGTTCCGGAACGCGACGCTGAAGCAGCTGGAGACCTTGTTCCAAAGCGTACCGGGTCTTTTGGGGTGCCTCTCGCTCATATCGTTACGAGAGGCGGCCTGGGGTGTGCCCCTGAAATTGCTCCTCCATCGCAGCATCGATGACCTGTCGAAAGCGAGCGGCGGTCGGAAACATGCTACCATTGGCGCTGCGTACGCAACCTGGATAATCGATACGCTCAAGCAGCTGGGCGAGCATCCGGCGCTTATCCTCGATCCGGGCAGTAGCGCGAATGAGTCACTGCGACTAGGGTCTCGGGTCGCGACCACAACCCAGACGCTGATGTCGGTAGCCAGCCTGATTCAGTGCTTCCGACTGGGTGCCGAGTGCTTGAGTCAGGCGTCGTCGCCGGAGGTCAGCGACAGCGCTCCGGTCACCCGAGAGCGGGTCCCGGGAGCGGCACGGAAGCGCTCTCGTTCCGCTGCAGCCGCTGCGTCGCAGGGAATAGCGTCCACGCTGCCGCGAAACCTGGATTCTGTTGCTGGTGAGAGCCAGCGACCTCGCAACGGCGTCGCTTATCTGACAACATTCCTACATCATTTGGCATCGTTACCGTCGCTTCCTGATGAACTATGGCGATGCCTCTGGAGCAGCGTGCTCACAGACGCGTGGCAGTTCCGCCTCTTCACTCGACTGGATAGCGATGATGCGTCGGTATCGTCGCTGCTCCGGAGCATGGTGCCGTTGGCGGCACAGCGTCGACTGCTGCCTCGGCTGCTGACGCGTCTCACGACTGAGCCCTTGCTAGATCCGCAGGTCGTTTCGTTTTGCTTCTTTGACAGGGCGGCAACGGATCCGGCAGTGGACGCCTTTCGCGTCGCGTTCGTGACAGACCTCGGTGGACATCGAGACGGCAGTCGTCTGTTCCAGCTGCTCATCAAACATTGCATTGAAACAGGTCAAGCAGTGCGGTGGAGCCCGCGCTTGCAGCTCCGGATGGAGCAGGACCTCGCCAAGCATTGGTCCGTAGCGCAACGCTGGTCCCTGTTTATGCAGCTATTGCAGATGCTTCAGCCCGCGCTTGAGCAATCGGTTCGAGCGCCTGCTGCATCCTCGTCACCAGAAGCCGCTGGGTGCGATACAAATCGAACAGAGCGAGCGTCTTTAGCCAAGTGGTCGCTGCTCCCGTTGCTCGTGACAAGCATCGAGTCGATCGCGTCGCAGTTCAGTGCCGCAGCTGAAGCGCTCGAAAGCACACTTGGCGACATCCGCGATCCGCTCATCACCGATGCCTGCCGTGCATGCTGGCGCTGGAGTCGCGAAAGCGCTCCGCAACTGCTGCCGGAGCTTGCGCGGGTAAGCCTTGCGTTGTTGCAGCTGCAACAAACGATGCAGCCTGGGCTCTCCACTGACTCGATGCAGCTGTTAACGGAGCTGCGCAGCTGGCAGCCGGATACCGCCACACGGAGCGTCCTTGAGCTGTGGCTGCGACAGCTGCAGATACCCGCAATGCGGAGTCATCACAGGGAGACGTCATTAGGTGCGCTTTGGCTGCCACAGCGCGACTGTCGCTTGCCGATACGACAGGAGCGCACCATGTTGTGGGCACACGCTGCACTCCAGCTGGTGCGCATCAGCGAGGAACGCGCTCTGCTCGATGCAGTGCTGGAGATGGCACTTGATGAACCCCGAATCAACGAATGGATCTGTGAAGATGTGGATATCTGGGAGCTCCGGATTCGTCCAAGCGAGGAACAGGTGCTGGAAACGCCGGATACCGGGCTCGATACGCCGCACCTCCGCATCAGGCATGATGACAGCGACTACACCACGACTGCTGGCTGTGTATTGGCGTTCCTCGCCCGCCAGCACGCCGATACGCTACGATCCATTCCTTGTCTTCGACTGGTGACAGCAATACCGCAGTTGCCCCGCGATACCCCCAAGGTAGCCGCTTTGGTCGAGCTACTGCTCTGCCGCCTGTTGTGCGCGTTCGCGCAGGCGCCCTGCAGTGCGGACCTGCATCCGCTTTCCACCTGGAGTATCGTGCATTTATCGGATTTATGGATGGAAGCGAATGCCTCAACGGTGGCGGTGACGATACCGTCGGCGGCCACGTCGCCGACGACTACGGAAGCGCTTCGTACTGCTGCGGAAGCGGCCCTGTTTCAGTGCCTGCAGTGCGTTTGGCCGGCGGAAGCGTCGCCCAGCAAGACCGACGGCTCAGCGCCCCAAACACTCTGGTTACGGCAACGGTTTCTTCTGGAGCCTTTTCTAGATACGTTGTTGCGTCTGCTACCTGCATCCCGGGTACTGGCATTGCTTGAGCGCTGCGCCTGGACCCCGGACACCTGGACGCGAACACCGCGTTTGTTGCTCGCGCTATGTCGTATGGGTCTCGCATACGGTCCGCGTTTTGCCTTGCGATGGACAGGTAGTGCAGCGCTCGCCGAGCATCTGAGCACTCTCTGGAAACAGCAATTGGCTGGCGAAGACGCACAGGTACCGTACTGGACGCATCAGCACATGGGTCTCTACCAGGAACTGTGCAGCGCCTTCCTGCGCAGTCTCTGGACGCATCCACCAGATGCATGGCGCTTGATTTACCTGCATTGTTGCGACACGCTGCTGAATACGACGAACTTTGCAGCTGGCCACGAGCTGGAGCCTCAGCAGCAGCAGCAGCAGCAGCAGCACCAGTTGCTGCTGCCGCTGCTGTCGTCGTTGCAGCCACTGACGCCTCTGGATGAGATTCCCCGCGCGTTGCGTCCTCGCTGCTGGGCGCTGTGGCGGCGTTTGCTTACTGAGCGCTGGGAGATACCCACTGAAATGCCATCACAATCGCTGGCGAATGCACTGGTCACTGTGTTGGCGACATGTTCACCGGTCTGGTTGGATTCGCAGCCCTTTGCTGGTCTGTTGTGGATCCAGCACTGGCTAGAGCAGCTGGCGAGACGGTTACCCCGACGCGCGTTGCGCTTCATCTGGGACTGTTTCGAGGACACATGGAGGGCGTTGAGCGCACCAGAATCGCAACCAGCAACGACTCAACGTTCCCTGGGACCCGGTCGTACGGCACTGCTGCTGAGTATGTTGGTACTGGCGTCGAGCGCCGAGGCACCGTCAGCACCTGGAATACCTGCCTCGGTGCTAGATGTCGCCGGGGAGGCGAGTGCGGCCTCAGCCGGCAGCACCCAACGCTCCGCTGCCGGCTATATCGAGATGCGACTGGGTATTTGGCTTACCAGCATGGACGCCGCAACGCTGGAGGCAGTCCTCGAGAGACTCTTGGAGTACAGGCTTCCGGAACTCCAACCAGACGGATCGATTCAATACGATACACCGGCTTTGTGGTACCTGTTACGTCTGGTGGAGCGATTATGGCGCCCGCTTCAGCGTCCAGAGCGATATGGAACCGCAGTCACAGCAGCAGCTGCACGTCCCAGGCCTGAGCACCTTGCTCGTGGTGCGCGCTTTCACGGCCTCGGGACGCACTGGCGTCGTCAACACCAGGCATTGCTTCGCGTGGTGAAAGCGCTACTGATAGCGAGTGCTCGAGCGTTGACGCAGACCGGAACGCAACGCCGTTGCCGGCTTGTGGAGACCCTGGTGCGGCTCCTGATCGCTTTGGTCGATCGCTCAGCGGATCCAGCGGGAGCTCTTTTTCATCCGGTTCTGGCGCTCGCGTTGCGGGTCACCGAGCAGTACCCCGGAGAAGCGAGTATTGCGACGCTTTGGTATGCGATGGTGCAGCAGCACCCGCGGCTCGTCCGACGCGTGGCTCCGTTTTTGGTTCCGCTCCTGGTGCGAGCGTGGATCAACTTGCGCCAACAACAGCAACAGCAGCAGCAGCACCAACAGTCTTCGCGGTTTTCAGTAGGCGTCAGGGAGCGGGCTACCGATCACCGCCCCTGGATCGATACTGCTCTACGGAATCTACACGCGATATTACTCGAGCTGTGGTCTATGGTAGAAGAACGAGCACGTTGGCACGTTTACGCGCTTACACCATCACCCGTACTCCCTTATCTACATCAATGGGAACGCGACTATATCCGACAGGAAAAATATCGTGGTCTAGGATAAAGAGCTGGAACAAGCATTAGCATTCGTTCGGCGTGTTTTGCGTATCCGGATGAATGCAAAACCGTGCATAGGCATGCGTCAATGCATACATTATGTCTATTCAGGTTCAAAATCCTGGAAAGTACTGAAATCGAAAAGGAAGCAGAGAACGCATGACGATCGGGGGCATTGCCAGGGAGACACACGTCCTCTAGAGGTGTAGCGGGTATCGCAGAGCCGCAAGCGCTTGTCCAGTGCTGCCCGAGATGAGTGCTTCGGTTCAGTCGCTTGTACGCACGATGCTCAAGTGTTTCGCTCAACAACAGCGCCAGGTGTACCATAACCACCACCCCCAGGCGTGCAGATGCGAATCCGATCACCGGCAACAACTCGGATCGACTGCTTGTTACCGAGGTTCACCAGCCAGTGCCTGTGCGAGCCAACACCGGCTTGATCATCCAGCCAGGCACGCTCGAGTGGCGCTTCTGTACGGGTCCAGGAGTCTATTGATGAGCGCGTCTCGCTTTTGTGCGACTTGGGTTGTCCAGCGCGCCCAGCAGTGTCCACAAGGCCGCCTGCAGCCGCCTGCACCGTGCCTGCGTGGAACGCAGCACCACCGACAATATCGCTACTGCTACTACTACTGCTGCTGCTGCTGCTGCTCGGAGCGCTTGCACCTAGCGTCTGTTGGGGATCAGTTTCCTTCGTTTCTGCTCGCGCAGCACGGCTGGTGTCCGGTGCGCGAATGAGCCAGTTGCGTCCGCGGGCGCCAGCTTCACCACCAGCTAAACCAAACGGAGCAAACACGCGTCGCTCCGACAGAATCGATACCTGGATACCGTCCTCGAGAAACTCGAGCTCTCGTTCGATGCCGTTGCCACCGGACCAACGTCCACGACCACCAGAGCCGGATCGCAAACGAAACCGCCGCAGAAGAACGGGATAACGCCACTCGAGTAGCTCGGGATCCGTCATACGCGTGTTCGTCATATGCACCTGAATACCGTGCTCACCGTGCCAACCGGGTCCAGCTCCACTGCCACCACCAATTGTTTCGTAATAGCTCCAGTGCTCTGTACCAAACGTGAGGTTGTTCATACAGCCCTGGCTCGCAGCACAAGCGCCAAACGCCCGCAGTACCACATCGGTTACGCGTTGCGAGGTGAGGACGTTACCACCGACAACCGCGGCTTCGGGATGAGGATCCAACAGACACCCTGCCGGGATTCGAATGGTAATCGGATCCAGAAAGCCCTGGTTGAGTGGTACATCACGTCCAATGAGGCACCGTAGACAGTAAATGATCGCGGACGCTGCTACCGAGGGCGGGGCATTCCAGTTGGCAACCACCTGTGCATCCGTTCCTGTAAAGTCAAAGACAGCACTGCAGCCGTCGTCGACATTATTGTCATTGTCATTGTTGTTGTCGTTGTCGTTGTCGTTGTCGTCAATCTCCACCCGCAACTGAATCCGGGAGCCGTCATCCATCACGTCGGCAGCCTCGAGCAGCCAGCGACCCGTTGGGGTGCGTTTCCCATGGCGCTTCCCCACTTGTCGCAAGACATCGCGTACGAATCCAGCAGCGGTGCGCTGAATCTCATGCATAAAGTGCTCGACAACACCAAGACCCTGTTCCTGGATCAGTTGGTTCATGAGTTGGATACCCCGTTGATTTGCAGCGATCTGGGCTCGCAGATCCGATAGCACATCGTGCAGACACCGACATCCGGCGTGCTGGAGAAGCTCTCGAACACGTCCTTCCTGGAATACGCCTCCTTGGACGAGTTTGAGACTGGCGATGGCTGCGCCCTCTTCAGCAAGCGTCCGTGAGAAAGGCGGCATTGAGCCTGGGGTCAGTCCGCCGACGTCTGCGTGATGACCGCGACTCGCCACAAAGAACACTGGTCGTCCGTCGTGGAACACCGGGGTGATAACCGTGATATCCGGCAGATGGGTGCCGCCCATTGCTGGATGATTGGTCATCACCACTTCACCGGGAAGCCAGTCTGCACCCAGGAGCGTCACCTGCTGGCGAACAGCGTCTTGCATCGAGCCCAGATGGACGGGAATATGGGGCGCGTTGGCCACCAGACCTCCCTTGGCGTCGAAGAGTGCGCAGCTAAAGTCGAGTCTCTCTTTGATATTCGTTGAGACCGCAGTGCGTTGCAGTGTGCGACCCATTTGCTCTGCAATGCTCATAAAGCGATGTGCAAATATGGATCGTTTGACAGCGTCCGGCACTTGAATGACGCTTTGAGCAACAGAAAGACTATCAGTGCTACTACTGCTACTACTCGAGTGTGTTGCCGCACCAGCAACCGACGACAAGTCAATCCGTATGGTCCGATCCGCGAGCACAGCAGCTTGGCAGGCAGGCTCCACCAAAATCGTAATACCACCGGCGGGATCGACAAGCAGCGCTGGACCAGAAAACGTCTGGTATGGAGCAAGCTTCTCCAGAGCATAGACCGGCGTCCTGGTATGCCAGCCAGTGGCAAAGTAGACCGCAACCATATCCAGCGGCTCTGGCACTGACAATAGCGCACCAGTAGACGAGAGCGTTTCGAGCTGCTGTTGCTGCTGCTGTTGCGGCCCCGGGGCCCGTGTCGCGGCATCCTCGCCCGAATCCGAATGCCCAGCACCAGTCGCATCAGTGGAATACGTCTGCACAGGCGACACTGTAGACTGTCCAGCTACGCGTACACGTACATTATCAATAAGAATCGATCGACCTCGCAGCAAAAACCCATGTTCACGTTCATAGGCCTGTTCGAAAGCGCTTGCATAATCCTCGCAGGTAGCCGCAGCACCCGGTTCCGAAATCAACATCGCCAGATCCGTACCTTGGTACCGGAGATGGAGGAATCGCTCACACTGGATACGATCACTTGCAATACCGCGTCTTTCAAGCGCTTTCCGGCAACGTAGCTCCAACTCCTGGAGCAGTTGCTGCGCTCGTTCCAGGTCACGTGCGAGTTCTAGCGCACACGGCTCTTGCAGATCCTCCACGGACTCACTCAAGCCGATACCATACGCCGAAAGCACACCAGCGTAGCGGTGCACGTACACGGTAGACATTCCGAGGTTCCGAGCGATTGCACAGGCGTGCTGACCACCGGCACCACCAAAACACGCAAGAACATGCTGGGCGGGATCGTAGCCTCGAGACTCGGTCATCGAACGTATGGGTCGACACATGGCCTCATTCGCGACCCGGATAAAGCCCAAGGCTAGCTCTTCAATGCTCAGCAGGTTCCGCTCGGGGTCGTCTCTGGTCAGCTGTTCTCGAAGGGAGGCAAAAGCTGCGCGGGCGGCCTCTACATCGAGGGATTCGTTCTGGTCAGGCCCGAAGATCGATGGGAAAAAGCGCGGCTGTAGACGCCCCAGCACCACGTTGGCATCGGTAACAGCTAGTTGTCCGCCGGGTTTTCGATAACACACGGGGCCGGGATCGGCAGCGGCGCTCTCGGGACCCACCTGCAACAGTCCGGAACGATAGAAGAGGCGACTACCTCCGCCAGCCGCCACCGTCTGGATGTCCAGCTGAGGTGCCTGGATCATCACGCCCGCTGTTTCGCACTCGAGAACGTGCTCCAGCTGTCCGGCATAGCGTGAAACGTCGGTGCTGGTGCCGCCCATATCAAAGCCGATGACTGGTTGAGGTTTTCCATCTGGACTCGACAGCGCCGTCAACGGATAGATGGTTTTCGCGTAGCCGACAACACCGCCAGCGGGGCCGCTCAGGATCGCCTTGTAACCGGTAAACGACTCCAGTGGACAGAGGCCGCCATCGGACTGCATCAACTCTACCAGGGTGTCTTGCAAACGGCCTTTGAATCCGTCGCGGAACGATTCCAGGTACTTGCGTAGACATGGTGTCAGGTAGGCGTCCACGAGACACGTGAGTCCGCGCGGTACAACCCGCTGCATGTTGGTCAACGAAGACGACAGCGTGACGTGTTGGAAACCGAGTGAGAGGGCCAGGTGACCTACCTGTTGCTCATGGGTATCGTATGCGTACGCGTGCATGAAGACAACCGCCACCGAGCGGATGCCTTTCTGGAGTGCCTCTTTGAGGGCGCTTTCCGCCACGTCCAAGGCTGGTGGGCGTAATACCTGCACCCATTGACCGGTTCGGGTAGCGATGAGGTGCTGGCGTTCCACTGCTTCCAGCGACTCGTAGGCTGCGGCGGATACCAGTCGGACACGTTCCGGTATTTCTGCAACATCCTCGTACAAAACAGCGGGTCTCGCAGCACGTAGGTCAAAGATATCCGGTCGTGATTGGTAGCCGATCTGGAGGAGGTCGCGTAAACCCGCTGTAACGAGGAGGATACAACGCTCTCCCCTGCGTTCGAGGAGCGCGTTGGTTGCCACAGTGGTACCCATTCGGATCCATTCGATGACATGTGGGTCAATGGTGTCGGTGCTGTGGTGCCTTGTGCCGTAGAACTCGGCGATGATACGGCGGATGCCTTCTTGTGGCGCATCGCTGTAGTGTTCCTTGTCCTCCGATAGAAGCTTCAACAAGCGCACGGTGCCGTCGGGTTGCTCCGCGTAGATGTCGGTGAACGTTCCACCGCGATCAATGGCGAAGCGAAAGCGTCCGTTCGCCACTACCATGGAAACGAGTGAAGGAAACGTCCCAGGGTCCAGCTATTGCCGTCGATGTTGTTTGTTTGGCTCCAAGAACTGTGGCGAGCTGGCGGAGTGCGCTTCCAGAAGACCACCACCACCACCACCACCACCACCACCCGCACGAGTATGCGGAGGATTCACTGCGAAAGCGTCTCGTGCGTGCTGCCTGCACGCTCACTGGACGCCAAAAGCTGTCAGCGAGAACGACAGTTCGTGTCAGAGGCTTTACCCAGCGAGAGAAGCTTTGACAGCAATTTTCGCCTCGCTCTTCTCACGGTAGGGGTCTGGGGTGACAGGAACCGCAGCGCTTTGGCTCCACGTGTGTTGCGGGGTATCCAGGGAAGCGCGTTTTTTCCTCACAGACGCCTCTGTGGAACACCAGCCTCCACCCGCAGCTCAACGTACGAGTACCCGCTTGAAGAGACTAGTCGACTCGAGACCTCAGTGCCTTCACACACAGAAGCTGCTGCGTAACACCAGCGCCAAAACGCAAGAAAGCTGCGTTATGTACGAAAAGCGACACATTTTCTGCATCGCTTGGCTCGCCACGGGGCGTCGTCGACGAGTACACGAAACCAGCGCTTCTGTTGTACAGAGTAGACGCCACTGGGACACCCTGTAACCCAGTTAGACTTGTTTGCTGGACACTGCGAGTCGTCCAGGTATTTTCCAGAGTTTGTGTCAAAGCAACGCTTCACTCGATTTTTGTATGGATACGTTAGGAGCTCGCTTTCTGCAGTTGGAAAAGGAGGCTCTGATCGTACTGCGAGCGTACGCGTTGGCGTTCGAGCGCTGGACAGTGTTCGTACGGAAACCACTGGAGGTGGTTGCCCAGCGCTTGGCTCAACAAAGCGCTTACCTAGATCTCGCCAGTGCCCGAGCGATTACGTACATCATCGCAGCACCGCTGTTATGGAACGTGCTCGCCCGACTTGAGTACTACACGAGCGTGTGGAGTCGCCTCTGCCGTGGTCGACGGCGGTTCGCCTGCTTGCTGCTGGCCTGTTGGGTATTCAGCTTTTCCTTGTATCGCGATCTGGTAGTGCTGGAGGCAATGCAGACCAGTGCGGTGCGCTTGCCTCCGTTTCCACAGGCGTTTATACCAGCGGTGGTGTGGCGCTTCTGCACCCCACGAACGATAGCCTCGGCTGTAGACGCGGTCGCCTGGGCCGCGTTTGCCACTGGGCTTGTCCTGGTGACCACGTCCTTTCTTCAGCTGGGTCTCTTCGGGACGTATCTAGGGGACTACTTCGGAATCTTGAAACCATCCAAGGTCTCTGCGTTTCCCTTCAGTCATTTTGAGCATCCGATGTACGATGGGAGTTCGTTGCTGTTCCTTGCGGAGGCGCTTTTTGAACGCAGTACCCTGGGTCTGTTGCTCACGTTGCTGCTCTTTGCGATGTACCGTATCGCGACAATCTGGGAGGGATCCTTCACCAACTACATCTACGCAAATCGGGCTCGTCAGCGTGCGACTTTTTCCGGTAGGAAGCACGCTGACTGATGGCGGTCGTGTGTGCATATGCGCTGTCGCTGTCGAGGCGCCGATACAACCCAAGAATGCTTGACTTGAGGCGACTGAGGGTGTATCACTCGGGAGAGCGAGCTGTGCGATGATCACGGGACGCGCACGGTAGCCTCTGCCACGCTCCTCGTAAAGTGCACATGCAAACGAGGTAGATGCTGCTGTTGCTGCGATGCGGTAATTCACTCGCCACGAGAAGCGCATGCGTTGTGAGGATTCCACACCAGAGACCATAGAACTGCGAGTGCCTGCGCTTCCGTTTCGTATCCGTGGATAGGGTGCCTGCGGACGCCAATCTCGCTGGTACAGCAGGCTTTGGTCCGCTGGCTGGGGAACAATGCGACGATGACGTTGTTCCGTACTGGGAACAAAAAGGTACACAGACGAAGAGATATTTGCATGCCTCGACGCTGCGCTTCGGGAAGCGAGTCCTGGACATCGGCAGGCACGCCTCTGTTGCGCTTTTTGAGCACAGAGCATTACCATCTGCAGAGGCCCACGTGATAGCGACCATGTCCAAATACGGGGCTATCGTGATAGACCTCGAGGCGTTGCAACAACTCACCGTTGTAGAATCGTGACGTAAACATCGTGCATCCTTCGGTGGATGCGTTCATGCCCTGCAGTGCGTATCGATGAGTGAGTGCAATACCAGACAACATAAAGCACCCCCAGCATCATACAGTGTCCAGCGGCACGACCTGAGCTGTGATTCTCCTCACGAGAAGTTTTTGCGATACGAGGTTCGGTAATCGACAAGATGCAATCGGAAACGATTGTCATGATCGAGGTTGATCGTTCTCCGTGACCAGCACCGCAGTCGCCGAAGAAGATTCGTCTGTGCTAGGCTGCGTACCGGTCTTTGCTATCATGAACAGCTGTTGCTATGAGAGGCTCCGATGGCAACTATTGCTGTTATGGACGGACTTGTTTCCAGAACAGTAGCCGCAGACTCTGCTCCCGGGGAAAGAGAGGAAGACGTCATCCACCGCACAGTGCAACGATCGGTGGTTGCTCGCTTCAGCGCCATGTGAGCGTGTCGAGGACGCGAGAACCGCGTTTCCTCAGCCATGCGAAGCAAATTATGGAGTGGCTGGGGTGCAGGCTTGCTGGGAACGCGGTACAATGCACATCGCGTGGTTGTATTTACCGGCGAGTTGCATCGCAGCGGTGGTTTTCGCAAACGTGGATTCCCACACACACACACGCGGATGCTCCAAGCGTACACAAAACTGAACGAAGCAGGTACCGAAGCACCACAAGGTCGATGCCTGTCGTAGCCGTTTTTGTTTGTGAAACCGCGTTGCAATGCAGATGAAATGATTGTGAATGACTAGGTGCATGGCGAAGATATCTTGGATGCGGAAAACCATGCCGATGATTGGAATGAGGATCTATGCGGTACGCGCGATACAGCGCACCTCATCTCGACTGAGCTGCGCAAAAACGCGCACCAAAATCACAGAGAATACAAGATAACGTGCTTTTTATGAAACATTAAGGATTTCATGGAAATCGGAAATGTCCACGCAAGGATCAAGTACGCTCGCCCGGTAACTCGAATGTACGGATGCCATGTCGGGTATCTAGGTCGATGCAGCGTTCCGGTACTGTGCAAGAAACCCGGCGGAACCTGACTCTCTTGCTAGGATATCCGGCTACGCATATGTGTTTTAAGAGATCGATGCAAGGACCGCGATCCTGCACCATACGAATCGAGATGCGGAACACGTGCTTCCGCACCAGCATCAGGATACAAGGCATGAAGTCTTTTTCTCGTATCGCACCAGGAACGTCACCCTGCAATCGATGCAATCGCTTATTCGCTGTCGGCTAGAGGAGATCATGCCTCAAGGCATTCCTGCTGTATCGGTGGCTTGTTTTTGCGCTCGTGCTACTGCGTCCCAGAATCGCCGATACGGTTCAGAGGTGCGCGCTGCGGGGTCTGTTCTCAGGCAACGGATGGTTTCGTCAACAACTGGACTGGTACCGTAATGCAACGAAGGCGCTTCACTGAGACTGAGGCCGTCGACCACAGCCTGTACGATGCTCACTGCAACCTGGGCACTGCTTTGTCCGACCTCGGCACTGGCCATCCGCTCCGCCAGGTCTCTGACGAACAAGTCGTGCATCGTGTCTAGCTTGTGTTTCACGAGTGGATCCTCGTCGGGGATCTGCCGGCAGCCACGGTCGCGGGACGCAATACCAAACCGAGTGCTGAACGCCGAACGTACGGGTCCCGGATTCACACAGATACAGCGAATCCCGAAAGGTTCCAGCGAGTACCGCATGGCCTCGGTAAGACCCTCGAGAGCGAACTTGCTCGCCGAATACAGGTCACTGAATGGAACCGCTCGAAGCCCAGCCAAGCTGCTAATCTGAATCAGAACGGTGTATAGACCTTGCGCCTGGTTTCTCTTTGACTGGGCTCGCATGTAGGGCGCCAGCACCTGGACGCCCCGCATGACCCCAAACACATTGGTGTCAAAGAGCTGCTGTGCTTGCTCGACCGTAACCTGTTCTGTCGATCCCGACACACCGTAACCCGCATTGTTGATCAGAACATCCACACGTCGCTCAGGGCCGGGTAACTGGGTAGCGAGCGCCTTCCATGACGCCTCCGAGGTGACGTCCAACGCGCATACTCGGAGTGCATCTGCTGAGGCTACTTTCCTCGTCGTCGTCGTCGTCGTCACGGTATTTCCGCTTTCTGTGTATCGCTGAACTAGCTCGCGCAGACGCGGCTCTCCCGTAGGTAGACTTGACGGTCGCATGGTCGCGATGACCCGGAAGAGGCCGCTCGCCGCCAGCATAGCGGCAGTGTGCAGCCCTATGCCAGTGGTCGTTCCTGTGACCACAACGACCGGCAGACTGGTGGCATGTTCGAACCGGGAAGCGAGCGGCTTCAGGGTAGCTTGCGCATACCCCCACTGCTGCAGGTCGTCGGCTTCAAACGCATCAAACATGGAGAGCGGAGAGTGTGACGCTCGTGCGCAGCAGTGCGTTCGCGGCACTCAGTTTCCGTTATCGTTTGGCGCTGACAAAGTTCGAACTGAAGAAACGCTTCGAATACTGTACGAACTGCACTATCGTGTCAACCAGAGTAACACGGTGCGGTGCAGGTCGACTCCGCACACACACACACACACCTAGCTACCGAGGCGAACGAGTCTTGTTCCTAGCGGCCTTATTCAGAAGCCATCGCTTCCTGCGGATCGTGCTCAGCGCTGGATGGCGTCCAGACGCCGTCAAGTCGCGATGTCGTCGATCTCCGGACTTGCTCCGGAGGTATACGATCAATCTTCGCGATGCTCAGTCGCATCGAGCGATGGAGTACCATGATCGTTCACCAAGTGTCAAGTGAATTCGTTCCCTGTGTGTACGTACGGTGCTGGAGCTTCGCTGTGATGGCTGTTCATATCGTAGGCCGGGACAGAGTTCCAGGCACGAATCCGATGCTCCTTTTTCTGTGCACTGATGTTTTTCATGGAAAGTGTGCAGCGTTTCACCACAGAACCTTAACTGAGTCCTAGAGGATGCACGCAAGTATTCGCTGGACACAAAGTCGATGCACGTTGCGGAAGCACGAGACGTTTCCGGATGTAGATCGAGGCTGTGAAATCCTGGTGCAGCTTGCGCTCGCGTCTCATCGTCTACTGTTTAGGAATCTGACACCCAACCAGCCCAAGGTACTCTAAAAAGTGCATTCAGCTTGATACCAAACGCTAGGTTTGTACGATTTGCAGCGAGCATCCATGTTTGTGATGCCCGTTTATCCTCCTGAATGCATTGATGGAAATCGTACAGAATACCAAACGCTACTTTTGTACGATTTGCAGCGAGCATCCATGTTTGTGATGCCCGTTTATCCTCCTGAATGCATTGATGGAAATCGTACAGAATACCAAACGCTACTTTTGTACGATTTGCAGCGAGCATCCATGTTTGTGATGCCCGTTTATCCTCCTGAATGCATTGATGGAAATCGTACAGAATACCAAACGCTACTTTTGTACGATTTGCAGCGAGCATCCATGTTTGTGATGCCCGTTTATCCTCCTGAATGCATTGATGGAAATCGTACAGGATACCAAACGCTACTTTTGTACGATTTGCAGCGAGCATCCATGTTTGTGATGCCCGTTTATCCTCCTGAATGCATTGATGGAAATCGTCCAGAAACGTTTCCTGCACGCGTTGCACGCGCGCGTCGAAGGAGCACAGGATTCCAGGCTTTGTAACCTCCAGCGTGTCAAGCGCTGCAGGCTACCTCCAAACGACGCAACTCGTTGGTCATATTCTTTCGCAACTCATCGAAGAAATGGTGAATACGCTCCCCGTGCAGCCCCTTCGAAACGAAACCGTTGGCGAGCCCAGCGCGATCCCATGTACGCTTGCCAAAGATAGTCCGCATGAGCCATTTGGGCGCTCACTTACTCGCTCTGAATGAAGCGTATCTAGCTTCCGTATCTGCTCCGTATGGTGCTCGGAGCGTCGGGGAGGCTCTTGACCTAGTTGTTCCTCTTTTTGGTATGCCTCGTGGCTTTTCATTGTGTCCAACTCCTGACGATCCCGAGCCCTGGGATATTTGAGCAGCTTCATCTGCTCTCCGTTCAGGTCTCTGGCTCCGGCGTCTCGTCCTTGAGGTACGGCTACGGGCATGATGTTCTCCAACACGAGATCCATTCCATTAGATATTCGTCGGATTCATATACCGTGAGCGGCTGATCATGAGTCTCGTTGCTCGACCCGGCCTGGGTTTCACAGAGTGCGTGCATAATGACAGTCTACTGGTCTCCGTTGTTTCTGGAAACTTCATTGCACTTCCTGCTTGTTAAAGCGGAACCTGGAAAGAGCTCCGCCTACGGTCCTCGTGAAGCTGTTCGAATGCTGCATGCTCGTTAGCAGAGACCGACTCCCTCTCCTCTGCCACCTTGACTTGAAGGAGTGATAGGAACGTAATCGCTTTGCGCTTTACCCGCTTTCTACTCGGCATTCAGACGAACAGATTCGACTATAGGTCTGAGACTCGTCATATCTATCTATGGATCTCCGTTTCCTCAAGTATCTTTTCGTCACCCTCGCGGTCGCGAGCATGCCCACGGACCGGAGCGCGTTTTCCGCTCACTCCCGCGCATTCGCAGCGAAGCAATACAGCGGTTTAGGATTGGTGACGTTAGAGAAGCGCCTGTCGAAAGACTTTGGTGTCATAGGAACGAGCGACGCATCTATGGACCGGTAAGTGCCAGCGTGGCTCTTCACAATAGAGAACACGCCTTCGGCTGGAGTGAAGCACTTAGAACGGGATGCCACGCAGCGCAGCTCAGTACCTATTTCAGCCACATCATCCTCTTATCGCTTTTTAGTGATCGAAAGCGACGTTCCCCATGAGCAGCACCGAAGATTGTGGGAATAAAAAGCCAAGAAGCGTGCTTCAACTGTGGATCATGTGTTGAGCGATCGCGTCCGTTTCATGATTTGTATGTGACCAAACGGTAGCGTCGCTGCGAACGTTGATGTTCCCGGAATGCTTGACTGTTACGACTTTGCGAACAGCGGTTTGCCCCTTTTTGATTGCCCACCGAAAATGTATTCCACTACTGCCGAATGAAGTCTAATCGACTGGGATGAACGTGCGTCTTACGAGTACTACTGCGAGAGCATCATACGAAAGCGAAGCGGGCATGCTGATACAGGTATTCCGGAATGCGCTAATCTGAGTATAACCAGTGCATCCCAAATGATCCCCTGGACGCCTCATGCACTACGATGAGCGGCAGGTGGATGCGTTTTCGTCGGACTGGGGTCGTTTCCCGGATTACAGGTAACGCGTGCATAATTTCGGAGCATTCCATTACATTCTTCGACTCCTCAGCGTCAAGAAGCATGTTACGCGCAAACTGCTCCTGCAACAGAGCCTCGCTTGATGCGGTTGATGGATCCGACGCACCAGCGTCCAGAGCACGAGCTCTGCTCGCGCCAGGTCATGAACCAGGCAGCTACCTTGATTCCTTGTCAAATGTTTTACGGAGACGTCAATGCTGCCTCGAGGCCATTGTAGTTCGCTTCATCATCATGCATTTGAATCGGAGTTTCAGGGCTACGTCGATTCTGCTTCGATTTTGCCTCATCTGTCAACGTTTTCATGCTCGCTTGTGCCTGCAATCTAGGATTTGACGCGGTAGGAGTGCGAATGCGTCCTATCCTGGGTGCGCTTCATTCGAGGTATTACCAAGGTTTCTCGCCAGTACGCGTTCCAGAAAGCATAACCAGCTGGTACCAGGTTCTGCACCGTAGGATGCTCCGGTGCGGTCCAACCGCGGACCCAGACACCTCGCGAGGTGCTCGTGCTTGGCCAGTGTTCTGCACTGTAGCGCTCCGCAGCACATGCGTTTCCCGGTGGCAAGTGGTGACTCGTACGGGTGCTACACCACGAAGCATTCGACGCGAGCACGTATCTATCAAAGACGCAGCCCGTGGACCGGATGCATATCCAGAATTCCTGTTTTCTTGAAGGAATTCTTACATTTCTCCCAACTCGAGGCTTTATACATAAAGAGTTCTGGTCCGAGCGGAAACGAGACGCCTCTCGTGAGTCGATCCTCCCGCGACCCGAGACGGCAGGCTTCTACCATACCAGAGCGCACTCGATATCCACAGCACCTCTACACTGAAACGACCTACGTTCCCCGGAAACGCAAGGCACTCTTATGCAGCGTGCCTACCAGCGTCCATCCTTGGAAGCTGGTAGGCACGAGTGCTGTCGTTCCGGGTACGCTCCGCGTGCGCGATGGCCAGGCATCGCTTCTTCGTTTCAACGTAGAAGCACTGCACGCTGCTTCTCGCTTCGGTGCAAGCACCGCGTACGTGTCCAACTTTTGGACAGACGCACTGGTACCCCACTTGCCAAGCAGGGTAATTGCGCTCCTCTAAACAATAGACATGAGCACCGAAAAGGCCACATGTTTCGAACCTCGCCGGCAGAGGATCCAGCGTGCAGCGGCGCGCTTCGGACATTCGCGTCGGGATGCCGAGTCTCCAGAGGCTCCGCTCGGAGCTGCTCACCGTATGGAAACCCGGAATGCTCCCGGTAGTGCGACCAACAAACTAAAAGAAGTGGGTTTTGGGGGTGAGATAGAGTTTGCGCGAGAGCTCCAGGAACTGCTCGGGATCGTCGAGCGAAAACTGGGACTCTGCACGTCAAGCGACGCGGGCAGTGAAAATGGTGTGGAACGGACACCCGAGGCGCAGTTGCCGCTCGTGTACGTACCACCAAGTGCTATTTGGCGACAGCTTGATCACTATGTACAATGTGTTATCAGCGGGGAGAGTGCAGGTTCGCGCGACTTGCTGGAACAGTTTCTCGAAGACCTTCTTCGGTATTCGGTACGGACGAAGCACGCCTTCTTTTTGCACCGTCTCTACGGCGGCTCGGATCCAGTAGGACAAATAGCTGACCTCATCTGCTCGGTGTTAAACAACTCTGCGGATACGTTTTCCGCTGCGCCGTATCTGGTGCTTCTCGAACGACGGGTTATTGAAGCGCTGAGTTCGTGCATCGGCTGGAAGACACCGCTGCAGGGTGATGGTATCTTCTGTCCTGGCGGCAGCTATGCGAACCTTATTGCACTGACGACAGCGCGCCACGTGTTTCAAATGAATGCCAGGCGACCGCAGACAAAGCGTACCCAGCGCCATCACTGCAACGAGCGGCGAATGGGGATCTTCACGTCGGTCCAAGGCCACTACAGCGTTCGACGGAATGCGGCCATGCTCGGGTTCTGTGATGCACCCGGTGAGGACTGCTCGGATGTCGTGCTGGTGCCCTGTGACGAGCAAGGCCGCATGGACCCGGAGGCGTTGCGTCGACTCATTCACTGCTTTCGCAACACCCGGCCGCTTTCCAGCGTATTCGTGAACGTGACAGCGGGTACGACTGTTTTGAGTGCGTTCGACCCTCTGCCCGAAATCTGGACAGTTCTGGCAGAGGCATTTCCATTGAATTCCGTAGAGTCAGCGTCAGCAGAGCTGGAACAGCGCCTTGAGGCAGACACCATGATTCGGGAGCGCTTGCCTCAGCCGACGTTTTGGGTGCACGTGGACGGAGCCTTAGGCGGCTCTTTCTTATTTTCGGAGAGATTTCGTCCGGTGGCGCTGGCTGGGCTTGAAAAATACGCAAATTCGTTTGTGCTGAATGCTCATAAGCTACTCAATGCACCGCTGCAGTGCTCGATTCTGTTAGTTCGGGAGCGCGGTTTGCTTCAGGCCGCGCACGCTGCGCGAGCACCGTATCTGTTTCACGACGACCTCGATACCGATGCGCAGTACGATATTGGCGACATGACGCTGACGTGTAGCCGCCGCTCTGATGCGCTCAAGTTCTGGCTGATGTGGATGTGGCGTGGCAGTGCTGGTTTCGGGGCCCGCGTGGAAGCCGCTGCTCGCAACGCACGCGCTATTGCTGAGGCCATGGCGAAGCGACCGTGCTTCCTCCTGGTACACTGGCCGCTTGATCGGTCTTATCCTGCGACGAATGTTTGCTTTTATTACCTGCCATCGGACATGCGAGAAAGCATTCGGAACCTGGCAGACATCAAGGCGGAAACAGCCGCTCAGCTGCTGGGTAGCATCAGCGTCCGGCTGTGTCGAGCGCTGCAGGTCAGCGGCAAGGCCTTGCTGAACTACTGCACGCTCGAAGGCACAGATTTGCCGATTTTTTTGCGCCTTGCCCTGCATGGTCTTCACGTATACGAAGAGCAGGAAATTCAAGATCTCCTGAACCGCATTGAAGACTGTGGCGATCACGCAATCCGTCCCGGTACACCAGCGAGCATCAGCGGCAACGTCAGCGGCGGAGTGTCGCCCGTAGGCGACGACGGCGCTCATAATGCCGTCCTCTAGATCGCTGGATGCTGGCGCAGCGCTGAAGTTAGTGCTGGGCCACGATACGAGCCCGTTCGTGTACCAGACGACCCGAGCAGTAACCCTGAAAACCTTGGTCCACCAGACAGCGAATCTATACACACTTCGCAGTGTAGGAGGTCAGACCAGCCGTGACGCTCCCAAGATCATAAATAACTTAAGCGAGCCGACACGATGCCGTATCCGGTTTACTCGGATCGAGAGCCCGACGCAGCAAGCTTCGTCGGAGTCCGCGTGGACACTTGTCTCGTCTGCCTGCGCATGCAGCGTCTAGGGTTGCAGCTCCGCACCTACAGCTTTTTACGTCATGATTATGATTACTTTGCAGATAGGACAGTTGCAATGGATATGACGTTTCTGGTGCCCGGCGCTATCTACACTGGATTTCACGGTCCGGCAAGTCCTTGCAGTTCATGTGGGCATTCAGGATGGTACGCGTGGCGCTCTGTGTCACGAATGGCATAGAATGGCGTGCGAGCAGCTCCACAGCGAAGCGTCGCTCGCTTCTGAGGATACTCAGTCCGAATCACTGGTTGCATGGTTTGGTTCGGATCGACTCGCGACTGCGCTGTACCGGTGTTCAGCGAGGCGCCGGGTCCGAAACATCTCGTCTCAGTTGCTGCAATGCAACGGTGCGTTACCCGTCATGCCGTCGCAGCATTTTAGCGATGACAACTAGGCACTGGCTCGCAACTTTAACTAGGCATCATCAAAAGTAAAGCGCTCCAAAGTATCATCATCCGGCGAGGTGCGGCCGGTGTGCTGTCGACTCGAATGACATGCGTGCACGTGTGCACGCATCGGTGCCGGCATCCGTGCGCAGACACGCATGATGCGATGCGTGTCGCGCGGGAAAATCACCGCTCCGCCCGAGTGATGCTGCTCTGGTGCTTCTATGTCGATCGCTTTTTCTCGGCTGCGATCATGTTGTCATGATCCTGCGACAGCACTTTACGATGGACCTCAATCTACTTCCATCCTAAAAGCTTAAGCACGATTTCGAAACCGCTCTGAAGCTGCCAGACAAGCCCGCCAGTAACTGCGAACGCCATGGCAAAATGTGCGTTGCGCGCTGCGGTATTCCCCCGCCGCATCGCCGGTGCCAGGCTAGCCATCATGCTCATGAGCGCCACCGAGGCCAGACCAACGTACAGATGCGGTCCCGGAAAGAGTTTCCCAGTACGAGTGTACGTATTGGCCATGCCCTCGAATGTGGTCACCGTCATCACGGCGAGAAGGATGCTCGCGATTTGATAGTGCCGATCGCCGGGTTTGGCCTGCGCCAGCTTCATCTTCAGTTCCTTGTCTTTGGTCGTACGCATCGTACGCGCCTGGTACCCCAGATAGAATGCGTACAGCGTTCCGAGCAGGACACCGTCCATGACCAGTGGATGCACAAGCGACAGCGGCAAGCTTTTGAAGAGCGCTTTCAGAGGTGACTCCGGGGCCGCCGTTTCCTCTGCAGCCAGAACAACGCCAGGTATCGTTGTCGTCATCGTAAGCAGCGGTATCGACAAGCGCTGCGCGAGCGACAGACGAGCCGTAGTCTTTTCGGGTACCGACGGCGGCGTATTGTTGCCCGGAGCGCACGCGACCACCGGGCAGGGCTTGCGCAGCTGCGGTTTTTGCAGCGCTCCTAACCGACGCCTTGAGACACAACCGTTATTGTTCTTCGGTTGTGGGTAGTGAAGGTGCAACCTCGCCCTATTCGCTGGGATAACAAACCCGAACATCTTGAACACCCTGATCACCGAATTACAACCAGAATACCTCGTACCGCTGCAGCTGTGTACGACGGGATCGTATCCGCTGGCTGCTCACGCTGCCCAGCAGCCTGCGCGGGCGACGAGCGCCACAAGATCGCCCTGCTGCGCGAAGGTGCCGCGTCGTTCCAGCGCTGACGACGGCAAGCAGCCGACGCGGTGGAAGCGCGAATCCATCTCGCCCGACCTGCACTCTTGGTGCAGCGCACAAACTATGACATTTATCAATTCGGTATCGGCGAGCTTTGAATAGGACCGATGGAACTAGGGAGAGAGCGTAGGCGCGGGTTAGAGGTTCTGCGTCATGGAAGGTGCCTCGGCGAAGAGACGGCATCTGTTCTGGATACCAGATCGCTGGGGTAAAGGGAGCACGGTCAGGCAAGCGTATGAGATGCTGTGTGTGGATTTCAGGGCATCGATGTCGATCCTATGATCGCGATCGGATGGCGTTCATCGCTTCACATTCCAGGCGGAACTCGTGATGCGTCGCATACATGGCCGAACGATTGCCAGCGGACGTGCCTGGGATGGCAACGATCCACCGAAGGTCGTGTGCCTGCGAGTATCCGCGACACCGTCGCCACGAAAGCGGCGCGCATCGCGGCAAAGTAGTCGACGCGGCGCGCTCTTCACGAATGTCAGACATAAATGGGAGGGATCCACGAATAGAACGCGGGCGGTGGCTCTGAAATTAGTGTGCCTCGCAATGCCACTGGCACCAGCGTTGGCGGGCCTATGCTGCGACTGCGTCCTAGTCCCCGCTCCGCCATCTCCGACTTGGAATACGCAAGTCGCTCGCATGCCCCCGATTCCTTCAGTAGGAATCTGGTGATTTCGGTGGCAGCCTCCGGGCGCCGATGTCGCAGTTCCCGACTGTTGTCGACGCGTTTCGTGTGCAGACGATGGTTGCATCTATGCGTTGCGTGTCATTCACATGCGCCTTACATTCAGCCTCACTGCGACCTTCGCAACCGGGTGACACCTGACTTTGGACGCGTTTCCCCGTATGCCTACAGCATGCTGTCCTGACCCAAAGGCCACGAAGACGTTGCGCGTGAACACTTGCTGCATCTCTCGGTACACGCTTTGTACGTGTACAGAAGGCTCGCCTCGATGCCCGCCTGAACGTTTGCGCCCGGTGCTGCGCGCTACGATCACGGGTTTCTTCTGGGCGATCCTGTAGGGCGCGTATACTGTCCGCTACACGCGCTCGCTCTTCTACTCGCAAAGCGATTTCTGGGAAGCGAAGTTGACCGTGATGTACCGAGCACCGGAGGGGAATCCTTGCTGAAGATCAAGCAGCGTAATAAGGATGCGTCTAGGCTCCCTGCATTCGTGCAGAGCTTCGATGCATGCTGCCATGCAAGCGATCGCTGCGATGACTCAAGTCCACGCCCGAGACCCATTTTCACGCGAACAGAAGAGACCATAGCGCCTGGAAGCATATTCCGTGGTAGGTATCATGCCATTGGCAAATGTCGTTTCACCGAATCTTATCTATGGTCGGCAAAAAGAAGAGCAGCTCGCGATCACGTAGGTTGTATACGCGCATCCTTTCGCAGAGGTCTGCCTGCTTTTTGGACCGGCCGCCTGCTATTGGTTTCAGTTTCTCCGCGCAAACTTCGAGTCTGAGCTGACGCCTCAAGAAGTTCTCTCGGTTCAGCTCAGTGGGTCTCGTCTTCAGTACCAGACATCGTCTGACATTGATGGCGGCTTTGAAGTCTCGTTTTACGAATTTCATGTATGCAGTGCAGCTGATTCGATTCACCTCTGTAAGGATTCCTCGAACGCTTGTCCTTTGTGCCATTACAGCCCCGTCATTGGCTCGTGGGACGAAAACCTTCCTCGTCTATCTCCACTCTCTTTCTTCGTACTCTTCTACGTCACTTGCTCTTCTTTGCTTGATAGTCCGTGAAAAGGGGATATTTTTCGTACTTCACCCAGCACACGGCAACATCGGTCCCTCGAAACCCCCTCCTGCATGTCCATACCTTCCCCTTAGCCTTTTCATGTCATCAAATGGACGCATTTGGAAGGCGTCGCCTATAAACCGCGAAAAAGCAGTTCATGACAAGCGCCTAGCTGTGGAACACAATTGAGGTGAAAGACTTGCATTTGAGACAAGTCTGACCTAGGCATCGCTGAGTGCTCATCAGTCATCGTCGATCGCGCGGATGCTCTTTTCGTACTCTTCTACGTCACTTGCTCTTCTTTGCTTGATAGTCCGTGAAAAGGGGATATTTTTCGTACTTCTCCCAGCACACGGCAACATCGGTCCCTCGAAACCCCCTCCTGCATGTCCATACCTTCCCCTTAGCCTTTTCATGTCATCAAATGGACGCATTTGGAAGGCGTCGCCTATAAACCGCGAAAAAGCAGTTCATGACAAGCGCCTAGCTGTGGAACACAATTGAGGTGAAAGACTTGCATTTGAGACAAGTCTGACCTAGGCATCGCTGAGTGCTCAGCAGTCATCGTCGATCGCGCGGATGCTCTTACGGATTGCCGATTTGAAGGCCGCTCAAAGAGCGCGCTTTTGAATAGTGCTAGGGCGGCGAAGGCAGTGCTGGGTGCGCGGAAACGCTCAAAAGTACGTTTCATAGGATACGAGGGGCGACGGTTCAGCCTCATGCAGAGACATCGTGTGCGAAAGAAACTAGAAGCTGAGGTGAACGTGCACATACCATGGGCGAGTTAGCTTGGCTGCACCAGTCACTGGGGCTGCTCGGTGCTGGCGAGCGGGCAGCGAACCCAGGGTCGCTAGCAACCACAAGCGAACGGTTGCGCGTTTTCCAACCGGCAAAACAAAGTTTAGGGGCCGAGTTTACGATAAGCAAGAATGCCGCCACACGAAACGGCTTTCTCTGTTCGTTTTTAGGAGGTATACGCACGTGGCGCTTTTGCGAAAACGCGCTGCCTTGTCGATGGCGATTGACGCTCAAGTCCGAGCATCGACGCAAAGACCTGCTGAGTGTATTTGCATTCCGTGAGCCTTATTTCGTACGAAAATTGAACGAGCAGGCGCCGAAACGCACTGTGCACAAAAGGATCAAGCTTCAAACTAAGTTGCTCTCTGGGGAAAAATTTTCTGAAACAGATAGCTATGCTCGCAAAAGGCGCGCGATGGTGACCATACAGCGTCATGGTTGCGCAAAGAAGGCAAGGACTGCTGCATGCTGCCGAGCGGTATCTATCCCTAGTGGTGACCCGTTCCCGGGAGAGACTCGAGCGTCGACGGCGAGCATGCTCTACACCAATGCACGAGTCGAAGCTCAACGGGCAACAATAGCCATGATCGTGACGAATCCCTCTGGTGCTTCAGTATCGCCGTCGAACAGGAAAGCCCTCGCCAACATCATTCCGCTACTCTTCTTCTTGATTATCTCAGCAGCGCTCCTCGTCGTGGCCAGTGCGAATGTAAGCCTGTTCCACGAGGCGAGTCAGAAGTTTTTGAGCATCGCATCACAGGCGTTACGCTATTTCGCGAACGCTGGAACTCGAGTCGCTCGTGAATTCAGGGCACAGGTCGGAACGCTATCTCGAAACCTTGTCAAATCTGGAACCTTTGCCGGCGATCGCGTGCGTCACGTCAGGGGCACGCAACCAGAGTTATCTTCACGAACGCAGAGCGCTTTCTGGACTAGAGATCCGTCCAGCGAGGCTGAGCCGCAGCATACAGCAGCGCTCGTGATTCGCGTTTTCGGCAACTTGTTGTTGCTTTTGCGCTTGCAGCTCTTGTATCTAGCTGCGCGCGCAAACGCGTTCATGGGCTACAGCCGCGAGCAGGCAAACAAGACTCTGAAGATGACAAGCGCACAGCTCGAAACAGCACTGCGGCGTATCCACACCGAGCACGCCTCGGAGACAGCTGCCGTGGCAAGTGGTGTAGCGACGGCTTGGGCTCAGTTCCAGCGACGTTTGGCGGCGCTCGGGCGTCCCGATGACGAGGTGATCACTGAAGACCCCCAACTGTCCTGGGAAACATATCAAGAAGAGTTTGAGCGGAAGCTGGAGGAGATATGCAAGCGTAACTTTAGTGAGTTCGAACAGAAGCTGAAAAGCGAGAGGCTCGACATTGAAGCCATTCTGTGCAAATATGCGTCCCTATCGAAACTGACGGAGCAACCCACGGAAGAGGCAGAGCGCGCCATGCGACTGGCCACTCCTGAACAACGTCGCGCCTTTATGGAAGCAGCAGTCGAGGACCTTGCTTCAGCGAGAAAGGCGCTGGCGCCCTTCCTAGAAGGAATCTTGGATCCGTCGAACCCAGATGCGGAATTCTCAATTCGAGAAGCAGAAAAGCGTGGGATAACAAGTCTACGTGGGCGCCCTCTCGACGAAAACTTGCGCCGCGAACTCTCCCAGCTTTTCACTGGTGGCTACGATTGGGACGGTGAGCTCTACACCGCCGAAACCGAGGGTGCGAAGCTCTGGAAGGCGGCTGTTGAGCGACTCAAGAAACGCGAGGATGTCGTGTTTCGTTTACAACAAAGCATTCAAGACATGCGCGCAGCAAGCACAACGCAAGTGCCCATCGACGCTAACACCAGAGACTGGTCGGCAAGCGCTCGGTCCATATCCGACACAAAACCTCCGGTGCTTGAAAACGACAAGACAACAGGCACGATTGCTCCAAAGCCACTGGCCGATGAACTGAAACTCATTCGGGAGCAGCTTAGTGTCATGAGCGACGAGGAGCTCGTGACCTGGATCCGTACGAACGTACGGGATGTTGTCCGTTCCGGTCTGGCGGAGAAAGTTCTCGGTCGCTTGGCACTTGCTGTCATCGCGGCCTACATCTTCGTGAACCTGGTTATCAAGAATGACATCGTTCAGCAGCTGGAACTGGTCCGTCCCTATGCTGAACGCATTGTGCGTTTCTTTATACTCTAAAGATAGGCAAACAGTATCGACTTGGCGATCGCCAGGACAGGTGCATCCAGCGGATGCTCCACCACTGACCCGTGTTCGACCGCACGCTATGCCCGTGTCGGATTTATGAGGAATATTGGGCTGCTCGCTCGGTTCCTGCAATTCGATTTGCTCCCGGTCCATGTATAGATGCAAAGCGTCGGTATTCAAAGTCTAGGAATCACGGCGTATGGATTCGTACGACTTCTAAGGATTCGCGGCTGTTTTTCAGTGGGTGGCTGCTTCAACGCTTTGCGTCTGGAATTCCTCACGTCATAGGAATCAAGATGATACGCGACGACTTCGAACAAGGGTTTGTAAAACATTGAATACCATGATCCTATTCAGGTGTACAAGTCCGCACTCTACTGCTTTCATGGCTAGTAGCGTGCTCAAATCACGGGTTATTGAAGTTTTCGATCGTTCGCTTCCATAGGCACTCTTCGTTGAAGAGTTTCGCGCCGCCGGAATGACGACGAGAAAGAGCTATACCTCATCTCGAGACGACTTGTTGAACAGATTCATGCAGAGGGTTGGCTGAGCTTTGGCAAGTCAAGTAATCGCTTCCGTTCGAAAGACAAATCCGAATTTCCGAGTCGCCATCGGCGAAACGACATTCGCCAATGGCATGATACCTACCACGGAATATGCTTCCAGGCGCTCTGGTCTCTTCTGTTCGCGTGAAAATGGGTCTCGGGCGTGGACTTGAGTCATCGCAGCGATCGCTTGCATGGCAGCATGCATCGAAGCTCTGCACGAATGCAGGGAGCCTAGACGCATCCTTATTACGCTGCTTGATCTTCAGCAAGGATTCCCCTCCGGTGCTCGGTACATCACGGTCAACTTCGCTTCCCAGAAATCGCTTTGCGAGTAGAAGAGCGAGCGCGTGTAGCGGACAGTATACGCGCCCTACAGGATCGCCCAGAAGAAACCCGTGATCGTAGCGCGCAGCACCGGGCGCAAACGTTCAGGCGGGCATCGAGGCGAGCCTTCTGTACACGTACAAAGCGTGTACCGAGAGATGCAGCAAGTGTTCACGCGCAACGTCTTCGTGGCCTTTGGGTCAGGACAGCATGATGTAGGCATACGGGGAAACGCGTCCAAAGTCAGGTGTCACCCGGTTGCGAAGGTCGCAGTGAGGCTGAATGTAAGGCGCATGTGAATGACACGCAACGCATAGATGCAACCATCGTCTGCACACGAAACGCGTCGACAACAGTCGGGAACTGCGACATCGGCGCCCGGAGGCTGCCACCGAAATCACCAGATTCCTACTGAAGGAATCGGGGGCATGCGAGCGACTTGCGTATTCCAAGTCGGAGATGGCGGAGCGGGGACTAGGACGCAGTCGCAGCATAGGCCCGCCAACGCTGGTGCCAGTGGCATTGCGAGGCACACTAATTTCAGAGCCACCGCCCGCGTTCTATTCGTGGATCCCTCCCATTTATGTCTGACATTCGTGCTGACTGCGGCGTCGGAAATGGAATGCCCTTTCCAGCGGCTACTCTCCACGGACAATGATGGATGGACTCGCGCGTGCAACCTCTAGGCTCAAGTTGTGATATAAGGATGCTGCAAGCGTATTTTCCACCCGGATTTCGTGCTTGACGGAAAAGGATGGGAAAAGTGAATCGTTCGAATCATGGACCGTAGGAAGCATCACTGGTTAATGCAATAGGCGCAATTTTTTTTCATCATACTAATGACGATAGATGGATCACACTCGTGGTAGCGCGTCTCAGCTAAAGTTGCAGGGTGAACGACCCTGTAATAAGCCGTTTCGGGCCCACTGAAGCGCTGCAACAGATCCTGCGTTTCCAAGCTTGTTTCAGGATAACGCGCGCATGCATGAGCAATCGCGACTGCATGTAGAGACTGCTCCACTCGCGATAACGTGCAAGTCGATTCCCATATAGCAGTCTCGTCGAAACAGCACGACATCGTTCAGCGAGCCCGACCTGGACGCCTGATGCGCATTCCGGCTGGAACGCTGTGGTGCCAAAGCCTGCAGGCGTCCTCGATCAACGATCGCTCGTGACAGTCTCTTGGTTTGAGATCGTCACCGCGAGCCTGCGATTCATCCAGGCACATGACGGAAGGCGCCGCTTAAAAGAGCTCATGCTCTCTGATTTCAGTCTTCTGGGAGCGTTTCAGATGTAAACATTGTCCAACAGGCGTTTTGGACGATGCAATCGAACCGTAATGATTTCATCCGCAGCGCTGGGCGCATCATCCTGTTGATATTTTGGGATCATTGCACCTGGGGTGCTGCCTAGTTCGATGTGAGCCAGCCACGAGCTCGTGGCATTAGAAAAACAAGCGACGGTTTGAACGATGATGGAGAAGTGGGCAATCGCTGAGAACGCTCATGCTACACTTGGATAATGTTCCTTGGTCACGTTTTCCTTTCGCGTACTCAGGTCTTACGGGTCTTTTCGTCGGGTGCACCACCGAAAATCCGAGAAGCAGAACGTTTACTTCAAAAAATCAAGCGTTCATGGTGGCTTCGAGCTATCCATGACGCTCTACAAAATCTCCAGAGCAAGGCGCACGCTGGTACCTCGACAGACATATCAAAACTTGCCGAACTTACAAACAGCCCAGAGACCGTCAACCCAGCGCGGCACGCGTTACCAACTCCAAGTGGTGCTAGTTTCTCGAACTCCATAGCGCTGACACCAGTCCAGGTGCTTCTTAGGCCCGAACTTCGAGTTGATATGCATCACAGCAACCAATCGGTGCAGCGGACGTTCTTCTACCGACGGTTTGGATCGATATCGTCGGTCCGCAAGTCCACCGTCCCGGCACTACACTGTGCTCTATCGGGATCGCGAGACAAGATCGTCTTCATAACTGTGGTAGCGGCGATGCCGCACTGCGGAGAAGCGATCTTGAGCTGGAAGCTGCGCGCAGCATCCGCGACGCGCCGACCCCTGCAACCGCGCGTCGTTCATCCGTTCGACTGCGTACTCGCCGTTAAAACCTATTTCGGCAAGCGCGCTGCGTCAAGAGCTTGATAGCGTACAAGTCTAGGCTCAGGCGGTATCTATCTCGAATGCTATAGAACAAAATGCGTACAAACTCTGAGTCGACGTCTTGCGATATAGAGCAGGTTCTCGAGTTGCACGGGTGCAGGGAGGCGTACGAGCGACTAGAGGCCTGCCTTGGCGAGCACGACCGAGACTGGTCCGCTTGCCAGGAACCTCTGAAGTTGCTTCGTGACTGCTACGAGAATAGTCGACAAGGCGCTGCCGGGCAACGCTCTTCCGCTCTTGCCGACTCCACAACAAAGGCGAAGCCACGGAGCTGAGTGCTTCGTTTCGATTGGTGACAACGCTAGCACCTGCAAAGCTGGATGAAACAAGTCTTTACAAGCTCTATACGTAAGCGCTTTGAGGACCCTCAGTTGCTAACTTTGGGCGCTAGCAACGCGGTTGCACGCGATGCACTTGAAACGCCTGCCGAGCGCGAGCCTGGGCGAACACATCACCCTGCATGTTTCTTGGCCGCCAGCAACATGCGAGGAACTCTTCGAGGCCAGGCAGCGTCACATTCCACACCCGGCCTGAGCGGGATTATTGGAACGTATGATCAGGACACACAAATTGCAGCGATCAAGCAATGCATGACAGTCACAGCGCCCTCGAACGGGTGTGTGTGTGTGTGTGTGGCATCCCAGAGAACCCGGTCACTCGTTTGGAGTACGGAGCGGATCCCGCGTTTGTCGCGGAACGCGCTGCGGTTGCCGGTTTCGGTTGCGTGCGACCAATCCAAGCACCCAAACATTCCCGTAGGCAACCTGTACAGATTCTCTAAAAAGTATCAGTTGGTTCTGCCGGCTCATCGTTCTCGGCAGGTGATTGCGGTTGTTCGTCGAGCAGAACATCGAAGCACGGCAAAAGACAATCGAGAAAGTCCACGTTGTCGAGCCAGGATGGACGCTCAGCACTGCATGTGCTCATATAACCGTGCATGAATGCATCGTCGAAGTTGTCAGCGCCGCAAAGGCCATCCAAATGCAAGATTGGGGGTAGTAGACCACGGCTTCGCCGATGCTCGGAATCCGATCGATCCGCCCCGGTTGACTCCTGCCGTTTTTTGGATGAAATATTCCCCGAAACTGAAGTTCCTGTGGCCTGCGCCTTTTCGTGAGTCTCAGTGACGAATGTTTCGAGGTTGCGGGACATGCTTCACGACAGGTTTGACGAATACGAAGCTCTGTAAATAGGAGGACTCAACTACGAATCCGTCGTTGTAACCGAAGGAGATACGTGTCCAGTGCACGCATAGCAGCACGTGCGCCGTCTCCGATCGGTCTTGCCTGCATGCGTGTCGCGCATTTTCCCGCCAAGTCGTATCCGTGACGTGGTAGTCGCAACGGCGATCGTCTGTCGAGCAAAGTAAGGGTGATATCTGCACCTGAGCGGCAACGCCAGCGTCCGATACGGCGACATGGCGGTCAAAAGTGGGACCAGGTGCTTTCGTCTGACAAACACAAGCTGGCACAGGCGCATGCCAAGGGTTTGTCCAGTTTTGCACACCGCAACCGATGTCTGATGTGGGCAGTGGGTGTACGGCGGCGGCGGCGGCCTCGAGTAGAACTGAGTACACATCTGTCTGCTTGGTAAACATGGAGTGGCGCGTAGGCGTACGCTAAAAGTTAATCGTCCGTCTTCTTGGAAGCGCTGGGCCACTTGCAACGTCGCCCTGCTCGCGATCGTTCGATAGCAAACTTGTCCCGCAACAACATGGAGCAATATGGAACAGCGGGTATTTGCAATGGTGCTGCATCGCACCGTCCATGCATCAACGACAAGAATACGCACGTTTTGCCACGTGCAGGGATGAATTCAACGCGAGCGGATGCCATCGGGAACCAGTAGCACTCATTCATGATGCAGACTTGGATTCGTTCGCATTCGACGTTGCGTCAGATTGGCGCAAATTCATTAACACCACACTGCTGAGGATGAGCGCTGAGCCGAACCAACCAAGCCATCCCATTCGCTCCTGGAGCAGCGTTACCGAGATAAACGCACCCCAGAGCGGACTTGTTGCGTACACAATACCCGCCTCTGTAGGAGAGACGCGACCGGCCCCTTGGCCCTTTACCTGCAACCAGGTCGTTAGTGCTGTCCCGAAAATACCGTTCCAAATCGTACTCAGAATGTACGCAATTAAACCAGATTGACCTGCGCGGTGGAAAAACGCTGCATCCATTTGCCAGTCAGCGCGCATAGAGTACCAGATCAGCGAGAGCACGGCCAGTGTTGCGGTTTTCACGGAAGCAACTGTAATGGCATCGCTTTTGCGCACCCGTTCACTTGAGAGTCGTATAGTGAACAGTGCATAGAGCACAGCGGCCGCCAGAGCACTTATCTGACCTGCCAATTTCGCAGACAGCGGCGTACATCCCTCGATGAACGCAATTCCCGGATGCAGAGCGGGTTTACTCGCAAGCCCCAGGCCGCTGAGCATTCTCCGAAACATATCCGGATCATCGTCGAGAATGAGCAGAGTGGTCCCACACAGGCTACATGCGATCGCCGCGCCTTGGCGCAAGTCTTGCGAACTTTTGGCCGAAGCTGCCCGAGACGCCCAGAATCGTTGCAGAAGTGCTGTGAATACGACGCTTGTCTGGAGCAGGAAACCCACCTGGGATGCCGGACTAAAGCGCAGTGCAAGTAACTGCAGAACAGTCCCAAGAAACATGTAGACTCCGAGCTCGATGCCGACCGCGAATCCAGCAGGAAAGTGCGGTATGGAGAAGGGAAGTGCGCTTCGTCCTCCACCCGCTGCACTCGTTCCCGAGCGACCCCAAGCCGAAGCAGATCGCCCGCCGAGTTTCATGAGAATCGGAACCAAAAAACCTAGTGCACCGCAGAGTGCTGGGCCCAGGTTGAGGAGAGCCGCTGAAGGCGGCACGTCCGATAACTGGAATAGGAACCGCATGCTCGGAGAATATGTGGACCAGATGAAAGGCACCGCCAACAGAAAGACCCGTCCACGAACGCCCGATCGTTTCGAGAGCTTCAGTTCTCCAGTTGGCGAGTGATCCGAAGCCTCGGTGCCCGAGGCGACCACACGTGACCTGCAACTGTTCCGCAATCGTCGTACGCGCTGTGGCCGGTGTCGAGTTCGGCAGCACGCACCGCATCGCGTATCTACGGAAGAGTACACAGGCCTCAAACTTGTGACGCTAGACACCCATGCTGGCCGCTGAGAGCACCACGCAACGAGAAGTGGCTTCATTGCCGGTAGCGGTGCCCAGCGAGTCTCAGAAAGGCTGCCACAACCAGCGTTCTTCGCTCCGACAAACGGGTCGGACAGCAGTTTCCAGTCGTCAGCGCGCTTCCAAAAACTGCACTTGTTCACCTGACCCCCCGAAAACACCTCTCAGTGCCGTATATTGAACGCAGCACGGAGCCTTACGATCTTCACGACCGCTGGTGGTGTCTCTCAGCAGCCTCAAAGCGAAGAACCATTTTGCCGGAGGCGGATCGTACTCGTCCCGGGTGCCGGCAGCGTCGCCTCGACGCAGACCATTGGACTGGCGCAGGTCGCGTTCCGACCCCAGCAACAGTTCCACACGCATGAGCCGCCCATTGTAGATTGACAAGTGTTGTTGGGAACACGAGTACAATGTTCTGCATGGTTCCAGCGTCGTCACAATGGAAGCCGTAGACGCGAAAGAACAGCCTCGAGGGCCAGGGAGCTCCACGCCAGTACCTGCTCACTTATACCGAATCATGGGATATCGTCATCGTTCAACAATCGCGCAGTGAACTTGTTCTCGGTGTACATTTGTGCAGCGCTGCAACCGTTCTAGAGTGCTTGCCTTTACCGTACCGTTCCGGTCCTGTGCCTTCTTCTGGGCTGGAATCCAATGCTTCGTAGACTGGGTGCTGTTTTCATCTCAGCGAAAGTCTTCCGTATTTCAGCATGATGCGAACAAAGAGTACTCAATATTCTCGTGACAAGTTTGCTCCAAACAATGCCGCTGAATGCTTCAGATCCACGAAATATTTCCGGATGTTGATCCAGGCTTTCAAGTCTCCGTGCAGAGCATGCTCGCGGGCATGGTTGCTTGCGGAGGCGTACCAAAGCACGACTTGCACCTTTGATTGCTTCCCTAACCGACGTTAGTTCAACTTGCCTACACAACCCGGCGGATGCGGCTCTGTTTCACTCTCTTCTTCTATGCAGGTTTTTGGTGTACACCCGTGGTCGTGATGCGCCTAAATCGTCGTGAAATCATTGACGGTACTCGTTCAGAGTCGATTCCTGTACTTGGTGCGCGCGCTTGTCGAAGGAGCACCAGTGCAGCTATTGTACGCTGCAGCATGTCCAGCGGCATAGGCTAGCACCAAACGACGCGATTGATCGGTCATTTCCTTTTGCAGCTGACTGGAAAACTCGGCGAATGCCTGTCTCTAGGCTCCGTGCAGCCGAAACCGTTGGCAAATCTCGCGGGTATCTCACGTAATCGCACAAAAGATCTTTCGCGAGAGCAGTTTCGACGCGCTTATTCTCTCAGAAAGAGGTGTAGAGAGAACTCCCTCGCCGCCCGATTCATTGCTCAGAGCGTTGAGGCAAGCGCTGATGAAGTCATTCCGCTTGCTGGTGTGCCTCCTGGCGTCTATCATGCATGAATGCCGATCGTGCTTCAGCCTGACAAAGCCAACCACCTTCATGTGCTTTCGGATCTTTGGCGCTGTCGTCTTGGCACAGAGCTGCCGCAATGGCCACGATACTCTTGAAACCGGGACCCATGCCCGCTGCCTTATCTTTCTCTTCGTCTACATTGAACAAATGAAAGTACGTTTCGCTGCTCGACTCATGCCTGGGTTTCACAGCGTGCAGTGAGACTGATGGTCCGTAGGTTTTTATGGATCCTATGAACCTCTGTCCATATCCTCCCTGCAAACGGTTAATCATGAACGAGCCCCGCCAATGCTCCTCGCAAGGTAGTGCGAATGCTTAATACGCGTTCGCCGAGAGTATGCGTAGCGCACCGAGAAGGCCATGAAGCACACTACGCAAATGTCTAGGGCAATTTCATGCGCTTTCATGAGGTGTATGTGGACTGCGTGGCAGGGGCGCATCAAACGGTCAGCTCGTTCCGATTCGGAGGGCATATCTGCTTTGCTGTGTAGGGATCTGTTCACGAAAACGTAGTAGCGCAACATGAAGAAAGGCAGAAACTAGGTTTCAGCCGTGCTTTGCATACGACGTCTGTCGAACCGAGTCCGGGCTCAACACGATGAGCTTGTCAGAACAGAGGCGATTCTCGCTCTCGGTACGACATGTGCTCCGAACTTGCTTGCAGCTCCAGCTGCTCCGTCACCAGCAGCTTGTCACTTGCTCCGGTCCAGACTTCAGGAACCTATCCCATCCGTTTCTGTTTCTCTGGGCCAGTAAAGTGAGGCAACAAAACAGTACAACGTCCACAGGATGTGCACCATGGAGCGCTCGACGTTGGCCCGCAAATTGTTTTGGATTCTGAGGATCGTTTCATACTCTTTGGCACCTGCTCTAGAGACGTTTCCATTCCCGAGATGGCACGGAGACGCGTCCGAGTATTTTAGGAAGCGTGTGTGCATGTCTCTATCCTTAGGATCAGTCCGCATGGAATCCCCTGCACTGAGCATCCCTTGCGTTGTCACACGAATTCCTGATGGAAAAACTCCAGAGAAATATGGACGCCCGGTTGCCCTGCGTCCGGGACTCGTACGAACAGATACTTGATGGGATGCTTCAAGGCGAATGAAACCAGGCGAGCATTGTTCGAATCCGTTGTTATGTGAACCTCTGTGACGTCCTGCATCTTTCCGCGCCATGGATGCGAACGACTAGTCTATTGATTGGCGAGTGGAAAAAAGACAGTTCTAGAACAGAGAAGACGCACTCGGCTGCATTGCACCAGGACGAACAGACTCACACGAAGAGCAGCTCAGTGCTACTGCCTGATACATGCTCCGGAACCGCACTGGCGTGATGGATAGTGACGTTATCTACGAGACGGGCAGAAAAATGTGAGAAGAAGAAGCCACGGAACGTGGTCCGACGAAGCATGGCCCACTGGACGATCATGTCCGTGTTACGATTCGTAGGCGACCAGGCAAGAGCATCGCCGCCAGGGCTGATATTGTCGTCATGCTCGCATGTCTCTTCTTCCAGGAAGCGGTTTGCCCGCCATAGCGTGCTCATATACAGGTCTACCACAGCTGCTGAATGAAGTCTTGGCGACTGACACGAAATCCGGTCGCTCATGTAGGAAGCGTTCGCGTTTCGGTACCGAACGTGATTGTCCGTGATTGGGTGCGCGAGCGTCTCGAATCGCAGCGCGGGCTTTCCGCTGTCCATCCGTATCTCTTCATCCACGTTTGTATCAAAGGCACGGATAAGTTACTTTCTGTAGCGTCTTTGATAATATTGCGCAAACAATGTACGTAGCATGATGGATTCACCAGGATATATGCATCTTGATAGCGTTTGACTTGTGCTGTTTTGGATGCACGATGTTCAGAATACGTACTGGTGGTGGATTGGTTCATTCAGCTGCTGACCGAATCTCGACTGACTTCGTCCAAGTAAGGCGGTTGTTCCCAAGCTATGAACGCTAGCATAAATTCTCCCAGCAACTTTGCCTCAATCCACACAATAAACCGCTTATGTTGAATACCTGCAAGAAAAACAAACAAACAAAATAAAAACGGGTGTGGCGGTGCAGGCATTCCGATATTCAGTGCTCCCGGGTGTACCGGCTTACGAGCGTTGCTGGCGGCTCGAGGAACAGGTTACGCGAACGGGTTTTCTTACCCGAACATGACGTCGTCAGCACCGTCGGACGCAGAGGCACTCAAGTCCGCTGAAGATACTGAAGAACAGGAAGCGATTCAGCATCTGACAAGTGTCGTGCCAGCAGTCGACTCCAGTACAAACTCGGCCACGTCGAAAGCGGAGCTGAACCAGCGACTCGAGGACGCCGCCCGTAAAGCGCAAGAGACGTTAGAACACGCCTCCTTGGAGTTGCGGAAACGTTTGAGCAAGCTCAGTACGCTTGTTGGCACGCTTTATGAGGAGCAGCATACAACGAGTGAGAGTGTCTCGAGCGAGCAACGCGGTGAGCATAAACCGCCCGACCCCGGTGAGGCCGCTTCTGGCAGCCTGCTGGACTCGTGGCGCTCCTTCTCAAACTTCGTTTCCGCGCATATGAACTTAGACGAATCAGGATATCGCTTCTTGGAACCCGCAAGAGAGTCAAAAAACTCAGTGGTCTCTTCTGATGTTGTCGACGCGGACGCTGCGTTCGCTGCACTCCTCGAGAGCAACGATCCAGCATGTTTCCAGAAGCTCTTTGAGCGATATTTTGCCCAGAAAGAAAGCCGGGAATTAGGAGCTTCGGAGCAACGAGACACAGGCGGTCCAGAGGGCGCGCCTGATGCCGAACATGACACAACCCGAGCCCAACGAGTTGTCGATGCTTTTCGCGTAGCGCTTGTTCAGCGTTATCGTTGTAGTCACAACGATCTCACACCGGAGCGTCGTTACCTTCTACCAGGACGTCTGTTTATCACAAAAACGCATGTGGCTTTCCTCAGTAGTATGGATGCTGCTCGCATGTTTGACGAAACGTCCTACGAGACCGATATTCGTCCGAGCTTCATTCGACACGAGCCGATCCGTCTCCTGCTTGCGCTGCAAGACGTGACAAAAGTACAACGGGGAAAGGGGATGAACCTGCGACTCGTAACCAGTGAGGATCAAAGCTATATTTTTGGGGAATTTCGTTCGACGGTCGAGTTCGAGGCAGCTCTCTGCATGATCGAACAAACCTGGCGTTCTCTGCAACTGCGAGGGCGCGTTCTTCAAACAACATCAGAGGAGCAGCGCAGTTGAATGTTTTTTCGCGACGAGGACACACTTGTGACCTGCGTCGTACCGCTTGCACATAGCGTGCGGAACGGTCCAGGATACCCACCCTAACGGCTAGCGCACGACGTACGCGAGTAGCATGGAGGCTGCTTTCCAGTGCTATCCGGGCTACAAACTTACTCGCTGACGTGGCGATCTCTCGGTAGTACGCTGAAAAGGCGCTCTCGCTCAGCATCTTGATCGAGCAAGGGTGACGCGCATCGTTCTATCCAGAGGCTCATGAGCGAAATTCGCTGCAGAATGCTCTGCTGATGGGAAGACCGTCCGCCAGAAACCCGTGATATCCGCATCCTTCCCGAGGCATTCAGAGTTTGCAATGCTCGGTTCACGATGCTGATATCCTGGGATCCCGGGCGTCGCCGCGGGAGTCATCCGCTGGAACCACCGCATGGTAATGCTCGCCTAGAGAGAAGAATTGCTTGTGGAAGGATACCCGAAGCGCTGTCACGGATTCTGCCCCAGTGTCTGTGGATGCGTCATCGGCCCCCATGACGAGCATCCCATTGGGTAGAATCTCTGGGTCGGCAAAGACGAAAACGCGACACCGCAGGGCGAGCGCGACCGCTTGGAGTTCGGGCTGGCCTCCCCAGAGCGTTCCATCCTCGAGTCGAGCGCAGTACTGCGCGACACGCTCTGCTGGATCGTCACTAGCGTCGAGAAGCGTTCCTTGGGGATCCAACTCACCGACGATGAAGGGGAAAAACTCGGTTCCCCGACGACGAATGAACGAGGCCAGCGTCTTCCGCAACAACCAAACCGCCTCCATTTCATCAGGAATCGTGCTCCAGGTCAAGAGAGCGCTGCGCGTCTCTGTATCCGCCGCAGGGAAGTATGTGTCGAAAAGTCCCGACTGAATGAGAGGGCGAAGTTGCCGAACGAGTGCTCGGAAGAGGCAGTGACCATCGGGTTCCACGTACTCCATTCGTAAAGCATGGGTCCGGAGAATCGACTCAATACGAGCGAGCTCGCGTTTTTGAGCGGTATCCACAGCCTGAGCAGCCTCTAGTTCTTTGCGACGCTCTTCCTCATACTCTCGCTCAGCTTTTGCAAGTTTCTTGAGCTGCTTTCTAGAGAGCTTGCGCTCACTGTAAAAAGCCGGGGCTTCAGCACCCGCGCCCGCTGGTGAGCCTGGCTCCATTACGCGCTCTGAGCCGTGTCCGGAGCCTGCCACCCTGCGACGCTGCCGTTGCCGCTGCGGCGAACGCTGCCCGCCTCGTTTGAGCGCCGCACTGCTTCGCTGTGCAGCGAGAAAGCACCCTCTCTGCAACCCAGGTTGTACACCACAAGTCGATTGGTCCGAAGCACCGCAACCTGCTTCCTATAAGGGTAGAAGGAGGCCTTTACTTGTGCCCTTTCCCCAACAAAAGTCCCGGATGGCCGTGTCCTCTCGCTCGTGGCGACGACAACAGGTATGGCCGGTGTGTGCAGTACGAACGCTCGGACCAAATGAATCCACCACCGCGACGCGAAAGACGAACGATTGTGGTGATCAAGCACCTGACGAACCAAAGAAAAAAGGGCTCCCTTTCCCACGCTACAAAGCACACGTCGTTTGCCACGTTGCGCAGACCAGAAATGTTTCCTCACTGGAACGTTTACGGCCAACGCTCTACGGCAAACGCAGCAGCTTTGAGCACGCGCTTCACGGGGTCTGCAGCTAGTGCCCCACGACCAGCAACTAGAATCACTCGCAATGAGACTGGTATAGATTCTTACGTGTCTGATGGCCTATAGTGTGTGTGCGCTTAGACGAAGCGGGTCCATTCTGAAACCAAACTTGTGCCACAAGAAGGTAGCCGCTCCAGCTCACATGAAAGAGCGCAACGTTCAGCTCAACTCGCACACGAAGCGTGGCAGTGCTCGACACCAGCACCTCGCTACGGAAAAGCTGAGACTTTGGGACCTCGAAGAGCTTGCTCAGCTACGGGGCGCACTTTTGCGCTGGTACGACAGCCAGGCGCTACAGTTACCGTGGCGCCAACGGGGCGGTCGTCCCGATCCCTACCAAGTCTACGTCAGTGAAGTGATGCTTCAGCAGACTCGAGTCAAGACAGTAGAGATGTATTTCATGGAGTGGATGCGACGCTTTCCGACCGTTGAGGCGCTCGCTGCGGCTACCGAGGAAGAGGTGTTGCAGCAGTGGGCCGGCCTCGGATACTACCGCCGTGCTCGGATGCTGCACGCCGGTGCCAAGTGGATCGTAGCACAAAACCGTGGCAAAATACCCGCATCCGTCCGGGATCTGGAACAAGTTCCAGGTATTGGGGTGTACACTGCCAGCGCCATCGCCTCGATAGCGTTCGGGGCAGTGGTTCCCGCAATCGATGGCAACGCAACGAGAGTCGTATCGCGCCTTGCTGGCATGTGCTGCACGAACGTGTGGAAAGGAGATGGAAAGCGCCTCCTAGCAGCGGTAGCTTCGGAGCTCGTGGATGCAAACCGGCCAGGGGACTGGAACCAGGCTGTTTTCGACCTCGGGAGATCTCTGTGCACGGCACAGGTAACAGAAGAGGCATGTGCGGTGTGCCCAGTTCAGAAGTTTTGCAGGGCGGCCGCGCTTCCCATTTCGGTTCGGCAGAGTACGCCCTATGGTGTTGCGGAAATCTCCGAGGGAAAACTGAAATTGCAACGTCATATGCCGCGCGTCAGAGCTCGCCAAGAACTGCTTTTAGCTTTCGTGTTGGTCGCTTCTGTTGCTCCTCATGCCGCGTCAGACAGCACAGAGACATTGTATTACGTCAGACGCCGCGCCTCGCACGGCCTGCTTGGTGGCCTCTGGGAGGTACCGAACATCGTGGTGGAGCGCCTGCCCCATGCTGACCCGCATCCGCTAGCGCAGCAAGGATTCATCGAACCGGAAGAGAAAGATGGCGGGGAGAGCGCGGCCGGATCGGAAGTGTTCAGACAACTTGCTGCAGCGCTCAATTCCCAGAAATCGTTTAAGCTGAGTGTTGTATCCATCACCCCGATACCAAAGATGGTGCGGCACCTCTTCACGCATATTCGGCAGGATATTCAGGTGTTTCGGGTGGAAGTTACAGGTAATCCATGCTTTCTGGATGATGGAGATCAAGGTCGCTGGGTACGGGCGATAGCTCTGGAGGAGCTTGGTCTTTCGACCCAGATGCGGCGAGTACTCCGAGCAGCTGGTATTCCGTTGACGCGAAAGCGTTTCGGCGATGCGTCCACTGCGACGCACTCATAAGCCAGCGTTCAGCTGTGGTGCGGCGCTCAGTGCACGCCTCAAAGCGACCACCGAACCGTGTCCTCCTCGCGCTTCGAGATTTCTATTCGGGCACGACGTGTACGAGCGAACTGTCGAAGGTGCTCAGTGATGCAAGAGCCGCCATTGGCAGCGTGCCAACGACAAGAAGAGACGCATGCACGCCGCGTATGTGCACTTCCTACCGACAAGGCACCTGCATCTGAGTCATGCGAGCAATCTTTTGCAGTTTTGGGTACAACGCGCAGCTCATGCGTACGCTAGGCGGTGCCCTTCGCATGTAGTATTCCACGAGATTCGCTGTATCTGTGCCTTACACCCTTATCGACCTAAACTGGAACATGTCTACTTACTATCGCGTACGCAGTAAATCTGGGTCACTTCCCACTGTGACCAACGTCAGGTTTTTCGAACCTTCTCTGAGACTGCTTCGTTTTCCCCCGCCTGAGTCCGGATAGAAAAACGCGGGCGTCTCCTTTCCCTGTACAACCGTTGTCAGCAGTCGAAAGATATTCACGGCAGCTTCCGGGTCCCGGCTTCGATGCTTCCAGCTGCTATCCATGCAATGGCTGCACCGACGGTAGTTGCGTTGAACGCCTCGCTTGCCGTCTCCACCTTGTTTCTATGCAACTTCGGTGTACCCTCGGCAACGGTGCCACTTGACTGTGAGCAGGTGTTCTCGAGTGTCCGCCACCACACCTATTCAGAGCGCCTCGCTATGCCACGTGAGCAACGCTCGCTTCACCGCTCGCTGTACGCTCTGGACGAGTAGAGAAGGCTCCCGTGGGTGCCTCTTCCGGGTCTGCAGCCCAGTGCAGTGGCCCGTGACCACGGGCTCGTTCGAGGTAGTGCCCTCGCCGAGTACTCGCTCTGGTGCACATGCCGGCGCACGCCGTTCTGCTGGACACTAGAACTTTGGATCGCGGAGTTCCCGATGACGGAGCAAGGACCGCATGGAAAAGCCAGGCTGGTGAGGAGGCCGTCCAGTCTCGATGCGTCTACGCTCCCTTCGCGCTACGCGGTGACGCATCGTGTAATGGAAGCGACCGCTGCGGTGATTCGAGGTCTAGTCCATGACCCTTTTGAATGCAGGGAGAAGAGCGGGGAGCCTCTCGGTGCATGTGCTGTGAACGTTATCAGACTGTTGCCAGGTTCCATATTGTCGACGACCACAAAGGCGGGCGGCTTTGTCATTCGAAAGGCATCGATTATTTGTCGTGACAAGTGCAGTGAAGCGTAGGCATGAGCTTGTGAACAGGTCGCCAAGCGACGATATCGAGTGTATTTCCCCGTCAGCCCAGCGGTGCGAATTGTTGCACCCACGAGTTGCCTCGGAACAGAGCGATCGCCATCTCGAAGAATGCATGATTAGAGCATGTCAGGCGTACACCGGGCGGAGCCGCTGGAAGCTTGTTGGCGTGATTGGATGCAGCGATTGGTTATTGTATGAATCCTCTTTCGAGGGCGTGGCATGTTGTCTTGGTTCCGATGATGTACGGAATTCCGGCTTCGGTGCGTCGGAGCATAGGAGCATCGAAGGAAAGAGTCGTTCTGGAAACACGACTGAGCATCCCAGCACTACGTATGCATCCATAAACCCGTATTGCTGCATTTCGTATCCCAATGCTGTGCTTCTCAAAAAAAAGTCCAGAAAGATCGCTTACGAGAAACGGAGCGGGCCGTTCAGCGTGCCATTTTAATCTGGTATGCGAGCAGTGCCTATATCTGCACTCGAGAGACTGACTTCTCCCGGATGCATTGTACAGGGGATGATCTTGCTACCAAAGCGAGCGATGACACGAATACTCGTTTCCGTTTATTGCCGCCTTCTATGTTCACTCAAGTTCTGTTGCATACCACTGGCGACCTGCTGCCCGAACGCTGTGCACCAACCGATTGGTCTGCGAACCATGTGTCAGTGGCTCCGAAATGATATCCCTCTTTAAAACTATTCTAATCTGCGTATGACTTTGCGGCGTTCCTATTCAGGACGGTATTGCAGCTGGATCGACATCATGTCACCGAGAATCTGGTAACTGCTTGCCCAGCAGTAACCAGCAGTGCTCGTCGGGTGCTGCGCTTGCTCAGGGTTTAGCCGCCAGCAGCGCTGTAGTTGTGGATCCCAGTTGCACTAGAGTGCCTTCACTCAAACCTGCATCCTCGAACCATTGGTTATACTCGGATACACTGAAAACGTCACCTTCGCTAGTGTTAATAAGCATATTAAGGGCGAAGAGAACTGCCCGTGGCGGTCCAGTGCGCTCCTCATTCGGAAACAGGTCAATAATGGCGAGCTTGCCGCCTGAGCGTAGCGCCCGTGCACAACGTTGAATGAGATCCCGAGATGAGGCTGCCCCTTCCGAATGAACGATATTCCCGAGAATAATAAGATGATATCGATCATTCTCCAAGTCTGTATGTTTCAAGTCCCCTTGGATGTACGAAACCTGGGCATCCACCTTATGCCGTTCAACATAGCTCCGTGCCACAGCAAGCGCATCCCCGAAATCAAGGAGATCAAGTCGTACCTCTGAAGACGCTTCCGCGAAAGGGATACTCCAGACGGCACTTCCACAGGCAACATCGAGAACACGACTGTCTGGTGGTATCTGTGATGGTAACAGAAGCCCGGCGAGTTTACGGGCTGGCTCCAAGTTGTAAACGTGTAGACTGCGGATCAGCATAGGGAAAAAGCGCGCTGCGTCGCTCTCGGTTTCGAGGCGAGTGTAGGGCTTGCCTGTACGCACAACTTGGGTGAGCGCGCTCCACGCGCTCCACAGGTGGTTCGTCTCCCACATAGAACCGATGTACTGAGGACTGCTTTTCACAAGCGCTGCCTCGGATCCCGGCACCAGCTGGTAGCGATCATTGTGTTTTTGCAGGAGCTCCAGACTAGTCAAAGCGTCCAGAAGCATGCGCATCCCGCGGGTCGAAGACGCTGCAGCACGGGCTACCTCCTCCGCAGTAGTCTTTCCTTCAGCGATCATCGTAAAGACACCGAGCTCGAATCCAGTCATAACAACACGAGCAGGCGCATATCCTTTGAGCAAGTCGTCGAGCTTTTCGAGAAAAACCATCTGGGGCTCTCTTGAAGACCTTTGGCCTTGAGCAAGCACCCAGTATCCCGAGATTCCACGGCAGCGCAGGTTCCCGTTTGATTCCAGAGCCTACGTTATCTCCTGGCACGCGCCACTGCTCAGAATGGGAGGAGGCTGGAACGATGGGCGGCATTTGCTCTGCTGCGTTGCGACACGCTTCTTGTTTGGGTTAGCAGACCCTTGATAGAGTGTGTTTCACACTTTGCGAACGTATGAGTGGAATGTATGGTGACGAATATGCGGCCACGGTGGTCAACGAGCGAAACGATGCCTAGCCCGTGCAGTGCTATGTAGGCAAGTCCAATTAAAATGGCACGCTGAACGGCCCGCTCCGTTTCTCGTAAGCGATCTTTCTGGACTTTTTTTTTTGAGAAGCACAGCATTGGGATACGAAATGCAGCAATACGGGTTTATGGATGCATACGTAGTGCTGGGATGCTCAGTCGTGTTTCCAGAACGACTCTTTCCTTCGATGCTCCTATGCTCCGACGCACCGAAGCCGGAATTCCGTACTTCATTGGAACCAAGACAACATGCCACGCCCTCGAAAGAGGATTCATACAATAACCAATTGCTGCATCCAATCACGCCAACAAGCTTCCAGCGGCTCCGCCCGGTGTACGCCTGACATGCTCTAATCATCCATTCTTCGAGATGGCGATCGCTCTGTTCCGAGGCAACTCGTGGGTGCAACAATTCGCACCGCTGGGCTGACGGGGAAATACACTCGATATCGTCGCTTGGCGACCTGTTCACAAGCTCATGCCTACGCTTCACTGCACTTGTCACGACAAATAATCGATGCCTTTCGAATGACAAAGCCGCCCGCCTTTGTGGTCGTCGACAATATGGACCCTGGCAACAGTCTGATAACGTTCACAGCACATGCACCGAGAGGCTCCCCGCTCTTCTCTCTGCATTCAAAAGGGTCATGGACTAGACCTCGAATCACCGCAGCGGTCGCTTCCATTACACGATGCGTCACCGCGTAGCGCGAAGGGAGCGTAGACGCATCGAGACTGGACGGCCTCCTCACCAGCCTGGCTTTTCCATGCGGTCCTTGCTCCGTCATCGGGAACTCCGCGATCCAAAGTTCTAGTGTCCAGCAGAACGGCGTGCGCCGGCATGTGCACCAGAGCGAGTACTCGGCGAGGGCACTACCTCGAACGAGCCCATGGTCACGGGCCACTGCACTGGGCTGCAGACACGGAAGAGGCACCCACGGGAGCCTTCTGTACTCGTCCAGAGCGTACAGCGAGCGGTGAAGCGAGCGTTGCTCACGTGGCATGGCGAGGCGCTCTGAATGGGTGTGGTGGCGGACACTCGAGAACACCTGCTCACAGTCAAGTGGCACCGTTGCCGAGGGTACACCGAAGTTGCATAGAAACAAGGTGGAGACGGCAAGCGAGGCGTTCAACGCAACTACCGTCGGTGCAACCATTGCATGGATAGCAGCTGGAAGCATCGAAGCCGGGACCCGGAAGCTGCCGTGAATATCTTTCGACTGCTAACAACGGTTGTACAGGGAAAGGAGACGCCCGCGTTTTTCTATCCGGACTCAGGCGGGGGGAAAACGAAGCAGTCTCAGAGAAGGTTCGAAAAACCTGGCGTTGGTCACAGTGGGAAGTGACCAAAGCTCCAGCGTGTGCGTCCGAGTTACCAAAGTGAATCTGCTCCGGTTCAGTCTTACGCGAGTATGACCTGGGTCTAGGTTTGCATACGAACCTGCAGCGCTTTTCTGAAAACGCCCAGAATAGCTTTGGTCATCCATGATGACGGATAAATAACAGAGAATGGTTCTGCCCTCAGCGTACAGCCTCCCGGTGACTTCCCAAGGTTGGCCAAGTTTTGCAGCCTCAGGCCCGAATTGTTCGAGCTCCGGCGATCCCGGATATAAGGCGCTAAACGCTTCGCCCTCACAAGTGCAGAGTTCGGGTCACTCCTCATCAAGAAGTTCGCCTGGAAGCTGTACTTTATCGCCTGCTGGAATGTGACTATTGATCAAACGGATCTGCAGACCGTTAAATTCCTAGGTTACAGATATGATACGGTGGAGACACCTAGGCGTTCAGCATGTGGAAGTGCATGAACTGTTTCCCGTTGCGTTTGCGAGCTGCGCTTCCGTCTGAGATGAAGTGCTCGAATTCGAGCGCCTAGATTGAAAACTGCAGGCATTGAACGTTGCACATTTGTCCTGCGACGACTATCTTGGATACGTGAATGACTAGAAGAAGACAAGGTCTACGCATCGCCCGAGTGCACTTGCGAAAAGCTTCAATTCTACAGCGCGCTCTTCCCTATAGGTGTACCGTATCACAAGCGACATCGAAACGCACGTCATGAGCACGCTCACTGCAAATTATATGCAGGGGATGAAGTCGACGAGCGTTCTCTTCCAGTCTATCCAGCGATGCGCGCGCTAGCGTCGCAACACAGCGCTTGGGTACCTGCCTACGTCCCTGAACCAGTTCCGCAACCTCCACTCCGTCACTACAACGGAAACTGATGAAAATTGATATGAAGCCCGCACATCAATAATCGGTTTCTGTTTGACAGAACATATGCTGTGAACTGTTTCACTGCCGGTGCCTGTCATCTGGTCTCCTCGGATGGACGCACTTTGGAACGTTCGATACAGCTCAGTGGTGCTATCCATGTACTGACGCTGGCTTCAAAGTCCGGCTGTTGTTGTTCATCGTGATACGCATGAAGCTGACGCTGCTTCATCATGCTCCAGATTTCCGCATATTCGGAATCGTAATCCACAGTCAGACTACAGCGGGATAGAGGAGTCAACTCCTCTTGTAGTACCGTATAGAGCGTAACTTGAAAGCAGCTTCCACATCCCAGGTCGCTCCAGAGCCGGGCGCGGCCGCATAGGTCAGCCATACGAACGCTGGGTGCGATCAACAGTATTTTGTCGAAGGGCTCGAAGGTGCAAAGCGAACCCACTGTTTCAGAGGGCAGTTGGTCATTCTGCTGGAACTCCTCGACGTGGCGAATCACCAATTGCCGATCTCCAGCCAGCCGAGCGTCTAATCTGTGACACGTATCGCGTTCTTGCCCAGTAACTGGGCGGGCTGAAGACGCTATCCAAGCTTTGAGTAACGCCGCACTTGCTTTTGTTTCAGTGACGATGAGAATCTTGCGCTTTGCTGCGGATTCGGTTCCGGTATCGGATCGCACAATGTCCGACAGCGCTGTGCGAATGATGGTCACCAGTGGATGCGGCTGCGGAGCAGGTGTATCTCTGACGCGATCGAAGAACTGCAGCGTCGCATTTTCGATGATTTGCACAGACGCTGCGCTGTCGCCGTAGAAACGACTATACTCACGGTGAGCTTGGTTCAAAAATGCTAGAGCAACATCCGCGCCTTCGAAGCAAGCCATCGATACGGCTTGGCGGAGCGTGTGTAACGCGATCAGCCGATGAGCCTCGCTCCGCAGTGCTCGCCCTGAACGTTTTCGAGCACGGCGACTACTTGTCTGGTGCCGTAGCGATCGACGAATTATATCCTCTACCTCGCGTATCATGTGGCTGTAGTCTGCGGCGGTGTGCTGTAGAAATTGGCAGCCACACGGAAGGGCAGTTACCGCATCCGTCGCGGGTACATCTCGCTGAACTTCCACTGCCGTCTCGTTTAGCAGCAGACGTAGCAGACGCTCACCGCAACAGACGAGCGTGAAAATGGCGTCCGCTGGCGTGATCCGATAGGCGGCAGCCAGTGCACATTGCCGTTGGCGAAGAGATTCTTCCTGTACGAGAGCGTTTTCGGGATTGGTGACGAGAAGCTGGGCTTCGACACGCGCCACTCCTGCATTAGGATTGGATGTGGACGTGACAGCTACATCGGCACCGTTGACGGACTGTCCTATCGATGGAGCGTCCACGACGCTGAGTAACTGACGGTAGGCACTCCGCTGACGACGTGGATGGCCACTGCTTGTTTCAGGTATTTGTATCGCTTGTCCAGAGTCTGGCAAGAGCGGCAGCAAGAGCACTGTCGATGTGAGCGGCACCGGTGCCAGCCACTGCTTGAGCCAGGTTGCCTGAAGGGCAGGCTCGATGCGATCATCCATAGGGTTACCTGCATACGGTTGCTCGACGCTACCCCCGACCAAGACGATGATCAGACCAAAATGCACTCTGCGGTATGACGGCGAAAGCATTGGCTGAGAGGTCACCAGCGCAACGTTCACAATAGCGTTCGGACTGAATCCAAGCGCCGATGCTGCCGCCATCCGGTCGCCGAGCGCAGCACGCAAGTATGCGAGAAGCTCTACAGCATACCTGGTCACGAAACTGATATTCAGATTGGTTGCGGGATTGTCGTCCAGCAGGATGAGCACTCGCGACCGATGCTCTGCGACATGGCGGAAACAGAGGTGAGCGATGAGCGCATGCGGTGTTACGTTTGGATGCAAGAACACAGCGACCAGTGACGGCTTTCGAAGGGTCGCTTGCCAGAGCGATTGCGCCAGCGCACCCGCTACTTTCGAGCGGAGCGTACTCGCTGCGCCATATTGCATTTCGGGACTGATTGAGCGTTGACGGAAGCTCGTCGAATGCACGGAACGCTGGACATCTTTCGGTGCTTGTGAGGGACCGCCCTGCTGTGTCGCGTCTTTCGCGAAGGGATCATTTCGAACTTGCGCACGCATGAACGCTCCCAGAAGCAACGGAGTAGGCACGGGCGCAGGGTTCAATGGAATTTCGCCGCTTGGGCCGGAAAGCGCCCCAGGTTTTGGTAACGATAACGTTTGTTCCGTCTCCGGTGTTTCATTCGCGATACCGAGTGGAAACCGATCCGCAGCTGTTGCAACATCCCGGCAGTGCTGGTCGGGCGAGGGCTTGCGAGCAGGCTGCAAGCTGTTTTCATGGAACGCGTATGGAACGCTTTCGACGGCTCCCAGCGCGCCTGATGCTGGCGTGAGGCGAACGAGATCCTGCGCAGGGCTCGCTGCAGCGGCTGGAACGCGCTCCACATGTTCATCACCGTACTGGATGATTCCTCCGTCGTGCCCGGTGCGAGGATCGCGAATGCCTATGTCTCCGAAAATGGCTGGGGATCGAGCTCGGATCGTGACTGAATGCTGCAACGGCTCTGGTGACGAATGAATGTCAGCGATTGAAGCGTTCCGTGGACGTAGCGGATGTGCGGATCCCGGTGCCGCATCGGTCTCTTCGGAGTCGCGGGGTATCCGCGGTATCGTCACTGGTGTCGAGACTTGGCACTGACCTACCGGCGACGATGTGAGGGCTCTTTCCATGGCAGGCGCATTTGGATCGTTGTCGGCGACCGGCATGCTCCTTGGTACGCGTGCCGGAGAGCAGCTCACGCGAGTCGTCTCGGTACCGCGGGAGCCCGGCTGCATGCTTGTCTGTACGAGTGCACCTCGAGCCTGGAATTGGCATTGTCGGAGGCTTGCATTTTGACGAGCATCCTCGATAGAGCACCACGGAGACACACACATCAGTGACTGATCTCGGTTCTGGTCCGGAATATCCAAGCCAGCCGACCTGTCTCCAACCGGGGATACATCCGTATTCGTTCGTATCGTTGAAACAGCAGTTGTATCCAGCAGATCCGATCGGTTCGCGGACGACTCCACAACGTTCAGCGACAGTGAAACGCGCTCTCTTACTTGATGGGACGCGCTGTCGCCATCGACTCCTGCATCCGTGTCGAACGCGAAGAGGCGCTTGCGCCCTGCCGCCACCGATTGGATCAAGCGCCGCATCCGCTTCTGCATTCGCGATGTCCACCCCGCACTTTTGCTTGGAGAATCGAGAACTTGAGCACAAGCGGTACGCGAGGAGGGGCAAGGCGTTTGCAGCGCCAACTGCGCAGTCGACTGCAATACCGCAGGCGTTGGCGTCTCATCGACATTCTGCTGAGCGCGCGCTTCCCTGTCACTCATTGTACGGATTGCAGTCGGTACTCTAGCAACACAAGTGCACAACACGAACGAAGAATACGACCTAGAATTGACACTCCGAATTCCCGCCATGAACAGGACACGTATGTGCGTGCAACGATCAATGCGTGTCATGCAGCGCTCGCATGCATGCACCGACGTATGCATGCGATCGCCTTGCGAATAGCAAGCGTCGCTTCTGCAGCAACGACACCTGCCATCTTCATCGGCGAATACAAGTTTCTCCATTGGCGGTCCTGATCGCAGGAGCAGTGCACCGACAGCACTGTAATCCGAGATTGTCCACCAACGGCCATACGCTAGTAAACTGCAGTACTCACGTATCCATGCTCTTCTGGTTAGATGTACCAACTATAACCAAACTGCGATCGTTTTGCGCGAATACAGGGCGCGGTCATTCTTGTTTGAAAGAACGTTGACACACACGCACAGCGGCCGGGCCTTTCTGATTGCGCGCTTGATATCAGCGAACGGTGAAGCAGCCATCGTTCCACGCTCCTATGTCCAAGTTCCAGTACCCATCCTTTGCAGCTCGGAGGCACTGGTTATTCGTCACATTCCATCGTGCGTCGAGAGCCTGCCACAGGCATCCGCAACGGTGCCTAAATCGCCAATGCGGATCCACCACAGAGGCAGAGCGCCCTTGGTATCCCGCGGAGAGCGTCGGCGCGATTCCCCGCTGGCGCATCGCGTCTCCGACGCAACCCTTCCGCCTAGAAGGTGCAGTGTGCGCGTGCGCTGCAGCGACTTCGCATCGCCACCAGATTGATCTGGAAGGCCGCAGCGATCAGAGCTCGCCTGGACGTCCCGGCGAGAATTCCATGCGCATCTGAGCGTTTTGCCCTCATGTTGTGCAAGGCACTGGGAACGCGTTCATGTTCGTCGGACTATCGCGAGGTTTCGTTTCAAGGACTAGCATCAGCGGCATTGGCAACAGTACCGTGCGAGGTACGCACGGTGTCTGCAGGAGCGCCAGCTGGCGCTCTAGGAAGACCGCTTGGGGCGCGCGTGTGCGACCAGCCAGCGCCGCTGGCGTCTACGCGCAGGTGCCGCAACAGCCGCAGGGTAACCGCTTCGATCCAGCCCTGATCGTCGTACGCTACCTCGACCCAGTATTTGGTTTTGGTCCAGAGACAGTTTTCATCATCGCTGAAGACCCGAGTACGCTGTATGAGCTGGGCCAGCCACCTGACAGGTTTTCGCAGTGGAACGCTTCGCGAAAGATTTACCGTGCCCGGCGCATTGTCAGCTCAGCGCTGGCCCTGCTTCTGGGTTTGGTCTGGTGGCCACTATCCATCATAGCCGCAGCTGCGTACAGTACGTTCACTGTGGTTGCGACTGTTATTTTCGTAGTAGCGGCGCTCGTGTTCGGATTTGTGTTCTGGGCGCTCGGTGAAGCTGAAAATCGAATCGAGCGGCTGATGAGGTCTTGAATACATCGGCACTTACCCGATCACTGCTGCACTGTGTCCAGCTACGGCCTTCTTGGGGCTGCAGTGACGGCTGTGCCTTCCAGGGAACACGCAAAACGCTTACACAGTCCCGGATGATCCCATAAGCGAGATAGGGCAAAAGCCAGATGGCTGATGGGTGTTTCTTGTTCTCAGAAGAAGCGAAAGTTCCGCATGGAACATGCCTTCTGATCGACATGCAAGGCGCGTTTCGGTCTCTATAGGCAGTGCGCTCGGTGACCGTGGTCACTACCCCTGAATAGCCACGCAATGGCGGGCACTTCTGTAAGGTCATTTTGATAACCGGTTGCCGCCACATGTCCTGCTCTACCGAGCATGTCTCTTCGAATCTCGTTTTTACCTTGTACGTGCGAAGTTTCGTTGCGACGTATCTGGTGCTCATAGGCGCCATCGTGGTCCAATTTTCCGTACTACCTATATAGTCCAGTTTTTACAATGATGTCGGGCAGCTTCTTCACAAACAAAACGACATAAATGTGCACCATAGGGATCCATATCTTCGATCACGGCAACGCGTCGCCTTTCATTGTACTTTCCTGAAGGACCGCGAGTTTACGGTCTTCTTTCGAGCCGAACTCCACAACTGGAAAACCCCTGCGATGAGCATGCCACTAATGCCAAGTCGGTCGCTGTATGTCGCAGAGGCCAGCTCGGCCGCAACGTCGCTCGAGACCAAGCGTTGCACCAGCCATGAAGGACACTAGCTCACCGCATGCCGCTCATAAGCTGGCAACCATCGTCGCGCTACACAGCGCTAGCGCTGTAGCAATAAACATTCCCGCTGATCACCTGTTTGAACTAGCGTCTAGGCTGTGTGCTGCGACCACAAGGATCACTCACCAGCGTTTTCCCAGTTGGTTTCTACCTGCTCGCTTGTTGAACGCTGCCCTGTAGGCGTCTTCATCGGATCGCCTTGGTCGCCCGCAGAGCCAGATAAAGGACTCACTGCCGCTGGTCGCACGGGTGCCGGCGGAGTCGCCAGGTTGCAGCATGCGTGAGCGAGGATCCCATACGCGCTTTGTAGTCTTTTCCAGACGTTCATATAACGCTCCATTTGTGCTCCAAACCGTGTCGTTGGTGTATGTCGCGGTGGCTGGAACCGTCGGGGCTGAGCTGAATCTCAAAAAGTGCAAATATCGATCTTAAGCGCGAAGCTCTTCGCTATTCCTGAACCCGATCTATCCCTGATAGGACAAAACCTACATGTGCGCCGTTCAGCGCTGGGAAGCGGCAGGCACCGAAGCTAGCCAGCGTCCTCGCAGAGGCCATGAGCCAGGGGAAGAGGTATCGCGCACGCTTTGACCCCGGCGAAACGTGCCATGTTTGGTCTAGAACGGATACCAAGCGTCATTGCCGCAGTATAGCCCGAATTCCAGGTCATCGCGCCACTCGGATGCCAAGACAGGCACCGACGTTCCTTGATGACGAATGCGTAGTAGGTAGCACAGCAGAAGCGCCCTCGACGCTTTTGCTCAGCTCGCATAGCTCGCGTGTTGTACCGTAAGCCTCGACACAACGGAGTTGAGACGAAGGATCCCCCCAGACTGCACGCTTTTGTTTCCGTGTTGGTGCCCGCCGGGGCTGCCACGGCATTGCCGGTGTAATCTCAGCACCGAAGATTGCACACGAGCCCGGTTCATGAGCAGTGCACTCCCGAGAGCGACTTCGGTGCTGTTGCAATCGTTTGTCTGTGGAAACGAGTCCATCGCTTTCGCACGATGGAGAGACGCATCCCGTTCGATAAAACAGCTCCGTCGTAGCCCATGATGCCCGCTGCAAATCCTATCCGCTATCCAGCATCAGCATAGCGAAGCCGATGCTCAAACCAGTGAGAAGCATTTATCGTGATGTCCGTCTTCGGGTACAAAGCGCTCCCCATGCCGTTGTTGATCAACGTCGTTGTCCGGACGAAAGTGCGGTCGCCATCGTTTCGCCCCCGAGTACGCAGATATGCACCGTTATTGGGGGTCATCCGGCGGAGCGTGCGTTACCCACCCAACAACATCCAGTACTGCGGAGGACATGGTGTCCGGAATCGCGGATCCGCCGGATATTCTAGTCCGATGCATCCGTCTCGTGCAGGCGAAACAAAAGCTGCAGAGGGCATGGAGCATCCAAAACACCACAAAAAACTCCAGCAGAGGCATCCATTGTCGATGCACTACGTGTCCCCGCTATTCCCAGGCTTTGACGGGGCGCTGAGGTCTCGAATCGATAGCTGCGGATCCAGAGGCGCAGCCTGCTCCGTCTGGACGGGTGCATGCCTCTCGGTTGCAGCGGACGGTCCCTGGCCGCGTTTCCGAAACGCGAACACGAGATACAGGTACGCTGCATCCCACTCTTCAGGCGAAATCGTGCCCGACTCGGGATCAAGAACCTGCATTCGTTGAAAAAGGTCGCGGAATCGAGCTGGTGCGTCCGCCTGAAGTGCAAAGGCGTTCACAAACGCATGAAAGTTCATTCGGAGCAACAGCTCCAGGTCATATTCCGCGGCGATTCGCTCAAAGGTTGGAAAATGCACCAGGTATTCTGGACAGTCTTCGACATTTTCGTCCAAAGTGAAATGATACCGGATACCGAACGGCCGGCTCGGCGGGAAACGCTTCGCCGCACTGGTTGCAGTTTCCAGAGTCGGCGCTGGATCGTGCTCCAAGTTCCCTAGATCCGCCGACGTTCCATCTGCGTCGATACTCTGACTCGAATTTTCAAACGAGATCCGGTAAATACTGTTTCCGAAAGACAAGCCACTTGCTGCGCGCAGCTTGCTCACCAACACATTAGCGTCCGGCGTCGTTCCAATGAAAAACCCACCCGGTTTCAGTCGACAGGTAACGTTGTGCAGCATCTGCCGAACTCGCTGTTCACTTTCGAAAGCGTAGTGCACCGCAAACTGACAGCTAACGAGGTCGAACGCAGGCCACTCGAGGTCCAGATTTGCTTCGAGATCAACGCCGAACACATCGCCGCACAAGAAGTGTGCAGGAAACGAGCGCTGCTTCGGACCCAAGTCGTTGTAGCGCTGTACAGCGTGCTCTAGAGACACGCGAGCATGATCTACACCAACCCAGTGTGAAACCTGAGCTCGAGCGAACTTGAGCAGGTCGCCGCCTTTTCCACAAGCGAGGTCAAGCACGACGCAACCGGGTCTCGAGTGCAGTCCAATCAGAACCGCCTTGATCCAGTTGTTCAGATTTCGCAGGCGTATGATTCGAGAAGACTTTCGTCCTTCTTTTCCCTCATCTTTTCTACGGTTATAGTGCTCGGCAACGAGTGCCTGGTCCATCTACAGAACCGCATGCAACGGAGAGCGGGTCGAGGCGCTCCGCCTGTGTATCGCTGGCTTGCGAGTCTTCACCTGCGGCACGTAACGGCCCTGGGCTGAGTGGCAGGGAACTGGCGAACGATCGCGAGACATGGACGCTCTGTTGATCCTGGTTACAAAAAATTTACCTGTTTAGTGGGAATACCAGGGGAAGGATCTTTAATCGTTTCGAGATGTTCACTTGGACCAAGGGGGCCTTGGACTGGTTCCAGTCCTGGGCAACGTCGCCTACCACAGACCGCAACGCAGAGCGAGGCGCTGCGCTGCATCCTGGAGGTTTCCCGGAACACTTTGATGGAGAGGATGGCGGCCTTCTTCGGACGCTAGTCATTCGGGACCGAGAAATTATCCTCTGGTCACCACCGATTGCAACTGGCGGGTATGCGACGATCCATGCGGCCTCGGAGCGTTGTGACGACAAGAACAGCCGCTATACGGCTCCGTATGTCGTCAAAGCGACCCACTTTGGGACCTCGGCAGACATTCGGCGCCTTGCGGAGAACGAACGCGCCATCTACGAGTACCTAGAGTCGTGCCGATGCCACGATCGACCGCAGCTTCCAAATGGCGTGGTAAGGTTTTACGGTAGTTGTGTGCTGGAAGGCACCGAAAGCTCGGTGTTTCTTCTGCTGGAACGAGTTCGAGGCGGCTCGCTCGCGGAGCTATTCGAGAGAGAGGCCCTAGCTCGCCAGCCGCTACCAGAATCCCGGTTGCTTCGGATTGCGCTAGACCTCCTGGGTGCACTCCGCTACCTGCATGCTTTACAACCCGCAGCGATCATCCATCGCGATGTGAAGCTCGAGAACATTCTGTACGACCCGCAGGCGCAGCGCTGGTTGCTCTGCGACCTCGCGAGCGCTCAGCTTTTTGTTCCGGAAGGCGATCATCGAACAAGTCCAGGAGAGAGCGCGCTGGCATCGCATCCCGTTGCGACGGCGAATGTCCCGCATGACCCGAATTCGTCGACCATAGCCATGACGACTAGATGGTACAGGGCCCCGGAGATGATCGACGCTTTTGCATCAGCGAGCCTCGTGCATAGCATGCCAGAGAAGCAGGATATTTGGGCTTGCGGGTGTGTGCTTTTCAGCTTGGCGTATGGCTTTCATCCTTTCGCCAATGATGGCGAACTGCAGATCATCTCTGGTGCTCCCTGGCATCTAATTGATAGCAAACGGCGGGCTCAGTACTCTGATCGTGTCGAGCAGCTTCTACGAGGTCTTTTGAAACTGGACGTGCAGCGACGTTGGTCTGCAAACGAAGCGATTGCTTTTCTTCTCCAAGAGAGCGAGCAAGACGAACACCCATTCAGCTCACGAGACGCACAGCTGAATGTCCACGATGCTTCGCTCAATAGCGATGCGCTGCAAGCTCATGGAAGCGCCTGTTCAGCACCGATGGATGATGAACTGTGCTGGGCGACCTTCCCCGAGGTAGACACCAGCCGGCATTTTGAATTCAGTGGCAAGACGTGCTCCGGCAGGCAACGTGAGGTCCACGGCGGATCAGCTTCCGTCAAGCGTTCATTTGCAGGTGCGCCGCATTCCCTGAATTCAATAGCCAGCGAATATCCCGGATCCCAGAGAGTGAATGCGGATTACACACAGCTGGCCGTAGCGGAATCCATGGCTCGCAAAGGCACGAGCCACGCCGCTTTGAATCCGTCGGAACGCTCGGACATAACTTCAGAACCTGTCTCTGGGATCGCTACAAGACAGCACGTTTACGGGATCGCGGGAAAGGAACCGCCGCAGACCGCCACCATCGCCAGCACCACAACAACAAAGCATTCCAATCAGTCCAATGGTACGTCAGAACGAGACCTCATCGACTGGCACTGATCAGCGAAGACTCGGAGCAAAGCCTTATCGTGTGTTGCATGAAACGAGTCCCCGGATGCCGCCAACGTGCATCCTTGACGCCTGTCACAACGCGTCGCAGTGGCATCGGCAATGGCGGCAGGCCGCGGGCCACTGTCCCAGGAATCGCTGCGTCCGGCACTGCGATGCCGGTTGACGCGACTCGATGCGATCTGATGCCAACAAATGTAAAGTTTGTCCCATGGAGCACCTTCTCATTCCAGTAGTTGCTCTCCCAACAGATCAAGGTGGTTGACAATGCCACGTGAATTCGGAACAGTGACTTTGAAAGCATTAGACAAACACACGCATTAGCGCTATCGTCACGCACTCGTTCCCAAGCTGCTTTCCAAACAAGCGCGAGCACTTTTCTTCAGCAGAGAAAGCGTGCCGCTCACATACCGACCGGAACTTGTCCAATGGGCGTGCGCTCAGCATGCCTGTGACCCCGTTTTGCCTCAGGAGACAGAGAGATCACACGACGCCGCTTCGCGAATCGCCGATCATGCCATGACGCGGTCGGATCAGGATATACGGCGTTGACGTCACCGAAATGCCAATGACCCCTTCATCGACACGACTGCGCTGCCTGTTCACGGTATGGAACAGCAGTGGTGCGTTTGGATGAAGACGTACCCGAAATAAGGGTGTACGACACCCTTTTGTACCGACACTGAACACTCCGACCGGTGTCAGAAAGGCTTTTCAGGGTGTACCCCAAGTGAAAGCAGCCAAGTACCGTACGATTGCGGAACGTACTCGGAAACTCCGATCCTTCTCTTGGAGCGCTACCTGAGCAGCCACCTCACCATACAGCGTCTCGATGAGCAGATCAAGATCGCGTTGAATTTGCATCCGCAGCTCTGCATCTGCATCCGCGTCTGCTGCATGCGTGCCTGCATCAGACTGCGTTCCCGCCATGTGCGCTTCCGCTGCGGCGGAATCGCCTTGAGACGTCGCTGCAGCCGGTGCTGGGCGCAGCGCCCGAAATGCGACCTCAACCGATAACCCATTCAGCTGGTCAACGATCGCATCGGTGCCATCTACCCCGCGTAATAATGCTTCTACGTCAAAATCATGATGGAGCAGCATGGTATGATTTGCTAAGCGTGCGGTCTCGGAGACCACGCGATTCACGACTACGCTCGGGATATCGCCGTAGAGCGTTCCCATAAAGAAAACATGCCTATCGAAGGGGTGAACATCGCGAATGGAGCCCACGATGCCATCAAACGGTGTCGACTCGATCGGCATTGATGGTGGTCTCGCATCCGATTGCTGGTGTGGGTCGGGGTCCCAGCCCCAGACCTTGTCTGATGGAAACGCCGCCTTCACGTATTCTTCGTTGCATCCCAGCGCAAAATCGCCATACAGACCTCGCTCCTGAACGAGACGCTTAGTTCTCAGAGCTTCATAGAGGACTCGCTCCCGGTACATTACATCGTCAAAGCTTTGTATCGTTTTGTCCACATGGTCTGCAGCATAGCTGCGCTCGTAGACGCTGCTTCCAGTTGGTGATGCCCCAGTATCCGTGCGGTTCTTTCGCACTTGCGCCTGACCGCCGAGGCGCGATTTATCGTAAGCGATCCGGCCAACGGAGAGGCCCAGATCTCGTGCCCGCTTTTGAATCGCCAAAATATCTTCATAATCCAGACAAGTGCAACGACAGGTGTCCGAGAGGGGTAGCGCGGTCCAGCTCGAATCGATGTCCGTCGCGTCGGACTCGTCCTCCGCAGGTGCAGTAAGTTCCGTTTCTACAAAATACCGGACCATGTACAGGTCACTTACTTTGTTGGCGACATCAAAGGGATTCACATAGGCTTCTCTCCAGGAGTCGCGACCCACCTGGTGATTCGGGCCGCGCTCCAGTTCAGAGGCAACAGTGATGAGAACTTCACCGAACTTGGCGGTCCTGCCGCTACCCTCTAACGCCATGCGTGCGTCAAGTGCCGCTTTCGCAGCTTTTTCACCTATCTCCCGGTGTGCTGCAAGCGGCTCCCATTCTCGGTCTAACCAAAGACGGACTTCCTCGGCGAGCCAGCGCTCCTCAGCTGCACGCAGAGACGGCACCTGCCAGTCTAGTAGTGGAAAACACGGAGAGACTGCGCTCGGCGCCGGTGCATCGTAGTTGGCTGCCGCTTTCCAGTCTCGTTCCGAGTCGAGGTCGCCTTCGAAGGGTGGCTCTCCAAAACTGCGAGCAACGAGGTCCCGGGTGCCGCCTCGGTGCCGCAGGTGCGTTGCGGGCGCGCTGTGCCCGCTCACTCGTGCTTTGCGAATCGATAGCTGTGCGCCATGTCGCGTTGTCGCTCGCTCACAAACTCCAAGAGCACACGCGTGGACGAAACGCGTTCGAGCACTTTTCAGGTGACAGGGCACGAAGGTTGGCTCGCGAACCATGTTCTCACCAGAAGCCCTAGTTGCAGCTCCACCGCCCTTGATCTCGAACCGTTTTTACCCCAGAAAAAAAACCGTCCGCTTTTTTTACCAGGCTCGCCAAAAGCTTAAGCTTGGAGAAAGCAGGTTGTCGTGTTTCGAGAGGCGCACCTGTTCCGACGATGCAGTTTGCGCATCACGCCCTGAACGAAACCAGCATGCGCTCCAGCTACACAGCGGACGCAGAGTCTGGAATATCCTATTTGATAGCACATCATGTAGACATTTCCAGATTTTCGATCGTGTCCTTTTGATCCCGCTCGCATTGGCGTCTCGCGCTCCGGCGTGTCGTTTCTGCGCGTTCGGATGAGCCGCCGCAGGGGCCATTGGCAGCCGCTGTCGCGTGAACGTTCAAAATCGTCGGCATTTGAATCGCTTTCAGTCTACGCTGGCGATGTTGAGCAGTTGCGCTGCCGCGCTTTGCGTCAACCTTGCGCCATGCCGAATCCTCACGAACTGCAGCAGCGCATCATTCTACAACGAATAGCTCAAACAGTGGGAAGACTGAATCAGGAACTTGAGACTCTTGAAGAAACCTTGGAACCAGTTCGCCGGCTTGAACCGGAGTTTAGTCAGGTGTGGGAAGTGCTCCAGCGTTGGACCTCCACAGTTGAGGCAGAGAGGGAGCGCACTAAACAGTGCTGTTCGTCACAGCTTTAGCACGCGTTTAGTCTGGCAGTCGGTCTTCGATACCGGCACCAAGGAGACGCACTTCCGTCAACAACGACCGGTTCCGATCCAAGGGAGCGTCCCTCTGCCACGCCTCTGGCCGGCGATAGTTGGCGATTTGTCGCAGTCTCTGGCGCTCACTGCAAAGTAGAATGCGATCAACACTAACTGTACGCGCGTAAGCCGTCACCATTACAAGTTCACGCGTCGTGACATGAAACTCGAACTGACCAACAATCGGCCGGTCTTCTTCGTAACCCTTGTCGCGGAAATAGAGGCCACGCACGAGACCTAGTTGTCGAGCGAGCTGCACGTCCAGCACCTGCGGAACGAAAAGTAAATTCGTGCTCGCGCTTACATCACCGCTGTGCTCCATTCTCGTATTAAACGAGACTTTAAACCCAGCAGCGTATTCCAACGAATGGAAACCTTCGCTGATAAGTTTCGACTCGTCCGTTCCGTTGTCCCGCAGCACCTTGGTGGTCGTTTCCGCCGTCAGTGGCTCGACTTGGAACAGCGTTTCCGAGCGTTCCACGCTTTCTCCGCCCCTGTCGGCAACATCCGCGGTCTCTCGATAAAAGTAGCAACGTTCTGAGCGCCAACGCCCCGGCTGGCACCGGAAAAAGAGTTTGAAGGTTTCCAGGGCAGCTCCGCGAGCAGACCCTGCAATCAGCTCACGTTCAAGCAGCGTCGCCGTCACTGCCAACTGCGGTCTCCGGTGCTGAGGTCGGCACCGCTGGTCGAGCTGCTGTTGCCTCCAGGTGCGTGTTTTACCCGAACCAAACGCTGCTACAAAGCAAAAAGATAAACCGTGTGCCATATTCGCCTCAAGGAGTTGCCGCTGCATCACGAGCGGAAACATGTTCTTCCAGATGTGGATCGCCGAGCTCCAGCGCGTGCAGGCGGGCAGTGCGATCGCAGCACGTGCCGCTGGTGGCCTTCAACTCAGTTCTGTTCCACAGGGGCTACGCTGGTGCGCCGGAGATCGACACCACGATGCAATATACCGAAAATAGATCGTAGAAGAATGCCTGTAGGATCTATTCTTCACTGAACAGTTGAGGGAGGACTGCGTTTCTGGTTTAGGTCAGTCACGTCGCAGTACTCAGATGGTTGAGGAATACTGAAAGAAACAAGTAGATGCGCTCTGCGTCAAACACCGGTATTCTCGGTAACTGCTTGAAGTCAACGGTAGAAAACGACCCGTTGATCAACTTGCGGAAAGCCAAAGCGACGATATTAGCAACCACGGGCCTCTCTGTTTCTGAATAGCTCATTCTCGTGGTGCTGAAACCTGTGGGAGAGAGTCTTAAAAAAGGGTCCTAGTTCAAGCACAGCCATCTTCCATGGAAATCAGAACGACTATGTTCCTGGAAGGTTGCGATCTGTATAGAGTACAGGGATGTCGGTTTGTTCTTTTCAGCCGATCAGACGTCCTTCGAATAAAACGGCCGGAGCGTATATTGGTATTCGCGGAGAGGGAGCCCGTTGTGTGCGCGATTGAACTCGAGGAGAGCTAAGACGTCATTAAATGTTCTAACTGCAGTGGATTCATTTGGCTACCTCAGTTTCGCTCGTAGAGAGTTCACAGACAACAGCACCAATGACTTTGTCGAAACATTGAAGACTGTCCGCTGACGTCTGGTGATGTCCGTCTATTAGACGACGTGGTACTGCACCATTCCCTACGCGTTGGAGCTTTTGCCTGATCTATCGGGATAGAGCTGCTTTTCATTCCTTTGTATGTTCTGCGGTTCAACCGCATCAAAGGAGCGTTTTCCATCTTAAAACGGTATGAACGCTCCACTGGAGGAATCGCTGAAGCGTTCAGCACACGGTGACACACCGGGGCACATTTCGTCTTCATCCCACAAGTCTTGCCGGCTCAGCGAATGTCCTCACCTGAGGTCATGTGCAAGCGTGTTCATTTGAAGAAATAAAAAAGCTATGGGATGAACTCGGGTGTACACTTCAGAAGGTCGAGATGGAGAAAAGCCAGCGGAGCGCCTGGGCCATGGAAAAGCACGAAGCGCTAACAGGGTGCCAATTCGCTCAGCGCGCACCAATTGGGGAACTCCATGTACTGGTGAGTTCCATCAGAGACAATAAACCCAGGGAGTTCATCAGCCGAGACTTCAACGTAGCCCTCAATATCAGACGACGTTCAGTCCCAAAAAATATATTCGCGAAAATGGCGGTGATGGTATCGACACCACAGCGATTGCGCTCGCCGCGTACGATATCCAAACAGCCGCTGGATTGATCACGCTTGTCTCTGAGAGAAGGATACTAGCCTGGAGGTGGCGATCGACTGCTGCCTGCGACCGAAGCCGGCCTGACGCATCACCGCTGAATAATAAATGGATGCCAGCACGTTTCAGGTACTGCAGCAACTTCACATGCGGATCAGCGTGCCTGCACATACTCGCTGCCCAAAAAGAATGGAACTCGTTTCAGTCTAGTCCAAGTGAACTGGTCGCAAGCAAATGTCGAAGAATCTGCTGTCATCAAGCGGCTAGTTGCACGCGACAGCAACAACGGCAAGTCCCCCTGCCGTAGCGATCATGCCAGCAGCTTGCAGAGCTGTTCGTTTACTCATGATCGTAGGCCCGAGTTAAACGAGCCCCGCCATCCATCGGTTCCGAGTGCTACGTCTGCGCCGTTCCCAGCGCGCCACCTACCGAATGCGACGATTTTGTAACTAGAATAGCGCACTGGATCTCCGTAGCTATCCAGGATCCCGATACCTCGATCATCGCACGTTGCAGGGTTCTCGGGGACTCGGCGTTGCGCACTATGGCTATGAAGTTTCGAACAGAGCACCCGCTGCGTGTTCACGATGTTGCATGCAACGCGAACGGCATACACCCACGGAGCGCGTTTACACCAGTTTCCAAGTCTTTTTCACCAAATCAGCACCACGCTCGGCGATCATCATCGTCGGAACCCCCGTCTGGCCGCCAATAATTTTCGGCATGACAGAGGCATCGATTACCCGCAGTCGCTCAACACCGTGGACACGAAGCTCAGGGTCGACAACCGCATCGCGCCCTGTTCCCATACGTGCCGTGCCAACGATCGCATTCGCTGTATGGCACGTGCGGCGGATGTAGGTCACGAGATCGTCCTCTAACGTTTCTGGGAATGCTTCTCGCCCACGATAGGGGCGCATCGAGTCGCCGGAGAGAATCTCTCGGCCCAGCTTCAGTCCCGAGAGCAGGGTCTGCAGGTCTCGCTTGTCCTCTAGCCATCCAGTGTGGATAATGGGGCGTGCTCGTGGGTCGATCGTCGCAAGCTCGATCCGACCACGACTCCGCGGGCGGATCGCAACAGCCTGCAAACCAAAACCTGCTGGACGAATGCTGGTATTCGTTAGCACATGACCTCCACTGCGATATTCGCCGAGGCTCTTGTACGGATCTGCATCGGAGAAAAACGGCACAAAGCGAAGCTGCAGATCACAGCTGGGCTCGCCGATCACCGCCTGCGTGTGAACAAAAGCACCGGCCTCGCACACAGGCGAGGTCAAGGGCCCTCTTCCTAGCAAAAAGTACTCGGCAAGTACCAGTGGATCTTTTCCTAGGCGCTCGGTGTAGAATATGCGCTTCTTGTCCCGATCCTTACCATAAGGATCCGGGGCGTAGTACGAAAGCATCACTGCCGCATGATCCTGGAGGTTCTGGCCTACCCCGGGAAGGTCTCGCACCACGGGTATGCCAAAGTCTTGTAAATGTGCACCCGGACCTAATCCGGAGAGCATCAGCAACTGGGGCGTGTTAATAGCACCCGCCGCAAGAATCACCTCGCAGTGCGCGAGCGCTGCACGTCGGCGCCCATGTCGATCAATGAAACGAATACCCTCGACGCGACGACCGTCCTTGGACCAGACGAGGTGTTCAGCGAGTGCATTCGTCTCAATGTGCAAGTTTCGGCGCGACCGCACCGGTTGCAGATAGGCAGTCGCTGGGCTTTCGCGCCGGCCGTCTCGCTGGGTGACCTGGAAGAGACCGGCGCCCTCTTGACCATGGTCCCAATCATTAAAGTCTTTGTTGCGCCGGATACCGCGTTCGAGACATGCTTCAATGAACGCTAACGACAGCGGGTTCGGAGAGCGCTGGTCCGACACTCGGAGCGGTCCGTCCGAGCCGTGCAGCGCCGTCGCTGCCTCCCCGTCGGCGCCCCGCTGCGCTGTTCTTTCATTCGATTCCAGCCGTTTGAAGTACGGGAGGACGTCATCCGGCCCCCATCCGAGAGCCTCGTAATCTTTCACCCACGTTTCATAGTCGTGACGCGAGCCACGATGCACCAACATCACCGAGATCGCATGGGAGCCTCCCTCGCCGCGACCTCGCGGAAGGTAGACTGCTCCACGACCACCCAAATGGGTAGGATTCTCGCGTGAAAAAAAGCCATAGTCGAGGCGGCTTCCGATCAGCTGAGGAAATCCAAGGGGAATGTGCTCGAAGTACGGCGCCTCCGCGAGTGCGTCACCTGCTTCCAGCAGGAGTACACGGGGATACCGGCGGTCTCCATTGCTGAACTGGGCCGTTGATAGGCGGTTAGCGAGCACGCAGCCGGCCGCACCAGCGCCAACGATGATAAAGTCATACTGTGCTTGGCGGGTGCCTTGCGAATGCTCTGTTTCAGCTGAGGCACGCAAAGTACGGAGCCCCGGCCGAAGGTTGCGCGTAACGTTGCGGAGCCGCCCTCCGGCACATACGCCCGCTAATGCGCTGGCAGGGAACGGACTACGCTGCCCAGCGTACTTACAGGGCGTGCTTGACAACAAAAAGCAGTACCTGCTTCGCATGACCGCAGACGCTCAGGTCGCCAAAGCTTCCAGGTCACTGCAACAGTTCAACTGGGTCCGGCGGTCTCCAACGGACAAGACGCGCACACCTGGAGCGAGCTGTCCAATTGATGTGGCCTCCGAGCGAACCGCTTGAGGTCTGAGGGTTGCTCTTCGCGCTCTAGCAGCGGTATCAGCGCGTTCACACGTAGCGTAACGCGCAAAGAAACCCTCCAGTTTTAGAAACCAGCGGTGATCGACGAGTGATTGCTCCCTGCTGGTTACCGTGAGCCCAACAGGCTTGTGACGTCACCTTTTCAAGCGCCCAACCTATCTACACAATGTCGCTGACGTCGGGAAAACGTGCGCTCTATCCAGCCATAGCAGCGTTGCAGCGCGCACGATCCATCCTCGAGTCCGAGCGACGCGATCTCGTCAACGCCGCTGTGCTGCGGAATCGGCGCGCTGGGCGATGCACCCGGCGGCGATCTGCGATGCACAGCCTGCGATGCTGCATGAGCGAAACGCTCCCGAGGAAACTGTTCTAAGTGGAATATTAAGTGAACTTTATGTATATAATTGGACAATGAGGGATTGATCTTGAGGAAGGGTTTGCAATGCGCGAGCTCCCCCGCGCACTTCCCACGCGATGCATCGGAATCTGTGATTGACACATCGTGCTGAAGCGTTTGGAAGCGCTCGAGCACCATAACCACGCCCAGCGGAACCTCGAGAACGAAACTTGAACATGTACGGCTTTGTTAGTGTATTACCAGTGGCGTCGGCCTTGCAGCGGCAGCAGTGCACGTGTGCAGCTCGCTGCAGCTTCACCACACGAGCAGCGCGGGTGGCTCCAGTGCGCATCGCGCTGTCGCGTCCCCAGCGTCTCGTGGGTGCGTCTTCTCTTCGCATGTTTGAGGTATCCGACGGTGAGCCGTACCCACTGAACCCTGCTGTTATTTTTATTGCGCTTATCGGTTGGAGCGCAGTAGCCGCTATCCCATCGAACATACCCGTTCTGGGTGGCACTGGCCTGACGCAGGCGTTTCTGGCGTCGATTCAGCGTCTGCTGGCGCAGTACCCAACTGGACCAAAGCTGGATGACCCGTTCTGGTTCTACCTGATCGTATATCACGTGGGGTTGTTTGCTTTGCTTATCTTTGGGCAAATCGGATATGCGGGCTACGCCAAAGGAACGTACAATCGCTCGGCGTAGGCGAGCGTGTGCTGGACGGCGGGGTGCGTCGACCGCTCGCCGGTTTTTTGAAGGCACCGTCCTGCGAGATAGTGAGGCACAGTGGCAGGCAACGTAGACTGAACGTGTAAACGATACTGACAAGTTGATGACTTGTACAAAGGAGAGGCACGCGTTGATGATCAGAACGCAGACAACGACACACGTGCTCGAGCCAGCAGTCATATAGGCTCGCCACCAGTGACGATTCCCGCAACGGCTGCGTATGCAGCTCCCTTGACGACGTTGTTAGTCCGTAGAGCGAGACCGTTGCAGTTGCAGGCATGCGCTCCGGTTCGTAAAGGGTACCGTCGAAAGCGAACCGTCAGCACACACCATTCCGCGTGAAGATACTGCAGCATACCCCCGGCTCGTCGACGTCGCGTTTTAGGGCGGGTTTGCATGCCACGCTGTCTGGAGCGGCTGGTCCGGGATGTCTCGTGAACAGCCTTTCATCCAGTGTGTTTTGGTCTAATACGCATGCACGCGTGCCTGCTAGCATCGATACGTCGACTCCGAACCGGAGCGAAAACCATAGAACAGGCAGCGAGCGTTATCAAGCATTGTCTGGACTCATGCAAAAACGCTGAGGCAATGGCTTCCGACACTTTCCGGCAACGCTTCCGATGATGCGCCTCGAAAGTCGCTCTTGTCGTCCTCGCTCCCGCCAGTATGGCATGAACAACCGCTCCGTTCACGGAATCCATCACAACGACGACCCAAAGCTGCTACAGATGGCGCTTTCGCTTCTGCGTGACCGGCAAGGGTGTTCGCGTTTTCGTTCGTCGATATCTGGGTCAGTGATGAGTCCATCGCGCTCGAGTCCACGTAAGCGACCTAAAGAGCGTGGTTCAACGCACAGCAAACGACTGCTTGTGATTACGCTCCACGGCGCTGTGCAGCCGAGCTGGCTCTCACGGTTTCTGTCGCTGCTCGCTCAAGCCGGAGACGTCGTGCAGCTGCGAGATCTCTCGTCGTTTACGGTCGGAAACCGATTCACAGCCACACTGGCTGTTGAAGTGACGCCCACGCAGCTCCGAAAACGTCGATCTACTGAAACAGGAACAGAAGCTATGAGCACAGAGTCGACGAGCGGTTCGGCACCGCAGTCGTTTGGAGTTGGAAGCCCTGCTGAACCTGGCGGGACGCTGAGCTCAACTGAGGCACACATCGAGCACGAATTCGGCATCGAGGGGTACCTTCTACGGGAGTTTCTCTTGACAGCCTATGAGCTGGGCGGGATCGAGACCGAGTTTGAGGTGCTCGACTCCCTCGAAGCAGAATCGAATGCAGCTCTTGAAGGTGACTCCGGTGAGCCGTACACGTTCACCTTTATAGGCACACCGCGCATTCCCGCTGATTTCTTGGCAACAGCAACGCATGTCCTCGCTGAAAACGGCATCAATTTGAATGCCATTCAGTCATTGAACGAGCCAGGGGGCCGCAGTACCTGTTTTCAGGTGATGGCAGCACTGCGGGGCCCTTTGGCAGACCGCGTTCGCAGCGAACTGCTGCATTTGGGCAAGGAGTTTCTCGTCGATATCGCTTTCGAGCGAGCAGGAGCATTGCGGACGAAGCGAATGGTCGTTTTCGATCTGTCGTGGACACTGGTCCAGGCGGATAGCTTCGAGCTCCTCTGCCAGGCGGCTGCAGTGGATGCGGATGCAGTCGCGGAAGTGCGCCGTTGTCACTCGCTCGGATCCGAAGACTACTTGCGAGCGTGTGCTGCGCTCCTTCGCGGTCGATCGAGCACTGGCTTAGCAGAAAGACTACACGCGCTTATCGAATATACCGATGGAGCCGCTTCGGTCTGTCGCGTACTCAAGAAACTCGGCTACCGAACGGCGGTGCTGTCGTCGGGGCCCTTGCTCTTGGCAGAGCTTGTGAAAGCAGACCTCGGTATTGATTTCGTTGCGGCCAATCGTCTTGAAACGGACAGCAATGAGCGTTTCACCGGAGCGATCTTGGAGCCTCTCGTCAACGGAGAGCGGAAAGCAGAGCTGCTGACCATGCTGGCGATGCGCGAGCAGCTCAGCCCGGAGCAGATTATTGCGGTAGGTGACGGGCCAGTGTCCGCCAAAATGCTTGACTCGGCGGGTCTATCCATCGCCTTTGAACAACCAGGGGCTCGGGATGGCACCAATATTGGCGGCAAGATTCAGAGCAAGAGTCTCACCTCCATCTTGTTCCTGTTGGGTATCCACGAGCGCGATCTACGGTCATTTTCATGAATAGAGTCACGTTTGCACTTGTTTACGACCGAGCGCGCTTTGCGTCACCATTGCCGATGATGCCGCTTTTCGTGACCAGGTGTTGGCTTATTCGACAAAGTCGTGGAAAGCTTACTGTGAAGCGCTGCAAGCAGGCGATCTTCATCGCGTTTGCTGAGGTATGCTGCTCGCTTGAGACGGAGATGATGTGCCTGCGATTCGGGTTCGTGCGTGACCGAGCAGGGCACTACGGGGTGTTTACAATATCTCTTGTGAAGGTTTCTGATAGAGGCGCTTGGGTACAACGGCATCGTTGAAAGACCAATGGCTGCCAGCAAGCGCGTTTGCTCTAGACGATCTTGCGGTCGAGACTCGAACCAGCCCGCCAAGCGTGAATCCGCATGAAGCTGCCCGAGTCGACGACGACGACGACGACGCTTTACACACGAAGCGGTGCGGGCATTCAAGTCAATCATGCGTCTGATAATGCATGGGTTCGTTTCGTGCGGTGAGCATCACTGTACGGACAATTCATACAAGTCTACTCAATTATGCGTCTGATACCGCATGGGTTTCTTTCGTGCGGTGTGCATCACTGTACGGACAATCCATACAAGTCTACTCAATCATGCGTCTGATACCGCATGGGTTTGTTCCATGCGGTGAGCGTCACTGTACGGACAATCCATACAAGTCTACTCAATTATGCGTCTGATACCGAATGGGTTTCTTTCGTGCGGTGAGCATCACTTTATTGATTGCGTTGGCTGCATCTCGCCTTGGGCTTTGATTCATCGAGCAACCGGAGCTTCACCTTCTCCACCGGCTAGTCTTTATGCAGCAGTGATGCGGCTCGTGCATTGTTTACACCAGGGGACGTCACCCATGGCAACATCGTGTACCGGATACGTTGCGCCGGGTGCCTGTGGGCGCTCCAGCACGCAGCTCGTCGCATTCAAAGATGATTGACATGTGACAGAGCTAATCTTGCTGAACACCACGGAATCCAGCGACCTTATGCATCGTTTCCACCAAGTGCCTGGGTTCACAACGCTTTCCAGAGGTCGTCGAGTACGCGGGATCCACAATCGCGTTCCGCTCATGCCGCCGCATGTCGCGGAACGTTTCGATCCTCTACCATGCCCGGCGTTGTCCAGAGGTGCACGACGCTCATATCCGTTGAGGACGGCGCCTTGTGCTCCAGAATGAAACATATGAGACGATTGGCGCTGGGGTGGAGCACTTTACGGCGAGCTCGCACAGCGCTTACCCTGCATGCCGGTGGATATCGTAGCGATGATCGCTTTCCAGGCAACAAGCAAAGCGCATGCTGTATGGCTTGCGGTCGTTTACAACCACGAGGAAATCGACCATGATGCAGGGCTGGCGATTGCGTCGTATGCCCTGCAGACTGGATGCTGTACAAAGATCCCGCGAGGGATGCATTGGGGCATGCGTACCCAACAGTCGTCGCGCCGCTTCCGGAATACGGCACACAAACACACACACACACACACGCCAGTCATGGTCGATGTGTGGATCCACGTCCAAGCGTTTCCGGTATACCAAAGAACGCCTTGATCTCTGCATAGAACAGAAACTGGCCACTTACGAGGATCATGACTTGAGCACAACGCGGAACAAAGCCGAGAAACATGCCTCGTGGCCCTAATTCTCTCGCAATCGTCCACATATCCATCCAGGACTGTCGGATCGAATCGAGCCACATACAAGTGGCTGATCTCAGTCGAAATCGCTCGAAAAGAAAACGTTTCATATTCGATGCAGACCCTTGATCAGCCCTCATTGGGATTTCATTCGGTTGCATCTGTTTTCGATTCTTGTCCGCCACAGTCGGGGACAAGGATGCACTCGGCGAGCGAATGTTCGCGTCTGTTTCCGCACCGGGTGGCGTCGACAGAGCCTGTCCGATTTCTGTCAACATTAAACCCGCGAGACCGGCATGATGTTTGTTGATGCGGCTCAGGATCGTGTCTCCCGGTTGGCTGGCGAACGCGGCTGCGATCCCGCTGAGCAGGCCCGCAAGAAGCGACAGGCGCCGTTCCAGAGACACAGGCAGCTGAGCGTCCAACGGTGCGTTTCGACCTATCCATGTGGCCCGCAGTCCAGCCAGCAACCACTCGTAGGTCCAAAACTGAGCCAAAGTATACGGGCACTGTTTGGCGATCAGCGGCATCAGCCCTTTGTACATGCTGCGGGAGCCCTCGGCCCACACTTGCGCCAGACCCTGCCAGACATCTCGCGCAAACGTCCGATCCTGGACCATTCGAATCCGTACCGACTCCAGCGGGCACAGCGCTGTCGATGCTACTAGTTCAGCCACTGTCGCAGAAGTGACAAAGTGAAGCGACGATAGCGGCTGGCCAGCTGGTGTGCGCGTCAGCACCATCGTCAGCGTTCGTAACTGCTCATATACGGCGTACTTGAGGCCACCATGTATCAGATACCCTAAGGCAGTGGCGCCAAACCCCTGAAGAAACATAAACGGGCCATCTTCGTTGATAATCCGAGAAACGCAGGCCAAAACTGAAGGATAGCGTTCAGGTTCGAGCTGCATTTTAGTACGTACAACGTCGACAGGCGTCGTGAGTACGTGCATCAGAACCGCACAACTGCCGCCAGCAGCGAACAGTTTGAGGAAACGTGCCCAGTCGACGCCCAGGGAGGCCAGTAGACTCCATCCTAGAATAACGTTACAGAGCACAAAGAGCACCACGGCTGGTTGGTGCAGGTGTGGCGATCGTTTCACAGCGCGCCGGACCAGAAAACTGCGCCCGCGCCACAACAGCAGTAGTCCGAGGAAAGAAGCGAGCTGTTGGCGCATCGTAAGCGAAATCCTCTGCACCAGAAAAGAAGAAGCCGAGCCTATGGACATGTACGTTAACCTTCAGTACGGTGACGGAGAGGTCGCTGATACCCTCTCGGTCATGTGTTTACCCGAACGCTACGCAGGTAAAACTCGCAACGTCGACGTAAGCACTCAGGAAACAGCGGATGCGTAGCGAGGAACGCGTTTTGTTCCTGTTTTTGTCGTCGACATCGAAACGGACACGTCATTGCGCCACAAGGCGCGCTCCTGTTTTGCCGCCAATGCCCAGCTCGGCATAGGTGCAGATTCATGTACTTGACGTTCAGAAGGATACGTGCACGATACGTTCAAATGCATGCTTGTAGTTAACTTCAAAAGGAATCAGAGTACGATGCATGAAGAAGGCTAAGTGTACGTGAACAAGTTTTAGACAGTGATGAAGATTCGCTTAACGCTGCGGCTCTGGTCGATTCTAGGTCGCTCGGCTTCAGTTCACGACCCTGATGAGGGCATCCAGCGGTCCAGGTGCGTACCGACATGCAGAGCGTGCTTGTCCCGGACCAGAGCCTGCTCGGCTCAGCGTTGCAGACGCATGCAGCTTTTGGATATGTCGTAGAATCAAGGGCAACGGCGCGATCCGCTGCCGATGAACTGCAGCGAGGTGCTCCTCGACTCGGAATACGGGATCAAATGAGAACGAGGATTCAGATCAGCGTGTTCGTGCCAGGATCCAAGGGCCCGCACGCGCCTCAGGCGACGTCGCCGGATGCCCAGACGCAGGTGTGCTCGCAAACGAGACTTTACGCGGACAGGATCCGGATAATCCGACCATCATCGTTGCCCCGTGTACAACGAGCTTATCGAGGACGAAACAGAGGCTGTTTCTCAGAACTCGGCGTTTCAAGCAAGTGAAACGAAGAGCGCGTGAGCATTTTCGCATACGCGCGAGTCCATTCTCCGGCTGAAACGATGCCCGAACTGCGCATTGTCCAATGGTGAGGACTCGGCGTTTTCAAGCATCTTTTATCCGCGAGAAAGCGTTCGCCTACGGGCGAAGCGATTATGGTTAGCATTCCCATGTAATTGGAATACGTAAGCAGGTACAGATGAAAGGAGACAATACCGGCGAGCGTCCATATCCTCGCGGAAAAGGCCCAGCGCTACCGACGGGCATCACGCGGTCGCGCAGCGCCAGCAACACTGGACCCGATCCCCAGTGGCCGATCAAGCTTCCAGTGCCGTTCTCGCATCGAGCTTTCTATTGCTCTTTCGAATGCATCAACCTATTCGATGCAGTTGAAAAAGAGTGCTTTAGATCACTAGGATCTAGGTAGCAACTAGGGTTCCCGGTCTGCGCGTTGACCTGAGCAACGAACCGAAAACGATAGTCGACGTGATTGCGATGCTCGCATCTGAAACGATGCCAGCGCGCAAAGGCAGTCTTAAAACAGTCCTTGAGACCGGTTCAGTTATTGTGCTGATCATTGAATATCGTTGCACAAGGTCGACAGCTTATCCGCGCGGCCTTGTACGTTCGCATCATCTTCAGCTTCACCCGTGAAATACGTGATGATTGGCATACTTGGTGTTGTATCTATCCTGGCACTCCATTTTCAACCAGGTGCCGATGTCGCAACTGCTGATACCAGTCTGTCTCTGGAAGAGCTCGAACGTGCTCACAGAAGAGCGCGACCATTTCCTCGGGGGTATCCGGCTGAATACCACGGCCCACATTGAGGATATGCGCACCACCCGACGCAGCGCAAACACAACGATCAATGGCTGCCTTCACGCTGGCAGTGTCGCCGCACGCCAATACCGTTGGATCGATGTTGCCCTGGAGCACCGCTCGCTTGCCAAACAGCTGACGCGCCTCTGCGATGCTCGTTCGCCAGTCCAGGGCGAGCGCATCGAGACCCCGGTATCCGTTGGCTTCCCTCGTATCCGCTGGATACATCGCAGAGATGACCCCCAACTTACCACACGACCCATTTGCAAAGAAGATCAATGGAGTTTCGACGCCATGCGCACGGATTCCGCGTACCAATTCTTCCACGTAGAAGAGCGAAAACTCCTGGTAATCCTCGGGGCTAAGCAAGTGGGCCCAAGAGTCGAAAATCTGAATCGCCTCAGCTCCTTTTCGAGCCTGGTAAGCTGCAAAAACGATCATGCTCTGTGTGATTTTCTGCAGTAATCGATGCATGAGTTCTCGGCCTTCTGCTGTGTACATCATGCGCTTCACCTGCTTGCCTGATGAGGCCCGTCCGCCTTCGCCCTCGATCCCGTATGCAGCGAGCGTGAAGGGTGCACCCAGAAATCCAAGCAGCGCCGGTCTCGGACGAGCGTCTGCAAGCGTATGCGCAAGCGTCGAGAGTGTCGTTCCCACGAAGCTAAGTGCTGTCTCTGTATCCTCGGGGGTGAGCGGACGCACAAGCTCAACATCCTCCATGCATCGAACAGGAGTTTTAATCGATGGACCCTGTCCGGATACGATTTGGTAGTCAAGGCCCATGGGCGGCAAGGGGGTCAAAATATCTGCGAACATGATGACGGCGTCCACTCCGAACGCTCTCCACGGCTGCAGCGAAAGCTCGACAGCGATTTCAGGTGTTTCGGCACGCTCGCGGAACGCATAACGCCCAGAGTACATCCGAAACGCGCTCATGTAGCGGCCGGCCTGACGCATGAACCATACCGGTGGCCGCGGCACGCTGGGGTCGCAGCGCAAGACCCGCAGGAGCAACGGGGCTTCGTTGCAGGTTTCGACGACGCTGCTTTCGGACAAGCAGCCCTCATAGTCTGTATCCAGCGCCGCACGGAGCGCAAGAGAAGCGACATGATACCTGAGTCGCTCCGAGCGCAGCCTAAACTTTGCCCCAGAAGCAGCCTGCAACGAACGCGGTGCCGTGTGCCCAGCGCACCTGGGCGTACGCGTCAGCTTCAGCACCGCGAACTGAAACATTCTCCCAAAAACTTCGAACAAGTCTCCTAATAGCGCTCAATCAGTGTTCCGATTTTACTTCGTTATCGTCAAGTTGGCCCAGATGCTATCCAAGAAAAGACGACGACCTAGGCTTGCACCCAAAAGCTGTAAACGCGACGACTCGAGTACGATGCGCCGAGATCAACGCGGTGGCACCCGATGCTTCCGGTGCGCGTGCACGGCATCATCAGAGGCGCACATCGACTGTAGCATCATCAGATGCGAGTATCGATTGTAGTATCCCATAGAGGCGAGTATCGATTGTAGTATCCCATATAGGCGAGTATCGATTGTAGTATCCTATAGAGGCGAGCATCGATTGTAGTATCCCATAGAGGCGACATTGCCATCAGGAGAGCCACAAGGCCGATGGCGGGCGCATGTCCAATTTTTTTCGATGACATAATTCGCGTACATTGGCCATGGATCCCAGATTGCAGGATGAATATTGGTTATCGAAAAAGTGTCCATCGTGCTGTACCCCGCCTTAACGTTCCATTACCCATACGTCCTCTCGGATATACTGGTCGTTTCGTGCGTTCTAACTTGCGCCGAGTACCTACCGTGAGCACCCGCCGTAGTGCCTAAACTACTGGAGCGGATGCATCATAGAGACAAAATAGCTTTGCCATACCAGTGAGGGCATTGGCTCGAAGCGTCGTTCAGCTGACTTGGACTCCGAGTGCATAATGACTCTGGGAGCCAGCAAGCTGCGCAGACATACGTACTGCCTGCGGCAGCGCGAATCAACATACTAGGAGTCCACCGCGAACAGGATGACGTCCAGACGCAGCATAACTGCCTCTAGTCCCAGAATAAGCCGCTTTGGAGACGAGATACGCAGGCATTGCAGCGGCATCAGCCACGTTAGAGGCACACCGGGCACCAGGCTTGCAGACTCGTCTGGCTCGAGGGACCTTCCGCAGACAAGCTAAACTTTCCACAATATGGAAATCTTTTCGCCCTTTTATCGTTTACAGTAGAGACGGAAAGAAATTATTATTTCGTTGCTAGTTAGGGGTTGGTTTATGTTCTTTTTTCTAAATAGTGCGGTGGATAGCGCTTCTTGGAGATCAGGGCCGCAAGAGATACGGCGTGCAACTCGCCTTTGCATGGAAACGCGATCATGATCATTCGTCGACTTGTTGTTCTAACGTACAAGTTGCATTTGCTTTTAAGTCGTAGCAAAGTATAGTTTTCAGATCAATTATGTTTCAACCCTCAAACAAGTCTAGTCAAGTGCTTTTTCGCAGTACATAACAGAAGGGTTCAAAGAGCGTTCTTTTTAAAAAAACTAAAAAAGGAGAGTTATGAAAAAGCTAGTCGACGATCCTGGAGGCCCAGTGTCGCCGGCTGCCAGAAAAAAACAAAAAAAAATCCGAGTCCAGAAGAGCAGGAAAAGAAGTAGAAGCAAAAGGGGTAGGCCCGACGTCAAAAGCTGCGCGAAAGACAACTGTGCGACGAGACGGGGGTGAAAGCCGGTCTTCTTAAACATATCAAAAATCCGTACAAGGAAAAGTTGCGAGACGCTATCAGAAACCGTGTCGATTCGTACTCCAAGAGTTTTGTCAAGGCGTCGTCAGGACTGATGCATTTGGCGAGGGAGATGTATGAAGACGTGACGCACATGGAAACAGTCGAGGTTCCAGACGAGTTGTTCGACACGACCTTTATTCGTCACCTGATGCTTGGCACAGGGGGAACGCGGACGGAAAATGAGCGAGTGCACGCCCTCTGCCAAAAATACTCCTTTTACATCTCCAACGGTATTTGATACAGGGGTGACCGGGATATTTACGACTATGGGGCGATGAAGTGCATCACGAACCTGAAGAACCATTTGACAACGAACCTCGAACGTTTCATGATACGCGCCGTGGTTGCACTCTACCTGGGCCTATCTCGCAATGGGAAATGTGCGATTATCAATGGCGTCACGAAAGATCGTAAGCGTGAAGATGAGGTCGAATTCGTTGACAAGAAAGCGTCAAACTAGTTCACGAATGAAGCTTCTGTAATGCGTGCGGTTATACAAGAGCATCGTGCGGTACTAGGGTTTGCGAATCCAGCAGAGAACGTATCAGAGTTGAAAAAAGATAAGGAAAGATACTATCGCCTCGTCCTGCGCTATTTCCTGTTTTTGGACCGAGAGCTCGATCCCAAGGCAGAGATGAAGCTGAGTGAGGAAAGCAATGAAGAGTGGGAGAGACGGAAGGCTGTCCTAATGGGGAAGCGGTTCAACATGGTTCCAATGTGCAACATCAAGTCACTTTTTATGACTATCGACTCCAGAATCCTTCACGGCATCATGAAGGAGATCAGTCCGGAGTTCAGTGTCAACAGGGAGGAATTCTCCGGTGAAAACCGGGAGACGCACTGGAAGAATATCTTCGATTTCAAACGTCTCAAAGTGAGCAAGCAAAAGGTATTCACTGGGATCATCGAAACCGATGGAGTAGCCTAGTGTGTAAACTATCGGCTGTTGAAGAAAGGTCGTCCAGTTCCGCCCTCGGCGAACCATGAATATGAGAAGGAGGCGGATCCTGCGACACAGGAGGTGCAGGATAACGACCATGTCGTTGACGCGGCGAAGCATGATGAAAAGAAGGATTCGGATCCTGCCACACAGAAAGTGCAGGATAACGACTTTGTCGTTGGCGCGGACCCCGGGAGCACTAACATCATTACCATCGCAGTACCCAGGAGTGCGGAAGCTCGTACTGACGGCAACTTACTTCAGAAAGACATGCGTCTGTTGAGGTTCTCGAGAGCGAGATATTACCGAGAATCCCGTATATTGAATACGACGAAGAACATCGAGACTTGCAATTCAGGAATGAAAGAGCACCTGGAAACTTTGAGCGAGGTGACGAGCCGAGGAGCGGACTTTGATGCTTTTCGGAAAATCATGGAAGTTCCTGTTGCTCACTGGAAGCCGCTGTGGGAGGAGTATACAAAGCCCCGGTGGGCTCGTTTGCGAATGAAGCTATACTGTGGTAAGCAGCGTGCATTCGCGAATTTTTCAATCAGTTGAGTGCCTTCAAAGAGGATCAAAGTCAGAGGCTCGTTGTGGCATACTGAGCAGGGCGTTGGAAGACCCAAAAAGGAACTACGCCAGCTCCAACGACAAGAACGTACAAGGAGTGTACACGGCGTTTCGTTATGATACCGATAGATGAGTTTCGAACGTCTTATACACACCATGAACTGGGTTGTACACTTCAGAGAGTGGAGATGGAAAAGTGTCAGCGGAACCCTGAGGATATAAAAAAATACGGACCGCTGACGGAAGAGCAAATGAAAAAGATGGCGAAAGTTCGTGGACTACTTGCATTAGTACGTACAACCAACGGAAAGAAACGGATTGAGTTTGTGAATCGTGACTTCAATGCTGCGATCAATGTAAGATCTGCAGTGCTCGAGAAAAGACCCCGAAGGTCCACAAGAGTGAACTTTATTGGACAACCTCTAAAAGTGGAATTATATGAGAAGAAGTTGGAAGCAGTAGTGGGTGCCGGTCGAGAAAGGCTGGGAGGCGTCTGCACGTCAGTGGCAGACGTCGTGTTTACGGCGGGTTTCTCGCCACTACTGTACTGCCGACCGCAGCGTCTCGACTGTGCCGCCAGAAGCATTTGCAACTGGAGCGCATGCGAGCCACTGCATGCGTCAAGGGATACTTGGGGTTCTTGCTAGCACCTAGGCTTACGACGACAAGGCCAGTGAGCCAAGGCCTTGTTCGGGGACGACGAACAGCGTCTGTGCGGAGCGAAGCTCGCACTGCGCGACGAGTCAGCCGGGGTACGCGCTTGCCGTCTGCTAGAAGCACGTTTCAACAGCTTCAAATGGTTCGTACGGAGTCTGCTATGGTTGAACTCGGCACGGTTATGCCGGCGTTTGCTTTACCCGACGTAACTACAGGAGAAATCGTGTCTCTCGATTCGCTCTACGCGGACAGTCCGCCGCCGAAAGCCCTCGTTGTGGTGTTCTTGGCTGCGCACTGTCCTTTTGTGAAGCACATTGCTGGCGAGCTCTCTCGGTTGAGTGCAGATATTAGTTCTGGAAAGTTTGGCCCGGTGAAAATGGTTGGCATCAGCAGTAACTTTGTCGGAACACACCCGGACGACGCACCGGAGCGTATGGCGGAGGAAATCAAAACGCGTCGCTATCAGTTTCCGATTCTCTACGATGAAACACAGGATGTTGCTCGTGGCTGGAAAGCCGCGTGCACGCCCGACTTTTACCTTCTGGATCACGAGCGCAAGCTGTTCTATAGGGGGCGTTTGGACGGCAGTAGACCCGGAAACGATATTCCTGTGACAGGTGAGGACCTCCGGAACGCCATCCAGTTATGCGTGAATGGACAGTCACCTCCGGAAAATCAACTGCCGAGCATCGGATGTAGTATCAAGTGGAAGCCGTCGTAAACACTCAAGTGGAATGATACTTTACATGGATTGAGCGCAAACGCCAGGCGGCTGCACACGACGTGGGTTCGAAGCAGTCGCAGCACGCGTCGGCAACGTCTTGCACGGCGAGCGTCTGTCTCGAGAAGGCTCCCGGAACGGTACGCGAGGCCAATGGTGTCGCTGATACTGTTTGAGGATATGTCCTAGACAGGTTTTGGACAAGCTCGACGTACTGGTTCCGTGCAGTTCCGGGGCGAGTGTCGTGATTGAAACGTAGGTGCGCGAGAGCCCCCAACGAATGTGCGTTGGAAACTGCTCACAAATGCTGGTGCTTTCCGCAAGCACCTGATTGCATGCAAGACACTTAATCGAGACAAGGCGGGCTGCTCTCGTCAACTCGGTTGGGAGGTTGGCAGGTTGCGGTGCGCGCTAAGCTCAGCAGTCAGCAGAGCAAGCCGGCGGCCGGCTTGCTGCTCGTGTGCGTCGCAACCCGTTCGTGACGCGTACAAGCCACCGCGACGTTCGCGCTCCACTCAAAATCGAGCGCTCTACTATACAAATGCTACATACATGTGGGAACGATATAGACAAGTACGAATAAAGTGTACAAACCGCCGTTCCAAGGCTATGTGATCCAAGCGCACCTTCGTCTCTGGTTGCTGAAGGACACTGTGTTCTTTTCATTGGATTTTTCGCGAACAATGCAATTATGAAGCCTGAACGCTGTACTGTACACATGAGAATAATATACAATCGAATGCCGCGGTCTGTGACCGCCTCACATGGCGACCATCAGCAACACCACTTCGACAACGTGCGCGATCAGACTCCAGTGCGAATCATCGGGAATGAGGTTGCTTCCGACCAGCTCCTGGTACATGTCCAATAACACGGAGAGCACTGCAAAAATGGGGTGCCGAATAGCAAGTGGCCGAATACCCAGCTCGCCGGCCCATCGCGCAAGACCTTCGGCTCGCGCCGGAGCCAGAATCATCGTCAACAATAAGGCGTACATGAGGAGTCGCCGGCGGCGCGTCTGCAGCAAAAAGCTGAGTGCACGCTCTCCCATTTCCCAAACCGTAGCCGAATCGTTCACCTCATGGTGCTCTGGATTAGGTCGCTCGACGCTCTGTTGCATCGGAGACGCTCGTTCCCAGATCCGCTCCAGCTGTTCTCGAGAAGAGGGCATCACTGCAAGATCATCGGGTGTTGTGGAGCCGCTTCGAGGGCTCCGCGGATGCAGTGATACCGAGATCTGCATCTGATTCGATTCAAAGGGATGATCCGATTCGGAGCTTCTCGTACCAGTCCGGTTCCATTTTCGCTGTCGGAGGATGTAGCGAAGACGCGCCACGCGTTGAGAGACTCGACGAGCGTACTGGGACCTCGATCGCACACCTGACGGGAGCAGCGCCAACAAAAATAACTGAACTTCCAGCGGCACCAGTCGTGCCAGACGTGGGGAACGTGGCAACTCACCATGTAACGCTGAACCTGGATCGCTGGAAGATGCTGAAAAACTCGTATCCAACGGCAGCTGGAGGTTGTCCTTTTCGCCGCGATCAGAGAGTACATGAGACTCCGTCCTCAAGTTCGCGACCCGATTGACGCTTTCGGAACAATCTTGCTGCGTCGAACTCATAAACCAGCGGACACGTAGACTGCTGGCGCGCACCTTCGTATCGCTGTTCGGGGCCGTCAGCGACGACCGCGCCACCTGCCAGTACCTCGAGACCAATCGACTACTTAAAGCGCGTTCCTCGGTTACCGCAGATCCCAATTTCGCAGATCGAGTCCACCCAAGCGGCGTCACTGCAAAAGCGACCTCGAACGGAACACGCTTCACTGCGGGATCGCACGTGACAGCGTGTCCACAACGGATCGTGTTGCTGCCCGAGTCGCTACTCATCTTCAGCAGTTCGATGCGCGTGTCCGATCTACACAGCGTTCAACTATACAACACGCTCTTGCAAGCCCTTTTATCAAAGTGTCTTTCCAGGTCAACTCGTCACTATAGCAGTAGGCGTCAAGGATGTGTCACGGGTAGAGTACAAAGAACCGCCACTCAAATACTTTGGAGCGCTTGCTGGCGTGCATTGCCACGCGCTCAACATGGACACGTGTCCGCTACACGTGCGATCCTGCAGTGGCGCGTGCGTGCTTCTGCGCGCATCGGCACACTGCCGCGGGCGCAACGGCATCGCGCCTGATACGGCGCGCGTGACGATGGCAGCAACGACGTCATAGAGCATACCATTTTCGGCAGCATTGCGCACGTGTGCCTTCCTTCTTGGGGAGGTCTATGATCACGCGATCGCTTTGGGTAAATTGTTTTCGGCACGTGTGCCTCCTTTCTTGGGGAGGTTTATCATCATGCGATTGTTTTCGGTGCATTGTTTTCGGCATGTGCGCCTCCTCTCCCAGGTTGCTTTTCCATCACGCGATCGTTTTCGGTGCATTGTTTTGGAAAAGCATCCTCCGGAGGACACGCTAGCCTCTCGTTGCTTGCAGTGTTGGTCAGCTCGGCTGCAAGTCGTTCTCGATATGGACAGCGCCGCGGTGCGGCCTTGGTATCGATGCAGCGCACCGAGCGTGCCATGTGCCGCCACGCCGGTGCTCCCGCAGCTACCGCATTGGTTGGCAGGGAACGTGCGTATCGACACGCTTCGACAAGCGCTCAACATGACTTGGGATGGCGCGAATGCGTGAATGCACTAGCAGCCTTGCGCTTCAATGTGAGGCGGTCGACGTTATCGCCCTGGCCGCTTCCATACAGGCAGTGAATCCGTCTGGGCGATGCAAGTCGGGAACAGCGTGCGTCTGTGTTCGTATCAGTGCGATGCGGGCTGCGGCGAGAGTCATCAAAGTCCCGTACCTGCGTTTGCCGCTCGTACAGGTCAACGTGTTGCTCTTGGACTCGTGTAAAAAACGTGTTACAGGCAGAGCCCGAACACCTATTTTCATTGGTTCATCTCGGTGCACTAGAGTGCGCTTCCCTGGCGGGACCTGGTAAAGGTTTAGCCTGTTTCCGTCAAGTCCCAGCCGCGACTTGCGTAGCATACTTCGGGGCCTTCTGTGCTTCTTCCGTTGAACGCGTTCGGACGCGCAAAGTACTCGTAACGATCGGACGACTGTTTATCCAATTGGTCGACTCCCATGCGACGCATTTCCGTGCGAGACCGGAGCGGCTCTGGGCACTGGACGTGAACCTTTCTTTGCAATCTTGCATGCGCTGCCCGCAACGAACATCCAGTCCTCAACAACTCTGCTTCTATCCCAGGGTTCCGTATGGACGATCGTGCGATATCTCCGTGGATGTCATGGCAAAGCATGATCAATCCAACACACGGACAAGCCCTACGCCCGTGCGTACCTATCAGACGATAAACGCTTCAGACTTGCTCTCGTTATCGGATGTGGGCGTCGACTCGACAACGCGGAGCACAGCGCGGTATACGCGCAGGCGATGCGGTTCGAACTCCCGGTACTCGCCATTTGCGTGTTCATCGAATATGACGAGTGTGGAAGGGCGTCCCTTGGCATGCAAATGCCACGGCGGTATATAAAAATACCGCTGCGTCGGCTGGCCATGGCCCACTTGCTCAATCGGTGCCTCCTGGTCGCCCTGTCGAAGAAAACCGTTTTTCGGCATAGTTCCGTGAACTCGCCAGTGGCGCCCGCACGGTTCTCCGTTCATATAGATCCATCCTTTTTCAACGCCGCTTTCATAGAGGTCTAAAATGATGCCCTCGGTTTCATCAGCGTTTGGCGGGGGTATCGCTAGCGATGCGCGATACCAGCGCGGCCAAGAGAATCGCCTGCCGCTGAGCGCGGCTTTCTGAGGTGTCCACAGATACGGATACGCGTCTGCGTCGCCCTCTATGACACTCCGAATGCGCTCTCCGCGGAGACCGGCAGCGAAGCCAACAACGAGCGCATCCCGCCACTCGTCATCTGCGAAGGTGACATCGGAGCGGTACGATGCCCGGAGAAGGCCTTTGCGTTCACGAGCCATGCCGTATCCCGGTGGCAGTTGCCAGTCGCCCTTTACCATGCCGAGAGAGCTCACCAGCACGACATATTCCTCGTGACAGTCGATCGCACCGACCTCTACAATACCGTACCCGTACTCCGTGGAATTCCATGCGTTCGGAAAGCGATCCTCTACTGGCGGCTCTGGGCCGGCGGCGGCCCACTCGAGTGGCTGCCGCTCCGCGTCGTCGCCTTGATCGACCGCTTTCCGCCTCCATACTCGCCCGAAATCGGCGACCTCTAATTGTAGTAGACCGCTGCCTTGCGCTGTAGGGCATCGCAGTATGTACCAGGCATAGTCGCTTGTGCCCGCTGTAGCGTCCACAAGATCCGGTATCGTAGCCAGCGTAGCCGATGTATCGGATAGGGCTGCTCGCAGCGGTGGTGGCTCGGGGAGCATCCGCCACCGGAGGTCTTGGCCGGTATCCCTACTCGCAGCGTTCACGATAATCTCCCGCAGCTCCAGAGCGAGGTGCACGCGAATGTCGGCCGAGTCAAATACACACCGAACACTTTCTTCCGACCTGTGATCCGCATCACCTGAAACCGTTGATCGTTCATAGAGGATGGCGCGGCGTTCGCCCTCGAACACCTTTAGCTCCAAGCGGCTCATATCTAGAACACCATCGCGGTCGCTTAGGAAAGGTTGAATGCTTTCGTGCAATCGTCGCAGATGGCGGCTCTTGGTCGTCTCCATGACATACTCATTCAGTGGCGCATCATAGTCATAGGAGGTAGCCTGCAAGTACATGGTGTTCTCCCGGCGCCAATTGGTACCTCCAAAGTACATGTAGTAGTTAATGCCTGCACCGCCTGCGGCCAAAAAGCGCAGCACGGCGTACGCGAGGTCTGCCGCGTCGCGTCGATGATGCGGCGCTCCCCAGACGTCGTACCAGCCGGTCCAACATTCTGTCCACAGTAGTGGTTGCGGATTCGCCCCCTGAGCACGCCTTAACGACTCCACATGCTCATGTGCATAAAAAGCATTGATGGTCTCGATGACGCGTCCAGACTCTCGCTGGCTGGCGCCGTAGCACATAACCAGCGGGACACCGAGCGCCAGTTGGTTCGCCAACGAGGCGATCCAGTCGAGGTATTGCTGACCATCAGGGCCGTAGCTCTCGGCGATCATGGCGTATTCATTTTCGATCTGTGCCAAGATCACGGGCCCGCCTTGCGGAGCGAAAACTCGTGCAGGTTTCAGCACATGATCCACGAGATACTTGAGCCAGCGTTCCACCTGCGCGCAGTACGCTGGATCCCAGGTTCGAAAGCGCACCGGCTTGGAGCTACCCTTTTCACATACTTGGCGTAACCACCATGGAAAGCCTCCATAATTCACTTCCGCACATACATAGGGGCCCAGCCGGAGGATCGCGTTTAAACCGTGCAACTTTGCGCAGCGGAGGAAGCGCACGAGGTCGCGCGGTCCACTAAAGTCTGCTCGCGGCTCCGCGTCAGGCATCTCTGGAGGCTCAAACTCATGATCACCCCAGAAAACATATGTCTCTACGGTGTTTAGCCCATCCCGTCGCATGCAGCGGAAGATCTGCGGCCAAGCGGACGGATGCGAACGCACATAGTGCACTGCCCCCGAGAGGCAGAAGAACGGCTTACCGTTAATGCGCAGCGACCTGGAATCGTATGTGATCTCGCGTCGCTCACTATTCCAGCTCATCAAACGCGTTCCCTCACTTGAAAAAACGACGCCACGCTCCTACAAGGTCCAGGCTTAGCATTCGCTTGACCGCGAGATAGCGGCTGCGGGATCGACCGCCACCGACGACGGGCGACGCAACAGCCACCACACATTACAGCGCGCTGGAAGCGGCGCTGAGACTTTTGTGCCTGCCACGTATACGCAAGGCAGATGCACTACAGCGTTATTGTATCCGCACGGGTGCATGAGAAGGCAAACATGTATGGAATCAGTGTCGCTGTCTCTTTTTGGTATTAGATCGACGAAGCTGACCAGATGGCAGCGATGCCTTGGCGCTGTCGAAGGCACGTAACGAGACCGTCGTGCTCCAGCAGACGCCTGTCCGTCTCAGGGGCTCCCGTGCAGTCTTCTGGTCGCGAGCTGAGGTTTGACCCAGCGACATATCGCCGTGTCAGCTTAAAACGGAACACTGAACCGTTCGCTCCGTCCCTGCCTTTTGATATGTTTTCTAACATTTTGAGATATACAGCCACTGCTTTCTAATTGCGGCAATAGGTGCTCGTGGACTCATGCGTCGTTTTAGGATTCACGGTGGTGTTTCCGGAGTGGCCCTTTTCGACAGTTTGCCGCGGAAGTTCGTTATTTGACAAGAGTAGAGAGGATTCCCTTTGCCTTCGAGCGAGCGTTCGTAAAATAAACGATAACCTCATCCCGTTCATTCGTCCAAGCCTCGACGCATCTTGCTTCTTAAGTGTAGCATGCTCAAATCAAGCATTCTTCAAGCTTTCGATTCCTTTGGTCTCACGGCAAATTGTTGAGGCAGTACTGCGGGATGCTGAACTGGCGACAGCACATAATCTCGACGCTGTCCTTTGGCGACTTGTTCACAAGCTCATGCCGAGCGTTTACTGAACTTGTCAGGTCAAGTAATCTATTCTGTTTGAAAGCCGAATCCTCCTCTCTTTGAGGGTTTTAAACGTGCGGCACTCGACAGCAGCGTAATACCTCTCGTGGGATGTGCACCCAGGGGCTCCTGTATCTTGTCTTTCCATGGAAAAGGCCCTTGATCTTGGACTTGAATCATCGCAGCGATCGCTTGCAGTTGATAGTGCGTCACCGCTTTCCGTGAAGGAAGCGTAGACCGGTCGAAATTTTCTAGACCGTCTCCAGTCTTGATTTTCCTTCCGGTACTTGTTTCATCATGGAGAATGTCGCTTTCGAATTATCGTCTATCGGCTGGGATAGCATGCGCATCTGCATGCAACGAACAGCGCACTCGCCGAGGAGATCGCACCGAAGAAGCGCTTGATAATGGGATATGGTACCGGGCGCGGAAACGGAGGAATGCATCGATCGGGACCTGGTGTGCCAGAAAGGGGCACGCACGGAGCGATAAAGCAAGCGTTTATGCGCGACAGGGCTGCACTTGGAGGACGAGGAAGCATGGTGGACGTATGGGATCACCTGAGCAAAGTCAAATGTCGCTGATGGGCATCGCCCACGGTGACTGTTCAGAAAAAAGAATAACATGGAAGGCGAAGCATACATCGCAACTTCCGGCTCCACGTCAAATGCGTAGAAAACACTCGGATGCGGGGAAATAGTGACCTGGAACGCTACCATCATCACCCAACAATTCCTGAAAACCGTGCTGCAGGGAAAGCAGAGAGCGGCCCAGTTAAAACCAGAGACAACAGAGAAAGAGGAAACAGTCTTAGAAAAGCCTGCAAAAGATGTTTTTGTTGGCAATAAGAAGACACACAAACTTTTCTGTGTTCACCAGAGTTCGTCGTCCCGTTCCATTTTTTCTGATATGGGCGTCGTTCCTCTCGGTACCGAGCCTACAGCAGACGCACCCTCCGACCCTGGATGCGTAGCTGCCGCTTTGCTCGCCCGGAGGCTGACTGGGCTGGCAACTATCTGGCGGGCATCAGCTCGAGGCAGTCGTCGCTGCGAGCGCGCGTCGCTTCTGGAGGCCTCTCGCCGCGACGCAGCACTCGGAAGAACCACGAGCTCGCCTCCAGCCGAGCGCTCGGAGCCAGTGTAGTCCGCCTGCGGTGCTCTTGTCCATACAGTGTTTTGTGCAAGTATCGTTCGTCCCGCGGTGCTTCCAATACGGCGTTCGCAGAGAAGGAACTCGAGCTTCCTCTTTCAGCTAAGAGCCGGCCGTCGTAACGCAGCGGTGAGGCACTGTGTCCCGTGCATCGCACCCGAAAGGTTCACTCCATCAGGCCTCTGCACGCTGCTGTGCTCGCAGGGTGAAAGTATCTGTGGTAGACGTTATCAACACGGATATATCTTAGGGAACGTTGTGCATAACGCGAGACCAGAGTCACGCAGTGTACCAATACAACTTGTTTATCCAATCAATTGCTGCCGTGTATCCCTTAGGGCGTGTAACGTTAGATCGTACGACCCTAGAAAACAGCAACGCTCCCTGCTTTGCGTAACCATACGCTCGTAGAATCTTCGTGTAGCGTCTTACAATCGAAACACCCTCCACCGTCTCATGCGTCCCTCATGGGCTCGGAGCTCTTCGACGATTCTCTCGCGATGCCGCTGTGGCAAATGCGCCCGAAACGCCGCAACCGCACTCCCGCCATCACCGCATTGCAAAATTTCGACTCTTCCAGCGCTCGTCCAGCTCAGGGCGCGGCAAACAATCCCCGCCGATCCGCTGTCAGATGCACCAATAATGCGGCGCGAGAGATGCACGTGCGCGTCGCGAAACCGCGGCACAGACAGTGTGGCCGTGTTCAAGAGAAAAATTCTTCTTCCTGGAAAATTCTGTTTTCTGGGCAGAAGCGCCCCGCAAGCTTCCACAATCTAAGGATTACTGAAACAAACCCTGCGCGGGATTCAACTTGAAATACAGCGCTATCGCAATGACAGGGAGGAAGTCCGTACGACGGCTTCTCGTCATATTCTGTTCGTGCCTAGTGGGGTTTTCCGCGGTGCTAACTATTTGGCGCCAGTCGTTCTTTTTTTCGGTGCGAAGCGGAAAAGCGTTCATTGCTGGTCCGAAGCAGCTGCAGGCACGAGCAGAACCCGCGGCTAGGGCTCCTATGCTATGTTTTGGCGCAGAGTTCGAGCACCACGGCTTCACAACTCGTCTCTTAGCAAGCATCGACGAGCCTGTGAAGCACGTAGTCGTCGTTCTCGCTGGAGAAGATCCCTCTATCTTGGAACTGGAACAGACGATACGTCAGGACTACCCATTTTGTACAATAATTCGCAAGAAACAACGCATCGGTAATGTTGGCATCTGGAATACGTGCATGCGCTATATGCTTGATGTAGCGAAGGTGCCGTGGGCGCTGCTTCTGAACAACGACATCATGATGCCACCCGGTTCCCTAGGAAATGTTTCCGTGGAAGCGCAGAGAGTTGTACAGAATCCGGAGTTTTGTCTGGGGCCCACAAAGTTGCGCAACGTGAGAAAAATGCTATGGTCTGCGCTGGTTGTCTCACGAAGAACGGCGCAGATTGCCGGCTTCTTCGATGAAAACATTTTTCCTGCGTATTACGAAGACAATGAGTTTAGTATTCGAATACGGAAGATTCACGAAAGCGGCACACCCTGCCGCCTCTTTCCAGTACGTGTCCGTAATACCTTCCATCACGGTCCAGCGGACTCGCCGGATTACATTTCCGGTACGGTTATTTATTACAACGGCGGTGGCGACCGATCAAAGAAGGTCATACAAGATCGGGCAAATGCGTGGAATCCGCACTATGTGGCTCTTAAATGGGACTGCCCACTTTACTTGTGGGAAAAGTGCAAGAACATGCATCCGTTCGGTCGAAGTGATTTGTCTCCAAAAGATTGGGCTTTTGATCCGGGTTATCGGCATTGCCTTGAAACGGGCGAGTCTGGTGGTCAGTTCGGCTGCCGCTATAACGTAAGTGTATTGCCGAGAGAGCCGGCTTCCTCTCAAATTTCGAGAGTGAGCTAGTTGCGCCCTTTCGTTTTGCGTTATGGACAACGCCGCTTATGTAATGCCACTGGTAGCGTCCATGCTATCTTAAAGTATGCAGGAGCACACACATTTGTTTGTACTGGTCGTGAAATTTTTTGAATCAGGCCTGAACTTGAAGCACGTCGTTCGAAATGAGGAGGGAAGGTTCGGTGGGCATCACTCAGGCCAGTATTCTAATGTATGAAGCGGTTATTCCGGACAATGATTCGGTGGTCTGCTGCAGCGTTGCAGTCTTTTCGTAGGGCGCGCTCACCCGTGAGCGATGCTGGAGCGCGACTGCGGCTTCGGTTGCGGCTGTGAAGCATCCTCTACTTGGCCATGCGCAACGCCAGTGAAGGAATATCGCCTTCCGCGACCTGACGGCCGTTGCGGCAGGTGCACGTGCTCGTGTTTCTTGTCTGGCCTATCAGAGACTCGCTCGCTACCAAGAATGAAGCAGCAGTTTCCGTGCTCCTGTGCTGCTTTTGCTGGAACATACAACGCCGCTGCGCACCCCAGTCGCCGAACAGACAGAGCACGCGCTGTCTCCTGCGACAGCACATCTTCACGTGTACACGCTCGGCGGCAGACGACGACCTTGCTCGCGACGCTACGCCCAAACCGTCTCTTGTGCTGGAGCAGAGCTGCGCACTTCCGTCATCCACGTCGAGCCCGACCAGACGAGTCTTGCCAAGAGCCAGCTGTCGAGTACGGAGACACTTGTCCGAGGGTTCCTGAACCTACAAATGTCCGCGGAGGGACTGATGCATTTTCCCTGTTTACCAGCAGCGTAAACGCTGTCGACATAACCCGCTCCTATCGAATGCTTATTTTCAAGGAGTTCGCTGCGCTCCTGCTTCCAGCGCGGGCATGATAAGCCTAAATGTGTCAGCGTTTCAGGGATCTCGTCTACACAGCAGGGACAGTGTGATTCGCTGCCAATCGGTTGGGCGAGACGCGGCGACGCGGGACCCGCTGCTTGTTCAGCTAGGCAGACATAGCGCTATTCGTTTGTTTTCACGCAGAGCGGTGGACTTCTGTCCGAAGATGCGAGGCACTGAGGATCTGAATAGGTTGGAAGACCGACTCCCGGAGATTCTTGAAAAAGTAAACAAGTTAAAGGAGGATGCAAACGAAGCGTTCAAGGGTTGCCGCTTCCAGCACGCAGCTCAACTGTATACCGAGGCAATTCGAGTTATCACAACAGAGGCTCTCAGCTGCGAGTCCGAGTCGCAAGCAGTAGCACTGTTGAGCGAAGGGCTGTACGAAAACGAGCACGCAGAGCCCACTGACAGCGCTACAGCAAACGGTCAGGTGAACGGCAGCTCCGCCGCGAAATCTGCAGATGAGAGCAGCCCGGCTGAGACGCTCCGCTTTCTGCTCGTTGTTCTCTTCGCGAATCGTGCGTTTACACACCTGAAAGTTGAAGCACACGGATTCGCCATCAAAGATGCCGGCTTGGCAATAAAGCTGGCGAAGAAGCCGTACCCTAAAGCGTTCTATCGAAGAGGTGCAGCGTACTTTGCCCTTGGTAAGTACAAGCTAGCTTTGGCGGACTTCCGGAAAGCGGCTGCGGCTGCACCAACCGATAAAGACGTGCGTTTGAAGATTCGCGAGTGTGAGCGGCGCCTTCGTGAAGAAGCGTTCTCAGCAGCCATCGACAGCTCTCGCGACACGCCGGCGTCGCTGTGCCGCAATATCGACGTATCAGGCATTGTGGTTGAGGATTCCTACGATGGCCCGCGTCTAGTAGCGACGCATGAGAGCAATTCCGGTCGCATTGCTGCGGGTGACGGCTCCGTCACGCAGCGGTTCTGTTCTGACCTCTTGGGACACTTCCGAGCGCAGAAGCGTCTGCATCGCAAGTATCTCTTACAGATCATTGGTGCGGCCTACGATCTGCTGCGCGGCTACCCGAACATCGTGAAGCTCAAACTAGACTCCCACGATGGGAGCACTGACGCGTCGGCAACGAATGCGCAGCAACACCGAGACTCGTTCACACGGCCTATTCCGCCAGCTGCCGCCGATAGCAACTCGTTTGTAACGAGCTCGCCGGTGCATGTTGTGCCGCAGCTCACGGTATGCGGCGATACGCACGGTCAGTTCTTCGATCTGGTCCGCATTTTCGAATTGAACGGGCTACCGAGTGCAGAGAATCCATATCTGTTCAATGGCGACTTTGTAGATCGGGGTTCCTGGAGCGTGGAGGTCGTAACGACTTTACTAGCGTTTATGGTGTATGATCCACGGTGCATGCACCTTACTCGAGGTAACCACGAGTCGCGAAATATGAACAAGATCTATGGATTCGAGGGTGAGGTCCGCCACAAATACTCCGAGCATTTTTTTGAGCTTTTCGAAGAACTTTTTCAAGCGCTTCCGCTAGGCTATCTGATCGAGGGTGCGAATCAAAAACGGGCGCTGGTCGTGCACGGGGGCCTCTTTTCCCGCAACGGAGTGAAGCTGGACGATCTGCTCCGGCTGGATCGATTTGTTGAACCGCCGAGCACTGGTCTGTTCGCGGAGCTGCTTTGGAGTGACCCGCAGAAGGAGCATGGCTGGGGTCCCAGCAAGCGAGGCGTTGGTGTCGCGTTCGGGCCTGATGTTACCAAGCGGTTTCTTGACGACAATCAGTTGGAGCTCCTGATCCGTAGCCACGAAATGAAAGATGACGGATACGAGGTCGAAGCAGACGGCCGCCTAATCACGATCTTCTCTGCACCAAACTATTGCGATCAAATGGGGAACCGCGGTGCCTTCATTCGCCTGAAACCTGACATGAAACCAGAGATCGTGCCGTTTGAGGCAGCAGAACACCCCGCAGATGTGCGTCCAATGATGTATGCGTCGGGCGGTGGAGGCCTCTTCGGCCTCGTATGAGACGCGTCAGCGGGCAGCCAAGGGTCATCGCCAACCTGCAGCAGCACACGAATAGATGAAACTCGATTCGTTAAATATTGCATAGGCATACGGTCCAAGGACTCTGGTGTGAACCTGTGTGAGCGCACCAGATGAATAGAAAGGCGACGGCAACGGACAAGACTCAGGGCACGTTCCGACGCCGCACATTCGCCCCATGGTTCCAATAAATTGGGCAATATGCTGCGCCCCTGCTGATACGTGAACTGCTCCTGTCGGACGAGCGACGACACGCTTGTGCCTCGTTCGCGGTGAAGCTCTTACGTGAAACATGAACATGTACGCGCTGGCGTCGACGTTGCGGCGACTTGCGGCAGGCAGCGCAGCGTCACATCTGCAGCTGCGTTGTTGCGATTCCGAAAGGCACTTCCTTTTTACAACACGCCACGAACGACTCGATCCGGTTGTCGTGCGCGCCCTCGTCGGGGCAGAGGCTCGAATTTCCAGATTCCCGTTCCGTGGCAGAATCCCGGGGACACCATGCGATGCCCTAGTCCTCTTTGTCAATCTTGGAACACTTATATCCAGATTTTCGTTCTCAAATGCGCGTCGCCGTGTCCCCGCCGCACGGCGTCTCGTGCGTTGCGCACCGCAGCATATTTGATTTCCCGGACGTTCCAATCTCACCGGACGGCTGGTTCAACGCAAGCGCTGCGGAGTCTGCGAACGTTGCCGTTTTGGTGCACGCCGGTCGCTGCGGTGTCTTTGAAACCATCTAGCTACTGTGAACGGAAAGCACTGGTCGAATACCGAGCTCACGTGGTCGATGTCGGAATCCGAAAATAAGGAGAACCTCTCTGGTCAGGCAGCGTCGGCGGCCTCGTCAGAACTGGGGCGCGCCTTTCCATCGAAAGTGTTTACAGACCAAGCGCTGGCACCACTTACGGATACCCAGCAGGCGCTTGGTGAACGTAAGGTTGATGACGATGCAGCATGTCTGGCAAAACAAGGCCAGACACCTGCGGAAAAACTCGTGGTCTGGGAGGCGATAGACGCCCTCCCGCGGAACACCTTTGTACTGTTGAGTGTCTTGAGCATCTTCCCTGACGACGAGAAACTCGTGCAGGCATCGCTCACGCAACTGCTCGAACTCAGTGTCCAGATTGGCGCGAACCAAGCTGGGGCGTACAACGCAGCCGTCCCCGAAGAGCAGGTCTCGCGAGCGCCGACAACCCCGTCGACAGCTGCACTGGGACTACTGCGAGCGCGCCCGTGCATCATTGCACTTGTCGAGACTTTATTTGAGTCCTGGTCGGGAAAAAACGAGCGGATTCCCCGTCTTTTATGCGGATTCATTTTCGATCTGTCAACGGTTGATGCTGGAAGAGAGGCGCTGGCGGCGCGATCGCGTCTTCTCGAACTGCTCTGCGAGGCCGTGACAACTGCATCCGCGGTGCTCCGACATCCGCTTCCGGCTACATCGGATCCGTCTGCTCGTAACGATGATCAGCTCTACTCGCTATATTATGCACTGGGAGCACTAGGTAATATCGCAGTTGCTGGTGCGCTTACACAGATGGTGCTTCAGCGTCAGATCGATCAGTTCTACCTCTGTGTCCGGGATCGCGTCGCAGAGCTGAGTGGCGTCTTCGAGGAGTCTCAGCGAGAGGTCCATTACGCGTCATCACTGGTGCATTTGGTGCTCATCGTGAAGATTCTTCGGGAAGCATTGCGGCTGCTTCTCAATCTTATGTATCATGCAGGTGCGCAGGCCGTACCACGCCATGTCCAATCCGGACTCATTGATGCCCTGGAGCAAATTCGAAGCTGGCACGTTGGAGATACTTCGATCATGTCTCTGGGCCTCGAATCAACCGCTTCTTTAGAGGACGCAACCGTATCCAAGGCGTCAATGCCGCCAGTGTTGTGGCAAGCAGCTGCTCGCATGATGCCTTTGGTTTCGCGCCTTCATCGACTTGTTGTCGAGCTCCAAGGTCAGACCATCATCACAGAAGCTGTTGACGCTGCCATCGATACAACTGCACGTGAACCCAGCACCATCCCGGTTTCCGGGGTCGATCAAGAAGAATCTGCTCCCGGGGTCTGGGGTGCGCCCATTCTCTTCATAACCATCTTTCTCGGTGCGGCAGTGCATGTGGGCGCGCATGTTCTGCGTGATCGTTGAGGCTTGGTTTTGCTGGAACCTTTCTTAACGTCATAGATTCGGCCCTGGTATTCTAGTATCCATCAGATGTTCCTAAAATCGAATCACTCGCGAACGTCATTGCGCCTGTGCGTCTTCTTTCTTCTCCTGTGCGAAACTGTGCAGATTTCCTAAGCGTGGTGGTGCGTGGTGCGCGCTAATCTTTTCTTCAGCTGCGAACGTTCCTGGTGACCCCGATGACTGCGGACCATGCGAATGAAAGGCTGCCTTGTACCACGAAACTGGTGTCTGTCGCTATCCTGTGGATGTACCGTTCCCGAGCGGCCGTCTCGGTACGTGCGTCTCTGTCAGGCCCTGGCTATCGGCGTGCCTACAGGTGCGCGACACGCCTTGTCGCAGACGGCGCTCGACCTTCCGCGAATTATGAAGCGTTTCTTCGGTCAATCTACGCTTTTCCCAATGACCCGTCATGCAAAAGCGCTACATGCGGTCTGCATACCGGAATCCCTAATCCACAACAGCCATCCGAAAGCTCATGAGATGCGCATCGCGGCAGGCGTCCGCCATCCGCACGCATCCACTGGACACGTCACGCGTTTCACGCAGCGCCACGCATCGCGGTAGGCGTCCGCCATCCGCACGCATCCACTGGACACGTCAGGCGTTTCACGGTACAGGCCGGAACAGGGACCTGCCGCATACAGTGTCATCGGCAAGGCGCGGATGCAGGCGTTGCGGGACGCCGTGGAAGAAAAACAGACAGGTTTGCAGGGCAGTTTCGGAACCGTGCAGGCAGCCGCTCTGGAGCAGCGTTGTCATACGTTACTCTTGGAGGCTGACAGGCGCGCTGTTTATGCGCTACGCTCGATGTAGTCCAACGAGTTGTTGAAGTATGCGTTCTTGGGGCGGCTACCAGCGCACCCCTGCCAACGGCGGATAACATTCTCCGAGTTCGATATCCACCACCACTACCACTACCTGCTGTGGTGACTCTTTTACGCAAGGCGTGGGATACGGAGACACTCAGGTGCGGGCTCGAGTCAAAATAAGGCCGCGAGGAGACGTCGCGGCAGCCACCAGGCCGCATCCAGCGCCGAGGCAAGCCCGAAGAATCCGAAACAAAGGAAACAGATCCATTGCAGCAAAGACGGATCCAGCGGTGCTGGAATGTTTCGCTGTGGCTGGTTTCGCGCGAAGAAGAGCATGAGCGCTATGAAAAAACCACAGGCTAGATTAAGTCCTAGGGAGGCGAACCCTTCCATGACTGCCAGGAAGCCGCGTGGGTTCATCACCGCGACTAAAGCGATGAAGCCATAGAAAAGCACATAGAGCGCATAACGCAGCGTTTTGGCGCCGGGTCGCGTCCGTTGTCCATTGGACGCGATACCCGCGCTGCTGGAGACGCTACCGTCAACCATGTTATCTACGACGCGATTCAGCGGTGCGCTCGAGTGCGGAACCGTCGGCGACCCCCATTGTCCCTGGTCTCCGTCGCCAGATTCCACTGGAAATGAGTCATGTTCCCAGGACTTGCCGTGCTGCGATGGGAGATGTGCTCCCACACTGGTTGCCTCTTCCGAAACCCGTGCGGGCTTCTCAGAAACAAACCGGACGCCGGCAACAGCAGCCGGGCCGTCCCCCGCAAACGTCGACAAGGTTTGACTTTCCAATACGCCGTCCTCGTTCAGCGTTTGGTTCTTTGCGCCTTGCTCAGCAGTTTGATGGAAGGCACCAGGCATGCGCGCCCAGGACGCCACCACTCCGTCAATCATGTGGCGCAGACCAGAGCCGATCACCAGGAACGAAACCGTAATCGACACTGTGATGAAAATATTCACGAGGACCGCAACCGCTGGCGCTGCCTGTGCCCGATGCTGCTCCAGAGCTGCAATCAATGGCACCGTACTGATCTCGCCGAGCGCGTTCGCAGCCTCGAGGGAAACGACCACTCCCTCGCTACCCTGCGATGGAGCATCCGGAGTGGCCTGAGGCACAACAGCCAAGACCGATACGCACCAGACGATATTGAGAAAATAGCAGGTGATGAGGCCGGCAATCACTGCAGCGCGATAACGACGCACTCCGCTTGCGCTTGGCTGCTCGCCCAGACGAGCGTACGTTACCGGCATGACCGTGGTGAGACCTCCCAGCGCGACAGTTCCCATGAGGAACGGCTCCAGAAAAGCGCTCCATTGGTTGCGCCAGGGATTTGCGATCTCTGCTCCAAAAACGCCCACCACGAGCACGATGACCACCAAAAGTGTAGCTTTGATTCCCGTCGCGATCGTTAGCACCGGCAATACTGCACCCAGGCAGAAAATAAGCAACGCGGTACCAACTGCACAGAAGAGTGCGATCGACCACCTCGGTGCAATGAATGCGTTCATGAGCGTCTGTTTGGACAAACGTCTCAGCGACGGTCGAAAGAGTGCAACATACGCTTGCGGCCCCGCAAGTCCGTACGATATCATAATGGAAATAAAATGGAGATAAACAGCCGCCTGAAACAGCAGTCGAAGCCAACGTTTCTGAAGGAACGCTAGCGCCATGGCGGAGAGCGAAGGTGTTGTGTGCTGCGTATCTCTATTGCACGGCGCTGTATCGACGGCCTCTTCGGAGCGGTTTGGCGACGAGGCCAGTGCACCCGTCCGGTCTGGCTCGAGGGCGCGCACTGTCGCATACGGTGGATATGCAGCGTTTCGCTCGACAGCCGGCGATAGTGTCAAGATCGTCTGGTCAGTGGGGCTAGCCCTGCGGGCCGCGGAGAGCTCCTGCGACACTGTCGACGTGCTGCGACTTCGAGTCTCCTCCGTTGTGTCGTAGTACTCCATACGATCGTGCTCGAGACGGTGCTTCGGTATCGTGGAAGAGGGAGGCATGTGATCGTTCTCAGGCGAGCCGCCCGCTCGATACTGCGTACCATGATACCTGCGAAATCCGTCCTGAGCGTGGTCTGTGTGGGTTCGACGCTCGAGTGCCAGGCTCGCCTGAGTTCTTTGCAGAAGCTCAACCGCTACGACGACAGCGCAGGCTTCTGCAACCACTGTCACTGTGAAGAACACCAGAAACGGAGCTATACCACAGCGATAGAGCGAAACCGGAAGTCCGAGCACACCTGTCCCCAAAACTGTCGCGATGCTCATGAAGTACACATAAAACCAGGTTGCAGCGCTACAGTTTGCATCCGCTGTGCCGATAAAGTCACTTGTTGGTGAAGCTCTGGCAGCGTTTCGACCGCTTCGTCCAAAGCTCTGGAACCAGGTTGGGAGCCATCGCACGCCGCCTTCGCTGCCCACTGCGTTGGCTCGGTCGCGAGAAATCTGTTCGGGAGGGTCGCATTCACGTTCTTGAACGACGCTCTCGTGGTTCATGACCTCAGTTCCTTACGCGAAAACGTCGACAACCAGACGCGACACCAGGTGCGTCCTTGTGCGCACCAGGTTGTCCCCTATGGAACGTCTGTTCACGAGGCGGCTTCCCTGAGCGCAAGTGGGCTCAGTGAGTCCCAGTGTCTCGCCAGAACGCCGGCTCTGTTTCCGGAACCTGAGGAGCGTTCAGCGCGTCTACCTTCGAAGCGTTTATTACCTCAGTCCAGAAGCCTGGACAATCGACGAGTTGCTGACTAGATAGGCCTCCGTTCAGTGAGTACGGGATCCGCTGGTGGCGCAACGCTGCGATTTCTCTAGTATTTCAGCTCAACTGTGTTGCATTCCCCAGGTGCGTGGATTCAAGTGCTTTTTTTTGCGGTCTATAGCAGAAGCGTTGGAAGTGCGTTCATTTTGAAGAAATGAAAAGACCAAGGGAAAGGTATGGACATGCAAAATCGCGGATCCTTGAGGCTCGGTGTTGCCGGGTACCCGAAAAGAAACGAAAAAATCCTCTTGTCCTTTACCATCGAGCGAAGAAGAGCAAATGTCGAAGAAAAAGAAGGAAGACAAGCGAGGAAACGTTTTTGGCCGACGGAACGATGACGAGACTGCAGAGGCGCAGAGGGCAAGAGTTTGAGGAATCCTTACACTGAGGCGGTCAACCAGCGGCAATGCATGCATGGACTTCGTGAACCGAGACTTGTACACCGTCATCAATATCAGACGACGTCTAGCGCTGAAGACGAGACCTGCGGAGCTGACGTGATCTGACTTTGTGGGCCGGCCTCTGCTGCATGAAGTGTTCAGGGAGACGCCGAAACCGATACCTGGGGGCAGGTCGAAAAAGCCTGCGAGGTGTCTACGCGTGGATATTAGTTTTCACTCGCAAGAACAGATACTAGTTCGATCCATTCTCCGTAGTCCGGCCGGCTCCATCCGCGCTGTTTTTGATGGAGAAGGACGGATGCATCGAAGCGGATGCTACCGAGTACGCGACTGCTGACGATCGCCAGGCACCATTCAACAGCTCTGCTTGGAATACCGTGATGCTGTATCCATTTAAGAACGGATTCTCATCTAAAAATAGAGGTTCAATCAGTTTGGTGGTCTTTCGGGTGCCGAGCCTATCGCAGGTTCTCGCTGTGGTGGTAAAAGCTCCTCCACTGCCGCTGCTTCTGAAGCCAGAGTGACTGTGCAGCGCCTCGACGTCCGTCTACTCGGAGCGGATCTGGGTATGGCGCATGCGCCACAGGGTGTGCGCTACGCTCATGTTCGAAGAAAATGCAATAGGTACACTGACACGCTCGAACACGTTCAAGTTTTGGTCTCTTCCAACAGACATCAACACCAGCCTTTGCATGCTTTTTTGGGACTGCTCCGGTTTCCCGTCTCTGGTCTCGGGCTTTGAATATGCTGAACGCTTTTTCTGTTTCAACACCGTGGTCAGCGGTCGAAGAAATGTTGATAGCTACGTTGAAGCACCGATTTTATTGCTTTCGGCTGTTGCCGCTGCATTTGATGTACAGGCGGAAGTTGCGATCCACGTATAGTTTACCCTTTTCATCTTCTTTGTATGCTGCATCGGTGCGCGCTTCGGAGCGGTGACACCGGGCTGTGTTCGGCTGCTCCGCCACGTCTATAACCAAACGCTTTCTTCCGCGGGCGCATATTATGCCATGGGGATACATGTTTCATCACTCAGTGCATGCCCTCGAAGGGTGCAGAAGGCTCCTTTCGATGCACTCTTCTGTTTCCTCGCCCGACGCCGTCGCTTAGGATCACGGATTTTTTTCTAGGCTATTCACTGGGCGAGTACGCTGTCCGCTGCATACACAAACACATGTTGTTCCATTTGACACGGGATTTTTGGTGCACGATGCTGTCTTTCATGAAATAAGCATCGAACGAAAAATCCAGGCTACAGAACAAGTCGAGAAATTCCGCCCGGTATACACTCCTTTCATTCAAAGCGGTGACGCACGCTCCACTCAAAGCGATCGCTGCCGGGACTTATCTACGAGCCCAAGACCCTTATCCATATAAACAGAAGAGACGGGCGCCTATAGGGGCATGTTCTGTAAGAAGCATCGTGCTTCTATGGTGGAATTCTCTTTCGTTGGCAGCCACCAGGAGAGGACCATCCGTCTTTCGATCGGAATCGATTACTTGACGTGGCAAATTCATTAAACGCTCGGCATCAGCCTGTGAACAAGATGATAAGGCTCGACCTCGAGTACTTTTTCGCATTTCAATCCAGCGACGCGAATTTCTGCGCACACGAGTTACCCTGGAAAAGAAGCATTGAAACAATGAAGAATACTTTATGTGGCGATGCTATACACGAGGAAAGGAGCAGCGTAGAGGCTTGCAGGCATGGACTGGATGATGATATCACTTAGTTTACGGACCCTGGTTCGAACGCGTCGCGAATCATCTTGATTCGGATGACGCAACGAATCCCAGCGGCACCGCGGCGAGGGGCCACTTGGAAACCACGACCGAGAACACTTAAAATTACGTACGAGCACGGTAAGCTCGAATTACTGGTCTTGGAATGTCGAGTGTGAAGATCTAAAATAAAGTTCGAAAAAATGGCAAGACAGGGGAGGGCGAGCGTTTCAGCTTCTAATTTTTATCAGACACGGGCATAGCCCGCAGGGCTAACGTCCAGAGCGGATGCTTTTCGTGCGGCCGGTGTGCGACGCTTCACGCAGTGCTGGAGCAAGTTTCTCGACATTTCATGATATATCTGAAACTTGCGAAAACAAGTGACTGGCTTGGATGCAAGACTACCCTAAACGAGTCCCAAGCCACTGTCGCTGGGGCCGCGAGCACCACGCCTCGTCAGCGCCCAACAGACTCGTTTTCCTTATGATTTCTTCTTCAATGATATCACGCAAATTGCGGAAAAGATGTGCCTGTTGCGTCCCATGACCATGACTTTGCGCCCGTCACAACCCGAAAACATGCTTCCAGAACATCACATACTTGTCTGGAGGTGATATGGCGATGCCGCAAGTGCGTCGAGTGCCCAGGTGCTTCTCAAGGATCCGAGGCAGCGCATCGCTGTATTGAGCAGCATCATGAAACAGAGACATTCCACGTTTCCACCGCTCGGTACGGACCACGTATGTACGTGAATGCGATGCCAAGTAGAGCTCGTTCGATTTGCGTGCTGCACGGAAAGCGACGCGTCAAGCAAGCATGTTGCACATGCGTTATCCCATCAGCGACAAAAGACCACAAGCAGCGACTTCTCGCTGCACCTCTGCCCTGTTTGCAGGATGCGCAGCACGTAGCCCGCCTCGCATGTGAACGCTGAGATCGGTGCGCACCTGTACGCGTCATGCAGGTGGTGCAGATCAGGGCAAAACTCTAGATACATCATTGCATCCGGTTTTCCGGTGATTTTCACGAAATCCACGCCAGATTCACGTCCCACGCTCTGCGGCAAGTGGATTCCAGAGGCATATGGCGACGCGCTTGACCGCATTGCTCGCACGCTAGGGAGAGACTCGTCTTACACGGGGATTCCATCCACTTCGCTAGCCTCCGACGCATATGCTTCATCGCGCTCTCCCTAGACCCAGTGAGCGCTTTACCAGCCTCCAGATTGGAATTGAACGACGGACCTGCCAAAGTTCTAGCTCCACCATAATGGATCTCCAGCATTGAGAATGCCCATCAGCGACCCGAGCGATGCTCTGCCATGGCATGCGATGCCATCATCCGATCCCCGTACGGAAAAGCTTTTCTGTCGTCACCTTGTATCCGCACTGGCGCTATGGACGCGAACGCGGGCGCCCGAGGCACACACTCGGCGCACGATAGAACTTGAGCAATAACCAGTACCCTCGAGGGGAACGTATCGGTAGAGGAACTTGAACGTAGTGTGAAGCATGATGGATGCTTTCCCGAATGCCGGAGCGCATCCCGCAATCGGGGATCGCTGGTCTCCGCTGTGTCTACGTTCGATGAAACAAAACAAATGCGACATATATAGACGGACATACCCTCCAGCGACGCCATCCGCGGATCACCCGAAAAACGGCGACACGGCGGGGCATGACGGCGTCCGCGCATCGATCACTGTACCAGCGGCGCTTGACCTGAACATCACTCTTCGTGTGTGTTTGTGGGTGACGCGTGCATCTGGTGTTCACAGACCGCAGCAAAACGCAGTCAGTTCGAGGACGTCCAGCGCGACTGGCGTACTGAACAGCTTCGTCTTCATTTCGTGAAGGACAGGTAACCTCATTCAAGACGAAAGTGCGCTGGTTATCGAACGGAGTCGTTCTCGTTGGAATTCGACGTTCCGGTTGACGCTGCCAACGGAAGCGTACGTTACAAGTCTGACGCTAAAAATTTACGCTGCAACGATCACGCAAAGTGCGTGACGCATACGCAATTCGTTTCAAGAAACAAGTCTCTTCTGTTCAACGAGCTTATCGCAATGAATTCTCACGTCGACGGTGCCTCTTTCGCAGAGACCGAACGGGCTGTGAATGGCGGCTCCGAGTGGTCGCACCTGAACGGTGACGTCCACGCCAGCACCTTCGCAGTGAAGGTCGGGTTGGCGCAGATGCTCAAAGGTGGTGTCATCATGGATGTTGTGACCCCAGAGCAGGCACGAATCGCAGAGAACGCCGGTGCTTGTGCAGTCATGGCGCTCGAACGCATTCCGGCGGACATTCGGGCACAGGGACAAGTTGCGCGCATGAGCGACCCCGGCCTGATCAAACGAATCAAAGCAGCAGTGTCTATCCCGGTCATGGCTAAGGCACGCATTGGGCATTTCGTGGAGGCCCAGATCCTCGAAGCTTTAGGAGTGGATTACATCGACGAGAGCGAGGTGCTAACCCCCGCCGATGACCTGCATCACATCAACAAGCACAAGTTCCGTGTGCCGTTCGTCTGCGGATGCCGCAATCTCGGCGAGGCTCTCCGTCGAATTCAGGAGGGTGCGGCTTTCATTCGCACGAAGGGCGAGGCCGGTACCGGAAACGTAGTCGAAGCGGTTCGCCATGCGCGGCAGGTCGTGGGCGAAATTCGCCGGTTGCAAACCATGGATGATGACGAGCTCTTCACGTACGCCAAAGAGATTGGGGCAAGCTATGCCCTGGTGAAACGTACAAAAGAAATGGGCCGGTTGCCCGTGGTCCAGTTCGCAGCTGGTGGCGTCGCAACGCCCGCGGATGCCGCGCTTATGATGCAACTCGGCATGGACGGCGTCTTCGTCGGCAGCGGCATCTTCAAAAGTGCAGATCCAGAGAAACGCGCACGTGCGATTGTGAAGGCGGTGGCCAACTACAATGATCCCAAGATTTTGGCGGAAGTGAGCGAAGACTTGGGCGATGCGATGGTGGGCATTGAGATGGACAAGCTCGTACAGAAATGGGCAGCTGATTCGCGGCACAAGGCACAGTGAACAAGCAGCTGCATGCATGCATGCAGGTACTACTATTTTCGTATCCCACTGCAGACGTTGCGTAACTTGAACGCATAGTGCACAGCAACCCAGACTGGTTTCATGCGTAGCATTCGAGAATCACCGCCGGTGGAGGCAGCGAAGCGGATTCGCTACCCGGGAAAGGCTGCGGGTACCGGCGCGCATGTGCCTTGAGCACGCACGCGGTGCCAGGTTGCAAACGTGGCAGTCGGCGTGAGCGTTGCCCCAAAGTCGCTGAGGGATCCAGCATGCACGAGTGTCGGGAAAGTACGTCCATCTCGGTTGAAAGTTGTAGACAAGATAAAAGGCGATTTAAATGCTCCGGGGCGTTTGCTCAATGACTAGGTGCGTTTATCGCGCGTGCCAGAGCGCCACGCACTGGCTAGGCTCGCTCCAAGGTGTCCACGGCGCGAACTTCTCCAGCTTCTGCTGATTCTGGGTAATGCTGTAGGATACGCAAGCGCACTTCACGGATGGTCTCCAGTAGCGAGGCATTTCTGCGGGCTTGCATATCATTGGAGAGCAACGGTGACTCTGGATAGAATCGCTGAAGCAGCTGTCGCCACCAGAGGTAGCAGCGATAAGCGTTCAGGTCGGGGTGCACTTCACCCCACTTAATCTCCGAGACATCACGCGGCACCCGTCGCGTTCCATCTGGAGTAACGAACTTTTCCAGAACGCCGAGAAACTGCAGATTCAAAGAAGCGGCACGGTGTGCGCTTCCCCGACGGCTAATGCGACGTGGATCCATATGGCGCTGCCATTCGCAACGGCACTGGAACTCCGAACGAGTACCTACATAGATAGCGATTCGCGTCCAGAATCCTTCGGACTCGGTGTATGCACTGCTGCGGCCTCGTTTCCGGGAAACCGCTGGTTTGCCGTTTCCTTCGAGAACGTCCATCGTTCGTGGATCTGTTGTGCCATCGAGTTGATCCGGACGGGTCGTTACATTCCCAAACTCCGACGCGGCAGCGGGCGCTTCACCGTATTTGCGCATCGCTTCAAGGAGTCGACGGCGCTCGTCAGGGGACCATCGGCCTCGCAGGCGGCCTCTGCTCTCAAACGACTGCCGCCACTTGTCCCGGCATGAGGAAGCGAAGCGGCCCACCTCCTCTGCGACTTTGGACCAACAGGGACCGTGCTGTTCAACAGCACGCTCCAACAGAGCCAGTTGTTCTTCGGTCCAATCACCGAGGTAGTTATTTCCAGCGTAGCGGCGGCGTGCCGTATCGTAGACCTGACGCCAGCTGCGACCAGGCACAAAAGTCGCGACGCGCTTCCAGATGCCACCCCAGTTGCGAAGCAGAACCTCTGAACCGGGAAGCTGGTGCGCACATGCTCTGCGAACTGCACGGGGTCGCGTCGCCAGCTCACTGAACTGTTGCGGGGTTGCTGGGAGCCCCAGCTCTGTGCAGACCGCTCGTAAGCCGTCTTCGAGTTGTTCCAGTTCTCGGTCCGTGAAGCGACCTTGCATACGAGGCCGACTCGCCCGCGCTTGCGAATCGCGTTCCTGTCTTGAGTCGCTGGGCTCGCGGCCCGTGCAAGCGTTATCAGCTGTCATGGCAGAAACCCGAGCGCCAACGCCTGGTGCGTGTGCTTCCAGTGTTGCACGTCGGCAGCGGTGCCGAGGCACCGTGCACTGCAGAGTCCGCCCCGAGGCACTCTCGCTGCGAGCTGCGTCTCTGGTGCACGACGAACCGCTCTTGGCGCGACACCAGCGCTCGACGGAACCGACGGGTGTACTTTCTGCAAACAACAGGCGTCCTGGTCGCTTCGCTTGGTTGTAGTGGCAAAACGCAGCGTGTCAGCTCTGAATACAAGCAGCCTCGCCCGCTTTCAAAGTTGCATGCTCCCTCACGCCGTTAAACGTTGATCAGCACGACACCCAACCCTGTCGTTGAATCGGATTCGTTTAGTGTGCCTGCTGCTATGAGGGCTTTTGTCCACTCGCGCTCTCCGCAACGTGCGTAGCCCCGTAGACAGCGGCTGCGTTAAGTTGCATCCCGCGGCTGTTCCGCTTTACTCGCACGCCAGCGCTGCTGAGCAGCATATGCGAAGCGCCTCTTCGTCGTTTCTCCCAGGACTTGCGGCGGCGTTTGAACGCGAATTATTAAAAGATCAGGGGTTTGTCGTCCTGAGAGGGTTTCTGGAACCGAGCACAGTGCAAGCGCTTGGAGAGGAGGCGCTGTTTACGCTTCAGTATGAAGCGGATAGTGTGACGCACACTGGCGTTGCCGGGCACGGCGGTGTTATCGCGTGCTATGAAGCCTTGCCAGCGAGCACCATCAGCGCCGCTGATTATATCACGAACTTCCGTTTGAATCCGAATGCAGACTCCACCGAGGTGCTCAGCGTGTCGAGGCGACTGGCGGCTCTGGCCGCTGAGGCGCTCGCCTGTTGCTTCGGCTACACGGCGCTAACGGAGGTGTTTCTCTACAATGAGCAGTTTATTTGCAAGCCGCCCACACAAACTATTTACTCAGCGTTCGATATTCATCGAGACCGAGATTACGATGTTGAGGACAAGTTTGCGTCAGTGGTAGGCACTGTTGCGGTCTGGGCGCCAGTCTCTGGGACGGTGTCTCGCTTAAACGGTGCGCTGTGCATGGTGCCACGCACGCACGAAGCTGCGTTTCTGGCGTTCCTGGAGCGTTTGGGCGGCTCGGCGAGTCGGCCGAGCGCTTTCGTGACTGAAGCGCTCTGCAAGGCGCTGATGACAAGTGCAGAGGCGCCAGTGGCGGCATCGCAGGCGTCACTACTTATGCTCAGCCCGGGCGACGTTGTCGTTTTTGCGGACGACGTCTGGCATTGGTCGTTACCTTATCGACTGGAAAGCGGCGGCCAGGTGCCAGAGTGTCCACAAGCACCCCGTGCATCCGTTCTCCAGTCTCGTGTCGCTTGGATGGCTCAATACTCAGGCGATGTCATTCGCTCGAGACGTCGTGGCGGTTCTCCAGCGGCGCTTGCCGTGCGCTTGCCGCTAGGCTGCGGAGAATCGCCTCTGCCCGGAAGGAATGAGGATGGATCGAGCCAGCACCACTGTACGAACGTACAGACATAGACAATTCGATGAGAACATTTTCAGGCTAGGAATTTCGCATTCACTTACAAACAGAGGACTATTTAGGGAACTCTGGATCATCGGCAGAGACATCGACTTGTCGTTTGCCCGCACGACTCAGTCTCCGCAGGGTCACCTGTTGATGACGCCACTCTCGCATTGGCATTGCCGGGAAGCCAGCGTACACAGCATGACCCGGTGCATTGCGCGTGAGCACGCTATTCGCGGCCACATCGACATGGTCACCGATTTCGAGGTGATCAACGGCTCCGCTGCGTCCTCCGAAGCGGCAGTACCGACCGATTTTGGTGCTCCCCGCAACACCGGCTTGCCCGCAAATAAATGTATTTGCGCCAACTTGAACGTTGTGACCAATCTGAACAAGGTTATCGATTTTAACGGCATCCTCAATCAACGTGTCACGCCAGCTGCCCCGATCAATGCACGTATTGGCCCCGATCTCAACTTCGTTACCGATGCGCACACTGAGTTCTTGGGGCTTTTTCCGGACTTTGCCGGTCTGTTGGTCAACTTCGAAACCAAATCCGTCCTGACCGATAGCTACCCCGCTATGAATCACACACCGGTCACCGATATCGCAGTTCAGCAACGTTACGTGGTGGTAGATGCAGCAGTCAGCGCCGACGGAAACGCCAACGCCAACAACGGAGTGAGCACCGACGCGGGTCCGAGGCCCGATCCGTGCACGCGCCATCACGCACGCGAAAGGTTCTAAAATAGCGGAGTCATCCACTTGCGCTGTTATGTCAACGACTGCATAGCTGCGCGTTAGTCGGTACTCTCCCTCCATCCATAAACGAACGTGAGCCCGTGTCAAGTCCGCGGCAATAGCTCGAGCGCAACCGATGGCCTACGCTACACTGCGCGATCTGGGGTGCCGACGCGGCCGCCGCAATGACTGCAAGTCGCTTCTCCGGGCGATGATGAGGTATTGGAAGGAGAGCTCACTGGGAGCTAGGCAGGTAGGTAGGCAAGTAGACGGACACTGAGACGCTGGAACGTCGAAGTAACCAGTGACGCGGATTGCGTATGATCTGCAGCGCTGTAGGTGTCAGTCTTCTTGTGTATTGGGCGTGTGCGCTGTCGCTGACAGTTGGCAAAATCTGGAGTACGCGACTTGACGCGTGGACCCGGTATGGCGGCCTACGGCACAGCGAAGACGATACCCTGGACCAACGGAAAACGCAAAGGCGTTGGGGCACGCTTTCTCGTGCGCAGACTTTCCGCGCATTTTACTTGGTAGCCTTCATCTGGAACGGCGCTTTGCTCTACCACACACGACTTGCGAACCTCTGTCGATATAGTGCGCGAAGAGAACAGGTCAGCTGTAGCTGCGCAACTGCGTATGGTTGGGTAGCGACCCTGTTCCAAGTGCACACCCTGCGACGTCTCGGTGAGAGCTATTTTATCCATAGCTTCACCGAACAAAAACTTCCGCTCGTCCTTACTGCCGCCGGGCTATCTTTTTACGTATCTCTGCCGATACTCTGGGTGTGGGGTCGGAGCTGCTGTCATCATCATGGCCAGTGCCTGAGTGATCTAGATCTGCTGCCGGCGCTGCACATGCGGAAGCAAAGCACAATACCGCTCACGTTGCTTCTCATCTGTTTCAGTGCCGCCAACTTTGCGCAATTCTGGGCACACTACGAGCTTGCTCGAGTTCGCAAGGCGCACAAGCGCCCACGCTCTCACTACGCTGTACACGACGCTGTGTCGTGTTCTCCGAAGTACGCGATTGTGACGCGGGGGTTATTTCGCTGGAGTACGTGCCCCCATTATCTCGCTGAAATACTGATCTATGGCATTCTGATCGGCTATCTGGTCGTTTCGGGGTGCGTGGGGCTATGCGCCGCCCTGCCTGGCATGGTGATGCTTTTCGTGGCCACCAATCTGGGCCATACAGCGGTGCTCAGCAAGGAATGCCTCAGGCGACGTTATCCGCTCGTGGAATTTGTTCAGAAACGTCCAGCGCTGGTCCCGTGTCTCCTCTGAGTATACCCAGTGGTATCGAATCATGGGATACCATCATGATGTAATCGTTGCTCAGGGAGATCGTTCCCGATGTATAGATAAATATGGCGCTCCAGCTTTGCGGGACCGTTGACTCGTGGTATGCGATTACCTTGCTGCAAGCAAGAATCCGGCACCTTTTTTCTAGATACTGATGTTTTTGCAGTGGAAGATGCCAGTGTTTCAGCAGAATACGAACATTAAGTACGAAACAGTTTTCTCGAAAAAATCGCTCGAAACCAATCCGCCGAAAGCTCCAAAAGTACGAGACATTTCCGAATACTGATCGAGGCGTTCAAGTATCGCGGGAGAAGGCGCTTGTGCGCATGGTCTCTGGTCGAATCACACCATAGCAAGCCTCTCATCTTCAACTGCATCGCCATCTGATGCTCGATCAGCGTGCCCTTCGCAATCTCGTGCATCCAGCTCTGTTTCACTGTTCGCTTCTTCTCTTCCTCTTCCAGCATGCACAAGTGCTCGTGGTGCGTGTATGGCGTCCTGAACGCATCGATGGAAATCTTGCGGAATCGATTCCTCCACTCTTGGTACACTCTGGTCAAAGGAGCAAGAGTGCAGCCCCTGAGCGTCACCGCACGTCCAGAGCTATAGTCTGTCACTGAACGACGCAAATTTTCGGGGACTTCCTTTTCCAGCTTATTGAATAAGACAACGAATGCATGTTCCTTGCCATCGAGCAACCGCAACCGATCGCCACCCAGCACGATCTCATGAACTCCTGCCAAGCATCGTACGCATGCGGCATTTGGTCGCTCATTTACGCTCTGAATGAAGCGTACAGAGCGTACGGCTCTCCTCGATTCGGTTTTCAGTGCATCGAGATGAGTCCTGACGCCATCATCCCACTTGTTGGTGTGCCTCGTGGCGTTCATCATGCTCGGAACTCGATGATACCGACCTCTGGAGAATCAGGTCGTTTTGCATCTTCTGTCCCGAGCGTCACTTGACGCACGAAAACTTGATGAGAAAATTCCGGAGAAATGTGTAAAGCTGGCAGCCCTACGTCCGCAACGCATGCGAACAGTTGGTTGACGAGGTGTGCCGAGGCGCGGGAAGCCGGACGAGCCTTCCTCGAGTGAGCAGCTCAACGGCTCGCAATGATGCCATGCACCTCACGTTTCGGAGGATGCTCCCAATATCTTTGATTCAGTAGAGGGTTCTTGACACCGGTTCCAGGCTGTTCTTCCCGCTCAAACAAATCTTCCTTCCTGTCCCTCGTTGTTCACTTTTCTGAAAATTCCTTCTCCTTCTCCATCTTGCTAGCTTTCTTCTTCACCCGCCAAAGTGACACAGATGTTGTTGAGATACTGGATATCCGTTTTATGGGATTCAGACGCTCTGGGAAAACGTTGGGACTGAGCCTCGCCTGCCCTACGTACGCATCTTCGATTCCTCAAGTACCTTTACATTACCTCCTCCGTGGGCAGCCCGAACTTGAGCGCATGCGCGCCTTGCTGCTGCCTGCCACGCACATGCAGGACACATTCTTTTACGTAGAGTTTCATAGGATCCATTTTGGGTGCACGACATTCTCGCTCATGACTACATGAAGCGTACTTCATCCACCTGCTGACCGTAGAATGACGCACATTTAAATGCCAGGCCGCTTGTTCGCATGCGGGCAGCGACATCCTACAGTCTTTCAGCGACCTCTCTCCAATCTAAAGGATAGATTCCTTTTATGGAGTAACTGCGAGAAACACACAAGTACATGCAAAAAGTGCATGATGTTGCAGGCGTTCTGCGGAACGCACGGCTCCGAGTTTAACCCACGACGCCTGCAGACACTGTGACCACTGTAGACTTCGGTGCCGGAGCCACCGCTCTACACCGTGTCTGAAGCTAGTTCCCAGGTGGTGGAAGCAGTGAACATGTGCTAGGATCAACTGCCGTAGCCAGGGTGCTGACCCATCTCATACCGCATGCCCGGTAAGTGCTGGCGACTCTGCCGCTTAGGCTTACGAGCAAATCGCTCCAAACGATTGCACTCGGTTGACTGGCAGGAGCGATATACACGAGCACCCCAGTGACGCCCTTTTCGCAGCGAGGTCGCCGCAGTCGTCGCGTGTACACAGCCTCGTATCAAGCGGATCCCATGAGCGCTATTGGCGATGCGGTCTCCGAAAAACTGGTGTCCCCAGGCGCCTGCAGATCGATCTCACGAAGCAGCGTTGTCCCGATCATTTCCTTCCGATCCAGCGGCTGCGCCATTCGGATCAGAAACTCTTGAATGATACCCAACGCCATGTCGGTGCTGAGGTCCACTTTGCCCTCATCGAGATGGCTCTGAATCCATAGCGGCAGTTTGCTCCGATTCTGCGCCCGATTATAGCGACGATCTGCCAGAATCATGAGTCCGTAATCCACTTTAGAACGGATAACCCGTCCCATGCATTGCGCAGCCTGTCGCATCGCGTCAAACGTTAAAAAGTCACCCTCGCGTATCTGCAGGTGCTCGCGAAGAAACTCCAGCCGAGCGCGCAGGACACGACTTTCTGTGTACTGGAACGGCACGCCGATTATGACGACGCAGCGCCCATAGTGTCGGTCAAAATCGATTCCTTCAGCAACTTTTCCCCGAGCAACGCAGAGAAAGATCGCTCCTCGGCCGCTATCACAAGCTCGTCGGTAGTTCTCCAGCGCAACCGAACTCTCAAAAATGTCCGGCGTCTCGATGAAGACGAGCTTGTGCTCTAGCAACTTTTGAATAATTCCCATCTGGTGCCACATCTGCACGACGCTTTCCAGATAAATGTAACTCGTGAAAAATCCAACGACGCCATCTGGTACGACGCTGGCCAGCTCGACCAGTAGCGCACCATAGTTGCGAATGACGCTCGGATCTCTGCGGCTATCGTATTTGCTGCTGATCGCGATCTGGTCGGAGCCGCGGGCGATCACCATCGGACAAATGGACGCCCGGTGCAGCGATATGTTCAGCGAGTGTGCGACCGCAGGTCGGAAGCCCAGGATACGCGCATAGAGATCCAGGGGTGAGATCGTTCCCGAGGTCAGAATCACCGACTGGAAACGGGTGAAAATTGGTCGCATCCCGATAGAGGCATCCAGACAACTCAATTGCAAGACAGGATCCGGCACGTTCGGGGCGCGCTCATCGTACGGTTCCATGATCACGGAAAAGCCCTGCGAATAGGTTCCAAGCAGCGTTGCAAAGTGTGCAAGCTTTTGGAGCGACACAAAATCGCGAACATTGCTGATTTCCAGCGTTTGCAGCAGTGACGCAAGCCGATCCGAACAAAACCGCAACGGTTTCGAGTCAGGGATCTGAACTGACGGCATCAGAGCATGGAGGAAATTCCGAGGTGTATCCTGGGTCACTTGCGTCGATCGCATTCGTTGTCGGAAGAAATCGATCAATCGAAGCAGAAACAAGAGAAAGTGTTCACCTCGTCGGATATTGCCCGGGATGGTCTCCTGCAAAACATCTTCTGGAATGACGGGCGAGGCTTCGATTGTGAAGGCGTCCACGTCCGCGGGCCGTCGAATGCCTTGTAGGATGCGACGGTATTCCTCAAGGAGACGCCTTTCGTCATGTGTTCGAATTTCTTGGATCCGATTGCGCAAGCTTACAACGTTTGCTTGAGCACGTCGCAGGTCGTCCAGTCGAAGACTCACGCTCAGCGCATCGATGCAGACATTATCGATATTGTGTGCCTCGTCGAAAACAACGATACACTCACGGGAGAGTTCTCGCGAAATGAGGCCTGCAATCTTCGGATCCAGCAGGTACTGATAATTGTACACAATCACATTGGCGAAATTCATGGTATGTCGAACCGTGTAGTAGGGGCACCAGCCCCGCTCTCGACCGATCTGGAGTACCTTCTCGAGCGTGTAGATCCCCGAAGGTAGGATCGCATCGTTGCCTTCCCGTCGATAGCCCTCGTAGAACTGGCATAGCGTGGTGGGTAGGTCTTCAAGGTCGGGGTTCTTCTCAAAACGAGCGATTGCGGCCGAGTGAGATTCCCGAACCCAACTCGCGGTGAGTGATCGGCAGAGCGAGTCGGCCTCTTCGCGACTCTCGGCCTTGGAGACTGCCGACTGCAAACACAGGTTCCGTCGAGTTGTGAGGCCTACCGCCAAGACCGCGGCAGCCTGGTCGCGTTTCCCTGCCTTTTCAAGTTGCGCGTCGCGGTACCTGATTACGACCTCCAGCTCAGATAGGACTTTCTCCAGTTCTCCAACAGTGCGCGTGCAGTAGATCAGCTTCCTAACCTCTCTGTGGGCAAGCTGGTACGAGGTGATGAACGATAAAAGGGTCACCGTCTTTCCCGTGCCGGTCGGCATTTCAAGAATGCAGTGCCCATTCGAGTCGAGCGCACGCTTCAACTCGCGCATATACGCGTACTGCTCAGGATAGACGTAGTCGTAGGGAAAGTAAACCTTGACATTCTCTACATTGAAGATCATCCCGCAGAGAATGCAGGTCTCTATTTAGAGCCTTGTTGAGCTGGTGCATAAAAGCACAAACGACGCAGCATGAAGACCAAGTGTGCAGCATAGAGTCCGCGTGAGCCGCACGTCCCGCATGAAGCGCGATTCGCTGCGTCCACGAGTGGTGTCTTGGAACGGATCCATCGAAAACTTGAAGAATGCTCGATTTTTAGCGTGCTACATATACGAAAAGGAGACGAGTGGAGGCTTGCAGGTATGAAGTGGATGATGCTATCGGTTCCTTTAAGCGGCACTGCTCGAGGGCGTCGCGAATGATGATCTTGGTATCGGAGACGTCACGAATTCCAGCGACAGAGCAGCATGGGAGCTCCTGCGACTAGACGACCACGAAACCGAAATCTACGCATGATTCGGCAAGCCCATATATCTGCACTTGTAGTATCGAGGCTGTACATCGGCAAATATTTCAGAAGAGATGCGCAAGCCACGAACTGAGCGAGCAGGTCGGTATTCCATTTCAATCTGACACCAATGTGGATGCTCCCTGACGCTTCTGTCATTTTGCGCGGGTCGCTGCGCACAAACATCCACGGCATCGTCTGGCGAACAGACGCACGTGAACATCCTCTGCAATACCGTTCGGCGATATTGGTCTTTTTGATACCCAAGGCTGTGATCTTCTGTCGCGAACAATCGCCGTTTCAAGTCCTGCTTTACGCTCGGTATCCTGTGGACTGTGAGCGTTTCTCGGCAACGCGGCGCGGGCAATGCAACCTTGAGCACGAGTCCTCGCGAAGCCGGCCAAGTCATTGGACAGCATATCACCTGCACCTGTCTTTGGATGCCTTGAATGGGCTCTCGGTGACACGGTCGCTTCCAGAAGATCTGTCACCACAGAGTTGTCATCCAGCTGCTCTAGTCATGATTCAGTCGCTCGCCTTTGAATAAACTTTCGCTTTTTTCGTCTCGATGCAGATGCCTTCACGTGGGACGCTGCAGAGTGCTAGTGATGGCGTTTTCGTGCCGTGCCACCGCAGGGATCCCTCGTGCCGACATGCGCGCTTCCGGTGCGACTAGTGCCTTAAATGGCGCCAACGAGTACCGACGTGTCGATCGCGAAAGCACGCAACAAAATGGGAGAACTTTAGAGCATATAGACTGCATATGTACGTCAACGTGTATGAGACATGTCTAGACAAAGAGATCCCGTAATCGATTTCCATTCGAGCAGTGGAGCTCGCCGCATCGAAACCTTCAACACTGCGGAGGTTCCAGGACGATGCATCTCACCAGAATCCGGCTGGATATTCGATGCCTTTTAGTAACCGATAAATGGATCAGCAATCCGCCTTCCATCCATGTACGCTACACGAAGCACAGATCAGACTTGCCTCCAGACTAATGGTCAGGTCAATACCATATCGCGGATCTTCCGGGTGCAGAGCCTTTCCTGAACGCCCGCTGCAACATTCTATGCGACGCCGCTGCGGCGTTTGTCTCACAGAGACGGAGCGGCTATGCGGAACCTTGTCGGTTGTCGGCTCAAGCAAACGCTCTGTGAAAGAGCCGCGTACCGGCGCGTCTTTATGCACGAGTGGTGGGCGCACTGAAGATACCGGCGGCAAGCTCAGCGAATTGTCAATCCAAGCTGGCATTGTGAGGGCGCCCGCAAGCCTCGGCCACTACCAGCCGAGCTCTATTCAACCAACAAAACGGTTGTACGAAGGAGGAATCCCTGGTCTGGAGCCTCTGTATTCTACGTAATCGACTTTTCGTTTCTTTTCATCAGGAATTCTCCATCCGGAGCTGCCGAGCTCTTTTCAACCAACAAAACGATTGTACGAAGGAGGAATCCCTGGTCTGGAGCCTCTGTATTCTACGTAATCGACTTTTCGTTTCTTTTCATCAGGAATTCTCCATCCGGAGCTGCCGAGCTCTTTTCAACCAACAAAACGGTTGTACGAAGGAGGAATCCCTGGTTTGGAGCCTCTGTATTCTACGTAATCGACTTTTCGTTTCTTTTCATCAGGAATTCTCCATCCGGAGCTGCCGAGCTCTTTTCAACCAACAAAACGATTGTACGAAGGAGGAATCCCTGGTCTGGAGCCTCTGTATTCTACATAATCGACTTTTCGTTTCTTTTCATCAGGAATTCTCCATCCGGAGCTGCCGAGCTCTTTTCAACCAACAAAACGATTGTACGAAGGAGGAATCCCTGGTTTGGAGCCTCTGTATTCTACGTAATCGACTTTTCGTTTCTTTTCATCAGGAATTCTCCATCCGGAGCTGCCGAGCTCTTTTCAACCAACAAAACGGTTGTACGAAGGAGGAATCCCTGGTCTGGAGCCTCTGTATTCTACATAATCGACTTTTCGTTTCTTTTCATCAGGAATTCTCCATCCGGAGCTGCCGAGCTCTTTTCAACCAACAAAACGATTGTACGAAGGAGGAATCCCTGGTTTGGAGCCTCTGTATTCTACGTAATCGACTTTTCGTTTCTTTTCATCAGGAATTCTCCATTCGGAGCTGCCGAGCTCTATTCTACCGACAAAACGATTTGCATGACGAGGAATCCCTGGTTTGGAGCCTCTGTATTCTACGTAATCGACTTTTCGTTTCTTTTCATCAGAAATTCTCCATCCGGAGCTGCCGAGCTCTATTCAACCAACAAAACGATTGTACGAGGGAGGAATCCCTGGTTTGGAGCCTCTGTATTCTACATAATCGACTTTTCGTTTCTTTTCATCAGAAATTCTCCATCCGGAGCTGCCGGTGATCGCCGCGAGCAGCTGCGATCCGCAGAACGGTTGCCGTGGCCTGCGGCGCTCGCTACGAGCATCGGCTCGAAGGCGGTTTTACAGTCTCTTGTGGTACACGTGTACGAACGTAAGTTTTGGCTCGGATTGTATCCCTCTTCTCGAACAGGTGTCTACTGGAACCGATTGAGCCTTCTTTAACTAGGTATTACCGGATATTCACTTGAACTGAGGCTCTGTAGGGTACTCTTCAGCGTCTAACCGGACGAAACGATATAGGTTCAATTCAGTGCCTCGCTCCGGCACGCAACACCAGAACTCACTCTCGACCGCACAACGTCCATGAGTTCAAAAGAGAATAAAAACGCCTTTACGAAGACAACTGGAACTGTCATTGCAGTCAGCGCCGGAGCTGCTACGACCACTGGCGTTGATGCGCTTTCGCAGCTAACGTTTACGGAGAAGTTGCTGGCAGGGTCCTCGGCTCGTGGTGTTGCGCAGACCCTGCTGCACCCAATAGATGTGGTGCGTACCCGACTTCAGGCCCGGGGTGTTCGTCGAGACTGGTCACCGCGGGTGTTTATCAAAGGCGTGATACCGCAGGTTGTTCTCGCGGTGCCAGCGGGCGGCGTGCAGTTCGTTGCGTACGAGTGGTGCAAACAACGCCTCACCGAGCTGCTACTGCCGCCAGCTTCGCATACCAAACAAGCGTCAACAAAAGTTACGTCTTCTGGTCGCAATCATGCCTGGCGACAGGTTGTGGTGGATTTGGTCTCCGGAGCTGCCGGCGCTTTCGCAGCATCCTTTATTCGAGTGCCGCAAGAAGTGCTCAAACAGCGCATCCAGGCGGATCTATATCCTCACATCGGGGTCGCGCTGCCCACCATTCTCCAGAAAGAAGGATTCGGTGGCCTATATCGTGGTTACTGGGCAACGGTTTCTCGTGATGTTCCTTGGAACGCGCTTTCCTTTCTATTTTTCCTCCAAGAGTCGCGCCTTTTCGAACGGATTCAGAAACGCGCTCCGAACCGACAAGAAAACCTCGTCCTAGCCGCAATAGGAGGTGCAACTGCGGCCTTAATGCTCACACCCGTAGATGTCGTGAAGACCCGTCTGATGACCCAAGGCGCTGACGGCACGTATCGCGGCATTCTGCCAACTTTCCGCCGCATCATTGCAGAGGAGGGTCCGGCAACGCTCATGAAAGGCTCCGTTCCGCGAGTCATGTACCTCGCACCGCTCGCAGCGATCACACTCACAATCTACAATGCCATCGGTAGGAAACTACTTGAGGCGCGGAAGCGCCGGGTGGTGACGCTGGCTCCCCGTTTCCGCGGAATAGGCCACGGGTACCAGGTGGCCTGCGCAAAGCGATCGCTGTTTGTCTTTGAAAGGAATTTGCCACAGTGTTCAGCACAAGTGAGCTACACTCTCTAAACGCCTGCGCTAAGCACTTGTATCGCAGGTGTGCGGGGTGTCGCGCTCGGTCGTTATCCGCAAGAAAAAGCGATTACCTGAACTGGACGGCGTCTGCTGGACCAGAATGGCCTCGGGCATCATCGAGGTGTACCCACGATTTTAAAGAGTACCAGAAGAGAAACTCGCGTTTCACAACAGCGGATTCAACCGAATGCTTGCCTCAGTGGGTGCTTCCACGCACCACCACGACACTTGTCCGCATCGAAGGAGGCAGTCGCAAACACGCGTTCTGTTTGCCGGTGTCGAGCTAGCTGCTGTGCGCAAGCCGTGTTCCAGTGTGTCCCGACGCCAGTGCTCGCGATTGTCCACAAAGTTTTGACCTCTCCGGCGGCTGATGAATCGGACAACCGCAACGGTTCTTGCGCCTGATCAGCAAGACAACTGTTGGTGGCGTTTGCCAGCACGCAAAGCAATGCACAACGGACTCGGAGGCACGTGCTCAGGAGATCCACTCCATCGTACGGTTTTCGTTCCAGCTCCAGTCACTTTCAGTCCTATGCATGAGCCGGTCGTGTTAGATAAAAAGAAGCCAGTGACTAGCTACCGAAGCAGAGCGCACTGCGTCGAGTATGCGTGCTGCTGTTTTCGCTCGAATCGGCCTCAGGTAGAGTCGCACGGTGGCAAGCGAGAAGTATGCAGCTCGATCATCTGCAAGCCGGGACGATGCGTTTCATATCGCTTGAAAAAGTCCACGGTTCATCCAGAATCCAAGTTCCGTTCCAGCCGCAGGAGTAGCCCTCAAGGGAAAACGTGCCTCGTTCACGTGAGAATCGTCCAGGTCCACTCGGGAAAGGGATACCTCCGAGGCGCACCCCAACATCCATAACTTCATAACCGACCCAAAATGGTCGAGTGGCCTTCGTCGCCCATCCCTTGCCGCCGGCATCCTGGCTGGAGCGACGCCCTCAAAACCCTTGCGGTAACATCCTTTCCGCAAAAGAGCATCCCGCCCCGCTGCAGACCTCGCCTCGATCCGCGTGGAAAGCTCGTTTCGAAACCAGCCGCAAGCGACGGCATTGGAGCACTCCAGCATCTTTCTCAGAGTCGTTGGTCTTCCGTGCGGTGCCCTGCAGAGCCAGCAGCTCGGTTTGACGGCATCGATTCAGGTTTGCGCTTGCTGCCATCGCCGCGGTGCCTGTCCGGTCACTAACGAATACACTAACACACTCCCAATGACGAGAACGAGTCCAGCCACTACGTACGCAGGGCCAGCACCACTATCCCATTCCTCTTTGCCTAGACCTTGGCGCAGTGCACGGCGACGTCGATAAAAGTTGATCAATCCGTACATCACATAGACGAGTGCAACCATCCATATCGCTAGACAGAGCAGGATCTTTCCGGTTCCAGGTCGACCGCTATCGTCAGAATAAAAGCTCAGAATAAACGTTCCCATCGCTCCGATATGAAAGCCAGTAAAGAGCCACTTGAAAAAAGTGCGCTCGTTGGCCATATGCGTCTTGAGGTCGTCCCCTTTGACTGGCTTGCGTGCAGACTCTATCGTATCATAAGGACACGCTTCAATATCGTCGACGTCGCGCTCTTTTCGTTTACTCTTCTTTTTCTTTTTCTTTGCTCCAGCGTCACCGTCGTCTCTTCGATCGTCTTCATCGGTGTCGCGAGTAAGCTGCGTGCTGTGCTCCGGTGGCGTCGAACTCGTTCCTGCGATAGGTGTGCGACTTCGCTCGCCCAGTACAAAGTCCGTTACAGTCTGGGCAGCGCGTTCCACGAAGCTCGATCCAGTCGAGTTCGGCCCGGTCTTCGGCCACATGTGCTGGGCGTGCTCGGGATTTTCGTCGTCGGAACCTGCCTCAAGGTCGTCCTCCTCGAAGTCGTAGTCGAGGCCGCCTGTGATCTGGGCACTGGCGGCTCGACCAGGGGCCGCGCGTGTACCTGCACCCTCCGGAACGCCTTCTGGGCTACGTTGGCTGAGCAGAGGCGTCTGCTCCGACATGATCGCACGCTCTGCTACGTCGCTATCCGGTGCACAAACTCACTGATAGGAACCGTCTCCCAGAAGCACCGCCACTGGGTTGAGGGTCAAGGTGCGAGCGCCACAGCGGGCGCATCTCGGGCGCTGCAACTCGGTGGCAACGTATCCGGCTGGCGGCTTGGTGTGCAGCACAGCAGTTTAACTTCGGCGACTCGTTGAGGATGCAATGCGTTTACAACGACAGAAGAGACAGGAAAAGCATGTCAAGTTTTATGCGACGCGGTTTGGGTACCGCCCGCCTTTTCGGGTGATCCTCGACAGCGCGTTCCTGGGGGAGCTGGTGCAGCGCCGCTCGAGCAAAGCGCTTCCGTCGCTGTTTATAAGGGTGTTCGGGAAGAACCAGGTACGTACCTTGGTAACTACGTGCACGATGCGAGCGATTTCAAGGAAAATTAAGATTGCTGATAGAGAAAATCAGACGGGTAAGGTTCCGCACTCCACAGGTGGAGGCGCAGAGGTCCAGCGTTCGTCTGCTGAGCAAAAACGCGTGGGCGATCACTGGCGACGGGTCAGTTGGCTAGCTCGTCAGCTGGAGCTCCTCCCATGTGGACACCCGAAACACAAGGAGCTTGATCCTGGTCAGGAACACTTTGAAGCGGACTGCATTCAAGCCTGCGTCGAGCGTGGCCCCGAGACTGCGCAGCAGGCGGGACTGACACGCTCCCGAGGCCGTTTTGCGGTAGCGGCACTGGATAGCACTCTGCGATCGCGCTTGAAGGCGACGGCTGGTACGATGTTGCTCCAATTGGCTGTTTTCAGTGGTGGCTTGCACGTCCAGATAGAGCCGCCCTCAACGGCTTGTCTTCAGGAGGCGCGCGAGCAACATCAACGAGTGTACGCGGCGACACCGGCCGAGGTAGCGGCTGCGCATGAGGCTCAGCGGGCGCTCCAACAAAGCAGCAGTCCGGCAGCGTCTGGTTATAGGTTGTCACTTGCAAAGGTGAACGAACCCGCAGCGGCTTCAGAGCTGCAGGTGCGTACTGGCGAGTTGGGCACGAATCCCGACGCTTCGCGTGCGCTCCCGGACTCGGCCAACGTGGCGCGTGTTTCACGTCCAAAGAGGACAACAAAGCTGCCCTGGATGGACGCCAAAACGAATATTACGAAAGCTTTCAAACGAAACAAGTCGCGGGGCCCGAATCCGCTATCGCGAAGAAAACCGCAACGGAAGACTTGAGCGATCTCTCTCGCATCCAAGGGTAGCTGCGCTACAAGCCGCGATGTACGTCCCGCCACGCTGAGCAGCTTTGTGAATGCCGTCTACATGCTGCGTGTTTCTAAGGTCACGCGAGTTGAACTGAGTCCTGAAGCCGGCCAGAGAAAACGCCATCGCAGACGCTGCACATATCAAAACTTCGTATGTGCTTCAAAGGTGCTGCGCGGACCTCGGAGCAGTTATCCGGATACGGGACATGTTCATCTGGCATGCCAGTATGTGCAAGATGGCGGCAGCATCAACGATCCTTTTATCTGGTGTTTTTTGCATCGGGAACGGGACCAGAAGACAACGCTTGAGCCGCGCACACCAGAGCATGCGTACCACCACAAGTTGCATGCTAGGGGCCTGATCGTAGCGATATCGGCTGAGCACGCTTTCCACAGGAATGGTGTATTTGCAGCGGCGACAGGTATTCCAGCAAGACGCATGCACGCTCGCCCGTTCTCGTATCCGGTCAGGCGCTAACGGATCGAAGACCACGCCTCGCTGGATGGACATGCGGCAGGAACGTCCCATACGTGCCTGTTTGGCGCTAGACCCGCTGGCATCGCTGCAACACACACACACACACAGAGACAAGCTGACGCCTGGCGAGCAACGGAGCGCTCTCCGGCTGAGCGTGCAGCGCGGAAGCAAGGCGCAACAGCACCGCGTGCGTGCTCGCAGTCCATGGGAAGCGTTCGCGTTGAATTCATCGATGTTACGCCATAAGCAAAGTGCTGCATACGTGGTCGCTGTCCATAAAGTTCATCTGTGACCTATTTCCCTCCATTACCCATTTGTGCCGACCCGTCGTTCAGACACCCGTGAACGCCCCATGGAGGACGCCTGCTACCAGACAGCGATCGCGACAGCACCGACGCATACCCCATCTCAGCGAGCATGTGCAGTGAGCTCGGCTTTCGCAGGACCACTGGATCAAGCTCTCTAGCCCAGACGAGTAAACTGAATTCCACTCACTGCAGCGTCGAAGCAGCTACGGGGATAGAGGTGCCTCTACCGCGGGTTGTAGGCTGCAATCGTGCATCCGGGGTCATTCGGATCCATGCAGGAATGCGACACCACGAACAAGGCACCGTGCTGCGAACTTACATCGTACATGGTCAATGGAACGAAAATACACCACGAATGTGTAAGGCACATGAATAACTAGGCGCAGACGCATACCTGTCGTTTTCGACCAGCCCACTGCTATTGGCATCAGTTTCTCCCTGTTCACTTCGAGCCGGAGAGATTGCCCCGCAAAACTGGATCGCGTCAGCCCCGCGGGTCCTGTATCCAGCACCGAACATCGTCTGATATTGATGGCGGCATTAGAGGCTCGATTCACGGACTCCATGCGTTTCTTGGCCCCGTTGGTTGTACTAACCCATGCGAGTAGCCCTCGAAGTTTCGCCCTCCTTTCCATTTGCTCTTCCGTCAGCGGTCCGTACTTTTTTATAGCCTCAGGGCTCCGCTGGCACTTTTCCACCTCTGCCCTCTGAAGTGTACAGCCCAGTTCATGGTGTGTAGACGACGTTCGGAATCCATCTACAGGTATCGTAGCGAAACTCCTTGCACACCCGTTATACATTCTCGTCGTTGGAGCTGGCGTAGTCCCTTTTTGAGTCTTCCATCGTCCTGCTCCGTATGCTACTACGAGCCTCTGACTTTCATCCTCTTTCAAGGCGCTCAACTCATTGAAAAAATTCGCGAATGCCCGCTGCTTCCACTGTATAGATTCATACGCAGACGAGCCCACCGGGGTTTTGTATATTCTTTTCACAGCGCCTCCCAATGAGCAACGCGAACCTCCATGGATTTCAGAAAAGATTTCAAGTCCGCTCCGCGGCTCGTCACCTGGCTCATAGCTTCCAGGTGCTCTTTCATTCCTGCATTCCACATCTCGATGTTCTTCCTCGCATTCATTATACCGGATTCTCTTTAGTCTCTTGCTCTCGAGAACCTCCACAGACGCATGTCTCTCCGACATAAGTTACCCTCGTTACCATCTTCCGCACGCGTGGACACAGCGATGGTTATGATCTTTGTGTTTCCGGGGTCTGCGCCAGCGACAAGTCGGTATCCTCTATGTCCTGCGGCGAAGGACCCGCCTCCATCCCATCTTTATGCTTCGCCGCGCCAACCATAAAGTCGTTCTCCTCCACCTCCTGCGTCGCAGGATCCGCCTCCTTGTTTTCTTCATGGTTCGCCGAGGACGAAGCCGAGGGCCGAACTGGACGGTCTGCCTTCAAGCGCCGATAGTGTCGACATATGGATACCCCATCGCTTTCGAACATCCCCGTAAATTCCTTTTTCTTGCTCGTTTTGAGAAGTTTGGAATCGATGATACTCCTTCAGTGAGTTTCCCGGTTTTCGCCCGTAACCTCGTTCGTGCTGACACCTAACCCCGAACTGATCTCCTGCATGATGCCGTCAAGGGCTCTGGAGTCGACTGTCACAAAATGTGACTTGATCTCGCATAACAGAACGACGTTGAAGCGCTTCTCCAGAAGCTCAGCCTTCCGCGTATCCGACGCTTCATTTGCATCCACACCCTGCTCATTTTCGGCCTTGCGTTCGAGTTCTCGGTCCGAAAAACACGAAATAGCGCAGCATGAGGTGATCCCATCTTTCTTCATCTTCTTTCGATCCTGATACCTTTTCTGCTGGGTCGACTAGCCCCAAGACCGCATGATGCTCTTGAATAGCCGCACGGATTACAGAACCTTCATTCTTTCTTCTGCGTGATGTCTTCTTTTCGACAAATTCGATCTCCCACTCATGCCTACTATCGATCGTGATGCCACCGACGATGGCCCGTATCCCTTTGCGAGACAGGCCCGGGTACAGCGCAAAGATGGAGCGTATCATGGAGCGTTCGAGTTTCACGATCACGCGATTCTCCAGGTTCGTGAGGTGCTTCATCGTCCCGTGTTCGTAAATACGCGAGTCAGCCTTGTATCGAGCACCCTTCAAGCGGCATTGGGCGTAATTTTCGTGGAGAGCGTGCACATGCTCATTTCTCCTCGACGTTTCCCTGTGCAAACCATCAGGTGACGAATAAAGCTTTCGCTGAAAAATCCTCCGGAGCCTAGACTGTTTTGATATCCGTCACATCGCGATTTATGTCCTTCACTAAATGCATTTCTCCTGACGACGCCTATATAACACTCATCGATTGCGACTCGACACGGTTTCTTGTGGACTCTTGCAACTTTTGCTTGTACGGATCCTTGATATGGCCAAGAAGACACGCTTTCACGAACATCTCGTCGTTGTGTCGTCGTTCGCGCAGATCCTGACGTCGGACCACCCCACCCCTTTTTGCTTCATGGTCTTATCTTGTTCGTCTTTGCTCGGCACTGTTTTTTGGTTTTTCTGGCAGCCGGCGATACTGCGTCCCCAGGATCCTCCACTTTGATTTCCAGAACTTTCCTTTTTTATGTTTTTGAAAAAGAACGCTGTTCGAACGATTCTGCGGTAAACCGCGAAAAAGCACTTGAGTACACAGACTTGGGGGTCGAAACACAATGGAACTGAAAAGCTAGACTTTGCTACGACATCAGCGCACATACAGCTTGTCCGTCAGAGCAACAAGCGAAGTATCAAGATCGCGTTTCCTTCCAGCAGCGAGAGGCGCGTCGTATCTCATGCCTTCTAAATACGCAGTTCCGCTCATCGACCGTGCGATACAAAAAAAGCAGAAACTACCTGTTAACTACCGACTTGATGACAATTGCTTTCCCCTATATGCTAAACCGTAAAACGGGGAGACGTTTTCTCTATTTTCGAAAGTTTATCTTCTTGGAGGAAGGCCCAACGAGCCGGCCGACTCTGGTAAGCTTCTGCTTTATGCTCTCGAGATTGGCGACCGCTGTAGCGAGACCTGAACAACTCGTCCGAAACGCAGCTCATCCTATGACCAGGAGCGAGCATGCTGCGTCTGGGTGTAGCCTATGTTCCAGTTATATCCTAGTCTATCGATTCGCGCTGTCGCAGGCAGTAGGTCTGTCTGCGCAGCACGCTGGCTCCTAGAATCGTAATGAATCCTGATTCCGGTGTCAGAGGCACCACGCCTCGAGTCGACACCTTCAGCGGTACGACAAACCCGCTCTGCATCCGTGATGAATCTGCTCCAGCGGTTTAGGCGCCAAGACGAGTGCTCAAGGCAGGCACTCGGCGCACGATAGATCATATGAAACGATCAGTACATCCGAAAAATTCATGAGTCATCGAACGCGGAGGTCGGATGCAGTTTGATGAACGCGTACCAGCGTGTCAATACCCGTGCCGCTGCCTGGGATCCGCGCTCACCTGAAACGTTTTCTCCAACGCATCGCCGAAGACGAGGCGCCAACGCTCGCACGCCGCGATCCTGCGAGATCGCGGCGCTCGCTGCTGGACGTCGCGCAGCGATGCGTAGCGGCGGGTGCAAAACCGCCCCTCTCTGAGCACGCGCAGCGATGCGCGGATCGCGTGCGCCTCCGCCGGGCGCCGTCCATGAGCGGCGTCAGTGCCGACCTAGCGCCTTCCGGGCGGCAGACGCTTGAAACAAGTGCGGATACGAACGACCTTCATGATGCGGCGTGCTTGTTTTCTAGCGGGACCTTATGCACCCCGAACTCGTGATCGGACAAGCTCAAGTTGTCTGTGGCACAAAGACCGGCTTGCACGGATGCCAGTTAGTAGACGAGGGACGGAGCTTTGGCGCACCGCTGCTCGGGCGCCGCGACTCTGCCTATCCGCTGAACGTCGCGGCGACTTCAAGGTCGGTGACCGGGTGCGTGTGACGCAGTCTGTGATTATGTACCACACGCCGATGAGTAAGGGACAACCACATGATGTGCGTGGTCTCGAAGGAGTCGTAACCAAGTTCGTTGACGAGTACCAGGGGGTGCCGATCTCAGCGACTCGACCTATCCAGGTCATGCTCGAGGGTAGTAAGAAGTTTATCGCTCATTTCGAAGCGAGTGAACTGGAAAAAGTTGCTTAGGAACTACTTTTTCGTTACAATTGGGGAAAGCGGGTTCGCTGTGCACGCTGTTCAAAGCCCTGCTGACTAGGGGCGGGGCTGGCGGCTATCGACTTGCCTTTGGTAGCACGCTAGGTTGCCGTGCGCTTGTCCGTGAAACGGTCCGACGTTGTTGTGTCTGCGTCCGTTTCCCGACCGGAAGCAGGCGGCTTAGGCTCATGGTATGCGCTGGTTCCGTTGGGTACGTGCCCGTTCGCAGGCCTTGATGCAGCAGTCGTACGAGCACTTCGTCTATTCGCAGTGCCGGATGCAGCGTGGGACTCGCGGTGCGCACGCAGTTTCGCGGGTGACAGACCGGGACCCGACTCAGCGGCAGCCTGTCGTCGCCGTCGTCGATTTTCCTCGGAAATACGTCGTGCCTTTTCCTCGTGGTTTTCAGGTCGAAGCACTTCGTGAAAGATGGCTTGCGAAGCTTCAGCGACGATCGACGCAAAGTGGCGCAGTCGAGCACCAGCACCGTTCAGGGGCGACGCGGACGGTTTCCGAAGATGCCACGCTGCTGCTGCTGCTGCATGTTCCGCTGCCACCGCCGCGGACGTCGTCATCGACGACGAAGGCGATACGAACGACGAGGATTCCCATGACGAGTCCGTTGTCGTTGCGTTTCGATTGGCGGCTGGTGCAGACGAGAGCGCCGATTCGGTTCGTGATGTCGCGTACGCTGCCGTTGCGGGTGCAATGGTGGATCCATGCACTGAGCTTGTCACCGTCGCCGTCGTTGGTGCTGGGGTTGCTCCTGCTGGTGATGTAGGAATCCAAGGTTGCGTTCCAGGATCCCCTGATAAACTGTGTTGCTCGAATCCTGGTCCAAGGACTGGTGCTAGGAACACCAGAGGCAGGTGATTCCATTCCATTGCCGTTAGCGGCCGGTCTGGATCGAGGGAGCTCCTAATTCTCTGCTCAACTATTGTGATCTGTTGCAAAATATTCTGTAGCTCCATGCGGCTTAGCGGACTTTTCTCCAAAACCCACTGCTCCAGCACACGGATAACCTGGCGCAATTCAAAGTAAGCACTTTCGATCACCTCTCCTACCAGGCGGATATCTTGAGTGAATACAATATCATCCGTCGTCGATGACGCTGTTGGGATCTGTACCTGCAGGGCTGCACTGCATTTCTCGCACAGATTTCCCAGTTCGATGGTGGCCTCCTGGAAGCGGCGGAATACATCGCGTTGGAAGAGGCCGCGTTCCTCGATGTACGAGCGCAGTGCCACGATCATGATACCCAGCTCAGCGGCGATGACGATTGCCCGACCAGCAAGTGCTACTGCTGCGTTCTTCGAGAGCGCGAACGGGTACGTCGTGTATGCATACGACACGGTGCCGCGCAGTTTGCGCAGTGGTGCCAAAAGCGACAAGTTCGGAGCTGCCGCCTCTACCTCTCGAATACGTATCAAGTGGTAGTCGCTGCTCACAAAGGTAAAATGGGAGCCTACGAGTTGCTCCCCGAGTTGGGTAAGTATCGACGACATGCAATCTCGCGCGTTCAGATGCTGTTCCTCTAGGATAATCGCTACTGAATCGAGGCTGATGCTAAATTCTTCGCACACATGGCGAAAGAACAGGTATCCGGCAACGGCTTCGCTGACCAAACTATCGGGATGATCCCGGCCGCCGGTAAAGCATACTGCTGAAGGTTTGATACGTCCTGTAACCATGTGCCGGACGAGCGTTAGAATACGCACAGCGTATTCGTAGGTTATCTGGTCACGCACGAGACGCTTTCCAAAGATGACCACTACTTCGCGGAACGGTGAGTTCTGGACAACGACACTCCCGCTAAGCGACTCGCGATACGCTGCGGCAGCGGTCGGGGCTTCATGCTGGCTGCAGTTGGCTCGAGAGGCCGCGTTCTCGTCCATAGCATGGTTTCGGACCTGATTCGTGCCGTTGTGCCTGACTCCCCCCGGGATGACATCTTCGACCAGCGCGGAAACCGAGACAGGTTCCTGTAAGATGGCGCGACGCTTTGCGAGCCACGCCGCTGCTGCTGGTGCACTCGGCACCTTGGCGGCGCCCTGGTCCCAGCAAGCCGCTGGTGCTCCGCCGGCGCTCCCGTTACGTTGGGATCGCAGTAGCCTACCAGTACGCCCCGTGAGCTCTTGTAGAGAGATTCTCGGCGATACCCCGTTCGTCGGCGTGATTTTATGGTTCGCGGGCGGGGACGCGTTTTCATTCGCGCCCGCTGGTAACTCTTTTGCAGCCTCGTACTTCAAAGAAGCCGACTGCTTCTGCTCGCGACTACCAACAGGCGGCTCGTTTTCGTGGCTAGCGGCACCTGCTTGCAGACGTAGCAGTGACCTCGACGACGACGCACGCGGCTGCCTCGAGTTTGGACCAAGTCCGCTCCAAACGAGGAATGCGACCGTGTCTGCCCTCATGGCCAGGTTTCGTGCGTGCTAACTCGCCAATAGAGACAACGAGCGAGCACTTGACCCTCGTCACACAGAATACGGAACCAGTAGCTGGTCAGCGTCCCGAAACTCCGACCAACGCTTCAACAGTGCCCTCAGAGCGCGTGTTGGAAACGCCCCAGCGCAGTCCGCATTCTGTGGCCCAAGGCAGCGTCAGACGAGCGCGTTTGTGACGCGACATGCATCGCTGGAAACCGCCGCCGTCAACACCGCACGCGCGACGCGTGTCGCCCCCGTGTCCGCCTTGTCCGCAAGGTCCTACTTCGTCCATGTTTCAGCCCCGTGCCTCGCTGGCACGAGATCCCGATCGTCGATCGCGCGGTAGGCCGCTGCGCACCCGCAATGATCCCCACCGATGCGTCTCGGGCGGTGGATGCATCCTGGGCGTGGGGCACGGTTGCCGCCCCAGCCAGCATCGAGCGCATACACACCACCATTCGACTGCAGATTCGTGACCAGGTGTGGCGAGCATCGCATGTGGCGAACGCGGGTCAGCGGCGCCCTGGGTTCCATTTGGTTACCAGCCTACGCAGCCAATCGTTTTGAGCAAGCCGCTATTCGATCGGTGGCATCGAGGCAATACCAGGCACTCCAGGAAACCTGCGCATCGATGATAGCAAGCTCCATCGAGCAGCACAAGAGCATCTCACGATCCGTTGCTCAATTGTGCGCGGGCTCGTGCGGCATCGGGGCAGGCAACGTACGATGAAGCATCAACGCCAAACCTCTGAGACCGACACGCATCGGCTTGATCCCGCTTCATGTGTGTACGTGCCGGCCTTGCATGCACGGCTTCTTGTTGCTACGCGGCGCGCAAGTGCAAACACATATGTCTCGAGTACGAGATACCTTCTCCAATTATAGGGACCATGTTCGCAACCTTCCATTGCAGTGACAGCTTCTCCTGGAAGATCTCCAGGTACCGAAAGTTCCAAGCGTTCGTATGAGCGGCAGCGCTCGGTCAGGGGAAAGGTGTACGCTTCCCCAATCTCATGCAACGTGACTATGAAAGCATTAAAATACGTTTCATCCATCCCAGGTCGGCGTCGAGCGGTACCTGCAAAAGACCTTTGCTTCTCACTCTTGCTGCGTCGGTTTGAAAACCACCTGGTTTTGCGATCTGTTTCGGGAGCGCTGTGCCGCAACAAGTCCCATCCGTTGCCACCACCCTGTGCTCCAGAGGCAATTCTCTCTGAATTCTGACCCGTGTCTCAAGAAACTCGAATAGGGTCAGTGAAATGGCCAGCGTGTGGGAACTGGGCGCTGAATTGAGGCTTCGCTCCATTGCCTACTCGAAACTCCATAGGGCAGTCGCTCCAACCAGCACTATGCTCATCTCAGTGACCGGTGTAGGCAGCACGGCACATCACCGGCTTGAAACTTCAGAGTCAAACGAAACGGATCCCCGAACTCGACTTTTTCTTTTACGCAACGCGGTGCCTCGAAAGAACTCACAGCACTCCAAACCGTTACAATCCGTTTCCCGGATATTTTGGCGGCTACATCACAAATTGCCCTGCTGGCCGTTGCGCAGATTCATTCATTCTGCGCGTGTTACGCAGTTGCTGGCTGGCGATTGCCGCCTCTAGTGGTGCATCGAGTATCTGGACACGTCCCAGACACACGCACACACACCATATCAGCATACAGTGGAACGGGCTCTACGAAATTGGTCGTCCACTCTAAATTTTCGATATCTTTCAACCGTTAGGAATATCAGACTTTGTGGGCTTTGCTTCCGACTGCTTTTTTATATCTATCTGGTCTCCGGCGTGAGCGATGCCGGGCTCATTTTTTTCCACCAGCACCCTTGCCAGCGATCGAAGGATGTTGATGGCAGTATGAACGTCCCGTTTTCGCTGCGTGTTGCTCTTTTCTACGCATTTCATTCACACGTGCAGATTTCGATCTACGTTTTGTTTCCCATTTTCTTCTTCATTGAGTGCAGCCTCGATGCGCCGTTTGGTAGCAGTGACACTTGACTGTGGTCTGGTGTTCTCGTGTGTCCACGAGAGCGGGTGCTCTGAGCGCCGCCCCGTGGCACTAGAATGCTCGCTTCATCGCTCGGTAGTACATGCCCCTGGCGGGTAAAGCGTGCGCACCTCGATGCCGTCCTCCGTTTTCGCAACCGGTGCCGTACCCCACGATAACAGACTTCTTCTGGACGATCCCGTCGGCGAGTGCACTGTCCACTGCACACGAAAGCGTGCGTTTTCGTACCGAATAGATGATTGGCAGAACACAGTGCTATCCAGGATGAAACAAGTACCGGTCAAAGTATCCAGGCTGGTGCCCGAGTCGAGAAATTTCAATCCGTCTACCGTCCCTTTCATCGGTGCGATAACCCAACTCCGAATCCAAGACCGTTTCCCGTCCAAACCGAAGAGACGGGAACCTCCGAGAGCATCTCCCGTGGGAGGTACCGTGGCGGTGCTGTGGCATTCCGTTTCGTCTTTGGCGTCAAAAAGATAAGGATAGACTTCTGGATGGAATCGATCATTTGACTTGAGAAGCCCAGTGAACTCCTGGCATCATTTGGTGAACAGGTCATCCAGGAACGACATCGATTGATGGTTTCGTCGTCAATCCGACCGCGCGCTTCGCTGCGTCCACGAGTGGTGTCTTGGAACGGATCCATCGAAAACTTGAAGAATGCTCGATTTTTAGCGTGCTACATATACGAAAAGGAGACGAGTGGAGGCTTGCAGGTATGAAGTGGATGATGCTATCGGTTCGTTTAAGCGGCACTGCTCGAGGGCGTCGCGAATGATGATCTTGGTATCGGAGACGTCACGAATTCCAGCGACAGAGCAGCATGGGAGCTCCTGCGACTAGACGACCACGAAACCGAAATCTACGCATGATTCGGCAAGCCCACATATCTGCACTTGTAGTATCGAGGCTGTACATCGGCAAATATTTCAGAAGAGATGCGCAAGCCACGAACTGAGCGAGCAGGTCGGTATTCCATTTGACGCTGGTACGAGCGCAGCTGCCGCACAGCGCCGGACCCGTAGCAGCCTGCATCCGCGGATGACCGAGAATGTTTCCTTACCATTTTTCTGGTTCGAAGGAACGTTCACACTGGACCAGGAATTCCCAACTGAACGCTTGAGAGCCGCTCGCGGTGAAGCATATAGATGCAAGATGCCGCTCGGCGACAGTCCTGTAGCTGCCACGCCCGCGCGCACGCCCTCCAACGCATCGGGCCACACCGCAGACACAGTGGCCAACACTGTATCACTCTTCTGGTATCGTTTACGCGAACAAAACACACTCCCTACAGCGTTTATCAGTACCACCGGTGCACCGTTTGCAAACGTCAATGTCGGTATGCGAGCGGCTTTGGACCGGATTCTGTCCAGTGAACCGAAAAATTGGCCAAACTCTCTAACTTCAGTTAACGCAGTTGCTGGTGCCTGCAAAAGGTCCTCGGAGGCGGAGAACCTTCCGTTCCGGAACCCCGACGAGTACATCGCCTTCTTCACGCAGCTCGTCGACATAGAGGTATGTAGTGAGCTCTACAACGCGTTTGATAGTGTTCTGCGGACACTCTCCGCAGCGCTGACGCCAGAAAAGTCTGGCCTCGTGGTGCTGGTAAGCACTCGAGGCGATCCAGTTCCAGTGGAGCCACGAGGCGCCACCAAGGTATCAGCAGAGCCGGTTTCAACTCACGACGAACCGGGATCAAGTGCACTAGTGGAAGTTCCCATTAAGATTCAGAGCAAAGAAACCATTTTTGATCATGATATTCTGCTGTTGCTTCCGTGTACGCGTGAGGACCAGCGCCTTACGGGCGCTCAGCTACGCGAGATTCGGCAACAACCTCTTCTGGGCATTGTCCAGCACCGGGCGGGCTCACCGCTGATGCTACGCATGCAACGTGCACGTGCCGAAGCCTGGCTTGAGCAGCAGCAGCAGCAGCAGCAGCAGCAGCAACGTCAATGGGAAACAGCTCGCACAGATTGCTCATCAGGTCCCTTGAACAGCGCCATAGGATCCGAAAACGCCGCATGTACCCCGCCGACGCCAGCAATACGTCTCATGAGCACGCTGAACCACGCACGCGAGCTTGGTGCGCTCTCCAGTATCGCAGAGATGGAGCTGGCTCCTGTGATACTGGATCCGGCAGGTGCTGCAGCGGAGCAGCAGCGTGAGCTGGCCCCTGGGCCGCAGCGATCCGAACTGGATGCATATCTCGCGGTGATTTCGAACCAGCGAGGTCTCAATCGATCCCAGTACGAGGCGGTGCGGGCCTCCGTGCACCGTCAAAGAGGATTCGCGTTGATTCATGGCCCGCCTGGTACCGGGAAAACGAAAACCTTGCTCTCTTTGCTGAACTTGTTGCATATGAGCAAGTACCAGGAATATTATGACGCGTACTTGAGCGCACTTGGATCTCCAGCGGCACAGGAAGAAGAACGTCCCAGGACCTCATGCGACCAATCGACGTTGCCGACTGCCGGGACGGACTCGACACCAAAACCCATTCTGGAACAGTTACTGGATTCGGTTCGAAATACCACTGCTGCAGCAACCGCAGCAGTGAAGCTCAGCGCTCTGCGCACAGCTCGTCATACTGCTGCATTGCAACGCAAACCGCGCCTGCTTGTCACCGCACAATCCAATGCTGCTGTGGATGAAATCGTTGTCCGTATCATGCGCGAAGGATTCGTCGATGGGAAACTGCGCACCTATTATCCTGATATCGTTCGAATCGGAGCCGGAGCCCGAGTTCATCCCAAAGCCCGAGCAGTGACTGCCGAGGCTCGTGCAGAAGCCTTCCTGCAAGCGCTGGAAAGTGCGAAACATTCCGCAGAATGGATTCAACACTGGGAACAACAATGCAGAGCGCTGCTGGGGCAACTTGAGACGCCCGCTCCACCGCAGCACGACCTGGAGGCGCGAGGTCGCCTGATGCGGCTCTGGGATCGCCTGGATCGCCTCCAACGAGACGAGCGACGCTATCGCATGGCAACCTGGCCGGATCAACGGATCAGCCGCGAGCAGCGCATTGCTTGGATTGCCGGAACATACCTCGAAGAGGCCGAGATTGTGCTCTGCACGCTCAGCGGTGCCGCCCTGATAAAGTCGTGGCTGCGGGACGCACCGCTAGCGAGCGAGGCGCGATCGCTACCGGAGCGCTCCGGGGAGAGCGTTTCCACGCTGGATGGTGCGTTCCAAGCACGCGCGAGCACGTTCCCCATTGTCGTCATCGACGAGGCCGCACAAGCAACGGAGCTCGCTACCCTGATTCCGTTGCAGTACGGGTGCGAACGCTGTGTGCTAGCCGGTGACCCGCAACAGCTCCCGGCAACCGTCTTCAGTCGAGGTGATGCAGGCGTGGCGCTCGCTCGATCGCTCATGGAACGTCTGCTGCAAGCCGGCTGGACCGGTCACCTGCTTGACACCCAGTATCGTATGCATCCTGCGATTGCGACGTTTCCGACACGCTGGTTCTACCAAAATCAACTCAAGAATGACGATTGCGTACGCAGCGAGCTCTATCGGCCAGCTTTTCATCGGACTGGGCCACCGCCGCCGCTTCTGGGCCCGTACTGCTTCGTAGATATCGCCGAGGCTACAGAGGAGCGGGACGCTACGACAGCGTCGCTGAGTAATCCCAAGGAGGCGGCGTTTGCGATGCAGCTTGTGGAGATCCTCTATGAGCGCTACTGGAAAGCATCCGATCGGGTGTGGCATCTTGGCATCTTGACACCGTATCGAGCGCAGATGCGTCTGCTCCAACAGGCACTCGACCAGAGCGGCCTCATTCTGCCGGGGCAGCAGATGCCCTGCACCATCGAAATCGATACTGTGGATGCATTCCAGGGTCGGGAAAAGGACGTCATCATATTCTCGGCTGTGCGTACCGCGCAACATCGCAGTGGTATTGGCTTTGTTGGAGATGTTCGTCGCCTGAATGTGGCCTTGACGCGGGCCAAAGTATCTCTCGTGGTGCTGGGTCATGCGGCCGCTCTCAGAGCGCACAGCGCCGACTGGGATGCACTCTTGTGCGACGCGGAGCAGCGCGGTCTCTATTTTGAGTCCTCGAGCGACCTGGTCCAATCGTGGCTGCAGCGCCACAGGAGCAGCGCCACAGCGTCCGGTTCCGGGAGCGGAGCGGCAGGCTCGATACCCCCGAGGCCGTCATCGACCAGGTCTGTGTCGAGCGATGCCATGGATACCCGCGACGGGGCCGCAACGCCGGCGGCAGCGGCGTCAAGCCAAGCACCAACCAGCGCTGCGAGAGACAGCTCCACAGGTGCCGCGTCGACGGCTGCAGTGGCCTTTGCAAGTGCGTTGGATCCGCGACTTCAGCGAACCGCTGCTGTATATTCGATTCGGAACGGAAGCGATGCACCGATAAGCGGGGGTGTCTCGGGGCAGTCCACCCCGCAGGTCCAAGCTGCTGCCATCGATGCCCGATCGTTCATGATCGCTTCGTTGACTGCGGGATTCTCGTTGCCCTCTGTGGTGGCTGCAGCCTACCAGGCGTTCCCACACGAGGCCGATCAGGTAGCGCAACTCGCTACCGAGCTAGCAGCGCAGACGGGTGCCGTACTAGCCGCGATGGTGACCAACGCCCCGCAGCATGCTGTGGAAACCGTTGGTCGTGCACGGCGCGCTTGCGCTCGACGGAAACACAAGGCGACCGGGCTGCGGGAACGTACCGCATCGAAACACGGGTCTGTGGGGAATCCCCTGCATCAGAGGCATTCGGGCGAAGGAGCCAACGGGGCCGCCTCAGAAGCAGCGTCGACATCAACGCGCTCACCGCGGTAACGTGCCTCCTTTCCGTGCGTCCATCGAAGGTGTCTAGTCGCCAGCGCTCAAACGACGGGAACCCTGGGGTTTTCGGGAGTCCAACGCTGGCTACGCTTGAGGTGCTCCAGCCGAATACCAGGTCGAGTATGGCATCCCGAGTCGTGCCTTTTCGTCCCGCAGCTGTTCACTTGGATGCCCCTGTGCGGGAACCACGCCACGACTTTGAGCGCGCATTGCTGTGCATCTCGTTGCGGAGCTCGAAGCTTGCACCCTAAATCGATGAAAGAAACGTTTTTAACTGACGAAGCGACACAGTGGTGCCGGTCTCTCCCCACGCTCCCGTTTCCCTGGACGCATTTCCAGGCAGTACAGCAAGCAAAGCGTTCACGGGCTCTGCGTACGACAGCGTTCTCGCGAAAAGAGCAGATGGATGCTGGAAACGATCATCTCCGGCCGGTTTACGGGCAACGGCTCGGTTGCGTGGACGCTTCCTCAGGCAATACAGAGCGCAACGAGTTCGCTGACGCGCTCATTCTCAGAGCACACAGAGAGTGCGAGCTGTATGCCCGATGGAAGAGATTTGGAGAAACTTGCACGAATCAAGAGCCGGAATCCACCGAGAAAGATCCCCGCAAGCAGGAGTTCATGTTGCGTTGCGCTGCTGGATACCGCCAGCGAGTCTCCGCAGGGAGCCATAGCCAAATAGTCGGCGACGGCCTCGACGGCTGTCGCCACCGTCTCGTGCGGCAGGACGTAGGTCTCGCGTACCGTCGCAGCCGACGCCTCCATCTCAGACCAGACGTTATCGAAGGAATCCGTCAGCACAAGCGGCTGGATATAGTCCTTGAGTTCCAGCTCGAGCTCTTCCAAGGTAAACGTATCGGGGAAACCCTGCGCATCGAGCGGCTCCTGGGTCAAGGGGTCTACTTCGCTAACGCGGTAGACCAGTTTCGCAGGTACCACTCCGAAATCCGGTACAAGCAGCTCAGCGTCGGGATCGGGGCTCTCCAGGATGACAAAGCACCAGCTAGGCTCATTGTAGCGAACGAGAGACGCTGGAATGCTCTCGCGAATCTTCAAGCTTGTGAGCTCTTTGGTATCCAGCTCCACGCTACACTCCTGCAACATCTGATCCTCAAGGGTATTCAGCACTCGAAACTGTAGAACGAGCCCCTGTGGATAAACGTGCTTCATGGCGACGACGAGGAATTCTGCGTCGGTATCCGTCAGCGCGCAAGTCGCAGACGACTTGAACGGAGCCGTTCTATAACCGAGCGCATGGAGTGTTTCGTTTGCCAGGAGCGCCCCACGGAACTCGCTCCGCTGGATGCCTTCGGTATCGGTAGCAGTGCACGCTGCTGCCGTTGGAGCGACTGCTGTTGCTGCTGCTGTTGCTGTCGTCGCGCTCGACAGGCGTTCACATGCAGTCGCTGCTGCGCCTGGTCTCTGCGTTGCCTTCAGGGCTAAAGAGCGCGCTGCATTCACGTCGAACGCGCTGTGCAGATACAGATCGTGCCCCAAGTATTCGACCAGCGCCTTCTCCAGGCTCTCCAGAGGCACATCGAGCGGTGCCGGTTGCAAGCGCCTGTATTCCGTGACAGATTCCGCGTCCGAGGAGGCGTCGGAAATCGACTCGGCTGCCTCTACGTGATCACCGAGGAGCTCCAGAGCAAAAGCTGCACGATCTCGCACCTCATCGTCGGCATCCAACAGGCACTGGCGCAGCAGCATTCGAATCGAGGAAGCCAGCTCCGGTACTGATGCGAAGCGAGCCAGCGCGGACACCGCCGCTGCTCGCACCATGGGGCTCTCCAGGATGATGCGGTTGTAGATCGTTCGCACATAACTAGAGGGCGTCGGAGCTTGTGGACCCCACTCGCCCAGCATGTGCAGTACCTGAACAGAGAGCATCGGGTATTCACAGTCCTCAACGAGCTCTATGAAATGACTGAGACATTCACTCCTACAGTCGGGAATCCTTTCAATCAATTCCCGCAGCGTATCCACGGTTGCCTGCTTGAAACGAAGGCCTCCCTCGCTGCGCAGAGCCTCCCCAAGAAAACGCACCAGTGCCACGTGCTTGTGCGGGTACTTGAGCGTCAGCGTCCGAATGGCCTGGATCACGGTCACCCGGAAGTCGTCTCCGAGTTCGTGCAGAAAGCGACTTACGGACTGCAGTAAGCGATCGATAGAAGTTTCCGTGCCGGTCCGTAGCAACGTTGTTACTGCTGCAGTTGCGACTGCCCGGTTCGGATCCGCTACGAGACTCTCGATATCACGGTTCAGAGGTGCAACCGCAGCCGGCTTCAACGAGGCGACCTGGCAAAGCGTTCGAGCGGCGGCGTACCGGACGACAGGCTTCGGCGAGATCAGGAGCATCTGCAACGCGTTTGCTGCAGTCTGCAGCGTCGATTCTTCAACCGTAGAGACTGCCAAGAGCACTCGAGCAGCCTCGACAACCACCAGTTCGCTGCGATGGCGAAGCATCGATTCCAAAAAACCAACGTACTGCTGCCTGAGACCATCATCCAGCAGCGTGTCTGTCTCCAGGATTTCACCAATATATCGTAAGAGTAGCATCGCACTCATAGGCGAACGAGCGCCCTGCCGGGCTACGTCCTGCACCAGTTTGGATACCGCTTGTCGATCCCGGTGTCGCATCGTGTACAACAGCGACAGGGCGTGGTACTGCACGATCGGGTGGGGGTGATTCAGGGCCTGCGTAGCTTCGCTGACCCAACGACGCACGACAGCTTCCGCTTTGCCCGCACGGAGAAGCGTCTCCGCACTCAACAACGCAGCGCTGGCAACGTTCGGGTTGCGATCCACGAGCGCCTGGCGAAGATAACGCTCCACTTGCGCAACCATCGTCGCATCCATAATCTTACATAAAACTCGTAAAGCGTTCGCTCTTCGAGTATCCACAGTTGATGTTATATCTTTGGTGAGGCAGTTCACGACGATGATAACTTCCTCTGCGGTGTGCGCGAGCGCCTTGATAGCCAGGTACGTCATACGCCGCAACGCAGCGTCATCACAGGAAAACAGCTTGGTTGCGGCGAAAAAGACCTCAGTTGCTTCTGATGAAGTCAGACGTTCACCCCTGTTTACCAGGAACATGAGCTGGGTGAGTACTTGAAGGCAACGATCTGGTCGCAAGCGCGTCTCGTTGAAAACGCGTACCTGTTGGACGACCCGCGCCTTGTCGAGAACGACCAGTGGGTTGATGCCGTCATCCTCGACCTTGGTACCAAGGCTCCTCAAAACGCTTCGAGCATCCTCCGCAAAGTCTTTAAGCGTATCAGAAACAGACATGTTCGGGCTTCTCGTCGATAATCCGGCTCCAAGCGAACAGCGACGCCACGGCTGAAGCGGAAGCTGAGACGTTTCGGGTTGAATGTTTCTCGCAGCGCAGGCGGCGCGAGCAATACCGCTCATGTCAGATTCAACATAGGACAAGTTGTCGAGTACGGGTGGATACTCAAGTCTGGGACTTTTTTTTCATGGCCATCAACACCAGCCCGTGTTGGATTTTTGTACGGCTGATTGGTTTTGCCTTCTCTCCTGTGTCCGACTTTAAAGATGTAGGTCTCTTTTTTTCGCTCCGCCTTTCATGTCGGCAATCGAGGGATATTGCTGGCAGTGTTCGAGTGCGCCGCTTCCGGCTATTCTCGACGTGCTTGATGCACATGCGGTATTGGTGATTTAGGCTCTGTTCGCTATTTTTATCTTCCTTGTATACAGCAACGGTGCGCTTTGCGCGTTGGTGACACTTTCCCGTGACCAGGTATTGCCCACATGTCCAGCACGCGCGCTTCTGCCGAGGCCATGCTGCAGCGCGCTTGCGGGCTCGCCTCATCGCTCGGGATATGCCGTCGCCCCTTGACGGATACAGAAAGTCTCCTCTCGACGTCCTTCTCTGTTTGCGCTCCTGGTGGCGTACCCTAGGATCACGGTTTTCTTCGAGGTGATCCCTTCAGCGAATACGATGGACGCTGCAAGCGCAAGAACAGGTTTTTGCGTGCGACAAAAGGATCTGTGAAGAGTGGTGCTGTCTAGGATGAAACAAATATCGGAAGGAATATCCAGGCTGGTGCACAACTCGAGACATGACGATTCGTTTTCGCTCACTTTGTGCAAAGCGATGAGGGACTAGCTTGTGGAAGCAATCACTCGGATGACTCGAGTCGAAGACGCTTTTCCATGTGAACACAAGAGACCGGAGCCTCTGATAGCATGTACAGCGACGGGTATCATGCTGCTGCTGCTGCATGCCGTTTCGACGATGGCCGCAGAGCGAGGCGGATATGTTGTTCGGATCGAGTCGGTTATTTCAACGAAGACGCTACGTGAAAACTGCATCTGGGAATCTATGCACAAGTCGATAAGATTTCGATATCGAGTTTTCCCTCTTCATTCCAGCAGCTCGAATCGCTGAACCTACGGGATGCTTCGAAGCAGCAAGGTCGACAACTTGATGAATGCGTCATTAGAGCATACTATACGAAACGGCAGGAGAAGCGTACGGGGCATTCGCCCATGAATCGAATCATGGTGTCGATGATGCTATGAACGCTCGTTCGAACGCGTCGCGAATCATCTTGATTCCAGTGACGTAACGAATTCCAGCAGAGTCACAGGCTCGAAGCAACTCACCCTCCCGAATGAAACACCGAGCGGTGCGGAACGACGTGTGGACATGTAAGCTCTGTTCGCTCCACTCGAAATCTCGAAACTGTACATCTATCCTCGGGATCGAAAAAATCGACAGGCTGGAACAGAGCCAGCACTTCAGTGTTGCATTCTAATCTGGCACAGGTATGGGAGCCGCGAGCTCCTTGCGTCGTACTCCAAACGTTCAAAAACATCCCTTCAGAAGTCGTATGGAGATTACACGTCTTCCCGTGGTATGCTGGAAAGCGCGTCCGCAGTGCGGTGCGCAGCGTCGCCCCCAGCCCACATGCATTGTACCCGTTCCGCACTTCATTCTCGTCTTTGAATATCTGGGAGCATCCATGGTCCAGTTTGGTGAACGCCGTTCATGAAAAGCTCCGCCCAGACTCTCGCTTCCGTGGGTTATCATTTGGAACAACTTGATGCAGTGGACTGAAGCACCAACGCAACGATGCATACCTCCGTTGTCGAGCAACACACACGCATACACGTGTCTCTATCAAGGTTCGGTTTCACGATTCCTCGAATGCTCCTAGTTCACGAGCAGACAATCTCAAACCCGAGCTGCACAGAAACCAGCATCAAGATCGCTGGGTTTGTTTCGCGGTCGCCATCGTCTCGGCTGCATCCGCTGAACCTGCACTTTCACGTTGCTGGCCTGCGCAGCCTCCGTGGCCGTCCCCGGGCCCTTTGGCGGCTCGTGGTTCGCTGACGAGTCATCCCGAACGAGCTCACGAGCACGTTGTACAATGGCCGCAACAAGCCCACACTGCTGGGCAACCTCGATCCCGAAGGAGCGACTCGCGGCGCCCCGTTCAAGGCGATGGAGAAAAACGATAGCAGGCTCGACGTTTCCAGTTGGGTAGCGCTCAATCACGGCCATGTGAAAGCAGGTTATATTGGAAAAGGCATGCTCGAGCTGTGCCAGCTCATGGAAATGGGTGGCGAAAATACCCCGGGCTCGCACTGCCTCGCTTACCAGGTACTCGGTCACGGCCTGCGCAATCGCTAGACCGTCCGCGGTTGAAGTACCCCGTCCGACCTCGTCAAGAAGAACAAGTGAGTTTGGTGTAACGTGGCGCAGAATGGTGGCGGTTTCCTCCATCTCCATCACAAAGGTAGACTTTGCGGCGGCGATGTCATCGGCCGCTCCGACTCTGGTAAAAATGCGGTCTGTGAGCGCCAGTCGAGCACGTTTCGCTGGCACGAACGAGCCACACTGGGCCATGATCTGAATCAGAGCGACCTGGCGGAGGAAAACGCTCTTGCCTGAGGCATTCGCGCCCATGAGGAGCACCATATCAACGGTTCCGTCACCTATACGCAGCGAGTTGGGCACAAAGCGCTCGTTGGGCGGCAGCGTGCACTCGACCACCGGATGCCGCCCATCCTCGATGTCCACGAGTCGACCGCTTACCGGGTCTGACGAATCCACGACCTCCGGCATGGTATAGTTGCGTTCGAGGGCGATTTCAGCGAAACCCAGCAGTACGTCCAGCTCCGCCACCCACGACGCCATGCTGCGTATGGTGTCGATTGCAGCACCGAATTGCTCGAGCAGGTCGTAAAAGAGGCGACACTCTAGCGCAGCGACTCGTGCTCGTGCACCGAGGATCAGTTGCTCCCGTTCTCGAAGCTCGGGTGTGACGTACCGCTCAACGGATTTGAGCGTCTGTCGACGCACGTAGTTTGTGGGCAGCGCAGTCGGTTGCGAGCGGCCGTTTTGAGATGTATTCGAGGGGTTCGTGAAACGACTCGGGATCTGGATATAATATCCGAAGACATTATGATAGCTGACCCTCAAGCTTGCGATTCCGGTGCGTTCACGTTCCTGCGCTTCATAGGCAGTGATCCAGGCGAGATCGCCTGCAGCTTGTTCGCGCAAAAGATCCAGTTCCGCGTGGAAGCCGCTGCGAAAGATGGGTCGATCTTCAGCAGCACTCGGCAGACGGACTGGCACTCCGTAGGGCGGCGGTGGTGAAAGCGCAACGCCGCGTGGCTCGCGACCTCGCAGCGTGCTGCCAGCAACAGCGCTTTCAGAGGCGCTCGGAGAACCCTCTTCCTTATCCCGCGTCAGAAAGGCATCGAATACGACTTGATGGGCGAGTTTGATCAGATCCTTGGTAGCGCTGCTCGCCGCTGCAGGCCAGCAGGGAGCTTCAGCAGAACCAGTGCCTGCGCCTATTCGCGCCTCAACCTCGGAAAGAAGCGTCGACAACCGGCAGAGAGATGCGGCGAGAGCATAAAGTTCCCGGGGATTCGCTCTCCGGGTGGCAACTTTTCCCGCGAGGCGCTCTATATCGGCAACACCGCGCAGGAGTCGACGCAGGCGTTCACGCTGGAGATGGTCGCGCTGCCACCGCTGCACCTGCTGCTGTCGATACCGGATGGTTTCGAGGTCCCGGCTCGGTCGCAGGAGCCAGCGACGCAAGAGTCGGGCACCCATAGCGGTGACCGTTGCATCCATCGCCCAGAGCAGTGTGCCACGGCGGCTGCGACTGTCCCGGGCCGGGTGCACGATTTCCAGATTGCGGAGTGCTGTTCCATCGAGCATCATGCTTCCTTGAATCTGGTAGGGCCTTGGTGGCTGCAATGGAGTGAGCAGGTTTCCCGAAACAATAGGCTCCAATGGTGTTGCATTTGCTGCTGTTTGGGGCATTGCAAAAGCGATGGGTGCTTGGGCGCGCTCCAGGGTTTCGTTGACAAGCGCGAGGAGCGCTCCGATCACCCGAATTTGGACGATACTCTTGAGCTGCCTCTCATCAAAGACGCTATCCAGCTGGGATCCAAAGCGCTCCTCGATTCGTTTCCGGGCACATTCCAGATCAAAAAATGCGCGGGGCCTCCGGGTGATCGACGCTCTCCATCCATTCGTGGTGAACGTGCGCTCCAGAACACCCTCGAGGCAGCTGGAAACCTCTTCAGAAATATCATCGGTTAGCAGCACCTCTGCGGGATGCAGTCGTCCGAGCTCCGCCTGAAGATCCTCCACATCATTCTCGACAGCGGTCGATCCGAAATCACCCGTGGATACGTCCAGGTATGCGAGGCCAAACAACCAATTGGTAGCATCCGCTGTACATCTACTGGATTTGGAGGGCGATCGGCGATCCACGTCGCCCCGTACTGATGTCAGGCGCTGGCCCCATAACGCGACGAGGTAGTTATTGGAGCGAGCATCCAGAAGGCCTTCCTCGAGAACGGTGCCGGGGGTCAGCATTCGGGTAACCTCGCGACGCACGAGAGCGCCATCACCACCAGAACGCCCGTTGGCTGGCTCCACCTGCTCAACGACAGCGACGTGATATCCATGTTCCAGGAGCGCAGCACAGTAGCGGTCCAGAGAGGATAGCGGGACACCGGCCATGGGCACCCGACCGACCTCCTTTCCCGCGTCCTTTCCAGTAAGGGCAAGCTCAAGTTTCTCATGTAAAACCACCGCGTCATCGAAGAATGTCTCAAAAAAGTCACCGCACTGGTAAAGGATCACTGCGTCGGGAAATCGATCCTTTACCGAGAGAAAGTGGCGAAACAGCGGGGTAAGCTGGGCTCGATCCACTTGTCGCCACGATATAAAGTTCGGTGACGAGCGCGAGCCGCTGGACTCGCCGCGTCCACCACCAGTTCCGTGCTCGTCTTCGTCTCTGTCGACGAACGACTTCAATTCATACTCGCTGCAATCTTGACAACACAGGAGCAACCCCCGGCAGCGTGCCGGTGCAACAGGCACTCGTTGCCTCGAGTGCCGATTCGCGTCTGGAAGCGGCGGCACGTAGCGCCTTCGTTGCCGACGTTCTTTCCATAGATGCTTTCCCAGATTTTCCACGCTCAAGCTGTTTCTATATTCTACGTTTTCTCCGGTGTTCCTGATCGCCCTACTTGGCACCACAAAAGTCGCTGGCGGCCTGCGCATGACCCCCTGCAAGCCACACAGACACTGTGCTCGACGTTTCGGATCGGAGCGCATCGCTCGACGGCGATCAACACCGTCGAAAATCGGGGATCCCGTGCCTCGTTCAGGCGACCCTACAGCACCGTCAACGTTCTGGAGTGCAGCGTTGGATACCGATACTTATCTCGCATCTTATGATCACGCGTTATGGTAACGACTCTGATCCCGAAAAGGAAATCCAAATTTTGCCGCACAAACTGACGAGGACTATCGACTGCGCATCAGGGGCATCGCATGTGGAGCCGATGCCCACCAGCGTGCGGCAACGCTTACCCACCACCTGCGTGCTGCGTCCGTACCAACGGTGCAGGCGCTGGTGCAGGCGCTGGTGCAGGCGCGAACTGCTTGCACACGGTGCAATGTAGAACGTACGAAACGACCAGTATATCGGAGAAAACGTACGACCAATGGAACTGGAACATAGAGTGCAGCATGATGAACGCTCTTTCGATCACCGGTATCCATCCCACAATCTGGGATCCATGGTGCATGTCAACGTCCGGTCCATCAAAAAAAATCATTCAGCGGGGCCTCCTCTGCAAACCGCCGTTCCTGTGTACCAAGAAGTGCTCATCTGGCGCCTACCGACGACACTGAAGGCGGCGACTGCGGCGATACCGCAGCTTCGCGCACCAGGCAGCCGGTGATCGACGCGCTCCGCCGCCCTGAGATAAAACCGGGGTAGGGCACGCGCGCAGACCTGCTGACGCATCAGCGTCGGGGGTTGCATCGCATTCGGTGGGAACCGTTTCCGTGAACGTGGGTGTGCGTCTGTGTGCGCGTGTGCACCGATACGCCTCTTCGCCGGTTGTTTGGGTGGAGCGGTACTGTCTCGTATGTTTCTATGAAACCCAGTGTCGAAACGGAGCCGGTCTTACACCGGCGGTCGCGGAGCACATCTGCGCAGTCGGCGCTCACTGGTACCGAAGTGAGTCGGCAGCCGGGTTTGGAAAGCGCTGGCGTTCTCGTTCGCAGTCGTTCGCTCTCTCGGAGCGATTTTGCGCTCGCTGGCGACTTGCTGAAACCCAAAGATTCTGGACGAGGAGCGGTACTCGGAGCAAGAACGAGTCGTGCTCCTGTACGGGGGCGGCAGCGCACGCAGCCCTCAGGTCACGTCGCCGATCACACCGACGTCTCCGTGGGCTGTTCGGCGAGCACTGATGTGCTCGATATGCGCACCAATCCAAGCGTCTGTGTCGGCGAGCGAAGAGCGAATCTCTGGGTTCTCGTCACTGCGGTAACTGCGGTGCTTGCGCTCGGCGTCGTGCTGCTCGTGCTACACAAACAGGTCGCGTTTGCGTTTTCTGCGGCTGTATCTTGGATGCGAGGTCTTCCATGGCCACTGCGACTTGTTAGTTACGCTTCCATGTATATCATACTAGCCGCCCTTGAGTTTCCTGCCTGGCTCATGGCGATCGGCGCGGGTATGCTCTTCGGCCTCGTCTGCGGGATTGCGGTTGCTCTGTGCTGCCATCTGGCCGCTGCGCTGCTCTGTCTGTACACGTCTCGCTATTATCTCCGCGAAAGAATGGAGCGCCTGATTGAGAATTCGGAACGGCGCAACACGTATTTAGCGGTCAATCGGGCGCTATCACGTCAGGCGTTACGCTTCGTGACCCTCATGCGGCTGAGCCCGCTGTTTCCGTTCGCCTTATCTTCCATGGCTATGGGCGTGTCGCAGGTGCAGATTGGCTCTTTTTGTCTAGGTACAATTCTCGGCATTCTGCCTGGCATCATTTTGCTTGTGACGATCGGCGCGCAGCTGCGTTGGTCGACGAACCCCGCGAAACAGAACGGTGCAGACGTTGTCACTGAAGCCGATGCTGCACTGGCTAGGCACCGCGGCCCCAAAAATCTCCTACGTTTATTAAGTATAGGTTCGATGATTTTGTTGATTATGATGATTACCAGAGCGGCACAGAGAGCAATCCAAGATGAGTTGGATCATGAGAGCCTTTCAGAAGCAGAGGACTGTGAGCAGGCTGTCGACGACGAACAAGGCCGCTTTCCGAACGCAAACGATGCGAATGATCAAGGTACTGAATCCATGCGGCTCTCTGCCCCGTGATCGCAACGCTACATGACATTTTCTAGCGTTCATCTTGTTTTCGGGTATGAATCGCTTACCTAGTTCTATTCGATGTGTTCAACGATCGTTTCGTGTCACGGAAATGACACAGCGGCTACGTGCATGTTCTTTGATCGCATGTTGTTGGGGGCGTATTTTTAAGCGATAATTCACGTCTTCATGTCGAGCGTGCGGCGCTCGTCGCGATGGGTTCCCTGTCGTCTCGGGTGTAACCACCAATGCGTCACATTTGTGCGTGGATTCGGGCGTGTAATGCGTGTGCCCGCCGCGCAAGAGCTCCACAATGCCGCGCTCTCTGAATCCGCCGAGCAGCAGGTTCACGAACGATCGCGAAGCGCTTCGATTCGCTGCCTGCCACGTGTGTGTCCAAAACGTGCCCTTCTCCTCGACAGCAATAGCATGCATGAGCAGCAGCTGTCGAGAAAGCGATGCGCTACGAAGCACCCGACACGACACAGTTGTTGCCGATAGCGCGTGCAACAAAAGTAGCACCAACAAGAACAACAAAAATAGGCACCTTGATCGTGCGGAAGCTGGAGCGCATACCCCAACCGGGACCGTTTTGCCGAGCTACCACGCACCCAAACCAGGGAACGGGGCCTTTCTGTCGAACGCGTTGCCCTTCCGGCCAATGCGGTCGGATGCCTGCGCAACAAATCGCTGCACTGCTCGATTCCTCGAAACGAATCTCCTGCAGAGTCTTCGCAAACGTGCAGCTCGTCTGACACCTGCAATACTAGTCTATCACCGATGCTGCCTTCATCACGAGCTCACTGGCTGCTCGCCCCAGTCACGCTGCTCACGGGCACTCCACGCGCGCCTGCACGCTGCTACTGCCTCCTTCCAGGTATCCAGCGCATTCGTCCGTTCCGTTGCCTCGGCGACTGCAACCAGCAAGCGCTCTACGGTACTCGGCTGCCATAAGTACAAGGTGTGTCGACTCAGTCGCGCATCCAACAGATGACTGAAATGTACGCTAACCGCATCCGCGTTGTTCGCGAATGCAGCCGCCAGCATATCAGCGATCGCGTCGATCGCAGCGAGTGCACGCACCACTCGTGCGTGCGAGCCGCCACGACGTGCGTGTAAAAAGTGCGCCGCCAGGATCCCGTAGTCTTTGCGCAGTCGCTCGACCATGCGCCGATCGAGGTTGGCGACTGGGTGCGCGTCACGAAATCGCCTGCCCTGACGCGCATCCTCGGAGCCGGCGGCACGCACCTGGAGCAGGCGGCTGGAGCTTCCACCAGCGATGCGCTGCGCGATGCGATCGCGCGATCTTGGACCAAGGAGCGGCGGGGTGGCGCCCGCTGGATCCAGCGCCTCTGGCGATGCACGCTGGGCGTCGCCGACCTCGGGCGCAGCCCCCGTGGCACCCAGGTAGCTTGCCAGCGCCGCTGCGTAGCGATCGGCAACGCGGGTGGCGCATTCGCTCCCGACCAGCGCACGATCAACCTCCACGCGCAGGTACGTGTCGATGTCGTGGAAAAAGTCGTCTACAGTAGCCACAATGCTATTGGCGATCTCTTCTTCGCCCGAGATCCACGCTGGTGTGTACAGTCTTGGCCATAAACCAGGGGCATCGTCCATATCCTCGAAAATGACGTTGCAGACGCGCGTTGCTGCAAACTCGGCTGAGACTGCAAACTGAGCGGCGAGGTTGTCCACTGCCAGCACATAGGTCGTCTCGTTCAGTGCCTCTGACTCGCGAGCACAAGCGGTACCTGGCGACGGACCAGGCACCTGTGTCGGTGTCTGGGGCGTCGCGCTCGTTTCCCGTTCCCAGTCGCCGAGGCCGTAAACCGCCTGGTTTAGGATCGTGTGACACCGCGTTGCAAACTGCGCCGCCAGCGACTCGCAGCGTCGATGGTTATTCACCGTTGCGCAAAATCTCTCGAGTGCGCCGTCTTCTGATTCCGTGCCTTCAAGTGCATCCAGAGACCAGGTGCGGTAATCGAGCAGAGCCGCACAGCACGCATCGCTGATGCATTGAACAAAGCGTGGGTTGCCCAGCTCGAGGCGCTCCTGCACGATGGTCATTTCGTCGTTCACGATGCGGAAGACATCCAACGGGCCTTGCGTGTAAAGCGATCCATCGTCATCACGAACATCGACTGGACCCTCGGTGTCCACCTTGATACAGTTACGAATCCATCGACGCATCATTTCGAGTGCACGTGCCGCATAGCCTTCGATAAGTCGCTCAGCGGGCATGTCCAGGCCGCGCACTAGTGTCTCCTGGTGGGTGCGATCCCAGACCAGTGCCCCGGCTGGCGACGCAGAGCCCTCGGGGTCAAGCATGGGAAAGGTTTGTTGGAGAAAGTCGCGATAGCGATGAATCCACCCCAGCAGGTCCAGGATATCTCTGCTCGGGATCAGACTTGCGCGAGTAATGATGCCCCAGAAGACTGCGTTCATGATTTGGTTCGTTTCCAGGGCGTACCAGCGATCCAGCGGAAATGCTGGTTCCCCCAACGCTGCGACATGCTTCTGCACGATCCGTATGTCTTCAATGAGGAGCTCGCATCGCTGAAGCATTCGAGCAACGAATTGCGGCTCTTCCGGTTCCCGCGAGACCGACTCGAGAGACAACCTGCTTGCCGACTCTGATGTTTGCGCTTTCGATGCGACGGCAGCGGCGGCGGTGCCATATTCTTCTGCGCGGCTAGGCGCGCTCCGTTCTGGGCTCGCATTCTGCTCCGAGGTGTTCCTTGCATCCAGGTCAGCGAGCACCTCCCGCAGCCAGTGCGCGCCTGGCGAACGCTCAGGAGCGCCGGTCTCCGCAGCGTGCTCCGCTTCCGACGCTGCACCAACGATGGATCGCTCGTGATGATCAGCTCGCCGGCTGATGGCCTCTCGGATCACGTCGGGAAACAGGTGAGCGAGCAATTGAGGTTCCTCCTTGAAAATCGCGACAATCACGTGAATATCTTCCGGATGCTGCTCTAGGCTGGGGACCAGATCTCGCAGCCGCCAGCGGCACGCCTGCTGTATCCTCGCTGCGATTCGCTTCTCGCACCTTTGTGTCAGCACCGTTTGGAGCTGCTCCCGCTCACTTTCCGTTTCATTCGTTGGCGCTGAGCACGATACCGTTGAAAACTCACATTCAATCGCCAATTCTTCGGCGAGCAGTTCTTTCTCCCGGTGGAGCCGTTCCCAAATCTCCCATGCGCTTCGCAAGTCGATGCTGCCTTCTGCAAGCGCCCGATCAAGCGTATCTGCTTCCTCGCTGAGCACACCGAGGTGCTCAAAGTATCCGTGCGCCTGTTTTGCAATTGCATACAGGCGGAGCAACCTTCGTACAGCAGACCCGAGCGCCTGGTCCGGAACGGCGCTTCCGAGGAACCATCGCGCTGTGTTCGCTCGAAGGCGCTGGAATGCCTCAGCGGCTACTTGAAGCGAGTCCCCGAGCTCCGTCGCAGGGCATAGCCAGTCGTCTTCTAATACTTTGACGCTTGTATTGAGCTTGGTGAGGAAGCTTTCCAGCGTCTCGCTGGTGAAGCTGTGGAGGTCTGCGGAGCGCGGCTCGCTGTGCTCAGCCTGCGTGCGCGGTGAAACCGCTGCTTCTGTCTGGTCCAAAGGCCCTGTCAGGTCACAAGGTTCTTCTGTGGAAAGCTCATCACAAAGACGGGCGAGTTCCACGGACCAAGTGCTCTCTGGCACGCACTCGAGTAGGCTCTGGAACACCGTCGAACGCACCGGTGTCTCGTGCAGTGGCTGTCGTGGTTGCGTCGTGTCCGAGCGACGAGCTTGCGGTCTGCTGCCGGCTAGCGACGACATAGCTGACCGCAGGGAACCGGTTCCGGGCCGGAGATAGACAGTTCTCACAAACGTCAGCAGCTGCTGCTGGTGCCGTGACTCTGAATGATTATGAGGAAACGGGTAGAAATTGATGGATATTGCGGCGGCGTCACGTTGCAGCGGAAACACTGCCGAACCTGAGGATATGTTTGGTGCCGATTTGCGGTGAGCGGTTTCGCCTTGTAAAAGCTTTTATGTACAAGTAATTCCGCTGGTGCTGGCAAGCGGCACGTTATCGTTCTTTGCGAAAATCGTATGGCCAATCCTCGAGCTGTTTTCCGCAGTGAAACACTGTCCACTTTGTGCTAACGAACGCGCAATCCAAAAGCGTTGTCGCGCAGACCTCAGAACAGAGTACGCTGGAAGGACCCGATCTCGTACGCGCTTTGTGTTTTCGCTTGCAGTTCTCGCAGGTATGCAACAACATGAATGTACCCGTAAAGTTGGAGAACGCTCACTGACAAACTTTACACTGACAGTTGTAGCTTGCGAAAACCGGCTTTAACTGTTCAAGTCAGTCATTCTACGGTCAGCGGGCGGATGAACCAGCCTTGTGGTCACCCTGATCCTGAATGCCGTGCATCCAAAACAGAACCGCTCTCACTATATCATCATGATAGACTCCTCGCAAATCCATCCCCTGGTATACTTCTATTCCAAGTACAACGAAAGAAGCCATTGGATGTGACGTTTCCGTTCCGACGATACCAAAGTTGATGACAAGAACCGGGTCGCCCGCGAGACAAGCGTGCTTCCATGCGAGACCATTGTGCCTGAAAACAGCACTTAATCGATTTCATTCTGTAACGGGACTGTTTTATAGGAATCACGGGTGTTCATGTCACTAAATGAGACTTGATTCGGGAGAAATGGTCGGCGTGTACGTGAGTACACAAAAAGAGGGGCAATCCGCTGTTCTTAAAGAAGAGCCAGGCGAGCATGACGATAACAGGAGCTCTAGCGGTGATTCAGTCGGACGCCCGTCGAGAAGTCACCAGCAAGACGGGATCGTCCATCGTCTCGCCCGTCATCGAATCATTCCTCATGGCTTCTCCTGACCACATTCTTCGCTCCTGGTCTTGGAAACTGCCATAGAGCTTCATTCAAAAGGGGTCACGGAAGACATAGCTGAGACTGTCTTTGAACTCCTCTGCGTGTATGCTCGCTCTATGTGCGTCAATCCAGTTGCAGGCATCTATTCTTCTGACAAACGCGAATTTGACGCTGACGTATCAATAGACGAGTCGTTTGCATCCGGTACACCAAAGTTCTCCGACGAGGCTTTCTTTCACTTCACGATTACTGAACTGGTCTCTAGCTACCCGCCCGCGTGCACGAGAGAATGGAAAGGCGCGCTTAGGTCTGCGGGCACGCTCGCGGTGCAAACGGTGCCGACATGCTACCCAAGGAATCGTGGATGCATAAAACAGAAATCGAACTTGAAAAGGCGTCCATCCAGCGCGTCCGAAATCCGAGAAAAATGGGTATGTACAGTACAGCGACCACATCCATGCTATTTGACAAAGCAAAGCAAACGCCTTTCAAAAGAAGAACGTTGCCGCCAGCGGTGTTCAGTAGTGGCGAGTGACCCGCGCCCTAGACAAGAGGTCTCCGGCTGACGCGCAGACGCCTCCCAGTATTTTTGGACCGGCTACCTACTACTGGTTCCAACTTTTTCTCATATAATTCCACTTTGAGAGGCTCCCCCACAAAATTCTCTCTTGTCAACTCTGGGGGGTCTTCTTTCGATCACCGCGCATCTCCTTATATTGATAGCGGCGTGAAAGTCTCGGTTAACAAACTCCATACATTTCTTGTCGCCGCTTGTACGCACTAGTGCAAGCAATCCTCGAAGTTTCGCCCTCGTTTCCATTTGCTCTTCCGTCAGCGGTCCGTACTTTTTTATAGCCTCAGGGCTCCGCTGGCACTTTTCCACCTCTGCCCTCTGAAGTGTACAGCCCAGTTCATGGTGTGTAGAGGACGTTCGGAATCCATCTACAGGTATCGTAGCGAAACGCCTTGCACACCCGTTATACATTCTCGTCGTTGGAGCTGGCGTAGTCCCTTGTTGGGTCTTCCATCGTCCTGCTCCGTATGCTACTACGAGCCTCTGACTTTCATCCTCCTTCAAGGCGCTCAACTCATTGAAAAAATTCGCGAATGCCCGCTGCTTCCACTGTACAGATTCATACGCAGACGAGCCCACCGGGGTTTTGTATATTCTTTTCACAGCGCCTCCCAATGAGCAACGCGAACCTCCATGGATTTCAGAAAAGATTTCAAGTCCGCTCCGCGGCTCGTCACCTGGCTCATAGTTTCCAGGTGCTCTTTCATTCCTGCATTCCACATCTCGATGTTCTTCCTCGCATTCATTATACCGGATTCTCTTTAGTCTCTTGCTCTCGAGAACCTCCACAGACGCATGTCTCTCCGACGTAAGTTACCCTCGTTACCATCTTCCGCACGCATGGACACAGCGATAGTTATGATCTTTGTGTTTCCGGGGTCTGCGCCAGCGACAAGTCGGTATCCTCTATGTCCTGCGGCGAAGGACCCGCCTCCATCCCATCTTTATGCTTCGCCGCGCCAACCATAAAGTCGTTCTCCTCCACCTCCTGCGTCGCAGGATCCGCCTCCTTGTTTTCTTCATGGTTCGCCGAGGACGAAGCCGAGGGCCGAACTGGACGGTCTGCCTTCAAGCGCCGATAGTGTCGACATATGGATACCCCATCGCTTTCGAACATCCCCGTAAATTCCTTTTTCTTGCTCGTTTTGAGAAGTTTGAAATCGATGATACTCCTTCAATGAGTTTCCCGGTTTTCGCCCGTAACCTCGTTCGTGCTGACACCTAACCCCGAACTGATCTCCTGCATGATGCCGTCAAGGGCTCTGGAGTCGACTGTCACAAAATGTGACTTGATCTCGCATAACAGAACGACGTTGAAGCGCTTCTCCAGAAGCTCAGCCTTCCGCGTCTCCGACGCTTCATTTGCATCCACACCCTGCTCATTTTCGGCCTTGCGTTCGAGTTCTCGGTCCGAAAAACACGAAATAGCGCAGCATGAGGTGATCCCATCTTTCTTCATCTTCTTTCGATCCTGATACCTTTTCTGCTGGGTCGACTAGCCCCAAGACCGCACGATGCTCTCGAGTAGCCGCACGGATTACAGAACCTTCATTCTTTCTTCTGCGTGATGTCTTCTTTTCGACAAACTCGATCTCCCACGCATGCCTACTATCGATCGTGATGCCACCGACGATGGCCCGTATCCCTTTGCGAGACGGGCCCGGGTACAGCGCAAAGATGGGGCGTATCATGGAGCGTTCGGGTTTCACGATCACGCGATTCTCCAGGTTCGTGAGGTGCTTCATCGTCCCGTGTTCGTAAATACGCGAGTCAGCCTTGTATCGAGCACCCTTCAAGCGGCATTTGGCGTAATTTTCGTGGAGAGCGTGCACATGCTCATTTCTCCTCGACGTTTCCCTGTGCAAACCATCAGATGATGAATAAAGCTTTCGCTGAAAAATCCTCCGGAGCCTAGACTGTTTTGACATCCGTCACATCGCGATTTATGTCCTTCACTAAATGCATTTCTCCTGACGACGCCTATATAACACTCATCGATTGCGACTCGACACGGTTTCTTGTGGCCTCTTGCAACTTTTGCTTGTACGGATCCTTGGTATGGCCAAGAAGACACGCTTTCACGAACGTCTCGTCGTTCTGTCGTCGTTCGCGCAGATCCTGACGTCGGACCACCCCACCCCTTTTTGCTTCATGGTCTTATCTTGTTCGTCTTTGCTCGGCACTGTTTTTTGTTTTTTCTGGCAGCCGGCGATACTGCGTCTCCAGGATCCTCCACTTCGATTTCCAGAACTTTCCTTTTTTATGTTTTTGAAAAAGAACGCTGTTCGAACAATTCTGCTGTAAACCGCGAAAAAGCATTTGAGTACACAGACTTGGGGGTCGAAACACAATGGAACTGAAAAGCTAGACTTTGCTACGACATCAGCGCACATACAGCTTGTCCGTTAGAGCAACAAGCGAAATATCAAGATCGCGTTTCCTTCCAACAGCGACATGAGCATCGTACATCATGCCTGCCAGATATGGAGGTGCGCGTATCGACAGCGCTATCTAGAAAATAGTATAGAAACTATCCACAGACTAGCAACGAGATACCGATTTGTCTCGCCCTCCACGATAAACTTTGAAAAAGGGGGAGAAGGTTCGCATAGTTTCGAAAGTTTACCTTTTCGGCGGTAGGCACCGCGAGCCGGACATGTCTCTCAAGCTCGTACGTCAGGCCCGCCCAATGCCTAGCGCTGGAGCAAGAGCTGAGCAACTCGTCCACAACGCAGTTCATTCTGGGACCAGGAGCGGGTATGCTGCGTCTCGGCGTCGCCCTGCTTGCCGTAGTATCTTCGTATACCGCGCCGTGCTGCCTCAGGCAGTAGGTATGTCTACGCAGCTTGCTGACTCCCCGAATGATTACGTACTCCGATTCCGTGCTGATTTAAAGATACCTCGAGCCGACACCCCCAGTGGTACGGCAGAGCATTTCCGTCTCTATGATGCATCTGCACCAGCGATATATAACCGCTCCGGCGGATGCTCAGAGCAGGCACTCGACGCTCGATATTACGTACGAAACCACCAGAATATCCTAGAGCAAGAGTAAGTAATCGAACTTGAAGGCAGAGTACAGATTCGTGGATGCTCAGAGCAGGCACTCGACGCTCGATATTACGTACAAAACCACCAGAATATCCTAGAGCAAGAGTAAGTAACCGAACTTGAAGGCAGAGTACAGTTTCGTGGATACTCAGAGCAGGCACTCGACGCTCGATATTACGTACAAAACCACCAGAATATCCTAGAGCAAGAGTAAGGAACCGAACTTGAAGGCAGAGTACAGATTCGTGGATGCTTTCCCCAGCGCGAATATCTACCCCACAATCTGGGATCCATGGTCCACGTGAACGTTTCGTCTTCGAGAAACTGCCCATCATTGGACAGCGATCGCACCAGTGCCTGCCGCTCCGTACGCTGCCCTGCGGATGGCGCGGCTACTGCTGCTGCTGCTGCTGCTGCTGCTGCCCGGCGTACTCGCAGCGGCGGCGGTACACCGTAGATGCCGGATGCCTCTCAGCGCATGTCTGCCGGGGCGCTTCTGCAGTGATACGCGTTGGTATCGAAGCCAAGGGCTATTTTGTTTACGTGCGTACGTACGTGCTTCGTTCTTTCTTCCAAGTGTTTTGGTACTGCAGTAAATCCACGTTGACAGCGTTTTGGCGGGCGACTCGATCGTCGGTCGTTGCCGGGCGCGCTGCGATGCGTTCCGCGCTCTACTGTGGGAGCGTCACGCACTCACGGCGCTACCCGGCTGCGTACCAGTTCTCCTATGCACTTTTTATGGTTTATTTGGACTTGGACGAGTTGGCGAGGGAGCGTTGGCGGTTTCCTTGGTGGCCGCTTTTTAGTGCAAGGCGCTGGTTGCCAGCAGTGGCATGGTTTCGCAGCAAGCACCACCTGCGAGAGCTGGGCCCTGAAAAGTCAGCACTTGGAGCTGGTTCTGAAGCGGAACTACTCGCTGTTGCTGTGCGGCGCTATGTGCAGCGTGAACTGCGCCTTGAAAGTGCCCCCAAAGGACGGGTTTGTTTGCTGACGCACCTCACTTACCTCGGCATCGCCTTCAACCCGGTATCCTTCTATTATATTCTCGACGAAGACGGGAAAAATGTCGAATACATTGTGGCTGAGGTGAATAATATCCCATGGTTTGAACAGCATGCATATGTGCTTCGTGCGAGAGAATATTCTTCAGTTGCATGGCCACCGTTTTCGCGGACGAATAGTCTCAACGATGCAGCCCAGATGCCACCAGACGACGAAAACGAGGATTGTATCCAGCCGGCAACCGATGGCGATCGTTATCACAAACTCGCTGGCAACGAGAAGCGGCACGCGTGCTCCTCGGTGACAACAACGGCAGCGGCAGTCGAAGGGGCCTCTTCGCAGGAGGTGGCGGCGGCGGCCTCCACGGGCACTTCTTCCGCCTCGGCTTGGCGATGGTGCCCGCGACCCATGTCGCGAGTCGATAGCGGTGCGTCGCTGAACGGGGGCACGCCCTCCTCGCCGTGCTTTGTGATCAGTGTCGTGCATCCGAAGGAATTCCATGTTTCACCGTTTATTGCGATGGAGGGCATCGAGTACAGATGGTTATTCTCTCAGCCAGGGTGCCGGCAGCTGCGAGTCTTCGTTGAGCTCCTGCAGCGGCAACCGACAGCGAACGGAGATGCATCCGCATCCCCAAGCGGATTCCAAAAGTTTTTTGGTGCCAGTTTGAAACTACATCGGGTTGAGTTGACCGCAATGAATATGGTCCTCTGCCTGCTCGTATATCCGCTGATAACCCTGCAGGCGATGGTTGCTATTCATTACGAAGCCGCAAAACTGTACTTTCGGGGATTTCCGTTCTATCCGCATCCGCAGGGCACGCAAACATTGCTTGCGCGGCTCATTGCGCTTATCGTTGCTATTGCGCAGCCAGGCATATATCTGGTCAACTTGTTGCGGGCGCTGGTGCGTGTTCTGTTGCGGCCTGTGCGACTCGTAATGCGTCGACCGCGGGGACGGCGCGCTCGCCCACATGAGGTGCCCGCGTCGCACATGTAAACACTTTCGGGAAATATTGCATTTTCATTCCAAGTATGTACAGCGTACGTGTGTACGAATGCATGCAGGCGGTACCGCGCTCGACACTGCGCTGCGGTGCCAGCGATCGAGCCAAAAGCGCCCCAAGCTGCACACGAATCCTTCGTATGCGCATGCCCGGCTGCCGTAGCCTCCAGAATCGAGTTGTTCACGAAAACGATACATTGGCTTGCGAATACGCTATCTCATCAAAGGAGTGAGAGAGCGCCAAGTTGCAGCCTCCCATCCGAGTTCAGGTACTGTGCTGCGGAACAAGACTGTCAGGGCGCGCTGCAGTCAGACCAGCCCTCCATACCGTGAGCACGCGTGCATCCCCAGGACTGCATTACGCGTATCGCGGAGACTGCACTTGACATGTGCGCAAGTCCGAACGCCTGACTCCCGCCATGCGTACCGGCGTGCTACACAGCGTCTCGCGGCTCACGCATGGGTCACTACGCTGGACCTCGTCGGACAGAGTGTTGCGAACGACACCGGCACACTAGCTCGTTGAGCTGTCGAGCGCGCCGCGCTCTCGGTACCTGGCTACGGTGGAGACTCGGGGCTCGCCCCCCAGGCTCAGTACGTTTCCAGGGCGCGAAAAGACGATTTGCAGATCATCTAACGTCCGAGTCGCAAAGCCCGCCTCGCAGTAACTCAAATAGTAGAGAAACTTGCGTATAAATGCCTCAGAGAATCCTAGCTGGCGAACTCGACCAAGGTTTTCCATGAAACGCTGCTGCCAAGACGCCAGCGTTGGTGCGTAGTGAACACCAATGCTCTCGACATCGACTACGCTGAGCGCTGGTGCAGCCACTGCACAGGCATGAACCAGCGCATGGAACGAAGGGCAACAGCTGCCGGGGAAGATATGCTTGTTGATAAAGTCCGATGACTTGCGGTAGCTTTCGTAACGCACTTCCGGCGTTGTAATGACTTGCACCACAACAAGTCCACTCGGTGACAAGAGGCGATCACATGCGGCGAAAAAGTCCCCGAGGAATTCATGCCCTACCGCTTCAAGCATCTCGATGCTGACTATCCGGTCGAAGGTGAGGTCGTGGCGTCCGTGGCCCCCGACGGCTGCCGTCTTCATCAGGCCATTACGCGAATCCACCGGGCGCCCAGCTTGTGCGGCGTCGCCACGCGCCACTTCCTCTTTTGGCATTCGGGTCAGCGTTCGATAATCCTCCAGACGGAAAGTGACACGATCAGCGACACCAACGCGAGCCGCCCACGCCTGCGCGTGCCGCAGCTGTTCTCTGGAGAGCGTAATGCCCAACACACGCACCCTGGGATACTGGCGGGCAATCTCTATCGCGAGCGCACCCCAGCCGCAACCAATCTCCAGCACAGACTCCGCGGTATCGAGGCGGAGTTTCTCGATGATGCGCTGCAGTTTGGCTCGCTGGGCTTCGTCCAAATCCATATCGGGACGCGCCCACAGCGCGCAAGAGTATACCCAGAGATCGCCTAGAAATGTAGCAAACAAGTCATTGCTTAAATCATAATGCGATTCAATGTTCTTCTGACTGCCTCGGAGGGTATTCCGTCGCCATACAAGGTGCAGGGCTGCGTTATACCACATGCCTAGGCGCGCTGCGAGACCGAGTTTGGCGGGAGAAAGCGCTCCCTCGTCCCGATTCAGGATAAACAACTTGAACAGACGCACTAGCTCGGTGCCAGCGCAGGTGTACACAGCGCCGTGTCGCGACGTCCAGCCGCCGACATCACAGTCGCCGGCGATGAAGGCCTCGGCGAACCCGATATCGGCACCGGAGACAACGCGCCAAAAAAAGTCGTATCGTCGGATATGCACGCGCACGGGCGACTCGTTCAGCCCGTATGTAACCAGTAAACGGTGAAGGTGCGGGTTATCCGATGCGCTAACTTTGAGCGTGCCACAAACATGCTCTGTACCGTCAGGCAGGACCACAATGAGTGAACCGTAACGTATTGAGCGTTGGAGATAGCTGAGCACGTTTGCGTGAACTGCTCGACCAACGGTGCCGGAGAGAGATACACGTGCCGGGGGTAATGCACCCTGGTGATTGTTCAACGCTCGCCGGTGCTTGTTGTCAGCTGGCGACGCGGTTTGCTTTAGCAGCGATCGCATCGGCAGCTCTGTGATGCACTGTGCCACTTCCAGGCCGGATGTCAGGGCGTCCTCGTGGAAGCCGTAGCCGCAGTACGCCCCTGCGAAATAAATATCTCGTTTGCAACCGTCTCGCAGAAGCGATTCGCGATACTGAGTCTGGGCAAGAACCGCTTCCCGCGTCAGCATCGGATGCGCAAGACGCAGACGAGCGAGTACCAGCTCCTCTTCGGGCGGAAATGCTGGGTTGAGTGTCTCGAACAGAGGCGGCACGTCTTTCGGCAGATTCTGTAAACGATTGAGCAAGTACGTGACCTGGACCTTGCATGTTGACGCTGCCTCCACTTGTGCGCGGCCGTCCTCCTGTGGGACAAAGTTCCACGAGCTCCACAGACTACGTCGTTGGGGCATGAAGCGCGCGTCGCGGTGGATGACAATCTCGTTTTCGACGTATTCGAAGGCGGATAGAAAGGCGCGTTCCTCCGGTGTCGCCCATTCTGCGAGCAGTCGCAATGTTTCGTCAGCGTGCGTGGCGAAGATTACTCTAGAGCCGCGCACAACTTGACCATCCTCTAGCTCGACGACGACGACAGCCTTATCCTGTTTTCGTTCAAGCACGCGGGTCACGCGCGCGCCCAGTCGAACTTCAGATACCACACCATTGGCCTGTGATGGACTGGTTAAGGCCTGCATCACTCGGCTGGTGTAGGCCTGACTGCGGCCGCGAACGGTGCGCCATTGTGGACGCCCAAAGATCCGGAGGAATCCATGGTTCCGGAAGAATGCCAGGATGGATCGCGCAGGAAAATGCAGCACTTCACTGGGGGAGCTCGACCATACGGCAGCAACCATTGGCGTCAGGTACCAGTCCCTGAATGCGTCAGAATAACGTCCCTGTGCCAGGAACTGTTCGAGCGTGAGCTCTAGCGGTAGTGTCTCCAGAAGCGCAATAGCCTCCTTATTGAATCGCAGCAGATCCCGCAACATGCCGTAAAACTGCAGACATAACACGTTGCGCCTATCGCCGAATAAAGTCCAGAGACTATCACTCGACCACTCCAGACGAGCGCCGCCGGTTGCTCCGCGAGGTACTGACACGGAGAACGACATGTCCGAAGGCTCCGTCTCTACGCCCAGCGCGTCGAACCAGGCGACCAAGTTCGGGTACGCTTCAGTGTTATACACAATGAAGCCAACATCTATAGGTATTTGGCTGGAGCCCGAGACAGGCACTTCCATGGTGTAGGCGTGCCCTCCGAGGTGCGTCGGATCCGCCTCCAGCACGCACACGCGGTGTCCAGCATCGTGAAGCGCCCAAGCCGCTCCAAGACCAGCAACACCGCCACCAACCACTATACAAGGAAGCTCTGACTCCATAAGTTCGAATAAAGCGAGTTTCAAGCGTTCAGCAGATACCCGTGTGTTGTCTTCACTCGTACGCGCTGCCACCAATTGTCCCCCCAAATGAGCGACGATGCGGCAGTCTTTCGGCAATCCGCCATTGCTTCGCAGACGAACGGCCGATTGGGCCACGGCGCCTGTGATTCGCGCATCTGCAGCACGGCGGGCGCTGCTCAGGAGTTACAAGCGGTATCGGGTGCGCTGATCGTTCCTTCGTTAACGACTTCACGCGCCTGCATCGTTGATGCATCGAGCCTGGTGGGCGTCTCATATCGATGAGCGTATCGAGGGTGCAGTGCAACGTGGTGAAGGTGCTTGCTGTTTAAAGGTATGCGCTACGGGCTGTGAGGCGTATTGATTTGGGATCTGCAGTGGTGACTCATCGACGGAAACCATCGAGCATTTGATGCAGTTCTGGACTTGGACTGCTTTGCAGGGCACTTTTAGAATGTGGCATTCCTCTCACTGCAGAATGAACGTCGGGAGCGGCCCGCTCGAGGGCTGGCGCTCCGTGTCTACATGAAGGAAACGCGTACTGCGTTATCGTGCGCGTTGATCCGCAACGCGCGGAACGCAGCGCTCAGTTCTTTTTGCGAGGCACGCGCTATTTGGCGCGTCACATTCACGATGGCAAAAACTCGCGCTGCACGAGATTTTCTGGGTTTATTCCAGGCGGATTGATTTCATAGTCGACAGGGTTCAGTAGAAACCAGCTACTGAACACGATACTGGTATAAAAAAGCAGAGGATCAGCTATCAACGGAATCACGGTCTCGCTTCGCTGCGGGCTGAATCGTGTCTTGGCGAGAGCGCAACCGTTCCATCTTGGCTATACATGAAAGTGGAGGCAGAGTTGGAAACCTGAGGTTATGGTTGCCCTGGGTAGCATTTCCCGTGCGTCAAATCGTGACAAATAGGCAACATCGCAGGCGGGAGTTTCCCGCAGGCTGCGGCGAGATCTGGTCCATCACCACAAGGGCACGCGTGCGCGCGCGCTTCAGCAGCATCATCGATACTGCGCTCCATCTCGCTTACCTAGCTTGAAGGCGAACGAGGCGCGTGAGATGGAGAATGTTGACGTAGACGAACACCACGCAGAGTATGCCGGGCTTCTCTGGGTTGATCGTTGTCGACCAACCACTTTCGAGGCCTGTGTCGTGCACAAGGAGTTAAACGAACGGCTTCGGCGCCTGTCCGAGTCGCCAGCACACCTGCCTCACCTGCTCTTCTACGGACCAGCAGGGTCGGGAAAGCGTACTCGAGTTCGTCTCCTACTTCGGGAACTTTACGGTATCGCAGTCGATCACAGTCACGTAGAGCACCGGCTTGTGCGCGTCGGTGATCCTCCGCGCTCCCTGGAGTACACCACTGTGAGCTCCGCCTACCATATCGAGCTGAATCCCAGTGACGTCGGATATAGTGACCGCCTCCTTGTACAGGCCGTGATTAAAGAAATCGCGGGCAGCAGGCCGCTGCTGAGTTCTGCGGAACAGGATGCCATGGTGGAAGGTGGTACTTCAACGGAAACAGCTTCCAAACGGCTTCCGTACAAGGTAGTGGTTCTGCACGACGTCGATCGCCTCACACGGGAGGCACAACAGGCTCTAAGGCGTACGATGGAAAAGTATGCGCAAACGTGTCGTCTTGTGCTGATTGCCGACTCGGCAACACGAGTGTTAGAACCTCTTCGTTCGCGCTGTCTGGGGATTCGGGTGCGCGCACCCTCTGAAACTGAGTTGCGAACGGTGCTGAGGCAGGTATGGCAGCGTATGGTGCATTCCGCGGAATCGCCGCCCGAAGCGCTTCTTGATCACGCCATTCGGGCAAGTGATGGCAACCTTCGCTCAGCCCTGCTGTCACTAGAGGCTTCCTACTGGACCAGCAAGGCGGGACGGAAGGGCTCGGCGCTCCCAGAGCCGGACTGGCGAAGCATTTGTGATGAAATCGCTGACCAGATCCGCAAGGAGCAAACGCCGCCGAGTTTATTACGAGTCCGAGCCTTGTACTACGATCTGTTGACGCACTGCATCCCAGTCGACATTATTCTTTCCATGGTTCTACGAAGGCTATTGGAACGAGTGCCCGTTGCGCTAGGCCAGCAATTGTGTTTCTGGGCTGCGGAGTACGAATATCGGGCGTGCATGGGCAGCAAGGCCATTCTGCACCTGGAAGCATTCGCTGCGAAATGCATGGCACTCATACGCATGGCGCAGACAGCCGGTTGAGGAATTCACTTGAAAATGGGTTATGACCTGACCGCAAACCCATAGGATGGGTTTCGGAATGCTGCTGGTATAGTCGCCGCCTCGGCCGCGGCATGTGTCGCGGTTGTGCTGCAGCGCTTTGGCGCTATTGCAGGTACCGAGACGACTCGGCCTTTGCTTCATTTCAGGAGGCATGTGAATGAAGCGCCTCTCAAATGGTTTCTCGACCCTTTGCTGGATGCGCTAGTATTATTGCGTCCGCGCTACCAGCGCATACTTTTTCGAGGTAAACAATGGCTTTTCATCAGGAAAGAAGCGAAATCCTTAGCCAATACACTTCCGAGGTACATTGTCCCGTTACAGATCGTACAAATGGAAATCCGCCTTGCCTCGGTCTGATGTCGTCTCTGTCCATGCCAGCGTCCAAAAAACGCTCTCCGAAATCGCGAAGCTATCGCACGACGCCCACTTGTACCTGGAGACGCCGACGAGCATCATGCCTGTCACTGCTCAGGGCCTTCAGGGGAGGTCCAGAAGTGCCCCGCGCGGATTCTGTGCGTCGCATGAGCTCGGTCAGGCTGCTCAACACATAACGGAGAAAGAAGAAACTGTATTCGCTTCATTTTGCTGGATGATGAACTAAGAAATCCCCAGTTGCTCCGGAGTTATGCGCAAAAACGACTGCAATTCGATGGAGAAGTAGCGCACGGCCCTGACAGTTCTCGCGCGAATCCTAACAGATCCGATGCAAGGAGCAATGCCTATGCGTTCGCTTCCACAATGGACTGATCTGTGATGGCTGTTGCGACCCTGGTTATTTTCCGGGAGACCTGCATGCCCAGGATACATCGAATGAAGGCGAAGACGCTCCGTGCCTCGTTCGAGTTGATATCCGGAATCCTATGATGACCGTCAGCGAAAACCGCCTGTTCACGAGGATTTCTTGCGTCGCGTCGCGGTCTCACCCATGTACCGGATCAGAGCCCTGATAGCTTGAAATTTCGGAAGTGCTCAGTTATCAACCGTACACGACATGGAGATAGCTTTGCGCAGGCATCGATGATGGGAATGCGCGGCCGCTGCGGCAGGATCGACGCTCTATCGCTGCATGCTCGGCTGCACGCGTGCATACGTGTCCATGCCTCTGCGTGCATTCGAACGCGTCTAATGAGGAATCTGCATGCATGGATCATCACGTATCGAACGCGTCTAATGAGGAATCTGCATGCATGGATCATCACGTATCGAACAACGTTGCGTGTTTGCGTGCGTGTGTACTGACCAGCTGTACAATTCAGCCGTATTCCAGTGGTGACTCGAACAAGTGATGCACCGAGACGATCCGTTTTTTCAGTATCCACGGAGAGACGGCGAAGGAACGTTTCTGGGTATCCGCGGTATCCCTGTAACCATGCTGCGTGCAGAACTGGCGTCGTTCTCGCGACATCATTGTGCGCTTCGCCGGGGGATACGCCAGTCCGCCCACAGATCGAATCGGCGTCGTCGCGCGGATGCCTCGCACGCCTCCAACTGCAGTGCTCACGGGGGTGATGGTGATGGTGGTGGTGGTGGTGGTGGCGGTCGTGTAGTCGTGGTGGAGGCTTCGAAGCCCGAACGCGCTCGCCCGTATAGCACTCCTGCAAGACGCTGACGACTTCGTCGCGCGTGCGGATCGTCTTCGACTCTTCTTCAGCGGAATAGTGGGGAAACCTCACTCCATCCCAGACGATGAACGGTGTCAGTGCCGGGAATGGCGCCCTTGCACCGGGGCGTACCGAGTCTACGGAGTCGGCGTCTCTGCAGCGCTTTCCTAAACTGCGCTTGACGCGTTTGGCCGCAACCGAGTGTGACTTTACGCTCTCCGATACCGATATCTCCGTTGCGAATGCGCTGCGTCGCGCCATGATCGCTTCTGTGCCAACTATGAGCATCGATCTGGTCACCATATATGTCAACGATAGTCCGCTGCACGATGAGTTCGTAGCTCACCGTCTTGGTCTGGTTCCGCTGCGTTCGGACACGGCGGAGTATTTCAACTACAACCGTGACTGCGACTGCACGCAGTCTCGGATCGCAGCACTATCGGGGAACCCTATGGAAGCAACGAACTGCGAAAAGTGCAGCGTTGAGTATATTCTCGACGTGACCTGTCCCCCGGACGGCGAACTCGAGGAAATGAACGTAACGTCTCGCCATCTGCAGATGGACCCGCGTTACTTTGATGGACCTGCATACGTGCGGGCAGTGGTGCCGATCCACCGACCCGACCAGCCTTGGGAGTTGGCGCCGGATTCTAGCAGGGACCGCACCTCCGCTGACGCAGGCATCGTTATCTGTAAGCTTCGTCGGGGTCAGCGATTGTATGTGCGCTGCATCGCTAAGAAAGGAACCGGCAGGGAGCACGCCAAGTGGTCCCCTGTTGCCGCAGCCTCGTACCGAATGGACCCGAGTGTGCGCCTTGATTTGGGCCGCATAAACGCGGTGCTGTCCAGTGAACAGAAGCGCCTCATCGTCAAGATGGGCGGGGGTGCGCTTCGAGTCGAGGCGAATGTCGTCACCGGCGATGTTGAAATCGTTGAAGATGAGGCGTATCTGCGGGGTCGCATTGAGATCAGCAACGACTGCCTGCGCGAACTGCAGTTCGCACTCGAGGAAGCTGGTCAAAATCCATTTCAGCTCATTACTCTGAGTCGTGGTTCAGACGCCGAGGGCCAGCGAACCTTTTATTTCACCTTGGAGAGCACGGGCGTGCTCCCACCAGAGGCAATCGTTCAGAGCAGCTTTCGCGTGCTCATTGAGAAAATTCTCTCTCTGGTGCCCTGCCTGCGCGACGAGGCCGAGAGCCACTCCATTGCGCTCAACCAGGATCTGAGTTATCTTCTGCTTTCCTACGAGCAACGCAGAAATCAACAAGAGCGACTCCAAATGGCGATCTACGGCAACTTGCCCGGAGGCATGACGCAGACTGTTGGGGCGGCAGGGGCCTTTGGAACCACGCAGTACGCCGGGCCATTCTCGACGCCCGCTATCGCCACAGGCAGTGCGACAGCGCTGTATGCCCAGGGTCAAACTGGCTATACTCCGCGATACGCTGGGGAAGCGGTCGCTGCTGCCACACCGTACGCTGCATATCAAAATCTTGCTGCAGGCGCGTGGGGTTCCCAGGACCTCACAGGTACGCTTCGGACACCGCAGTTCGGAGGCGCTGATGCTGCTCGCTGGTCCACCGGCGTCACTACAGGAGATCAGTTCCCGATTTCGGGGAACAGCGTTGCCGGCGCTGAACAGGAGGATCAGCCGCCGCCGCCGCCGCCTCCGCTGCCGCAGTGAAAATTGTGCTTGTCATCGTCGTCGTCGTCGTCGTCGAGCAAGCGTTATCGTCTCGTCGGGGTTGCGCACGACCCGTGAAGCGGATGCGCTCGAAATGACCCGTACATGACAGCGTGCAATTGCTGTAAATCATGAAAAAAGAGGAAGCGACGCATGCCGCTGCCATGTTTGAAAGCACGGAGCCTCTGGGCGAGGAACGGGACAGCACCAGCTTTCGCTTGCCTGATGGCGCACCAGTACGCCCAGTAGTGGTAGTAATAATAATCGTAGTAGTGGCGGTGGTGCTAGTCATGCGACAAGCACTCCCACCGTTCGATACACCACAGCAACGGTGCAACGGTCCCGTAACTTGCGGCGACGTACCTGGAGACCGCTTCGCATCGTCAGCACGGCCTGCGAAAAGACGTGCTGGATGCGGATCCTATCCCATTGTCGACAGCGACCATGCTTCACCACTGGGGCTCGAGTCAGCGCGATGCCGCTCATATGGCAACGTTTACGCTGGTCCAGCGAATCACCTAGACGCCGTCAATCCAAGAATCGAACATCGTTATCGCTCACCAATTGCCCAGGAATTTCGTTTCTGGGGTACATATGAGGCGCCCCAACCTTGCCTGTTTGCTGAACCGCACCATATCCGTGTCTTGCTCCAGGCGCGCGTCCCATGCCCTCTCTCCTTGCCATGGCTAGCTGCACACTCGCCTGGCTCTTCTTCACGAACAGCGGTTTGCCGCGCTCTGAGAACCCATACACAAGTCTAGGGTTTTCACCGAATAAACGCTCATCACGTGAGACGAATCCCCGTCCCTATAGTCAAACCCAGTCGCATTCCAGTACGACATCGATGGCGTGTTGTTCAGCACGCTACGATCCACAGTCGAAGCGTACCTGTTTCTTGGCCCATTGCGTCTCCTCACGACTGTTCGCATGAATTGTCCGGATACTTCACATCCTACGGCGTCTCTGTTCGTATTTCATAGAGGTCGTATAGACTGGTATGGATTGACGAGGATACCGTCGTGCAGATCCATAATGATACGTGCTGTTTTCATGGCACATGTCAGGTCGTATAGCGACCACGAGACGCCAGACTCATCCATGGGCTGGCCCTGGAGCGACTGACTTGTCTCAAAAAGTCGTTTTCTTCACAACCGAATCCTACATATAGCAAAAATCCTTACGACGTTTCTACGCGCCACTGGATACATGCCCTTTGCTGAACACGGTCGAGAACAGCAAACAGACTTGAAAAATGTGCGAACTGCCTCAAAAGTTGCAGCCTTCATTGCGTTGACATTTACCCAACGATACCAGCTGTGGCAAGCGTCGCCCGTGCCCAGACTTTACGTTGCGCATCCGTACGGATCCGGGACACGCGCAAGCTCTCGCTCAGGAACCGCTGATGCCTCCCCCGTGCCATCACCTGTGAACCGCTCCGGTAATCCTGAGCGTGCTTCCGCATACGGAAGTAACTGCAAGGCATCCTGGATCCGGAGTAGATCGCGAGCCTGGCGTTCTGCGTACGCAATGAGTGCGTGCTTCAGGTTGTCGATCGCTTCTGCTCTATAACCAGCTGCCTGCAGCAGCGAACGTAACCGATACGGTGGATAATGGACGCGGAAGACGGCTCGCAGCAGCAAATGACCCGTGAACGCCGTTCGCCGCTGCGCGCACCACTCGCGAGCATACTCGAGTAGACGACCTACCTCGGAGGGCTCGTGCAACGCTCGTACAACCGTTTCGACAGCAGCGATATGCTGCAGCGGGCTCTGCGCAAACGCTCCTGACCCCATTTTCTCCAGAATGAGGAAAGCTCGCAGCGGCTGCTCGAGTTGTATGGCGCCACGGAGTGCCTCGGTGAAGTTTCCCATGGCAAGCGCTCTTTGCAGCTCCTGGTCCATCTGCAGCCTGGCTTCCTGTTCCACGAGCTGCCGCGCTCGCTCCTCGGCAGACACGTCACGCCAGCAGCGGATCCTCCCGTCAGCGCCTCCGGTTACGAGAAGCGAGCATCGACTGCAGTTGTTGCTGTCGGTGCTTGCGCTTTCGAGATGAGTGTCTCGAAGGTCGTGCTCGATCACCAATAACGACCACAGACGATCCTGGTGGGCGCTCTCGTGCGTTCTACTACGGATGCTGCTGCTGCTGCTGCTCCGCTGCGGCACTTCCATCGATCGACATCGATAGATTTCCCCAAGCAGTTGACCAGAACGCCAGTGCCATTGATAGAGGGCGCCTTCCGCACTTCCGGCGACGATTCGCGAATCGCCTGCCAAAAAGCTGCAGCAAAGAAATGAACCAAGGTTAGGCGCTCTGCTAGAAAAGGCAGCACCGCCAGCTTCGAGCTGCCGCAAACATTGGCCGTCGGCTATCGACCACACGCGAATTGTGCGATCCGCAGACGCTGAAGCAAGCACCGGCTCATTGTGCCCGAAGCAAACAGCCCAAACGCTCCGCCGATGGCCACTGAGCATGCGCCAAGCGGTAACCTGAACGTTACCATCGGGGTCGCTGCTAATGCGCCACAGTTTCACGGACTTGTCCTGGGACCCAGAAGCGAGATACGGGGCATTTGGTGCCGTTGCCAGGCAGTGTATCTCGCCATCGTGGGCGTGTGCAACGGTGCACCAGCACTCGAGCGGCGCATCCCGTCGCATGCCTTGCGTAGCTAGGGCATGATCATTATCATGATCCGCTACCGATGGTAATCCTGGAGGCGTCCACAGTTTCAGCGCACCATCATCGCCCGCGGAGGCAATCCAGAGGCTCCAGCGATGACGTGTCAGGATCCATCCACAAGTAACAGCGCTGAGGGCTGCAGTGTGCCCGCGTCCAACACCGCAGCACACACCCCGATCGACATCCCAGAGGCGCACTGTGGTATCCTTCGAAACGGATACTAGTGTCGCATCCGGTGCATACGCAAGTGGACCCACCTTGGACGTCGGTGGCAGTGCTGGAGGCACACACAGGCCCAGCACTGCGTCGCAGTGACCCCTGAGCATGCGCTGGAAACACAGTGTCTCGACACGATCGACGCCGATGATTCTGGCTACGGCTATGGCATGGGCGTTGGTTGCAAACGCCAGTGCTGGTGCCCGTGAGCCCGCTGAACGCAGGCGCAGCGGGGCGAGGCTGTACACTTCATCCAAATTGGTCATCACCGAAGCGACGACATGTGCACGGCAGACTCGGTTGCCGTGGCGGTCGTGGTGCACGCTGAGCTCGATCAAGTGCAGGCATTGATCGGAGGTCGTGATGAGCACCCGCTCTATTCCGGCAGGCTGCGCCAGGCCCCCGGATGTTTCATGCGATCGTGGCCAGGGCATGAAACCGAGCACCGTTACCGTGTCGGTAGATGACGTCTCGTCTGACGATTTCGACGGGAACGTCGTACCTGGTTGGGTTTGCGGTGACGAGTCGATCAACTGAACAGACCCGCTTTCCATGCGCAACAACGGCACCAAACGTGCGGTTCGATTCGCAACTTGTTGATGTCGTGCGTGCGCGTCTGGTGTATCAGCGCCGCTGAACGGCAGCAGGTACACGACACCACTCATGGTGGCGATCAACCAGCCGCCAAGGTGCACTCCCCTGTGAATCGGTAGAAGCGCGGTGATCGCCTCTCCTACGGGTACGGCGCCGTGCGGTCGTCCGAATCGTTCATCCCACTCGAGCAGATACGTATCCAGACCTGCGCTGATGACCCGACGATGTGAAGGATGCACGTGCTGGTCGCCGCCGAGCACCTGCAGGTGCAGCACCGCACTCGTGTGTTCGTGTACGGAGCGAGGACGCGCTCCCGGTGATCCCGGCAGTGCCCATATGGTACCGTCCTCGCAACCCAGCAGCAGCGAAGGCCTCGGGAGCGACGGCGGAACGCAGGTCTCGCGTTGCCGCACCTGCTCGGAGGCAGCGGTAGTGGATTTCTTTCCTTTGAACGGCGAACGAGACGACGAAAGCAAAGCCTGCGGATGATCCCCGGCTACATCGACTTGCGAGCGGTCGACTGTCATGCTGCCGGGAACCGCCGGCAACGACGCTGTAGCGCTGACATCTGCGGCTGTCACCGCATGTTCGTCTGGTGCCCCTGCGCCGTGCACTGCTTCAGTGTTTCGCTGCTCCTTCTCCGAGTCCGTTGGCATTGCGGTTAACCGCGTCCCGATCGACGTATCTGTGGCCTCGTGACCTCGTAATAAACGTAAGCAAGTCACCATGCCGTGCCCCTTGGTGCAACGGAAACGTTGGACTACTGTCCTCGTAGGTAGATAATAGAGTCGCACTTCCCCAACAGCGCTCGCAACGGCCAAATACTGACCAGTTGCATCGAACTCGCACGCTACGACCACCTGGGTATCCGTACCAAACGGCAGCCAGGTCCAGAACGGTTCCTCGATCCGCGGTGGCTCGCTTCGAGTTCCCGGGGTCTTGCGTGCCGCTACGTGCGTTTCCGCGAGATCGTGGTACCGACAGAGTTCACGAAAGAGGTACGCGTAACCCGATCGGGTTGCGAGTACAGCCTGATCGCCGTCTGGTGAACACGCCATTGCGGTAAGTGCCTCATCATCCAGATCATCATCGTCGTCGTCTTCAAAGGCATCATCAATGTAACCAGCGGCACGAGTAGTGTCGTGAAGCTGGTCCCTAGTCCGCGGTAGCGTCCGGAGCGCAACGACTGGCAGTAGAGAAGCACAGCAGGGAGGCGCTTCCCCTGCGCCCTCTTCTGCTGACGCAGTCCGGTCGACGTCGCTTTCATCGCACGGATCGGCAGTTAGAATGCATCCAAGCGCTCGATTGGCTTTCTGGGTGAGTAACCCTACCCACGAGTGAAACTCGGGAACGCGGCTGTGTCGCTGCTGCTCCGGCGTCGCTGTGGTGCCCTCTTGACTGTGGCGCTCGATGGGCCACGGAACGACTTTGCCACCTGTGTGTAAACTAGAGAGGGCGTATGTTATTTCCCAGGCGCAGCTGCTAGCATGTAATTCGCTCCGATCCATTCCTTCAGAGAACGAACGAACGAACGAACGAACGAACACCTCGTGGACACGGGTTACGACTCGTCGGCGATAACCTGCCGAGCGGCCAGTCTGGCAACACCTGGTAACGACATTTCAAAGCGCTCTTTCCAAGCGACGTACTCAATAGACTCGTCTAGGTCTTTGGTGTCCGTGCGGAAGTTGTACGCAGCTTTCGGGAGCATGTTAGTCTGTTGCATGACGCTTTAGAGACGGGAAGCAGTACTTGATTGACCGGTGCTGAACGCTTCTCTGTCTGGCGCTGCTACTGCTGCTGCTGCTGCTGCTGCGCTTTGACGGGCTTTCGTGAAGCTGACAGCTGCGCCTGACTGCTCCACTTCCTACTGCGATGATGGACGTTTCCTTTCGTTTCTGATATAGAGATGGGCGTTCATGTGCAGTCGTACCGGATACGACTTTTCGGGCGGAGTAGTTGTCTTGGTTGCGTTTGAGCTGGGCACTGCGAGGATGCTGAGCGCTCGCTACTCACCAGAGCCCTGTACTGAGTATCGCAGAGGCGGCAAGGCGCTCTCAACACCGAGCGCTGCTGCTTGCACCACGACTTAAAGGGAGGTGGTGTCTCGGAAAACCACGTACCTGAGCGTGCGACGCCGCTGGCCTCTCGCGGTGCACCGGATACACGTGCCGCCAAGCACGACGCAACACTCACAGTCTCTTCTGTTGCAGCTGATAAACGCTGGGGATCGTCGCGCTCCTCAGCGTCAACACTGAACCCGCAGCTACGCCCGATACATAGACAATGAAGCACGCCACGATTGACGCATGCTCTTGAACAGCAGCTGAAATAGGCACCGGGTAGCTCAGCATTCGCCAGCGGCGACACCGCCGCGAACCACTCCCCCGTAGCAACACCGGATGCAAGTATCATCAAGCACATCACAATAGACACATACTCCTAAACAATATCTGATATAATTTTCTGAACCCAATCCTACACCAGCGTCGACACCCGCTCCGTCGCACCTCGGTATCCTCGGTCGTATCGCGGAGAGGCGCGGCCTTGAGCGCCCGGGAACAACCCCGCAAATCACTCGTTCGATGTGGTGCTCCATGCCTAGAAGCGACGTCTGTGTACGAACTTTGCTTCCTTTCAGAAGCACCCTTTAGGTGTTACACCTATCGCTGCACTTTCATCTGGATACACTGGACTACTGTGAGCCTCTAACTGCCAAAGACTGAGAAGTTTAGGCGCTTCCATTTGAAGCAGGACCCAAAAAGCTTCGCAGCCGCAAGGCTGGAGCGCTCACCTCTAACCCCGGTTCAGCGGGTGCCGCTCTGTGCACTGCTGCCCCGTTTTCGTCCAGAATGCAGCCGTGGTTGAGTACGAGCTTGTTTTACATTGCAGAAGCACCAGCAGTGCTTTTTTTGACGCTGTACCTGCTGGTCCGTTACCCGACACGGCTGCCTGGCCTTGGTACACCGTGGTACGTTTACACGACGGTAGGCTTAGCGTGGTTTCTCTCGTTTCTTGCACTGATCCTGTTACCTGCTGATCTCGCGGAAACGCTTTTCCGTCGCTGTGAGTACCTCAACAAACGAAGTGGCGAGGACCTCTCCCTGCACCTGCGGAACTGTGCTCCACCGAGCTTGAGTCCGGCAGCGCTGCTGGCCACCTGGCAGGCGCTCTACTGGACCTCACTGGTGCTTGGCTGGATTCTGCTGCCTCTAGTTCAGTCGAACATTTCTCTGGAACACCTCCCGCTCCGAGAGCGTGTCCGCAAAGCGCTTCGCCCGCAGCTTATCGCCCTGGCTGTGCTCGCTGTCGTGCTGAGTGCCCTAGCTGCAGCGGTGCGCTCTCCGCGGCATCACGGCCTGCAACTGGAGACCTGGCGTGCCACGATTATCGGTTTGAATAATGCATTCGGTCTCTTTCTCTTGATGATCTTTCTGGGTTTCGGACTCGTAGAGCTACCGCGCACCCTGTGGGAACGAAGCGATCCGCGACGTCGCCTCCGAGCCTACGCGATCCGCATCGCTGAGCTTCATGCGCGGCACCTTGAAACACTCCAGAGCTTGAGTCGACTCCGCCTGCAAGCAGCGGTGCTAGGCATTGGCTGCACCGATGACCAGACCTTGCAGTCACAGGAGCAATCACATATGCCTGGACATGCACGCTCCGCGACACACGCTTATCGACAGGAGCTCTGTTCTCGTATAGAGACGCTGTTGAATTTGGTACCGCTGCATTCATCGGATCTAGAGATAGGCCAGCAGCCACAAAAAACATGGAGTTCGGCCACCCCACGAGCGACCCGAATGGCGGAATCGGCATCCCTGGGGACGCTCTTTGTCGAGGTGCGTCGCGCAGTGCTCGAGTACCGGCGTATCGAGTACCTGTGGCAACGGATCTCGCAACGAGCGCTCTTTCTGCAGGATTTGCTTCAGTGGCGATCGGCGGGATGTAGCTCGAGCGCTGCAGCGAGCTCAGCATGTGCCGGAGTGCTTTCCACGGGATCCGTATCGACCAGCGACGTGGACCGGATGCCGTCTACACTGGTGTACGCTTGCAGGGCAGGGGAATCACCTGGAGCAACCGCTAGCCGTATGGGCTCGTTTCACGACGCCGGTGAAGACTTGTCTCCGGAACGGAGCATGAGGATTGTTCACGACCGAGCGCTTTCGAATGGTGATGCGACGAGCATGCCCCATCTGACGAAGCATGCTACTGGTGCTGGAGCTGGCTCGCCCCAGCGGATCTATATCTCCGAATGCGAACGTTCCGTGAATGCCGCTGTCGGTACCAAACGTTGGATCGACGGCATGCAACGGTCTCTGGCCTTGCGCTGGCGAGCGTATGGCGAGCCGTTCTGTCTCCGCGTGCAGGCGGTCGTGTTGTTTATCGTTGCAAGTGCGGTGTGTCTCAGCGAGCTGACCATCTGGACTGTGCTGCTGACGCCGCCGCGCAGCTTCTCTCCCTTCGCTCGGGCACTTCATAGTCTACCGCTGTCGCCGTTGGGCGTACAAGCCATGGCACTCAGCCTTGTCTGCACGCTGACCTCGCTGGTGTACTTTGCTGTGTTCCACCTGCAGATCTACCGTTGGTATGAACTGGTACCAGGATACGTCGATGGTCAAATGCTTTGTCTGAATGCGATGCTCATGAGTCGTTTCCTGCTTCCTCTTTGCTACCACCTGATTTTCTTATTGCACGAGAATCGAGAAGCTGTCGCGAGGCTGCTCCTGTATCAATACCCGCAGCTGATGCGGCATTCGGGACAAGACTCGTCGACTGTTCCAGTTACCGCGTTTGAAACGCTCATGGGTTCTATGCATATTGTTCCTCTATTTGGTAAGGCTTTCAATTATTTCTATCCATGCTCTTTAGTGATTTCGGCGCTGGGAACGTATTTCCGTCTCTGGGGACGTCTGCTTGATCGGTTTGGCCTGTCGCGCTCATTAGAGTTCGCTGAGGAGACTATTTCCGCTGCTGCGAACAACGAAGTCATCGGGAGGCAGCTATTGCAGCGGGAGCGAGCACGACGCCAAGAGGCAAGTCCCTGCGGTCTGGAACCAGAAACGCGGGAACGCTGAGTCGCTTGCAACGTGCCGTGGCGCTGGGGAAGCAGTTCTCGTTCGGCATTTCGGGTGCAGTGGGGAAACCGCATACACCCGTGGCCGGCGACCGGCCAAAGGTGCCTGATAGACCGTTGATCCTCGGCATCTGCTTCCGCGTGCATGCGGTGCCTAGCAGGGCGACTCGGTGCAGCCGCTGACCAGTTGCTCGGAACCATAACTGTAAAGGAGCTGGTATTTTCGGGGACAGTTTGCAGTTCAAGGATGCAGTCGAAATTTTCGATGGATAGTGCGCGGATCGCAGCGTTCAGTCGGTGGTGAAGTGTCATGGACGGCGACTGGGACGATTCCACACTGGAAGCCCGCGAATGCTCTTCGTGGAGCGCACATGAGCCCTGCGCTTTAATCTCCATAGTACGTGAAGGCGTCCATAGCATGCGTCGGTGCTTGTGCAGCGTTTTTGCACGAGTGAGCACTACCACCAAAACCCAGTCGTCGTCGAACGTCATCGATGGAGGCCTCGTTGAGCAGGCCTCCACCAAATCCACGCTGGCGGAGCGCCATGGCGGCAGCGACTTCGACAGGGTCGAGCCTGAGTCCACCAAGCGTGTCCGGAAGCACAGGTCCAGAACGAGCAGCAGGCGAATGGGCTCCGGACGCCGCCTCGTCCTGTTGGAACGGACTCGACTGGTCCGACGGCACCGGAGTCGTATGCTCTAGCCACGGCTGCGTAGCGTCGTCGAGGTTTACAGTAGCACCCGCCATTCGTTGAGCCTCTGGTTTGCTGGGCTTTTGGTCCACTGCCTTGCGCGGCGGCGGTAACGATGCAAGCAGAGGCGCTGCATGTGCAGCGCAGCCCGTGCTCTGCTCACAGGGCTGCAGAGCGCCGCGTGCCATGGAGAGGGCCTCTTGGAGTTCCTCTCGCTCGCGAAGAACGCGTTTCAGCTCGTCCTCGAGCGAGATGCACTGCTGTTGGGCGCGCTGACAGGCAAGCTGCAGCCGTTGCCACGCGTCATGTGACCAAGGCGACGTCGCCCCTTCGATTCTGCTATCGTCTTTGTCGCAGCCCTGCGTGCCCTCCTGACGCTTGACACTGGAACTTTTCGAAACCATCTGTTGCCCAGAAACGTATTTTGGAAATGATTGAGCGTCGTGGGAGCTTACGGCTACCTGTTCGCGGCCTTGCGAGTTGCTTGCAGCACGTCTGAGCCGTCGCCGACGACGTCCCTTGCAGTGCAACCACAGCCCAATACCCAGAACACTCAGTACTCGGAAGGCTATGTTTTGTAGGCCCACTGTTGTATCCGACTCATAATCGCTGCTCCAGTTATCCATGGGTATAGAGCATTTGGTGCGGAACGACAGCTCGTGTGCAGCAAGGCGCTCAGAGCGGAGCATCGTTAAATGATGGCGCGCGATATGATGCGCGCGCGCGCGCGCAAATCCTATCAAATAGATTTTCGCTTTTCCGAAACGCGTTTCCATGGATCAGGGGATCCCAGATTGCCGGATGGACGGGTATTGGCATTCGGGAATGCGTCCAGGATGCTGCAGCCTATCTCCAAGTTCCATTGCTTGTACTTTCTCTCGGAAATACTGGTTGTTCTGTGGGTTCTATCGTGAGCAGAGTGCCTGCGTCGCTGCTCCCGCCGTAGCGTCTATATCGCTGGAGTGGATGCAGCACGGAGATAGAGCTGTGCTTTGTCGTACCACTGAGGGTGTCTGTTCGAGGAACGCTTCACCTGAAACGGTGTCGGGATACATAGTGAGTTTGGGAGCCAGAAAGCTGTACAGACAAGCCTAGTGCCTGCGACAGCTCGAATTGATATTCTGGGCGTCCACTGCGACCCGGGCGACGCCCAGATGCAGCGGAACTGCCCCGAGTCTCAGAGTCAACTGCGTTGCGTACGAGTTGCTCAGATCTCGCTAGAGCACCGGGCACGGAGGAGAGCATGGAGCACGAGCCTGGCAGACTCGCGCGGCTTGCAAGATCTGCCACCTATACGGTAAACTGTCGACAATATGGAAACATTTTCCCGCTTTTAACGTTTATCTTAGAGGACGAAAGAAATCGTTGTATCGTTGCTAGTGGATCGTGCGTCTCTGTTCCTTTTCAACCATGTGGATCATCGCTATAGCTGCACATCACTTGCTTTCGCTCTCCCGTTGTTAGACGTGCCGTTCCGTCCATCACGCCGATACCGTGCGTGTGTATAAACCGACGTGCAGACGTCTAACAGCCTTTCTCGACCGGCCGCCTGTTCCTGGCTTCAGTTTCTCTCATATAATTTAACCCTGAGCGGTTGCCCCAAAAAGTTGGGTCGCGCCAGCTCCGCGGGTCTTGTATCCATCGACGCACAGCTCTCTTTATTGACGACTGAATTAAAGTCACGATTCACAAAATCCATCCGTTTCTTGCCGCAGCCGGTTATATACACCAGTGCAAGTAGACCTCAAATTTGTGCCCTCCGTGTCCCTTCCCTTTGCTCTTCCGTCAGCGCTCCGTACTTGTCTATATCCCCAGCGCTCCGGTGGCACTTTTGCATCTCGACCAAATGACGTGTACACCCCCAGTTCATGGTGTATATAGGACGTTCGGAACTTATCTATCGGTATTGTGACAGAACGGTATGCTCACTCCTTGTACTCCCTGCGTCAACGGAGCAGGTATGCTCCCGTTTTGGTTATCCAGCGCCCTGCTCCGTACGCTCTTACGAGCATTTGACCCTTGTCTTCCTAGAGGGTGCTTAACTGATTGATGTAGTTAGTGAATGCAAGCTGCTTGCCTCCGTCCAGGTTCATTCGCTGATGTGCCCACCAGAGCTTGATATACGCTTTCCACCGCTCCTGTTGATGAGCAGTTTGAGGTTTCATGAATTCCCGAAAAGCTTGAAACTCCGCACCGCGGCTCGTCACCTGGATCACAGCTTCCAGGTACTCTTTCACTCCTGCATTCCATGTCTCAATTATTTTCCTTGCATTCATTTTTCCCGATTCTAGGTAATATCTCGCTTTCGAGAACTTTAAAAGACGCACGTCGTTATGACGTAAGTTGCCGTCGTTAACATCCTCCGCACGCTTGGGTGCTGCGACGGTTACGAGATTCGTATTCTTAGGGTCCGCGCCAACGACAAAGTCGCTCTCATGCACCCCCTGCGTCGCAAGATCCTCCAGTTTCTCATGTTCATGCTCCGCCGTGGGCGACAAGGAAGACGGACCAGTACGATCAACCTTCAACCGCCGACAGTGTACACACTTCGCTACTCCATCGCTTTCGATGATGCCTGTGAGTACCTTATTCTTGCTCGTTTTGAGGCGTTTGAAATCGAGGATCTTCTTGCAGCACGTCTCCCAATTTTCACCCGTAAACCCCCTGTTGCTTAGATTGAACTCCAGACGGATCTCCTTCATGATGCTGTAAAGGACTCTGCAGTCGATGATCACAAAATGTGATTTGACGTCGCATAATGGAATGACATTGAAGCGCTTGCCAAGAAGCGCAGCCTTCCGTTTCTACGACTCGTCATGCTCTTCCACACCTTGCTCCATATCCGCCTTGAGTTCGAGCTCTCGGTTCGGAAACACGAAATACAGCAGGAAGAAGATATAAAATCTTTCTTTAACTCTCTTTAACTCTGATACCTTTTCTGCTGGATTCGGCAGCCCCAGTACCGCACAGTGCTCCTGTAGAGCCGCACGGATCACAGAGTCTTCATTCTTTCTACTGTGTGATTTCTTCTTGTTACCGAATTTCATCTCTTGTTCATGCTGGCGATCGTCCGTGATGCTATTGATAATGTTCCATATCGCTTTGCGCAAGAGACCCGGGCAGAGTGCGAAGACGGAGCGTATCATGAAGCGTTCGAGGTCCATGAACATATGGTTCTTCGGGTTCGTGGGGTACTTCATCGCCCCGTACTCGTAGATACGCGAGTCACCCCTGTATTGAGTAACCTTGAAGCGGTATTCAGTGTAACTTTCCTGGAGGGCATGTACTCGCGCATTTCCCCACGATGCTTCCCCTGCGCCAACCTTCAGGTGATGAATGAAGGTATTGTCTAAAAATTCCTGCGGAACCTCGACTGTTTTGACGTTTGTAACGTCGTAATACATCTCCCTCGCCATATGCATCAGCACTAAAGAAGCGTTACGAACACTCTTAGAGAAGGACTCGACACGGGTTCTGATGGCATCTTGCAACTTTTCCTTGTACGGTCCATGATATGTTTAGGAAATCCGGCTTACTCCGCAATCTCGTGGTACTGTCGTCTTTCGTACAACTCCGGACGTCGGGCCTCCCCGTTCTGCTTGTTCGTCTTTTCCAGTTCCTGTTTGCTCGGCTCTGCTTCTCATTTTTCTTCGGCAGTCGGCGACACCGGCCCTCCGGGATCCTCAAATTCCAGTTCCATAACTTTTTTATTTTTGAAATAAAAGGCACTTCGAAGGTTTCTGTTGTAAGCTGCGAAAACGCATATGAATATACTATTTTGAGAGTGGAACACAACTGAATTTAGGGAATACACTTTGCGATGGCTTTAACGCAAGTACAACTTGTAGGGTCGAACACCTTGCTAATTATCCTGATAGCGTTTCCCTTCAACGGCGAGATGCGCGTCGCATCTCGTAACTACCAGATATGGAGGTGCGCGTATCGACCGCGCTATGCAAACAAAGAGCAAAAACGATTCACCAACTAGCAACGATACAACGATTTCTTTCGTCCTCTGAGATAAACGTTAAAAGCGGGAAAATGTTTCCATATTGTCGACAGTTTACCGTATAGGTAGCAGATCCTGCAAGCCGCGCGAGTCTGCCAGGCTCGTGCTCCATGCTCTCCTCCGTGCCCGGTGCTCTAGCGAGATCTGAGCAACTCGTACGCAACGCAGTTGACTCTGAGACTCGGGGCAGTTCCGCTGCATCTGGGCGTCGCCCGGGTCGCAGTGGACGCCCAGAATATCAATTCGAGCTGTCGCAGGCACTAGGCTTGTCTGGACAGATTTCTGGCTCCCAAACTCACTATGTATCCCGACACCGTTTCAGGTGAAGCGTTCCTCAAACAGATACCCTCAGTGGTACGACAAAGCACAGCTCTATCTCCGTGCTGCATCCACTCCAGCGATATAGACGCTACGGCGGGAGCAGCGACGCAGGCACTCTGTTCACGATAGAACCCACAGAACAACCAGTATTTCCGAGAGGAAGTACAAGCAATGGAACTTGGAGATAGGCTGCAGCATCCTGGACGCATTCCCGAATGCCAATACCCGTCCATCCGGCAATCTGGGATCCCCTGATCCGTGGAAACGCGTCTTTTCAGCGCGAGAGGCGCAACGGCTGATGAATGCGCACCAGCGCCGGTGGTGCAACGGCCGTGTCCCGATCATCGACGCCCTGCCGTTGCTGCTGCCCGTTCTGCGGTTGCGATTCGCGTATGCGGAAGCGTAACTGCCACCGGTATGGTGCTCGCTTTCCGCCTCACTTGCCTCCGTTCTTCGGAAGCGCTTTTGATACGTGCACGCTGCGAACTTTCAGGCAAACCGGCTCTACCTGTACATGACTTGGATAGTTTGTAACTGTTCCAGTCGGGGACAACGGACCAGGGTCCAGCAGCAGTCGCTCCAGAGGCACCGACGGTTATCCGTTTGTCAATGGTCAGGCTCGGGGCTCGGCTACGGGTCGTCTGGGAGCGTCTCTAGTCCAAGAACGGTGCCTATCTCGTTCCGTGTGCGTGCGTGTGCCTCAAATACTGGAGAGCCTCCAGAGCAGGATCATAACCACGGCGCTGGTGCTGACGCGAACACTCCTGACAGCTCGAGGAGGAGGAGGAGGAGGTCGCAGCGACGCCACGCAGGTTACGAGGCACACGTTCGCGAGCGTCTCCGTGACTGGCGCGCGTTCCGAATGCAACTCTTGCGGCGAGAGCTCGAATACGGTGACGCATTCGGTACAGTCGAAACTGAAGGGAGTGCACCGGCTGAGTCACCTGAGAACGCTGCGACCGAGAACCGTGCAAGCAAAGCAGGCGAACTGCTTGACCCCAGCTCCTCGACCGGGGACGCACTGCACGCTTCACCGCAGCGTGTGCAGGAGACACCTCGCATGAATTCCATGGAATGGACTGGTGCTGATATCGACATGCGCTGGGTGCATCCAGTTACTGCGATCGAAACCGGCAACATTCTGGTTGCGTCCCCGAAACATTTCCTCAATGAACAGCAGTACTTTGCACAAACAGTGATTCTCGTTCTGGAGCACGGCAGTGACGGTACAACGGGGGTCATCATGAACCGCCGCGCAGCCCAGCGCATATCATTCGTTAGCTCTCTGGCGGGCACCGACCTGGGGCGTGTTTTTGGCAGAGAGGCGCTCTACCTGGGTGGCCCGGTTGGTCTCGATTCCCTGCTGGTGCTCCATGATGAAAGCTCTCTGCTGGCATCGAACGATCGTCAGCAGCTGCCGGGGAGCGCAGCTGACGAAGTTGCGTACGAAATTGTGCCGGGGGGCGTCTATTGCGGTGGACTTGGTCGCCTTACTGAACTGGCGCGCCGCGGTTCGCTTGCTCGCCCCGATCGAGTTCGTTTCTTCTGCGGTTACTGTGGCTGGGAACCTGGCCAACTCGAGAGAGAAGTTCACCAAGGCGTATGGTACGTAGCGTCAGCGTCGGCGGAGCTGATCTTAGGTCCGCGTGTACCTCCACCGCCTTTTGTTGCAGAGTCACCCGAACGAGACCTGGACGCCAGTACGAGCGCTGGCAAAAGCACTGCATGGCGTGAACGGTCTCGGTTCTCCTGGAATATCTCGAAGCGTCTTGGTGAGTATCGAGCACAGGCCGTATCGCAGGGTGCAGAGGGCCCAGTCGCACTGTGGCGAGAGGTCGTCGACAAGCTTGCCATCTATCGACGTTTCATTGAAGGATTCCCACACACATCAGACAGTTGATCAGCGAGCAAACGATTGGGTGCAGCGTCTGGAGGCAGTTGCTCGCTTGCTTCCGTACCGATCGCAGCACCTTTTTGATCACAGAGAGTCGTCGCGGTGGCTCGTGAGAGCCTCGTTGGTGCGATCCACTCGAGTTCCGCTGCGATGACTCGACGAGTCTGTGCAGTTCATGGACGTCCAGCTCGTCAGCGACCCTGGTGTACACAGGCATCTGAGCGCAACTCGGTTGTGCGCATGCTTTTTTCTAGTCCTGGGAACGCTTCTTCGAGGTGCCTCGAGGAAGAACCAGATGACAGTCCGACGGCAGGGCGCTGTTTCATGAAAGGCATAAAATGCCATTTCTTGTTCAGAAACTTGGTCGAGTCTGCAGGGGAGCCGGTCCCGAGTCCACCGCGCCGAAATACGATGCCAGAGGCAGCAGATGCTCTTGCGTCTGCCGTCGTCCAGGAACAGCACTTTGTCCGGTGATAGACGCACACCAGCGCTACAACTTTCCACCTCGAGTCCAGTATTGCAGATATTGTGCCTTTCGTAACGCATTCCTAGTCTAGCATGCGGCGGCTACGATGTAATTCGTCATATCGAGTCATGGAACACTATCTTCGTTCATCCTTAGCTGAGTTGAATCCTTCGGGACTGATAAAGTCGGTGCGGCAGCCTTGCTGGATAGCCGAACAGTCCCATATCAGTACCGTGCTCAAGGCCAGAATCCAACGTCGATTCCCCTGGCCGCCGAATCGCTTCATCGTGCGTTTGGTGCGTTTCAACACAGTACCCATACAGCGCACAAAACGATTCGCTCGAAGCAACGCTCGAAACAAAGCTGCTGGACGCTCGCGAAGCGCATGCTATTTCCGGGTCGTCATCGAGGCGTTCAAGTCTCGGTGCAGCGCGTTCTCGAACGTAGTCGGGATGGTGGAATCACCGCATCGCAAGCCTCGCACCTTCGATTGCTTCGCTCTCTGACCTGCGGTCAGCTTCCCGTACATCACATCGTGCATCCAGGCTCTGTTTCGTCCCCGTCTCCACGTCTATTAACCACGGTGTGCACATTTGCCTCCATAGTGCCGATGTCGTGCCGAACGCATCGGTGCGAATCGTGCAGCATCGAATCCTGCACGCGCTGTGCGGGCTCGTAGAGGGAGCACAGGCGCTACGTTGGCGGGCCACAGTACGTTGAGCGCTTTGGGCTGCCACCGAATGACGCATCTTGCGGTTCATTTCATTTCCAAGCACATTGATCAAGTTCTCGAACACATGCATCTCGCCCCCGCATAGCCGATATCGTTGGCAACCCACAGCGTGCTCTCGGGTATTCTTACCAAGCATCGTCCGCATGAGCTGTTTTCGACGCTCATATTCACTCTGAATGAGGCGAACAGGGGATTCCGCTCTGCACGATGCAGTGCTCAGAGCGTCGACTTCGGGGTTTTGGCACTGTCATTCCGTTTGTCGGTAGGTCTCCTGGTATCGATCACGCCCGACTCGCGATCATACCGGGCCCTTAACAAGTTACGTATCGTCGTCTGGTTTCCGTTCAGGGCTTTGCCCCTGCACTGTTGGTTTACGGGTACGGCAACGGCCATGATGTGTTCGGACACGGGATCCACACCCAATAGGTTGCCTTTCTCTTCATCCACATTGAATGGTTGAAAATGAGTCTCGTCGTTCGATTCAGGTCCCGGTTTCACGAGTTTCACCAAATCCGTGCAGATGGATACACAGCGGTCCTCTGGAATCCATCTAAACTTGCCCGCATTTTTGCCAGGTATGGAGCAAGCCTGTACGAGCTCCACAAATGCTCAGAGCAAAGTTGCTCGAATGATTCGTGCTTGTCCATAGAGGCCAGATCCTTCATCGCCTTGTCGTTCACTTCGCGAAATGGCATGGACGGGGTCGTTATACTCTATATCCTTTCTTTCCTCGGAATGCAGACCGACTGAATTGGCGGAGGCTCTGAATCTCACATATCCAGAGTATGTGTCCAGAAGCCATCGAGTCCCGTTCCGTCACCTTAACCGTAGCGAGCACGCCCATGGACCGAAACACACTCTTCCGTTCCGCTGCGCACGAGCAGAAGCGTGAAAGAGCAGCTCCGGGCCGATAAAGGCAGTATAGAACGACATGTCGATGCAGCGTGTCATAGATGTGAATGGCTCGCCCATTGATCAACGAATGTAAGAATAACGCTCGACAACAGAGAAGCTGCCTTCGACCGGTTTGCGCCAGCGGGAATCGGCTGGCACGAGGAGCAGCTCAACGCCAGTCTCAGCCACGAACTCCTCGACCGCTTTAGAGTGATGGACGGCGACGCTGTCTACGAGCAGCATCCAAGACTTTGTGAACGGGCAGCCACGAGGAACGCTTCGATGATGAGCAAGATGCTCAACGACCCTGTTCGTGTAATAATTCGCAGGCGATCCCGAAATTGCATCGCCGCCGCGGGTGCCGCTATCCGCGTGCTCGCCGGTAACGTTGTTCCGCACAGCGCTTCGCGCCTCATTGCGTTACCACATGCAGGTCTAGAATGTTTTGCATAGAGGCCCATTGAGTGAGACGAGCGGCCGTCGATTCTGTAATAAGCGTCCGCATTTCGGAACGATATCGCTCGTATATTGTTCGACGCGCTCTCTCCATAGCATAGGCTCGTCTCATTCCACAGTTTTCTCTTCATTGTTCATCCTCTCACCGGTGGTGAAACTTTCCTTTTTGTGTCATGATTGATAATATTTCTTAGAGCGCGTATGGATTGGAACAGATTCAACAGGCAACGACCGTCTCGAATGCTCTTAATCAGTTTTTTCGTGGAGCACGCCGTCCAGTATACGGACGATGCGAGGGTGGTGCCTCGTCCACCTGCTGACCGTACAATGACGGACTTACTTGTCCACTAAAGTCCATTTTCTCTAGTGACCATGAACAGCACTGAGTCTTTCCAAGATCTTTCTCGAATCCACAGGATGCACTCCGTTCATTGAGTTCTCCTCGCAGGCACAACACAACACAAACGAAAACGGTGTGCTGGTCCGGAAGCTGCCGAGCGCACGGGTGCACCTTGCCCTAGGCCAGCGCCACCGAGCATCCCACAGTCTCTATAGCGCAAATGGGTGCGTACTGCTACCATCCTACACGATATGTGCTCATGGGCGGCATTGCCGCTGGTGCACATAGCACTGTATGCCCGCAAAGACTCCAGTTGCCGCTGCACGCGAAAACAGATGCCCCAAGGCATCGACTCGAAAAGTCGGGCAAAAACACAGGCCCGGGCGCCGATGTCGCGGCGTTGCGTCTCACGCCGTCGAAAGCTGCGCCCCGGCGAGCTTTCCAAGCCACTTGCGCTATCCTGGAGCGTTTTTCTCACAGGTGATCGTGAGCATCGTCTTTCTCGTATACAGCATCCGTTACGTACTTGTTGTAAAAGGTCCTAGGTAGCGCGGTAACGGAGTCAAGGTCGCGGAACACCTGCTGTCGACCTGCATTCGGCTTCATGCTGGCAAGCACTCGGCACGGATTGTGCTCGAAAGACGTCTCGTACGGTTTGCGAGAGGCACTGTACCAGCGATTGACGCAAGGGATTTACCAGGAAAACAAAGGGGGAGTCTCTGAACGCGCGTTTTACTTGATCTGGAAGAGCATCAGAAGCGAGTGAAGTGCAAAGCACGGGCAGGGTGTTGTTTCGCGTCTATTCGAGTTGCCGGAGATGCACGCCGACGGGCTAGAGAGCGGCGACTCGAGAGCCTCCAACTTCTGGTACCAGGCCGTAAGCTCTGTGCTCTATGATTCGCAGCCACGATGGTACTTTCAAGATCCGTCTGGAGCTAGACGCGGCCCGTTTCCAACCCTTTTTCTCGTCGCATGGTGGCGATACGGATTTCTTGATGAAAGGCTACCGATAAGCCAGCAGCCTGAGTCAACCTCGCCGCAGCCTATGAACCGAGTGTTATGGTCGCTGGTGCAGAGAACTGCTGCGGACTTGCAGTGTCGAACTGCATCCGCGCTATCCACAGATGCAACGATTCGGAGCGCAGCCGAGGCGCCCCCGCTGGGCAGTGAGGCAACCCCAGGGCAGCCGCCAGACCTCTCTGTCGAAGCGCTCAGCGTTCGTGACCAGAGCATACCGGCGCCTGGTCCAGCGTCTGGCTCTGTCTCGAGCACGAAACCAAAGCCAGGGATCGCAACGCCCTCGGCGGGGAGTTCGCGACCTTGGCCAGCCGTCCGCAGCAGCCCTGAGGTTGACGCAATGCCCAGAGCGCTGCAGTCTGCTGCAGTTCGCCCTGGACATGACTCTGAGAGCATATCATCTACACTGAAGTGTACACGGGATACCGGTTTTGCTGGGGTATCGACAGACCCTGGTACCAGCGAGGCACGGAGCGTATCCGATCGCGGATCCGTTGTATCATCAGCGATGGTCACCGAGGCAGCTTCGTCAAGTAACCAGAGCGTGGCATCCAAAGATGCATTAGCAGCAGTTGCAGCGGATGCAGCTGGCTCGACAAGCGCTAACGAGCCCCAAGAGCAAGCCGCTGGATCGCGAAGACGTCGCAGGAGGAAGAAAAACAGCACGGATGCCACATTAAGAACAGGAGAGCAGGGAGATCATTCGCTTGGAGACGCTTCGTTGGCTCCGAGCGAGGCCGCTGCCAGCACCACGAGCAAGCTCGAGGGATGGCAGCAGGTAAAGGCCCGTAATCGAGCAGCAGCGACGGGCGCTGATCGTGAGAATCCGAACCCGACGTTGTTGTTGTGGCCATCAGCTGCCAGCAAAGAGATCGAACCTCCAGAGCATGCGTATCTAGAACGACAATTACGGACCAGACTAGCGCCGCAGGACTCTCACGTTCGATTGACTTCAGTGGACGCGCTCGATCAGTTGAACAAGCTGGTGACGAACCCAGGCGTTCATTCAGACACTGGATCCAGGAGTTCGTCCGCTGAGCAGCAGGCCGGGTCGCATCGACCAGGATATCGTAGCGGGAGCGTTGCACGCCCTGCACCATGGGCGTCGAACGCTGCATCGACACTCGCTACTGGCGCTGGCAACGCGCACCTGTCGCTAGCCGGAGCCGCTGCACGTGCTGCTGAGTCGCAGGTGCAACGTGCCCAACAACAACAACGCCCGTCAAGACGCAGTTTTCTCGAAATTCAACGAGAAGAGGAAGAACAGGAGCGACAACGCCTCTTGGACATGTTGCAGAACCGCCCGCGCCTCGGGGAGACGGAGACAACCAGCGCATCGGGTACAGCGCGCTACCGCACCATGGCGGATGTACTTGCCTCTGGTCTAGCTCGTGATCGGGCGTATCGAGGGACGGTTTGGATGGCACCCAGCACGCGCTCCACCGGAGGCGACGGAACTGCCCCAACGACGGATGCCGCCGCTCTTCAGGTGTCGGACAACAGGGAGCGTGCGGCGCCCTCCAGGGCCCCAGACGCACCAGCCCAAGTCACCGATGCAGCGGGGTCTGCAATGCCAGCTGCCGCCGCATCGTTCTGGAATCGAATCGTGCAAGACTCTGGTCGATCCAAAGAGCTCTAGCTATCGAACGTAAACCTCGGTTTTAATGCCCTGGACAAAAGTAAGGAACGGAGATGCGGGTGTCGTGATGATCATTCGGGATAGCGCTGCGGCAGCGGTATCGTCGCTAGCACCCGGGCGGGTGTCGTCGCCCGCAGGAGCAGCGAACTCCGAGTCTGCCGTGCGACACCTCTCCGAAAGCGTTGCACTCTGGTCACTGCAGCGTCTGGGCGCGGTGAGCCAGACGAGCAGTTTGATCGAGCGTCCCTGGTGTATGTGAGTTATGCACCGCGGGCAGCACGAAAGCACAACACCCGCTGCTGCCCCCGCCTGCTTGGCTGGCTGGCTGGATGGTTGGTTGGTTGAGGGCATCGCCAGCAGATGTGTGACAAGTGCGTGCATCCCATGCGAGCGCTCAGCCCTGTGCGCCTCACTACCGCCACAAGTGCTACAGAAGCGCTCGCCTATTACCGATATATTTTTGCTGGATAGAAAACGTACATTGACCATTCATCGTTGATTCCGTGATTAGATATTGGCATTCGGTGAACGTATCCATCATGGTGCACGCTACCTTCAAGTTCCATGACTTGTACTTTTTATCGGATGTACTGGTTATTTCGTACGTTCTATTGTGCACCGAGGTTGCCTTGATGGTCAGCAAAAGTGCCTATACCGATGATTCGAATGCTGCACAGAGACTGCGAGGCATTGCCATATGACTGAGGACGTCAGCTGGAGGTATCGTTCACCCGACACGGCATCGGGATTCATGATCATTCTGGGAGCTGGAAAGCCGTGCAGAAAGGCCTGCTGCCTACTGCCTGCGGCAGCGCGAAGCGGTATGCTCGGAGACGATCGGGTCTCGGGCGATGTCTAGATGCATCCTGTTCGCTGCTCTTCTCAGCGTAATCTTCGTTGCAGACGTTCTGCTCAGATCTCTCTTCAGCACCCGGCACTATAGATGCCTACAAAGTACAATCACCGTTGACTCGTCCGTCTCTAGGGCGCTTCCGCTTTGGCGATAAACTTTCGTAAATACGGAGAACGTTTCCCTCTTTCAATGCTTTCCGTGGAGCGGGAGCAAACTGTTATCTAGTTGCTGGTTAGGGGCTAGTATCTCTCCCTATTTTTCTATATAGCGCGGTCGATACCCGCATCTCCATATCTGGCAGGCATCAGACTCGACGCGTATCTCGCTTTTGAAGGGAATTGCGATCCTGATCATTCGCTGACTTGTTGTTGTACCTTAGGTTCAAGTCGTATTTGCGTTGACGTCATAGCAAAGTATAGTCTTGCGATTCATTCGTGTTTCAGCCCTTACAGTACTCTAGTCAAGTGATTTTTCGTAGTTTACAGTAGACGCTTCCAAAGTGCATTCTTATCATAGCACTGGAAAGTAATGGAAATGGAAGTGGAGGATGCTGGAGGCCCGGCGTCGCCGGCTGCCGGAGAAAAATGAAAAACAGAGCCGAGCAAAGCGGAACGAGACAGGTCGAAGAAGCGACAGCGGGATGCCCGACGTCAATGGATGCGAGAAAGACGATCATATTACGAGATGCTGGTGAAAGCCTGTCTTCTGAAACACATCAAGGAACCGCACAGGGAAAAGCCCCAAGAGGCCATCAGAACCCGTTTCGAGGCGCACTCTATGAGTGTATGAGACGCTGCCGTAGGACTGATGCATCTCGCGAGGGATATGTATCGCGACGTGACGGGCATGGAAACAGAAGAGGTTCCGGAAGAATTTTTCGACAAGACCTTTATTCGTCGCTTGATGTTTGGCACGGGGAAAGCGTAGAGGCGCAATGCGCGAGTACATGCCCTCCACGAAAAATGCCCCAAGTACCGCTTCAACGGTACTCGATACAGGCATGACTCGAATATTTAGTTCTAAGTGCCCATGAAGTACCTGAAGAACCTGAAGAGCCATCTGACCGTGAACCGCGAACGCTTCGTGGTACGCTCTATCTTTGCGCTCTACCCGGGCATCTCGCGCAAAGGGATGTGGGCCATCATCAATGGTACCACGAACGATCGCCAGAGTGGACAGGAGATCGAATTCGTCGACAAGAAGACGTCACACAGCAGCACAAATGAAGCTTCTGTAATCCGTGCGGCTATACAGGAGCACCGTGCAGTTTTGGGCCAGTCAATCCCGTAGAAAATGTATCAGAAATGAAAAAAAGATGTTATCCCGTCATCCTAAGCTGTTTCTTGTTTCGGAACCGAGAACTCGAACGCAACGCCGAAGAGCAGCTGAGTCGGGGAAAAAATGAAGAGACGGAGAGACGGGAGGCTTTCCTAATGGGTAAGCGCTTCAACGTCGTTCCGTTGTGCAACATCAAGTCACATTTTGTGGCAATCGACTCCGGCGTCCTTTACGGGATCATGAGAGAGATCAGCCCGGAGTTCGATGTCAGCAGGGAGGAGTTCACCGGTGAAAACCGGGAGACGCACTGGATGAATATCTTCGACTTCAAGCGTCTCAAAGCCAGCAAGCAAAAGGTATTCACTGGGATGATCGAAGCCGATGGCGTAGCCATGTGTGTACACTATCGGCGCTTGAAAGCGGATCCTCCTGGTCCGTTTCCGATATCGCCTGTGACGAATCGTGCAGAAAACGATCAGGCGGATTCCGCGACGCAGGAGGTACAGGAGAACGAGTTTGTCGTTGGCGCGGACCCGGAGAACGCGACTACAATAACCAACGCTGTACCCAAGCGTGCGGAATATGGTATCAACGGTAACTTTTTCCAGAGAGACATGCGTCTTTTGAGGTTCTCGAGGGCGAGATACTATCGAGAATCGGGATTCACGAGTGCGAGGAAGAGAATTGAGAAATGGAATCCAGGCACGAAACAGCACCTGGAAGCTATTCGCGATGTTACCAGTCGTGGAGCGGACTTTCGAGCTTTTCGAGAATTCATCAAAACTCGCGTTGCTCATGGCAATGCGCTGTGGAAAGAATATACAATGCCCAGGCGGGCTCGTCCGCGTCTGAACTTGTACTGTGGGAAGCAGCGTGCATTCGCGAACTTTTTCAATGAGTTGAGCGCCCTCAAAGGAGATGAAAGTCAGAGGCTGGTCGTAGCATACGGAGCAGGGCGCTGGGGGTCGAAAAAAGAGAGCACACCAGCTGCAACGCCAAGAACGTACCCGGAGTGTGCGAGGCGATTTGTCACAGTACCCATAGATGAGTTCCGAGCATCGTTTATACACCAAGAGCTTCGGTGCACACTTCAGAGGGTCGAGATGCAAAAGTGTCAGCGGAATCCTGAGGTTATATAAAAACGTACGGAGCCTTGACTGCAGAGCAAATGGAATGGAGGGCGAAAGTTCGAGGACTCCTTCCATTACTGAGTACAACCACCATCGGCGGCAAGAAATGTATCGAGTTTGTGAATCGTGACTTTCATGCTGCTATCCATATCAGGAGATGTGTGGTGATGGAGAAAAAAGACCTCCCGAGCTGTCGAGAGCCTACTTTGTTGGACAACCTCTCAAAGTCAAACTAGATGAGAATAAGTTGGAGGCAGTAGTAGATGGCCGGTCAAAAAACACTGGGAGACGTCTGCACGTCGGTACCCATTTACCCTGTGTGTTCGCGGAACGTTCTCGCCGCGTTCCCGACGCTCCAGATGCAAGCACTCATTCAGCGCCATTGCGCTTCTCGAAGCTGACATACTGGACGCCATGGCGTTCACGGAGGATACACTGCCCTCGCTTGAGGCGTGGAAATGTTTTGTCCGTCGACTGGAAGAGCGATATGGTTTGCGCGAAGTGCCGAGAGCCAGCTGGTTAGGAGCACAACGCCCGGACTTTTTGTCGCATGCGCTGCAACAGCGAGTAGCGTACCTGTTGCCAGCAGCGGTCTGCGATGACTTGTCACAGAAAGAGGCTCGCTTTTGCTCCATATCGGATCAAAGTTCAACAGAGGCAAAAGTGGCAGTTCCCGGAGCGATTATCGCAGCGTACGTGGGTCGCAACCTGCAGGGCCCGAGCGGAGGCGTCCACGGAGGCGCCATCGCCTCGCTCCTCGACGCGAGCATCGGGATGGCGACAAACCCGCGTTCGGACCCGGACGGGTATGTCACGGCACAGCTCGTTGTCAATTATCGGCAGATTGTCCCACTGGGCTCGTACGTGTTGGCGTTGGCCTATGTCCATGATAGGGAGCCGGCGCGGCGCAAGTGCTACGGCATGTCACGACTCGTGGACGCTGGCGCACTTGCCCAGTCGACGGACACCTGCGCACTGCAGCTGCAGCGGCCGCTAGAGGCTGCTCGTCGCGATACCGCTCGTGAACGGGTGTACGCGGATGCAACGGCGCTGTTCGTTAGACAGCGACATCGCCCGGAAACTCATGGGGAGCGTTCGCTTCAAACTGCCGCGGTGAATCGAGTGGAATCCGTTTCGGGTTTTCTGGGGGCGCAGGCTCGGCCATGGCGTGCTTCCTTGTAGCGCATGCACGTCATGGCGCCGCATTCGGCTTTCAGGGATGTTGCGGCCAAGTGAATGCGTTAAGCGAGCCAGGTAGCGGAAACAGCAGCGTATGCATCCCGCTCTGCAAGCGCCATGTGAGGCATGCTTTGGAGGCCTGCTCCAGCCCAGCGTGAAGTTTCTGCATTGCGAGTCGAAGGAGTCATGTGAGGGAACGTCTTGTCGGCCCCATATCCCAGTTGCTGCGAGGTTTAGGTACGCGTCTTCGTGGCCGATGGATGCCACCGCATGCGTTTCACGCCGATGCCCGTGAGCGCAGCGCGCCAGTGAATAGCTGCATGCTCGAAAGTGCGCTTGTCGTCCGCTATGCGGCAGCGTGGAGGTAAACGGCTGATGGATGCCGGTTTGAATCCGAACGGATCCGAACCGTAGCCACTGCCGACGTCGAATACGCGGGGCGAGTAGAGACGACGTTGCCGCTCGCTGCTTCACCGAATCATCTGCAGTTTTCTGCTCCAAAGTGCAGGCATGTTGACTAAGGCAGCGGAAGGAGTCGGTAACCTGTTTTCTTTTTCAATTGCTTGTTCGCCTTTCATTTGAAACCTCGTGTTTGCTTCGTTGGCTTCCGAACAAATTTCCCCTGTAAACAGCGAGCGATCGTTCGGTCATTTGGCTACGGTTCTCCCATGCTGCAGCTCCGGCCGCATACGGAGTCATATTTCCCGAAGCGGGTCCTGGTAGCCACTTTGGAGGCATATCTCGAGGTCCCTGACCGGTGTCTGCTGGCTCTTACACTCGTGCTGCCGCTGCGCGACGCAGCATGGTGTCGTTCCGCATGCTGCGGCGTCCGGCCCGGCTCTCGGCATTAGCGCAGAGCTGTGGTTGCTCGGCTTGAACGCAGACATCGTCGTCCTGCTTCTCCGAGCGCGTCGAAAGTGGGTCTCAGTATGAAACGTGCACCGTTGGCGCAAACGACGACGGACTGCGGGTACTCCCGTGGTGCAAGGCGCTGCCACCAGCATCGGACGGTAGAGGGAATCGCAAGCGAGCAGTGGCTAGTAGTGAGGCATTTTGAGCCCGAATGCGCAAAGATCCTACTGAAACTCTCTGAGCGTCTCAATGAGTGATTTTCGGAAGCGCATGAGGAAAAAGGGGGCCAACGAGTGCGGCGCAGAAGCTGCGCTAGCGCAGCGACACACACTTGCTCTAGTCGGAACGGAGCCGCGGAATACGCTGACGACCGAATGATATATCCGGACGATGATCCAGCAGACTAATGAAATCCTGAAACGGAGCTGTACTCGGCAAAGAGCATGCTAGAATGCCGTCATGATCCAGCAAACTGCTGTAACCTTGAAACGGAGCTATACTCGGCAAAGAGCATGCTAGAATGCCGCCATGATCCAGCATACGAATGAAATCCTGAAATGGAGCTATACTCGACAAAGAGCATGCTAGGATGCCGTCATGATCCAGCATACGAATGAAATCCTGAAATGGAGCTATACTCGACAAAGAGCATTTTAGAATGCCGCGATTTGTATAGAGACGACTCGGTCGGCATCAATGAACCGCAGTTCTGCGATCCTGGCGAATCCTCCGCAAACGGATAGTGGCGAATATTCTGTATGATGTCTGATGAACGAGCCCAGCATGGTTTATCGCGAATGTGCGCTTGCTGCCATTAACCAAAAAAAGCAGACACTGCGCTCCCAAACAGCAGTGTTGCACGGCAGCCATGTTCGAAACATGGGACGGGTGCACTTCGGTCACACGGGTTTTCAGACCCATGATGGTCGGATCTCGTCCCAGAGCCATGAGCAGCAGCCTTGACGGGATGTTGCTGCAACTGTTCCCGTTCGCTTCCGCTTGTATTTGGCTTGAAAGTCGCGGATCACTGTCGTCCCTCCAGCTGCAGCGTCGGCACTCGACGGATGATGATGGCGGCAACAGAGTTCCGACTTTACTGCTTTCAACAGTCATAAACGAAGTTCTTCCATGAGCGGAACTAGCGATCTGCATTTTGCTTGCCGTTTTCATGTTCTTTGTAGAGAGCTTTGGTGCGCTCATTGCAGCGGTGTCCATGAAATATACGCAGGTGCTCCCGTTTGTCCATCATACCTGTATCTCAGCGCGCGCCATTCTGTGGCGCTTGAACGCTTGCTTCATCGCCTGGAACGCAGACTAGACGGATACACACAGCTCCAGTTGAAGACTTGCTCCGCTTCCGCACCCGTACCCGTACCCGGGGATTAAGGGCATCTTCTCCGCGATCCCGTCGGCGAAGACGCTGACCGCTGGACGCGCAAGCGCACGCTGTTCCATTCGATGCAGGATTCGTGGAATGCGATGCTGTCCATGATTGAATATGTATCGGAAGCAAAATCCAGGCATCTGCAAAAGTCTAGAAATTCCGATGCAGTCACGCGCGTCTTGTCCAGCGTGGCGACGCACGCTCCATTAGGAGCGATCGCTGCAACTACCCAAGTCCGAGTCCAAAACCCTATTCCATCAACAAAAGAAGAGACACAGGGAAGCACAAGTGACATACTTAGAGAGCGGTATCATGCCGCTGTCGAATGCAGTATCTTCGCCGGCCGCAAACCGAGCATGATTTGTCTCTCGAACGGCATCGATTATTTGAGGTGACGCGTCCAGTGAACGTTCGGCGTGAGCTCGTGAACGCGTCGTGAAGCAAAGACGTCGAATATTTTCCCCCAGCCGTTCCGCCGACGCAAAGCTCTGTGCTCACAAATTCCCATGAAACAGAAATATCGAAAACTTGAAGTACGGGTCGTTTGAACTAGCTATGCATCAGGAATCGAGAATCGCGGAGGCTCGCTCCTGTGTACTGGATAGTGTTCTCGGTTATTTTAGGGACGATCGGTCGAGAGCGTCGCGAATCAAGTTGATTTCGGTAACGTAATCATGTCCATCGGCATTGACTCCAATGCGTCATTCCGAGAAAACGACCAAGATTCCTCAACCTACGTTTGAATGCACAACGCCTTAAGGCTGCACCCCGAATGCCGAGGCGATGCATCCTAAAAAATTGAAGAAAAAACGAAAAGCAGCAATATCTCGAGCAGTTCAATGTTCCTCCTTATGCTGACACGGGTATCGCACGACTGCCATCAAGTCCAGTGCGCATGGTTGCACTCTGAACCCACTGATATCGGGATCTCCGAGCCGATGCATTCGGTGGCACGGCGAGGCGGTTCCGCCTCCATACTGCGCGCGCACTGGCGCTCTACATACTCACAGCATGCACGGCGCTCAGCGCATCATACGCATCGACCAGTTTCTCCAAGCGCAAGTATGGATGGTGTCTGGTGGAACGCTATCGCTGATGCCGATCCTCATCGTGCAACTGCACGCACTCCTGGTCTGTACGAATGCTCTGTCGATTGAAAGGAGACGTCGGCCGCTGCCAGGCACGAGAATCCCTCGTCAGGAGCTACGTTCTGTCCATGGAAAGTAAAGTGGGATCTTATTGGACATATTCTGGAAAACACCCTCGTCTCGATTAGATGCCCAGGGCTTTGCGCGCGGCATGGCGCGTGTTCGTTTGCCAATCAGAAGCTCGTTATCTCTCCAGACCTGACCCGCTCAGACACCGTTACCTGCAACGTGCTCGCAGCAGACGCTACTGGTCTACGGGAAAAGTCTAGGGAGGCTTTTCGATTCAGTACATGTCTCGTATGCAGCGACGTGAACCTGGGTTTATTGGGCTAATGCCCTGCTGGGGGCGGTCATCGCGCACTGGGGCGCACCGCACCAGCCCCGGCACCAGCCCGGTGTTCTGCGCCAGTGACGCGGCACGCGCTTGCGCCACACAGCGTGAGGCCCCCGAGCGACGACTCTGGACTGGCTTCTGAAGTGCGCTGGCGTCGTCGATCGAATTCCCCATCGTTAACCCGAAGACTGGTCCAGACGCTGGCCCAGGAGCCGTCGCGAACCAAGGACCCAAGCCCAGCGTGCTCGACGACGGCGGCGGCTTCCGGCGACGGTGCTGTCCGCGTTCAACGGCACTACGAAACGTTCTGGTGGACCTACGCTCCGACAAGAGAAACGTATCGCATCAACTACCGTGTTGAAGAAGCTAATAACGGGCAAGCGCCGCGGTTTCACGTCTTATTGATCCACGGGTTCGGCGCAAACCTGTTGCACTTTCGAAAAAATCAGCCGGTGCTCGCGCAGGAGGGTCACCGAGTCTTCGCTCTCGATCTGCTTGGCTTTGGGGCAAGCGAAAAGCCCAGCCTAAAGTCCGATGGAAGGAACGAGCCGGAGCATGTCGATGCGACCTGCAAGGGATATTCACTGGAGCTGTGGCGTGACCTCTGTCTCGACTTTATTCGGGAAATGGATCGGCGCTATGATGATTCACCCCATCGCTGGGTCATCTGTGGCAATAGCATCGGCGGTCTCATTGCGCTCATGACCGGGGTGATGCTTCAGCATCGCCAAGTCACCACGTCGTCCATTGTTGCCGCCGATAACCCGATCGATACGATGAAGCATTACCCGAAAGAGGAGCGCCAGCGCGATCGCCTCGCTGGACTCGTGCTTTTGAACTGCGCGGGCGGTCTCACGGGTATTCGATTTTCCGAGCTATCGCCGATTGGTGCGGCTTTGTGGTGGCTCTTCACGACCATTTTCTTCCGTTCACCGCTTGTTTACTGGCTCTTCGAGCGTATTCGCAGACCAGCTTCCTTACGACAGACGTTGCGCCAGATTTATCGAAACGCCGAGGCCATCACCGAAGAGCTCATAGAGATTCTGCGAGCGCCCGCACATGACGATGGTGCTCGTGACGTCTTCGCCGCCGTCCTGCGCGGAGACGCGGGCCCGACGCCGCGAGAGCTCCTCCAACAGCTATCGCCGGAGAAGCAAGTGCTGGTGCTCTGGGGCCGCGACGATCCATGGACTCCCTTCGATCGAGGGCTTCATCCGGGTACGGCGTTCCCGAACTGGGTTCCAGTACCAACGCAGCTGCGTCTTATTTGCATTGAGGATTGTGGACATTGTCCCCATGACGATGCACCCGAGCGCGTCAATGCAGAGATGTGCACCTTTTTGAGAGAGCTCTGGCTGGTCGAACAAGACCGCCGTGGCCAGCAGACAAGCGATCTTTGAATGGCCGCCGGACCGAGCGTCGCCTTGTTCGCGCTCGAACAGTGTAAAGGGATCCACTGGGGACAAACGCCGCCTTCACTACCAGCGTCCAGTAAGCATCCTCGTGGGCGGAGCGGAACCTCCACCAACCCCAGTGCAGTTCCGTTGCACACGCCTGGTGTCGATACCGCCCTGTGCGTCATTGTAGCTGCAATTGCGCTTGAGGTAATCACATGATGCTGCGCTAGCCTTCGAGCGTTGTCCATGGCGTCAGCTCCACGGCAACGGGTCTACTGCTTTACCATCCAGGATAGCGCCTACTGCGATTCCGTAAAACGCCACCAAAGCACGGACGTGACATGCACACGCATCACGCATCGCAGCTGCGGTAGCCGTCGCATGCAATCACATCGTGCGCGTGGCGATACGCCGCCAGGCGACGCCTTGCGTGACGTCGAGAAGCGCTGCTGCGTTAGCCGCTGCAGGATGCAACCGAATCGTGCGCGGCCATAGGATCCATGCTGGGACGTGCCCGCGTGCGCGTGTCTGACCCAAGCTGCCAAACAAAACCCGATGCATCTCTCTTGCATAGTCACCTGTTCTGATGGATAACGCATGGTGCATACGTTGCAACGCAGTGGACACGCATGAGCACCGTTAGAAAAGCACGGCGTCTGGATGCTGCGCGGGGATCTGCATCAGCACTATCCTGCCGTCGTCAACCAGCTACGCGATCAGTACGTACCCGCTATGTATTCCTTGAGTGCATCGGCTTCTTCTCGTGACTCCTCAATGAGCCGACGAACCACATCCCCAATACTGACCATGCCGATAGCTTGGCCGTCGCGCACAACCGGCAGGTGTCGCAGGCGACGCGACGCCATCAGCTCAAGCACCGATGCCAGGTCCGTATCCGGTGTCACGGAGATAAGCGCATTTGCCTTTGTCATGAACTCATGCACTTTGACGGTCAACAGTAGGTCAGCTGTTGTTCGGCCCGCTGAGGCGGCGCCACTTGAACCACGGCTAATCAGCAAGCGCGTCAGGTCGCGTTCGGATATGATTCCGACCGGCTTGCACGCCTCGTCGTTCTGTTGTGGTTGCTCAACAACAAGCAAACAACCGATGTTATGGATGAACATTTTCTTCAGCGCGTTCTGCATGGTATCGTTGGCAGCGATTTGGTAGACGCGTTCGCCGCGACCTCGGATGAGCTCGCCCACGGGAGTCTGCGAGCGAAGAATAGTGCGCGGCCGAAAGTCGCGTTTCGTTTGTGACGCGACAGAAGCCGCGCTATCGCTACCAGCGCTGTTGGTTGCTGAGCTTGTCTCGGAACCTTGTTGGCCCCAGCTGCTTGACGCAAAGCGACGGCGCACCGGCACTAGCGTCGGCAGCAACCGAGCTTGCGACTGCATCCAGGTCCCATACGAAGCGTTCAGCGCTTTCTCACAGTCGAACGCCCAGAACTGCCTCCAGAAAACACTGGTTTTTCGAAAAGTGCGTAAAATGGAACGCATGGCTCGACGGTGGCGGTTGTGCTTGCCCGCTCAACGAAGCGTCTACGTCAACTGGACTCAGATGCGCGCATGGTACCGAAATCGGCGCAGACGATTCCGCCAGCGCAGAGACGCACAGGGCACGCACGAGATCGATCGCGATCGATCGCGTGCGTGCGTCTGCGTGTGCCGGAATGCGTGCCGCATGCATGCATGCATGCATGTGTGTGTGTCGCTTCGCGAAAGGCAACTCTGACCCCCGGGGCTGCTTTGCTGTCGCAATAGCACCGAGATTATGGTGCGGTGCTGCAGGCGTACGTACAGTGTCGCTTTCGTAACCAGCAGCGCGCAAAAGAGGCGGGCTCGGGGACACCGCTCCGTACCGTCGAATACAAACCTTGAGCGACCGTAGCGTCGCGTCATCTGATATGGGATTTGGCGAGGCGTTGTACTGCCGGGCCGAACTCGCCGACAGCCTGCGCGCGTTCGAGACCGCTAGTGGCCACAGACGGCCGCTGGTGATGCATGCAACAGCATTAGAACTGTCTGTTAGACGACGAGTGGGCGTTTCCATGCACTGCACCGCATCCGGTGCCAGAGTCACGGAATCGTTTCGAAGTTGTTTTTGGAGCTCACGCGATCAGCAGCGGCTCTGGTGACCGGCACGTTGCCGCTGGAACGTAGCGGCATTGCACTCGATTCCGGCGATGCGCCGCACCGGACGGACTCGGCGCGCATACGCTTTGCGGGTCGTATGCATTGAAGAGGTATCGATGGCAGGCGTGTGCCTGCCATCGATGCAGCAGCGGACATGCGGCTGTCGCACGACCAGGCACAGGGACTTGCGGCTGAGCGCATACAGTGCCATTTGCAATCGGATGGATATGTCACCAGTGGCTACGCTCTGCCCTATTGTGAAAACGGCAGCGACGGCGGTACGTACCCAGCACATCACCGCACAGCATGCGGCGTACTGAGGGTCACCACGACCTGCCGAGGCCTGCGACGCGCCCGGTCCGTGCACTCGCTGCGCTGTGCACAGAACAGGAGCCTCGACACGCCTACGGGTGCCTCTAGTTTCTGGTATCTTATGCTTGCTCAGGATCAGAGTCGATAGCGTGTCACTTTCCACAGTTTATTTCGTAAAGTCGAACGACGCTCGTTCATAGAACAGGCGCCGCCAACAGGATGCGTTGCGCGCTTGGTGCTCGGGGCGCCCGAGCCAGCCGGCCTTTCGACCACACAACCGCGCGTCTATCAACAAGCGATCGCTACACGATACCTCAATTGAAAGAGCGTACGACCCTCTGGTATCGGAATCGTTCCAAGCTTGGTACAGCGGGCAGCACCACCTCCCGCGGAAACGGTGCGTGTCTCGGTCAGCGTCCTCGTTTGGTGCGCATGCGCGGCTCGTCGTGCCTCCTGCACAAGCGATCTTGCATGCTCAGTGGTTCGCGTGCTCAAGCTCCTTTCGAAGGTGTGGGTATTCAATCAAATATCCGATGGTTCCAACCACAATCATAATGTGCACCAGGGGCGTAGCCTTCCCCGGAAGGAAGTACTTGCGGTAGTACCACTCTGACAGCGCTCCCAGCCGTTCTCTCGTCGGTACCAATTGCTCCAGTTGGACCCGCGCACGCTCCACTAAGTCAACAACCTTTGCATTTTTCAGGTTTGACGGGAGTCGAAGCATCCTTCCGACGGTAGGGTTGAGGTTCGAAACAGCGCTGCTGCTGCTGCTGGTGGGCGTACGCACGAACGCGTGCAGGCGCAGGCATGGCTCACGGATGTCACGCTCCGCGTGTCACGAGCGATGCGCGCCATCTTCGGCGGCAGCGCCCTGTTGTCAGCGCCCACTCGAGGAACGCCGGTCTATGAAATCGTTTTGTCAAATGAAAAATCGCTCAGTTGCTGCGTGTCGATTACGGACGCCCGTACTCGTTCCGTGACTCTGCCACGTTCACGAAGACGCTCGACTCGCGTTGGATTCGTTGCTCCAGTCGGTTTGGAGAACAAGGCATGAAAGCGTCTACAGACGAGGGAACGAGAGGCAGTTTTCAGTGACACGTGGATACTTGCTGCATTGGAGCTGACACTTTCCCCATAATGAATGGTAGTGAGCGCACATTGATCAAGTCTCCGATGTTGAGAGACCGAGCTGCCTACCGAGTATCTGCTGGATACGCGACTCTAGGCGGAAACCAGACAAGTGATTACCGTATCTCTGTGGGAGTTTCCGGGGAACATCCACATCAGACATATCAGGGATTGGCATTAGGGCCGCAGGAACGCTTGCTGACGATACTAGGGCGCATTCGAGGTCTGGATTTCGGTAAGAGATGACGAGGCAGCCGGGCGGGAGTCCGCAGATACTCCTGAACGCACGCACTGGATGCCGCTTGCGCCTCCGGAGGAATGGGTTGAAAATTGCTGTGGAACTGGCAGCGCTAGTCCCTGGTTGATACCAACGAATTGCTTACTCCATAGATTGTCGCTTATGGGCCTGGGGAATGCAGCGTAGCCGCGAGATCGGCCTACGCTGCATCAGAAGTGCGAATTATCTCCGTTATGCTGTGGATGCGTATTGGAGCTGCGTGGTGCTCGACAGGCTTCGACCACCAGTCAGAGACGCGGACTCTATCAGCGTGTTCCGAAGCGGCAGGCGTTCTCTCTCAATGCAGTGAACGTTCCAGAAATCGGGAACCCGGATACGGAACCCGCCTTGCAAGCGACTCCGCCATCGCATTCAAGACACCAGTGACATGGAGTCCGGTTTATTCCACGGGGCAAGATCGTTGAAACGAACTGGGGATCAGCAAGAGTGCAGTTGCTATCAGCATCTGGGTAAGCAGCCTTCATGGCGCACCAGATCCTATAGGTTCCGTGAAGCGTCTGTCACCCGATGCGAGCAGAGGCGCATAATGGAGAACCCCGGTCGTCCATGTCGTGCTCGAGGCAAAAAGTTCTGCAGCGGATTTGCTCGGGGTTCCAGTATCGGTCGTCGGACGCAGCCCTGGCACAGCGATGAAAGTGACAAGGCGCGTACTTCCGGGGCAGTCATCATCGCATCGTTGCGGGAGCAAGTGCCTGCAATCCCGAGAGCTACTGCGAGCGCGGCATCGGTGTGAACCTCTCCTCGCTTGTCCCATGCGTCGGTAGAAAACACCATAGCGAGGCGGCCCTCGAATGGTCATTTCAGAGTGGCACACTCCGGGTACTGTGCGCTGATTCCCGTGCTTCTGCATCGACGATATGCGCTGCAGTTGTACTCGACGCAGACGCTGGCATTTGCACTTCGACGATGTGACGCACCGTTCAATCATGCTGTTCTTGCATAACACGAACACGCAGCAGTTCAGGTCCTGAGGATCCGGGAATCCCAATTTGAGCACGATTTCCCGGGCAGCTTGCTTGGCGAAGGGATGCGCAGCACCCGGTCTTTGCGTGAATGGCTCTATCCGCGCATGCTCGCCGTCGCACATTTTGGTACTACTACTGCTGCTGCTGTTGCTGCTGGTTATGGTGCCGGTGTCAAGCGGTCGTACGCAGCACGCTGTATCTGCCTGCGGGATTGTGTACAGCGTGCCGTGACAGCTGGAAGGCGCCACCGCCTAGCCCAAAACAGACGCCACGACAGCGTCGGCGCATGTACGTGCCCAGTGCTGTGCATCCAGCGGCAAAAAACGTGCACGGTGTACGTACGGGCACGAAATATGCGCTTCAGGTCGTGCTGCTGACAGCATGTTCCCCGACTTTCGTCGAATGGTCGGTGTTCCGACCATGGCCACTGTCGGCGTCGCTCGATACCAGTGTCGAGGCGATGGGCTGTTCCCGGTTGCATCGCATGACTGGGTCGGCGCTGCGATGGGACCCCTGGCCCCCGTCCAGGCTGCAAGAACCAGTTGTCAACGGTGTGCTAGGCGATGATCTGCTGCCAGTCTGCAGCTCGCCCGATTCCTCAAAAAACTTGCCAAGTTCTGTTTCCCGCTCAAACCACACCAGACTGAGGAAGCCGTCTAGCGACGACATCAGGAGAAATGATGCATCCGGGGACCACGCCACGTCAGTCACGGCACCGTAGTGGAGGCCTTGCACCGCTGCAAAAGAATGTGGTGTTTCCGAGTCGTACATGTAAAGACCTCGCGCGCTGTAAATGGCGAAAACGAGTCGGTATGGCAATCGCGAACGCCAGCAACCAAGGTCCTCATCCAATGTGGGATCCTGGCGACGAGCGAAGCGCCGCGAACAGAAGCGAGCCCCGAGAATCGACTCTTCATGTCCACCGAGGTGCAGTAGCGGTGTCGACAGGTTCGAGCGCGCAAACACATGCGCGCCCTTGGTCCGATGCGGCGCTGCGTCTCTGCTCGAACAAGTCGGGGCAGCATCGCGTGGCTCCGGGACGATGCCCGCCGGGCAGACGAGGAAGCTGCCGTCGGGGCTCCACGCGAGCCTCCGAAAGAAGTGCATGAGCCCTTCGCTCTCAAAAAGACGACGGGACGAAGGTTTTCTCGGTTCTGACTCCAATGGATGGGATGGCACAGGCGTTATCTGTTGCGTTTCCGAATGGCTTGGCGGACATGAGGCGTCCGCGGTCATGCAGGGATGCGCAGTTGAATCACTGTGCACCATGCTCCCAACCGCTGTCGAACGTATCACCCGGCGGCGATCAGACGACCACTCATGTACCCGTAGAAGGCGATCAGCGCCCATGGAGCACAAGTAGGTCCCTAGCGGGTCCCAGGATACCCCCTGCACATAATTCGTATGTTCGCGCAGCGACAACAACAACTGCGGTCGAGTCGAGTCCGTGGTGTTCCAGATAGCCACCGTATTATCGACGGACGCCGTTGCCAGAAGCTTGCCATCCGCGCTCCAAGATACGTCCATGATCATGTCGTTGTGCTCATGCAGTGTCGCTTCGAGTCGCCACTTGCCCTGCACTGCGTCGAACTTCCACAAGACAGCGTATCCGTCGTCCGCCCCTGAGACTAGTCGGCCCGAGTCGACGGGATCAAAGCGTACCACGGAGACGGCAGCGGCGTGTCCCTCCAGTGTGTCCAGGAAACGCACCGACTGAGCTGCCGCCTGCGCCAGTGCGTACCGCTGTTTCTTCGATGGCTCGTGTGGCTGGGCAGCGAGCGCACGCAGCTGCTCCCAGTCTGGCTCCAGACGCCAGAGAGATACCCGCTTGTCCTGGCCGCCTGTCGCAATCGTTCCATCTGCAGCGATGTCGACACTAAACACACCGCGCTGCTGCTCGTGCCATTCGAGCTCGAGCACCAGCGCTCGCATCGCCTTTCCGCACGCTGCTCGCCGTTGTCGCGGTATGCACCCGTTTCGGCAAGCAGGAACGGGCGCTCAAGCACGCTCGGACCTGGCACACACGACTGCCAGCCAGCCTTCGAGGATTCTATTGCCGCGCCAGAGACGTCACGGATGGAAAACCGAGCAGTCCGCGAACGCTAGCGGTAACGGGGCAACGGGTGCGGACTACGCTGATCCAGTCGGAAGCGCACGACTGTAGCTCTGTGAGGCATTCCGAAGCTTTTGACGGCAGCAAAGTGGATCAGCGTGCGCCGAAGTGAGCGAAAAAAAGCGCGCCAAAAGATCTGTATTCTGCGGGATCATTTACGGTTCCTGATTTGATCAGTGTGCGCCGAAGTGAGCGAAAAAAAGCGCGCCAAAAGATCTGTATTCTGCGGGATCATGTACGGTTCCTGATTTGATCAGCGTGCGCCGAAGTGAGCAAGAAAAGCGCGCCAAACAATCTGTATTCTGCGGGATCATGTACGGTTGCTCCATAGCCGGTGGGTGATGCCTCGCTACCGCAGCAGCTGCCTTGCGTCCCATGGTGTGGCCAGCGCTCGGCGCCCAGCGCAACCTGCCCGAGCGGCGTTCACACGAACTGCGCGGGTGCCACATAGCCTGCTGGTAAGAGCACCGGAACTGCGTGCGGGGCGCCTTGGTTTGCAACCAACGAGCCATCGCGTCTGGTAATTTTCTTCGCTCCGCGCGGCGCCAGCGATAGCTTTATGTCACTGGGTACGAAGCACGGGTGTAACTGGTGTGCACAGCTGACGACCCGCGTTCATATAACGAAAACTCGCTTGGTCTTGCGCAAAGCATCCTTAGAGCTTTGCGCCAAACGAACCCAGCGCCCAGGCCGAGACGCGCACGACTAGCCTTCGTGCTTTGCGGCTTCAGTGCTCAGACGACAGCGCAGTTCGTGCTGCGGCATACGCTCCAGAAACACTCGCAAAAGCCAGGCGAGCCGGTGTTGGCTCTAATCAAGCAAGCTGCTGCCGAGGAGGTGCTCTACCGCCTCTGATGGCGATTCGATTTGCCAACTGCCATTGGCAAAAAGCCGGATAACTTGATTGTGGTACCGGATGAGCGTCGGCCGATTCCCAACACTCAACACGCTAATACCCATCTCCCGCAAGAGCTCATAGAGACGGCGTTCGTTTTCGACATCCAAGCCACTGGTTGATTCATCCAAAATCGCAAGCTGCACAGGCTCCGGCTGCAGTAAAAGGCGCGCAAATGCAAGCCGTTGTTGCTCGCCAAGCGAAAGAATGGCGGCAAAGTCGGCTTCGACGTCGAGTCCGCCTAATCGATCTACAAGGTCGGGCAGGTTGACGCGCACCAGAACGTTCCGAATCGTCTTCTCATCAACGTTGGCCGCATCCTCTCCATGCAGCGGATAAAAGAGATTCTCGCGGAGGGTGCCCAACATCAAATACGGCCGCTGGGGAACGAAAAGCGTATTCCGCGGATGCGGGCGCCGGTACACGACGCCGCTGCCCCGTTTCCAGAGGCCGGCGATTGCCCGCACCGTGGACGACTTGCCCACGCCGCTCTCACCCATGAGCAAGATGCGTGCGCCATCCTCAAGCATGAGATCCAGCTGGTCAACGAGCCGCCGTCGGCCTTCGGGTGTGTAGATCGTCAGCTTCTCCAGACGCAAAGCTGCTGGCTTGACGCCAGCAGCCGTGCCGTTCCCTGTCAGCGTCACGATGCCTTCCGTGTCGGCCTGTGACCCGGCGTCTCGCTCGTGGCGCTGACCAGCGAGCAGCCGCGGCTCCACAGCGCAGTGCAATTCATAGAGCCGATTCACTGCGGCAGCGAACGCAGAAAGGCCGACGAATTCATTCACAACCAGGGACAAGTCGTTCAGCACATGATTGTAGCTGAAAAACGCTTGGCTCAATGCACCTAGCGGTATGCGACCAGAAAAGTAGTCCCTACTGACGACCAGAGCGGGTACCACCTGGATCAGATAGCGATACCAGGTCGTTGCAAAGGTCACGTTCCGTTGCCATCGCAGCAGTTGGATCATATTGTCGAAGAGGGCCCGGAACCGACGCGAGACTGCGCGCTGCTCCTGTTCCTCGCCGCCGTAGAACGCGATCGACTCGGCATTCTCTCTAACGCGAACAAGCGCGTACCGAAAATCTGCTTCTCGTCGGAGCTGGGCGAAATTCAGGTGCACGAGTCGGCCGCCTAGCCACAACGTCACCGCCGTCCCAATGGTCGAGTACAGCACAAGCAGCAGAAACAGCTGTGCGCGGATGCGGAACAAAATCACGCTGAACAGTAAAAAGTCAAATAATGCGATCACCACGGTGCATCCGAATCCAACGGCACGTTCCGTAAACGCGCGAATGTCCTCGCTAATTCGCTGGTCGACGTTATCGAGAGCATCTTGCACGACACGAACGCCACCTGCGGACGTCGCTGGCGTTGCATGAACGGTCTCATTGTTCTGTAATCGCAGAATATTGATTGTATAATACTTGCGGTCATGGAAGTATCCGCCGAGAAGGCGCTCGGTGAGGAAGCGACGCCACACCAGGGCGGTTCGTTGTCTCATCCACTCGAACAGCGTCAGAAACGGGGGCCCTGCGATGAGTGCCGCAACGTAGAGAACCAAGAATTTTTGATACTTCACCGCATCCTTCGCGTTCAACGCGTTCCAGAAGAAGCGCTGAATGAACGACAACGAAACGGCATAGAGGGTGCAGACGAACGCCAGCGCCAGTGTTCCCAGTGTCCACCGCCACGCGGCGTTGCGACTGCTCGGCTCGGTCCAGAACGGAACCGCGAGTTCTTTGAGCCGCTTGAGCAGGGCTATGGCACGCTCGCGTCGACTCTGCAAGCGCGCTTGGCCGTCAGCGCTAACGCCCGCCATACGTAACCTGCTGCACCGACGCGCTGCTTGCGAGATCGCCTTGCGTGACGGAAACCGACCCAGAAACCCGACTCGCGAGCACGTAGCTTGAAACTGGACCTGTTTTTGCCCAGCGCACGTCCATGCAAGGCGCGCTGGTTGTGCAAGCGATGACAGAGCGGCACGCGCTCTGAGCCGGAACGCTACACGAGCGCCCGCAGAGCGAGCAGTTCCCTGTGTTAAAGCGCCGCCGCTCTGTAGAAAAACAAACGTTATCGGTGACGAGCGCAAGATACAAGGTAGCGAATTCGCACCACAAGACCTCTGCTTTACGCGAAATAAACGGGTAGTCTCTGGCATAACTCTTCGCAGAAGAGCCTGTCTAGACGTACCTGCAGCGTTCCCAGCTAGTCGCACACGAGCTGGAGCATCCGCCAGCGCATCCTGTGCACCGGGAGAAGCGCTGCAGGCGCGCTCGAGCGGCATTGCACGTGCGTGGCGCCTGCTACGTCAACGCTGTCAGCGATTTCCTGCTCTTATGATGACAAAACGTTTCCATGGACCAAGGAGTCCGAAATCCGGGATGGGCTTTAAGATTCATGTGATCGTCCACCATGCTGCACCCTACTTCCAGGTTCCATTACTTACAATTCCTCTGGGATACGCTGGTCGTTTCGTATGTTCTATCCTGCGACGACTGCCTGCCGTGAGCACTCGCCGTAGCGCTTATACCGCTGAAGCGGGTGCTGCACGGAGACAGAACGGTTTTTCCGTACCACTGAGGGCGTCGGCTCGAGATGTGTTGCAATCGACACGGAGTCGGCGTACATCATCATTCTGGGAGTCCGCAAGCTGCGCAGACAGTACGTCTGTCTGCGGCAGCGCGCAGCAATATACTAAGAGTCCACTGCGACCAGGGCGACGCCCAGAGGCACATCAACTGCCCCTAGTTCGAGAATAAACTGCGTTGTGGATTAGTTGCTCAGATCTCGCCAAATCACCTGACTCTGGGTGGAGCACGAAGCACAAGCACTGGGGATTCGTCCGGCTCGCGAGACTTTCCACCTCGAAGATCAACCTTCGAAGATACGGCAAGCTTTTCCCCCTTTTAACGTCGATCGTAGTGGGAAACGAAATTCCTATCGGATTGCTAGTTAGTAGTGAGTTTCTATTCTTTGTTCCATTTAATGCTGTCGTTACGCTCACGTCTGTGTCTGGAAGGCATCAGACTCGACGCGTATCTCGCTTTTGAAGGGAATTGCGATCCTGATCATTCGCTAACTTGTTGTTGTACTTTAGGTTCAAGTCGTATTTGCGTTGACGTCATAGCAAAGTATAGTCTTGCGATTCATTCGTGTTTCAGCCCTTACAGTACTCTAGTCAAGTGATTTTTCGTAGTTTACAGTAGACGCTTCCAAAGTGCATTCTTATCATAGCAATGGAAAGTAATGGAAATGGAAGTGGAGGATGCTGGAGGCCCGGCGTCGCCGGCTGCCGGAGAAAAATGAAAACCAGAGCCGAGCAAAGCGGAACGAGACAGGTCGAAGAAGCGACAGCGGGATGCCCGACGTCAATGGATGCGAGAAAGACGATCATATTACGAGATGCTGGTGAAAGCCTGTCTTCTGAAACACATCAAAGAACCGCACAGGGAAAAGCCCCAAGAGGCCATCAGAACCCGTTTCGAGGCGCACTCTATGAGTGTATGAGACGCTGCCGTAGGACTGATGCATATCGCGAGGGATATGTATCGCGACGTGACGGGCATGGAAACAGAAGAGGTTCCGGAAGAATTTTTCGACAAGACCTTTATTCGTCACTTGATGTTTGGCACGGGGGAAGCGTAGAAGCGAAATGCGCGAGTATATGCCCTCCACGAAAAATGCCCCAAGTACCGCTTCAACGGTACTCGATACAGGCATGACTCGAATATTTAGTTCTAAGTGCCCATGAAGTACCTGACGAACCTGAAGAACCATCTGACCGTGAACCTCGAACGCTTCGTGGTACGATCTATCTTTGCGCTCTACCCGGGCATCTCGCGCAAAGGGATGTGGGGCATCATCAATTGTATCACGAACGATCGCCAGAGTGGACAGGAGATCGAATTCGTCGACAAGAAGACGTCACACAGCAGCACAAATGAAGCTTCTGTAATCCGTGCGGCTATACAGGAGCACCGTGCAGTTTTGGGCCAGTCAATCCCGTAGAAAATGTATCAGAAATGAAAAAAAGATGTTATCCCGTCATCCTAAGCTGTTTCTTGTTTCGGAACCGAGAACTCGAACGCAACGCCGAAGAGCAGCTGAGTCGGGGAAAAAATGAAAAGTCGGAGAGACGGGATGCTTTCCTAATGGGTAAGCGCTTCAACGTCGTTCCGTTGTGCAACATCAAGTCACATTTTGTGACAATCGACTCCGGCGTCCTTTACGGGATCATGAGAGAGATCAGCCCGGAGTTCGATGTCAGCACGGAGGAGTTCACCGGTGAAAACGGGGAGACGCACTGGATGAATATCTTCGACTTCAAGCGTCTCAAAGCCAGCAAGCAAAAGGTATTCACTGGGATGATCGAAGCCGATGGCGTAGCCATGTGTGTACACTATCGGCGCTTGAAAGCGGATCGTCCTGGTCCGTATTCGATATCGCCCGTGACGAATCGTGCAGAAAAAGATCAGGCGGATCCTGCAACGCAGCATATGCAGGATAGCGAGCTGGTCGTGGCGCTCACAGGCCAGCGTAAAACGAAAGCACATAGCCGAGACTCGCCAGTGCTGCGCCCGCGAGCAACGTCAGAGGAAAGCCTACCCATACGAAATCGCGAGCACTTAAATAAGGATTCCCGAGCTCATCTTCGACGCTGATCACGGCCATGTTCGGGAAGCTTGACACGGGCAGTGCCATTGCACAGGAACACGCCAGTGCACCTCCCAGCACCATGAGCCGTGGATGACCAAGCGCTGCGCCAAGCTCGGCTAAAACGGGACTCAGAATGATACTGGAAACCGTGTGGCTCATAATGCACGCCACAAGAAGTGTCATCAGCATAAAGGTCAGATAGGTCTTGTAGAGGCCGGCGCCAACCACTGCGGAATGCACGGATGCGGCCACGAGCTCCAGCAAGCGGCTGGATCGAACGGCAGCGCCCATCACGACGCCGCCGGACACCAAATAGATAACATTAAAAGGTAGCGCATTGAAATCCTCCTTGCTCAAAAGACCAGTGCCCATGAACACCACCACAGGTACGAGGGCAACAATGCCGTCCCCACCGAATCGATCCGAAACAGTTTTGCTGCTCCAGAGCGCCACAGTGACCAGAACCGTCAGAATGACAACCAAGTGCGCCATCCCAGTATCCTTCCATTTCAGCGGACTATGCATAGGAATCAGTGGAAACGCTTGCATCGGGCCGCGTCCAAAACGAACGATTAAGTACGCATGCATCACAAATACGGTAACCAGAGCAAGCGGCAGCGCTATCGCTACCCATTGGCGAAAAGAGATGGACGCGGCACCGCGCAGGGCATCCAACGCGATCGCATTCTGCGGAGACGCGATCGGCGAGGTCATGCCGCCTACGTTACAAGCTGCGGCGACACCGAGCAGCGCACACTTGATAAAGGGAGTCCCTGGTGGCAAGCTGCGTAGCAGTGGTGTCACAATACCGACCGTCAATACCGGTGCCGCCACATTCGATACCAGCATCGATAAGAAAACCGCTAAAAGCATCAGTAATAGCAGCAGTTCTGGAGGTCGTCGCGCATGGCGCAAAACTGCAATCGCTACCGCCTTGTCGATGGCATGCTTGCTGAGCGCTCCCGAAATACTGTAACCGCCAAGAATGAGCAGGAGCACGGGACTGCTCATGGATGTGATGGACTTGTGAGCAGCCTCGGTCGGTCCGAGTGTCCGCTCACCTTTCTCGTCGAGGAATACGCGTAGAATGACTGCAAGCAGTGGCATTGCCAACGAGGTGACGAATAGCGGCACTGCCTCTGTGGCCCAGAGTACCGACGCGAACGTGACCAGCGCGAGGCAGCGTTGGGCGGCTGCGTTCCGTGCAGCTGCGGCAGCTGCCGATATCGGGTGACCCTGATTTTCCCGTTCTTCCAGCGCCCGCTGCAGAAACATAAACTGCGATGCCGGTGCAAAGAGGACGCCCAGAAAGAGCACCACCGCCACGAGAAATGGAACCACTCGAAACGCCCGAAACGGCGAGTCGCGGGTGCCGCTTCGCTTGGCGTGCGTGTCTCGAAGCCGACGCTCCTGGAGCAACATATCTCGCCAGACGGTGTTACGCTCCCAGACGATGAGGTCGCGAACGGACTCGTTCAACTCGGTTCGGGCTGCTTCCAGGTCGCCGTCGTGGAAGAGCTTTGCGAACTCGGCTTCCACACCGCGCTTCAGCACGGAAATACACCCAGCTTTCTGTTTATGGGCCATGAACCAGGCTACACGATACCTACGAGTCGGTTACAAGGCACCAGATTTTGATTCCAGTCGCATGTTTCGGGCGTCGTCCGCAGTCTTTCTGCCTTGTGACGTACGAGTACGGCAGCGCCGCGCACCCAAGCGATGCGAAGCCGCCTATTCAGCATCTCAACGCAGTCCGGTTCCAACTGCAGGTGCGCCTAGTGACATGCCTTTTTGCGTTCTGTAGTAGACGCGTTGAAATTGGGTTCATTTCAGAAAATAAAATATCCAGCTGAAGGCGATGGATGTGCAACTAGGGATTTTGGAAGCCCGGTGTCGCCAGGTTCGAGTAACAAACGAAATTTTCTTGTTCGAAGCTACCGTCGAGCGAAGAAGAGCAGGTGACGAAGAAACGGAAGAAGACTGGAGATAAACGAGAAACGGTGTTTAACAGACGGGACGATGGCAATCCTCAAGGACCCCCGACCTGCATGTTCATACCTCCCCATGGATTTCTACTGGTGGAAATGAACGCACTCCCTGATGGCCGTCAGTTGAGGACCTTCCCGAAGCGAGAAGGACTTGCGGAAGATCGGCAACATGCGCCGCGGTGTGTCACCGTTTGCTGAACGATCTACTTACTCGCCCAGCGGAGCGATCATTACTTTCCACAATAGAAAACACTCTTTCAATGGGTTTCAACCTTGGAATTTACGGGGGAATGGAAACCAGCTCTACTCCGCGCTAGAATCGGGAAAACAAACCGACTCTCCTGCGCTTCATACCGAGCGCAACGGACTGGGAATGCTGCCGCTGCGATTTCGGTGGAAGATGGCCACGGGTGAAATCGGACATTTCTTTTGCGACTCTATCCCAGTGTTTTTAGCACTAAACGAACAAGCTGGTGAGAAACAGGGACGCCCTTGGTGTCCACTATCGTCGCTTTTGATTCCCATAAAGTGATCAACGGGTTGCGGTTTGCTACCATTGACTGCACGCAGTCTCTGAAAATGTCGGTTATCGGCACCGCGCGCATATACGTCTTCCGTCCAGTGCTCCTCGTCCATCTGAATACTGTGGTGAACCGTACCTGAACGAGGAATGCAGTCCTCCTTGCACTGTTCAGTAGAGAATATGTATCTAACATTCTATTCGACTACGATCTATACAGCACATTGCTTCTACATCTCGACCTTCTGCTATACACATCAACATAGCATACGAATACGCATAGCAGGAATGGAGCCTCATGGAGTTGCGCTGGTGAGCAGAGAGCGTCTCGAGCGTCCGTATGGGATGCGTTTCTGGATGGAGAGAATTCGAACGACCAAGAACGGCAGTGCAGTACAGTGCAGTTTGGGAATCCTCAGCTATCCGACTTGGGGCTTGTGAACGTGTGTGAGCGGATGCGCATACGCACCGCTCCGTACATAAAAACGAACCTTCTTTGCCATATTCATGCTTCGTGGTCCGTATACTCTGCACCGCAGTGCACGGGTACCGAACAATATGCAACTCTAATTCTGCTTGCACGCTGCCCTCATGGCTGATCGTGGTACCTCCGTCTCCTCGTTCGAGTCGGAGACATTTGGAGACAGCACGCTAAGAGGCAGCAGCGAACTCATCAATGGACAGGAACGAGGCACGCGCACACGTCGAAGCAGTGCACGTCACCGCAGTCGTTTGTCGAGTTTCTTTGCTCCACCACAGATTCGAAGCGATCCAAAGGAAGCCAAGTTCCTCCTTGAGACGCTATCCTCGAAGCAGGTAACTTGGCAAACTCTCAACTTATGCAGTGCAATCGTGCTCTCCGTCACCTACACGCTAGCAATGAGTCTGTTTGCACGCCGTTTCGAAGCGGCACTCCCGGCACTCAACCTCGTTGACCGCGTCGTCGTGTACTGCTTTTGCGTGCTCCAGCTTACTTTCACGATCGTCTACTTTTTGCGTCTCTATCGGTATGGATGGATCCGTTGCACCTTCGAAATGCGCAGCTGCTTCCTACAAGGTCTATTTATTTTCTTTACGATGAATATGATAGGCAATATTGCACGAACGATATCGGAGAAGCGAGCGGCACCACGATCGCCATTCTCTATGTCTCCGACCTGGTCTGGCAATGGTTCTGGATATTTGGTTTTTATGGACACGCCATGGCTATTCTACGACTCTATCGTGATATTAAGGATCGCCACACGTTTCTAGAACGAAACCGCGTGGTATTTGGTCTCTGTTTGATCATCGCCGCCGTGGAGACAGCCATTTGCGGCTGGTCTCGAACGACGTTAGGACTCACCTGGCCGGGCATGTTGGTTCAGTTTGCTATGCGTGGACACCAACAACAAGTGGCCTACTCGCTTACGTTTGCGCTCGTGGTTACCATGCGCATTTTCCTCGATGGCTGGATTGCCATGGAGCTCTACCGCACCTTCCGAGTGCTCCAGCAGCTGCCGTATACCTGTTGTCATCACAAACAAATGGGTGCTCGTTTCTACCGTGTCTTTACTGCGATATCCTATATATTCCTGATTGCAAACGATACCATCGCAGTGGGCCTGGTACCATTACCCGGCGCGAACGCGTCCCTCGATGGCGTACCGTTGCGGTTGCTGGGTATTGCACGATTCAATGGTGGTGCCTTCGCGATGCTCTTTACATGGTCGGTGCTCCTGCTCTATGTGCATTTACCTCCGACAGTGCTGGGTGTTTGGCTGCCCTGGATCGTTGCGCTGGCTCCGGACCCAGCTGCATATCAAGAAAAGCGAGCCCCACAAAGGAGCGTTTCCTCCGAGTGGGAGTTGTCCGCGCACAGCGCCAGCCAGGCGGCACCGTGGCCAGCGGACGCACTGGATGCAGAGCGAGAGCTGCGCAAAGCAAACCTCTACTACCAGACAGAGCAGGAAGCACTGCGAAATGGAGACAGCTGGCTCTCGCGCTCACTTGTCCTCGAGACGCATGTTTTGATCTTCAACATGGCGTACCTGTCCTATCGACCGTGGCATGACCCGCATATGTATGCAGAGATGTTCAGTCATTATGGTGTGGGCGAAATGGACCCCCTGCAAGCACGAGTCGTGCGGCATAGCTCCAGCGCCGTTACAGATGTACATGTGCTCGTCATTGACTTGGCGGATAGGATTGTGGTGAGCTTTCGCGGTACCAAAAGCACCAGAAATTTACGCACAGATATGAATGTCCGACGGGTTCCTCTCGAGGAGCACCTGCATGCACGTGAATGTCCGCAAATACAGGATACGTGGCGCTTGAGCGCCTGCAGCAAACACGGTCAACGCGGGTCGTTGCGGGAGTCACCGGCGAAAGCGACTGTCGACGGTACAACTCGAATGCCTCGTACGACGAATGCTGTAAGCACCACTGCCTTGGCTGCCGGGCGTAGCGGCACCTCGGCTGCGACTTGTTCGCAAATACCGCCCACAACACATAGCAAGCGCGAAATAGATTCGACTAGGAAGCACCAGGCATCAGTGGAGGCCTTTGCCAAGGACGATTCGGATATAGAGCGCGGTCTTGATGATGCCCTGTCACAGGAACTCGGTGTGGATCCTGGAGGCCGTTTTGCACATCGTCGATGGTGGCAGTATATGCTGAGCGTACGCGGGATCCGTTCCCTGCGCTTTGGTGATTTTCGCGCTCAGGCTGGTGACGATTTTTCGTATCTCATAGGGCGACGAGTGCCTTCAATGGTGCACGGTGGATTTTTGCACGCCTATTTATCCGTGCGTGAAGAGTTAATGGAGACGCTGAAACCGCTTGTTGCGAAGCCCTCGAGCACTGCACCAACTGCAGTGGATGCGGCTTGCGCGCCCTTGAGCAGCACCTGCGGCGATGCCACTTGTGGTGTCGCTACCAGCCTGGATAGGCGCGTGCAACCATCGAACCGCTTTCCCGAGGTGTCCAGTGCGGATATTCATGGCGGTTGTGAACACGGGCAGCAGCAACAGCAGCTGAGCTTAGCGGGTACAGAGACCGCAGCGCGGTGTCGAAGCGAAACTGCTACAGCAGCAGCAGCAGCAGCAGCAGCAGCAGATGCGAGCGAAGCGCAACCGTGTAGTGCGATGAACTCCTTGGATAGTGCATCTTGCAACCACAAACCGGTGATCTTTTGAGGTCACTCTCTCGGCGGGGCTCTGGCAAGCATCGCTGCCCTCGATATGACGTGTTTTGAGAATTCACAGTCGTTGCGTCTGTCATCGGATCTGGTGATGAGTGTGACTTTTGGGTCGCCTCGAGTCGGGAATCGCGCTTTCGCTGCAGCGTTCCAGCGACATGTGCCGTTTTCATTCCGATGGGCAGCGGTCGGCGATATCGGGACGAAACTGCCTTTCTGGGGTTATGAGCATGTTCCGGTCAAGGTGATGCTGGATCCGTTGTCGGGGAGCATTCTCATGGACCCCTCGATCATCGAGGAGTCCATGGTAGCGTTCCGGAACGCTTTGGATGCGCACCTGCGACCCGCATATATCCAGGGGTTTGAGCGCTGGTGTCGACGCTACCACCCCCGCTGGAATGTACAGTTCTGGGATTTCCACGACGTGTTTGATGACCCCGCCCTGGGTGCTGCTTTGGAAAGCAGCACATGATGAATGCATGACCTATGCAAGCGCATGGCTGCTGGAGCGTGCCATTTGTCCTCAAGGTCCGCTACGCTTCGCAAACGGGCGCAAGTGCGCTACCCACAGAAGCACACCAGCATCACGAAGGTGAGCAACGACATGTCGGGTACGCGAGGCACGCTTGAGCATCAGCCGAATGGTGTCTTGGATCACGCCCGGTGCGAGGTCGCTCAAATATGTGGCTCTCGCCACATGCTCCACCTCGACGACCTGCAAAAAAGTACACCTCTGCGAATCATGCTCCAGAGGTATGCATCAAAGGTTCCGCCCGATGTTCGTCGAATCGTCATGCAGACTGGTCGGTGGATGAATGCAGCACCTTCATCGCCAAAGTGAAACGCGTTGACGTCCGAGTGGAGAGCGTGAACCGTCCCCGGTCGACTGGACGCGGAATCCGTCCGAATTCCCGGTAGCGAAATAGACGCGATCCGCCACTGGCTACCCTGAGAAGCGTCTCTGGCGGGTACTTGTGCGAAATCCAGAATGAGGCATGCTGCGCTCTGTCCACTAGTCTGCAGGTCTGGCTCTGACGCGGCCGCATCGCTGCTGGAGTTTAAGCTGCGCCCCAGTGATCGACGCATGCTGCGGTTGCTGAGATTGGTCTCTCGATAGTCAGTCGTAGTGCCTCAACCAGCGCCAATACTCCTGCTGAATTCATGCTTGTCGCGAGTACGCCTTTGAGCGCGTTTGCCGACAGAGGCCGGCGGCGTGGTGCTCGCAGCACAGCACGCGATCATGTGCTCTTTGTGGAGCTGCAGACAAGCACCACTTTTGCAGCACATGGTACACGCGATGGACGCGAGCGTAGCTTCCAACGATCCGCGATCTAGTCCTGAGGTATTCCGGCGGCGATAATCACCACCCAGTATCATGGGTGAAACGCTGTAAACGATGCATCATGCGATATCCACAGGGCCAGGGCACGGCGATGATTCAGCGGCAATCTCGCTCAAATGCTGGCTCACTGAGGATTCTCCAGGGTTTCGTTTTTGTTGGATGATCGTCGCCGATGATGTGGTCATTTCTTTCTCGCAGAAGACGCGTTCTTGGCCGCTCGGTGCACGTCGTCCTCGTGCTCTGGCTCTAACGACGACGACGACGACGACGACGAAACGGATGCAGACCTCCCGTGGTCGCGCTTTGCAGAGGCGCCATCCTGCGCTCCACCAGGTGCCCTCTTCCTCGAGCGCATGCGTTCGGGTTCAAATCTCGCATCAGAGGTATCCAATGCCAGCATCAAACGCCGCTCGTCGCGTGTGCAGAGCTCCTCACCAAGCTCTAGTTTCGTGAGCAAGAGTCGAAACCGACTTTCTGGGCGACGTAAGATACGTGACATCGACCGCGACTGCGAACCGAATACACCATCTGCAGTTGCCGCATCTGCGAGCTCTTCCAGATGCTCCCAGGCAACGACCTGGCGGTATCCCGGAGTCTTGGATGCCTGGTCCGCGATCTTCGCGACTTGCCTCACAAAAGGACTGCCTTCAGCCTGCAGTTCATGCTCGCCTTTCCGCCAGTACGACCTAGCGACTGATGCGACGCCAAATACTGAGTTGGGTGAGTCGACGCGTGCTGCCAGTCTGCTTTAGCTGTTCGAGATCGGCAAGGAATCGTCTCGCAACACGGTCCATGGCATCGTCCGATTCTATTTCCCAGTCACACGACTCGTACTCTATGTCTTGCTCTAAAGATGTACGCGACTTGTCGAGTACCTCAAGTGCCTTGGCTGCCAGCCCTGCACACTGCATCCCAGAAAGCACTTGCTCCTCGGGTGTCAGTTTCGCATGGACGAGTGCTCGCAGCTCTGCAGGCGATGCAAGCTTGCTCAGATGACCGGCTTCCTTGGCTTTGCGCCACCTTTGATGCAGCTTTCCACTCTCTCGATGCCCGGGTTCAGCTTTGGCTGCCATGAGAGCTGCTGCGCGTGCCATTGCAACAGAGATCCGAGCGTGGTGGTTAGGAGGAGGTCAGAAAACTGAAACCATCGATATGATGGTCTCTCCAAAGCGTCTAAGTCTTCAAGGCAGTAACCGGACTTGTCGCTTCCGCTGTCAATCAGCAGAAAAGCGCATAGCGTACGCCCCGTGCCGCACAGAGGAAGCAGCACGTTGGTTTCGAAGATCGACAGAAGACGTTTTTGATAAACAATTCGTCTCTGGAAACACCACCAAACGCCTTGCAAAAGAGAAACGCTGGAAAGCCAGTGTACAAGAGTGGCGCTTCTCACACCGTCCGCCGTAGACCGAATGTCTACCCATCGATGTGCAGACGACTGTGCTGGCGTTCAGCAACTGGCCACCTACTACTGGTTTCAACTTCTTCTGGTATCACTCCATTTTGGGAGGTTGCCTCGCAAAGTTGGCTCTCGCCAACTCCGGGGGTCTTCTTTCCAGTACTGCACACCTCCTTACACTGATGGCGGCGTTAAAGTCTCAATTCACGAACTCTATTCGTTTCTTGCCATCAGTAGTTGTAGTAACCAATGCGAGTAGTCCTCGAAGTTTCGCCCTCCTTGCCATTTGCATTTCCGTCAGCGAGCCGCTGGCTTTTCTCCATCGCGACCCTCTGAAGTGTACAACACAGCTCGTGGTGTGTAGAAGATGTTCGAAACTCATCTAAAGGTATTTCGACATAACCATGTGCGCACTCCTTGTACGTTCTTGTCGTTGGAGCTGGTGTACACCCTTTTTGGGGCATCCATCGACCTGCCCCGTATGCTACTACGAGCCTTTGGCTCATGTCCTCCTTGAGGGCGCTCAACTGATTGAAAAAGCTGGCGTATGCTCGCTGTTTCCAACAGTACAGGTTCATACGCAGACGAGCCCACCTGAACTTTGTGCATTCTTTCCAAAGGCTTTCGTCATGAGCTGCGTGAATGCTCATGGCCTCTCGAAACGCTTCCATGTCGGCTCCGCGGCTCGTCACCCGGCTGATCGCTTCCAAATTCCCTTCACTCCTGAATTCGATGTCTCACTTTTATTCCTTGCATTCATTATACCGGATTCTCGGTAATATCTCGCTCATGAGAGCTTCAACAGACTTATGTCTTTCTGACGTAAGTTGCCGTCAGAGCCATCTTCCTCACGCTTGGGTGCTGCGATGGTAACGATGTGGGTGTTCCCGGGATCCATGCCAACGGCAAACGCGTTCTTCTGCGCCTCCAGCGCCGTTGGGCCCGTCTCCTGGTCCGTCTTCGGCTTCGCCCGTGGCGAAGAATATAGACGAGAAGGACGCGGATTCTGTGACGCAGGAAGTGGAAAAGTACAACCTTGTAGACGGCTCGGCGAAGGATGTAGATGAGAATGATGGGGATCCTGCGATGCAGGAGGTGCAGGATAACGACTTTGTCGTTGGCGTGGACCCTGGGAATACGAATATCATAACCATCGCTGTACCAAAGTGTGCGGAAGATGGGACTGATGGTAACTTACGTCAGAAAGATATGCGTCTTTTTGAGGTTCTCGAGAGCAAGATGCTATCGAGGATCCGGTATAATGAATGCGAGGAAGAAAATTTGTACGTGGAATTCAGGAATGAAAGATCACCTGGAAGCTATGAGCGAGGTGACGAGCCGAGGAGCGGGCTTTACAGCTTTTCGGAAATTCATAGAAGATCGGTTTGCGCATTGGGATGCGCTGTGGGAAGAATATACAAAGCCCCGGCCGGCTCGTCTGCGCATGAATCTATACTGTGGGAAACAGCGGGCGTTCGCGAACTTTTTCAATGAGTTGAGCGCCTTGAAGGAGGATGACAGTCAGACGCTCGTAGTCGCGTACGGAGCAGGGCGATGGAAGACCCAAAAAGGGTGTACACCAGCTCCAACGACAAGAACGTACAAAGAGTGTGCACGGCGTTTCGTCACGATACCGATAGATGTGTTCCGAACGTCCTATACACAGCATGAACTGGGGTGTACACTTCAGAGAGTGGAGATGGAAAAGTGACAGCGGAGCCCTGAAGATATAAAAAAGTATGGACCGCTGACGGAGGAGCAAATGGAAAGGAGGGCGAAAGTTCGTGGACTCCTTGCATTGGTAAGTACAACCAATGATGGCACGAAACGCATGGAATTCGTGAATCGCGACTTTAATGCCGCTATCAATATAAGCAGATGTGCAGCGCTGGAGACGAGACCTCCAGAGCGGACAAGAATGAACTTTATTGGACAATCTCTCAAATTCGAACTATATGAGAACAAGTTGGAAGCAGTAGTGAGTGCCCGGTCCAGAAAGCCTAGGAAGCGTCTGCACTTCAGTTGGAGACTTTAAGTCTAGGGCACGGTTGCCGCCACTACTGTACACGCCCGAAGTCGTTCGACTTTAGAGCGGCGTTGATGGTGCGGTGTCGGGCGTGCACGAAACCGCCGCTCGAACGTTAACGCGCATCACGAGCGAGCCGGAGGTGCCGCCTCGTTCAGAGCGCTCGACTTGGAGAGCGTGCAGGAGCACGAACGCGCTGTGCGTTGAACCACTATTTTCTTGCTGATCTTGAGCATAGTATGCAACAGACGATTTACGTTTGAGTACCATGAAGTTCTCAAAGCAGCTCATGTACAATGCAGTTGCAGAGTGGCGGGAGCACTATCTTGATTATAGCGAGTTGAAAAAATATATCTCCCGACTGGGCAGTGTGCGACAGCAGCTCCGCAAGTACGGGGCCGGTGATCCCGCCATGAGCTGTTCACCGCTTCGTGAAGTTACGCTAGCTATATGGATTCGTGGAGACGCGGTCTGTGGACGGGGTGCTTCGTCTTCCACTGCTTCGGTGTCGAGTCCGCCCCCAGAGGAGGAAATTGAAGTGGATACGCTACATGCGAGAGCGACAGCAAGAATAGCCCCGCTCCGTTCCCCTGTGGAACACGGTTCCTGGGGTGCGGAGGCAGTAGCATTAGCACCAGAAACAGCTGATGGCGCTGGTGCTGCACCCCATGCTCAGACGGACGCTAAATTCGAGCGTCTTCCTTCAGACGCGGCCAGCGCGCCAAGCACAGGACTCGAACACCACGCGACAGAGCAGGAGCGAGCCCGTCTGGCCCGCGTGTCGGTTATCTCTGCTGGCTCGGAGGATATCGAGCAGCGCACGCGGGCTAGTGTGTGGATGCACGCCATTGGAAACGAGAAACAGGTGTCGGGCGGGATATCTGCGCAAGCGAGCACCGCAGTGGAACCTCGGTCTGCTTCACCGGGCGATTGCAGCGAATCTGCACGGGGAGCAACCAGAATGCCCTCGGGGGTATCGCAGGTCTCAGAATCGCCTGGATGGGTGGAGGATCACGCGGAACGTTTGCGGGTCGCGGACATGGCATCCTCCGGGGGCGCTAGCGCCGCAAATGACAGCAGGACTCGCAACCGCAACACCGTTACCAAGAACGATAACGATAATGACGATCATGATGATGATGATGATGAAAGCGATGACGACGACGACGACGACGACGACCACATTGGTGACCCGGGTGGCAACGCGTTGCGTTCACAGCACAGCTTCTCGGTTACGGGATGCGTACCTGATTCTCTGAGAGGTTTCCCGAGCGCTGGAGAAAATGCAGGGCACCGCGACGCACCGTGCCCAGCCGCACGCGTACCTCTGAATGGTGCGCAGACGGCACCTGCGGAAGACGAGGCTGCGTCGCCGAGTGTTCATCAAGATGCTCACGCAGCGGGAACAGCACGAGCAGCAGATGCACACGTTACTGCGTTGAATCTAACGCCAGCGATGCATACGGATACTTATCCACGACCGTTAGCATCGCCATTGGCCAGCACGGGGGACACCAGCGCTGCTGCGATCGAGCGTCGCGAGAGTCGTAGCGCTCGACTGGCTCCAGCGCTCCGGAAAACGGCCAGTGCGAATGTGCTCTACGAACTAGAGCACGGTGCACCGCGTCATGCACCCAGCGACTATTTTGCGGCGGCGCCTGAGCGGTCCGCCAATGCCTGCTCGTCCGCAGCACCGCCACCGCTGCAACTCGCGAGGCCGCTTCCGGGCGCCGCACTGCGAGAAGACGCTTCCGCTAGACGCGATGCACCAGGCACGAGTCCGCGAACGTCTGTTGGCTCTGACAGGGCGTCGCCAGCGTGCTACCCAGCATCGGCTGTACGGAGCAAGCCCGTGCACGAGCGCACCCCGCTCCTGGGGGAAATCATTCCACCCAGAACACCTCCTGCACAGGATCGTAACGAGACGCCTCCGGGAGCTTGCTGCAATAAGAGGCCACCGTCTCGTTTTCAAACCGCCGAGACGACTCATACACTGGCATACTCGAGCCCGCTCGCAGCGCCCGTAGTCGCAGTGCCGCAACGATCCACACTTGCGTCTCGGAACCCGACGATGAGAGCGCAGCCTTGGAACGGTGCGCTACCCAGCACACCGCTCATGTCGAGCGAGCAATGGGCTCAATCGCATCGGGAGGCCTTTTGGCGAATGGAACGTCGCTTCTTCGAGCGCCTCCATATCGAAGCTGTCAAGGTAGACGCTTTCTTTTGCGCCATGGAGCGAGAGCTCGAGCGCATCTCGCAAGCGCTCGCCGTCGATGCCGAGGCCTCCCTGCGACGTCAAGACCAGCAGCGACTCGCGCTCCTCCGTCAACGGTATCGAGAGCACTACGTCGAAATCATGGAACTGGTGAATTTTATCGAACTGAATGCAACCGGCTTCGAAAAGATCTTGAAAAAGCATGACAAGGTGACAGGACTACAGACAAAGGCTGTTTTTCAGCGGCAAGTTCTCCAAACGTTTACATTCTACCAGGCAGCACAGCAAACCAGACAAACGGATACTCATGATGATGATGATTTTGATGAAGAAGATGATCATCATGCGGGTAATGGTGCACCGACGTCGTCCGGTCACTAGATAGACGACGCATACACAACGAGCGGGCCGTTTATCAGTATCGAAGCTCGCGCTTGATCAACCCGGGTGCCCGTCGCAGGAACCCCTTTCGTTACCTGCAGACTCGAGAACTCGCCATGTATCGTAAACAACAGCCTGCTGTTTATTCGGGGGAGCACCAAACCCCCGTGTCACCAACAAACAGCCGACGATGCATACGTCACGGGGCCAGGATTCCTCTCTGGGACGACAGCCGCGAAACACGCCCTGTGTGTATGTATGTCTGTCTCTCTCTGTTTGTGTATGCCTGTGTGTGTTTGTGTGTGTACGTTTGGAGCGCGCCCGCGGTTCCCCAGAAGCCGCACCCGCACCGCTGACTCGCTACCAGTCGAGACGCGTGCGCACCAGCACGACTGGCACCAGCGCAGGTGCTCGCGAACCAGCACATCGCTTGCGCGAGCTCATAGCCCCGGGAATATATACTATGAAGCGGGCGTTCCAGCCGATATTGCTCGCTGAAACACAATACCAACGAGGGTCCCTCGACGATGTGCTCGCTGCCCCGTTCGAGTCGTTGAATCCGCTGCCGGTGCGTTGACGTAGACGTGCATCTCCTCAAGGGGCGGTGCGTTCTGCGGAAGGATGTGTGTCGCCCACTGGGCATCGTTTGTGGTCCCACTGATACCGGGTGGTGAACGCGCTCGCTCTGATTGCGGCCACGGACTCTGTAGAATGACCATACCGCCCATACGCTCTACGAGCTGGCGCGTCAAGTAGAGTCCTAATCCATGCTGCGCTGAGTCAGTGTCGGATGCGCCCGACTGCATCCGTCTCGATGTTGACGGTAACGAGATAGGCGAGTTCTCGCGATTCTCTGCTCCAGCGGAGCCTGCTTCCAAACTCGCGCGCTCTGCAGCGCTGTCCTGCCGAGCGCGACGTCCTCGATAACCGCGCTCCCAAATTCGTTCCAGTTCACCACGAGGGATACCCGGACCGGTATCCCCGACGAACAGGGCCACTGCAAGATCGTCGTGTGCCTGCGGCTCCTCTGCATCGAAGGTACCACCAGGCACTGCTTCCAGGGGGCGCAGTTCCGTGATTTCACCCGCGCTGCGATCTCTGCCTGCATTCAGGGATACGAGTTGGATCCAGAGGAGGACAAGGCGACCCCGAGCGCCAGGTTGTACCGTGCCCGTATACTTGATAGCGTTCTCGAGCACGTTACTGATTGCCTCACGAAGCGCAAAGGCATCGGCGAGAATCGCAGGTACCTGATCAAGGCGCGCGCGCAGCTCAACGCCGTGCTCCATGGCCAGCGCAGTTGCAGTACCGAGCAGCGGGCGCACGATGTCGTTCATCCAACAGAGGTGTAGTCTGCCGTTCTCGAGGGCGCTACTCCTACTATGGAGTAGCTCATCATCATCATCATCATTGGTATTGCTTGGTGTCACTACTGCGTCCTGTGCATTTGTTCCTGGTGCCGGGAGCAGCAAGGAGCGTGGCGGCGGTGGCAACATCCTGCCTGGTAGCGCATACGTTGCCGCTGTTGTTGTTGTTGTTGTTGTTGTTGTTGTTGTTGTCGGGTGCGGCATCGACCTTGGCCACGGGCGTGCGTTCTTTGAGGCCGCAGCTGGCGAAACACGATCGATATCCTTCGCTGGTGGCAACTGGGCAACCTGCAAGGTCACAGTGTCCAACGGCGATAAGAGTTCATTCAGTCGCTCACACTGTACAATGATATCACGGGCCAGGTCTCGATTCACATCACCGGGGGGCAGTCGACGCAGAAGTAACTTTCCAAAGGTGCGCAAAGCCGTGATTGGGCTTTTCGCTTGGTGCAGGATATTGCTGAGTACGTCGCGAATTTGTGCGATCATGGCGCTCTCCCGAGCCTGCGCAGAGCCCCAAGTTTGGCGCTCATGACTGGACAGTACTCGCGTGTCAACCCAGTGCGCAAGCGTTTCCGACGCAGGCAGCTGGGCGCTGTTCTCCGTGCGCTTCCGGCGGTTGCGCTTCAGCGACGTTCGCTCACCTGTCGGGGCCTTCGGTTCTCGCGCTGACGCTGGAGCCAACGGGTCGGCATGCGAATGCGGTGGCGCTTCGGCTGAGGCACGGGGCTCGCATCTGGAGCCTACCTCTTGCATGTCACCGTCATTCGTCGGTGATGATGACACCACAGCTCGCGTTGACGCCTGTGATGCACCAGACGCCTTGTGCCGATGACGCTGGTCCAGTACGAGCGCTAGTGCAAGCGTCTTCGCAATTGAAACGAGTCGCACACGCTCGTCCATGGTCCAGTGCGAGGGTTCTTCGGGCAGTATTCGTGGCTTCGGCGTTGAATCGGTTCCGTGATCGCGCCAAACGACCAAGATTCCGAGCACGGTATTCCCATCAAGGAGTGGCGCCGATAATCCCCCGTCAGTCAAGGGCATTGCAGTGTCAGCGTTCAGGTCAATAAAAGGGTACTCGGGGAGCAGTCGTCCAGCGGCGACGCCACCCGGCAGTGCCGCTGGGCCTACCGGCGGACGAGAGCCAGGCGCTGCGCCAACCACCCAGACACACTGCGACTCGGGATATACACAGAGCGGCACAAACTCTAGGGCACCGTCGGGTGCTTCGCGCCGTACGCACAGTGCACAACGAGTTACGCCGAGGACACTCGCAAGTACTTCGAACTGTACGCGACAGAGTTCGATGAACTCGCGCGAGCACTGCGGAATGGTGCTCTCCGTCGTCGCTGTCGGTGGCTGCGACTTTACCGCTAGTGCTGCACTACCAGAGGGCGATTTTCGCGTTGTGTCCGCTTGCCTCGGTGTTGACTGCTCCTCCTCGTTTGTAGCACGCTCGCTGTCTGGTGAAGTCAAAGACTTGCGCGGGCGACGCTTTCCGGACGTTTGCCCAGGGCGCTTCCACCGTCGCTGGTGCTGTGCTGGCGAGTCTGCGCTCATGCAACAGCTGGACGGACCCCCAGCGGCAGCGCCTCCACGCAGCTGTACATTCGATCTAAGGTACAAATGCACCGCATCCAGCAGACCGATGTCCCTCGACAGCGGCTTCGTGCCGTGTCGCAGACAGCCAGGCCAGTGTCTACGCAGGGACGGCCAAGGCGTGGTTTCGCGCCGCAGTTTGACACAGCGAGGTTTTTCGCCAAGTGCAGGCGTCGCTAGGATGCCCCATCCAAGCGACTGTGTTCTGTATGGTGCGCAGGCAACGTCCATCAGGCTTTATCTACGTGGGCGTTGATCCCAGTACGCATACCAAGCGCCACGACAGGGTTTTTCTTTGCAGATCCCACGGGCGCTCTAGCGTCGCAGCGATGTGAGTGGCGTCTGGCTGGCGTTCCTACCTGGTGGACGCTGCGACCCTGGATGTCTTCTGCTACGCACGACCGTATAGACCAATTATGTATATAAAATTACCTATAATCATGTCGATAGCGCTTCTGTGCATCGGATGCGACCCTGGATGCCATCTGCTACACACGACCGTATAGACCAATTATGTATATAAAATTACCCATAATCATGTCGATAGCGCTTCTGTGCATCGGATGCGACCCTGGATGTCTTCTGCTACGCACGACCGTATAGACCAATTATGTATATAAAATTACCCATAATCATGCCGATAGCGCTTCTGTGCATCGGATGCGACCCTGGATGTCTTCTGCTACGCACGACCGTATAGACCAATTATGTATATAAAATTACCCATAATCATGCCGATAGCGCTTCTGTGCATCGGATGCGACCCTGGATGTCTTCTGCTACGCACGACCGTATAGACCAATTATGTATATAAAATTACCCATAATCATGCCGATAGCGCTTCTGTGCATCGGATGCGACCCTGGATGTCTTCTGCTACGCACGACCGTATAGACCAATTGTGTATATAAAATTACCCATAATCATGCCGATAGCGCTTCTGTGCATCGGATGCGACCCTGGATGTCTTCTGCTACGCACGACCGTATAGACCAATTGTGTATATAAAATTACCCATAATCATGTCGATAGCGCTTCTGTGCATCGGATGCGACCCTGGATGTCTTCTGCTACGCACGACCGTATAGACCAATTGTGTATATAAAATTACCCATAATCATGCCGATAGCGCTTCTGTGCATCGGATGCGACCCTGGATGTCTTCTGCTACGCACGACCGTATAGACCAATTGTGTATATAAAATTACCCATAATCATGCCGATAGCACGGCGTGTGGCATCCAACGGTGCGCGACGACGACGCCCGCCGCCGGAACGCGATCTCGTCAGGAGCGGGCGCGCTATCCGCAGGCACATGTAATTGAGCGTTTTACGCATCCCAGTGTGCGGCCTCCTGCGCCTCGATCGTGAGCTCGGCGGCGATCGTCGGAGAGCACGCATCGGTACAGTTTCAACACGGAGCACGTGTTGCTCGTGTGCTTGCCTTTGGAACGTGCCTAAGCACACCTAGTCCAGTTACAAGAACAAGCCCTTCTCGAGTTTTTCGCTATATACTATCCATGGTCAACTGTGCTTTCGTTTCTCCGCTGGGTCTCGTTCGGGGACCGGTTTCAGCGGGCACTAGCACCAGCGGCACAACGCTTAAGCTTGCTGTGGCGGCAAGGCGAGTTCCCGCGCGTCTTCAGTGTGCGCTGCATAGTACGAAACAAGAGCGCGCACGGCTGCCGGCAGGCTGGCAGGCAGTGCCCGTTAGCGCTGTGACCACGCTAACCTCATGGATGACCCTGGGGTCTGCCGCCTGGGCCACCGACGGCACCGGTGAGCCGCTTGGAATCGACGACTCACGTCTGCTCATCGTGCTGCTCGGTGTCTTCATCACGATGCTGGTACTCTTCATTAGCTGGTCTTCGAAGCAGGATGACGGGGATGATTTTGTTGGTGAGTATGACCCACGGCGTCGTTGAGTTTGCTCGAAGAGCGTGTACCCGTGATCTGCAGCTGGCAACCCGTAAACGTACAAGTCTCTATGTTTCCTCACCTGAACGCTCCATGTTTTATACGCAAAGCATCCGTTCAGCGACTGACACTGTCGTCATGTTGCGGAGCAGGGAACGCGCCCGCCCGATCTGCTGCAGTCATCTGAGACCTCGTCGATGCCTCCGCAAACAAGTCCTCATCCGGTGGCAGTTTGATCAACGGCTGCGAGTCACGCCGCAAGCCCAGCAAGCACGCTTCGTGCAGCAGACGATACTGGGCTGCGGTCTGAACCATACCCATGCGCTGTGCACGCAACTGCAGCACCGTCTGGGCTGTAAAGTCAGCGAAGGTTTCGCCGGGTGCCGGCCCATCACCGTGTTTCAGTTTCTCCAGAAGCAAATGGAGCGCGATCCATGTACCCGTGCGGCCAATACCTGCACTGCAGTGTACCACGACAGGGCCGTATCGAGTCCGGCTGGCCGAGCGTACCAGCGGCGCTGAGTCTCCGACTGGTCCAGCACCAGCACCAGCTGCTGCCGCTGCTGCTTGCGAACACGGCCCCATCGCTGTGCCCCGCTCCTGCAAGCTAACCGTTAACAAACGCTCTCTGGCGTCGAGGTTGCCACGGAGTCGATCCAACATGGCCGCCTGGCTAGCTCCGTAGAGCGTCCGGGCATCGTTCACGAGATCGACGAGCTGCAGGAGCGGCACCACCGACTGCGGGACCCCGTGATCCGGCCACGCCGTATACTGCAGCTGGACGAGTCGCCATCGATCCCCGATGCGCTCCAGCGGCAGCGAGACGGTGCTCTGGGTGCTAGCTGCATCCCGCTTCTGGTTGAGCGGTCGCACGCGTTGAAGCTCTATCACGCGAACAATCAACGGTGTCGTCGTTTCCGCGTCGCGTATAGCCGCCAATACCGCAGCGTTCGCATCGCTTTGCACTGAAGCACACGGCGGTTGCAGGCACCAGGCTGAGCACGCGCCCTCCACACGCCAGTGGTACTCCCGAACGATTCGCAGCTGATAGGCCCCGAATACCCCGGTTCGCATGTATGGAGCGCATTTCTCTCGCCCCTGTTCCATGGTGCGCGTAAGCATCACGATACAGGGCACTCGTTGTTCGGCGATCATGTGCCAAAAGTCTCGTTCGCTTTCATGGTTGGCACGCGGTGCCTGCGTTGCGATGTAGGCGAAGCGCCGACTCTCGGGGATCGCTCCCCGTATCCAGCTGGCGTTGATGTAGTCGGTGGCGGGGAGCCAGGGCGGCCCACCAGCGGCCGCGGACTGCACCTCCAGCAAGCGAACCCGCGTCCGATCGAAAGGGAGAATATCAGCGTAGCGATTCTTGACCCAGTTGCATGGTAGTCGCGCTGCATCCGAGGTTGCGCCTGCGGCTAGGCCCTCGCGCTCCAGGCGCCTGTCAAGTGCCCTGAAGGATACCGCGAATCCATCCGCACACGTTGCTACCGCGAATAAGGCTTCCGTCTGTGATGCTGCTGCTGCTGCTGCTGGCACAGCGTCGTTGTCCCAGTCCGCTGCTCGAAACAAGTCCGTGGCATCTGCGGCCGGCAGGCATGCGCTTGCAGCCCCAGCATCTGCAGCAGTCTCGCTGGGACCAGGACGTGTCGCGGCTTTTCGTCGTCGGCAAGCGAACGAGTGTCCGCGAAGTTGCTCGAACATGTGCAAACCAAAATGGTGTGCATGCTGTTTTGGGGCCTTGGCTAGCGGTCGATCCGCAGCTACCGCATTTGCCACCACAGGAGCCTTGAGCCGTTCGATGGTCCGCTCCAAGTCCGCTGCCAAGCGATCATACAAAGACTGTTCCAGCGACAGATCCGTAAACCCCTGCGCAGTCTGTTTCACGGCCGTGTTGCTGGCGACGGAGACGCTCTCTGGGCACCGATCCGCGGCCTGGGGTCTTGCTCCGCTCGGATGGGTACAAGCGCCGGGGCCCGAAGCGCGTTTTGCTGCTCTTTGCACACTCTGAACGGCGTGTTCGAACGAACGAGCTACTGCAGACCTGGTCCGCCTCCAGACGCTTTGGCCTTTTCGTAGCGCATGCTTGCGATCTCGGCGATGCTCTGGGAGCGTCTCCGAGGACTTTGTCGGTGCCAAGCAGTCCGCGATTCCTGGAGCGACTGCAGCCGAACAGGGTACTTTGCCCGAGCCGGCAGTCACGTGGCTCGTGTCACCTTCAACTAGTAGCGTAGGCGCATTCGAGGCGCTGCGCGAGTCCGCTCGCAAACCACTCCCATCACCGGGATCCGCAATGGTGGTGGTACGGCACCATTTGAGCGAACGTGGACCCGACGCATCCTCCGAGTCTGAGGGTTGATCTGTACGCGGAAAAGCAGGTTCGTGGACACTTGGAAAGGTTGCTTTGCAGGCGGTCGTGTCCACAGCGTGCCAAGCGCCGACACCGCGTAGCCCACACCTGGATACTGGTGCATCACCGCGATCTGCGTTGTTGACCTGCGCCCGTCCGGAGACTGGAACGTCCTGCTCCAACGCAAGACGCAGCTCAATGGACGTGGTGTGGTCCAGAACGGCCGCAGAAGGCGACAGCGCCGTTTGCTGCATCCGCTGATGGTGCTCCAGCGTCCAGCGCATTGCAGCAGCAGCAGCAGCAGCAGCAGCAGCCTCGTCGTCGTTGTCGTCGTCTTTGCTCACATCATAGGAAGCAGATGAATCCCAGGCACCGCTCGAGTACGCTGCAGTTTGCTTCGAGTCAACAAGGTGCAGCAGAGGCGCTGGTTTCTCGTGTGCAGCATCGACACCACAAGCGCCGTCTACCGGCGCAAGGTCGTGCGTACACAACGGCGTCGCTGACTTGACTAGGGCGCATCCGGACTCGCCGATTGGCGCCGACCAGGCCTGCGTTGTGTCGATTTGCGACAGGTGTGCACAAGTCACCAATGCACCTGCTGCTTGCTCATCTGGAGGTCCACGCGGCTCCCGTTGTCGCCGGGCGCTCTGCTGTGCTCTTTCAGCAGAAGCGTCTCGCATGGGCGCTGAGCGTAGCGCCCCAATGGAGTCACTCGATGAACACGAGCCGGGTGGCGAGTTCGCTGAAGGCAAATGATGCGAGCGTTTCGCACCATCATCCGCAGGAAAGGTACTCGCGTCTGATGAGAACATGCTGCCTCTCGCGACTATCGACGACGATGGCGGTGACGATGCGTTGGATGTCGAGTCATCACAACCCGACTCGGTGTCCATGAGATCGGACGGCTCATGTGCCGCGCTGCATCGCTGCGTTGTTCGGCTGGGCAGCTGCCGACCTTGAAGCAGGGATCGGAACGCGTTTGCCGCAGCAAGACTACGACGCCGCCCAGAGCCAACCAGCGTCTCCGCTGCAGTGCAGTCCAGATGCCTATCTAGTGGAAATCCGTTTCGGGTTTGTTCTTGTGCCGCGGAGTTCGTGCCTCCATAACCTGGAAGCAGCGCCATGCAAGCTGCATCTCGATCCTCCGGACGTGCGTCGTACGCACTTGCATCCGCGACACTGCTCCGAAGAGGAGGCGCATCGCCGGACGCTGCGGGAACATTCCTTAGTGAACTGAGCCCGGAATCCCGTGAACTACGTTCCCCAGTGGAAAGAGGGCATACGACGCTTGACTGTGCATGGTGCGCACACTGACTCGCTCGTTGCATGGTGCATGATGTGCATACCTCACATCGCCGCTCGTGTTGAGTGTCAGATGAGGAGCGCTCTGCATTGCCCGACGCATGCTGCGCAGTCGATACCTGTGTTTGATCATTACTGCTGCCTGCTGCTTCAGTTGTTCCGAGACCACAGCAGGCATCAGGCCGTTCTATTGGGCATTGCTCTGGCAATCTGCAGTGGTCGTTTTCGGAATCACTCGGGCTGGCGGATACTACCCCGTCCGCATTCCCAGCGCGAGAGACGCACGCCTCACACATGAATTCTATGCGATACTGGCACAGGCAAGCGCTCGTCGACTCCCTAATTGGGTGTACCAGCGGCCTATCCTCCGTCGTATCGTCGGTTTCGCTCAGCGGAGAAGCGAAAGGTGGCCGCTCCGGACGCACGTCTACCCCGCCCGATGTCGAGTCCGAATACGTTTCTCCATCGATTGCGGATGTGTCAAAGCATTCATCGTGAATCATCAGGGATGAGTTCGGCTCATCAGCGTACCAGTTGGAAAAGTCCGTCTGCTGGAGGCACGCCCCATCAAACGATCGACCCGGGAGTGGTGTCGAGTCCGGGTTCCAATGGGCGGCAGACCTGTCCAGCGGAACCTCCGCAGCAGTGCTGAATTTCAAGTCGCCCGAGACAAAGGCGTCGACTCCCATGAGCAGCGGCTCTGAAGTCGATCGCTCTCGGGGACCGGGACGCTGCCAAGCATCGTCAAAAGCTCGATGGTAAGCGTGTCGATCCCCAAGAGCTCGCTTTTGGCCAAGAGACAGCATCGACTCTTCGGGCAATGCCTGCGGGCACGCGTGCTCCCAAAGCGGCGACGATAACTGCGCCTTTCGTACCCTAGCCGGCTGCACTGGCGATGCATGCGGGCTTGGCTCCTCGCTCGTGAGGTATCTGGGACGCGACATATTCGCACCACGGAGCTCGAAGTGGAACCCAACTTATTTCTGATTCGCCGTTCCCGCAGCACAACCTGCTTTTCATGACGGTTTTCCGGCCAGCAGAGGCGGCGATTGCCCCGTGCGTCTTTCGGTTCCGCGCCAAACCTTTGAAATGCGCTACCTATGCCACGAAAACTTATTCTTCCTTCTACGCTCAGCTGAGCACGCGCTTGGATAGTCTCGAAACGAGTGCACAGACTGTGCACAAGGCGCACAGGCTCGCAGGCTGCACACTGCGCCACGGAGCAAAGGCGCAGCGTTGTACCTAGCGTTGCGTCGCAGGCAACGAACCGTACTTGATAGTGCAACACGCGCTTTTGACACTTGTTTCCCTGTGGAGTGCGTAAAATGTGCTTCAATACAGCGTTCGAAACCAGAAAGGGCACACACACGGAACGGCTGCTGCTCTCTGGGCAAACGCAGCAGGTGCTGCGGCTGGAATACTGGTCTTCAAAAAGCCGTCGCGCCAAGGCGGTGCGAAAGGCTCGGGAGGAGGCCTCTGTTCCGGCTGCTCGGTATCTTGGACAATGATACACAATTGTGGAATATGATGGCGGTAGGGCGACGCGTCTGCGCTGGATCCTCGCTGTAAGCGGATTCATTTCTATTGTTTTTTGTTTGACAAAGCGTATAGATTGGCCATTCATCGTTGATTCCGTGATTAGATATTGGCATTCGGTGAACGCATCCATCATGGTGCACGCTACCTTCAAGTTCCATGACTTGTACTTTTTATCGGATGTACTGGTTATTTCGTACGTTCTATTGTGCACCGAGGCTGCCTTGATGGTCAGCAAAAGTGCCTGTACCGATGATTCGAATGCTGCGCAGAGACTGCGAGGCATTGCCATATGACTGAGGACGTCAGCTGGAGGTATCGTTCACCCGACACGGCATCGGGATTCATGATCATTCTGGAAGCTGGAAAGCCGTGCAGAAAGGCCTGCTGCCTACTGCCTGCGGCAACGCGAAGCGGTATGCTCGGAGACGATCGGGTCTCGGGCGATGTCTAGATGCATCCTGTTCGCTGCTCTTCTCAGCGTAATCTTCGTTGCAGACGTTCTGCTCAGATCTCTCTTCAGCACCCGGCACTATAGATGCCTACGAAGTACAATCACCGTTGACTCGTCCGTCTCTAGGGCGCTTCCGCTTTGGCGATAAACTTTCGTAAATACGGAGAACGTTTCCCTGTTAAAATGGCTACCGTAGATTGCCAGAGGGATTCTCTTATCTGGTTGCTCGTTGGTGGTTCGATTCCGTTCTTCTATGCGTTCCGCATTCATTGTTGACCGGATTCGCTTCTACGCACTGCACTCGCCAGCTGAAGAACCTATTTGTTTCGGCAATGGCGTGTTCAGAAGTTGGATAGATTCTTAAATGAACAGTATATTGTAGATTGATACAATTCCAGAGAGTTTCCTTTTTGCTTTAGCGATGGGACCCGCAGACGAAAACCTGATCGTTTCGGCACCGGCGCTCATGCGAGACTTAATCGCCCATCCGAGAGATGCCTTTCAAGTGCGGGCCGCCAGGGCACGACCAAAAACCTCACCATGTACGGGCCCGACTTTCAAGAGTGCGAACATCTCCCTGCCCGCGACTTGCGCTGAGCGCCTCGAAGAACATGCACAAAAATGCGACTGTGTGCATGTAATCGCATGTCTTGCTAGCTTCTTTTCGGGTCAATCAGAGGTTCGCTGCTTCGGCCGAGCGCGCTCCGTCTGTGCATCCTTGTGTCGGGCTCATGCATCAGGCAAACCAGAAGAGAACATCCACGCTGTGACGAGTACCTATGGACATCCTGGCCTATCAGAAAAATCATGGCACAACACTGCACTGCTGTGCAGGCATTTCACGAGTGGCTGTCACAGTCCCGTGCTGTCTTTCAAGTGAGATGCGATCTGAGCCTGAACTCGTGCAGCGAACGAGGAATCGGACTCATTCCTTCCAGCAGAGAGATATGCTTGTTTGGCGATTTCTGCAACGGTTGCTGCCGTCTTGCATTGTCGTAAATGAATGCGAGACACCACGTGTTTTCGACAACATATAGAAGCGTCTCAGCTGCAGAGCATTCTATCATGGAGAGCGGTAGAACTCGGAGATGAGCGGGCGTTTTCCTTACATAATAAATTCAAAAGAGAACGGAATCGAACCACCAACGAGCAACCAGATAAGAGAATCCCTCTGGCAATCTACGGTAGCCATTTTAACAGGGAAACGTTCTCCGTATTTACGAAAGTTTATCGCCAAAGCGGAAGCGCCCTAGAGACGGACGAGTCAACGGTGATTGTACTTTGTAGGCATCTATAGTGTCGGGTGCTGAAGAGAGATCTGAGCAGAACGTCTGCAACGAAGATTACGCTGAGAAGAGCAGCGAACAGGATGCATCTAGACATCGCCCGAGACCCGATCGTCTCCGAGCATACCGCTTCGCGCTGCCGCAGGCAGTAGGCAGCAGGCCTTTCTGCACGGCTTTCCAGCTTCCAGAATGATCATGAATCCCGATGCCGTGTCGGGTGAACGATACCTCCAGCTGACGTCCTCAGTCATATGGCAATGCCTCGCAGTCTCTGCGCAGCATTCGAATCATCGGTACAGGCACTTTTGCTGACCATCAAGGCAGCCTCGGTGCACAATAGAACGTACGAAATAACCAGTACATCCGATAAAAAGTACAAGTCATGGAACTTGAAGGTAGCGTGCACCATGATGGATGCGTTCACCGAATGCCAATATCTAATCACGGAATCAACGATGAATGGTCAATGTACGTTTTCTATCCAGCACAATAAATCACAAAAGGCTGCGCGTCAATACCCCGTGCGACGATCCAAAGCGCTTCATAACTATTTGTTACGCTGTTATCCGCGTTCAAACAGGAGGCACTCCTTGCAAGTCGTTCACTTTGTTTCACGTTCGTATCAAGAGCTGGACTGACTCCAACAATGCTCTTGAGCGTGGCGCAAAGGTTGCTGGAGCGCAACCTCCTGCCCGACTGGGTGATTCGAGCAGGCATACGCAAACTCCTCCGTGAACGGCTCGCGGAGCTGTACAGTCCACTCCCAGGCGTTCGTCCTGGATCGGAGCCTGAAACTTCTCTCGTAACGATTATCGCCGACAAAGAAGAGTTGTTTCTTGAGGACTTGCATAGACGCAGTTCCATCGCAGAGCACACGACTGCTGCGAACGAGCAGCACTACGAGGTACCCAGTGCGTTCTTTGAACTCGTGCTCGGACCACGCCTCAAGTACTCCTGCGGGTACTTTGCGTGCCGCGGCACCGGATCTCTGGCTGAAGCAGAGGAGGCTATGTTGGCGCTCACATGTGAACGCGCTGAGCTCGCTGATGGTCAGTATGTTATGGACCTGGGGTGTGGATGGGGCTCGCTCAGTCTCTACCTCGCCGAGCGCTATCCGAATATGCGCATCGTTGCAGTGAGCAACTCCAAGTCACAACGGGCTTTTATTGAGAACCGCCTTGAGAGCGCCGGTTGGACTACCAAAGGTGAATCGAACCCGCGAATCCAGGTGCTTACTGCGGACATCAACGACTGGGACGGCCCCAGCAATGTGTCGGCGGGTGCCGCTTTCGATCGCATCGTGAGCGTCGAAATGTTTGAGCATATGAAGCAGTACGATAGACTGTTGGCAAAGATCGCGGGTTGGTTAAAGCCGGACGGACAGGGCAAGCTCTTCATCCATATCTTTGTTCACCGTGCTGTGCCGTACCACTTCGAGGCGACCAGTGAAGCGGACTGGATGGCTCGGTATTTCTTTACAGGCGGTACCATGCCAAGCGATAGATTGCTGTATCGTTTCCAAGAGCACTTGTTACTGGAGCGCAAATGGAGTGTCAACGGCATGCACTACGCGAACACCGCGGAGCACTGGTTGAGCAACATGGACCGCAATCGTGAAGCGGTTAGAAAACTCTTTCGGCAAGTCTATGGAAGCGAAAGGGAGGCGATCCGATGGGAGGCCTACTGGCGAACCTTCTTCATGGCATGTGCAGAACTCTGGTCCTATCAAGGAGGTGACGAATGGTTCGTTGCGCACTATCGCTTTCGAACGCGTTTGTGTTCTCGCTAAACAACGCAGGCAGTACGCCGTTTGAGGTCTGCGCGCCTTTTTCTTGAATCCGAATTGGCATAGGGTCACTGGCTCGCTCTTGGTGGCCGCCTGCCCTGGAATTCACTGCCAGTAGCGAGGTGTACGCGCTGTGAGGCTTGGAACGAGCGCTAGAGCTCGGTAAACAGCATTGCTACTTTTACGAGCTAGCATCTCTTCTTTGCGTTCCGTGCGTCTACATCGAGGTATCTGCTTCTAGACTGACGCAAAGAGGAAGCGTTTCGTGATGCGCGCTTCGGAGAAAGAATACGAGGCACGCTCAGTGCCGCGGGGCAAACACCGCAACAAGTAGAGCACTTCGTTCGTTGTGGGATGATCGGCACTATAAATGCCAACGGTGTGAGCAGGATACACATGCTCTCGTCGCATCGAAGCACTGCAAGCAAAGTAAGCGTGCGCGTCCTGACAAAATACCAGTGATGCAGTGAAACCGGGCACCTCAAACGGCGGTAACGAAGCGAGCCACGAGAAAATCCGCATCATGCCTTCATTGCGCCGCTCCAAACAAGCAGTTTCCATCGACGCTCATCTTGGCTTTTCGTTGTAACCCTACCTCAGGGATTTCGTCTCTCTGGGTTCTTCGTAAACCCTGTAGCCAGCGCCAGCCACATAGCTCACGGAGCTATCGTGCGCATCCACACAAGCTGAGGACTGCGCATATCGCAGGAACACAAGTCGCCAGGCAGAAGGTTCCGCGAAATGCACTGCCCAGAGCATCACCGCCAGAGGATGTCTGCCGCAGATCGTATTGCCAGTCTTCTGGAGGTAAGCGCGGAAGCCCTCGGCATCTTTCAGGGAAATCAAGTACATGCCCATCGAGTCGAGCGCACGAATATAGTCGGAGAGGCCTACACCAAGGCGTTGGCGTTCTTGAGCAAGTTTGTCCTTGCAGCCGGGTGTATAACCAAAACGTTGACCCCAGTGACAAAAGTCGGTAGATACCACGAGCAGTGTCCGGGGCTGCAACACCTGCTCTGCGCAGAAACGCCCGCATGCCTTCTCCTTGGATGGCGACAACGCTCCACACATGATCGGCACAAAGCGAACCTGTTGTAAGCGTCCCTGAAACACCTTCGCCAAGAAGGGTAGCTGCATTTCAATTGAGTGCTCGTCCTCGTCAGTACTCTTGGACAGTATCTCGAAAAGCTCCGGATAGAGCTGACTCCAAGATTGGACCAGTGCGGTGTCTACCAGCAAGTCGCCCAGGGGAGTCGCCAACCGCTCCGCTCCCGATAAGCCGCACTTCTGCATGTACACGTGGTGTGAGGGCCCGATAATCACCACACGATCAAAGCGCGCTGGATCCACTTGAGCGTAGGCGAATGCAGCGGTTTCACCCGAGTAAGCGTAACCAGCGTGCGGCACCACCAGGATCTCGAGGGTTCCGCGGCCTTGAACTTGTGTCTGGGTCTGAACTTGTTGCGGATTTTGCTCAGAGGAGAGCGATGCTTCGACATTGCTGTCATCCAGAAAGTGGTCCCGTTTACCCCACAGGTTCCGAAACAGTATCGCGTCATCGGCTGGCCTTAGAGGCGTCAGCTGCGATGGAACACGTCTCAGCCACTGTTCCAGCGCCTGGCTAAGCCTTTCGGTGTCACTCTGGTACCACGAGCCTGCGTGTTGTGCTTCTCTTCGCGAATACCGCATGACCGCTTCGTAGCATATGGAGCCTCTGGCTCTGCGCAAAAGCGCCTGCAACGACAGCCAAAACCCCAGCTCATGCGGAATGGGGTATGTACTTCGCGTCCGGGTTGCCAATCGGATCAATCTTTGGGAACGGTGCTGCTCTTCGTTGATTCTCTCAGGTGGCTTTACAGCCGCGTCAGAATCAAATGGAGCGACTCCTCTAACTCGGGCGTACAAACTAAAGTTTCGGTTCCTTCTCGGTGTCGTCAGCAGTGGCATATGCGGCTTTGGTCTGTGAAGGCTTTTGTCGGGACTCCCGTAGCTCCTGGTTGATGGACCCCGGTCTGCCCTGTCTATCTAGCTCCGATGCAGGCAGTCGAAGGATGTTGGTGGCAGCGATAAAGTACCGCTTTTCCCGCTTCCGCTTGGTCTCGAAGCATTTCATGCATATGCGAACGTTACTTCTACGCTTTGCTTGCAATTTTCAGCTTCTTCTTCTGTGAAGCCTCGGAGCGGCCTTCGCAGCGCTGACACTTGTATGCAGTCAGGTGTTCCCGTATATCCAACGCACGCTCTTCACCAAGAGGGCGCCCTGTGTCGCGTTAAAGCCTGGTTCATCGCTCGGTACCTGTCGTCTACGGGTAGAGAGGGCGCCACTCGAGGTCGACCTCCGTTTCCCCGCTCGTTGCCTACCCGATAATCACGGGCTTCTTCTGGGCGGTGCCCTCGGCGAGTACGCTGTCCGCTGCACACGCAAGAGCACGATGTTCCATTTGACAGAGGATTTGTTGGACGCAATATTGTCCATGATAATGCACGCACTGGAGGGAAATTCCAGACTGGAGGCCAAGTCATGAAATTCCAGTCCGTCGATTCCCCCTTTCGCATGCTGCGCTGTCGCATGCCCTGCTGGAAGCGATCGCTGAGATGACTGATGTCGGAGTCCAAGACTCTTTTCCGCGGAAACGGAAGAGACACAGGTTCTGTGGGCATATCCCGTGAGCGGTAATATCCTGCTGGCGTGCTCGATTTCGTCAATCGTCACAAAATGCATATCAGTTGTCTTTCTAACGGAATCGAATATTTGACGCGGCAAGTTCTGTGAGCTTTCGGCATGACCTTGTGAACGAATCATCAGTCGCGAGCGTCCAGTATCGAATGTATACTCTCTAAAACGAATAACGTTGCACGTCGATGGATGGTATATATATCTACTTTCGCGCAGTCGCCTCCCTGCCTCTTTGGACCGGCCGCCTGGTATCGGTCTCAGTTTATCGAATCACATGTCAAGCATCAGAGGCTGGTCCACGAAGTTTGATTGCGTAAGCTACTTGGGTCTCTTCTTCAGCACCGCATACCGTGTGATATGCATGTCGGTGTTGAACTCTCGGCTGACAAAATCCATACTTATGTTGCCGCTGGTTGAACTCAGCAGTGCAAGGATTTCTAGAACTCGTGCCCGATGCTCCATTACAGACTCGTCATCACCACATCAGGCAAACAGTTTCCTCGCCTATCTCTCCTCTTCTTCGTCATTTGCTCTTCTTCGCTGCGTGGTCGGCGAGAAGAGGATTTGCTCTCTGGTTTTTTGTCGAACCCGGCGGTGATGGCTTTTTTGGATCCTAAACTCGCATGTTCAAACATTTCCCGTAGATTTTTTATTTTTAGAAGCAAAAGAGCTTCTTTGTGCCCATAGGCGAGCGCCTTCATGGAGCGAGAAGGACTTGCGGACGAAACACGACACGTGCACCGGTGTGTCATCATGTGCTGAAGGATCTAGCGACTCGCCCAGTGGAGCGATCATTAGGTTTCACAGTAGAAAATAATCCTTCGATGCGACTGAACCACACAGCGTACGGAGGATCGAAAAGTAGCTCTATCCGAGAGGATCCGCAGAAGCGTGAACGCATGGGGAACGATGAAATACCGCGTTTTCGAATGGAAGACCGTCGCCAGACGTCAGGGGAAAAGTATTCAGTGATTCGACAAAGGGTTGGTGCTGCTGTCCGGACCTTCTCTACGAGCAAATGTGAGGCCGCTAAATGAATCCACTCCATCTAGAATAGGTGATTCAGCCGTTCTCCTCGAGTTCAATCGCACATGCAGCGGGCTGCCCCTCTCGGAATACCCATCCAAGTTCAGACCGTTTCGTGCAAAGGACGTCTCGTCGACTGAAAAACAAGCCGACCTTCTTGTACTGAATAACGATTGCTGAGTCCCAGAAAAGCTATAGCAGATGCGATTTCGGTAGAAGAGGTCCTTTCTTGAACTAGGACTTTTTTTGCGATTGTACACCAGTGTTTTCAAGACAACGCGAACAAGCTATTAAGAAACAGAGAGGCCTTGGCGGCTACGATCGTCGCTTTTGCTTTTCGTCGGATGATCATCGGGTCGTTTTCATAACGTTGAGAGCAAGCAGTCTTTAAGAATACCGGTTTTTGGCGCAGTGCTCGTACACATCTTTCTTTCAGTGTCCCTCATGCATCTGAGTACTATAGTATTACTTACCTGAAGAAGGATTGCAGTCTTCACTGCACTGCACAATGAAGCATCTATCCTACTGGTAGTTCGCCTGTGATCTATATGGAAAATTACTTGTTGATGTCGATCTCCTGCTATCCGCCGCAAAGTAGCATCGAATTACCCTCTGCAGGGGGAGCAACAAACCTGAATCCATCGACGATTACCTTGAGCGTAGCGCCGTGGCGAATTGCTATGCGACTGGGTGTTGTCACTAGAGAGCCCGTCGGTAGATGACCAGTAACCACAGCACAAACGCAAGGGAACAGCTGCCTCAGATATACGTCATCTAGTTCACCAGTAGGTGTGTCTCGTACTCCACCCGACATGGCGTGCTGGACGCTTTGAAGAAGCTGTCTCTGGTGTTCTGTCGGTAGCCCGCAAAATAGCTTTACCGTATAGTGATCACAACGAGTTGTATTGAACGCTAGAAAAGAGCTGCTTCTCTTAACTAGCATCTAGCTCACTGATACCTTTATCTTCTGCTTATCACTCGCGGTTTGATCATAGTTTGGACGACGGGCCCCTGCTCTCGTCGAGACGGCAACCTAACACCCGGCAAGCGCTTTTGGATATCGAGCTCGAAGCCAAATATCATCTTTTAGCAAACCCCGGGCCAGGTTTCGCGTTCGCTGGGAAGTAGCGCTTCCTCCAGTTGTCCCTGAAACTAGATGCAGGTTTGGACGCACCACTGTCACTTTTGCGGTGCGCTTCTCCCAGGGACAACACTTGTGCAGCGTTTACGGCGCTGGATACGACACGCGTTCTTCAGCTCACAGTCTGGGCAAGGCTCTGCACCGATATCGCACCTGATCTGCGCTCACTGCGACGCCTACAATGGTTTTGACCCCCAAAGCGAGTCTGGATACGACGAGCACTGGCCTGCGTTCTACGCGGCTCGATGTGGGCGTCCGAGTCCAGCGCTCACTCCTTTGCCGGCATCGACCCGCCACACTTTGACACTGAGCGCACAGGAGGTTGCCTCTCCCGATAGCCGGCCCCTCGGAGGCTCATTGAAGGCCACGGATCCGCTTGACGTGCCTTGTCCGATGCACGTGTTCTGCGCAACCTGCCTGGATACACTGGAACGCTGGAGACTAGCGAGGGCGGCGCTCCTGGAACCGGGCCAGCCTCTGCCTGCAACGCGTCAGCGCGGAAAGGCAGCGCTGCGGGGCGTGGGAACTCCCCATTTCGAGCAGTACGATCGAGAGCTCCAGGCTATCGATGCTGCGTATGCACTCTGTCCACGCTGCAAGGAGGCTGTTGAGCGGCAGCTCGAGCAGGTAGAGGCAGCCGTGCGGAAATGGTACATCGCCAGGCGTCTAGAGGCATCACTACGAGAACGTCTTGACGGCGTGCTAGGCAAGCGCGAAAGACCGTCCCAGAGAGCACTTTTGGGACCGCAACCAAGCCGTACGCAAGATGAACCTGCCACAGTTCAGTTGCGAGCGAATTCACCTTCTACCATGATAACCGCATATCCGCGGTTTGTACCAGTCAAGCTGCTTCCGAAGCGTTTCGTGAAATGGATCATTGCGTTCATGTCAGGCCTTACCCTGGCAAGTGTCTTCGCTGCTCGAGGGCGCCGTTTCGGTTGCTTCTGGCCCTTTGGCGAGAAGCTGTTGCTTGCGACATCTGCTGCACAATCCAAGGCAATAGCTGGGATCTGTTTTTCACGTGTCGCATGGCGTTTTTGTGAACCCCTGATCCAAAGCGGGCGGCGCCTCATGCCATGCAACATGGCACTTGTCTGGCGACGGGGCGATCTCTGCATCATAGCATGGACGATCAGTGTGCTCCTGGCTTGCGTAATGTCACGCTGGCTGTTGTGCAAGTGCAAGCAGCTCTTCAGGGCGTCTGTTGCAGCGCAAAAAGTCCATGCTCCTGAAACATTCGACGGGCAGCTAGCAGTCGCGCTTTCGCAGCGACTACATCTGTCATCTGGAGGCAAGGCGAAGAGCGCTATGGCGCCGTCTGCTCCGCCCACGCCGGAGTCGCACTCTACGTGCCCACCTCGTCAGAGACGAGGCGCCATATCATCATCATCATCATCTAAGTGTGCTGGTACGTTTATGCCAGCTACACCGCAACCACGTCACGCCATCGCATCGTCTCAACGGACGCTTTCCCAGCACTCAATAGAAGCTGCACAAGTTCGAGGACCTTTCGCGACAAGTTCCTGTCGGCTGCTGGTTTCGTGCGTTCGGCAAAGCGCGCTCTTCCGTGCTTGGGACTGGTACGATAGCGCACGGCTCTTGCTTCTCGGAATCAGACTAGCTGAAGCCGGTTGCTCACGAACTTTTTGCTGCTCTGTTTGGTGGTCGCTCAGCACGAGTCTCTGTCAGTTTCTGCTGCTTAATTGCTCTCTGTACGGTATCATCGGCGGCAGGAGAGATAGTCCAACGACATCGACTGCAACATCGACGAGTGCAGCACCAGCAGCAGCGCCAGAAAACGTGTGTGCGGATGCTGCATTCACTCCAGCATCGGAGCGCGCTTCGCTTCCGCAGTTCCCGTGCACTGGTTTTGCTGGCACTCCGGAAAGGTGTACTCCGCGCGAAACCGCCGCGACGTCCAGTCTGGAACGCCAGCCCGCACTCGAGAGTTGCTGGCACTTGCGAACCTCCTGGTACTGGTGGCGGAACTTATTTTGTGCTAGGCGCTCGCCCAACACGCCCAGAATGATCATTGGTCTGCATCTGGTGCTCTGTATCGATGTCGTTCGGCGTTTTCTCCGAGCATTGACCTCGGGAAGCGCTTGGCGACCTGTGGGTACGCTGTCTGCACAGTGGTGGCGATGGCTGCGAAAACTTGTGACTGTAGACACGCTCACGCTCGCAAGCATGGTGGTGCTCGTGCTGGTGTTGCGGCGGCGTGCATTCACCTGAACGAATTCCCGTCTCACCTCCGAGCAGTAGGGTATTGTCGCAGTATCGGATGTGTGCCCCGCGTGTCGGTGCATGTCGACGGAGCGTTACGACGACAGAGCGCGTTTCCCTGCTTTCTGGTGCCGCGTCGGGTACCTCGCTCTTGCGACGAGTCGTACCGAGCGTACTCGCTTCCAGCTAGGTTGCTGGGGCGGAGCGCATACACCTCTGCTGATGTTGATCCCGTTTATCACTCGTCTGGTGCATCGACGCTCTCCTTGAACGTTGCTTTACGGTCTTTATCTATCGCCCGGTGCCAGATACGACGGCCTCGGGTTTCCGTGCGAATCGAATGCCATCCTGCTGTGCATATGAATGCGTTTCAGCGCATAGCGTCTTCCTGGTACGCATCGTCGATCTCTGGAGCGGAACCCAAAGAATTTCCCACGCAACCCAAGGCTTCACGTTCGGTATAGGTTGGCACTTGGCCAAAGCGTTCGAAATCACCTGGATATTCTGGTGCCTTAGGTGCCGCTGGGGCTACCCAGCTCGTTCGCGCTCCCTGGAAGCTTGAGAGCTGCACGAAACAACGCATCCCATGGCGAACAGTACAACTCAAGACGCTGAGGTCTCCGAAGCAGTTCATTCTCTGCCGTACGGGTTCGTGCACGGCCTGTATCCCATGGCGAACAGTACAACTCAAGAAGCTGAGGTCTCCGAAGCAGTTCATTCTCTACCGTACGGGTTCGTGCATGGCCTGCGTTCATGTGCTGGCGCTGCCGGGGCGCCTGCACACGCAGCCGGCGGTGCTGGAAACAGGATAAACCAGCGTTTCTGGTGAACCCGAATGCTTTCATTTGCAGCGCATGAAGCCGCACTCGTCTTCGTCGCCCGAACAAACTTTGCTTCAAGTAAACCCGAACTCGTTTATTCGCAGTGCTCCCGTCGACACTAGTCACCATAGTAATCGACATTACCCGGAGACTGCGGTGCCGGCGACGATCGACCCCGTCCGAACTGATCCGACTCTGGTGTGTTCGTTCGCAGCAACGAACGCTGTGGCGAGGCAGCACCGTTCGATGATGACCCGCCGATATCCCGCCTTAAACCGCGAGCACGCTGTCGTAACTGGGCACCCATCACCGATTCGATATAGACAGCAGTTTCCGGATGTTTGAAGCGAATCGCCTCCTGCAGTGGTGTGCTGCCCCAACGATCCGTCGCCATGACATCGGCACCGGCCTCTACGAGCAGTTTCGCCACCTCAGTGTATCCCTCGGCAGCCGCCAAGTGTAAAGCGGTACGTCGATCATAGTCCGCCTGGCGCACATCGACGCCCTCGCCAATGAATGAGCGAACCGCCGCAATATCACCGCGTGCAACTGCATCGATAAGCTCGAAATGACTCTTCTGATCGAAAATCCTGCCCCCGTACTGGTCACGTAACACCTGTGCACAGTGCTCATGACGGAAGCGTATCGCTTCGCTCAGGGGTGTCGAGCCCCAGCGATCGCGTGCATTCACCTCTGCACCATGCTCCAGCAGGCACACCGCGATATCCACAAAACCTTCGGCAGCGGCAACGTGCAACGGCGTACGCCGATCATAGTCACAGAAACAAGGCGAGACACCACGTTCGAGGAGGCGCTTCACCCGCGCAAGATCATTCTGCACCACTGCGTTCATGAGCTGCAACTGCTTGGTCTGGCTGGGTGCTGCTGCGCGCTCGTGGGCGTCTGCACCAACGTTACCGCCACCGCTGCTGCCGCTGCCGCCACCAACGCCAGTGTTATCGGTATCGTCGTCAGAGGATGACCTAGAGGCATCCTCTGCGTTCGTCGCAAGTTCGAGGCTGATGTCTTCCAGAATATCTAGTATCGTCCCAAAGTCGGGGCGAGATTGCGGATCTCGCTCCCAGCACCGGGAGAGCAGCGCCTGGAATTCGGCATATACCTCGCCCAGCGGCGGCCGTGCGTTCTGGGCGTACACCTTGTACATCAGCTGGACGGGCATGAGGTTCTCGAAGGGTTTTTTGCGCGTCAGCAGCTCCCACAGCACAATGCTATAGGAGTAGACGTCGGCCTTGTCGGTGTAGGGTTCTCCGCCCATGACCTCGGGTGCTAGGGTGTAGGGAGTGCCCATGGTATCGGCATCGCAGGCGCTCCCGTAGTTGCTCGACTCACCTGCACCGGCACGCCGCAGGGCGGATAAACCAAAGTCACAGATCGCGATGCGGTTCAGTGACTCGTCGACGAGCACGTTGCTCGACTTGAGGTCTCGATGGAGGATCTGCGGTTTGCAGGAGTGCAGGTAGAGCATCCCACGAGCCACGGCAATAGCGATGCGCAGCTTTTGATGCTTGCTCAAGCGCTTCCGTCGCTTGAAGAGCAAATCGTGGACCGAGCCACCCGGAAAGAGTTCGCTCACGATACAGAGCGGTTTTCGGGGGTCTGCAGTGGCGCCCATATAGAGAAGCACGTTCGGATGACGCAGCTGCGACAGAAGCTCCACCTCTCGAACGAAAGAGACGAGGTTGAATTCATCGAGACGTCGCGGTGTCTCATCGAGGAGGTGCATTCCAGGACGTGGATGTTTTCGCTGCTGCTGCTGCTGCTGGCCATTGTAATGCGTTTGCGATTTGTCGATACCGTACATGCTGAGCCCCGCTGCCGCGTCCGCTGCGAAGAGCGCCTCATCAAGCCTGGCACCGGCGCTGTGCCCTTGGACGTCCGTCTCGAAGGTCATCGCTTCGACGGAGGATTCCGAGTCCGAGGAGCTCGAAGAAGCCAACCCATGATCGATTGTTGCTGCAGTGCTGCATTCCGGGCGGGTTGCGGTTTTCGCGGAAGCAGCTGCGGTGCCAACTGTTTGATCGTCGATACCGGGTGGCTCGCAAGTCCCGGTTAGCGAGGCTCCTGCGTCGCGCAGCATTGGCCAGGTGCCGGTCATGCTCGGATCAAAGCGCTTAAATACCTTGATGGCGACCGGCAGATGGAGCCACTCGCCGGACCAGACCTCAGAGAAGCTGCCTTCACCGATTTTGCGCTCAAACCGAAGCGCCGTGTACTCGATGACAAAAGGCGAGTGCAGCAGGAACGAAGTCATCTTGGCAATGGCTGCCTGGTCACTGGAGCGCAAGTTTTCTGCACTCGTCGTCGTCGTCATCATCGTCGGCGCAGCGGGTTCATTCGACAATAGCTCGGGGTGCTCCTCGAGTCGCTTTGACGGATGCTCTTGAAGGGACTGCTCACCGTCATTGTCCAGGTTGGCCTGGTCCTCCTCATTCATGTCTGCTACGGTGGCAAGCGCCCGGCCTTCCCCGGCATTTCGGGTAACAGGCGGCGAGTCCGGCGCCGAGGCACGCTCATGCGACAGAACACTGCGACTGGCCCTCAGAAACGATCCATATCTGCGCTCCATCCGCATTGGGCTGGATCCGAAGCGCAATTCCGCATCGCTAAACTCGTGAAGGCGTGGGATGGAAGCACGCGCTTCATTTTGATGAAGCTCCGGTGTTTGAGGCAACGACAGCTGTCGCTGTCCGCCCTGCTCGGCAAGGTGAACTGTGGAAAACGACTGTGACAAGTAAAGAGATCCTCCACGCTGGCTGGATTCACGTGAGCGTCCACGATGTATCAGTTGCAGGTACTCTTGGCTGGACGGTGCCGTCTCTTCCAGCGAACTCGACAGCGAACGCGCTACTGGAGCGGAACTCGCCATGCTCGCTTCACTGGTCGACGGACGACTCTCGAGCGGGAGTGCTGCAGCGTTCGCACAAGCCTCTGTCCGAATGAAACCCAGTCGCTCAATCTCGAGAACAATCATTTCGACCTCCTTCTGATCTCGTAGCGATGGATGCACAGCGCCCACAGCGCTACCGATGTCCGCCAACCAGTGCTGGATGTGCGGATTCCTCAAGGCGATTTCAAGAAACTCGTCGAACGCAATTTTGTGTGTGTTCACTTCAGACTCAGCATGCTCTGTTGCGATGGGACACACTGAGCGACTCTGCCGAGCGCTACCTAGGGTGCCCTTGAGGCGCTCCTTTGTCGCCGTTTCTACCATAAGTCGCGCCATCTCTAGCAAAGCATCTGCGTCTACATCATGATCCCCGGTATTTTCGTGGTCACCTACAGAACTAAACTGTACGAGCAGGTCAGCATAACTGCTGAGCAGGTGCAGCGCTTGTGCAACCTGTCGCTCGTCCAGGTGGCCGCAGGCGTCGCGGTCCACCATGGCAAAGCAGAGGCGAAGGCGTTCCTCGGCCGTCGCATGACATATGATTGCGTAGCCACACATGAAGTCACGCAGAGACAAACGACCGTTCTGTTCGACATCGAACAACCGAAAGATGAAAGCGACATCATTCAGGCTTGCTTGGGGGAAGTACTCGTGCACCAGCTCGTAAAAGTCTGGCAGTTCCAGACCCCGATGTTGTGGGTCATGAGCTTCAAAGACGCTTCGCAGCTTCCAGAGCTCACCACGATCTAGTTTCAGCTGCGCATGTCGCGTTTGGAATATACCCGTGGGCGCTGGAGCACAACTTGTATCCAAGGGTTTCGCGTAAGGAGCAGATGACGACGACAAAGACGACGACGACGAAGCAGGTTCGAAGCTATTGGCAGCCTCTTTCGGATTGCTCAACCCGGGTTCGCTGTTTCGCGATTGGAGAGACGTTCCAGTTAACTGCGGTACGGTAGCGATGGAATCGCAGGACTGCGCGCCACAACCAGCGGCAGCCGCTTGCCTAGTAACCGGCAGACTCGCTTCCTGGTCGTTCTTTCCACGTTCCTGACTCTGAACCAGTACGTCTGAAGAAAAGCGTTGCTCGTTTGGTTCCTCTAGCGACTGCGGGCGCAAACCGAAGATAGAGTAAACCGTACTCTTGGAGGACAGCCGCTCATCCGCAGTAACCGGCGTTTTTGAGTCCGAGACTCCGCTGCTCTCTCTGCAGGTCGACTCGTCCGACAAGTTCATGGCGCCAACGAGACCACTACTAAGCAGTAAATCCGTGAGCTGAGGCCTGTGTTTCGACCAGCGAGCTTCCTTGGCCCGGCGACTCTGTTCGCCAGCTGCAGTACCTCCGCGTTCAAGCTGTAGGCTCGCTGCACGCGACGCACCGTCAGTGCCCTCAGCGCCAAAGCTCTGCGGGCAGCGAAAAGCCGTTCAGCTCACGTTTTGGTATAGTGTCGACTAAGTAGACAATGTCCGTTGACTCGTCGCAAGCTAGAAGCGTAGAACGATCCAGTCCAGTTGGCGCTCGCCTCAAATCCGAACTGCTGAGCAGCCGAGCGTATCGCTGTCGAGTATCCGCAGGTCTGTGCGCCGTCGACGCCAGGTCTGCTGACGTCTCACCTCCGGAGGCTTCAAGGGCGTTACAAGAAACGCAACCCGTCGGAGGATGCAGGACTTGTGCTTGCGGAGTCTTCAGTTGCGGTAGTTGACACTGGGCTCTGAACTTGGGTGCTGGCATCGTCTGAAAAGCCGGATAAAAGCATTGTTCGCAAGCAACAGTGAAGACTCTGGATTCCCCCTGGATCCCTGGCATACCCGAGATGCGTTCAGCATGTGCATTGAAGCCACTGGTGTACCGATACTTGCGTCGAAAGTATGAATGATATCGGAAGCACGCCTGTCTGAGCTGCATTGAGCTTGTGCATTGAAGCCACTGGTGTACCGATACTTGCGTCGAAAGTATGAATGATATCGGAAGCACGCCTGTCTGAGCTGCATTGAGCATGTGCATTGAAGCCACTGGTGTACTGATACTTGCGTCGAAAGTATGAATGATATCGGAAGCACGCCTGTCTGAACTGCATTGAGCATGTGCATTGAAGCCACTGGTGTACTGATACTTGCGTCGAAAGTATGAATGATATCGGAAGCACGCCTGTCTGAACTGCATTGAGCTTGTGCTCTGAATTCATAGGTGTACCGATACCTGGTTTCAAAGTCATAACGATATTGGATGTGTGGCATACGAAGGCGTGCCCGCCTCCCTAAGTCCGTTAACAACTCCCCGAGCGCAGCCGAACCGATGCAGCAGCGATCGAAATCCGAGCCCAGTTCCATTATGCTCGTTGCACGGTGCGACGCGTTTGGCCTGCACGACAACAGCGTACTCCATGAGGCTGTTGAATGCCGCATCCCTGCGTCCTCGCAAGCATTCAATCTAAGCGACACGTTACTGCCAGCTACATGAACACCCGTTGAAGCGATGCTTGTCCCGGTCGCTTCTGCACCCGAAGCAGCCTGCTTTCCTGTGCGAACAGGATACGCTAGTCCTTCAGCAAACACGCTAGTCTGGGTCTGCAGCATTGGCGGTCGCTCAGCGAAGGCGCCACACGAAACGGTGCGCAGGGCCGTAGCCGAGACGCCAGCGGAAGTCTATAATTGTGCGTATTGTCTCAGTTTAATACGATGGATGATTGTGGCGGAATCCTCGCGCGGCGACGGCTGAGCGGCTCGTGTACTCTATGGGAATGAAGGTTTGTTGCTCAGACAAAGCGCTTTTCGATCCTTTGTGCGACGAATCACCACGATAGTGCATCGGTCTCTCTGGCAGAGCTGCAGTTGTGTTCGACACGATTCGACGACGCCCCTTGCGCCACTGGATACACTCGATCGCGTTGAGTAACTTTTTATATCGCACGACTGCCGCATCCAGCATGACAGACGCCGACGCGCGCCTGCTGCTTCCATTCAGAGGGCGGCGGCGAGGGAGCGCCGCTTGCGTCGCAGGCGCTTGGCGGCGCCTATACTCGCCGCGGGAATCTATCTGCGTTCATCGGTACTGCATAGAACAGTATAGTGACGGTGTTGTAGCAGTATCGACTTGCTACTAACTGTCGTTTCCGCGTAGGACGTCGCAGTGAATCAGTTACAGTAGTGGCGACTTGCATCTAATTGTCATTTCTGCTTAAGGGCATCGAAGTGACTCTTTTGGAGCAGCAGCGACTTGCCTCCCGCTGCCGTTTTCCCCCATAAAGCGTACCTGTGGATCCGTTGGAATCTGTGTGAACACGTACCCTCACTTGCTACCGCGTGAGAGCGCGTGCGTGCACGGTCGTTGTTGCTGGCACCTCTCGCTGACTTGCAGGCTGTAGTTTCATGCGGCTGTACTGAAAATGGCCTTTGTTAAAGCGTCGTGCTGGAGTGCGACAAACCGTGACGCACGGAGAAGGATCATCAACGAGGGCGTTTGTGGGTCGGAGCATCACGTTACATTCGGTGGGTTCGGGGTGTTCAACACTTCGCGAGGTTCCCGAACGGCAACGAGTCCGGCTTTGGGAGAGCAGGCGAAAGCCACTGCGAGCGGGCAGAGTTGGTGGCCGCCCCAGGTCAGCGTCGGAGGCTTTGTGCACACGACGAGGCTTCCAGTCGGCCGGGTCTCTGTCCGAAGGCGGCCCCGGAATGAGGCACCAGCCCTGGCGACGTTACTGTCAAACTCTAGTGAGGAGCGTCCAGCGAGCGGCCGCAGGATGCGGCGGCGCCTCGCTTCGCACGCTGTGTCGCGGACTGTTCCAGAACGTAACCGAACGTCGGTGTACGAGGACCCCAGTATGCCGCTCGTAAGGGTATGTCTGGAGGCAGCGGATGAGCGCAAAGCACAGGAGCTCACTGCGATACGTGTGAGCCATCTCACGTATGTCACGAGTTTCTTTGTGTTTGCGACTGGTCTGAGTCGCACCCAGATCTCGGCCATAGCCCGTCGCATTGAGGAGCGGGTCGCGGAGGTCCTCTCTCGCAAGCCACTTTCTGCATCGTTCCGGGGAGTGAACGCTTCACCCCCCGGTCAGAGCGGTTGGGTCACCATAGATTACGGTGAGGTTATTGTGAATATTATGTCGCCAGAGGCGCGTTCCTACTACGACATGGATACCCTCTGGGGCCGTGGCGAGGCTGTCGACGTGGACCGAGTACTTGGCGCACAGCAGCTGGATGCGAGAACGTCGCCAGGGACATCAAAACCGCTTCCAACAGGAGCAACAAGGGAAGGCGAAAATGATGCATCCGTCTTTCCGGATGATAGTGAATGGGACCTAGAGCCCGGCGCTGAGGCATCGCTTTTCAGTGAAGACTTTCACTCCGAGGAGCGCACCGATGCCGAGGAAGACGGAGAGATCATCCCCATCAGCGTCGAATTGGACACATCCTCAGATGAAGTGGATGTGTGAATAAAAAAGCCGGAATGCGCGTCACACGCAAACTCTTCCTTTTGGGCACTGCTGTTCCCTGGAACTGGGCCCGGAATGTACTCGACGCCATCTTCTTTAGCCTTGGACAGGTGCTGGCACCATGTGTTCCGCATTTGATTCGAATGCCCGGGTCGCTCACATGACACTTTGGGACAAGAGCTTGCACACCTCCGTACATGAACACTGTGGGCATGGCGCTAAGTACGCTGCTGGGTCAGGGCACCGTGAATTGCACGGGCAGCGCTAGAACGTGCATCGACCTGTGCAGCCTTTCGCTGGCGAATGTGCCTACACGACTGGACAGACGACCAAAAGCGGCAACTTCACTGCATAGAGTTTTGCCGCTCAAAGCGCATCATGTCTAGGTAAAGCACGCTTGGCGTCAGCATCGCTGGTGTGACTCTCACTGGTCTGTAGTTGCGATCGGTGATTGTCACACGGCTTCAGCGCCGGGAGATAGCGAGAGCGGCCTCGGTAAAGGTGCGTCTGTTTGCGCAGGAGAACCTCTGTTGCAGGCTGCATATTCATTAGAGATGTGTTCCCAGGGCCGATGCCCATCAAAGCGATGCCATACCGTTCTGCGTGTCTGTGACATCTGCAGCAGCAGCAACAACAATAACAATAACAATAACAATAACAAAAGCAATGTATCCAGAGTGGCAGTAAATGCCCAGCATTGGCTCAGCGCCGAAAACACCGCTGGACCAACACTCGCGTCAGGTTAAAATGAAACACTGAACTGTAAGCGCTGTTCCTGTCTTGCGATATTTTCCGAGCGTTTACTGAGATGTACAGCGTCGATATTCAACATGCAGCAATAACGGCTTACGGATTCATGCCTGAGTATAGGATTCCGTGTTGTCGTTTCAAAAGGGCCCGTTCGACGCCTTGCCTCTAGAATTCGTTACATTCCCGAAATTAGGATGAGTCGCAATGCCCGCGAAGGGGGTTTCGTAAAATGACCGATATCATTATGAGCTTCATAAGTGGAAACCTCCGCCCTTCGCCTTTCCTTGGATTTGGCACACTCAAATCACACATGCTCCAATTTTTCTATTGTCCTGTTTCATGGCCATTCGAGGGCGCGGCAGTGGAGCAAGCCTCGACGCGGCACAGAGCAGCCCTCGGTAGAGCAAATGTGATGATCGTATAGAAACACTTGACCCGTGCTATGTGTCAGCGTTGCGGAAGACGCACTGAATATGTATATAAAGAATATGAAAATTGCAAAAAGAGCGTAGATTCTGGCTTTCACATATGCATGAAATGCGTTGAAACCAAGCGAAAGCAGCGCATTTGGGAGTTGACCGCTGCAATCAACACCCGTTGAAGGTTGGCAATGGAAGCAGATGGAAAGAAACGACCGCCGTTGTAAGCGTCGGAGGTATGAGAGGATAATCAAATAGTCGCAAAAAAAGCGAGTTCCATTGTGTTTTAAAATGACTGTAGAATGGTTTCCACAAAGACAGAGTGCTCTGGAGACCACAAAAACGCAGAATCGTATCCAGAGTGACTGAGGTCTCTTGTATACTACGCGATAACTTTTGTGAATCTGGAGCAGGCGGGTGCCGATTGAATATACCAACTGTACAGCGTACAAACGAGGTGAATGGAGCTCGGAATTCGGCTCATGCAGCTGTTCATGAATTTGCGCTTCCTGTCTGTGCCGGGCAGCAGTCTCCCGATGAAGGCCATCCTACGGCGCGCAACATCTACCAGGTTATAGCAAAAAGCGATCCTTAAAGCTTCACATGGCTAGGCGCTCTGGTTGCAGAGACTTGCCGCACGACCAAACGAGTCTCGGGATAGTCGTGCGTCGAAACCGCACACGTTCAGGAGGAAAGCGCAGCGCGGGCACTACCAGGCGCGTTCCCGACGCTGCACCAGCCACCGTCGATTGCCATCGATGAGAGCATAGATGGAATGCCAAACGCTGGCTATACAGCGGCAGGCTGCAAGAAGAGTCGTGTTTTCGGCACCTGGGGACAGCGTAGGTAACCGCTGCTGTCGTTAGCAGTTAGCTGGAGTAACAGAGCCTCGGGGTCAGCAACGTGTTTCGCCGAGTTGAACGGACCCGCTTTTCGTTCGTGCGCACTGGGGTCGGTAACCAGTAGGCGTTGCGATCGTGCTCGGAGCAGCAGAGGCGGTGCGCCCCGCGGGCAACGTGATGCCTGATCTCAGTTCTCTGCAGGTTGTTGGCACCAAGGCAGCCGAGGAATCGAGGCTGGAATCAAGGAAGCCCAGCCGAAAGCCCATCGACTGGACAAACCTCGGTCTGGGCGCCGCGCTGCAGCTTTTCGAGGTGACGACTCTGGGGCAACCGTTTGAAGTCATTAAAACCCACCTCGCTGCAAATCGGAACGACACGTTGTTAGAGGCGGTTCGGAAACTGTACGCTAGAGGCGGACTTGCTGCTTTTTGGACGGGACTCGTTCCGTGGGCCTGGATCGAGGCAGCAACAAAAGGTGCTGTTCTGCTCTTGACCCAGACCGAGACAACGTTTTACGCGCAACATGTTATGGGCCTGTCGCCGGGCTGGTCAGCTGCTGTTGGCGGTATGGCCGGAGGTGTTTGCCAGGCCTACACGACCATGGGATTTTGTACCTTCATGAAGACCGTGGAAGTAACGCGATCGCGCTCAGGGCCTGGCAAGGACATGAGCACCTGGCAAGTCGCTTTTGACATTCTCAAACGTGACGGCATCGCGGGCATGTACCGAGGGGTGAATGCCGTAGCGCTTCGTCAACTCACGAACTGGGGCAGTCGCTTCGGCCTCAGCAGGGCCACCGAGTGGATTTTTCGCCGCAACGATCCAGAGCGAGCGCTGACTACCTCAGAACGTCTGGCAAGCAGTGTCATAGGTGGAGCGCTGGCCTGCTGGAATCAACCAATCGAGGTGATTCGCGTGGAGATGCAATCTGCCATGAAAAGGGAAGACTGGCCACAGAATCGCCCGGTAAATATGTGGAGCGTTGCACGGTGGATTTATCAACGGAACGGGATCCGTGGTTTCTATCGGGGTGTGACGCCACGGATCGGTCTCAGCGTGTACTTGACCTCGGTCATGGTATTCGGCGGTGACCAGCTCAAAGAGCGAGTCGCGGCCCGACGCGAGGCTCGACGGCTCCAACGCGAGTCAAGCGCGTCCTCTTCGTCAGCTGCTTGAGGGCCCTATGCCTTTTTGACAGTGCTTGCACTTGCTCCGCTCTTCTTCGACTTTTTCTTCCGGGATTCTTCCCGTTCAGCCGCTGTTTTGGTTTGCCGGGCGATCGCTTCCTGTTGCCGAAGCCTTTGCTTCACGGCTCTCGACTCTTCGATTAAAAACGCTCGATGAATCCTATCCCGCACAGCATTACCGCAGAGTACTCCTCCATATGCGCGAGATACGCTTTTCTTCGGTTTTGAGAGGCGTGCAAGTTCACGCGGCCTCCGCACGGGAACTCCGTTCAGCTTTGTTCCGGTATCGCCGCAACGCGGTGCTTTGGTTCGCTTCTTCAGGTAGTGCACTCTGAGGATCCCACCTGGAGTCTTCACTTTCCGAATCTTATTCGATTTCGTCGCGTATGGTCTTCTCTTTCGGAGCGTGATCCTGGTATCAGGCATTTCGACGTGTCACCAGTGTGCTGTGCAAGCTGCGGGGTCCAGCGGCAACAGGCCGTATCGTACAACTAGGGGAACTGCAGTTGTGTGCCAATGCGCTGCACGTAGAGCTGCGTGCGCGACGGCAGTCACGCCGCGCACTGTCCTTTTAGTACATTTATGTATGAATTCATACAGAATAAACGAATGCGGTCTGGTAATTAATGGACAAATCGTTTCCATAGGCCAGCGTTCTCCATCTGTGCGCTTTTTTTTCTCTTTTTTGTTTGTTTTTCAGTGCGCGGTGAAGGAACACTGGTGAGATGGACACGCTGCCGCCGGCAGTGCACAGGGGAGGCGAACGGCCCGCACTAGATAAAACGTCTCGAACTGATGTACAGATGCCTCTCAGTCTTTTTGGACCGGCCACCTACTACTGGTTTCAACTTTTTCTCATATAATCCCACCTCAAGAGGTTGTCCAACAAAATTCCTTCGTGTCAACTCTGGAGGTCTTTTCTCGATCACCGCACATCTTTTATTGATAGCAGCATTAAATTCACGATTCACAAACTCCATCCGTTTCTTGCCGTTGGTAGTTGTACTCACTAGTGCAAGTAACCCTCGAACTTTCGCCTTCATTTCCATTTGCTCTTCCGTCAGCACTCCGTACTCTTTGATATCCTCAGGGCTCCGCTGGCACTTTTCCATCTCGACCCTCTGAAGTGTACACCCCAGTTCATGGTGTGTATAGGACGTTCGGAACTCATCTACATGTATCGTAATGAAACGCCGCGCACACTCCTTGTACGTTGTTGTCGTTGGAGCTGGCATACATCCTTTTCTCGATGTCCATCGCTCTGCTCCGTACGCTAATACGAGCCTCTGATTTTCATCCTCCTTCAGGGCTCTCAACTCATTCAAAAAGTTCGCGAACGCGCGCTGTGTCCCATACTACAAATTCATACGCAAACGAGCCCATCGGGGCTTTGTACACTCCTCCCACAGCGCCTCCCAGCGAGCAACGCGAACTTCCATGAACTCCCGAAAAGCTTGCCAGTCCGCTCCGCGGCTCGTCACCTCGCTCAAAGCATCCAGGTGCTCTTTCACTCCTGCATTCCGTGTCTCAATTTTCTTCCTCGCATTCATTTTACCGGATTCTCGATAGTATATTGCTCTCGAGAACCTCGAAACACGCATGTCTCTCTGACGTAAATCGCCGTCAACACCATCTTCCGCACGCTTGGGTACTGCGATCGTTATGATATTCGTACCCCCGGGGTTCGCACCAAAGACAAAGTCGTTCTCATGCACTTTCTGCGTCGCGGGATCCACCTCCTTCTAATGTTCATATTTCGCAGAGGGCGAACCCGAGGACAGAACAGAACGATCCGCCTCCAACCGCCGATAGTGTACATACATGGCTACCCCATCGCTTTCGATCGTCCCCATGGATGGCTTTTCCTTCCTCGTTTGAGACGTTTGAAGTCGAAGATACTCTTCCGGTGCGTCTCTCGGTTTTCGCAGGTGAACCATATCTTCCTTACATCGAACTATGGACTGATCTCCTTCATGATGCCGTAAAGGATTCTGGAGTCGATTGTCACAAGATGTGACTTGATATTGCACAACGTGACGATATTGAAGCGCTTCCCCATCAGGACAGCCTTGCGTCTCTCCGACTCTTCATTTTTTCCATATTCAGCTGTTTTCGGCCTTACGGTCGAGTTCTCGATTTAGGAACACGAAATACCGCTTGATACGGGGATAACATCTTTCTACATCTTTTTTAACATTTGATCAGTTTTCTGCTGGATTCGCCAGCCCCAGAACCGAACAGTGCTCCGGTGCTGCCGTACGGATCGCAGAAGCCTCACTCTTTCTCATGCGTGATGTCTTCATGTCGACAAATTCGATCTCATCTTCATGATGGGGATCGTTCGTGATGCCATCTATAATAGCCTAGCTCTCTTTTCCAGACAGGCCCCTGGTGGAGTGTAAAGATGGAGCGCACCATGAAATGTTCGAGGTTGATGGTCCTTTGGTTCTTCAGGCTCGTGAGGTACTTGATCGCCCCGTAGGTGCAAATATCCGCATCACACCTGTATCGAGTACCGTTGAAGCGATATTTGGCGTAATTTTCCCGGAGGACGTGAACTCGCTCATTGCTCCCCGACATTGTCTCCGTGCCAATCGTGAAGTGGTGGATGAAGGCCTTGCTCAAAGCTTTTTCCGTATCCTCGACTGCTTCGATGTATGTAACGTCGCGATGCATCTATTTTTCCAAGTACCTCAGTCGTGAAGAAGGCTTTTGTAATGCTCGCGGACTACGAATTGACATGATTTCTGATGGGCTCTAGCAACTTTTGCCTGTACGGTTCCTTGATATGACCAAGGAGGCAGGCTTTCACTACCATCTCGTCGCACTGTCATCTTTCTCGCAGCTTATGACGTCACGCCTCCACCGTCTGCTCTTTCGTCTTCTCCTGTTCCTCTTTGTTTGGCGCTGTTTTTCGCTTTTTTTTCTGCCAAGCGGTGATACCAGGCCTCCAGGATCCTCACCATCCTTCTCCATACTTGCTTTTTTTTTTTTAATTTTTGAAAAAAAACGCTCATTGAACGCTTGAGTTATAAACCGCAAAAAAATCACTTGAATAGACTTGCTTGGAGGTAAAAACACAACTGAGATGAAACACTATAATTTGCTATGCGCTCAACGCAAATGCGACTTGTACAGTAAAACAAAACGTCAAAAAATGGTCAGTCTCGCGTTTCCCTTCAACTGCCACATGCAAGGCGCATCTCGTGACTACCAGATATGGAGGTGCGCGTATCGACCGCGCTATGCAAACAAAGAGCAAAAACGATTCACCAACTAGCAACGATACAACGATTTCTTTCGTCCTCTGAGATAAACGTTAAAAGCGGGAAAATGTCTCCATATTGTCGACAGTTTACCGTATAGGTGGCAGATCCTGCAAGCCGCGCGAGTCTGCCAGGCTCGTGCTCCATGCTCTCCTCCGTGCCCGGTGCTCTAGCGAGATCTGAGCAACTCGTACGCAACGCAGTTGACTCTGAGACTCGGGGCAGTTCCGCTGCATCTGGGCGTCGCCCGGGTCGCAGTGGACGCCCAGAATATCAATTCGAGCTGTCGCAGGCACTAGGCTTGTCTGGACAGATTTCTGGCTCCCAAACTCACTATGTATCCCGACACCGTTTCAGGTGAAGCGTTCCTCGAACAGATACCCTCAGTGGTACGACAAAGCACAGCTCTATCTCCGTGCTGCATCCACTCCAGCGATATAGACGCTACGGCGGGAGCAGCGACGCAGGCACTCTGTTCACGATAGAACCCACAGAACAACCAGTATTTCCGAGAGAAAGTACAAGCAATGGAACTTGGAGATAGGCTGCAGCATCCTGGACGCATTCCCGAATGCCAATACCCGTCCATCCGGCAATCTGGGATCCCCTGATCCATGGAAACGCCTTCTGTCATCGAAAACAAAACGAATTGCACCCGCTGCCGCCGCCGCCGGCGATCGACGGACACCCGGAGTCGTGGTGCGTGCCGGAGGGCACGACGTCGGCCCTGCCAGCGTGCCTGCTACGGACTACGGTATCGCCGTGCTACTGCTTGCGCTAACAGAGGGATCTGTAGAACGAGCTCTCGTGGTGAAGCGCTCTAGTGTGTGTTGTGTCCTTTTTCTCTTTTAGAACCTGAAACAACGTGAGTCGATTCTAGGAAGGACTCCTGCTCTTGGGAGCCATCTGATCTACTCGTGAACTGGCGGTGGCGTCAGGCGCCATTCGTTTCCGGAAGAGCGTGTCGAGCGTCCACAATGCTCGAACGCGTTCAGGCGAAAGATTTGAGAAACGATTCCAGTGTATATCAGCATGCACGATCGAAGGCTAGGTTGGAATCTCGCAGTGGCAAAGGAGCGTTTGTGTCCGCCGCACCGCTTCCACACCGCGTCGGGCCTTGCGGTACTTTGAACAACCTGCGTCAGGGTCAGTACGTCCAAGTTATTGCGCTTCGTACTCCTGCAGTTGAGGAGCCCGCGAGAAACCTGAGTTTGAGGAACTCGAAGCGAAGACGCGAGAGCGAAGCGACCTCGGAAGCGTCTATACCCCACTGGCCAGCTGCGTGCACCTGCATGGCCTGGTCGGACGGAAGGCTTATTGTCTATGCACATGATCGTGTGCCTTCTGTTGAAGGCAACGGGGATGGGGCTAGCCTGTCCGAAAGCCCTGGATGCATCTTAGTGGGAAAGTGGCGAGACGATCCGTCGCTGTCGCCGGATCTCTCGCTAGCGGCAATGAATCAGCTTGGTGCGGGGCCGTTTTTAGGAAGGATCACGGCGCTGCAGTGTTCTTTTGACGAGTCGAACGAGTTTGAGCCCGCGAAACGGCAGCGCAGTCATGTCGTAGACCCAAGTCCTGCAGCCAACGCGGAGCAGCTGAATCGCTTTCCCGCCGCCCCGGAGCAAGGATACCCGCAAGCGCGTACGAGGCTCTTGATCGTCGTCGGCTACGAGAGCGGTGCCCTGCGTCTCTTCACTGTTGATATCAGTCGATGCGTAGATTTGAACGCTTCCCAGCGTCGTCAAACGAAGACAGGAAGCGAGATCGACTTGGCGCTAACACTTGAACTTTGTGACGTCTGCCGCTTGCCAGGCCGGATCGAATCCTTGGTGGTATCGGCACATTCCCCGCGACAGGAGGAATATTTGCGAGGCGGTTGCCTCCAGCATGTATACGCGGTATGTCGCGACAGCGACCCGATTGTTTGGGCATTGCAAGTGCGACGCTCCTCAGACAGAACTGTGGATGGCCAGTGCAATGCCGTCTATTGCTGGAGTGATACACAGCACCATCGAAGGTTGCGCATCATGCACACACGCGGAACTTCATTGCAGGCCTTGGCGATTTCCCCCACAGATCGCTACCTTGCTGTCGCTGCGGGTGAGTGCCTTAGCGCTTACGAGCTTCCGCGATGGTGTGCGGACGCACGGGAGCCCGGTGCGTCCCGGGACGTAGAAGTTGAGCGAATATGGCGCTTCACGGGGCACTCGAGTACCATATGCTGTCTTGCATTCGCAGGACCTGTGCTGCTGGCGAGTGCAGCGCTCGGCGATACTCTGATTTCACTCTGGAGACTGGATCAAGAGAATAGTTCGGCTCTTCACTCAGAAAATGCCAATTTTATCGAGAGCCCGCCCTGGCGTTCTGTGCTCTGCCATGCGGTGAACAGTGCGCCTGCATCAGTCGTCCAGCTGGTGGCTGCGGAGCACTCGCCAGAGGCGCGCTTGCCATCGATGAAGCGTGCTGCCGACACTTCCCGCACGACGAACGGTATCTGCTCGTCGGGTACAGCGACGGACCACGCCCTGGATGAGCACCCAGTTGGTCGAGATGCGGTATCTCCTAGAGCGTCAAACGCCGCCGATGCGGACTCTGCTCGCATTGCGATGGATGCCAGCCCCGAAACGTTTCTGCTGGCCGTGCTCGGGGACGGCAGTGCACAGCTATTCGGGGTGAAAGAGCGCCTATCAACACCTGGCCAGGTGTCGGCGATGAAAGCTGGCGAGAAGCGCTCGACTGTGCTCCATCCGCTGTTGATATTGCAGCCACAGGAGCCTTGCTTTAGTGGTGCTTCAGTTATGCGCTGGGTGAACAATGCCGGCGAGCAGCAGCTTGGCTTTGCCTTGTTTTACGGAAGCCTTCAGCAACCAAAAATTGTGTTTGTGCCGCGGAAGCTGTGGTCGCAGGACGCGCCGACAATGAACGGTAGCGAGAGCGGTGCGGCGCCCGTCATCAGTCTCCAAAACGATGCGCTATCAAAAGTCGAGCACCAGCGATCGTCGAACGTCGCACGTGCGAACAGCAACCCGATCTCATCCGACAGTGTGCATACCAACGAAAATACTCCGGTCTTGAACGGGGCTCGAGCGAATCACTCGGGTGGCATCCTGGGGTACGCGCAGCTGCCCGTTGAAGCATCGGCACCTTCGGATTCAGAGCGAAAGAAACACGCGCTGGATACGCAAACCATGCCGCCGAGCCTGTCGCTGACTTCCAGCGTCGTCGCAGATGGTGCGGATGGCGTATGCACCAGTATACAGCGGATTCCTGGGAATGACGAGCACGGAGCGGCAGCGAATGTTGGCATGAAGCTGAACGCTGTTGAGGCGGCATCGCACCAGAAAACCGCGCTCTTGCCAGAGCCCGTAGATCCAGCAGCGTCTTCTGCGAACATTATGGCTGGGAACGAGCTCTTATCGCTAGCCGAGCAACTTTCGTATGTGCAGCAGCAGGCGAGTGTTGCATCGGCACCCGAGCTGTTCAACAAGAGTTCCGGAGAGCGCCCGCTGGCAGTGGACACCGTCGCAACCTTGATTGTTCAAGCGTTGGATGCAAACGATAACCAGTTGTTGGACAGGGCACTCGCTGCAGTCCAGACCGCAGCTGGCGCATCTCGCACTGTGCGGAAACTGCCCGCGCGCGCGATCCTCTCGTTACTTGGAGCGTTGGTGGCGCGTTTTTGTTCACATTCTGTTCGTGCACCGGCATTATCATTGTGGATTCGAGCAGTTATTCGATGTCACGCTCCTTTTTTGCTCAGTCAGCGTGATGCTCGCTTGCCGCAGCACGGTGCGAATTTGCAATCTGTTCGCGAGGCGATGGTCGCGCTGTATTACGCCATTGAGGAGCAGCGTCGCCTGCGGGAGGCACTCGTCCGCCTCGAAGGCCGCCTCGAGCTTATCATGGCATTTGCGCAGTCGGTATCATTCTCTGGGCAGCCGCAGCCGCAGCAACCAGTCTCCAAGTTGCGAAGGATCATTCGGGAGCGACCAGTTCACGTACAGGCGCAGACAGCAGATGAAGAGGTAGCCTCCGTGGCCGACACGACCTCCAGTACGTCCACAACGAGCTCATCTTCACCGGATGCGAGCGATTCGAGCGGAAATTCAAGCTCCGAAGAATCCAGCGCTCTATAGTTGTTGTAAACCGAATCAGGTATTGAGGCGTGCATGGTTGCGAGCGCATGTTGACGCATGGCTAATTTTCTGCCCCAGCTCGGAGTGCCTCGCACAGCCAGCGCTAGTCGGCGACGTTTCCAGCCTGAGACCAAAGCACCGAAAGCTGGTCGTCCTTGGAGTCATTCAGTTTTATCAGAGACATGGACTGCCAAAAACTGGTCGCAAACACCGTCTCTCCTTACGTGAGACTCCACCGAAACGGCTGTGTGTCGGTCCCCAAGCGGCTCACTGCCAATCCCGCCGAACAATAGCGGTTTTCGAAGAATGTGCTCTCGGTGGCGTTAACTGCTACAACAATCGCCGACACGCAAGATGCCACTGCATGCGCCACTACCGACTCGAGCACGGAGCCAGAGTCATCGTTTCAGGCACCCAGCATCGACATTCGTCGTTTGTTCTCTCTGATGCTTTCGCTCTCGCTCTGTTGCTCACAAAGAACGAAGCTGCTCGTTTACTGGACAAGGTCCTCGAAAGCGAAAAGGTGTGACGGACCTTCACTGCTGTAATCGGACGCGGCTGCGAGTGCGTCTCACCACCGTAGGCGCGTATCACGCCCGCCACTTGGCCAACGTGGCCAGCTTTCCCGTACAGAAACCTATCTCAAAAGGCAGCAGAGAAACCCTCCAAAAAGACACAGGTCCGAAATCTCTTCATGTCCGCCAGGCAGCGTTTCCTGCGTCTATGCCGGCCTTCCGCACGGCTGCCCAGTTCTGAAGCTCGTTGGCGAACTCGTCCTCGAGGACGTGGATCTCGTTCTTGAGCGCAACAAGCGCCGCACACAGGGCTTCCAACGGCGTGTACTCTGATCTTCGAGTCTGAACTTTTAGGATCACGTGGTGTTCAAGCGGATGAGGAACGCGGTAGGCAGCAAAGAGAACGTTCCGGTCTCGCAACAGCTGCGCCCGCAGTGCGTTCGCAAGTGTGTGGTCCTCGCGCTCAATCACGAAGCTTGCACAGTTTGGTAACCTCGTATCAGGAACATATCGTAGCTTCTTCACACCCTCCGGCAAGACGATGGACTCGAAACGATCAGGCAAGTTATCGTCAGCCATTGCTCCAAAGAGAAGCAACGTTTCCAACGCGCAGCTGTGTCAGAACGCGGCGACACGCATGCAATCGATACGTGCTGGACACGCATCTGCGGGATATCCAGCGGTGGCGCTTTCCTATGAGGCGTTTCCATGAGCAAACTCAGCAATTGGACACTTTGCTTATGACTCGATAGTTGGTAGAGGAGCCGCTGTTGCAGCAGCAGAGAATCAGGGACAATGCGAGTCAAGGCTGTACGCACAGCAAGGGGCTTGCCTGGACGGACGTCCGATTTTCAGCATCGAGGTTGGCTTTCTGCGTCTGCATCCTGGGCGGTACTCGAACCGAGCATGAGCCCGAAAACTTCTGGCAATGCTCATACAACCTACAGGTGGATATAAGAGGCGTCGACGAAAGGCAATCGAGAACGAATACATCCCCTAGATTTCGAGCGATTCGCGGATTGCGTTCTCTCGCGCTCCCGGCAAGGCAGTTGCACATAGGAATCCAGACTGCTTGTCATAGAAGGCATGTATCATTCGTGACGGCTATCGATTCCGGAAAGCGCAATTGGATGCCAAGTGGTCCAAGGCGACGTCTGCGAATAGAATCACGCAACCGCGTGCGTCGGATATCATCTGTCGCGACTGGGACGCGCGAAGCTCGTCTTGCTCGGTCCGTTGCGTGATTGTCTCAGGCGCCGAAGATCACGCACACTAATACAGAAGATGACTTGTCTGTCTGTCTGTCTGTCTGTCGCTGGTGATTGCTTCTGTGTGGAACGTGCATTTACAGGGGTGCCATCCGGTGCTCGCGTGCGCCCCAGTAACCAGATAGCATCTGACCGCTTCCGCGCGCTGCGTCCAGCTTTGGCACAGGGCGGACGCTAGGCGCAACCTTCAAATTTGTCACATTATGATCGTAAAGTTAAAAAAGTTTCTCATTTGGTTGATGCAATCGGCGGCGCAGTCCGCGATGGCGAGGCGTCCAACTTACGACTTGCGTACTATAGACGCGGCTCTTTGGGTACCACGAGCACAGACATACGACTTGCCACCATGGTGAACGCTGTCCAGACTTTTGGCAGGAAAAAGACCGCGGTTGCAGTTGCTCACTGCAAAGAAGGTCGAGGTATTATGAAAGTGAACGGCGTTCCACTGGATCTCCTGGAGCCCGAGTTGCTCCGTGTAAAGGTTTTCGAGCCGCTGCTTTTGCTCGGTGAGGAAACCTTTGCAAACGTGGACGTTCGAGTTCGAGTGCGGGGCGGAGGAGTCACCTCTCAGATCTATGCTATTCGACAGGCTATTTCGAAGGCAATCGTTGCGTACTACCAAAAGTACGTTGACGAGGCGAGCAAGCGAACCATCAAAGACATTCTTGTCAGCTACGACCGCTCTCTGCTTGTTGCAGATCCGCGGCGCTGCGAGCCGAAAAAGTTTGGCGGTCGTGGTGCTCGTGCTCGCTTCCAGAAGTCGTATCGGTGAGGCGAGCGATTTTGTTGGAGACGCGCATCTGTTGTGGTGTGCACTCTTGGTGCGCCCTGGTTCGCCACGAGGTTGCCCACTGCGCCACTTGCTATGTCTACGACTCGATTTCGACTGGACCGCGCCAGGTTGATACTTGTGAGAATGAACGAGAAGACCAGCAAACCGTAATAGCCGCTGACGGGAATCCAGAATCAAGAGTGCACTGCAGACTGCGACTCGGCACTACATGCTGTGCGATTTTGCCATTTACGATGGTAACAGGGAAACTCAGCAGCCGAACGACATACGACAGGCGATATTTTAGAGGATTTACTGCCTTGAACGCCTCGAAGGGGCGTCCAGCCGTTCGATATCTTTGGTCTGGCGAACGCTCAGGGCACGATCAAGAGGCACGCGTGCACGACAAGGTTGGCGCATACACGTTGATGGCCATAAAGTTTGGTGTTCAAGTTTTCTGATAATGGGATTCGAGCGTAGACGTAATGCGCCTGTAAAACGTTACTTCTTCTTCTCCTCTTCTTGCGCAGCTTTTTCCATTGCGCGCTTCTTCCGAATACCATCGTAGCGTTGCAGTGTTCGTAACTTGCGGAGCTCTCGGTACGCTTGGAATTGTCTTTCCTCGTCCGTAATAGCTCGAGTACCCAACAACACGCCTTGTTTCTTTTGAATGGGGATAATTTCCTTATCCTTGAGCGTTGTCGCCTGGGCTAATATTGTTGGATCCGTCTCATCACCCTTGCGTGGGCGGTTCTTCTTCCGGGGGAAGACGACCAACCGGGACATGTACTCCTTCAATCGAGCCACATTACACTGAAGCGACTCATCACTCCTGTTGCGCCGTCGATGATCAACGGCTATACCTATCGTCGGTGCTAACTTGGGTGATATACCCGCCGCGCGTAGCTCTTCTAATGTAAACCCCCGACCACAACGCACGCGCCAGTTGTACCGTTGCGTTGGGCAGTGCACCACCGGACGCAGCGGACCAGCGAGCGGCCGCTTGCCTAGTTTCTCCGCTTTGCGCGCCCGCGCCAGCCTTCGTCGCTTCTTCCGCCCCGGCTGATCGAACCACGTGCGGATGCGCTCCTGCCAGTGTTTCCGGAACCGATTGGCCGGTATCGCGTTGTTGTGACGCATGCTACCACAGCCTGCCTATATGATCACCAATACAGCACAAAATTCTGTTACCACAGGGCGTCTCAGCTGTACCAGCAGCACCAAGCACACGCCAAAGCTGGCCAGGAGTCGCTGCACGCTACGAAGCCGTCAATCCGAAGCGTGTACCGTTCTTCAGCCTGCGATGCGCCATCGCGCAGCGTCGCGTGCGCGCCCGGAGGCGCATACCGCGGCGGTGGACGCGGCGGCTCGTGTCACGTGACCGAGGGCGGAGGTGGGTACTCCGCCAAACCCGCCAGTACAGGTGCTCTAAAGGACTAGCGCGTTGCGTGCCGAAAGAGCGCTCTCTCCTCGGGGGCTGCTGACCGGAGTGTTTCTGAGGTCGGCGGGTGGGTTGTGGGCTCCCGAAGCCCCAGTTGAAGGAGGCAGACGGGTTGTCTGGCAAGGTTCGTTTCTCGGACTTGCGCCGGTCCGTCGCGCGGGAGCACCTGGGCTCGCAGCAGGCCAGTTGTTGCGTTTTGCCCTGAGCGCTCGTCGTAAAGACGGTTTCGAGAAGCGTTCACAGCAGGTGAAGGTTACGGAACCCGCTGGCGGGTCAGGGGCGGTGAGGGCTGGCGTTCCGCGCGGCACACGCTCCCGTGTGAGATGCCCAAACTCGAAACGGCTACCGATACCGATGGAGTTGCAGGGCCACCTATCGCATATATGGTTTCGAAGCAGAACGGGACACCCCCGGGACGACATGGAAAAGCTTCTCATGCTGCTCAGGGTATCGCACCAGCAATGGATACCGTCGATGCGCCAGCCGAGCAGGGCCCTGTATCCACTGATGCGCACTGGATTGGCATGCACTCCCAGCAGCGCATGTCCAGCACTGGTCATGAAGCGGAGCCTGGCGGTGCACGCGCTGACAGCAGTCCAAATGCATCACTGGGAAACAGAATGCAAGGGGCGTCCTCGATGGGGAGTTTTCGGCAGCGCCTCAAGGTCGTCGGATTCGAACTCGCACCAGACCAAGAAATGAAGTATTTTCAGCTTCTTCGAGGCTTCTTCAAAGCGCAGCTTACGAAGATGGAGTTGCAAGATGCGCTTCAGGGAATCTTCTCGACAAGTGAACTGCGTGAGCATAACATGTTCCTGCGTGACCTGCAGAGCCGCGCCCTACACGGAGCACATACAAATGTGCCGCCGCTGCCGAATGTATGGGAGCACAACCGATCATCGCGGCAGCGACAGCAGTATCTATTGCAGCTGAAACCCTTCAGCAGTTTAGAGGCCGAGCAACTCGCCCGAGCGGAGCATCGCGGCCGAAGTACGGCGCGGCGACCTGCGAAGCGACGACGCAGTGAGGGCTCCACACCTGTGGCAAACCTTGATGCTGCCGGAGACGCCGAAACAGCTGAGGTGTCATCGCACCATACCGAACTGGTCGCTACCGTACGCAAAAAGGGCACTCGTCCTCGCGTTCGAACTCGCGCCGCTGCAAATGCCGCTACTACGGACCGGCGATCCCGCCTTCATGTTGCTGAGCGCCAAGCAGGAGGCGCGCTTGGCAAGGGTCTGCAAGGCGAATCTAATGCCACTGGGACTGTGAGCACCGCGTCCTATCGTGATGAGGCCATATTCCAACAGGCAACAGCAGATCTTCGGCAACGGGAGCTTTTGCGCCGATCGGAGCGCCTCGACGCACCGGCCGTGGCGAACGCAATGACGGTGGCAATGGCGAAGCAACGGGGCATGCCGTTGCGACGAGCTGCCCGCCTCGGGAGCAGCGGGAACGGAAGCGGAGACCCCGGTAGCGTGGGGTATCCTTCGCTACCATTCTCGCCGCTTCCACCAGGCCTCAGCTTGGATATTGAGATTTTCCTGAAACTTAAGCGACGTCTCGTGCAGCTGCTCGAAGCTGTGGAGCAGATGTCTAGCACAAATACGGGAAACGAAGTCTGGCTTGGGTACGAGTGCGTACCACTCGGGTTTAACGGGATGCCGCGGTCCGCATCACGCAACGCTGTTACCGGCATCCGTGATGAAGCCGTCGCGCTCCTTGTCCATAGCATAGAAATGCATGTTCGTGATCTTTTCGACGTGATTTATGGTATTCCAGACATTTATGACGAGGGCGACGCCAGTTCGGAGGCAACGCTGTACCGTCTACGGGCCTAGAATCCATTGCACATGGAAACTGCGCGCGCGTGGCACTCCAGTCTGTCTGTACCATGTTTGATTCAACTAAGGCGCAGAGTCGTGTTTTCTTATCACTCTCTGCTGTGTACAGCGAAGCGCCTCGACTATGGATTATGTTTAGCAACGCAGGCGCAACGCATGCTTTGTAGAACGCTTCACACAGCAACCAAGTGATATGCAGCCACTGGGATTCCTCTGCTTCCAATGCACGAGGCAGCGTGCAACGACGGGGGAACGTTGCGCATCACGCTGCAAGGCGATGCGAATGCTGGTTTCTTTGCGCGACCTGCTGCGCTACGTCTACGCATTCTCGAACACGTTGTATCCTCATTTGCCTATGCGTGAGGTTTCGGGAGGCTTGCGGGCAGCTTTCACTCGTGGCGATCTATTCCTACGCCACGCGCGGCATGGCCGAATGCTCCTCAAAGGCAGCGTCACGCGCGTAAACGCTATGCGGCACCAATCTCACCGATTTACATATCTTTTGGTGCTTTACCGAAAAACGGACACGGCTTGTTACTGCGTGATCCAGAACACGGTGCTTCAGAGGTCTCCTTCGAGAAGCTTGGCGTCGATTTTGAGCGGGGCACCAGGCTTGAAGGGCGGCAAGCCGAGGTAGGGGCAGCTCGCGCAGCGAAAGGCATCTCCGAGATGACAACTGTTACAGGAGCCAGTCTCCATAGTTGGCGTCTTCCCTGCTGGGTCACTCTTTGCGGTATTCTCTGAAAAAGAACCACCGTTCACTGCGGCATCTTGCTGGTCTCGCCGTCCACATGTGCAGTTTGCACATGGCTGGCGATTGGCCAAAGCCACTCCGGATGTCCCACAGCCAGAAGTCTTTCCGTTCGCTTGCTCGGAGTTCTGTGCCCCGGAAAGCTCGGTGCTTGATATAAGCTCTTCGTCGTCGATGTACTCCGTCGCGACGGTCGCATCCTGCAACTGAAAGACTTTTCCGAAGTGAGCGGAGTCACTGGGCTTCAGTGCGCGCAGAGAGAACCCAGACGGCTCGCTGGAGCCTGTATCTTGCGATTCAGGAACCCGGGCGCCGTTCACTGTTGGTTCTGGCTCTTCCGCTGCCCAGCCTATGCTAAGGAATCGCTCCCGGAGCTGGTGCGCCTCGGCTTCGGTGATGTCGCGAAATATCACACAGCCGGCTGGAGCGGTTCCCGCGTCGAGGGCGTCGAGCACTTGCCAGCTACATAGTGCGGCTATTGCTCGCTCTCGTGTTGCGGTAGCGTTTTGAGACGCTGCTCCCAAGTCCAGACTCCAGCTGTGCAGCGCTTGCGCGAGCGCCGCACCGTGGATGTGTGAAACGAGCTCTTCCACAGCCTCCTGGAGTGTTTTTGTTCTAGACACTAAGTCTAAAACGTTTGTAGTATACTCTGACACCATTTTGTCGAGATGACCAAAAAACCGAGAAAAAAATAGGTACTAGTGAGATGCTCTACCACTAAGCTACGAAGGCCTGGAGCACGTTTTGTGCGTCCTGAGCCTTCGATGGGAATTGAACCCATGACCTTCTCATCGCTGCGCGACGTATAAATTCGGTTGAAAATTGATATATATAGACCTGCTGCGCTCGTGCTACGGGGACTGGTTGCGGCGCTCGTACCGAGGTACCAGAGTATGCGCTAAAACAACGTCCACCGCTGTCTTGTTCTTTTCTGAGACGTTTTGGTACTGTTCTGGGGGGAATGGTGCGCACCTTTGAGCGCCAAGCGGTTCCTGGTGCTGCGGTGTACCACATTACCTCTCCGCCTGCAGAAACGCCGCTTGAGCAAGTCACCAAAGGCTCGAAGCAAGCGTCGCGCCGAAACGTTCGAGACGTTCGTGCAAGGACAGGCGCGCACGCTGCACAGATCCAACTGCTGCAGGACCTTGAGTTTCCTGGATCGTGTGTGCGAGTTCGCTCGACACCTTCCGGTACGCACTTGGTTGCAGTTGGGACATACCCACCGCAGCTGCGAGTTTTCGAGTTTGCAGAGCTGGGTCTCAAGTTTGTGCGCCACTTTGACGCTGCACCTGTGGATCTTCTCGTTCTTGAAGACGACTGGCGAAAGCTGGCTATTCTACGAAACGATCGATTTATTGAGTTGCACTCGCAGGGCGGCTTGCACGAGAAGGTGCGTATTCCGCATGCTGGGCGAGCCTTGGCCTATCACCCGAGCAACTGTGACTTGTACGTTGCCGCGGCTGGGTCTCGCGTGTATCGCTTGAACCTTGACGAGGGTCGGTTCTTGCCGCCCCTAGAAACATTTTCCGCGAGTAACGAGACTCTGCAGCTCAACAAAGAATTTAACTTGCTCGGAGCTGGCGGTGACTCGGGGTTTTATGAAGTGTTCGATCCGCGCGAAGAACCGCATCGGCGAGCGGGCTGCTTCAATCCTGCCAAGCATGCAACAGAACTCGGGAACAGCACTGTGACCTGTTCCGTGTTTCAGGGTCTACATCTTGGTGTTGGGCTGGATGACGGGACACTACTGCTGTATGATATTCGATCAGAACGACCACTTGGGGTACGGTCGCTCGGCTTTGGCCTCCCCGTGCAGTCGGTCAGCATCCACGTTGGCGCACACGAGCCGAATCGTTCCTGGCTAGTTGCAGCGGACAGAAAATGCGTGAAAATTTTCGGTGACCTCCGATTAGAGGACGCACCCTTTCTGAGTTTCGAGACTCCTGCTGATATCGAGCAGCTGGAGACCTCATTCGGCGGCGCCGGACTCGTCATGGCAGCTTGTTCAGATCGACCTGTTCATTGCTATTTTATACCAGCACTTGGCCCGGCTCCGAAATGGTGTGCCTATCTGGAACATTTGACAGAGGAACTCGCGGAATCGACGGTTTCGCAGCAGGATTCGGTCGTGGCGATCTATGACCACTATCGGTTTGTGACTCGAGACGAACTCTCCGCTCTGGGACTGGAATCGCTCCTCGGATCTGATGCTTTAATTCCTCATCTGCACGGGTTTTTGATTGAACTTTCCTTGTATCGGAAGACTCGATCGGCCATAAATCCCGCCGAGTATGAGGAATGGCGTCGTTTGCGCATTCAAGAGCGAATCGCCCAACAGCAGCAGCAGCGCATCAGAGCTGTGGATTCGCAGAAGAACCGCACCTCGAGTCGCCGACGAGAGAAAGATGATGAACGATTCCGAGCTCGATTTACGGACGCTGATTTTGCCGTCAACGAATCCCATGAGCGCTGGCGTCGATTACATGCCTCGAACAAAGCGTAGCGCAGCTTTGCGTGATCCTCAATGCTTCGTTCTGGGAGTTACAGCGGTACTGTCTGTTTCCGTCATACGCATACGTCCGTGCATAACGTTTTTCTGTACAGCGTTAGAAACGTTTTCGAAATCGACTCGGGATCGGCATGCACCCGGAGAGCATTGCTCGTATGGTGGTTGTGCCCTGGTTTTTCGTGGCGGTGCTTGCGCATCCCGCTGGCTCGGCTGTCTACCGGGGGCGTCATTCGCGGCTTTGGGTTCTTGAGCGCGAGGTGATGCCGTGCTCCGCAAATTCAGCGGGAATCTTACTGTCTGCATGCGATGCAGTAGTCTTGGGCTACTGAAGCGCAGGTAGTTGGAAACGCGGGCAGTTGGACGCAGCACCAACTTGGAAGGGTGTTCAGCTATTGTTTCCCCGTTCTTGGTCACACATCAGCAGCAGATGTGACGTATGAGGTGCCTTGCGAAATATTTTACTCCATAAACGGCCCATCGAGGTGTTAGGCGACTGCGTTTACCATCGAAAATGAAAAAGGCCCGACTAGAAGTCTGGTGTACCAGGGACGAAACTAGAATTCACACAAGCTTATGGTACATGCTTCTCCGTGTATTTTGTTCATTTCCTTGGCAGCGGTAACGCCCAAGACGTGGGCTTGAAGGTTAGTACACAGAGCGGCGGGCGAGGTCTCATGACGCGCACACTATCAAATTCTAGAGAGAAAGGTAACGGCAACTACGGGATGGACAACGAATCCAGAGGCTGCGCACACCCGAGTACCACCAGGACGTATGCGTAAAAATTCTGAACAATTGGGATCTATCTTGTGTGCGAGTGGCGCTTGGGCTGGATTCTGGATTCGGCGCACTTGTATGGAGCTCAGGGTCAACGGTCCTGCCCTGAATCAAATTCCCAGCTGTACTAGAGCTATTTCTGAGGTGTCAGATTACTGGAAAGTATCGCACAATGCGCTGGGCAAGACGGCCCGTCCCCTGCAGATTGTCTGGTATAAGCGCAAGTTCACGTTCTCTGGCTACTCGATTCAAACGGGATTTGCCGTCGTCTCACTGACCTTCCCCATAATCACCTACTAGGAATATGCCCCATAGAATGTGCCTATCCGTATGCATTGTTTATTTTTTCGTGCACGAGGCAATATATATTCACGGCGCTCGCCCCGGGCTGGGCAGCGCAACGGGCAAAAAATATTCTGGACATGACCGATTGCGCGTAACAGGTTGGCTAAAGCAGCACTCTTGCTCAAATATTGTATGAGCGAGTGTTGGCGAACCCGTTCGCACTTGGTGAGCTTTCGAATTCTACCCTTGCTCGCTTCACCGGGAACACGGGGCGTCGACCCGGCCCACGGATTCGAGTTCGATGCCACATGGCGACAGCAGTCACAGGCGTAGTCCTTGCCAGAGGAAGGTCGGGGTGCGTGGTCCGAGAAGCAGCGGGTCGAGTCGCCACCAGCCATAGGCGTCAGCGTGAACCCCACATATTCGGTGCCGGTTTGATCGTACAAGGGAGCTGAGAGTAAAATACTTTAGTTCAGCTTTTCTGGTACTACCACCGGCGGCATGCGTCTCATAGGCGCCCTGGTCGCTGTGGTTTCCCAGCGTACTGTTTCGCAGAGCCGGCAATAAGGCTGTATCAGCGCCCTGCTGGGTCCTAGAAAGAAGAAGAGTCCCAAGCCCGCAGCGGGTGCTACGCTCCGGGCCAACGGCCTCAGCTGTATGGCGAAGTAGTTGGTTCACTGTAGGGTATCAGCGACATTCGCGCATCCGGAGTCGCAGCAAGCTTTTGAGGCTGCTTGATAGCGGGATGATTGTTGGATCTGTCTTTTATCTCTATACAAATGAATACTTTGGAGGCTCATACTACACCAGTGCGTAGGTGCCTGACGGCAAAGTTTTTTTTTCACGTTCTTCGTCGAAACATACGTACGCAGAAAGATTTTGCTGCATTCATCCATCTAACATCATACAAATGTGATGTTCGGACTCCATCGGTAACATAGGGCACAGAATAGACTTTAATCGCAGTCTCCTCTCCGGAATGGTCGTAATTAATATGGCCTGCGCGGAGGACACAACCAATTATTTGCAATCGCATTGATAAGGTCTCCAGCATCAGCAAAAGAAAGCAGCAATGACGGAAGAAATATGTCTCGTTTCCGAAGCCGGAGGTGGCATGTGCTGCGTAACGTTTGCTAATGCCTAAACGCTACAAATCCGTGTACGTAGAAGACACGGAAATAAGAGCAGTACCTGCAAGTGCCTTGGATATCCTCGAGAGGCCGGGCTATTAGAAATCGTCAATGGGGCATCGATGTCACGGCAAATTTTATGTCACGAAAACATGGGCATAACTACCATTCTGCCACGTGTGCGTTCGCCGCGGCGGCGACATGGCGGAACCCAACGATTACGCACGGGAGATACGCGTTCAGGCGAGTCCCGCCTAGGTTTTTTACAAAGGCTGCTGGTAAGTGACTAAAGTTTTTGTCGCTCTTTTTGAAGAGCCTGTTCCCCGGCGTGCTGTTTTAGGGAACACGACTAAGTCTCTCCTATGGTTATAATCAGAGTTAAACCTACTGTTTGCTTCTTTCTTTACCTGTTTGTGAGCTTTGCTGTTCGCACGCTCGTAGCTACTCCCGTGAATACGGTTTCTTGGACTTGGGTAGGGGGCAATCAGCGTACCGACGGGTCTGGAATCTACGGCAACAAGAGTCTTCCAGCAACGGGCAACACGCCAGGCGCGCGGCATGGCGCCGCTAGTTGGTCGGGTCCGAACGGTCACTACTTATTCGGTGGTGAAGGGAAAGCAAACGCAAGCATAGGACACCTGAACGACCTATGGGTGTTCAATAAATCATCCTTGGAGTGGACGTGGATTGGTGGGTCATCGGTTCCCGACCAGTCTGGTACCTATGGGACGCTCGGGAAGGCGAACTCGTCTAATATGCCTGGTGCTCGGGAAAACGCCGCGTTTTGGCAGACATCTACTGGCATCTTCTACCTTTTTGGAGGATACGGTCTTGATAAGAACGGAGACATTGGTCGTTTGAACGACTTGTGGCAGTACGATCCGTTTACAGAAAACTGGACTTGGATCGCAGGGAACGACACAGTGGACGCGCCTGGCGCTAGCGGACAAAAAGGAAGCTTCAGCAGCAGTTTTAGTCCGAGTGCTCGGGATGGTGCTGCCTTTTGGACTGATATGAATAATAACCTGTGGCTCTTTGGTGGTACCGATCACATATTTCGTGATCGTGCGGACTTATGGGTATTCAACACCACTACATCCGAATGGGGTTGGGTCGGAGGTAGCCTAGTTGGCAATGAGTACGGTAATTACAGCGCTCCTGGTGTTGGAAACTCCTCAAACGCTCCCGGTGCACGACACGCTGCGTCCACGTGGGTTGATCTTGATGGTAATCTGTGGCTGTTTGGTGGTAGGGGCTACGGGAACAGCACGACGCAGTACGGCAACCTCAACGATCTATGGATGTACAACATAAGCACCGGTATCTGGGTCTATGTCACTGGAGGGAAGACTTCAAACAATTTCGGCGTTTACGACGTCTTTGGAGGGTATTCTGCGATGAATACGCCTGGTAGTCGGTTAGGTAGCGTCAGTTTTGTGGACTCTTTGGGTAATCTTCAGCTATTTGGTGGCGCCGGGCTGGCCGCTGCATCTAGCCTCAGCGGATGCTTGAATGACCTCTGGGTATTTGATCCGGAGCTTGGACAATGGGCGTGGATCAACGGTAGTGCAATGCCGAACAGTTTGAGCTTCTACGGAGTCGTTAACGAGACCAATAGTTCAGTCAAACCGGGTGGTCGATTTGGCTCTACTATATGGGTCTCTCAATCAAATGACGCGACGTTTGCGGCATTTGATCCAGTTCTATTTGGCGGCTTTGGCTATGCAAATGGGTCAGTTCCTATCACCGGGTTACTTAATGATGTCTTTTCTCTATCGGAGGTATTCGTTTCGCCGTATCCTACTCCTACACCAACTCCAACTATAACGCCTACAGCAAGTCCGGCAGTGTCGGTGTCGGCGTCGTACTCTGCGACAATGTCAGCAACAACGAACGTAACAGAGGTCCCAGTAGGCACAGGCTCCGCGGTATGCTTCCCTGCGGAGGCCTCTGTAATGGTTGATCGTCTAGGCAATACGGTGCTGATGAGCGAGTTGCGCCCGGGTATGGTGGTGATTGGCGTCAATGGACGTGGGCAGCTCGTCGAGGATACTGTACTGGGATGGTTGCATAACGAGCCTGGTGCTGTAGTGGAGATCCTTGCGATCAAGACGCTTTCTGGGAAGCAGCTACGCTTGACGAGGCAGCATCTGGTGTATCGGATGCACGAACACTCAAGAGTCCTGGATGGCAGTATAATAACTATTGCGACAGGTCATTTACGGAACCAGCAGCAGCGCATACATAAGAGCCTTGAGCTTGAGACCTCTGCCATTGAGGCAGCGTTCGCAGAAGATATCCGCATTGGCGACGCTCTGCTGGACGTTGCCTCGGATCTCCCGGATCCGGTAGTCGCGATCGACACTCTTGTTACGCGTGATGGCCTCTATGCACCGCTGACGCGCTCAGGGCGTCTTGTTGTCGACGGCATTCTCGTGAGCTGCTACGGAACGTATCCGTCTCATGTTGTCGCGCATGCTGTTCTATGGCCTGCACGTGTAGGTGCGCTGCGTACCATATGGGGTTCAATGCTCGGCACAGACAGTACGGTCGGTATCATGCCGTACGCAGAAGGGTTGTATCGCATGTGGACGATAGCAGCGCGCATTTTGAAGGAGGCTCGTGTGAGTGTTGTGGCTGCTGCCTGCTGAGCAGCGAAGCTGATGCAGAGTCCACGGTCGACCAGGACGTGAGCCCCATCATGAGCTGCTACGCCTACTGTCTGAAATGTATGAACGAGCGGTGATGAAAACATGTTATTTATAACAAAGAAGGCTTCAAACAGCATATTGTAAGGTACGTTGGTCATGAATGGAACCTGAGCCCTGTAGATGTATGGGTGAGGTTGCATCCATGGATCCACGCGATCGCAAAATTTGTGGATTGACAATAGAATGGAAACGAGATGTGATGCATCATCGAGCCGTGGCTGAAAATAGCAGGTCCTGTTGGTCACTTGAGACAGGTCGATCCGCGATACACATGCATCGAAGCTTGGAGATGTCGTGGAGGCTGTCAAGCTGCGAGGCGTTCCGTCAGACTGTTTTCACATTTGTGGATGTTAACGGTCTGCTCTGTTGCTTGACTCTCGAAGCGGTGGTGTAAGGCATTCAGGAATTTATACGAGGAAAAAATATCAGAATCAGTGATGGAATACATTGTCTCAAAAAAACCGAAAAGAAAGTGACACTGATACATCATATAGAATGGCACCAGACGGCTGTGAAGCAGAAGTGGATTACAGTTGCACAATTTTACCACTCCTGCAGTGGAAAGCACGAAAACGGAAGATTACAAGACACGAAAGCGTAAACATATTATGCATCGAAGCCCTGACACCAACAACGCCGTTCTAAGTCAAACGACAACAGTGTACAGTAGTGGCGAGAAACCCGCACTAGACAAGACGTCTCCAACTAACGTGCAGACGCCTCCCCGTCTTTTTGTACCGGCCACCTACTACTGGCTCAAACTTTTTCTCATATAATCCGACTTTGGGATATTGTCCAACAAAGATCATTCTTGTCTATTCTGGAGGTCTGTTCTCCAGCATCGCACACCTCCGTATCTTGATAGCGGCATTAAAGTCTCTGTTCACAAACCCCATACGTAACTTGCCATTGGAAGTTGCACTCACCAATGCGAGTAGCCCTCGGACTTTCGTTCGCCTTTCCATTTGCTCCTCCATCAGCGGTCCGTACTTTTCTATATCCTCAGGGCTCCGCTGGCCCTTTTCTACCTCCACTCTCTGAAGTGTATAACCCAGTTCATGGTGTGTATAGGACGTTCGAAACTCATCGACAGGTATCGTGACGAAACGCCGTTAACACACATTGTATGTTCTTGTCGACAGAGCTGGAGTAGTCCCTTTTGGGTCTTCCATCGCCCTGATCCATACGCTACTGCGAGCCTCTGACTGTCATCCTATTTCAAGGCACCCAATTGATTGAAAAAGTTGGCGAACGCCCGCTGGTTCCCGCAATACAAATTTATTCGCAGACGAGCCCACCGGGGCTTTGTATACTCCTTCCACAGCGCATCCCAATGAGCGACGCGAACTTCCATGAATTTCCGAAAAGCTTTATAGTCCGCTCCGCGGCTAGTCACCTCGCCCATAGCTTCCATATGCTCTTTCATTCCTTCATTCCATGCTGCAATTTTCTTTTTTGCATTCATTATACAGGATTCTCGATAGTATCTCGCTCTCGAGAGCCTCAAAAGATGCATGTCTCTCTGACGTACGTTACATTCAGTACCATCTTCCGCACACTCGGGTATTGCGATTGTTATGATATTCGTGTTCCTAGGGTTAAGGTCGACGACAAAGTCGTTTTCGTGGCGATTATACGTTCCATCGCCCATCTTCTTCTGTTCGTGCATCGGCAACGGCGACAACGAAGACGAGATAGGACGAAGTACTTACAACCGCTACTAATGTACCCATATGTATCCATCATCGTTATCGATGGTCCCCGTGAATACCTTTTTTGGCCGGTTTGGGACACTTGGAATCGAAATGCTTCTTCCAGTAGGTGTCCCGGTCTTCGCCGGTGGCCCCTTTGTTGCTTATATCGAGCACTGGATAGAACTCTTTCATGAAGGCGTAAAGGACTCTAGAGTCGATATTCACAACATGTGACTTGAACTCGCGTAACCGGACGACAACGAAGCGCATCTGGAGAAGCTCTTCAACGTCCGTTCTCCCGTCGGTCATTTTTCCAAACTCAGCTCCATGTCAGCCTTGCGTTCGAGTTTTCGGTCGGAAAAATGAAGTAGGGCAGGATGAGGGACTAAAATCTTTCTTCGTCTTTTTTGATCATATCTGACAGTTTTTCTCTAGGGTCGACAAGCCCCAAGCGTGAACGATGTTTTAGAATAGTCGCGCGGATAACAAAAGCAATATTCCTTCTCGGGCGTGATGTCCTCTTGTCGACGAATCTGATCTCCTGTTCATGCTGGCGATCGTTCTTCATACCATCGATGATTGCAAGCATCGCTTCGCGAAATAGGCCCGGGTACAGCGCAAAGACGACGCGTATCATGAAACAATCGAGGGTTGCGATGCTACGGTTCCTCACATTCCTGAGGCACCTCTTTGCCCTGTATTCGTAAATATCTACGTCACCCCTGTGTACAGCACCGATGACGAGGTACTTGGCGTAATTTTTGAGAAAGGCATGCACTCGCTCATTTATCCTCGATGTTTTCCCATTAAAAACAATCAGGTGGTTGATGAAAGTCTTTTGGAAAATTTCTTCCGGAAACATCACTTCTGCGATGTGCGTTACCTCCGGATGCAGCTCGCTCTCCAAATGCCAACGTCCTAAAGAGAAGGTACAAACATACCTGGCGTACGAACCGACACGCTTTCTGATAGCGTCTCGCAACAATCAGTCGTACGGATCATTGATATGTTGGAGAAGATAGGATTCCACCACCATCTCGTCGTACAGACGTCACCATGGCAGCCTTCGATCTAAGGCCTCCAAATGTTGCTTCTTCTTTTTTCCTGGCCCTCTTCGCTGGGCAGCATGTCTCGTTTCGTTCTGACATCCGGGCACATCTGCCACCCCGTACCCCCCACCCCCTTGATTTACATGAGTCAATTTTATTTGGGAGAAAAACTCATTGGACGCTTCTGCTTTGAAAGGCGAAAATCAGTTGAATAAATTTACTTGAAGATTGAAACGCTATTGAAGCCAAAACTACAATTTGATACGATTCGATCGCAAAAACAAGTGGCCCCGATACAGCAGTCGCTCCACAAGAGGTCATTAACACGTTTCTTTTGATCGGCAAGACGCACGTAGTGTGAGGTGACGGCCAGATTTCGCGATGCGTCACCAGGGCGCACGACATAGAAGATGCCAACTAGTACAACAATATACACAAACGGAATAGCAAGTACTATCGCCACCAACCGGAAACGTTGAAGAGAGAAGTTTTTGCGTATGGTCACACTGTTAGATTAGGCGGGAGGTGTGCGAGCCGCGAGAACGAACCGGCCTGTCCTCCGTGTGACTTTTCAGTGGCGAGGGATGAACCGCACCTGAGCATCTCAGTCGAACGCATTTGATTGTTGGATCATGACCAAGTATGCTGCATCTGAATATAAATTTTGGCGTGGCGGTCTTCCAATACAAAGCACCGCGACTACCAGGCAGGAAGGCTGATAGTACAGCTTGGAGGCTCCAAGAAATATAAATAGCCATGCTTCCGCGTTGCATGAAACAAGCCTCCACCGCCACGCTCAGTAGATTGTCAAGGCTGCTGTATTTCCTAAGTGCACCAGCACCAGCGATAACTAGATTACGGCTGGTGCATACGGCAGGCATCCGGCGTAGGATAAGAGTGTGAAACGACCAATAAGGCCGAGAGTAAGAAAAAGAAATGCAATGCACAGGGATCGTTCGGAATGAGAGAGGATTTTTTCGAAACCAATATCAAAGAAGCGATTTAATCCGTCTGGTCAGTGCAAAAGTTCAGTAAACCAGAAAAAGCAAAGCGCCCGTGGTAATTTCCAATTAGCTTTGGTATGTAGTAAACGACGCTATACCAGACGCGTATGAGCCCAGATCAAACCGTCAGAGGAGAATACCCTATCGCCATTGAAATAAAAGACGCCGATGTCATAGATGCTCCCGCACTGAGATCACCTAATCAATGTGATCCGAGGAATGGGGGG